TTTTAAATTACTTTTAAACTAAAAAATTAAATTTAATATTTTTATATTAAATATAAATTACTTTTAATAACTATTTTTTTTAAATATTTATAAATAAATCTTTAAATTAATTATAATTTAAGCTATTTAGTATAAAATAGATATATTTTATTTAATTTAAATATAATATTAATAAAATTATTATTAAATCTTTTAATAAAAATATTTATTTTAATATAGTTAATAATATTAATTATATTATATATATAAGTAAATAAATAACTAGTAGAAAACGTTATTATAAATAATAAATTTAAAAAGTATTTTATAACTACGTAGACGCGCTAGACACGCTAAATAGATATAAAAAAAATTATATAATATAAAAAAGTTATTTATACGATATATACGCGTTATATTATAGAGAAAAAGCTTATAATAGCTTATATATAGAAGTAGCGCGTAGAGTATTTAGCGTATAAACGAACGTATATAATTTAAAAGCGTAAGAGCTAGAATAAAATTCTTTTATAGGTAATAGCGGTAGTAAGAAAGAGAAAAAAGCGATTGTTTATAAATTAGTAACACCACGCGGTGTTAAGACACACGATAGACAACGATGCGCATTACTCTAGGCGAGCGTTGGGGTGTCGGCCACTCGTCACTGACGAGTGGGGCCGAGGCGAGCGAGGCCTGCGATGAATAAGCAGCGCTTATTAAGAAGCATCTTGGCCACGATTAGCGCACGCCTTCCTACTACGCCCCGCGCTCCAACCGCCCCACCTCCCCCGCCACCTGGTCCGAAATCGCTTCCGGCGCCGGCAAGATAACTTCGACAGCTTCGTGCAAAACGACCTGCAGCCGGTCGACCTCGTCGCCGACGGCTGGACGCGCATCCCCGCCTTCTCGGGCTTCTCCGGGCACCCGGGCGCCATCGTCGCGCCGGACGCGCCGGACGCGCCCAGCATCGAGCACCACGTCGACGCGCTGCTCAAACTGGACGAGCCAAGCGCGGAGGCGCTGCGGGCGCGCGTCGGCCAGGTCGTGCGGGACGTGGAGACGGCGGAGCGGCTTAAGGCGTGGTATCCGGGGTGGTGTAAGAGGCCGACGTTTCACGATAAATACCTGCCGACATTTAATTTGCCGAATGTCACGCTTGTCGACACGGATGGCCGGGGGGTGGAGAGGCTGACTGAGGGGACTGTTATTGCGGGTGGGAGAGAGATTGCTGTTGACGTTTTGGTCTTGAGCACGGGGTTCGAGGTCGGGTCGGGTGAGCAGGGGTCGCCGACGATTCGGGGGTATATGGCCATAACTGGGCGCGGAGGGAGGTCGTTGGAAGAGAAGTGGGCGGCGTCAGACTTTGGGACGCTACACGGTGTGGCGACGCATGGATTTCCGAATCTGTTTTTCCATGTGCTTGCGGGAGGGCCGTCGTCGCCGAATTTAACTTCGTGTTACAGCGCTATGGGGAAGCATATTGCGGAGATTATTACGGCGGCGAAGCGCAAGGCGACGGGGTCTGAGAAGGTTATTATCGAAGCTAGGAAGGGCGCTGAGGATGAGTGGATGGTAGAGACTGCGAAGAGGGCAACTTGGTTTTCTGCGCTGGCTGTCTGCACGCCTGGTTTTTTTTTTAACAAGTATGGGAGAATGGTAGAAAAGCCAGCTTCGCCAGAGAAGGCCTTTCAGAGAGCCAAGAATGCCACTGGTAGATGATGATGGAAGAGTATAGGGCGAAGGATATACTGCAAGGCGTGGAAGTAAGAGTTTGAACTGTGAATTCAACACAACAGATAGGTTTTAGAATTAATTAACGCGTTGAACGCTATAATTCTGTCGACTTATAATGACTACAACCTATATGCACAAGTTTGGGTAACTACTTTTTCGTCAGCCAGAATCGTCTCGTGTAGTTGGCCATCAGGAAGACTAATGACTAGGATACGTGTGTATTAGAAGGCCGTGTGTTAAGTATTAGTTCTAAGGCAGCGTTAGATGGTCCGGCTACCGCCTGCTTCGCTGTAGTCTTTTATATAGTCTTTGTTTTTTTCCTCTTATTTGATTAACACAGCTAGTTATCTAATATTTTAGTATAGCTTTACTAGCTAACGACTTTTCTTACCTAGCCGAGTCTTCTTTTCTAAACGAAACGAGAAGTAGAGAAGGGACGTTAATAGAATTATTATTATTATCATTCTAACCGAGTCTTATCTTTAAAGTTTCTTTTAAATCCCTCATTGTCTAAACCTTATTCTATAAGACGGAATGGACCGGTTGGAACCGGCTGGGAAGTTTGTTTTTTTTTTTTAAAAAAAAAGCCAAATCTTCGGAGCCGTAGGTCGCTGGAAACCTCGGTTAAGTAGAATACTCTCTTAGAGAAGGAGTTATTAATACGCCACTATGGCTCGGCTTGATTGAAGAGTAGAAAAATATACAACCGCTCCTATCCACTCTTGAGTAAGCACCTAACATACCTTTTATCTGAACCGAGACAAAGAAATTCAAAAAGCAGAACAGACCACTCTCCCCCTCGATCAAAACAACCATGACCAACGAAGACCTTGCTTCTAAATACCGGCGCTACATTGACCTCTGCAATAAGCGCGGAATGGACGACCTTAGCGAATTCGTCCACGATGAACTTACCTTCAACGACAAGCCCATCTCGCGCATCGAGATGCAGAAGACGTTCGGCGCCGCTATATCGTCAGCCCCGGACTTCAATCTCAGCATCGAGATGCTACTTGTCGACGGCGACATGGTCGCCTCCAGGATGGTTCTTACGAGCACCCCGGAACGTGAGTTCCATGGGCTGCAACCTACCGGAAGAACGATGAAGATTCGGGAGTACGCCTTCTACCGGTTTGAGAAAGGCAAGATCCGACAGCTTTGGATGATGCTTGACACGCCTAGTGCGGCGGTGTAGTTGACGTGTTGAGGCGGATGGGTGTTTTAGCAAACGTTTGTATCACAACCTGAGGGTTCAGGCGACCGTGCAAACCAATGGCATATTTGTTCTAGCTTTTAGGTGACTGGACTGAAGTGCGCAGCATATCTTTGCGTGCATATGGAGAGAAGAGTGCAGACGAATCTCTGATCCTTTGAATACTATACTATCTATAATGGTTTAGATGCACGTATGTGTCCGATATACGGTAATAATGACAGGCGCGAAAGATGTGATGTGCGAGATTTGGAGGTTAGATAAAGATACGCACTGATGTCGTAAAGGAGGATGTCGACGGGGTTGATGTAGCTGCTGATTCTTGGCTCTTCTGAAATAAAGATATGCAACGGTGTGAATTGGAAGAGGTTGCTCGGCTGAAACAAGAGGCTATGTTCTGCACGCGCGCCACGTGGCCACGTGAGAGGTGATTGAAAGGAGTATTGCAGTCTCTGGGCTAGTTCAGGAAACGAAGCTGAAACCGTAGCAAATGGTAGAGGAAATGGTGACTCACGACCTCCTGCATGCTACCAGAATTGATAATTGACGTGTCGGGCGGATCTCGTTCAAGACGACATTTGTGGGTACCATCCATATAGCACCCACCCCAACAGTCATGATTGCGGCCAGCTTTACCTGAGTCACTGTCAAAGCAGCGGATGCAGCCTAGCCGGCGATGAATGCTGGCCAAGTGCAGCTCGCGGCCTTGGCCAAAGCCTCCATTAGCGAGCACTAGCTCGTATATGTAGTTTCGCAGCTCTGCTGATAGCAGGCAAAAGAACGGAGATTGGAACTGCTGGCTTACAGCGTCGCAGGGTGAGGTGAGCGTGCGGGGTCTTGTGCGTGGAAGAGCGGGTGGAGTCCTGTGTCGTCCTTGACGCTCTTTCCACCACTGATGAGCTTTCCGAGGAGGAGCATGTTGATGGTGACGAGGTGACGTCATCCTGGAAAGCAGGATGACGGAGCAAATAACGAGTATCTACGAATTGGTTGTGCTGGGCTAAAGAAAAGAGAAGACAGTGGGTGATACGGCGGAAGTAGATGCCTACAGGTGCCTAAGTGACGCCGATGATCTGTCGACCGTCAGGCAGACAGTATGCCGCCGTTCTCAACGGACGTTTTATTTACATGCATGAGGTTAATAGGTGAGAACACGTGGTCGTGGGCCCCTACGGCTGCGCATCGTTTTGAGACACGGTACCACCCAACATGGTTCAGCGGAGCTGAGCCTCTTTGCGCTTGGACCGAAAAGCCGATAACAAGGCAGAAGTGCAGACTAAGTGGCGAGTAGAGTGATGGCGCATTGGCGTTGGACCTAGAACTATGACGAAGCACGGCGCGGATGCGGCGTATTGGACTAGTAAATTGGGGCCAAACAGACAACCAATCGTGCACCCGACATCGGCCCATGCATAAACGACGGCAAGGAGGCTTGAGCAAGTGATGAAGCTCAATAGCGAATCAAACACTGCTATGCCAAGCCATCATAACACTGTGCCGCAATCTGTACGCCGGTTGGTGTTCATGAGCTTGGTCATGGCAAACCGCTCTTCGTGACTTGAATTTCATGATGTAGATGATGTGAACAGCTACAAGGTTGCGTTTGCTACGCCTCATGGACAGTTTTGGAGCAAGTCTTTTCATATAGTACCCCTCGATCTCGATAAATAGATAAGTAATTTAAAAAATAAAAATCGAAATGTAGGTAATTTAGTAATGGGGATTTGCCGCCGAGGTCCTTATATATATTGCTTAGTAATTACCTCCTTCTCTATATACTAACTATAACTCGTATTCGACATTACTTCGAGTAGTATTTTATCCGCAATCTTCTCAGCTAGCATGTAAACCGTCGCCTGCGGATGTCCGGGTACAAGCAACGGAAAACTACTCGCATCTACAACTCTGATGCCTTCTACGCCAAATACTCGCGCCTCGCTGTCTAGTACTGCTGTAGGGTCATCCCACGTCCCCATTTTACACGTACAGCTTGCATGATAAATCGTAGTCAGCGACTTCTTTAACCACTCGTAAATTTCCTCATCCGACCTTACTCCTTCCCCAGGGTAATATTCCTCCTCCTCAGCGACACCCTGCTCCACCAACCACTTCCACATTTCCCGCTGCCGCCGCACACACTGCACCGCTACCTCCCTATCCGCCGGATGCGTCAGCCATGCCGGGTCAATCATAGGCGGAACCTCCATCTCGGCGCTCCTAATTCTGACACTGCCTCTGGACAGCGGCGCGATTAAAGCTGTGTTCAACGTCGCGAAATTGGTCCCATCCTGCGGATCAATCGCCACCGGAACCGACCCATTGCCCTTCAGGGCGCTGTTTGGTAACCACTCAATTTCGGGCCAATCCGTAGGGAAGTCGCTCGCCAGCATTTCCCTCGTCTCCTCGCTCAGTGCCCCCCGCCACGGCTCTGGCAGCTTCTCCCATCCGTAAACGCCGGGCCCCAGCACCGACAGCGGGCCGTCCGCGGCTCGTAGATAGGCGGCCACCCCTTCGGCTGCGAGGCTGGCATTGTTGAGCGCGGCGGAGGCGGTGGCGAGGCGCACGCGGTGCGCGGTGCCGAAGACGGGGTGGTCCCACATGCCGCGCCCGACGCCGGGACGGTGTGAGACGCACGCGATGCCGTGAAGTTTGAGTTCTGTGCAGTCGCCTATGCCCGAGACCAGGAGCAGCTGCGGCGACTGGAACGCGCCGCCGCTGACAACGACTTCGCGGGATGCGTAAAGCGTATAGTTGCGCGACGGCGTGCCGAAGGTGCCGGCGGTGGAGACGCGGACGGCCGTGGCACGCGGGGGAGAAGCAGAGGTGGCAGGGGAGAAGAGGATGCGTTGTGCTAACGTGTTGACGTAGACGGTCGGCGCGGTCCCGTGAGCCAGCGCTGCGGCCAGGAAGCTGCTTTCGCTACTCGCACGCGCTCCGGTGGATGCGTCGATGGTAAACGTGCCGAACGCGGAGCCGAGTAGGTGACCGTCGTTGAAGCCGGGGATTGCGGCCATGCCGAAGGCTTGGAATGCGCGCTGGCACCATGTCCCGAATGCATCGACGTAGTTGGAGAAGGAGACGGGGAGGGGGTCGCCGGGGGGTTCGAAGGAGGTGGAAGATTGGGTGTTTGAGGAGTTGGTGTAGCGAGTGGGGTCGAAGGGGGTGTAGTGAGTCGATTTTTTGTAGTAGGGAAGGATGGCGGACCAGGTGTACGAAGGGTCGGCGACGAGGGTGGACCAGCGGGTGAAGGAGTCGACGGTTGCTCTTGGGTGTGGTCAGCTCGAGGAGGACGGAGGGGGACGGGGGAGACAAGCCGTTGGTACAGCATGTAGTTCCGCGCGGACGATCCGCCCAAAGTCTTGCCGCGCGTGTAGTGGTAGGTACGGTTGGAGAAGCCCTGGTGACACATCAGCCTCTTCTTCCCACAACCATCCTTTAGACTGACCGTCTGCGCAACAGTTGCAAATCCCCAATCCACCCCCGGCTGCCAGTCGTCTTCATCCGCGCCTGCGAACCACGGCGCGTAGCTTGGCACCACGCTCAGATTGCCGTTGGTGATTTCGTAGAAGCTGCCCGCTTCGATGACCGCGATGCTGAGGCCGGCGCTCGACGAGGACAGGCGCGTCGCGAGGGCTAGACCCGCCGTGCCACCGCCGATGACAATGTAGTCGTACGTTGCATTGAGGCCGGGGATGCCGAAAGAGGTGGAAGTGAGGGGGGAGCCGTTGGGGGTGTGGGGAAAGAGGGCGAGAGTGAAGTGGTTCAAAGAAAAGAAAATGAAAGACAAGAAGGCAATGGGGAAGGTGCGGGTCATTTTGGTGGAAGTCGAGGGTTTCTCTGCGTGTTGTCGTGTTTTGGCGGTGATAGAGGGTGGGATGTGGTATTTGAACAGCTTGGGGTGGGGTCTGCATGCGTGGAAATAATAAATGAATGTAGTGGCGGGGTAGAAGAAAAAGTAATGGTAAGCGCAGCTGAGTGGGAAGACATGCATGGGCTGTAAAACCAGGGGTCTGCGGGACTTGCATACAGGCGGGTGCTGCAGCCGACGGCGAAGGGGGCGTGACTTTATTAGGTGAATTTTGTTCGCACATGAGGATTTGAAGGATTCGTCCGGATTAAAAACTCCCCTAGATGGGATACCTCAAGTCCCTGCGCTAGTGTACTTGCCGATGAAGTTTGCAGAAAGCAACTTGCGCCAGCTGTCGGTCGTAGCACCCACCTGTGTTGAGTGCTTGGCTCGCGCTGCCCTTGTTTATCAGAAGGTGACCCCTGCATTTCGACGCACGAGACCACCTATGCTAGTGCTGCTGCAGGTATACATCGCCGATGTAAATAATCGTTTGGATGTGTGGCTAGTAAGACTTACCCAGCATTGCACAAAAGACTTGAGTTTGGAGAAACTGCCGAAAAAGCAATGCTTATGCTGGAAAGAAAGAATAAATAGAGTAGAGTATAGAAAAACTAGGGTATCAACCCATCATCAAGCCCGCCCTGTCCTTTCCACCCGGTATGGTCATCGCGGTAATCAAGTCATGAGCCCGATCGCAGAGGCAGTGCCGCGAAGTAAGAATGTAGGAGGAGAAGAGGAGTCGGAGATATCGATAAACAGGACCAAGGAGACAAGACCGAATGGCTGTTTCAATCACTCATCGACTTGGTTTTCGCCGGCTGCTGCTGTCTCGCTCCGGGCGTTCCCTGGGGCTATGGCTTTGGGCGAGCCGGTGGGGGTTGCTACCGGTGACTGGTGGAATTGTTTCGCCTCTGGGGTGCTCTGATGAGCAGCGGAAGTTCGAGGCAGGTGTAGGGACCAGCTGTTGCCTGGCGTGACGGTGCGTCGAGCTAGGCATCAGTATTGCACGTGACTTTCGTGTTTACGCGATTTCGCCGCCGGGCAACCGCGTCGCCAGACGCGCCTTCGTCGGGCACTTGGCGCACATCTCCAACCACGCCTACGCTTCTCCTCAGCTCGCCTCTCACCGAAACGCCATGAGTCTGGCTTCTCCCCGCGGCGCTCCGCCCAAATGACCAAGCACAACTTGAAGACCCACTTATCTTGGTTGCTGAACGCGAAGCCATTCGTGCCACCCGCAGGCCCACCTATCGTTCACCCCGTTTCCGACCATTCCACGAGATCTGCCGTTCTACCAGCCCAAGGTCCGCATACTGAACTGTCCGAGCCTCTCGCAAGACATGCGCCTTCCTGCGAACCACCCCGGTCACAACCCGTCGTCCCCGAATTCCGTTCTCATGCTCCCGATTCTCGCCGGCACAGCGTAGGGAGCGCCGTCACTCTTGATCTTGACGATACAAACTTCAATCAGCCTCCCGATATGGCCAAGCTTCGGGCTGCTCCTGGCTCAACTTCAAAGCCGCGTCTCATATCGCAAGAGCATCCAGATCGGACGCCTTTGGCTGGTGCCAGCAACCGCTTCAAGAGCAAGCTCGCGAGTGTGTCCTCGAGTACACCAAAACAACGGACTGGCAAAGAAACGGCAGTGGGACCGTCTCAATCAACTGGCAAGAACCATCTACCGCAAGGGAGAATGCAATTGGAGGATTGGGACATGGATGATGTCGATGCCATTGATCTGACTGGAGATTCCGATGGACGGAATGCCTCCAGCCCAAGCCTACATGTCCCCGCCCCAACATCCCGGAAGAGGAAGAGTGACCAGTTCCAAACTCCCTTGGAGGACAGTCCGGCTCCTCGAAGACCAAGGGTCAGCACTGGGCCTGCTGCAGGGCCGGATGGGTTTGCACCCATCGAGGATTTCGAGGATCCTCCACCTCCATATTCCACGGTGGCGCAAAGACCAGTTGCGTCTTCATCAGCAGTCAGGCCGGGGCTGGAGGATGAATTTGGAGATTCCAATGAGACCTCTGCTGATGACGAGGGCCGCCTACGTGTTTCAGAGAGTCCCGTCAAGTCTGTGCCCAGGAAACGAAAGTCTCTCAGCCGTGTTCCCTCTGAAACCAATGAAAACTTCTTTGGAACCGTCACTCTCCGCAAAGCATCTCGTTCTCCAAAGAAAGTCGACTGGCCCGCTCGAGACCAGTCGTCCGAAGAGTTCAAAGGGAGTCCTGTTAAGTTATCCCATCAAAGCAAGCGGCGTATCATAGCCGACTCAGAAGACGAAGATGACTTTGATATCGACGACCAACCCGGACAATCCAACCTTCGCATCTCGTCATCCGCAGCGAGACAGCCAGGATCGCAGGGCTCTGCCAAACCGTCCAGTTCGAAGCCAGCGACCGTAGACAAATCCAGAGATTTTCGATGGCATGAGTGTAGGGATAGCGCACCGCCACTCGCCAGCGAAAGGCAGCAATTGCACAGGTCCACGGAGAAGAAAGCCCCGTCAACCTCGTCGAAGATGAATGGCGCAAGTGCTGCGCTTGAAACCGTCTTGGCGACTCCCAGCTCGTGCCAGGCCTCTCCATCCCATTTATCGAAAGAAGAGCGCTCGGTGATCTCAAATTTTGGAGCTTGGCCTGAGACATACCTGCAAAGCGTCTGCCGAGAACTCGAGGCCGAGGTACTCCGCCTCAAAAGAGCGCAAACTGAGTATTTGGAAGAGTTCGAGATCCCGTCCAGAGATCTCATCGAACAGTCAAAAAGTGCTTTGAAGCGCAAAGGAATCATCGAAAACCTTATCGAGAACCGGCACCAGCTCGAAAAGGCCATTTCGAAGAAGACGGAGCTCTCCAATAGGATACTCAGTCTGATGGACACCGAGTACAGCACAGACTTGACAGAGTTGGACGGGACCACTGCTGAAATCAAGCGTACTGGCGAGCAAATCAGGAACATCGAAGTTGAGATGATCCGACTGATGAGAGCTGCCGGATTTGTTGATGGAGAAGGCGAGTCAGCACGGCTGCGCGAGCGTCCACAGTTCGCGTCCGCTGATGTAGTGATTCGCTCTACGCAACTGCCCACTGACAAGTGTCGACCGCATGAAACCACGGGTGTAGCGCCCACGCAAAGAATCCAACAGACCCAACTTCCGGCCAAAAGTCCGAAGGCAACTTCAACGGTAGAGATATCGCTCCACGATCCAAACAATGCCTCTCCAAGGGATTTTGATGATTTTGACGATGAAGATTTTGAAAACGAGCTAAATAACACGTCCTTTCACGATGCGACCACTGGAACACCAGAGAGACGACCAACAAAAGACTTCAATTCGGGGCTGTCATTTGGCAATGTCCAACATGGCTTTTCTGAACGACCCTTTTTCGCAGACGAGAACGATTTCGATGACGAAGATGCTGGGGGTGGCACAAACATGGGGACGCCGCCAGCTCAAGCGTTTGATGACGAAGAAGACTACGGAGACTTTGACTTCAATGAAGAGGACATACATGACATCACCGAGGAAATGGGAGACTGTAGGGCAGCGAATGCCGTCGACCGAAATCATCCTTCTCACCAGACTTTTCAGGAGGCTTCTGGAAACCATATTCGCCAACAGCTTTCACGGGATAGAGCGACGAGAAAACAAAGTGCAAAATTCTCTGGCGCCATGGCTCCTCCAGCAAATCAACCACAATACCCTTGGACAAGTGATGTGAAAAGGACGCTGAAGGATAGGTTCCGCCTGCGGGGGTTCCGCCCACACCAACTTGAGGCCATAAATGCAACCTTGAGCGGCAAAGACTGCTTCGTGCTCATGCCCACGGGTGGCGGAAAGAGTCTCTGTTACCAGCTGCCTGCTGTTGTACAGAGCGGTAAGACCGCCGGCGTGACCGTCGTTATATCCCCTCTGATCAGTTTGATGGAGGATCAGGTCAATCACTTGAAAGCACTGCACATCCAGGCTTTCTACATCAATGCAGAGATCGGCCAGGAGCAACGGCGTTTTATTATGAACGCGCTATCAGAGCCACAAGTGGAAAAATTCATTCAGGTCTTGTACGTCACGCCGGAGATGCTGAATAAAAGTCAAGCCGTGGTCAACGCGTTGCGGGATCTCCATCGCCGCCAGCGCCTTGCTCGAATTGTAATCGACGAAGCGCACTGCGTCAGTCAGTGGGGTCATGACTTTCGACCCGATTACAAAGCTCTGGGGGAAGTTCGCCGTTTGTTTCTTGGAGTGCCGGTTATGGCACTGACGGCAACGGCAACGGAAAACGTCAAGGTTGATACTATTCACAATCTTGGAATCCAAGGGTGTGAGGTATTCGCTCAGAGTTTCAACAGACCTAATTTGTACTACGAAGTGCACACCAAAGGCAAACGCGAGGACATCCTTCAGAATATTGCCGGGATCATCAAGACCAAATTCCGCGGACAGTCCGGCATTGTGTACTGCATGGCGAGGAAGAAGTGCGAACAAATCGCCGAGCAACTGCGAGAAAAGTACGGTATTTCTGCACAGCACTATCATGCCGGAATGGAGGCGGTGCAGAAATCTGAGACGCAGAAGGCGTGGCAGGCCAACAGGTACAAAGTGATCGTCGCTACAATCGCCTTCGGCATGGGCATTGACAAGCCAGACGTTCGATTCGTAATCCACCATAGTATACCCAAGAGCCTGGAGGGCTATTACCAAGAGACTGGACGCGCTGGGCGTGACGGAAAGCGATCCGGATGCTACCTTTTCTATGGCTATCACGACACCATCTTTCTCAGGAAGATGATCGAAGATGGCGACGGAGACCGGGAGCAGAAGGAAAGACAGTATGCCATGCTCCGAAACGTTGTCCAGTTTTGCGAGAACAAGGCAGACTGCAGAAGAGTCCAGGTTCTGGCGTACTTCAACGAGGCTTTCAAACCCGAGGATTGCGATGCCCAGTGCGATAACTGCAACTCTACCATCACTTTTGAGAACCGCGACTTCACCGACCTCGCTGCTCAGGCCATCAATCTGGTTGGAAGGATCCAGAAAGAAAATGTGACGCTCTTGCATTGTGTCGACGTCTTTCGAGGCTCGGCTTCCAAAAGAATCAAGGAACTCGGCCATGACTCCTTCACAGAGTACGGCGTGGGTTCCGAATTGGACCGTGGAGATGCTGAGCGTCTCTTCCAGCGGCTGGTCAGCGAGGATGCACTCGAAGAAAAAAACCACACCAATCGGGCTGGATTTACAGCACAGTACATCAAGGTAGGTCAACATCTGCAGTTCAGACATACAACTGCTGACAAAGCGTAGCTTGGTAAGAACTTTCGTATTTTCCAGGCTCGCAAGAAGCCGATCCATATTCACGTTCAGGTCTCGGCACGGCAAGAGAAGGGCAAAAAGACCAAGACCGTTGCTACCAAGCGCAAAGGTACTGGGGTTGCAGCTGCACGGGACGAATTTCCTTTCTCGACAAACGTCTCATCTCCTATCCAAATGGCGTCACGCACGAACCGCAAAGCCCGTGTGGTCGACATGGATGACGACGACGATGGTTTTGTGATAGACGATGAGGCTGAAGACGAGTCGGAAGGTTTTGAGGCACCGCCACAACCGAAACCTAAGATGATCGCCAAGAGCAGCAGGAATCCTCGGCAAAAGCTTGGTGCGCCCATCACGATGGATGAGAAGATGGCTGCGCTGGATGAGTTGCACCAGGACGTGGTCGAAGAATTCGTGCGAGAGGGTCGAAGCGAATGCCAGAAAATCCTGATAGCACGGAACCTCCGATCGCATCCGTTTACCGATACGATGCTTCGGGAAATGGCAATCAGCTTCCCGGCGACACCGAAAGAGCTGATGAGCATACCCGGTGCGGATGCGCAGATGGTGGCGCTCTATGGGGAGCGGTTCCTGAAGCTGGTCAAGCGGTTCAAGAACAGTTTCGAGTCGATGACTGGGCAACAATTGCAGCGGGCAGAGAGGGTGAAGGACCCCAATCACGAAATCATTGAGATTAGTGACGAAGACGGAGAGGACGACGATTCAACGCTTGAGAACGAACTGGAACTGGACGCCGAGGAGTCTTCAGAGGAATGCTGGAGTTCGTACTTCAGCAAGCAGGATGCCGATCCCGAAGTTGAGGCTTTCAATGCGCGCTTCAGCCAAGCTCAAACGTCGGCAAGACCCACCGCGGCGGCACCAGCAGCTGGCCGGACGGCGCGGCCTGCAACGGGTGGCCGGAGATATTCGTCGGGCAAAAAGCCATACTATCGAAAAGGATCGCGGAGCTCGACGGGCGGATACAGCCGTAGCCGAAGCGGTACAGGCAACACGAAGAGGGCGACGAGCAAAAGGCGAAATGGCGCAGGTGGGTCTTCAAAATCGTCGAGGATGGGAGGTGGGGGTAGTGCTGGGATTGCAGCGATGCCTACGTGAGATATGGCGGAACGTTCTGAGCTTTTTTCACCTAGACCCGGTCGGACAACGGAGTTGCGGCGTTAAACAAGGAATCCGGTCGGTTATCTTTTCTGCGGCTCATGGTTGCCGGATAGAACAAGATTTACCTTTTCATTGTCCGTTGATCATGCATCAGGCGTCTTGTTTTGGTGTTGGGTGCAGGGGTTTCGATGGCGGTGGGTCTGCCATGGTCGGTATGGCTCGGGCTTATTGGGCATTGCTATGTAGCACGACATGTGGCACATGATAGTAGTGTCTGGAATGCACGGATTTGGCTCGAGATAGAGGGTTCGAGCATCTTGGTCGCAGCGGAAATCGAGAGGCATCGGCAGAAACCGGACTCTGCACGGCCGACGGCAGCGCCGAGCATGGGCCGGCGGAGCGGGAAGGCCCGTGCGGCTCGCGCGATGTGTGTGCCTAGCACGTGCGGCAGCGCGGTGGGCGCTTCTGCCGCGTTCGAGGGCGATACGGCGTTCGTAGAGAAGCTTCTGGCGCACGGCAGCTGGCTCGCAGACGCCGACATGGCGCCTGACGCGGGTGGGATGGGGCCCGGCGCTGCAGAGAGCACGGGCACCGCCCACGACAGCGGAAGGCAAACAGTGCAAACTCGCCCAGCGGCTAGCGGCCGTGCAAAGGCCGAAGCTTCAAGTCGGCATTGTGTTTCCTCGCAACATGGTTTCCGAAAGCTGGAGAAACGCAGCGCCAGTCCCGCAGCCGCGATTGACAACGCGGGGTAATGCAGGGCTGAGCGCGCACGCGCGCAGATGACGTCCCTTGCGCCGCATCCGCGCCATCACGACGCCGGCTGGGCGTCGACATGCGAAGCTCCACCGCCGGGCGCCTTCCCGAAGCTTCTCCTTGCTGGGCGGTCGCAACGCCCTCCAACGCGGCTAGTCTCCGTCCGGCGCCCAAGTGCCGTCCACCGCCGTCGGCAGTGATAATTTAAACACCGACCCTGTGCGGCGCTTATCCCTTCCGCAGCCACACGCCGTTCAGGTGCTTGCTATAAAGTCCGCCCGTCTCTGCACCCATGGCTGAGCAAAGTGACAGTGACATCCAGTCCCTTTCCATCCAGAGTGACACCATGGACAAGCTCGACGCCGTCCCCAAGCTCGACGAGCCGCTGCAGCAGCCGCACCACGAGGTTGCTCCCACCCGCTCTGACCGTCCCATCGCCGAGACTCGTCAGGCCTACGGCCCCCCTGGTGAGTCTGCCCGCTGCCCGTCGCCGTGTTGTCGACTGTGTGCTGACCATTGGCCACCTGCCTAGGTTTCCGCGGTCTCTTCCACTCCAGCTATGTCGCCCTCTGTGCCGCCTTCTCCGCCATGGGCGGCCTCCTTTTCGGCTACGAGTACGTTGCTCCTTCCGCCATCCCAACAATTTTGCGCGTTGCTGACGTGCTGTAGCCAAGGTGTGGTCTCGGTGATCCTGGTCATGCCGCAGTTCCTCGATCAATTCCCGCGCGTTTCAGACACCGCGTCGGGCGCCGGCTTTTGGAAGGGCTTGCTGACGGCCATGATCGAGCTCGGTGCGCTACTGGGTAAGACTTTTCCCTTCCCCGTGGGGAACTGCGTCACTGCTGCGGATCGCTGATGCTGATGCTCCACAGGCGCCTTCAACCAGGGGTGGATTGCGGATAAGATATCCCGAAAGTACTCCATCGTGCTGGCCGTCTTCATCTTCACCATTGGCTCGGCGCTCCAGACCGGGGCCGTCGATTATCCAATGCTTGTCGTCGCCCGCCTGATTGGCGGCGTCGGCATCGGCATGTTGGTGCCCCCATAAAAGCTTCTCCACAACGCGTCCATGCTGACTTCTTGTAGGTTATCAATGGTCGCACCATTGTTCATTTCCGAGATCTCGCCCCCCGAGATCCGCGGCTCGCTACTCGTGCTCGAAGAGTTTAGCATCGTCACCGGAATTGTGATTGCTTACTGGATCACTTACGGCACGCAGTACATCCCGAGCGAATGGTCGTGGCGCCTGCCCTTCCTCCTGCAGATCATCCCGGGCCTGGTTCTCGGCATTGGCATCGTCTTCCTGCCCTTCTCCCCTCGCTGGCTCGCCTCCAAGGGTCGTGACCAGGAGGCTCTCGAAAGCCTTGCAAAACTGCGCCAGCTGCCCAAATCTGATACCCGCGTCGTCCAGGAGTGGTACGACATCCGCACCGAGGTTGCTTTCCAGAAGGAGATTGCCCAAGAGAGGCACCCGAAGCTGTTTGGCAGCAGGAAGGCCATCGACCGTGCCAAGCTGGAGCTTGTGTCATGGTCCGACTGCTTCAAGAAGGGGTGCTGGCGCCGCACTCACGTCGGCATGGGTCTCATGTTTTTCCAGCAATTCGTCGGCATCAACGCTCTGATCTACTATGCACCGACGCTGTTCGAGACCATGGGGCAGGATTATGATATGCAGCTCGTGTTGGCCGGTGTGCTGAATGTCGCCCAGCTCGTTGGTGTCTCGTCCTCGCTTTGGTCCATGGATCGCTATGGCCGGCGGCCTCTTCTGCTTTGGGGCGCAGCTATCATGGGTATTGCGCACATCATTATTGCTGTCTTGGTAGGCAAATTCGATGACAACTGGCCTGCGCACAAACCCCAAGGATGGACCAGCGTTGCTTTCCTCTTCCTATACATGCTCGGTAAGTCTTCGAACGCCGCCGTGTTCCTTCTTCATGCTGACTTTCTGTAGCTTTTGGCGCTTCCTGGGGCCCCGTACCCTGGAGTCTCCCGGCCGAAATTTTTCCTTCGTCTCTGCGCGCCAAGGGCGTGGCGCTGTCGACGTGCTCGAATGTAAGTCGGCCTAGAAATGGCATTTGGCCACGACATACTGATCAATTTAGTGGCTTAACAACTTCATTATCGGCTTGATCACACCCCCGCTCGTCCAGAACACAGGCTTCGGCGCTTACACCTTTTTCGCTGTATTTTGCATTCTGGCATTCGTCTGGACGTTCTTCTTTGTGCCGGAGACCAACGGTAGGTCGCTCGAGCAGATGGACCACGTTTTCAAGGACAAGAGCAGCGAGGGTGAAGAAGCCCGGAGAATACGCATCGAGACGGAGATCATGGGACGGATTCCGGTTGGCTCGGACGTCGAGTCGGCGGATGCTGTCAAGACATAGCTCAAGATGTAAGCGTTGACGGAATATTAAGCACGAGAGAAGCATGGGAAGAGCGAGGGTCATGAGATGATGATTGAATTGTACTCCAACGCTTTATACCATTATGATAGTTTAGATTCAGAAATAATGTCACCGATAACCAGCATGACGGTTGTACGTTGGAGGCAGTGTCGTTGAACGATTCTGTCAAATGATAAGGCTGACGATGGCTTCCGAGTGGGGAGTTGAAGCATTCAACCGGACGCGGTACATCTACATCTAGGCGGAGGAGGGGTTAGACGAAGGTACAGAGCTGCTAAATGGTAGATGAGATTGGCTGCGTCCGGACATCACATCGACGTCGGCCCGGGATGGAAGCAGCCGTAGTACTGCAAGCTTGAGATGCGATGCGGGACCGTGGGGCCGACCTGAGTCTTGAAGTTGCGTGGGCACGTGAAGTCGCGGGGGAAATGTGTGATGGGAATGGAGGTATTTATTTGGAGGCGGCCCCGCGTTGGCCCCCGAGTCATTTACGGCCGTGTGACATCGCTGCCTCCAGCCGCCGCCCTGCCAACTGGCGTAGCGCCTGCTCCAGACGGACTGGACACGCTTCGGGCGGAGCGCGCAGGCAGCACTAACCACAAATACCACTCGCAGCGCCGTGACGAGGGTTGCCGGGCCAGGTCAAGCACGGCTCCAATCGTCCAACCCCTCCCACCAACAACACCACAACCCCTCCGACTGCCCGCGCAGAAGTCCACGCAGCGCACCACCTACACCCCGCTCACGCCTAGATCTACCGCATCCGCAACCACAGTTCGCGCCACCGGCAGTGCTGCTAGACCGCCCGCCATGTCGCAGTTTTTCGAGAACCTCTGGAGTTCCATCTTCACGCCGGGCCCCACCCCCACGCTGCTCGTCGCCACCAACGCCAGCTTCGCCGCCTTGCAGGTTGTCCTGTTCGCCCTCCTGCTGGCCACCTACAGCATACACTTTGTCGTCCTGTCCTTCCTCTGCGGCGGTCTGTGGTGGGCGATCAACTGGTTCGCAAACGAACTGCGCGAGGCGCAAGAGAAGGAGGACGCTGCGAAGAAGATCCGGGAGCGACGCGACCGCGAGCGCGAGAAGAGCAGAGAAGCCGATGACCTGGCCAGCGCGCGCGAGCCCGCCGTTGGCAGGGAGGGCGGCGAGGGCGAGGGCATGGACACTGGTGACGACACCGAGACCGAGACTGAGACCGAAGTCGATGTGAAGAAAAAGGCACCCGCCGCCGCACCGTCATCCGAGCCCGGAGTTGCGGCTGGCTCGACGACGGGCGCGCAGTCAGCCCTCGTGTCGACAGCGGACGACGCGTTGAAGAAGAGGCGGAGCGTCGGAGAGGGAGCAGAGAGCAGCACGGACAGCGAGTGGGAGAAGATCGAGCAGGAGAGATAGCCATGGTGCTAGGGGACTTGCCTTTGGGTAGATTTCACCAATGTTAAGGCATGGCGTATGGTCTTGTAAAGCCAAACATGGCACTCTACGGCTTCAACGATTTTTACTTGAGCAGCCATTGCTTCGTGGTGACCCGTTCCGCTACATGCTTGCTATAGACTTGGGCGTCCGTAGACACATCGCTCATGTTTCTCTACCAGGACCCATGGCTTGTTCGGTTCGTGACGGGGAGGCGTTCCCAAGGCCTGCCTTCAGGGACGTAGCGGGCAGACAAAAGCGATGGCAGCCGTTGACGGGCATTGCTCGGCCGGCAACGATTAAGTCGGCACTGAGTCGACCACGCCAGCGATCGGCTGTATTGCTGAGTAAGCGGAGCTAGTCCAAGAACACGCGACGTTACCCGACCGCGCCAAGCTGCGTTTCGCGCCGACAAAGTCGACATCACCTCCGGCCACAGCTCTAGCTCCTCCAACACAATCACACCCTCTGCGGCTTGCGCCTGTTTTCAACCCGCCTACGCCTTCTTGACCACCACACAGTTAACCGTTCACACGCACGCCGCCATCATGAAGCTCGTCAGGTAAGCCTCTTCTCCCTCAGTTTGCGACATGGAGCAAAGCTGAGCCTCTCGCGATTCAAGGCGCGCCGACTGCGGACCTGGCTGACGATTGCCCTACAGGTTCTTGATGAAGTGCCAAAATGAGACTGTGACTATCGAGCTCAAGAACGGTACGTGGTTTCCCCGATGCGCCCGCTTGGTTCCTTGCTGCTGCCTACCACCATGCTTCGCTCGCTGCCGCTTCACTTGGACAGGGTGATTCGTTGTCAGCGCCACGTCTACAATTTCCGCTGATGAAAGCAGGTACTGTCGTCAATGGCACAATCGCCTCCGTCTCGCCGACGATGAACACGGCGCTCCGTACTGTTAAAATGACGCCCAAGAACCGCGAGACCATGACTCTCGACACGATAAACATCCGCGGCTCCAACATTCGCTACTACATTCTCCCGGACAGTCTTCCGCTGGACACGCTCCTCATCGACGATGCGCCGAAGCCCAAGAACAAAGCAAGGAAGGAGCAGGCTGACCGCGGCCGTGGTCGCGGCCGCGGCGGTCGCGGCGGAAGGGGCCGTGGCCGTGGTCGCGGTGGTGGCCGTGGCTTCTAAAATTCTATCTCGCGCAGTCACCGGCAACGGAGTGGAACATGAGCTGGGGAATGGCAAAAAAGGACGAAGAGAAGCATCTTAATTCAGCGACTGAAGGGGCGTTCACTTGGCTATTGGTACGCTCCACATCAGAAGGGCTCGTAGTGAGAGCAAACGTTTGCACATTATTCGCGGACGGGTTGGTCAAGGGCGTTGCAATTTGGAAGGAGGTAACGAATTCGCAGCAAGAGTCATGGGAGAGACTAGCAACTGAGTGAGGAGTTTCCCGGGACCAGCCACTCGAACACGAAATTCGTTATGCTACAAGATATTGGTCCATTCATGCAAGTCCATTCCGCTTTTGCTGTTTTTCCTCGCCCATTTTCCGTTGGTTTTTTGGCTACATTGACCAGAAGGCCCCAGGAAAGCCTGCAGACAGTGCTATCAGTCTATGGGTCGCCGGAGGCTTGGTATCGGATGGGCCGAAGCTGTCCGTTGGGGCTTTGTCGGCGAAATTACCGAAAGAGGCAACCCGCCGGACGTGAGGTCCAATCCATTCGTGAACGGATTGGCGGACGGTGTCGTGGACGCGCAACAAGAACCCCGGTGCCACGCGGGCATATTTCGAGAAGCGCAGCGGAGCGGAGGCCTTGGCGCATGTGCAGGCGGGCCAACTGCGGCTTGGCCGATCGTTGCGGGGTCCGGCTGCATCTGGCCAACGGCGATATCGTGCTTGCCGGTAGCTATCACGCAAGACGGGCCCTGCGATGAGGAATATGGCCGCATTGCCCTCCGTCGCGCTTAGTCTCACGCAATCCCGCAGTCGTCATGCTACAATTGTACCACTGAGAAAAGTCCCGTCGTCCGATTTTCGCTCGCCGACGTCCTTTTTCTTGCCGCTTAAATACTCCAGCCCCCCGCCCTTCTCTCGCCTCACTTGCCATTCAATTGCCCCTCCCACTCTTCCACAATGGCTCCCGGTCCCGTCGCAGAATCTGCCCCTCAAGCCCCGCACTTGCACCCCTCCAAGGCTCAGCAACAGCCCGTCGACACCAGCGTTTTCCCCGACGGCCTCAAGACTTCTGGCCAACATCCTCCCCTCTACGACCTCCTTCATCCTTACGAGGACTTTCCCAAGGAGATTCAGGGCCCGACAGTATGGAAGGCCGATGATTACAAAAACAACCCTGAGCGATGGACTCATCCTTTCAGTGAAGAGGAGGTCGCCGAGCTTGACAAGGCCGCCGATGCCTTCCTCGCTGCCGGCCACCCCCTCACTGCCATGTCCAAGGTGAATAATCCAGTGCCCCAGATACTACGTCCAGTCTCCGGTTGCTGACGCCTGCGCAGGAGCTTTTCCCTCTCCCCGAGCTGTCCAAGAGAATGATTGCTCTTCGCAACGAGCTGCTTAATGGCAAGGGCTTCATTCTCTTCAAGGGCTTCCCCGTTCAGCGCTGGGGCGTCCACAAGTCGGCCGTCGCGTACATGGGCCTTGGTACCTACCTTGGATACTTCGTTTCGCAGAATGGTCGTGGTCACGTTCTGGGCCATGTCAAGGACGTTGGTGATGACCCGACCCAGATCGACTCGGTCCGTATCTACAGGACGAATGCCCGGTAAGTATCAATTACTCCTATTTACTCGCCGCATTGAATGACGCTGACGAAACGTCAGCCAATTCTTCCACGCCGACGACTCGGACATTGTCGGCTTGCTGTGCATTGCCCGTGCTCTTGAGGGAGGCGAGTCTGACCTTGTTTCCTCGCATCACGTCTGGAACACACTCCAGCAGGAGCGTCCCGACGTTGCCAGGACGCTTACGGAGCCTATCTGGTACTTCGACCGGAAGGGCGAGACAAGTGTCGGCGAGGAGGAATGGATCAAGACAAGCATCTTCTACTTGGAAACCGGCGAGAACCCCAGAGTATACTCCAAGTACGCTTCCCCCTCCGCTCAACCCTCAGAAGCGCTGTAACTGACATCGATGACAGGTGGGACCCTTACTACGTCCGCTCGCTCACCCGTTTCTCGGACAAGGGCCTCATTCCCCCGCTTTCCGAGGCCCAGCAGGAGGCCATAAAGGTACTCGAGGACACGTGCCTGCGTCTCTCGCTGCACATGATCCTCGAGATTGGCGACATCCAATTTCTGTCCAACGAGCACGTTCTGCACGCCCGTACTGCCTACAAGGACTACCCTCCTCCTGCACCCCGCCGCCACCTGCTGCGCCTGTGGCTCAGCACTCCCGAGAGTGAGGGTGGCTGGCGTCTGCCCTTCCACGACTCGGATAACAAGAAGCGTGGCGGCATTCAGGTAAATGATACCCCACCAAGGGCCCCTGATGATGCCGAGTAGACGTGTATAAGAGCTTGGGGCAACTGAATATATACGGGATGCGGCATGATATCTTATTGATATTACATTCCTGCGCCCAGGATTCATTTCTTTTACTTTTTCATAAAATGTGGATACCATAATTGAATTCAATGCATCATGTTCAAAGCGACTGCCGGCATAATTTTGACCCGTGATAGGGCTTTCGGCAAAATTTGTGCTTCAAATCATGACGGTCACAAGGCATCTTTGTTATTAGTCTTGCCTACACGCTTTCGTATTATTGTGGTGCTATTTCTTTCGGCACAAGCTCTACACTTGCTCTAGGTCTGAAAGGTAAAGAATACTTATTTCTTTAACCGGCAACAGGGTCATGAGTGCGAGATAGCCGGCGATGGGCGGCCATAAATGCGTTGGTCTCTCGCTAATGCTGGTAGATGGGTTGGCTTTGCTCTTAGTTTGTTTCTTGTAAATTCTTGTTCTTGTCCCAAGCATTCCGTTTGCGAACGCAGTTACGCTGGCCTCGACACACCAACCCTGTTCAGAACTTCACTGTTCACATGGCAGCAAACCAAACACGACTCTGTTGGCCCTCAAACGCCACCGCTTCTCTTCTCCCACTCGTGCCTCAGCATCGAAAAGAGTAGCATGTCATGGAAGCCGCCACGGAACCAAAGAGCCTCGCGTCTTCGTCCTTCGAGAGAAAATCCTAACCGCTCGTACAAGCGGCCTGCGCCCTCGTTGTACGCAAAGCTCGTGATGGAAACGCGGTGCAGGCCAGCGACTTCGAAGGCCCAATCCAGGATCCAGTTGATGGCCTCACTGCCGTAGCCCTGGTCCTGAAAAGCAGCGGAGATGCTGACGCTGATGGCTGCGTTTCGGTGGTGTGGATTTGAGGGGCCAAGTTCGTGCGACAAGCTGATGTAGCCGATCGGCGTTGCGTTTTGCGAATTGGCGGAAGAGCGACTGGTATTCCCGCTATTTCGCCGCCGGCGGTTCTTGAACGCGGGTGCGGTGACAGGGCTTGCGTCAACGTCTGGAGAGGAGGATGCGGTCCGGTCTGGGGTTGGCTGCAGGCAGATGATGACGCCGAGGAGTGCGACTTCTTGCATGAAATGAACGAGGCCCTTTATGTTTCGTTTGCTCGCCGGTCTCAAAAGCTCAACATTGGCGTTGCCGCTGATAGTTGGGTCAGATTCAACTGAGAGAATAAAATCTTCATCCAGATCTTCTACTGCCCGATAAAGGAGGCGTGCGGAACGGAAGGTGTTGGCCATTCGGTGGAAGCTTGAGATGAAGAATGTATGGAGAAACTAAGACTGGTAGAAAAAAAATCAGAAAGGCAAGTTGGGGGCGAAATATTTCCCGGCGTGCAAGGTGTCACCTGGAGCAGCACGGTGTTGGAGTTGCATGTGATTGTGGCGGTACGTGAAGGGATGCAAAGTGGACAGCAAGCACTGTGGCACTTCCTTGTCGTTCCTGACTCAGGTTGCTAGTGATCATCGTCTGCCACGTGGGTATGAGGATTGTATTGTTCCGGGCATGGAGTGTCCATGCAGCAAACCGAGACTTTGGATCCGTTGCGAGCAGATGATCAATCTGGAGCTGTTTCACTCGTACTTGTAACAGTCGTTTGGTAGCAATATGGTATAGTGCAAAGAAAGGCTAGATTCAAACAATTACGACCTGGTATCGAAATCAAATTCACGCACAAGCAGGCGGATTTCCTGAAGGTGCCAAGCAAAAAATAGCTAGGTATAAAAAAGACTGGTAGATGGCCTGAAGATAATCACTATGGCGATCATCTCAAATACCCAGACACACCTTTCTGGACTGGTGGACACGCAGCCTGGTAGCGCAAGGTTGACCGTCTACCAATGCGAACAAATGCAATGAAACTGCCAAATGTAAATTCTGAGCTTATGCCGGCTACTTCAGAAATTTCAGACAGCCGCACGTCGTGATCGCCCCTAGTGTTGCATTGGGATAGTAAAACAGCAGGGGGTCAACGTGATTTGTTAGATATCAAAGAAGTTGACTGCCCTCATACCGGTTTCTTTGGATGAAGCAGTGCTGTAGCCACACCCGGAAATGTGCTGGAGACGGTTCAAATCTTGCACCAGCAGTTTTGGGCGCTTTCCATGAGTACATTGAACCTTCCTCGACGGATTGCTGCGTCAAGCAGGATCTACAGGACCTCGAGTGGCAAGAGGTGATGGGCCGCTATCACCAACCTCAGAGAAACAGAATATGTGATCGCAGACGTGAATCGTCACATGATGGTGCAAAAGCAGTCGCAACCAGAGTCCAAGCAAGATGGGCCGGCCCCGAACTTGACGCCGTGGTGAATGCCGTAGACCATCAAGTAAAGCTGGCGGTCGTATCGATTTCCATGCATGCATCTGGGACAATCGACGGCCACGAGCCTCCGGCGATGAGGAGGTATGCGATTGACCCAGTTGATTGTGTCGTGCTGGTATTGGCAGCAGTTGGTGAGATCGCGATCGGCGTGGCAGCGGCTGGCAAGTTGCAACCAACAATGGCCGCAGAGAGAAGACTGGTAGAGGTGAGCTCGACACATGGCAGCGGTCGACTGAGGGCAGGGTCGGTGGTTGAGGAGAGTGGGTAGGGAAACCGGCGTTATATGTCGAGCGGCACGGGCTCCGTTGGAGTAGCAGCACGCGACAACGGCACGGGGGCGTTTGTTTCCAATGAAATCGAAGGTCACTGATTTTCTTTGGGTGTGTTCTCATCGACGTCCTGGTTGCGAATGGCCAGCATGAGCTCGTACAGCTGGGCAATTTGCTCGTCTGGACGGGTCAGTCAGCATCAACGCAACAGAAAGGGGGCAGCGACAGACGCACCGCTCATTTTGTCCACCTTGGCCTTGTCCATTTTGGCGTCCCTCCATGCGTCGCCCTCCAGCTGCTGGGCGTACATCTGCCACTCGGTCAAGAAGCCAATCTGGTCGAATCAGCTGGGCGCGGGCGGCTACGGCAGGGTAGACGCACAATGTGGATGGGATTGTCGACGCTCTTGTGCGCGCGGAACTCGGCCTTGACGTACTCGTCGCCCAGCAGACGCATCTGCGGGTCCAGCTTGTGGCGATGGGCGCGGAGGATGCGGCGGTACAGCGGGATGGGCGGCAGCAGGGCCAGCGGGGCAGGGCGCAGCGGCTTGGCGGCGCCGGCAGCAGTGGCCTCGGCCATGGACAGGGCGCGGGTGAGCCTCATGGTGGCGGAGAGATGATGGTGGATAGTTGGAGAGGCGAGATGGAAGTTCAGTTGGGGCAGGACCTCGGCTTCGCTCGACGTCACCACGCGACGAGCAACACCACCGAAAAAAAAAAAAACTCTCCGCTACGCCGCAATGCTGCCCACGCCGTCCACGTCGCACGTCCCGTTCGACCGTGTCTACGAGCCGGCCGAGGACTCGTTCTTGCTGCTGGACACGCTGTCGGCGCCGGGCGAGACGCAATTCCTCACGCAGCGCTTCCATCAGAGCGCGGCGCCGGCAGTGGTCGAGGTGGGCAGCGGGTCGGGCGTGGTGCTCGCCTTCGTCGTCCGCCACGCAGCGACAATCCTGGGCCGGACGGACGCGCTGGCGCTGGCGGTCGACATCAGCCAGTTCGCCTGCCGGGCCACCTGCGACACGGTGCACGCCGCGCGCGACCCAGGCGCCGCCGTCTTCCTCGACGCCGTCAACGCAGACCTCGGCCACGCCCTGCGCCGCGGCTCGGTCGACGTCCTCATCTTCAACCCGCCCTACGTGCCCACGCAGGCCCTGCCCGACCGCGCCAAGCACGACGACTACAACCGCCTCTCGGGCCACACCACCTTCGAGCAGGACTCGTACTTGCTGGAGCTGGCCTACGCCGGCGGCGTTGACGGCATGGAGACGACCGACCGCCTGCTGGACCAGCTGCCCGACCTGCTGCATCCCGCCCGCGGCGTGGCCTACATCCTCCTATGCGCCCAGAACAAGCCGCTCCAAGTGCAGCAGCGCGTGCGCAGCTGGGGGCCTGCCTGGGCCGCCGAGCTGGTGGGGAGCAGCGGCAAGCAGGCTGGGTGGGAGAAGCTGCAGATCCTGCGTATTTCGCGAGTGCAATAGATTCGTTCGCCTTTTTTGCTCTCGGTCGACGTGATGTGATGATGATGGTCGTTGCCGGGCCAACGCCGCCACGAAACAAACACGCCGCGAGACCGCTCCGGCGCGGTGGGTGGATGCAGATATAGGGACCAACACCACGCGCTGCGCGTCCAGCCGAGTCTTCTGCACGAGCTACTGCGACGATGCGGCGCTGCACAGAGACCACGCCGTGCCCGGCGCCGTTTGGACGGTGTTCGGCCGGTCCCCACATCGACTCCACCACCAACCCCAACTACACCGCCGACCTTGGCCAAACCCTCCACCTCTTCAATCCGCGCAGGCGCCCCGCCAAGCCCTCCAGAGCCTCGTCCGTCGACATCTGGGTTGACGACGACGCCGAACTGCTGCCCTTGCCCACCGGCCCAATGCCGCCCGCCCAAAGACCCAAGGCGCCCCAGAAGACGTCCATTCCGCCTGATCTGCCGCCAGCTGGCGGCTCGCTGCGCCCCCGGCGAAGGCGCGTGTCCGCCTTGCTCGCTGAAAGGGGTCTGGCTGCCGCTGAGCGCCACGCGACCGACAAGACGAGCTCCAAGTCAGACCCCCGCCGGAGAACTGTAGACGTCCCGTCCGACGACACCAACATCCACCCTGGATATCCTCGGCACTCCCGTAGGCCCCCATCGCCTGACCTTGGCTTCGATCTGGTCACCTTGTCCGAAGAGGAGCCCCACGGCCTGCCCCCTGCCATCAAGCAGGCGAAGACTCTGGCCACTGCTCCAAAACGCGGGCCTCTTCAGAAGTCCTCACGGCCTTTGCAAGCAGTATCCTTTGTCGAAGATGTTGTGGGCAAGAGCCTGGGCAAGGAGAATATCCCGCCTGGCAGAGGATTGAAGACCGCCAAACAGCTCCGTCCCGTCACAGATGCTCCAGGAAAGCCCAAAAATCCAGAACCTGTCCGCAGGCACTTTGCCGCGAAGACAGCAGCGACCCGCAAGCGAACCGGTTCCGACAGCGTTAGTTCTCCTTCCAAGGCGCTCAGGACAACGACGTCCACTACATATGCCAGACCGCCTCTCCAAGAGCCAATTAAAGGGCGCCAAACGAGGTCTTCCACATCCAAACCGTCATCGCCCTTTCATGCTTCGAGGTCACCTCCGCAGGTTTTGCGTCGCAATCGTGCCGCGAAACCTCCCTCTAAGCTTGGTGCACCGAGGCTACCTCAGGGCGTGCAGAGTCAAGACAAGTATCCCGTACTCAGTGAAGATCTCGACAGACCTGAGCTGTACGAGGACAACTGGCTCAGCTACCAGGAAGTCTCCATAACCCAGCTGGTTAATAAAGTGTTTGATTACGGCCATCTACCTTCAGCGGGCCAGAACCTGGAAGAAGGAGAATTGCGAAGGAGTCTGTTAGCCGTCTATCAGGATCCTGCGATCCCGCTTCTGCACAAGCGCCTACAAGCGTCCCTTATGTGTGGCGCCCTCAGTATCCCTAAAGATGTTCTTGTCAAGACGCTTCGCCTTAAGGACGACGTTGGTCTTCGTCGAAAGTACCTCAACCTGTTTGTGAACACATACGAGCCGTCTCTTCTCAGAGCCGCGGCTGAGGTCATTGTTGGACGTGAATGCCGAGTCCCAACACGGCCTTCTGCCAGGGCCACCGCCGCTAGCGGCGATCAGCGTCATCGGCGAACCGAAAAGAAGGTCATCGAGGGCTTCCTCGACACGTTTTTTATCCGCAATGAAGATGCGGTTCGGGTCAAAACTGGCTTTGGAAGCATTGCCAGTATTGCACGAGGCCGCGACAAGGCCGACGACTTTGGTTCTCAAGACTGGTCGTGGCGGCGCATCACTCTGCGCAGTCTCATGCTCATCCTTCTGCTCGATATGGCCAAAGCCAAAGGCGTCATCGGCTATCCACTCTTTCAAGTATTATCATCCTTCAAATCCTCTCACGCCGTACTCCAAGAGCTCGCCAGTATGCTTGTACCGTCACTTGGCGACCTCTCACGTCCGCTGGCGCATTTGAATTATCATCTGCACTATGTCCAGTACCCATTGCAGGAGTACAACTACCGTGTCGAGAATCTGGCAACAGACCTGCGTGATGGTGTGCTTCTTACCAGGCTGGTGGAGCTTCTCCTCTATCCCCCAACCTCGTTAGCTCTCCACCAGGAAGTTACGATCACTATGCCTACGGGAGATATCTTGACAAGCTGTCTCAAGGATGATAAAGAGCTACTGGTGTTGTCTCAGCACCTGAAGTTTCCATGCGTCGGCCGTGCTCAGAAACAGTACAATGTCCAAATCGCGTTGAGTGCACTGGAGGGCACAACGGGGGTTGCTGAACACGCCTTGAGGGACGTCTCCGCAGAAGATATTGTCGATGGTCACCGTGAGAAGACTCTTGGGCTGCTGTGGAGCTTGGTCGGGAAATGGGGATTGGATACGCTAGTTGACTGGACGGAGCTTGAAAAGGAGACGCAGCGATATCGATCCCGCTATCACAGCAACGTACCCAATGTCTATCAAGATCAAGATACTGCGGAAGAATCTGGGCCGATCGAGCTCCGAGGTCTGGAGAGGTATATGGCTCTTCTCCGTGGTTGGGCGGACGGTATTGCGCGCTGCCGTGGCCTCCGTGCGACCAACCTTACCACCTCCTTCGCCGATGGCCGTGTCCTTGAGGCAATTGTTGACGAATACATTGCCTGTTTTTCTAACGCCACCGGACACTTCATCAATGGTCTTCCAGCAAAATTACAGTTGATCGGCTGTAGCACCGCATTCGTTTCTCTTTTCGCACCTGCTTCGAAAACGTTTAACCGCTCGATTCCCTCGAAAGACTTCACCGTCACAACTCTCGCTTTCCTAGCCTCACGTCTCCTTCCGGCTGGCCGTGCCCATCATGCCGCCAGCACCCTGCAGCGCTGGTACCGTGCCCGTCTACTACGCCGTGAAATGTCAAAGCGTGTCACACTCATGCGCCTAGCTGCGCATTGCGCTACCGTAGTGCAGACACGCGAGCGGGTTGTTGGCGCTGCTGTCGTGCTCCAAAGAGCATGGAGAACTGTCTTGGACGCACGCATTAGGAAGCTTGTGGATGATGTCACGAGGTTCCAGGCATTGGCGAGAGGCTGGGGTGTCAGGAACAGAATGCCAAATGGCACCAAGACAAGGAGCCGAAGAATGAGGAAAACCGACAGAATAAGGGGTGGCTGGTAGTCACAATGTTTGAAATTCAGCGGAGCAAAAGCCGTGCCATTCAGCTGTTTGATACGACTGAAGTGGCGGCGCAGACCTTTAATGTTCCTACATGTTCTTGTCGCTCCCTTGCTCTTTAAAGTTATCCAACAGTATTGATGGTTAGTTTGCGGGTACGGGACTTGAGCGCGTTCATCAATGGGTGAATTGGCTAGCGGAACACACTTCTGTTTTTTTTTTTTTGTATACCCTTTCCGCCGTAAGAATCGAACCGTTCCAAATGTAGGAAGCTTAATACCACGATTGAAAAGCCATGATCCAAATGTTGTATAGTTATAGCCAAAGACGAGCTCAATAGAAGCCAAGACGCGTTTAGTTTAAGTCAGCTATTAATCTAATCAGTCACGCTTTGTGCGATTCGCATGTGTGTAGTCAGAGTAGCTATCATAGATGTTTAGAAACGGTCGCGGTAAACGAAATCGTAAGGCGGGCGGGCATGCCTATGGTATAATCAGCACTACGCAGCGGGCTGCCTGGTGGCAAGTGGCGACAGGTAGTAGTAGGCGGTAGTGGTGAGGAACAGCAAAGATAGAGCAACCAGACAGGCAGGCAGGCGGGTAGGCGGGCAAACGAGCAGGTAGTAGAAGCTTCCATTTGAAGGACGAATTAGATCGCAGCAAACCCACAGCCAGGATCGAGTGATGCAAAGCTGGCAACAACCACACAGATGAACATCGTAACCAAAAGCTAGCGTGAACTTGGTTTTAGCTCATGCCATAAGTAGCTGAAGCTACCATCCGAATGAAATGTAGAATGAGTAATTATACATTCAGTCCGGACGATGGCTTATGAGGCAGAGTTACCCTTTGTTCTTCATTCTTCGCGCTGGCCTTCGGCTGCAATACCTCCCCTGCATACTCAAGCGGGAGGGTGATTGGATTCGTGAAGTATGTAACATTGTACAAAGCGCATATCTTACCTATACTTATGTGCTATGCAACAACATCTTCGGATGTGGTCTGCTCTCAAGTGAGGATTTGCAAGGCTTTCGAATCAAGGCAGCCAACCGAACTGCACACATCGCGAGCTGGAGAAGCATCATCTGATCAACCTCCTCTCTCTCCAAACTCTTTCGCCCAATCCTCGTATTCCCTGAGACCCTGTTTGCTTACGCTTGGCCGAATGTTTGCCAAGCTCGCTTGAAAGTCATCGAACTGCATCGGTCGGATTTCATCCATTGTCATATGGAGGAGTTTCTCCCCGAGGCTTCGTAGAGGACCCATGGCCGCGTCCTTGGCAAGCGCCGTGATGTCGGACCCAGAAAATCCTAGACAGCTATGTCAACCCTCAAGACCCCTCAAGCACCTTCATGAGGTCTTCTTCCTTACCTTCAGTTAGTTCAACTAATTCGTCCAGGTCTTCGTCGGTGATGTTGTGTTTTTGATGACTCAAAAGTGTTTGTAACTGTAGCCTTCTAACGTGTTCTTCCGGGAGCGGAATGTACTGTCGTCTGACGAACCGCCTTCTTGCTGCTTCATCGATGGCCCACGGCAGATTCGTGGCTGCAAGCACGAGGACCCTGCTCGCGTCACCCTTTTCTTTTTCTTTCTCATTTTGCTCTCGCCCTGCGGCTGCCTTCGCAAGATCGGACCACTGTATCAGAAATTCCGTTTTGATCCTTCGAGTTGCCTCGTGCTCAGCGGAACCGGAGCGAGAAGAAAGAAGGGAGTCAATCTCATCCACGAAGATGATGGATGGAGCCAGAGCCTTTGCCAACTGGAACAAGGCGCGAACAAGTTTTTCCGATTCGCCAAGGTATTTGCTGGTTAGACTGCTTGCAGAGATGGCGAAAAATGTCGATTTGGATTCTGTTGCCACGGCGCGCGCTAACATCGTCTTACCCGTCCCAGGTGGTCCGAACAAGAGCATGCCCCGCGCTGGTTCACGGAGGCCCATGAAAAGATCCGGTCGGAGGAAGGGATACACTACAGTCTCCTTGAGCGCCGATTTAGCGACTTCAAGCCCAGCAACATCATCCCACCGTACCTCATCCCCCTGGATAACAATCTCATTGAATATCTGCTTCGCTGCAGCCTCGTCCACACCCTTTGGAAGTCTTTTCAAGCACCGATCCATCCGCTCTTTCCAGGCTTTGTCCTCTGGTGATATCTCTGACTCCGTGTCGTCCAAATCTTCTGACGAAGACTCTGATGCCGCCAGTGGTGGGAAGTTCACAGGCGCAGATCGGGCTTTTTCTTTCATTTGCCGTCGTCGGGGCCTCCTCTCCTGCTCCAGCTCACTGCTCATGCTGTCGTCACCACTTGTCGGCGAGGCTGTGTAGCCGGCTGATTCTTGGGATGCATCGCTCGTCAGGGCCTTGCGGCGAACAGAGCTAGGCTGTCCTGCGCGGGAATGCGGCTTTGATTTGCTGGGAAGTTTATCGCGCCGGTTTACTGTAGGTTCGTGGAGTTTGGGTGCGACCGTAGACACGAGCTTCGTCGGCTTGACTGGAGCTGAAGGATACTCGCTTCTGTAAGAAGGGAAGCCGGACATTTTTCTGTTCGAGGACTCGGATGTCCTTTGTCTTGTTGGAAGCGGCCCGTGTAAATACTTATGCGGAGGAGGAGTAGGTGGTTTCTTTTGCTCTTGACTTTCTGCCGCCTGTAATAGGACTTTTGCAGCCGCAACAGAGCTGTCGCTCCCAGGTACAGCGAAACGGAAGGCCCTAGGTTCTCCCTGGTCCTCGCAACGCTCATCGTCCGCGGTTGCGTGCTTGAAATAAAACGGGCTAGTAGACCGTTCCGCACCGTTCCCGTTCGGGTACTGGGCCCCGTCAAAGGACGGACGTGCGCTTGCTTCTCTTGAAGTGGAGAGTACCTCCTTGCTACTGTTCTCAGATGTCAATTTGTTCTGGCCAGAAGTGAAGCCCCAAGCCTGCGTTGCCGCCTTTGCCGCTGCCGGGGGCTTTCCCTTCGAGATAGATGGACGCGATGATGACGAGACCTTCCTTCCGTCTTTTGGCGTTGGCCTCAGCGTCTTCAACATTCCTCCTTTCTTCTCCGGGCTTATGTTTCGTGTTGTCTTTTTGAAAGGCGGTATCAAGAAAGGCTGGGTTGGCAGGCTCTGTGATCGTACTCCTTCGCTGCTTCTGGCTTTGGGGAATGATGGACGCTTAGGCAGCGGCGGCGGTCTTGCAAGGTCAGGATAGTTGACCGGTGGGATAGTGCCCTCACCCAGCCAGCCAGGTCCGTCTTCAGGTCGTGAAGCCGCATCGCTTGAGGCTTGAAGATCGCCAACGGAAGCAGAGGCAGAGACGGTGGCCTTCTCCTTCTTGGCATCCTTGCGGCTCTCCTTTAGTGCCTCGAGCAGGTCAACGCGCTCCTTGCACTGCAGCTCCAGCTCTCGCAGCGAGGACTGCAGCGTCTTTTCGGTTTCGGTCTTGGGGGCCCAGTTGGCAGGACGGCGGTAAGCATTGAAGTAGTAGATCTGGTCCAGGGCGTTGCGCCATGATCTCAGTGCCTCGGACTCATTGCCCTGGATGCAGAGGTTGGTCAGCCAGAGCAGCGTTGAGCAGCGGGGCGCGCCGCCGTACCTGGGATTCGAAGTAGACTGCGGTCGAGCAAACCAGGTAGCAGTCGTCGTAGGTCTTCTGCATGGCCGCGGAGGGCTTCTGGCGGATCATGGGGGGCTAGCGGGCAGGGGTGGCGGCCCTGCGGAGGATGAGATCGAAGGTGTCGGGGCGGAGGCTGCGGTTGACGTCTGACGTAGCGCTGTGGCTGGTGGGCGGCCGCAGGCGCACGCGGTTCTGCTAGCGGCAACTTGGGAGAGACAGACACCGCAACGCCCAAGGCTGGCTCACGAGATGCTGCTCGGAAAACGTCACGGCCCCGGTCGATTGCCCCGCCGTTAGGCCTGTTGCACGCTTGTCGCCAATCGCTCGCCCGCGCTGACACGGTCGATCCCGCTGCTGCGACGGCCAGTAGCCGAAGCGCCTGCTACAATACAAGTGCTGCAACGGCGAAGAGGCCTGGCGGGGCCCGGGCGTATCGCCGCCGGCCTGCAGCATTACTCGCACCCCTGCCGCAAATCGCTCGCTACGCCGCAGTCAAACGCTGCACCTTCGTGTCCGCCGAGGCCGGACCCGCCCCAGCTGTCCAGCAGTCTTTTCAAATCGTACATATGCTACAGATTTTGGTGCCCCTGTGCCGCGGAGAAGAGCTCAAGAACGCCCCGATGAACACCCGGCCTGGCCCGCTCTATTGCCCACCAAGAGCAAGGAAAAAAGGCTGCCCCTCGAGCAAAGTATACAAACAGAACTCCCGGCCCATCTTGGCGAGAGAAACCACCAAGTCATAATGCCCCCATCTACTCCTCGTTCTGCGCAATGAAAAATGCCTTCGCCATCTCGTATGCAGTCCTGTGCGAACGTCAGCCCGTTGCGCCAACCGGTGTACTGGCCGCAGCTACTTACCAGCAGATAGCCGTGCTCGGCATCGTAGTTACTATCCGGGGCTTCAGACCCTTGAAGAAGCCACGCAGGCCCTCGCGCCGCTTGATGATGGTGGCCGCGTGCCACAGGCCCCTGACGTTCCGAAGTTCGGGGTCAGTTGCCGAGCCGCGAGTCTGCAACAGCGTCTTGATCACGTCGAGCGGCGTCGTGACACCGGCCGCCAGACCACCCGCCAGGCCTCCGGCCGTGCAGTGTGTGTACGGGTCCCATCGGCCCGTGGGGTTCATTGTCTTGGACAACGACTCGTAGGCGACAAACTGCAGCGCCGTGAATGGCACTGTCATGCATAGCGTGGTCGGGTAGGAGACGTAGAAGGCCCCAACGCCTTCGTGCCGCAGCACCGATCTCGCACAGTGCGATAGCGATTTGTACGTCGAGCCCTGGAGCTGCATGCGCTGCTTGATGACTGCGACGGTCAGCATTGCCCCGTCCCGTTGGACTACTATTGCGTTTCTCTGCGGCATCTTACCGTCAAAAGGGTTCATCAACGCATCGCTAGCAATCGTCGCACACGCGCCGCTAAGAGCTGGGAGAAGTCGGTCAGCACGCTTGGCACGTTCCAAAAGTGCGATGTCGGCATACCAGCAGCAAAAGGATGATGCTCGTGCTTCCCACCCTCGTTTCCTCCAGCCGCGTGCTTGACGGCCTCGTATGTCGCGAAGTACACGGCGTGTGCGGGTCCTGCAAATTGTGAGCCGTCCGCCGCCGATGCACCCGGTCGTGCTGCAACCCACCTGCCCCCAGAACCACACTTGAAACGCCACGCCAGAGAGTCCTGAAGCCTTCGAGCCTCGTTATTGTGATCATGGCATTGGAGATGCCCGTATATACCGCCGTCGGCGAAGGGTTGGCGACTTGCATGCGAGTCTGATCAACGCATCGGTTAGCGGGCTGGCCGAAATCCGCGCACCAAGTCTGGACGTACCTTGAGCAGGTCAATGGGATACATCACCGAATGCTCCTAAGTCAATTCAGCATTTGCGCGCTCCATCGTGGTTGCATGGGCGCGGCAGCGTACGGCGATGCCGGCGAACGCGCCCGCAAGCATGTTCGCCGTGAGAGAGTAATTGGGCGGCAACGATTCATAGCTGGGCAGTATCAGCAGGACCATCATCGGAAGGCGCAGAGCCAGGCGAGCATACTCGTATTCAACTTCTTCTACGGGAGCGGGTACTCTGTCGTGAGCGGCCATATAAGCCACCACGCCCGGCGTCCGTTCGGTAGCTATGGTTGCGGTGGTTGCGGGGAAAGACGGGTTGAGCGGAGGGTGGCGAGCGACGACGGTCGAAGAGCGAGCGGATGGAGGAACAGCGTCAGAGCTGTTTGGCGGGAAGTTTCGCGGGATTGGTGTTGGCGGCGTCACTCGCTGCGTAGGGTAGGTACTTTTGTTTAAGCTGGGCGCTGCCGGAGGGAAAGCGAAAGCTATCATCGGCGCTAGCCTCGTTTAATCTTGATTCCAGACCCCCCAGCCTCACAAATCACCGCCCGCAGTTGCTCGACCGCATCCACCGCTATCTCGTTATGCCAGCGAAGCGAGCTGCAGGCGTCGCGGTCCGACCGTGACGCTCCGCAGCTCGCGGACATACGAACAGCGACCGAGCCATCCGCCGAGCCGCCTGTCTGAATCTCCCCCTCTGGACAAGTGAACAATGCGATGCCGAGCAGTGGGTTACAGAAGATTTGAGCGCTCTGTGCCCCACGAAGAACGCTACGCTATCCTCACGGGTAGTTGAGGTAGATATCCGGCCGGAGGTGTGAGTTTCAAAGGATACAAATGCATCCAGGCGTTGGATTCAGCTACCCATGTAAGCAGGCCGCTATATTTCCAAGAAGTCTCGGAAAGCTCGGTTCTTTTGTCACCGGCTGTGCTCCCGTGACGCGTGCTGTACCGTCTCTAGGTTTGATCATCGGTACATACAACTCCGACGGTAGGAGAGGTCGTGTGTTCACAATGCTGTGTACTGCGAAACTTCAGTCAGACGTGCAAGAGGCATATTGTTCATTATACCATTGCCCAACTTGGCTGCCGTACCTTGTGTGTAAAACATAGGAGCATTGTTTCCTTACGTGCCGACGCGTCCAATCGATCAAAGGCGAAAATATCTCATGCAAGACGAGATACAATCGGATTGACTTTGAGCGGAAAGGTGCTTACGGTGTCTTTTGCCTTCCGTCTCAACTCGTTGATGGTTTCCCTGTTCAGAGGCCTGGCTGGTATTCACAATCGACCTCATCGACTGCGGTTTGGATGTTACTCCTGAAAGGAGCTTCAAGCCTACAAGGCAATCCCGCGGCTTCACCACACACGCCCCCACCCACCCAAATGATAAGCTTTCCCTTTCGGCGGTCGCAGTCTCCCTTCCGGTTGATGCATTGCTTGTGCCAGCTTTACTTGATAAGCCAGCACATCTATTGTTTCAACTATCCACCGGGCCCTCCGATTTTAGAGTAGAGTTGTAAAAACATATGATACAAGTGAGCCGCAACACAGTCGAGTCACAGCCGCTGGTTCTCGTGCGAGGATGAGAAAATCAAGGATTCTGCGTTACATGGAGATGGACGGTTCGTCCTTTGCCAACCATTGTAGTCCTAGAGGAGAGGAGAAAAGGCCGCGACGCGACCCGGAATAAGAGCTCTTCAGGCTGGCACAACCTAGCGCATGCTGCGATTCTTAGTGTAAGTGAGGTTGCCTCAACAATCGCAACGCTGGTACCATCTGGGAAATCCGACAACATCCCGGATGTTGGAGACACCAGATAAGTATAACAGAAGTCGGTCGAACCCGATGCCAAATCCACCATGAGGAACACTACCGAACCTGCGGAGATCTGTATACCACTGCAGATTGCCAGGGTTCTTCGCGGCTGCTGGATCAAGCTGGACGGTTGCTTCGCTCGAGCTTTCAGCGTCAGGTGCGGGGCTGGGCTGGTCTGGCCGTTGCAAGCCATGGGCATCCATGGCAGCCAGCAACTCGGGTAGACGGTGCTCACGCATCGACCCGCCTACCAGTTCGCATACCTCCGGGACCAGGAGATCGAAACAGGAAACCGTATCATTTCCGGGCGCCTGGGCCGAGGGTGCCATATAGAACGGTTTCACGGCGCGGGGATAATCCGTTACGAACACCGGACCACCCTGCCCGATATCTTCGGCCAGAAACCTTTCGTGCTCCGCCTGCAGCCCATCTTCGAACGAGGCTTTGAAGTTGAAGTTTACAGCGCCCCGACTTTCGGCATCCTGAAGGACTGATATAGCCTTTGCGTAAGTTATCCGGGGCCACGGCCCCTTACACAGGCTCTCCCACCTTTGCAACAGCGCCTGCGACGTAATGCTCGAGGCCTCATCATCCTTCGTCCAGTCGGCAGACCGAGCCAGTAGGAGCTCTCTGCCAATGGTTGAATTTGTCAAATTCGTGGCAATCTCGCGCAGCAAGTTCTCAACCACGTCCATGACGTCGTCCAGCCTTTCGACAAAGCAGACTTCAGCCTCGAGCATGTAAAACTCACTCAGGTGACGGGGCGTGTCGCTTTTCTCCGCCCGAAAGGTCGGCGACAGCGTCCAGACCTTTCCAACAGACTGCGCCAGGGCCTCCAGGTGCAGTTGAGACGACACGGTGAGATACTTTGGTGAGCGGAAGAAAGGGTCGGCCGGTTTGAGGGCCGGGTCAGCTTGCGGCAGATCAGACTGGGGGAGCACGGTGAAGACCTCGCCGGCCCCCTCGCAGTCCGAGGAGGTGATGATGGGCGGGTGCGTCTGGACAAAGTCATGCTTGGCGAAGAAGCTGGTGACGTGGGCGATGAGCTGCGAGCGGAGACGCAGCAGCAAGGAATTGAAAGGGGTTCGTGTGCGCAGATGCGGCAGAGTCCTCAGGAACTCTGGGCTGTGGTACTTCTTCTGCAAAGGATAGGCCTGCAGTGACGCAGCAATCAGCAGGCGGACAGGCACGGCGGCTTCTCTGTTACTCACAGCAGAGTCGTTCTGGCCCAGAACACGGACGCTGTGGGCGTGCAGCTCGTGCGACTGCTGCTTGCCGGGGGGGCATTCGGCCCATTCGCCTTCGATGGAGACGGCGTCACCAGTGGTGAGGCTGGGCAGTTAGCGAGAGAGGCAGCAATTGCGCACGCGGCAGAGCACACTCACTCACTCTTTGGCAAGATCCGGAGGCAGAACAACTTGCAGCGGCGACAGCGTCGAGCCGTCGCCCAGGGCCGCAAAAGCAATGCGCTTCTGCTTGCGGACGGAACGCACCCAGCCGTCGACGCAGACGCGCTCGCCCTGGCGCGGGCGGGCGAGCAAGCGGGCGACGGACGAGGCGAGTCGCACAGCAGTGCGAGATGTCGGGCACCGCGCGCGGGCGGGCGCCAGCTGGGGCACCATCTGGGGCAGCGAGGGGCTGGGCGAGTGCTGATGCTGTCAGAGCTGACGGGTGGATTCTCGACGCGATCCGGCTGCAGGAACAGCCAGGACCGAGCGAGCCCGAAACGCGGCCACCAGGCCACGGCAGCAGGGGTCCGGCTGCCAGCAGCACCACGCCCGCCCAAAACAACGTGTTCGTTCCTGCGTACGACGTCGCCGCTCTGCTGTCGCCGTGTTTCGCGTTTCGCTGCGTCGTACGAGGACAGCTATAGACGGGCGCAAGCCAGGCCGTGCTGCTTGCTTGGCCGCTCTGGCGCCTCGCCGCACCGCCCTGAGCGGACGGTCAGCCCCGGCCCGGCTGTACCTGGCGCGCGGGCAGGGGGATTGGCAGGCGAGCGCGCCGGCCCGCAGGGCTGTGGTCTCCGCGCCGGCACCTGGGTCCTGTGGCCGCGCCTTGCACGGCAGTCAGCCGTGGACGTGTCGCTGCGGCCTGCATGATCGGGCCTGCAAAAGTCCTCGTGTATCTCCTGCTCATTAGCTCCCAGCCCGCCTTCCCGCGCGGCCAGTACCACCGCTTGGTTCAGATCTATGATGGCCTTGACCGGGATCCCAGGATCGTCTTGTCCCTGGTCTGCACGCCGCAAGTTCATTGACACACGTTGACGACGGCCTCCCGCCTCGCCACACCTTTACGAGTCAACCTTCTGAGCTTCGCGGATGGCTGTTGTGCAGCCACTGGGACACAGGCACAGTATCAGGCCCAGCTGCGCGGGCTTGTGTTGTCAGCCGCACAAGCACCCGACGCACCAATCCATCGTGAGTCGGCCGGTGCGCGTTGACTTCCCATTCGCTGCTTTCTCCTGCTATACCACCTTGCTGGTGTTGGCCTACCATCATCTTACACCTGCTCCTTGCCTTCCGGCTCCTGCGACACCATCCACCAAGACATATAGCTACCTCCCGAGATGCTCTTGACCCCCATCGCCGCCCTCCCAATCTTCCACCACCCACCTCCTGCTCTAGCAAACTCAACTTCAGCATGCCTCAGGCAAAGCCCAAGCCCTCAGAAATCGCCGCCGAGGCAAAAAAGACCTACATCCCCTACATCGAGAAGCGCATGCCCGAATACCCCGCGCGCTCAATCCTCATCTCCGACAGTGCCGAGATTCCCATCAGATCAGACTGCAAGCCGAAGCAGAGACTCCGCGTTGCCGTCATCGACGGTGACCCTGTAGACGTGGCTCTCGACTGGTATCAGTACGGCCGCCAGAACGGGTCCATCACCTCATCAGCTCAACGAGTGCCCGTTGTCAACATGGCCAACGAGAAGCGCGCAGGCGGCGACTGGGAGTCCGGTCTGCTTGCCCCCGAGGAGTGTTTTGCTCGGAGAAGTAATCTCGTCCATACACTCGTGACCCCTTGGTCAGGGTATGCGACGGCCACACACGGACACTATCCGATCCCGCAGAGAGGGGGAGTATATTCGCCTTCAGTTGGTAAGAGCCGTTCGACGGGCTTCGCAAGAGCTACCAGCTGACGCCTTCGCAGTCGTCTACCGAGACGGGCCAGAGTCGTATCAGCTCTGGAGGGAGTTCAGAGCTTTGCCTGTCATCTCGGTCGCTCCTGTGCGGCGCCCCAAACTTGATGAGACGGGCACGCAGTATTCATTTGAACAGGAACGCGAGCTCATGCTAGACAAGATGCGGGCCGTCTTGCGCATCGCTGCCGCATGGGGCCATAAGGACATATGCTTGGGTGCGTTTGGCGTGGGCCCCATTTTCCGCAATCCTGCAGCAGAGGTGGCAAGAATGTGGAAAAGCCTCCTGTTCCACGAGAAGGAGTTTCAGGGTGCTTTTGTCAACGTCGTCTTTGCCATAGAGACGAACCAGCCGGGAAATGCAAAGGGCGGCGCCTCAGAACACGAGATTTTTAGGCGGGAGTTCGATCCCTCGAATATCTTCAGAACGACGTACCGGTAGGCAAGGCACACGACAGGGGGTTTTCAGGATCATGCATGTGGGATTGTCATGGTTGGCGTCATGCCAAGGCCTCGACGTTCAGGCGCTGGCGCTGCGTCTTCGGTCGTGGTCCGGATCTTGCAATCGGTTGGGTTCTCGTGGAAAGTAGGCCAGGCATTTGGTAGTGAAATGAACCTCCAAGCTTTTGGCTTCACGTCATGCAGCGTCGGCTCGGCGGCAGAGAGGGTTTAGCGTGACGCAAGGGAAGACGTCGAGTCTGAAGTAGTGGCGTCGGCACTGCAGACGAGCGACGCAGATGATCTTGTCCTACCGGCAGGCGGATCGCAAGCCTATTCCCCGACAGCGATCCCAGCAGCCCCGCTTCTGACGCCGCCACGCCCCTCAGATAAGGTTCGATATCCCTGTGGTCATCGTCTGCGCACACCGGCGTGGAGAACAAGGCGGCCGGCGAGCAGAAGTCCGTGGGCAGACATTGAAGGAGGGCCGACGGGCGCGAGAGCCCGGCAGCTGGGGTTGCCGGGTCAGACGCAGGATCTCGGGTGGCTTCCTTCAGCCATGTGTGCGTGTTCGCCCAAGTCCCGCAGGCCGTGGATACGATTCCGCCATACCGGAGGCTGTGCATGCGCTGGACCGTGATACTGCATCAGGCCGTGGATCGATCCAGCCAACACGCCGCCGTTGGGGGTTGCAAGCACAGAAGACATGCAGCCCAGCGGCGGGCCTGCGCCGACGAGTGACAAGTCACTGGCGCCACGTCCGCCGCAGCCGCAGCGTACATGAGTTTCAGACATCAGGTTCGACAAGTAGCTTCCCGCATCTACGCAGTCACCCTTTGCCACATAATAAAGATGCTACAATCCCACACCGACTCTGCCCAGCCAGACCCGCGGAGAGGAAATTCCTTACTGATTGCTTGCTGCACTCTGTACTCGTACAATGCGCCCCACCACCCTCATGCTTGGCTTTGCGACAGCGGCCTGGCTCCCTCGGCTTGGAGCTGTTTCAGTGTGGCCTCCTTCTTGTACTCGACGACTCGTCGCTTCTTGAAGTATTGCACCTGCGCGCCGTCAGCGTCCGCCGCCTGCACCGCGCCTGCGGGGTAACGGCTCACCCAGCTGCTGGCGCAGTTCTGCGCAAATGCCTTATCCTCGCGGCCGCAGTGCGCAGCGGCCTCGTCCTTGTTGGTGACGCTGTCGATGATGTCGTGCCGGTCGAGGCATTGGAAAAAGGCGTCGCGCGCCTCCCAGCATTGCGCACGGCTGGATCGGTCGGGCGCTTCGAAAGCACCGTCCGATGACGGCTTGGGGCCGGCGGGCGTCGAGGAGGAAAACCAACCCATGGCGCGTGTTGAGTCGATGGCGAGCAGTGGTTGCTGTCGGTGGGAGGGCGGAAGTATGACGGAGCGCGCCGACTGGTCGGCCGTGGTCCTGCGCTGCGGCTAAGTCAGCAGGCAACGCGCGCTCGGAGGTGCTGCGTGGCCGCCGCTTCACTGTCGCAGGTCAACCTAGGCAGCGGCCGCCTCACGCATCTCTCTTCCCGCCCACTTTCCCAGCAGATGTGCCCCGGGTAGCAGCGCACGCATGGCTCGCCGCCGTCGACCCCCAAGGCCTGGCGCGCTCGCGGATGTCGCCCCGTTGCGCATCTTGACCCAGATCGTCCTCCTCCAGCTCGCCTACTATCTGTCTGCCGCCGTCCTGATCGTCTTCACCGCCCTCGTTGCAGGCCGCGACGTCAGCCTCGACCTTCTGCTCAGCTGGCGCAGCCTGCGTGGTGACGTGACTGTCGGCTGGATGCTGGGGCTTGTGTGGATGCTCAACAGCTTGATCTGGTATGCTCCCCTGACGCGTCTCTTTGCCGCCGCCTCCCCGTTAACGTGGCTCCGCTCCCCAGCGTCATATACCTTCTCCTACTAGTTGCGCGCTCGAAACTGATACCCGACTTCGCCCTCACCATCCACTTCCTCCACCTCATCATCACCTCGCTGTATTCGCACTCGATACCGTCGCACTGGCTGTGGTGGACCGTCCAGCTGGCAAGTGCTGCTTTGATGACGTTTCTGGGAGTGTGGAGCTGCCAGTGGAGGGAATTGCAGCCCATCAACTTCGGTGGAGGCGGTGGCCCCAGTCGTCCGTCGAAACGTGTTGACGCTCCCGTCAACGACTCGCAGGAAGGCGAGGGCGCAAGCTACGGACGCGGCCGAGGCCGAGGAAGAGGGCAGTACGAAATGGTGCCCATCAAGGAAGCAGACGAGAATGTGTAGGATACCTTCGTTTTTGAGCATTTGGGCGGCGTTAGGGGCGATAGATACCAGGTTCTTGATCCCGGTAGACGCATTTGAAAGACATTCGGCCACAACATGGCTGCCCCCCATCGTGAGCGAGGTATAGAGGGGGAGAACACTACAACGCTTCTATATTCACGTATTCTGACCTGACCGGCTCTTCATACTTATACAAGCTTTTTCCTAAGGTCATAAACCAACCCATGTAGAGTGGAACGGCAGCTGTGCTAGACTTTGCGCCAGCTGACGCGCCCGCCAAGTTATGTTGGCTCAATGGAATGCATCGGATGTCTATCGTCAGAGCAATGTAGCACGTCCTGGGCATCCATGCTTACGTAACTTGTCTGCTTCACCCTTCCCTTGAGGCGAAGGTGACGCTTGCAAGGACCATGGATTTCTGGAAGTAACAGCCATAGCAGTAAAAATACAGCAAGCACGGAATACTACGCTGCATGAATTGCGGTTGGCACATGCCGAAATGTGGTATGGTGCCTGCCTTGAGTATAACTTGAAGTTTGTGATAAAGCCTGCGAGGCTGTGGCTTGACACTCGTATTGCGGCAGTTCCCAAGGACAAGCTTGATCAAATGTGACCTTGACACACGCGTTTGTAGAACGCTCGAAGACTTTTTCTTGGTGAAGTGAGACAGGGCCAGAGAAGCATGACTCGCGAGGGAAAGCGCACATGACTCGCACGCGCATCCGCTTGCTACTACTTCTTTTGGTTCTGCCGCCCTCACCCATCTTTCTCTCTTCTTCACCCGCCTGCGCCACACCTGCGCGTGCCTGATCCATGAACCCCTGCCGCAAGAGAAAGTCCCGTTCCAGACTCTGTGCGGTAGGCTGACCACGACCTGCCCATCATGGATGAGTACAATCAAGGTTTCTATGCTGCCCCGCCGGAGCATTATGCTCCTCAGGACCTGCAGCACAATCCTTTTGCCGCCATGCTGCCTCCCGACTACGGTGGCCCGGACATGGATGCATACCCTCCGCATGCATCCGAGGCCCAGTACACCTCTGAGCATGGCTACTATGGTCAAGGTCCCATTGTCCACGAAGGTTTCATCCCGGCCATGGAAGACGTCCAGTACCAGGGCAACGAGCAGAACAACTCCAGCTATTCCACCCCGTGGACTACCCATCAGGAGGATGACATATTGGACACGGATGACGATATGATGATGAATGAAGAACTCGTCCTCAACGGCGAAATCCCAGGCCTTCACGACCCTACGCTTGATCCCGACTTCTCTGGTTCCGACGAAAGTGTTAATCCCGGTGGCGTCTCGGATGAGGACCTGGATTCTGACTTTGATATTGATGAGGCCCCAAGGGGCCGTGGTCGTGGACGAGGCCGCGGCCGCGGCAGAGGCCGTGCTGCAAGAGGATCCCGTGGTCGCGGTCGCGGCCGGGGTCGCGGCCGGGGTCGACCTGGCGTTGATGACGGAGAAGGAAGGCCGCGTGGCGCTCCACGAGCCAGAAGGAGACCTCGTGAGGCGAAAGATCCAGGTCCGGAGTTCAAGGACACTCTCACAAAGGCAACTCAAGCCTGGCTCAAAGAGGACCTTGAAACCGCCATGAAGCATGCCGGTGATGCCATAAAGATTAACCCAGAGGTCTTCGCCTCTTACAATCTTCTTTCCGAGATTCTCTACGCCAAAGAACAATACGAAGAATCCGTACACGTGCTTTCCATGGGTGCGGTCCTCCAGCGCGATGTTAATTTGTGGCACAGGATCGCCACAAGGGTTCTTGATCTCGAGGGCGACGAGAGAGCTCGCTTGGAATGGGCTCATCGATGTTACAGCCAGGCCATTCGTATCGACCCCAACGACTGGGAGGCTCGCTGCCAAAGGCTCGATTTCCAACTCAGATTCGACCACAAGGGCCAAGCCAAGTCGGAGTTGGAAATGATGCTGAAAATTGAGGGCCACGAATATGATCTGGACCGCATCCAGCAGCTAGCTGAACTGTGCGCTGTCACCCAAGAGCCCGACCGAGCTGTGGAGCCTTTCGAGAAAGCCATCGAATATCACATGAGATTCCAGAAGGATGACTACAGCCAGCTTGACTGGCAGATCCTTAATAGTTATCTGGAGTTGATGCAATCTCTGAAAAGGTATGACAGCGCTATACCTCGCCTTCGGTCAGGTGCAAGATGGATCCTCGGTCGGCAGAGTGAGAGCTTTTGGGATGACCAACTAGATGACCGTGAGTGGGATCTTGAAGATCACCCGCGAAGGACTCAAGTTCAAGACTTTGTTCCTGGTAAACATGAGAAGTCTGCCTATGGCGCTGGTCTGCCACTCGAGATTAGAGTCAAGTTGGGTATGTTCCGCCTACATCTGGGTCCGGCACATCTCGGTGAAGCTATAGTGAGTTTTTATCCCTGAATTTGTCTAAGATTTGTTCACTCATGTTGTATTCTAGGCGCATTTCGAACAGCTAGAGCCAGAAGATGAGTCAGAAATGGCTGCCGTCTTCGACTTTGATGATCTATTCAGAGAAGTTGCGGACGCGTTGACCATGTCAGGGAATCATGCCCAAGCCCTGCGCTATTACAATGCTCTACGGCGGGTACCAGATGTGCCACAAACCGCATTGTACATCTCCATTGCGGCTTGCCACTGGGCACTTAAGAACGATATAGAAGCCGAGCGATCCATTAATGCAGCCCTCGACGCAGCTGGGTCAGATCTTTCGGGCCGCGTCCAGGTCGCACGTTTCTTCCAGGAGTGGGGCATGATGCAAAGATGCAATGAAGTTGCCCAGGATGTCATTGCAAAGGGTGGCGTTGACCTCGTCAGGAAGGCTAAGCTCAATGTCCAGCTACCCACACAGAGACCTACACAAGCAAAGGATTATGTGAAGAAGCCGGCCCCAGTCAAAGCGCCAAGGCCTCTTAGGCCAACAGTCTTGCGTGAACTTGCCCCGAAACCGACAACTCTCCAATCTTTTGAACCCAAAAAGCCTCCAGCCAGGCCGAAAGAGGCAAAGGAGGCCAAAGAGCATAAGTCGAGGCGCCGGCTTCGTGGGCTTCTGGATTCGGAGAAAGAGAAGCTTGAGGGAGCCCAACAGCGCGACAGAGCAATCAGGGAGATGTATCAAGAACTCAAAAACATCGAGGATCTTGTGGATGAGGGCGATGAAGAATCTACAGAGACGTACATGGAATTCGCCGGTCAAATGGTCGACGAGTTTCGGAGGATGGAGGCTTTTTACCCGAGGAGAGACAAGCACGTCAAGTTTGTGGGGTATATCGGCCGAAAAGGCAGCCATTTCCGGATGAAGGAGTCAGCACTTGCATATCTGGCAACCGTTTCGAATCGCGAAGGTGCCCCGGAAGGTGAGTACAACAACCGTTAATTAGGATTCTCGCATTGACATGCAGCAGGTGACCCCAGCACACACCTCAATGTTGGGGAGCAGGCGCCTGAAGACTTCCACGATATCCCATTCGACGAGTGGCTAGACATCTTCTGCCGCTACGCCTTGCTAGTTGCGAAATACGGCAAGAACAATCGGTGTTGGACAGTCATCCAAGCAGCTGCCAACGCAAACATTTTCCACCACAGCAGCCAACGCGAGCATCACATTTACGTCTGCTGGCTGGGTAAGTTCTTCTCTTCTCCATCCCGGAGCTCTTAATTGACCGATGATAGCGTGCGCTCTGATCCTACGAGATGAAGAACATCTCTGCAACGCCTGCCGCTACCTCATCAAGCAACATCCGTATGCCAACGACGCCTATCGACTTTTTGGCCTGATAAACCGTCTGTACTCCGGCCATCGATCTTGGTACAATGGAGGGCCATCTCAGAAATTCGTTCTCCGCCTCATCAAAGCAATGGATTTTGCGCTGCTCGACAAGGATGCCCGCCTCATGTACAAGTTCGGTGATCAAGAGCGCTCCGGATATACTAGAGGCGGTCAAAATGACGGCAATCCGGAAGGGATCACAGATGTCAACGTTGCTCTCCTTTCCATGTACGGACACGTGCTCGCAAGCGGCGGGGCGTATCTCAACGCGCTAAACTACTTCTTCCGAGCATATAGCGTGGAGCCGAATGACGCCGTCCTCAATTTCTCCATTGCGATAGCATACATGCAGCATGCGATGAAGCGGCAGTCGGAGAATCGGCAGTATCAGATCCAGCAGGGGCTGGCCTTTCTGCATCGCTATTATGAGCTACGCAGCAAGTCGGGCATTGCTTTACAACTTCAAGAAGCGGAGTTCAATGTAGCACGCATCTGGCACATGCTCGGTCTCTATCATTTAGCACTACCAGCATATGAGCGCGTGCTAGCTCTTGAGCGGCGGGTGAGTGCCGAGAATGCCAAGGGTGGATTGATTGCAGTCGAGGACTTCTCGAAGGATGCTGCGTTTGCGATCCAGATGATCCTAGCTTTGACGGAGGACTTTCAGGGAGCCAGAAGCCTCACTGAAGAATGGCTAGTAATATAGGCACTCTAAGTGAGAGCTATAGGAAGTAAATTGACTTGCATGAGAAGACTCTAGACGAACACTGTAAAGGCACAGTGATTCTTAGGGGCTAGGTACTAGGTTTTTAAGCAGGAGATAAGGATGACAAATAGGAGGCTGGACCTTTGGCACGGGAGTGGTCTTTTAAGCTTGCTGATATTTTTGGTTGGCGAACAACACAGTCGGCAGATCAGAAGTGAACTGAGGTCTGGTGATGATGTGGTATTGAGAAAAAAGCGACAGAAAGAGCTTGTTATCGGCTACGTGACGGAGGAGGCACCCCGCCCACCTTTAGGGCGTAACCCGATCACATAAAGCGTTTCGAAGGCAAAATCCACCAAATCACCTCATTCAAGAAAATACTATTCCAAACAATGTTAACTTTAATATCACTTGCTTTTTCGGGGGAAGGACAGCTATATACAGAGCGAAACGACTGGTGGGGTATATTCTATGTAATCATGTCATCACCAAGCGAGACAGCTTATCCAGACATCAGGTTGTACACTGTACACTAGCCACTTCGATTGCGGCGGAAGAGCCGGCGGAAGCGTCTTCTGGGGGGTTCTTCGGTGGCGATTTCAGCAGAATTCTCTTGGCCATTGATCAGAGCCCTTGCAGTCTTGTCTGCGATCCACACATCTTCCAGGCTAATTAATGTGTTAGTGAAACATAACGGTTGTATTCTGAGAGACTTACGGCATGACAAGGTTCGGATTGACATAATGCTGGCCTCTTTCACGCTCTTCATCAATAGTGGGCTGATCGGCCTGGGGAGTGATCAGATCGGAGCGCTCTGCTCTGCGCAAGCTTTTCAACGCGATGAAGCGCATGAGTGGCTTATAGGAGTACGTAAAGACGTGCCAGAACCAGAGGGTAGCCATGACCAAGGGAACGAGAAGAGCAGCTCGCCAAAAAGCACCCTTCAAAGCCAACTGACCTGCCATTGTAAGTTGGAACAGAATCAAGCCCACAATGACTCGGTCGCAAATCATAGTCCAGCCTCGGCCCGTTGAGTGTTGACGATGGTCCATGGCGTAGAGCAACTGGTATTTGTGCACAAAATGACCAATGACGAAGTATATCAGACCGGCGAGGAGGACCATCCAAGACGAGCGGAGAACACTGTAGACAGTGCAAATGATGAAGATCAGAATCGTTTGAGGGAGGAAGAAGCCGTAACTGAACACCGGGGGTTGGACCAACTCGGCATAGTCTATGCCAATGGTAAGTAAGAGAGGAGCATTAGAGTGAGAAAATGGAACTCACCACGCGGCGTTTTGGCACCCATCAAGGTGATGGGATACAGAACAACGGAGCCGAACTCCAGCAAACGGAACGGAAAAAGACCGATGCCTTGGAGGATGACGAAGTTGGTGTAAAAGTTGAGCAGACCTTGCAGGGACAATGCGAGCGCGTTGGTGATCTTGGTGGCGTCTCGCAGCTGCTCGCCAATGTTCTCAAGCAAGCCCCAGAAACCTGAGGCCGTACCCAAGATGGTAAAGACGACGAAGAAATTGAAGAACACGAAGAAGAAGTTCTTGGAGATGCTACTTCGGTTAGCAGGTGGCAGGCTACGCGCAATTGAACGGCTTACACAGAGAGCTCGACATCACCCTGTCCAATCATTCCTTGGTGATTCGCGAGCCCTGGAGGGTTTATTAGTATCATCTTGCAGGGAGAGATTAGAAGACGCACAGTCGTAAAGATACGGAACGGCAATGTTCAACAGAGACACGAGTAATGTGGGGAGCTGAGTGACAATAATGGACTTGATGTTCTTGTGGTTATCGACAGCATCCTTGAAGCCGGGGAACACGCGGTCTATGGAATCAATACTCAGGAAACCGGCGATGGGGACGAGAATCAAGGTCCACAGCACGGTGAGCAACCCGATGAGAAAGGTGATGGACCAAGCCCGCATCATCCTTTCACGGCGAGGCATATACGTGTTTTGCCAGACGACGTCTGAGGGTGCGGGGCTAGTGTTCGCTAGTAGCTGCAGCGGGGACGGGTCAAGGACGGCCTGGACTGCCATTTGCTGCGGAACAACGTCAGCACGCCGGGGAGAGAGGGATATGCTTTGCTACTCACACAACTGGCAACACTGTCCATGGTTACAAAGGCGAGCGGGGTTGGCTCAAACTCCTTGCTGCGCATCGTCCTGATCTCTTCATCGAGGCGGCGCAGCTTCTCTTCGTAGAAATTGATAGCGTCGACGTTCCGATACCACACCTTGAAACGGCCATACCAGATCTTGACCAAGGGCCGGCTACGATTGTAGGGCGGGGTAGAGCGGCGCAAGCGCAGGCGGCCGTTCCCGAGAAGGTGGGCGCGCTCACTGTCATCGGCATAGGGCTCGGGAGGAGAGGGCTGAGAAATGGGCAGAGACTCGAGATTGCGCTCGACGCGGCGCTGGCCCAAATGGACGGTCCAAGCCTCCTCCAGCTTCCGCAAAGTCAGCATGCGCTTCTCCATCAAATCATCGAGGGCTTTCCAGTTCCGGCAGAGCGTGACGCTTTCAACGCGGCCGATTTCCAGCTCTTCGACGAACTCCTTGATCTTGGTCTCGGAGCGCAGCTCTGGCGGGATGCCCGAGAGGCGGATGGTGCGGTCAGTGACGGTGGTCTGGCTGCCAAGGTACTCCTGGCGGATCTCGATGACGCGCCTGGTCTCGGAAACAATCATGTAGGCGGCAAGGCCGGTGAAGAGGTAGGCGAAGACGAGGTACATCCAGAGATAGTCGGTGTGGGAGAAGTCCCAGTAGGAGTACGAGTCGGAAATATGCCAGTTGGAGTCGAGCAGCACGGGGCCATTGCGGCGGCGCAGCTCATCGCCGGCAATGGTCTCGTTCTTCTTGAGCTTGCCCTTGCTCGTGTCGGGGAAGCGCGTGTGGACGGGGTTGATGATGACGACCGAGAAGAACAGTGTGATGGAGAGGAACTTGATGGCCATCTTGAAAAAGGCTAGGAACTGGCGGCTGTTAGCACACAGGCAGAGCGGGCGGGACAGGCGGACTGACGACATAGGCATCGAGGCCGGCGGAGGCCAGCACCTGCTGGTCGGTGATCCTCCATAGGGCGGGGATCCAGCCAAAGAGCGAGCGCGGGAGCTCGGGCAGGGCGGTGGCCTCGTCGTTCTGCTTCTTGCGGGCAGCGTACAGGCCCTCCCAGCGCGGGCGCAGGATGCAGAAGGCCAGAAAGGCGCCGGCGCCAAGAGCGATGGAGAGGATGACTTGGATGGTGATGTCGCGCGGGCGGCGGGCGCCGAACAGGTCCTGCACGTCATGGTCGCGCGTGTCGTTCCAGGCGCCGAGGCCGGGAGTCATGATTGCGATGCAGAGCGCAGAGGCATGGGCGTGCAGAAAACGGCGCGGGCGGTGTTCTTGTAATAGATATGTCACCGGCACGCGCGTGGCAGCGCTTCACCGCTTTTGCTGATCGGCGGGAGCTCTACTTACTGGTGACGCTGGACAACTCTTCCAGGGTCCACCTTGCTCGCCATTGTAGCAGCTATCAACTCAATCCCCACTCGCTGCCAACTGCACCCAGCCACAGCACCGCTCCGTCGCTGTCCAACGACTCTTCGACCGCCGCGCCATCGTCGCCAAGCTGCCCGAGAGTCGCGCCGACATCGTCCGCGGCGGTCTTGTCGGGCGCCATTTCTGCAGCATTTCGACTGCCCCACCCCGCCTGATCTTGCTGAGGGAGGATAGAAGCTCCTATTGCCCACAACCCGTGGCTTCTTGAGCGCTGACTTCCGCCCGTTCTTTCCAATGAACGTTCGCGTCCTCCACCGCTCCCGTGCTGCCCTCCTCTTCCGCGCACGTCGGCAGAAGCGCAAATAAAGACGCAGCCGAGAGCTATCCGATAGCCTTTCCTCGACTTGCTGAATGCTAGGTATTCCCCGACCTCGGCTGTGTTTGATGGCAGCTTCCCGCTGCCGTGCCGCCGCTACGGGCCTGGTCGACACCAACAACTTGATGCTGCCTGTTCACTCTAGCTGATTGGTAACATGTTCATGTTGAGAGTGAAAGAGACCATGTCCTGCTTGGTTTCGGATAGGAAAGCAAATTACAATTGTCCTGGCTGAGCCAATTGTGGCGGCTAAATCAAGGAAACAAAGAACTTGCTCCGTGTCAACGTTTCTATTCCTCTTAGCTACGGGACGTCTTTTTTGCGTCTCCCAAAAGCAAAATGCTCCCAGTTCTGCCTGAGCTTTCTCGTGCCTTCTTCCAGACCCCATTCCTTGACCCCACAGACCACACGCACAATATCCTCCAGATGCTTATCCATGAGCTCGCCAGCAATGTGAAGATCGCTCTCGACAAGGATGCGGTCGTCAGGGACTGCCTTGATGGACTGCGATGTTGTCTGGGCTGCTCGGTCAGAGTAATTGATGGCGGTGGAGAATGAGACAAAAACTTCCGACGGGACAGAAGGGTCAAAGTACTGCGGAAGAGTTGAAGGATGGCCGGAGTAGGAATGCAGGCAGATGCGAGGGGGGAATGGCTTGGGAGAGTCATCTTCCGCATTTGCATCCTCGTCAGCCTCCTCGGCCGTCACGCCGCGCTTTTTGCGTTCGCGCCTGCTCATTGGCTTCTTCTCGTAGCCTTTCCATGTTGCTCTTATCGTCTCAAACAGGACGCCGTGCGCCTGCACGCCGTGCACCGACACGGCCCGCCTCATCTCCCCTGCAAGGTTCAGCTGGGCCGTGAAAATCTTCCTCTGGTGATCCATGGCAACTACGTGGGCGGTCAGACCACGTCCTTCCCGGCCTCCGGGCGTGAGGGAATCATCGCGGTTCTCGTGAGTTTCAGGATGCCAAGCCTTTGGGATGCGGAACGACTTGTCAAGCCCTATCTCGCCCACCAGGGCCAGCGGGTAGCGACACAAGAAGCGCCGCGCCTGGTCCAGGAACTCGGAGAAGGGGCGTGGGTCAGGCAGGGAAAGGATGAAGTCGCGGTCTTCGGGCGGTGGTGACAACACGCCCCTGTAGTGGACGATCTTTGCCTCGTCGTCCAGCGTTGGCTTCCCGGCAAACCGATCCTCACTGCACATCTGGTGCGAAAACCACGGGTGCCAGCCAAAGCACGGCAGCACGCACTCGTCAGAATTCCACGAGTCGACATCAGGAGAAGGGACGCCCAGGCGGTCAGCGACATCGGCAACTAACTGCTGGTCCTGCGCGCGCGTTGCCATGACTGTCAGAGCCTTTGCCTTCATGTGAGGCACGGCGGGCACGGCCGACATGGTGTCGGTCGGATGGCAATGGGCATCGAAGACGCCGATGTGCCATGGGAAAGGCGTGCTGCCATCCATGGCGGGGTTCAATGTCGAGTTGCAGAGTGGTGTGTCGGCATCGCGTTGGAATCTAGGCGCGGTGACGTATGCGCCGTGTCCGTGCCTGAGGCAAGAATTATTGCTTCACAGAGCCCCACGCCAACACCGATTGAAATCGTCCCCGCCCCGCCCCAGACCAGACCCACGCGGTGCGCACGATCAGAGCCGAGGGGTCCTGGCCAGGGGATCGGCAACAGTGGTTCGCGAAGGAGCCCGTCCTGATATGGCCTGTGGCTGATTGGCCAAGATCTGGCCACAACCGCCATCACATGTCTGCCTCGGGGCCCCCCAAACCTTCTACGAAGTCCCCCGGACGGGTCGCGCCGTCTTTCCCCGCATACAAATCCGTCCAACGCCATGCTGTGATCGTGCCGCTGCTGTTGCGGACTCTCTGCACGCCGCCATGTTCAACCCGCTGTATCTTCTCGCCCCGCCCGTCCTGATCGTGGCTTCGCTGCCACTGGTCGCCCTGGCCGTCGTCACCACCTCGCTAGCCGTCGTCACCCTGCTGATCCGCGTGTCCATTGTGTATTTCGAGCTGGGCGTCGCTCTCGTCCACAGCTGGCTGTTCGCCTCCAGCCATCCGGTCGCCTACGACAAGCATCGCTCCCGAGCCTCATCTGGCTACTCGACGCCTACTCGCCACCACCGCCGCCGCCGGAGCAGTGCCGCCAGCCTGATCGCCGCCGACCAGCCCCTGCCACGCCGACCGCCCACCAAGAGCGAGAGTTTCGCCTCGCTGGTCAGCACCGCCGGCCCCAACCGCGACTTTGAGGGCATCGGCGGCTGGCGCATGTCCGGCGACGGCGAGGAAGAGGCGCTGTGGATCGGCATGAACTCCAGGCTTGAGCTCCCGACAGCTCTTCCCGACAAGCATCGCAGGCATCAACGATCGCTCACCGGCGGGAGTCAGCGATGGTCCTGGAGTCCCGAGGCCATTCGCATGTCGCCCGTGCAAAGCCGCGCCCGCACGCCCAACGGCCCCGAATGTCCTGGCAGCCCGGACGAATACTTCACCATGCACCATTACAAGAGGGCTGGGTCGTCGTGGGATGCCATCAGTCGCAGCGATGAGCGGAGGAAAAGCTCGGGCGGGTCCAGCACCTGTTCGACCAGCAGCTCCGGCCGCACTCCTCGGACGGCTACACGGAGTTCTTTGTACGGTTGATGTGGGGGAGGGCAAATTTGCATCTACCTGCTTTTTGTTGGCCCGTCTTGTACGAATAGATACGCTGCTGGATTTCTTTGAGTGCCCGTTGAAAGAGTAAGGGGACCCGGTGTTTCCGCATCCGGTAGTTTGAAAGAAACTTCAACAGTAACGCCGTTTTGGTGCGGGTGAGACAAAAGACTTATGCTAGGGTAGATATGGCAACAGGCTGTGTTTGCACTAACTCCCCAGAAAAGAAGCGCGCTGAATCATGAACCTGTCCGCCATGCAAGACATGCAGCGGCGGCCCCTGTGGCTCGAGAAGATTTCATTTGAAGAGCTGCGTGCTGGAGGGTACATCGATCGCAGTCCCGCTTTTCACAACGACCTTGCACAAGGCTCGGAAGCAGTTCACCCGTTATTCTCCCGAGGGCAATGGCTGGACGTCCAAACCGAAGACTACGTGCTGCTAATGCCTGCCTTGCAACTGGCCAGTAAGCTCCTGACGTCGCCACGATTCCTCGCCTTTTGGGAGGCGCTGCTTCTGCATCGGAAGCCTATCCGCACTGACGGCCTCCGAACCATGTACGGACGTTCGTGCGACCGGCTCGACCTTGGGCTTTCCCGCCCTACCCCAGATAGCAGGCGATGGGTCCTGACGAGGCTGCGTGAACTCACGACAGTGCACAACTTCAAGTTCGACCACGAATCCAACCTTTGCGACGCAGATGCGACAACAGACCTGGTTGAGCAACCAGGCTTCACGGGCCAGGGACTGTGCCATACCCACGCTTCGGTCTCTAGGATCAGCGATGCTTACCTGCGTCTTCTCCGCTTGTACTATGAAGGAGGTGAAACGCCTGCTCGCGGGCGGATTCCGAGCCCCCAGGACCGGCCAACTGGCGGGTCAATCCTACGCACCTCGTTCCACCTCGCGAAGAATTTGGTACATGAGCTGTGCCACGCACTCAACAATGCGATAGTGCCCATCCATCAAGCACACCCGTGCCCTGAGGTTAGCATCAAGATCGAGCCCTTTTTCATGGACCAGCGGCGTTGCGAGCTGGGACGGGCGTGGGAATCCTTTGTCTTCGGCGGGCATATTGACGGAATTGGTGACGGATTAAACATGCAATTCGGGATCAGCGTGACCAAATGGCCGCATCCATTCAGCCGGGAGGGGCAAGAGCGCGCACCGAGCCGGTGGCCGTTCACGACCAGCTACGCAGTGCCCATGCCGTGGGTAGAGGCCCTGTGGACGGACCGTTTCTGGAGTCAGATGGACAGCGACGTTGACTTTGACTGTCGCATCCCCAAGATCCTTGGCGTCCGGAAAGCGACCAATGTGGTTTGGACCGACGAGGACGAGGAGTACGAGTGCTTCAGCAGCACCGACAGCGACGACATGGCAGAGATGGCCAACGAGGAGCGAGCGGAGGCGCTGGAGAGGAGGATGCGGAGGCGGGTGCGGTACCACCTGGGCCTGGAGGGCGAGTACGAGGACAGCGAGGACAGCAGCGTGGCACGTCACGAAGACAGGCATGGCGTTATTCGAGACGGCGGATGACGGCGATGACGAAGACTTGCCATGGATGACGGCGTGGACCTGAGCTGCGCCACGGGCTGACATAAGGGCGGAAGCATCAGGGCTCCCGCAGCTGGATCCTTCATGCGTGGCGCGCAGGGATGCGCCAACACGAGGCGCAGAGCAACAAGCTTGTTGCTGAGAGAGAGGCGGGCGACACGGAATGACCTGCAGCGGCGTGCCGAACAGCCGCAGCACGTGACGATCCGCAGATGACAGGGCGCTTGCGCCGGAACGTCACCTCTCAACTCTCCGCTCGACGCTGCCCGCGCTGTGCGGCCCCGGCAAACAGGCAGCCAGGGTGCTAGAGAGCACGCGCCAAGCAAAGGGGTCGCACTGCCCGCACCCGAGCCCGGGTGGCGATGCTGTTGGCTGAGCGCTCTTTGTTTCGATGCATCCGTCGCCATCCACGCCTCCGCGCCGGCCACGCAGCACGCATTGGGGCTTGGAGCGCGCCTAGCCGGCAGCAGCACGCTCGCAGGCCCCCGTCAGCGCCTTTTCGGGCAAGAGGCAACGGCACGATGAGGTGATGGGCTGGCTCCTCCGCCGCGCCCCCCGCAGTCCAAAGTTGCTGCTTCAGGAACCAACCAGCCTGGCCCGGCTTGGCCTGCAAGTAGCGTGTCTCGTGTTGGTTGCCAGCGTCATGCCAAGGCAACTGCTGCCGCTGCGGCAACCTTGTCTCGCCCAGCTCGACCGCCGGGGCTGCCTGCAGTTGCCAGTCTGATTACGTAGATCATCGCACCTGCTCCTATAATAACACCTCCTTTCTCCTGCACCGCGCCCCTCTTCACCTCTCCACCCCGATCCATCTACACGAAGCTTTCTGCTCTGCCCAGTCGCTCCCGTCCAAGTCTTCCGCCAGCCACACAAGGTCCGCACCTTCGCCTGCTGCCAATCCATCTCCCTCTCACTGACACACGCACAGACTCTCTTCGACTCAAACCATCCACCATGCGTTTCACCGCCATTGCTGTCACCGGCCTTGCCTCCCTCGCCGCCGCTCAGGATGTCAACTCTCTTGCCTCGGACGCCTCTTCCCTCGCCTCCTCCGTTGGCGCCGACATCAGCAGCGCTGTCAATGCTGCTCCCAGCGATGCCAGCAGCATCATCAGCTCCGTTGCTTCCGAAGCTACTTCTCTCGCCAGCAGCTTGGGCTCGGTCGCCACCAGTGCCACTGGCGCCGCCGGCTCGGCTATCTCGTCTGCCCTGAGCTCCATCTCCTCTGACGTCGCCTCGGTGACCAGCTCGGCCGGTGCCCTTGCCTCTTCGGTTGCTTCGGCTGCCACGGCCAGCGGTGCGGCCGCCACGAGCGCTGCCGGATCCGCCGCCAGCTCGGCCGCTTCAGGTGCCTCGTCGGCTGCTTCCACGGCTGCCGCCTCTGCCTCCGCGACTGGCGCTGCCGGCGCCATCACCGTCCCTGCCATTGGTGGTCTTCTCGGTGGCGCTCTTGCCGTCGTTGGTCTCCTGTAAATAATTTCATGACTGACGCCATGATGCACCCTTCGTGGGCTGCTCAAAGTTACGGTTTGATGGATGGATGAGCATCTTACTTGGCATGCCCATAACGCTTCTATAAGGCAACTGGGTTCACGGACTCCTGTACTATTCAACTGCTTCGGCGCTTAATCAAATATACCAAGACGGTTTTCTCTCATATTCATTGTGCTTGATTGGTTTCTGGACATTACTGTTGATGACGTGAAGGCGAAGTGGCGAGACGCTCTCTCATTGGTGCAATGCGGGATTGCCGTATACGAGCTAGGCGGGTCCGCCCCAACTGCTCGTATCCCCACGCGCGCTACTACAGCTTCGTCTGGATCTGGTGATCTCTAGAGGCCCTAATTCCACTACGAATCGCCTGCTTCAGCCCAGTAGTTGGCTTCAGTCATTGTAGGCTAGCTGATCATCGCCCATAAGGCTGAGACAGGAAATGAAAAGCCTGCGCCTTGCTATTGTCGTTTCTAGGGCTGACCTACTGTGGCTGCGAGACGTTCTACTCAGACAGTCACGCGCCATAGGCACCTACCAACCCAGGTGCAAAGCTCAGGGTTCTGCTACAGAGGGTATAGCAGCCCAAGGCTTGCGTGAATTGGTTTTTCGCTCATGTCATAGGTATTGTCATTGAGGCTATCGTCTGGACTTGTATGTAGACTTAACAATTTTGCATTCTCGTCCGGACGATAGCTTTAACTACCCACACATGTTTTGTTTTTCTAGGGGAAAAAAGGGCTGAGGTACAAGCAGCCTAGGGCCAGACTATCCTTCACACTGGCCTTCGGCTGCAATATCCCTCTGTACTCTCACATGGTCGCTCTATTTTAGAAGAACGTCAATCCCTGTTCCAAAAGCAACCGAATGAGACCAGCCGGTCGGTAAACTCAACTGTTCGACACGTGCAGCGGAAACACTTCGCCCCAGCCTGTGTATACTTCGGCGCTACAGAGCTTGGCAAGCTTGTTTGAGCCTCAGGTTTCTAGCCTTAGAGATTATGTCTCATGGTAGGTCAAGACTTCTACTGGGTATTGAAAGACACGGCGGTCCATTGGGCGGATATAATGCAGCCTGCGTTCTGGTTCTTCTTCTATCCATCAAATCATCGAAGACAGAGGCCCCTTTCAGCCAAACACAAACAAGGACCAAAACTCCCCATCATCTCTTTGAAAAGAAAAAAACTGCTTTATCACAGGATGGCGCCTTTTTGTAACGTCGGACACTCTGCCCTGTGTCGCAGGGACGAAGAAATGGACCCAGAGAGCGCGGCGGATTTTCGCGAGATCGTCTTCATCAGCTACCTTATTGCATTTCTTGTGGCCGCCGCAGTCACCATATACATCGTCGCGTACTTCAAGCCTCCGCAGAAGTGGAAATGGTACTGCCGACTGCGTGGTCGGCGGGATGAACCATGCAGGCCGTCGCTTACTCCGACAGATGGGACACTCAAAATCGATGATGGCTTCAAGGTCCGAAGCGCCGGCCGCACTGGGAGGTGGGTGCGTGGTGCTCTCACAATGTTTCGTGGGGAACCCAGCGAGCGAAGGAATGGAAGCGTGCCCAGCAACAGAATCAAACGCACGGCGGCATATATTGTACAGCATGAACCGGCACCTGTACCCCCGACGAGCATCTCTGCGGCAACCAATGCCTCGCCATTCGCACATGATGGAAAGAGCAAGGAAGAGCCGAACGATGCCAGTGTGGAGCCCAGAATCTATGGCGGAGGAACGCTTCCTTGGCGATAGGTGGGCGACTGGGTGGACGAGGGCACAGCGGAGATGCCGCTGCCACTACCACTGCATGGCAACCATCAATCAGAGAGACAAAGGAAGTGTTTCGATAACCTGGAGTACAAAGATCAGCCGGAATTCTGCAATGAGTACGTGGTCTCTGACCCCGCCACTGAGCTCAGCATCCACTTTGACAAGCTTATACATTTGCGTTGGGAGCTAGCATGGGTATAAATAGTTTCAGAAGAGAGTTGCAAATGGGCAGTCTGGTCAACTTTTGGGCGAGCCGATGTGGAAGTCATTCAAAATCTTGGATGAAAATATAACGTCGTTTATCATAAGAAATGCATCTTCATAACCTACAAGAGATCTACGCCTGTCTCCGAGCAATGTTCACAGAGAGGGAGTGGCCGATCCGCTCCTTTCATCTGGCGTGAGAGTGGCAGAACGGTCGCTGTCGGTGCTGACCGTGCTCATGACACTGGCACGCTTGGAGAAGGCCGGCATAGCGTCCGCATCGAGAGTAGGGGTTTTTGGCCTGGACGTAGAGTTTGTTGGAGTCAAGCGAGAGGGCTTTGAGAGTCCACTTGGGGACTTCTTCTTCCGGCGTTCAGTGTTGGTGGTGCTGCCGGTTGTGCTGTTGCTCCAACGTCTCTCCCTACCAAACTTCTCATCGGCGTCAAGCGTGGGAGTCGTGCTTCGAGACGACGAGCGGGAATGCGAGCGTTCTCTCATGCGATCCTTGACGACGCTTGGGCGTCTCTTCTTGTCTTTGGGGACTTCGAGATACGCCGAGGAATGGGAATGAGTATGGTGGTGGTGATGGTGGTGGTGAGGTTTCTCGACATCTCCACTTCTGGATAAGCCTCTCGCATGGTTCCAGCCACGCCAGCCAGTCCACCAAAGCCAGCCACCTTCCAGCTTGGCCAGCTCACGCTCGCGCTCCTTGATGCGGCGGCGCAGCTCTGTGCGGCGTTCATTTTCCTTCTCCCAGTACTCGGTGCGATATATCTCCCAGTTTTGTCGGAAGTCGGCGGAGAAAGGCTTGGGAAGCAGCAGCAGCTTCACATAGTCTCCACCGGGGGCCACATCCTCCTCAAGCAAGCCGCGGTCGTTGGGGGCAAGGCGAACGCGTGGGTCCTTCTTGTCGGGCTCTACGTAGTGATAGCTGCTGCCAGGAGTAGGGAAAAACAACTGGTAGGGGATCAGGAAGCTGAGGTGACTGAGCATCTCGCGCCACCAGGGGCCCTTGATAAGCACGATTTTGCAGTTCATGCTACGCAGGCCGCGGTTGGCGACGGCAATCCAGCGACGCGGCCAGCGCACACCGCGCTCCCATTGGCCAGTGGCCCAGAAAAGCACGGCGGTCACAATGCCTGAGGTGAAGGCCAACTTCTCACCCGTGTCGACGACCCAGTACACGCTGCCTCCAACACCAGTCCCATCTTCGCGCGGGCGCAGGAACAGGGCATAGCCAAAGTAGGCGGTCCATAGAGCGAGCAGGGTCAGCACGAAGGTGTTTTGGCGGCGGCGAGCGCGCAATGTCAGGTACTGGGAGCGCAGCGAGGCCTCCAGGATCAGCAGGTTGAGGTAGATTTGCGGCGGCGATGAGGGCAGCAGACTCGTGGGGTCGACGGGACGGACGTCGCGGGCGGCGGCAGCGACCTGTGGGGCGGTGACAGTCGGCGGCGGGGCGCCTTTGACAAGCTGGTCGAGTTTTGACTCGGACATGGCTGCTACCGCGGTTGCTTCATGCCGGGCTTGGGCGGAGTCGGTGATGGTGGAGGGCGGTGGAGAGCGAGCGGGTGGTGTCGCGCACGCGCTGGCTGGGGCTCAGCAAGCGGAGGTCGGCCAAGGCCGCTACGCCAGCACCAGCGCCAGGGCCCGCCCGGCGTCATTGCGTTATGTATGTACGGCATGACTGACTGCTTCTCTCCGCTAACTCCGCCACTGATCCTCCTCGATCCGTCCCAACTCTCACCCTTCTCTCCTGCGCTGGTCCGGCCCACATGCGACGCGCCCACCCTCCTGTCGGCTGCTGTCGCTGCTACTCGACCGAAGCTGCGCTCTCTACGTCCCGCGCTCGTTCCACGCTCCGTTTCGCCCTTGCCGCCGCGTAGCCATTGCCGCGCTACTGCCACCATGGCAGCGCCCGCCAACAGCGACGAGGAGTTCCGCTCGCACACCCAACAAAGCCCGCTAGCCTCGCAGCGCGCGAGGCAGCAGGGCAGCGTCCCTCCCAGCGCCCCAAATGGACGCGGCTTCAACGGATGGTTTCCGCTAGGCTACAAGGAAGGCTTCAGTCAATGGGCACGCTGCTCCTTTCCAACTCCCACCGGCAACCTGCTAACACGATCATCTAGTGGGCTGGGCTCTCGCCCGCTGTGACAGAGCACAAGGTGCTCTCTTTCGTACCCTATCTGCAGAAACCACCTACCCACACCCAGACCGGTTCCGCCCCACCTTCTACCTCCCCTTCCTCGACGGAAATCTCAGGCAACCCGGCCGACGATGCGCAACCAGTCACAACGACGTCGGTCACTGACCCGTATGGCCCCCGAAGGTGGCATTCCAACCTAGTACAACTCTCAGGGAAAGAGCGCGCTCTCAATGAATTCACCGTTGAACGCGTGGGCGAGGATGTCGAGAACAACCTCGTCATGCTACACGGCTACGGTGCTGGACTGGGCTTCTTCTATAAGAACTTTGAGGGCCTCAGCCGTGCCCAGGGCTGGAAACTTTATGCATTGGACCTTCTGGGAATGGGTCGGAGCAGCCGTCCGCCCTTCAGGATCCACGCAAAGGATCACCAAGGGAAAATCACCGAGGCAGAGAACTGGTTCATCGATGCACTTGAGGAATGGCGGGTCAAGAAGGGCATTGATCGCTTTACACTGCTCGGCCACAGCTTGGGGGGTTACATGGCTGTTGCCTACGCACTCAAATATCCCGGTCATCTCAACAAGCTGATCCTGGCAAGCCCAGTCGGCATTCCGGAGGACCCCTACGCTGTCCAATCCGACTTGCCCGAACCTTCCGATTCCACCATGGCCAACGAGTTCACTCAAGACCAGGGTAGTGTCGCCGGCGGCTCCAACCCAGCCAAGCAGGGCGACAACAACAACTTTCTGAACGCGCGCTCAAAGGCAGCCCCGCAGGAGAACGGCAAGCCCCCAAGGAAACCCTTGCCGAAATGGCTGACCTACCTCTGGGATGCCAACATCAGCCCATTCTCGTTCGTGCGATGGTCCGGTCCGATCGGACCACGTCTGGTGTCAGGGTGGACCTCGCGCAGATTCTCGCATCTGCCAGCGGAGGAGTCGCAGGCACTACACGACTACTCGTACTCGCTCTTCCGCCAAAGGGGCAGCGGCGAGTACGCGCTTGCCTACGTGCTTGCTCCTGGAGCCTTCGCTCGGAGCCCCTTGATCCGCAGAATCCAGGGCGTCGGCAGACAGTTCCTCGGTCCACACGCCGGTCCCTTACCCGACGGCGACCGCCCAAGCTCGCCAAACACTGGCGAGCAGAAAAGGGAGAATGGAGTGCCCGTTGTCTTCATGTATGGCGAGAACGATTGGATGGATGTTGCGGGTGGGTTCGCTGCAGAGCAGAAGATGAAGGAGGAGAAGGAAAGGATCTTGGCGGGCAAGACAACGGAGGAGCAAAAGAACGACAATGGCAGCGCCAAAGTTCTAGTCATCCGAAAGGCCGGTCATCACCTCTACCTGGATGGGTGGGAACAATTCAACGAAATCATGCGGGAGGAAATGGCAGACGTAGAGCGGAGAGAAAGGGCGAGACTTGAGGCGAGGTGACGATTGTATGAAGGCGTTGGGATCAGGCTTGCGGCGTTAGACAGAGTATTATGTATAGATGGCCCGACGGTAATAGAAAGATCATCACTCTCGGCTCGCCGCGACACTACCGAGCCGAAGCAACCCCTGTCCCGCGACTCTTAACCGAAGCTGTTGGCTGGCGGGGTGTGGGGTAACTGGCAAGATGACGAGCCCGCCGAACATCTGTCTTCATCAACACAACACACCCCCATCACTAAAGCTCCGATAGCCTTGCGACTTGACAGCTTTGGTCGCCGCCTCTCTGCAAGCATGTAAGTAGGAAAAGCGGTCCAGGTTCTGTGTGTTTCCATTTCTAAGCCCCAAGCAGGGTCTACACAGCATCCTTCGCCTTCTTCGAGGCCATATGGGAAGCCGGCATTACGCATTGTTTCGTAAATTTGGGCTCGGACCATCCTAGCATCATTGAGGCTATCGTCAAGGGCCAGAATGAAAAGCAGGGGCATTTCCCTCAAATCATCACATGCCCGAATGAGGTTGCCTTCGCCTGCTCTCCGCCAAGCTCCGATGTCGCTGATGGCTTGCATTGTAGATGGTTGCGCTTTCCATGGCAGATGGCTATGCCCGGTAAGCTGGTCCGCCTCGGAATCGGCCCAGCCTTCACTAACCAAGCAGACTCACGAACAAGCCCCAATGTGTGATCGTCCATGTTGACGTCGGCACTCAGGGTCTTGGTGCTGCGGTTCACAATGCCTCCTGCGGCCGTGCTCCCGTGTTGATCTTTGCTGGTCTTTCTCCCTACACGATCGAGGGTGAAATGCGCGGAAGCAGGACTGAATATATCCACTGGATCCAGGATGTACCTGACCAGAAGCAGATTGTCGCCCAATATTGCCGGTACACTGGCGAGATCAAGACGGGCAAAAACGTCAAGGTAAGTAACGTCAGGAGTAGTGGGCGGCATGAATCGCTGACGTAACTTCAGCAAATGGTCAACCGAGCTTTGAGTTTTGCGACGAGTGATCCGAAAGGCCCGGTATATCTCTATGGTGCAAGAGAAGCCATGGAACAGGATCTGGAACCATACACGCTCGATCAAGCGTTCTGGAACCCTGTGGAGCCGCCTGCCCTGAGCCCCAAGGCTGTAAAGACGATAGCCGATGCTCTTGTCAACGCCGCGGAACCGCTAATTATCACCGGATATAGCGGTCGAAATCATGCAGCCGTCGGTGAACTGGTCAAGCTGGCTGATACTGTTCCAGGGCTTCGTGTGTTGGACACGGGTGGGAGCGACATGTGTTTTCCGGCGAAGTACGTAAGAAAAAAAAAAGCCTTGTTTTCTCTGCCCGTCTAACAAATACCAGCCACCCAGCCTGGCTCGGCCTACGTTATGGCGTCGACGAGAGCATCAAGACGGCTGATGTCATCGTGGTGCTTGACTGCGACGTGCCGTGGATCAACACTCAATGCCATCCGAAGGAGGGCGCCAAAATCTATCACATTGATGCAGATCCACTGAAGCAGCAGATGCCAGTGTTCTACATAAACGCGCTTGGAAGATACAAGGCCGATTCTGAGCTGGCCATCAACCAGCTTCACTCTTATATCGGTTCTTCGCCTGACTTGAGCCAGCGGGTGAAAAGTGCCGAGTACGACCATCGTCGGAACAAGCTCCAAGAAAGCCACAAGGAGAAGCTGGCCACGATCGCAAGCCTTGCGAAGCCGGGCGACGACGGTTCGTACGGGGCGTCATATCTTATCAGCCGTGTACGCAAAGCGTGCCCAGAGGACACCATTTGGGCGATCGAGGCAGTCACGAATACGCCATTTGTGGCAGACCAGATTCAGGCCACGATTCCCGGCAGCTGGATCAACTGTGGTGGTGGCGGTCTTGGATGGTCTGGCGGCGGTGTAGGTTCTCGGGTGCGATTGCTTTGTTGCTGGAAGCTAACCAGCCCTTTAGGCCTTGGGGATCAAACTCGCAACGGATAATGCTGGAGAAAAGAAGTTTGTGTGTCAAATTGTTGGTGATGGAACCTACCTCTTCTCCGTGCCTGGCAGTGTCTACTGGATCAGCCAGCGCTACAAGATTCCCATCCTCACCATTGTACTGAACAACAAAGGCTGGAATGCACCGCGGAGGTCGCTCCTGCTGGTGCACCCAAATGGAGAGGGGTCCAAGGTCAGCAATGAGGAGCTCAACATCTCATTCGCCCCTACCCCTGACTACTCGGGCATTGCAAAGGCGGCATCAGGAGGCGAGATATGGGCAGCGCATGCGAGCACGGCAGAGCAATTGGATAAGCTACTGCCGGAAGCAGTGAAGAGTGTTTTGAATGGCACCTCGGCGGTGCTGGATGCGCACCTGGACGGCCCGCAGGGGAAGTATCCTGGGAACAAAGCGGCACTGGTCGGCTGAGACATTGGCATGGCGAGCTTGGGAGTGGGCATTGCACATTGTCAGATTGCTGGACGCAGAAAGGACCATAGATCTAAGAGCATTCAATTGCACGAAATCTTAGCCCGTAGGTGTTGCCCACAGTACAGTTTCCGACCCTTGTGACCCTAAGCAGCAACATAGTGTCTGTTTGGTAAGACCCGAAGGATAACTGAAAAGTCGTGACCTGCTCGAGACTGGCTAACTTATACTTCATTTCCACGCTAATCGAGCAAATAGTGCAGGAGCAATGGATTACAGCTCCTGCTTCTCCTGGAAGTCTTTCCAGTCCTTCAAGATTTTCTGGTCGAGGTTATCTGCCGCGTCGGTCCTAGAGCGGAAGCCGCCGGGCAGGCGTTCGACGATAGAGCGGACGTGGGTGGGGAAGCGAAGCTGGCTGTCCGGGATGTGTGGGTTCTCGACGGCGAATCTCACAGCACGGGTGAGGTTGAGAGAGTGCTTCTCGGGAGGCCAGTGGCGGATCTGGGAGCCCATCTGACGCAAGGAGTGGTCGGGCGGGTTGTCGGCGAGGCGGGCCCAGCTGGAGGTGCTCAGATCGTGAGTGGGGGCTGGGGTATGGTAGGTTTGCAGCCAGTCGTCTTCGTCGGTGATGATGCGCATGGTCTTCTGGATGCTCTTGGTAATGGTGGAGCGCACAGCGCCCTCACTGCGTTGGCCGCGGCGTCTCGTCTCACCCTTGAGGCCACGGCAGTAGTTGTGGTATGAGCAGAAATGATGGGGCGTCCACGCGCTATTGACGATGCGCATCGCACCCTCGGGACGGTGGGCCAGATTCAGCAGGAAGACGGATATCTCGGCCATGGTGAGTTCGAGCCCGCCGAGGTCCACCGTGGGCGGCGGGTGTTGTGGTTCGAGGCCATAGCCGACCGTGCTGGTCGAATTGAGATACCTCGCCGCCGCCAGCTTGCGCATACGTGCCACGCACTGGGCGGCGGTCAGGCGCGGTCGAGGAACCGGCGTGTCGTCCGCCCTGCGCTTCTGTTCTTGGAGACGGTTGGACCTGCGCACATCGGAATCCGCCTTCAGTAGCAGCGGCGGAGTTGCTGGGAGTATGCGCGACGACGATGACACCACTATAGCACAGGAGGGCGTCTGCGGAACGGCCAGCGGCAGGTAGCCTTCGTACGTGTTGGGCGGCCCAGCACCGAAAGACCAGGTGGAGAAGGCGAAATGCGCATGATGGCGGTCAACCAGGCTGGCCTCTTCCGCCGCCGCTTCCATCTCAGCCTCTCCATCGATAGCCTGCGTGCTAGAAAGAAGAACGCTGCGCGCGATGCAACGAGAGCCTCGCTGCTGGCATGTGCTGCAAGGGAAGCCGTCATCGCAAAGCCTCCCGTCGCGGCTGACCCGATCGAGCCGGCAAGATTGGCAGGGAACAAGCCGCTTGACCTGCGACGCCATGGGGAAGGTTATGCGCCAGCCGCGGTCTTTGTGCTGTACTATGATCGAGTCGGTCGCGACGTCGACGCTGATCTCGCACCTGCCAGAAAAGGCGACTGCCTTGTCCCACCGCTGCGCTGCATCTCGGACAACGAAAACAGCCGCAAACACTGCTGTTTCTGCCCGTTCTCAGAGTATATTTCATATCTTCTCGGTGACGGGTTGGATGACTTACGGTCCGCGGAGGACGGGTCCATGCGATGTGGTGCGGAGGACATGTTGGCGTTGACAGTGGTGGCGCAGATGGCGGGCCAGAAACAATGCTCAAGGAAGGCGCAGAGAACACGCCGAAAATCGAAGCTCGGGCCAGCTGCCGCGCTAGGCCGGCAGTGTTTATTCTGCCGGGGCATTGTTCACGCCTTGCCGCCGAAGTGATGATTGTCCTCTCTCGCAACCGATGGCTAGCGTGAAGAAAAGCAAGGCCCCAGGCGTAGCTATGCCTCAGCTCGTTCTTAGGACAATAACACATGTAGGTAGTCGAGGCCATCGTCTGGACGAAACTGTGGAATTAAAAATTCTACATACACGTCGGGACATGAGCGACAAACAAATCCACGCTAGCCATCGGCTGTAGTCCAGCATCACCATGTGCCCTTCACCCGCACTTCCCTCACTCTGCTTCCACCACAGCTCCAAGTGACAACCTTCGTTCGCAAATTTTCTACGCACACATCCGCACGATAGCTTCAACCACCCGCACATGACTATGGACCGGTCATTCGACTTTGAGATATACCGACTGGACAACAAAATCAGGCTTGCGCGTGTCCTGGGTCACATTGACCGCCTAGCTGATCTGCTCCGCGGTAAAGGAGGCTGCTCCGCCTTCCAAATCTCCGTCGAGCTCGGCCGGTGCTTGGTCGCCGCTTTTGCCTTCAGCCTCAATGACTCTTCTCCCACTGTTGACGTAGCCACGAGCTTCGTCATCCGCTGCCATGCTCTACTTCTCGGTTATGAAACAGACGATAAGAGCATGCCACCAGACAAGCATTGTTGGGCTTTCTTCTTCTACTTGGTCACCAAAGAGCTTGGTGCCCATCCGAACAAAGCCGTTGCTTGCGAACACAGCACACTCATGGTGGCCAAGACGATTCACTTCGGTCACCATGTGCCCATGGCCATCACCAACAAGGCTGCCTTCGAACAGCTCTGCGAAGACTTTGCAAATGCTCAGCTCGAGGCCCTTGTGCAGCGCGCTCACCACGAACCAGCCCTGCTGTCGTACTCCATCTTCGGCTCTCTTCGCTCAGTCATCTTCAAACCGACAGCGGATTCCGCTGGTAGCGTCTTCCACGTGGCTAAATTCTTGGGCCAAAGTCTGCGCGAGCACAACGTCCTTGTATGTCCCGACAATATCAGTAGGACCTTCACCAAGGTCCTGGCATCTTGCGCCCTTTGGAGCGGGTCCCACGTAGGCGGTAGCTTTGCGGCCGAGTTCATGCAACGATTCCTCGTCTATTCTTCTATCGACCGTATGGAGGGGCGTCCACGCGGCATCCTTGCACCGGATCTCCGGATTTCAACTGCTTTCCTGCGCCTCGTCCACTATTGTGCCACAATATGGCATTCACCAGCCCACATGGCTGACCACAGTATTGGCACAGAGCTGCAAGAGGAGGGCGAGGCCATTGCTGTTGAGCGCGTGCTGGATGCAGTGCTCAGGAATGCCGACCCGGTTGGTAGAATCACGAGAGAAACATTGGAAGCTATCGTCGTCCGGGAGCCGCCCGGTATGTACAACTGCCCAACTGCCTACCGTGCTAAACTAACCATTGTGGCTGCCAGGTCCGTGTCTGACGTGGGGTGAGTGTAGTAGAATCCTATATCGCCGGGAAAACCTGGCCGCCTCCGTTCTGCAGCGTGGCATGTATCCCCACAACCTTATGGCTTTCACAGGAGCTCCGCCCTACAATTTAACCCCTCCCTCGTGCCAACTGACACCAGCCGAGATAATCTGCTACTTTCCCAACATCTTGTGCATTCCGGAAATCTGGAGGTGGATGACGAACCATGGATGGACTCCGGTAAGCTCTCCAATCGGCTCAGTGCAAGACGCAGCGCAGCTGACGTCGTTCAAGGTCAACATCCCAAAGCTTCTGAACAGAACACGGGCGCTAGATGGCATCTGGAAGCTGAGTCACAGCACGTTCCGCAATTGGCAGCGTAATGCCAACGCTTGTTTCCGAGATGAGAAGGATCTGATGTCCCCTCCGCCCACCTCAAAGATCAACATTTCGCCTTACGTCCACGCCTACTGCAACGCCCCGAAGCGTGGACGCCATAAACGGACGGTAGAGATGACCATGTCGAGGCTTGTGCACGCGGTCAAGCGGCACCCGACGGGCGATGATGCCGGTTATTTTACCGCGTTAGCCAAGTACGCAGCCGCCAGCGGAGATCTTGGAGGCAAAATTCTTGTGAGCCAAGTTCGCCACACAGATGATGTGCTGGTTCCAGAAGAGGAAGCTCTGCGACTGGCCTCCGGCGTTGGCAGCATACCAGAGAATATGGGCGGCAACGCTACTCACGTGTATGGGAATATCCAAGAAGAAAACGGTGATTCTTCTCAAATCGACGGCGTATACGAAGAAGCTTGAAAGTTAATGCTCCAGGAACTGTACTTGCTTTCTCATTTCGCAATCATGGACAGGGCGCATATCACTTCGTCATTCGAACCGCCGCCGATGCTGGGGAGACCGACTGGACTATATACGCTTCAATAGAACTTATATCATTGCTGCAATGCTCTTCATGCTGACATTATTTGTGTTGGGTCTTGCGACCAATCTGCATTTATACGTGCGAGCATACTTCAAATATGAAAGACGATCGCGTAGACGTACGGAAAGTGACATGTATTGCACAGTGAGAAGTAGTTTTACTTTCCGTATTACACGAGGTGAGGGGGTGCGATATACAGGCGTGGAGTGCTAAGGGCGGACGATGGCGGGTTGAAGTGAGCTGCCGTGCGGCGACATTTGGCGGCGAAGTCACTGCGGTTAAGGGCCATCCCAGTTCTGCAAAGAGCGACCAGTTGTCGTGTTAGGCAAGCTCGAGAGAGACGAGGCAGCGGGCCAGCTGCCATGCCAACCAACAAACACGTTTGATCCAACCCTTTCCTTTCTTCCCCCATTCACTCGCTTCCTTTGGCATCTTCTGGCAGTGCTGCGCATTGCCAACATCCATCCATTCGCTTCGGCTTGGAACAAACAAGCCTCACCGCCAGCCCATTCATTGTAAGTATTGTTTAAGGCCATCGCCATAGCTCAAGATTTCGGACATGGTGACTGACGACGTTGACCTAGCAAAGATGCTGTTCTTCTATTGGCTTCTCTCCCTACTGTCGTTCACACCCTTCAACCCATTTCACTTCGCCAACGTCTCAGGCGAGACGCCAGACAAGCCTCTTCCTCTGGACACGGGCTACGAAGTCGAGACGACGACCGTGTTCAGCGTCAATGGACCTCACAATGCCGACTTGGTTGCAAGCTCGAGCGCCCAGGAGGTTGCTTACGCACCGGAGAGCAAGACGCTTGACGTAGAGATGCACGGCGAACCCGAGCCGGTTGACGTTGTTCTTGCTCCTGCTGTCAAGGTCGACCACATTCCACTCGTCACTCACGTCCTTAGCTACAGTCTTTCTCAGCTTCTCGTCGCTGTAGCTCGGATTGGAAGCAGGCCTGGTCTCCAGAGCAGCTGGCTCTGCCTCTTCGTCATCCTTTTCCTTTTTCGGTACGTTCGCCTGGTCGTCCACATCATTGCCTACAACAGCTTCAAGGCGAAGCCGGTCCTGGAAAATCCGACGTTCACTGCAAAGGATGTCACGGTCATCATCCCCACGGTCGAGCCCCGCGGTCAGGCGTTTGAGGAGTGCATCCACCGCGTCCTCGCCAATGGTCCGGCCAGGGTACTCGTTGTCACGGTCGGCAACGAGAACATCGGCGACGCCACTGAGTACTGCAAAGCACTGAGCCCCTCGATCCTGGTTCTCTCGGTGCCCGCTCCAAGCAAGCGTGAGCAGGTCAAGCGCGCCATCCCGGAGATCGAGACGGCCATCACGGTGCTCTGCGACGACACGGTCTTCTGGCCGGAAACCTTCCTCACGCACGTGCTTGCGCCCTTCGAGGACGGGCGCGTTGGCATTGTCGGGACGTGCAAACGTGTCCGCCGTGCCTTGGGCCGCTTTGGGCTCGCCGACTTCTGGAACCTCTGCGGCGTCATGCGCCTTGAACGCACCAACTTCGACCTCGCCTCGACCAATGCCGTCGACGGCGGCGTCAGCTGCGTGTCTGGAAGGACCTGCGCCGTCCGGTCTTGCATTCTCCAGGAACCGGCCTTCCAGGAGGAATTCACGAGCGAGTACATCTTCTGGAAGCGTTTTGGCCCGCTCAACGCCGGCGACGACAAGTGGATGACGCGCTGGGTGATGAAGCGAGGATGGACCGTCTTCCACCAGTCCTGTCCCGAAGTCCGTATCGAAACCATCCTCGGCGTCAAAGGTGGTGGCGCGCGGTTCCGCGGACAGTGTCTCCGCTGGGCTCGGTCGAGCGCACGCGACAACCCGAAGATGATCTTCCGAGACGGTCTTTGGCGCAGGTATCCGTGGACTACCTATGCCGTCCTGGCCACCTCGGTCGTCAACTACGCGATGCTGTACGACCCTCTCCTGGTCTACACGCTGCACAAGGCCATGGGCGGCCCCGACTCTCGCCCTCTGCTCCTCTTGCTCGTCCTCTGGATCCTGGCCACCAAGTTCGTTCGTCCTGCCTCCCACTACTGGCGCCACCCCGGCGATCTCGTGTATGCCCCGTTCATCATCCTCTTCGGCTACTACCACTCGTGGATCAAGCTCCATGCGCTGATGACTTGCTGGGACATTTCTTGGGGTACGCGTGCCGGCATCGATACGGCGGCGAAGCTTCCCAAGGCGGCTTGAAGTCTGCCGGTTTGCATTGCTTTGGTGTCATCTCTTATTGACTTTTCCTTGACGGGTTGGTTTCTGGCCAAGGTGCTATTCTTTTCGAGAGGTTATGGATTAGAGAGATTCTACAAACTGACGATATCATGACTTGATGCGGCGATGACAACGGATAAAAAGATATCTCTTAATTCTGCCAAAGGGCAGAAACCCTTAGACATTAGAGTCAAATAATAATGTATAATTCTCACCAGAAAGAAAGAAATTCAATGTGTACATGTACAAACAGACTCCTCACTTGCCGTACACCAAAACCTCGTGCAACCCGACGGCCCAGTCGGCCTCGTTGTTGTTGTGAATGTTGATTACTTTCTGGACGTTGATGCGGATGTATCTGTGCGAACCGGAGCCGGTGATCTTGCTGGATCTAAAGCCAACGGCAGTGTTGGCGCTCTCGTCGGCGAGCTCGGTGAAAGTCTTGCCGTCGCTGCTCCCGGTGATGTTGTACTGTATGTACGTCTCGGAGCCGGCGACTTGCTTCGGCGTCACGTCGACCTGGCTGATGTCGTGGGCTTCGCCGAGGTCGACCTGCCACCAGAAGGGGACTCCGGACGGGGTGAAAAGGTTGTTCGCATCGTCCTGGATGCCGTCGCTGGCAGCACCGGGAGCAGAGTTGCTCGCAGCACCGCTGGACGTGGCCGTCTTGCCGACGCTGAGGATGCGTCCGTTCTGCACGCCAACGACGACGCCCGAGTTGTCGTCATACTGCAGCGTGTCGTAGAAGGCGTAGGAAGCGAGACCGTCGCTGAAGGCGATGGGGAGCAGGATCTGACGGTTGGAGGGCTCTGGCTTGGCCCACTGGGCGGCCCAGCGGTTGGCGGCCATGACATAGTTGTCGCCGATCTTGTCGACCTGGCCCGACTGGGCGCCAAAGTTGACGACGTTGCCGATGTTGCGAGAGGCGCTCCACGGCCCCGAAAGCTTCTGGGCCGAGATGAACTTGCCCGGCGACGGATACCAGCCAGCCGCCGTCGACGTGAACAGGTAGTAGTAGCCGCCCTGGTGGACCATGGCCGGGGCTTCGCGGTGCTCGCCCGCCTGAAGCGTCGCCACCTTGCTCGTGACATTGGTCCACTCGGCATTGAGGGCGTAGAGGCCGAGGTCCGAGTTTGTCTTGATGGCCGAGATGAGGTAGCCCGAGCCGTCCTGGTCGGCGAAGAAGGTGAGGTCGCGCGAATCGTCTCCCGCAGGCCTGAAAGCCCCGCCGAAGGTCAGGCTCTTGCCCGGAGTGCCGTATGCGACGGCGACGCGGCCGAGCGTGTAGTCCTTTGCCTTTTCAAAATGCGCCCACATGACGACCTGGCCGGACTTGGGGTGCTGGGCCCAGTTGATTGACTCGAGCTTGCAGAATCCATCGTCGGTCGAGGCGCAGACGTCGGCCCTGCTGAGGACCGTCGTGTCGCCGCTGAATGTGTAGCCATCCGACGACGTCTGCTGCGAGAAGTGGCTGAAGCCCTGCGAGTCGGTCACGTAGTTGTATCGGTAGTAAGTCTGCCCTGAAACCAGGTTGCTCTTGATCTTGAGCGACGACGCAGCCGTGTTGTCGTACGTGTTGAGCCCGGACGCCGAGCTGCCCGGCGTCACGGCAATGTCTCCCGACGCATCAACCTTGGAGCCCCCGTTCATTGCCTGGATCTGAAAGGTCGAGGCGCCGTTGAGGTCATAGACGTCGTAAGTGTTGCCCGGCGCGCTAGCAACTCGGTCGTAGGAGCCACTGCTCGAGCGGCGCAGGATGTCGTACGAAGTCGCGCCGCTGACCGTGGTCCAGCTCAGTTTGACATTGTTTGCGCCGTTTCCGCCGTTCAGTTGGAACAGCTGCGCCGTTGCGCTGATTTTTGCCACGGCGCACAGCGGCAGGAGCGCAAACGGGAAGAGAGTAAGAAGGGGGGCCATGGTGAATGCTGGATGCTTCGGTCTGTCTGCCAGAACACGCCGAATCCGTGGCCTTAAATACAAGTCCATTATGAGCCTGACCCCGGTCGGCATGAGAGCAGAGGCTGAAGCTATTCTTAGCATTATACTTCGGGCCAGGGTAGGTTAAAGTTGCAGCATGAAGTCTACCGAGGGGCTCTGCAGCCGAAGAATAATTGGGCCCCGGGGCCAGGGGTCACTATGCTTTTTTATTACGAGGAAAGACCAGTGTGGGCTGTCGTCCGGACGAGAGTGTATAATTTTCAATCCCACAACTTGCGTCCGGACCATGGCTTCAACCTCCCACGACATGAGCGAAAAACAAACCGACGCCAGCCATCGGCTGCAATGCCCCTTTGCAGCAACCCGGCCCGTCGCCGAGTGTGAGAGATCTGGTGAGTCGAGAGGGAGCGCGTCGATCCTTTTTCTAAAGAGAGAAAAGCGTAGTCAACGTTCAAGCCACTAGCGCGCGGTACCCGGACGGCTAACGGTCGCCATTCCCTCGCGCTGAAGCTTGAGAGCACCTCACCCTGCGACCCACTGCCTGCCACTTCGTGTTGCCTGCTCGTGTATTCCTGGTCACACCCCCCGCACTCATATCCACCTCAGCCCACCGGACTCGACCCCATCTCCACCACTTGCCCTCGGATCTTCTTCGGTTCTCCCCCACCAGTGGAGCATCGTCCTATTTTTACGGACCCGTCCCCGCCCGGCCCGCTCTTGCTCCAAGTAGCAGGTGAACTAGAATTAGGCAAATTCAAGCATTCGAGCTTAAATTTCAAGCATACAAAAGCAACCACTCTCACCCAGAATTCACCCCTTTTCCCTCGTCGCCACCCAACACTCACTGCATGCCCTCCGCCGCGGAAACAGTGGTACGAGTCGATTGCTCTCTACATCTATCCTGTCATAGCTCGAAACGCCATGGGATTGCGATTGTCCCGTAACCCGGGTCCCAGGGTCCGCTTTAGCGCCGTTGATCAGACAGCAGTCAGATGATTGCCATTTCCACCGTGAGCCTTATTAGCCTGGACTCCGCACGCCACATGAAATCGTGATGCCGACAGCGTAATTTTGAGATGGCCATCTCTCCAACACTATGCAAACCCTCCGCATTGCGTCATTGGCGACAATCCCCATGTCAAAAAGGAAACGAAAGCTTCATGCCACACACCGTGAGCCGATCGCCGTCTGCAGATCCACGCCCGACAGCTCGTGCACCAAGTCGATCTTGAACTTCAGCTTGTTTCATTTCTATCTCCTCATCCACGGCCTTCTCCGTCCATGTTTGATACTAAAATCACTACTTTGGCAAAAAGAGATGCAAGACGAAACGAAGATAGTGGCAGGCCCTCAGGCTTCCAGTGCCAGGTGACATGCTGCGGTGGCTGTTTGCGAAGAAGAAAAGCCTGTGGTATCCAGTCCCCGGCATCCTTTCCCCTCCTCTTCATCTTCCACCCGTGAAAACGAAACTCCTTGATCCCTTTCTCTTCCGTCCTGATTCCTGCCAAGATCGAATATGAGCCCCCACCCGAAAGCCAGCCAAATTTTCCTCCGAAAAAAAGACCCAAAAGCAAAATCTGCGATGATGATATGAATGAAGCAAGGGATTCCCGTCCTGCAAGATCGACCGACTGCCAAATTGTGAAGAGGATAGCGATTATTAGTAGATAGGGAGCCCTGTCCAGGAGCCCGTCATGCCGCGCTGCTTCGAATGCGACGGGCTCGAGGCTTCAGGCCAGGCGCGAGGACATGATGACGGTTAAAGGAAAGGGGGAAACTTAAGGAAACGCTCATTAAACATCGCATGTGCGCACACGAGGCAGTGCGCACACCCACTATGACCGAGGAAAATGAGAGGCTAACAAAAAGAAAAGAAAAAAATGAACGCAACCAGCAAAGCAAACAACCGCCAGACAGGATCAGCCAGTTGGACGGCCGCGATGGGAAGGCGCGAAGAGGACAAAGCATCCTCGGAGAAAACCTCCCGCCCATCGATGAGACGCAACAAAGGAAACAAGGGAAATGAGTATATCGAGGGAAACTTTTTTTTGCGACGATCTCAGTCGCATTGGGAGCTGGTTTCAATCGTCGTGTTGAAGAAAAAAAAAAGGACCCGGAATTAGATTCCCTGAAGTGACGAGCCCCCAAAGCAAGATGTCGAACGCCGCCGGACACCATGAAACTCCAATGCTTGCAGGCGCAACCCTCGTGCGAGAAAAATCCGTGAACGCGTATGGAGGAAGAGAGAAGAGAGATGAGGTTTCGTAATTGTGTGTTGGCCGTATGATTTGGTATCGGGTGTATTATTGCGTGCCAGGGGGATCGGCTGTGCACAGACGGTTTCTGAGTCGGCGATCTGCGGTAAGGCGAGAGTGGGTGCGGAGGGTATGGTGATGGATCATAAGATGCCTGAGTCTTTGAGCGCGTTTTGCAAGATGGTCTCTTTGACCGCGGCAAAGACGAGCCGGATGTTCGACGTGTCCGTGGCTTGTGTGAGGCTGGTTTCGTGGTCAGCTCAAAGCTGCCCGCATCCGCGAGACATGGCTTGACTTACTGTGGGTAGAGATTCAGATGCGCGCGGTTTACCTGGTTGAATCTCCACAGCAGATACTTGGCCGCGCGATTGACGTCGTTGCCGCCAGAGTAGTCCGGGAAATAATTGCCCAGAGGCGATCTTGCAAGCTTGGCCTTGAACAAATCCACTTTGTTCAGAAAGAGAATGATACTCGTCCGCATGAACCACCTCGAATTAACCACCGAATCGAATAACACCAAGCTCTCCATCATCCGGTTCTACTCCCGTTAGCTCGCCGACGCGCTGCCAAGAATTTAGACGCCCTTACCTGACTGCTTTCCTCGAGTAGCACCTGGTCGTACTCGCTCAATGCGACGCAGAAGATGATAGACGTGACATTTTCGAAACAGTGTATCCACTTCTTCCGCTCGCTTCTTTGACCGCCGACGTCGAACATGCTGGGTCTTGTGTCAGCGCACCCGACACACACAGACACGGGCTCCATGCTCCATCTTACTGTATGCTTAGCTGTCCCATTGTAAACCGCGTCTCGTAGATACCCGTCGTTTTGGTACGCGCCCGCAGGACGTCGGATTCTATGGGGATATAATCGGGGGCTGCTATCCGGCCGACTTCGTCAAAGAAACTGCCGCCTGTTAGCCTGCAACCCGCTTCGCGAAGGGCAAGCGGCGTACTAAGGCGCCGAGTCCATCAGGTAGAACTCGCTGGAGCGGTCGAGCACCTGCTTGACGCAGGGGTCGTGCCAAACAGAACTAATGGCCTGGCCGACCTTTGCGTCCAGCGGCTTCTCCGGATCGGGGTCCACCACGTATTCCATCAGGTAGTCGCAGTATTCATCATTGCCCGGGAGCTCCGGTTCGATGTCAAACTGCCGCATGGCGCCTATGAGCGACTTTGCACAGTCGATAACGTTCTTGTAGATGGTGAGGCGGTACATGGAGAGTTCCTCGACCGTGTAGCCGTTCTGATGTATGATCTTCATCTGCTTGACAATGGTCGACTTGCCGCTCTCGCCGGAGCCTGCACAGCCGGGTTAGCGCGGTGGCACGCGGGGGTCGAGGAAGCGTACCCAGCAGTAGGATCTTGCATTCTCGCCGTAATCGCCTCGAGTCCTCCTCCAGCTTCTTGTCAATCGCCTGGCTCCGCTTCTTCTGCTCTGCATCCTCGTTGTTGGTGCTCATGCAAATGCCCATGGTGGCTTATCGCCGCGGCGGCAGCCGGCGACGCTGACGGACTGGGCAGGAGGACGCGGAGGGTGGTCCCGGATCGCGCACCGCGGCGGGAGTGTCGGTGGTGGATGGGCGAGACAGGGCGCGGTGGTTGACTCGTCGACGTCAGTCCCGGGGCTGGCTCGGCGTGGGTGGGTGCGATGAGGTCGGGTGCAGTCGTCGCGGCTGAGGAGCGGCGAGGCGGAGGGATGCGGCGCCAAGTGCGGGAGAGGCAGCGCCGGGTTGGCGGGCGGAGGGAGCTCGCTCTGGGGTCGTGGCGGACACTCGCGCGGATGCAGCGGCGGTGGAGGTTGGGCGAGGTCTGGCGAACGGAAGAGACGGCCGTTGGATGGAGAGGTATGTGCTGCGAGTCCCTGTACTCTCGTTTCGCGCAGGCAGGGCGTCCGTGCGCCTTGCGAAGTGACCGGGTGCGGTGGGCGGCGGCGGCGGCTGATGAGGAGGCTAAGGGCCGGCCTGGGGTGACGGGTTCAACAGCGGGAGAGGGACAGCAAGCAGCGGCGTGGAGACGGTGATGGCAGGATAAACTGGCGAGTCGGTCCCTCACCGGTGGGAGATGGCAGGGGTGGTGGATGAAGGAAGGCTCTCAGACAGCACGCACAGGCAGGAGATGCTTTGTCAAGGGCCGCACTCTCAGCCGCCCAGCAAAAGCCCATTGCCAAATATAAAGTCGCTCGCCGATCGGGTGGGTGTTTCAGTACCGATGCCTGCGAGCGCTGCCCATGGGACCAGGCGGCTCTGCGCGCGGGCGGCTGCGACAGGTTGGCCACTAGGTCCTCTCTCATACGTATCACGCTGCCGACGGCGATCATGGTGCTGCGCGCCGAAATGACCTCGGACATACCTACTCGCTCCTTCGCACCGCGCCCCCTTCTCCTGGCCGCCGTTATTTGACGCCCGCCGCCGTGCCACCAGCGCTGCTGCTCGATGCCCTTCATATTATTCGGCGCCGTCTGTGACCTGGCCTGTTTCATCGCCAGGCACCCAGCGCGCAGCGCCTCGCTTATCGGCGCCAGCGAAATGGCAATCCGCATGTACAGGAGTAATGAGTGGCGGGTTGCAGAAGATTTGAGCCACGAATCGAAGGGACGCCACACGTGTGGGCGGCGGGAGCAAACCTCCGGCTGATGAGACGGAAAGCCCAGCCAGATATTATTCCTTGTCACCTGCCGTAGCGTGCGCTGGCAGCAAGCAGCGATGCGCGCGTGAGGCGGCCCTCCACCAATGCCTGGCGGGCGAGAATGGATGCGATTTCTCGATTCCGATGCTGAAAACGAACGACTAATGAACGACTAGCGACAGCCACAGCTGGGCCGTGGTGCCGCCGACATGCGGGAGTCCAGGTTTTCGCTCATCAGGCTCTGGGCCAGCCCCTCCCATCCGGCGGATCACCGCTCGCGACCAGGCAGCACACGCAGTTCACAGCACCGCGCCGCGCCGTCGCGCGCTCTGGGTCAGCTGCGCCGGCCAGCCGTGCTTGCGCGCGCTGCTGCATTGTGAGGCTGGCAACCAATCTGGCGTTGCGGGTGTTCCTTGCCGGGCACTGGACCGAGCAGCGTTAATGAATCGCGCATCGGCAGGCCCACGCGCCTCATCGCAGTGACGTATGTACCAGCCTAGCCACTGAAGCCATCGGAATAGCCAGGTCTTCGAACTACTAGCCTTTTGGACATCGGCCCAGCGCAAAACACCACACCTCGTCAATCGCGTCTCGTGCGATACCCTCCCCTCCTGCTCTTCCCAGCTCCCAGCCTGCGGCTTCGTCTCCCGAACCACTCAGCGCTCGCAAGCGCCTGCCGCCACACATCACCACTTCCCCCCCCTCTCCACCAGACGCTCCCGCTCGACGCTCGACCGCCCACCCCTGCTCCTCAGCAACAAAGCCGCCTCATCCCCTCGTCCACAGGCTATCGCGCCCGCAGTCACCATGGCGGAGTTTGTGCGCGCCCAGATCTTCGGCACGACGTTCGAAATCACCAGCAGGTTCGTCGTGGCCCAATGCCGCCCGCCGTGCAGGCGCGCCGCTGACCGCAATCGCATAGGTACACCGACCTTCAGCCCGTCGGCATGGGCGCTTTTGGCCTCGTATGGTATGCTTCTTCCTGAAAAACACGTCGCCGAACGCGTCGCTAACCGGTGTGCGTGTGTGCGTGCGTGCAGTTCGGCCAAGGACCAGCTCACCGGCCAGGCCGTTGCCGTCAAGAAGATCATGAAGCCGTTCAGCACGCCCGTGCTGTCGAAGCGGACATACCGCGAGCTGAAGCTGCTGAAGCACCTGAGGCACGAGAATGTGAGGCTCTCGGTGCCCCGCCAGCAAACCCCGCTAAACCGTCGGGCAGGTCATCAGTCTTAGCGACATCTTCATCTCGCCGCTCGAGGACATGTAGGCGAAATCCTTGCCGCAAGCCCGGGCAAATTTGCTTACGCCCGTCTAGTTACTTCGTCACCGAGCTGCTCGGCACGGATCTGCACCGTCTTCTCACGTCGCGGCCTCTGGAGAAGCAGTTCATCCAATATTTCCTCTATCAAATACTGGTGCGCGCCCCCACGTGTGGCGAGGCCTTTGGACATGTTACTGACGTGTGCAGCGTGGTCTGAAATATGTCCACTCGGCCGGTGTTGTCCACCGCGACCTGAAGCCCAGCAATATCTTGGTCAACGAGAACTGCGACTTGAAGATTTGCGACTTTGGTCTTGCTCGCATCCAAGACCCGCAGATGACGGGATACGTGTCGACGCGATACTACAGGGCTCCCGAGATCATGCTCACGTGGCAGAAGTACGACGTCGAGGTTGATATCTGGAGTGCGGGCTGCATCTTTGCCGAGATGCTGGAGGGCAAGCCTCTGTTCCCCGGCAAGGACCACGTCAACCAGTTCTCGATCATCACGGAACTGCTGGGCACGCCGCCGGACGATGTGATCCAGACTATTTGCAGCGAGAATGTGAGACAGGCGCTGGTTGTTTTCGGAGCTGGGGCTGATGCAGGTTTTGCAGACTCTGAGATTCGTCCAATCGCTGCCGAAGCGCGAGCGGCAACCGCTGGCCAACAAGTTCAAGAACGCAGACCCGCTTGGTATGTCTCGGGAATAAGACGGGCCCAACTCGCGCGCTGACCTGATGTAGCCATCGACCTCCTCGAGAACATGCTCGTCTTCGACCCGAAGAAGCGCGTAAGAGCGGGCGACGCGCTGGCGCACCCCTACCTTGCGCCGTACCACGACCCCACCGACGAGCCGGTGGCGGAGGAAAAGTTCGACTGGTCGTTCAACGACGCAGACCTCCCGGTCGATACGTGGAAGATCATGATGTAAGACGAAGCTTGGTTCGGGGAGGCGGGCGCAGCAGCTAACACGGGAGGCAGGTACTCGGAAATCCTCGACTACCACAACGTAGATGCGCAAGCACCGGACGTCGAGCAGAACGGCAGTTAAGAGGGCAGCATGCAGCAAGTCTTGTTACGAATGCCTTACATCTCGGCTTCTTTTCTGTTAGAAAGCTCCTCGGCTTTGGAATACGCGGAAACATGGCATGGCAACCCCGGATCACATACTACATGGCAGCGGGCGAGTCGGCGATAAAGGGCGCTATTTTCCTTCCTCTGGGACTTGGGCGGCGGCGGGGAATCACGGAGCCCCGTGCGGGGTGTTTTCTTTTCTCTTTCCCATGTCTTCTTCCGCATGCGATACATAGACGAACAATGACAGCCATCGACAGCATGATGGCGTGCCGGAGAGGTGTCCGCACAATGATTTTTTCTTCCAACCATATTGCCCCCGGAGCTGACTCGTGGGCCCGGCGCTCTGGGTCATGGCTGCCAAAGAATGATGCAATGCGGTGGTGAGGATAAGTGCAGGCCGGCTTCCCGGCTTGTGTTGAACTGGCGGGGCCGGAAATAAATCCGTGGTCACGTGAATTGTGGCGGTGTGGCCGATCGCGATCTGGGCTGGGGTCTGTCTGCGCATCAAGATTGATCTTCGATCATTCCTAAGCAGCTTCGTCAACGATGGGATTCATCTACGTGTAAGTGGAAGGTTCTTTGCAGGCTTCTTCAGCACTCTCTCAGATGTGCAAAACACCGGGCGCTGGTGAGGCATGTCAATCACGCACAGTAGCGCTGCTTATAAATAGCTGACCAAGTATGTACACTTGCACCGCCTTGGCCAGCGCCTCTCCTAACGCTCGCGTAATGCTTCACAAATACTCTTCTCTATTGCGTCTCGTTGCCTCGATTGAAAATCTATAAATTCTCTTCATGTCCAAATCCAACACCTTCAGCGTGTCCAAATTAAAAGCAACAATAGCAGTCCTCATTGCCTTCATCCTGGCTTTCTTCACGCCCCTGCGTACGTTCGCCCCGAGCAGCCTTCTTTCCAGAACCTCGGCTTTCCGCACAATGGCGACCACTACCACAACTTCAACTGCGGCCAAGGCCTTTGGCCCTGCCGCCCCGCCACCAACTGCAACCAAGATTGTTCCTCGGCCGTGGAACGAGCGCGGTCACGCCGACCACGGCTGGCTGTACACTTACCACACCTTCTCGTTTGCCTCGTACTGGTCGCCGGAGCACGAGTCGTTCGGCCCGCTGCGCGTCATCAACGAGGACCGGGTGGCGCCCGGCACCGGCTTCGGGACGCACTCGCACGCCGAGTTCCTGATCTGGAGCTACGTGGTCGGCGGCGAGCTGGAGCACAAGGACTCGATGGGCAACCTCGAGTACCTGCACCGCGGCGACGTGCAGTTCACCAGCGCCGGCACGGGCATCCGCCACTCCGAGTACAACCGCAACAACAAGGACGAGGTGCACTTCCTGCAGATCTGGGCCAAGCCCGCCGTCAGCAGGCTGAAGCCCTCGTACACGACGCGCACCTTCCCGGACGAGCTGAAGCTCAACAAGCTCTGCCGCATCATGGAAAGCGTCGACCGCCACTCTGCCAACGACTCCAAGAGCGCGCCCATTCCGCTGCACGCCGATCTGAGCATGAGCGCCTCTCTGCTCGAGCCGGGCATGAAGGTCCGCCACCAGCTCGTTGCCGACGGCGAGCGCAAGGTCTACTTGCACGTCGTCATGAATGGTCGGGAGCAGCCGAAGGATGGAGGGGCTGCTATCCGGGTGGGAGATAGGATCCTGAGAGAGGGAGACGGTGCCTATGTTGAAGGGCTAAAGGGCCCGGGAGAGGTTGTGGTGGAAAGCGTAGGAGACAAGAGGGCTGAATTCCTTCTGTTTGATATGGAGCCTTGAGATCGGTCTGATGTTTGCTTTCTCATGTAAATAAAAGAATAGATGAGATACCGTTAAACGAAGCCTGCATTGTCATTTTCGGACCCCCAACGCCCCATCAGCAGTGAAAGTCCCAAGAGCAGGGGTTATGGGAGTTGAAAGGTGTAGACGTAGTCTGGGGCCTCGAGGCCCGATGATTCACCGGACCCCCCCAATCTTGGGCCTCGACTTTAGCCTAAACCCCTCACTTGGCGCTCCACCATGACTTGGATGGACAGTCGTGCCCCGCGATGATCTACCGGGCAATACGACCTGGGTGTTGGTTTAAAGATGGTTCTGTTCTGCGGCTCTTCGCCGCTCCAACTTTCTATCATTCTCAACATTTTGACCATCTCTAGCAATGGCAACCGGCATACTGAGAGTCGAGGGCGAGAACGTCGTTGGAAATGACGGTAAGCCAGTCATCCTCCGAGGAGCTGGCCTGGGTGGGTGGATGAAGTATATGCCCCCCCCAATCTCTGTAGTGAATTGCGTGTTGACCTGTGGAACAGCATGGAGAACTTCATCACCGGCTACCCGGGCCACGAGCACCAGCATCGTGCGGCAATGCTCAAGGTTCTTGGGAAGGAGAAGTACGAATTCTTCTTCGACAAGTGGCTTGAATACTTCTTCACGGCCAAGGACGCCGAATTCTTCGCTAACAAAGGCCTGAACTGCCTGCGCATACCTTTCAACTATCGTCATTTCGAGGACGACATGAACCCACGGGTGCTCAAGGAATCTGGCTTCAAGCACCTGGACCGCGTGGTTGATCTGTGTGCCAAACACAAGATCTACACCATTCTTGACATGCACACCGTCCCCGGCGGTCAGAATTGCGACTGGCACTCAGACAACGCGACCAATTACGCCGCCTTCTGGGACTACAAGGACCACCAGGACCGGACTGTCTGGCTGTGGGAACAGATTGCGACCCGCTACAAGGACAATGCCTGGGTTGCTGGGTATAACCCCATCAACGAACCGTGCGACCCCCTGCACTGGCGTCTTCCTGCCTTCTATAACCGCATCGAAGCGGCCATTCGGAAGATTGACCCGCACCACATCCTTTGGTTGGACGGAAACACATTCGCCATGGAGTGGAAGTACTTTGACAAGAAACTGCCAAATGCCGTCTACGCTCTGCACGACTATACAGTAATCACGCAGAGCTCCCCTCATTCGAATCCGCTTGCTGATCCTACTGCAGATGATGGGCTTCCCCAAAGGAGAGAGGTATACGGGCTCCACTGAACAGAAGTCGAAGCTGGAGCGTCAATTTCTTCGAAAGGCTGAGTTCATGTACAAGTTCGAGACGCCAATATGGAACGGCAGGCTCTCCCCCCCCAACATCTCCCCGTCCGTACATCATCATGCTGACCGACCTCACCAGGCGAATTCGGGCCCGTGTACGCCAACCCGGAGCTGGACGCGGACCACGCCGAGGTGAACGCGGCGCGGTACGAAGTGCTGTCGGAGCAGCTCAGCATCTACGACAAGTACAAGATCCACTGGAGCATCTGGCTGTACAAGGACATCGGCGTGCAGGGCATGGTGCACACGAGCCCGCAGAGCCGGTGGAACCGCACCATCGCGCCCTTCCTGAAGCGCAAGCGCGAGCTGCAGCTCGACGCCTGGGGCCGCCACCCGAGCAAGCAGGTCGAGGACGTCGTCTACCCCCTCGTCGACTGGATCGACCGCGTCGCCCCCACCAGCGCCCACCAGTACCCCACCTCGTGGGCCACCGAGCGCCAGATCACCCGCCTGATCAACCAGATCTGGCTGTCGACTTGCCTCCAGGACGAGTTCGCCGAGCTGTTCAGGGGCATGAGTTTTGATGATCTCGACGAGTGCGCCCGCAGCTTCGCGTTCGAGAATTGCGTCCAGCGCGAAGGCCTGAACAAAGCACTTGAGGATCACAGTGCCGTACCGGAGGTCGCGGCTGATTGGAAGCGTCCAGCGTACAAAGAGTCTGACGCTCAAGAGGCCATTGGTGTATAAGGTTCCATGGAAAGGAGTGGAGCACAGCAGGAAGAAGCGAGAGAGCAAAAGGTCATCACAAGCCAACAATAGGAAAAACGCTTACAATGGAAGTTTTTGACCACGAAATTACAAGTGACTTTCCAGGTGGTATTTGCAACTATGTACAGGAAGAAAGAGCGGTCGACAGCAGCTCAGTACGAGGAGGGCACCAAAGAATTGGCCCACCTCTCCACGTTGGCATACCCATCTACAACCGTCATCGAATCGTCCTTGGACGAGTCGGTACCAAGAGTCGTCTCGGCATCGTCAGGGATGCCGTCGCCATCGGTATCCTTCGGCGTGGAGCCGGGAGCGAGGAAGCCGGGCCCGTTCATGGGGCTGGCCGTCTCGTCGGAGATGAGGGCGCCGTCCTTGCCCCACGACTTGAGCTGGTCCACGAGGATGGCGTCCACACTGTCGCGCTTCAGCGAGGCGCCGACGCCATCAATGGCCGTCTGCACGGCGTCGGTGGCGCTCAGAATCTTCTCGGGCGCCGGGTAGTCGAACTTGGTGGCCACGAGGGCCATGCCGCCGTAGTTGGATGACGCCTCGCCCAGCTCGGACCCGTTGAGCTCGCCGTCCTTGTCCGAGTCGTACCAGTTGCCCTTGACGTAGGCGTTGAAGTTGTCGTTGCCGCGCGTAAAGGCCGTCACGCTCGTGCTGGGCCCAGAGATGAAGTAGTTGCCCACGACGTTGACGTTCGAGGTGCCGCTGCTGCCGCCTGCAATGTAGCCGCCGCCGCCGCCCCAGTTGTACACGACATTGTTGGTGAAGTCGTTCGTTCCCTTGACCTTGGGATTGCGCGTCTTGTTGTCGATGTAAAGATTGCGGAAGAGTGACACTCCACCGTCTTCGGTCTGCATCAGGCCGCCGCACGAGTGCGTCTGAAGTCCCTGGCCGATGATGCTGTTCTGGATCGTGATGTTGGCAACATCTCCATTGATGGAAAAGGTTTCGTCCCTGCCCCAGCTGACGGAAATGTGGTCGAAGATCATGTTGGCGCCGTCGGCAATGGTGATGGCATCCTTGCCCGAGGTGCCGCCTTTGCCCATGCGGATGCGGATGTAACGCACAATGGCATCGTTGGCATTGGAGAAGGACCAGCCGTTCCCGTAGGTTGCGACTGAGTTGAAAGTCAGCCTCTCGCAAGCGTTGATGGGGTGGATTGTAACATACTTCCGTCGCCAGGAGCCGTTTGTCCCAGAATGGATACTCGCTTGCTGACTACCATACGATCCGTGATGTTGATGGTGCCGCCCACAGCAAAGACGACAATGCGGTCAGGCTGCGAGATAGCATCTCTCAGCGACCCCTGACCTTCATCGTTGAGGTTGTCCACCACATAGACTTCTCCATTGCGTCCGCCAGTAGCGTAACGTCCGAACCCCTCTGCACCCGGGAAAGCAAGCTGCGCCGAGAAAACAGGCCAGACCAGGGCCGACACTAGAAGAAAAGTAGACGAAAGTTGGAAATGCATACTGCCGGCGGATGATGAAGCGAAGGGGAAAAGGCCAGGCAGCTCGACCTCAAGAAACAAACGAGGGGGGAGGGCGCATTAATAGTGCCCTCTTCTGAAGTCCACCCATGTGTGATCGCCACGGCGTTTCGGGAACACTTAGATTAAACAAAGATGGGGAAGTCGACCGAAACAGAGACGTTTAGGCGGAAGCGAGGCCCTGTAACCGCTTGGAGCCTCCTGACGCGTTTGAAATTGCCCGCCAATCAGCATGCAGACCCGATCAAGCTGAGGACTCCACGCTTGAAACACCCAATGCCCCCGAGCCGGACGGATATATCCTTGCGCCGCCCGTTTGCGGAGAACACCTGCTAAATTGGTCCAGGGAGCCTGCGCCTCGCATTGTCGCCAAGAATACATCACCATCCTTCCCCTTTCCAATGACGGACAATCTATTTCGCGTCGTAAAAACATACGTCGGGTGAATATCTACAGAGAAACGTCTCTAACAATAAAGGCATCGAATAATACTACGTCTGTCCTTCCAGAGAGTGAAAACCATCAGCTACAGAGGGTATCTATCAAATTTCAATGAACGACTGTTGCGCCGGAGCCAATCTTTATCCGATCGCAAACACGCTCTACGCTTCAACTGAAAATAATAAAAAAAAAGTCGTAAGCAAAAAGAAAATAGACTGAGATCGGTGATTCATGACACCCGGGAAAACAAGGGAATTCGTATCAGGGGGGGGGGGGGGGGGGGGGCAGGGTCAACATGAATGTAAGCCTCAGCGACCCATCAAGAACCTCATCTCCGCCATCTCTTCTCGCAGAAGGCGCAACTCTTCACCGAGGTTCTGAACGTCCTTGCGCAGAGCAGCGCAGCATTTCTTGCCGCACTCGCAGCCATTTTCGTCCTTTTGTTCTCCGTGAACAACTTCACCAAGTCCCGAGATGCCCAATCCACTCTTCCGTCCATTGCGCAGATCAGGACTGCGCACCTTGTTGTTGCCAAGATCGCCCAACGCAGCTCGACTATTGTCAGACCTTCTGTGCTCCAGTGAGCTCCTACGTGGAAAATACTCTTGCAGATGCACTGGTCCTCCTGGTGACAGCGCGGCACCAGGTGAAAGCGGCTGTCGAACCATTCTCTCCGCATTCTCATTGTCCTCCGATTCTTCTGCAGCCGAAGACGCTCCAGAATGCCACCGAGCATGCTGATCCGACGTAGGCACGAACGTTATCTTTTCAAGCCGTCTGAGCCGAGTCCGTTGAGAAGGCAACCTATTGCCACGGGACCATACGTGTGAAGCCGGCGCTTCGTCATCTGACGTGAGCCAAATGTCGTCGGCGGGGCTTGCCGCCTTCGCTTTCACGCGTTCGGGCTTTGTTTCTGACTCCTGCACACTCTGCTCGACACAAAGCGAGCTCCGGGGCGTGCTCCGTTGGTTCATGTAAGGTGCCAGCAACGCGAGTCCCGCTATTTTCTTTCCACCAGATTCTCCAAGGCGTCGGATGTCAGCGAGAATTTTGCTGTTGCTGGAAGAAGTTGAAGTAATATTGCGACTCGACGAAACGTTAGCAAGTGGTCCAGGCATTCTTGCCGAAGTCCTCCGGCTTTTACGGGCGCGAGGGGTTTTGCTGGATGGTGTCTTTGCAACCCTAATCTCCTGGGACGGATGAGCTCGCCGCGGAGAGCCGGATCGTTTGGTAGGAGACGGGAGTTTGCTTGGCGACTTGGCTTCAGGAGCAAGGCTGCGCCGAAAAGCATTGAACAGATGCGCAGGCGACGACGGCCGCTTTACTGCAATCTCGTCCTCTATCTCAGGCTTCAGTTGAGGAATAAGGTTCAGGCGCGGAGGTGTCGTTTGGTGTGATGAAGAGCTTTGCCTAAAGGTAGAGCTGAGAATGCGTGGTCGTGGCCTCGGACGGGGACTGCGACGCTGTGGCGAGTTCTTCGGGGGTTGCTTAACGGGGGAGAAGAGATCCATGTAATTCATGGCGTTGAGTTGGGGCCGCTGCTCTGGTGCTTCAACTGGGCGGTGGTATACCGTCCCACTGTCGTCATCGAGGAATTCTTCGGCGTCTTCTTCGACAGCTGAGTCAGGCCCTTCGGCGAGGGGAGGTGAAGTGACTGGGGCGTCTCCAGTCACATCGGCATCCTGCTGAGCACGAACTTTTGCTGGTTTCGAATGAGGCTTCAAACTCGGGCCTTTCATCCATTGAACATCGATGATTCGACCAGCTGAGGCGTCGACAGTCTGTTCGACTAGAAGAATCCCCACGGAGTCGAAGACCAGGACTTTGCCATCTTCGCGGCCAACCGCCAGAGTGTTGGTAATGGCGCCGGTTTCAGCCCTATTGGCAGCGGCCCGAGCTAGCTGGCCCTGTTTCTGTCGTACAGAGAGAACCGACAGGCTGGTAGCCGGGCCCTTTGCATGCCACGTTCGAAGAATGTTCCCACCGCACTCGAAGTCAACTAGCCGGCAACGGCCGTCAGCACCCACGCTGACAGCGCGCGACCTGTGTCCAGGCAAGAAGGCGGCCGAGGTAATGCTGACGGACTGGTCCCCGATCACGTTCTGATCGTCGCCCGTCTCAGCGCGTAGATTGGCAGTGACGCGATTGGTCACGGCGTGCAGGCCCTTGAAGCGACCGACTTCTCCGCCTGACCCACCACGGCCAGCTTTGCCCAGGATGCGTGTCGCATCGTAGGCTGCCAGCGTGCCGTCTTTGAAGGCGAGCAAGAAGACATTGGGGCGCTCGGGATGGAAGGCCGCAGCCTCAACGGCAGAGGAAGAGGCACGGGGTTGCAGCTGGAGGGCAGGGGTGCGCAACGTCAAGTTCTGCAGAAAAATGGTCGGGGGCTTCTCAGAGGCCGATAGCAGCAGGTGCGAGGTGGATGAAGTAGCCAATACGGTGGGCGGGGAGGGATGGGTGTGTGAAGGCTCAAGCAGGGTGGCTTGGCGCAGCGAGTAGGACTGGACGGCGTTTTGGAGGGTGGTGGTGAAGAACAGGCTCTTGGAGTCGTTGGAGTACTCTAGCAGACGCACTTGGCCCTGGCAAGACAGCGTCAGCGACTATGGAGGCGGTCGCAGGGGAATCCCGGCGTGGTACATCGGTTCCCTTCAGCCTGTAGCTCCTGTTCATGCCGCGATTTGCGTCGTGTAACACAACGACCTGGTCGTCAGCGACGGCAAGCAAGCCGCTCCCATCCTTTGCTTCTTTGGCGGCAAGGATGCCGGCCGAGGCCGAGCTGAAGGCGTTGGTCAGGCCGCGATGGTCCCAGGACCAGACGTTGGTTTCGGTGGTGATAACGAGGTGGTGATCCTTAGGGAAGGTGAAGGCGTGGTGCGGCTCGACGGGCGCCGGGCGCGCATGTTGTGCGACTCGGATGGGCGGCATGAGGGCGTGGTGGACATGCGAGGGTGGGCGACGGCATGGGTGTTGATAAATTGCGGTGTTTGGCAAACAACCCAACACACGACTCAAGGCGTTGTCACAGTGAGGGGTGCAGGCGGTGAAGCCAACCGAGACCCACCAGACGTCATTCGCGCCTGCCTCCCCGCCACACTTCATTCAGACGACATCGCGCACCCATCTTCTGGCTTCGCAAATTGTCCGACGGCCACGCACGAATCCAAAGCGTGTCGGATCGCCCGGAACCTCATCACTCGGGCCAGCATAGCGTCTTATTTCTCACATTATCCTACGTCTTATCAAGTCGCCCCTCGCGTCCTGGGAGGCTGCTGTTCGATTGGATCGGCTGTTAAGCCTTCGGCACGCCGTTTCGCAGCGTCTCTGCCGTCGCGTCTCCTGCATCTGGGGTGGGGTCATGCATCAGATTAGGCGGATTGGCGCCCTGCTCTTCTCCTTTAGGCAACTATTGGCCTCGCAGCCCCAAAACCTCAAAACGGCCGGTATCTCAGTATCTCCTCTTGAATACGTTCATGACCATATGCTTGGTATTGTGTATTACCGTTTCGCCTGCGTGAAGTCTGTTGTATGTACAGCCTGGCTACAGCAGGTCGCAAACCGGCCTCTCGCGAAGAGACCTCATCCCGGCACCCCCGTCATCATCGGCCCATGTCCAATAGAGCGTGCATCTCTGCGCTACCATCCGGGGAAGAGGCCCTGATATCCTCCCCGCTTCATTCTCATTGAGATGCATGTAAGCAACATGCTGGTCGAATTCGTGTAGCCCTATGAACCGCCTTTGGGGGCGAAGCACGCATTTCACACTATAAGAAGTCTGATCGCTCTGTGTCGAGTTGACAATTTCTGCTTCTAAGTCTCCTTTCCAAGTGTCATTCATCATGATTCCCATCGTAAGCATCGCAGTATGGGCCGTTATTTTCCTGCTCGCCTGGCGCGTCTCGCGCATTGGTAGACGACCGCCAGGATACCCTCCGGGACCACCGACTCTACCCATTGTGGGAAATCTCCACCAGGTAGATCCGCTCATCCATCTACCGGTCCATAGCTAAAAGCACGCGGCAGATCCCACATGAAGACCAACACGAGCAATTCACCAAATGGGCCAGGCAGTACGGTCCCATCTACTCCCTCATCATGGGCACCAAGACTCTGATTGTGCTCAACAACGATCAGACGGTGAAAGATCTGCTGGACAAGCGCAGTGCCATCTACAGTGATCGCATGGAGATGTATACTACCGGTCAGGTTGCTAGCGGCGGACTGAGAATGCTCGCGATGGTTGGTCTTGTCTCACGCGCTCTGGTGTTTCCGCACTAATTTCACTCCTCAGCACTACGGCCCTACTTGGCGAAAGGTAAGCAACTATGCCTTTTCTCGTCATGCTCTCTAATTCGGGAGACAGATGCGGAAGATGAATCACGCTCTTCTCAACGTCAACGCAGCGAAGTCTTACGTGAGTTCTCCGCACCATGTACCGCGACTCTTGCGGTGCTGACTCCAATAGGTACCATACCAAGACCTTGAGAACAAGCAAATGCTCGTCGACCTTTTGGAAACCCCCGACGCTCTACTGCAACACGTGCGTCGGTACTCTGCATCTTTGACAGCTAGCATTGTATTCGGGTATGTGAGGTTTTGCACCAGCCCTTTCTTCCTGTACGTCCCCTCTCTTCTAACAATACGTCCATCCCTAGCTGGCGTGCGCCCTCCTACGGTGATGCCAGAGTCAACCAATTTTACGAGGCCTTCGACAAATTCGTAGCCCTCGCCCAGACCGCCGGTGCGGCCCTGTCCGACTTTTACCCCATCATACGCAAACTCCCTACCTTCCTCCAGCCGCGTCAAAGCGAAGCTCGGCGACACCACGTCGAAGAGAAGGCGCTCTACCTGGCAAATTGGCTGGACGCAAAGCGGGCCGTCGCCGCTGGCACTGCCAACCCATGCTTCTGCGTCGACATGGCGCGCCGACAGGCTCGGCCCCCAGCGGACGATGGCGGCTTCTCTGACGACCTGGCGGCCTACATCGCGGGCACGCTGTTCGAAGCCGGCTCTGATACGACTTCTTCCACCCTGTACGGCTTCGTGCAAGGCGTTTTGCTCTATCCTGACGCGCAACGCAAGGTGCAAGCCGAGCTCGACGCTGTCATTGGACCGGACAGGATGCCCGACTTGGACGACGTGCCGCAGCTGCCGTACGTGACAGCGTGTGTCAAGGAGACCATGCGCTGGATGCCGACCGCCGCGCTTGGCGCTGCACCTCACGCCGTGATGCAGGATGACGAGTACCTAGGCTTCCACATCCCCAAGGGTGCCGGTGTGATGATGAATATTTGGGCGATCCATCGGGACGAGAAGCGGTACCCGCGGCCTGAAGAATTCTGGCCGGATAGGTATGAAGGCGACGTTGTGGGTATTGCGGATAGCGCGAGTCTGTCCGATGTCAGTAAGAGGGATCAATTTGGATTTGGAGCTGGCAGGAGGATCTGTCAGGGTGAGAGTTCTCCGTCCTCATTCAAAGTGACATCTAGCAAGTGGTTCAAGGAATGCTGACGAAATCCAGGCATGCATGTTGCTGAACGAAGTCTCTTTCTGGGTATCGCCAGGTTAATGTGGGGGTTCAACGTCACTCCAGTCACTGATGAAGCTACGGGTAAGCCCAAACTTCCTAAGCAAGACAGGCTTGTCGGTGGTCTCGTCGTGTTGCCAGAGAAGTATGAAGCATGCATCAAGCCGCGCTCAGAACGTCATGCGGAAATTATGAGAGCGGCTTGGGCCGAGTCAAAGAAAGTGTTGGACGAAAAGACAGGGCAATGGAGCAGGATCCCGGAGGGCATGGCTTTACCGAAGCTATAAGCTATCGGCGACAGGCCTAAATGCTGTTGAGAATATGCTGGGTTGTTCGATCAAGACAACACTTGTCGGAAACCAGATAGACGACCGTGAAGAACATGTTTGGGATTCTCTACACAAATTGAGTTCGATTGTCGAGCGCAGGAATAGTAGTTGGGTATCATACAACGTCATTTTATTTTCGGAGGTCACTCTTACATAGAATCCCCATTTACAACTTATCCAAAACATAGAAGTGCCCCACTCTCACACCTTGACAATCAATCCCTCATCCGGCTTGACCCTCTGAGCCCATTCGGTCCAGCTACCATCATACACCTGGCGCGTGTCATCGGGAAAACCAGCCTCGGCTAATGCGGCGTCAATCACAGCCGCAGTAACGCCAGTGCCGCAACTGCTGATGATGGGCTTTGAGGGGTCGATGCCCTTAGCTTCGAGAACCTTTTTCAGTTCGGCAGCAGGAAGGAACTTCTTGGTCTTCGGATCCAGCAGCTCGGGCACAGGAACAGATGTAGAGGAAGGAATGTGGCCGGATGAGAGTCCTGTTCTCGTGTTAGTTTGAGGATTTAACCCAGCGAAAAATGAGGAGAAACGCTCAGGTATTGTCTGCAATCCGAAATGGGATACAGGAGCCACCTAGAAGCTCATACACTCCAGACTGTAAGCACTTACCGGGTCTTGGTTCCGGCTCCTTACCCTCCCAGCGGCCCTTGCTCCTGGCATCGAGAATCTGAATCTCTGCCTTGCCCGACTCTCCCTGTCGCTTAGCGATTTCCTTGACGTGCTCGAAATCGACGACCTTGGACCTGTCGAGCTCGGGCACGGGATAGTCGACAGGTTCAAGCTTGTCCGGCTCGCCCCATTCGGTGGTATAGCCCTCCTCGACCCACTGCTTGAAATTGTTCAGGATATGGACGTTCTGGTGGCCGAAGACCTTGAGAGTCCAGGCAACACGCGGTGCGCTGAAGATTCCCTGCTCCTTGCTGTCGTACACGACAACGCTATCGTCTCGGCGAATGCCCAGCTGACCCATGGCCTTTGCAAAGTCTTCGCTGCTGGGCAGCATGTGCGGGTAGGGGCTCTGCTGATCCTTGACGGCATCCAAGTCGAAGAAGCGGGCCTTGGGAATGCGGCAAGCCTTGAAGGTCTGCCATCCAGTGCGCTTCTCGGGATCGTTGGGCAAGAACCAGGTGCCACAGAGAGGAATCACGCGCGGGGCGGTCGACAGGCGCGATCCGACATTCTTCTGGAGCGCGTCGCTCAGCTCGGCCGGGGTGACGAGGTAGGAGGTCAGCGTGTACGAGGAGCTCATGGCGCGACGCTGGAAGGTGGCTGCAGCGAGCGGAGAGGCGGCGGGGTGGAAGGAGGACCGCAACAACGGTCGGAGCATTGCTGGTCTAGCCATTGGTGGCAATCAGCGTTGGGCTGGTGGAGATGGAAGAGTGGGCGGGAACGAGAAGTTCGCGATAGGCGACGGAGCTCTGGCGCGTGGAAGTGAGGGGGTGATGGCACCATCCATGCCTCCCTCGGTTGCCGATCCGCGAACGTGAATGAGAGGACTTACCGGCTGGGGCTGGGGAGTGAAGATGGGACGATTGGCGCTTTTTCACTCCCCAGATGGCCGACTCTGCTGTGATTGCTGCTACAGATCGCGTCATGTAAGGCAGCTCCGATAGAGCTGTCTCACCGCCTTCGCTAGGCTCACCCCGACACGACATCCAGGGCGCCCCGCGTCTCCGTCTTGTTTACCAAAGCGCCGCCTCGCCCCTCGCCTCCCCGCCTCGCACGTCCCTCAGGATGAAGGTCAGGATCAAGCAATGGAACGCCGTCGCCGCCTGGCGCTGGGACATGCCCGACGACGACCTGTGCGGCATCTGCCGGAGTCCCTACGACAGCACCTGCTCCAAATGCAAATTCCCCGGCGACGGTTGTCCGCTCCGTGAGTCACCCGCTTTCCCGCATGACAAGGCCCCGTCTCATTGACCATTCGCAGTCATGGGCCAGTGTAACCACTCCTTCCACATGGTACGAGTCCCTGAAACAGATCGCCGCGCCCGGCTCTAATCCGCGAGCAGCACTGCATCGAGGACTGGCTCAAGCAGGAGGCTTCACAAGATAAATGCCCCATGTGTCGCCAGCGTAAGCAGTCTCTTCCAGCTTTGGACCGGCACTTTGCTAACCTAGCCTACAGCTTTCACCGTCAAGGACGCCAACACGTCCATGACCGAGGCATGATTTGGAATTCATTTGGTCTTTACCTGGAGTTCGGGGTGGCGCTTTTGGAGAAGGATATGGATATACCCTGGGTCACCGGTCTTAAGGCTCGCGAGTACAATCTTAATCAGATCAGCCTGCTCCATCTCATGATTCGTCGTCTTTTCTCGCACCGCCCCGCTCTCTTGCTCCCAGGCAGCACACAAGTATCAAAACCCCCCAACACTCGAGCCTTGCCAAACGCTTGCTCTTTGGTTTGCGCAAATGCCTTCAGATGCCCCAGAGCCTCGTAATCTTCACCGTCTCCCGCATGCAGTCAGACCTCGTTTTGTCCAATCGGAATCATCCCATCACGTGTATGGCAGGGATCAACAATCGATAAAGCTGCAGGGCCCATCGAGCTCTACCCCAAGCTCCCCGTCCCAACGACGACGCGGACACAACATGTCCGCCAACTCCCCACGACAACCCCATGAAGCCGCTTCATCGCCAGTCAGCGGCCTCGCCGCCGCAACGGCTTCTCCGGCCGTCGACGACCGTGCCGCCTCGGAACATCCGCCGGTAGCCCGCGACGACCGCATCGATGCCACGGCACAACCGCCCTATGTGCACGAGAACGCTGCCGGCGACGCCGAGGCGCTTTCCTACCCGCCTCTTGACGACCCGTCGCACCCGCTGCTCCCGCCGGCCAACTTCTCGCCCTTTTTTACGCTCGTCGAGGACGCCGTCACCGGCGAGCACCACCACCCGGCCGTGCACTACGTCTTCTCCGATGACGATCCGGAACTGCACACGGCCGTCTTCATGCGCGCCCTTGGCGACACGACCGCCACGACCGCCCCGCCCTCGCCCCCCGCCGCCAGACATCACCCGCACCACCAGTACCACCTCCTCGACCATCAAGAGCCTCACGAGGCTGGCCGTCACGGCGTGGCAGCCCACATCCTCCCTCCACCCGCGACGGGCGTCAAGGAGCGCTACGTCGTCGTCGATCTGACGACCGACGGGCAGGCCGTGGCAGGTGCGACGAGCCTGAGCCGCGAGTGGCAGGTCGTCGGTGCTTCGATCGCGCCCGCACCCTCCTTTGCCGAAGACAACGACAACGACGCCGCTGATGGCTTCTGCGGCAGCGGCGCGTTGATGTTGAGGGTGGAAGGGACTGATATGGGCGGCAACAACAGTAGTAACAGGGGCACAGCACCAACAGGAGTGCAGCAGGAGGAAGAAGCTGTCATTGCTGCAGGTCTGGGCGAGGCTAGAAGGGCTGCCGGTGACGATCTGGTGGGTGGGTTGGAGGAGCTGCTACGGCGGTTCGATGGCGGGATTGACGTTCTAAGCAAGGTCGTCGGGCCTGACGTGGAAGTCTTGGTGCAGCAGCAGGGTGGTGTTGGCGGCGGCGGCGGCGACGGCGAGGTACCACCGCCGTTGACAGCCACCGCTGATGTGGATGAGGCTGCCGCTTAACCTTCTCTCTCATCTTGGACGTTTCTGCAATGACGATAATGGCGATGATGCGAACTTTTTAGGGATCGGGCATTACTGCATAATGGGAGGGTATTTGATCTGCTTTCGGAGTTTTTTATGTATAGAGGAGGGTTTCGGTTCGGCGTTTCTATACCTTGGAGGAAGCTCAGGAATGGAGTATACAGGGGAGGGTGCTTCAAAAGTAAGAAGCATGGTTCCAAAGACAGCATAGTGGTCACGAAAGATTGAAGCTTTTTCGCACCATCTCGCAAGAGAAACTACACTCTACATATGTAGATAGTTGAGGTTAACATTTAGAAGATCGTGTTTAATTTCAAAGTTTACGTCTTAGTTCAAACATCCACTGATTGCCCACACAGGGAGAATCCAGTGTCTTGCTGAATATGTCTGCGGACGATAATATCCTTGCAACCCATTTGGGCGAGGTATGGATGATAGGTTCGATTTCGGATATCACTATGAGGCGATGCGTTATGCTAGCCCACTGATACTACCGATAAACTTATCTCTCTGCTCGAGTCTAGTGCGAATTGCCGATACAGTAGCTAGGAACAGTACAAGAAGTAGAGAAGGATCGCACAGCAATACGAGGCTTCGCCTGGAATTTTAGGGATAGGCAGAAGAAAAGCATTCCGCCGAGATGGCTGTCCCAGAGAGGTACAGTGGCCTGGGTCCTCGCGAGGTCAGAACTAGCCTCTTACAACCAGAAGTCTTTTGCGGCCATCATCCCATTCGGCAAAAGCACACAATTCAACGCACGGGTCTGAAGAGAAAGGCCACTAACGGCCGACTGCTTTGAACCATTTCTTACCAGCAATGTAGTAGCCGGAGAAGAAATCCTCAAAGTCGAGATCATCGCGGGTGGTTTCGAAGACGTGTAGTTCCATCTTGGAAAAGCGACGGAAAAAGGTTCCGAGAGTCACATACAGCTCACAATAAGCCAGACTACGCAGGGTTAGTCAGATGGAGAAGTATCCAGCGAAGTGCAGGTTCTTACGGCATGCCGACACACTGACGCGATCCTTTGCCAAAGGGCACCATGTAGTGATCAAGGCGGCGGGCGTCCTCTGGATTAAGCCAGCGCGACGGGTCGAACTTCATCGGATCAGGGAATGCATCTTCGTTACGGTGCATGAACCATGAACTCATTCCAACAATTGTCTACAGCAGTTTAGAGCCAGCCTAATTCTAGCAATGATGGGAGCACTTACGCCTTCTGGTACGTAGAAATTGTTGAAAGTAGCACCTCCTTTTGGAGTGACGCGCGGAAGACGACCGGGAACACCAAAGGAGAGTCTGGATATGGTCAACTAAGGATCCCAGCTCTAGGTAGAGATTTCAAACCTCAGTCCTTCTTTGATCACCGCGGTCTGACCTGTCAGCAAATATCGATCAAGTAATGATGATGGGGTTCTCACCAAGTATGGAAGTTTCTCAAGGGTGCTAAAGTCCAAATTCTGGCTGGCGTCAGGGAAAGCAGTGACCAGTTCATCCTTGAGGCGAGCGTAGATGCCCCTGTTGGCTAGAGTATGGTAGCATGCTGTGCTCATAGCATTTCCGGTGGTGTCGGCAGCCGCAGCGAGGAAGCTGTAGCACTCATCCTTCAACTGCCACGATGTAGGAATCGGCCATCCGTCGTTGTTCTCCGGGCTTAGCAGCTCGGAAAAGATGGTTGGGCGAGCATTGTTCAGCTTGCCGGCGGCCATGCGGGCTTTGACGTCTTCAACCTGCTCAACGCAATTCTAGTCCAGGCCATCAGCGCATTCAAACAGAACGAATATACTCGCTCTAGCTCTTACCGTCTGCATCTTTGTCACGTGCCCCAGAGGCTCGCTGAGCCAAGGCGCAAGCCATGGTGGTGTCTTGAGTGCAAGACGTTGCAAAGAGGGAAACTGCTGAAATACCCACATGGCGGGGCCCACACCGCGAACCAGGGCAAAGAAATGTGCCCCCAAGTCAGGACTGTCCAGGAGGTTGTAGCACTTGTCGAATGCATAGTCGGTGATTACGTCGACCGAGACACTGCGGAAGGCGTGATGGAGGTCGACGGGCTTCTTTTCAACGATGCCGGCTTCCATACGGCCGATCAACTTTCGTGCCTTGTCCTGGACGACATTCTCAAGCTGTAGCACCATTTTGCGGGAGAACATGGGATTGATCATGGCGCGTTTGTGCTTGTGGACATCGTTGCTTGGGGTACCGAAGGTGCTGTGGGGAACGCAGAGAGCTCCATAGAAGACGGGGCTCTTCCAGAAGCGAGTTCCGATGTAGTAGATCTTGTCATAGTTATCCGGATCACTGAGGTGGATCTCATTCGGAGTAATGCGGACAACGGGACCTGGAGCAAGCGGCCACATGGTTAGGACGGTTACAGAAGCGTGTGAAGGACATGATGATGGTTACCATATTTCTCATGGAGCTCGGCAATCTTCAGAAAATAGCGGCCGTTGTAGTATGATTGGTAGAGAGTAGTGACGGCAGGAAGGAAAGGGCCAGGGATCTTTGCCAGCGGATGAAAGAAGTGGCGGTAAACAGCGATACCGATTGCATAGCTGAGCAATGCAATGGCGGCGGCATACAAGGCGGCCTGCGGGTTGAGGAGAGTCATGGAATCGGTTGGTGGAGGGCTGGACGTGAATGTGTGGTTCTCAATTCCCTTCAACTTCCCATCATAAACGAGAGAAAAACGGGTTCACGCTAGTCTTCGGCTGCAATGCCCGTCTGCAGAGAATGTGCAGCTTCCAGGCGGCACAGCTGCATCTTCCACGAGCGGCAGCAACAAGTCACGGCCGCGACTGCCTTGTCGAGCCAATCACCCGACCTGGCATGCACGCGATCGGCGCGGCCGAGGCGAGCCGGGTAGTTGAATTAGCGGGCCCACCATTCGCTGGCCCCAAGGGAATTTGGCGCGGGGAAGTGGTTTCGCAGACGTTTGGGTTGTGGTCGCCCATTTTGGCACAGCCATCGGTCCTGCATCCCCAAGCCACGCCATTGCACGACATGCCAGCTTGAGACCTGCATCCCTCCTCTCAGCTCCAGTCCCTTGCGCCACGCGCTAACCATGCCGTTCTCTCGCTTCTCACGCCGAGAATGCACGTAAGCGGCAGACTGCGTCTCACTTGTAACCTCTACTATTGGACCTCTCGCCATCCAGTCTCTGATCGCCCGTTTTCACTCTCGAGTCGCACGGCATGGGCGCCGCAGAAGCACATGGCATATAACCGCTGCATTCCCAACTCGCGCCGCGTCAACTCCGCAGGGCACACTCCCACCGACGCCTCGTCACGCGATCACCAATTCAGACAAGCTTTCTTGTCGCCAGAATGGCTGAGCCAGACCCCGAAGCAATCCACATCCCCGTTGTTAGTCCACCGCCTTTCTACGCATGCCCCACTAACATGTTGCACGCACAGTCGGCTGATGACAGCAACGACTCGGCCTTTGGTGATGACATAAGTGACACAACCTCTGTTGCCTCGACCATCTGGCGCCACCGCTACGAGAATGGCCGCCGCTATCATAAATTCCGTGAAGGCGCTTATTGGTGAGTTCCGGAGTAGGGTCACACAAGCTTCACTGCGTTCAGCACCCGCTTCTGACAAGGATTAATGAGAGCTGATAACGGGGGAGGGGGCCAAATGACGACGCCCAGAATGATCAGCTAGATATTGGGTATGTATCGGCCTCTTTCCCAAGTCTGGATCCGTAGCTAAGGAGTCAAGCCACCATATGCTTCGACTCCTGATCGACGATAAATTGTTCCTGGCACCAATCGAGAAACCCCAGGTAAGCCCGACATCATCCAAGATGCCTAGGCCTGGTGCTAATGACTTGAAGAAAGTTCTGGACATTGGATGTGGAACGGGTATCTGGTCCATGTATTATGCCCCCTTTTCATGGTCTGTTCCGATATGTCCTGATCCACCGTTTTGCCTGTACAGAGACTTTGCGGATGAGTTCCCCGACTGTGAAGTCATTGGGACCGATCTGTCTCCCATACAGCCTCAGTTTTGTCCACCAAACTGTCATTTCGAGATTGATGACTGCACAGAGCCATGGACATTTCCGAAAAACTCATTTGACATGATCCACGTCCGATGTCTCTTTGGCAGCGTCGGAGACTGGCCAGCTTTCTATCGGGAAGCATTAGAGTAAGCTCTTGCCGTAGAGTTTCGTCTATCCGCATTAGCTGATGTGCGAGAAGCCACCTCCGACCAGGCGGATGGATCAACCAGATGGAAATGGCCATCCAGTTCAAAGCCGACGATGGCACGTGTCCACCGGATCATACTATGGCGGAATGGTCGAAGCTCTTCATCGAAACGGCCGACAAGTTTGGCAAGACCATGAAGGTGGCTGACAACATGAAGACGTGGATAACAGACGCAGGCTTCGAGGACGTGAACGAAGTGAGGTTCAAACTTCCCGTGGGTCCGTGGAGCTCCGACCCCAAAATGAAGGAGCTAGGGAAGTGGAACCTACTGTACTGCTATCATGGATGCGGTGAGTAATGCGTGGAGCAGATGACAAGAGACATCATTGACTCGCCATCAGAGGGGTGGGCCATGTTCTTACTCACGCACGTCCTGAAAGTAAGTCTTGGGTACCAGCCTTCGAACTCACTGTTCTGACCCGCCGTAGTGGAAATATGAAGAAGTCATGGTCTTGGTGGCAAAATTCAAGGAAGCACTGCGGGACAGGAAAACTCATGCTTACTACGATGTGTACGTTTTCCCCCCTGATTTAGATACGCAGCCACTAACAGGTCTTTTAGATCAGTCGTTTACGGACGAAAGCCAAGTGCTCCTTAACTGGCCTGGTGGCTCATAATCCGGAAAAGTATTTTAAAATTGCATAGGGTACCACGAGCCTGAAAACCAAGGTCTTCCACTCTGCGGCCTCATGCTGCTTGTCATTACTATATACATATGGTACCACAGGTGGAGAGATTGAGCTGCCTCGACAGCCTGGTGGCCTCATGCTAATTGTCGTCAAAATCGTGAGCCGCAAGACTCGGGGTATCCGTGAAAAAGGAACGCAACAACAGATACAATCATCACACTTAGATGGTATAGCCAGCGTAAGTGGGGTAGGTAGTGTAGTCCCAGGACACACTCTTTTGCAGCAACTGGTAGTCGAGGCCGTCGCCACCGGCGCTGACATACAGGAATTTGGTGAAGGGGACCGAAGCGTGGTAGGTGAACGAGGTGCCGGCCGGAATGAAAACAACATCGCCCTGGATCAGGCTGACTGTGTCATAGCCGTCGACGGCGACGACGAGTTGGCCCTCCTCCATCTGGAAGGCCAAGTGTTGGCCCAGGTTCTGTTCGGAGGCCGTCTGGTTGCTGAGCAGCGGGGACATGGTGATGGTGCCCATGGTGAAATTACTGGCGCTCTGGGTGCCGGTGACGAGCGGCTGAATGACGCGGTATACGCCGTCATCGACGTTGAGGTACTTGGGGCCGTAGCCCTTGGCGACGAAGTTTGGCGTGTAGGCGTCCTTGGCCAGGGCGTTGGAGCCGTCGTGCCAGTTGCCGCTGGCGCCGGCGCTGCCGTTGACGAAGTCGTAGCGCGGCGAGAAGTCGAGCTGGGCGAAGACGTCGAAGGACTCGAGGGCGGAGATGAGGCCGGCCGAGCTGCCCGCGCCGGACGAGCTGTTGGACGCGGCGGGCACGAAGGCGGAGCCGGTCGACGAGTTGTAGGCCCCGTCTCCGATGGCGATGAAGAGCTCCTCAAAGCCGCCGGGCTGGATGACGCCCGTCAGCTGCGTGTCCGGGTCGGTTATCTGGAAGGTGTGGATGGTGTTGTGAGGCACGGCGCCGTAGTCTCCTGGCGTGAGCACGCGCGCGGCCTCGCCGGTGGCGTTGGTCTTGGCCCACAGCTGCACTCGTCCCTTGGTGCAGTAGAAGTTCTCGTAGTGCTCCTTGTGGATGTGCGGCAGCACGCCCAGGCTGGTCGATGACGGCGCGTTGGTCTGCATCAGCGTGAAGGCGCCGTCAGACGAGTTGCCCGTGACCGAGAAGCGGTAGATCTGCTGGCCTACGGCCACGGCTTGCCCGGAGAATTTCGGCAGTACGTACGGACGCACGTACTGCGGTGCCGTGTCAACAATCAGGCTCTCGCTGGCGGCACGGGATGCCGGAGCGGCAGCGGCCACGCTGAGGAGAGTCCCTACCAAGGCTGCGGCAGACTTCATCGTGGGCTGAACAGATCGGAAGAGTGTGTACGATTGAAGTGAAGGCGGTGTCGGCAAGACTAGCTCGAGGGGCAGCAGCCGGATAATAAGTAGTAACCAAGAGCTGATAGGCCGGAGCTCGAGCATGAATAGAGCGAGAATTGGAGTCCGCTTGACTCGGAATTCCCGACTTGGCCCCGATGCCAAAACTGCGATTGGGCCGGCCGGGCTTTACCGTAGACAGCAGGAGGGGAGCCAGCAGGGAGTCCGAGGGCGACGCTCAACCCGGCAGCCCCACGGGTACTCCGGCGAAACAGGCGAGATCCAAGATTCCCTGGATCTCGACAGGCATGCCACGGCCTGGATCTAGGCCGGTTTCTCCCATTGCTACACAGGCATGACGCCGTGGATAGATCGGGTGGCACCGAAATGAGGCCGCTATCTGGACAGTGTGTGGAGGCGGAACTCGGGGCGCCTTGGGAGAAAGCGTGCCGAGGGGGGTGGTGGGATGGATGGATAAGGTGGCCAAGCTTTCTGCATGCTCTCCCGATCCGCCCGGGCCGACGAGGGGGAGAGGTGACGTTTCGATGTGGGAAGCGTTTCCGCACCATCGGACAGCGTTGAGCTCCGAGGTCCGAAATGCCCTGCTCGTGGGCCGCACTGTGCATCGGCAGCACTCAAGCTTTACGGCTTAGCGCCACCCGCAGAGGCCCGAGGCCCGTTGGTAGGGCTGTTTCGAACAGAAGCCAAAGCCGCGCAACTCCTGACCTCCTGCTCGTGCTTCCGGCCCGCCGATTGCCGCACACGTTCTGCACATTGGCCTCGTGCCTGCCAATCAATCTCGCACCGATCTCGCTGGCGTTGCGAAGGGTCCCATTATCGGTCCAGCTTTAAGCTTCGCATCTCTTCCTGCCGCGTGGCCTGGCCCTCCTTGTGGCGTGCCACTCAGCCTTTCGCTCGCGTCATTGGCCGCCATATGGGATATTCCGAGCATATACGCAAGCATTGGCTCTCTATGTCGAGCTCTTGCCATATTGGCTGCTTCGTCACTGCTGTTTAGCATAACCGTATGAATAGTGAGACTCTCGCCGAAGGGTGCCGGAAATAGTCCAGTTTCTTCTGTGCAGGTATCACGACATTCGTTGTCTCGAGTCATTTCCTCTTAGTTCGCCACCATGAGAGCCCTTTCGGCTTTCGGGGTTGCCTCTGCCCTCGTTTCTCGCAGCTATGCTGCTTCCAACTCGTCTACTAACTCGGCGTCCATTCTCTCGTCCGGAAAAGGTAAGAACAACATATCGCAGCTATTTGGATACAGGCCCTTACAGCTCTCCTTCTGCAGTTCAGCTTGGCGATTTCGAATCAGCGTACCAGAAAGCCAAAGCCTTTGTTTCCGGCCTCAGCAACGCGGACAAGATTTCCATCATCACCGGCGGCGATGTCTCCGGCTCCAACCTCACGTGGACCGCCTTGGAGAACAAGGACGGCAGCAGCGGAATCAACTACCAGTACTACGTCTCCGGATTCAGCATGGACAATGCCCTGGCCATGACCTGGGACAGGGATTATTTTGAGAAGCAGAACAAGGCTGTCGGCCGCGAGTTCTATCTCATGGGCTACAACCTGATCAACGGCCCGGAATGTGGTCCTCTTGGGCGTACTCCCTGGGGCGGCCGCCAGGCGGAGGCTTACAGCCCTGACCGTGAGTATCTCCGAAGGAGCCATTTGCAATTTGCTAAACTCTGCTAGCATACCTGTCCGGTTCTGTCATGTCCAAGGCCATTGCTGGAATGAACTCGGCTGGCGTCGTCGCCGGCGGTAGGCACTTCCTGCTCAACGAGCAGGAGACGAACCGCTCGTCCAGCATCTCATCTACGACGACGGCCGTCTACACGTCCAACGCCGACGACAAGACGATCCACGAGCTGTATCTCTGGCCTTTCCAGGAGGGAGTCAAGGCCGGAATGGCGGCCGTCATGTGCGCCATGTCTCGCGTCAATGGCACTCTATCTTGCGAGAATAGCGATCTGGTCAGCGGCCTCCTGAAGTCCGAACTAGGCTTTCCCGGAATGGTGTTCCCGGATGTCAACTCGCAATCGAGCTCCTACGGCTCTGCAAACGCTGGTCTTGACTACGGCTCGAGCTCGTACTGGACTTCGGATATCCTGGAGGCCGGAATCACCAACGGTTCCTTCACGCAGGCCCGTCTCGACGACATGGCGGTCCGCAACATCATCGGCTACTACTACGTCGGCCTCGACGACGGCAAGCAGCCCGAGGTCGCCGCCACGACCGAGTACCGCGACGTCCGCGCCGGCCACGCCGCCCTCATCCGCGAGATCGGCGCGAACTCGCTCGTCCTGCTCAAGAACAACAACACGGCGGCCAACCAGGGTCTTCCTCTGAACCGGCCGCGCACCATGAGCGTCTTTGGTGCCCATGCTGGCCCTGCTATGGCCGGTCCGAACCAAGCGTTTAGCGTGCAGGGCACTGATGGCCCCGTCTACCAGGGCCATCTTGCCTCTGGCAGCGGCTCTGGCCAGCTATCGTTCTCTTATCTCATCACACCCTTCCAAAGTCTTAGTACGCGTGCCGCGGCTGATGGCAGCATGATCCGCTGGATTTTGAATGACACCTACTCCTCCTCGAGTAGTGAGGGAGGAATGGGCGGAGGGGGAAGCTTTGGCGGCAGCGATGGTGGACTTCCTACTATGAGCGGTAACTCCAGTAGCAACGGAACTGCGCCTGGCGGCGGAATGGGCAATGGTGGTGGCGGTGGTGGCGGCGGCGGCATCTCGATCTCTGGCCAGGGCACGGCAGTGACGCCCAGCTACGAAAACTACGCCGAGGACTCGGAGGTCTGCCTCGTCTTCTTGAACTCCTTCGCCGGTGAGGGTGGCGACCGCGAGGAGCTGAACAATGCCGATCAGGACACGCTCGTCACTACTATCGCATCGAGCTGCAACAACACCGTCGTCATCATTAACACCGTCGGGCCACGGCTGGTCGACGCCTGGATCGAGAACGAGAATGTGACGGCGGTCGTGTACGGCGGTCTGCTCGGCCAGGAGTCGGGTAATGCCATTGCTGACGTGCTGTACGGCGACGTCAATCCGTCAGGCAAGCTGATCAACACCATCGCCAAGGACCAGTCCGACTATCCCGTATCCATCTGTTACACCGAGGTCTGTGACTTCAGCGAGGGCGTTTACATCGACTACCGTCACTTTGACAAGTTCAACGTGACCCCTCGCTACCCCTTTGGCCACGGCCTGTCCTACACTACCTTCTCTTTCGGCGACGTCGGTGCGCAGAAGACGGACGAGAAGGCTCTCTCGTCGACGTACCCGACCGGCCCGCTCGCCGTCGGCGGCAAGACGGACCTCTTCGACGAGGTCATCCGCGTGACGACGACCGTCGAGAACACCGGTGATCGCGACGGTGCTGAGGTCGCCCAGCTGTACGTCGCCTACCCTTCGTCGGCGCCGGACCAGCCACCCCGCCAGCTGCGCGGCTTCGAAAAGGTCAAGCTGGCCAAGGGCGAGCGTAAGGACGTTACCTTCAGCGTCAGGCGGAAGGATATTTCCTACTGGGACACCACCGCCCAGGAGTGGGCAGTCGCCAAAGGAAGGTACACTTTCTCCGTTGGTGCTAGCTCCAGGGACCTCAAGGGCGAGGCGACGGTTACCATCTGAAGGGATTGCAGTGTGATGCAGAGGGGAGAGATTTCATTCCATGTATTCATTAAGCATGCGGACGATTGTGTGTGTATAGAGTTCCTTTTCATCCCCTGTGAATATACGATGCGAGTCTCGGAGTAGTCTAAGGTACTGCTCCGGCATAACTGTGCTTCTCCATGGTTCCCGCCAGACTGTCTACTCCACGTGGATCTTCTAGAAATTCTGTCCAGATGCTAGGGGTCTGTTGGCGCAAAAGTCCGCTTCTAAAAATCGACGTCACGTCTCGGGAATTCCGAGCATTCTGTAGCGCAGGGGCTTTTTTTTTTTTTCGTGACAACGCGTCTAGGTAAAGTGGGTCCTCGATCAACGTCAGTGTCCGAAGAACATCATGGTTTCCCCGTATTCCTTTTCTTCAAACAATATTGAGGGCACAAAGGCGACGGTGGTGTTCCAGTGGTAGAAATGGGTTGATACCAGGTTTCGAGTACCGTATGCATTTTCTGACGGCGAGAATCTGGATTATAGCCGTGTGTCGAAATCGAATCGTTTTAAAGAAATACCGGCTCAAGGTCAACTTCGATCAGTCGTAGGGTAAGCCGAGTTGTGTGAAAGACTGAAGGGCCTCGATTTTTCAATGAATTCGGCGGTCATGTTTGCGCTGCCTCATGTGAATATACCGTGGTATCACACATCTTTCTCAGCCTCCTCTTTCAGGCACTCGGCCCACATGATCAATCCATCCTGTATCATCCATCCCGTCAACCACTTGACGACGTATGCCATTGGCCCGTCAAAGGTCATGTAGGTTCTGTAGGTGCAGCCGCTGCCGTCGGCGTCGGCCACGACCTCATTCACGCGCTGGGTGCGCATCAGCCAGTCGGGCATCATCTTGGAGCTTTGCGACCAGCCAACCCTCCACACGCCTCGCTCAGCACCGGCATCGTCTGGGGTCGACAGCATGTTGACTAGTTCCAGGCTACCACCAGGCACATTCCGCAGGGAGCCGAAGATTCGGGCCTGGACGGTGAATTTCAGGGTCTGGCCGAGCCTCACTTTGCCGTCGTCTGGTGTTGTGGTGGACGAGGGAGCAGACAGTTCTGGGACGACATCGGCGCGTGGGATAAAGGTGTTCCAGCGCGGCCAGGTGGAGCGATCGACAAGGAGCGCAAAGACCTTTTCGGGCGGGGCGGCGATGGTGGAGGAGGCGGTAGGGTTGAAGACGGAGGCCATTGTGGGATAGCGCGAAAGTGAGTGGTGTGAGGTGTGAGGGTGGAGTGGAGTGGAGCTATTTCCTTAGCGCGTTGTGGGCCGGGCTGTTCCTTCCCGTCCCGTGTCTCTGATCCAACGGCACAAACCCTATTTCAAATTCTCCAGGAACGCAAGCTTCGGCTTCATCGCGCACACGGAACTTTGGACTTGTGCATCGCTACCACGAGGCGAGTCGAGAAATACCAACCTCGGCCATGGTAGTTCTCCCGGCCACTCTTAGCTGACAATTTCGTTGTTTCCTTTTCAATAGCTATCATTATCTGACCACCAGCACTTACAACAGCATCCACTCTCATTGAGGGCTATGCGTCCATGGGATTCGAATCGACTTCCTTGCGTGAGGTAATTGAGGCCAGCATCCGGATGCATTATTCTGGTGCAAGTAGCCCATAGTTCAGGCGGTCTTTTCTACACGACGCTCCATCTTGCTCTCCGACTGGATCGAAGCTACGGCATTCCAGAGCGCTGCAGGTCTGAAGGTCATTGTTGCGGATTCTGAAACCACTACAAACTCTCCTTACCGAATGTGGGGTAAGGCGGACGCTCGGAAGTATGTGGAGACACGTTTATCGGCACAACAAGAGCCGCGATCATCTGCCAGACATTCATGAAGCTTTAACCGAGGCTAAAGAGGCTGTCTGAAAGCTTTTTCCAACGTCAAACTTACTCTCCGATTGTTGATTCTTTTTGTATCAATTTGTATGGTGTCTATTCTTGGATTTTTGCGACTGTCTTCGAGTTGTGATATGCCGATGAAGAAATTATGGATTGGGTATAAAGCAAAAAAAAAAAAGGACTCCTTATCATCCGCTTATTTCACCTCTCCCTTTTGAGCTTTGGTCTCATTACAAGCATCACGAAATCTGGTGCGGAGTTGACGGAAACCCCCCATGTCGTTACCCCAACTTTGTCCGGCCCACCCGACCCACACGCGCCGCGGATAAAGTCATTCCCGCCAAGACCATGTAAATGAGAAGCCATTCCCCTGGTTCTCCGTCTCTTTTCTGTTTTCTTTTTTCTTTGCTCCTCTACTCCGTCTCAACCTTCACAAGGGTACTTACTCATTCCCCTCAACTTCTCACCCCATTTCACAAAGCCCCACGGAACGAAGCCTAACACGATGCTAACGAATCCCAGCAAACTTGTCGCCCAGCCGGTCCCCAGCGCTTCGTACATCTGCAAGATGAACAGCGGAAACACGGCGCCTAAGATGTACCGCAACAAGCTGCAGGCAGCCATGGCGCTGGCGCCGTACATAGGGCCGTACGTGTTCATGAGATAGAGGGTACATGCCATGAATATGAGCAGGTTGCTGACGCCGAACAGTGTCTCGGCGACGATGGGCACGATCCAATGAACCGATGGGCGCGCGGTCCAGGCGAACATGAAGAGCGCGACGGGCAGGACGACTGAGCCGGGGAATGCGATCGAAAGGGCAAACTCTGGCGGTGGCGAGGTGCGCCTTGGCTTGGGGCCGGCCTCGAGCATCCCCGGGCTGGGTTGGACCTCTTGCTCTTGTCGCTGACGTTCGCGCCACCGCTGCGCCCGCGGCTTGTCGATCCACACGTTGCTGCCGCAGATGGCACTGAAGCCGATCAAGCAACCGACGCCCAGGCCGAGGAAGGTAAGGCCTTGGGCGCCGAGCGAAAAGCCGTACGTGTTGCTGAAGACCCAAGGGAAGGCGGCAAAGAAGGCGTACTGCATGGCGAAGATGAAGGCGACATAGAGGGAGAAAAGACCGATGATGGGTTCTGTTACGAGCATGTGCACGGGCCGGCCGATGGTGTTCATGAGCAGCACTTGGGTGCCTTTGGCGGCGCGCGAGGCGCGTGAAGCCGCCGTCTCGGTACGGCGCAGCTCCAGACCGTTGCCTTCAGCACGCTTGGCACGTCGTTCAAGGATTTGCTTGCGGTATGTCTCGGACATGAAGAAGGCGGGGGTCAGGAAGGCGACGGTGAAGAAGAGGATGACCCACTGCGTCCACCGCCAGCCTTTACCTTCGGCTACGAAGCCTCCGATCAGAGGGCTGGTCTCAGGTTAGGATTGAGTTGATGGCGGAGGTGGTGGAGACTTACCCCAAGGTCGGACCCAAGAAAGGGGCGCAGACAATGATGGCCATGGGGATGGCACGTTCGTGCGGAGCCCAGACATCGGAAAGGGTGGCATTGCCGACACTGAGGGCAGGGCTACCAAAGCAGCCGGCGAAGAAGCGACACACGGTCAAGCTGGCGATGGACTGTGAGAAGCCGGCACCGAGCGTGAAGAGCGCAAAGATGGGCGTACACACAAAGTACACTGCCCTACGACCGAAGTTCTCGCTGCATGGCGATGCGATGAGAGGACCAAAGGCGAGCCCAAGGGTGTAGAAAGAGAAGGGAAGGATGGCTACTGTCGACGAGACGCCGAACTCAGCCTGCACTTCGGAGCGGCCTGGGGTATAGATGGAGGAGGCTAAGGTGCTACGGGTGCATTAGCGCGGGCTGCAGTGCGATGCGGAAAAGGGTTGGCTTACGTCACGAATGCGATGAGGGCTGGAGCATGTCAGCGAGGCGGATGCAAGAGCATGGAAGAACTTACTTGGGACAATGGTATGGAAACATCTCTTCGCGAAGGGCCAGTTCTGCGGGTTCTCAGCATCATCGGCCCATTCGACCTTGGTTGGGAAGTCCTGTTGGTCATCGTCGGAGTGAGAAGAGCGCTTCTCTGGATCCTGGCTCTCTCGGCGAGGGGAAGACGGCTCCATCTCTTCAGCCATTGCCAGTGAAGAGTTTTGGAGCAGATTGGTTACAGGGAGGAGGTGGGTATTTAGCGGACGGTGCAAACTTGGGGGCGCCGTCGCACGCTGGCATGGCGTATCGAGGGTCCACCGTGAAAACTGATGGGCGGCAGGTTGTATCGCCCGGATCTCTCGTAGGGCTCCCGGGACCGGTCTCTTGGAGTTCCATCTTGGGCAAGCAGAAACGGCATGCCGAACGGAAGAGACAGTGGGCCAATTGCGGGCAGGACTCGATGTCGCGTATCGGTGGAAGTGGCTGATAGCGTCATGGCTCGCCCCACCGTCACGCCAGCTAGACTTCGGGAACGATGGACGGGAAGTGAAAAGGAAGAGCCGCCCCCAAGCGTTGCGCCGCAGCACTACTCGACGCCGGTTCTACGCCGCTATCGGAGCCGTCGCGCCGCCGGCCAAGACGTAGCCGAAGGCTTCTGTCGATGCGGGACAGATGACGGCAAGCCTGGGCGCGACGATCGGGAGCCCGTCGCGCCTCGTCGACTGCCGTCGATGCATCTCCGTAACAGCGTTTTCTCCTGGCGATGGTGTGCGAGTGGAGTGGGACACGAGAGGGCTCGAGATTCCCCGAATCGCCGCACAATCTCCGACTGCTGACCGTCTTTTGGCTGGAGGGATGGATTGCTGTGGGCTCGGCAGTGAGGAAAGGTAGTTGGAGATCTGCGCCAGGATGCGTCGCCGCAACGCCGAACCCTCAGCCCGCGGACCCTTCCGCTCCGCCCTGGTACCGATCTCCGCCCTCCGCTCACAGCAATCGTGAAGATCGCCCAGCACTTCGTTCCGGCCTACCCCCGGTGCCAGATGCCAGATTTCCAGCTAACACGCACCGAAGGGAGTCTCTACCCCGCAGCAATCAGCCCTGCCGTCATGTCCAGAGCCACCTACGTTATCAAGCTGAACCTCCGACATGATGCGGCTGGACGAAACTTTGCACCTTGCCTTATTGACAAATCCAGTAGCTCTTTGATTGCCTGAGACCAGCATCCCGGCACGAGCGAAAGCGAAGACTGCTTTTTTAAGAAAGCGCTGCTGCTTCCATCTTGCAGGGTTCTTTCCGCGGAAATGCGGGGAGACGGCAGCCTGCCGCTGTTGCTCGGTATTGCCATCACACGATTATTAGTCAGACAACCACCACTTTATGCCTCAATCTAGCCTCCGTCTCTCCTGGATGAATCTTTGCCTTTCCTTTGCATCATTCTTCATTCTTCGAGAATATATATTCTGCCTGACACCTGTGCGCTTGTGAGGCATGCTCAGCCCTACAAACTTTAATTCTCAGTCAAAGAACAAGCCGTTGTTGAAGCGGAAGCTAGCGGAGCGTCCCGGCCGATTTCTGCACGTCGCATGATTTAGGAAGCCTCGAACATCCGGTTGATTAAACATAAACTCCATCTGTGCCGTTGAGTGCGCCTGCTTCCGTCCAATGGCAACATGGCCTTTCAAATCCAGCCTGACTCATCTCGCCCTCTGCTTAGTTTCTCAGCCATGTGGCTGCTGCGATTCGCCAAATCGAGTAGTTGATCTGCGTGGTATGTTCCGGGCGGCATATTAAGTGAAGCAACGTCGGACCACATAAGCAACGACCTCACCAAAGCTTCTCCGCGGATGCCATGTGGGAAAAAGTATAAATTATATTTTAGCTTTCACATTCGATCAATATCTACTCTTCGACACTGCTTTCCAACCCGTCAGAACAGGACTTAAGATCGTGTCAGCATGGTTTCCGACACTGGTACCAGCCTCTCCGTCCATCGTGCCACGAGAAAATACTAAACCGTAATATCAGTCCCCAAATTCCCCTTCGCCCGCCCTCATGGTGCCGAGCCCCCTGTCGAATATGCCCGCCTCCGTGCCACAAATCCCATCAGCAGAGTAGAGCTCTGGGATGGGAGCCGTCCTTGGCTGCTTGTGAAATGGAAGGACATCGTCTCTGTAGCGACTGACGAACGATTCTCAAAAGTGTGTTTCCCTGTGTTCTCCACCTGTCTGTCCTGACATGCCAGCTAGGAGCGTACGCGGCCTGGTTTCCCTGAGATGAGCCCCGGCGGCAAAGAGGCGGCAAAAAACCGCCCGACCTTCGTGGACATGGATCCCCCCGACCATGGACACCAGAGGGGCATGATATCTGATCTCTTCACATACGAGCACATCGAGACGATGCGGCCGAAGATCCGAGAGACGGTGAGCCAGCTGTTAGATGAGATGCTCAAGAAATACGATGGCCAGCCGATTGACCTGGTCGAGCACTTCTCGCTGCCTGTTCCATCATATGTACGTTCATACCTACCTCTTTTTGACCCGACTCATGCTCCTACTCACCGTCTACCTCCCGGTACAGATCATCTACGGAATTCTTGGTGTCCCCTTCTCCGACCTGGCCTTTCTGACCAAACAAGCCGCCATCCGCAGCAATGGCAGCGCCACGGCCACGGAAGCGTCAAACGCCAACCAGGAGCTGCTCAACTACATGGGCTCTCTTGTTGACCAGCGCTCTGCCGAGCCCAAAGATGACTTGATCAGCCATCTTGTTACTACGCAGCTGCGCCCTGGCAATCTTACCAAAGCTGATGTCGTGCAAATGGCCTTCCTGATGCTCGTTGCAGGCAACGCTACCATGGTGAACATGATCAACTTGGTAACTCTTCCTCTTCCCCGACTGGCTTTTTACATGAGAAGCTGCTGCTTCCTTATACACCCCCTAACAAAGGTCTGATCATGCAAAACCACAGGGTGTCATCGAACTCTACCTCAAGCACCGGGATACCCAACTGGCCGACCTCCGCGCCGACCCGCGTGCCCTAGCCCCAGCTTTCGTCGACGAGCTCTGCCGCTACCATACCGGCTCGGCCATGGCCATGCGGCGTGTCGCCAAGGTCGACGTGCGCTGGGGTGTCAATGTGAGTAGCTCATATGTTCTTTCCTCCTCCCTCCTCCCTTTGCTGCCCTGATACTGCTGTCACCTTCGCCAAAAACGAAGAAAGGAAAGAAAAGAAAAGGACAGGAAAATGGACACTCCAAAGCTGACGAACCCTCCGCAAACCCAGCTCATCAAAGCCGGCGACGGCGTCATCATGGCCAACTCGTCGGGCAACCGCGACGAGGACATCTTCCCCTCGCCCGACGACTTCGACATGCACCGCCCGCGCGGCGCCGAGGCCGCCCTGGGCTACGGCTTCGGCGCCCACCGCTGCGTGGCCGAGTGGCTGGCCCGCGCCGAGATGGAGGAGGTCTTCGTCGCCCTGGTCACCCGCGTGCCCGGTCTGCGCGTGGCCGCCGCGGCCGAGGACGAGATCAAGTGGACGCCTTTGAATAAGGATGTCGGCGTTGTGGAGCTGCCTGTTCATCTTAAGTGAAGTGAAGTGGAAAGGAAAGGAAAGGAGAACCAAAAAAAATGCCAAGGTTCCATTTTGGCCTAATTAGGAGCAAGACACATATCCGTATGTAATCGCAAATACCTCACTCTGCAACTCCTCCAAAGGTAGTACACCTCGAAGAAAAACACGTACACCGTAGCACACTGATCGCCAGCCCCGGCCTCGCCGACCAGAGCGTGTCGACGTACGACAACGATCTGGCCGAGGCCGTGGCCAAGCTCGTCAACACCACCATGTTCGATATTGTCAAGGTGCTCGATACTGACTCAGCCGATGACGGCACCAAGCAGCAGGCCAACGACCTGCTCGGCGCCTCCGTAAAAGCCCCTGGCTAGCCCTCCACAGAGGTTGGCAGCCGGAGAAGAGGGTAGGTAACAACCACGTTCATGCAACGCAGTGACGTAATCAGTTCATGGTCTTAACTGCCTAGTGAATTTATCCGTCTATCTGCTCGAAACACCGAATTCTCAAACCCCATGCCCTACCCACACCATCTTCACTCCAGCCAACGCAAATGAAAAGTATCTCGTAGACCATACTCGCTCACATCGCACGCACGTACAACTTCTTCCTCCACCAGTTGATAACAGGTGGGAAAAAAGAAAAGAAATTGGTGCAAGGAAAGATCTTATGGAGGAAGGAAAGAAACCATTCACACAAGAAAAGGCGCTTGAAACCTCCCAACTTGCATAAAGAAAAATCCCATCTGCACATATGTCGTCAAAACGAAACTCCCCCAAAGTCCCCACGCTTGAGAACAACAACAATCTCTTGCTAACCGAGCCTAGAGTCCACCATACAAACACCCATAATGGCAATGACAAATGATCCGTTTGAAAGCTTTTCGTATTTTTGTGTATCTGGTGTGGGGTATGTGATGCACGGGAAATGGTGAATAAAATTTTTCTTCTTAATAGGAGCAAAGACTGGGGAGGAGCCGAAATAAAGGGATGCATCACTGCACGTTCTCCATTCATGCAGCAGCCCGAGCAACAAATTGCTGGAAAAATTGCTTGAATCCCTTTTCTCCCTTTGTCGTCAATGCTCCCAGATACTCTTCAAGGCCCTGCTGATCGACGCCCATGTTGGATAGCTCATGCCTCAGATTCTGGACATAGATATCCCCAGTTTTCTTGAGGATCTCAATCTGCATCGCACCAAGTTCACCAAGCACCTGTCTGGCCTGGGCATCCTTGCTATTAAAGCCCTGCGTGGCAGGAACGCTCCAGCTGAGCGGGGAGAATCGTGAGATTGCGAAGTGGTCGAAGCCTGGAAGAGTCGGCGCCGGAGTGTTGCCGCTGTTTAGAGGAATATCAGGGCCGCCCCAGACGGCCGTCATGCGGGTGAGGACGGAAATGGCGAGACGAGCAGTCGGGTAGTCGGTAGGGTCGCGTGCAAAATGCTCAATGGTAGTGATTATGGTGTCAAAAGTGGCCTGGTTGGCTGTTTTGGAGGGTGGGGTCAGTATCCGAACGAAAACGGTTGGGGTATCGTGACTTACCATTGCTGATGAAAACAGCGCCGAGTTCGTTGTTCAAGATGATGAGAAGAAAGTTGAGATACTCACGGCGGAGTTCAGCCAGCTGAATCTCATCATCCGTGCCGGTAGTAGGTTCCGCCAGGCCTGCGAAAACACGCTGTAAGAGTGGAGTGAGGAGGGAGTCGAGCATGTTGAAGATCTCGGCCTTGAAACCGAAGACGACCTGGTCCAACAAACGCAAGAAAGTGGCCATCTCATCTTTGGTAGAACTCTGAGATAGAAGACCATCGATCCAGCGAGGAAGCTGCTGCAAAACGCGCGATCCAAGCACCCCGATGAGTCTGGAGAAGGCGAAGCGAGCGCCGGTCCGAATGGTGATGGACGAGTTGAGAGATTCCAATGCCACCAGGATTACCTCGGCTGCACGAGCAAACTCTTCCGACACCTCATCGGCAGGGGGCGCACCAGAAGCACCGGGCATCCAGTCGGAGAAGCCGCGGGCAAGAGTACCAATGGCCTCAATTAGGTGGTGCACCTGAAGAATCGCACGCTCATCGCCGCTCTTGGCCAGCCCAAGGTTTTGTTCCAAGTCGGCGAAGAGCGGATTCAGCACTTCGCGACTGTAGATGATCTTACTCTCGACGGGGACGGAGGAAGGCGATGCCATGCACCCAATCGCCTCGAACAAGTAAAGCTGACTGTTAAAAGTTGCGTCAGCAGATTGGCCGTTATCTTCGGAAGACATGTCATCCTCATCATTGTCATCGGGCAACTCAGCCTTGATGGCCAGAAGATCGCCAATGGCTTGAATGACTGTCTGCGAAACGGGTCCAATTTGCTGACGCAACGGCTTGACGAATCGGTAGAAGAGGTACCAGGAGCGCAGCTTTAGTTTGCGATGGCTGCTGTGGATGAGGCGGACGAGGTTCTCAAGAACCTTGGGGATGAGGGCCGAGTTTTGCTCGAAGAATGCGGAGTAGCGGACGCAGATCTCCATGTACTGAAGGGGAATTACGGGGAACTCGTCGGAAGCGGCAATGTCTGAAATAAACGGTTAGCGGGACGCTCGAAACAAACGCAGTGTTGGCGGCGGCGGCATACTCGACTCGACCATCTTGGCCATCATCTCGATCAGTCGTGCCGAAGCCACCGACGAGGGCTCGCGCTTCGCGTACATGCCGCCATTCTTCACAGCCAGCTCTCCAAACAGATACATCTCATGGAGGGCAAGTTCAACGTCGCGCCAGCTCATGCCAGAGTTTGGCTGGTCGTAGGAACTGATGATAAGGGCAATCTTGTTGGATAAGGTCTCGATGTACAGGCTCTCGTCGATGGCAGCAACCTGCTGCTGCAAGACGTGCAATCTCTTGCGCAACTCCTGGAACTCCGCCTCATCCGTTTGCTCATCCTCGTCATCCAAAGAAGCTGTCGAGTCGTATTTCATCTTGGCAATGATGGCTTCAAGAACGGGAGAAAGCATGGAGGCATAGGCTGGCGGGAGGGCGCCCTTTGCCTTGACAATCTTGCGGAAGAGAGTCAGCAAGTCTGTGAGCGAGGGAATCACTGTGGAGCAAATTTCGTCATATTCATCTGAGAAGAAGCGGAGTAGGTAGGGAACGAAGGCGCCGAGCAGGTCGTTGGCCTGCTGCTTGGTGCCGTCATCGGCTGAGTCAGTATCGAGCACCTTGACAATATCGAACATGGTGGTGTTGACGAGCTTGGCCACGGCCTCGGCCAGATCGTTGTCGTACGTCGACACGCTCTGGTCGGCGAGGCCGGGGCTGGCGATCAGCTGGCCTACGACGTTCCCGAGGTTCAGGAAAGCAATGAGCTGGACCTTGTCCGGCGCCTTCATCTTCTTGCCAACCGTCTCGGTGAAGGTGTCGATGGCGGCGTCGCGGACGCGGCCCTCGGGGGTCTCGGACGACATGACGCCCTGCTGGCCGGCAATCTCGAACAGGTTGTGCAGCATGCCATCGTTGACAACCAGCGAGATGTCGATCCAGCTGACCCAGCGGGCGACCGTCTTCAGGCACATCTCGACGAGGCCAAGATCGGTCCGGGTCCAGCGGCCCAGGATGCCCTGCCAGGCGATGGATATATTCTGGGCATCGCGGGCGCGGACGAGGTCCTTGAGCTCTGCGTTGCGCCTCGACTCCTCGGGCGAGCGCGACATGAGCACGTCGGCAATCTCGTCGTGCACCGAGTTCAGCACGCGCAAGTACAGCATGGTGGCCGGGAGGTTATCCTCGGCGGCTAGAGAGCGGAAGTCCTCGAAGAAGGACTCCCAGCCTTGAGCGTACAGGGCGGTGAACAGATAGGTGATTGTCTGGGTTATCTTGTTCTGGATGTGGGCCGTGTCGATCTGGTCCGAGGCCGGGTTCTGGTAGACGGCGCGGATGTACTGCATGATGCTGTCGCGGATGTACAGCAGGCTCTGGGGGTCGAGGCGCTGCGTCTGGACGGCATTGTTGACGATCTCGAGGACGAAGTGGCGCACGACCTCATTGGGGCGCGGGTGGCGGGTGAAGAGCGAGAGGCAGACGGACCAGGCCTGGGCGGGCTCCGCGCGGATCTGGTTGAGGAAGTTTATGGCCTGCGTCTTGAGCTCGTGGTCGGCCGCGGGGTTCCAGGCGATCTGGATGGCATTTTCAACCTGGCGAGGTTGCGGGTCAGCGCGGGCTACGCGGCGGGGCAAGTGAGGCTGGCGGTACCTGGGCCTCCATCCTGCCGCCGGCGGGATGCTGTGAGGCTGCGGTGCCGTGCGACTTTTGTGTTGGTGGGCTAGAAAAGTTCGGCGGGGTGTGCGGGCTATCGGGCAGCCATGTATGCGCGGGTGAGCGGCGGCGCGAGGCAGTGGCTTGGTCGGCGGGGCAGAGCGTCTCTGGCGGGGAGGTGAATGTCTTGCGCACAAAAGTGTCGTGCCTGAAGAATGCAGGCCGTTGGTGGTGGGCGGTCTTGGCAACCTAGCATCTGCCCTCTCGCTGCCTCGGCCTCTCACCGCCCGACACGACCATTAGGCCGCTTTGTCCTCACCGGAGCCCAGCCTTTGTTTCCGGCCCGACGGTGCTCCTTGCGCTAGGTACAAAATTTTTATCGTGGCCGATCAGCAACGCCAACACGGCGCTTCGCTTCGGCAACCATTAATCCCCATCAGAAACGAAACACTGCGAACAGACAATGTTTTATGCGTTCATCAACATTTACTCTTTGTATTGAGCGGTACCGCAGCCGACAGCTAGCATGAAGAAGGCCCCAGGCGTAGCTCTGCCTCTGCTCTTTCTCAAAAAGCCCGAGTTCATGTACAGTCCCCTCACAGCTGATGGCTTTTTTTTTTGTTTTTTGCACATGTTATGGGTAGTTGGAGCTATCGTCCGGACAAGAGTGTCGAATTAAAAACTCTACATACACGCCCGGACGATAGCTTCAGCTACCCACACATGTTATTTTTCTATTTTAACTACACCATTTTGTCTATTCTCAGAAACAATACACTCGCCAGAAACCATTTTCTCGTAATAAAGTCATAGTGCTAGTAGCTGCAGCTAAGAGTCGCCCAACACAGCCTTCGCATTTTGCAGCCGCTTGCGCCTATTCGCAAGCTCTGCCCGAACACCAGCAATCCGCGCCTGTTCTGCGACTACTCGCGCCTCTTCAGCAGCAACTCGCGCCTCTTCGGCGGCTATCTGAGCCTCTTCGGCGGCTATTTCTTGCCTAGCACGCCGTTCGTCCTCGCGAGCATTGGCGCTCTGCAAGAGGTGCTTCTCAATTCTTGCAATAGCTTCCTTAAGTTGACCGAACTGGCTGCTCTCGTTTTGCATCTGGATGGGCTCCGTGGGCAGTTTCATGATGCACGCCTTCATTTCCGCCATTTCGGCTACCAGCTGCTTGGTCTGTTTCTTGATTTCAGCGACATCGCTTTGCAGCTGCTTGGTATCTACCACATCGCCTCGCAACTGCTCGATGGGCTTTTCGAACAATCCGCCTGGCATGATTTGAGCCCTGATCTTCCTAAGGAGAGTATTGTCCGTCTTCGTTTGTGGAGGCTCCCCCGCTGGCGTTGTCGCTCGAGGACGAGAACCCGATATCAATGGGCTTTCAGTAGGGTGAAACCCTTGCCTCTGGTTACGCTCAGCGGCGGTTGAGCCCGATGTTCCTGGCCGTGGGTGCTTCTCTCCCGTCTGTGCTGGTGGTTGCAACGGAGGCGGCGACTTCGATTTGAGGTACACAGCCACGTAGACTGTCTCGTTGGGCGTTTGCCGAATACCGTCCCATGGAGAACATTCGTCGGGGCTCTCCTTGATGTCGTCGAACCGAATCCACTTGTCGTCATGGCGCACATACGCCACATAGTGCGCCCCAGTAGGTCGGTAGTGGATTGTGGCTTGCAAGGTGTAATCGGTTATCTGGTCTGTTATCCAGCGCATTGGAGTGCTACCAGGCGCGGACGGCTTCCTTTCAGATGGCAGAGAAACGTCGTCAACGTACCCCGCAAGATTAAGATGCTCTGGTACCTCGACGTGGTTGAGCCACTTCTGCTCCTGGCCACTGAAATCCTGAAGAACTCTCCGAAAGGTGAAACTCAGGACCTGGGGGGTTTTCACGATGCGTCGCGTCTGGGGGCCCATCGCGCTTTTACATGTCGTCACAGGACAACGTGACACCCGATCGGTGACTTCCTCCGCCGCCGTATCCAAGACGTAGTCGCGGAACAGCTCTTTCAAATCATAGCGCTTCCCTGCCGGAGACAAAATCCCATCTGGCGACTCGATAGTCACCGTTGCTAGCTGCTGAAAGAGGCGGTCGATGAAGCCACAAGACATGCAGACACGTTCCCGAACAATCTGGTGATACAGCGTCTCTGCTAAAAGAGTCTCGCGGCCATTGTGCGTAAAGCCACTCCAACTCCGTTTGGCATCATCTTTCAGCGGACGCTGGGTACATTCCAGCTCGGCGGCCAGTTGCTCCAGCGGCCGTGCTGATTCTCCACCCGCAGAAGTTACCGACGATGTGCCCACCAACGTGTCAAGTAATTGTTCAAACAGCTCCTTGGCGTCATGAGCCTCCGTGCCGTAGTCATTGCCAAGGGAAGAAATCTTTCCCAGGAGATTCTCTGTCACAGCAGGAGGTAGCTTTCTTCCTCTTTCATCCAGTTTTTGGAAGATGTCCCTCAGGGCTTCCACCAGGCCACGTGAGTCTTCCTTCTGAACGAATCTGAAGTTGATGGGAGACTTGACAAAGGTCCGAACGTGGGGAATTCCGTGAAGGACTTGCGCGACAGTGGACACATAGCACGTTCCCTTCAGATTCGTGAGATTCCGGCGGAGTCCAGGCGTCGTAGCTCTTTGTCCTGTGGTAGTCTGAGCAGCGGTCCTCTGAGAAGCGGTCGTCTGAGCCGAAACCGCTTTAGCCGCCATCTTCTGCGATATTCCTGTCAGTTACATGTAAAATTACAAGGGTAAGCTGGTATCGAATCAACTTGAGCTTGTTTGATTTACTTACTGGGAGTCCTGTTTCTGGTCCTTCTTCAGGTGTATCGAGCGTGGTACGTTCATATGCAGAACCCGTCTTTGCTGCATCTTGACAAAGAGGACATACTAACTTCTTGTTGATGCGCTTGAGCTGACTACATGGCCACACAGACCAGCAGTTACGGCAGCAATGTAGAGTTCGCTGTCGGTTCTCCTCAGACTCGCCGCAGAAAGGGTAAAGGACTTCGCCGCCGAACTTCCTGATTGCATCGGCCATCTCACAAGCTAAGTCCTCGTTAGTTCACATTCTGTATTATTGTTTGCATAGCTCTTTACCTGCGTTCCAGGCCTCTTCAAGACTACCTGTCTGGACAAAACGTATGTGAGCTGCTTCAGATATCCGGAAATGTACAGCTTGGCGACGCGTTTGCTGATGCTCCTCGGTTTTCCGCAAAGACGGAAAATGAATCGTCGGCAAGTTCTTCGTGATTTCTTCTACGAGGTCTGTCGGATAGAAGTCCCCGGCCGCCGCGCCACGTTTGCGCTGCACGAGTCCGTCGCCAGTTGCGACAATGTTGGACCATGAATAGGCGCCATGAGCTATAATTGTTTAGCCTTTCTTTTCTAGAAGGAGGAAAACATATCTTTCTTACCTGCCCAACGTCTCAAGTCACTTGAATATTGGTTTTTGAGATCTTTTGCCAGCATGAAAAGCTCATCCTGGGTAGCAATGGTCCCATATGTGTACATTGTACATTGTGATACGATGTACTTGAGCAGTTGCCTATGTGCGGCAGTTGTCTCTTTTAACATGTCTCCCGAAAAGACAAAGCTGAAGACGTCGTTGACGTAAAGGTCGGCGCAGATATCGGGTACACCTGCGGGAAGGGTGAGGGGTTGGCCTACAAACGGTCCGTCTGAGTTGGCGCTAAAGGGGAGCGTGGCTTTGAGATAGAGTGGAGTAGTCGTTTTTACACGCTGACAGACAACATGATGCAACCCAAGGCCGATGGCACCGATGCGGTATTGATCTGGAACCACCTTCACTACACACATGAGGAAAATTGCCCGCAAAGATGGCTGAGACAGGCGGTTCAGCTTCGTGTAGACGCGCGAGAGATATCGACTTATAGCTTCGAGGACCATCTGCCTGGCATTGGAGTCGGAAAGCCACTCTGGCTGCGGGATCGTGCGCTATCAAAGAGTGAGTTCGTGTCTTTCCAAATCTGCCATCAATATGTACTTACTTGGTTTGGATTTCCCAAAGGTATGAAGTTGATACCACCAATGCTGCTCACAAGTGAGGTGTTTTCTTTGATACTCCTCCCCTCAGTGGTGAATGGCGCAGGTGCGAAGAGGAAAGTCCATTTTCCCGGTTCATGGACGGCTGCGGAATGGATTTCGCGTAGGGGCTTCGGAGAAAGGAGCTCGCCCAGGCTGGGTTCATCCAGTGTCGTGGGCCCAACGCGCTGGGTGACTTGAATCTCCTGGAGTACCTGCTCCATGCGCATGCTATTGCAGCCATTTTCGCTTAACTGCGGCACGGGAGTGTCATTGATGGCAGCTCTTCCACCACCAGGATGAGGGTCAAGGATGGATGAGCTGTCTAGGTCAAACACGCTGAGGTCGTCCGGCTCTGACGGTCTAGTCGGAGCCGGGGCTTTTCTCGCCCGCTTCTTCGGTGGCATGATTGTACAGCTTCACTGGAAATGTAGCATTCGCTTACATTGTTAGCTGGATCCCTTGTCTAGATATATTTCTACAGTTCGAGGACTTACATCTGCGTCCGGATGTTTGCTTCGAGTCCCCGCTAATGGAGAGGGCGTGACTATCCTGTGTCCAAGTGAGGCGTCGCGGAAGAAGAGGGCGCGATTCTTTTGTCTCCGAGTGAGGCGTCGCGGGGGAGGAGCGTGCGATCTTCGGTCGCGCAGTGTGGCGCTGTGGAAGAACTGGGGGCTTGTGGGTATTGCAACTTTCGACAGAGGGTATGATTTGATGTAGCTGCGAAAGTTGCTGCCCGGTTGTCGGTGCGCGTTTTCGTGCGTGCGAGAGGTGTCCAAAACCAGTCGGAAGATTCTGGGCGCTGCAACGCGGTGGAATGGTATGGAAAAGCCCGGAGAAGAAAGCAAAGGCGGCCTTGAGGGTGCGATTGCGCTTTGATTGGCTGCCGCATGAATATCACGTGCACGGTGCGCAAGCTTGGAATATCGGAAGGCGGCCGAACTGTCCGTTCTGTGCCAATTGCGTTCCGACTCCAAAGCACGCTGCACACCAGACACCGCCAGCACAACAGCCTCTGCCATGGATGAGGACACTTCTGAGAATGAGCCAACAGGGGCTCAAGCTATTGATGTTCCGCTAGGCTCTACCGCTCCCAGAACGGATTCTCCGCCAAGCACTTCCGTCACCTCACTTCAGACTAAGCATCGTCGTGAAATTGCTTCACCCGCGCCCGATCCACCTTCGCTAGCCTGGGACACTAGTCTTCCACGGAGGCCAGCCTCACGGCCAGCTATGGAGCTTCCCGCGGAGCAAATGGTCGTGGAAGAAAAGGCCGAAGCTCCTAAGAAGCGGAGAAGCGTCGCGGATTTCGCTACACAAGTAGTCAAGGACACCAAAGGGACTTTGAAGCGTATGCGCCGGCCCAAGTCAACTGCGACTATTGCGACATCGCCACCGCCCGTTGAGGAATCATCGTCGGACAAGCCAGAAGAAAAACCGTCCGAGCCTCAGCCACGAACTCCTTGGATCGACCCTTCGGACATGAAAGGACCCGTGGAAGATGAAGAGGACAAGACCCTTCATATGGGAAGACCGCCAGGAGCAGCACCGCGCAGCAACCTCGCCGCTTTCTTCTGGTCAAGGCTAGAACTCGTAAGTATCTCCATTTAAAGTCAGCTTAAGACGTCGTTGTAAGAGGTCTACCCGTTGACGTAGAGCACTGGGATGATTGCGGCTCATTCTGACGTGGTTACATGATCCACCGTCTGTGAAAGTCGTACTAATTCATGGTTTTAGGCTTATAGCTTGTTTCGCGAGAGGCGTCTCGATGAATGTCGCGATCTGATTCTAAGCAATCTGGAGAAAGCACATGTCCCTCTCGCGTGCCGGTGTCAGTTACTACAACAGCTGGCCGTCATCGAGCCTTACGACCACGGGATGGAATGCCTGGAGGAGGCGGACGAGCTATGTCGTCAGATGCGAAGGATCGTTCCTGACAGTGAACAGATTGACAAAATGGAAAACAGAACCTCGCTGTTTCGTGGACTATTGGAGGAGCGACACAAGGCCATTGGAGAAGACGAAGAGATGGCAGAGGATGATGACAGCTCCAGTGAGGAAGAAGAAGAGACGGCCATGGAGGATGACAACGCCATCGATAGATTCCTAGAGATGATCATGGACGAGGACAATGACATCCAGGCTAAGGAAGAGCCGGAGGAGAGTCAAAGCGTGCAGCAAGTCTGACCATAAGATGGAAGGGGGATTGTGGGACATCAGCAACATTGGCCAACCCAGTCTGGACGATGCTCCGGAAAATTTTCTGCCAAGTCTACTAGAGGACGTGCCGGCCCGCTGACGGTACATCAGTCACTGGGCGGTTGGGCCTCCTTACTTCGGAAGTCGGCATGTGAGAGGTGGAAAATGAGGCAGATCATGGACAGGCAGATACGCAGTAAGCAAGCCTGGCATGGCAAAGCTCTAGTTGAGTAGGGCATGGGCGTACAAGGGGTATTGCAGCCGAAGGCTAGCGTGAATTTTTTTTTTCTTCATGTCGTGGGTAGTTGAGGCTTTCGTGCGGACGTAAATGTCGAATCGACAATTATCCATTTACATCCAGACGATGGCTTCAGCTGCCCACACATATTGTTGTTTTCAATTAAAAAAAAAAAGAGGGTTTGTGTATTTAGAAAGTCCATCGGTATGCTAATTTGCTACTCTTTTCTTCTCCATTTTCTTTAATGAGCGTAGTCAAATCAAACCTAGAATATGGAGTAGATTCCATGCTATTCACCTCTCTTTCACTTGATGTTTGCTGGCAGTTAGCCACCCATTCTGCGCATTCTTCGAGACCCGATTGTGATGGCTCATGGGGGGGGGAGCCAAAACCTGGTGAGGGGGCGACAGGACTATGCGAAGATGGCAGAGTTTGTAGGAATCAAAGAAATAAAGCGAATGGTGATGAACGTATAAAACATTGTCTGTTCGCAGTGTTCCGTCTCTGATCGGTGCGGTGAGGAAATAGCTTAATATATATGTAGGTAGTACACGAACCGCCCGCAACCACCACCTAACTACTCAGGGCTAGTCCTACTCAACCCAAGACATTCCGAAATCTTGTAGAAAATGTCTATGTTGTTGTAGACACCTCCAAAGAGTTCTTGGCAGGGTCCCTGAGCGAAGACCGGTACGTCCGTCAGGCTGTGCACACCCTGGTCATTCTCCACCGGCAAGTTTCCGTCCAACTCGATGCCCCCCGGCCCATCCTCCGGGTTGGCGTAGTAGTCGCCCGAGTCCTCTTCCAGCTCGATAGCGGCGATTCGCGGGCCGTCCTCGTCGACCTGGTAGTTCTCACGGCGGTCTGGGTTGGCGCTGACGCCAGAGAAGAGCGTATACCTGGGCGTCCAATTTTTTGGAAAAGCCCCATCCCCGTGACTGAGATTTCCACTCAGAACGTATTCGGAAAGGCCTGACTGCTCATATACACCGATGGCGTCGCGCTTCTTGCGGTCATCCGTCTGAACACTCAGGTACTTGGTGTCCACGCTGCCCATGACGTCGAAGCCGTGGCCGTGGTCGGCCGTTACCAGGATTAGTGTCTCCTTAAGTTGGTCAATGGCCGAGAGCTTTTGAATGGTTGCTTTGACGGTATCATCCAACTCCAACAACTCGCCCAGCGCCCTAGGATAGTCCAAAGCATGCATCATTTTATCTATGCTAGCCGCTTTTTAAAGGTCAGAATGGTGTCTATTCAGGTGGTGCAAGAATGGTTACCTTCAGACATGAGGAAAAATCCGGATTCGTCCTCGCTCGAGCGAGCAGCGAGGATGTCAATTGCTTTCAGCGTCATCTCCTGTTTGGAACGTTATTAGCAATCTTAGCAAGCACGTAGGGATGTAGGTTGGTGAATGCGAAGAGTGGTGGTGGTGGTGGTGGTGGTGATGTACGGCGGGATACGCTAATCCTAATCGGGAAAGAACAACGAACTGGCGACAACAAAGGAAGTAAACCAGGCAAAGCATGCCCCGAGGGATTGTTGACAGATTCGTTTCTCTATCCTCTTGAAGGTGCAGAGCTATTGTGTTTGATTGACACTTACCTTGAGACCGGGCTGGTTGAGAGCAGCCGTCTTATCGCCAGTCGGGCTGAGCGACTTGTTCAAGTTCTTAGTGTAAACGTTCCTATCAAGCCACTTGGCCATATTGGAGGTCGTGAAGATTCCAAGGGTTTTGGTAGTGTTGTCAGTCTCCTCGAGATCATCCCGGTCCAGCACAATGTTGTAGCCGGCATTGGAGAACTCCCGATAGTAATCTTTGTCGAGGTACGTCTTACCGCCGCGCGTGGAGTTGTAAAATTGCTCTGCTCCGCCGCCAAAGACGACATCGGGACTGTTCCACTTGGGCCAAGTGTAGTTGGTGTTGCCGTTGAGCATCATGTCTACAATTTGCGCGTACGTCCCACGCTCGCGTGTATGCGCATTAATGGCAGCAGGTGTAGCATCAGCCACAGTCGCAGTAGTGACGATTCCGATGTGACCTCCCCAGATTCTTTGGAAGAGCTCAGAAATAGTCTCTACTTTGGGGTCATCGAAGGTATCCGGGCTGGAGTCTGCGTATACTCCTAAAGCGCCCGAAGAGCTCTTGTGGCCGGTATTGAGAGCGCTGGCTGAGTTGGCAGAATCCGTTATGTATGTATCGATAGAATGCGTCATCTGATGGCCCAAGACGGGAAACTGGTCCAGCTGCATCTTCGTCTGGTACTTGCCGTTGACCTGCTTGTGGGCAATCAAGCGGGCAGCCTGGAGCAATCATTAATTCGATCGTCCCTCAAAACAGCTATATTGGACCCACAGTAATCATGTTCGTAGTCATTCCGTCGCCGATAAACAGGATGACGTTCTTCGTGCGGCGCACCTCGGCCATTTCGCGGACGAGCCAAGTGGCCTTGGTCTGGGTGCCGTTGTTGTACGTCAGAGTAGCAATGTACTCCCCGGGCTCGTACAGCGCCACCTTGCGGTAAGCTTTCGCAGTAACATTGACGATACTGGGCCTTTCGGCATCCCTGGCGAAGAGGTCTGCTCAATTCAGTATGCGAATCTCTCGTTCCTCGGATCGCCGCAGATGGCCTACCCTCGTACCAGGAGAAGTCCCACTTCTCAAGCTCCGGTTCCTCGCTACCAAAGTACTCGGCGGCGTCCACGGCCTCGGACTTGGCACCATTCTCGTCGACTTTGGCGATGGTGAATTTGAAATTCTCATCTGCCGGCCTTCCAATGGCCTGGGATCCATTGAGTGGAGCATGCACCTCGAGACGGATGTCGAAGTACTGTCCAGCAAGGAAGTCGGCTCTGCAGCAGTTAGTTCCATGTATACGGAAGCGCAGCGGAAAGCCTACTGGTCGGGTGGGAAGATGCAGCCTGTACAACGATCAGCGAGGGCTCAACAAGGGGAGCATGCAAAACATACCAAGGCTTGGACACGCGCCCAGGCGCTGGAAGGTTTGAGCTTCGCAGCTCGCCCCGAACAGACCAGCGACAAGTGCAGCAACGACGAGGATCATGGCGGGCAATCAGAAACCAAGCTTCTTGATTGGCCTGCTGCGAGGGGAGAGAGACCGGCGGAGAGCGATTCTTGAGAGGTGCGGGACCAAACGCTCCCCAGGTCAAGAAACAAGCTGCTTATAAAGGCTGTCTTTCCCTCTCTGGACCTCGTTTGCAGGCCGTGTCCTGCGCGAGGTCCAATTTGCACAAATGCTGTGCCACCCCGGCATAAGCTTTCCGTTGCAATCGTTCCCAAGTGGAGACAATGGCCCGCAAACCACGAACCCGAAAGCCCCTCGGACGGCGTTATCAGCCTCCGTGCTGGAATGCCGCGCTTTCATGCGGCGGGCCAAGCAGCAGAAACTAGCAAGAAATGGACCCTTCAGGCGAACACCTTCCGCCGTAATTAACCATTCTCTTGGCCGGCCGCGGACGTTGGCAAAGACGGCACCGTGGCTCATCCGAGCCTTCTGATTTGTTCCCCTCATGGCGGGGTTGGCCCCCGCCAATACTCCTCTCTTGGCGGTCCTTGGCGGGAGCTACCTTCAACTCGTGAGATGACTCGCGCTATCAACATTATTCCTGCTTATCTCGTCCCCGATCCCGTCTTCTTTCCTCCAGCTAGTTGCCGACCCGGCGAACTCCGCTCTCGCTTTCACTTCTCCATATCGCGCCTGGGGTACGTAAAAAGTATTATCCCTGCTAATATTCCGAGCTACTTTGAAAAGGAAAACGTAATGAAACCAAAGAGACTTCTCCGAGAGAACCCAATCTTCCACCAAGTAGCACAAAGAGGCCGTGTCAAAGAAGGTAAAAAGCCAAACAAACAAAAAAAAATACGCTCATGAAGTGCGCGCAAAGCCTGATCCCATCCCTACAACCCCTCCGCCACTAACGTTATAAATCGCCTCACCACCGAAGGCGCAGTGCCCGAAGTCGACAGCGTCTGACTGGGCCAGACGGGGATAATCTTGGTGATCGGGTTCGTGTTGCAAACCGACTGAGACGACGTGGTCGGCAACGTGGGCAGCGGCGACGGCGTGCTGGTGGTCCAATACGTCGACGAGCTGACTACCGAGCCCGTGAAGCACACGGTCACGACTTGTGTCGTGATGATTGTGGTACCGCCGTTCGACAGCGTCAGCGTATTTGTCTGCACCTGCGTCGTCGTTACAGTGACCATCGTGCTCGAACCGCTGGTCGTTACAGACGGCGTGCTTTGTACGCTGGACGATGAGGAGACGGTCGAGCCACTATTCGTTGAACTGCTGCCAGTTCCGCTAGAAGATGGAGAAGAGCTAGTCGGACTGGGGCTACCAGAGCTGCTACCGGTTCCGCTGGATGACTGGATTGAGACGGTGCTTGAGCCGCTATTCGTAGAGCTTCCGCTAAATGATGATGAAGAGGTAACCGGAATTCCAGAGCTACTGCCAGTTCCGCTGGATGATAAGGTCGAGCCGGTGTTTGTAGAGCTACTGACGGTTCCGCTAGATGATGGGGAGACCGTGGCTGGGCCGGCGCTGGTAGAGCTGCTGCCGGAAGAGCTGTTCGGAACGCAACCGGGTAGGGTCCGGCGAGCGTTGATGATGTCGTTGGAACTCTGAACTCTATCTCCTAGTCCACTCTTCGGCTGGCAGGTGTTGGTCGAGAGCGAGTAGCTGATGTCGACACAGTCGCAGAGACGCGCGCAGAACTCGACGCAATCGAAGAAGCTCACTCCGTGGATGGGCGCGCGTTTTGAAATCTGGAACCCTTGCGGGAAATCGATATTGTACCCGCTGTAGTCCACACCACACTCAAGGAAGAATTCTGCGTTCTGCACTGTCTGGGCACTGTATGTTGTACCGTTGGACGCCGGGCAGCTGACAGTCGTTGGCGAGATCGTGGGCATGGTGGTTGTTGTTCTTGAACTTGTCCCGGTCGTAGATAAGCCGGTCGATGTGGCAGAGCCAGTAGATGTGACAGAGCCAGTAGATGTGACAGAACCCGTGGATGTGGTAAAAATAGATGTGCCAGAACTGGATATACCGGTGGAAAGGCTCACAGAAGTGAAAGTCGATCCGCTCAAGGTGCTCATGGTCAAAGATGTTGAGGGAACACTAATTGTACTGCTCGTAGAAATCGGTCCACTTAGTGTTGATTCGGTCGATGTAATCCGTGTTCCGGTACTCAAGCTGGTGGATGTGCCGGTTGAAAATCTCACAGATGTTGTTGAAGTGAAAGTTGATCCGCTCAAGGTGCTCATGGTCAAAGATGTTGAGGTAGTTGAAGTAACACTGATTGTACTGATCGTAGAACTTGGTCCACTCAGTGTTGATTCGGTCGACGTGATCCGTGTTCCGGTACTTAAGCTGGTGGATGTGCTAGTGGAAAGGCTCACAGATACCGTTGATGTGGAAGTTGACCCGCTCAAGGTGCTCGTGGTCATTGGCTCACTCAGTGTTGAATCGGTCCGTGTACTTTGCGTTTCGGTGCTCAAGGTCGACATTGTGGAAGTAATGGAGGAGGTTCCTGACGTCGAGGTTGCACTGCTCATGGTCATCGGCTCACTCAGTGTCGAACCGGTCTGTGTACTTTGCGTTCCCGTGCTCAAGGTCGATGTGGTACTGGTACCTGTGGAAGTAATTGAGGAGGTTCCTGACGTCGAGGTGCCGCTTGAAATCGGCGAGCTACTAAGGGTCGTTGTTCCAGATGAGGAGATTGTACTTTCAATGCTCATGGATCCGCTGGAACTTTGGCTTGTGGTATAACTGGAACTTGACGTGCTTGCCGTAGTTAATGTGTACGTTGTACCGCTCGCAGTGCTTGAGGTTCCGGTGGACGTGGAGGTTCCGGTGGATGTCGAAATATCGGTGGACGTAGAGGTGCCTGTTGACGTGGACGTGCCGGTGGTTACAGTACCGGTTGAGGTAACACTGCTGATCGATATGGTATTGGATGTGGATGTAGTGGCAGTCGAGGTGGTGATGCCCCCAGTAGTGGCAGAAGTCGAAGTGCTCCACGTGGTCGGGGTCGACAGAGAATCCGTTTCGGTTACAGTCGTTCTTGAGGACCATGTGCTTGTAGCTGTTGAACCAGACAACGTACTTATTGAAATGGATGGTGTGCTTGTCCCTGTTGACCACGTGGAGATAGATTCTGTTCCTGTACTAGTGATTCCCGTACTTATCGTAACAGTCGAGGTCGTAGATGCTGTACTAATGGAAGTCGAAACACTCCATGTACTGGTACCTCCAGTTGGGGTCGACACAGAATCCGTTTCGGTTATAGTAGTTCTTGAGGACCATGTACTTGTAGATGTTGAGCCAGACAACGTACTTGTCGGTGTTGAAGTTAATATTGTGCTTGTCCGTGTACTATCTGAAGTCGCACTGGACGCTGTAGAAGTTGACCCAGTTGGCGGGCCGAATGTAGTGGTGGAAGTTTCAGACGCCGTCGATCCCATGGTCACAGAAGTTGTCCCAGTCGAAAGCGAAGTTGATGGCCCCGTGGAGGAGCCGGACGCCGTCGTACTTCCCGAAGTTGAGATTGTGGTGGTGAGGCCCGAGGTTATCGAGGACGAGACGGACGTTGTAAATGAGTTGGAAACTGTGGACGATGTTGTGGTTGGGCCAGGACTCAGACTGGAAGAATCCGATAGTGAATATGAGGTGCTACTTCTGAGGCTTGTGGTGCTGGAAGAGCTTCCTGATGACACACGCCGAAGGAATATTGTGCCAACACTAGTCGCATCAATAAGGGTTCCTACACTCGACTTCAGATAGCATCGAGTTGTATAGCTTGCTGCAAGGCATCTGAAGTCGCCAGAGCACGCATTTGCGCAATCGGCGATATTACTGGCAGGGGCATCAATGTAAGAGTTCACTGGTTATTTCGTAAGCACATATACTGATACATTTAAGGGGATTAAACATACCATCATTGTCTGTGTTGCATAGGATTAGGAAGGTTACTCCGTTGGTGGTGTACTCTTGGTTATTCCACTCAGGGCACGCAGGCCGAGCCGTAGACGTCGAAGACGAAGTTGTCATGGACGTACTACTTCCGGACAAAGAGGTCGAGGAACTTGGCGAGTCGTGGATCACTTCAAGAACAATCGTGCCGACTGTGCTAATTTCAACATTACCCAGCCTGTTCTTGATGTAGCAGCGGTTAGTGTAAGTGGCAGCCCCGCACATTGGATCCTGGGCACAAATAGCTGCACATTCAGAAAAGCTATTGGCAGCGCGATCGTATAGTGTTGGTACTGTATGATGTGAGACTTCGTATACACTGCCCATGTACGGAAAATTTACTTACCGCTTGGAGTGTCGCTGTTGCAGTAGACCTTGAATGTAATTCCGCCCGATAAAAATGTCTGGCCATTCAGGCATGATGATGGGGATGCCGTTGAAGAAGACGCTGTCGACGTCCTGCTTGAGGACGAAGAAGCGATTACTACTGAGATTGAAAACGATCCAGTAGAGGTACTTGAAAACGATCCCGTGGAACTTGCTGAGGAAGGCGACGAAGTTTCAGTTCCAGATAAAGAGAACGTAGAGGTTGCTGAGATAGAAGGCGATACGGTCGAGATACTTGGCGACAGCTCGGTAGAGGAGGTCGAGGAGGTCAACGGTGGTCCCATTAGGGATGTCGAACTACTCCAAGAGGAGCCAGTGGAGCTGCCCGACGAACCGGATGATTCAGTGGAGGTAGTCGCACCGGAGGATGAGATAGAATCTGTGGAGGAGATGCTCGAAGATGATCCTCTGCTCGTAACAGAGGACGAGGAGGAGCCAGAGAAAGATATGGTGGGTGAAGACAATGATGATGGCGAAGTTAAGCTGAATGAAACAGTGCTTGAGAAACTTGAACCTGAAGAAGATGGTGTGGCACTAGCTGTTGAGGAAACTGTTGAGCTATCCGACACAGATGAGCTTAAGCTAGCAGAGCTGGAAGTACTTGTACTAGTAGACACTGAAGGACTGTTTGTGCTGCTTGAGCTACCAGAAACCGTAAGGCTGCTTGAACTGACAGACGCCGTGACGCTGCTTGAGCTGATAGACGCCGTGGGGCTGATTGAGGTACTGGAAACGGTGAGGCTGCTTGAGCTACTCCAGCTTGATGATGTTGCACTTCCAGATGTTACGCTGCTTAAGCTACTCCAGCTGGACGAACTCGTAATGGAAATAGAAGAGCTCGATGATTGAGAGGTTATTGACGACGTAGTAGTTGTGGTTGTAGAGCTGCCCGCCAGTAGCACAAGGAACACGTTAGTTCCCCCTGGTGAGGTGGTTCCGACATTGGCCTTGAGATAGCAACGATTCGTGTAGGTAGCTGCGCGGCACGGTGGGTTTAGTATGCATATTTGAGCACATTCAGCTATGCTGTTGGCGCTGATATCTGCATAGGAATTTTGGTCATTGTCCGTGTAGCACAAGACCCGGTACTGTGCGCCATTCATCGTGTAGACTTTATTGTTCGCATCCGGACATGCAGGCGGGCTTGGAGTTGATGATGACGTAGTTGTCAATGTGGATGATGTAGCTGTTGATACAGTGGAAGACTGGGAGGAGCTTGATGAACTGGATGTTGAAGAGCCAACGAGCTGGATGAAGATGGTTCCAACGTTGCTTGGAAGGAGATTACCGACAGAATTTTTCAAGTAGCAATTAGAAGTGTAGCTGGCAGCACGGCACATGGTATCCATAGCGCATGCCTCAGCACACATAGTAGGATTTGTTGCAGCTGGAACGTCGGTGTAGCTGTTTACGTCGTTGTCTGTATCGCAGATGATCCGGTAAGATTTCCCACTGGTACTCATGTACAAGATACCAGGTGCAGGAAGACAGGATGGACTAGAAGTTGGCGTGGAGCTGCTCAAAGATGCACTTGAGCTGGTGGATATCGAGGAAGTGGTTGAGGGAGTTATTGATGACCCAGAAGAAGACCCAGTCGAAGAAGACCCGGTCGAAGATGGCCCAGTCGAGGAAGACCCAGTCGAGGTAGAAGATAAGGACGTTAAAGTGCTGGTGCTGAAAGATAGGGATGAGGATGGGGATGAGGATGAGGATGGGGATGGGGATGCTGAAGCGCTGCTGCTCGACGAAGACGAAGAGCTACTACTGCTGGATGTCGAGGATATGCTGCTACTTGAGCTTGAAGCGCTTAAACTGAGGCTCGTCAAGGAGGAGCTGCTAGATGAGGCAGTGCTTAAAGTCCCTGAAGGAGTCGTTGCTGTGGTTTGAGATGTTGTAGTCGGGCTAGAGGAGCTTCCAGATAGAGAAGTTGACGCTGAAGTAGAGCTTATAGAGGAGGAACTGGTGCTCGAAGACGGGCTCGAAGACGGGCTCGAAGACGGGTTCGACGACGTACTCGACGACGAAAAGCTGCTGCTTGATGAGCTTGATGAGCTTGATGAGCTTGATGAGCTTGATGAGCTTGATGAGCTTGATGAACTTGATGAACTTGATGAACTTGAGCTAATCGTGGTGTCCATTTGAATTAGTATGGTACCAAGGCCGCTACTATACACACTGGCAATGCTGTCCTTGAACCAGCACTGGGTCGTATAAGTTGCAGCTATACAGCGAGGTTGTTGTGCGCATAGGTCAGCACAAGCTTGAGCATTTGAAGCTGCCGCGTTGTCATAACTTCCCGGGAAGCTGTCCATGTTGCAAATAATTCGCCAAGTCTTTCCCCCGGTGGTGTATTGAAGACCAGGCGAAGGCAAACAAGAGGCAGTGGGGGTAGAGGAGGAGCTGGTGCTTAACGTCCCTGAAGGAAGAGTCGTTGTTGCGGAAGTTGTAGTTGGGCTAGAGGAGGAGGGGCTGCTAGATGGGTTGGTGCTTGACGTCCCTGAAAAAGTCGTTGCTGTGGTTTGAGATGTTGTAGTTGGGCTAGAGGAGCTGCCAGAGGAGCTAGTGCTTGACGTCCCTGAAGGGGTCGTTGCTGTGGTTGCTGTGGACGAGGAACTAGTGCCCGTTAAAGAAGCGCTGCTGCTAGAGCTGCTGCTACTGCTGGCTGAAACTGACGAGCTCGTTAAAACCGATGAGCTGCTGGTGGAAGAAGACGACCCAGTCGTCGAAGAAGACAATGACGTGGAAGCGCTGGAGCTCGTGGAGGATGAGGAGGCCGTTGAAGCGGTGGTGCTCGAGAATGTGCTCGACGACGTGCTCGACGAAGAGCTGCTACTTGATGTACTAGTAGTTGTACCAGAACCTGTGCCCGGATTTACAGCCATCATAACTCTAGCTCCATTAAGGGCGTTTCGATCGGAGTTGAAACCTCGCTTGCACTGGCAAGTGTTCGATTGATATAATATTGCCACATCGCATTGTGTCCCGAAGTTGTCAGTACAGAATTTTAGGCAATCTTCCACGCTGGCAACATTCGTCTGAGAAGAACTACCTGGTAAGTTGACGCTAGCGCCAGGCTCAACATTACAGTAAAGCCAGTACTGCTTCGCTCCAACAGTTATCGACTGGCCGGCATCCTGGGTGCATTTCAGTCCCGCTGCAGGGGATGAAGTGGCCGTGGTTGTGATTGTAGATGAGGAGCTCAAACTGGGCGAAATAGAGACGGACGAAGTCGAGCTCGCTGAAACTGACGAGCTTGTGCTGCTACTGCTGGCTGAAACTGACGAGCTCTGGCTGCTCGAAACTGATGAGCTCTGGCTGCTCGAAACGGAAGCACTGGAGCTTATCGAGGACGACGAGGACGACGAGGGCGAAGACGAGGAACCAAAGCTTGTAGATGAAACCGACGAGCTCGTTGAAACCGACGAGCTGCTTGACACTGACGAGCTCGAAACCGACGAGCTACTACTACTACTGGATGCAGACGTTGTAGAAGAGGCTAATGAGCTCGATGACTGAGAGCTTACGGTCGTAGTCGTAGCCGTGGTCGCTGTTGATGACGAGGTCGAGGTTGCTGCTGGAGGTGAACGGGTTCTGAAGACTTGAGCACCAGACAGTGCATTACTTTGTCCGTTGTCATTCGTATTTGCTTGACAAACGCCGTTCTGAAGAAGAATCGACGCATCACATTGCGTTGGATAGTTTGTATTGCACCATCTCAGACATTGGTCAGGAGTGGTCACCCCTTGTCCAGAAGGAAGGCTTCCGATGTTTTGGCTGCCACCGGGTTGAAAGCCACACCAGAGATAGAACGTCTTGCTGTTCATGAAGATGGATCTCCCTAGATCACTCGGGCAGGACAGAGCGGGAGGGACGTCGATTTTAACGATGGCGTTGTTGCCTGTGCTCGAACTAGCAGTATTTGCAGCATACTGCTGGCAGGTGGCACCAGTGAAGAGAGCCGAGTTACAATCGCTACTGGCTGCGCACTGCTGACCACACTCCTGGAAACTAGCAGCAGAGCTTGACCGCAGAACAGTACCTGACAGCAGTGGGTCAATAATTATTCAAGACAGACGTGCAGGATGCTTACCACTGGGTGCAGCGTTGCACCTAATCTGGAATGAGTACCCATTTGCGGTGAATACCTTTCGACTGTCGGCTGTGCAGCTGGCTGGAGATGGAGCATCTGATAGCCTAATCATGGAATCTCCACCGGTCAAATCGAGTGCAGCGGTTCCTACAAAAGTGCACGTGTTACTGGCGAATGAGACGGCCTGACATCCTGATATTGTAGAGCACTGGTTGGCGCAGTCTTGGTAGGTATTTCCCGGTGCAGTCGAAAGGGGCGTAGCTATCCTTGTTAGTTTTCACATAATATCCTGCCGTCATGATCAGAACTCACCGCCGCTTGATCTGGCGCAAATGAGGTGGAAAAGGGCGCCATTTGTTGTGCGCAGAATGGCATTCCCATTAGTAGGGCATGAGTAGCCTCCCGGCGCAGGACTTGCAGATGACGATGCAGTGATCGTAGAAGAAGATGACGATGCCGTTGAAGCTGAACCAGTTACAGTCGACGATGAAGAAGACGAGGCAGTCGACGAGGCAGTCGACGATGAAGAAGACGATGAAGTAGACGAAGAAGTAGAGGACGAAGTGGACAAGGTAGTAGAAGATGTGGTAGGGCCTGGCAGCGGAACCAGTGAACTCGAAGCACCGCCATAATTGACCCAGGCCATGATGCCTGGTTTATCAACAATTGTCGGATTCGCGCGTGTCGTCTTGAGATAGCAGACATCACCCGATAACGAAGCAGAGAAACAAGCTGGATTCTGACCGCAAGAGTCCAGGCACTTGTTTATGTCTGATTGATAGAAGGTGTTTTGGCTGCCATCGTTGACATTGTCGCCTAGGATCGGTTGTCAACAGACACTCGGGTTACTCGACACGTCTCGCTGGGGAGACTCACCGTACGGTTCCTTATCGCAAACAAGCTTGAAAGACTTTCCACCCGAAAAGGCGGTCAAGCCATCGTCACCCGGACACTTGATGCCTGGACAATCTTCGCAGACGGCGACGTCGACAGTGCTCTTGACCGTCTGTGGGACGTTTACGGATTTCAAATAGCACCGTCCACCATTGGCACGGCCGTTTGTGAATTCCCAGGTAACGCCGACACACAGGGGTTCTGCTTCACAAAGCGGGATGCAGTCACGAATGTCGGCGTAGCCGTCATAACTCCTCAGGTCTCCTCCGTACTGATCAGTGCCGCACTTGAGTCTGTAGTGGAAGCCCCTCGGGCCGAGGAGATAAGGGTTGGCTGGGGTGTTGGGGCAAGTGTTCCCTGTTGTGGATGTGACTTGATTTCCAGCGACTGAAGACGAGGGAGTGGCGGAGGGTGGTGCTGGGATGGCCGACACGAGGGCCGAGATCAGCAGTGTGAGAAGGATGAATGGCTGTGCGCTGAAGCGCGTACCATTGGTAGCGCCCATCATGGACAACTACCTGGCAACCTAGGGGTTAGTAAAGAGTGTGAAACAGCAATTGATACTTTCCTCAGTAAACGGGAGAAATGAAGAAGAAGTCTGAGGCAAGCCGCAATGTAGCGTGGCGCATCAAACGAGTGGACTCGGGTGAGGTGCAAAAGAAGCCATAGATCTGGGCTTTTGTTCTGTTCCGTATACACCATTCAAGGCGCGCCACACCAAGAGAGAACATTGTTGACACGGCGGAATGGAAAAGAGTCAAAGTGAGATCGAAATGCTTGGTCTTCGCGGCAAACATGGATACTCGTAAGTGAGTTGGGCCATGCCAAGGACATATGTAAGGAAAGACGGCTGTTCCACAAAAGCGGCGGCTCCGCGCAAGACTCTTGACCAAACAAGACGACAATAGTAATTGCTTTCTGATGAATCAATGTACATGTACCTCTTCGTTTGACGTGTTGATGGAGAGGATCCGAAAGTCGTTGCTCAGTGGCAGCGTTGCAAAGGAAGTGGATAGATGTCCCTCAGTATCAGCCTCAAGCTTAGAGGAACGCTTCGCAACTTGGCACAGGCGGTGCCAAGTTCTACATTCTTGACGTCCTCGATTTGGTGCTGTCCATTCGCCGCCCTTCGTCGTCTTGCTCTGCAACGGTTAGGTCCGGGAATTCAGCAGGCATTATTCTTCTTGGGTTGGATCCAGGGACCAGGCTATATTTGGAGAAGTCGGTGATACCAGTTTTGCGGAGGAAATCTTCATCGACTTCGAGACAGCCGTTGACTTCGGCAGCGGGTGCGCGAAGCATGGCTATGACGGCATCGGAGAAGATTGTCTTGGGCCTTTCTTAGTTGCTCCCCGGGCACAGAGGTGGCAGCACTTACCGATTTCCGCAGATCACTAAGCACATCTTCCCTGCCAACCGTGGCAGCGGATTGGATAGCCGTTGCCACCCACATGCTTGAAATGGCCATGTCCTTTTTGCCTTCGCGGGCGAAATCCATGGCCAGCCCCTTGGTCAGCACGCTCATGGCAACCTTGCCCATGGCATAGGCAGTTTTGCCTCTGAAGAAGCGGGAGTAAATGGGCGGGCTGACGACGACAATGCGGCCTTTCCAGGCTTGGTTCTTGAAATGAGGCAGAGCGGCCTGGGTGGCGCTGTACAAGCCCTCGACATTGACTTGCTGCATCAACTTGAATCGCTTGACTGGCGTGTTTTCGACCGAAGCCCACCAGATAGCGCCGGAGTTGTAGACCAGGACATCGAGACGGCCAAAGGTAGCCACGGCTTCGTCGACCATTTTCCTGACGGCGTCGGAGTCACGAGTGTCGGCGGCAATGGCAGCGGCTTCCCCGCCAGCCTCCCGTATCTCGCGAGCCACGGTGTTGATGGTGGACTGCGGCGAGTTCGGGTCAGGGGGGAATGGATGGACATTGGATGCATCCGAGGTGGTTTTGGCGGATACCACGACTGCAGGCGTGAGTCTCAAAAAACAGCCGACAAGAGCACTACTCACCTCGATATCCAGCTCCAGCGAGGTCAATGGCAACTTGGCGGCCGATGCCTCTGGAAGCGCCGATGACGAGAGCCACGTGCTTTGAGCTGTCCATGGCGTTGATTGTGAGAGTTGGCCGGTTCGAGGGTCGAAGCAAGAGACCGGGTTTAGTAGTGGGCGCTCGAATGCAAGCGCTAAAAGAGCGTCATGTTCGAGGAGGTGATGATTACCTACTGGCGGCCGACAGACCTCGGCTGCCCCGCCGACGACGGCCAGCCAGGGCCCCTTCGCCGCCCGTCGCGCTGGGAACCATCTATCTCGTCTAAACACTTCGCGCCGTCCGAGGTCCACGGTATTCAGGCGCGCACGCGATCGGCTGAGCTCTGGCGCGTCGGAGAGTGAGGCGACGAAGCACGCGTCGATCACGGGCGGACAGATGGGCCCCACCACTCGGCAGCTTCCCCGGACTGTAAACAACCTCCCGCGACTCGCCATTTCGTCTCTGCAACCCTACACGCGCGCCGCCATCATGGGAGGGAAGATCGATGCTTACGTTGACTGCGGTCGGTGCTGGTCTTGTCCCCTTGGCGCGCCTGCGAACTGACGGGCGTCCAGTGTCTCCGTATTCGTATTTCGCCGTGCACTACCTGCTGAAGAACCGGTCCGCCTTGACCTCTCATGGAGTAGATGTCGAGTATGTCTGCACCCCCCGACGCTTCTTTTGCTGACGTCTCCCAAGGTTTCACCCCGTGTTTCTCGGTGGCATCAACGTTGGCAGCGGTAAGAGCCTACCTTTTCGTCGTCGCTGAAAGCCATCTAACCCACAAAGGCAACCAACCACCATGGGCCCTGCCTAACAAGGCCAAGTATAGTCCTTACGACAGCAAACGCGCGAAGGCCTATTTTGGCTGCCCAAAAATGGAAGTTCCCGACTTCTTTCCCATTCTCTCGTTGCTGGTAAGCCGCCTGCACTCAAACGTGCGTCGTCTGCTCATGCTCCCCAGCCTCAACGCTGCATGGCCTACGTGAAAGATTCCTTTCCTCGAGACAAGTACGAAGCCAGCTTTCGCGAGCTGTTCATCGCCATGTTTGAGGAAGCCAAAGATATGAGCAAGCCTGCCCTGCTGGCCGGCGCATTGGGCCGTCACTTCTCGCCCGACGAAGTGAAGCGCATTATCGAAGCAGCCAACACGCCAGAGTACAAGAAAAAGCTGTCCGACAATACCCAGAAAGTTCTCGACCAAGGCGCCTTCGGATGTCCGTGGTTCTGGGTGCGCAACGAGAAAGGCGACGAAGAGCCATTTTTCGGAAGCGATCGGTACGTTAAGCCCCTGCTGCCCCCAGCACTTGGTTGTTGACAAAGGCCAGATTTCATTTCATGTGGCGCTATCTCGGCATTCCCTTTACCGACATCCAGATTGTCGCAAAGGATGGCCCCAAGCTCTGAGAGATGTAGACAATATCATTACTTCACTGTGCGAGATCGGAGGAAGGGCTGCCTGTTGGCTGTGTAACATCCGGCTCCTCTCTCATTTTCCCCGCCACCTCACCCGCACGCCACCGCCGTCACTTCCCTTCTAGCCAAGCTTTCCTGGCGTTGGTAGTCCAAATTTGATCTGACGGGTGCCCGCATCACGCTGATCTGACATGCCTGACACTGCGGCTATTGCCGCGGATCGCCTCTGCTTTACACGAAACCAGTCCCCCAGCCAGAAGATCTACCCCAGTGTCGTAAGAGCCTGGAAATGCTGCCCATCAAGTCATTCTGATGTTTTGTTTCACTGACGCGTCCAGCGAAGCGATATGCCGCAGCAAACGCCTCCCATCTTTAATCCATCCCACTCCTTTTCCCTCTGGCCGCAATGCGCAGGCAGATATTCTGACAACGTCCTGTCCGCGTGTCGTCCACCGCATAGCGGCGAATTGCCTGCGTCACTTGCCCAGCAAAATAGGTGTGGCCGGCCGTCGGTGAAAGAATCGCGCGGGGCGGATGAGGGGATGATATCCCAGCTGTGATCATCGATATGAGCTGTGCAGCGGGTGGCCGGGCTGCTGGAACCGTCACGCAAGATTTTTTCAGGGACAGGGGTGCCATGTCGCTGCGGGAGGCCCGTATGCATGTTTTTCCCCTGCTTGTGTGACGGTATCAGATGTAGACGGCTTTTTCCGACACCATATCTGCATGCCTCCCCCATGCAAGGCCGTTTTGGCCCAACGTACAAAGAGCTTGTATGTGAGATGTCACTAACGGCTGCTCTCACGTGGGTTGACTGAAACCTTCTGAACAGCACGTGCGTCAGTCTCACAGTGCAATGGATCCGTCATGACGATGAAGTGGAGGCAGTTCAAGTTGAACCCGACGCTTTTTCCTGCGAGATTCCCTCATTCGCAGCCATAAAGCATTTTGCCAGGTCATCATTGCCTATTCGATACTCTTTGGGATCTCAGCTTCGCCGTGCGAGCATATTCCACTTTAATCTCTTCACAGCCTCCCAATTGTTGGTCGATTTGAAGAATCGCAAACACCACCCCTGAACGTGGGCCGAGCCGCACGTATGGGGGAGAGCCATCCCTGTTACACTCAAGAGCGGGGGCCCGGCTTGCTCGCTGGCTAGGTCAAGCTGCAGTGTTCCGTGACACCGGCCCGCTGCCGGATTGGACAGCCGCCAACCCGCCTAGATCTTCGCCGGGATGGCCAGCAGCCTGCTCGGCTCTGTTCCTGTATGGATGGCGGCACTCTCCGACAGGCTTCTGCGCAGGGCAAGCCCGCTTCGCAAAAATGTCTATGATCTGCAGGCACCCTCAAAACGGGTTGATTAGGTCTGTAGTATGGAAGCAGCGTCCTCGAGTACCACCTGGTTTCTTCGTGCTCAATTGACCCACTTCTGCTGCTTTCGAACGTCCTGCCCTGCCGCTCCCTGCTCTTGACTGTATTGCATTTCCACAAAGGTGTTGGCGCAGTGCCCATGGCCGGTGATAGCCAATACGAGCAGCCTACTGTTTCGCGGTTCGTTCGTTCCCGGATACTCGATTGCAGAACGGTGGTCTCGCCATGCACAGACGTTATTCGCACTTCACCACGCTCATGGATGGGAAAGATTGTCCCGCGGGGCGACAAACGGCGACACTCCCTGGACTGATATCCGGCAAGCCTAATATGAGCGTTGGCGAAATGTCTTAAACAGGAACTTCCTTCTCGGTGGAATCGAGACGGCACTGCTCCTCAGTGACTAACCACCGACGCAGCAATTCTTTTGGGTGGCAATTTGTCTCTGTTTCGCTGTCTTTCACGTCCTCCACTTCTAATTTCTTTCGTCACATTCTGAATCGCCACTCTGAGCCTGCTGATAATCCACCTACAATCGCCGCTGCCTTGTTTGCTATTGTTGATCTCGCGCGAGATCTCTACAGCGCTGCTGCCACGACGGGCCTGATCGAGTTCCCAACGCCACTAGGCTTGCCGCCTTTCAGCTTTACGAGGCTTGGGCAAAGGTGCGCGCCAAAAACATCTTCCATGATGAGCTGTTCTTCTGACAAGCATGCCAGCGCGCTTCCGTTCCCCTAGATCGGCAGTACTCCGCTTGGAACCCATCTGGTGTATGACGGACAGCGCATTCACCCGGAAAAAAATCGCTGCTTGGCTCTAGGCTCAACATTTGCTACAGCCCAGGGTGCTGGTATCAAAAGGAGAGTGCTTCGCCGTGTCATATTTCTCACGTAGCGTCTTGAAAGAGCGAGAAGCTTTCGTCAACCACCGCCGCAGTGCATCTCCCACGAGGCGGTCAGCAAGTCTCCGTTCACCGTCATTGTCAACACCACCTACGATAGGCTTATGTTTCATATGCATAATCCCTAGCTGCAACTCCATCCAGAGCAGCTTACCAAACACGCCAACGCAACAAAGAAGCCGCATCGCTTGCAAGGGATCGTCATCTCACTCCCGGAGTCCATTAGCGGTGAAGAGGACTGGCTGTGAAGTTAAACCCAAATTGGGAAACATTCTTGACAGAACACGGGATGCTGCAAGCCCAGCAGCAGTTACAGCCGCAGGTTCGGGCTCGGGCCTGGGACTGTGGCGGGTCAGTAACGAATATGAAGGCCATCGGCGCCCAACAATGGCTCACAGAACTGCCGCAGCAGTTTGTCTTCCCCGCGAAACAACGCCTCGTTTCGCATCAATTCCAATCACAGCTGAACCAGCATTTCTTGAACCAACGTCTCTGTGAGACACAATCTGCCATGGCCAGCCATGCTTGGAACGTATGTCCACCACTGCCGCTATCTCCTCGTGCTGATATCGACGGCGCCCGGGATATTCTCAAGTTCGAGGGCGGCCCCCCTTTGGACCATGTTGACGGATTCGCCGCTGTTGAGGATGGCTTCCGTACGTCAGGACCGCATCAGAGCCCTTGGGACGTCGTGCCATCTCATATACCCTCGCACCAGCCCGACCAGGCCTCAGGACTGAACAGTGATCACGACGTCGTCTCGACTAGCAGCACTCTACAGTCGAGCCTCGTCTCGCACAGTGGTAACAGCATCAACGATGCGGCAGACATCTGGTCATTCCTTTTTGAGAACCAGGCCTTCATGAATGCTCATCCTCCATCCCACACCTCATCGTCTGGGCCAACTCAGATCAGTCAAGATCAATGCTCCGAAGTCGCCGTACCCTCGAATATGCCTTCACCTTACTCACCAAGCTTTGGAACCCAGACGGGCAACATCACTTCTTATAACAAGGCTTGGATGGGGTCACCGTCGGCCGCGCCACAAAACCCCTATAACCATTCATGGGAGCTGGTCAACCAGATCAATCAGTACTCGCAAGCCTTCGATCATCCACAGCCTGGCCTCGCCACAAAATACCATGGTCTTCCGTTCAAACCAGCTACGTCCGCCCCGGAGCCACAGCCATCCACCGAGACAGAAGCTACCAAGAAGCCTTCTCTCAAGGGTCCATGGTTCGACGACGTCAACCCAAGATGGCCTGACTATGCGGCAATCGGGATGAGCTTCTCGAGTGACAGCGAGATAGCATCCCCGGTCTCTCCCAAGAGCCGCGGCGTTGAGCGAGCTATGCTCGACAAGAAGAGCTTCTGGAGCAACAGGCTCAGCAGCACAGACTCCACCAGCGCCATACCCATGCCGATGCTAACCCACTCGCAAGCCTCGCCCGCCTCTGACTGGAACGATCTGTCGAGCAGCCATCCGGGAGAGCAGAAAGCGCCAACCATCGAGAGCAACGTGGGCTGCCCTCAACGCACCCTGCGTTCCCACACACAGAACTGCCTCGCCACCGTGCCACCTCAGACGACAATGACGACGGTGGACGACGACGAGGAGTGGCCGGCGTCTCCGCAACACAAGAACAACGGCAAGAAGGCCCGGAAGGACGATCTGCTGGTGCAATGGAAGAAGGCGGGAATGTCGTATCGGCAGATCAGGGAGAAGGGTGGATTCACCGAGGCCGAGTCAACGCTCAGGGGCCGCTACCGGACGCTGACCAAGAGGCGCGAGGAGCGGGTGCGCAAGCCGCTGTGGACGCAGACGGACGTAAGTAACCCACGCGCTTCCTGGAAGAGTGACTGATGCGAGCACGAGGTGCACAGGTGCGGCTGCTGCGCGAGGCGGCGCTGCTATACTCAGGGACCGAGGCCGAGGAGCTGGAGATGGACGTCGACGCGAACAAGGTGCCGTGGAAGAAGGTGGCGGACTACATCTGGGAGAACGGCGGGTCGTACCACTTTGGCAACGCGACGTGCAAGAAGCGCTGGCTGAAGATCCAGGGGATGCTGTGAGCTGGCGAATTTGGCGGTGCACACGCCGCCGGTGGATTAGGCAGTGGCTTGCTTGTGCTCGCTGGCGTTGTGCTTGGCAATCCTCTGAGCAACGCGTGCTGCTTTCTGTGTTTTTCCAGCGCAATCGGCGGGGCGTCAGGACGGGCGCGCTCGGCATTGCGCGGGCTCGCGGCGTGGGGAGCGGCCGGCGGCTGGGGACAGCGCTGGCCTGCAGCGCGGGCTTGCATGCGCCCAGGAGGCGCGTCTCGTCTCGCCGGAAACCACCATAGGGTCCTGCTTGCAATTCACTTTTTTTTATCGCGACCAGGGAGAGGAGGGGTTGTGGCCTGGTGGCGCACCGTCACGGGCCGGCCCGGGCGCAGGTTCGTCATAGCCCGGGATACAACAACCTCCTCAAAACCCACATGCTGCCCACTTTGGATGCCTCCTACGACTCGCGTCCTCGCTCATTGGTCTTGCCCAGCCCGCCGCAGTGCCAGAGCCGGCGGCCGTACGCCTCACTTTCGTCCGCTGCGCGCCCTCGCCGGCCTCCCCATCCGCCCGGCCTCCACCATGCGCTTCCAACTCGAGCAGCCCCTCCCTGCCCTCGTCGACGCCAAATTCACCGCGGCCGCGGAGAAGCAGAGCCTGACCTTCTCCGCCACCGAAGTCTGCGTGATCCGCACCACCTCAGGAGTACCGGTGCGTAAGTAGAGCCGCCGCCACACCAACGCAATCCATCTCCAACTGCCTTCGCCCGAGCCACAAAGTCATGCCAGACACTCCCTAACACCGCTCGTCTCCGGCGCCGCAGTTCCAACTCCGCTACTGCCCCGCCCTTGCGAAGAAGCCCGCCGCCTCACCCCCCGCCGATGCGCCGCCCGCCGATGACGCGCCCAAGAAGAGATTCGACCCGTTCGAGGCGCCGGACGACGACCTGCTGGTCGCCGCCGTGCCCGAGCCCGCCGCGCCGTCGCACATCCTCGTGCTGAACAAGTACCCCGTCATCCGCGACCACCTGATCATCGCGACCAAGGACGACAAGCCGCAGACGCAGCTGCTGGAGCAGGACGACCTTGACACCACCTATGCCGCGCTGGGCGAGTGGGAGCGCGCCAAGAAGGGGCCGCTGTTTGCCTTCTTCAACTCGGGCGAGCACAGCGGCGCCAGCCAGCCGCACCGCCACCTCCAGTTCCTGCCCGTCGACAACATGCGCAGCGGCGCCGACACTGACGGCTGGGACCTGCTGGTCGACCGCATCCTAAAATCGCCGCATTCTGGTCCGTGAACGCCCACCTCACCTTTGAGCACACCACCAAACTTGCCCCCATTGCCCACCACCACACCGACCTGCCCTTCCCTTGCCCGCCCCACTACAACCTGCAGCTCCCCACAACCCACCCTTTTTCATGCATGAAACAAAATGAGCCACACATGGAAACGAAGGCGAACAATGCAGAGAGGCTGAACGTGATCCCAACTGACTCCCCTTTTTTCTCCGCCCTACAGTCTCCACCGGCTTCATCTCCGACACGTCCATCCCGTTCGCGCACTTCGCGTCGCGCATCCCGCCCAACGCGTCCGGCCCGGAGCTGCACACCATCTACACGGCGCTGCACAGCACGGCCGTTGAGTTCGTCCGCAAGTACATTGCCTCGCATCCGCAAACGCCGCTGGCGCTGCACTCGACGGCCAACGCCGCGTCGTCGATAAGCTACAACATGGCCCTCACCACCGAGGCCATGGTCATCGCTCCGCGCCGGCGCGGCGGCGACGCCCTCCGCAACGAAGACGGCTCCGAGCTGCTCGGACCCGACGATCTCGTCGAACTCAACGGCACCGTGCTGGCCGGCACCCTGATGGTCAAGGAGCAGGAGCAGTGGGACTTGCTGAGGAGCGAGCCGCGGGCGCTGACGGACCTGCTGGAGGCCACGGGCATACCGTGGGGTGATAAGGCAAGTTCGTTGTAAATGGAGATTCGGAGAGGGGAAGAAATACGTGAGTGCGAGATTGGGAGGAAACGCTTTTCCATTCTCACCAAATGAAAGGCAATTCTTTCTTCGGAGACGGGAGGGAAACGTTAAGAAAGGAGGGGCATCTTTCTTAGGGAATTCTGGGCTTTTTTAGGGACGACTATCCGTGGGGGGACGGGGGGAATTCAAATGTGTTTTAGAAAGAGTGCAGGCTGGAACTAGGGTCTGTAGCCAAAAGAGAAACGACATGCCCTCCTCTGCAGTATCATGCATTCAACTCTTTTTCCTCTGCGCGACCGCTGGAGAGATCAATTAGCGAGTCGCCTATCTCGTCCAAATGCGGAAAGATCTGTTGCTGTTAGTTCCATGGACATGTTCTTCGAACAGAGAAGCTTCCATAGTTGTTCTGGACCCCAACATCCAGTACACGGTCTTTAGGCAGTGAGACAATGCTTCGGTAGGAAAACAAGTGAGTGGTGAAGCGAGATCGTGATTTTCCCGCTTCAACCATCCGACCGGAATGCTCGGGTATCACACGCTCTCCGCTTTTGTCTTGAGATGCCGCCAGCGATCAGAAGCATAAAAAAGAAATCGACAACGTATGAGACCTACCGTGCCATGCCAATTTTAGCCCGTCCCCAGTAGACCCTTGAGAGTTGGACACTTAAAGAAAAGGCGAACCAGAAAGTAGACGCAGTCAAAACACCATACCGCCGAGTCATGGCCGTCCCCTTCAACGCCCGGTATCAATAGTGGTGCCAGTCATACCACTCTCAAACTCCCGTTGTCGCCTCCGGAGTTTCATTAGCATTCCCAACAAAAAAAAAAGATAATCAAGATGCTACCTATCCAGAAGCGAGGACTGCTTGACGGTCCTCGCTTGTTATAGGCAATTAATTTGTGCAGCGCCGCCGCATTTCCCACTCCCGCGCCACCTCCTTTATCTTGACAACACGCAAAAACAGTCATGCGCATCGATGAACGAAGCACGACGCAACAAACGACGGCTTTGCTCGGTAGCGAAATAGTATGAAAAGAAAGGGGGACTAACCAGAAAGGACGGCGATCGTTCTTCTTTTCTGATTCTCAATTACCATTCGGGGGCGTCAGCAGCTCCTCCAAACTCCACTTGCGTAGAGCGCGGCAGACGAGTGGGGTGGTGTGGCCCGCGCGGAACATCTCGACGCCGGCCCAGGCGATCATGGCGGCATTGTCGGTGCAGAGCTCGGGCGGGGGATAGACGAGCTTGACGTCCTGGAAGCCGCGGGCGGCGAGGAAGGTGCTTAGACTAGAGGGGAGGTTCCGTGATTCTTAGCTTTTCTGGAAAGTTCAAGATATGAGAGAAAAGATGGTTAGGCGGTTCTCCATGTTCGCAACCTACCGCCCTCAAGAAGCAACATCGGTGCTTGTTCGCTATTCCTGACAATGGCCAGTGTTCATGTACGAAAATAGCTGCTTCGATCATTACAGCATTGGCGCATCACATGCAGATTAGGGGTGACGGGATCAACGCTGATATGCAAGTAGGAGAAAAAGAGGGGAAAGAACTTACACATGTCTCAAATATCGATTTGACGCAACGCCACCGCTGACGACAACGGGCATGGTCTTTGCCCGCTGCGGATCCCGCAGTGCAATGGCCTGGAGCGCCAGCAGGATGCGGCTCCCCAGATGCTCGAATGCGACCCTCATGACCTCGCGTGCCATGACTTTCCTCTCCTCCTCGTCAACGTCCTCAGGCTCGCGCCGGATCTTGCTCAGCTTACCGACCTGCCGGTCCCATTGGAAAGACACGACCCTATCCACGGCGGTATGCAGGCCGGTGAAGCTCATGTCCATGGACATGGATCGCAGGCCGTTGGGCGATTCGGCGAGCGGCGGGCTGAACGCCCATCCCCATTTGCTAGGTCGCCTCGCGAGCTCCTCGCCCCTGTTCTTCGGCGGAGCATAGGCGTAGTCGCTGCTCCCGTTGGGAAAAGCGAAGCCCTCGAGCAGGCGCCCATACATGGTGTCGCCCGAGTTCTCGAGGAGCAATGGCGGCACGATCAGCCGGGCCACCTTGTCCAGGCAGTCGCCGATGGCACAGTCGGTAGTCGAGCCCAGCACGCGGTGCTTGGTCAACGACTCGGAGCTGATGACCAGCGTATGGCCGCCCGAAACCAGGACGGACAGGAAGGGGAACTCGGGCTCGGCAGGGGGCGCCGTCGTCGTGGTGCCTGAGCCGAACAGGCTGCTGATGTACGACTTCTTTTGCTCGTTGCCTTCTTGGCCCAGGGCGGACACGAGCCTCGGGGTCAGGGCGTGGGCGTGCATGTGGTGCACGCCGACGAGGGGGACGTTCCAAGCGACGGCAAGACCCTTGGCCGTGTCGAGGCCCGTGAAGAGATTGGCGCGCATGCCAGGCCCACGGGTAACGGAAATGAAGTCTGGGCGCTGGCGGTGCTCGACCTCGTGCGTGGCGGCGATCCTGTGCACAATTGACTGCGAGCAGTCGTCGTCCTCGGCCTGCAGTGGGAGGTGCGTGATGGCTTTCTGCACCAGGGCAGCGAGGTTCTCCTGGTGGGACTCCAGGGAGACGATCGGATGGACGCCTCTGTACTCCAGATTGTTCGCCGTGACCTTCTCGTGGAAGTGCAGCACGGCGTCGTGCGAGGCGCGCCATCTTCGCGGGCAGCCGTCCCGGGTCTCCAACACAGCGACGGACGTATCGTCGCATGAGGTCTCGATGGCGAGTGTGAGCAGGCCGCGCCGTTGGACGCGCAGCGGGCGGCTTGCGGCGCGCAGCCGGGAGCCCGCTCGCAACATATCTCGCGAGGGTAGTGCAATAATACGGTTGCGAGGCAGTGTGCGTGCATGCTTTTGCGGAGGGTCGTCCCTCGGTCCGGGGGCCGTCGTCCGAGCGTGCAGGAGCTTTGGTCATGCAGATGACGTTACACTCCCAACAACTGGAGGTTCAATCTCCTCCCATATGACTTCCGCCCGCAAAGCACAGGACAAGGGAGGCAGTTGTGCACAAAGCCCTTCGTCGAGCCCCCGCGACCGCGCCATGTGAGCCGTCCCCGAACTACACCCCATGGCCGACATTCGCAAGTCCACCGACGGCCCCTCGCCGCTGTCTGCCGACGGCTTCGACTTCACCCAACTCCCCGACTACGACACCGACTTCGTCAATGAAGACGACTTCTCCCGCTTCGACCAGGCCCTGCGTGCCCCCGACCCGTCGCCCTCCTCCGACAACCTCTTCTCGCCCCAGACACCCAAGCGATCTGCCTTCATCACCGCCCTCAATGATTGGCGGCCCGTACATCAGCGCGTGCGGAAGAAGAAGCGACGCCAGCCCCGCCGCGGCGTCGACGAGACTCGCGAGGGGTTTGTTTACAACCTGCTGAAATGGCCGCTGCTCTTCACCGTCTTCGGCTGGCTTTTCGTCCTCGGCGTCATGTATCTTTTGACGCGCGTGTATATCTGGCTGTACGAGCAGTGGATAACATGGCGGGGCACGCGTGAAAGACTGCGCAAGAAGCTGAACAGCACGGCAAATTACCAGGACTGGATCGCTGCTGCGAAGGAGCTGGACAACCACCTGGGCAACGAGAAGTGGAAGCAGACGGACGAGTACGCTTACTACGATGCGAAGACTATCCGGAGGGTCAAGGATACGTTAAGCAAGCTGCGCGCCCAGGTTGAACAAGAGAGCTCTACTGGAAAGGGAGACGAGCACGTCATCAACCAGCTTCGCGGTCTGTTGGAGGCTTGCGTCAAGAGCAATTTCGTCGGCTTCGAAAACCCCCACCTTTACAGCGAGTCCTACTACGGCACGAAGCACCTGGTCCAGGAATACGTCGACGAGATTGAGAAATCGCTCGAGCTTCTCTCCAACACCAACGCACTTTCGTCCGAAGACAAGCGAACCATGTTCAAACATCTATCCACAAACTTTGGTCGCACCGCGCTCTGTCTCTCTGGAGGTGCAACTTTCGCGTACTACCATTTCGGTGTGGCTAAGGCTCTGTTGGATGCGGGTCTGCTGCCAAACGTCATTACCGGCACGTCTGGTGGTGCGCTTGTTGCTGCACTCCTTGGTACGCGGACGGATGATGAACTGAAGAATCTGCTAGTTCCTGCACTTGCAAACAAGATCACTGCATGCCATGATGACATGACCACTTGGTTCAAGAGATGGTACAAGACCGGCGCTCGTTTTGACAGTGTGGACTGGGCCCGCCGATGTGCTTGGTTCACTCGCGGCAGTCTCACATTCCGTGAGGCCTACGCCCGTACAGGCCGCATCCTGAACGTCTCTTGTGTGCCGTCTGATCCGCACTCGCCAACGATTTTGGCAAATTACCACACCTCTCCCGACTGTGTAATCTGGTCCGCAGTCCTCGCGTCTGCCGCGGTCCCTGGTATCCTCAACCCTGTAGTTCTGATGAAGAAGAACCCCGACGGCACCCTTGAACCCTACAGCTTTGGCCACAAGTGGAAAGACGGTAGTTTGCGTACCGACATCCCGCTCAAGGCGCTCAACCTACACTTCAACGTTCGCTTCAGCATAGTCAGCCAGGTCAACCCACATGTGAACCTTTTCTTCTTCAGCTCGCGTGGATCTGTTGGACGGCCTGTCACGCATCGCCGTGGACGCGGATGGAGAGGCGGCTACCTTGGTTCTGCTATTGAGCAGTATCTCAAGCTTGATCTTACAAAGTGGCTGAAGGTTCTACGGCATCTCGAACTACTGCCGCGTCCTCTGGGTCAAGACTGGAGTGCCATCTGGCTCCAACGCTTCAGTGGCACGATTACCATTTGGCCCAAGTCCATCCCCAGCGACTTCTACTACATCCTCACCGATCCTACGCCCCAGCGCCTGGCTCGCATGATCCATGTTGGTCAGCAATCCGCCTTCCCGAAGCTGAAGTTCATCGCCAATCGCATGAAAATCGAGCGCCTGGTCGAGCAGGGCCGCCACTCCGCGCGTCCCGCCCGACCCGGCATGGCCTCTATCCTCTCTGAAGAAGACCTCAAGGGTCTCCTCCGTGAGGCTCAACGCAACGGCGGCACCGTTGCTCCACCGCCCGCCCTCGCCGCAGGAACTCACTCCGGGCCTCCGTCCGAAAGCGACTCCTCATCGAGCCAAGTTTCGACACCGGAACGCAAGAAGAAACCCGCACTGCATCTCGGTGCGAGCATCGAGTCCGCTCTTGACGATGCCAAGTCTCCGAGAGACACCAGCAGCCGCGAAGCTGCCAGCCCATCATTCTCCAAGCGTCTTTCGGGCTGGTGGTCGTCGCTGCAGCACAAGGCACCCGACACGCCGCGCGCCGCGGCTCTGCAGCGCAACGCCCGTCTGCGCGGCCACGGACCGTACACCACCGGCTCAGGTCAGCGTCCCGGCAGCATGTTCGAGCTGCGTCCGCCCCGCGAGTTCGTCGAGGACGAGATCTACCGCCACCCGCCGAGCCCGCTGCTTCAACAGCATCACGCCGACCAGGAGCAGCAGCAGCACTCGTCGCAATACGCTCACCTCAAAGACGATTCCCCGGCTTTCGCTCGTAGGGGCAGCGGCGCGCGCGAGATTTTTAGGCAGAGCAGGGTGTTCATCGACGATTCGGAGGAGGAAGGCGCTGCGGAAGGCCCTGGGGAATGGGGCGCTGGTGGGATGGAGGAGCCGGATATGGAGAGAGAGGAAGAGGCTGTGCAAAAATTTTTGGGAACGGATGATGAGGGTGCGGGGCAATCCAGCAGCAGTGAAGATGCGGATGAGAGCAGTGAGGGTGAGGACACATCGTTAAGATGGAGAGGTGCGAGGCGGCAGAGTCGGGGGACGTTCGTTGGTTGATTAGCGTAGGGTGGCATTTCAGGTCTTTCTTTTGAAACTGTATACTGGGAGGATGAGTGCGGAAGAGGCGTTCAATTTGCAAAAAGGTAGAGATAGTCCATGTTGTTCGTTTTTTCGCTTTTTTCCCTTTTTGGTACACTGGTTTTGGGCGGGAAGAATTGTCTTTATCGTTCTCTTATAGCGCTAGAAAACATGTCTACGAACTCAGTACAGTCTGCCTAAAGTATCCATCTTCCGATGGTGTGTATTAGTAGAGTACTCAGCATTTTCTCAAGATATGTCAAAAGAGGGGCGAAAGACGTGGGGAATAGAAAATCTATCATAACAGTGACTATAAGTAAAAGTTCTGTATTCGCTTGTAGGATATGTGATTTCTCACCGATGCTCTTCCACATTCGTAAGAAGGGAAAGCGCGGCTTCTTTTCTTCTTTTTTCTTTTTTGAAAAAAAGTAAAAGTTTTGCAGTTATCAAGATCTAGTCTATGCGACAATAAGCCTCCAATTTGGATCTCGAAGCGCTTGGCATAGGGCAAGTGTGTAAGCTATGATGATTAAGGAGAAGACAATTGGATTGATCTTGAAAATTATCCCTACGTTGCCATTATTGATCCAAGTTTCAATGCTCCTCCCATTGCTTTGAAGCATTTAAATAGAGGGGTTCTTTAGAGCCGCCTTTTGCGCCTAGAATGCTGGTGGTAGACGCGGTGCTGAAGATATATATGATAGAGTGGATTCAGGGGAACGGATACTTCTAGTAATAGCTCCTCTTTTGGTCCACAAAAAGGCGGAGTAGATGTCGAAAGGCTATTAGAGTGGGTGTGGTATTAGACGAAGTACGCAGCCACGATCATGGTCGGGGAAAGCGGGCCGCATCCTCTCGATGCTGCTCTTCTTGCTCCTCCTCTTAGAGCAAAGCGAGGTAATTACTTCCTGCCCTGAGAGCAATCATATTTGTAAGAAAGGAAGCGGAAAGGGAACTCAATATCTACAAATTCGCTGATGTTGCGGCTTCTCAAAGAGTGTGAGGGCTCATGGAGCTATACATACTACATCATTTCAGCACTATCTTCAAATGGTACTCCTTAAGGTCTTCTCAGCACACCCGTTACGGGCAGATTTTTTCCTGGTACTCTCATATGTTGATTTCCCCCCTTCATCATGTGTTGGAAAAACTTGATGTATATCAGATATTTGGGAAATCTCACCGGTATGCTTGCCACGGAGGTGCTGAAAAAAATTGTTGCCCGTATCAGCACACTAGAGGAAATATTGGCTGAATTTCTTTTTAGTTATTAAACTGGAGCGAAAAATGGAAGGATGGTCATATAGTCTTATTTAAGATTTCTAACTGAAAAGAACTTTCTGGAAGATGGCATGCAAAGGATAATTCATCTCCACAAAAGCTTCGAGAAAACAGTTGAGGGTTTCTTCCAGAGCAATTGAAATGTATCAGGACATTCATCGACTTAGCGGGCTTATCACAACGAGCGATTTAACTCTTCATCCTACGCTGGTGGCACTTCTTGCAAAACTCTGAGCCTTGCAGGCCGTTTACTTGCGAGTTTTCTTACAACTCACATGCCCAATTGCGGTAATAGATAAATTTAGTGTTTAGCGCCAGCGAAGCCGCTAATTCATGCAAATGTTCGCGTTCGTCACAAATAAGACTCTAAATTGGCTCGAGACCCTTGATGTTTAAAATAGAAGAGAGAGGCGCGGACAACATAAAATAAAGGGAGAAAACTCCATGAGAAGGAGGTAGAGCGCCTAGAAAGGCAGGCATCTGCCGAGGTTCATCCGGCCGTGCGCTCGACGCGGGACGGGAGCTCTGGCGTGGCTGCCAACACCGTGCATGCGCTCTCCGCAAAACAGTCGCCTGCCAACCCATCGATCAACGCCGCTCTCTTACTCAGGATGAGCGCACCCAACGATCGGTTTGGACCCCGCTGCAGCTCTTGGCTCGTACTTTCCCGCTAACTCCCCTCCATAGGTGGCGGCGCCAATCGCCCCAGCGCAACCAGCGCCCGCACCAGGCGCATTCACGCGACCGCTCCATCGGGGGTAGTGGCTACAACACCCCGACCGCCAAGCAGGACGCCGATCGATCGAGCTACTCCGGCAATGTCTGGGGCCAAAAGGGCGCCCAAAGACAGGCCCAGGCAAACAGGCAGTCGGCTCCGCCCGCCGCTACGCAGCAGGGGTATCAGGAGCAGGAGCACAGGCCCGTGAACGGGTTCAACACGAAGGAGGCCAAAGACACCATGAGGAAGTGTGCGTATCCCTTGGCGGGTAGCCTCCGTGGCGCCACAGCTTCAATGGCTTCCCGATTCTGCTGCCATAGATCCTCAGGGGTGACCCATTGCAAGTAGCGGCTATGCTGACGAGTAGTCAATATAGGGTATCAAGAGGCCAACACGGTGGGCTCTGGTGAGTGAAGCTGCTTCGGATGGACGTGATTGAGGGGACGAGCTAACGCGCCGGACTGCTGCAGATGGAAAGTCTCCGCTCTACAAGCCACAGGGCGACGTGGCAGCCCGTAGTGCAGGCCCGTGGGGTAGCAAACGTACGTGACCACCGAAGCCGAAGTCGTCGAAATACCGGCTGACAAGATTAGCGAACACAATGGCGAATGGACAGGATTTCTGGGTGCAGCTGCGGAAGCAGATGTCCGCATTGGAGACCGGCAAATCCACTTGAGAACGACACACAACTGTACAGCTGCTTGGCTGGCGGAGCATAGCGGGCGTTTGGACCATAGCGGGAGGAGCACGGCGTTGGCATGGGTGCCGCATTTTCTCAGGCCCGCATTTGGTTTATTGGATGCGCGCGAGACCATGACCGTAGGACTTTTGGGTACTTGTCTCTCCCAGCCATGTTTGCTGCTGAGGCTTTCCGCCGTCCAGATACCCGACGACACCGGACCGGCGTCTCCCTCTGTATGTAGCGCAATGATACCACGAGACGGCAGCTGCACGGACTGAATGGCGTTGCCGAACAGAATAAAATTCAAAATTAAGCATCGGAGAAAAATTTATTGCCCGCGGAGCTTAAAACTGCCGCCATCAAAACGTCGTGGTGGGGCCGACGCTTGTCGTCATGGCGGGCAGCACGCGTGTCAGTTACATCCTCCGGCGCGCGCGTCGTGATCTCCACAACGCACGCGAGAAAATGAGCCCCATCGGCCTGCACCCCGTTCTGACGCCAGCATTACTTCATTCACTGCGCGCCCATCCCCAGCTGCCCAAGCACGTGTGGTACTATGTGGCTGGTGTGACCCTGTCCGCTCTGAACAGGCCCGATCAAGTCCCCGCAGTCCTCACCTTCGTGCTCGAAAACGGCGCCGATGCCAGCTCTCCAGCCGTTCCGGAGAAGGGTCAGGGGGAGGACCAACTCTACGTCGTGCGGCGGATGAGAGAGGGTCTGCTCAAATCCGCTGCTATCGTCGGCGTGCCGAAGGTATGAGGAAAGGTATCGTCCCACACCGTGCGGCCCAGAGGGCGTAGCTTTAACGCGTTGCCAGGTGATCAACGCGATCCTAGCGCTTAAAAAAGTGACGCCCGAGCATCTGCTCGACGACTCAGACGCGCCGTCGCCCTCTGGAAGGGAGGCGGAGATCTACGACACGCCCGCCCCTGTCGTCTTGGAGCGCGGTCAGACCTTCTTCGAGCGTCTGTATGGCAAGGTTTCGAGACGTGTGATGGGTCAGATGGACCGCTCTGGCACAGGAGACCTTGGGCTTACGGCGCGGTTGATGTACGGCTACATCCTGAGCAACGAGAGGGTGCTGGACGCGAAGGAGACCAGCTTCGTGGCAATGGCCGGCCTGATACCGCAGGACGTGCGTATAGCGAAATTTCCCCACAACGCAAAGCGGGTGCTGACGTCTCGGCGGGCAGGTAAATCCGCAGTTGAAAGGGCATCTCCGGGGAGCTCTCAACAACGGAGCCACGATCGATGAAATCAAGGCAGTGCGGGAGATCGTGATCAGCATCTGCGAGGCGGCAGGGATGAAAAGACTCGATAGCGATGCGGTTGGCGGGTGGGGTTGGCGCGAACAGATCGCGGACGTGTAGCTTGATGAAAGCTCATTCCTTTTGCGGAGCCTTCGCAAGACCAGCCCGCTCCGGGCAGGAGGGAGGGCGATCTTGCGCACGTTGTTCCCATCACGACGCTTTAGAGTCTGATCGTCATCGGCACACAGCACCATCACATCCCTGGATTGTCTCGTTTTCCCGATGCTCTCATCGCCAGAAGTGACGCGATCCGCCGACTCGACTATTGCGTCGTACAGCTTACGGCCACGAGTCGCCGTCTCGTGCCTGGTGCCTGGGGTTCGACTGCTGCTGCGGAGGGCCGTGATGCACCATGTCATCAATCGCTCGCGCTCGTCTCCGATTGGCAGGCATTGGATATTGTAGTAATGCTGACCGTGTCACGCACTTACGGTTGTAGTCGCACATAGCGACCAAGTTCCGAGGCGATCTCTCGCTTGCCCGTTTGCCTCTTTTCCCATGGCACCCACGGCGGACCACCTTCCCTTCTGATGCGGTTGAGTAACGATGCTAGGGCCGGCGGCATGCTGGCGCAGGGAGGCCACGATGCGATTCGGCCGAACAAAGTCCTGCTCGCATGCCGGCGGCCCACTATCTTCACGGACGGCAGACGGGCGTGCGGCGACGATGGGGAGCGGAAGCAAGGGGACAGGCAACCATCACGTGCATGATCCGCACGCACGCCAAACTCAAAGCGGACCCAGGAGCCGTCTGGTCGGAAGCGGGTGCTTGCGTCAGACAGGAAAATCACCCAGCAGTCCGGCCCTCCGCCCGCGCATCCGCATGCCTCGCAGCCTCCTTTGCTCCCTGTCCTCGCCCACCACTTATCTCGTCCCAGCCAGCCATCCGCGACCCGGCTGCGGGAGGCCTGCCGCTTCGCTGCGCGCGAGACGTCGGCTCGCAGATAGGAGCGGGCTCGCCGATCCTGAACTGGCGATTGTCGCTGTATCGGGAGCAGATTCGCGAACGAGATGCCGCTTCGAGCACAGGCCGCATGGACAAGTCGCCAAATCCCGATTGCTGCACCATCTTGGGCGAAGGATGGGGGGGCAGGGGTGCTGGGAGAGGGGCTTCCGCCGTGCCAACTCATCCGTCGACCAGGACGATTTGGCAACCGACATACGATGCTCAGATCGCAGCTAGCGCGACGAGCCGCGCGGACAGGGACGAAGCCGCGGGCAACGAGATGGGGGTGGCGCTCGAAACTTGGCATGACAATCGTCAATCATCCCATCCATCAATCAATGCATGCGGCAGCAATCTGGCGGTTTAATCAATCTTGCTTTTGGCCTCTGCTCCCGGCTTCCAGTTTCCAGCATCCGCGTGGACCCTGCGGCCAGCCGTGCGGGCGGGTGCAGAGACGGGCTCGCTGAGCTCAATTTCTGCCCGCAGAAGCAAGCACAGCGAGTGAGACATGCATGGAGAAGCACAGGGAATCTGGCAGCAATTTGACACGATGATTTTAGCAATCCCACGGCTGGCGCCGGCGGGGAAGCCTATCAAAAGAGGCACTGCCGCGGACCTCGAGGAGCACATCAGCCCACCGCGCACGCGTTCACGGCGTGAAGCGCAGACAAAACAGCCCACGTCTGCTTTCGCATGGCTCGAGGCGCCTGGCTTCTCGACCGCGGCGGCGCCAGGGCTTCCTTGCAACCGAACAGCCACAAGCCCGACCCGAGCGGATGGAGGGTGGCCGTGTAGGCGGGTTCTCCCATTAGCCTCTGGATCTAGCTGCGGAGACGCCGTTACCTATGGCACGCTTGGGAGATTTGGCAGGCCCGATGCAGCACTGGCGGTGCGGGGATGCGCCGAAGCGCTGTAGGCGAAGCCGATCACCTTTCCGCATTGGGCGCGCGGCGGACGAGGATCCTGGTGGCTGGTGAGCGGCGCGAGTCAGAAGTGGGCGCAGATCCGTAGCGCCCTGCCACGGCCTCTCCGAGCCCGCGGGTGGTTCCCGACAGACGGCCGCTTTGCGGCTTCTCCCCTCCACTGACTGCTGCGCCGCACACACTCCTGCTGCCAACGCAACCCACGTCAAAAAAAAAAATTTTTGCTTGTGATATCACACGCCAGGGTCTACCCGCCAACACGGCTTGCAGTGCCGTCCGACCGCTGTCCGGAGCCCCGTGCCCTTTTTTTTTCTGGCCTCCGTCGGTCGGTCCCGCAGCCGCTGGTTGCGGTCGCTCGGCGCATGTCTTTGATCGGCGGCTCTCGGCAGGCGGCGTCTGCCATCTCCGCACACTCCCGTTGCTCTGGACCGTAGGACAGGACTCGCGCGTGCCCTGGCAAGTGCCGCATCTGCAAAAACTCTCCATGCGGAGGTTAGGAGAAGCATTCGCCGAGGGCCACTGCATGCCACGCCTGTGGCTGCCGCAAGCAACAATTCCTCTGCCCTCGTGGCTTCGGCATCGCGCAACAACGACTACTGCCGTGCACTCAAGGCGCCGTCTACTCCTACAGGGGCAAGCGAGATGGCGAGATGGACTTTCGTGAAGACGAGACTCATTCCGATGGCAGACCAGCTCAGACCATCCCCGCACTTCTAGACAGGACGCTCAGTCCCCTCGTCCTGCAGGATGCCTGGAGCATGCCGTACATGGGGGTGGTCTCGTAGGCCTCGAACTATCAGTTCATGCCAAGTGACCCCGGTCCTCCAGTCACTCACCATCAGCGCCTGGAGAATGCCGCGGAGCGTCACAGGCGGCATGGCAATGGTGCGACGTGCGGATACTATCAACCGTTTTGCCCCCCGCCACGTACCAAGCCGGGCTCCGATCGAAACAAGCGCGGCAGATGGACGGCGAAAGGACGATCGGAAAGAGGGGGGGTGGCTGCCAGAAGAGCCGCATCCAAGCACCCTCGAGCAGAAAGCCAAGCCGATGAGCTACCACTCCGGTGGTGCGCGGGGCGTGCGGTAGGGCAGCGCTACATGGCGCCGGACAAGTGGTTCTTTACAAAGGCAGATTGGCAGATTCCAATACTGGGGAGCTAAGCTGCGCACATGCTATATTGGGATCTGGCCGCGGGGATTGCGCAGCGGGAAGCCGTCGAGTCGGCGGGCACGCGGGCAGAGAAGATGCACGGCGGGCGTGGGCCGCCGCCAATGCGGGTGAATTGTTTAGCGGTGGCTCTGCTCTCTGGACGGTTGGGCGTCCGGCGAGTGCCCCCGTGGCGTTGCTGGCCAACCCACTTCTCGACCGCTGCAGGTCGTTGCCAAGCATCACCGGCCGCTGAGGGTCTAGAGCGGCCAGCGTGAGCAGCACGGACTGCCTACCACTAGCCTCGAAAAAACGTGCGACGGCGTGGTCAGCGTTCTTGCGCAAACTTCTGACCGTCTCACTGACTATACGCGCTGGTATCAGGCACCAGGGCAGCAAAAAAACAAAAGCGAATGCGAGGCGCGAGGCCCCGGTCCGGCGAGCGAGCACGCAGCAAGCAATAGCGATGGAAAAAAGCAAAAAAGCCGGCCCCCATCCGAGATGCGACACGCGCACGTTTTGGTTTTGCACACCTGTCTTGCGGATCTTACCGGCTGCGAGCGAGGAGCGTCCATGCTGCAGAGGGCAGAGAGACGGGGTTGCTGTTGTTGGAGTGTTAGTTGACTATTTGGATGCAGCAGGGCCTATTTTTGGGGGCGACGAGGGGCCCGCCTCGCCAGGAACCTCGTCCCCATGTCCCCGCGAGGTCCCCTCATGATCAAACCCCATTGGCATCGCAGCGAAACAAGGCAAACGGCCCCTCGCGGGAAGCACAAGGCGGTCCAATTTTAGGCAGCCCGCCGGGCATGGCAAGTCCCGGGGCCAAAACGACAGTCGGCGAGTCGGCGGGGGCAGCGTGCCGGTGGTCGAGTTTGCCTGTCGCACAGTAGCTAGCCTGGCCGCTAACAGCGACGCGACAACCGTCGAGTGGTGATGACACGGGCGCCCAAGCGTGCCGGCGGAACGCTCCCACGCATTGAAACGACCATGGCCGAATCCGGCGCTGTGTGCTGCTTAGTCGTGCGCGGGCAGGGCAGGCGCACGCGGGGCAGAGGGTTCTGTCGCGCGTCGGTGACGCCAGACAGCATCGCAGCGCAGGATCCTCACCCAGCGCGTCGGAAGGCGCGGGGGGGTTACATGGCTGTCCCCAGTGCGACGGCGCAGACGGCGGCACAGCCAATCAGGCGGCAGGCGGTGGCAGGACGTGGGGGAGGGCGCTTCGAGAGGCGGTCATGGTTGAGGGTGTGCGCCTGGCTGCTCAGCCCTATCCAATGCGCTGGGCCTGCTCGCGGGCCTTCTCAGGGGAAGGCAGCGGGCGCGGAAGCAGATCGAGATGACCCGACAGCAGCACCCATCCCGGCGGGAGAGGCACCACCGCAAGCGAGCGCTGCTCATCATCTCGGCCGCCCACCTGCACGCACGCAGCAGCCATGGCCCGGGCCCGGTCGCCGACGTGCGGCGGGCGGCGACGCGCGCCGGCGGTGACTGCGCGCGCCAGCACTGCTGGTGCGGGACGGCGGCGAGCGAGGTGCGGCGGTGCGGTGCGGTGCGGTATGGCGGGTGCCTGGCGGTGCTCGACGAGCCCCATCGATGACGGCTGCGCAGCGCATCGTCATGACGCAGGGCCTTCGGGGACGGCGGCGGTCGGATTAGGGCTCGGACGTGGTCGCCCACATGCCAGGCACATTCCTCGCCCAGGGCCCCTGGCACCCTCTAATGATAGCTCAGCATTCTCCCAAAGCGGAGCGGTGGGGGCGGTAAAGGCAGCGAGCATGAGGGCACGAAGGCTGTGCGAGCGCACACAGCCACGGGTGCAGCAGACGGGCTCGCCGGGACGGCGCAGCCAATGGCGCGGCGAGGCTGCTCCCGGCACGGCGGACGAGACAGGGGCGCGGGCAGGATTGGGGCAATGATCGCTTCCCGCTGCCAGATGGGGAGCGCGGGCGTGCGGCGTGTGCAGATTGCGGCCTGGCGGCGCGCGGACACACCGCATCTCCTGCGCGGCCCCCAAGCCACCAGGCTCGCCCGGCGCGCGCGATCTGGCGGGGCGTGCGAAGATGCCTTTCTTCTGCGCAGCCTGCTAGCGCGGATTCACCGTCTGTCCACCTCATGCCATGGATTGCGCGCAGTAGCCGTAGGGCAGGCCCCAGACTTGTGCCATGCGCCGCCCACACGACGCTTATACATAACCAGCCCGCCATCGCCCACAGCACTGCGTCGCCGCCGATCGTCAGCACTCAAGCCTTTGTGCAGTCCCTATTGATCCTTCCGCGCCGGACTCGCCTGCCCCAACGGGACCCCCCCGGTTGTGTGTGTTCTGTTTCTTCCGGCCAAGAAAAAGCAATCCTTCCGGGCGATCTCGCATCATCGGCTCTGCATTTGAGATACAGCCTGGCCCCCAAGCCCTCTCGACCGGGCCCGCCTCAGCCTGGTAAGTGAAACCCCCCCTCCCTCCCCCATGCCCTTGAGCCAACCAACCTTTGCTGCCCGCCGCTCGAGCTCTCCTCCATCCGTACTCTTATATTTAGTCCCCGCGGCCCGCCCGCACTCCTACAGGATTCGCCAATGCTAACCGTCCCCTCAGGCCGCGAGCTCCTCTTAACACCACCGCGTCGCTGACACCAAGAGGGCCAATGGTCTCCTACTCCTGCCACCCCACCATGCCTTCCAACGACTTCGACCTGTATCCCTCGCAGGAGGAGCAGCAGTACGGCCTGCTCGCCCACAGCCAGTATCCCGCCTCGGCGCAGGCATATCACTTCACCACCTTCGACGCCCAGCCCAACATCCACGCCTTCAGCGCCCCCCAGAGCAGCAACATGTACGCCTTCAAGCAGAACTACCTCCCCTACTCGCCCGCTGCCTCGCCCGCCTCGGGCTCCCAATCATTCGAGGTCTGCCCGCCGCACCTCTCCACTGCCTCCGAGTCGACCGCGTCGGCCCAGAGCACCTCGCCCTCCGCAGCAGGCTCGCCGTCGATGGGCCAGCAGTTCATTGAGCAGCCGTGGAGCGTGCTCGGCCAGGGCCTGGGCCTGGCCCCGGGCCTCGAGCCTGCCGAGCCCTTCACCACGTGCGGCTTCGAGTTCGAGAGCATGGTGGCGCCCGACAGCAAGATCTCGGGATGTGTTGGTGAGTCTAAAGTTTCTTCGCCGTCACAAGCCAGCGCGCGCACCGCCTTTCCCTTCGCCATTCCTCCTTTTTCCGCCTCCGCGCGGTCGCGTCCGCGAGCTTTCAGTGCCGCGAGTCAGTCTGTTGCACCCTCCAAGCGCGAAGATGTTTTCAAGACCCCGACCACACCAGCATCCGCCATGGTTTCACTTAGCCCATCGTCTGCGTCTGTTCCCCACCAGTCCACCCGCCGATCGGCGGCAGCAGTGAGCGCAAATCGGAGGCGCCGAAGTTCCCTTTTGTCAAGCCAGATGCGGCCTAGTGGGGCGCCAGCCGAGCTTTCAGCTGGCATCGTCCCCGCCAATGCTTCAGCCTCCCCCGTTTCTCAAGTAGTATCTGCATCCCCGCAAGCCGCTTCCAACGCTTCGTCATCTCCAATGGATTCTTCCTGTCGGTTTCCTTTATTTCCGTCTTCCTCCTCTCCAGCGCGTTGGCATTGCTTTCCTCTACTCGATATCTCCACATTTATTCAGCTGCACTGAACCCCCCGCTGACCACCATGATCCTCACAGACCCGACCCTGATTCAGCCCTTCCAGGAGGCGCTCTCGTACGGGGGCTCCCCCTTCCAGGATTTCTCTACTCCCTCGCTGCAGTTCCAGACTTTCGTGGAGCAGCCGCCCTCCCCCGCCCCCTCCAACACCTCTTCACACAACAACGTCGCCGACTCGAGGCGCTTCAAGCGCTCCGGCAGCCAGTCCCCTTACCTCCACCAGCAGTCCTTCCAACCCTACCCCACTTACAACAACGCCCGGCGCCCATCCGCGGTATCCGTCCAGTCCCGCCAGTCCCAGGCCAGCGGCCGCAGCAACAGCTTCGAGTTGGACGAGGAGTCGAGGGAGAAGGGCATGTGCCCCATTGAGGGGTGCGGCCGTGTGTTCAAGGACCTCAAGGCCCACATGCTCACCCACCAGAGCGAGCGCCCAGAAAAGTGCCCGATCACCACATGCGTACGTTGATCCGAGCTTTATTGGGGGCGATTCACCCGAGCTGACCAGTACCCACAGGAGTACCACCTCAAAGGATTCGCAAGAAAGTACGACAAGAACAGGCACACCCTGACCCATTACAAGGGCACCATGGTGTGCGGTTTCTGCCCCGGCTCCGGCTCTGCGGCCGAGAAGTCGTTCAACCGCGCCGACGTCTTCAAGCGCCACCTCACGTCGGTGCACGGCGTCGAGCAGACGCCGCCCAACAGCCGCAAGAAGAGCCCGGCCGCCAAGAAGGCGTACACGGGCACCAGCACCGCAGGCACTTGCTCGACCTGCTCGGTCACGTTCGCAAACGCGCAGGACTTCTACGAGCATCTCGACGACTGCGTGCTGCGCGTCGTGCAGCAGGCCGAGCCGTCCGAGGCGATCAACCAGAAGCTGCTCACCAGCGTCGCCGACGACGAGGATGTCAAGGAGACGATGGAAAAGCACCACTTGCCCAACGACATGCCCGAGTACACGGGCACGTACGACGACGAGGAGGAAGAGGAGGAGTACGACAACGACGACGCCAACGACGACACGTACGGCGTGCGCCGCACCAAAAAGGCGCGGCGAGGCAACAATTCGCATTGACAATCAACACATTCCCGGGGTGTCGGTTCGCACGCCGGGGATGGCACTTCCTCCACCACCCAAAAGCCCTCTGGTGAGAGAGGCAACACGCGCCGCGTTGGGCTGACGCTGTCCAAGGGCGGCGTCACGCTGCCGTCGGCCAGCTCGCGCAAGAAGCGCAAAAACTACCCCGTGTCGTGGGGTTGCCCCACGGAGCGCATGAAGATGAAGAAGCGCGTCTTGTGCGTATACGACGGGCCGCGCCGTCTGTGGAAGGACGACATGATGCTCGACCAGGAGTTCGAGGTCCGCATGAAGCTGCCTGGCGGCGACGGCAAGCAGTGGGTGACGGACCTCGACGTGCAGACGCTGAAGCGCGCCGAGGCGCTACACACGATGCCCGAGGAAGACAAGGGCGAGCCCAAGTGGGACAACGTCATCGGGGGCGCACCAATGTCGTTCGATGCGGCCGAGCTCGCGATATGACCAGCGAGCGCGGCGTCGCCCTTGCTTTCCCGTGTACTTCTACAATAATTTTCCTTTGTTCACTATACCTTGTTTCCTGTTCGGCGTTGGGGAACAGCAGCGCTCTGGGGGATACCATGTATTGCTTCTTGGTCGTTTGCACCGCTTGGCGCCAATGTTGCTTGCACGGCTGGACGTCTTTTGACGACTACATGCACCACCCCCCATTCGAAGCGCTCGCTGAGGGATGGACACGCGTAATGTTGGGCCTACGTCTTTTTTTGTTCCACTTTCTAAATCATCACCATATACCAGCAAAAAAGCGACGGACGGGAGGGACTTGTGTTTACCGAGAGACACGGAAGAGGTGGGAAATACCTGGTTCGGCTGGTCTGGACTCTTTCCTTATTACCAAATACCACAACGCATGATGATTCTAGACAGCGCTCTCCAAGCATGTGAACGGCGCATTGTCACAAGTAGCTACCGTAGAAAGAAACTACCTACGCACACACAGTCTCACACAATCTCTCTCAATCAGCGTGAAATGACGATAGGTCACACGCTTGCCCTTTCGCGCGTCTGTGCCGCAGTCGGATCGCGGAGACTCGGTGATCAATTGATCATGCGATCTGTGTGTCGCGCGCGCGGCGCCCTCTTACTCAATAGTCACAAACACGGAAACCAACCAAACCTGCGCGGCCCCCATGCATTGCAGCCTGCTGCAACGCGCTCCTTTGAGACAACACAGGAGATGCCTGCAACCCGACACTTTGGGCACCCCACACAACATTCTAAATACTCGCAGCGAAATTCCTTCACGGTTCATCCTTCCATTCGCTCGCAATTCGGGGAACTCGGCCCCTTCTTTTCACACCCCCTTTTTCGTGCATGCCTACATCGAATTAGGGCTCATGATGCGAGAAGAACCACGGTGTTTGACGCTAGAGAAAAGGAAAAAAAAAAAAACAGGGCTTGTCCGACCGGTCGTATTGTTCAGTTGTTGTTGTTCGTTCGCTCGTCGCATGGACCCAAGCGCGCTCCGCCCCAGGCGAGACGGGATTCTTTCGGTGCCCTTTTTCTTTTCTTCCTTATCTCCACTCGTAGCAGTAGTGCAGAGCCCGAAGGCCCCACTAGTCAGAACCCGCCCTATCCGAACCGACGACAGCTTGGGCGGTGCCAACGAACCACTCCACCCCTTCCTTCCCGCCAGCGCGAGTTTATCGGTCGGGGATTCGGGACGGTAAGAGCGAGCAATGGCGCGGTCTCTTCCTTCCGAGCTTAATGGGCTTCCTTCCCGGTTAGTGGGCGCATTGTCCGCTTTCGTCCCAGTTCTCTCGCCGCGCGCTCTCTCTCTGTCTCTGCGCTCATGAAGGGGGTGAGGGGTCGTCGGGGTGGGGTCTACGGGCCGTGGGCCCAGCTATTGGGCCTCGGTTATCTATTTCATCTACTAATCCATCGCATTAATTGCAAGCTACTATGGTGTGGCCCTTGCCGGGTAAACAAGCCTCGAGGGCGAGGAAGTAGCTCCGGGGCGGTGCAAGGAGGGCCATGGCAGAGGAGGGTAGGGCCGAACGCTCTGGCCACAGCTACAAGTACGTACACACAACTGCTGTCTCTCTGTCGCTCTTGGCCCTGGGTCTCGAGGCTGGCTGAAACTGCACGCTTACCAACGCTTATCATGCAAAACGTCGAGAAACAAGAAAACGTGGCTGCGAGCCCTTCGTCGACTTGCTCTCGCTCTTGCAGACGCAGGGCAACGACACCGGTCGTTCTCTTGTGCGTCCCTCTATACGAACAGCATGCTCGCAGCCGCCCCTAAAAATAACCGACAACAGCTATTTGTGCGCCTGCCCGCTGCGCCTACATTCTTTTTGACTCTCGCACATGACGGCCTTCCTGCCCTAGTTTTTCCTATCCCACCCCGTATCATCGAAACCACAGGCGCCGCCTCCGCCACCACCTCCGCAGGAGCCTGGTTCCCACTACCTCCTCTTCCGACAAAAGTTTCCCTGTCTCAACTTTCTACCGCTAGCGGCTTTGGCCCATTGTCGCCCATCCTGTGGCTGTTCCAATGTCATACTTTTCACCCTTGTGGCTTTTTGCACGTGCCGTGTTTCATCCCGTGTCCGATTCGGTCCATCGTATGATCCCGAGCTTCTTGGTCTACCGAGAGGATTCCTCCGATGCCCACGCCGGCCGACTTGGCCACCTCTTCCCCGTCCGTCCGGCAGCCCGGGTCTCGGTCTTCACTCCGGTGGTCGATTCGGAGACATACATGTCCGTATATGCGTGCCGTAACTCACAGTAATATATGCTCGGCAATGGGCTCCGTTCCTGTGCATGCATGCAGTTGCCTGAACGTTGTGTGCCGTACCCGAAACCGCGGGTCCCGGTCCATTTTCAGAAATAAACCCTTCTACCGTCTTCTTTTCTGTGTACCTCCCATCCGACGCGCTGGGACTCGGGGCATTTCCAAACCATGTGGTGGGACAGCCCTACGAATACGTGCCTGTGGCTCATGCAGCAAAGGCACTGCAGTGACTATTGATTCCCACATGCGTGGATTCTCGTCTGTCCGATGCGCACGTCAAACCACAGCAGCGGCAACTTTGTTTGCTGCCCTGTCGGTTGGATCCGAACGAGGGGCAGCGAGAAGAGAAGATGCAGCGGTAGTGCTGCGCCTGTGACGTCCTGTTACGTCAGTTATCAGCCTTTTTACGAGCCCGTCCGAAGACCCGCGCGTCCGGACGTGGATGTGCAAATCGAGCCGTGACGTACACATCGAGATGGATGCTTCGGCGGCTTCCCATGAGCAATATTGGACATCAGGGGCTGCCATCTCGCTCACAGGGAAAGTCTGCCTTCGTATGAATCTTCTTTTCGTTATTTCCAAGGAAGCCTTCTGAAAGGATGGAGACGAAGAAGGTCCGATATATCCACTCTACGCCACACCTCCTCATCAAGGGGATATGGGTACGGCTTCTACAACTGGAGCAGACTCCGTTCAGTGAGGATCGAACTATTCCTCTTCTATCTTAAACAAACACGAAGAGCTTAGACTACGTACGGGAGATGCTAAAGACACAATCCACTGACCTAATTATATCGGCGTTGTGTCCATCTTGGATGGAGCTTATACTGTATTGACTTTTGTTATACGAATGCTTGCCTCGGCCTGCGCATGACTTGCTATTGTGCGTGGTATCCCTGAGTTGGACAGCGATGGTCGAACGCGGGATGTACTTCCTAAACGACTGGACGATACGTCGCTCATCCTCATGTTCACGGGGAGGGACGTAGCTTGCTGTCGGATTCCATTAATCCATGAAGGCGGAATTGACAACATCACCCTCAATATTGGAGGTGTGACGAGCATGTGAATCGAACAGATTTATGGCGGGGGTGGTGACAGTCTGTCGGGGTTGGACTACCAATAAGAAAGCTCAAAGATGTCGATTGGGATGTCCTATGTGAGCGAATTGCGCTCAACGCAGACCATGCCACAGAACAAACCCTTGCTTATCTTTGTCCGATATCAGACTTTTCGTGATTCACAGCCTTCTTCAGCCTGAGCACGACTTGGATATGCTCCAGATGGATTTCGGAAAGGCCGCCAATGGATTTAGTGGTCTCGCGGCGGGTATTCAGAAGCTAGTTGCCTGACACGGCGTTCTCTAGCGAATTCCAGTATGTAGGTCCATCAGCTCAGTGGGTCTATTGTGAATATACTTGTCGACAGCATGTTGAGCAGATGGAATGATGCGTGCGGAATTTGTTTGTCTGGACGATTAGTCAGGAAGACGACGAGGAGCTGGATGATCGTTATAGCGTATAAAGAGATTGGGGGATAGTTACACTTATAAGGCGTAATGAGTGAGGCAACGCCGCCCTCTCGCTTCTGGCTGCTATTTATCCTTCAAGATTCATACTCTGCTAAACTTCACACAAGTGAGCGACATAGCCAGCCATATTGAAGCTCTCTCGGTCACTTTGGGAGGAACACGCTCTTTATTGACAGGGCCACGAGAAACTCTTTCGACACAGAGACTACTGTGCAAGATTCGGCGGATTCTTGGAGCCTGTTGAATCGATCTCAAGATATTAAAGCCTTTTCTTCCTCTCTCTTTCTTTCTTGTCCATTGATAAGTTGCTAATGATGGGTCGTTCGTCGGCGCATCAACGGCAGTCCTCGCAGATAGATCCGTCCGGGTTGCGTTTTACGCTCGCGATATCACTAGTACTTTCACTAGTAGATTTCATCTCGGCTGTTGATTTTGGTTGTTCGACAGCCGGCTTCGCTCCGTGCTTTCCATGTACGTCTGAATGACCGAGGTTCCTTGCAGGCTCTAGATGATCCCGCACGCGCTGCTTCAAGACTTTGGTCTCTGTAAAAGGCATTTGTAAGATCCCTGCTAGCAAGAAGAAGTGGAGAAGCGAAGCGTCGGCCCAGCTTCACAGAGGATGCGCGAGCAGAAAAGTCTTACCTGGGAAGCCGCCCTCAGCTTTGCGATCCCACAGCAATACGCTCTGGACTTCGGCGGACGCATCTTCCTTGGCACCTGCAACCTCAGATGGCTTGTACGTCTGCTTGAGTCAGCGCTGCATGTGTAAAATTTGCGACGTGGTACAATGTACCAAGTTGACCGTGAAAATGCCTCCTGTGGCTGGAATGAGTGAGATCTCGCCTATAGTCGTGCCGAATGTGGAGAGCAACTCTTGCCCAAACTTTCGCAAAGCATAAGTCAGCATAAGGTGTAACGCGAGATCTTGACGAGAAAACGCCCCGATGGTTGGGAACACCCACATAAGCCGCGCGGAGCATCCACTTGCATTGTGTGCAATAGGTTATTGCTACACGAGGTAGCTTCACATCAGACATGGCGTTGAAGTCTTGATCAAATCGGCTGCCTGGATGTAAGAAGTGAGGTGAACAGCCGACGTCATGTTTTCTCCCGAAATAGCGCTAGGATCGGCGCAAGGATTAAATTCTTGGCCACCCTTGTTCCGACCCTCTGCAGCTACTACAGGTTTCACATTCGCTCAGTTGATACTACTTGCGCTGTACATGGAGATTCAAGACATTTGCAAAACAGAAAAGAAATCTATCTGTACTCCTGTAGCCACACATTCTTCCAATTTGAATCTTGACATATCCAGGTGCGCCTTGCTACGCTGGTTCGTAGCTGTAAAGAATGCCGACTTTGTGTAGCGAATGAAAGGAAGAGGGTATACAGTAGGTGCGCTCATTAAATCGTCCGACTCGTGTGCAAACTAGTAGGGTTGCCTTGGCCTGCGTCGTTCACTTCCGCTCCCTCAACTCCCCGTTGCCTTCGGGTTTTTGTGCGCCACTGGACCCTTTGGTATCATCCAGAAGAGGGATCGCTTCGAAGCTACCACTTCTTCCTGTATTCGAGACGTTCATTCCCGCAGCGGCGCCCGTGCTCAATTTTTGCGAGCTATTTTCGCCGGCTCCCTCGGATTTGGGTGCCGGCTCATCTTTCTCCTCGTTGGGAGTCTTCAAGCCGCCACTGAAGTCCGGTGAGTTCTGCCATTTCGCAACATCCCGTTTGAGCTGGTCAAGTTCCTTCTGGAAGCGCTTGCCAAATACCTCAATGTAGTAGTTAGCACCGTTGTAAATTGACCAGATGAACACTGTCATAAGGAAGCCCGACGACGCCCAACGGTACCAAAACCAGATCGGACATGGCACCATTGTCAGAACAGCGTACGAATACTGAATGAGCATAAAAGCCGGCTCTTGCCACGCGTCGGGGAGGCTTAAAACCGCCTTTCCAATCAAAGTTGGCCCATAGGACTTCCGGAGCCACGTGAAAGAGGTAGGCCGGCCTGCAGCGATCTTATCGCGGCGTCTGACAGTAATCAGGAAGTGGTACGATAGTTGCCAGATTGCATATGGCACGGTGGCCCAAATCACCATCTGGCGGAGCGTGTAGTGCTCCGGAGAATCCGGAGCGGAGTGTATGATGGTATGGACCGCCGGAAACCTCTCGAGTTGAAGAGAGGCCGGGATGAGATGGACCATGCAATGAAGGGCGGCGCATGGCATGATGTGGATGAAGAGGCTAGGCGACATGTTAGAGGTGCAAACCGCAACCATGGGATCCACTTACGAAGTGACTTTGTCTAGAGAATGGAAAACCAGCGAGTTTCTCCACATTGCAATCGCCACAGCGTTGTTGCCAAAGGCCAAGCAGTAAGAACTAATGAACAAGCGTTTGCTGTTGGGGAAGATCCAGATGCTGAGGAATAAGAGGAAGTTGGTAAAATAGCAGAGGTCGGCGAGGAAATAGTGGTATCCTTTTTTGTGGTAGGTGTAGTACCGGATGGGCATGAAGTAGAGAAGCTGCGCAGAGTACCAGGCAGGGAACCATTCCGGATGCGCGCCGATGAGGTAGCCGCTAATGAAGATGTTGAGCACACCGGCGATGAAGGAAAGCTTCTCGCGCGCGGTCACGGCTTTGGAATCATTCCACCGTTGGCCGAGCCGGTCGACAGACTGGTGCATGCGCTTCTTGTACTTTTCCAGCTGCTCATCTGCGGTAGGCACGCGTCGCCGCCATTCGTCTATGACCAGGTCCTTTGCGTTCATGCCTTGAGACTTCAGACGCTGTTGTTGCCGCTGTAGCTTTGTCTTTTGCTCGGAAATCGAACGCTGGAACTGCTCGAGGCGTTGCGGGAGCGCGAGGTTCTCGATCATGTCGAAAATAGTGAGGCGGTCGGGAGGGACGAAGCTCTCGTCGTCGTCATCGTCGTACTTGCTGCTAGCGGAGAAAGAGCCAGAGCGCGAGTAGCCCGATGTGTCTGGCGACGACGACAGGTAGCCATCGCCGCTGAGTGCAGACGACGCGTGCGTTGAGTCACCGGCAGAAGGTATCCGCGAGGTTTCGGAGATGCCGCCAAGGGCGGGCTCTGAGCGAGAGCTCGGGATGTTCTGCGCCTCGGACATACTGGACGCTTCTTCGATGGTTCGGGGGCTGGTTATGGATGCTGGGCGTTCAGGGGTTCGTGGTGGTCGGTCTGGAGGCATGGTGTTGTTGTGTCAGTTTCGAAACAGACGAAAGCATGGGCTCGAGAGTGCGAGAGAGCATACATACGTGAGGTGGACGCGACTTTTTGCTAGCCCCGCGGCCTAGTGCATCATGCGGAGGTTGACGGGGAAGGGTGCAACGCGAGGGATTCAAAGGGCACAAGGTGTCGAGGACGTGGTCAAGGAGACGGCTGTGATTGGAGTCGGCGGAAACTTGGCCTGGAGCTCTGCCACTATGTCATTCAGAGCTTGGGCCAGCGCCAAGCCTCAGGGTGCCCGGCCCTGTTGGCGCAGCGCGTTCCCGACGCGTCGCTCTCCAGCAACTTCACCGATCGCCGCCGTCCTTGTTGTCACCGCCCCGCCTCTGGTCATGCGCCTTTGCGCGCCGCTTCTGAAATCCCACCCAGGACCGCTTTGTTGCTAGGCGCGCGAAGTCTGCGCCCCGACCGCCGCCATGGGCAAGCTCATCCGGCTCGAACTCTTCAGTACGCCTCACCCCGCGTAGTGTCACCTTGTCGCGTTGCATCGCTGACTGCTCCCAGACTTCAAGTCTTATCGCGGCCATCATGTTTTGTTGTTCGGCGATTCGCACTTCACTTCCATCATCGGCCCCAATGGTTCGGGCAAGTCCAATTCGTAAGTCGTCTGCAAAACCATCTGTCTGAGCATACTGACTCTTGGCGGCAGAATGGACGCAATTTCGTTCGTCCTGGGCATCAAGTCCTCGCATCTTCGATCGAGCCATTTGCGCGACCTAGTCTACCGCGGCCGTGTCCTCCGGACTTCGAAGATCAATGCAGACGGCACCGCCACCGAGCAGACCGGTGATGCGCACACCAACGGCCATACCAACGGCACCGCCGCCTCCGACGATGAGGGCAGCACGCAGCGAAGTAGCCAGCGCAATGACCCGCAGACGGCATGGGTCATGGCTGTCTATGAGGACGATGCCGGCGAGGAGCAGAAGTGGAAGCGCACCATTACCAGCAATGGCCAGAGCGAGTACAGAATCAATAACCGCATCGTCGCCGCCAAGCAATACAACGAGGCCCTCGAGGCGGAGAACATCTTGATCAAGGCTCGCAATTTTCTGGTCTTCCAGGGTGATGTGGAAGCCATCGCGTCGCAGTCGCCCAAGGACCTGACCAGGCTTATTGAGCAAATATCTGGAAGCTTGGAATACAAAGCCGACTACGAGCGCTTGAAAGTCGAGGCGGAGAAGGCCGCGGACGACCAGGGATTCAAGCTAAACCAACGACGTGCGATCAACTCCGAAATCAAGCAGTACCAGGAGCAAAAGAAGGAAGCGGAGAACTATGCTCGCAAAGCCGAGGAGCGCGACCAGGCCGTCGTCAGGCATGTGCTGTGGAAACTGTTCCATTTCCAGAGAATCATCGAGGAGTCGGGGGCCGAGATTCAGAAGCATCAGGAAGAACTCAAAGAGCACCGCCGCAGTATGGAGAAATACGAGCAGCGACTTGAGGACGCCAAGCGAGCTCAGGCAAAGGTCGGACAGAATGTCTCCAAGGTAGAGCGAGGGATTAAAGAGAAGGAAAAGGAGATCGAAGACAAAGAGAACAGCCTGGTCCCCATTGACGAGAAGATCGCCATCTCGAATCGGAACGTGAAGAGATACGAGGCAAGGATCGAGGAGATCACCAAGGAAAGCGAAAGTCAATCCCGCAACGTTGATCAGCTCAAGAAAGACTTGGCTACAGTACAAAAGGCGCAGCGGAAATGGGAGGAAGATTTCCGTCAGACTACCCAAGGCGGCCAGCAGCTGAGCGAAGCGGATCTGCAGGAATACAGCAGGCTCCGGAGTGAACTCACAAAGCGCACTGCGGCCACCCAGATTCGTGTTGATAACCTCACTCGACAACTCAAAACTGATGAGGAAACCGTCAACAGCCTGAGGAGCAAGGTCGAAAGCACGCAAGCCCAAGCCAAGAAACTGGAAGAGGAGCTGCAGCAGCTTGGTGAACGCCGCGACAGCACCAATGCGCATATTAAGCAGACCCAAAAGGACATTGACACAAAGAAGAAGGAATTCAACAATCTGACGTCCGAACGCCTGCGCGCTGCCCAAAAACAGACCGAACTGGAGGAGAAGCTCCAAGATGTCCTCAACAAGTTGCTTGAGGCGGACGACGGCCGCCGTGAGAGCGAGAAGGAGCTTCGTGCTAAGGAAACCGTGGCTGCGATGAAGCGTATTTTCCCGGGAGTCCGTGGCAGAGTACATGAGCTCTGCAAGCCCAAGCAGAAAAAATTCGAAACTGCGGTTAGCACGGTTCTTGGCCGTCATTTCGACGCAATTGTGGTCGACACTGAGAAGACTGCGAAAGACTGCATTCAGTACTTGCGTGACCAGAGGGCTGGGCAAGGCACCTTCATCCCGTTGGACACGATCCAGGTCAAGGCTGTCAACCCGAATTTGAAGGGAATGCATCGTGGCATGCGCCTTGCCATCGACACAATCGAATATGACAGCTCTGTAGAGCGAGCAATGTCCTACGCCTGTGGCAATTCCATTGTCTGCGATGATCTGAACGTGGCAAAGCACCTCGCTTATGAGAAGGGTGTGGACGCGAAGGCGGTTACCCTCGATGGCGTTGTGATCCACAAGGGTGGCCTTATGACTGGTGGACGGGGACCGCAGGACCGAAACGCCCGTCGATGGGAAGACACTGAGGTCGAAAACCTCCGTCGGCTGAGAGACAAGCTCATGGCAGAACATGCTGCGTTGCCTAAGGGTCACCGCCGCGGTGCAGAAGAAGAGGCCTTGCAGGGGGAGCTGGCTGGCCTCGAGCAGCGACTTTACTACATGCGCGAGGAAGTCAAGACTCTGAATCGAAACATCGAAAGCAAGAAACGTGAGCACGCTTTTGCCATGGAGCAGCTGAACGAGGCTCAGCCAAAATATCAAGAGCAGTCGCAAGGCCTTGCGAACCTGAAGGACAATCTGCAGACCTTCCGGAACTCAGTCAGTGAGGTTGAAGACGATGTTTTCGGTCCCTTTTGCCAACGTCTTGGATACGAAAATATCCGGGCTTTTGAAGCCCAGCAAGGATCTCTTCAGCAAGAAGCAGCACAAAAGAAGCTGGAATTCACACTCCAGCGAAGCAAGCTGGAGAACCAATTGAGCTTTGAAACCCAGCGCCTACAGGCCACTCGCGACCGCATCAAGGGCCTTGAGGACCATGCCACCCGCGATGAGCAACTGATTGCAAAGTTGGAGTCCCAAAAGGAGGCGATTCAGAACGAAATTGACGTCCTTAGCGCCGAACTGGAGCAACTCAAGGAGCAAGTCGCAGGCCTTCGAGACAAGTATAACCAGCGTGTGGAAGAGGTCAATGCGCAGCGTCGTGAGCTGCAGAAACGCAACAAGAACGTCGAGGGCACCCTCAAAGCCGTATCAGGCCTCGAAGCCGAGGTTCAGCGCAACGGCGCGGATCGTTATGCTTTGCTCCGAAAGTGCAAGATCGACGAGATCAAGATTCCTCTGGCTCAGGGTTCACTCGAAAAACTGCCTTTGAACAACCTGCTGAACGGAACAGCTGATCCGGACGCGATGGACGTGGACGGCGAGGATCAAGATGCCACGCAGATGGCCGGGGTCGACGTGCAAGACTATGGAATTGAAGTGGACTTCAGCTCACTAGATGAGGATCTCAAAGAAGACGACTCTACCCGGGCCAACGAGAAGCTGGAGGAAGCCATCAACACTCTCAACTCGGAGCTCGATAAGATGGCGCCGAACATGCGTGCGAATGAGCGTCTCGAGGGGGTGGAATCACGTCTCAAGACCACAGAGAAGGACTTTGAAAATGCCCGCAAGGCAGCCAGTCGTGCTCGCAGAGAGTTCGAAGATGTGAAGGAAAAGCGTCTCGAGCTCTTCAACAAGGCTTTCGAGCACATCAGCGGACAAATAGGCAAAGTCTACAAGGATCTTACTCGGTCAGCGGCTTTTCCTCTCGGCGGCCAGGCTTATCTCGACCAGGAAGACAGCGAAGAGCCGTACCTTGCTGGTCTCAAGTACCACGCCATGCCTCCGCTTAAGCGGTTCCGAGACATGGAACACCTTAGTGGTGGTGAAAAGACGATCGCAGCGCTAGCTCTCCTATTCAGTATCCACTCATTCCAACCCAGTCCTTTCTTCGTCCTGGACGAGGTGGATGCTGCATTGGACAACATTAACGTTATGAGGGTAGCACAGTATGTGAAAGAGCACGCGGGGCCAGGCATGCAATTCATTGTCATTAGCTTGAAGACCGGCTTCTTCCAGGAAAGCGAGAGTTTGGTGGGAGTGATGAGAGACCAGACGGCAAATTCCTCAAGGACATTGACACTGGATGTAAGTGCATATTCCCCTAGCTCAACAAGGGACGACAGGACTGACCAATCCATCACAGCTGCGGAAGTACCAGGCCGCTTAGACGAAAGCCAAAAATCATCGCTGGCGCATTCCAGGATATCGGACGTAGGACTCTATGTTCTCAGGCTTGTATATTGATGAGATGCGGTTCGATTTCATAGCGGTTATGGATACGGGCGTTCGGGAAAAGGACTTGGCACGTTGTTCGTTTCTCGCAAGGGGGCAATGCGTGCCACAAGCAATCTTCTAATTTCAACCGCACAACTTATTTTGTCATGGTATGCAAAGCGGGCCAGCCACCCCTCGCATGTGTTGTCAGCGAGCACTTGGTTCGGCACACTATGCCGTCTCTGCGGCATCACGTAAGCTACGGCACAAGCCGCGGCCACATCTGCGGCATCTCCTGCGACATCTTCTGCGGCATCTCTGTTGGCCGACATGTGGATGTATTTCCACGATGAAGGAAATGTTTTTTTTACAAGCGATGTTACATATACCTGACTGCGTGTGTCTGGCGCTGGCACATGACCGGTCGCGTCATCTACATTGACCACTACATCAAGCTTTTGGGGGCGAGCGTGGGGAAAGCGGTGCTCTCTGATCAGCTCCAGTGGGTGAGCTCATTGGCGCTGCATTGCGCCATGCCGCCCAGAGCGGGGTCTCTCGCGGATCATCACGACCCAAGAGCTTTGTCAACCTTGTCTCAGCGATTGCACCATCTGCCGGTAGCCCCGCTCATTCTTGGATATATAAAAGACAGGCCGTCTTCATCCACAAAGTCTAGCAGATAACGTATTTTTCTCACTGGCACCCCAAACTAGGAAGATGACTACCCCAATCCAACAGAACCTGGTCGAGAAGAACAAGGAGTATGCAGCAACCTTCACGAAAGGGCATCTTGCGCTTCCTCCGGCTAAGAAATATGCTGTTGGTGAGTACGCAGCGGTGCATCATCAACACGGGAATAATGCTCATATTGTCTAGTGACGTGCATGGATGCACGAATCGACCCGGCGGCCGCCTACGTAAGCCGTCTCGAAGCATCGATATGACATGTACTCATGCTTTGCGGCAGGGAATCGACCTTGGAGACGCGCATGTCATCCGGAACGCGGGCGGGTCGGCCAAAGATGCGCTGCGCAGTCTGATCATATCGCAGCAGCTGCTGGGGACGCAGGAAATTGTGCTCATCAAGCACACGGGATGCGGGATGCTGACGTTCGGCAACGAGGAGGCGCAGGCGCTCGTCGAGGCGAATCTGGGCAAGGAGGCGGGAGAGCAGGTCAAGGGGCTCGATTTCCTGGCGTTTCCGGATTTGGAGGAGGAGGTCCGCAGGGACGTCAAGTGGCTGGCAGAGCAGAAAACGATCCCGCGGCAGGTCACGGTCAGCGGGTGGGTTTATGAGGTCGAGACGGGCAGGGTCAGGAGGGTGGAGTAGGGACTATTTTAAGAGGCCTTGTTGAAGTTGACCTGAGTTCCTGTCGATCCCGACGCGTGATCTTCGCACGAAATTGGATGTGCAGAAATTGGCAGCGCGCATGAGCAGCAAGCGGGCAAATAAAAGACTGGGGCGAGGTCAGCCGTCTGCAGTCGACTGCGCGCACGCGGCTTGGATCATCCTTGCCGCAGCCTCCGGACGCCGCATCTGCAGGGTCAAGATTGGCGTGCTGCCCGCTCGCTGTGCTGGCTAGCCTAGAAAGGTCCACCACCGGACGCGTCCAACACAACGGCCTCAGGAGTCCGCTCACCCTCGCACAATCCTCAAGGGGACACGCCAGTCTCTCGCTCACGTCACGCGCCTGCCTTCGCCCGTCTCTACCTGAAACCACTGCCCAACTTACTCGCTCACCGCCCGCGCCCACCGACCCTTTGTGTCCTCTCGGCACCCCAACCCGCCGCACCTCCCAGGCCTGCGGCCACACCCTCTCTTGCGACCCATCGCCATGTCGTCCGCCGACCAAGCCCGCCCGGTCACCCCCGGTGAGCACCGCCGGACCTCTTCCCTTGAATTCAACCGATCTCCGCAGAGCCGTCGCTCGTCTGCCGCATACTCGCCCGTGCAGGCCCGCCCGCCGCACAGTCTGCACCCCGCCGCCAGCTACGGCGAGCTCAACGGAGACGGCGATGACTCGTTCAACGCCGGCGAGCTCGGCAACCTGGCCGACGAGCTGGCCGACGCCGAGGAGGACGACTACGAGGACGGCGAGGCCGACGCCTCCATGATGCAGTCGCAGCTCGTCGACCAGACCCAGCCTCAGGAGCTGCCCAACGGCCACTCCCGCCACATCTCCCGCGACGATGTCATGCAAACCCCCAAGACGGCCACGACGCTGAGCCCGTCCTCGCGCGTCAACCACCGCCGCAACCGCTCCCGCTACGACGGCTCCGACTACGGCAGCGAGAGCGATCTCGAGGCCTCGGACAGCATCTCGGCAAGCCTCGAGGCCAAGATGGCCGCTATTGAACACCTGGCCCGCCGCGGTACCGAGGACAACGGAAGCGCCACCGACGGCGTCTTCATTCGCCTGACGGAGCAGCTGCGAGACCTGGGCAGCCAGGCTGGCGTTGAGAGCGGCGCCACACGGTACGCACCCCCAACAAACCTTCCGAGCGATGCGGGAAGACTAATTCGTGCCATAGTCTGATCACTGCCCACACGGCCCTGACCACCCATCTCAGCCACCAGACCCGGCTGCTGACCTCGCTGACGTCGTCGCTTCTTTCTCCCCTCGCCCCGCCGCTCTCTCCTGAAGCCATTGACGCTCTCCTACCCCTCATTGCTGACGCTCTGGAGTCCCTTCCCTCAGCACCCCCCGCTCCGCTCAACGCCCTGGGAGGCCTGAGCGGCGAGACGCACGATTTCCTCGACACAGTCAGCTACCTTTCGGACAGCCTGCACATGGGCCGTCAGACATCCAACCTGGCCCAGCGGCGGTTAAAGGTCGTCAGGGAGGCTATGAGCGAATGGCGCCGCGAGAACGAGCTCCGTGAAGAGGGCATTCGGTGGATCGAGAAGGGTAGCTGGGACAATCGGTTGAAGGAGAGAGAGGCCGCCAGTGTCTGCAACGATGTGGTCGGTGGCTTTGAAGAGGCCTGCAAGGGCTGGCGGGAGAGGCTAGTCGCGATGAGCGAAGTCCCTGCAGCTTGAAGGAAGTCGTTATGGGAATGAGGAGGAGGAGGGGGGAGCATGAAGAACAACACCCAGTGATATCCACAACCAAGAGAAGAGAGACCTGGACCACGTTGGCTTGATACCCAACACCACGACACGAGACTTGATTATTTTCCTTTTTTCCCCTTGTTTTTGACCCGGAGCAGAACACAACCAAGAAACACCGAATTTGACGAGCGAGGAGCAGGAAGAATGCATAGATCGGTCAGGACTCTCTTGTCTCGGAGATTGTCATTCGAGAAGAAAGTTTTGGAGTACATGGAATTTCGGGGGCATCTTTCACGGCGTTGGGGCGGCAACGGATTAATTTGGAAGGAGCAGGGAGAGAAAATTGACTGCCTGTTGACTGGATTATTCGCACACAACCGGAGAGGATATCGCACGCTCCGCTTCGTACCCTTCGCGCAAACCCGCCCAGTTCATTCGAAACGCACGGCCTCGTATAGAGAGAGAGAGAGAGAGAGAGAGAGAGAGAGAGAGAGGAAGGACGCACAGGCTTTTTGCACTCGTTTGCCTGATTCCTTTTGTGGAGAAGTTTCTCTTCTTTTCATGTAGCGACTAGGGTCCTTCTATCACATTCGTAGACGTATGTATTTCGTTTGGCTATTTCTTGCCTAAGGCCATAAAGACGCTTCGACAGAGCTGCATGGGCACTAGTGCTGGAGATCCGGCAAAAAGCTTGTCTTTCACAGGGAGCGTTCCGCAAATTTAGCCATTGGATGGCGCTGACGTAATGACCTTCAGGGTCAGGGTCGCCACGTGGCTCGGCAATCAAGATAAGGCGGCCGAGCTAAGCCACGGAGAAAGCGAAAGGGTCTCTCCGTCAGGAAGCTTTTCCTTATACAGGGACTCGTGCTGGGTATGGCCTCGAATGAGCTTGGACGATGGTGGCGCGGTGACGAGCACTTGAGCTTCTGATTACGAGAAGCCAGTCGATGAGTACCGACCATCCCACCCTGCTGCAAGCACCTCATCTAAACAAAAAGAGCGTGTCGACGCTTGTCGAAGTCCGTACCAATCGAATTTCGAGCTGTGCACCTTGCTCGCCATGCCTTTCGGCCGATAGAGATAATAGATTGCTAACACCTCGTCCGATAATCTAATCGGCGGATGCTCACGGTATTTACTCGGAGGCAAGCGCGCGTTCAAGGAGACGTCAAGGCCTCTTGACTGCATAATGGCAGCCTCTAGGACGATGCAGGACGCCTTCAAGCCTTACAATACTCTGTGGAAGAGGAGGGTGTCATGAGCCGCACTAGGCCCTTTATGGAAGGAGCCGAGGTGTTTTCGGGTCTCCGAAATCGCGTTCTCGTCCTCACGCACTTCCCGTGGGTCTTCTCCTTCTCTTTCGACTCAGGCCCTTGCTTTGAGCAGAGCTGCGCACACGCAAGGCTCAGTGCTCCCACGGTGGACCCGCAACGCACCCTCTCGAAATTTTCCAAGATACGCCCGTAGATTCGGCCGACCGACGTGACCCTGCTCGTCCGCCCCCCTTCCGTTATCCACCATGAGGTGAGTGGGTTTTGCAGCTAGTTATAATAAAGTCCTCCGGAGCTCCTCCGAGCTTCTCCAAACTGCTTGCTTGCCGGCTGGCTCCTGCTGCGTGCAAGTGTTGGAGAAGCTCGATTTCCCTTTCCATTTCCCTTTTGAGACGATTCGTTTGGTCGAGCACCAAAGCACTTCCACGACAATGTCGACCCCCTACGATCCTCTAGCTCCTAAGTTTGATGCTAGTGAACCCATCAAGACACGCGGCTCGAAATACATCAAATATGTCCTAGAGAATCAATCCTACAAGGTACGTCCTCCGTTTTGTTTCTTCCTTCTTCCCTTTTTTTTTTCTTGGAATGCCAGCTGACAATGGCTCGCAGCGCTTCGACGCGACAGCAATCCGACAATGCGAGCTGCTGGATGCACAGGCGCGGGCGCCCAAGGCGGCGGACCGTACGCTACCGCTGGCGACGACGGCGTGGAAGGTGTTCGTGCCGGAGGAGCTGACGAACGCGGGCGGAGCGCTGCATGGCGGTGCGGTAGCGACGCTGTTCGACATGTTGACGTCCTTTACCATCTCGTGTGCTGAAGACGTCGAGGGCACCGGATGGGAAGTGAACAACGTCAGCCGCACGCTCAACTGCTCGTACCTCAAGCCCATCATGCAGGGAGAGTACATGCGCGTCGAGTGCGAGGTCACGGCGCTGGGCAAGCGCAACGGCCTGTGCCGCGGCGTCATGCGCAAATGGAATAAGGAGCGCGAGGATGGCGCCGGCGGCGATGTGTGCTACACGTGCGAGCATGGAAAGGTCAACACTGGCATTGCGGCTTCCAAGCTCTGAGCGGTTCTTGTTTCATTCATTTTGGGATACCCGGTAGACAATAGGGATAATGAAGACACTTTTATGCTACTTGAAGCGAGATCATGTATACAGGCGGGCTTATCGATAAGCGTGCGGCGACGCGGGCGCCTGGAGCCTCCGCCGCAAGCTGCCCATGTCATTCCTCCCGCAGCAGCTGCTGCCTCTCCACCAACCCACCTCTTCCGGCCGCTCGACACCCCACCAACAATGGCGCCGCAGAATGTCGAGGACTCTCAGCTCTTTGCAGAGGCGAGGGCTCAGGGCAAGGTCATCGTCAAGGGTACGCCCGCCTGCACGACGCTCCCGCCGCCAACTAACGGAGCTCCTCGCAGATCCACCCAAGTTCGATTTCGAGTCCTACATCGCCAACTACCAAGGTACGACCGTGCGACCGGGCCTGAAAGCGCGTACCATGTGCTGACGCAGCTCTGTCGCCCATAGGCAGGACCCGTTTGGAGCGGTTGCATCTGATTGGCACCACCTCCACCTACCTTTGCGTCGATGCGCTGCACGCCGCCATCGCCGAGGCCAAGCAGGGCAAGGACGTCAACTTCTACACCCTCGTTACCGACAAGCTCCACCAGCTCGACCCTAATGACCCCCTCGGTGTCCCCGACGTGCAATGGTGCGAGCGCAAGGCGAAGGAAGTGAAGTCCGAGCTGGAGAGCTTGGAGCAGCAGCTCAAGCAATACAAGAACAACCTGATCAAGGAGAGCATACGGGTATGTCGTTGTCTCCGCTGCATGCGTGTTGCACGCTCTGACCAGTGGGACAGATGGGCCATGACGATCTGGGCCAGTTCTACACGAGCATCGGTGACCATGCGTCCGCCATGAAGTCATATGCGCGCGAGCGCGACTACTGCAATACCACCTCGAATGTTGCCGACATGTCGCTGAAGCTCGTATATTCCAGCATCCTTCAGCGCAACTGGACAACGGTCAACTCGAACGTCTCCAAGATTCAGCCAATGACGTTGAAGCCCGAGGACAAGACCAAGCTGGATTCTATCTGCAACGCTATCCTTGGTCTTAGCCACCTGGCAACTGAAAACTACAGGGAAGCCGCCAAGCAGTTCCTCCAGGTCAACCCAAGCTTCGTGACAACAGAAGCGCAGGCAAACATCACATGGCAGAAGCAGGTGCTGACCGGCAACGACATTGCCGTCTACGGCGGCCTCTGTGCTCTCGCATCCATGGACCGCTCGGAACTGCAGCGACTTGTGCTTGAAAACAACGACTTCCGCCAGTTCCTCGAACTCGAGCCGCACATTCGCCGTGCCATCTCGTTGTTTTGTGGCAGCAAGTACACGCAATGCTTGGAGATTCTCGAGGCCTATCGCACCGACTACCTCCTGGACATTTACCTCAACCCGCACATCAAGGAGCTCTATGGCAGGGTTCGAAGCAAGAGCATTGTTCAGTACTTCATTCCCTTCAGCTGCGTCACACTCGAACAGATGGCCACGGCATTCGCCCCTGTCGGCGATGTCTCGATCGAGGACGAGCTGACTGAGATGATCCAGCGGGGCGCGCTGGATGCCCGGATCGATTTGGTCGACAAGGTAACACATCCTCACTCATACCTCAAAAATCTCCGACTAAACCGTCTTCACAGCTCCTCATATCCCCACCGACCAACCCTCGTACGCAGGTCCACGCCAATGCTATGAAGATGGCCCAGGATTTCGAGCATTCCCTCCGTGTCCACCTCGTACGCTTGAACATGATGAACGAAGGCCTCGTCGTCAAGGCTCCCAAGGGCCATCCTCAGCAGGGCCAGAGCCAGACGCTAGAATCGGGCTTTGACCCCGTGCAGGCTGCGCAGTCCACCGGCAAAGGCTGGGTGAGCTGAAATGAGGATGGACCAGAAAGCTGATGAAAGTGCACGACTTGGTTGAATTCATTTAGTTCTTAAACATGGTGGCAAGGCGTTTTGTGGCGATGGGAAAGATGGCGTGCGATAATGACAGTTATTCCAACCACGTCAGAAAAGACGAGCAGCTGACATGCGGGGTGGTGGCGACGATCAAGACACGGTGTGCGAGATTTTGAGGTCATGCGGGCTTCTTCTTCGAAAGAGGGAAGCGGTCTAGACGGACAGTTTTGTCATGCATATCTAATGAACGTTTGATGGCTCAAGGATATGCGGAAAAGGTGGCTGCTGTGGTGGGATACTCCACGACAAGAAGACATAAGATTGACAATGGCTTACAAAGGCTTCCTTTTTTTTTCCTTCCCTTGCGTATGTGTGCATGTATGATTGACCTAAGATTAAAGCCTGCCGAGCCGAAGAATGACGAAAGAGACACCAAGACGTTTTATTTGGCGGATCGCCGTCTACCAACACTTGAAGCAAGATCAACAACGCCTACGAGTGGTGCGCAGCACCTGACCTGCTCCCCCGTCCGGCCGATTTTCCGTGTCGTCGTCGTCGTCGTCGCCGCTCCCCGAGCGCACCACCACCCACCTTTCTCTCCCTCTCTCCCCTTTTCCACGTCTGTTTGGAGATGTAGGCTGGGCACGGTGAATTTCGCTTCTCCCTCGTTCCCCCTTCCCCGAAAGCCGCGCGCGGGGATTTCTCGCTTGTGGCGTGCGCGGCTTTACTTGCGGCGCGCACTACTGCCTATGATGCAACGGTCGATAGTGCGGAGTAGTAAAATAAGGCAATACAAAATAGCGTGGATATGGTCGGCAGCCCTCCTTCCCGTTCTCTTTTGTCATTTGTCGATGACTATTTCGCTTGTTTTTTGATGATATGTTTTTTTTTATTCCCGCTGAGAAGGATGATGGATAGACCGATGAGGGTTGGCTCTATTGATATTGATATTTGTTCATTTCAATTCGGAGCGGTGGTGTTTGATTATGACGAGAGTCATGGCTTGGCGGTGGGATGTGTTTCTTTTGCGCTGGCTGCGGGCACTAAAGATATGGTTGCGCTGAGGCCTTTTTGTTGGGAGTTTTGAAATTTGAAGCGGTTAATCAAGCACAATGACGTTTCTTCCGTACCATTGAGATGGTATCATGCTAGTATCGACAACCGTGTTGCCGACGCACAATGCGAGACAACCAGGGCAAAAGATATTCTCCCACTTCGGTGGCCGACCAGCAATAGATAGTTATCCGGCGAATATCTTTAAGATTTTTGGTTTCGCAGAGTATGTAACAGAGCGTATACATTAACAATTGCTTTGTAGATACTCAACAGAAGCGTGTTCACCTCTCTCGAGCTTGTGGTTTCCATTTTTGTGATCAAGTAACTTTGAATCCGACAGGTGGAGCATCACGTACTACCACCACTCAAACACTACAGATTGTCCCACACAATCCTCCAACCTTTCTGTAAGAAGCGAGCAAGGAAAATAGCAAGCACTTAGAGATAGATTGATAGACATAAAAAAATAAGGGGTTTGGTATAGGGTATATCGCGCTGAAAGCCAGACAGAAAATGCAGGGTATTAACATCGCATAGTGGGATGGACAAGGAAATGGGCCGAGGAGGCTCTCGTGTTTGCTTGTAAGTTTGCATTGCGTGGCTCAAACAGCCCAAAGGTCGCCAGCCAGCTCCTGGTACATGTTGGCGATATCTCTATCAGCCATTCTTCCACCATCGCCCAGATGAACGCTGTCGGGCAAGCCCATGACGCGTCGGGCCTTGGAGAAGTCACTGCTGGAAGTTCCGGGGCGACTGCTGTTGATAATGCGCGCGATAGTGTCAGGATCGACTTCGGTGTCTGTGGGATAGTAGGAATAGACGCTAGAACTACGACGGGGACGCGGGAGGTCGGTGTAACGAGTGGTGGAGCTGCGACGGATGATGCTATCTTGGCGGCGGAGAACGTGGTCCTGGGTAGTCTCGAGGTCCAACTCAGCCATCAGCTGCTCAGTACGAGCGAGTGCATCATCGGTAGCAGCATCTTCGGCGCAGGGCACAGGTGAAGGAGGCCCGGAGGCGACCGAGGTAGCGGTTGAGCCGGATTCGGCAGGGGACCAGGCGGCGCTGTTGGGCACGCTTGATTGCGCGGACCCGCTGCTAGCGCTACGGTGCATAAACTCAGAGCTCGCGGTTGACGTCGAACCGGAACTGGCTTGACGTGTATGGAAATAGCTGCTGCTGCGTTTGGAGGGAATTCCCTCAGAAGAGACGCCTCTCGATGAAGTGGCGGGAACGGTAGTCCCATCGCCGTGAGAGAAGAGCGAGTCATCGACGGATTCAGTCGGAGGGGTCCGCTTTTCGTCGTCCTCGACGATGGGCTCAGTGACAGGGGAGAAACCACCCAAGGGAGAAGAGAAACACGTCTTGACGGTTAGCTTGGTGGGTAAGGACGTGCGACGCAGAGAGCTGGACTTTGATGGTTTGATTGGAGAAGAAGGCGTGGAAGACTTCTGGCTTGACTTTTCGCCAGTCGTCTCGTTGAGTCCATTTCCATATCCAGGCACCTGAATTTCACACCAGGGTTGGGGTTGGACACGGATGCTGTTCCTCCGAGAGGCAAAAGGCGACAGGGACCGGCCAATGGAGCTCCTCCATGAGCTGGTTCTGCTGAGAGGTGGCACGCTTACGCTGTGACGTCTTGATGAAGAACGCACGGGTGACGAGGTGGTGGAGTGGGAGACGCGAAGTGGTGCTGGCATATCACCGCCAGGTGACACGGTCGATCTCCGATGCAAGCTTGGGGCATCCTGGAAGTTGGTATGCGTTATGTAGTCGGATGCCTCGCAATCCGGTCGAATTGAGTACGAGGGTCCGTTTGCGGGTGTAGCCGGCAGCGATGTTGCGGCACCCTGTGTGCGGGCACTTGTCTCGGCCGATGCGTAACCCGAATCAGATGCAGGCGCAGACTCCTCGGTTGGCTTGTGTTTCCACGGCGGGGTCCCCGCTGTCAGACAGCACAGTGGATAGTGCGGCCCCTCGGTGTCACGAACTTCGCGTGGCGCGCGCGTGACGGAAACCAGCATCTGTAGGGTTGCGTAGATCAGAATCCAGCGCACTTTGCGTGCGTCCGAGATGGAGACCTTCTCTTTGTGCTTGTCGAGCGAATCCCGCTCAAAGATCTTGTAGACTCTCACCAGCGGGGCGTTGGCGACGGTGGTCTTCTTGGAATTGGTGGCAGTGGAGAGAGCAGCAAGCTGCGTGAGCTGCTTGTCGGTCTTGCTCTGCTTGTTGCCCAGCCTCAACGCAACCAGATTTCTCTGGGCCAGGATGCGGCCGGTTGGTTGCGGAGTGATGGGAAGGAGCGGCAGCGGGTGTGGCAAAGGAGTGTACTTGTGCCGCTTGTCGAAAGCTTGCACGTTTTGCAGCACGCAAATGCCTCCGTCAGCAGGCTTCTGAGCCTGCAGCGAGTCGGACGAATCCGTGTCGACCAGGTAGTCATACAGCGCCTTGAAGTCGAAGTACATGGAACGGCAGAGATCTCTGGAGAAGCTGGTGCCCTTGGGCGGAGGCCAATAGCCAAATTTGTCGACGTAGAAAGAGTGCAGAAACGAACGGAATCGGTCTAGATGAGCGCGTGGTCCGGGAGGCAGGCCAAGATTGGAGGGAGACAGCTCGGCCTCCAGAAAAGTGCTGACAGCTCTCGAGACGCGGGTCAGGTGCAGGTCCATCTCGAGGAATGCCCGAGTGATGAGGGCCTTTGTAACTCTCGGAATGGGCTGCGAAGCGTCAGTGTGTGTGCAACTCGTTGGGGTATATCAACCTACGTCATGTTCACTGCTGAGGAATAGTGTCTCGTTCATGCCGACGCAGTGTGCATATGCGTCGATCCACAGGTCTTTGATCTCGTAGTGGCCGGCATAGTAGAGCATGGCCAGGGCGTTGTCAGGTCGGTGGGTGAAGTTGAGGTAGCCAGTCTCCTCGGCGTACTCCATGAAGACTGACTGGTTCGCCAGGGGCTGGGCAGAGCGGAACAGATGGAGGCGCTCCTGCAAGTCGACGAGAGCGCCGCCCAGGTGAGTTCCAACCAAGGGCTTCCTGAAGAGAAAGGCAAAGAAGTTGCGGGTGGTAAGATGCCACTGGAAGGCTTCCTCACGCACGAAGCCCTCCGGGGCGGGAATGTACAGCTCGTACATCTGCTCCGGAGCATCTTTCAGGGAGCTTAATTGGCTGGCGGGCACGTCGGAGCGGGAGACGGTATGGGCGAAGCACAAAGTGAAGAGGTTGCCGCAGGTAGCGTGCTTGAGAGCCTCCATGGGGACACAGAAGGACGGGCCGCGGCGAGAGAAGCCGCGCTCGTACAGGTGCACGAAGCAGTCGCCATTGGGGAACCAGAGCTCGTGGTCCTGTTTGGTCAGTTGGAGTTGACGGACAGTGGCAGGCAACTCACTCGGCGGAGACCATCCCACTGGGCAGAGCGCCTTCCGCTGCCGTCCCAGCGCTTGACACCCTGGGGCTTGAAGCTTGCGGCAGAGTTAGTTGATGACTGCCTTAGCTTCATTCTCTCGGGTTCCTGGTTCCTGTCATAGGAACGCAGAGGAGAAGTGGTGGCAGTAGAGTCGAGGGATTGCGGCGGCTTACGGCCGCGCACCGAGGAGGGTTTGTTTTGTATGCTGGACGCGCGGGCAGCTGACATCGGAACGGCTGCAGACATCGGAGCGGACGCCACAGTCCTGTGCCTGCGCAGCGACGAGCGGCGGCCGGGTATATGAATGGAGGCGGATCGGGCTGACATGGCGGCAGACCCTGCGAGGGCAGAGGATGGATGATGGCACGACAAGCAGGCGCCGTGTGCCGTCGCGCAGCGCAAACGGGATCGCCGCGGTACTTAGATGCGACCAGCTGGGACATGGTGCACGCTTCTGGCCTCTGCGTCGCCGCTTCTGGAGCTGGGGAAAGCCGCGGTCGGCTCAGCTGTGGCGCCCTGGGTCAGCGCGGGCCCCGGCTCTGTAGCCTCATCTGGCGGCCCCTGCAAATCTAGCCAGATAAACTCAGCACATCCTCCAGCTCATGCAGCGCTCAGGCCCACGCAGAGATTGCACGCCCGCCTGGATTCGTACGAGCCCAGCTGACAAGACGCGCGCAAACGACGCCCTCGGGCGCAGCCTGCCCGGCCTGCAGCACCCCACCCGCCCACGCCTCCGAAAGCGTCCCGACTCACTCCCTCCTCAGCTGCCACCGCCTGCTCGTGCGCCCGCCCTGAAGAAGCAGACATTTGCGCGCGCATTTGGATCGTCGCCGCACGTCATGGCGTCGCTGCGTCATCCCGCGACCCGGCCTCCCCGCTATCCGAGCCTCCAGGCGATCCCTCTCAACACCTCCCTTCGCCGTCCACTGAGCGAGCAGAGCCCCCCGCCCCTCCTGCAGCTTATGCCCGCCAGCACGTCGTGGTCGGCTCCACCACCCACCGCCCTCCGCCAACCGCTGGCCGTGCAAAATGTCCGACTTCACATGCGAGCCGTGTTTCAGCCTGCGCGTCTCTGTGAGACTTTATAGCCCGCGTCATCCTCGCGCCGTCGGCCTCCCCAACACCGACTCCGCTACATATTTCGAAGGCTAAGTCTGGTTTCACATTCTGTTGACTCCTTCGTGACATCAACACCAAGCAGCTACTCACAGCCAGCCATCCCCGGCCCCGAGCACCACACACCACTTCCCTGCCCTCGACTAAGCTCTCCGCAACTGAAACACCGGCCCTGCACATATTTCAGGGAAATCGCCCCGCATACATCGCTGGCCATGAGCGCTTTTTTCCCTCCGCGAGAAGCAAATGCCAAGAGTCAGCAGCAGCGCGTCTAGAAGCGCCCGCTGCCTTGCCAACCGACATGCCGGGACTGGCCGCGCGTTCGCGGCACGGCATCTCGAGTCGTTCACCATCTTCCAGAGGATTACAATGACTTCATGGATTTACCCCGACTACCGCTGGTTTCAAGGCGGGAAGGCGAACGAATGAAAGAAAAGAATACAGCCCGTATACGCGGAATAGCACACCCGACTGTCACGCGCGAGCCCATCCGCTTTTCTTGCCACCGGCATTGATCGGTTAGACAGCGCCGCTTTTAGGTCTTGTTCGTTACCATCGCTTCCCGCTACACAGCGGTCGATGTGTGGTGACGGTCTAAGCGTGTCGGTGTCTGTTTTTTTGGCCATGGTTAGCATCAGGATAGTAGTAGTAGGTAGAAAAAAAAATGCACCACTTCTTTTCTTCAAATCCGACCCCGACGAGCCAGGGTGATCAACAATATCAAAAGAGCCTCACCTTTTTCAATGCAGCAATCACAGCCTGCAGTTTCTCCTTTGCCGCCTGGGCCTGAGACTCCCCGTCATGCCCTTCGCGGTACTCCATTTCCACATCAGACAAAGCCTTCCGCGCCCGCCCACACCGGCTCTCGGTCGTGCGCCGCACCTCCTCGCTGACCTGCTGCCGCGAGTTGTGCACGCTGGCCTCCATCTCGCGTACCAGCGTGAGCGCTTCTTCCTTCAGCTCCGCCACCGCCTTCCAACTGCTGCTGCTGCTGCCACTGATGCCACTGGTGCCACCGCTGCTGCTACCACTGCCGCGGCCGGCACCGCTGTATTCTCCTGCCAAGACGTCGCTCGGTGTCGCAGCGGCAAGGGAGGACGAAGCAGACGGGAAACTGGACACCACAACCGCCGGCTTTGGCGACACCTGGGACGGCCGTAGCCACCAGTTCGACAGCGACGAGAAGGCCGAGGACGGCGTCGAGGGCAGCAGGCGGGCGCCGGCGGCACCGCCTCCCTCGTCCCAGAAGGCCTTCGTCTGGTCGGCGTACCACGTCTCCTTCAGCGGGGCTTCCCAGCGCGGCGTGCGCGACTCGGCCCGGACGAGCCACTGCTCGAAGCGGCGCTGCGCCGCGTCGTCATCGCTACCGTCGTCGTCGTCCTCCTCGTCGTGGACGCGGTTCAGAGAAAAGGACGAGATGGGTTTCCGGGAGGGGCTGCTGGGCGTCGTCGTCCCCGTCGAGTTGTCTGGTAGAGGTAGGTCGAGGGCGAAGGAGCCGCGGCGGACCTGGTGCGTCGTGAACAGCGAGCTGTCGTAGTCGTCGTCGGCGTTCTCGTCGGAGTCGGTGTCGGAGGGCCAGGCGTTGAGCCAGTGGGGCGGCAAGGCGAGGGCGTGTTGTTGCGGCGAGAGCTCCGAGGGAAGGTTCAGGAGCGACGAGATGGTGATGACGTTGCTGTGGGGGGATGATGGTTGCTTGCCGGAAGCGGATTTGGTGCGGGCGACAAGCGTTGTAAACAGGTCGACGCTCCACTGGTTCACCTTAGTGGCGAAGACGGTGCGGGAGAGGTCCGGAGACGGAGAGGTTGGGTGCATGGGGCCAGCGTAGACGAGGTACGTCGCGTCGAAGGTCTTGTTGTTCTTGGTCGGCGGGAGGAAGAGCTCCAGCGGCACGTTGGAGTTGAGGATGATGGATGTGGCTGGGAAATGGTAGAGCCACTCGAGTCGCTCGGGCTGCGGCTTGCCTTGCTCTTCCTGGAGGGCTGAGAGCACCTGCCCCGCGAAATTTTCGGCCGAGGAAGAGGACAGTGACTCATTCATGATGTAGTGCTGGTAGCCATGGCGTTTGTCGTGGACGGTGTGGGTTTTGACGGCCCGGTCAATGTACTCGTTCTTGGGATCGTCGAGGATTGACACTTTCCCGACGACGACGTTACGTTCTTGTTTCGGTCCGTCCTTCGAGGGAGATGGGGCGTGGTTGTAGTTTGGAGTCCCCGTGCTCTTGTCGCCGTGATCCATCCACGGTGGACGACGCATGGCACCGTACATGCCGTACACTTTGTCCATCGGAAGCCATGCTCCGATCTTGTGCTTGATCTTCGACATGGCCTCGTAGTGCCATTTCGCGCTCGCCGGATGCTCTTCATCACTCAGGGTGGTGACCTCCGGGGAAACGAATTCATCGGGCGGTTGTGCATCGAAGTCGGGGGTGGGGTAGAACCCTGTCTCAGACACTCCGAGTGCATACGGGGCTCGTTTTTCGACCGAATTGCCAACGATGTAGATGAGGGCGATTGCAAACATGCTAAGCACAACGACTCTGACGCCGCGGCCGCCAAGCGCCGTAACTCCGCGCATGATGGCGGACAATGTTGTTGAGAATGATGTGTTGGAACGGGGGCAGGGAGGCGTGGGGCAGAGGGTCACTACTAGACAGGCACCAGGAGTGACACGAAGATAGGGATGGAGGCGTGCGAAATTGAAACGAACTCCTCGCTGACATGGTCGCCAGGACTCACCTTACCTCGGCCCAGCCTCTACTGGAATGGAGTCGCACAGGTCGAGGCGTTGCCATGGTACTGTTGGTGTTTTCGACGCGTTAGGATAGGTAGCCAAGGCTTGACAAGACTACGTCCACTGGCAGTTTTCGGATGCAGCAGCGAGCCAGTGGTCACGCTAAATGGTACATAGATTGGTTTGAGAAGGGTGGAGGCGAAGAATGGAAGGGGCAGAGTATATGCAAGGTCCGGTACGCTATACCTGAAATGGTCACTCCCTCCCACAACTTCACTTCGCACTCACCGTTTGCTATGCCTGCTAAACCCTTCTTACAGCTGATTGTACGTTTGCTTCGGCCTCGGAAAAGCACAAGGGGACAGTGTTGAGCCCTTCTTGTTTCTTTCAAAGTCCACCAGCTTCCCATGTTTTCTAGCCACGGAAAACTTTCATTTCACACGCACATCAAAGGATTGATAAGAAATTTATGAAAAGGCTATAGAGCACTGGGTCAATCAGAAATGAGACCACATGAGCCGAGGTCTCATGACAATGCTATTGGAGTGTTGTTCACTCCCTTTGAGATCCGATCCACCGGGCTCCTCTGTAACCATCGTGCTACGAGAAACATAAAAGTGTGTGCAGCATCTGTAATTCTTCCGTAATGTTCGTTCTGTCGTACACCGGACCATCGTCCACAGTTGAGCTGACTTCGATCAACCTATGCATGTGCTGGTGCTACTGTCGTCCCCAGAGGTTAAGAACCATCTGGGCACATCGGTAGTACTGGATTTTGCTCTTGCGCCGCTTAATCATCACTTACGAAGTGCAAACGCACGCTGCCGATGGACTGGACGCCGCCGTCCTTGGCTACGTAGAAGTTGCCTTCGAAAAGCTTTACTGGGTGATGCACAAAGGAAGCCAGAGCAGTCATGGTCGATGGTCCTGGAAGAACAGCGTAGACCTTAATGGTGTTCCCAGAGATGGAATTCACAGCGCGGATGACCTCATCTTGCTTGAGGCCATGGGGGATTCCAGTAATGAGGACCAACCCGTTTGTGCTGTGGCGAGGAACAACGAGGTTGCTTGTGGAAAGCGGATGGGGCTCGCTCTGAGAGTTGTGGACATTCGCGGGGCTAGTGAAAGAATAGCAGTCCAGCTCTTCCTCCTCCAAGGCGATGATGTCAGCCTCAAGCGCGGCCAAGGCTCGCTGGCCGAGCTCATCAGAGATGTTGTCCTTGATCTGGAAGAAAGCTAGCGCCCGCTTAGCAGTAGCAATCATGTTGTCCTTCATCTGTCCCGACTGTAGTTGAATCCCACTGGCTTGAGTTCGGGAGGCCTTCTTTGCATTCTCAAGCTGCGCCTTCTCGGATAAGATCTGGGCCGTGTGCTCGAGCCTGGACCTCTCAAACTTGTCTGTCTCAACGCGAAGGTTTTGGAACCTGTCGTCCAGACGGCTCTGTGAGTTGATGAAGTCTTCGTAGAGCTGAGCTCTCTCTTCGTTGAAATTCCGCTTCTGCTGCTCGAGCTCCGCCTTCTGGTGGTCCAAGTCCTTTTGTTGGGCCGCTAACTCGGCCTCCTTGGTATTAAGCCTCTCCTCGGTGCGTCTCTGAAGGAATCCAATGTTCTCCTTCCTATTGAGCTTCATGTCTATGCTAAGCACCACCCTCTTATGCTGCGGAGGAAATTAGTTTGCGGCCGCCACGAGTGTATCTTGCCGACTCGTACTTACCTCACTCCCAGCCGGAGTGACGGAGATGGAAGGCAAATTGCTTCTTGGCGGCGGGGTGAGCGGGCGCTTCACGCCGGCGCGACGGAGGTTTTTGTCAAGCTCTTCGGGCGGCTTGGTGAAAATGTCGCGGAAAGCCAGCAGGAAGTTCTTGTCATACTTGCCTTCTCCCGGCCCCAACGCAGGGTTGCGGGCAGGGTTGGGCGAGAGTGGCGCGACCATGTGTGGGATGTTGCTGGGGTGGAGCTGGTGTTGTGGGAAGAGGGCCAGACATGTTGTAGATTTGGGGACACGCGTTGACGTCACGCGTCTGTATCCGTCACCCGAAGATACTAATAGAACATGGCTTAAAGCTGCGGTTGAGCTAGCTTTGTCACTGTTCTATTTTTTCATGTCCATACTGGGGAATCAGTAGACACTTTCAGTGAATCATTGCCACACGGCTCTGGCTATATCTGCCAATATCGTGTAGCAGCTCTGTTTAAATTCAGCGACGCAGACACACCTATCCTCCACAGCCTCCGCTTCACAGCAGGAATTACTTAAGCCGTTGCTCCATGTTATTGAGCCTCCTGATGTGAAGGGGCTTATTAACAATAACGAGGCTCGCTGTCCTGGTAGAAGCAGTCACTGGGTTATGAGCGCAGAAACAATCAACCCACCAGTTGTATGCCGCGTTTATGTAAGGCACGTCTACATGTATGTACGTGCACAGACATAACGACCGGAGAGTATGATCGCTTACAGGGCGGGAGTAAAGCTTAACGTACGGAGGGGTATTGCCGCCGCAGGCTAGCGCGAAGGATGGCAGAGCCGCAGAACATGGGGTAATTTTCCAACACCTGCGGGCAGTGGAAGCTCTCGTTCGGACGAGAATGTATAATTGCTAATACATCCGGATAACATGACATGAGCGAAAAACAAATCCACGCTAGCCTCGGGCTGCGACACCCCTCTGTAATGTTCATCTCGCAGGTGCTTCTTTCCAACATGCGCAGATTCGTCACGCAACGCGAGGGACGGATCTTTTCCAAACTCTATCGGGGACCAAGTTAATAAGGCACCTTTGGGCACGTCGCCGCCGCAGATAGAGGAATGCGTCCGACTCAGGCGTACCAGAACAATTTCGCGGCGGAAGATACACGCTGTAGCGGCCGAGGCGATGGATCTAGCGGCCGTGTCAGTTACCTCGGTGCGATACGAGGGGGCGCGTCTGGAAAGGGACGCGTGGGCGCGGGATCGTGCAGCAGGGCGGTGTGGAGGGTCGCGTGGAGGAGCGATCGGCCGTCGGTTGCGGCGCTTTGACTGAGAACAGGCGCGCAGCGGCAAGTAGCGTGCGCCGGCGCAGATCTATCGCGAGCCCAGCGCGGATCCGCAGGCGTAGCGCGAGGCCAGAGAGATTACAAGGCTGATGGCGAATGGGAGATTTCTGGCAGCTGCTTTTGCAGCGAGCTCGTGTCGCGCACGTGGCAAGACGAGTCGGCCTCTTCACGCCTGCGCTCGCACTGCGCGCCGCGGCTCGCAGCTCAGCCTCCGCCTTCGACCCTCCGTCCCCCAGCCCCGACACCGGTCTGTCCTGCGCGCCCGCTCGCCCGCCCGCACCACCGCCCTGTGTGCTGCCGCCTGCCCGGTCGCTGCGCAACGCTCTGTCTCAAACTGCGACTCCGCCCAGATCTGCCCCCTTGCCGATCCGCTCGCCGTCGCCCGGCCGCGTGAAACGCCAGACGCACGACGACCCCGAAACAGCTGATCCTGCCGCACCCCGACCACGCACATCCTGGCCTGCCTCGCGACCGTCTTTTGTCTGGAGCAGCACCCTTCCCGCCGCCTTCCTCCCGCACCCACTCCGTCTGCAGCATTCCGGACGCCCCCCCAGTCCTCGCCCTCAGGACGCGCCGCCCCCGGTCCGCCATCACCCCCCCAGCTAGCCCAACGGCCTGAACCACACGCGCCCGATCCTTCGCCATGCCTAACTCGCTCGAGTCGTCGCGGCCAATGCTGAACGTAAGACGCCCCCACACCCATGTCTTCCTCTGCACTACTCCGTCCTCCGCTCGTCCCACATCACCTCCTCTCCATCCTCTCCTCTCGCTGACTCCGGCACCATGCAGTCCAGCGCTGCCCGCAACTCGGCTCGCCTGTCGACCTACTCGAACGCGCCCACCCTCACGCCCTCGATTGCCCCCTCGACCACGTCGTCGATCGACCCTCGCGCCGCCGAGATCAAGGCCTGGAATGCCGGCCTCGACCGTCTCGAGGACAAGCGCCTCGTCTCGCAGCGCTACGTCGCCTCGCCCGACAAGATCGACAACATGAGCAAGCTGGCCCTGGGAGCCAAGCTCGACCGCGCCCTGGCCCGGCGCATGAGCGAGCAGGATGCCGTCTTCCGACAACACGTGCGCGGCGTCAGCGTCGACGAGAAGAGCGTCAGCGAGAAGGAGGACGCCTAATGACACGCCGTTTTGCATTTTTCAGATACCACGCCATGTTGCTTTTTTCATGTTTCGCTTTGCAGAGCTCGGAGCAACGTCTTTGGAAAATCCAACCATGTATCTTCACACTATCCGCCCCATCCCCGTCGCTCATGCCACACACACGTGCGTTTCCGGGTTACCTGACCCCCTGCGGCGGAAGTTGGCGGATACGAGCACGTGGTGGCGGCGTGAGGCAGAATCTTACATTCCCCAAAAGATCCGGCTGTATCCGATTTAAGCTTTTGGGGTGTCTTCTTTAATTGTGCCGACGGGTCTTGGATGAGGGTAGCATGACGATGGAGACCTGTTTGTAGACAGGAAATAGAACAGAAGAGCCTCGGCCTGCTTCGCATACCCATAGAGCAACACAGGAGTGGCTCGGAATCTTACTGCAACATGTCCTGATTCGACCTGCCTTTCGGTGCACTACCCGACGCCGGCGACGCTACCAGCAGCTAACGAGAAAGGAAAGGAAACCACGCGGTCGAAGGGAGCACTTCGGCTGCGCGCTGACCGGTCTGTTGATCAAGAGACATGCATGATGCAAGTAAAGCGCACTGCCGAGTACACACTGTCCGTGCATGGCAATGATGCCCAAGCGAAGGTCCTTTCAGCAACTTATCGGCGAGGATGGATGAGTAGACGACGTCAGGCTGCCCCTTTTCCCTCGCCAAGGATCAGCATCGAGACGCTATATGGTTATCGCAGCAGCTAACAAAGCAGCGGTCTAGCATGCGCCTCTCCCTACGTCTGCCTTTCTTCAAGATCGAGGTAGATGCATACCGCTGTTCCACGAATCCTTCCAATCCTAAGCCGCCGCGCCACTGCGCGCCTGCCCAGATAGGGGTCTGACTCTGGTCCGCCAACCGCTTGCCTCTTGCTGCTGAGCTGAGACAAGGTCGTGGTGGTATAGTCATAGAAGCCTCGTATGCTTCTTTGCTTCCTGTCTGTCACTTGGGTTGAACGAAATTCGAGGTGCGGCTGAAGAAGCAAAGTAATTCAGACAGACGCTAAACCGTTGGTGCCATACACACCGCTGTCTGTTATTGCTTGTTCTGTCGTTGGTCCGCCACTACTGCTACCGATACCTCCAGGGCACGTGTGGGGGATTCGATGGCCTCTATGCTGCTCGATTCGGTGTATCTGATCAACATGACTAATTGTCGGAAGGGAAGTTGTTCGAATGGCTTTGAAAAAAAGTCAACCCTCACGGTACGGTATTCACTCAATGCAAGGGGGTTCCTGTCGACGCTGACAATCGACTGCAGCCACCGAAGTAGGCTGGGTCTAGAACCAAGCCTGCGATAGCTGCCAAGTGCAGTAGGGCTGTTCGGTGGCGGGCTGGCCTCCCACGGGCCCAACCGCCGTACCAGACTATCCTTCTCCGCACCCCCCTGGTCAATTGACTTGCGGGGTGTACTGTATGTTCCAGTTTGCTTGCTTCTAACTTTAAACACGATGTCAGCGAATCACAGCGCGGCATGAGTTTTGGATGCAAGCCAGATCCCTCAGGCGCCTACATTGCCCCAGTGCCTGGTAGCACTGCAGTCCGGGTTACGTCAGCACTGCTGACTTCTCTCTTTTTGGTCGGAGTTTCCGGCAACCGACGGACTCCACCTCTCATCTTGACTACGTACGCCTTTTATCCGTCTTCGTGCTGTTGACTTGTAGCCGACGCTGGCTGGTAATTGCAGGGCCAGACATGATCGCCAGGAACGCGTCGTCAAGTTCAAAATATAGTGCGAGGCGTGGCACTTGACCGGCCGGTGGAAGGGTTGGATTGCGGCTCTGGACGAGGAGAGCGTCACTGCAGCTCGGATAGCAGAATATGCCGGCTTCTTTTCTCTCTCTCTCATGTCTGCTATTCTGTCGGTTGCTATTGTAGGTATTGTCAACGGGCTTCGCGGTGCATGACTCGTCGGCCACTCCTTCTCTCCCTTATATTTTGTATGACTCGCCACGCGACAGTTGTATATCTCGTATCTTGAAACCGAACACTGGCAGCAATATTTAGGCACGTCAAAAATATGGGGCACATCTGGGGCAGAGGATATCTACGAGCGTCAGCAACCGACCGTTTGCATGTACATCCACGCAGGGCGCAGAAGCTCTCCATGCCTGCTATATGGAACGACTCAGTCGAAGCGAAAACGGCCTTAAGCTGCCGCAGTTTGAGGCCATCGACCTGAGCGACTGGAAACGCACGCCTACCGACGACTGCCCGGACCCCGACCGCAGCTTCCTCTATGCTCCGCCGAGCGCCTACTCGACTCTTCCGCGCGACAACCTCAGCCCTGAAGATGAGAACCCGCTGCGCGCCCGTCGCTACAGCCGCAAGATCGAGGAAAGCAGCCGCTTCGGAATATGGACCCTGATCCTCCTGCTGCTGGCCATCATCATGGTCGTGCTGACCGCCCTCTACTCGACCGGCTCGGCCAAGTCCTTGATGAGAGGCAAGATCTTTGCCACGTCGTCCAGCAACGCCATCCTGCTCCTCCGCATCCTCACCGAACTCTGCGCCGTCATCCTGAGCGCCCTGGTCATCGTCGTCGTCGAGGACTTGCAATGGGCCCTGGCCTCCAGGCCCGAGGGTGTCAGCCTACTGCACTTTGTTGGCCTTGACTCGGGCACCGGAGTGTGGGGTTTGTGTCGGTTGCTGGCGACGGCCGACTGGAGGCAGAAGTACTCGAGCGCTTTCCGGTGAGTGCTGCTGCTGTCCGTCCCCCATCCCGTTGGCTAACCCACCGCAGCCTTCTGGTCATTCTTTCAATCCCCCTTCCTGGTATCATTCTCATGGGTAAGTACGCTTTGGCCGCCTGCCGTGCCGCACCGTCGACGCTGACCTCTCTGCAGGCGACATTAACATTGAGCTGGTCTTCTTCCCCGAGAAAACGTACCAAGTGGCCGCTGGGCTTTCGGATTTCAACGCTTCGTACATATCACAGTTGACCGCCGTATCGACCACGGCACTCTTGGTCCAGATGGGCAACCCCATCTGGTCGGATCGGGAATCCGTATCCGTCGATCCTCTGGGTCCAGGCAGGGGGCACTGTACCGCTTCTAACACTTCGTCGGCCTGGGTGCCGTGCGAAGAATCCTACTTCATGTCCGGTGGCTTCAACTCCATCTCTCCGCAGGCCGACGATCTTGCCAGCTACCCGGAATCCAAGGCTTACGTTGTTCCGCAAGTGAAAGGCTACCATGTAGAGTACGGCACCGTCCACGACATCAAGGCTCTCCACGATGACGGCAACTGTCATCTGATTGGAAGTGCCGCCGCCGCTGCATACTGGTGCTCCGCCCTCGGCTCCGACCAGGAACTGCTTTTCGGTAAAGACTCCTTTGCCCCTCTGTCTGCCCTTCATTGCTAACAACCTACTCAGGCTCAGCCTACTGTCCCATATCTCTACAACTAAACAGCAGCTGCCTAAACTCCACGTCCTGGACCTCCGAGCTAGATATCGCCACCTCCATGTTCGTCTACCGCCGCTTCGCAACCGTCAACTTCTCGCGCACCAACTTCTCCATCCTCTCCCTCACCGACCTCTCGGAGCCCAAGCAATTTCCCATCTCGCTTGAGGATTACATGCTCGCCCTCTCCTCCGTCGTTCCCGGCTTCAACACGAGCGCCGACGTCAAAGGCGACAACTCGCAGCTGGCCGCCTACGCCGTGACCGCCCTCCCCATCAGCGACAGCCAGGTCGCCAAGAAGATTTCGCTCAAGGCCATCCGCAAGGCCATGTCCGTGCCGCTCGATTACTTTCAGGCCAACTACTTCGCCCCGGGCCCCAACATCTGGGAGCTCGAAACGCCGCGCTCTGGTCTGGACGAGGACATGTACACCGACCTCAGCATTTCCATCCTCTCGCACCAGGTCGTCGCCGGCCAAGTGTCGAGATGGCTGTTCGTTGCGAGCGCCAGCGCCTTGATCCTCATCTGCGCCGCCGCCATCGTCGCAACCATACGAATATGCGAGCGCAGGCCGCAGCGCTGCGGCTACCCGTCGTTGGATTTCGCCGCCGTCTGTGCCAGGGGCTCGACGGATGGAAACGGCCTGCACAGATCGCTGACGCGGCTGGGAGAGCGCCCGAGCAAGTTTGAGGTCGCGAGCAGGATCAAGGGCGAGCGCATCGTTTTGAGGTAGGGCGAGCGCTCCGTTTTTATCGGCATAGATGAGGGAAAGTTTCGCTTCTTTCTATTTTCTATTTCTTGTCCTATCAAGGACCGTAGCTTCGCTACTTTTCCCCCTTGTATTTTTATGTCCTTCTGAGATAATTTCTCATCTTTCCTCCTGCGCACGATACCCATGATAGAACGAGCGGAGTCGGACGTTCGACACAAATAAATCAAATAGATAAAAAGCAAAAGAGTTCTCTAGAGGCACAGCGCAAGGATTATTCGACCCCATGACATGAGCGAAAATCAGAGCCCACTCACTGCCTTAGATGGCTCTAACAAGTCCCATCGAATTTTAAAATCCACCCTCCACATGGAATTCTTAAACTAGCCTTTATACTCATCTCGCCACAGGAAGACAGCCCATCACCACATTGCGTGGTGTCATGACGGAGGATGCGAGAATCGAGACAGCTGCCACAGCCATTTATTTATACTGACGCTGAAATTAGTAACATTAACACGCAAACAGCATTTGGTCCGTGCAAATAGTCGAGAGAACAAACATTAGCAGCACAGCGATTGGCATCTTACGCGCGCGGGATGGCAGGAAAAGAGCCAGGTGACGATGACACGACCGACGGACGATTAAGAATTTAAATGTTCGATATGTTTTTGTCTACCTCTCTACTCCTATCCGTGTGCCCAATACTTCCGTAGCCGCTTTTGAACTTTGTAGACACTTATTTTGGACATGCGTTGAGGCGCTTTTATTATCTCACTACCCTTCATCTCCAGATGAGAAGATGTGTAGTTTATGAGAAAATACCCATCAGGCCCTTATATTCCAACGTAAAATGACCAACCTTACCGTCCTTCACAAAATAAAAGTTGAAAGGGCAAGAGGCTATTAGTGTAGCAGGCCTGAGCGGAGACAGGATGTTAGCTGATCGCTCTTTTCGGAAATGTCGGGCAAGTTGAGTGGTGGTGTGGGATTGTCAGGATAAAGGATTTGGTACGAATAGCTGAATTTCCGCAGTCTTGTTCGGAAGGGGAATCGCTAAATCATCATTGAAATAAAGAAGGCACTGCGATAAGGATGTATCGGAGCAGTACATAACTAGAAATGAAGGGTTGAACATACCGTTTTGAATGTTAAGAAAGTAATTCGCCTGTGTGCACAAAGTACCGATAGAGGGCACAGGGGATGAAGTAAATCTCATGACTTTTTTTAATCATCACTACGGACCACTACGCAAAGGAAGTGGGTTTAGAAGTACAAAAGTCGTAACCGAACCTTTGATCTGTCCCACCACGAACTCCGCCAGCAAAACTATATGCTAGATGCCCGATGCCGTCAGCGGTATAAAAACGGAAGAAAAACTAGAAACCCGTAACGCATGAAAAAAGAAGACGCTAACTAGAAGCTGGGTATGAAATCATCTAGTCAACCTCCTCCATGGCGCTCTCGCCGGTGGCCTCGGCCGAAACCTCCTCGGCGGCGGTCTCCTCCGAGGTCTCAGCAGACTCGTCCACGTTGAGACCCAGCGAGACGAGCTTGTGGATGCGCTCGGCGAACTGGACAGGCTCCTCAATGGTGAAGCCGGAGACGAGGAGCGAAGTCTCGAAGAGTAGCTGGGCAATGGACTTGACGGTGCGGTCCTCCTCGCCGTCGGTCTCGACCTTGCGCTTGAGCTCCTTGATGATGGGGCTCTTGGGGGAGATCTCGAACGTCTTCTTCGAGCTCATGTAGCTGGACATGGAGGTGTCACGGAGGGCCTGGGCCTTCATGATACGCTCCATGTTGGCGGACCAACCGAACTGGCCAGTACGGATGGCGCAAGGAGAGCCGATGAGCTTGTGGGAGACGACGACCTTCTCGACCTTGTCGCCGAGAACGTTCTTGAGGGCCTTGGCAAGGGGCTCGTACTCCTTCTCCTCGGCCTCGCGGGCCTTCTTCTCCTCCTCGGTCTCCTCGAGCTCGAAGTCCTTGGTGATGTCGACGAGCTTCTTGCCATCGAACTCCTTGAGCTGGGTCATGGCATACTCATCAATGGGGTCGACCAGGAACAGAACCTCGAAGTTCTTCTCCTTGAGGATGTCAAGGAAGGGAGACTTCTGCACAGCCTTGAGAGACTCGCCAGTGATGTAGTAGACCTGCTTCTGGTGCTCAGGCATGCGGGTGATGTAGTCGGTGAGAGAAGTGGTCTCGTCACCAGACTTGGTCGAGTGGAAGCGGAGGAGCTTGGCCAGAGACTGGCGGTTCTGGGCATCCTCGTGGATACCGAGCTTGATGTTCTTGCTGAAGGCGCTGTAGAACTTGTCGAACTGCTCGCGGTCCTCGGCGATCTCGTTGAAGAGCTCGAGGGTCTTCTTGACGACGTTCTTGCGGATGACCTTCATGATCTTGTTCTGCTGGAGCGTCTCACGAGACAGGTTGAGAGGAAGGTCCTCGGAGTCGACGACACCCTTGATGAAGCCGAGCCACTCGGGGATGAGGTCGGTGGCGTCGTCGGTGATGAAGACGCGGCGGACGTAGAGCTTGATGTTGTTCTTGGACTTCTTGGTCTCGAACAGGTCGAAGGGAGCACGCTTGGGAACGAAGAGGATGGCGCGGAACTCAAGCTGACCCTCGACGGAGAAATGCTTGACGGCAAGGTGGTCCTCCCAGTCGTTGGAGAGCGACTTGTAGAAGGAGGCGTACTCCTCCTGGGAGATGTCCTGGGGGTTCCGGGTCCAGATGGGCTTGGTCTTGTTGAGCTCCTCCTCCTCGATCTTGGACTCCTTGATCTTCTTGGTCTTCTTCTCCTTCTTCTCCTCCTCCTCGTCGTCGACCTCCTCGACCTTGGGCTTGTTGTCGTCGGCCTCATCCTCCTTCTTCTCCTCGGCCTCCTCATCGGGGACCTCGGTCTCGGTCTCCTTGAGGACGTGGAGGTAGATGGGGTAGGAGATGAACTCGGAGTGCTTCTTGACGACCTCCTTGATCCTGCTCTCGTTCAGGTAGTCGGTCTGCTCCTCCTTGAGGTGGAGGATGATCTTGGTACCACGGCCAAGCTGCTCGCCCTCAGTGTCCTGGGTGATCTGGAAAGTACCACCGGCACTCGACTCCCAGATGTACTGCTCGTCATCGTTGTGCTTGGAGACGACGGTAACCTTGTCGGCGACGAGGTAGGCGGAGTAGAAACCAACACCGAACTGACCGATCATGGAGACATCAGCGCCAGCGGAGAGCGCCTCCATGAACTGCTTGGTACCCGAGCGGGCAATGGTACCGAGGTTGTTGACGAGGTCCTAGGGCAGAGTCAGCGCTGCTGTCAACCGTGTGGCGAAGCAAGCAGAGGTACTTACAGCCTTGGTCATACCAATACCGGTGTCCCTGATGGTGAGGGTCTTGGCCTCCTTGTTGGGGATAATGTCGATGCGGAGGTCCTTGCCGCTGTCAAGCTTGCTGGGGTCCGACAGGGCCTCGTAACGGATCTTGTCGAGGGCATCGGAGCAGTTGGAGATCAGTTCTCTCAGGAAGATCTCCTTGTTCGAGTAGACGGTGTTGATGATAAGGCCGAGAAGCTGAGAGATCTCAGCCTGGAACTCGAAGGTCTCACCCATGGTGGCGGATAAGGTGTGCGGCGGATGGGGTCCTGCAAAGCGTACAGTGTTAGCGACCACGTTACGATGGAGGATCTAGGCGGCGCAGGCGCTGATAGAGACGGCTGCCCGACTCTGGACGAAGGCCGAGCGCGCAATGGCGCGGCGGTGCAGAGATAGGCAGAACAGTCCAGCGGACGAGGCTGAGAGGTGCTTGGGACGGGCGAACTTACTATGAAGGGGGTATAAAGTCTAGAAAAGGAAAACGTGAAGAGGAAGGATTTTTGGGGTGCACCGAGATGCAAGAAACTTGTGGAGAGGTTTGTGTTGTGGAGAGGAAAGAATTTGGTGTGCAGCTTCTGTTCTTAAACTCAGCGCGCCAGCATCACCGAACCTTCTGGATAGAGCTCGGGGCCGCAACTGGCTCGTGCGCACGAGCACGAAAGCGGCTAGCCACCTCGACCGCCCGTTGTGCCGCTTCTCACCAGGGCAATTGTGAAGCCGCAGTCGACGAGAGCCGCATCCTCAGCCTCGACACTCAGTTTCCAGAATGCTCCAGCGTCTTTGAGAAGTTACCGCTCCGCCCGAGCGCCGCTCTGCACCCCCCCCTTCAGTGCAAGGCTCCCGGCGCTCCAGGCAAGCGCGAGGCTGGGACGAGGCTGACAGCAACAGCAGGCAGACATGCAGCGCAGCTAGTGTTTGCTCTTGCGCAGGCAGGCGCTGCGCACCGCCCCGGGGTCCCGCTTGCATCCAAGGCAGTTTGCATGCACAAGCTCATCTTCTTCGGGGTTCGTCTCGTCCCGTCGATCCTCAGGTTCAACGGCCCAGGCGCCGATCCGGCCCTGCCCTGGACCCTGAATACCTCACGTAGATAGGTGCCGTGGCGCCAGACTCGAAGCACTCGCCAAGCCATCAGAGGTCCGTTCCATGCATATCCGCTTCAGCTTCATCTCGGCTCGAAGATGAACGTGTGTTTCGACAATCTTCGATAGCAGCCCTCTTCTGCAATTTCCTCTGCTTTCGCGCACGATCTTTCTGGTTATGACTCCTGAATATCCGGTATGATTGACGTGTGAGCCGTAGCCATCATTGGTGATACTGGAAAATCAAGCCACGCACAAGCGGGCCAAACTTTCAGAAGGTGCCAAGCAAGTGAAAGACCACTTGATGGCAATCATTTCAACTGCGACCTCCAATGAGACATTTCAACACCAATGACTGGAATACCGCGAAGTTGCATGCCCCTTGTCTGTACCCTCAGTTCCTCGTCTTGGCATAATCCGTCTCGCAGTTCTGTGTTCAGCAACGAGAGCCATCATTGAATTAATCAAACAGTATAATCACAGATTTGAGTCTTGATTGGTCCATGCGCAGCTCAGTCGCTCTCGGGGCTAGGGGAATGAAGACACTGTGAGAAGTTCCAAGTTCAACGGCTCAGTTCATTGCGAGAAGCAGTTGCCTGTCTAAGCACATTACCTACCATTTGATCATCCTCTCATGCCCTGCTCGTCACGTTGAAGGGTCTACCAACCAAATATGGCAATATACCAATTCCTTGGCCTCCTCCGGCTATGATGCGCTCTACCTTTATCTAGTGTTCTCTCACTTCTACCATACATAACCCTTCACATTTTCTAAAGTCGTCTGTTGCTCCTCATTCCGCCATCTCAATCCATCGAGTCTTCAGAGAGCAAAGACAAACGCCTACGACATCCATTTACACTGGATAGCTCTCGCTTCAAGGGGAATACAGTTTACTGACCGAGTCAGCAAAGCTCATAAATAAGAGTAACGCTTACACGCGGACGCCGTTGGCGCGTATGCACTACACTACAACTTGATAGTGCTGCACGTCATCACGAACCACCGGTGAGCACGACCAAAAACCATCCGTAACCTGCAGCACTTGGAACCAATGTCGCCATAATTCACACCTGGTCCTGGTGGTGTCGTCAACGGGGCCACGAGTTCGGTAGGAAGTCTTGATAGACTTGACTGGTAAATGACTCGACTATTGATCTCAGCTGCTCTCTTGATACTCGTTGATCACATACACTCCTATCAAAAGGAGCCGCAAACGCCAATCCCCAGGCTCCCCTTTACCCCTCCCCCAACACCACGGGCCGGCTCTCCATTCTGCACGTCAACCAGCACGCGCACCCGTCCGGGGCGCGCGCCCCCTCCATGCTACCCGAGCCGACGCCCCAAAGCAAGCCATACCGCCACTGTTCGATCGCACGGTGGTCCATGCCGTAAAAGGAGGCTTGCGGGCGGGAGCAGGTGCACGTCATTGACCGTTGCCCTGCACGACCGAAGATATGATCCGCGCGCGCGTACGCGCATGCAGATATACGAGCGAACAATGTAGTCCTATTGTTTACTTCCCTCAACCCGTCGGATTGGGGTCGGGGGCGAGCAGGAATGCCGAATGCAACCGGAAACGCGCGGCAACCGTGCGTGCGTTTCGTATCTCGTTGCAAGAAAGTAAGCATCTCGGCGACTACAATGGCAGATTCTAGAATGGTGTACAAATGTCCAGCTAGCTACGGTCGTGAATGTGCAACGTAAACATCAGCGCTTTCAGTGGAAAAGGAACCTGGTCTTGAAGCCTTGATGGCATCCGCTCACGTCAGCTGTTGATTGAGTGCTCGAGGGCCCCTGTAGAAGTCGAGGGTAGAGAAAGTCTAGATACGCGTCACGTCAAGATCTAGAATGATCTCGTACCGGTCAGCCCCTCCATTTCGATTTTCGTATCCCGCCAAAAGCAAGATTCAAGGCGAATCCGGCTCATCCAATCATGATGTACCTACCGCGGTCAGACACGGCTTCCTACAGGGCAGACGCACGCTGCACTCAGCCTGGTCTCTACGGCTGCGGCGGCAATCGAACGACCGGTCAAGAAAGGATCGGGCCGAGATAACTGTATTTGCAGTTGATGGGGCAGGTGAGAGGTGGATGACCTGCATCTGGCGAGGGGTTTCCGTGCATAGCGATTGGACGTCTCTCGAGGACCCCAACGACAATTTAGCGCTTACCTCTTGGAGGACATGGTTGCGCCATACTCAAACAGCCACATGAGGTCTGTACGTAGAGGCTTTGCTTCCTTTCGCTTTACGAAAGGCAAACATGATTGAACCGGGATATGATGCTACCGTGCTTTCTTCAGAGACTGGATTGTATTTTCCCATGCGAAAAAGGAAATCTCATTTGGTAGACAGAGAACGCATGGATCATGCCCACTTGTCCACTCCGCTCAGAGCATACACGCACCAGGATAAGCGAAAAGAAGAAGCATCACTAACGACAAAACAGGGTAGAGGGAAAGGAGTAAAAACAATCAGAAATACAGCAGTGTCTGGAAAGAAAGGAGAAAATTGAGAGGGCAGCCGGGAAACCAGTCGCAAGAGTCAGGGCGCCGTTGCAAGAGAAGGGAAGATGAGGAGCAGCCCAGTAAAATGCCTCGTCTTTCCCCGCGGTCATCCCACTGTCTGCCTCACGCATGTCCTGTACCGCAAGAACCTCTGTCTCCGCCGTCTGTTCTTGCCCCAAACAAACCTAATTTATGATGACCGCATGACGATTTGACCGATTAGCTGTAGAGAAACACATGAATCGACGCGTGCAATATCGTCGACGAGCCCAAAAAAAGACAAAATCCGTATGACTCGCTTTGCAGGCAGATGAAGCCGAAACACCCACGTGGCGCGTTGAGAAAGGAGAAAACTGCATGTATTGAGCCCCCAGCGTTATGAATCCATAGCTTCATTGTCCATGCATCCATGCCCGAGTGTACACCAATTGAAGTGTTATGCCCTTCTAGGTTGTCCCTGTTCGTCTTTCCGCCGGCGAGTCGACGCAAGGGAATGCCGTATGATTTCGTGTGGTGAACCTCCGGGTTTCTTAGGATCCGTACGAAAGCGTCTGTTCGATGGATGTCGAGGGTGATAGAAGTGGTGTAACAGTCTTCGTTCGATTGCTCCACCTTTCGAGTTTCGACATAGGAAGTAACTCATAAAGGATACAGGCCATTTTCGGTCGTCGACGAGGGCGCGTATGATCATGGTGGGACGGTGTGTTCTTTATCTCCGGCCGAACCTGCTACACGGAAAATATCGGTAAATCGTTCATAGGCATTTCATGTTCACTTCTTGCTGCTTCGAGGAGTGGCGGGTTTGGCTGAGCCCAGATTGCTGACGTACTTTTGCTTCTTTTCGGCTGGTTTCAGGATCTGTGGAGGCAAAGTCAGCCATTACCCAGGTGCGGTGTTTGCGAGGATGCGTCAACATACCTGGAAGGAACACAGTAGGCTCTCATCGACGCTCATCATGGCGCCGGCGTTGTCGAACTCGCCACAGTAGTTGGGAGCGCTGAAGAGCGTAACCAACTGACGCTTAGAGAAGAACTCGTAACCATCCTCCACAACCTGATGCGCACGGCAAATAAGATCCATGTCGTGCTTCTGCAAGAATCGTGAGACAACATCAGGGCCGAAGGTGAACGAGACACCTCTGTCATTTTCGCTCCAGCCGGTAATGTCCTTGTCGGGATCGGACCACAGCAGATCGCAGAGCAACCCGCAGTCAGGGATCTAGTCCAGTCAGTCAGTCAGCTACGTGTACAATTGCACCCGCATTGGGGGAGGAGAGACGTACGTCAGTGGGTCTCATGACGCGGCGGATCTGCTCCATGGAGTTCAGGTCCGGACTCAAGCCTCCGTGCATCGTGAAGATCTTCTCATCGATGATTGCAGCAATTGGCAGACAATTGAAGCAGTCAGTAAAGGTCTTCCACAGCTTGATGTTGTACCTCCGTTTGCACTCATCGTAGAAACCGTAGATCCTGTTGATGGAAGCGCACTCGTGGTTGCCACGCAGGATGAAGAAGTTTTCCGGGTACTTGATCTTGTATGCGAGGAGCAGGCAGATGGTCTCCAAAGACTGCTTGCCACGGTCTACGTAGTCGCCAAGGAAGAGGTAGTTGGCCTCTGGGGGGAAACCGCCATACTCGAACAGGCGGAGGAGGTCGTAGTATTGACCGTGAATATCACCGCAAATCTAGCATCATTGTCAGCACCTCCAAGCCTCGTTCAACTCTCCTGCATCGATCGAACTCGTGCGTAATGCAGAACATACCTTAATCGGCGCCTCGAGCTCCAGCAGAATAGGCTGCGAGATGAAGATCTCACGGGCCTTGGTGCACAGGTAGCGGATCTCTGTTTCGAGAAGCTGGACCTGCTTGCCAGGCCGACTGCCTCGCACCTCCAAGAGTCTGTCTATGATGGAATCCAAATCCACCTCTTGTTCCGCCATGTCGAGCAGTTGCCGCAGGCAGCCGCGTGTTCGAGGAAGGGAGGTGGGGTGTGGGGTTGGCGGTCAGTGGAGGCGAGGACGCGCCGGTTGAGAGGAGATGAAGGTGATGCGAAGCCCTGGTCTTCCTCGAGCGATAGGGTTAGCGGATTCCCTTGTTGTCGTTGTGCGACTGTCGCAAATTGCGCGTGGAGTAGGAGAAGGGTGTCGAGCATTGCGGGAGCCGGGAGCCGCGAAAAAAACTTACCGATGGCCCTTGAACCCCCGACGCCGGCAAACGAAGGTGCTGTTAGCGGCGCTTCAGTACAAGCTGGATCGACAGTGCGCGTTCTGGGTCGGAGCCCCTCAGGAAGTCGCCTCGTGGCGATGCCGAAATCACGCGACTTCGCACAATAACGATAAGCGTGCGAGCAGTCCGCGGCGGCAGAGGGGTGGGCGTGCGATGCGGCGCAGCTCGAGAGAAGCGCTTGGTGCTGTGCTGTCAGCGTCTACAGGAGACTGTTGTCGGTGGCCGTGGCTCGGTCGAGCGTGTCGTATTCACCGCCAAGCTGGGTCGCGGCTGCAGCAGGACAGGGCCGTCGCACAGGAGACGGCGTGGCAAAGAGTCGCTTTGTGGGTGAGCAGAGCGTGGGGTGTGGTGCTGGGTGGGCAGCGCAGGCTGTGGTGAGGCTGATGGGCGCGGTGGAGGTCGGGCGTTGACAGACGTGAAGTTTGTCGGTTTCAAAGTGAGCCTTCTCTCGTTTAGGAACGGGCAGGAATGCACGGTCTCTGGCCGCAAATTGCAGATCGTCCGTACGAGAGGAATGCGTTTCAGCCAGCGAGCGCGCTGCAGAGAGGTGCGTCTAGGGCGACAGGGACGAGTGACGGAGAGCAGGCGTTGTGTCGAGGAGGAGGGCGGCCAAAACCGTCGCATCCACAGCCCACGTCGCCCCAACCGGGTTTAGGGCGGCCATCAATCAAACGCTAAGCATCACAGGCCTTGCAGCGAGAGCACAACAGCAGCGGCCGCTCTGCCAAAGCGCCCAGTGCGCTCACGCTCGCGGCGCCCTCGACTCTGCGAGCGCTCGTTTTTGGCGCCCAAGGGGCGTGCTGCGATTATTGTTTACCTGTGCCGCGGCACTGCCCCTCCGCCGCTTCCACGCGTCCCTGAAAGGCTCCTCTTCGCTAGGCAGCTGGACGGGAGGCCCCTAGCAGACAAAGGCCGCAGCAGCCCGCGCCCGCGCTGACTAACCGCCGCCTGCGGGCCAAGCGCCGGCGAGCGGCAACGAGGGGGCGCCTCTCCACGAGCCTCTGCCTGCCATGGAACAGCACTGTCCCCTCCAGATCACTGCGTCACGTGCGCCACGATCGCAGATCCCCAGCCGCCGGGCGTGATCGACATGGACGCCGCGCAAGGCAAGTGTGGCAAGTGGACGAAAGGTGGCATATCCATTTTGCTTCGGTCTTCGTTTACGCATTTCCCCCCGGCTATCAAAAAGACTGACATGCCTCCCTCTATGCTATGCTTGTAACTAGTCCCGTCTCCAACGCGGATAAAACAACACTAGCCGTCCCATAATATACATCCAGATAAACGAGAGCAAGACAAAAAACACTAATTGCGGAGCCCTCAAGGCATCCGCGCCATGCAAATGCTCGAAACCCAACAACAGGAAACAGAAGACGACTGGATATCTGAGAAAACCCACCCTTGGACCCAAGAACGCCGGCCTCGTATGCTACAAATTACGTCGTACTCGTGAACCCTATTCGGATTGAATCTGAAGTGGAGAGAAAATCATGCCGTTCATGAGAATCGGCCTCGCCGTCAATATGCCGATAATTTTATGCAGCCTCGAAAGCAATCGAAACACGACTTTTTTTTAACCTAAGGTTCTGCCGCCAGACGCAATGCTCTGGTTTGGCGTCCGTGATGATGTGACAGTGGGCCGCAGTGCAGGGCTCACTCGATCCGGAAATGCGGGGTTTGATTGGTAGGCCTCGTCGCTCAGCGCGCTCAGCCAGCTGCTGCCGAAGTCATTGCGCAGCGCTTCAATCTTTTTCTTGTAAAGATCGCCATTCACACCGGCCTCTCCAGACACCATGGAGCTGAAGTCCAGTTCCGCACCGAGCGGAGCCGAGGTGATTGTGGTATCAATGTGGGGGAGCTGTTGGTTGCCCGAAATTGGTGCAGCGGGAGCGAGAGTCTTGCGAGCTGGAGTTGCTTCGGGGCTTCCGCCGTAAGTGCTGTCCGCCGATGGGGCGTCGAGTGGGACTGGCGGCGGTGGCATCATCGCAGAATCAGTCCGCTGATGTGTTGAGTCGTTCTGCGACAACTCCACGATCCGCCGCTTGGGGCCTTTCCGTTTCTTGATCGATCCAACGACCCGTTCAGGCTTCGCGCTTGGTGGTCCTTCTGTGTTCACTTTGCGCTCTTCACCTGGCTTGTACGTGGCTGGAGCCTGGACCGGCTTAGCACCGGCCTCTGCGAGAATGCCTTCGACAGGCCGTGGCTTGATAACAGGGGGGTTCGCGTTTTCTGGCACTCGATCCACCAGTTGCTTTCGCTCACTGTAGCCGGGTCCAGTCGAGTCGATTACGATGTCCTCTGTGTATCCTGGGGAGCTCCGGAAAAGGTTGAAAATCATAATGCGGTAATTGGAATGGGTCTTGCAAAAGGGATTCTTGTAGACGTAGATTTCCTGGATCTCCGGGATGCCCGTCAACCGAGCAATTTCCGTAGGATCCGTCAGCCTGTTCTCTCTGAGATCTAGACGCTCGAGGGAGAACAGACGCTCGATCCCAGCAAGTGAGGCAAGCCGGTTCGCGCGGAGGTTAAGCGTGGTAATCGCCGGCAACGGATTCCTGACGAGCGAATGCAGAGACTCAATCATGCAGTTTGAGAGATTCAACGCTCTAAGGGAGGTTAAGGTGGCCAAGCTATCAGGAATCTCGGTAAATAGATTCGAAGAGAGATCAAGCGACTGAAGAGTACTCGCAAGCGGAGCAAGGCTGCTGGCAGAGATTGCCGTCAACCCGTTGTCTGACAGACTCAGATGTCTGAGGAACCTCCACTTGTTTGGAGGGAGGACGCCCAGAGCAAGGAGGTTGGAGGAGCTGCCCCGCGGCGTCGTCGATCGCGCACTTGAGTTTGAGCTACCGGAGGAGCGCCGAAGATTGGGAGTGCTGTTGCGAGCATGTGTATATGAAGAGGCGTGTCTTGCGCTCTTCGGCCTAGAAGGAGAAATGCTCCGACGCCTGGCGCGATGGCCCTTCGACCCGGAAGAGCCTTGCCTTGCCATGGCGACACTATGAGGGCTGCCGATGGATGACCGCCTATCGAACATGGTCGGCGAAGGCGGAGAGATTGCTGATCTGGAAGTGTCCGTGTCCTTGCTGCCCGGACTGCCTGAACCGGGTGGAAACATAGGATAAGGCGATGCCTTGGCGGATCTCCTTCGTCGCTTATCGGCATCATCGAGAACAATGTTGATCAAGAGGTCAGTAGGCTCCTCTACGCCCCCACGTTTGATCGTCAAACTCCGGAGTTGCTCGGCTAGGCGATCCCACCCGTAGAACTGTCGGAAGTCGACATCGATGATTTCGAGTGCACTCAGGTTCTTGAACACAAACAACGGCACGGCAGTGTCGAAGGGGAACTCCTCATAGCCAGCAATCAGGCGAGCCTTGTGGTCGGGTGCGAGACGAAGGCACGGGATCTTGGTGAAAGCGGAGTACAAGTACTTGAGGTCTTCCTTGATGGCCGCCTTCTGCTTTTCGGTTTTGGCTGCCGAGTTAGAGGAGAGGCCAAAGTTTGCCCACAGGGAGGACATCCCGGACATGGCACTTCGCATGCTGTTAACTGAGTGGATCGAGTCCCGGTCGGACAGGCCACTTTTCTTCCTCTGGGCTTGGCTCAAGAATGACACGTAGTTTGTTGGCGAAGCATCCGAATGTATGTTCTCGAGTCGCACGTTCATAGGCCCCACTGGGATTCCCATCTCCTCGAACCGCGACAGGAGATAGAACAAATGGTGTGGGGTCAGAGTCAACTTTGCAGCCTTGACATGATGCGAGGAGAAGTTCAGGTATGGCAGGGACAAGGCAGCGGCGAAAGTGGACGAAGAGTTCGTCGTGGGAGACGTCGGACCGGCTGCTGGAGCGCTTCCGGATGCATTCTTGGGAGCTGTGCGCTTGAGTTGCAGGGCATTTGCTAGCGCTTTCTCATGAGTGCGGACAAAATAGGCAAGGTTCTGCGTGGAAATCAGCGTCAGCGCGGCGTCGAGGAGACCATGTGGTCCGGGGCTTACTTTTATGAACGTGTTTCCATCTTCAGTATCCATGTCGCCGGCTCGGGTGGCGCTGCATACATCTACTGCGTGGCCAGGTGAGTCGTCGAGGAATTATAGACAAGCTATGTACGAGAGGAGGCTCCGCTGAGCAGGTAACGGGCGAAAGTGCAGTCGAAGAGAGGTAGACGAGGGAGCTCGAGAGGCGCGAGGCTTCCGAGACACGGCCGCCTGGGATGCAAACACGGGGTCAGTCGGCAGGGTCATTTTGAACGCGCACGCACGCGGAGCAAAAGGGAAAGCAGGTGAAATTGCAGTGGAGACGAGGTTCGCGCATGCAGCAGCGGGTCGCGGGATCAGGAGATCGAGCTGGGGAAGAGACGCCGGAGAGAGAGCAGGTACGTACAGCGAGTGTTACTCGAGAAGGCGCCGAGTATCGCAGTTTGGTGGCCGGGCGGGCTCGCAGAGATATGGAGGGCGCGGTGCGGCGGCGAGGCAGCGAGCCGGTGAGGTTCTGCTCCTGGGGGGAGCCAATGAGTGATGCAGCGGTGCGGGCTGCAGGCGCCTCAGCACTGCACGCAAGCAAGCCTGCAGGTTCGACGCGGCGAGAAGCGTCGGTGGGCGGACAGAGCGGGCCACGGCGTGCGTCTCGACGGGGAGACGAAGGGGGTAGGTGCGATGGGGGCCGTCTGTAGAACAGCGAGGAGGCTCTCCAGCCTTGTGGGGGGGAGGTGTTGCGCTTGCGGCCGGGAGGCGTAGGGATATGTTTTCTCTGGCTTCACCCAAAGAGGAATTCCTAATCTCTTCTCACGAGCGGCGCTGGAGGATATTGGCCAGGGTGCAGCTGGCGCCAGTAGTGCACGGGGCGTGAAGCTTCAAGGACGCATGAAGAGCACGGGAGTAGACCGTCTAAATGGTACGACGCCAGCAGATTGCGCATTCAGGGTCAGGCCGAGCAGATGGCCGCAGCAGACGGCGAGCTTGGCCCCGTTGATAGCTGGGAGCGAGTCGCAGATCTGTCCGCCCGCCCATCCACGCTAGCCACGCGCACACCACACCTACGCCCGCCGCCAGCGCGCGAGGCCTCATCCTTCAAGGGTCCCCGTCGTCGCCCGCTGCAGACCTCGCAATCTCTCCCCCGTCGCGCTCCTCCCGGCCGGCATAGCAACCAGCACCAACGCGTGCCCGTGCGCCGCCGAGCCAGATAGCCAGCGGCCGTGCAGCAAGCGAGACACTCCACGCTGCTCCACCGCGGCACTAGGCCGGCGTGCGCGATGGACGTCTGCTCGCCCGCAGCCTCTGTCTAGCTTATCGCCGCGCATGCGGGGTCCTTCCTTAGCAGCGCCTGAGACAGCGCTGCATCTGATCGCTCGTGTCGCACGACGCGCGCCCGCCGAGCCAGTCACACGCCGCGCACCTCGACGGCCGGGATGCCTCGCAGAGCGCAGGCCCGTGCCACGGCTGACGGCTTGTGGTTGCGCTGCATGGACCCTGAGCGGCCGCCCATCAGCGAGCAAACTGAGGTGGTCATGCGTTCTGCCTGCCATCCCTCCCAGCATCTCCCGGATCTCGCCCTCCAGGTCGCACACGATCTGGCGCCGCTGCCGTGCGTGTGTGCGGCTACCGCGCCAGACCAGACGGTGGGCTGATGAGCACGTCTGAGAGCGATTGGAAACAAAACCCCCACACGGCCGCGGCGTTGTTCGCGTCAAGCCCGCCCATCTTGCTGTTGGAGAGACGGACGGCAACGCGCAATGACATATGGATCGCAGTGCCGCGCCTCATCTGCCCCCGGCCGGGCTGGCCAACCAGGCGCGCTCCTTGCATCGGATGGTGGCCAGCTCTCGAGCTTCCGACCAGTGTGCGTGTGCGCAGCGATCTTCAACCGCTGAGTGCGCAGGGTGTGCGGCTTTGGCTCTGCGCGCCCGCTGCCCTTCCGCATCTGTGGCATATCAGATCCACCCCACTTGCCCTGATGGGAGAGGCCTCCGACGCACGGCAAGGAATGCATGCGCCAGCGGAATGCCTTGCTTTCTCGCTAGGCGGTGAGCGGGCGTGCACGGGGCGGGATCGCAAAGCTCTGCCGGCCGCCTCAGAGCCTGCGCAGCGCCCTCGTCTCCAGAGCCCAGGGCTGCGGCTCGCGCAGGGAGGCCGGGTGGGTGTTGCTCAGCGCTCCACTGACGTTCAATGGGTCGTCGCGCCGTTTCCTCGGTCGCCAGCAGTGGAGAAAAAACGTTTGTCGTAGCCTAATTTCTGGCGGAAGCCAACCAGCAAGGAGCGCGACGACCACACGCCGGTTCGCTGCGGATCGGCCGCTCACGCTCGGTCAGAAGCTTGCAGGCAGCTCAGCGTTTATGACTCGGGCACCGCCAGGGTGCGCCTGGGGGCCGCAACCTTACCTAGCCTCGTGCTTGACGTTTCGACGCACGAACGCCACCACCAGCGACGGCGCCGCTGCTCGTGGCGCTGAGCTGCTGAAAGCACTGCACCGCATCTCGCTGCATCGTCGATTTCCAGAATACGATCACCGCCGGCGTCGTCGTCCGTCCAGCGCTCGACTCGCGCACGGGCTCCCTCTACCAACCACGGGCTATACAGCTGGCAACACTCGGACCGACAGCTGCACCTCGACGAACTGGGCCGCACATCACCACGACAGAACACAGTGACATTGACCCCCCCAATTGGGCGCGCCCAGCCGCTGCTCCGTGCTAGCTGCGCAGCATCGGCGAATGCGCGCGGGTGGCGGGCAATCACTTGCCGTGGCGGTGTGTTATTTCGAGATGTCTGCGCCAATGCAAAGAATGAGGCGCACGCCTGCGGTTAGCCATGGCTGCCCGCAACCCACAAGTCAATCGGCTCTACCCGAAGAGTGGTCTCCACACGCTTCTTTTTCTGAGGCTGGTCACAAGGCGGCGACTAACGCACCAGCCGCCGCACCGATGACGTCGGTTACCCCTCCATCATCGCGAGACCGTGAAGAAACATCATCACCAGCGCTGTGCAGGCCTGCCCCGCACCGGGAGACGCGTAGTAGCGCGACTCGCCCTCAGCCCAGCCGCGCCTGGCGAGGCGAAGCACCTTATCCACTTTGCCGCCGGATTTGCGAACCGCAAGCTGGCACCATCTCACACCGACATCTTCCAGCCAGGCGAACGCGCTCCAGTTACAGGCGGTGAGATGCCCACGCGCGCGAGAGTGGGGTTCGCAACACCACCGCAGCGACGTCGATTGCCCGATTTTCAGGGACTACCGCGAGGTAACGCCCGGCTCTTGCGGTGGCGATGGCGGGAGTGTGACCTGCAGCGTGTGGGCGGGCGTTAAACCTCCGCCCTCCATTGGACGTCACGATCTTTGACGTCACCTTTTGCGAAAACCTCTTTCTTCCCCCCCAGACGCTCAGGAGATCATTTGGGTTGGGCCCCAAGCAGTCGCCCACATTTCTCTGCGTCGTCACCCGATGAGTCAAAGAAAACCTCCAGACATTGACGTCCGTGAGGTCTGTCCCCGGCTACGACAATCTGAAACTGGAAATGGGTAAACCAATCATCGCCCGTGCCAGACCAAAACTCAGACACGCCGCGACCGTTGCACGCCGCGACCGTTGGGCGCGAGGGCCACCGCACGGATTAGGAAGTGTTCGCCCGGCTGGACCCGGTGGCCCTTGAACCGCAGGAACAGTTCAAAGCCCAGACCGAGTTTCATAGAGGTAGGAGAAGGCGACAATCCATTGGTCAATTTCGATTCTTCTATCTATGCCACACCAAGGCCGTCGCTATCTTGTTGCCCTCCACTCCGCATTTGGTCCACTAAATCAGTACACATAGAACCTGTCCCCGCCCTCCCTCAGCGTCTTGCGGTTCAACATGCGGTAATAGAAGCGCAGGGCCAGTCCTCCAACAGCCACGAAGAAGAGCAGCCCCGCATTCACAAAGTGCCCGGTAGGATAGCCTTTGGTCTTTTCCTCGGCCTTGTAGATCCACACCCCTGTAATCTGGCCCGGTGCCCCGAAAGATACATTCAGTGCAATGGCAAGACCCGTGGCTGCTGTGTTGAACATGTTCGAAGAGAGCCAGCCAAGGAGTGGGGGGATGCATGAAAAGGTACCCGAGGTGGCAACGATCAGACAGCCATAGCGTTGCTGTGGGTCGTTCAATCAGATAATTTCTCGTAGGTTGGAAGAAGGAACAGACTTACCAGATAAGCATCCGGGGCGAGGGTTGCTGAAGCTAGGAAGCCTGCTGCGCCGATAGTGGCAAGGCAAGCCGAATGGAGGGCGCGCCTGCAGCCAAGGTCAGTAAAAGGGTTTGCTTCTTTAACTGCGATCGACATACGCATTAAAATGATCCGCGGACCAAGCCACGGCCACCGTAACCACATACGCGACCGCGTATGGCGGCACGGTCATGAGCTGGGCCTTCAGCCCCTTGTAGTTCAGGCCGGCCGTTATACTCGGCGCAAACAAACTCAGGGCACTGTATGGTGCCGAGATACCGAAGTATAGCGCGTAGTGCAGATACAAACGCCAATCAGTCAGCGTCTCTTTCGCGTCTTTCCAGGTCATGCTTTTTGCGCCACCCTGAGATCCGTCGAGGCGCAAGCGATCAGCTGCCAAGGCCTTCTCTTCGCTAGACAGCCAGCTCGCGGTTTCCGGGTAGTCAGGTAAGGCGAACCAGATAAAGACCGCTGAGGCGCATGACGGAATACCCTCGAGAATGAATAACCAACGCCAGGCAGACATTCCGGAGGTACCGTTCATGTACCCCACCCCGTACGCAATTGCGCCGCCGAACGCTCCTGCAAGTGTCGCAGAGGCAATCATGACCCCGACACGGAGACTACGCTCTTCGCTTCGGTACCAGAACGCTTAGAAGGTCAGCCATTAATCTCCCGAGTCAGATTTAAGTCGAAGAAAATCCCTTACTGAAGTAATAGATGAGGCCAGGGAAGAGGCCTGCACATTTCGTTAGCAGGGATGAGCCCGGGGCAATGATCAGAGTTCCAAGGCCTACCCGCTTCAAAAATACCCTGCAAACATCGTCAGAATAGATCGCCGAAACAAGCCAGATGGTACTTACGAGCAGAAACCGGACGGCAGTGACCGTGGCGAAGTTATGAGAACCTCCAAGACCGATGGTAATGGCTCCCCAGGAAAACATCAGAAAGCTTATCCACCTCGAAGGTTTTACCTTTTTTAGCAGATAATTCGAAGGCACCTCGAAAATGCTGCTCCATCGTATTAGCCATACTTTGCGCACGGTCAACACCGGAGACCAAGGCACAGCGGACAAGGACGCACGTATACGCTATCAGAAACACCATCAGAGCTATGGTGTATTGGTAGTTTGTCATGTTGGTCTCGGATAGCAGGTCATGGCGCTCATCTGCATTCAGAACTTTGGCATTTCCGATATTCGACCTTCACCTAAAATCAGACTTGTTCGAGGCAACAGCACAGAGTTCGGACCTATCGAGATAACAAAGCAAATAGCACAAACTGGTGATCGGCATGATACGGATATCCTGCCGCCAGAGCAAAGCCTTGTCGGCTGCGGATTTGTGCTGATTGTAGTCTGCATGGACAGCTTCATTCTGCATGGGGTTAGCTTCTTGCTCTCGAGGGAGAGCGGCCAACGCACCTGCAGCTCCTTTCCAGACTCCACGTCGTCCACCATAACAGGCGGCTCTGCCTTCGGGCCTTCCTGGATGACCGGATTGCTGCTGAGCGGTGCTGCCTTCTCCATCCTTCCGGGACGCTTGAAGATGTTGTAGGTGCAAGGGATTCGAATACCACAACTTCGGACTTCCGTGAACGTGGGGGGCAGGGAGGAGGGGGACAAGAAGTAAGGTTGTTAACATTCCTCCTGGGCTGAAAAGATGAGGGGTAACAAAAATGGGGGCAGTTAGCCTGGATTGTTCACCGAGGCCGCATTCCAGCATTCCTAGGGACGGGTTTGCAGCTTTGCTGGGGGCATTGACCCGGCTGAGCAATGCTGACAGTTATTTGTTCGGTTAAGCCAGCGTGGTACGGAAAGGACCCGCTTCTTGTCAGCTTTGCCGAGCGCGGGGAAGTGGGTGTGGGGGAAGGCCTCTTCCCTCGCTTTACGATTCTTGCGGCACCAACACCTGTCTATTATTTGAATTGACACCTCCAAGCAGCTCGCAATATGGCCCTACCAGGGGACATGCTTCCCTCATCGGCGTCTGAATCTCCTGTCAGAAGCAGAGTCGCCACGACACGTTTTGCAGGACGGCGCATTGCTGTCATGTCGTGCACCCCGACCCGAGACAGGCTTTGCCTCCTTTCAGAGGGAGAGTGGATGAGGCCATCCTGTACTGCCGCAACCATCAACCTTTCACGAGCTGCATGCGCCCGGACTGGAGCGACTATTGACAGCTCAAGTGCCACAGACCCGAATCTTGAAGTGCCGACTTCGAGTGGTCTACCACGGATTGCATTGACAAGCGCCTCGCCCTCTTCCCCGACCAGTCCCTTGCTTCGCCACCCCTCAATCGCACTTGAGCCTCACGTTTCTCCTTCCTATTGGATTACTAGGTGGGTGTGACTGAAGCGCATTACGCTATCTGGTGCTACCCTCACGTTATCGAGCAACACCAGACGTCGCTTTTATCCGGCCCCTTCAGCGAAGATCAGAACCCCAGTTGTCCAATCCAGTGCTGCTACGTTCGAGTTTCCGTTGCCACATCTTTGATCTTGCAAATGAATCTTCGGGCAGCGACTCCTAGGAACTCTTGGAAGGCGGGTTGGAGCAAGGCACGTTCCAGACAGGCAACGGATCAGCTGTTCACGCGAATGCGCCATGGCATAATCTCTTGCCACGCGTCTGCGGTGGTGGCAAGGAACGATATCTCCGGAAGCCGCTTTTCCAACCCGTTTCGAGGCTTCAAGGGGCGGGGAGGCCGGACGTGCAACAGTCGATGTGGGGTCCCGACAGGTGGGCCTGACCGCTGGTTTGCCTCCGCGGCGGTAGGTTTGGGATGGCAGATCTTGTGGCATGAAGAAACGGTACAACGGGTGCCTGTCTTCTCCCCTGGCGCAGCCTGTTGACGATCCGCGGGCCCTTATTTGACAACCCTGTTTAGTTGTCGTCTGATCAAGCTTAGGTCGTAGCGATGCGTGGTATTAAGTAAAGGGTCCAGTTCTCCAAAACTCTAAAACAACTAGGTATGAGGACCCTGAGGAGATTTACATGCTCGGATGGTGGCGCATCCAGGTAGCGAGGATTCTTGATACACCCCGGCCAGGCACTAAGGGTCTGAGAGTTTAGTGCACGAAGGCAATTGGAGCAGGAGTGAAACAGAGGCGGTAGATATCGAGGCGTCGCAGCTGTGACGTGAAGTGGTAGCCACATATCCCGTGCCGTATGTCGAAGCCCACAGAATAGCCTCTAAGCCACTCGCGGGCGATTCCTGTCCATGTGCCGTTGGAATTCTCCATGGGCGGGCGCGGGGGTCAAGCTTCCAGTGCGGAAGCTCTTCGGCAGACCCCACAATTCGTGGAGGCTCCGCGTCAGGTGCTCCGGGTCTGCGGCCTTGCATCATCGTTCGAACATCACGCCTCTGTCTCCCGAAGATGGCTGTTCAAGCGCCTGCAGGCGTGCTCGTGCCCGGCGTCTCGTGTGGCTCAAACCCGGATTTGCGCTTTTTCGGTCTCTTTCTCCCCGGAACCCCTCACTAACTTCTCAAACCCTCACTCTTCCCAGCCGGCAATTCCCAGCTCGACCCTCCCTGTCAGGATCCATGAGTCGCGCTCATGGCACCGGCTCAACCACCGCTGCGCGTGTCGCCCGCCTCTCTCCTGCGAAAATGCCAATTGCCAGACGTATTGATGCACAATGGATACCAGCATTCTCTAGCGCTGGCCGGCCTGCCTTGAATCTTGCATAAGGCCACCCGACTGGTAGGCCGTATTTCATGATTTGACCCTGATGGTTTGCGGGTAAAACCGCCGGGCAAGAAAAACCAGGTGGAGCAAGAGGGTTCGGAAATAGGCTTGGTCGGAGTTCTACCCGCCAAAACATAAGAGGTTTCCCCCCTCTATCAATCTCCGTGACACTGGCTTGTTTCTTCGTTTAATGGTACCGAGAGAGCAAGGAAGCCTTGCGTTGACTGTCCTATCCGGCCCGAGACCGTTGCGCGCCGCCGCGCCTCAAAGGATTTCAGAATCAATCCGAAATGCGTCAGGACTTGTGGCGCGCTTCCTGTTCGGCCTGGAACATGGCCTCAGGGGCAGCGCTCCTGCTGGCGCTACTGCCTCAGGTCCAATCGGTCCCGAACCTTCTTGAGAATCCTCGAGCGCGGTGCCTCGAGCTTAAGGATAAGCACCTGCAGGAAGGTGACGTGATCATCACTGGCGCTGCGTTTGTTGACGCATTGACGTTGAACGTATCGGGGACGCTTAACGCACATCCGTTCTGTCGGGTTGCATCCCAATTGGCGTACGGAAGTGATGACACGCTCAACTTTGAGGTTTGGCTCCCGGGTGATGCAGGATACAACGGCAGATATCTGGCCGTCGGTATGTCCTTCATTAAAACGGACGAGGAAAGAAGCGCCTGACTTGGACGTGCAGGTAATGGCGGCATGGCTGGAACGATTGACAATGCGACCATGGTCGAGTACCTGAACGAGGGCTTCGCGGTTGCGGGCGGCGATTCTGGTCACCTAGCGTCTGAGAACAACGACGGCGACGGAGCGCCGGGCACTTACCTGCCGTACCTCCACGATCGCGACCAGGTCTTGGCGTGGATACACAATTCCATTGCCCTGTTCACCACGCCAGCCAGGGAGTTCATCAAGACTTACTACGCGCGCGAGGCCGAGTATAGTTATTATTATGGCTGCTCGACTGGTGGAGCGCAGGGCTTTGCATTGTCCCAGCTGCACCCGGACCTCTTCGACGGCATCTATGCTGGGTGCCCAGGGTTCTGGTACTCGCATCTTGCACTGTCATTCCTATGGAATGGACAGAAAACAAAGGTTTGGCCCTCGAGCAAATGGGAAATTGGCGCTGACCAGAGCAGGGCGATGCGTACCTGAGCCAAGGCTTGCTGGACACGGTTACCTCGGCGGTTTTGGACCAGTGCGATGGTCTAGATGGTGTTGTCGACAGGCTCGTGGAGAACCCTCTGGCCTGTAACTTTAGCATTGACACGCTCGCATGCGACAAGATGATTTCCAACAGCAGTGAATGCCTGAGCGCTGCCCAGCTTGCCGCCGCAAAAGCAATATACGCGGGGCCGAAAGACATTCGGAACGGCTCTGCGGTGTATCCTGGATTTTCTGTGGGGTCGGAGAGCGAATGGGAGCAAGGCCAGGAGGGCTCATTAGCGGAGGCCTTCTCCGTTCCGATTCTCCAGAACCTAGTATACGACAACTTGACCTATGACCCGGACACATTTGACTGGGGATCCGATGTGGACGATGTGAATAACAAAGCCGGCGTGCTAATCGATGAGACCAGCACTGACTTGCGGGCGTTCCGAGAGGCCGGCGGCAAGATGTTGGTTTCTCAGGGTAAGCTGTCGTACGTCTCTTGATAGCCAACTTCTCCTGACTGTGTTTTAGGTTGGGCAGATCCGTACAATGCGGCCACACTGCCCATTGAGTACCTGCAGCGACTCCAGGGGTTCTTTGGAGGGGATGTTTCGGACTTTTTCAACCTGTTCATGGTTCCTGGTAAGTAATTCCCGCACACGGTTCGCGATGAGTAGGCTAAGATGCTCGCAGGCGGAGGACATTGCGGTGGAGCATCAAGCTATCCATCGGTACCTGCCAAGCACCGCGTCATTGCGGCATTACAGGCGTGGGTCGAGCTGGGGATCAAGCCAGAGTCCGTACTCAGTGAGACGCCCGAGGACGGCAGTGGCAGGACACGGCAGCTCTGCCCGTGGCCGCAGACGGCGCACTATGTTGCTGGAGATGAAAATGCCGCGACGTCGTACATTTGCGCGTAAATTTGAAATAGTACCAATACATGCGAACTGAAGGCTGTACTCGACCTTCAGTAGTGATTGAAACGAATTGGGTAGTTGTGATCTTTGACGGTGTTGGCAGGCGCGATCGCCAATGGGGGGTATTTGGTACTTTCTTTCAGGTAGCTCAATACATCATCTTCGAGCCTCAGCCTTCGCCAACGGCGCACGTGACGCCAAGCTTTTTGGCATCCGAAGAACCTCGTGCAGGGCTTCAACACCCGCTTCTGCCATCACCAACGCACTGCCAACCCCAGCTGTCGTCGCCATGAACTCCTTCCGCGTTGCCAGAACGGCCCTCCGCGCCGCCCGCCCCGCCGCCTTCCGCGCCCCCATTGCCCAGCGCCGCGGCTACGCTGAGGCTGCCAGCGACAAGCTCAAGCTGTCCCTGGCCCTGCCTCACTCGGTACGTCGACATCCATTGCGCCCTTCGGACTGCATCCCACGTGTCATTGAGCGCTTGCTCCGCTTGTGCATTGCTGACTTGCCGCTTTCCAGACCATCTTCAAGTCCTCCGAGGTGTATGTAACCCTCCGCACGTCCGCCCCAACGCAACCGATTCCCGCGCACTAGCCAGCCATTGAGAACCTGCTCTACGCAGGCCATCATTCGCCGATTCATGCATGCTGATAATCGCGGGGAATTTAGCGTTCAGGTCAACATCGCCTCCGAATCCGGAGACATGGGTCTTCTCGCCAACCACGTCCCTGCCATCGAGCAGCTCAAGCCCGGCTTGATCGAGGTTATCGAGGAGCAGGGTGGCAGCAAGCAGTGGTTCGCTTCCGGTGGCTTCGCCGTCATGCAGCCTGACAACACGCTTTCCATCAACGCTGTCGAGGCCTACCCTGTGGAGGATTTCAGCGCCGAGTCTGTCCGCAACCAGATCGCCGAGGCCCAGAAGGTTGCCAGCGGCAGCGGCTCCGAGGTGGACATCGCCGAGGCCCAGATCGAGCTGGAGGTGAGTTTGCGCCCCGAAAGACGGGCGGCCGGGATTAGCTGACTCTGCGTAGGTTCTTGAGAGGCTCCAGGCTGCGCTGAAATAAAGTGTTTACATAGATACCGCCGAGAAGAGAGGCAGCTGTGTATAGTAAGCGTGGAGCGTTAATTACGCTTTTTTCAGACTCGAAGAAACCACTGCCTTGCGCCTGTCGTGTCGCGACCATCGCTCTTTCCAAATTGTGCCCCGTCCCAGCAGCTACTCACTGAAACAGCACGCCGGACAGCCCCCAGCCAACGACACATCACGCTGTCTCCCTAGATTTTTGTATTGTATACCATAGCACACGCGCCCAGGCGGCGACAGACCTTCACGCCCGCTCTCGTCCTCTTTGCAAACGGCCGTATCCTTTTTTTCGCCCTCGGATCCCGGACATGCAGCCCCAGAACGCATTCAGGTCTCATGCATTCTGCAAGCCGCGATTTCTAGATGGACAAGGCGACGAGTCTGCGGAAAAGAGACTGGCATGGAAAGGAACAGTGGCCTCACGCATTCGCTCACTCAATGACATGAACAACGCTACCACGGCAAGCCAAACATCAACACACTCTGCTCAGAAGCCTCGGGAGGAGCCAACGCGATCGAACCGCCCGATGCATGCGGCGAGCCACGCACCAACGCGGTCGGATGAAAGCTATGGAAGTAGCGGCCTTTCCGGACGTACCAATCCTTTTGTTCGCCGCAGTCCACCGAGACCACTACAAACTCCGCTCAAGCCAGAACGGATTTCCCATTCTAACGTTCCCGTCCGATCTCCAGCCCCCAGCCTGCTTATCCAGCGCCCTACCTTTTTCGAGGAGCAGAATCGAGCTGCAGCGCGTGACACCAGAAGCCCAGCACCAGACACTGATTCGCGTCAAGGTTTCGGTCGACAGCAACCGGGGAATCACTTCCGAGGTGTGGACTTGGCGAGCCCCAAGCCGAATGCTCAGATACTTAGCCCGACTCATGCACACGCTACAGCAAGACGCTTCGAGGAGCTTGAAGCGAGGCGACAGGCCGCATCAAGCGGTCTGGAAAGAGATGCGCGCCGAGACTCGGTCACGGTGGGCCATAAAGCCACAAGGCCATCGAGGAAATCCCAGCCCGATCTGCGCTCAAAGGACAATCCCGTGACCAACGTGCTCGAAACGGGGCGAGATTCAAGACATAGTCTCACGGCCCAGAAAGCTTCTTTACCAGGCCATGCTCGCTCAACGAGTCCAAGCATTGGCATAGGCCCTCGCACTAGCACTTTTGGAAAGGCAGGAAGGGTTCGCTCTGTATCACCAGACGAATCTGGCCAAGCTAAAACTGACAGGGTCGGAAGGAATCAAGCTCGTTTAGAGGGCATTGAATCAATGATCCAGGATATCGACACCACGTCCGCCAGCATTGAATCTACTGCGCACAAGATCAGATCTGCAGCTCACAATATCGGCCTCTTATCTTCCTTGTCGACAATCCCCACTAATGAAGCAAGGCTCATCAGCTCCAGCGAGCCTGAAGCTGCGCCGCAATCACCGGCAAAGCTACGGGGACGGACGCTACATGATGAGGTCTCTTCCTCGGCTGCCCGCATGCGGAAAAACACCCATGATCTCATGCTTCCTCATGACGGCCCCGGAACAAGCTCCGCTCCCGAAGAGATTGATTCGATTGATTCCACACTAGCCGAGCACGACGCCGTTGTTGACCATGTAATCGAGCAGCTCCAGGCCTGTGGGCGCAAGCTCCAGACTATTCGAAGCCTGTCACAGCAGTTCACGTCCATCCCGAGATCAAGTTCATCCATAGTCGGCCAAATGAACACTGGCTCTGACTCTGCGTCATTCCCCACAATCGCGCGGGTTTCCCTCGCCTCCCGTGTACCTCCGGCTAGTATCAATGACCCTCCAGCTCTACAAAGAAAGCGCACGAGATCTATTCCGGACCTCATCCATCTCGTTGATGATGCTGGAGAAAAATTTGGGCTGAATATGAAGCAAACCGAAGACGAAATGGTCAAAGAAATGGCCGCAGAGCTCCACGGTTCTGAAGCTGCTCAGGCGTCGAGCGCTTTCCCAGTTGAAACTGATCTCATTGCACTGGCCGAATCGCAAGGAATGCTGCCGAGAGCAGTTGCTATCTCACCGGCCGAACCTCCGACAGAGCTCGTGGTACCTAGTGCGACGCCACATTTAAGTATACCATACTCTGATCGCGATGCACTACCTCGAAATGACGTCCTAACCTCGGTGGCCCCGCCATCACCGCCAAAGCGTCGTGAAGACGGGCCTATAAGACGACCAAAGACGCGTTTGAACACCACACTACCTATCCCTACGACACCTCCAAGTCCGCATGCCGAGAGGAATAGAAGTCCACTTCAAGGGGGGAGTTCTGCCCCTAGTTCACCCTGTTTTGGGCTAGCAACGCGGCCCTCCTCTGTGCGACGTCGTCATCATCATCAACAACCGTCCTCTTACCTCTCCGCCAAACGTGGAATCGACTCTTCTACAACCTCTGCTGGCTCCACAGCCGCGTCAGTCCTTGATTCGCTTCGACCAACGCCAACGATATATTTCCCATATCAGCACCTACCGTCTGCAACCTCTTCTGCACGCGAGGTGTATCAGCAGGATGGCAACGGTCATATGTTCCAGACCCAGCTTGATGACCCGAGAGGTCCTATTTCCAGGCCACCTGAGACCCCCCCTCCACCTGCGCCGCTGTTTTCAATGAACCCGGAAGTAGAACTGGGGCTCAGCGGAGATAGATTCTCACCTGCGTTACCGCCTGAGGCCGCTGCTTATCGACCTTCTACTGCCGATCTTGCGCGTGCTGCCACACGTGCTGCATTGGAACGAGAACATAAGCAACTCATTAATTTGACCGCATTTTCCATACCGATTCCAATGATTGGTCAGCGCCCAGTCGCAACAAACATCCCCAGCGAGGATATGAGCATGTTCTCAGAAATCCCAAGTCCGACTACAGGTTCAGCGACCGGCCATTACCCGCTCATACAGAGCAGAAGACCAAGCCCTTCGACTGCCCGTAAACCTCCAGCTACTCGGCAAGCACAGTTTCTTCCATCCGAGGATACGACTAAAATAACCCAACGCCCAAAGCCGCCGCCACGACGAACTGCATCCATTCAGTCTCCAACGACATCACCACCACGTGCTCCTGTTTTCCTCGGCCCCGAATCTCCTCTGTTCTTCCAACCGTCAGCCTCGCACTCTCCTACGACTATGGCCACCATGGCTGTTGCGACTAATAATCATTCCGCCAAATGGCAGCTCCTCCAAACACCCGCTCCCCTTGCTTCTCCGCTGCCATCGCCCATGGGCCCACCGCCACAATCCGTCCGTCACTTAACCCCGTCTTCAGCAACGTTACCGACACCAGCATCAAAGGACGACCATACCGAGGAAAATGATGATGACGATCTCACACCCGTAGCAGCCCCGAGTGTGACAAGTTTTCCAGGGCAAAAGCAGCAGCAGCAGCATGAGCAAAGCGAAGACAACTTCGCCTGCCAAGCACTTCTCAACAGCACTGCTTCAACCATCAATGCCCAGCCGAAGCCTATGATTACCATCCGGCCATCATCCTGCAACGGTTCGGCGGTGTCCAAGAGTGTCAGCCCCTCTTCGTCCATATATTCGTCCTCGTCATTGTCATCATTGCCCCCACACGCCGAAAGCCACCAACAAACCGCGGGCGCTGATTCCACGCGCTCTTCCACGAACAATGAGTATACACCACCACCACAAGTAGTGAAAGAGTCCTTACCTGGAGCAGCAGCATCATCATCATCGGAAGGGGATGAGAAACTGCCTGATAGCACCAGGAACAAGGGCAACTACAACGACTGCAACGCAGGGGAACGCAGCACCCAACCCCGCCGCCAGTCTCAACCCATTTCTTCTTACCATGAACACCAACACCAACACCAGCATCGGCATTACTACTACCACTATTACAAGCCGCTCAACGTCTCGGACCGCGTGCAGATGCTGGAAGAGGCGCGCAGGGAGCGCATGCGGATATTGCGAGCGACGGGACAGCACGCGGATGTGGTGAGACGGTTCAGTGGCGCTGGTCTTGGGGGCTCTGGTTCGCCTAGAGAGAAACAAGCAGGCAAGGAAGACGAACAGCAGGGAAGAAACGACGGTAGCAGCGATGGTGCGCGGTCATTGTCACTGTTGTTGGGTGGGCCGAGAGAGCAGATCAAGGCGTTAGGATCGCCGTGGTGGTGATGTGGGAACGGCGTTTTTCCACTCTTGTAGTAGATTGCGGCTGTTATTCGTCTGGGTTACCGTTGCCGTCATGACTATGGTACAATGCACACCTATTTCTGTTGGTTATTTGAGTATAGGCCTGGGCGTTTCTTTGCGGTTCTTTTGTACCTCTTGGCTCAAGTTGTTTCTACTTCAACATCGTGAGGTCGTGATTCCTTTTTTGCTCTGTGGGAAAGAAAATGGCAGCGCATAATACCGCTTGAAGGCGACAGCGGACCAACTCATGACCTCAAGACTATCCACAAATAGACCGCTCCGCTCCCCTGGCAGCCTTCCTTTGTGCAAAGGGTAACCGGAATTTATTTGTTGCACCTCAAACTTTACGTAGTAGAGTATGTCTATTAGGAGGGGGACTGTGAATATTACGGGAATCTAAGAACATTCAGATGCAGACTCAACTCACTTCAGTCAAGTACCATGTTTCCAGTGAGAAAGCTTCGGGAAGGTCAGCGCCCTGCCACTCGGTGGTGGGAGAAGCTTTTCACGAGACTGTTATCCTAGGTTCCTGGACACGCATGCATAAAATTCAATTTATGGGGATTGCAGACTCCATGCTGTCCTCACTACATCGCTACCTAACTAGGAGAAGAAAACCCCCGATTCTCTGAAAGTACGCCGGAGCAGTGATGCGGGAAGCTTTGGAATCGCGAGGAGATATCCCCTGATTCAAGAAGAGTTGAGGATGAAGAAAGAGGGAATTTGAACGGGAAATAATAATAATAATGATAATAAAAGGGAAAGCGCCAACTCCTCTTTCGCCTGGAATGAACTGTGTTAGATGAGAAAGGGCATGTACTTCTCCAGCCCTTTTACCCGCGCGTCCTCCTTGTCAACAAAAGGCTTTTGTTTTCCACCCCGGGTATCATTGAAGGATGTCATGTCAGCCATTGTTGCCCATAAATTTGTCCGCCCAGCCAGCATCCATCCGTCGGCTGATGTCCACGTTTACCATAAGGGAATCCATAAAAACCGATCGTGCCCTGCACGCATCGTCTCATAAAAGGCGCGTACCCATTCCATCATCCAAAGCAAGTTCATATCCAATCAGACCGTCTGCCTGACAATATTTCAATCACTCGCACCGAACCAGCCGCCGAGGAGGCCACTACTACCCTGGCTTCTCCATTGCCAAACCGCCACCACTACCGCGCCCAACACGCCGACGCCGCCGAGCACTTGCACGACTATCAAGCCACCCTTCTTCATATCATCGCTCCAATCGCACAACCCCAAAGGATCACGCGGATCCAGCTTCCCACCCTTTGCTGACGACCATCTCGACTCCCGTTTGATGCGCTCGTCCAGATCTGCTTGGCGCGTCAGGGACCAGAGAGCAGGATCGTAGTGCGGCTGCAGGTCGTCGGCCGGAATGATGCGACCGTCCAGGACTTCCCGGCCCACTTGATCGAGCAGCCAGCGTGTCCTTTTCTCCCGCTCTAATTCTTCAAAACGGCGACGCTCATTCTGCAGGCTTCGTTGCAAGTCTGCAGCCCACTTGGCCAGCCGAACTTGTGCCATCCTCTCCTCGCGATAACTTTGCTCATTGAAGCGGGTGATCGTGTAGTTATTGCCGCCGGCCACGCTACTGGGAGAGGCAGGTGATATGTGGGTGTATGATGCGGTCGGTGAGAAAGGTGTGTTCGCGGTACTGCCAGTTCCCGGGCGTGGAATGAGAACCTGACTGGGCGAAGGAGAAGACAGAATAGAGGACGTAGCAGAGGCCTGGTACGAAAACGACCTGCCAGGGTAGTGCGTAGAATTGGGGATTGTTTGCGGTGCAGCTCCAGTGTTCAGTCCAAAGCCATGCATGTTGAGGCTTTCGCCTTGGATGCGCTCATTGCGCCAACGGAGGAATTTTTTAGCTGCAGAATGCCGCAACCACGATATTGTGTCTTGGTTGAAGACTTGATTGACCAAAGCGGCAAGTTCTGACGGAACAAGAGGTTGGATATAATCCGGAGACATGAGCAGTGAAGCGTCCATGATCTCGCTGTCGGAAGCTGAGGCGGAGGTGATGGCGAAGGGACCAGGAGTGAAGACGGGCTTTGGGGTTTCGAAGAAAGGGTTTGAGTCTTGGGGAAAGGCGCAGTCGAGGGAGGTTTGGGCGGCATTCATAGCCTCTTCCATGCTCTTTCCGAAGAGGAACGGACGCACGCCTTCGGCCTGGAGGAGCTGAAGCACAGTAGTCTTTAAGGAGGAGATCTTTTCTTTGTCGCGGGAATCCGAGTGGGAAATGAGAGGAATAACATTAGTAAAAGAAGAAAGCCGGCGGATGTGTTGGATGCTTCGTGAGAAGCCAGCGCCTGCAGGAATCAGCCTATTGTGCGAATGAATTAAACCATCTGTCGGCTCACCATCGGAGGGCTTCAGCATATAAAATACGACATCGACTTGAACTCCGCCGTTGCCGCTAAGTATGCCGAGGAGATCACTATCGCTCATAGCACTGAGTGATGCGTTGCGATGAAGCAACGATTCGATGTAATGAACAATGGGCTCCATCTGCGCCGGCGAGTTGTTGGTCGAATCAAATCCCGGCGTGTCGACAAAGCACAGATTGCGTTCAAGTACCGTGTCACCCATACTCTTCCGCCTCCGCAACGTGCGGCTGTCTTCCACATCCAACTTATCCGACCACCATGTTGGATAGGCGCGCGTGCTGGCATATACCTCCGTGATGCTCGTCGTGCCCGATGCGCGCTGCTTCTTGAGCTTTGACTTGCCCTTTTGAAAGTCGGCAGGTTGAGAGAGAGAGGGACTGGCAACGAGAGGATCCACATGTACAATATCCTCGCATAGCTGCACTATGGATCTGATAAGAGAGGTCTTGCCCACGCCTGGGATCAGTTAGCCGAGCTTCAAATGGCCAGCGCTGCAAATAACTTGCCTGCTTCTCCGGCAATCAACACCTTCAGCCTTCCCATGTTCTTTCCTTTCTCGGTAAAGGGCCGCCTCTTTGGCATTTGAATGCTGGGCATAACCAGCTGTGGCACAGTGTTCTCGACTTCCTCCTTCTCGACAAGGCCGTCATCCTCTTCGTCGCTTGTCACGATGGCTTGACTCGCCGCTTCATCAGCCTGGCTTTCCTCATCCGACAGCCTGAAGCTCTTCAAGCTAACGCTCTTTGGGGTGCTGGGTAGATCTGATGCGGGGCCTGAACTAAGCTCGAATTGCACCGGGGTAAGAGGCGGGGGCGGCGGGTGTGACGAGAGCGTGCTGGCCGACAGCTTGCGAGCGGGGGCACGAGGTCTTGTCGTGCCGCTCATGGCATCCTGCAGTTCTTTCTGCACCTGCGCAACCTCTTTGGACCATTTCTTCGCTTGGTCGGCTCTACAGCGCGGCTTTGGGGAGCTGCTCTTGTCTGCCTGATCGCTAGTTCCCTTATCGCCGAAAGCAGCGCCGAGAGCATCATCCAGGCTTTGAACGCCATAGGTGCTTTCCTTGGTGCTGGAGGCTTGCATGGTGTGCTGCATCTCGTCCTCGCTGCACAGGAAGAAGCTCGTGGGGCCGGTCGGGCCCGTGGCGGCTTGCGGCGCAGGGTTGGAGACGTGATCGGCGCCGTTGCTCGACTTACGGAGGAGTCGGGACGAGGGATGCGGTGCTGCGGCTGCGGCTGCGTCGCCGCCGGCGGGTGGCCTCATGATGGTATTGTCGCTGGGTCGCTGGGGACGCGCTGTGGTATCATCCGCGCCGGAGAGATGTCGACTATTTAGCAGGTCGCAGGTGGTGGTCGGGCATTCGTCGAGGGGGAGCACTATGGCTGGCCGAATGGAGATGACGACGATCTGGCGGTACCCCGCTGCAGTGCAGGGGCCACTGGGTGCTATAGCTGGGTGGCGGTGGGCAGATAACGACGCCGAAGCTCGCAATGCTGCAGGGAAAAGGAGATAGCCGCGGCGGGAGGCTGAGACGCGCTGCGACAGAGCTTAAGGAGAGGTGGTTTGCAGGTAGTCTGACCTGGAGTGAGCGGCGCGCGAGGTCAAGTGTGTCAGGTGCCGAGCGCTGCCTGACGCGCTAGCGACCCTGCCCGCACGAACAGGCCTGTCTGCGCCTCGGGCAGTGAAACGGTAAGGCTGTTGGTACTTTTTGTCGCTATTCGCTGAGCAGCTATACATACACATTGCTCCCGAATCTAACCTACATCGCCACCCTCCCTCCCAAGCTTGCGATTTCAAAGAAGCTGTACATTGCTTCCAGCACGTCTATCAACCACCACCACCACCACCACTGCTGTGACCAAATACAGCAATTACCTCCTCCACACCGCATGTTCGGTGGCGCGTGAAGCCGGAGGCCTTCTTAGCCAAGGCGCGCTTTTCCCAAAGGAAACGAAGGAAAGGAGATGTGAAAAAGCAAAATCGCTATGCTAGGTAGAAAAAAGCAAAGACTCGTGCATGAAACCCATACTTTTCCGTTACCCGAATCAGATCAGCTTTTCCGCGAAGAGCCCTAGAATACAAGAGAGAAGCCTGAGGCATAATTCGTGACCACCGAGGATTCGTCGAGTCAAAAGAACAGGCAGGAAATTGATACACGCAATGAAATAGGAATGGATTTCTTTAAGCAGCCGCGTTGCCGCCGCGGCGGGGGGTCGAGGCACCGCCCCTGCCGCGGGGAGCAAAGCCGCCACGGCCGCCATCCTTGTTGAAGCCACCACGGCCCTGGCCAGGGCGGTCAGCGCCACCGCGGCCGCGGCTGATGGAGCCGCCGCGCGAAGGGTAGCGCTGGAACTGGCCGCCGGGCTGGCGGCGCTCCTCGACGTAAATCGTCTGGCCGTTGACCGTGTGGGGGTTGGCAGCGACGGCAGCGTTGAAGCCGTCCTGAGTAGCGAATTCAACGAAAGCAGCGTTCTATTGACATAGTCAGCATCCTGTCCTGAGCGTGCAACGTGGGGGCGAATTTACCTTCGGCCTGCTGATGTCGAAGTAGGTAATCTTGTCGAATTTGGAGAGGGACGCCTTCAGCGCATCCGCGTCGATGTTCTCATACACGTTCTTGATGTAGGCACGAACAGAGGTGGGCTCGGAGGGCTGGTTCTGGGCACGAGACTGGCGCTTCGTGTGCTCAGCAGTCTGCCAGCCATCCTGCTGGCTGTCCGCGGGCGACTCAGCGGCAGCGGGAGCGGCGGCAGCAGCAGCCGTGGCAGCAGCGGGCGCGGGAGCAGGCTTGCTCTGAGCAGGGGCAGCCTTAGGAGCAGCAGCCTGAGCAGGAACCGCCGGAACAGCAGGGACAGCTGGTGCGACGGACTTGTTGGCAGAGGCAGCCTTCATAGCCCAGCTCATCGGCTTGGTAGGGGCGGCCGGCGTAGGAGCGGGAGCGGCCTTCGCGGGCTCAGGAGCAGGAGTGGGAGCGGGCTCCTCAGGCTTCTCCGGCTGAGCGGCCTCCTCGGCGACCTCAGTAGCAGCCTGCTCGGTGGTGGGGATTTCCGTGGCACTGACGGCAGCGACGGGAGCTTCCTCGGCCTCGACAACCTCAGCAGCCTCCGGAACGGGGGTGCCATTTTCCTGAGCAGGGGGCGGGGAGACAGGGCGCTGGGTCTCCTCCTTCTGGATCTCCTCGAGCTTGTTGTCAACCTGAGCGACCTCCTCCTCATTGGCAACAGTCTCATGGGCTGGAACCTCGGCGGCAGGCTCCTGAGCACTCGGGGCAGGCTCCTGGTAGCCAGCGGGGGCAGCAGTGGTATCCTGGGCAACCTCCTCCTCGGCAAGCTCTTCCTCCTCCTCCTTGACGTACCTGAAGATGTCGTTCAGGACGAAGTAGCCATTGGTCTGAGCAGCAAGGACGAAGGTCTGGGTGAACTTGCGGTGCGGCTGGTTCTTGTTAGAGATCTCGCCGATGACTTGGATGACAATGTTGGAATCGGATCCCTGAGAGTCGACGTTGGTGACGCGGACCTTGCAGTCCTTGAAATCCAGCTCCTTTATGCGGTCGTTGATGGCCTATCCATCATCAGTACTCCGGCCAAATCCCCTTCAATGGGACTCGGTGGCATACCTTCTGTCCAACGCTAACATCGACCTTCTCCTCTTCGACACCCGAAACGAATTGCGAGCGCTTGTTGTAGAAGAGCTACTGCCGTTAGCGCCAATCTTCCTGCAAGAGGTGGAAGACATACAAAGAGCTTCTCGGGCGTCCGGCTAAGAGTGGTGTAGTACTGCTCGACGAAGTACCATCCAACCTCATCCTTGGGGATATCGGCAGCGCTGTTAGAGCTGGTCGACTGGGGAGTGGAGGTGGAGTGTTGAGCAGCGCTGTAGGCGGCGGCGTTGGCATTGTGCGCGGCGTAGTTCTGGTCGTACGCCTGACCCTGATGAGCGGCATAGGTGCCGTTCATGGACATGGCTGCCTGCTCAGTTGCCATTTTGCCGGTAGTGGAGATGGCAGAAGGTGGGTGTCGCGAGAGTAGTTGTGGATGTTCTATCAGCTATAGTGAGGCGACGACGGGTTGAATCTGCTTCGAGTCAGCGACGCGCCGTCACCGAGAGCTGCGCGCGCGATGCAGCGGACGTGTTGGCGAACCTGTCAGTCGCGCTTGTGGTGGCTAATTGAATGGTGATGCGCAGCGACGCTCAAGTGGGAGAGGCGGAGGAGGTAGGGATGGAGCGCGCGAAAAGAGGGCCTGCAAGTGGCGGCAATACGGCGCGGAGATGAGGGCGAGCGCGGGGGGGTCGCGGGATTGGAGGTTGGGTGTGGTTGTGTGGGTGTGTTGGAGATGGAGAGCGTGCGGGTGGCAGTAGACGAATTTCAAAAGCAAAGATTCCGCCGGCCGGCGCGCGGGCCAACCCGTCATCGAGTCCGAGCGCGCCAGCCAGCCGCTGCGCTGCTCGACTACCTCCGCCCTCCCATCCCTGCGCCGCTCATGGCAGCTCCTGCGAATCCTATGACGTTCGTCTGAGCAGTCCGTGTTTCGGAACATGGCGCGGGCCTTCGCGTCGCTTTCTAACACGCGAGACGACGTCGGTATGGAACATTCACCCGCCGTCGCTAAGCATCCGCTCTAGAGCATTGATTTATACGGCTGCTGTGCTGGCGGCTTGCAGCTTGGAAATTGGCTTTCAGATTCACCGTGTTCGCAGTTGACCTTCTTCCATTGAGCTGGCGATCACCTCGCGTGTCATTCTTGATCTGCATGCTAAATGTACGGCAGTGACCAGGATACTTTGTCGGGGATCTAGCCAGATCGCTTCCACGACGCCAGCACACACCATCCACCCGGCGTCTTCCCTCGTTCAGCTTGTTCAAATTGCTAATAGAGATCACTGTCATCTCTACCCATGAACAGGAAATCATCAGCGCTATTTAATTAAAGTCTCGACCTCGTTCCTACCTCTTGAAGTTGGCTCAAGTTCCCCGATCTTGCCAATATCCACGAGGCAACGTCGTTTGCAAATGTGTATTTGTCGTCGCCCGGCTCCGCGTGCACTGCGCCATTAGCAACCGAAGAGAAGATGCAAGGAAGCCGGAACTCACGCTTGTGGAACCACCCTTCGTAAACCTTGAACTCTTTGTCCTGGACCTTCCACTCGTCAAATATCTTTTTCACCGGCCCGAATTCTGTCACTCCGTCTGCCGTGCCGTGACCGACCCATACCCTTGTCTTTCCGCCCTCGCCCGCTCCTTCCAGCAACCGCACCTCTCCTCTTTCCAGCGTTCCTGCGCGGTCCAGCATGCCAGCTAAACCTTCTAGCGTTCCCGTGTCGTGACAAAGTTGGTCTTCGACGTACTCCCTTTGTACCTCCGGGTCTCTGCTCAGCAGTCTCTCGTCCAGTTTATTCACCATCTGCTTGTGTGGAGCGACCTTAGCTGCCATCTGGCCTAGCAGCACTGTGATCTTGTACGGGCGCGACGCTGGAGCAAGCGCAATGAAGGGAGATTCGGCGAGGAAGCCACGGATTGTGCGGAGCACCGATGGAGGGCCGGTTGCCGCGAAGTGCAGGACTTGAGCACCACCCATGGAGTGGCCCATGAGAAAGAGCGGCGCCGAATGTTTCGGCAGGGCGGTTATGAACGAGGCAATGTCTCCAAGCACGGTCGAGGTCTGGCCGGTGAGACCGCGTTGGGACATGTTCTTGACAGACATGCCCCAGCCGCGCTGGTCGAATGAGTAGACGATTATGCCCTTGGAAGCGAGTGTAGGAAAGAGAACGCCGTAAGCGTTGCCTGCGCGAGGTCAGTGGGCAGTTGATTCGAGCGGGAAAGCTGCCGGAGCTCACAGTGGTCGCTGAAGCCATGCACGAAGACAAGACGCGCTTTCACCTCGCCTGTGGGCTTGCGGAAGCAAGCGTCAGCTGGGAGCCGTCACATCTGGGGAGGCTTTCACACCATCCAAGTCTTTGTGTACAGCTTGGCCGCATCTTCTGTGGTATGCACGCCTTCTTCGGTGGTAAACGAAGCCATGGTGGGTGAGGGCTCAGTCGAAGTACAGGGACGCGTAGAGAAGCGCTAGGTGAGGTGGAAAGTCAGGTTGGCGGAGCGATGACGAAGCCGGGGTTGCATGTGAACCCTCGGTTATCGATACGACGTTGCTGCCAACACCATCTTTCAACGCCGCAAATACCAATAATTTCCGCTTCCGTCCGCTTGTGCGATCTGATTCGCCTAAGAAACAGGCTAACACGGCGGGGCTTCAACGGTGCCACCCACACTACACGTGGAACTACCGCTGTAAACCCCCTTCACCCCGCCCGGCTTCATCCGTTGTTTTGCCCACACGGAACGAAGGTAAAGCTCAGGCGAAGAATCCTTTGTAGCCGGCTGCGGTACTCAACTACAATGATGAGTGGGCGCATAGGAGGGGCCCTTCGATGGCAGCTACATCAAGTTCATCGGGTTTTCGCTGAGAATCGATACCACGGTGGGTTGCAAAGACTTTGTCCCTCCGGGCATTACAAAAGCGACTGCACTAATATCGGGGTAGAAATGTGAGTTGCACATAAACTTTCAGTACCTACGCAGGGCGAGTGTAAAATGGCGTCTGGTCCAAAAATCTTTGAGAGCTTGCAAACATTACCATTCAAGTTCTATGGCATACGTTTACGCGTTCCTGCCACTTGACGTATCCAACGCCGGTTCTCCGCGAGTCCATGCTGCTGGCCTCTTATTTCCTAACAGGAAGCTCGTTCGATGTATTCTCCGTCGGCATCTCAATGGGCGAAAAAGTAGGGGCGGGCTGCTGATAATAGTATTGTTGCGCGGTAACGTTTCCTAAGGGCTTATCCTGCTCTGCTAGCCTCACTGTACGCTCGGTTTTATATTTACGCCAGAACACGACCATTCCGACCGATGATAGAAGCCAGAGAAGCCCAAACACAACTCCAACTGCTATTGCGGCACTGCGAGTTTTGGTGACGTCCGTCGACGTTGGTGCGGTCGAAACGTGACCGGTGTCCGTTGCGGGTGTAGATATTGATGCAGAGTTTGCGGATGTCGGAGATGAGGTGCTACTACTACTGCTGTTTGCGTCCTCCTCTATGTATGGGAGAAGGCGATTCGATCCATCGCTGTTGATGACAGCAGTAATGTACCCGGGCTTCCATTGGAAATAGTTGCTTTCATTTTCACAGCATGATGCCCCCTCCAAGCCACATGCTTGCGCCTCCGAAATGTTGCATTGCTGAATCCATACTGAGTCACTCAATTTCCCTATGAGAGTCAGTACCCACCAGAGCTGACCAGGCGAAGGGATCGCACCTTTTGACAGGCACATAGACGGACAGTCGGGTTCATGCCACGATGAATCTGTACAGCTTTGCCGATAGGTCACACCAGACCAGTCTTGGAAGCAGCTACCACTCTCGTAACACGCATCGTTCTTGCGACAACACGGACTCGCTCCACCATTCGCGACAGCCGTGAGATTGCAAACGAATCCAGTTGAATCAAGGGAGCCCTAGAGCCTTTTGTTAGCCAGAACCCCATAATTCCCCTGATGTTGGACCCCACGCACATCTGGCCAATAACAAGATGGCTCATCGACAGCAGCGACCAAGGCCGCGCACAAGGAGAGGTACAGAAAGGAAAGTATGCCTGATGCTGATGATTGTGCGAGTAACTCGGATTTTGGACCAGCCAGGAGGGAGAGGAAGTAGAAAAGGACATGGAACTCAACGAATGCCTCCGGGGCGAAAGGGTTAATGAGGTTTCTTTCTGGGCTCATTGGGGATGGGAGTCACTTAAGCGCTCGTGCAGCACAGCAACAGCAATGAACCAAAATATCACATTGCTCACTTGGCGGACAAGGGAGAAGATCATTTCCACCAAATTGGACTCGATGCGGATGGCCCCCACTATAGTAGGATAATATGTACCTCTGTGTATGTACATGTGCAAGGTCAGGCCTCCCAGCCTCAGGCACCTTTTCTTTATCGATAGCCTGTGTGACCCCGCACTACTCCGCAGAAACTGCAGCACCGCCTTTCCAATCAATCGGTTGCATCTGTCCTGTCCCTGCAGGCGACTCTCCGAACACAAGCCTCTCCGTGCACCGTCTCTTTCCTGTTATGCTCAACTATCGTCCTCTCTTTAGTCGTCATAACCTTGTTCTTCTCTCACGACCTTCCCTACTTCGGCTTCGCGCAGATGCGCGTCCTGTCCTCCAGGCTTCATTTATATCGATATCTAAGATGGAGCGAGAGCTGGACAGCATTCCACACGTCGATCGCACGGCCAACGAGCCTCGTGACCCGACTCTGCATTCTCTCAGCCTTGCTAAAATCGATCGAATTAACCCCACCACGCGGCTGTTCAAACTGCGTGCTTCAGGCGACGGAGTCAAGGTGAGTGGTGCATCGTGACTGTCTCCCATGCTTTGCACGTAAAGCTATCTCAGGAGGCAACACATCACTTCGCATTTGTTAATGTGGTAGTTTCTTCCCGGACAATGGCTTGATGTCTATCTACCGGGAGTAGACGAGGCTGGAGGTTTCACAATCACCTCAGCGCCGGTGCATGCTACTCCACCGGCCGCCGGGTCCGACGAGTGTTTAAATGTCGATTCAAGGGCGGTTGAGCAGGAGAATAAGGCGGTCCGTCCGTATCTGGAGCTCGCAGTTCAGAAAAGCCCAAATGCCCCGGCAGCATGGCTTTGGCGTCCAGAATCCGAGATTATCGGCTCTGGCGTAGAGGTTCGAGTGGGTGGCAGCTTCGTATGGCCTCCGCCGATAGCCGTGCAAGAAGTTGGGAAAGCGGTTTTCATCGCTGGGGGTTTGGGAATCAAGTCAGTCGCCTGTCTTTGACCGGAGGCTCAGAAGCTGACAGCGAGCACAAGCCCTTTGATCTCCATCCTTTCACACCTGCACCACACTAACAGCATGCCTCGTTCGGTGGAGTTCATCTACGCCACCAAGATGACGGACGGCGAGATTCTTTTTGCCGATCGACTGCTACACATCGCCTCTGCCAGGCCGGAACAGTTGAGGTTGAGGTTCTTCCTGACAGGTGCAGGTGGGCATAAGCTCCGAGGCCCGGAAATTTTATATCGTCGGTTGACTTCTAAGGACGTTCTTGAGGCCTTGGGGGACTCGGACAGGGAACAGACAGTGTGCTACGTGTGTGGACCGCCTCAGATGACGGACGAACTGGTGGAGTTCTTGCGCGGGCAGCAGGGAATGAGTGCTGATCGAGTGCTTTGTGAGAAGTGGTGGTAAGAAAAGATAGTCAGAGTCAGAACCAAGGCTTATGTTAGCTGCGTTTTCGCCCCAGGGCCGAGCGTGTTCTAGGAGCGAGACGGCAGGGCGCGCATGGACTGCCGGGTGCCCTTTTTTGCCCTTCTGAGGGTGTATGAAGTTGCGGAGATAGGCCTTACCGGATTGGGCCAGCTGCAGGAGGGCAGCGCGGCGGGCGGGCACGGGAGACGGGCAGTCGCAAGTGCTGAGAAGGCTGACGCGGGCATGGCGAGATGGTGAGCTGCACATCTCGCCGCGCAAGCTTCGCGATCCACTGCTTGAGAAGCTTCTTGTGGGCTGTCACGCCCGTAGCCGCCGACCCCGTGCGTTGAAGCGGCTAGCCAGATCACAGCGGGGCGCCGGCGTCGGGCGCTCCCATTGGCGGGCCTGTAAGCGCCCCCATCACCGCGCATCCCCGGCGCAGCCAACGAGGGCGCAAATGCACGTTCTTGCCCTCGCCGCGTCGCACCGCACGCTCTCACAGGCCGCGCTTCGGCAATGGCCTGGGCAAGATCCCGGCAGCGTGCGCGCTGGCCGTCGGCTGACCTGCAGATGATATTCGCCCGCCGCCCGGCCAGGTCGCCAAAAGACCTGCACCGCCCAAGTCCTCCAACTCCCCTCCCTCGGCCCTCTCCCTCTGTGCCCGCCAGCTCCAGTGCTCGTCTCTCTGCCGCCGGCCGGCGACAGAAACGTCTCAGCGCAGCTCCCGACTGCTTCTCGACAGCACCCGTTTCAGCCTTCCCAGCGGCAAACGACAGCCAACGACCCCATGGCCGGCTTCTTCATCTCGCGCACGTGGCGCACCCGCAAGCTCATGCTGGGCCTGCTTCTTCTGGAGTTCGCCTTGACCGTGCCCGTGCTGACGCTGTTCGGCATCGCGAATCCAAACTTGTACCGCACCAAGCTATGGCAGGAGGGCGGTGACTTGGGCTACAACAGCGCCCCCAACACCGTCCTGTACGCCATGGCGAACTATAGGCCCGTGAAGACACCCCTCGTTTGGAGCCAATTGTCAGTCTCTCTGCCATCTCTTGACGTCGCGCGCAAACTGACATGGCTGATAGTATTACCTCGTGGAACCTTGTCATCTCGGTGCTTTCAATGTTCATCATGCTCTGCAAGATCCCCATGTTCATAATGCATGTCTTCTACCCCATCCTTTCGCTTCTCGTCCATGCCCTCGAGATTGCCTTGTATGCCTACAGTGCATATGGCCAGTCCGGCAAGGATACCATCGACCCGAGGCGCCCCTCGACCGGGCTCCCCTGGTACATTGGCAAGAGCTGCAGCGTGGCTACCACCTCGCAACTGAAGGGCTACTGCCTGCAAGCAAAGAGCGCATTTGTGCTCACCTGCTTGATGATGTAAGCTATTCCTCTCCTCCGCTACCCACACCCCTGCTGACGTCGCAATGCTCGTAGTGTACTATTCGGCATCTTCTTCATCCTCGCTGTCCATTCCATGATTCCTACCAAGGCCCAAAAAGAGCAGCATGCCGAGAGAGTCCAAGCCAAGGCCGAGCGCAAGTCGAAATTCGAAGCGATGAAAGCCGAACTCGCCGCCGAAGCTGCATCCATTCATCAGCAACAACTCCAGATGACCAACGAACAATACTGGAGCCAGCAGGGCCACCCGCTCTCACCGTCCTACGCGCCTACATCGCCGTACGCTGCTCCGCATACACCCTATGGCCCGGCTAGCGCAACGTATCCGCCGCGCTCTCCCTTTACCCCCGGTGGAGCGTATGCGCAATGGCAGCAGAACTACGGCAGTCCGCAAACTCCGCAGCCTGTGCACCCCGCACCAATGACGCACTATGGGCCGGATGGTCAAGTGGACTGGAGCAAGCAGCAATGGGAGATGCAAAACTACCCCCAGCCGCCCGTGTCACCTGTTCACACAACTTCGCCCAGCCCTCCGCTACCAGCCCCGGCGCCGTATCCGGCAACGCCGAGGACAAAGGCGTACAACTCCCTCAATGGGAGCGGTGATTTGCCATTGAGGCAAGCGTAAATAACCTCAGGGGGAGGCCCAGGTGGCTCCCTTTTCTATGTCGATAATTCTCGCTTCTTTATCTGTGATGGTGGTATACCCGGGTTTCAGTCCTCACGAAAAGGGCAACGGCGTTTTGTTTTTGGGATAATATCACGCCCTCTGAAGAGAGGCCAGACAGATCTACTCTCGTTGACGATCTAATGTTAAATATTTGGTTGCTCGATCGATCTCGTGTCTGTTCCTGGCAGTTAAGTGGGTTTCTGCCACCGATCTACAAGGCATGCGGGGCATATTGTACATGCAGGTGGGGACGTCTTGAAGGTGGGACCGACATGGTCCTGGGGCTCATAGCGGCCACGTTTTGCAAAAGTCAAAATGCTCATTCGAAACACCTGCCCCCTATGAGTCTAAGGCCATGACCGCTAGAGTCGGGTGGTTTAACGATGTGAATTACCCGATAGAGCATACGACGTTGGTGTTGGTTTGCTGCAGTCACGCCGTACTACCTTCTCTTATTCGATAGGTTCGGCACGCCTTATCTGATGGGCGGGAGCTGTGTATACAGAAGCCTCAATTGGTCCGTTATTGATGGGGACCCATTAGGCCTGCAGCGGATGATGTGGCCGTACTATGGAAGGCGAGCGATGTGCGCGGAACAATGTCGAGAGCAATAGCCGAGTGTGGAGCTCACGATGGCGAGTCCCCGGCGGGCGGACGGAGCAGGCAAAGCTGGATGCCGCTTAAGAGGAGCCAATGCCATTGCAGGGCCGGCAATGACTTTACACCGCCACTCTGTGAAGTGGGCAGACCTCAACACCACAGTCTAGACCACGATAGGAGAACTCCTGGACCAGGAACTCGGTTTCGCCATCCCGCCGGATAAAAGCCAGAGCCGGTAGGGCACGCGATTGGGGAGGCGTCCCTTTTTTCTGGGGCCGGGTAAAGGGCCAGGCACGGACAGGGCTGATAAGCGAATGCTGAACCCTGGCGGCTGCCCCACGTCTTACTGGCTACCAGCTTGCACGTCACTCCCATGTCACGATTATCGTGTCCGCCCACCGGGTACTTTTTTTGACCGCAGCCTGACCGCGTCGCGCACCTGACGCCAAAGCCCCTTCGTCCCCGCTTCCTTCTCCGAACTCATCGTCCAATTGTCCCACCATAATATCCTGACGGCGCCCCGCAGCTTTGATGTCTGAGAATTTGTTCTTGCTGCTCAACTGCTTCCTAACCATCACATAAAGTACCCACACCCAACACCTCCGTCCGAACCACCGCCTTGCGAACCCCCCCTTATTGCGACAGCGCCAGAGCTCCAGCTGCAGCCATGGCAAACGCAGCGAGCGGCGACCTGTACATGGGCTTCGACCTGTCGACCCAACAATGCAAATGTACCTTCCCCTCCCTCCGGCACCCCGCGCATTGGGCGCCACTCATCCTCTTGCCCCCCGCACCTCGAGCGAATCGCACTTCCCACATCTCAACCCCGCCTCTTTGCACAGAGGCGGCCATCCACCGGAACCGCTCACTGACGCGTATTACCATTCTGCAGGCCTAGTCGTGTCCTCGGACCTCAAGCTTGCCCACTCCGCCCTTGTTGACTTCGACGCCGACCTCGCCCACCACGGCATCAAAAAGGGTGTGCTCACCAATCCCGCCGAAAATGAGATCTTTGCGCCCGTCGCCATGTGGCTCGAGGCCTTGGACCTGGTGCTCTCGCGCCTGCATTCCCAGGGCCTCGACTTCGGCCGCGTGAAGGGTATCGCTGGTGCCGGTATGCAGCATGGAACAGTATTCTGGGGCCCGAATGCTGAAAAGGTCATGGGAAGCCTTGATAGTGGTAAAGGGCTGGCTGAGCAATTGATTGGAAAGAGTGCGGATGGTAAATGGAAGGATGTTCAAGAGCTTGGCGCATTTGCACATGAGCACAGCCCGAACTGGCAGGATGCAAGTACGCAGAAGCAGTGCGAGGAGTTTGATAAATGCTTGGGCAGCCCTGAAAAGCTGGCAGAGGTGACGGGAAGCAAGGCTCACCACGTAAGCGCCACAACTCTGGCTTCGCTCTCGAACCAGCACAATACTGATTGTCCGAAAAGCGGTTCAGTGGGCCCCAGATCATGCGCTACCGTCAGAAGTACCCCGATCACTACGCGAAGACGTCCCGGATTTCTCTCGTGTCCTCTTTCATCTCGTCTGTTTTTCTGGGAAAGGTTGCCCCCATCGACATTAGCGATGTCACTGGAATGAACCTGTGGGATGTCCACAACGGTAAATGGCATGAGGACTTGCTTACCCTCTGCGCCGGTGGGGCTTCCGGTGTTGCTTCTCTGAGGGAGAAGCTTGGCCATGTTTTCGAGGACGGTGGTAGGTCATTTGGTGCCGTCAGCCCATATTTCGTTTCCCGCTATGGCTTCAGCAAGGACTGCAGTATCCTCCCAGCCACGGGCGATAACCCGGCCACGATCCTAGCTCTCCCTCTTAGGGAGGGTGACGCCATTGTCAGTCTTGGAACGAGCACGACCTTCTTAATGAGCACGCCCGTGTACAAGCCCAACCCAGCATACCACTTCATGAATCACCCAACCACAGCCGGCCTGTACATGTTCATGCTTTGTTACAAGAACGGCGGTCTCGCCCGTGAGCAAGTCCGCGACGCGCTCAATGTGCTTACCGGCCAGCCCGAAAGGTCTTGGGAAAAGTACAACTCGACCGCGCTCTCGGATGCTGTTCTTGGCCAGCCCGACTCCAATCCTAAGGCCCCTATGAAGCTCGGCCTCTTCTTCCCGCGCCCGGAAATCGTGCCCAACGTCAAGGCTGGCACCTGGCGCTTCCTGTACGAACCATCGAAACTGACCACATCCTCGCCCTCCCACACCGACATCCAGGCTGCCCTCACGCCACTCTCTTCCGACGAAGACACACGCTGGGGCGGCCCTGCCACCGATGCCCGTGCCATCGTAGAGTCACAGTTCCTGTCCCTCCGTCTGCGCAGCGCCAGTCTTGTACTTCCGCAGAAGTCTGCATCTGGAGTCAGTCTCCCCGCACAACCGCGCCGCGTCTACCTCGTTGGCGGCGGTTCTCAGAACGCCGCCATCGCCGACCTGTGCGGCCAGGTGCTCGGCGGCGCCGAAGGTATCTTCCGACTCGACATTGGCGGCAACGCGTGCGCGTTGGGCGCCGCATACAAGGCCGTGTGGGGCGTCGAGCGCAAGGTGCACCAGCAACAAACTTCTTCCGCGGAGGAGCTGGTGCCTAACTTTAAACAAAAGGCCGGCGAGGGCATTGAGACGTTTGAGGAGTTCATCGAAGCGCGCTGGGATGAGAAGAGCTTCGTGAAGAAGATTGCAGAGGGCTACCGCGAGGGCGTGTTCGAAAGGTACGGGGAGGCTGTTAAGGGGTTCGACGGCGTGGAGAAATGGGTGTTGGAGAGGTTCGGGGAGGAGTGAACACGATTCTTCTCGTGTGAGTGAGCACGGAAAGCGAAGACGAAAGATGCAAAGAGAGAGGGAAGAGAGGGGGGGGCGAAGAAAAGGACAGGTAGGCTACGCAAGGCGACGAAAATTGCTTCCTTTCTTTGAAAGATTGATATAGACTTAGTTCGATTTAGCAATAGCTCTAGCAAAGCAACAAGGAATCTGTAATGCTTTTCTGCTACGGACTTTACAATCCCTTCCTGCAATAAGATGACTGCGACAGAATAAACGTTGATTCTTTTTCAACGCTAGTCTTGCAACCGAATTCAAGCAAGTATGCTCAATTTCTCTTTCACATCTCTTCTGTTCACATCTGCCTAAAATACTGAGGAGAGGATGCTAGCTAATACAGCGAAGGACATGGCCCTCTTGAACGCCACCCGGTTTCCGTTCATTCGTAATCTAGACGAGCAAACGATTACTTGAATTCGCCAATCGATTGAGGAGCAAGCCGCTTCGGCATGGGAAGAACAAAACACATGTAATCAGAGCGACATCCACCTCTACAAAGATAGGGACAAGTAATACAAAAACCAAAAAAACTGGGTATTTTCTCTCTCTCATGTTCTCTCTTTCCAACAGTAACAATAGATGCAAACCAGACGGAAGTGCGCGCATGTGCCAATCTTTTTTCTCTTCCATTTCCCTCTAACACTCACTTTTCATCTCCTCTTCGTAACGCCACCATTCGCCTTATTCTCATGCTTGTGCTCGTGAATATGATGCTCGTGCTCGTGATCATGCTCATGCTCATGATCACCGGGGCTGCTCTTCGCACTAACGTCGCTCGGAATGAACTCGTCCAAAAAGTCCGGGCCCTCGCGCTCCACCTCCGCCGACACGAACCTGACCTTGACGCGCTTCGCACCGCGCACCTTGGCGCCGATGCGTGCGCGCACGAGCTGCTCGACGCCGGACAGCTGGTCGACGGTCCAGGTGCTGGGCACAGCCAGCTCGAGCTCGAGCAGGTAGTTGGGGCCGGACTTGAGGCCTCCGACGCTGCGGATCTCCACGACGCCGTTTGGCGAGGAGGACGCCAAGCCGGCGTCGGTGAGGGCCTTGGAAGTCGCGCGGCGGACCGAGGACTTCATTTCGTCGTCGATGGAAACGTCGATGAGCTCGCTGAAGGCCTGGAACAGGTTTTCGTAGCCGGCCTTGACGACCATGCCGGTGATGATCAGCGAGCCGACGGGGTCGAGCCAGGCGGCGTTGGTCGCGAAGTTGGACGCCATGATGATAGCGGCCGTCAGGATGGCCGTGAAGGAGTCGATACGGTGGTGCATCGCGTTCGAGAAGAGCACGCTGGACTTCCTTTCGCGGGCAACCTTACGGGCTGTTTTTGCCTCGACGTTAGCGTTTGTTCCACAGTCAACCGGCTGCCGTCCGTCCTGGACGGGGCCTCAAAATAGGGCTGTTGCGAGGAATTGGCGGGTCAAAACGTACTCGCATAAACCAACCACTCTTTCAAGCCCGCAGAGGCAAACAGCAGCCACGCAGCGTTCAGATGCGGCACAGCAGCCGCCATATCAACGGCGCTATGGCTATGGCCGTGTCCGTGATCGCCGTGATCATGGCCGTGGCCATGGCCAAGACCGAGAAAGTCGAAATGGGCCAGTGCCTCGGCAACTTCAGGCGCGAACATCTGGCTGAGGGAGAGCACGGCGCTCCAGCCAATGCCCAAACCGCCCAGCAGCAAAATCGAGGAGACGCCCAAACTGCCCAGGCACTCGATCTTGCCGAAGCCCGTGGGGTACCGCTCAGACGGCGGCTGCAGGGCCCACTTGACCGTCAGCAATGTCATCAAATCCGAGACCATGTCCGAAAGCGAGTGGAAGGCGTCGCCGATGAGCACTATGTTGTCCAGCCCCCCGGTCAGCAACTTTCCTGGCAGAACTATGTATTCCTCCCACAATGGCAAGGGAGCTCCGAGGGAAAGCAGGGGAAAACGCACTCTTGCTGTTCCAGTAGTAGCCAGCGAAGCCCTTGCCCACGGCGAGAACGACATTGAGCAACAGGCCGAGGCGGGTGATGCGGACGGCGGCATCATTCTTGTCGCTGCTCAGCAGCAAGGCAGGATCGGTGCCGTGGTGATGGTGGCCGTGGCCGTGGCCGTGGCTGTGGCCCATGTGCTCGCGGGTCTGGGTTGCGCTCATGGCAGGATTCAGCTTCCGGAGGCGGCGCACGCTGGGAGGACGGGCGGCGAGGGAGGAGCAGCAGCGCGGGCAATTGGGGGCGATTGGCGGGCGGGTGGGCGGCGGGGACAAGGCGATGGCGGCGGATAGGGCGGGATAGGCGGCGCGAGCGGGGGAGGAAGTCGACGAGGAGCGAGCGAGCTGCTTAAACAGCGCCTCGGTGGTGGGTGACAAGAGGGAGGTCGAGGCGCAAGACGAACGTGGCCCTCCGCCGGCCATCACTCGCGGCCGGTCCCACGGCCGCACGACGCGTAACACGGACAGGGACGACGCGCCATTGCTGCGGGCGATGCGCGCGAGCATAAGGGCGAGACGAGCTGCTAGCGACGGATTCCAGCGATAACCCCCAGTCTGGCCTGCGTTCGGTTGCTGCGCTGGAGTTCACAGCTGCGGTTTGCGGACAAGATTCTGACAGGGCCCGGCGGGAAGCAGGCCGCCGCAGTGGTGTGTACTCGGTGCATTCGTCATCGTTGCCCTTTACGGCCGGCCTTCGCTCGGCGACCCTCCTATTTCTCTACTCCTCTAGCCCGTCCCCACTCGCGCCGTCGAATGGGAGCCGCTTCGAAATAAGCGCGAAACTGCTATATTGCGACGCTGCTGGGGGGCGCAGTGCTTGGCGTCCGCTCGCCAAGCTCCGGGAAGCAATGCATGGCGCGTCTTGTCTACGCAAGCTGTGTGTTTAGCCGCTCCCTGCTCATCTCCCAGGTGTGTCGCAGAACGAACTGTCTTTTCCTTTCGTCTATCAAGTACAAAAAATGACAAAACGCAACGCCCAAGTCAGAAGGCCTTCCGCCAGTCCCACCCGTGGTATATGAGGCAATAATACAACAACAACCAACAAAGGAAATACACAAGAAGACTCGTTAGGCAGCGCCACGACACAGCCACCTCAGCTCGCGTGGTGGCCTGGGTGCGGCTCGGGCGAGAGCATCGACTGGATCGACGGCCCGCCCCTCTGATTTGGTTGGAAGCCGGTAGTCGGGCTGGGTTGTGGCTGTTGATGGTCCGCTCCGCCCTGGCTGGGGCCAGCCTCGAGCGACGACGAGTAGTCCTCTACCTCGTTCTCAGCATCCGAGTATCCGATGCCGCTGTCGCCTTCGTAGTAGTTACCTCGTCCGCCATCGCCCTCTTGATTGGCCCGCTCCTTGCGCTGTCCGGCCCGGTGCGCTGCCTGGAGGTTCTTGAGCCCGCGTTCCATGCACTGCCAGGCGACGCGTTAGTCAACTGCTGCGTGAGGCGATCTGCAAGACATACCTTGGCTTCGACAGTAGCCCACTTCTCGCCCACGCGCTCGGCCAGAATGCTCCACATCTCCCTCCTAACGTTCATGTATTCGCGCGCCAGCACCTCGAGCTTGACGCCGTCCAGATCCCGGGCGTTTTGCTGCTCCATGAGGCGTTCGTGGCGCTTGCGGCATGCGTTGTGTGTCTTATACGGGAAGTACTTTGCCGCAATGGGCTTCCAGCTGAGGCCTGCTTTACGTGCCTCCATGAGGCGCTCGTCGTCCGAAGGCGGCCATTGCGCAGCCCCCCGGGCTCCCTTGCTGGATTCCTGCGTGGGGAGGGGGACTGGCTGGACCCGGTGAGGATGAGACTGGGCTCTGAGTTCTTTCGGCATTTTTGGTGAGGATTAGGATTATAGGGCGAGGTGTATTCAAGGCCGCGAGCAAGGAAAAGACCAAGGAAAAGGAAGTATTGCTTGAGAGGCATCTGGAGGAGGTTGAGGCAGGGCTTGCGCCCCGGTCTTCATATACCAACATGTGCGGCACAGTTGGAGGCATCGACTGCTCGTGGCTGCGCAGCATTCCAATGGCCTACCGTCGTCGGGGCGCGTGGAACGCTTTCCGGGTCGATTAGTCGCCAATGCGGCTCAGAAAGAGCTCGTTTTGGAATTTAATCGCCATTTGGGCGTCTGAAACTCGAGTACATAGGCGCTCCGTCGAAAAAGCGGGATGCCTGGGGCATGCGGCCCTGTGAGTGGCCGGGCGGGCGGTGCGGCCGTCGTCGAGGTCGCCAGAACGGCCCAGGCAGCAGGGGGCTGTTTTTAGAGAGCGCGCGTATAGGTTTGGCTGCCGAAGCGGGCCGGCGGCTATCTTGGGCGGGCGGCTAAGGCTGGACGGCGGCTTGTGAGTGGCCTCGCGGGCGGCGACCCATTGTTTCCCGTCATTCTGCAAGGGACCAGATCCTCGATGGTCATTGCTTGCTGGATAGGGCTGAGACACAGCGGCGTCCTCTGCGGTGGTTGCGCGGCGGACCAGTCGCGTTGGGCGACGAAGCGCGACGGGCCAGTTCTGCAGCTGCTGAAACGCAAATTTGACGCGCTGCCGGCGCCGCGGTAGGCCGTGGCTGCGAGAGTGATTCAGGAGGCGCGCGTAGAGAGCGCTGCGATGCCGCAACGGGGAGGCTAAGCGAACGGGAGTCCGTCTCCGCGCCCGCAGCCGCCCCACGCCTCCCGCTCCCGCTCATTGCCGCGACACTTTTCTTCACGCCCCAAAATACTCTCGGCAGCACTTCCACGCGAGATCGTGCCGCCGCTCCTCCCGCCAAGCCATCTGCCCTCGAAGACGTGATAAGCGCTCGGATCAGTTGCGAGCCCGCCTGCCACCGAGCCGCCCCGCCCGTGGGCCGACCCGCGAACTGATGGCCTGAGATTCGATCGAGACTCTTCGCCCATCAATGCCCCTGCAAGCGCCTCCACGGTCATTTTCGTCTTCTTCACTCCAGTTATCAGTCATGTGCCATTCTCCCCATCCCCGCTCGAGACTTCGCCCAGAAATTCCAATACGTAATGGAGGCTGATGTCGCACAACGCCAAAGCGCGGCGCTTCCATCTGCCGAGCTGTAGCTGCATTCCACCCGGTTTCTGACTCAACACGTGGTCGGTTGCTCAGCATCCCTTCGCTGGGGAGCAGCATTGGCGTAAAAGTAAACCCACGGTCATTTGACAATTGTAAGCAAGCAAATTCCAGTGTCACGATAGCAAAGTGTTTTCACGTGGCCACGGAGAGTTCACAAATTGGGCACAGACCAGGGGAATTCTCGAGCTAAACATGTGTGTCGTTTGGAATCCACATTTGAGGGCTGAGTGCGTGCTAAACTTATTCCAGGCAGTCGCTATCTTTCTGAACATGTTTCTCCATCGCCCCAGCCGTGCTAAACATATCCGTTGAAACCATACCGACTGCAGTTGCACCCTCTCACAAGGGTTTCACAGCACGCCTACACTGCTACCTCGGCCGTACAGCCCGGTATCTGCTGCGTGAATTGCTTCTATTCTGGGACGTGCGTCCTCGATTTATCCTATCTCTCGCCATGGCCGCTCACGCTACCAATCCTGATGCGACGAGTACCATCACTGTCGGCAGTGTGCTCCGGCCTGTCGGCGTACCTGCAGTCTGAGCGCCGTGTGACATTTCGCCGTTGTGGGTGCATTGGCCATTGCAACCCTAGCCTGGACGAGGTTGCGACGATTGCAGCTTCGATCAATGCCGCAAACGACGGCAGGATCAAGGGGAAGGTTGTCGAGAGTCTGAAGAAATGGGAATGCATGAACATTGGCAGGTCTGGATTTGGCCTGGCGGCTGCGCCTTTGGTAATTATCTGGTGCGCAGTAATACTCCTTAGCAGGTAGTACCCCACACAGCTGTGACCGGCCCCGTCGTGTAACTCTTCAACGCCTCGCCGTCATTCCGCTCGCAGAAAGCCAGAAATACCAGGCTTTGGACAACTATCCGCCGGCTCCGTCGTTGCTAGAACCACGTCCTAGCCACACATCTTGCCCAATCAGGAAAGCAGCTGGGAGATGCCCGCAAAAGCTCGCCTGCCTCCTTCACTGCACACCACCTTCATAGAAATGGTTCACGACCAGCTGCGCCCTGCGCCCGCCATCAAGAGGTTGCACATGGAAGGCATGCCTTCATCTTTCGGAAGGGACGGCTGGACACGCGCCTGATGTCATTACACCGCCGACTGCCTTTCTCTTCTCATATTTCACCAGCCCCCGCCATCGCTTTCTCTTTGCATTGCAGCAACAGACTTCCTTACTTCACCACATTCAAATTGCCTTGCTTGCCAGCTTCTTCACCTATTACCCGAGTCCTGTCACTCTCCTATCAACATGAAGTTAAACCGAGCATTGGCATTTGGCTTTCTCGCCTCGGCAGCAGCGTAAGCCATTCCTTCCTCACTATCGCACCGCGCTGAGTGCCTTCACAGCATCCCTCTTCTGAAGCGCGATTACGCAATCGGCACAGCTCCCGTCCGAGGTGCCAACATCGGAGGCTGGCTCGTGCTAGAGCCCTGGATCACGCCGTCAATCTTTCACAATTCGCCGGCTGGCGTGGTTGACGAGTACACGTTCAGCCAGAATGTTTCCAATGCAAGGGACATTCTAAGGGCCCACTGGGACAACTGGGTCACCCTTGTCGACTTCCAAAAGATTGCAGACAATGGTTTCAACGCTGTCAGGATCCCCATTGGTAAGATTGCGCTAGTGCGTCGCATTCACTTGTTTCAACGGCTGAGCGGACTGCAGGCTACTGGGCGTTCAAAAAGTATGCGGGAGAACCCTACATCCTCGATTCCCAACAAGCTCACTTGGACCGCGCCCTTGAATGGGCGCGCCAAACCGGCCTTAAAGTCTGGATCGACCTGCACGGCGCGCCGCGCTCGCAGAACGGTTTCGACAACTCCGGCCGACTCACCGACACGCCCTCATGGACCAGCGGTGACTCGGTTGCGGCGACGACGGAGGTGATTCGCATGATCGCGAACAAGTATGCCGCGCCTTCCTATGCCGATGTCGTTGCCGCCATTGAGCTGCTCAACGAGCCGCTCATGTCGAACCTGCCCGGCGGCCGCGCTGCGACGCAGGCCTACTACCAGACGGGGTTTGACGCGGTGCGCGCCGCAGCCGGCAGCGATGGCACCGCCCGGGTCATTATCCAGGACGGTTTCGCCAGCCCGCCAACGTGGAACGGCTTTCTGGCGGGCGAGGGCTTGGCTGGCGCCGTCGTTGACCACCATGAGTACCAAGTCTTCACCAATGAGCTGGTCGCGCTGAGCCCGCAGCAGCACGTTGACGCCGTGTGCGGCAACGCGAAGACGTGGGCGACAGGCCAAGACAAATGGCTCGTTGTGGGCGAGTTCACTGGCGCAATGACGGACTGTGCACCTGCTCTTGTAAGCATCCTAATCTTTTTTTCTTTTCCTATTCCGATCCCTTGCCCTCCTCTCCCGTCACCATGTTAGGGAACCACGTCCCTTGCATTAGCCCCACATAGCACACCCAAGCCACCGCCGCTCCACCAAAAGACACTAACAGACTTACCTAGAACGGCTACGGCGTCGGGGCCCGCTACGACGGTACCTACAGCAAGCGCAACGCCGACGGCAGCTACACGAACTCCACCTCGCACGGCACGTGTGCTCACATCAACTGGATCAACGACTGGACCGAGCAAAACAAGACCGACACACGCAACTACATCAACGCTCAGCTCGACGTCTTCGAGCAGAGAACACAGGGCTGGTTCTGGTGGAACTTCAAGACCGAGGCCGCCGCCGAGTGGGACCTGTTCCGTCTGCTCGACGCAGGCATCTTCCCGAAGCTCGAGGGAAGGCAGCGCAAGGTGACGTGCTAGAGCGCGAGTGATGGTGGGAGGGAGAGTATTTTATGGCGGACATACGTAGTAGCGTCGAAGGGGCATCTCATAACGTTGGCTGGAGAAAAGGATTACAGTTCGGAGTCTGGGAGTTGGTGCAAGAATCTAATAGTTCACTGGCATGTCATATGCATCACCACAAGTTTAAAACAGCAGTCCTCTTGTCGTAAGTTTCAATACCTGGAAGGTATAATACATCGTTGTCTGCATTTACCATCCTTCGGTGTCGCCATGTCGGATTTTACCTCGGCGAACCCAACGCTGAACCATATCAAAAATCAAGGGAAGCCGAGCAGAATGGTGTTGTACCCACTATTTAATTCTTTCCTTCTCCATCTTCTGCTTCTTTCCTTCTCTCCATAATCCTACTGTACACAAAACCTTTTTTGTATCATACCCTACCCGGGAGAAAGCTATCGGAGGGGAAATTTTTACCCAGTGTCTGACTGACTGTCCACTCTACTAGGCCATTCAATCCGCAAAAGCTTGAAAAAGAAAAGGGGAAGAAAAGAGCCATCAATCTTTTCCCATCATCCCATTCACCCACCCCATGCCATGACGCTTGCCAAGAAGAAAAAAGATCAGAAGCCAAAAAAAAAAAACAATCCGCTGGCTCAAGGACACCTTCACTCACGAGTGATAAAAGTGAGAAGCTCGGGACCGCAAGTCAATCCAGTACTCACTCTGATAGAGAGTCAAAGCACTCCCAACCAACTCCTCGTGCTGTCAAAATTAAGCCCCCGGAAAACGGGAAAGGCTTGGAAGGCTTCTTCACCCAAACCCGCCCAAGAAGGGGAAGAAGGACAAATTCATCGAGAACAAAAAGCCAAAAACACAGAGTCCGCTGATGTGATTGAGCTTGCGTTTCCCTTGAGGGTAGGGAGGGAATAGAAGATGAGTAGGAGGCAGAAGTGGTAGAACAACCACAACCAGGTCATTATTACGCCTTGTTCTGCTTGTCTTGGCTCGGCGGCCATACCTTCTGTATCTCCTCGATGTCGCGAATCGTCTCGTTGAAGGCGGTCGACGCACAATCGATGACGCGGATACGGTTCCACTCGCCGCGATCTCTCCACACAGCCGCCATCATCGCCGCGTTGACCTGCTCGAGCTGCTCCACGCTCAGCCCGGAGCTGCGGTGCACAAGTTCGTCGTGGAACCGCGCGAGATGCGCCTCATCGAGAATCAGCTGGGGTTCGGCTTGTTGCTGATGCTGCTCATTGGATGACGATGAGTTGAGGAGTGAGCCGATTTTGGGTTCCTGGCGTGCAGGCGGCATGAGTCCGCCGCCGTACAGGTTTGATTGCGATGACTGCGATTGCTGCGACTGCTGTGAGTTGCTGAGCTGGCTGCTGGCGAAGGGTTCTTGTGTGTCGGGTATCTGAGAGCCTCCAGACTGTGCGGGACCCGATGCGAAGTCGGGGTGCTGGCCGGGGGCGACACCGTTGACGGTGCTCTGGGTATTTGTGAAATGCGCTGAAGATCGATCTGACGTTTTCTGGCCTGAAGTCGTTGTGGACGCGCTGTTCCGGTAGTCACCGGGTTGCGTGTTGGGGGCCATCTGGGTGTGACCCGATTTCTGCGACCGAGTGGCGGTCTGCGTGTTTGGCGCGCTCTGTTGAGTGTCGTCGTCAAGTTTCTGCCGCTTGTCCCGATGCTGCGAATCCTGCTCCTGGCTGTCTTCCAGATGAGAGCTATCTTCGCCGTGGGCGCCTGACCCATTGCTCTGGCGCTTGTGGCTGTCCGTCTGATCCGACGTTGAGAGTCCGTTCGAAAGCGAGCTGGGCCCAACGTGGTAAGATGGTGTGATAGGAGGCACTTGACCTGGGGTAGGATCAGACTCATCAAGGATGATAGGGCCCGTATTGTCTGATGCGGCCACGTGGGTCTCGTTGTCCTGAGGCGGAGGAACATTGGCGTAAATCCGTTGCGCTGGGCGGTTCTCCTCTGCCGCTCTCTTACGTTCTTCCTCCTCCAAAGCCTTGAAGCGCTCCTGCTCCCGCTTGTACACATCTTGGCATGCACGTACGAGGTCCGGACTGTTGAGCTCGATTGCCATGGTGTCGACTTCGACATTAGTCAATATCTCATCGGCCTTGACAATGAGATCTGTCTTCCCCATGGTTCTCGTGTCTTTGGCGATATACTTGACATCCTCGAGGAAGTCAATCGGTCTTTTGTAATAGCCGTTGGCGATGCGGCGCTCGATTTGGTCGAAGCCCAGGTTGTAGTAGAAATTCCCAGTCGCTGTCTCTACTAGACCTCTGACTCCTCTGGAATCGTAGCCGAATTCGTACGGCCTGTACTCATCCGGGCGTTGCTCCACGGGAACATCGCTGGTCAGGATCCGTGGATCTTCTTCCCTCCAGAGGTACTCAAAATCTTTCTCAGGAATGAGACCATCTTTGAAGCGCCTGTACTTGTTTTTCAGCTGCTCCATGATCGGGTGGAATCTCAGCTTCAGAAGTTGCAGAGTGTAGCGATCTCGCTTTTTGATAGCTTTGAGATCGGCCTTTGTAAGAGGTTTCGGTGCATCTGAAGGTTTGGGTGCCTCCTGGAGCTCTTCGAACTTGCGTTTCCGCCGATTGACATCGGGGAATTCCTTCGGTGGCTTCCGGATGTAATCGACAACATTCTGGAAGTACTCCTTGCGAGCCTGCTCATTAGGACGCTTCAGCTCGTACTGGTTCTTGAGTGAGTAGCCAAATAGGTCTTTGAGCATTTGCGGGTCAATTTTCTCGTCCTCATGCTGCTCCATGGTCCCCAGAACAAGCACCGGCTCGTTAGCCGGCATGGTGCGAAGGAGGCTTGTGAAGATGCTGACAACATTTGGGCCAACTGTTTCGTACCACACATCAACCTGAGGGATGTAGATGACTGATGGCTTGTGAGTGCGCACTTCCTTGAAAAGCTGCACCAGGGTTGCCTCTGCCGACTTGTCTCTGTCTCCAAGTAGATTTGAAAGGTCAAACGATTGGACGTGCATATTGTCGAACCTGTGCAGCAAAGCTGATCCGATTTCCTGCTGGCCCATCCCTTCAAAACCGCGAATCAGGAGTCTGGGTCGGAATACTCTGACCTGTTCGAAGTCGAGCTTGATGTTCTCGCGCTCAAAACCGAAGTCATCGCGGTCGTCATACTGTGCCTCCTCGAGCGCCGTTAGCTTCTTCTTCGGTGGAATAAGATCGTCGATGATTCGCGCAATTTCCTCCAGAGCGGGCTTCAGAAGCGGGGCAGTGGCCTTCTTCAAAGGTGCTGCGCCGAACGAAGTTGAACGCTGTGATGAGGGCACGATCTTGTTGACTGATATCATGAAGTCCTTGGCTGAAACTTGGATGCTGTCGACGTCGAGAAGTAGCTTTTTGTTAGACTTGTAGACCTGTGGGAACGTGCCCTGGATGGCATTGACTGCAGCTTCAGTGCAGAGGGCGCGAAGATCAGCACCCCCGTAACCCTTGGTCATCTCGGCCAGCTGGTTCTTGAAATCTTCCGATAAGGGCGGGCTCCAGTTCTTGGTATGGATGCTTATGATGGAACGACGGGCCTCATGGTCAGGAAGTGGAAAGTAGAATTCGCGGTCGAATCTACCCGGTCGACGCAGGGCCGGGTCAACGTTGTCGGGACGGTTGGTAGCACCAATGATAACCACCTGTCCGCGATCATCCATGCCGTCCATGAGGGCCAGGAGGGTTGCGACAATAGAGGCGAGCGACTGCTCGGATTTGCTGGACCGCACGGGTGCAAGTCCATCAATCTCGTCGAAGAAGATGATGCTTGGCTGATTTCTGCGAGCGTCTTCGAAGAGCATGCGAAGCTGGCGCTCAGCCTCTCCAACCCATTTGCTAAGTGCGTCGGCGCCTTTGCGCATGTAAAATGTAACCTTCTTGCCGTCGGTGCTGAGAGCATTGGACAGAGCGCGCGCGAGAAGAGTCTTTCCGGTACCAGGGGGGCCATGGAACAGCACACCGCGCGGCGGGGTGATCTTGAACTTTTGGAACATTTCGGGATAAAGAAGAGGCAATGTGACCATCTCCTTTAGCTGGTTGATGTGGTTGTCTAGCCCCCCAACGCTATCGAAGTTGACCTCCTCGTCAACGGTGATGGGGTTAACATCCGCATTACCTCCTTCTCCGATCTTGCCAAGACCGGCGGGCCCGCCGCGGAAGCCTTTGTCGGGAGTCTGACCCAGCTGTAAGATGCTACCGGCGACCGACTTGGGTGCGTTCCCGCTTCCACGGGGTCCCCGTTGGCCACTCTGGTTAATGTCGTTGTCGTCGCTGCTATCTGAGTCCAAGTCGCCGACCTCGCCAAGGTAATCGTGATTTTTCGGTACGCCTGTTGTGATGGTTAAATCCGCTTCAAGAGGCAACTGTAAAGCCATCATACCAAGTAGAGGTTCCTTTCCTCCGAGTCCACCGAATGGTCCAGCAAGGCTATAGAGAGGTCGCCACCCTGCTACTGCTGCCTTCTTGCCTTGCGATGGAGCTGGTGCACCGGCATCTTCGCCGTTTTCTTCATCCATCCTATAGAGATCGGGAAGTGTCATCATTGTGTAGTTCTTGTTTGGATCCTTTCGACGAAGAGAACGCTTAATACTCGCTTCGTCTGCTAGACTGGCGCGGTTTGGCCGGGTTTGACGGTTGCGCCTCTCGTCATGACGAAGCTCTTGAACCTCATCTCTGATCTCGTCGACATCCAGCTCTTCATCGGACACAGAATTGTTCCTGCTGCGCTGAGATGACTTCAGTCTCTGTGACTTTCTGCGGGTCGTGCTCTCATCGCCGGAGCTCTTCTGGCGCTTGGATGGTGGTCGTTCGGAGTCCAGGTCGTCATCTTCGGATTCGCCATGTTTGTCGTCGTCGCCGGGGTCGAAGTCGTCGCTGCTATCGTCCGCATTGCGCCTTTGAGATGCGCGCGCCGCATTTGTCTGTTGTATCTGAGTTAACCCCAACCCTTTGAGCTCTCTTTGGGAAATTCTTTGGTGTTTTGGGATGTCAAAAGTGTCGCGCTTGGGCTTGATGCTCTTCGCCTCCTTGGCTGTTGCCGAGGGAGCTTTGCGCTTCTTGAATTGTTGTAGTGCTGCAGTGGCTGCTTTCGGAAGTTGCTTTCCTGCTAATGGAGAAGAGTTGACACCTACTTGTTGGGTTCTGTTACGAGTCCTCGTTACGGGACCCTCGTCATCCTCATCCTCATCCTCTTCGTCATGCTGCTCGTGTTCTGACTCTTGAATCACGGCCTCACCTGACTGAGCGTCTTCAATGTCTTGTCCTTCATAGCGAATCTCTGACGTAATAGATGCAGCTTGGCTAACTTGCACCTCTTCTTCAGCTTCTTCCTTGGGCTGCAGCGGGTCGGGGCTTTGGGCTGACTGTCCGGACGCTTCTTGGGAAGCTTCCATAATGGTGCTGGGCCGCTTCATTGGAGCCTTGCGACCCTGAGCGGGCCTCGCGCCGGCGCGTCGCTGAGGTGAGTGGCTGCCTGCAATTGAACCAACAGACCTGGCTCTGCCTGAATATCCCAGCTCTTGCAACGGCTCCTCCCGATCCTCGGAGAGACGCACGCTCCTCCGGGTCCTCACATTCGATTCTGGCTGCACCGACTTACTTGCTGCACGAGTGGACCTTGCACGCGTGCTTCGCGTGTTCTGCTGGGGAAGTTTCTGCAGGTTCACCTTCAATACCACTATACGTGACTTCTTCTGCTTGCGCTTGTCACCGGTATTCCGCTCAGTGGACTCCACGACCAGGTCGTTGTCTTCGATATCTTCGTCGGCACTCTCTTCGTACTTGATGTTCTTCTTCGCAGCGTTGCGGGCAGGGCGACCGCTAGCATTAACTTCCGGTTCCTCTTCCGATTCAAGGTCGTTGGCTGATGCATATGACTCCTCACTTATCTCATCATCATCGTCAACAATGTCATCATCCGAGCTGCCATAGTCGTGTCGCGCGCGCTTCGAGGTCCTCTTGCGGGCCGGGGTTGACTTCTTCTTCTTCGAAGGGCGACGCGGAGGTGATGACGGGTTCTCCTCGAAGTCGGAGTCGTCTGGATCCGACGCGTTAGGATCGAAGTTCTCCAACTTCGACCTTGAACCCCTCATGATGAAGGCGCATGCGATGTAAAAACAAGACTGCGGGGGACGAAAACCCTCTGTCAAGAGACGAACATCAGCTTGACTGTCGAGGCGGGCAGCATAGACCAAATCGCATGCGGAATGGAGGACAGGCAGCAGCAAGCTTACAGGCAGGCAATGTGCTGAGCGGGGTGTAGTCGCGGTCTGGTAAGATAGCGGCACGCTGCTGTTGGGGGCGAAGGCGATTGCGACCGGTAGGCGCGCAGCTGAGGCGTCGGCGGGTGCTGCACGAGGACAGGATGCGACGATGCGACAGGCGGACGTGGGCGGCAGAAGACTTGCGCGCACAGTAACGCGGCGACAGGACCGCAGGCGTTGTTGGAAGTGATGCAGTGCAGCGCCAGGCGAGAGGGACCGGGTGGGCGAGGAGAGCTGCGGTGTTTTGGGTTCGTGTTCAAGGCGCCCGTCGCGGTGCACGGCGGTGCCAAGACCCGCTTACGCCGACGCGCGCGGGCCAATCAGCGCCGCCAAAACATCAACAACCTCTCTCGTGCGCGAACGAGCGCCCTTATGCCATCACGACGCACCCCTCTGCGGCCGCTGCAAAAGTGCTGAGAGCAGGTCGAAACCGCGCGCAATGGGCTTGCCGCATCTCCGCGACTCGATTCCGGGCGGTTTCAAGCGCCGCAAGCCCGCGCTCAAGCCCGCGCCCCGAGTCTCCTAGACGACCTCCCCGTCTTTCTCAGGCACCCTAGCTGCCGTCGATCGGCTGCAGGAACCGTTGAGGCTCAAAACCTTAACGCCGTTAAGCTCCTGCCAGCTGGTGCGTCCTTCTTTGTGGGGAAGCACGTGCACCTGCTGTGCCCGACCCGCCGCATCGCTCTCGCGTGTTCCTGCGCTCCGTTCCAAAAGCGAACACACAGCTTCCTCCACACACATGCGCCCAGCGCCCGTCTTGCCTGCAGAACTTGTCGCTATCATCATATCTACATTGCGGTCGTGCTAATTGCGCATGGGACGGCTCCGCGCTGCAGGCTTCCCGTCGCAATATCTTACAACGCTCCCAACACACGCTTGCGACCGACGTTGTGCATTTGTAGCAGCGCTCGTAGTGTGCTGTTGACATCACGAGTTTGATGGTGTGGTGATGAAGTGGTCCTGTGCCGGTCGTTTGGAACGGCGGCGGAGACCTGAGCGCAGTGGCTCTCTTTCCTCCTCGTACGGACCTCTTTTCGCCGAGATTTTCCCGCATGTTCCAGGTTTGGCCTGCAAATCCACACCCTTACTCCCGACCCGAAATCCTTCTTTCTCGATCAAGTAGCATATCGGAACATGCTCAATTCGCAGCTGATTTCGCTTGACGATGTGTTGTAGTATGAGTGTGCCTGGTCGGTCTAGCACCAGCGCAAGCGTCGGGTTCGTCAGGTTTCAGCTTGCTATCAGCTAGGCTAGTAACTCAATACGAATGTCTCAATATGAATGAACTCTTCGATGTATCACTGGGGATAGCAAATAGCGAGTAGAAAGTCCAAGGTCTGTCGTTCTTGCACGCGCACCAAATCAGCACGAAGGGGGACTACTTAGCGTTGACATCACAACGTGCTACGCCGAAGCTCAAGTGCAAAACTATCACCCACTTCTCCTCTTTGCTGTATGCATGGGTGGCTTGTTCATTGATTTCACATTTTTAAGGGAGTGCAGAGCACATCGCCAATTCTATGCTAGTCCGTTCATCTGTTTTACATTTACAGATAAGGAATTACAAATTTAACGAATCGGGATCAATTTATCAAGGACTAGAAATCATCAGTCAGACGTGTCGAGCTGTGAGGAACCACGTCACTTACCGAGTCCATCCAGGAACATTTCGCCTGCGCAGTCAACCTTGGCTACCGCTTCATCTCTAATCCTAATCTTCACGAAACCTTCTCTCATCACTGACATCTTGGTGTAGATCATGATGGTGTATACCGATCGGCTAACCCATCTACCTATGGCGAGGAACGGCTTCAGCAGCATTGGATCATCCGATCGCGGCATTCTTGAGTCCACGACAGCTTTCCTCGCTACGGCGTACTCAACGGTAGTGGCAGCAATGCTACCGTCAGCCGTAACCTCGGGCGGCATGGCATAGAAGACCTTATCCTTCATGCCAGGCAGGCGCATGATCTCAATGCGCAGGGCCACTGTCGTCTGAGTACCGAGTTTAGGTATAGCAGAGATCGACCGGACTACACCCAGGGGTGCTGCCACCAGCCAAGAACCTATACAGGCCCAGAAGACCGCAATGAAGCCAAAGGCCAACGGGACCCAGCTAGCAATCCCATTCCTGTCTCTCGCCTCCTTCGAATCACTGAAGAAGAACCGGTACGACGAAGCAGCAGCACCGAAGCAGGCGAGTCCAGCGACGTAGCACACGATTCGAAATGCCCCTTGGTTTGGTGCCGAGTAAAGAAGCGTCTCCGAACCCTTTTCCGCCAATGTCCGCAATACATAAGACAGTTTGTCTTTGGGCTGGTATGTTTTGGCGACGGCTGCCGGAATGGCCTTGGGCCGGGGGGCTGCGACGCTGGGCTTGGCCTTCGTAGAAGCAGCGCGAAGTGTGCTCGATGTGAAGAAACGGAGGGTCGCGAACGGACTTGGCTGAGTGGCACGATATTGGAAGGCAGTAATGCGAGAAAACGGCGATCTGGCGAAGGGGGCGGCCCCTCTGAAGCAGGTGGCCATGGCTGCTGCGCGGAACCAGTCAATGCGACGTTGCTCAGGCGGGAACGGAAGCCATACCGGGCGCGAATGGGGCTGGGCGCGCAGGTGGCAGAAGCGCGTCGGCGGACAAAAAGTGCAGCTCAACGGAGATCAGCTCCCCGCCGCGCTCCGACGCGGAACCGTCGTCGTCGTGCGCCGCCGGGATTTTCCTAAGCACCGCCGTCCCAACACTCCGACGGCTCAGCACCGCTCTCTCGACCCTCGCCAGCTCCGCCCTCCGCACCCACGCCCCCCAAGCTCAACTCCTGTGAGGCATTGCTGCCTCCAAGGTCACCATGGCCTCGCTGAGCGCTGCCTGCAGGCTGTCCGCCCGCGTCGCGACCCGCCAGCTGCCCCAGAATGTCGTCCGCAGAGGTCAGCCTCCGCCATCCCATCTTTGCTGACAACCACTGATTTCGCTTTGCCAGGCTTCCGCTCCTCGCCCGCGAGTGCTGCTGCGCAGAACTTTCAGATGCCCGCTCTCTCCCCCACCATGACCGAAGGCAACATCGCCAGCTGGAAGATCAAAGAAGGTACGAAGCGGATAACCTGGCGCGCATCGGTCAATGGCTTGGCTGCAGGTATATGCAATGCAGAACATGTCTGACATGGAATAGGAGAGTCTTTCTCCGCTGGCGACGTTCTTCTTGAGATCGAGACGGATAAAGCGCAGATGGACGTCGAGGCACAGGACGACGGTATCTTGGCCAAAATCACGGTAAAGCAGCATCCTACGACTTCACACCTGCGCCTAGCTGACAGTTGCATAGCTGGGTGACGGTAGCAAGGCCGTGAAGGTCGGTCAACGTATCGCTGTTCTTGCGGAGCCTGGCGACGACCTCAGCAGTCTGGAAATCCCCGCTGAGGAGAATGCTCCGCAGGACTCAGCGCCAAAGGAACCCCAACCCTCGGAAGCCAAGCAGACCAGCGCCCCAGCTCCTGGGGCCGGCAAGTCGGCTGCTGCTCCTCCTGGGAAGGCCGTCAAGCAGACCTACCCTCTCTATCCCTCGGTCCTCTACGCCCTTCGTGCAAACGGCCTGTCCAAGGAGGATGCGGACAAGATTCCCGCGACTGGCCCGAACGGCCGCCTGCTGAAGGGAGATGTTCTCGCTTACGCTGGCAAGCTGTCCGAGAGCGCATATGCGTCGAATCTTTCTAAGATCCTCGCCGAGAAGGCTCATCTGGACCTCAGCAACATCAAGGCTGTGCAACCGAAGCCGTCTGCTGCGGCTCCCGCTCCCGCTGCTGCTGAGGAGCCGGTTCCTGAACCGCTCACCCAGGTCACTTTGCCTATCAACTTCAAGGCAGTTCTCGAGTGCCAGAAGCGCCTTCAAGACACTTTCGGCGTCTACCTTCCTCTGGCAGACTTCGTTGCTCGTGCTACTGAGCTTGCGAACGAGGATCTCCCCCGCTCCAAAAACGCTCAGCCTTCTGCAGACGAGCTTTTCAACGCCATTGTTGGCACGGACAAGATCCCTACAACTTCCAGGGGACAGTTCATTCCTGAGGTCTCTGCTCTGCCTACTCCCGCCTCGAAGCCCGCCAAGCCCTCCAAACAGGTCGACATCATTGACATTTTGGCCGGCAAGTCCACCAAGGCTAAGAGCGCGAAGACCACTCTGCCGTCCGCCTCGGCTGTGGCAAACCCTATTAATGTCTTTAGCGTGAGCGTGCCTAAGGGTGAGGAGAAGAGGGCAACAGTCTTCCTGGAGAGGGTGAAGGTCGTTCTGGAGACGCAACCCGGCGAGCTGGTTCTGTAAATGTTTTTTGAAACTTGACTTCTTATAGACTGAACGTTTGCTGTAGTTTAGCGGCGCGTTTGAAGGCATATCGAATACCCTCTGATTGCCAACCGCGTGGAAGGGGAGGCCCACAAAACTGCCCTGCATTTCCAAGTCCAGCTGCTCTTATGTCACTCCGCTGTCGCAGTTGAGCACGACGTGTAGAGCCTTTGAATGACTCGAATGATTTCCCTCTTCCCTGGGCTACCAAAATTCACAATGGAAACCTAGGACAGGCAACTGAGTACCCCTTGATACTCAGATAATAGCCCTGGTGAGCTACAAGCTTAGCGAGGAAATCGATGGGGAACGAGGGACGAGGGAGAGTGGAAGGTCTAGCGGGAAAGCTCTTGCCTGATTCAAAGACTTTGGTCGCCACTGGCCATTTCTCGTTAAGTACTACCTAATATGACTACAATTCAGCACGCTTGCCTAACTAGCAATAAGCAGTTTATATTCTCATTTTCTCAACGCTTACTTTTTGTGCCCTTTCACAACCGCTGGATCAATAGATGGCAAAGAGAAAAGGGGGGAAATATGATGCACATCATTATACTTGGTAGATTCTGCCAGAAGCGTAACGGAAAAGTCGCGTATCAGAAACGGAAGAGGAAATAAAGTTTTTCCCTTCGTCATAGGAGCAAGACGAGATACGTGACGTTTTCCTTTCTCCAGTTTGCTGCTTCATGAGCGCAAATGATACGAAGCCTCGCCCCTCTTTTTCCATTTGGTCGCCCTTTGACGAACAATCCAGATGTCGAAAATGATCTGAAAGACAACCGACATCGGCTTTTGCTTCTTCACCGTGATCACCGCCTCCCACCTCCATGGTCTCGGAACACCGACCCCCGCCTTTGCTTAACTCCGAGCTGATCATCATCAGCGTCGTTCCAGCTTCGCTGCAGCCCCCTGCTGCGGCCACATGAGTGGCAACGCGGCCCTAAGTTATGCTCCAAAAGTCTACCCAAAGTCTGTTCCAGAGGCGTGACCATCTTGCGTAATGCTCCTACGTGCCGAAAGTTCCGTTCGGTGGAGCAGAATACGCGTATAAAAGCTGGAACGGAACGACTGAGTGGCTACCACGTCTTTTTCCTTCGATTGTGCCAGCAACCAAGTTTCGAAAGGGAACTCCTCAAACCCACAAGCATCCCCCAGCAAACCCAAGCCATCGGAAAACAGCGAACAAAAAATGTCTCCTCCAGCCTCCAAGCCCCCCGGTCCCGGTCAAGGCCTTGACCCGAGCTGGGTCGCTGTCGACAAATACACGTTTTCTACACTGCACTCTCACACTCAGCCCAACCATGCCTTCCTCGAACGCACTCTCACCCGTTCTGCCGAAGAGGGTCTTCCTCCCATTGCTTCCTCGCCCACCCAGGGAAAATTTCTCGCGCTGCAGTGTCGATTCGGGCAAGTGAAGCATGCGCTAGATATTGGGACGCTCGGCGGCTATTCAGCCATCTGGATGGCCTCGATGAATCCGGACATGCGGGTGACCACTTTCGAGTACTCCGAACATCATGCGTCGGTGGCGCGTAAAAACTTCGAGGAGGCAGGCGTGGCGGATCGTATCGATCTACGAGTGGGCCCTGCAGCTGAAAACTTGGCCAAGCTGTTGGAGGAAATTGAGGCCGGAAAAGCAGAGCGAGTCGGCTTCGCTTTTGTGGACGCAGACAAGATGAACAACTGGACATATTGCGACTTCGCTATTAGGATGGGATATCCCGGGACGTGCATCTGTATCGATAACATCGTGCAGCATGGATATCTGGTCAAGGAAGAAGCGCAGGATGAAGAGGCGGTGAAAGGCGCACGAATTGCCGTCGAGAATGCGGGGAAAGATGATCGAATCGAATCGCTGGTGATGCAGTGCGTTGGCGAGCGTAATTACGATGGGTTCCTTATGGCCGTGGTGAAATGACGGATCGGGCGAAGTTTCGATTAGGCATTAATGCACATTTGCAAAAGATCGCAATCGACATGTTTGGATGAGAGACATTCCCACGTGGCCAACTCTGGCGCTCTCCTTTCTCCTATGCATAGGAGTGACCTTAGGTGAACCGCTGCATATCTCTGCAGTCAAACCGCTCTAGACGTTATGTTACACCCTCTGGTGCACTTCCCTCTCCCTTGCCCGAGGGGCATTCAAGTCGTAGGGGACTTCCTACGGCTGGACCAGAGTCTCGGACGCGTGAAGCATTTGTCTTCAAGTGTAGAGGGATGCTGCTAACGAACGATTCTTGCCCCGGATGAGATATGTTCAATGGCTTCTTTTGAGAGTTGGAGGGGACCGTCGTCTTGCGGTCGAATTTTGACACCGAGACTGTGACGGCGGGATTCCTCGAACATCTCAAAAAACCAGAAGCTGTCTCGGGGGCTGCAGAGGAAACACAAGGAAAAATGGTCAAGAGTGAACCGGATTTTATTTGAATTTATGCTTACCTGAATTGCGCAGAGATAGCGGAACAGATGCTCTGAGCGTGCCAGGTGATATTGGTTTCTTGGACAAATCTTCCCCAAATGGGCTGATGGATGCCTTGGGTGATTTGGGCGTATCTGTGGTCACTACCCGACCCATGAGCTCAGGAAATATATCCAGAAAATCGCGTCCGACCGACCAGTTGGTCGGGTTACAAGCATGGTCAAGAAATTCCTGTGTCAAGTAAAAGTGGCCGTCGATAGGATCTTTTTCCACAGCCAGGTCCATTCCATGTGGCCAGTTTACGGAGAGCGAGCCCGCGCACGCGGTGACCCAGTCTCGAAGATCGTCGACCAATGCTTCGCGAAGTGCTGGTCTGTCTCGAATTCATCAGTTCCTGAGCTCCATCAGATGACTTTTAGACGTACAGTGGTACTGTATCTAGCGGGGAAATGTGTGGGACCATCATCTGCATTGGGGTCGGCTTGATCAAGTCCGGCATCTTCGCATACGTCTCGGCGGTTGGATTGATCATCCACTGCCGGGGCGTCAGCTGCGTGTACCGTAGCAAGCGCAAGTGCAGGTTGGAGTACCATCATAAGTTGGGTTTGAAAATATAAACATGCCAGGCGCACAAAAACGTCGACATCTTCAAAGCTCTTGTTCATCTCCGAAGCCCACGTCGAGACGGATGGAACATCTCCCGCAGTAAGGGCTCGGTCGACAAAGAAGTATGTAACGTCGATACGAGAGAGGTCGGGCAAGGGCTTGCTGGCGTAATGCATGCGAGCAAGATTCCGGTAGTCTTGGACGACGCGTGAGAAAGGAGCATCGTCGAGCTCCCAGCACGGCTGGAGGAAATGGACTGGGATTTGGAAGTTCGAGACCTGCTGTTTCTGAATCTCGACGGGGTAATGGCCGGCCATGATAGAGCTAGAGGTAGACATATTTCCAAAGGCTTCAACATAGCCGCGGGAAACGGTCAGCGGGCCCAACCTCCGGCGCTTGTGCTGCGGAATAAGCGGCGGCAGCTCCGACTCGCCCGAAGCACTAGCCTGCTGCAGTCTTGGCAGAGGAGAGGAGGGATCGGCCCAGGGGGTTGAGGAGCGTGTAGAGCCAATGCTCTGTTCCTTATCGTCGTCCTGGCTATCGCTGGTGCGGGAAGAGGCGGCGCGCCTCCAGTCGGCGCCCGTCATCGACAACAATGGCACCTTGAAGCCCGAGTCTTCGACGGGTGGCGACGGGTACGACTGGTGGTTGTCCTCGTCGGCGATGCTGCTCAGCCTGCTGCTGGAGGGCGCGCTCGTGCGATCGGCAAGGTCTTGGACATCGGCGCCTTGCCGCAGCAGGCGAATGAGGTCGGCGGCCTCTTGGTCAGAGGCAGAGCGCAACTGGGCGACCAGGGCCTCGAGGGCGTCGGACCTGGCCGTCACCTCGCGCAGGCGGCGCTTGAGGCCGTCCTGGCGGCTGATGGTGCTGTCGAGCTCGTAGTGGCATTGCTCGTTCAGGCGCAGGCACCTGTCGCAGGCCGGGCGAGCGCCGTTGCACTCTCTCGTTCAGCGTCGCTCGCGACGGCGCGTGGGCGGGGGGCTCACCTTGGACTTGCGGCGCTTGCAGGAATTGCAGGCAATGACGGTCATGGACTTCTGGCGCTTGGGCGGGCGCTCATTGTCGAGAGAGGGCTGGGCAGAGTCGCCCATGGTGAGGGTGGATTATCGTCAGTCGCAGGGTCTGGAAGGTGGCGGCGGGGTTTGGAGGCGGAGCGGGAGGCGGCGGACGAGGACTGGAGCCGAGCTGTGCAACTGGCGGCACAGCGGCTTCACGGCGCTGTTCATGGCTCGCCCGGGGGAGGAGGTGGTGGGTCGGCGGGCGAGTTTGGGATGGTGGGCTGAGGCGGCAGCGCAAAGCGGCGCGTTGAAAGGTATCTGCACACCGAATTGAAGGGGGCGGTCTAGACCGAGTCAGCAGTGCAACGCAGGCTGGCGATCTTCTGTGCCGCGCTCAAAGCCCTCTCGACCTGCTGCTCGTGCCCCAGCTCGCGCCGCAACGCCAATGGCGCTGCCACAGGCTGTGCGCCGGCCCGCGCCGCACCGGCCCCGGCCTCCATCTGGCAGCGCAGTTGCGTGGTCGTGGTGTGGGCGTGGACGTCGGGCTGCCGAGTCGCTCTCCCCGTGAAAATCTCCCGCAGGCCTCAGCAGCCAGCGTAGCACGCCGTCCTGCAGCCCGCGCTTCTGCTGCAACGCCCGCCCAATCGACGATCCGCCAGTCTGCCGATCAGTGCGAGAGTCGCCGCGACCATGGACGCGTCGAGGCCCCTCGTCGAGCCGTGGAAAGAGGCGGAGAAGGAGCAGCCCGTGCGAACTTTATACGCGCGGAAAGGCTTCCGCCCGCTGAGAACAAGCTCCGGCCCGTCTGGACACGGCAGCCCCGCCGAGCGCTTCACTCATTGCACCGAAACGACCGCTTGAAATTCCATTGTGGAATCGACAGGCATGCATCCGAAATGCGGGGTTTGCGTTGACAACTCACCTGCATCCACGCTTGAGGCTGTCGCCTCACCATGCACAGCACGCAGATCTGCCATCTAGGCCTGGTCCTTCTCCGCATTTCTGGTTCCCATGGCATATTGATCGGGCTTTGGCCATGCGAATGTTGCCCAATACGACTGCAACCTCGTCGCTGCTCAAATGGGAAAGCGAATCGCATGCACCTTTTTCAAACGGGAAAGCATCACGAAATCGTTTCTATTTCATTCAATGTTCGTCGCCTGCTCTACTCATAGACAGAAGTGCCGAGTTCCATCACGACTGATCTCCCGTCTCTTTCAAGCAGCCAAATCCGTGCCGACAAGCTGGTCCGGAGAGAGGCTCTGGCTCTTCTAAATCCCTATGATGCAGGGCACTCCGAAAGATCGTACAGAATAATATCGTAAAAAAACATCATTACGTCAACCCCACCTAAAAGCCGCGGTTCCCTGTAACCATCGTGCGGTCCATGCCAATGCTTCCTTGCGCAGAAAGTCTATGAAGAGGCTAGACGAAAGCAAAATTGCTGGAAAGACAGTGGTGCTCACTATGCCAACACGCCCTGCTTGAGCGCAGCGATGGCAAAGTGTCCGCCGAGCGTCGGTCTAGCGCGAAAGCTCTGCGCCGCCAGGCCCACCTCGTCGCCGTCGCTCCAGTACCGATCCGAGAACGGCGCTGTGTTCTCCCCGTTGGATACGTACGCATACAGGTCATTCACGAACATGGCCTGCGTGTCCGCCTCGCTGACAGCCGCTACCCAGATCTGCCAGTCGGTCTTGGCCCACTTGATCGCGCCTTCGAGCGCAATGCCTGCCGGCTGCCGCACCGTTGGGTAAAAGTCCGACAGTGCCGTGTAAGACTCGTCCGGGAAGACGGAGAGGTTGAAGAGCTGGTCCGGGTAGGTGTTGAATACCATGAAGTATGTCGGATCTTGGTAGGTGAGGGTGAAGAACGAGGCGTTGGTCGAATCCGAGATCTCCGTGCCCAACCCATCGCCGCCCGTGTTAGTGCCGTAGATTTGGTCGGCGAAGGAGCGGCCCAGGTCGGTGTAATTGGACTGAGACGTCAGCTCGCCGTAGGCTGCCAGACCGACGGCAGCCTTTACGCCGAGGTTGGTCATGTTGGTGAAGGCACCGATGCCGTCGTTGGTGCTGAGCTGGTTGGCTGGATACAGTCCGTTGTCGGCAAGGTAATCGGCATACTTCTTGAAGAGGTCTGCGTATTCGGCCGTCCATGAGGTGTCCCCGGTAGCCTTCTGGTATGCAAGCGCCAAGATCTGGAGGTTGCCACATTGTTCGATCGGCATGGCCTCATCAAGACCGTCGTCGTGACCTGTAGAGTTTGGATAGTGGGCGCCCATGTCGTGGATGACGTACGGTTGAGGGTAGGCACCTAGGTTGCGTTAGCAAGGTGGTTGACGACATGAGAACGTTGTGGCTGCTCACCGGTTGCCAGGTAGGTCATCATGGGGTCAAGGAGGAGCTTGATGAATTCCGGGTTGAACATGTAGAAGAAAGGGAACGTGGGGAAGATGATGTCGACGGTGTTCAGGTTGCCGTTGCTCGAGATCTCCTTGATGAAGGCCCATGGCTTGCTCGTGTCGAAAGTCGAGTTGTCGATGACAATGTCGATACCGCCGTAGATCTGTCGAACCGAAATCTCCAGGATCGCAGTGTAGTTTGAGCCGCCAGACTCCTCACCGACGCTTTGCACCTGCGAGTCGATCGACTTGGACTCGGTAACGCAGTCATCGTAGACGTCGATGAAGTGGTCGATGGCATCGGCCCAGTCGGGGTTGTAGGCTCTGTAGAACGGGGTCCAAGGGTCGCCCCTGTAGTTGATGGCAAGCTCACGGATGTAGCCAATAGCATACACGGCGCTCTTTGCCGAGCTGACAGTGCCAAGGTCAAAGGCGAAGCCAGCCACGGCACCAGCCGACCAAGCCTCGGTGGTGTTAGTCAGCGTGCCGTTGGCGATGAACTGGCCGCGGACCGTGGAAGGAGAGCCAGTCTGATGCGAGTCGGCCCTGGCGCCCCAGACTGAGTAGCCCCACCGGGCCATCTCGTTTAGCTCGCCATAGGTAACCTGGTTGTTGTTCCTGATGCGGTATACGGTGGTGTCGCCGGCCGTCTGCTGAGTAAAAGTGGTGGAATCCGATTGGCCGGTCCACGTGTCGTCGATGTCGGAATAGATCTGAACAGACGGTGTGGCGCCATCGTTGCCGCTGGCCGTAACGGTCAGAAACGAAAACGGCATAGATTGGCGGCGGTAGTTGGTGGGCGACACGGGGGAGAAGAAGTCAAGTGTGATGGTGGCATCGCCGGCCGTGAGAGTGAAGTAGGTGTGGGTGGAGGTGAAGTTGCCGCCAACCACGGTAGCCGACTGCGAGCCAGACTCGGGATCAGGCACACCGAACAAATTGTAAGCAGTGCCATCGACGCGGGCGATGATGGCCCATGTCAGCTTATTGGCGTACCAGAACTCGGGCTGCGCTGATGGCAGATCCGATGACTGGTTCCCGGGGAGCCACGCTGGGGTTGTCTTAGCTAAGATGATGCAAGGAGAGGATGCGGCTCTGGGAACAAGGTGGGGAGCGATCCAATAAGTGATAGGCTTCCCGAGATGCATCTATGAACAGCTGCTAAAGACGACCTCACCCGACACTCAGAAGCGTGCAACTCCCCACCATGCCCCCAGCCAGGCCCTCGACAGCACTTACCGGACAGATACGGATTCTTGACAGCCAGCGGATACGACGGCGGGGTGATGGGGGTGAAGGTCTGAGCAGAGCTGCCAATCACAAAAAGGGAGGCCAAGAGCAGGCGCAAATGCAGTGCGAAGGACGCCATCTTCTCGTATAGAATTGCGGCAAAGCCGGGGAGAAAGCAGCAGGCGGTGATGAGCAGGCTGCCGCCACAAAGCAGCAGGAGCACGACATATTTAGTCTTCCTTTGCTCTCTAGGTTTGGCTCTTGGCGCTCTGAGGAGGGGCTCTCGCTCAGGGAGGAATGAGACATTAGCATGCCATGTGGAGCCTTTGCCGAATGCCGCCATGGCTGTGAGCAATAACGAGCTTATGCGCGTGGCAGCCAGTTAGCAGGGCTCGTTCTCCGAAAACAAACAGGGTAAGCTGCGGGCGAGGTAGGACGGGACGGGAGCGCTAGGTGTTTGCGGCAACGCTTGTTTGCACGGCGGAGATTCCTGCCTGGCGAGATCTTGGACGCTATTCGCAAGAGATGCGGTCAATGGCGTCAACCGGGGGTCAGGCGGGCCGGGCTGGCTGTTCTGTTGGGCGTGTGTAATCGAGCTGCGCGGTGGTTGAAGATGGCTAGAGCGGACGACGTGCTCAGGCGTCGGTCTTGTGTGACTTTTTGCACCCTGGTCGACGCGCTACCCCATGCTCTGGCAAACCCGGGGGGGCGGAAGTTAATATCGGGCATAATGCCGATTCCTCCAGCGTCGTCAGTAGTGGATCAGCAGCGATCAGTGCAATCTCCTCGCAGCCACGTCATGGGCCTGTTGCGTGCTCGCGACCGTCGTTTGCTAGACAAGCGCCATTGCCGTCGTCGGTGTTGAGCCACAGCCGGCGGCCGACCGCGCGTTCTCCTCTGGAAGCTTAACAAATAGGCTTTGCTGGCAGATGTATGTAAGATGATGGTGGTGCGTGCGCCCCGCAGCGCTCGGCAATTCCACGCAGCGGTCGAGGTCAAAACAAGCCGTGAGTCTGTTAAACGTAGCGCCTCAGCCATTCCCGGGTACGGCGGCGGCCGGCTGACAGCACTCACCCACTCCCCGCGCGCCGCCCTGTCCCACAATTAGCACGACCTAGACTCGGCGCCAAGAGCACGATCAACCAGGAGATTCTTGGCAGGCCCGCACAGAAACCAGTCCGCCACATACGCACCCGCTGTATCACGCGCCATAACGGCCGCTTGCAACAGCCAAGTAGCGGTATCCATCTTGTATTATTTGAGTCCACCGTATGTTGGGGTGCCTGGGGCGCCTGACCGCGCCATTCCGCCCCTACCCCGCTCTCGGGCGTTGGTGCTGCAGGTTGCTCTTTGCAGTGCTTACGCTGTACAGCTCCAATATGCACTTTTATCGAACTTCCCTTGCCTGTTCCTTTCACGGCGGCACGCGCACCATCCTTCGCCGCATGTGATGGCATGCCCAGATGTGGCGCGCTCCTGCGCATCTTTATCGGGCCCGCAGGTACAGAGGTCTCGGCCATGACACGTCGTGCACGTGAGCCTAATCAGCTATACATCAGCCTGATATTCCACATTTACGCGACACAGAAGGATATGTAAGCACAGACTTATACTCGAGGACGCTAAGAACAACTTGTTCACAAGCAATGAGCGGAACCGTGCTGCGAGGCGCGCTGAGGCAGCCTCGTCTTTTTCGGGCTCGATTTGATACGGTTGCGGCATGGAAATATAGACGCAGCGCCATCCCTGATCGCAGCCCAGTGGAAAAAAGAAAGACGGTCTGACTTACTGCATGGGAGTCCCTGCGCATCTGCAGAGGATTTCTTTTCATCAAATGCTTGACAATTTGAAAATTATTGCAAACCGTTCACTCCTTCTTACCAGCCGCAGCGGCAGCCTCCCTCTTACGCTGGAGGTATCTTTCCTTCGCGCTGCTGATGTCGCCTGCAGTCTTTCGACTCTTAGATGCGTGCTCCAGCTTTGCCCTTTCCTCGGCCTCTTGGTCGGCTGCACGCTTCGCAGCTTGCTCGAGTTGAGATTCAATCATCCGCGTCTGGCGTTCTCTCATGGCTTGCTTGCCCGACCCGCGGCCTTGGTAAGCCTGTTGCTGGGACTGAGCCGGGCGAGAAGCCGAAGCAGGTGCTGCAGCCGGCTGCTTGGGCTTCGGCGCAATGTTAAGACCGGCAGTGAGAAGCTGCCGCTTGTCCGCAACCTGGCCTTCATCGTTGATGATGACATCGACACCCTTTTCCTGCATCTCCTTGGCAAGTTCGACGTCGGTCTTCTGCTTCTCATCCTCATTCTCGGCCGGGGCTTCCACTTGGCCAGATTGGGCCTTCTCAGCTGCCGCCATGGCTTCCTGGTGTCTCTTCTCCTCGTCGTTCATCATGCTGCGGTAGAAGCCAGACATACCAGGGCCGCGCTTCTTACGCTCTTCCTCCTCCCGCTTCCTCTCCTCTTCTTCCAAGCGCAACATCTCCTCCTGCTGCTTCTTGTATGCATCCGTGACGAACTTTTCCTTATCGGCAAAGGCATCGCCCTCGGCTTCGCGCTCGCGCTGCAACAGCTTCTCCTTGGCTCGGAGCTGGTCGCGCTTGCGCAGCTCAGCAGAAGCGAGCAGGCCTTCCATGTACTTTGGCTTTCTCAGAGCCGCCTCCTCACGATCCTTCTTCTTGCGTTCGGCATCCTTGGCATGGAGCGCATCGTAGGCAGCATCGTAGTCGTAAATGCTGGAGTCCAGCGTCTCCGCCTCCTCTGCTTTCTTCCGTGACTCTTTCAGCGCGGAGAGATCACCATAGGGCGTGATCTGCGGCTTCTTCGCAGGCTTTGAGGAGCCGGCATCTTTCTTAGATGGCCTGGAAGATGAGGCTGGGTTGTCGAGGTCAAACACGCCAATCTCTTCGACGTTGTCAGCGGGTTTGGCGTCTTCGTTGTCGGACTCGTCATCGCCAAAGAGCGGTTTCTTTGGCTTCCCCTTCGCAGGTGCCTGCGAGGGCTTTTTGATGTTGAGGCCGTACTTGAGGCTTGCCATGTTGGCGAGGAAAAGTGTCTCAGCGGCGGGTCGTCGGGGTTGAAGCTCCTGCACACATTACGTAACGCGGCTAAAGGCCGGCGGGCGCACACGCCATCAGCTATGTCATTGCAGCCAGCACCGCAACTCCCTCGTCAACTGCCCCCACAACGATGACCTCGCCAGACGCCCCGAATGGCGACGAATATCGCACCGCGCGCCCCACAAAGTTCCGGTTCAAATCGAAGCGCCCACGAGACCATGATCGCTCCGACCCCTCCCACCGACACAAGCGTAGAAAGGGTGAAGATGATGGACAGCACCGGCACCATCGCCGCCACCACAGTCGGAAGCACAACCGCTCGACAACCGTGAACGATGACCCAAGCGCCTATGATGACGCCTACACCGCCACAACCCGATCGGATCAGTATATGGATCCTGATGCCGCCTTCCGCGAGTCTCTCTTCGACGCCCTTGCCGATGATGAGGGAGCTGCATACTGGGAAGGAGTCTATGGCCAGCCTATCCACACGTACCCCATCGAACATCAAACGCCTACAGGGGAGCTGGAGCGCATGACGGACGAAGAGTACGCCGAGTATGTCCGACGCAAGATGTGGGAAAAGTCGCATCAGCACATACTCGAAGAGCGCGAGAGACAAGACAAGGAAAGGCAGAAGAGAAAGGCGGATGAGAAAGCACAGCGCGAGCGGACCAGGTACATGCAAGAGGAGCATGACAGTTTCCAAAGAAGTGTGGAAGCAAGCCTGAAGCGAGGCGAAGAACGGAAAGCCAAGAAGAAATGGAAAGAGGTCTGGGCAAGATACACCAAGGAATGGGAGGATATTGCAGCTGGCACCGCGGACAATGGCCTCGCAGTCAAAGATTTGTTGCCATGGCCCGTCGAATCAGGCAAAGTCAAACACGTCTCAAAGGACGAGGTGGAGCACTTTTTCCGAAGTGTACCGCTTGGAGAGGAGGAGCTTGCCACGCAAATCAAGGCAGAGCGCGTACGCTGGCACCCAGACAAAATCCAGCACAAATTCGGAGAGCGTGGCATTGATGAGGCCACTATGAAAGCCGTCACCGCCATTTTCCAAGTCATTGACAGGATATGGAGTGAGGTGCGCGAGAGGAAGGCAAAAGCATGATAGAGTCGGCACTTTTCACTTTTGACCATGATACCCCTTTAACTTAGACTTTTCGGAGAAACCGAGCGGGCGATTGCGAAGTATTCCCCTCGAATATGAAGCTTCTGGGCTGAAAGAAGCCAACATGCTACCTATTTATGCTACAGAGTAGGTGGTCTACTTCCTCGAACATGTCACTGACTCGTTGACTGCATGGTGACAAGCAGTCACCTCGAAGCTTATTGAAGTAATCCATACTTTCCCAGAACCAAACAAGACGCAGGAAAATTCGTGCCGACACTCAATCCGCCTTTTTGGCCGTCCCCGAAAAGCAAAGAACGAGGCTGAGACCATATCGATTTTCTGGACGCCGCTAGTTTAGTGCCTTTTTGTGGGAGAACGATCCATCGGCTAAGCTCATATAGCTCTCGAGGACTCTACACTTCTTCATCATTAATAGATCTTTCAGGAACCGGAAGTCCTTCGCTGCCAAACGACCACCGGAAGATGTTTCGCCGTGCCCGAACTATTCCCGATTCGGTAATTTGTAGAGAAGAAATTTCTTGACCTCATCCACACTCATCCACACACACCCACACACCCACCACTCTCCTCCACGCGTATTTCATACTGTCTTAGTCTCTTCTCTGGTGCTAGCTTGCGTTTTCTTCCTGATAAAACCCCCATTGGCCAGTCTGCTTCCATCAACAACCTGCAAGAACTCACTTGAGCTCTTACAGACATTGCCTGGCTAGCTCAATCGGTAGAGCGTGAGACTCTTAAACACCTCCAGGGTGCTATCTCAAGGCTGCGGGTTCGACCCCCGCGTTGGGCTCAATTCCTGACTCATCTTTTTGCGTATTCGTTGCTGGGGTGGGTGGTGAAGTTTTTTTTTTTTTTTTTCAAGTGCATCATAGCGCTCTCCGGGGTAGCACCGATAGCCTGAGTGCTACCGTGAGACCACCATGGATTAGCTAATACCTAGCTGACTGACTTTTACTTCGTCATCCAAGCAAGATATTGGAAAGCTTGAAGGGGTGTCGGTCACGGGCTGTTGTTGATCATCAAGCTGCACACACATATACAGTAACTAACTCTATTAGGCAATCTCCTTCAGAGGGAACACTGTGTGTGTTCTATGAGTAATTCTTTTATAGCATTCCCCTTACGTGGGTAGTTGGAGTGGATGTCCAGATCCAGATGTCAGTTTGGAATTGTGCGAATCAACCGGAACATTGGATTCAACTACCCACATCGTAATGGAAAGAGGAACACAGAAGAGTCAAGCTATCTGTAAGTTGCTGCGCTGCCGCTTGAAGTCGATCGAGAGCTTTCCGAGATCTGCACCGACATAAACGCTTCTCCGAACGCCACCTATACCAGCAACTTGAATACAATAAAGCCATGTCAAGCCCCCTTTTCACCCTACAGCTTTGGCTTCTCCGCGGCGCAGCACTCACCGCCCGCACTGCCGCCGTCGACGACCAACACACTCCTATTTCTCTCCTGCGTGCTCTGCGGCACGTCCAGCGCCGGGTTGGACTCGAAGAAGCCGCTCGGCTTCAAGCTGACGGTCATGGTATCGCACGGCATGACGGGGTAGTCTTCGGTGCGGGGGTTGTGCGTCAGGCTGATGGAATGCCACACGACGATGTCCTCGCCGTCCACCGGATCATCCCTGGCGGCCCACGCGGCCAGATCCTCGTTGTCCGGCAGGCCACTGCTGCCATCGTCCGTGCTGCTCGGCAGGGACTGGTACGTGTACTCGCCGGCCGGGTGCAGCTCGCCGTCGCGGTGGCGCGTCACCCAGAACGGGTGGCGGGCGTACTTGGCGCGGCGGCCGTGGAAGGAGTCCGGGTGGGCCAGCAGCATCTGCTTGGGCGGGCTGTGGATGGCGTACGCGACGGGCTGGCCCGAGGTGCGGTTGACGGTTGCCGGGTTGGTGATCTTGTGGACGCGGTTGGGGGCTGCGGACGAGGTGCCCGAGCGTGCGAGCGTGCGCTTGGTTGTGACGTAGCCCACGCCGAAGGGGTTGGTGATGGCGTCCATGGGGAGAGGCACCGAGTCTTCTTCCATGAAGGAGTTGTTGTCGCCGTCGAGACAGGGGTCGATGCGGAGGCAGAAAACTATGGTCGGTCAGTAGGTAGGTAGACGGGTGAGAAGATGAGTGGCAGGATTACTGTGCTGGTGGAAGTGGGCAACCACGCCTTCGTTGACGTTGGTCCCCCACGGCACTTGGACACCATGCGCGATCGGTGCTGTTGACAGTATGCCGGTCGCTTGGATGTTGTAGTGCAACCCAGCGGCTTGGTCAAGGTGCCATGAGAATATGTAGTCGTAATTTCCCACGGTGATGATGGTCTGTAGGACGAGGATGCGGGAGCGTGTGATGCTGACTTCGCCCGTACGCGAGTTGGTGTGCTTCCAGCCGATGCCGTTATCCTGCTCATGCATGCATACTGCGTTCGGCTTCTCCACAGGGTCGCCGTTCGAGTTGTTGGTCACAAATGAAAAGTACTTGATCAGACCGAGACAGTCACAGCCCAGTTTGAGGTCGTTGGCACATACACCTGCTCCAATGTCGCCTACGTCGAAGACTGATTTGCGATGGTATGGAGATTGGGGAGAGCCGTACGGTACGAACATCTCGGCGAGGCTCAGCCGATGGAACAGTTCACGGCCATCGTAGGTTACATTGTGGAGGATCATGCCCTCCCTCCAGTTGAACCCCAGCCGAAAGCGCCACTTCTGCCAAGAAACCAGATGGCCGTCGACGGTGAAAGAAGCCCCTTGTGGCTGGCTGACGTGAAGCGGCTTGAGGTCAGAGCGGATAGGTGTGTTCAGGAGATCGGGATGGAACTCCCGCGGCTTGTGAGGAACATGTGCTTCCCGCGGCGGCGTGATTGATTCAAGTTCAGCCCCAAGAGGGAGGTAATACATGGTGACCAAGTCTTTGGTGTGCATGTCAAATACCGGAGAGAAGTCGAGGGGAAAATCGTAGACGTTGGATCCAGCATGGTCATTGTCGAGGTTGCAAGCATACATGTAGCACTGGAGAGCCGTTAGAGACGATTTCGGGATGAACACTGAGCACTTACCTGGATTAGTCTCCGGCTCTCAGTGCCTGAATCACGTCCATAGGGCCAGGTGTCGCACTGCACACGTGCAGTAGCGGGCAACTGGAGACGCTCGAGTTCCTTCTTAACGGCAGGGTGTTGCATGCACAGATCTCTCATGCCAATAACCTCATCGATATCAGCTTGGCCATGAATCCGACTATCCAGCTTCTTGACGCTCTCAACTGTTTCGCTGGACAGGTTTCCTTCGGCAGCAAAAGTACCTTGCTCGCCACGGAACAGGTACAGTGCACCAATGCGTCTTGGCAAAGGCGTAGGCTTCTCTCCTCGGAGTTCGGCTTGGAGATATGGCCGCAGTTGCGCCTTGGGCGGCTCAATGAGCGCAATTCTCTTGAAATGGAGGGATTTCCCTGGATTGGCATTCTTAAATAGCCTCGCCGCCTTCTGGATCTCCTGGGCAGTGATTGGGTCCAATGGGTGCGCCACAGGCTGTGTGTGGGAAGCCCGGTCGAAGGACGAGGGAGGAACCTGCAGGGCCATCGTGGTTGAGTTGGAAGGAATGGGTGATTGACGGAACCAGCAACGTACGAGGGAGCGGGGTCCTTTGTGTATGTGTGTTATCGAGACGATGGGTATGAGTCCGCTCGGGAATCAAAGGATGACTCCGTCCAGACCGACAACGATGCCCCGCATGTACCTGCCAGTTTGCGCGTTTGTGCCACGAGCTGCGCCATTAAGAATACAACTTTCGGTTTCATTGGTTGATTGAAGGCGGAACCTCGGTTCTGATGCCGTGTGAGTATGTATGTCGACGGGTCGATCAAGTGCGGAGGCCGATGCCATCGATAACGTATCTATCGGATAAGCGCGTCAGCTCCACTCATGCAGCAACATGACCGAACCTCCATCAGGTTTAATCAGAGGAAACTCCTGCTTCTAATCGCAACATGTCGTTCATCACGTGCATCTCACGTGGTCGTGCTTGAGGGATTGGCCCGTTGCGGCACAGTGCTGAAGTAAGGATTGTCTTCTTTAACATTGCATGAAAACGAGAGTAGATCTTCTGATAGTAATGCAAACACGTCGAAAGATTCTGTGACGTGGATTTATTTAGTAGCTCATTTCATGGGTAGTTTGAATCTACCGTCCGGACGTGAATTTAGTAATTCCGCATTTACGTCCGGATAATAGCTCCAAGCACCTAAATATCTTTTTTCTAGAAAAAAGAAAAAAGGTACAGTAGCCCGGCTATTTTTCGCCCTAGCCTTCGGTTACAGTACCCCTCTAGTCTTTCCCCCTTAGCTTAGCATCTCGCAATCCCTTTGGTCGGGCGAAGCGAGCCGCCGTACTCTTTACCCCTTGCTCATCCATGTTTCTCGAACCGAGATCGATATGGCTTGCAAAACTGCGATCACCCACCACAGCAACGCCTGTGAATACGGACGAAAAATATTAATAGTCGACTCCACCCTTTTCGACCTAATCAGGCAGGACTCCACAGAAAAAGAAAGATGTCAAAGTTTATTTATATTGCTAATCCCCGTACACCTTCTCAAGCAAGTAGCTCCGAGGTTGACATGAGACACGGTCAGCGATGAAGTTCAACCCTAGGGAAAGAAATATGACCCTAATAGGTATCATGGCTGCTGCCAACCCTGCCGATATTAGGGATGAAGATACGCGCATATACCAAGGGGGTTCGAAGGAACATCGTGCGACGTCCAAGCGCCGTGTTCAGGAAAAAGGAAAGAGGGCCGAGCGTCCTTGTTGCAGATGAAAGTTTATTTCCGCCACACCCGCATCCCTTCACTGGCCTGATCTTCGCCCTATGTTCGTGTCGCCCGTCGCACGAGTCGGTTTAGCAGAAGATGGCTCAAGTGTCCGTATGGACATGAATGCGCGACACACATGCAAACAAAAAAACACCGAAAGGCAAACCTAAACTACGACAGCGATATTGCAATAATAGGTGAGCGAATCTCATATAATCAGATGTCAAAAATGCCTCAAAGTACATAAAGCAACAGACGAGAACTGCCAATCTGGGAACAATGTATCATCAAAACGAGCGTCGTTTTACGAAAGCTATACTTATTCCATACCAAGTACAAATAAATTGAATAACTAAATCATGTTCAAGAAGGGATGAAAGCAAGAATAAGCTGTTTGCCGGAACACTTGGTCTGAGCAGCGACAAAAAGATGGGTCTAGGGTTGAGCCCAGATCACCCTTTAGACGGAAACCTTGGTCTTGACAAACTTGGCTGCAGTGCCGGCGTCACTGCCGTAGCCCAAGTGGCCAGAAGTAGAAGCAGACGAGGAGCTACCAGAGGTAGAACCGCCACCGCAGACAGCATCGCCACTGGCGCAGAACGTCCTGAAAGAACCCTCAGGGAGGTTTTTGAGAGCCTGGGTCTTGAAGGGATCGCCAAAGGTAACGGCAGCCTTGATGCTCTTGGCCTGGTCGGCGCTGAGCTTGCTCATGGTGTTGTGTACGAGCATGGCTCCTTGAGAGTAACCGGAAAGGATGATCTGGGTGTCGGGGCACTTCTGAATCGCCTTCTGGACATCGGCAACCATGGCCTGGGTACCAGCACCGCCGGTAATCTCAGTGGCAATACCGCCCGCGTCGGCAGCGTAGTCGACACCTTGGATGGCGACCTTGTCTTGGCCAAGCTGCTCCTTAAGAGCGTTGCCGAAGCCAGGGCCGACGACGCTTCCCATGTTTCCCATCTCCGTAGTGCCGCGAGCGAAAATGAGAGTTGCCGCCTTGCAAGCCTCGTCGAGGCCGTTCGAAGTAGAACCGCCCAGGGAAATACCGCCTAGGGCAGAAGAGCCAGATGAGCTTCCGCCCGTCAAGCCACTAAGGAGTCCGCTGAGGCCAGACGTACCAGAATCTTGACGACCAGTTAGACTTGAGCCGCCCGTGAGAGATCCAAGATCAGGAATACCGCTACCGGAGCTGCTGCTTCCACCAAGTGAGCCAAGGGATCCAAGACCGCTGCTGCCTCCCAGAGAGCCGAGGCCTCCAAGTCCACCGGCACCGCTAGATGCGCCAGGAGTCGGCAGGGAAAGTCCCGTGGGAAGGGAGCCCAGGCCAGAAAGACCACCCTAGCGAGGAGTCAGTCATAAAGATGAAAATTCAAGGGAGTCCAACGACGTACCAGACCGGAGCCGCTGCTCGAACCTCCACCAAGTCCACCCAGTCCGCTCAGTCCGTCCAAGCCGCTGAGCTGGCGCTTCTCGCTATCGCTGTAGGACCCAGAAGATTCAGAAGGGATGACGCCGGAACCGCTACCGCCCAAGCCGCTCAGGCCACCCTGCAAGCGAATTAGCGTTATTCTTAGATATTTTCCAAAGGTCTATTACCAGTCCACCAAGTCCCGAGCCAGATTCACCATCAGCACCCGGTGTGGGGATCGGAAGGCTACCGCTCTACCAAAGAATGAGCTTTCTTCAACCACAATCTCACGAGGAGTTCTTACCAAGCCACCAAGGCCAGAGGCCAGCCCACCGAGACCGGAGCCAGATTCACCACCCTAGGTAAATTGTTAGGAAACGAAGGCCATTTGTTAAGACATTTTAACTCACAAGTCCTCCAAGGCCAGAGCCAGGCGTGGGGATGGGGAACGGGAGGCCGCTGCCCTATAGAGATGTGAGAGGCTTTCATGAATATGGAAGACATGATCTTACGAGTCCACCGCCAAGAGATCCACCACCGATACCCGGAAGAGAGCCACCCAGGCCACCAGACGGGGGCGTGGGGAAGGAGCCGGACCCGAGGCCACCGCCCTGAAGAGGTGTTAAAGATGACTTTCCAGCAGTGTGATGGCAGGTTAAACTCACAAGTCCACTGCCTAAGCCTCCGCCGAGGCCTCCGCCGAGGCCTCCGCCGAGGCCTCCGCCGAGTCCAGAGCCACCAGACCCGTAGCTACCAGCCCCAGGAGTTGGGATAGGGAATGGCAGGCCACCCTCACCACCAGCACCAGAAGTAGGAAGAGTGCCAGTTGGGGGCTCAATGCCATAGCCAGGCATGGAGACAGGGTCGGCCTTGGGAAAGGGGGCGCCGGCCACGAGGGCGGCATATACAGCTGCGAGGAGAATGTTGCTCATGATAACAAAGTGCAGTTGCGTGATTGTAAGGAAGAAAGAATGACGACCTCGATTCTTTCAAGAGGTTCAGAATAGAGAATGAGGTGGTGCAACAGCTACCGGAGCTTGCAAAGGTAAAAAGAAGGTGATGGAAGAGAGGATGCTGAAGAGCGTGGTGGTGTCGAAACAAGCTGGGCTGAAAGGCGGAAGCCTTTTATAGAGAAGTGAAGAATGAAACGACGCGCCTTGTGGCTGTAGTTGTCAAGGCATAAGAAAACACATTCCATGCACCCGCTCCCAGCCAAGGCGTATCGATCGACAGCCTGGACTTCGACAATGGCTCGTTTAGGCATACCGAAACGAGAAGGAGCTGGCGTTTCTTGGAGGGCCTAAATGCTCTGATGGTTCCTTGCCGAGGGTACTACTGTCAAAATGGCCATGGCGCCGTTGGGCAACGATTGATTCAGGAGCCGGGCATGGTGCAGAAGAAGCATTCAACGGTGCTGATTCATCTATTGAGAACGGTAGAGGCTGGACGATCCTATGCTGGGAATACGGCTTACTGCGGCAGGGGCGTTCATGGTGTGTACCCTAGCCAATGGGAACAAGCGTAGGGGTTTCGGAGCTGTTTCACCGGAGGGCTTCCGGGCGGCTTGGGGGACGGTGCCTCGGCTCGCGATTTTGGTCGGGAGTGCCGCTACCGGGATTACACCTTAATGCTGTTAAGGTGCAATTTATCCGATGCGGCTCAGGAGATGGCAACCTGTCCCTGTTGGTCGATCCCCCGGTATGATGCTTCCCGAATGCCTTTAAAGACGAATGGCGTTCCAATCCTTCAACAACAAGCCGAGGCTGCAGGGGTGAAACGCCCAGTGGTCCGATAGTCGGTCCGCGGCCATAGCGTCATCGTGTTGTCTTCTGCTTGCAAAAGGAATCCTTCAATTCGTACGCAAAAGAGAATCCCCATCTGCTTTTTCCCTGCACGCTGTTTTGTTGATATGAAGAGGCCCGCAGCGAGCGAGACACCTCCCCACATGTCTTCCACAATTCCTCGGCTCCTTTTCTGCATCGCCAGGGTGCATTGATAGGTACGAATGAACCTAGAGAGTGGCATCGGATCCGCAGTCTAGCGTTGGTTTGTTCTCCGCTCATGTCATGAGCTATCTTCCGGACATGTATGTCGAATTTTTCTCCAGACGATAGCTTCAACTGCCTAATATTGTTTTACTTTTTTTTTTTGAGAAAAAAAAAGCTGAGGCATTGTTACCCTAGATTCGAGGATCCTGCTATTCTTTGCGCTAGCCTTCGGCTGCAATGCCCCTCTGTAATAAGAAAGCAAGGTTGCTTGCATCGAGAAATAGCGATACGAGGTAGCAAGCACTAGAGCCACACCATCCGCATTGAGAAATTGCCACGGTGATCATTGAGGGAGCACGACTGCGCCCACAACATCGCTACGGCAGCCTCTCTCTCCATATTAGACGCAAGCCACACTTGGTTGGTGCAAACCAATGCATCAGCCACGTGGAGCCAACGGCCCCCATTATCCTGGGGACAATCTTAATATGGACCGCCGGTTCGACGCCTAGATGCCGTATCAAGAGCAGCAACCTTAAACATTCTAGGCCTCGAAGCTCTCCTGATGCTGCACCCTGAGAGTCCCTAGCAATGGAAGATGCACTCTCTCAATACAATGGCTGATGAGAAAGATGATGTCATTTCGTATCGTCGAGTCTGTGGCGACAACGGCGAAAATAAGTGGGAGGAGACGTCGATACAGCGGCGGCGCGGTCGAGGAATCATAAAACACACCATGACAAGGCAAATTCTCCCTTGAAACGGAAGAAAATGGCCAGTGATTAAGACCACACTCACTGCCGACGCGGTCCGACATGGATGGCGCTTTCCGGCTCTCGGGGCTATTTGCTAGCCGGACAAGTGTCGGCCATGGGTTGGACCATTAAGTCGAGAGGCACGAGATTGGATTTAGCTTTTGACATGACGTGATGAGCGGCTTTTTGTACATTTTACTCGTACCCAACTACAAGCGCGGCGTATGCTCTGGGGTGCCTTGGATGTATCACCCCGACCGCTGCTCACCAGAGGAATTTTGCGTGAAACTCATCGGAAAGCTCAAAGCCACCTCCACGTCCTGAGTCGGAGATGGATGGAGGGTCTTGGATTTGCGGATGAACACTGGTGGGATCCTGGTTGGCTTGGAGAGCAGGACCCCGAGCAGAGGCCTCGGAGGCGTTCCCGGGCTGCGGGTCTGCGGCATGGGATGGATGGTGGTTGGGCCATGGTCCTGTCATCAAGCTGGCTGGATCGGGCGGATGGTGGGTTGCGTCCTCCATGGGAGCTTCGGCAACTTGAGTGCTTCTGGGAGTGTCGGAGGGCGCGGCGGGAGTGGAGCTGATGTCCATGGCGGAAGCCGGGGGCTGATGTGCCCTGCGGTTCGAGTCACGGCGCGAGCGGTCATTGTACCAGGCCAAGACAGCGTGAGGCGAGTTGAGAGGGAACGAGGCCCAGTAGTCAAGGGCGGCTCTCTTTTCCTGGGTGGAGCGCTTTTGGTTGCTCTCGACGAGATGGCCGGCGGAGTCATTGAGGCAGGTCACGGAGCTCAGCAGCTGGTCGGAGGGGACCAGGGGCAGGACCTGGAGAAGAATGTGCTCAACGTCATCCAGGCGGGCCTCGATGGCCTCCAGGTAGCCCTTGGCGGGACCACGCTGCAGCTGGGGCGGCCAGGTGCATTCGTTGCCGGTCTCGCGGCACCGGGCACATGTCGGCCTACCTTCGTTAGCATGCTGGCTCGGGGTCTGGCGAAGCGCGGGGGTCACCATTCGCCTCCACACTTCTGCTTCTTGCTGCGGCACGAGTCACAGGCGGCGCTGCTCCGCGTCTGGCGGGGCGGGCGCGTTGTCTGGGCCATTGTCGCCCCCGCTTCACGTGTCCAAAGCCTCACTCAGCACGGCAGCATGCGGTCGAGGATGCCGTTGGCGGTTGCGTGTTCAGCAGCGCGGTGGTGTTCGGCGGGCAAGTCGAGCTGAGCTGACTAAGCGCCCGGCTTGGGTTAGCCCGGGCGTCATCGTTGCGTTCGTACCTTTTTGATGCTGTGCCTTTTTGATCGGCACGGATTTGCCGCCCGCCGCAGCCGGCATCCGGTCGCACGTCTGGCGAAAAGGTCCATGTGTTTGGTCGCTTGGCAGCTGCGGGAGCGGCTGCCGGGCCGTAGGTATGCGCTGCACGATCTTCTGCGACTTTTTTGTCCCGTCAGCAGCAACATCTGACACCATGATGGCTCACTCAGCGCAAACTCAGACACTGCTCCACCGACCCAGCGTCATGGAGGGCGATTTCGGCCGCCGCGTGTTCCGACAGCGCGCTGAAAAGTCCAGGCCGCGGTTCGCGAGAAACCGGAAGCAACAGACTGTGCCTGGCCTTCCCTCCGCACCCCAACCCACACCTCCCCGCAAAGCAGCCGCAATCGCCTTGCGTACCCGAGGTGCCGCCAGCCTCTTATACCCAGCACCGCCCGCTCGTGCACCTCGAGCAGTGCCAACATGAACTGCCCTTCGAGAGTCGAGCCGGAAATCCCACCGGGCTGGAACCAAAACCCACCCGCCCTCAACGCCGATGCCACCACGTGCAATGACCTGAACCATATCGCAAACGAGCGCCAGAAGCGCAAGAGCTCCGACCGCAGCGCCGACGATGGCGCCATCGAACGACCTCAGCAACCCCCCGACGACCACCCCGGTCCTTCGCAGCGGCGGGGTTTTGGGCGCTCTCAGCCTGAGCGTCCCGCCAAAGCAGACATGAACGTCGATGTTGCTGAGTCTGTCTCGGCTTCTCGCCCGCATGCCACTACCTTCAATGTCGGATATTCTGGTCGTGGGAGCGGAGGGGCGTCGTGGTTCTCGGACCTCGTGTTTCAGACCAAAGATGTGCTCTACAAGTACGCAAAATTCGTTGGACCGGGTTTTATGGTGGCCGTTGCATACATTGATCCGGGTACGTGTGCGCTCCCCGGCGTGCTGAGCCTTCAATGCTAACTTTTGCAAGGAAATTATGCTACCGACGTTGCCGCTGGCGCGTCCTACCGCTTCAAGCTCCTCTTCATCATCCTGATGTCCAACATTTTTGCCATCTTCCTGCAGTCTCTCTGCGTGAAGCTGGGTACCGTCACGGGCATGAACTTGGCCGAGAACTGCCGTGCTCATCTGCCTTGGTGGCTGAACATTGTCCTGTACATCTTCGCCGAGTCGGCCATCATCGCCACGGACATTGCTGAAGTAGGTGCTCCGAATCCTACGGCAACGTGAGATTGGGGCTAACTCGATATCTCAGGTCATCGGCACAGCAATCTCCCTGAACGTCCTATTGAATGTACCTTTGGTTGCCGGCTGCGCCATCAGCATTGTCGACGTCTTCATCATCCTGCTTTTCTACCGACCCTCAGGCTCCATGCGAGCCGTGCGCATTTTCGAATATTTTGTGATGCTACTTGTGCTTGGTGTGGTTGTCTGTTTTTGCTTCCAGCTCAGCCTAATCAAGCACACGTCGGTGGGCGACGTTTTCAGAGGGTACCTGCCAAGCAAGGCCATCGTTGAATCGAAAGGGTGAGTCCAACCATAGAAACTACCCAGAAGCGCTATCTGACGCGCGAAACCAGTCTTTACCAAGCTTGCGGAATCCTTGGTGCTACCGTTATGCCCCACTCGCTGTATCTTGGCTCAGGCATCATCCAGCCGCGCTTGCGCGAATTCGATGAAGCGCTTTCGGCTTCTGCCCAAAACCCCGCCGCTGCGGAAAACAACAACTCTGACTCCGACTCGGAATCAATCATGTCTCTCTCCAAATATCGCCCTTCCATCCAGGCGATCAAGGCTTGTTACATGTATTCTGTTGTCGAGACCGCTATTTCTCTCTTTACCTTTGCGCTTTTTGTCAATTCCGCCATCCTCATCGTTGCCGGCGCTTCGCTGTACAACACCCCCGGCGCTGACTCTGCGGACCTTTTCGGTATCCACGATCTTCTATCGTCGACGCTGGCCCCCGCCGCTGGCACCATCTTCGCCCTTGCCCTGCTTCTCTCTGGTATAAGCGCGGGCATTGTCTGCACCATAGCCGGCCAGATGATTTCAGAGGGTCAACTGAATTGGTCCTGCAAGCCGTGGAAGCGCCGATTCATTACCCGCAGCATCAGCATTACCCCCTCGATTATCGTCGCCGGTGCGGTCGGCCGCGAAGGTTTGTCAGATGCTCTCGAAGGCTCACAGGTAGCACTCAGTGTTATCCTACCATTTGTCAGCGCTCCTCTCGTCTACTTTACTTGCCGCAACAAGTTTATGACCGTTTCCGCCATTGACCGTGGCGTCCCCCCCAACAACAACACCGTTGCCCAAGCCGAGCATGGAGAGCGGCGGTCCAGTGGCTCCGTCGAGGAAATCCAGATGCGCAACAGTTGGCTAACGGCAACGATTGCGCTCCTCATCTGGTTGGTCATTGTCATCATGAACATTGCCTTGTTAGTGCTTGTCGGCATGGACAAAGCGTAGATCTATGGCTCTCGGCCAACCAGAAAGCCACGCACGCCAAAATATAGTGGCTGTAGGGCCTAGACAATATGCGTCTGACACTACCTACGTGCCTGTCTGCACTTCTCCAAGTGTACAGTAAGACCGAGGCACCGCCAATCCATCTTTCAACAGCTCTTCGTTCGTTCTCTCAACAGGACCGAGTAGAAACAAATCACAGATGATTGCATCCTAGATGGAATTATCCCTCAAAAAAAAATAATTTCGTATCTGAGACATGTTTACCGTAAATTGGAATTGCAAGAAATTGAAACAAAAAGTACTCGTCGCCAATAATGTGCACCCGAAGGGTAGCGTCAATTTGCTGTTTGCACGTGTTATGGGTAGTCGTCCGGACGTGAATGTATACTTGTTAATTCGACATTTGCGTCCGGACGACAGCTTCAACCACCCGCATAAGTCGAATAATTTCTCACAAACATTATTAAAAAAAAAAGGCATCTATCCTGGGTAGCCGTAGTCATCGCCTGTTCCAAGGCCCTGCTGTTCTTCGTGTTGGCCTTCGGCTGCAATGCCTCGTTGTACACTTTCGATCCGCAATCTACTGCGTGAATCCATGTTGATAGTTTCATGATCGTCGCTGTATCTACCCTTGATCTCACCTTGCCAGCGCAGTAAGATCCCACACTGGATCCACAAAGGCATATCACAGATGCATTTTATTGTGTGCACGATCCTCACGTGCTGGGAGGAAAGGAGGACGGGCATTTGTGTAGGTCTGACTTTGGTCAAAAATTAAACTACTCTAACGTCATGTAAAGTGTTTTGAAGGCATTTGATTGGGATACTTTTGTTCTTTTGTCAACTACATTAGTACCGGATCGATATGCGGACCCACTCTAAAACCGAGTCGCACCGCTGACCGATCTCGCATCATTCCTTCATAGTCTATGGTAGAGCTCACTTCTGCTCACTAATCGTTCCATCATAGTCATGGCCGTTCGTAGGGTCGTCGAGAGTATAGTTACCGAAACACGCGTAATCGTAGTTGCTCAGCTCATACGAATCCTTCTGACTCTCGATGAGCTTGTCAAGTGCACACAGACCGTCCGTCCGACCCTCACAAAAGCCACCCCTGATGCTCTCCAACGGTACGATGCCATCGTTCAGACGCATGCGGACAAACTTGTGTGTAGCCTTGGCCGCGTCATAACCGTATTGCTCAGGGTAGTAGAACGTACGCTTCTCACTCACAGCGGCGGGGTCGGGAGTAGTGCAACCAATTACTTCGGTGATAAGGCGTGCGCCAAAGGGCGTCAGTCGCGCCAGATTGAAATGACGGTCCGGGTTGGGTGGGAATTCGGTCAGGGATGGTGCGTCGCGGAAGTAATCGACGCTCATGGCTGTCAAGACAGAGACGAGGATGTCGTCGTGCGAGAAATCGGCATAGAAAGCGCGGCCGAGCGGGAAGTCGTCTGGGTTATCGGTAATGGTAGAGTTGACAGAGGAGTTCGACCAGGTGATGTACTGGTTCTGCAGACGTGCAAGCAGCTCCTGCACGTAGCCAATGCCCTGCGCGCGGCCCGTAGGGTTGCCGAAGGCGTAGTCGTAGTAGTAGGCAATGTCAAGCGTGTTCTCGAAACCGGTCCACTCATCAGCGGTGAAGAGGCCGCAGAAGTCAGACTGTCCGATGTATTGCATCTCGTAGGCACAGATCATCTGCATAGCGTACGTGTTGTTGACGTTGAAGCTGAATCCTTGAGGCGCGTATCTTTGCAGTCGTTCCGTAGCGTCTTGGAGATATACGGGAAGGTACTTGAAAACATCTTGGTCTCCGATGTCGCCAATGCCTGATTCGAGATCGTTGAAACAGCTGTCGTACGAGGCTAGGGTGTTGTTCTCAGTGCCTCCCTCCGGAATGATCAAGACGTCGAAGTCATCCGTCCAGTTTCCCAGCGTCGGAATAGACTGATCGGGGTCGGCTTTGAAAGTAGGGCCAAAGAAGCCGATCGCCCAGTTCAGCATACTGTTGTACATGCGCGGCTGCGAGGTTGTGCGCAGAAGCGGCTTCTCTCTCAAAGTGCCATTAGGATACTTGGGGTCGTAGGATAATTGACCGGTCTCGGCGTCGTAGAGCGTGCGGCCATACTTGTCCCAGAAAGAAACCCCAGCCTTCACCTCCTCGACAGCACCTTGGCCGGTCAACAGGCCCAGAGAAGGCATAAGATAGCGATAGCGGTTCAGAAAGTCCAGCGGGCCAGTGAAGGAGCTCGTAGTGTTAGCCGTCGCAGACCAGTTGCCCAGCTTGTAAACGAAATCCAAATTGTTGTTGCCATCATCGATCCAGTGAATGGGCAAGCGGTGGGCGTGGCGTTGCATGGTATGAACTGGGCGGATTAGCTTGGCGCCACGAAGCAGTGCTGAATGGCGTACCTTGCTCGATTTGGCAGCCGTCAGGGAGGCCAACGTCCTTCACGCCGAAGATATCAGCGGCATTGTCGCTGTAGGGAGAAATCTGGCCCCAATGCTTCGAGATCTCGCTGATATCGGTGAGCAGAGCAGGGTGGGAGTAGTTGACAATGGCATGAGCGCCTCCCGCACAGGCCAAAGCCTGCAAAACACTGAGGGACGAGCGAGGAAACATTTCCAGAGGCAATGGCTTGACTGGCCAATGCTGCGATCAGCAATTGATGGGCTGGATCCGGACGGAGCGAGAGCTGTGCAAGAGACAGGCCTCTAGCAGAGCAGAGCGGTGCTTCATATAGCAGGACTGCAGGGACCAAGACGGACAGGCATCCCACTCTGCTGCGTCATTTAGGCGGGACTAACACCAGAGAAGATATTGTTGTTTGTCCGGTCCTTGGCTTCCGACTCCGCCCTATGGGGCTAACCATCCCGCGTGGGGCTATAGTAGAGAGGCATGGCTACCCACCAATGGGAGCGGCAGTAGAGACAGTCTTGGAGACGGGCGCTGGAGAGACAGAGATGTCATGACTGGCAAAGGCGGCAGAGTTATCCGTCTTGGGGCCGTTGCATGAGTCGTGCAGATAACAGACGGGTCCAAGCTGCGATAAAACGGAGAGGCGCAATCTAAGCCGACCGTCCAGTGCAGCTCATGGGGGAGTCGTGGAGGCGAGGTGCGTTGTGTTGTGAACAAAAGCGTGCGGGCAAGAGGCTAAGTGAAGACTGCTGCAGGGCCCCACTTCCCGGCGTCCATCAGGTACCACATGGCCGTTGTGGAGCGCGGCTGCCGAGGGCGTGCAATGGACAAGTCTGCGACGTCTCACGGTGCTGCAGACAGCGTGGCGGAGACAGGGGCTTCCATTCGACAATTCCAAGGCCATTCGACACGTAAGCGCAAGGCTCGCCGTCAGCCGCGTGACGGGGGGCACTCGGCGGATACGAGGCGACAGGAGCGCCGAACGGGGCTCAACGGCAGCGCAGGACGGCCGCAGCCACGCCGGCGGGCAGAGAGACGGTCGCAGCAGGCAGCGCAACGGCACGCATCGCGGCCGCGGGCGGGCAGGTGACGGCGCGGGACATGCATGATGCTTGGCGTGGTGTTGACGGCGGGCGGCCATGATTGCGATGGCCGGGCCGCAGGCTTTGCAGAGAGCCGTGCGCAGCCCCAAGCTGCCTCTCCAAGCAATGCTTGTCACTCCTCGGCCACCCTCAAGCAACGCCAACCCAACGGCGCACTGCTTGGGTGATTCGCACTCGCACACTCCAACCCCTCCGCAATACTGCCAGCCAGCGCCGATCATGCTGCGCCAGATCTGCTGCCACCACTGTCCAGCGCCAGCCCGCAGCTTGCCACCACTCTAATGCTCTCCTGAGCCATGACCCACCTGGGCCCGCGCACCGACGAATTCGTTACGCGTCAATTTCGGCCGGACGTACGAGGGCAGCGACGCGATGCAAGCCCGCGCCCAGCGCCGCGCATCCTCCCTGATGTGCCCCGGGCTGTGCTCACCCGTCTTTCTCTCATCATCCCCGGCGCGCCCTTCCCCAGCCCTCCCTCCATGTCACTCGTTCCGCCATGAGATTCCAAACCTCGCCCTGGAGTATCCTGGCGATACTGTCGCTCGTTTTGAACCATGTCTCCGCCGTCGATATCGACATCGACAGTGCCGACTCGATCAAGGATGCCGCCTCCGAAATCGCCTATGGCTTGATGAAGTGGTACACCGGCAACAACACTGGTGATGTGCCCGGCAACTTGCCCGACCCCTACTACTGGTGGGAGGCCGGTGCCATGTTCATGAGCATGGTCGAGTACTGGTACTACACCGGCGACGAGACGTACGTCCCGCAGACCAAGCAAGCCCTGATCCACCAGACCGGCGACAAGAACGACTACATGCCCACCAACCAGACCCTGACCGAGGGTAACGACGACCAGCTTTTCTGGGCCCTGGCCGCCATGAGTGCTGCCGAGCTGAAGTTTTCCGACCCCGGCGACCTCGCTGCCTCCTGGGTCGCCCAGGCCCAGGCTGTCTTCAACGAGCAGGCCGCTCGCTGGGATGGAGCAAACTGCGATGGTGGTTTGCGCTGGCAGTAAGCACCGCTGCCCGCCACAGTTGCTCTTGTCACTAACGGACCCGCGCAGAATCTACTCGTTCAACGCAGGCTGGAACTACAAAAACACCATTTCCAACGGCGGCTTCTTCCAGCTGGCCGCCCGCTTGGCCCGCTACACCGGAAACGAAACCTACGTTGACTGGGCAGAGAAGATGTGGGACTGGGCCGCCGGCACCGTCATTCTCGACACCGACACGTGGACCATCAACGACGGAACGAGTGTGACGAACAACTGCAGCACGGCCGACCACACGCAATGGACCTACAACTACGGAACCTTCATTGTCGGATGCGCCTTCCTGTACAACCACACCGAGAACGAGATCTGGAAGACGCGTGCTTCGAACCTGCTGAAGTCGGCATACTCGACCTTTTTCCCGGATTACATGACGGCCAACATCATGGTCGAGGTCACCTGCGAGCCGTCTGCAAACTGTGATTACGACCAGTCGTCCTTCAAGGCATACTTGTCGCGCTGGCTTGCTCTGACCGCGCAGATGATCCCGGACTTCTACGAGGAAATCTTCACAAAGATCCGAGCATCCGCAAAGGGAGCGGCGGGCCAGTGTTCGGGCTCCGCAAAGACGGCCGGCAACACGTGCGGTCGCGAGTGGAACTCGACAGTGTGGGACGGCACCTACGGCGTTGGTGAGCAGATGGCGGCGTTGCAGATCGTCGGCGCCCTGATGATCGACAAGGGCTCCCTGGCTGCCCCGGTCACATATGCGACTGGCGGTACCAGTAAATCCGACGGCAGCGCTGGAACGGGGTCAGGGGCAAGTAGCACGGATGGCACTTACCAGACCCTGTCGCCCATCAGCGCGGGCGACAAGGCTGGCGCCGCAATCCTCACCATCGCCATCATGGTGGGCACATTAGGAGGAGCGGCATGGATGATGATGGGCGATTTCTGATAGCGTTTTCGGCTTCTTACTTTGCACCGTTTTTTTTCCTTTGACATCTGTTCATTTGTTCACCCACTGGATACCTGGACTTATTTTCCTTTTTCGCCCACATACAGAGGGATGCCCAATAGCGGTCAAGATCAGAGCGGGAAAATGCTCGGCTGCGGAGTTGGTGGAAAAGAGCGACCTCATTGCCCGATGGGAATCTATTTTACCCTGTTCGTTTGGAGACTGTCTATTTTGATATCATAGGGTTATTTTAGGAAATGCATCCCCCACGATCGACGAGCTTTGCACCAGCATGAGTCCCATGCATTATGGACCCTGAATCTCCGCCACGCGAAGTCTGCTGACATGCAACATCCCCTCAGCGCAGCAACCAACACCCATCACGTGCAAGGGCGATTTGGGGTCTCAGTCGCACCCGACAGTGCCAATTTCCCCGCCCTTTTTCACGCTTCTCCCTCCAACAGCGCAGGCAGGTTCTCCTTGATGTACTCAACCACCGCATCGGGGCCCCTTTCAACCTGCAAACCCTGGGGCAACGCGAAGGTCTTGACGTTCGGCACGATCTTCCTCGCTGTCTCCTGGGCCGTTTGGCTCTGTTCCGGCGTCCACATTGAGGCGGTAAACTTGGACCCATCAGCGCACTCTTGCTCGTTCATCTGCACGCATGTGACGGCTCACCAGCAAGTCCGGCTTTACATCTGTCACCACTTCCTCAACCTTGGAGAGGTCTAAAAGATTGTGAGCAAGTGTAGGTGCACCGATACGTCGCAGAAGGCCTTACCGTCGGCGTTGCCGGCGTGGATGATGGTGTAGCGGTCCTTCACGTCCTCGACGACGCGGCCGATCAATCGCTTAGCGCGCTCGGGCGCGTTGTTGACGGTGACGAGCTTGTAGGGTCCGAGGGGTGCCATGACTGCGCCGATTTCTGTTTGCCGAGTAGTACAGCAGGACGAAGGCTATTTCAGATATTTAGTGATTCATCGCTACTACTTTTATCTCCGAGCGCAAGAGTCGGCATCCGAGCAGGAGAGCGGAGCTAAATTGTCGCGGCTGCTGGCAAAGCCGAGTGATGATGCGATTACCCCGCGATTTCTCAGTCGGGAATGCCGGCTTGCGCAATTCGACTCCAACCCCGCCCCAGAAACACCTAACCAAACGGCCAACTCGCACGACCATTGAGAGGAATTGTGTTTCCGCCTAACCCTCTTCCCCTTCTCCGCCCACCATTTGGTTCTCTCGGGAGCGCCCGCCGGCTTTTCGGGGCCCCAGCATGCTCTCCCGTGCCAACATGCCGAGCCCCGGGCCTGCGGACCATTGCGTACCGATTTATATACACGTCCGCTATTGACGGTCCTATCCCCACGAGCTCGACGCGCAAGCAGCCCTTTCCCCCCCACAACAGAGCCTTCCACCATGGCCGCACCAAAGGACTCGGGCTACATCCAAGCCAACGACCCCACACGCCCCCGCAGCGACGCAGCCGTACCCTTCCGTGAGATCATCCCGAAGCCAGACCACCCCAGAATCGCAGGTATTGAGGCCTGCGATGCCCACAGCTGGTGCGAGTCGCGACGCAAGATCGACGCACCAGCGTGGCTGATCAACCGGTTGGACGCCAAGAACCTGGAGAAGCCATACGTGGGCTTCACGACAGACGGAACCGTTCGGGAAGGAGTGTACGAGTGGGCGGACGACGAGGGTGCGCCAGTCGAAGCGGCCGCACAGGCGGCGAAGTCGCTGGTTGCGTTGCTGTCGGCTGAGGCGCGCGCGCGCACGCTGCACGCGTCCGTTGACGACGAGGCGATCCGGCTGTGGTCAAATCCGGAGCTGTACGTCAACCCGGGCGGGCTGCGGCTGGATGAGTGCGAACAAGAGGTGCGTGAGGCGGTGCACGCGGTGCTACGCGCAAGCCTGAGCGCGCAGGGCTACGACAAGACGTGGGCATGCTGCCTGACCAACGGCTTCCTCGGCCACCTCGTCAACGGCCGCCGCGTGCTCAACGAACACTCGTACAACTTCCGCCTCTTTGGCGAACCGAGTGCCACCGAGCCGTGGGGTTACACGTTCTTTGGGCATCACCTTTGTCTCGCAGTGATCTTCTATGGCCCTCGCATGGTTATTGGTCCTACATTCATGGGCGCCGAGCCGGACCGCATCGACGAGGGCCCGCACAGTGGCTTGCGGCTGTTCAAGACAGAGGAGCTGGAGAGCTTGAGCCTCATGCAGAGCCTGAGCCCGGAGCTGCAGGCCAAAGCGACGCTATCTGTGGGCATGGACGATGAATCCTTGCCCGCGGATCGGTGGAACCCATTCGACGAGAGACACCTCGGTGGTGCGAGGCAGGACAATAGGGTGGTGCCTTTCGGTAAGTTGTGAGCTGCTGTTATGCAGATCAGGATCTCCCCAATCGATACATACGCGTGGGCCAATAGAATGTCAAAGCTAATATAAGAGTAAAAGAGGGATGTCCGGTAAAGGAGTTCCCGCCCAGCCAGCAGGAACAGATCGTCACGCTCTACAAGGCTTTCAACGAGTACTACCCGGCCCCTGTACTCGAGCATCGCGTCAACCTCTTTAGGAAGCATCTCAACGAGACGTACTTCGCCTGGATCGGCCCCCACGGCGACGATGACCCCTACTACTTCCGCATCCACTCGCCCGTTGCCTTCATGGAACTGGACTTCCACTGCGGCAGTATGTAATCTGATCCTTCCTCACCCCTTAATTCGATTGCACTGCGCACAGCCAACTTTCCCGATTCTACCTTCAACCCTCCCTTCTTTTGGGATACGAGAAAACTAATATTTGTGGTGTTCGCAATTAGTTTTCCTAACCAATACGTCGCCTGCGAGGTGCCATATCCACACTACCAGTAGGTTGCCGAACAGGGGCGATTATGGCAAAGCGCTCGTTGAGTTTTTCAATAAGAAAAGAGCATCGTTGTGAATTGTTTACTCCCCTCTCTGTAGATCATGCAGCAGCGGTCCCAATATATGAGCATATAATACCCCTTGATGCTAATGTGGAGTGTCGCAAAAGAAACTAAGTCATTACCCCAGACCAGGTCTGCTATTGCTCATTTGAATACCGAAGCCGAGCTATTATTTGAGAATAGATATCACTCCTAGATACTTATGATTCCGGAAATGGCACCATGTAGAAGCTCGCATAGTAGGCACCTCTGATGTGGTTGTAGCTAGGAATAGAAGAGCAAAGGTACCTGCATATACTCATAATTCAGGTCGAGGTTCACATAGGAATTCTACCACATGCCTCACAATCTAGGCGATCTGCTAGAAAGGAGTTTGAATAGTTATCATACATGTTGTGTGAATGAGAGCCTTGAGTAGTGATCCTGCCACTTTTTGATCTCCGATCCGGAGTGCGTTACGACTATCTCAGACCTGTTCACTCTCTTTCTCTTATACCACTCTAACCAAGTGATTGCAGCGACCATTGGCCCGGCTTTATGCTACCAGTAGCAGCGCAACTGATTGTTTCTGAAGGCCTTGATGGGGATTTGTCAAACTTGGTTTTCAAGGATCATCTTCGTACGCAGACTGCCAACGTCACGTTCAACAATCATGCACATTCAAAAGTGAAACATTTCATTGATATAAGAAATCGTCTACGGGATATCGCGTGTAGATTAGTTCAGATCTACTGGGCATGGCCACTGCTTGTCATTAGCGTCTATGCTGCGAGCAGGAGACTTGTCATTGGGAGACATACGGGTGCTGGCCGTCACCCACACGAGAGCCGGTCCTCGTGTGCCTGTGGAATGGGATGTCCTTGACGCCACGGTGCCTGAAGAATGAGTGGTTAGTTCAGCTATCAGGCAGTCAAAAGGAGGCTTTCGCAGGTTTACTCACTTCAAAACAATACGCTCAATGGCATCCATGCCCATCTTGAGAGTTTCCATCCTCGGGCCGTACGAAAGGCGGACGAAGTGGTGGCAAGGCGAGTCGAAAAGGTCGCGACGCTTGCTAGGGTTCAGGTCAAAGAAGATACCGGGAACCACGATGACCTTCTCATTCAGGCACTCGGCGAAGAAGTTCAGACCGTCGTTGATGGTGCTGGGGAGGGAGCTAAGGTCCAGCCAGAGGTAGAAGGTGGAGTTGGGCACATCTTCATCCGGGATCTTGAAGCCCATCTCACGAAGGCGACCAATGACATAGTCGCGCTTCATCCTGAAGTGGGTTTGAAGAGCACGCATCTCGTTGCGGACCTTGGTGGGCTCCAGCATGTGGATAGCGGCCTCCTGGAAGGGGACGTTGGTGCCGCCGTCGAGGTAGGAACCGCAAGAACCAATGGCCTTGATAAACTCCTTGGGGCCGACGATCCAAGCGACACGCCAGCCTGGAAGACGGAAGCGCTTGGTAAGACCATCGATGATCAGGACGTCATCTTCATCAACGTCAACGACGTTATCAGCAGCGGAAATGACGGAGCCATCGCAGTCAGACGTGTAGTTGTAGCCGCCTGGATCCCATATTTTAGAAATAGTCTCAATTGACCGGCTCCGTAATGTACTTACAGTAGAACTCATCCATGATTAGGGTCGCCCTCTCGCGGCAGATGTCCTGGATTTGAGCGAGCTCCGGGTTGGTCATGACTTGACCAGTGGGGTTACGCGGGTTGGAGGTGAGAATGACGGAGGTTCCACGGGCGATCTCCTCGGCAATCTTCTCGGGATGGATGTGGTAGTTGTCGTCGCGGCTAAGAGGAATGGGGATGGAGGAGAAGTTCTTGAAGAGCGACAGCATTTCGTTGTACGCAGTGTAGTCGGGAATGAAGAAGGACAGGTAGCTGTTGCCCAGCACGGCGGCGATACGGATCAGACCAGCACGGCCACCGGGGACGATGCAGACATTCTCCCAGGTGTATTTGCTGGGCCTGTCCTGACGGTGGTGCTCGTTGTAAAGGTTGGCGACAGCCTCGCGGAGGGGCTTGATGCCGGCAGTCGGGCCATACTCGCGGCCGCTCAGCGAGATGTCGATGTTGTGGGGACGCTCGAAGCAGCCTTCGATTTCGTCGTCGACCTCGGGGGCACCCTGGCCCAGGTTGGCCCAGGCCTCGGGGTCCTCGAGGTAGCCCTTCTCGTAGGCACGCTCAGAGGTCCAGACAACACCGGTGGACGCTCTGGTGGCGTCGAGACCGGCGTGGACTCTGTGGCCGGCGTGGTAGTTGCGGAATTGGCGATGGACCTGAGAGTTGAGCTCTAAGGGACGAATTAGCCGGGCTGTGGCCGGGAAGCGGGGGCAGCAGGAAAAATGCAGGAACGCAGGGCTCGGCAACTGCAGGGCCGGGGAAGCAACGCACCAGACTCAGCCTTGCCGGTGGAGAAGCGACGGTCACGGCCGAAGCTGGTCGACTGCCTGCGGTGGGTCGCCATTTTTGCGGAGGAGAATGTTCGGGCAGAATTGAGCCGGTGGTCGCAGAAAATATATAGGTAGTGAGCCGGTGCCCCTCAAACCACTGATTCATGCTTTTTATGGGGAGTGGGCTACACCGCCGCAGATCCAGCCTGTCCACCCACGTCAGCCACCGTGCGCGCCGGGTTGGAGCTGGCGGGTCCGGCGCCGTGGCCGGCAAAAGCTTGAACGTGCTTGGGGGAGCTTGACAGCCCCGGCCTCCTCCCTGTTCTGTGGAACCTGCAGCTGAGTGACGGCTCGCAATGCTGCCTATGGGCTTCCGACAACACTTCGTATGCGTGGGGCGCATGAGACAGCCCTGCAGCGATGCGATCGGTCTCGAAGCTCGTCGTCAGCCCGCTCCAGGCACAAAATAACTCCCCCTTGGACCTGAGCCTTTCTCAAAGAAGCACCCTTCCGAAGCATATCCGATACGGCATGCGCGATTAATCTCAGCTTGCGTCGCATCTCCTCGAACATTGGGGTCTTTGAACCCTGAGTGATCAACACCAAGGGGCGCATTCGCTAATCGACTGCGGCGCGGGATTTCAGATGACATCATCACCAATCAAGACCCCCGTATATCTAGCTCTTGCATTAGCACCAATCCTCCTTGTGAGAATTAACGCAAATAACAAGTCATCAAGGTACGCCAATCGCATGCCACAGTGCATTTCTATGGTGCGGTTGATACTCTAAATTTATCATTGTCCGTAGGTGCTAAAAGAAATGGTCCTCCGCAATTACCTTCGAGAGCAACGGCGCCCGACTTACGTAGGTAGTCGAAGCTATCATCCGGACGTAAATTTAGAATTATTAAATGTACATCCACGTCCGGATGATAGCTTCAACTACCTACGTAACGACGAGCTTAGATGCATGGGAATTACTTTCGTCACCCACTGTGATTGTCCTTTTCTTCTTCATTTTCTCTCTCCCTCTCTCCCCTTGTGTACCTACCGTCAAATGCTACCCTCAAACGGCATTCGTCTTCATGCACAAGTAGAGGTATGTAATAACACGACCATCCGCTAAAATAAGGAACAGAGCCGTGCAGACAAGCTTTGCAGTAGTCACATCGCATGTGTAACCGTGGTCCGGCACGCATAGTAAACACAGTCCCCTCTCGCAGCCGATGGCTAGCGTGGATTTGAGAAAAACAACATATGTGGGTATTTGAAGCTATCGTCCGGACGTGTATGTAGAATTTTTAATTCCACATTCTCGTCCGGACGATAGCTTCAAATACCCACATATGTTGTTTTTCTAAGGCAGAGCTGGGGCACAGTTACGCGATCGGCTACAACACCCCTCTGTAGAAGCGAGGACCGCTGCGGAGGACCCTAGTGCTACACCCATGTACATACATGCAACGGTTGGCCTAAAGTCCTATTGATTGATCACTGGGTTAGAGTATCCCTTGTTGTCGCAGCAAGCTTCAGCAGGAGATCTCAATTAGTCGTGGGGCGTACTGAGAGAGTGGTGTGACTTGCTGATATCCGTCCTGTGCGGGTCTGCGTAGCGGACCGGGGCAGCGGGAGATCATCAACACCACGAAGTAGGTTATCTGGGATTGCTTGGAGGCTCCTGCGCCCGCTAACTTCATTTGGCTGCTAGCCTTTGTTCTGGAAGCTCTCTCAGCATGCGGGAGATCATGCCACTTCGGTGGGCGGTGGAGCTCAAAAATCTTCGCAGGGCTGAACACCTCACGACTGGGCCCCGGACGTACCACATGCAGCCGCAAGCTTTGGCTGCAGATTTCGTGCGGAGTGCCGCTCCAGGCACGAGTTGATCTTCGGGCCAAGGCGTTGCTTGCAACTCTGGTACTCGATCCGCGCTAGAGTGCAATGATGCCATTGATGTCACTGGCCTGGTAAACTTCCAAGTACTGTGAATCTAGAAAGCACTTCTTGCAGCACAATGCCCTCGAAATACTCACCCTCCACCACACGCCTTCCGATGATGGCACACCAAGCCATGTCGTACTCGCAAGCTCTCTCGGTACGACAGAAGACAGTTGCACGCTTGTCAGCTGCAACCAGTTTGCGAGGTGCTGACACGAAGGCTGACCCGACGGGAGGGACACGAAAGGTCGACCACCAGCCGCGGACATCGCAGGAGGAGTCGGACGTCTACGTCTTGACGCTGGACACAACGCCTTCGCTCAGTCAGCCGTTGACGGCACTCCGCGACGAGCATTTTCCAATTCATCTCAACCACACGTCTGCGCACCTCACCATGTTTCATGCGTTGCCAGGATCGGAGATGACCGGCATAGTAGCGGCGCTGCAGGAGCATTGTCGAAACACACGCCCGTTCAAGCTGACGACGGGTGCGCCGTTCCGTATGAAACGAGGGGTTGGCATCAGCGTACAGGCCTCAAAGGCCGCGCAACGCTTACACAAGGAGCTGCAGCGACGATGGGCGGAGATGCTCAGCGCACAGGACCAACAGGGCTGGCGGCCGCACTGGACGGTCCAGAACAAAGTCGACGACGAGGCCGCCGTGGAAAAGACAATGGACCAGGTGCAGCACGAATTCCAGGGGGCCGAGGGGCTGGCGAAGGGATGCACGCTGTGGCGCTACGAGAGCGGAGGGCGATGGAAATTTGAACGCGGCTTCGACTTTGGCAGCGGCAAATAACAAAGACAGGCCTAATTAAGATGTGCTCTGCCCTGCTCGTTTCAGCAACGCCCTTGCGATGCTCGACAGGCCACATGACGCTGCCACCCGCGATGCAGGTCAGGCGGTACGGATGCTGCGTCGCCCGCCGGCGCTCGTATGGGGCCGCGGTGCCCTGTCCTGGCGGTGGCGCGTTCCCCTCCACGTGTGTGCAACGCTGCGATGCCGCTCGCGCCCGGCGCTCGGCGACGATGCCGTTTCGATTGCGCTGGCCGTCTCGTGATGCTGGCACGACGGGCGCGGGGCGGCGGCGCGCGCAGGGCGGAGGTGCAGCCCGCTTGGCTGCTGGAAATAGTGCGCGTCGTGCGTGGGCGCAGTGGCTGAGGCGGGCGCGCCAGGGCATTGGCGGCGGGACTCGATGCGGTGCGGAACGTCGGTGATCCTAGGCTTGGGCTGGGCGTGCAAGGGCCCCGTTGGTGTACCTAGGGGCAATTTGCTGGTGGAGTCAGCGGCCATGGACCGGTACTCTCCACCTGGCCTCTCGTTCCGTTGACGACTATTAACTGACACCTGCTCCTTGCACCTGTCTCCTCTTTGAACACCCTGCTTCCATCTCCCACGGCTCAATTGCCGCCAACCCGCCCTCACTCGCTCCCCAGGCGCGCCTTCTCCGCTCGTTGCTCAGCATTCCCCGCGCCTCCTTGAACACAACACTCCACGATGAAGGGTGGGTCTGCTCGAGATGCCAATCCGCGAACTGTGCTAACCTCCCGGCAGCTCTCATTCTTGTCGGCGGGTTTGGCACCCGCCTGCGTCCTCTCGTACGTCGTCCCCGCTCGCAAGGCTGACGCGCGCCGCACCCATGTCTGTCAGGGACGCACAATTGACCAGAACCACAGACCCTTACCTTGCCGAAGCCGCTGGTCGAGTTTGGCAACAAGCCCATGATCCTGCACCAGGTCGAAAGCCTGGCCGCAGCGGGCGTCACCGACATCGTCCTTGCCGTCAACTACAGGCCCGAGATAATGACTGCGGCGCTGAAGAAGGTCAGGACCTCCCGCACGCCAACGCGCGCAATGCCACTGACACACCGAGCAGTACGAGGAGCAGTACAACGTCCGCATAGAGTTCTCCGTCGAGAACGAGCCCCTGGGCACCGCCGGCCCGCTGAAGCTCGCCGAGAAGATCCTGGGCAAGGACGATTCGCCCTTCTTCGTCCTCAACTCCGACGTCATCTGCGACTACCCCTTCAAGCAGCTGGCCGAATTCCACAAGGCCCACGGCGATGAGGGCACCATTGTCGTCACAAAGGTTGAGGAGCCGTCCAAGTACGGCGTGGTCGTCCACAAGCCCGGCCATGCTTCACGCATTGACCGTTTCGTCGAGAAGCCCGTCGAGTTCGTGGGCAACCGTATCAATGCCGGTATCTACATTTTGAACCCCTCGGTGCTGAACCGTATCGAGCTGCGCCCCACTTCGATTGAGCAGGAAACCTTCCCCGCCATCTGCAAGGACGGTCTCCTGCACTCGTTTGACCTGGACGGTTTCTGGATGGACGTCGGCCAGCCCAAGGACTTCCTTGCCGGAACTTGCCTCTACCTCTCGTCCCTGGCCAAGAAGGGCTCAAAGGAGCTCACTCCCAACACTGAGCCGTATGTCTATGGCGGCAACGTCATGGTCGACCCCACCGCCAAGATCGGTAAGAACTGCCGCATAGGCCCCAACGTCACCATTGGGCCCAACGTCGTCGTTGGCGACGGCGTTAGACTGCAGCGCTGTGTCCTGCTTGCTGGAAGCAAGATCAAGGATCACGCCTGGGTCAAGTCCACCATTGTCGGGTGGAACAGCTCTGTTGGCAAGTGGGCCCGGTTGGAGAATGTCACGGTGCTCGGTGACGATGTCTCCATCGGTGACGAAATTTATGTCAACGGTGGTTCCATTCTGCCCCACAAGTCGATCAAGCAGAACGTCGACGGTAAGAGATATACCTCCGGTTATTTGAACTCGATTCACTAACATCTCCGCTAGTCCCGGCCATCATTATGTAAATCCACGGTTTGCATGCGTGTCGCGAGTCCCCGGCGCGGCTCAAGGCTCTTCCTCTCAGCCTGATCGGACTTATAACGACTTTAATACCCATTCCTTCTCAGATCCCTGTTATTGTTCGCGAACGGCATATTTTCCTGGCCAACTTTCCGCTTTGGTTCACAATTTTCTGGCGGCCATGGAGTTTCAGTCAAATACCACACATTTTGTGGCTTATTTTCACCAGCGGCGTCCGGCTCCCCGAGATGGCCGCGAGACAAAAAAGCAAATTTTATAACCCATTTTCTTCTTTCACCATTGGGAACATTTTAGTTTCCCTTGATGGTTAGGGATTTCAGTGGCAATGCATGGGAAGAGCGGGGAAATTCACTCAAAGCGGAAATACGTTACTGGGTTGCGTCTTATGTATTGCATGGCTTTTCATCTTCTCTCTTCTGTTCTGATTGCATGCACTCTTGTTTTATGAAGTCCAAGTGGTTGATGAAAGCGTCGTGCACGATTTGGGGTTGCGGGTCCTATTATCTTTTTGGTCAATGGGTGAATCGTTTTTCTGTGGATTTGCTTGATAAACTCATACCCGGGAAATGCCAAATCTGAACTCCTCCTCGTGCAACACGCTCATCCTTTTTGGTCCAAGTCTCTGGAAAGGATCCTGACAATTTACCGATCGCCTATCACAGGAGCCAGACTCTCGCAGACCGCATCCGTGGAATCTCCGTGGGTCCAATCATACGCAACTTGCATTCCGGGAATAAGTCCAGCCCGCTGTCTCCTCCCTTTCTCTTTGTGCCCATGTTGAGACATGTGCAGGGATGGACCATCGGGCCGAGCAATTCCAATATCTTAGGTTTGATGGTGCCCAAATACAGGCATACGTGAGCAGATTGTGGAGTGACAGCACACCACGCGTAATGAGAGTTGAAATCGAAAATGTTTGTGACGTGTTCTACCAGTGTTTTCATCTCCGTAAAGTCTAGCTAAAGAAACAGGTAAAATCACGACAAAAGAGGAGGAAAGGGAAAAGGGCATTCGCTTGAGCTTTTCATCAGACTCCCGCCTACTCATGCCGAGCAGATATACAACTCTGCTTCAAGCAGTAAAGAAATCATTTTTCAGATAGAACGCCGTTCAACTCCAGTTGCACTTCCTGTTCCTTTCTTGCAACTCCTTTCTTTTCTCTCCCGCGTTTCAAATCTAATCATCGAATCTGATACCGTTCACTGCGTGAGTATCGATAAGGCCGCCGCGGTAGCTACCTCTCTTTCCCTTGTTCTTTTCCTTAGTGAAACCCTTGCCCTTGGTGACGATCAGCTTCTCGTGGGCGCGCTGGGCATAGTCGTAGGGCACAAAAGCATTGCTGGAAAACCGGGGGTCAACGAATTGGTCCTTGGGGATGCGGCTGAACGGCACGTTCGACTTCTTTGCTCGCTTATTGCCGTCCTCGCCGCTGGGAGTGCTCGTGCCGGAAACGACGTTGCTGGGAGTGTCGGTGGTGGACTCGTCTCGTTTACGCTTGCTACCAGGAGTTGCATTCGGCGCAGGCGAGTTGCTGCCTATAGTGTCGCTGCCACTGCTGGAAGTCGCACTGCTCTCCTCTTTGGCGTCCTTCGCCTTCTTTCCCTTTGCAGTCTTCTTGCTCTTCTTCTTCTTGGCGTCGGAGTCGGAATCTGAATCTGAAGACGAGGATGAAGATGAGGATGAGTCGCTATCAGAGTCGGAAGAAGAGGAGGAGGAGCTCTTCTTAGCGCTAGCCGAAGAGCTGCTGGAGGAGCTGGAGGAGCTGGAGGAGCTAGAGGAACTAGACGATGACGAAGAGGAGCTACTAGAGCTCGAAGCAGAAGCCTCGGATTCGGCATCAGATTCGGAGCCGCTGTCCGAATCACTGTCCGAGCTCTCTGCATCAGAGCTTGAGGAAGAGTCGTCACTGCTCTGCGGAGAGTCGGCCTCTTTCTTTGCCTTCTTCTTCGGCGGCTCATCCTCGCTGTCGCTGTCGCTTGCGCTATCATCCGAGCTCTCACTCTCGCTGCTGTCTGACTCTTCCTTGCCTTTCTCTGCCTCGATCTCATTGTCGATTTCCCGGTCCTCCTCCCATTCCTCCAACATGTCGGCAAGATTAGGCTTGCCCTTAGCAGCGCCCTTCCATGCGGAATCGCGCTGCGTAGCCTCAGACTGAAAATGTTTGGCGGCCTTTTCGAAGCCGTACTCGACTAGGAAGTTGCTGACGAGATCGAGAAGCGCGGCGGGAGCCTTGGGGTAGTTCTTAGATTCCGAGTCGGGTTTGGCCTTCGTGACCTTAGCGGCCGGCTTTGCGCTCTTGCTCTTGGCCATTGTGAGAAAGTGTGTGGTGTGCGCGGGTGTTGTATGGGACAGGGAAAAAAAATTTGGAGTTGGTTGGAGGCTCTCAAATTTCTGGCCGACAGGCCGGTCGCACAGGGATTAGACCGCCCAAACCCAAAGCAACCTAGTCGCACCTCTCGGAAGCCACAACCCCGGCAGCAAGCCGCTTGCCGCCAGTGGGCTAAGCACCAGTGTACACGGCAGCTTGCCTCCAGGCACACGTAACGCTGCTGCCGCAGCATTTCTTCACAGGACAGTCTGCCCACGCTGGCACCCGACCGCATCGCCCCTCGAGTGAGCCCAGCGCCTATCCCGTGCCCGCACTACCGTCGCCTGCCCGCCGCCAATCGCCTGGGGGGAGGGGCCATCGCCGCTCCGTATCCATGCCTGCGTCAGACACCTAACACCAACTCCGCCCAAGCAAACAATGAACCAGGCGTTCTCGACGCTCTTTTAAGTCAGCGCATTCGTCCTCGACCCGCATCCGTCGACGCTCCCGCCTCCTCTCCCCACCCGTCATGAACGGCAGTCGGTCCCACAACCCCAACGGCTCTGGCTCCAGTGGGCGGCCCAGCGAAGATGGCCGCGGTCCAAGGGCGCCCCCGCCTGCCGCGAGCAATGGCCGCGCAGAAAAATATGAAGATGAGAAGCGCAGGATCATCGAAAGTTGTTTCAGCAAGATGGACCCGAACGGAGCCTGTATGCGCGCTCCCTTCCACCTTGCAACCTGGCGTTCTCGCACAGGCATTGGGCTGACACGGCCACCACAGTATCCGAGTCTTATATCACCCACTTGCGCGTCTCCGAGGATGCTGCCCATCCCCAGACCCCTCCGCCACCCAACTCTCCAGCGCAAAATAAGAAGCCCCGTGTAATCATAATCGCGGTGCGGAGCTCTGGCAGGGTCCGCGTTCATAAGGCCCGCGAAAATGCCAATGGCTCATTTTCAATCGGCAAGACGTGGCATATGGAGGATTTGTCGGCGGTTGAATCGTTCGCCAATGCTGCACCTGCCACGCCGGAGCAGCAGCAGCGCAAGGACTGGGCAGGGCCTACTGGATTTATAGTGACGCTTGCGAAGCCCTACTACTGGAACGCAAACTCACCGAAGGAGAAAGACTTCTTCATCAACAGCTTGATCAAGATTTACGGAAAGTATACATCCGGCAAGGTCCCACAACTGATTGGGTTCAGCCAGAAGGAACTGGATATGATGCTGCGCCCGCCGACGGGTCAGGGTCCAAGGGGTCCTCCGAGCCAGGGCCCTCCGGGAAAGCTACCGCCTGCCAGTCCTGGTCCCCGCCCTCCACCCTCTCGGTCTGGTGAATCTCCAAGCCGCCGTCCGGTTGCGGGCCCACCTGGTGATGCTGGTGCGCCCAGGCCTCTGCAGCCGAGGAGTCGACCTGGTACTGCGGGTGATGATAGGGATAGGTCAGGCTCGCGCGGGCCCCCGTCTCGTGGAGGAGAGCTCCCTCCAGGCTTGCCCAATCCCCGGGATCCTTCAAGGCAGCCCCAGCCAAGGCCACAACCGTCGCGAGAACTTCGCAAGCCACCAAGCAGAGAGCAGATGCGGCCGCGCCCAAGTCAGGAGCAATTTAGGCCTTCCCCTCCTACTGGCCCCCCGGGGCAGTCTCCTTCTCTTGCACCTTCTCATCTTACCCCGCAATCCTCTCAATCCGAGTTTTCTCAAAGGCCCACATCGCCCATTCGTGAACGTAATCCCAAGTTGCCTCTTCAGATACCTCAAGCAAGTCCTGGAAGACAGAGAGATTATGCTAAATCGCCAATCGAGAGGGCAGATGCGTTTCCAAGGTCGCCGATTGATAGGGCGAGATCGCCTGTTGACAGGAGGGCAGACGATGCTAGCTCCATGGAGAGTTCCTTGCTTGCAAGCTCAACATTTGATAGGTTCGGGCCCAACGGGGCTAGAAGAGACCCCTCGCCTCAGGGCCTACGCCCGACAACTTCCCACAGTACTATGTCGAGGAATGAGGAGAATGTTGAGGAGAAATCCGCTGAGGCGCCACCGGAGCGCAAGCGGCCGCCCATGCTTTCCCCTCTCGAAACCAGTGGTCACAACTCAGATGCTCCCAAATCCCCTCGATATGACGACATGCCTCCGGCCTTGAGGTCGCCTCGCCCGCCCCCATCGCCTCGTGCCCCTCCATCACCGCGAGTCCCTCCGTCAAGAGAAGGGCCGTTGGCCAACGGGCCAAGAGGTCCGCCTGGACCGTTCCTGTCGTCCGATACCAATTCGATGACGAAAGTAAAGGATGATGCGCCGGAGCCGGTTAAGCCTCTCAATAATATTAGCGCTGTCGAAACCAAGGAACTGATGGCCGAGCCCGAACCTGAGCCCGCGCCCGCGCCCGCGGAATCTGAACCGGAGCCTGCACCGGAGGAGCCTGCGCCCGAGCCTACGCAGGAACCGACACCCGACCCAACTCCAGAGCCTGAAGTCTCTGAGACACCATCGCCTCTTGCAGTCAGACCGCCTCCAAGGAAAGACGACGAGCCGGAAGAGGCCGAGAAACCAGGTCTGGGTCCAATGATCGGAAAGAAAAAGTTGGGTGCTGCTATTGAACGAGGGGCTGATGGAAAACCGAACATGGCCGATGTTTTGCGTAAGGCAGCCAACGCATACGGTGCGTTCAAACCACGCGCTGGCGGTGCCGCTCAGAAGTTCAAGGCCGCATTGGCAGATGCACCTTCAGAGCAAAAACCGGACGGTATCACAGGAGTTTTCAACGCACCCTCGTTGAATAGGCAACACACCGATGATAGTACAAAGGTGGAGACGCCAAAGGGCTTGGAGGCCCCGGAATTTCCTGCTCCTGAGCCAACCGCCGAAGAGAAGCCTGCTGCAGAGAGTGCTGCCGAACCCGACCTTCCTGGGCTCATTGTCTCGGCCCCTACCATCGGCCCTGAACCAACAGAAGCTCCTGCAGGAGATGCAGCATCCAGATCGCCGAGCCCGGATGGGAAGCGTGGTAAATCTCCGGAGGACATACGCAGACAGAGAAGACGGTCCAACCAGCAGGCTAAGTATCTCGCCTCACTGGGTTTGGATGCGACTGTTCTGGACGTCAGGGGCTTGGAGATCGAGTCGATTCTCTCCGATTTTGGATGGGGCAGCGCAACCATGCAGCCAAAGAAGCTTGAAGCCTTTGAAGCAGATCTCAAGCGCGAAATAGCCCGCGTCGAAGCTGGAAGTTGGCTGAACAACACTGATCACAATGATGACAGAGTGGAGGCAGTCGAGAAGATGCTTGACAAAGTCATCAGCGAGTGTGACGAACTTGAGGGCCTATTGACACTGTACAATGTCGAGCTCAGCAGTCTGAATGATGACATCGCCTTCATCGAGGCACAGAGTCAAGGTCTTCAGGTCCAGACAGCTAACCAGAAGCTTTTGCACTCTGAGCTGCAGAAGCTTGTCGACACTATCTCTATCGACACGAGACAACTGGAACCTCTAAGAGCTGCGAAGATCGGCAAGCCTGAAGGCTTGGAGGTCATCGAGAATTCGCTGCTCTTGCTTTACAAGGCCATGATTACCATCGATCCTGCCATCCGTCAAGGTGCTGAAGTAGTTGACGGCGCGTCCGGTATGGGCAACAGCGAGCTTTCTAACATGAGAGCATTGCAAGAGAAGAAGCAGAGGTATCTACAGGAGGCTGCTGTCTTCCTCAAACGCCTGGGTCAGCACATGGATATGACGTTTGGTGCTGCACTGCTCAACACCAGAGATGCAATCTCACGGCAAAATTCCGGCGGCCTATCGACAAGGCTGGATCCTGCCACTCACGATTTTGCACGCAACGCATTGTGGCAATACAGTCCGTTGTTGCTTTTTGCCAAGGAAATTGATCTGCAGACGTGGGATAATCTTCTGAAGATGTACCAAGCCCGCGCTCGGCCGGTGTACCAAGAAGAGTTTAGGGATAATGCTTCCGCATGGAAGAAGATGGCCCGCAGGCCTACAGGCGAAGAGCAGGATCTTCTATTTACCTCGCAGGAGAAGGACACTGAGACTCTCAAGACGACAGCCCGCAAGCTCACCGTTAAACGCAGCGGCACTCTGGCGAGGGGCCTCCGCTCAAACTCCAACGAAAAGGCGGACAAGGGTGGACGTCTTTACCCCTACGAGGCTTTTGCTGGCGCTCTTGATGAGATGGCACCTCTGGTTTTCACGGAGCAGAACTTCGTCGTGGAATTCTTCCACGCATCATCTACCGAGAACGTCGACTTCGCTGATGCCGTTACCGCCGCGCCGCCACACGCGAGGAAGGGGTCGAATTTGCTCGCGCGGAAGATGTTTGAGCCTGATCGGGCACTGGCAAAGCGAGTTGTCGAGGTCATGGATGATATCTTTTCGTTCTGGCCTACAGAGCTACAAAACCTCGTTGAGTTTGTGGTCAACAGTGATCCACTGCAAGGTGTCGGCATCCTGGCCTGCTTGGACCGCAAGCTTATCGAGTATGAGGAGACCAACCAGGACTTCCTCACGCGCACTTTCCAGGCTCTCCAGACGCGCCTCGCCGGGCTGTTCAACCGTTTCGTTGATACGCAAATAACTGCTATCGAAGATACAAAGGTCAAGATCAAGAAGAGGAAGGGTGTCATCTCTTTCTTCAAGACCTTCCCGCACTTCTCCGGCGCCATTGAGAACATGATCCCGCCGGCCGATGATCTCGAACGTCTCGAGGTGAGAACCATGGTTGATGACGCATACCAAAAGATCAACAAGGCCATGTTCGAAAGTTTGAAGGTGATTGCAAAGGAAAGCCCGGCCGCGATGGCGGCGCAGAGCGCGGCTGTCGGGGGTGCCGGCGCGGACCCTGAAGACAAGGAGGCGCTGAACTACCACATTCTCCACATTGAGAACATGAACCACTACATCGAGGAAGTTGAAACGCACGGAGATCTTGTGCTGGGCGAGTGGAAGGAAAAGGCCAAGGCCGAGATGGACGAGCATCTGGCGCTGTATCTTGACGCCATCATCAGAAGGCCACTCGGCAAGCTCTTGGTAAGTTCTGCGGTACCGTTAATTTCAGAGGACGCCATGACATTAAACAGAAGCGAATGCAGGATTTCCTCGACCCTATCCCCAGCATCCTGGGAGCCCTCCCAGCTGGCACGCCGCCGTCGGCCATTGCCAGCCGCCCTTCACACTCTCGTACCGTGTTCAAGAAAGTCACGGCGTCGCACGATAGCAAGGAAATCAGGAAGGGCATCGAAGCTCTGCGGAAGCGCGTTGAGAAGCACTTTGGCGATGCGGATGATCCGGGTCTCAGCCGCAACCTGGTGGTCAAGGTCCTGGGTGAGTGCGAGAGGAAGTATCAGGACGTGTGGCAACAGCTCATCAGCATCAACAACGACGTGTATGGCGGAGAGGTGGATGTTGGCAGTTGGGGCGATGAGATTGCGGGATCGTTCAAGGGACGGTGATTTTGTGGTTGAAGATGTAATTGGTTCTCGATTCCGGCAGCACGGGTGCTCGAGAGTGCTGCGTCTGTTGTTTGTCATTCTTGCATTATTCCTTACGTTAACGCCGCGCAATGTTCATGTCGGGCCGTTATTCTTTCATTGGCGCATGGGTTGGTTTGGCTAGCAGTCTTCATTCCTCTCTCGCAATTCCCCACTGAGCTATGCCATAACGATCGCGTTGCTTCTTCTCGCATTGAGGTCATGAGCAGATTGCTTTCTTCGCATTTTTCTTCTTCGGCGCTGTTCGCTCGCTTTTCTTCGGACTAGGATCGAGATGGGAAAAGGTGTACAGTCTCTTTCGCCTCTTGCTAATTAGAGTAATTTGTGCCGAGTGATGTTGAATATAAAAATGGTTGTTTGACATGCAAGGAGATGGAGCAGTCATGGCAATCTCGACCACTCGATCTACGTATTCGATGGAGACGGACTGGTGGAGGTGGGGAGGAGGTCGCGTGGGTGAGCAGTAATTCTGGGCCTGCTAAGGCCAACCGGTGGCTTGGGCCAGCTGCAGCCCACTGGTGATCCCCCTCGACGCCCAGTGGTCCCCCCATCCAACCTCTCTCCGAGTTTCGACCAAGCGCTTCTCCTGGAGATCTGTAGCTAGCCGAGCCGTCAAGCTTCTGATCTCCAGTTAGCGACCGGCTGTACAACCTGATTTTCGCGCCGTCGACTTTCCGTTTCCACTGCATTCCCGCCCGCGAAGCCACCTTGCCTGCGACCGCGCCGCGCGCTGTACTGCGAACATGAGCAAAATGTGGGAAGTCGATCCTGAAACCAGGAGCAAGGTGAGCCATTCCTACCCGAATGGCACCGGACTGCTGCTGACGCTGAACCCAGCTCCTGGAGATCCAGAAGGAGAACGGCAACAATTCGTGCGTCGACTGCAACGCCCCGAGCCCTCAATGGGTACGTCACGTCACCCTTCAGCGTGCGCGGTCGCTGACATGCAATCATCCAGGCGTCGCCTAAGTTCGGCATCTTCATGTGCCTGAACTGCTCCGGCATCCACCGCGGCCTCGGCGTGCACATCTCCTTCATTCGCAGCATAACCATGGACGCTTTCAAGGGAGCCGAGCTCGAGCGCATGAAGAACGGCGGCAACAAGCCTTGGCAGGACTTCTTCACCAACCACCAGTCCAACCAGCTCGAAGGCCGCACCTTCGACGACTGCACCATCAACGAGAGATACGACAGCGAGGCGGGCGAGGAGTGGAAAGAGCGGCTGACGGCCAAGGTCGAGGGCAAGGAGTACGTGCCGCAGCCCAAGGAGAAGAAGACGCCGGTGAAGAAGGCGGCGGCAGCGCCGCTCAGCGGAAGCAGGGCTGGCAGCAGGGCCGGCACGCCCGTCTCGCGCAACGAGCTGGAGGGCTTCGCGCCAGGTCGCACCGGCTCGCCCAGCTTGGGCACGGCGTCGCTGTCCAAGAAGCAGCAGAACGAGGCCTACTTCGCACGCATGGGCGCCGAGAATGCGAACAGACCGGATGACCTGCCGCCCAACCAGGGCGGAAAGTACGCCGGTTTCGGCAGCGACCCATTTCCACAGCAACAGCAGCAGGGCAGCATCCCGGGCTTGGATGATTTCCAGAAAGACCCCGTGGGCGCTTTGACGAAAGGGTTTGGCTGGTTCAGCACCACGGTGCAGAAGACGGCGAAGACAGGGTACGATGGCTGGGTCAAGCCCGGCATGGAGAACGTACGTCCCCAATTGTCAAGCTCTCAGGGCTGCGACTGACACACGAGTAGCTATCCAAGGCAGACATTGCAGCGCAAGCACGCTCCGCCGCCATGACCATCGGACAGACGGCGCAATCGGCCGGCAAGAACGCTGCCGATTCGTTCAACCGCTTCGTCGAGGGCGACGACACGCTCGCGCCGCGCAACGGAAACGCAAAGAAGGCCGGGCCGGACGAGGAGCACAAGGACTTCTGGGACTCGTTCGGCGCAGCGCCCCAGGGCCCTCCGGCGGAGAAGAAGGGCTTCTGGGATGAATTCGCGTCGGCGGGAGAGCAGACCACAAGCAAACCGAAGCCGACGAGCGTCGGGACCGCGGCAATGAAGAAGGGAGGAAGCGGCAGCGCACCGGCGGCGAAGAAGGAGGACGACGGATGGGGCGATTGGTAGTAGTTTTATTTGCACTGGGTCTATATGTGGGAATGCGCCGGGCGCGTAATGGGTTTCCTTGATGCCGAGAGGGGTTGTCAGTGGAACGGGCGGGTCTTTAGTACCGGACGATTCTTCAGGGGAGCAAACGGCGCACTGTAGAAATACGCGTTTTCTAGAAGAGCAATACCAGGCGCTACTGTTTTGATTGAGGCTTTTAGGTCCGACTGTCGCAGCGGCGCCATGTGAATCGCTGCCGTCCCGGGATTCCCCCACACCCTCGCTGAGCCGAGCTCGGCTTCGGTTAGAAGAGCTTCAGCATCCCAAGCTCCAACTCACCACCACCACGACTCACCACCAACCTTGGGCTCAAACATCGCCGGGAACGACCGTCCGACATCTCGCATACCCGCATTTCCGTCCCACCACCATGGCTTCGAATCTCCGCATCCTGGTCCCCGTCAAGCGCGTCATTGACTATGCCGTACGTCGTCATCCTCCGAACTATGATTGCACACCCCTCCATACCCCGCTGTGCAGAGGCTAATTGCTGCTCTCGTCAACAGGTCAAGCCACGCATCAACAAGGCACAGACTGCCGTCGAGACAGCCGGCGTCAAGCACAGCATGAACCCCTTCGACGAACTCTCGGTCGAGGAAGCAGTACGCCTGCGCGAGCGCAAGGCGCAGCCGGTAGAGGAAATCGTCGCGTGGAGCGCGGGGCCGGCGAAGGCACAGGATGTGCTGCGCACGGCGATGGCCATGGGCGCCGACCGCAGCGTGCACGTCCAGACGGCCGACGGGCCTGCGGGCGAGCTGGAGCCGCTGGGAGTCGCCAAGATGCTGCAGAAGGCCGTCGAGGAGGAGAAGAGCAACCTCGTCATCCTCGGCAAGCAGAGCATCGACGACGACGCCAACCAGACGGGCCAGATGCTGGCCGGCCTGCTCGGCTGGGCCCAGGCCACCCAGGCCTCCAAGGTCGAGATCAAGGACGACGTCTGCACCGTCACTCGCGAGGTTGACGGCGGCGTCGAGACGCTCCGCGCCAAGCTGCCCATGGTCATCACCACCGACCTGCGCCTCAACGAGCCGCGCTACGCTAGCTTGCCGAACATCATGAAGGCCAAGAAGAAGCCACTAGTTAAGAAGGCCCTCGAGGACTACGGTGTTGATATCAAGGCCCGTCTGAAGACAGTCAAGGTTGCCGAGCCCGCGCAGAGACAGGGCGGCCAGAAGGTTGAGGATGTCGACGGCATGATCGCCAAGCTCAAGGAGCTGGGTGCTTTGTAAAGGCGAAAGGGACAAAGAAAAACGGAATACACGGACAGAATGGGGGGTGACGAACATCGGACTCGCACGTTAGAAAAAGACTTGATTCTACACCGGGACGAAAAATAGGTACGGGATATGGATGGGATATCGAAAAGGCCTTCAATCTGGATCGGCCGGTGGAAGAGAGATATCTGTATTGTATGTACATAGCCGGTATGGACTTTTTCTTTTCTTCTTCGGATGTCTTCTGCACACCTCTTCGAGCGAGACTAACGAGGTTGTACTTTCCAAAAGTATGACAGAAGGGCTGTCACCGGCCCCACGGCCTATTCAACCTCGTCAGACATGGTACAGCCACAATGCATTACCAAACCATACGAGCCTCCGCAGCCATCTTCAAGCATGTAAGCTCGTTCTGTGGTCAAATGTTCGGATATGGCTGCGACTTTAAAGACCACAGGATCTTGTAGACGCCAGCTTCAACTTCCACGTCAGTCGAGTGTAATATCTTACAGATTTTATTCACGTCCATTCACATACAAGAACGGACTACAGATACAATCATAAATGCACATAAATGAACCCCTCTCTACATTCGAACGCTTTGGCACTCTTTACCAGTTTACAGAATCCACAAGATTCGGGCCAGTAACGCTCGTATAACCAGGCAATATCGATAGAGTTCCGTCAGTGGAATACACACTTGGCCATTCTTGACTGATGTAGCCCTAGATTACAGAAGATGTCGAAGTATGCATCTTAGGTGGGAGCGTGGCAGAGCTGTGTTTTAAGAATATGTTACATTAGTCATATTTGTTCCGTACTGGGACAGGTTTCAAGCTTATACTATCTTTCTCATGCCAACATATGGATTGGAGCGAGACGGTCTTTGACAGCTGCTTTGGAGCAAGTCATCGTAGTTGAACTCAAGTATGACCAGAAATAAATTCTCGATCGTAAAGCTTTCATCGCTAACCGCTACGTCACGCACCAAGCAGGCCTCTTGCAGGGGGGAATTGCAGCCGACGGCTAGCGTGAATTTATCTTTCGTCCATGCCGTGGGTAGTTGAGGCTATCGTCCGGACGTGGATGTATAATCATAAATTCTACATTTGCATCCGGATGATAGCTCCAGCTACCCATACATGTTCTTTTTCTTTTCTTTTTTTTTAAAAAAAAAAAAAACAAAGAACAACCGAGGCACACTTACGCTATGTTCTATGGTTATGCTATTCTTCATGCTAGCCATCGGCTGCAGTACCCCTCTATATGGCAAACGAGTTCTAGAATGAGGTCCGAATAAGAGTTCAATTTAGGCTATACAGAACACACATCTTGCGTCCGCCGTGTCGACAGTCAGTGAGATGTTCTGACTGTTCATGTGTTAACTGCTACATCTTCATATATATAGAGTAAGATCTAGAATAGTCTGTTTTTGAGATGTGGCGTGGGAAGTGTACCGTGGGCGTCCTTGTTTTTTTTTTTTTTTTTTTGGCTGGTGGCTGCGAATATGAGAAAGAACTGCACAAATAGCGAACATTGAAAGCCAAAGGGAACGTTATCAGCGCCACATGCCAAGCTTAACGTGGCAAATTATCTTAATACAATTTTCTTTGAGAGAATGCAACAAACCATTTCCTTTTTCTGATAGTATAAAGATTTCTTGCAGCCCTCGCTTTCTTTCTCCCTCTATAATTACACTAATATATCAATCTACCCGTATATACTTTTCGCGGGAATGAAGCCAGCTGAACACATATTTACTACTAACCATGCAACTCAATAATACTATTTTCCTCATCCTCAGTGCCGCAATCCTTGCGCTCGCCGCCCCTCAGTTCGTCGGGAATATGCCGACAACCTCCCCTCTCACCTCCACATCCGGCCTCGGCCCTGCCTATCCAGTCGAAGGCGGCTCCAATATCTCGCCCTCGCTCGTCAGCGACGGTACGAATATCAACCTTGAAGCGCGCGGCTATCCTGCACGGCGCGTCCGCTACTGCCAGCATCTCAACGGCAGAGGCGCGTGCCTCAATCAAGACTTGGATAACAAGAGGTGCTACAACTTCCTGGGGTGGTGGGACAACCAAGTCAGTTCCATCTACATCAACCCGGGTCTCAAGTGCACAATATATGCCGAAAAGGCCTGCAAGGGCCGCAAGGTCGAGTTCAAGGCGCCTGGGATCACAGATTTGCAGAGCGTAGGGATTAATGACCAGGCGAGCTCTATCTACTGTTCTCATTAAAGCAACGCACTTCGATGGACGTCCTATGCTATGGGTTTGCGTGAGAGGCAGTGCGACAACCGGAGTGAGAAGGACTGATTGGAGGTTTTTTTTTGTCCTTTATTTTATTTCCTAAAAAAGCATTTGGATAGCATACAAGCGCGCAGATCAGGATTAGGAGTACCAGGAACTCAATTGAATAGGCAGTACCGAAGTCCACCGCTCTCTGCCGATGCTATTGGGGTAAAGCTTGACTGAATGACTGAACAGCCAAGCCGCGCACGAGCAGGCAAGCTTTCAGAAGGCACCAAGTAGAAAGCAGACAGACATATAAGATACTAATATAATAACCATGCAGCAATGTGTAGCCACTGACCAGCGTGTAACATGCATCATCTTTTGACTGCTTCGACTTTCCTCAACTGCGGCAGAATCGCGGGGGTTTGACTTGTCGGCTAGAAAAGACGGTAGCGAGCACACGATGCGTCCGAGGCCCGATCCTGCCGTACCCACACAGCATGGAAGAAGTAGGCTCGTCGGCCTGAGGACATTGTCACTTCTCTACATTCCAGGGCGGAATTGTTGTACGGATAATTTCAAAACAAGCGAAACTGTTGATCACAACTTGGGGGTGTGGCGCAACGGTAGCGGTAAGTTTTCAATCATTCGACAATAGCAAAATATCCAACATACTAATTCCCTTCATAGCGTCAGATTCCAGATCCAATCTTGGAGTATCCTGAAGGCTGTGCGTTCAAATCGCACCATCCTCATCTTTTTTGCACTTTTTTTTTTCCCTGTCTGTCTTTTGAGTGCCTTGTGGGGTGTAAATGACTCTGCCTCCGCAGTGCCTGGGTGGAGACGATTGGGTCTGGACTCGGGCGGGCCGTTAGTTCTTCAGCCGACCGGTGGGAAGCCGGAACCTGCTCAATGTTTTGCCGACAAGTACTCGTAAGGAGTCACTTCTGGTATTTCCTCAACCTGTTCCCCACCTGGTGGAAACACGACAAAAATCCAAGGCGGACGGATGCTCAGGGGAGGACAGGATGTTGAAGTATGACGGCTTGCTGCAAAGAGGGTTGGTTCAGCACTTGAGGGGTTGAGAGATGAAGAGGACTGCTCAAACCTGATCATCCATGTACTGGATTGCTGGAGGCATGATGGCCCTCCAGAGATCTTTCCCGTGTGACTAAGCGAGATGCTGACTGACCTGCCATGCCGACGTGGGAACAACAGCTTGTCCCGTGTCAACAGCTTGCGGTTCGAAACTCGCATTGAAAATACATTATAATATTCATTTTTGATAGGATAGTAGTAGAAGCTGCAAGCAAATCGACATGAACAACACTCGGTATGTCCTGCTGACTCGCACAATCCTTTGCCTTATTTATCAGCCACCCCCGCCGTACCTCCGCAATAAACCATCACCTCTCCCGTCCTCCTTCTGCTCAGTGCTTGGACAGACTCTGCGCCCTCCCTGTCGACGTCAGATGCAGATCACACCTGCAGCACGAAGCCTTGGGTATCCGACCGTATCCGCAACGACTTTGGAGGACCCTGGTTTCGGAAGACAAGAAGACTTGTTGACGAAGATCGGGTGGCCTGATGTCCGGTTTCGCGCACGAGTCAATCTCAAGTATTGGTTTCAGCACAATACTGTCACAGCAGAAAAGAAAGACCGGTCAAGAGCCAAAAAAGATGTGCGGCACAGCGGGGGCAGGGGAACAAGGAACGGGGCTGTGTGCCGGGGGGCGAAAAGGTAGAGTGTGTTGTGCTAAAGGCAATATTGATTGCCAAGGATGGCGTTACGACGACGCAGAGTCAGGGTCTATTGTGACATATGTTAATCGCTATTCAGTTAGCGGTACAGGTACACACTATAGTGGCCGGTCTGCTATAGTCGCTACCCGAGGTGAAACGAGAAACGGCGTGGATAGCGAGAAAGCAGGGCAACAAGTGCCGCGCAACGAATGAGGATAAGTCATCCACCGCCAGGGACCAGCGCCTCAATTTCCGGGTACCACACCACTGGAACGTCAGTGATAGGCTCCAAAGTCGGGGCGTTGGGTAAGGGACCAGAGACGGCTGCTGCGGTGCCGTGTCGGGCCAGAAGGCACGGATCGTCGATGCGTCGTCCTATACATGCTTTTTGGCTGCTCGGATTCTGTGCGAAGGGTCCAGCGGTAATGACGGTGCGGAGCGAGCCATAGCGTCGACGCGCACGGGGAGAGAGGGCGCGTGATTGACGTGTGCGGTTCGGATAACGTAAACAGGCAAGGCGATAGCTCGTGGCGAGCGGGAGCACGCGCAGGGGGCACCGCGGAGAGAGGAATCCAACAAGACAGAGCCCCCAGATCTCTCATCAGCTGAACAGGCTCCACCGGCAGCGCGCGCGAATCATTCCTGCCGTGGTGCCTGATGATTGCCGCGACTCACGGGAGGGAAAAAACGCGCAATCCGTCCGCACGTCGCATCAGCGTCGGACCGGTCAAGAAAAGAAACAGATTAAGGTTGGCTCTCTTTTCGCACCAAGCTTTTCGCGCTTGTCGTCGACCTCGCCTGCTTCAGGCATCCAGCTCCGCGGCGGATGGCAGCGAGTCGGGGCGACAGGGAACGTCGTTTCATCGGCAGCGGGCATTGAAATGTGCTGTCGCTCCGAATGGAGATCGGCGCGGTCGGGACTGAAGGCTGCAAAGCCACAGCGGTCGACGTTGGTGTGAAGTGGAGGCAGGCGGTGAGGCCACGGAGGAACTGTACCTTTTTAGCCTGCATCCATGCTCCGAAACGCATAGCAGCCGATCGCCAGTCGCCCGCGGAACGCTTCCTGTTCTGCCGCCAAAAAGTGGGCCACTGTTCCGACACTGCAGAATATGCGTCGTCAATCATCCTGACGCCCGATTTGGAACCTGCCAGAGTCATGAGCCAATCTTATCTCCTCTTGCATACCCAGCTTCCCGTATCGATACGCTTCCCGCGCTCCTTTCTGGCTATTCTGTCTCTTTAAGCGGGCGGGGTTACGCGCACCTCACTCGCCCGTCCCTTCAGCAGCTTCCTCTCACACACAACCGCAGTCTCATCAGCCGATGTCCTGTGTCTCATGTTCCTGTCTCAGCCTGCCGGGCCCCGCAGCTTTCTAGAAGAATGCGAAACGTTGCATTTCCTTGCTTTTGAGCCTGTACCATGCTCCGCTGCGGGGGGACGCTCGCTCCGTTGATTGGTGCTGTCTGATGTGACATCAGACAAGGCTGTGTACACGTGCATCTGTGCCAATAGCTGCCGTGTGCGAGGTTGCTACGCGTGACGCGCAAAAGAATCGACTTGTGCATTGTGTGTAACCGTCGAGCAAGCGAAAGGCTTATATCGACATTTCCGTACGGAGACAGATGGGGAATCCAAAGACAAAGGAAAAGAAAAACATAGGAGATGAGTGACAGGAAGAAGTTGAAGGTGCAGCAGAGGACGTGCGTGACGACCTGTCCGCAAAACGCGTGGTATCTACCCAACAAAATCGCAACAAAAGCGCCGTCCATTCCCGGTTCCACAACCCGTCCGCTCCCAAGATCGCCAAATGAGCATAACAAATCCACCGGGGAGAAGCGAAAGGAATAATGAGGTATGTGCTGAGCTCGATAGGAAAAAATACGAAGAAGAAACATCTCGCCAAGACCAGGCTCAGCATACAGGAGAACATTGATCACCACCTCTCCTGCCCCTATTCCTCCCAGAACATAGCCCTTCGTGACATGTCAAATGAACACCGGGTATACTAAACTTCCCAATCCGAGGAGTTGCGCCAAGAAAAGTCAGGAAAAAAAAGAGAGACCTCCGTACTTTTAATATCGTATGGTGGTACATGCAACGAATCAAATAACTCGTGTCAAGTCGTCAGAAGTAGCGAAAAACAGGGTATTAGTACGGTGACCGCGCTCTTAATTCTCCTCCATAAGAGCCTCGTCACCCGCCTCGCGCCATTCGCGAGAACGCTCGGAAAGTCGCTTGACTCCTGAAATGCGGTCCGCCCAGAGCGACTCGGCCGGCGTCCGGAACGTGTACCCTCGCTGCGAACTAATCGTCCCGATCGATTGCAGCACCGCCTTGCGAGAGTCCCGCCCAAACACGGCCGGGTGGTTGATCCACTCGAGCGACGATTCGAGCTCAGCGTCCAGCGCGAACATAGCGTTGGGATCAATGCCAGCAGCCGGCGTAAGAAGCGTTTCGGGATTAGGAGAAGGAGTACGGGGCCGAGGCGGAGTCTCGCTGATAGGGGACGGTAGTGATGGTGCTTCAGACCCAGACCCAGGGTTGCTGGGAAGGGCCGTCGATGGTGGCGGTCCAGGCGGCGGCGGCAGTGGTGGCAACCCGCCCTTGGCAAGTCCCTTGAGGATACTCCTAGTTTCACTAAGGAGGTGGTGGGCACGCTCGTGCTGGCCGCGAGAGACAAGTGTAAGTGCCCTAGTCAACATGTCCGAAGTAAGCAGCTCCATTCTCCGCTGCACGACCGACGGATGCGGCGGAATAGGCGGCGTCATGGGTCGGTTCTTGGAGCTCCGGTTCCTGGAGGGAAGCATCGTAATGGCCAGAAGAGACGGTCGTGGCAGATGGGAAAGCGTGCCCTCACGAATGATGTCGCCATAGGTGAGATCGGCTTGGAGCAAGGGGACCTCTTCAACACTCATGCTGCGTGAATCATCCTGGTCCAGTGGCCCCCCAAGGGCTTCCAGCCCGGAAACGATGGTCTCCCACGGGTCTTGAGGTAACTGCTCAGGTGAGCCAGCGTCTGGAGTAATCGCCAATTGAACGAGGATATCTGAATTGACCGATTAGCTTTTTTTTTTTCTTCTTCTCGGATTGACGTTGAATGTGTACTCACCTCTCTTATCACCAAAGCGAAGGTCCCCGAGAGACGCTTCGGCGTCTCTACCGGTTGCCCGCTTGGTGATCTGCAGGGCCCCGCTGATCTTTACAAATTTTGCCGGCGAACCCTCGGGCAGCCTCAGCTTGAGCTTTACGTTTTGGTGTGAAGTGGTCTGCAAAGAGCCAAGCGAGCCGGCCACACATTCACGGAGCATCATCCAGTCCTTGACATAGGTATACGACGCCTTGGTGCGCGTCGATAGTTCGATCATCGTATCCGGCTTGTGGGTCAAGCCTAAGCCGAACGAGTGGATGGTAACCCTGAAAAGTTGCAGTCAGCACCAGTCCATATATGGAGTGGCCGGAATGAAGATCAACGTACTTAGCGGCTTCGGCCCGCGACACCACGAAATCAACGCTTTCCGCGTCAGAAGTCGACGAGTCGGAAATGAGTAAAATACTCGACAGCGGATTCGTTGACCTGCGCTGCATGAGCAGATCCATGGCAACATTGGCTCCCTCAACCACGTCTGCGCGCAAGCTCTTCTGGCCGACCGGTCGGATCGAGTCGAGAACCTTTGGCCAGCCAGGCCAAGCCTTCGTCGTCATACCGACAAGCGGAACACCTCCTCCACTAGACCCGAAAGTGACCAAACCCATCCTGTCTCTTTCTCCGAGGCTGGAAACCAGAAACCGCAGAGTGTCTCTCAAGAGAGAAATCTTTAGACCCTGCATCGACGAGGAGACCGGAATGACGACGACAAGGTCAATGGGAACGTGAAATGATGAAACTGGTCGTCCGTCGCTGGCGCCCACGCGAGAGCTGGAGTATTCCGTGGGGGCCGTCATGGTTGATCTTGCTCCAGCGTAGGAATGAACAGATGACACCCTCTTTGTGGACCTATAATCCTCCTCGTCGGTGCCAGAATTGTCCTGGTCCACATCTTGCATGCGCATCGGCGGCTCCGAATGAATGTCCATGAGAGCCCGTTTCCACAGGTCAAGTTGCCTGAGGTCGCGGAAGAGAAGGTGGAAGGAGGGGAGCTCAGCAACCGAAAGACTCAGGGTCAGGACTCCCTCGTCGGCGGAAGTGTCAACGTGCTTCAAGTGCTTCTTGATCAGGATCGAGCCCTTCAGAGTACACTTGGGCCTCTTGCTCATTGTTGTTTCGGCACCATCCCACTGGGACATTTGCTGGTGCTGGTGGCTGGACTTCTTTTCCTTGACGCAGATCAGCATGTCGGAAAACAGGTAGCACTCCAAATCCTGCCATGATTGCCGGTCCTTGCCGACGCGGATGTGGCCAAACAAGCGAAGTTTGCCAAACCTGCACGTGTTAGTGTGTTGATGCGATTGCGCAAGAGGGGAGTCTAAAAATACCTGGAGAAATCCAGTCCGTGCCAATTGTCCACCCGTGCGTGAAGCTCGTCGGTTGCCTCGTCGAGCACGTCTGGGTTCATGTAGATGTTTTCGAAAATGCGCGACGGGGCGGGCGACTTGGAGCGGCCAGTGCGCTCCTCGCCTTGCATAGATGGCGCAGGCGGGACGCCGCGAATGTCGTCGGGATCGGCCCTCCATTTTCCCTCGGGAACCTCGACCGTCACGAGGCAGGTCAGGCTCTGCTGCTGGCGCGATCTGCTGACGGTGGGGAACTCGCTGCGGACGGTGACGGTTGGTGGAGGAATGGGATTCTTCACGGGAGCGCGGGGGCTCAGCGTGGATTCCATGGAATGCAGGTCGTAGTCGTGCCGCCGGCCAGTCGGGTCGTATGCGTGGTCTCCAGATGATGCAACCCCGGTAGCGCCACTGTCGCTCCTTGCATGCGCACGCGACTGCGACCTCATGTCCGACCTCGCATCCCGGCTGTGTGTGCTGTGGTGGCTGCTGTCGCGAGCACGCACGTCGCGAGTGTCGTGGGTCGAAACGGACGGGCGACGGTCCTGTTGGAAGGACGGCGGCTCGTGGTGGGCGGGCTGCGGGTCCCATGGGGTGGGCGTGTTGGAGACGCTTCGTGTGGCGCTCTGCGGCTCGCTGGGTTGCACCGAACGCACGATGGTGCTCAACTTCTCTGGTCGCAGTCAGCATACAATATCCGGGGCGCGCAGGCGAGGGGCACGCACCAAGGTCCAGGACGTTGCCGCCTCGGCTGGTGTCGAGAGCCAATGGGGCGTTGCATGTCGGGCAGTACTGCGACTCAAACTCGCGGATGTACTCCCAGAAGCAGGCCTCGTGGGAAACATGGCCGCACGAGAGCTGCAGGATGCGCTCGCCGCGCAGAGTGTGCTCGAGGGGCTCCTCGCACACAGCGCACTCGCTGCCGATGAAGGTGCGGTCCCGGCGCGTGCGGTTGCGCTCGATGTCCAAAATGCCGGCCATGCCTCGAGAGGAATGCGGGAGGTCCTGCGAGCGCGCTGAAGCAGAGGCCGCGGCCGATTTAACGGGACCAGATGACACGGAGTCCGCGCGCGAGCGTGCGGTTGGCGTGACGCTCGAGCGGGCACCAGTGTCGACGGATTGGCGGGATGAGCGCGAGCGCGAGCGCAGACCTATGCGAGACAAGTACTGGTGAGCCATGGGGGTTGTTGGGTTGAGACAGGCCGTGGGGCGGGCGGCGAGGGGGAATTACTGCTGTCGTCGGCCGCCGGCGGAAAGTCGACGGCGTTGGGCTGGGCTTTGCTGATTTGGCTTTGGTCCTAGGTCTGGCTTACAGATAGATTCTTCTCTCTCTTGCGACGAAAGATGGCGGGTCGGGAGGTGGCCAGACGATCACCGTCCTTCGACATGGAACTAATGAATGTGCACTTGGCTGTCGCTTCCTCAGTGCCGTTTCAGCATCTGGGCTCCGGGCGCGGTGATCGATGTGGGCACGGCGTGCTGGGGAGCAGGGACTCTGTTGCAGCAGCTCCACCCGCGGCAGCGGTGGTGCGTCGGACAATGCGCAATAAAAGAGGCCTTGGGCGAAGCCGGCCGTCCGCGCGCACTAAATGGCTGCATCTCCAGGCCGTGGGGAGTGCTGCAGTAGCCGCTGCCGAACGCCAGAGCTAGGCGGGCGGGCAGCGAACCAGCCGCGGAGAGATTGCCTGTCTGTGCCTGGCTCAGCGCGTGGTGTGGCGCGCAATGCGGATTTGGCCGAGCATCCATGCCGCCGCGCCCCTGGCAGCCCGGGGGGCATCGAGCGCGCTGCCTAGGGGCGCTGCTCTCCTCCTCTCTCCAGACATCAAGATCATCATCTCGCTCGCGCAGATCAAACCGCCTCGACCGCGGCCTGGAGCAGCTGTGCAGCCGCCGCCGCCCGCGCATCGTCATCGCCCGCCTCGCACAGCGCCGCGCAGAGCCATCTCGCATGCTGCTGCAGCCCGTCTGCATCATGCCGCGCCACCCCGTCTTCACGCCTGCGCGTGCCGCTAGCCCGCGGTGATCACTGCGAGCGGATCCGGCCCTCTGCTCGAGCCCGCGAGCAAGGATCGCCTTGCCATCTGGATTCTTAGCCCGCATTAGCCCCCAGCTGCCCGCCTTATCAACGGCTGAGTTCCTGCTGCTCGACGACGATGCTGCCTGTGCCGCCCCGTCAGAGCTAGCCAGCCGCCGGCCTCACCCTCTCGTCCACGGCTCTGGTGCCACAGCCACGCTGCTAAATGCTTCTAGAATTCCCGTCGAAGCCCCCTACGGCTCGCGGCGAGCAGAACCCGGACACCACGTTTTTTTCCTGCGCGAGCCGTCGCCTAACCCAGGATCCTCTCCCAATGGGCCTCCTTGCGGGTGCCGCGTGCGTCCCGCGCTTTGAGAACGGTGCTACCCGGGAGCAGGAACCTCCAACGGCGTCGTGTTACGCAGCAAGCCCAGGCTCCGACGCTCACTGCGCCAGCGACATGGTGGGGCGCGGCCATAGCCTCCTATCCCGACAAGCTTTTTGGCCTGCGGCTCGGTCGAGAAAAGGCTACTCGCAAAAAAACCCCCGATTCACGTCCGCATGAAAGTGTGACGAGATGCATTCGTACCCAATACGGCAGTCCGGCTGCCACGCTGTGGTGATTTGCCCCGCTAAAGACCCTTCTGACCGCAGCTGGGCCGCAACTGCTAACAAAAGATCACCAGCCCCTTGATAAATGTTGGGCCGGCTTTGTTGCGTCCATCATTCCTATTCTGCCATGGCAGGGGGGGGGGGGCTATCTCTCGCAAGACGCGGGACCGGGTAGGCCAACTTTCAGCCTCAGACACGCCACTCTTGCTCTCGCAAACACCTCCTAGCGCTACAAGCGGCGGTCCGGGCAGATGACAGCGCCAATACGGAATAGGACGGCGGCGGTCCTGCTTTGCCCCATCCCGGTATGGACTCTAACGCCGTGGCTCGAACTATGGCACCACTGACCTGGATTTTCTGCACTGCTGTCTTCGGCTCACTACCCGCTTCCCACGTGTGAAAATGGCCCGATGCTCTGTAGCAACTTGCCTCCAGAGCCGTGACTTGGCAGTACAGCTGCAGGCTGGAGAGCAACCTCGTGCGCCAGCTTACCAGGAATTGTGCCGATCAGCAACATCTGGGTACACAGCAAGCGTCGCTTACTGCGATTTGCGCCACGGATTCGCGAATCTACCCGGAGCGATCTCCTCTGCATTGCCTCCAGCCTTCGGCGATGCCATCGAGATGCCGCTCCAAGCGGGCAAATAAGATGTATGACTCGGACTTGTGCCACATCTGTAGCGTCCCTGCAAGCCACGGCTGATTCTTCGCGTGGCCAGTCCTCGGTAGTCTCAGACACGTCTAACCGCATGAGACCAGAGTCTCCCTTTTGCTAGACTGCTTTCCGTACTAAGTAGTGCATTCAATACGAGCGATTCGACAGCTAGCAGAGCGCCGCCTCAGCCTCCACACGGCACAACAATCACAAGGGGAAACGCCTGCACCCGCTGACGAACTACTGGAGCACAGACAGACCCGCATCTACTCCACGTGGCCACCAAGACCCTTTACTGCCTTCTGGCTAGCTTATTACTCACTGCAGTCCGTCCTACGTTTAAATCCTTCGCAGTGGCGATCACCTTGCTAGAAGAATTACGACCATTGCAAGCCTTCCGCGGCCTATTTCAGACCGTTAATTATGGCTGATTGGGATTTTCCCATGTCATAATCCGAGGACACTGTGTGTGTGCCTGGTCGGGTGCATCGTGCCCCATCGGCAGACTGTCATTTCGCGGCCAGTGAGCTACAAGGACTTCGTGTTTCCTAAGCGTGCTCCTTGCTGCGCTCGACCTGACTACGGGGAGATTGGGAGCCTCCTGGCAATTGGCCTGTTTCAAAGTTCGAATATAAACTCACATCTCCCTTTTTTTTCTCTGGCGCGTATTCAAGTATTCGGGTTGGATTTAGCAAAGCAAAAGTTTTTGCCGTCTTATGCAAGATGTGCGACAGGCTGACATCATCTAGTCCTATTAGGGCTTGTAGTACTGAGGGAAGTACTGTTGGGATTTTTCGGGAGGGATGAGACGTAGTGTTCCAGGGCTCTGGCGTGCTCAAGACGTCACAGGGGATTAAGAATGCTGACTGCACTAAACTCGGCTATCAAGTGGCGCGCGATCGCCAGGCACTTAGATGCTTCCATGGCAACACTTGCAGGATGGCGCTTTTAACCGCGCAGCATCTACGCTTGGATGCGGGTTCTTCTTTCACGGCGTATGAATCGAAAATACTCTTAAAATATCGAATGGTTCGCGCTGATGATCGTCGACGTCCGGCACATCAGTGATCGTCAGAGGGCGAGCCACCCCGCATTCGCATTCCGTGTCCTATGAAAGTAGCAGCTCACTTTACCGTAGTCTAAGATAGTGGAGGGGCGGACAACCGCACCAAGGATCAACCCCGCTCCCACTCTACGGTTCTTCACCAGCACGGGCCCGGGGCACACAGGCCTTGGGTTTGTTAGCATGGTGATGCTGGATGTTGCGCAGGCTGTTTCGAGCACAGGTGTACCACGGCCGCTTCCTCCAGGAACGGGTGCCGGGTGTACGTACGATCTTTGCGACATTGCATGTTACCCTGCGTCGAACTTCAAATCCTCTCCCTCAGATAGACGTGTCGGGTCCCCACACCCGGTTTCGATAGAGCCATGGCTGCTGCAGAATGCACCCCTTTGACGTTGTTCTCGAAAGGTCGACGAAACAATGTGGAGAATATCGAAAATGATTCACAAGGCTGAAGGGTTGTTTGAGGTATATTGCAGTGAACAGTAAGCTTCTGGTCTGGGACAACAGAAGCGACGAGATAAACGGAGGGCAGAAGCTTCTTCGACCCATGATCCTGTTCCATTGTACCTCAATGGAGCGTAGACATCTGCTGATGGGCCACGCCTTCGTTATTGGGTCTCGTAGTTGCTAGATCTCTCAGCTTGCCCGTTCAAAAATTCCTAACCGACATGACGGATGCAGCAGAGAGGAGTGGACAGCTCTGTGATGTTTTTGGAGAACCATGATGGGAGCTATGTGTGGGGGCAAATTGCGAGGGGAGGCCCTAAGGCAGCTAACTGAAGCCACACAGCGCCCTTGAACGCTCATCGCAGGTGCAACGTGCCAGGATAACGTTGCGGGCATTGAAAGGTGCAGCACACGAGTAGGTCAGGGTCAGGAACAGCCGCAGCATTCCTTTGGACATGGATGAAGAGGCGCTTTGGGCACGACCAGGCTGCCAGCACTCCCAAATCGAGCATACTCCTAGCGGCTTTGGAGCGCCGGGACGAAGGGGCTTAGGGAAAAAAAAAAGCTTGCTTAGGACCGAATGCCTCCGTGCTCGAGGCTGATGAGATTGACAGCGAGCTATGGTTAAGTGGTCGTGGCAGGTGAAATTGGCGGGCCGGTGGTTGGCTCGCGGCGAACGCGCGTTCCTAGGCATAGCCATCTCCTATTTCCTCGTGCAGGGTGATTGGCCTGGTCGCTGAAACGGCCAGGGAAGATGCCGGCACACGTCATACTGTAGAGGGCTCGTAAGTAAGCTCAGCCTTTGCGGAGATCTCTGGACAGTGCATACGCGAGCGAGAGGCAAGCGGACACACCGATATTGCAACGCGCCGGGCGCATGACGACAAAAAGGAGAGCAATCAGGGGCGGGCCAAAGAAGGAGGACCGAACTTTCCCCAAGTGTGGCGTGTTGGACCTCGTGGCCGGCGGCCGTGGTGGCGAGGGGCGGCCAGTGCGGCCACAACTTATGCGGCTGGCGGAAGCTCCGGCTCGCCCGCTTCCGTGGCCCTGGGAGAAGGCATTGTCCTACGCTGACTCTCTCTGCGACCCTAAAATGACCTCGCCGCAAGCATGGCCGACTCAAGCAACACAGCAGCCTCCGCGCCCCAGTTCGTGCGCGCGTGTCGGAGCTGCGCGGTAGCCAAGACGAAATGCGTCCCCGTTGCCGGCGCCGCAAGCAGCGACTGCGAACGGTGATTACTTCGCCGCCGTGTCCCGTCTCCATTGGCTGACCCTGACCAGCTGCCACCGCCTCAAGCGCGTCTGTGTGCGAGACGCCCCGAGCCAGCGGAAGAGAAAGCCGCCCACTGCCAAGTACGTGGCGATCCTTTTTCCTTTTCCCAGCCACGGCCCTCATGTTGGCCCATGGGGCCATGCGGCTCCGACCTAGCATTCCGCCTGTCTCTGCACCCATACCGGCCCTCCTTTTTCTAATCCCCCGAGTCTGATCAATCGCCCGCGGCTGCGGTCGTCCTCCCGGCGTGGCGGTCACGCGAGTCGCTTTGCTCGATCCGCACCGGGATGAGGGCCCACCTTTCACCACCAAGTCTATGGAAGGGGAAAGAGAGTTGACCATGGGCTAGGAATGCGCGACTGGAGCAGAAGCTGGACCAGCTCGTGACGCTTCTGGCAAGCAACCCGCCGGGCCAGGGCCGCGCCCATCAGTCGTCCTCGTCGACGACGCCTGAACGCCCGCAACACACTCCCAGCACTACCAACACCGCTCCCTCTGAACCCAGTGAAAGTGCCCAGACGCGCCCGAGACCAAGCTCTCCGCCAATATCGGGCGAAAGAGGAGCCTTCAGTGCCCGTCCGGTCCTGGTACCATGCGACCCTTCGGAACTCGAACCCGATGATGCCAGGACTGCAGAATGCCTGTTTAATTATCGGACTTACATGTCCAAGTACTTTCCCTTCGTCATCATTCCCGCGGATGCCACAGTCCAGACTCTGCGTGACACCAAGCCGTTCCTGCTCAAGGCAATCGTCGTCGTGGCCTCCATCCAGGACCTGGCTAAGCAGAGAGCGCTTGGGCATGCCTTGATGGGCGAGCTCACAACGCAACTGTTGGTTCAGGGTAGAAGAAGCGTCGACTTGCTGCAGGGAATCCTGGTCTGGCTGGCTTGGTACGTCCTCCCGCTCTCTGTGCCACCGCGCCCCTGTCGTGCGTCCCGGTTCTCGTGAAACGGCCCTTGCAGCATCTGCAGTGCTGATACCCGGATGCACAGGTATCACGTCCACTTTTTTACTAACCCGCAAACAACCAATCTATTGCAGCTTGCCGTAGGCTTGGTCATCGATCTCGGCTTGAAGCGGGGCGCGCGCGCTTATGGATCGGAGAGGCTTGAAAGAGGTATCACACGGAGCGCTCATGGAGAGCTCGCCAATTCCGAGCTGCACACATCAGATGAGCGGCGCGCTCTGCTCGGTTGCTTCTACTTGTCTACCATGTGCGCCCCTACACCTGATGGTGCTCGCCGGCCCTTACACTGACTTGTTATCCAGTGTAGCCCAGTGGGCCAAGCGGTACGACTCGCTGCGGTACAGCGCCCAATTCGCTGATGTTTGCCGCTACCTGGAAGAAGCCGAAGAGTACCCATCGGATCGGTACCTCGTATATCTCGTGCGCCTGCAGTGTATTGTCCAGCGCATTGAGCGGAAAGTGCCCATTGATGACTTCACGGCTGACACCATGATTCCGATCGCCATGTTTGTAAAGGCACTGCATGGTGAGCTCAACGATTTCAAAAAATCCCTTCCTGCGGATCTTGCAGATCATCGTAAGTACGAGGCCCAGTCATAGACTGCCCGGCCAACAAGTCTGACACGTCGGCTGCTTCAGCTACAATGTGGCTGCATTACTACAGCGCGGAAATATACCTGTACGAGATCAGCCTGAGTTCTCTCCCAAGTACGACCCAATACGGCGACTATACTTACCGTCGGCTGGAAATGCTCAACGCCTGCATGCATGCCGCCCGGGCCTTCATCGATACGTACCACCAGATCCCGCCGTCGCACTACATCAACATGCCCTTCATGCACTTCGCGCAACTCACAAGCACCATCATCGCCCTATCAAAGCTAACCCGCCTCGAGTGCCCGGGTTGGGACCAGGCGTACGCTCAGGAGTTCATCGACTTTGGTGGCATCATGATGAAGACGTCAGCGCGTTACGAGGAAGCGCGCACTGTGGCAGAGGTGCCTGTTGCCGACAATCCGCTCTTCACGTTCTTCGCACGTAAACTGCGCTTTATCAAGGCTTGGAATGAAGCAAAGCAGAAAGGAACGGAGCAGGCACTCGAGGCCAGGGAGGATAGCCGCCGCGCAAAGGCCGCAAAGGCAGCAGAAGCGGCGACGGCGAGTGGTTCAGGCACCCCGGCGGCCCCTGTGTCTGGGGCTGCAGGTAAGAGTGATGGTGCGAGTCTGAACGTCAATATAGGTGGCGAGCCGATGCAACTAGAGCACATCGGCCAGGATGACATTTTCGAGCAACTTGACCCAACCTTCTGGCAAGAGTGGGCAACGGGGGATCTGACCATGTGGGATGCTGATGCTATGCAGCAATCCTGCAATTGGAGCTTCGAGGGGATGGGTGGAGGATATCAGTGATCAGTATGGCGTCTCGCCCGTAAGGTTTGTCTAGAGCATGAGCCCAATGGAGTTTGATGCATAAAAGCAATTGGGGAATAAAGTTGGCCTTCGCCAAAGAGTAGTGTACAGAGGGGTATTGCAACCGAATATAGTATGGCCCTGGAATAAGGAACTATGCCTTGACTTTCTTCTGAAAAAAAAAGACAATATTTGGGTAGATCAAATCCTACATCACGTCCTGATGATAGCTTCAACCACCCATAACATGAGCGAAAATCAACTTCACGCTAGCTTTCGGCTGCGACACTCTTTTCACCCTCTTTCTGTAACCTAAATTTAGAACAATAGAAAACCAATGGTACCATCGTCCTCCCTTACTTTCTCTTCGCTTCACCCTCGTCGGGCATCTCCCCTACTGTAATCCAAATTCGTAAGGTTTAAGAAGAGGGGGCTTCAGTTTGAGGATAATTGGATGGTTGGCGATTTGGGCCTGTGGACGGACAAGGTTTTCCAATAAACTGACTAGAAGCTTCAAGTGGGCCCAACCAGCCAAGATGAAACGCTCAATTTTTATACACCTGCTTTTGTGCGAGGAATCCGAGGTATCTACTCACCCCCAAAACGCCACCCATGACCATTACCATTTATTGGAATACCGACAATTGTGTTCACTTCCTCAAGAACCCCCCACCAATCTTCTTCCTCTCTAGTCCACCAAAAGAACCTTTCTTTCCCTCTTTCATTTTCCTGCCCTGTAGCCACGTATCCCTGACACTCCGGCTTCCAGAAGTCGAAACCTTGGGCGGCAAGAACTTGTTGCCCTTCTCCAAAACCCGCACCTTGACCGGACCCTTCTTGACATCCTTTGCCGGCTTCTCATCCAAAAACTTCAGGTGGTTGTTCACCTTTTCCTTCCTGGCCGTAGAATTGGCTTCGGCGGATTCATCCCCGGACTCTGGGGTGGCCGGACGAACCTCTGGTGCAGCGGCAAGGAGATCGTCGGGAAGAAGAGCGGGGAGGTTGTGGAGGTCGTAAGTGGGCTTGGAGGGCTTGAGGATAGCAGATGGGTCTGAGGCCTGAATGGTGGCGCTGGAAGCAACATCGGCCGGGATCTCCTTGGGTACTTGCTCTTGTTTGCGTTTCTTTGCGGCAATGGCCTGTTCGCGGAGGCGGGCCTCACGCTCCTGGCGCTTGCGCTTGGTTTCGGCTTCTTGCCTGTGAATTGTCAGCACTGTGCTTTCCGACAAAGAGATATCTCTGGTATATTTACCTCTCAACAGCCTTTGCAGCTTCCTCTTCAGCTGCGCGAGCCTGGTCACGGGCACTGCTGGCTGTAAGCGCCTCTGGAGCCTCATCATCGCTATCTTCTTCCTCTTGTTCAGCAGTGGAGGATGGCACTTCCTCTTCCGCAGGCTCAGCAACAGGTTCGGGAATGGCGGGGGGGTCCTCGCTGCCGAAGCGGATATGTGTGCTCGTAGAAGCAGAAGGTTTGGACTCATCGTTCTCCATGGCGGCGAGGTCGGGCGCATTCGCCTTCGGGGTTGCTTCTTCGCTTTCGTCCTCGACTGTCTGCGAAGAGGCCAACTTCGAAGGCTTCGAAGGAGTTGATCTCGGAGCACGCACGCGGGGCTTTGGTGTCACCGATGGTGGAGGACAAGGGCAAGCAGCACCACGGAGCCCGGGACGCAGATTGGTAGCCGGCGTGGCGTAGACAGACGGGGTGTCCTCTCCTGCTGGCGTGCCGTACACCGACTCGTCGTCTTTGGGCGTGTCTGTTGGTGTTTCCAGTCCACTCTCTTGGCTTGAATCGGCGCTCTTCGGCTGGCGGGAGCGAGTGCTGCGTCGCACAGGCGTAGAAACAGATGCTGCCAAGTCTGGCGTGCTTCGAGAGGAATCCGAGTCCTTCGCCAGATCGAGCTTGGGTGTGTCTTCCTGGCTGCTCTGCTCGTCGGCGGAAGCGGACCTCCTCTTCTTGGTGTTCCGAGTGGGAGTCGAGGCAGCAGAGTCGTCAATGAACCTTTTGCGGGCGGACCGAGTCACGGAGCCAATCTGCGGGCTCTGGGTATCGGCGCCGCGTCGGGTGGTGACCATTGTGGGCGACTGCTCGCGATCGGGGTCTGTGGAGAGACTGCGGACGGAGGCGGCGGAGGGAGAGCGAGACAGCAGGGCGCGAGCGTTGTCGAGGACGCGCGAGAACATAGACGGCCTTGCTCTTATACAATGCAGGCGCGAAAAAGTTCCCATACGCGCGGATCAGCGGGCGGTGAAGGACCGGCCCGGAAGAACCGCGGGCCCGGCGCGCAGCTGCCCGTCCCGTCAGGTCGCCCGCGTTTCGAGAGCTCTCTGCCGCGCCATAATCTTTACAATGCTTTCACAGCAGCTTCCACGCCGCATTGCCCGACCGGCAATTGCGTGGCCTCTCTCCGGAAATAATGTGTGCATCTTGTGCCGCTCCGCGAATGTCTTTCAGCGACACTATGCCAAGCCTGCGCCGGCGAGAGCACCTTCTACCAGGCGCGACCAATGGCGCAACAGATCCAGGGTCATAAACGACGCAGAAAAGCAGGCTATGCGGGATGCGCTTCTGCCCAGACCTGGTCTTATTCAGTATTTGAAAGAAGCGGGTTTGATACAGGCTGAGCCATCGGACGTGATGGAGGTTTTGGGCAAGATGAGAGACCTGGGCAGCGAGCTCAACGGCGCTACTGTAAAGAAACTGTGCTTAGGTTGACTTTTCCTTTGCACGCCTACACTTGCCTCTGCTAACAGAAGAATACAGACCACCAAGTCGCTATCGACGACCTACCCTTCATTGCGCGCGCCTGCCTCTACACCAGAAACACCGACCCAGTCCGGAAGCTTGGCAAGTCAGTACTAATCTACGCGTCCGCAAATGAAAGTGCCGACGCAACTCTGCGTCTCTTGCGGAGTGCTATGATACACGACAAGGGCGTCACCTCCCGTCTACGTCAAGCCTACAACTCGCCTGAACTGGCAGTTGCACGCAACCACTTACGAAAGCTCGTCGAGGAGAACCACCCAGAGGCCATGGTCTTGCAAGCCAGGCGTTTTTCAGAAACTGGTCAGAGAAAAGAGGCGATTGCAATGCTCCGAGCCGCAATTGAGAGCGGCGCCACCGCGCTGCAGCCGTACGATGATGATGCCGCGAGCATGCACAAGAAATACTCGAGTCTCTTCTTGCACGATCTTGACGAGAGCAGGACCGAAAGCCCTTGGACGACATTGGCTAAGCTAGAGCGAGATGAGGGCAATGAGACGGAAGCTGAAGAAGCCTTCCAGTTGGGCGCGGACAAAGATGATGATCCGAGGGCGTTTCAGGCACTCGCTAGCACTGTTCCCCGGTATTCGCGCACTTGGTTCGAATACATGACCAAGGCCGCCTCCTCTGGATCCTGGACGGCAGCAAAATATCTCGGCGAGTTCTACACCGCACCCCTCGCAAGCATTCCCGTCGAAGACGAAGAACTTCGAACACAGATGCAGCACTTGGAAGAGAATGACCATAAGATTGAATGGTGGTATTACTACCTGAACAATAGAGAGCTCGAACTTATCGGGGAACCGCCAGGAACCAAGATCGTCGGAGCAGACTTCTGGCGCGGCTATCATGACCCTGATCTTGATTCAGCTACCTACATGGTGGAGCTCAACCAGCGTCAAGCTCTGGCGTTAGAGTGGTACGAGATAGCCTGGAGAGGTCAGGCCACTTTTAGCGACGACAGGGACCTCTCGATCAACCTGGCCATTCAGGAGATTATTGAGAAGGCGCTGCCTCACTCCGGTGAGTTGAAGCATACATGGACGGCCAAGAAACGCCACCATGCTCTGCATCACTGGACCGACGAATCGAGGATGTTTGAGAATTTCATGGTTGCATTTGACGACCTCAAGAAGCGGATTTTCCGCTGAGAAGCGTACCACGCAAGTTGCTCCGGAAATCGGAGATTGGACATAAGGAGCAAGTAGCTGAGAGGATGATGCGCAATCCTCTGAAGCACCAATTCTAAGCAATCGCCTCACGAAACGTTGGCGCGGAATGCAGAAGGACGCTTGCCTCCTAGGCCACACATCAATCATATGCGAAGGCATGTACACAGATTATGTCTTTCAATGGCCACTCTGGGAAGCATTAAGGTGTTTCTGATTAGTGAAGCAGTGCTGGTCATACCACAAATGGTAATGAACCAGGGGTCGCTCACTCGACCAGGTTCAATTGTTTATGAGTGTGCCCTAGCTTCCCGTGTATTCATCGCAAAAGTAACCGCTTTGATTTCTTCTGCGTTCCCCCTGTTCCTTCAGATCGTTAATGAACCTTCAAGTCTCAAATCTCTCGAGCTTGCTCCGACGGTCACGGTGTATTCTCCAGTGGGCAACACCCATTGCTGCGACGCCACATCCCAGTAACTCGCATCCTTACGGCGTATGATGAAATCAACTGAACCACTCTCACCCGCAGCCAGGTCGATTTTCTCGAAGCCACGCAACTGCCGCACCGGTACATCGACACCGGTTGAGATGGGCAGGGAAAGATACAGCTGCGCCACCTCGGCGCCGCCGACATCGCCGCTGTTCGTAATGGTAGCGGTGACGGTGGCGATGGGGGCATAGAGGTCGGCTGTGGCAGAGGGGCCGTCGGAAGAGCCGCTACCACCGACGAGGAGATCTGAATAGGTAAAGTTGGTGTATGCTGCTAATCGTCAGCAACCGCTGAACCGACTGCGTTTTAGACTGAAGAAGAGAAAGCAGACTTACACAACCCGAAGCCAAACTCATACCGGGGCTCAATGTCAGCCTTATCAAAATGCCGATAGTCGATGTACAGCCCCTCCTCGAACCCGTCCTCCAGCGCCGTCACGATCTGCGTCTCGTAGTCACCAGCTGCTTTGGCGATGGTGTAGGGGAGCTTTCCGCTCGGGCTGGCGTCGCCGTACAGCACGTCGGCCAGGCCGTTGCCGCTCTCCTGGCCGGCGATGCCTGCCCAGACGAGGGCGACGACATTCTCATGACTGAGGATGTTCTCGAGGATGAGGGGTCCAACAGAGTTGGCGACCACTATGACGGGCTTTCCGGCAGAGGCGGCGGCGGCCACCAGCCCGTTGCCGTCGTGCCATGGGTCGAGGTTGACGCGGTCTCCCGCATTGCCCTCGACGGTCAGGTACTCCTCGCCCGAGTCGGCGGTGATGAAGACGATGGCCGTCTCGGCGGCGGCGGCAGCGGATGCGGCCGAGGCCTGATCGTCCGTCGTCGACAGTGTGAGTGTCGTGCCGGCGGCCTCTGCGCGCGGTTGAATAGCATCCAACGGCGCGACGAGATAGGGGAACTGTGCTGTGCCGGATCCCCAGCCCATTGCGAGATGGCCGGTGTTGCAAGCACGATCCTCGCATGCGTTGGGCCCGGCCGGATTGACGATGGCCGACTGGCCGATGATAGCGAGTGAGGCGGGCGCGTTGTCGTCGTTTAGGGGCAGCGTGCTGGCCTCGTTTTTCAACAGGACGATGCCATCGCGGGCAATGGCGCGAGCGACGTCCTTGTGGTCGGCCTGCACGTCCGGCCCGCCTGCGCCGCCGTTCCAGGAGCTGAAGAGTACGGGCGGATAGCCGGTGTCCTGGCCGGTCAGATACCACGCCGCCAGGATGCGCTTGACCATGTCGTCCAACCGCTCCTGCGGCACCTCGCCCGCAGCAACAGCGGCCGCTAGGTTTGGCCCCCAGTAGATGCTGCCGCCAGAGAAGTCATCGCCCGGCATCGTCATGTCGAGCCCGGAGTTGGCGCTTAGCGCGGTTGAGTGCTGCGCGTTCCAATCGCTCATGACGTAGCCGCGGAAGGCGAGCTCGTCCTTGAGCAGGCTATTGAGGATGTGGTCGTTCTCGCACGCCCACGCTCCGTCAAGCTTGTTGTAGGAGCACATGACGCTGGCAACGTCGGCGTTGACGGCGTCGGCGAAGGGCCACAAGTACAGTTCGTGCATAGTGCGATCGTCGACGTTGGAGGAGATTGTGTTGCGGTTGAGTTCCTGCTCATTGGCAATGTAGTGCTTGGCACAAGCCTGCACACCTGAGGACTGCATGCCGATGATGGTCTCTTGCATGGCAATTCCGGCCAAGTAGGGGTCCGGAGAGAAGCCTTCCCAATTACGGCCAGCTTCGGGGATCTGTGGAGCAGTTAGCAGTCGAACTTCTTGTCATGTACAGAGGGGCACTGCAGCCGATGGCAACCGCGAAGAATAGCAGGGCTCTAGAACATAGCGTAAGTATTCCTCGGCCCCTTTTTTTTTCTTTCTTTTCCAATGAAAAAGAACATACATGGACAGTTGAAGCTATCGTCCGGATGTGAATGTACAACTATCAATTCACGTCCAGACGATAGCCTCAACTGTCCATGGCCTGAGCGAAAATAAATTCACGCTGGCCGTCGGCTGCAATACTCTCCTGTATAGTCGGTTTCACCTTGCCCAGAGCACCAGCAGCAGGGCCCAACTGGACGTTGACGCCCAGACCTTTGGCCTCCGCCCCCATAGCGACGCCCCGTTCATGCAAAAGATTCTTGTCCCATGTCGATGCTACATGCACCCCGGCAGGGAAGGCGGTGACTCCCTGCGCGAACCTGATGCCGAGAGGACCATCTTGCAGACAGAGAGACGGATAGCCAATTTTGGGAACTGGAGAAGTGTTGCCCACGCAGGGCCCGTTCTGCCAGCCGACGCCAGTAACTATTCCCACTTTCTCGTCCTGCATCAATTGGGCGAGAGCCGCCTCTGACTTGGCGTAAGCGGCATCCCAGCCTCCGGTGCCTGGTAGAGTGTTAGAAAACGACGTCATATGGAGATAGATGCTGACTTTGCCTGCGGACGGGCGAAGCCCTGCCAAGAGAGGCAATTGCTAGAATCAGGGCGTACGAGTTCACCATTGTGCAGGTAGACGATTCGAAGCTCTCACTGCCTAGTTATAAACTGGCCATGAGGATTATTTATAAGGACGGGATGCCGTGGCCTGGCGACCAGAACCGGGCATCGGTGCATGTATTGGCCAAGCACCACAGGATAATGCTCGGATCTTGGGATCTGGGCAAAGACAGAATTGGGATTGCCTATTGGGCGGGTGAATCGCAACGGGCCGCCATCTCCGCACTCTGTTGGGTTTTCGGAATAGCTACCCTGTACCCCGCATACGATTAGCGCATCCACCGTCATATGATCTCAGAGATGCGCTGAGGGACAGGAACACTGCATGAAACATGGCATGTAGCTGCCTTTTTGAGCAGCGCATGGCGTCTGCGGCTGTACGGCGGGCGGAAGGGGCAGAGTGGCGCGAAGGACGTTGCACCTCCGCTTCAAACTTAAATCCCTGGCCTGGGCCTGAGACAGGAACGAGGCCCGATCTTTCTTTTTTCCCGGCTGCCTTGCTGTGTTTGCTTTGTTTTGGAAAGCATTGAGCATGCTGACAGCGGCTTACCCCGCGAGCATCCTTCCCAGATTACTACCAGCCTGGGACAATGGAACAGGCCTCTCCGTCCGAACCAAGGGATTTTCATTTAGAACAGTTTCCTCCCCTTCAGCTGCCTCGCGTGAGGAGGTGGCGTTGAATGGTAAGTGCCCTCTCGTGGCTAGCACGAAAAAACAATCTGTGCACTTTCTGTTTGTTTCCGAATTCGGATCGTACGGAACAAAAGCTAAGCAAGAACGCTCGGAAATTCCGCGGCCTATTGCTCGGTCGGCGGCACATTGCGCGGCGCTCCTGGATTGCATGCTGTCGTGGTGCAGTTTGGAACAAATAAAGAGGATGAGGAAAGTGGCTGGGTGTGGCTTCAACTGGCTGCAGCTGCACAAAGACGCAATAGAAAGAGGTTGTACACCAGAAGCGCGGAGCTGATCGCGCGCTGCTCGACCGAAAAATGGAGCGGACCGGGTGGCACGGGCAATCGGTTTGCAGAAGATGTTAGCAACACGATGGAGATAGCGCAGAGGTGGTTGTGAATGGCTGCGATGTCGGGCTGCGGGCGGCAGCAAATAAAAATTGCGTCAAAGCGGGCTTGGGCGCCCCACTCCACCCGCTAGTTGCGCCTTCTCTTCCCTTCACTCCAGTCACACATCCCTCTCTTCCTCAACCTTACCAGCAAACCCATTGACTGCAACCACCAGCGTTGCGCCCCTCTTCCCCCGGCCGACTCGACACACATCGCCGCGAATGCGTGCTGCTGTGACCATCTTCACTTCTCAGGTGCGTCCCCGCTCTTGCAGCCCAGCCCGTAGCGCAGGAATATCGCCGAATTCTTATCTACGCCCTACGTCGCGCCCTGTGACTCGCGCAAAATTCCTTCTCTGTCTCTTGAACTCAAGTTGGCATTGTGACTGACTTTCTTCCGCTCGCAGGACTACATCTCTGGTACGAGAGCACTGCTATCGCCCGCTCCCGCGTTCCCCCATTGATTAATGACAAAATGTAGACCACCTGTGGAAGGCCTCGATCAACTAAAGAGCCCTACTCCTGCCCAACCCCGTCGCCTGCAAAACCAACAATCAACAAAACACCATGTTCTCTAAGTTCGTCAAGCCCTCAATGCTGAGGCCCGTCGGCGCCTTCGGCCAGCTCTCCAAGGCCGGCTCCAACGCCCGCTTCATGGCCACCGTCCACAACACCACTCCCAATGTCGCCAACAAGGGCCGCATTACCAGGGATCGTGCCACTTTCACCATCAAGGTACGTCACAGCACCCATTTTGATGAGTCAAAGCTCACCGCCTGCGCACAGAACGGCCCCATCTACTCCGGAAAATCATTCGGTGCTAAGAAGAACATCTCCGGCGAGGCTGTTTTCACCACCTCCCTCGTCGGCTACCCTGAGTCCATGACCGATCCTTCCTACCGTGGCCAGATTCTCGTCTTCACCCAGCCCCTGATCGGCAACTATGGCGTTCCCTCATCCGTCCGGGACGAGTTCGGCCTGCTGAGGTACTTCGAGTCGCCTAACATCCAGGCAGCCGGCATTGTTGTCGCCGATGTCGCTGAGCAGCACAGCCACTGGACTGCGGTTGAGAGCCTGGCTGAGTGGTGCCAGAGGGAGGGCGTCCCCGCCATCTCCGGTGTTGACACCCGTGCCATCGTCACCTACCTCCGTGAGCAGGGTTCCTCTCTTGCCAGGATCTCCATTGGTGAGGAGTACGATGCCGACGAGGATGAGGCCTACATTGACCCTGAGGGCATCAACCTTGTCCGCCGTGTGAGCACCAAACAGCCTTTCCACGTCAGCTCGCACCTTGGCGACATGCACGTTGCTCTGATCGACTGCGGCGTCAAGGAGAACATTCTCCGCAGCCTCGTGAGCCGCGGCGCTAGCGTCACTGCTTTCCCGTACAACTACCCCATTCACAAGATTGCCCACCACTTCGATGGTGTCTTCATCTCCAATGGTCCCGGTGACCCAACTCACTGCCAGGACACCGTCTACCACCTGCGCAAGCTCATCGAGACCAGCCAGGTCCCTATTATGGGTATTTGCATGGGTCACCAGCTCCTCGCCCTTGCCGCTGGTGCCCGCACCATCAAGATGAAGTACGGCAACCGTGCCCACAACATCCCGGCACTTGACCTTACTACTGGCAAGTGCCACATCACGTCCCAGAACCACGGTTACGCCGTGGACACCGGCTCGCTGAGCAGCGAATGGAAGGAGTACTTTGTCAACCTCAATGACAGCTCCAACGAGGGCATGATCCACAAGTCTCGCCCCATCTTCAGCGCTCAATTCCATCCGGAAGCCAAGGGCGGCCCGCTTGACTCTGCCTACCTCTTCGATAAGTACATCGAGTGCGTGAAGGCCTACAAGGACTCTCAGTCTGTCTTCTCGGCTGGCAAGAGCAACAAGCCCAACCCTCTGCTCGTCGACCTGCTTCCCAAGGAGCGTGTTGGCGTGCACCCGGGTCTTCCGGAGTACAACGAACACCTGGGTCAGGTCGCGGCACAGCAGCCCGCTCCCCTGCAGGCCGCTGCTGCGTAAAGGTGGAGAGTTGACGTAAGTAGTGGGCTTCTCAAAGGGAAATTGCGGGTCTGTTCTGTGTCTGGGAAAGCGGGGTCGGAGTTTGTTTGTGGATTTATTCGGTTCTCTGGAGCAAGTCTTTGAGCTTTCTCCGTAACAATCACAAATTGTTGAAGGTTTCGTCGAATGTAGTTTGACTACACATCTGCCATTAATGCAAGATTATTGGTCTTTGCCTCTTGAATGGATAAGAATCAAATGGGCGCTTGCACATGCAAATTCATGCGGTGCTTGTGACCAAAGTCCCCGCACTTTACACGTATCGAGCCAACCACCCCGGTTGCTCCGACTTCGGGATCCTGGGCCCTTCTACAAGATTCACGGCCATATTATCTGCAAGTTTACGTTTGCCAAATGTTCTGGGCAGTTGCTTTTGGGTCTCCTCACCTCTGACATGTAAGCACCTAACGTGGGGCCTGACATGGTATGAAAAAGGAAATGAGCTCTCAAGTGCCTAGCTCTGCGCGAAGCGGGAATGGATAGCGAGATAATCGAAGCATTGCTCTCTACACAATCCAAGTGGCGCGGAACTGTTATTATGTCGGAGAAGTATGGAATGTAACGTGCCCCAACCGTGCCTTCCTATGTCGCTTGTCATCTATAGTTTCTTTCTTCTTTCTGGAACCCCAAATTGATTCAAGCAATAGAAGAACCAAAGCTTATATCACCTTCACGACACAATGTCTTCGCTTATCGCTTCAGTCAAGATTGAAAAAAGAGCAAGATGGTGGTATCAATTCCGACTACATGAGCTCGGATATATAATGCATTGCGTAAGCCTGAGCCTCTCCTTCTCTCTTTTTCTTTCAACAGAGCAAGACAGACAAGTCGCTTCACTCAGCCCCACGCAGACACAAAAGGAAAGAACCCAACCCGATCCCACAGACAGACAAAAGAACAAGAGAAGACGAAAAGAGAAGGAGCATATGCCCATGCTTTCTTTCTGTTCTTTGGATGTTAAAAAAAAAACACCTTCCGGGGTAACTTTTTCCAGACGAGACGCAAGGAGAGAAATGGAAATACGGTCAAAAGACAACGCAGTCGAAGATATACAAGCCAGTTGGACGAACGCAAGGGGAAAAATGCCAGTTAAAACCCAGAACAGACAAGAGGAAAAAAGAACGAGACAAACGAAACTTGGAAAACTCCGAAAGGCGCACCTGCATGAATGTTTTCATATGCAGCAATGATGATGAGAATGGGCAACTGTGCCATAGGGTAAGCGCGATAAAACACTAAGATCTACTGGAGGTGGGTAAATGAATCATAGGACGTTAAAATTTATGCCGCCAGAGGGGAAGAAGATGAGGATTCCTCAGCCGCTGCCGCTGCCGGTCTCTTCTTCTCGACCGCCTCCTTCAGCACCTCGAGGCGCTCTTGCGTGACGCGTAGAGCCTCCTCGATCTGGCGTTGGCTCATGCGGACATCGCTGTCAAGGCGCTCTCCCATCTGCTTGACCTGCTGCTTGCGGGTCGAAGCGCTGCTGCCCTGGCTTTGAAGTGGGGTACCGGCGACCGCGCGGTCCATGCGTACGCGTTCTTCGAGCCAGTCCCACAACTCGCTCTCCTCGCGCCGCCACATTTCCTCGTATGCGATGATGCGCGCCGGTGTGGCCAGACCCGGGACGCCGAGGCTGCCGTGTACACCGTAACCGCCACGGGCGACTGCGGCAGATGAGGGCGCACGGACCCATGAGATGAACATGAGGAATAGGAGAAAGACGATGACCACTTGGGCTGAGATGAAGTCCGGAAGCATGTCTGTGACAGGACGGAGGGGGCCGTGCAGCGGCTCCAGAAGTCCCCAGTTTGAGCCTTTATCTGCCGCAGCGGGTGACGCTGCGGCGGCAGCTTCCGCCCGTGCCGGGGACGATGATGCTTCCTTCCTCCGCTTGCCACCTTTCTTGCCACCTTTGGCGCCGCCCTTAGAGGGTCCTCTCGCGGAGACAGCTGCCTTCAGGCCGGCAACCAGGTCTTTAGCGTACTGTGTCTGACCATCATTCGTGCCCTTCTCGATTGGACCTAGAAGCGTTTTAGCCAATGCAAATGAGGACACAGGACGAAAAGCAGAATCACTCACCTTTAAGCCAACTCTTCCCTGACCATTCTATCACGAAGTTCATGATAAGACGGGTCGAGTTACCCGGACCCCACATCAAACAGTATTTCGTCTTGACAACGAAAATGTTGCCGTTGGGCACGTCCGGATTCTGAGTGTTACAGGTGACCGTAACAGCCTTGTCCAGGTCGAATTGGTCCAGCGTGGAATTGATGATACATTTCGTCTGTTTGGGACCAATCGATGCGTTCAATGGTTTGATGTAGGAAAAGGAGAAGGACTTGCGGTCTTCACCCAAGCCCTTCTTATCATCCTCCATTTGAAGATCCATCGATTTCTGGTCCTCGACCAACCATTTGCGCATGAAAGTACCAGAAGCTGGTCCAAACATCAATGAGTATACTTTTCCGAGCGGAGCCGGGATAGTCGTATCGATGAGGAGGTTGCTGAAATGGTCGCCTTCATCTCCACACTCAGTTGGTGCATGCGTGGCAGGCCCAGGGAAATCTTGCGTTCCGGGGGCGGCACCGTTGGCAACGGCTTCACCATTGGCCGCGTCGGCACCGTTGCCAGAGGATCCCACAGGGTTAGCAGACGGTTTCCGGCTGATGGGCTTGATTGGTTCTGCGTCGCTGCCAGCAATACTGCCCTCGCTTGGGCCCGTGAAGCTCACAGCACCATCGTCATCGTCATCATCTTCATCGTAAACCTCCTCCTCCGATCCCTCCTCTGAGCCATCATCGATCGCGTCCGGGCTGTCGGCCTTTTCAGTCTTGTCTCCGGTACCTGCATCAAGCGCGACGCCGTTCAGGGAGCTCTTGAGGTTGGGATGGCTGATCTTCCAGATTCCCACCAACAAATCGTAAGTTGAGTCTCTGCTGACCAAGCTGGCAAAGACATTGCGGGCATGCAGCGTCGTGATCACAATGGCGTTGGGGAAGATGACGGCGGTACTCTTCTTCTCTACCGATACGACCTCATCGAAGCTTATGACCAGGTTAGTCACCCAGCCCAGAATATTGCTCGAAAAGCAGATGTGGCCTTCTGAGACGTAGAGCCTGCCGTGGAGAAGGATGTCTCGCTGCAATGCGGCGCTGTAGTCATCGATGAGGTAGTCATCCTCGGGGACACTCCTGAACTGGTTGTGGAAGTCTCGGTTCCGCTTCCGGCTCGCAACAGCGAAGCCTGTCAAGCGTGAGCCGTTAGCAATGCCGGTATTGGTGCTTGGTAGAGTGGTAGTACTGTTGGTTTGTGCGGGCCCGAGCGGGGTGCCTGTGGCAGCGGAGCTTCCGCGGTGTCGCCGCCCCTTTTTGTTATTACGATCGCTAAAACGACTGCGAACACTGCCGGACCGGCTGAGGCGCGCTTCCCCCTCATCACCGGGTTGCCTTGATGATGGTCTTTGCGTGTCTGATAGGCCGGAAAGCGAGCGCTGCCGCTCGACATTTAGGGCGGCTGAGTCTGGTGGACCCTGCAGATAAGCATCGGATACTGCTTTGGCAGCTGCGCTGTCCTCGGCTCTTGCGGATGCTTCATCTGCATCAATCACAGTAGGTGTGAGTGGCCGGGCCTCGGCCAGCTCTGTTGTTGAGGCCATTTGACTCGGCTCGGGATCTGCCTCGGAAATTCCCAGATGACTGAGACTCAAATCTCCAGATCCCAGGGTCTCAACAGCGAGCTGCTTCTTCTCAACGCCTGAGTTGTCCGCGATGTCCTGATCAGAACCACCGCCAAGCACTTCCTCTCCACCAGCAGGTCCGGTGTTTTCTGTGTCCGTGACAGAAGTCTTGATTTTCTGGCCCTGGTTGATCGATGTGATGTTGCTCAGCGAGCTGGCGGCGTTCTGCGCAGCTGAAAAGACGGACGAGAAGAACCCACTGGGAGGTTGCGTCAGAGTACCACCCGGTGTCTTGGTCTCCTCGAGCGTGGGCGTGAGAGGAGCAGTTGCAACGTGCGAGAGCTTGCTTGGAGGATTGGAATTGGTGGTGGCTGATCGCGCACGGCGGTGGACAAGGCTACCGGAAGGTGTGACGACGACGTTAGGGATTGAATTGGTCGATTTGTGCTCTGCTCTAGAGGAAGACGAAGGCCTCTTGAAAAGACTCGGTGGCGCTTCTAGATCGGTAGGCGTGGGCGGAGTCAGGACGGTTGTAGGAGCATGAATGAGCTTCGATGGCGGGGTCTCCGGATTCGCAGTCGAGGTGTTGATGGGCGGGGTCTCAATGCGCTTCAACGCAGGCTGCTGCTGCTGTTCCTCGGACTGTTGGGCCTGTACCGAGTCCTGCAATGCCTCCTCAACGAGGCTGACCTTGGAGCTGCTCCGCGACTTCTTCCCCCCCGCAAACAGAGAGCCCAGTCCACCACCTCCGCCTCGCTCGGTGGACTTGAGCGACTCTGTTGTTCCCTTCGGGGACGGTGACTTTTTCTGGCCGAATGCGCCTTTGAACTTCCTGCCGGGCGATGAGCCGCGTCGCTCCTTCGTTTCGGGCTGGAGAGTGTTGGCGTGCTTGGGAGCCAGGGTGTCGTCGTGCGATGAAGCGGTCCCAGAGGTCGACAGTTTGGTCACAGAGGGTGCTTTGACGGCCAGCGAGGCAATCAAGGGCGAGGAGAGCGTTAAGTAGCCAGCGTGGGATTGGTGTGGGGAAAGAGAGGGTCTGACGGGAGGTCTGAGAGGCGGTTTATTAGCGGTGACGGCGGGAGCGCGCTCGAACGTAAAATGACAATTGCGCTTCTATCAATAGCGGCGGCAGAGACGAATACGACGATGTACCGCCAGCGGTAGAAGGCGAGATGTGGAGCAGAGCCGGAGGCGACGGTGGAGGGTTCTAGGGTTCAGCAGGAGAGCGCCCAGGCCGTGGGTAAGGGTGCGCGAGCACGGACGATCCCCAGCAGGGTTCACCGGGGAGGGGTGCGCACGAGCGTTTCGACTGGTCGTGATGTGCAGGACCGGGGGCACAAATGAGAGACGACTTACGCTTCTGAGTCGCTGTCCTCAGTCAGGAGGCTGGACGCGACGCTCTTGTGGAGCTGCAGAGATTCGTCGCTGGGGCTGGGCTGGTCGAAGCTGAGGGCGCCCCCGCCAAGAATGTCTCCATCTGCGCTTTCGTCGGAGCCTGCGCCCTCCGTCTTCCTGGCCCGTCGTCTGAACAGGCCCGAGAAGCGCTTTGGCGAGTCCACGCTGCCGCGCCCGCTGTCAACCGACGCGTGCGAGTTTGCGCGCTGGCGCTGCCTGAGCCTGCCGAGTGCCTCGTCGAGTGAGGAGCGCAGGCCGCCGGCCTCGTCGTCGCCAGGCACCGAGCTGGGGGCAGAATCGCGATGACGACGCCCGGGAAATACCCTCGAGCGCACGGAGCGGCTGCTCGAGCGACTGAGCGCGTTGTCTGAGGCGGTCTCCATTTTGCAGGTGAGGCTATGGATGTACAGGCGCAAGGGCGCGATGTCACTTTAAGACCGGCAGTCGCCTGGGTGCTTGGAAGAAGCCTTGATGCCGTCACTATCGCGTTCCTGCGGGTGCCGTGCATCCGCGCACCTGGATCTCGCGCGCGCGCTTGTGCCGGAAGAAGCTGGGGTTGCGGCTGAGTGCCGTCACGCCGCGCCGCCGATGGGGTTTCCTTGGACTGCTGCTGACGCTCGGTGCCACGGCGAGGGCAGAGCATCGTAGGCCCAGAGGCACGGCACTGCACTGCACCGCAGCCTCCGTCGCATGCAACTGCTACCTGCTTGTTTGAGGTCAACGTCATGCCGAGAAGGGTAAAGCCGGCCGGAGCGCAACCATCACGCCGGCTAAGCAGCAGATCACCAACGCGCCCGCCCTCCACTTCCGCAGCTACTCAGCACACTCACAGCCCCCGCAAGCTCCCTCTCTCAAATCTCCTACCGAGATGGAGACGGCACCCCTTACCCTTGTACGTGTTGCTATCTTTACGTGCGATCGCCGCCCGTTTGCTGACGCTCCCGCTAGGCGCACGCACATGCCCGCAACGCTTCCGCCGAGAACTGGAAGGCGAACTCCTCGCAGGCCAGCGGCGAACACCAGCAGGCGGCTGGCGAGTTCGCCAAGGCTGCCCAGGGCACCAGCGACCTTGAGGCCTTCCGTGTTCTGAAGCTGCTGGAGAACCACCATGAGCGTCTTGCCAGCATCATCAAATGCAACCACCAAAGCCCTTCGGCGAAAAACCCGCCCGAGCTCTCTCAAACCACACAGCCGGTCGACGCCCACGACCCCTCTGCCGCTGCCGCGCGCCCGACCTCGCCGCGAAGAACACCACAATCCCCACCGAGGGCCACCCCGCGCCGCAAGCCTCCGCGAGACCTATCGTCCTCCATCGCCAGCAACCTAGCTTCTGCACGTGGCATTCCTGGATCGCAGCGCCGGCCCGCGGCCCCCGCCATATCAGCACAGCATGTGGATGGCAGGATCCTCAACCGCGCCGAGAGAGCGACTCCACAGGATTTCAGGAAGGAGGCACCGCAGCAAGCGAGGCCTGTTGCTGAGGCAGAGCCTGCGGAAGGCGGCGATGAGAAAGAAAATGCGGAGCATGCGGCAAAGCAAGGCCCCACAGATGAGGGTTTCAAGCGCTTTTTCTCTACATTCGAGACCTTCTACTCGGCGCTTTCAGCACCGCTGGCCTTCGCCGGTCTTCCTCTCATGACAGAGGAGCTTCAGGAACCCGCCAGCGAGAAGCCTACGCCCAAGCCCGCAGCAGGCAAGGCCTACTCACAGAATGCAGGTGCTCCCGCGAGCGCGAAAGCAGATACCATCCCGGATCCTTCCACGCTTTTCTCCAAGGCCACATTAAGAGCCTTGGACACCACACCTGGCGCAGCAGAAAGCTTTATTGTTGTACCTACCACGGGCGGTACAGTCTCTTATGCTGGAATACTTAACCACGCTGGAAACCAGACGCACGGCGGAGTGCCCTCTCCTATTATCGAGGAGGAAGAGCGGTCATTTGACGGAGAGGAATTCGTTGACGCTAATGAGGAACCCGCGCCGCCGTCACCTACAACTACACGCTCAGGGCGTCGCGCACGTCCCGGCTCCGCGGGTAGTCTAGCAGCGGCAACAGAATTTGGCAAGGGGGGCACGGGCCCGGGAGGGAGAAAGACGATGGAAGAGCTTGAGTTGGAAAATGCTATGATGCGACAGCTCCTCGATAAGCTGAGTAAACGCTTGCACATGTGGGAAGCATCATCCCAGTCTCAGTCTCTTGCTCTTGCGCAAAGCTTCCGAGCACACAGACCCCCGGCTGGATCGGGCCCGAGTAGCCATCCGCATGCAGTCGGTCACGCGGCAGATCCATCTCAGATGGAGCAACGTTTACGAGATCTCGAGAACCAAGTGGTTTGCTTGACGCGTGACAAAGAATTACTGGAGCGCGAGCAGGAAAAGGTGTCCAGGGAGAATGAGAAGCTTCTGAGCGTTCTGGGACGATACCGCGAGAAGTGGGAGGTGCTGAAGGCTGGTGCACGAGGACGAAGGGAGCGAGGTGCTGCAGGCAATGGCGAAGTTGGTGGTACTGGTGTGGAGACAGGAAGTGGGGCCGGGGAGGCACAAAATGCTGGCGGCACCGAAGCTGACAGAGCGGCGGGCTGAAGGTTTCACGCCGTACACCCTTACACGGAGCAGCTGCAGCCGTCGAGAAGACTGGGATAGCATTGCCGCCTGCGCGGTATTTTACCTGAGTTTAATTGTGCGGAGGCGAGCGGCAAGCGGCGAGCGGATGGTTCTCGGAGTTCAAGACTGATCTGACCGCGAGGATGCTGGGGGTGGCCGGTTGGACAGGAATTTGCAAGGGCGGCGGATCGGAAACGAAGAATGCAGTGCAATAGATTTCAAAATACGGCAGTTCCCAGCCCCGCAGCGTTGGTGGCAGTGCAATCCTGGTGTGGCACACGACGTTCCATTCTCAGCGCAGCGTATCGATACAGCAATGACGTCTCACATAAACCCCTATTTTGAGCCCAGCTAAGCGCCAAGGCCGCAGGGCTCACAGCCTTGCGCGTCGCGGTCTCCGCCGGCGCGGCTGTTTCGGTGGTAATTTACTCTGGACAAAGCCAGCCCGCTCCGCTCTTCTCTCATAGCTGCCGCGTCTGCTGCTGCCGCTGCTGCTGCTGCCACACACCTCCGACCGACGTTCACTCCTTAGCCGCCGACCATGACCAAGTGCCCAACAGAAGAAGTCGCGGACATCGAGGAGGAGGAGATCTGGCGGATCGACGAGCTAGACTTCGGCGTCACCTTCCACACCGTCGCCCAGTAAGCCTCCGCTGTGCCAAGCTGCTTCCCACCAGGCCGCGTCGCTAACCACCACCGTTTCGCAGAATCATTGCCTTCGTTTTCAGCGCCATCGCCATCATCATCAGTCTCGTCCTCATTTTCCAACATGCGACCCACTACTCCCGTCCCCTCGAGCAAAAACAGTACGTCCCGCCGCCTAAGACAAGACTGGTGCCAAGTGAAGGTTGGCGTGCTTGTCCTTGCGGCTGCCGGATACCCTGTCCCAGTTGCCGACGGCCTCGCGCGTACTCCTCAGCCTCTGCTCCGTCTCCCAAACCGCCGAGCAGACATTCGCTGCTCTGCCAGCGAGGCCACACGCTGCCCGACTCGGCCCTTAAGGGATCCCAGACTAACCTTGGTTTCTCGACAGAATCATCCGCATTCTCCTAATGATACCCATATATGCCGCCGTTTCCATGCTTTCGATCCACTACTACCATCACCACACCTACTTCGAGGTCATCCGCGACTGTTACGAAGCTTTCGCCATTTCCAGTTTCTTCGCCCTAATGTGCCATTACATCGCGCCTTCTCTGCATGAACAGAAAGAATACTTCAGAACCATTGAAACCAAAAACTGGGTTTGGCCAGTCACTTGGGGCCAGAAATGCTCCGGCGGGGTAAACAACGGATGGCTGCGCAAGCCCCGGAGTGGTTTGACCTGGTTCAATGTAGGTTGATCCATGCGTTTGCGGACATCACGCACTTGGCGTGTCAGGATCTCTCCAGCCGAACTGCGTCTAACAGCTGCATAGATCGTCTGGGTCTCCGTTTTCCAGTACTGCTTTATCCGCGTTCTCTTCACCGTCGTCGCCGTTCTTGCCGAGAAGTACGGTGTACTGTGCGAGGACTCGCTTTCCCCGGAGTACGCCCACTTCTGGTCTATGTTCTTCGAATCGATAGCAGTCACTATCGCCATGTACTGCTTGATCCAGTTCTATATCCAATTGAAGCAGGACCTTGCGCCGCACAGCCCTTTTCTAAAGGTGCTGTGCATCAAGCTGGTTATTTTCTTCTGCTTTTGGCAGAGTACCGCAATCAGCTTCGCCACGAGTGAAGGGTGGCTCAAGGAATCGGACTGGCTCGCGTACGCCGACATTAAGGTTGGCCTTCCGAATCTGCTCATCTGCTTCGAAATGGCCTTCTTTGCCATCATGCACGTTTTCGCCTTTTCCTGGAAGCCATACGTTATTAAGAAAGGAGATCCGTTTGCGGATCCGCTCGAAGACGGCATGGGGAAGAAGGGGAAGAGGTACAAGGGCGGATTCATGGGCATTTTGGCAATTGTGGATGCTTTCAATCCTTGGGATATTATGAAGGCGTTCGCCCGCGGTCTTCGATGGCTCTTCGTCGGCGTCCGCACCCGGACCAACGACATTTCCTACCAGGCACGGATGCAAGGCGCTGGCAGCCCGAATTCCGTGGAAATGGCCACCCAAAGCACAACCTACGGCCGCGCTCGGGCGAATAGCCGGTTCGACGGCATGGACGAATTCGACCGGAGATCTAGTTCGGATGTGCACTCGGATCAAGAAAGCCCGTTCGAGCACCCGGACGAGAGGAGGGGAAGGGTGGCACAAGGGTACATGGCGGCGAGAGACCGGGCGGATAGTGAGACGGCATATTCTCGAGCAACCGAGCAAGAAGCAGCAGCGGCAAGGATCGGAAGAGCAAGAAGCCCGACAGAGGCAGGGTACATCAAGCCAATAGACGACCCAGATGACGACGCGCACTTGCTGTCGAACCAACAGCCACGGCCGGCGCGTTTCGTTTGAAGGGGCTTCTAGCGTCCTGTCTGCTTTTCCCATGGGAGTTCCGGCGTTCGGAGATCGTGGCAAGCCAGCAGATCTCCTTCCTTTTACTGGGCACGTTTGCGGCATACGGCGAAATTTCCATTTTGACACGCAAGTCACGACAGCAATCTGGCATTTGATATCATTCGCATCCGCGGTTGGGATGGTTGCAGCTTCGGCTTCCTTCAAGATACCAATGCAAAAGGGCGAATTCGGGGGGCGCTTGGCATAGGTGGGGCCAGTTTGTTATCAAGCCATGTCGTTTTTTTATCGTCCGAGATACCTCGTCATCAGAAATTGCTGATGCTCTTTCATTTGCCCTCTATTTGCGCAAAGCTTGGCATTGCGTACTCGGAATCCGTGCGCCTAGATTAAGGGACTCCCGTAGGAGCCGCTGTATTTTTAGCGAGCTGGATCTGGCACATTGCGAACGACACGAATACGCGTGTTATGGGAACCGCCTCTGGGGCACCGCCTCCAATCCTTCATCCCGAGCTCGTCCGGAAACAGAAGGACTTGCGAGTGCGCGACTTTCCTCGCATCAAATGCGGACATGGAAAAGACCCCTTTGCCAAAGCATTGGCTGCGTAGTTCAGGGTTAAAGTGGCGGCTTGACTGCTGTTCCTCACAAGCACCCTGAAACATGGCCAACGCATCATGCTACCACCGGTTCTGGGATGGAGCCCTGCTCTCTCTCTTTTCTCTTTTTCTAATCGAAAACAGAAGGATACAGATATCTGTAGCATTATTCTCATCGGAGCCTCCTCCAAGAGGGATCTGTTGGGTAGCTATCTATAGGGGGAGGGGGATGTGAGATGTGCGCGGGTCTTGCGCGGGTCGCTTAAGGCGTTTCCGCAGCGACCACCAAAAATATAGAGTAAACATACACGGCGACTCAGGCCGTGGCTATAGGCAACGCCGTTCCGTCTCTTGCGGACAGTTGATCCCAATATGCGCGTAACTCCTGTCTGGATATCACTGTGTAGCCCTCCAACCGATGCTTCATGGGGCGACGCAGCCTCTGGCCGCCCCGACGTGGCTTCGTCTCCCTGGTCGTGAACCAACAAGACACTCGGCTCAGACGGCATCGTCAAAGTCGTCGAAGAAGAATGATCGCTGCAGAGCGTCATCAAAGCTATGCTGGAATGCCTTTTCGAAGGGGTCCTGCGAGAGCCGCTGGCTGTCCTCGGGCGCTTCCATCGACCTTGGCGTCTGCGGTTCAGGCTCTTGCCTCGCGGGCGTTTTGGCCGGTGCCGGGTTGCTGCCGCCGTTGCGGTTCCTCCTCGAGGGCGTTGACTTTTCAATGCGGCCGGACTGGACCGAGTGCTGCGACGACTCGGCGTTGTTCGCGGGCCGCTGCGCTTTGGGCTTGCGCGGCGTGCTGTTGGTGCTGCGTACCCGGCTGGTCGGCATCTGGCGGCCTTCCTCCTCGGCCTCGCGCTTGAGTTCGTTGGCCATACGCTTCGCGATGCGGAAACGGCCTTCGATCGAGTCGTATGTCGCGCCCTGGCCGAAGTAGTAGGCGACCTTCTTGTAGTCTATGCTGTTGTCGTTGGCCGCGACCAGCGCGGCGAGTAGCCGCTGATAGCTGTCTTGCGACTTCCAATCGATGGGCATGGTGGATGGTGAAATGGTAGAGTCTACTCGTGAATGTTTGTGATGGGTTGCCGTGGTTGCGCGCGTGGGACCGCGGAGTAGCCCGCGACGCGAGGACGCGTTGGGATAAGCCCATGGATCATCATCGTTGTCTGTGCGCTCGTGGCGCATCTCTATGCCTCAGGCTTGTATGTGCCGGGGGGTGTCGCAGCCGAAGGCTAGCGTGAAGGATAGTAAGGCCTCAGGCGTAACTGTGCCCAGCTCTTTCTTAGAAAAACAACATGTGTGGGTAGTGGAAGCTATCGTCCGGACGTGTATGTGGAATTTTTTCTACCCATGGCATGGGCGAAAATAAATTCACGCCAGCCGTCTGTTGCAATTACTCTCTGTATGCCTCAAGCTTGTAGCTGCAGCAGAGGCGTCCCCTCAGATACGTCCAAAAATCTAATGTCTCAACGCGTCTCGGCCATCTTTGTTCCCCTCCATCACAGGATTACGACCAGTTGACGCAGTGGCTGCGTCTTGACACATGAATTCCTTCCAGAGCTCCAGCAGAATGCGATCAGCTCTTCATATCGTGCATCTCAGTCCCGAGGCTTGGGTGCCCACAGGACAATCTTGCATGCCGACTTCTCCACATTACTTTCAAGCAAACAGGTGCGTATTGCTTCCCACATTCTGCTGCTCTTGCACTTTCCACGCATGTTTTTTCTTGTATGTTGAACTGGGTGAATTCACGCTCCTGCCAGAACCACAACCCCAACAGTGTGCTCCGACGTTTGAGGGTGGAGTTTGCTCCGTTGGTTTCCGCTTCCGGCTCAACAGCGCACGTGGCGTGCGTCGATTACCGTTGTGCTGGGCGCCTTGGCTACGGCAGGCGGCGGAGCGCGTGGCCGCCGCTCCCCTTCACTTGCAATCCGTACCTACCCCAGAATTATAGCTGCATGCGGAACTCGCCCGCGCAAAGCTTCGCAGCCCCTCAGCTCTGATCCGCACCCGCTTTTCCCTACGACAACACCTGAGCCATCCGCCATCAATCACACTCTGTCGCATGCTTGGGCGCGTGCGCTGAGCGACTCTTCACCTCCAACCAACTTCACCTTCTCCAGAGCTCCGCCGCTGCGCGGGCGGCATACAATTCCTCATGACCGACTACAGCAAACAGACCGTCGCGCAACTGCGCCAAGTGCTGAAGGAACGCGGCATTCCATCAACCGGGCTTACGCGTAAGCAGCAAATCATCGAGAAGCTTCAAGAACACGACGCTGCCGCTGCCGAGGAAGACGCGTCCACCGCCGAAGCCGCGCCCGTCGCGGATGAGCCTCAGGCTACACCCGAAGCTCAGGATGCGCCGCCTGTATCGGACAATGTTGTCGAAGCTGCGCCAGCGACACCAGACCAGAAGGATGACGCGCCGCCATCACCGCCCGTCGAGGACGCCACCATCGAGAAGGTGTCAGGAGATGTCGCCCCTCAAAATGAGCCTCCTGCGGCCCTTACACACCACGAGACCATTCAACCAGTCGAAGAGACACCATCTGCGGATGGCGTTGCAGGTCGAGATTTCCAGGAAGATATGCCAGCCCGAGCGCCGGTGGAACAGGATGACGCGACTCCACGTCCCACAACGGCCAACACTTCTGTCTCGCAGACGCCGATCCCGACTCACGAGCAACCTTCGCCGACGCCAGCAGCGGATGCGCGCGCATCGACCGCTGAGTCCTCCCGGCTTGGATCGCCGGAGCTGAAGGAAGACTCCAGGAAGAGGAAGAGGCGCAGCGTCACGCCGCCAATTGCGCCCGAAGAGGCCGCGAAGAAACGGCTAAAGCAAGACGAGGACAATGCCCCTGTGGTGCATCTTCAGGAGGACGGCGATGCTCCGGAGCCCAAAACGAAGGATGCTGTGATGGAGGAAGCTGACGCGCCGGTCGATGCGGCGCCTGTGGAGACCGTGTTGCCAGCGAGAACTAGTGACACCGTGGTGGAGGCAACAGGCCCGAAGACAGTGGAGGACCTAAAAGAGTCCGAAGGCGAACATCGACATGACCCGAGCGAAGGAGAGCGCGGGCAGCAGGTGCTGGAGGAGAGGGGGGAGTTAAGGACAAGGACCAGGTCGCCTGAGGAGTCAACGGAAGCGCGCCGGCCGTCAACATCGCACAAGGTGGAAAAGGAAGGACGCTATAAATCTTTGCTGGAGGATGCCACTTCTGCGTCTGCTGGCAATGGCCCAGCAGAGACCGGTTCCCCACCTGAGGACGATGACCGCCCGATCTCACCTGCATTGCATCCCGCAACCCGCGGCCTTTATATTCGCGACTTCATGAGACCGCTTCAACCGCCCGCGCTGAAGAAGCATCTCATTTCTTTGGCTTCCCCACCCTCTACTTCCGAGCTGGACGAAGACGTATTGGAGCTTTTCCACCTCGATCCTATCCGCACACACGTGCTTGCCTTGTTCAATTCGGTCTCAGCTGCCGCACGAGTAAGAAGTGCCCTGCATGGTGCAGTTTGGCCAGTGGAACGGACCAGGAAACCTCTATGGGCAGACTTCATTCCCGAGGAGAAGGTCAGCGAGTGGATTGACTATGAAGAAAAGGAGGGTGGCGGCCGCATGGGCAAGAGATGGGAAGTTGTATATGAGCCCGATGACGGCGATGCAGGCGTCAGGGCGGAGTTGCGGGAGGTGGGCGTGCCTGGGTCACGTCCACCAGTGAGAGCTCCTGCCACTGCGAGCTCGCCAAGTGCACCGAGCGCTCCAGCAAGGAAGCCGCCTACTGGCCCAGCCGCCGAGAAATCCTTCCTGGCGTTGGACAAGCTGTTCCGTTCTACAGCCGCAAAGCCGAAACTTTACTTCTTGCCCGTTGAGAAGGATCTCGTTGAGAAGCGCCTGGATGAGCTTGATCGCTGCACCAGTAGGGATTGGAAGCCTAGTGACGCTGCTGGTGGCACGGAACGGCGGTACACGTTCGAAGACCGGGATGTGCTTGTGGACGCTGGTCCGGACGCGGAAACTTTCGATGGAGTGAGGGGCCGTGGCCGCGTGCAATATAGAGACACGTATGGCCCGGGTGCCGGAGGTGGGCCCGGTGGAAGGTTCCGTGACAGAGGATGGGGCGTTCAGCACGGCATGGGTGGGCCACCAGATGGTGGTAGGTGGAGGAGGTAGGAGGCACTTATGTTTCCGCTTGGAGCTTATCTTGGTCCGCTATTAGCGTCGGTACAGCTTGTATCGCATTGTAAGATATTGATCTGGGTGCATTCGCACCAGAAAAAAAAAGTATTTGGTGGCTCCAGCGGATACTACTTATCATGTATGTAGAAATATGTTGCGAAATCCGACGAAACCTGTTCCATTTTTGCGACGCTATACCTACTAGTCAATTACATTACCTTCTTCACAATGGATCGTAGTAACCTGTTCGTGTGGGTAGTAATTATGCATCTTATCTAATCTGCACAGGGTGTGCATGACTCAAAACACGGTGACGTACGAGGGGACGCCGCCCACCACCCAGACACCGCCAACACGCCGCCTTAAAACTCGTAAAGCCCAAACACCCGCAAGCGCCGACGCGAACGCCCAGCAAAATCAATAATGGCGCACAGAGAGGAACACCCGCTGCTGCAAAAGCCGCTCTACGGTACCCGGCCCTAATACAGGCGCCCCGCCAAAACAAATGCGCACCAGCTTGCTAACCTTCGCGACCACCAGTCTTCGACCTTCCAAAGGAACTCCTTGACACGATTAGCGTAAAAGAGCAAAGCGCCTCTGCTCTCGCCGCCGCCAACGCCGCGGACAACGCAAGTTCCGATCTTTGGTCGTCGCAACGCGGCGCCGAAAAGGATGGCGACGATGAGAAGCAGGACGGAAGCAGTACGCCGGCAACGGCGACGTCGTGCGGCCTCTGCAGCCTGACGTTCACCAGCCTAGCGGACCAGCGCAGCCACGTGCGGTCGGATCTGCACGGCTACAACCTCAAGCAGAAGATGCGCGGCGCGGCACCCGTGTCCGAGGCCGAGTTCGAGCGGCTGGTGGGAGAGCTGGACGAGAGTATATCCGGGTCGGAGAGCAGCAGCAGCAGCGAGGACGAGGACGAGGAGGGTGGAGGACAGGGCGGCGGCGACTCGACATTGAGCGCGCTGTTGAAGAGACAAGCGAAGATCGCGGATGCAAGCGGAGCGGAGGAGGTGGCTGCAATGGTGAAGAAGAGGAAGCGTGGTGCAGGAAAGCCACCAATGCTGTGGTTCACGAGCACGAGCCTACCCGGGGAAATAAATTTGGGCGTGTACCGGGCGATCCTGTCGGATGCAGAGCAGGAGGATGAGAAGGGCCTGGTTGAGACTCTACGGAAGAAGCAGCTCTCGCCACAACAGGGCGCCACAAAGAAAGAAAAAGACAGCGGGGAGGACGAGGGAGGGGTGAAACTACCTTCAACGCCGGAGATTGGACCGCATTACTTCCTCTGCATGATCGGCGGTGGGCACTTTGCGGCTATGATTGTGGCGCTTGCGCCGAAGATGGGGAAGAAGCACACAGGGGCAAATGAGCGGCAGGCCACGGTGGTGGCTCACAAGACCTTCCACCGGTATACGACTAGGCGCAAACAGGGTGGTTCGCAGTCGGCGAGCGACGCTGCTAAGGGCGCTGCTCACTCGGCTGGCTCATCATTGAGAAGATATAACGAGGCGGCATTGACGTCGGAGGTGCGAGCTCTGCTGTCAGAGTGGAAGGATATGATTGATACGGCAGATCTACTCTTCGTCCGCGCTACAGGCAGTACGAACCGTCGAACCCTATACGGACCGTACGAAGGCCAAGTACTACGACACAATGACGCTCGAATCCGCGGGTTCCCTTTCAGCACACGGCGTGCCACACAAGCCGAGCTTATGCGCTCTTTCGTCGAACTCACGCGCGTCAAAGTCAGCCGCGTGGACGAGGCAGCCCTCGCCGCGGCAGCTGAAGCAGCAGCGGTGGCGGCGCAAGCAACACCTTCCCGCACCTCGACTCCCTCGAAACCTACGAAGCCGAAGCCTACACCCGAAGAGGAGGAAGCACTGCTCCACTCCTCCCAGCTTCAAGCTTTGATCCGCCGCTCCAAGGCTCCTGCACTAGTCTCCTACATTCAGAGCAACAACCTCTCCCCCAACTTCCGCTTCCATCCTCTCGACACGGACAAAAACTACCACGCCCCCACGCCGCTCCACCTGGCGGCGCACATGAACGCGCCGGCGGTGGTGCTCGCGCTACTCACGAAGGTGAAGGCCGATCCGGCTGCTACAAACCTAGACGATAAGACGCCGTTCGACATAGCGGGCGACCGCGCCACCCGGGATGCATTTCGCATCGCACGCTACGAGCTGGGCGACGCAGCGGCCAACTGGAGCGCTGCGCACGTGCCGGCAGGCGTGAGCCGGGCGGAAGTGGAGAAGGCTAGCAACGCCGAGAAGGCGGAGGAGGCAGCGAAGGAGGCTGAGCGGAGGAAGACGGAGACGGAGAGGCTGCGGCGGGAGGAGGAGCAAAGGGAGCAGGATAGAAGGGAGAAGCGGGTCGGGAAGGGTAAGGCGTTGGGCTCGACTGGGTTGACGGAGAAGACGGGGGGAGAGAAGAGGGAGGAGGAGGCGAGGGGGTTGACACCTGAAATGCGGATGAGATTGGAGAGGGAGAGAAGGGCGAGGGCGGCGGAGGAGAGGATAAAGAGGATGCAGGGGGGTCAGTGAGGGAGAGTACTTGGAGCCCATGGGGGTCTCACACATAGATAATTAGGGATAGATAAATGCTGGTGGTTATCAGCAAGTGATGGTGCGAGACTGCAATTTGCTTGCGGCAAATGAAAACATCAATTAAGACAAGTTTCCTGTATACCTTTGGGTCGGATAATCAGTATGAAGCACCCGGTTTACTTGTGACATCTGCTAGACATCCCCGTCTCCTGCGGATGAATAATAAAATGGTGCCAATTTTGCGTTTCCTTTCTAACCTCGACCTGGTTCATTGCCTTGGGTTCTGCACACAATACACTAGTAAACTCTGACAAGATAGCCTGTATCTTTCCAGATTTTCCGGAAGATTACCTTAACTCAGATAGTATTCTACAACCTCGTCGCCATACCACTTCCTTCCCACGTCTTCATGGCTTCGGATCCACTTTCTCAACTGCGACTCGCCAAGGGCATCCCACCGAGGGTCCAGGAAAGTCGATACTGCATTCGCACCGTTCGCAACGTTATTGTCATGCTCTCGACGCAGGCGGCGCACCGACTCCGGGATGTAGGAGCGGATTTGCGAGACCGTCATGTCCAAGGGTAGGCCTTGAAAGAAGGGGATGGAGTAGCGGGGTGGCGACGCCGGGCCAGGTGCCTTCACGCGATGCACCGTGGCCCTGACGGCACCCTCAGTCGCTGCCTCGAAGGCGTTACCGAAGTTGACGACGAAGGTGCCGGCTACAGGCGTGGCGGGGATCCACGTCTGGCCGTCGGCGGCAAGCACTTCCAGGCCGGCGTGGTTGCCGACCTGCAACAGGAAGGTCAACCAGCCGCTGGAGTCCTTGTGCGCGCCTACACCCTGGCCGCCGCCGGACTCTTCGGCGGGCGAGGGCGGATATTTGAGGAGCTTGATGCGGTGCTGTGGCGGGAGGTAGGATGATTTGGGGTCGACGAAAGTCCTGGCCGCTGGACGCTGGAAGAAGTGATCGAATGTTCCGGTAGGAATACCAAACGCTTCTTCTACAAGGTGCACGAAGCGGTAAGAAAGCTCTTGCACAGCATTGTGGTAGGCAGTAAATGCTCGCCTGAAGCCTGGAAGCAGCTCCTCTGGTGGCCATTGGTTGGGACCACGTAGGCGCCAATAGAGCTGCGAGAAGTCACGACTATCGTCGGGCTGGTCCCGAGCAGTAGTATTGCACTCGTGGTGCACAACTGGAAGCTCCGTTGCGTAATCAAATTGCTCGCGAAGGTCCTTTTTCCCGAGAGTTGTTTCTTCAGCGAAGCCGCTGTAACCAAGAAAGTGTGGAGAGTGCAGCTTGGAGAGACTGGATTTGACATTTCTGGGCAGGTCGAAGAGCGCTGGGAGTTTTTCCGTTAGCTCTGTGATGATGTGTTCTTCCACGCCATGGTTTTTGATGTACAGGAAGCCGATGTTGAAAAGAGCGTCGTGCAGCTTAGCTAGCAGCGCCGGACGCTCTACAGGGTCCTCGGCAAGGCGCAGATCAAGAATCGGCAAAAACGAAGGCGCAGATGTAGGCATCTTATTGCGTCGGATGTGAGTAAGTAAGTTTCTTGGAGTGGCCGACATGCGGAGCGAGCAACGGACATGCCGCGATGACGTGATTGGAGGGGAAACTGTTCCAGACAAGCTTCACGTCTGACTCCATACCTCTCGCAGCCGATGGCTGGCGTGAATTTATTTTTTGCTCATGTCATTAAAAATTCCACATACACGTCCGGACGATAGCTTCAACTACCCACATATGTTAATTTTTCTAAAGCAGAGCTGGGGCATAATTACGCCACCTATGTTCTAGAGCCCTGCTATTCTTCGCGCTAGCCATCGGCTGCAGCACCTCTCTGTAAGCTCTCTGAAGCTGATGGTCAAGATCGAGGACGCCAAACCTCTTTAGGCGACGATCCAGCAGGCCATCAGGATGTCTTGCCGGCGCACTACTGCTCGGCACGCTGGCGCGCCAAATGATGCGATGCCGAAGCCGGTGACTCGTGCGTGCCAACCGGGAGCCTGCCTACGAGTCCACGGGGAATGATGTCAGTGGTTGCAAGTCAGGCGCCAAGGTCACTCCGACGCTCACGTGCGATAAGTGCCCGGCCTTATCGCCTCACCGCCCGCACCGGGTCCAAGGCAGCTGCCTCCGCTCAACCACCACCTCTTTCGCTCTCTTCCTCCCAAACACCCAAAACACGCAAAGCACCATCCTAGTCCCCGTTTTCATACTTCCGAAAGCGACCCGACCCCGCTTTCTGCAGCAAACTCCACCGGTTTCAAACAAAGCGGCCAAGTCCCCAGCCGTACCACCCCGCATTCGCACCCCACAACAGTGCTGCCCACCATGAACTACCTTCGCAGCACGTTGAACACCCTGCGCGACACTTATGCGCCCGTAACTCATACCTCGACCTTCCGCCAAACCGGCCAGATAACACCCGAGGAGTTCGTTGCCGCCGGCGACTTCCTTGTCTACAAGTTCCCCTCCTGGTCCTGGGCCGACGCCTCCCACCCGTCTAAGCGCGTGAGCTACCTCCCTGAAGGCAAGCAATACCTGGTCACGCGTGGTGTCCCTTGCCACCGCCGCTTGGACGATAACTTCGCTGGCGATGCTGGCGATGAGGGTACCGTCGTTGGTGATGGCTTCGCAGGCGGTGCTGGTGACGATGGAGACGACGGCTGGCTGAGAACTGGTGGCGGCGCCAACATGGGCGCGAGCCAGGAGCGCGCCGCGAGGGATGTGCGGACGGTCGACGATAAGGGCGAAGTCAGTGACGCTCCCGAGACGGACGATGAAATTCCGGATATGGAAGACGAGGAGGATGACGAGGAAGCCATCATCCGCGACACGAAGGCCGGCTCTGGCACCGCTGCGTGCGTTTCACTGTCGCGACTTCAATATGATATCCGCTAATACAGCTCACAGCCCTCTCCGCACCTACACGCTCTACATCATGTACACTCCCTACTACCGTACTCCGCGCCTCTACCTTTCCGGCTACCTGTCCCCTTCGGAGCCGCTCCCTCCGCACTTGATGATGGAAGATATCGTTGGCGACTACAAAGATAAGACCGTAACGTTGGAGGACTTCCCTTTCCTTGACGTTGGCATCAAAATGGCCTCGGTGCATCCTTGCAAACACGCTTCGGTTATGAAGGTGCTCCTTGACCGTGCTGACGCTGCGCTGAAGCTGCGTGTGGCAAAGATGAAGGCCGGTCAGGACGTAAGCAAGGGCCATGGTGCTGAACTGGGCATGGAAGGTCTCGCAGAACAGCTGGAAGGCGTGCAAATCGGCGATAAGAAGGATGACAAGAAAGGCGACGGCGACGAATGGGAGGTTCTGGACCAGGCATCTACGCCTGAGGACGATGTTGCTATCCGGGTTGACCAGTATCTGGTTGTGTTCTTGAAGTTTATGGCCAGCGTCACTCCGGGCATTGAGCATGATTTCACCATGGGCGTATAAGCGAGAGCACTTCCCGCGCATAGGTCGTACAGACTATTCCGTACTTGGACACTTCACGAACGAACGTAGGGGCCCGGGACAGGCGTTCTTGCTATTACTTGCACTTAGCTATATTACGAAAGCGCTTAATCGAGGTGACGAGCGAGGGTTGGTTATCAGGCGTTTGGACAGGCACAGCAAAGGCAGAGACACTGTTGGGCGTCTTTCGTACCTTTCTCTCTATTATACCACAAAGGCTTGCGCCCGGATAGATTCGTTGCATTCAGATAGGTTATACAGTCCCCTCTCGCAGCCGATGGCTAGCGTGGATTTGTTTTTGCTCATGTTATGGGTAGCTGAAGCTATCGTCCGGACGTAATGCCGAATTAATAATTATACATATACGTCCGGACGATAGCTTCAGCTACCCACATATGTTCTTTTTCTGACTTGTATCAGACCGCATATGGAGAAGTTTCAAGAAGTGTGTCCATTGCTAATGAGTGATATTCCTACCTTACGATTAAGTCAGATGAAAAAGAGATAGGCTAGAACGGTATCTCCAAACGTGTCACTCTCCAAAATACAAGCTCATGGCCTTGCTACCACCATTCCACGTTCGATTTGAAATTCTCCTGGCTAAGGACTTTATAGCCAGCATGAAATTCATCGCTCCGTTCCTTTTCTTCACTCCCCTCTTCTGCTTCCCTTGCTCTACCTCTTCCCCTCTACCAGTGATAAGTCCACCTCGCTGGCCTCTGCTGCTGCATCTCTCCCTCCTGCTGCCCCATCGTGCCACTGCTCCTCTTCAGGCGCATGGCCACGCCGCCATTACCGGCGGTGGCGATGCGGCCGCTCAGCACGTCGGAGATGAAGGCCTTGACGGCGTTGACGTGCTTGGCCACGGCGTGGCCCTCGGCCGAGTTCTCGTCCAGGCCGGCGTGCGCCTCGATGTCGCGAGAGCCGACGGGCGAGGCGTAGTGGCCCGGCGCAACCTCGCCGTCGACGTCGATATGGCGGCGGACGATGATGGAGGCGGTCGTGTGGCCCGAGCGGGGGAAGCGGGCGGCGATGTCGTGCTGTTGCACGCGTTAGTCGTTTCGGGAACCATGGTGTGGTAGAGCAGTGAAGGGGAAGTGGTGGAGCTGGTTTAGGAAAGAGGGTGGATTGTTTTTTATGGTTGTCAAGGATGGGAAACGATGAACTTTTAAGTTTGGTATTGAGCTCAACTAGTCGACTTTACCTCAGAGATGCCCTGCGCACGTAGAGCATCGATCTCAGCCTCGCTGGCAGGAGCGGGGAGCGCGACAACGCTGGTCGCAGCGGCGAGCATGATGGCGGCGACGGAGAACTTCATTGTGATTTGCGTGATCTTGATGGGCTTGGTCTGGGACTAGAATTTAGGGCAACGTATATTTGAGCGAGGGCTCTGCCCAATGATTTGACACGTTCAGTACCAAAAGCTGGTCGCTGAACAAGACTTGATGCTTGGGAGGTTTGCAACGTTGAAAGAACGCAGTACCAGAGAGCGAATAAGAGTGATAAGTGATTTCTAAAGAACGTAGAGATGAAGGCAGAGCTTGTTCGTCCCAGCTGCCTTTCAAACAAGCCGTCTGGCTGCTGGTGCAGAACAGCGGCGGGCAGGGGTCTCTTATACCACCACTCCACACCGCTTTGCAAACCGAGAGGTCCAACCCTTGGCTCTGTTCTCGTGAGTCGAGCTCCGCTCCCCTCGCATAGACATCACACGAACAGGGCGCGTCAAAGGAATCGGGGAAGAGGAAGAGTGAATGGAAAGGGGGAGCAGAGAAGCGAAGAAGGTGTGCTGTGTCTTCTGCAAGGAACCGCCGTTTGGTTTCTTGCCTCAACAGCCACCCTACACCTCTGCTATGAATAAGGTTAGACTTCCCTTTCCTTACACTAAATGTGAGACGCGTCGCGTTGGCGCACCGTATCTTCTGGCATGTGAAATGAGGGAGCGCGAAGGAAAGGGTGCCGATGCAAGGGGTAAATACAAGCGCACGAAAAGCATCCTACCGGGCAAGAGCAAGACGTTTCCTGTGAATGTTTGAAGATTGCGAGATTCTAACAGTCTTTCGAACGGTATATTGCGGGAAAAACCGGACGGATCTGAAAGTGGAGGAAACAACGTTGATGACTATGTTGCGACAGCAGGGCGACTGAACGTACAAATGATTCCCCAGCCGGAAACGGATCTTTGGCGCACTCGGCGGAGCGATAAGCTCACAATTACGCTCCCGAGGAATGTGGGATTGCCACACCTAATAATGCCCATCCACAAGTCCAGAGGCTCCCTTTCGTGCATCCGCGTCGACCGGCCATCCGATTCACTTTGACATGTGTTTCAGAGCATCCATAATCGCAGTCGGCACGTAGAACAGACAGGGCCGAGATGCAAAGGCCTCATAGACGGAGGGTAACGATAGTCCACGTGTGACCGGAGGAGGGACAGCAACGCCTCATTCGATTCATCGCCTCAATAACCCCTCTTTCCAATTACGCCTTTTCTCAAATCTAACCAGCTTTTTCCAAACCCCATAGACCAGAAAGCAACCTCTCCAATACCCTTTTGTAGCCTCATCAACTGGTCATTCACGTCGTTGAATAGAAATCTTATCGTCGTAGAGCCAGCCGCCTGAGAGACTTGAAACAAGCCATGGTGGATATAGACTGACGCTGACACACGAGGAATTTCTCCTGCTGGAGGCGGTGATTCGGTTTCAAAATTTGCAAGAAAGATTAAAAGCCCTCGAAGTCGGCGAGGTTCCTTCTAGGCATTTCTCCTATAGGCGCACCAAAGTTGTAACTTCTTTTCGTCTTCAATCTGATACCGGGAACCTGTGGCTCAGCCGGGCCTGGTACTTCGTCATCCTCTGCTGGCTCGACTGGCAAAGATGCTGCATTGTCGAGAGGGTCGACTTCGGACTCGCTGGTTTCGGAAGGGGGAACTCCTTGCAAGACAGCGGGCCGCTGCTCCTCAGGATGCTCGCTGATGGAAGCGAGCTTCTCCTGCAAGACGTCCAGCATGCTTGAAGCCTCGGGCCTGTCTGGGCGGGGCGGAAGGAAAAGGGGTTCCTGCATGGCCTGATCTTCATCTTCACTTGATTCGCTCTGGACGGCGATTTCGTCCTCCACAGGGGCAACTGGCGGCGGGATGGCCTTAGGCGTCTTTTCGCCAGGGGTGGTTTGCATGCTGAAAGAACCTGCCCCAGGCGTGTGCCCTGCATGTCGTCGATACGCCTCGGGCGGTGGTGAAAGATGCGCAGCGGTGGATACTGGCGACGGCGGCTCCTCCTCGATGTTTCCAACGTATGCACCCCCAACTACCACACGTCAGTCACTGACAAGGCAGGCGAGGTACATCGACTAACCTGTGGTCATGCCATCCAGTCCGTGGTGGGTGACGGCGAACCTGGCGGGCTGGTATTGCAAGCCGGGGATCCCAGCCTGGGCGAGTTGGCGTGACGAGCCGGCTTGGGTAGGCGGACTCATGGAGCAGCCGGTCTGAGCAATAGAAGGGGGGCTTTTCACGGGGGATACTCTGCTGCTTGCAGCGGAGGGTGGAGAGACAATATGGCTGTGGAAACTATTGGGGTCGCCGAGGGCCAGCTCAGCCTGCTTTAGTTTGGTGGCCATGACGAGCATTTCCTGCTGTTTCGCGTCCAAAGCCGCTCGCAGACGTGCGATGTCTTGTTGGTATAGGTGCCGTTCTTGTTCCCACACGCGCCGTTCGTTTTCAAAACTACTGCGGGCGCTGGCCAGCAGCTTCCTCCATTCGTCGGACGCAACGGAACCCATTCCGTCGGGATGGATGGCGGGGCCAGGCACCACTTGGGCGATGCCATGGTCGGGGGGCGTAAGCGGCGACGTGACGCGGTTGGTGCCGTTGCGCGAGCTGTGGGCGGACAGCGGAAGGGGGCTTGCCGAAGGGACGCTTTCGCGGGCGGGCACCGACGTGGGTATCATGGTAGGATGGGGGACGACGGGCGGCGGCAGACAGGAGAAGGGGAAAAACAGGGCGTCGTTCGGGGTCGGCTCGAAGGCGGCGGGCGGCGAGCGTGTTTTCCGCGGGTGCGCGAGCGGTGTACCGTTCGCTGTGGGTGGAGTCGCAGTCAGCCGTCGTCCGCGTGGCCGGTCAGGCTGAGGAGTCATCACCATTCGCTTGAGCGGGCGGAGGGAGGTGCTGGGCGGCTCCGGCGCCGCTGTCTGGAGAATGCAGGCGGGGCATCGCTGGCTCGGTCAGAGGTTGGTTGGGAGAAGGCGCTCGCTGTCAGAGGCGTGGCAGGCCAGACATGACGCAGCATGCCACACAAGACCCTGCCCATTTGCCAGAGTATGTGCTAGATTCCGATTCGGCTGGCCCGCCGGTTCCTGCAGATCCCAGGCCTTGGCGCAGCAGGGCGGGACGTGTTACATGCCCATTGCGCGGCGGCAGGCCTGCATCTCTGCCTCGCACGGCCTCGGGGTTCGCAGCTGCCGCGAGCCCAAGGGTCTCCGTCTGCAGCGTTCAAGCTTTTTTTTTTTTCGGCGATGATGCAATCCCGCACGCTCGCCCTCTCCACCAAGCCGGGCGCGAGCCTGCGATACTCCACCCTCCCCGCATCGCCTGAACACGGACCCTTCTCCACCACCTTATTCGTATTCCTCAACGGCTTGCTGTTGCCCCGATCCTCGTGGGTCGCCGCCATCGACAGCCTTGCCGCAACCCGCTCGCGCCAGCAACGGCCGGTCCCGCACATTCTGACGTATGACCGCTACGGCCAGGGCGACTCCGATCCGGATCCCACGGATGATCCGCGCTCGCCCTACGGCCATGACGCACGCTCAGTTGTTGCTGACTTGCACCGCTTCTTGGTCGAGGTCTGCGACAGCCATCTGTCCACGACGCTGGATCATCTCAGCCTGGTGTTTGTCGCCAACTCCATCGGCTGCCCTCTTGCACGACTCTACGCGGCAGAACACCCTGGCCGTGTCGCAGCCTGCCTGTTCCTCGACTCCATGATGGCCAACACGGACTTTGTGTCGCTTTTCCCCGACCCGGATGTCCCAACCACGCTCCCTGCAGGAGTCACTGTTGACGAGCTTCGTAGGGCGAGGGAAGGGTATAGACGCATGTTCCATCCGACTGTGCCCAATCCGGAGCATTTCGACAGGCGCAATCTCCCTGCGCTACTACCAGAAGCACGCCACCCTCAGCTGCCTGCCGGCCCGGACGGCAAAGCTCCGTATCTGGTCGTCGTCGGCCACGATCCGGATGAGTTTGCGGAACAGGGCGAGACGGTATTCCCTACCCCGCGCCTCAGCATGTGCAGCACCGTCAAAGAAGCACGGTCTGGATTTGTTCAACGGTTTCGTAGCTAATATGCGATTTCAGGGAAGCCTACATGTGCCAAAGGCATTGACGAACGCCTACGTTAATCCAGCATGGCAGACGTATAACAATGGGCTGGCCCAACTTGTACAAGAAGACTGTCGAGTTGAGGGACCAGTGATTGCGAAGAGATGCGGCCACTTCATTCAAAAAGACAGCCCAGCATTCGTCGCTGAGCAGCTCGGTCGGTTGATGGACAGGCTGTTGGGTGAGCCCTGTTGATATTGTAAGTGCTCTGAATAGATTGATCGTTGGTCTTCCAGGTTGAATACAGGAGGGTATTGTAGCCGACGGCTAGCGTGAATTTATTTTTCGCTCATACCATGGGTAATTGAAGCTATCATCTGGACGTGAATGTATAATTATTAATTCTACATTAACATCCGGATGATAACTTCAACTACCCATAAATGTTCTTTTTCATTAAAAGAAGAAAAAAGAAGGAACCGAGGCATACTTAGGCCATGTTGTAGGGCCCTGCTATTCCAGCAGTACCCCTCTGTATATGGATGCAACCGGGTTGAAGACAGTGACCATCTCGCGTCATTATAAGGAAAGACAGCAGGGAAGTGCAGGGTCGGCACGGGAACACAACCGATCATACGTGCGCAGGAAACCATGTGGACGTTCGTTTAAAGTTTCTCTCAGAGCATGGGCCGAATGGCACCATAGTATTCCGGGTGACACCGAGCTGACTCGGTTTGGACTTTGATAAAGTCCGCCCCTCGTTTTGGGTCGCGTCACCTTCGATGCTTACCTCGAATTGGTCACGAGCTTGTCCAGTATGTGTGAAATGGTGCATTATAATTCGCACAGACGGTGCACATGAGCTGCACTGTCGATGCGACAAGCAGCGAGAGACAAGACCAAATGCTGCAGCCTGGCCATTGATAGCGGACTATGTCAAGATTCAAATCCACGACAGAATGCATCCCTTAGTGCTGCGCTGTGACAAGTACCAGCCCAGGACCATGTTCTGCACCTCCCCACGTTTGTTGTTTGTCTGGAGAATGTCCTTTGAACAGTCCAACCAAATGCTGTCCGGTAAGCTGGACGCATCTACCCCATCGTATAAGGAGTCAACGTCACTTGGATAATGCAACGCCAGGGCGAAATGATGGATCGGTGGAAGCACCGAACGTGTGCGCGGCGTGCCAGGGCGAGACTTGGACATAAGTGTCTTAGTGAGCCAGTGACAGGCACAACGGTAACGGACGATCACTGTACCTGTGGCAAAACGCCGCACGTCCAAGGCTCGAGGGCGATGGCTGCCGATCGACGATCCCACTAGGCGGGCTGGTGATGTCATTCGAACACCAGTGTTGAGATTCCACACGTTGTCCCGCAAACAGAAGAAGGGGTGTGGTGGGGGGCACAACGACAGGGGCCGGGTTGACAACACCAGGGTCCTCGGCAGGCGTGGTATTGGCGACCCGCACACGATTCCGCGACATGGCAAGGCAGTGTCCTGGGATGGTCCCGCGCTCGGAATGCACTCCGCGCGCATTCATGTGTGCAGAGCCGCCTGGCCGGGGCCTGGACTGGTGGTGCTCTGGACACGCCGACAGAGCCTCTCCCAACGCTTGCTCGGGCAGCACTGGCCGGCGCGAGGGCGATGCCAAAGAGATTACCGCCGCGGCGTAGCAGCCTGGGACGCGCGCTCGGGCAGCATCAAGGCAGTCTGATTGGACCGGAAGGAACATCCGGCCAGGTGCTCTGCCGATGTGGAGTTTTGCTACCCAGCGGCGCACCGTCACCTCTTCCAGCTCCCGCCATTCGTTTACGCCTGGTTCAGGGACGGGCACGCGTCTGCCGCGCGGGAGAGAGTTTGCCGGGTGGGCGTGGACGCGCGACTCTGACGTCTTGGGCGACGCGGAGCTGCCATTGGCCGTACGGCAGTCTGTCCCGGACGGCGCCCGCGGTGCATTACCAGGCCAGGACGACAAACCGGGCGCTGGACGTCGTGAGGTTGAAATTGCAGACGGCTGCCGGTGGCCGTGCACTGCAGTGCGATCTCCTTGTCGTGATTGGCTTGCTGCGGCTCCCAGCGAGGAGCCCAGGTCTAAACATCGGGGACGAGGACATCCTCCCGGCTTCGCGATCCTCTTCGCGCAGGCCTCCTGCGCATTACGGCCAGAGGCACCTCGGGACTCTTCGCCGCGTGCGCCCAGTCACGCCTCCATCGCATGCGCCGCCACAACGCCAGAACACCAGTCCCCCGCCGTGTCGACCCCTCGGCGCCGCTCTCGCCCAAGGCTCGCTCCGCCCGCTGCACCTAGTTACGTGCTGCCCTCGCCCGTCGTTGTTCGCTCGCGTTGGGTCGTGGACCCCCACGGAAGCTCCGTGTGCTTGCGTGGAGGCTGCTTCTTCGCCGCGGCTTCTCCATCTCTCCCAGCATCAACATCCATCGCCTGGTGCATGAAAGCCACCGCACAAGACCATGAGCGTCTTCTCGCCACAAGCCGCCGGCGGGCCGTCGCCTCCTGACCAACCGTTCGAGGGCTCGCTTCGTCGAGAGCGCGCATCCATTGCCGCCCAGGCCTGCGAGACGTGCAGGGCCCGCAAGTCCAAATGTGACGAACGCCGGCCAAAGTGCGGTCTTTGCCAGCGTGTGGGAGCCGACTGCCGCTACAGAGAGCCGCAGCCAACGAAGTAGGTTGTTTACAAAGCATGCGTTGCGACGCCGACTGACCGGTTCCAGGAAGGACAAGACCATGGTCTTCATGCTGGACGCTCTGCAGCGTATTGAGGCAAAGGTCGACCAGATAGGCAAGGCTGCCACCCCGGAGACTGGTGCGTATGAATCCAGCCTCTACACAACCCCGCCGTCCGGCCGTCTCCCGTCAATTGGCAGCGCTTCGATGTTGGTGCAAGATCAGGAACACCCACCTCTGCAACAATCCCAGCCTCAGAGCCCGCTAGGTCACCGACCCCCGGACGCTCAAATCTCCTCATCACACAAGGTCCTTCTTTGGCCATTCATCCACGCCCGTCTTGCCGAATTCGACGTGGACGTGGCAGAAGACCTCCAAGCGCTTACGCAAGAGGGCACGCCGTGGTTCCTGCACCACGAGCTGCGAAGGCACCCGGATCCCTTGCCCGCCGACGTACGCCTGGAAGCAGAGCCTGTCCCCGATCTCTTAGCTCCCGATGCCGCGAATAGAGTGCGATTTCCGAACCTCACCTACGAGGAAATGAAAACATACGCCACTCATTACTTCAATACGTTCAACGTGCTGTACCTGATCCTAGACCGGCAGAGCTTTATGGATGTCGTGCTGCCAAAGGTTGCTGGTTACGGGTTCGGAGACGGCGATTATGGTTCGATAATTTCTCTGTTGGTCTTTGCCCTGGGTAAAGTGGCCCTCGACGGAACGCGGTCGGCACCGGTCGATAATGGACTGCCTTTCGAGAGCGGCGTGCGAGGGGGCACACCAGATAGACCGCCAGGGCTTGATATATTCAATGAGGCTCGTCGGCGGTATGGCTTCGTAGCGAATCAATGCTCGGTTGAGACCATCCAGATCATGCTGCTATTGGCGTAAGTAAAAAGGTGGTTCTCGGGTAGTAAGACACATTCTGAATGACTCAACCTTTAGAGTATACTACGAGTCCTGTGGCAGACACCTCGTAAGTCTACCAGCCTTCGATTTGGCACACTAATATTCCTCTGCTGACCGTACCCCAGGACTTCTGGCGTGCTTCCCGAGCGGCGTCCACGGGCTTTCAAATCCTGATCCGAAGGTAAGCAGCAGCCCTCCTTCATCTAGACCAACGCATCCATGAATTGGCTGACGACCGGTAGCTCGCAAATCGACTGGTTTACGGAGAAAGGAAATCTTGTGAAAAGGCTGTATTGGACGTGTAACTCGATCGAGCAGTATTTACCATACCTGATCCCACCGACAAGCAAAATGTGCTAACGCTGGGCATAGCTGGTATCATTACGACCTCGATCTTCCGTGGACGGGAGTGTGCGACCATGAGGACGAAATACCGCTTCCCGGCGAGCTTTTGGGCCAGAGGACAGAGGAAGACCAACAGACGGTCATGTACTTCCTCGCGATGATAGCTCTGCGTCGACTGGTGACGCGCGTCCACAAAGTCATTTTCGACGGTAGGTGACAAGCTCCCTGCTTTATAGTTGCCACCAGACCGCACGTCACGCGCATGGGGGATTCGGGCGCATGTTGTTGGGAGTCGGAGTATACTCCGTATCAGAAGCCACGCCCCTAATTTTGTTCAGGCCTTCCCAAACGTCAGCTAACTCACCTCGCAACGCAGCATCCAAAGCGACGTCTGAGATACCCGAAGGATACGATGGACCCCCCACGCACGTCATACGTGAGCTCTCTCGCCAGCTCGAGTCCTGGAGATCCAGGTTGCCACCGTCCCTGCAGTGGGCTGACGAGCCATCCGAATGCCGCTTCAACTACTCTGACCCCGATTCATCGAAGGGCACAAGATCCTTTACTCCCAACAGCACCCGCACTCCCCCCGGAGAACCCATCAGCTTGGATCTCGCCATTGCACACTTACGTTCGCGGTACTACTACACGCGTTTCATCTTATACCGACCTTTCGTGTACAAAGTTCTCCACTGGCCGGCACTGACGACGAATGAAGACCGGCAACTCGCGGGACTGTGTATCAAGAGCACTCTGATGTGGCCGATTGCGCTTGCGCCCCCCAAGGACCGCAAGAGGCTGGTACCATACTTGTTTGTGTGGACGCAGAACTTCATCAGTATCTTGCTTGTTCTGCGGGTTACAACGGTTAGTAGTATCCTCGCCGATGTCTGCCGCAGGACAATCGACAATACAGAACTGATGCTCACCGTCCAATGTCTTCTCGAGTGGCTTGCTGACGTACGGACAATCGATGGGACTGCTATGTGGAGCTGGAAGATATTAGACCCGTTATTCCGCGACATCTTCCCACACATGTCCGCTGCCAATTCCTAGCATTTGTAACAACCGCCACAAGCCAACAAGGCGTTGAGTTTGAGGATGAGCAAAATCTTTGGCAACAGCGTTGGGTTGCCGCCCAGGGGTTGGGTGGGATCATTCAGAAAAAGCCTCATCGGCTAGGAGATGACTCCGCATTTGGGCCGCAGATAGCTTGGTCTCCACGTGAGATGACAGCTTCTGATTTCTTGGGTAGCTGTAAGCTTGCTTAACGACTTCACGACCGTCGAACGGACTTTCCATCTGGGACATTCCCCAAATGATTTGCATCTGGGGTTTCTGGAGCGAGTTCCAGTCTATTGGCGCTTCATTGCTTTTGAGACGCTGCCCTGGTTACTCATTTTTAGAAGATCGAGAACACCATACCCTTTATTGAATCCCATTGATTTTGTTCTGGCATGGTGGCGCTTGGTTCCTCGGCTCTATCTTCTGCAATAGGTGGACTAGGTAGGGGTGGGCCTCGCCCAGATGAAGGATTTTGGACGTTTCTTCTCTCAGATCACAGTATACACGCCACATGAAAGTGGATCAGCAAATATAAGAGGCAGGCCAACCGTCGGCACTGCATAGCACACAAAGGAGTATCGCAGCCGAATGCTAGTGTGAATCCGTTTTTGCTCATGTCATGGGTAGTTGAAGCTACCGTCCGGACGTGTATGAAGAATTTCAAAGTCGACATTCTCGTCCGGACGATAGCTTCAACTACCCACATATGTTATTTTTCTAAGAAAGCGCTGGGGCATAGTTACGAACGAGGCACGGTAAATGCTCATGCGGGCGGCTTTTCGTGTACTACAGGAAGGCCATCGTGAAGAATAGTAAGGTCCCAGGCGTATTTTGGGTTCGTTCGAAACATGGTTGTGTTGTATATATTGCTGACTGTTGAGGCTGCGATTATTTAGGCATCCGCCGCGTGGGCGTCTCTAGAAACACAGCTTCTCGGTTGTCAACGCAACCCCCAGCATCCACGAACGCTTCCGCACCGCGCATGCGCATGATTGCCTCAAACAAGATGTCGGCCACTGATCCAACCCAAACCTCCAAAGTTATCGACGGGAAGAAGTACTTCATCCCGCTAGGTATGACACCCGACTCGCGCGCATCCATGATTCCTTCGAACTTTGCCCGGCATTCCGGCCGCTCATGTGAGCTTTGACCTCACTGCTCTCATCCAGAAAATAACCCGGAGGTTTTCTCCCACCTCATCCGTGCGCTTGGTGTCTCCCCCAAGCTCGGCTTTCACGACGTCTACAGCCTGAATGAGCCGGGTTTGCTCGCCCTGGTCCCGCGCCCGGTCCTCGCGCTCATCTTCATCGCCCCGGGCCACGTCTACCACGCCGCTCGTGACGACGAGAATGCGCGCACGGAGCTTTACGACGAGGCGGGCCCTGAGCAGCCGGTCGTGTGGATGCAGCAGACGATCGGCGAGGCGTGCGGGCTGATGGCCTTGCTGCACGCCGTCTGCAACGGCGACGCGAAGAAGTACGTCATCCCTGGCTCGGTGGTTGATGAGTTGAGGACGAAAGTGGTGCCGCTGAGGAGAGAGCAGCGCGCGCGCTTTCTCTACGACAGTGAAGCGTTGGAGAAGGCGCATGCGAGCGCGGCGGTGCTGGGCGACACGGGCGCGCCTGAGCTAGGGACTGTGGCAGAGGGCGCGTTCGTTTGCTTCGTGAAGGGCGATGATGGGCATCTGTGGGAGCTGGCCGGCTATGCAAAGGGCCCGTATGATCGGGGTGAGTTGGGAGAGGGGGAGGATATGTTGAGTGAGAGGGCGTTGAGTCTGGGAGTAAAGACTTTCATGGAAAAGGCGCCTGGGGAGACGAGATTCAGTCTTGTGGCGTTGGCACCGAACGAAGAATGAGGAACAAGATGCTACTCTATAGCTGCTTGGTGAGCTTTTTGGCGTCATTCAGCGGAAAGTTTGTGTTTCATGTTAGTCTAGAAAGAATTGAAGTTGGCCTTGATCTCACTTTAATTGATACAGAGCAGCAGCACTCGATCTCAATCGAACATGGAATGATTATGGATGGCGAAACAAACTACTGATGACAGTCTGTTTTGGCCCTTTCCCCCTCACTCTGACCTGCTCATCATTGCACTGCGCATGGGAAATCAAAATAGGGACTGCACAGTCGGTTTTTAGCATTTATCGCTCTCGCATCATTTTGACCTCGTGGGAGTCCGTAGACTTAGGCCTATGCATCTCTTGGCCGAACTTGTATTTTGAGATAAATTCCAAGATAAGACTTTCGGTACCATTGCGAGAATGCGAATGGGAAATTATCTGGTAAAGAGCAATCGTCTGGGTTCAATGATTTCTGCCTTAGGAATCCAGGCGCGGGTAATGCTCGGTCGGCTAGGCGCGTTTTCAACGCGACGACGCATGTCGCCGCAGCGGCCGCGCTGCTGCTGGATAGCTGCACTCTCACACCTCACCTCGCCTTTTTCCATTGCTGCACCCACCCACCACCGCTCTTTCCCCGTTTGCACCTGCAGTCGCGCGCTAAGCCGCACGCGAGCAGCAGCCTCCCGCTCTATAATTTCCCGCGCGCGGCGCACCTTCTCTTCGATATGTAAGTCAACCAAGCTCGTCCACCATCCAGCACTGCGCCCACCATGTCTGCCTGGAACGTTCATGCACCGGCCCCAACCGCTAACAAGCAGCCGCGCCCAAATAGGTCTGAGCCTCTTAGGGAGAGCTTCGACGGCATTTACCTAGACCTTTCGACGCTGCCGGGACGATGCCGCTTCGCTGAAGGTGGTCTTGGCTGGAAACCTTCTGCCGGCGGAGATACCTTTACTCTGGACAGCTCCAACATAACTCAGGCGCAATGGAGTCGCGCCTCGCGTGGCTACGAGCTGAGGGTCTACACTAAGAACACCGGCCTCATCCAGCTCGATGGCTTCCAGCAAGAGGTAGGAATAAGCGCGTCCCCAGCGGACATTTCAGCGGCGCTAACTTGCTCAGGACTTTGAGCGTTTGGCCAAGGTTTTCAAGATGTGGTACAGCATCAATCTCGAGAACAAGGAGCACGCTCTACGAGGATACAACTGGGGCAAGGCCGAGTTTGGCAAGTCGGAGCTGTCGTTCAACGTCCAGAGCCGCCCGGCTTTCGAACTGCCTTACTCCGAAATTGCCAACACCAACCTGGCTGGAAAGAACGAAGTTGCGATCGAATTTTCGCTCCCGGCAAACGGCGAAGACACGGGCACGAACGGCCACCTGGGCGGCGCCAGGGCTCGGGGCAAGAAGTCAGGCGGTGCGAGGGACCAGCTCGTGGAAATGCGGTTCTACATCCCGGGCACCGTGACGAAGAAGGAGAAGAAGGAGGACGGCGAGGACGTTTCCGAGGGCGATGAGGAGGAGGAGCACAATGCCGCCAGCCTGTTCTACAACACGCTCATCGAGAAGGCAGAGATTGGCGAGATTGCGGGCGACACCTTCATTACGTTCGAAGACATCCTGCACCTCACGCCCAGGTATGCGGTCTATGCTCCCGTTGATGCATTGCTTGCTAACGCTGCTACAGAGGTCGTTTTGGCCTGGACATGTACGAGACTTCGTTCCGTCTTCGCGGCAAGACGTACGACTACAAGATCCAGTACGATGCGATCAAGAAGTTCTTCGTGCTGCCGAAGCCCGACGATATTCACCAACTCATTACCATCGGCGTCGACCCGCCTCTGCGCCAAGGTCAAACCAGATATCCGTTTATTGTCATGCAGTTCAAGAAGGACGAGGAGTTGGACGAGCCGGTCCCGCTCAACATCGAGCCGGATGTGCTGGAGGAGAGATACAAGGGCAAGCTCGAGGCTCAGTACGAGGGCCCGATCTACCGTGTTGTTGCGCAATTGCTCCGTGGTCTGTCAGGAAGAAAGACGATTGCGCCGTCCAGAGATTTCATCAGCCACCACCAGCAGAGCGGTATCAAGTGTTCGATCAAGGCCAACGAAGGACACCTCTACTGCATGGACAAGAGCTTCTTGTTTGTGCCTAAGCCGGCCACCTACATCTCTTTTGACCAGATTTCGGTCATCACCATGTCTCGTGTTGGCGGGAACCTTTCGTCGAGCCGCACTTTTGATATCACGATCAGGATGAAGAACGGCTCGGATCACCAGTTCAGCAACATCAACCGGTAGGTGAACACGCAAACTGCGGCGAGACGACAGCTAACCCTGCGGCACAGCGAGGAGCAGACGCCCCTGGAGGACTTCTTCAAGATCAAGAACCTCAAGACGAAGAACGAGATGGTGGACGATGTGAGTAGCACCGTCTCGCGCGCGAATGCCTTTATTGACAAAGCCCTGTACAGTCCGGAGCGCTGCTTGCAGCAGCTCTCAACGACGACCTGGACGAGTCGGACGACGATCAGGTGGCAGTCAACCGCGGCAGCGCCGACGAGGACTCGGAAGAACTGGACGAAGACTTCGAGGCCGAGAGTGAGTCGGAGGTGGCCGAGGAGTTCGACTCGGAGCACGAGAGCAGCGGCAGCGGCAGCGACGAGGAAATGGCAGACGCAGACGCAGACGGCGACGAAGACACGGAGATGGCGGAGCGGCCAAAGAAGAAGGCCAAAACGGAGAACTGAGGGACGACGCGATTGGCGGGAGTTTTCCATTTCTAGAGTCGTAGTTTCAGTCCCTGCATGACGAGTACCCTGGGACAGCGGCGTTATTGGGGGCCGTGCGGGAAAAGACAGCTTTCTTCATTTGAATGGATGAATTGCGGGCGAATCAGTACCTGTGCCGGCGGAGGGCGAGCTGGGGAGCGGAGAATATGCGGCGTCCCCGCACTTCCCTGGCGCATGCGCCGCGTGCCCGGGCAGTGTTGCCTGTGCGCCGTGCAAGTGCGCTCGACCAGGGAACGCCTCTCACCCACACCCAGACCACCTCCATCCCGGCGCCGCTCTCACCTCCGGAATGCGCTTTACATCCAAGGGCTCCCTGAGCGTGCGTCTCTGCGGACAGCTGGACAGATGAGGTCGCGCACAGGCTGGTAAGCTGCCCATCCCCCCAGCTCGCGCTCCCCGGCTGACAGCGTGCCGCCAGCCAGACGTGCCGCGTGCGAAAGCTGAAATGCGACGAACGGAAGCCCGTCTGCGGGCCATGCACCAAGGCCAATCGCGAATGCGTCTTCAATTCCGGCCTCATCTTCCGCCACCAGCAGAATGCCTCCATGAACGGCGACGGCGTCGGCGCCGATCAGGGTCTCAAGGGCTTCTACGCCTACAAGAACACCTTTGGCCACGACGCCGTCTGGCTGGACATCCCCAAGCAAGGTGCGTCGCACCGCCCACGCGTGCAGCCGCCGCCAGGCGCTGACAGCCTGCAGTGAGATTCTGGAACACCACCGACCCCTATAATGAGCCCATGTCGCCCGAGTCCGAGACGTCGCCTGGCAGCGCGCCTGAACAGCCGCAATCCTCACAACAAGATGCGCAGGCCATGCAGTGGCCTCTCGCCGACTCGTTCCCGCAGCCCGACACTCAGTCGCCCGCGCATGCTCTCCACGCTCTGTCTGCCGTGGCCACCAGCGACCACTATGCATACCTGCACCCGCGCGTGGGCCGCCACGACGGCACCCCCGTGCCTGATGCGCCGCTGCGGTCGAGCGCCAATCTGTCGGGAATGCACCCTCCCACGCCGCTTGCTCGCCATGCTGTCGATTCCCCCATATCGCCACCGGTGTCCATGACCTCGTCCACAAACCACAATATCGATTTCCTTTTGAACCACCCTTCGGCGGCGTCGCCGCCATTGGACCCCAGTCTGCAATCCCCGTACGCCCAGTCGGCACGGGAGGTGCTGCATGCAAGATCTGCAAGCTCACACATCTCAATGGGGTCCAGTTCGTTTGAGAGCAGTGTGGAGAACGACCATGAAATTGCCTATCTTTTGAGGTATTATTCCGAGGGCCCAGGCCAGTGGATGGACTTGTTCGACCTCGGCTCATATTTTGCCTCATACGTCCCGGTCAAGGCGCAGACGACTCCGGTGCTCAAGTACGCGGCCATAGCTTACTCTGCTAAGGCGCTTGGGCGCGTGAAGGGCAAGCGTCCAATCATGGGCGGAAACGCAATTCGTCATGCTCGCACCGAGCTGTATCCTAATACGCATTCCGTCGACTGGTACCACAAGGCAACGGAATACTACGATAATGCCGTCTCCCTCCTCCGACAGGCGCTGCAGGATGACTCTCGTGGCATCTCGCAAGAGAGCGCTACCGGTGAGGGGCAGTGGAGACCCGCGGACGGTTCGGATGGCAGCTTTGGGCACACCAAGCGCACCAGCCTGTCGGGTTTTCCCGTGTCACGATGCAGCTCGGACGAGCTTCTCGCAGCTACGGCCATTCTCTGTGTTTACGAGTTCCTTGACGCGTCCGGTCCTGAATGGTCCCGCCACCTAAGCGGAGCAAAGTCCCTGATTGATATTGCCAAAGACAGCATGATGCCCCTGCAGCTCCCTTCCCCTGGCCTGGCTCTCCAATCACAGTCTGTGAAGCTTTCCAAGGCTAGGAAAGCGACATTCTGGAATGTAGCCCGGCAGGATATGCTCTCCGCATGTAAGTTTTGTTAGAGAAAGGATCTCTCTACTGAACAGCGACGCTAATACGCCGCAGTCATCAACACCACCCAAACTCGGCTTGACACGGAAGACTTGCCAATGTGGAAAGATGCCGGACTGCAGATTGACGACAACGGGTTTATCATGCCCGTTGAGCCAACCACTAGTGGCTACCCTGAAAGCGGGAATGTGATGAAAGAAGATATGATTTCTAACTCCCTCGTCTGGCTCATGTCGAAATTAGTCAATTTCATGGCAGCTGGTGATGAGCTTCCGCCGCATCCCGACTCCCCCTGGGCTCAAGGAGTGCCGCAAAGGACGCTACTTGACTACTGGACCTATCTCAAACGACAATTCCAGATATGGTTCGATGGCCTGCCTCTTACCTTTAAGCCTTGCGCTCGGATCCCACCTTCCCGCATTCCAAATTCCTTGGTTGACGACGACCTTGACTCCGTGCTCCCTGAGGTATGGTACAGTTTACCTATGTGCGCCTCCACAATGCAATCCTACCATATGTCTCAAGTCCAGCTTCTGCTGAACAAGCCACACGAGACGACCCAGGGAAGATCGACTATCTTTGCTCGCTTCAATTCCTACGAAAGCGCCGTCCAAGAAAGTCAGATGCACAGCCGAGAAATTGTCAGCATTGCTCTCTCGAGACCAGATGCTGCCGTACGCATCAACTCTGTTCAGCCACTGTACACTGCGGGACAGTGTCTTGCGGATCCAAGAGAGCGACGTCTGGTCATTAAGCTGCTTCGAGAAATTGAGGCTGACACCGGCTGGGCTACTGATTACAGAGTGAACCAGCTCATTGAACAGTGGGAATGGAGCGAGGGCGACGTTCCATGAAAATCCATAACCAACGAGGAAAAATAAAACAAAAAATCAGACCCTAGTTCTCAACCGACCAGAGCTTTTCAAGGCAAAGCTGGCACGGCGGAGGCCTACAACTCAGGGCTCATGGTGATCCAGTAATTGTCGTGGCTGTGCCTTCAGTGGAAACAGATGGAAGGCGCCAGGCTCGTTAGATCAGTGGCACAAGGCCGATACTGAGTGCAAGCCACTCTGCAGCTTCATTATTCTGCTATCAGAAGGCCATGTCCTACGAAAGGCACAAGGATGGGGATCGCCATGACCGAGATCGGCAGAATCGCTGCCCCGCCCACGGGAGGACGGCTAGCAGAGAATGGTACAGCAACATCGTCTATCTATCGTTGCCGCTGGGAGCTGATGGCCGTCATCACCGTCAGCCAAAATATGTGCGCAACACCGATTTTGACGTTGATAAGTTCAACTGTGCGTTCGGGTCAGACTGAGAAACCATCCACAACATTTTCTTCAAGCCGTCATTCCCACCCGGGCCTAGCGCTCTGGGCGACCAGTCCCTGCCCTGCTTCCTACGCCACCCCCAAGAACAATGGCGCTGGTTCCTTTACCTTTCCAACACAAATTTTACCTGACCAACTCCACGTTTACCCCTGCTGCGGCATCTGCCTCATAACTCATCTTGCGCCTAGCTTATCGACGCATCACCTCGATGCGCCAACAATCCTCCGGAACAGCCAACACTTCACGGCTTTGAGGAGGATAATACTTGGGATGATGAATCGAAGGAGGGGGGTTGAGTAGAGAGAAAGAGCAACACCTCACTCCTGGCTTTTCCTCTTTTAGAATCGGTATGCTGAGGGGGGCTTGAAGATAGGTGAAGATGAGGGGAAGGAAATGCTCGGTTGGATTCCAGGGAGTGGAGGTTGAGATAGGTTGAGGATAGCTGGGACTGAGTTGCTTTGAATGGAAAATAACTGGGAGAACAAGGACTTTGAGAGCAAATTGCCGCTCATTTCAAGATGCAGATAAGAGATCACCCCAAATGTAGAGAGCAACAAGCATGGTGTGAGAAGAAATTCCATGAGGATGATAGAATCTGATAACAAGATATTTTATCAAACTCTATTACGATTCGCTCCTTCGCCTTTGGCGAGCCTGGGCTTTCCAGGCCGCAATTTTCGAGGATCCCAATAGCGAACAATTATAACAGGGTTACTCTGTAGTGTTGCAGAAAATTATTGCTTCTGATTGTGAAACGGGTCCTCTAACACCGACCGCCTCTTCTTTCCACGGTACACTAGGCGATGCACGTACCTGCCTCTACCAGCCGGGGATAAGGGAAACCACGAGGAAGGTGGAGGATTGCTCAACCAACCTTGGAGTTCGGGAAGAAGCGCGTGGCGTAGGAAGAAGGATGCGGGTACGCACGTACAAAAAAGGGGCCTAGTAGCTTTGTACACGAGAAGAACATCGGGGATCTTTTGCACTACAAAATCGGCGATGAAGTCATTTTTCGGCTTTTCTTCTTTTTAGGCTGCGGTCAGGCGCCGTCCGTCCGCATCTTTACCCGTCGTACCTGGCAGTCAAGCGGCCCGGGGCTCACGCGGGGAGCCGCGCAGGTAGCTCGTTATTCAACTTCGTTTTGCTGGCGGTGCGGGCACCATGATGGTCAAGACTCGAAAGTTGCTTTTTGGTGAATACTGTGGGACCATTCTTTTCCTTTCTCCTTTTTTTTTTTTTTAGTGTCATGCCATAGCCCTTGCGCAGAGCAGTGGAGCACAGTTGGGGTTTCGATCGATGATGACCCAGTTGTCTTGGAGATTTTTCATCGATCGATTAATACCAATTCCAGGGATGACGATCGAGAGATCTTTACAATAGTGTGAGCTGTGGCTAGTGGGACTTGCTGTTTGCAGAACAGTGGCGACTCCGGGCGTCTAGATTGCGGCTTTCAATTGGCCCGTTGAGTTGAAGGTCAGGAGCTTGCTCCGGAGCACGTATCCACATGGGCACTCTCGTACAGAGGGGCTATAGATCACTTTCCACAGTATTTGCTTTGCAAGGAATTATTCTACTTGTGTGGATGTTCGAAGCTATCGTCCGGACACGAATGTATGTACAATTATTAATTCAACATTTACGTCCGGACAGTTACTTCAGCTACCCCTTCGGCTGCAATACCCCTTCGTACCACCGCATACAGGAAGCGTAGTCTGACGTATGAATGAATCAGAAGGAATGTATATACGCAATGCAAGTACTTTATGTGACACTCATTAGCTTCTAGCACAGCTCAGTTGCAAGCGAAGCGTGTAAAGGGCCAGTGACATGTCACTGTAACGTCAATATCGGCGATTGAGGCTCACACAAAGGTCTAAAAGTGACGGTGGTTCCACGACGGGCGCTGTTTCTTTGGCGGTGCCCGCGTGGCAAAACGCTAGACGTTCCACGTGCCGATCCCCCCACTGGATGATCAGAGATCTCACTCATGGCCAACCATCGCCTTTCTCTCGGATTTGAATGCCAGTACGTAGACTTCCATGATGCGTTGATTATATGGATGAAGGCGGGCAGGGCCGCTTTTGGCAGGATGACGTGCATGTAGCGCTTTGGCCGGGCTCGATGAATTATATGATGCTGCTGCTGCTGCGGTGCGACTGGGTTGCGTCACTCAGCCTTGCGTGCGCACCGCCACAGGTACATACGTTAACCAAGCTGGCGGAGGAGTTCTCTAGCGGTGCTGCTGGGCAAACATGCTAAGGGTTCCTTCCCCAGATCAGCAACCGCTAGCGGGAGTGGTTGGCATGCATGCGGGGGGAGCATCGGCCCAGCGTTTCGGGGCGGAGCTTTGGTGAGCGCGAGACAATCTGACTTCGTTAGCGCTGCAGCCATACCGAACTTATGCACCGGGCGAGAGGCCCAAACATGGTACCGTCTTCGCTGGGCCGCGCGTATGCTCTCGAGAGTTCGTGATGGCCGTTGGGCGTTGCTAAGCATGAGGCGTTTGGCATATGACCACGGCATGCCAAGTCACCCGATCCCGTCGCTACCTGCTCGATCGCAGACCAGAGTCAAAAAACGAGACCCGCTGTCACGTGGAATGAGAATCGCACACGCCGAGGGGCGAAAGCGCCGAGGTGCTAGCCAGTCGCAGGCATTGGTACGAGGCTGATCGGAAGATGAAAAGATGGCGAGAAAAGGGACGAGGGAGCTGAAAGTGTTTCCGCGGGCCGTGGTTGGCCTTACACAGATTGCAAATCCCAATGCTGCCCGTGTCTTGCAGATGATCGCTCATTTCTCCAGGGACCGATGATTGGCGCCGCGCGGAGAGAGACGGACTTACCGTCTAGGCAAAAAATTTCTGCCCGCGCCGCCGACCAGTCGTAAGCCCGCGCCGCCGATGTGACAAAGAGTCGTCTGATTCAAACATGGTGGAGCAGCAATTGTCAAAAGGGCGGGGGCTGTTTTGGCGCGCTTCACAAAGAATGGCTGGCAGCTTAGCCGATGGATCTACAGCCACACGAGTAAGGCCGTCGTCTGGATTTGATTGTTGATTTCTGAATCTTTGTTGCTACCTGTCCGTCCCCACGCAGCGAAAGCCGCGCAACCAGGGTATCTTCTCTTGCGTTATCTCGCTTTTGCGTGCGGCGCCGATCGCCAGCACCCTCATGCACTGCTTCTTCTCCCCTGTGCCAATCCCCCTCCAATGATAATCCTCATGGCGCCAACGGGCTGTAACAGCCATCGTCGGCCTAAATTCCGGGCGTCGATCAACTTCTGTCGCAATCGATCAGATGCTGGTATCGTCCGGGCGGGTGACTGGTTATCGCCGTGTGGCGTTGTGTGCCGGCGAATGGTGGTTGTGATTTGGTTGGACTGGCTAGTCCCGAGTGGTTCCGTTCAGCCGTTGTGGCTGTAGCCCACTATGTCCGCGCAGCGAACGCAGTAGTACGAGTTGATGCCGTAGCCGACCATGTTCTTGGATCCTGCCGTGTCTGTCCGGTGGCAGCGTGAGCAGCGGATGAATTGCACGCTGGGCGACTCTCCCGAGACAGAGGTGCGAGATGAGGATGCGCTGGAAGCATCGGATCCGGAGCGGCTGCTGATAGGACTGAGATCCAGCACGTCCTGCACTGGCTGGGGCTGCGGCCGGTTCTGGTACGAGTAGGCGGCAGCCGTCTGGAGCTGGAGAATCTTGGAGGCGTCCATGGCGGCCGGGCTGACAACGAATGAGACGGGCCAGTCGCGGGCGGCGAGCAGAGGGTTGGACGGCTCCGACGGAGTTTGCACAGAGAGGTCGTAGAGCGCCGGCGACGGAGTCTCGGTCGAGTAATGGTCGATAAAGCTGTTCTCAGGGCGGGAGGCCGGGACGAAGCTGAAATAACAAACGCCGTTGTTCAAGGAGGTCGATGCGGGCGGGGTCACTGCCGATGACGAGTGCATGCTGTATGTGTAGTGGAGTGGGCGTGCAAGAAATAGTGCTGTGTACAACAACGAGAGGGGATCTGGAGATATTATACCATGAAGATCGAAGATCGGGGCTGTTTCATGCTCTTAGGCGGCAGCGAGCCCTATCCGCGCCAGCCCGCCCAACACTAGGGCGATCGCTGCGCTGTGGCTTGCGCGAGCCTAGTCACCTTCGTGCGAGCGTCTCCGGCGCGCGCGGGCCACCGCTTGGCCGCCCTCGTACCTTGCTTCCGGTGAGGTCCCCTCCGCCCGCTTGTACATACTCCACGCCCCCTCCTTCCCGTTGCTTTGGACCTCCTCCTCCACTGACAGCTCGCCAAGTTATCCCCCTCGCAGCTGCGACGAGCTGCCAGCCCATGCTCCACCGCCACCCCCGGTATAGCTGTACCCCTGGCCAAGCTGAACCGTCCAGTGCAGCAGCAGTCTCCGGACCAAGGCCCTTGCACCGACAAGGGTTGATGTCCAGACCGTTGGACCTCGAAGCATCCACGACCATCTTCCCAAGGAGACATCTCGGATCTCAACGGGACCTGCACACCACCTCGCTCCCGAGATGATGGTTGATTACGAGGGCGATTCTTGACAAAGTCGGGGCAGTTGAGGCTCCTTGTCCGGACGGATGATTCAGCTGCAATATACGTTTCCTTCTGGTGTGTTCCCGCAGGAGCACTGTCCTTTCTCCGCACCTGATGTGTTGCTGCCAGAAGGCGCCCTGCAGCAGCGCCGGTCTAGAATCTGCTGCAAACGCCCAGTACACCCGTCGGGCTGTTGGCGGTGGCAGTGGGTCAGCCGCCTGCCAACGCTCCAACCTGCCACTCAACCGTGCTTCGTGGGTGGTACTCGTGCCCAACCGCAGCTTGGCGCTTAGCAACGGCCAGCTTAGAGTCAGCCTTGCATGCGGCTTAGAAAGACGCGTTCAGCGGCACACGTGTAAGCAACCTCACCCATGCTCAATCCCTTTGCTTCGCCCCAACATAGCCGCGTTTGGAGTCAAAGTGAGTCAATTTGGTGCAACAAAGCCAATCTGGCAGCCTGGACGGGCGCAAACAGCCTTTGGCGAAATCAGTGCGGCGCCTGGCGTGATGAGGGTTTCAACGCGTTAGGTCGACCGTGGGACACGTGCTCAACATGCTGCTCCGCGGGGGCCCGAGGTTCTGTAGTGGTTCCACGATAGCCACCTTCCAGACATGAGACAGCCATTAGATAAGCCAGGTCGGGTTGACTCGGGGCAACAACGGACGTGTCGACCGGCGCTTTTGTTCAGGCCCAAGACAGCCGTCCCTCAGCCCAAGCGGGCCGGTCAATTAGGTGTTTAGACCCTGAGGTACGAGCCGAACCACCGCCGGACAGCCTGTGCGTTGTGCCTGGCGGTAGGTCCGCCTTCGAGAAGCGTTCTTCAGTTGGCGTGTGCCCGTCAGGAGAGCAGCGGTACCCCGGTCTGAGGCACCGAGGCATCAAACAGATCCTTCGCAGACGTGAGCGCCGTGAAACAGCGCCCCAGGGTCCAAGAGCGGCCTTGCACTCGCGCCATTTCCAGCACATCGCAACGACTGCGATCAGGCGATCCGTGAAACGCCGGCGGACATGTCCCATCCGCAGAGCTGAGATTTCATGTGAGACTCGACGAGACGGATGGAAACGGCCGGCAAGGTAAAGGGGAGCTCTGGTTCGTGCCTGGAAAAGGGGAGCGCGCGAGTCGTAGAGTTTTGGAAAACATCGCAGGTTGCGCGTCGGGCTCGGCTGGTCGCTGTCTGCGCGCTGCGAGACGACGTGACATGGACGATGGCATCCTGCTCAGGGTGGCAGTTCCAGCGAAGGTCGGCAAGAATGGGAAGTACGAGGGTTTTGGCCGGGTAGGCGCTCCTATGGAAGGAACGCATCGCGCACGGCCCGACCGACACCACCGAGCGACGACACTCCAAGCAAGAGAGCTCTCCGCAATCAAGCAGCGCGCGAACGACACACCGCCGCAAGCCGCAGCCACGACACCTGTCAGACGCCGAAATGGATCTCCACGACGAAGGCGCGTCCGCATGGGGCGATGTTCCGTCATCGACGACACCAACGGCAGAAGTCCCCCAGATTACCACTACCGACCAGCCCGCCGCCGGTGAGCTCGTCTGCGCCCTCTCGATTGCATCCCGTAGCTCACATCGCGCTCTCCCTAGACGATGCCCCTGCCGCTGCCGCCCAGCCCGTTGCGCCTGTCTCGACCGCTGCTAAGTCGCCCGGCAGGCCCAAGCCCAACCACCGCCGCATCGGCCCTACGCGCCTGGAGACTGTCGAAGACCCTCTCGGGCCTCTGGGCGCCTCCGTCGATTCTCTCGGAGACTCCCAGGTAGATGAACCCCCTGCACCACCGCAGAAGGAGCTCGCCGCAGGCCGTGGCTCGCGCCCCACGACGGCCACGTCGCAATCCTCCATTCGCGGGATGATGGAATCCGTGAATCTGGACGAAAGCCTCGAGAGCCCGACTATGGCCGGAGCCAGGGTGCCGCCCCCGGTGCAGCCTCCGAGCAACAATGGCCCGCCGAGGCAGACGCAACCCAGCGTGAGCGTCGAGCAGGCTGCCAAGCCCACCTTCCACATCACCGTCGGTGATCCGCACAAGGTCGGCGATCTGACAAGCTCTCATACCGAGTACCAAGTCAGAACTGTGGTACGTTTCTACATTGCTTTTGCCACGCTGGTGGCTGCCGAGCTAACGCTGCCGAGACTACCTCGAAGGCCTACCGGAATCCTGAATTTGCCGTCTCCCGCCGCTACCGCGATTTCCTCTGGCTGTACAACCAGCTCCATAATAACAATCCCGGCGTCGTCGTCCCTCCTCCCCCGGAAAAGCAAGCCGTAGGTCGTTTCGATGCCGACTTCGTTGAGTCGAGGCGGCAGGCATTGGAGCGCATGCTCAACAAATGCGCTGCGCACCCTATCTTGCAGCACGATGGTGATTTGAAATTGTTCCTTGAGAGTGAGGCTTTCAATGTCGATATCAAGCACAAGGAACGGAAGGACCCCCTCCTCCAGGAAAACAAGGGCATGCTGGGTTCCCTCGGCCTGTCTGTGAGCAGCACCGGGAAGTTCATCGAGCACGATGACGTAAGACTGGCCGTGCCTTGCAATCAGAAGCTCAGCTAACATGCCCGCAGTGGTTCCATGATCGCAAGGTCTATCTTGATGCACTCGAGTCGCAACTGAAAGCACTTCTTAAAGCCATCGATACCGTCGTTGACCAGCGCAAAGGCCTCGCAGCAGCCTGCGGTGATTTCTCTGCTTCCCTTCACTCTCTTGCTACCGTGGAGCTATCTCCTGCCCTTTCCGGACCCCTAGACGGCCTTTCGGACCTGCAGCTTCGTATCCGGGAACTTTATGAGCGTCAAGCCCAGCAGGATGTGCTTACTATTGGCATCGTCATCGACGAGTATATCCGGCTGGTGGGCTCTGTGAAGATGGCATTCCAGCAACGACAGAAGGCTTACCACGCCTGGCATGCGGCGGAATCAGAACTACAGAAACGGAAGGCCACTCAGGAGAAGTTGTTGCGCCAAGGTCGAAGCCAGCAGGATCGTTTGAACCAACTGAGCGCCGACGTGGCGGATGCCGAGCGGAAATCCAACCAGGCCCGCTTGTTGTTCGAGGACATGGGTCGTTTGATGAGGAATGAGCTTGACAAGTTCGAGAAGGAGAAGGTTGAGGACTTCAAGAGCGGGGTTGAGACGTATCTCGAGAGTGCTGTGGAAGCGCAAAAGGAGGTTGGTAGCACTCAGGGCAAGCTTTGAGATGCAAAAGGCTAACAGTGCGACAGTTGATTGAAATCTGGGAGACCTTTCTCATGCAGCTCGATGCAGAAGACGAGGACGCTCCTTTTGGTGCCACCAGCCCGCCGGCTGGTGTCAAGGCTGCGGATTTGGAGGCGAGCACCAGCAACATCAGCGACAGACCTCTCACCGCGCAGAGCCAGGATACCCAACAGAGCAGCGAAGCCGAGAACAACCGGCCCGCTACAGCGGACTCGGAGGAGTGATCTCAGGCGAACCTGCGCTGTGATTTAAATATGCTTTATGTTACGATGCACGAAGGTTTAGTAGGGGGGAGGGTATAAGTAAATAAATTTCTTGTGTCAATGCTTTCCTGGTGTGTGGAAGAAAAAAAAAGAAATGGCCTGGTGTTTCTTCTTGGTCTTGTGCAACCAGTCGGGCTTCAGTTAATGGCACACGTAGGTGTGGCCATGTGACGGTCAAAAGCAAGAGGTTAAATCAGAGGACTCGTCTTCGCAGATCTAATGTTGATCCCCATTCGAGACTCATTCTCTAGGTGCGAAACAGGACTACCTCGCGAAACTTTGTACTTGCTTCGAATGACAAAAAAGTTAAATTACCTATATAGTCCACCTCCTAAGAATCACGGCAGATAATAGCTCACCCTCTAACTGAGAGTTGAAACACTATTCATTAGCGTAGAGGTCCGCCATTTCTCTAAAGTAATTCATGGTTAATCTCGGCAAGTCTCCATCCTGGCACCAAACTAGCACGAATATCGGCATTCAGAACGCAAAGGCCTTTCACAGGCACTGAGAGGGACCATTTCCAAATAATATCATCTCAACATTAATGCCGTGTGAATGCACAGCACGATAGCAGCAATGACAAAAAGAAGATCAAATTAATGGTAAACGCAAACCTTCTACGCCCCCTCCTCTGCGCTTGGCATCCAAACCCAGAACGTTCCCCCAACCTTTACTCTAGTTTGCATTCAGATGTGAAGTCCATTTTACTCCAAAAACACCGGGATCCCATACACCACGGCAGCCGCGCCGTTCAAATAGCGCAGATAGCACGCCCCCCTGCTCTTCGCCACAGCCTCGTCCAAGCCCATCCTCTGCCTCTTCGACGACCCATCCACTCCCTGCCCCCTCCGCTCGGCGGCTCCGGCATCCTTCTTCGACGCGCCCCTACTCCGGCTCCGGCTCTTACTCGGCGTCTTCGAGCCAGATGCCGCTCTGCGCCGCGCCGGCGTCTTCGGCGCCACGGCTTCATCGTGCTCGTCCTCCTTCTCCACTTCGTCTTGCTCGAACAGTCCCCACTTTTGCAGAGTCGCCACAGCGAAGCGGTCGCAGTCCTTGTCCGTGACGTCCCAGAGCATGCCGAGCACGGCGGGCACGCCGGCGGTGAGGTAGGCGCACAGCATGCCGCTGGGCTCGAAGGCGCCGTTGTCGGTGACGTGCGCGGAGCTGCAGCCAAACAGGAGCGAGGTTGCCAGTGGCTGCCCTCCTGGTTGCTGGTGTTGCTCATCGTCTGGCCCGAGGGAAGAGGGAGACCGGGATGAGGCGCCGCGGCGGCTGCAGAGTAGTTTCTTGATGGTGCGGCCGCGGACGTACTGGGCACCGCTTCCGTGACCAAAGTAGAGGAGGACGTCCTTCTTCACGAGGGATGTCTCGAACGTTGATTCGTCCGGTACACGGTCGATCAGGTGATGCCACATGCCAGGCGCAGCCTTGACGTGTGGAGCGAGTGTCTCCTGGGTGCGCGTGAGGTCGCCTCCGGGGTTAAGCACGCTCGTACCGGTGAGAGTGGCAATGGCGATATGGTGGCCGCCACTCGGGTGTTGCACGTCATCGCTTACGTCGTCCTCGTTTTCCGAAGAGGAAGGCGTCCTGCTGTGCTTGCTTGCGCGTGCGGTGAGCAGGCGCTCACGGAGCGCGGACATGGACGGAAGACGCGAGATGGAGAGTGATTGCAGAGAAGGCAGAGACTCCCAGGGGAAGGCATGGAGGTTCTTGTCCAAGATCAGAATGGTGTGCTGATTCAACGTTGGCTCCGCTGCTTCATGGAAGGCCCGCAAAGCGTCCAGCATCTCAATGATGATTGAATCGAAGTCAATCTCGTCGTAGGCGTTCCTCTCGCCGTTGAATTGCAAAATGTCCACCACGAAGTAGACGAGATCCATGAGCGGCTCATCCAGATCCACACCATCGTCTGGATTACCCAACCCCACAAACAGCTCCAGGATTCTCCAGTCCAGGCTCGTCTTTGACTTCGTTCCCCTGCCTTGACGACTAGGAAGGTGCCTGTCCAAAATGTTCTCAAAGTTTTTGGAGAACCTGCTGAGTGAAGCTCTGTCGCCCTTCTTCTTGAAGATTCCACGGAAGCCACCGAGCCAGATGTTCTCAATATTCGCAAGCAGATCGCCCAGACGAGCATCGAGAGCCTCGCGCTCAGCCCACCATTCCGTCTTAGCTCCTTTCTTGCTTAGGTCCGGAACATTCCGCGTGCTGAAGTCTGAGAGGTCGATTATTTCTTTGAGCTCAGCCCTGCCCTCCTCAAAACCGAAAATCTCTTCATCAATATCGCGGGAATTGTGGCGAGCCATTGGAAGCCTCAAGATAAAAGGAGATTGGTAAGGCACGTAGCGCGTGATATAGAGCTCATCCCGTGCTTCATTGAGAGACAGCGAAACCGCCGTCCAGCTTTGGGGGATGATATTGACATACTCGGTTTGAAATTCGGCAGCAGTGAGCTTAATGGGGGTATCCTGATCATCTATGACCCCCGGCCAGGTCATGAGTGATTCGCGGCTAACCGTTTGATGTTCAATTGAAATAGCTTCCTGCTCGAGTTTGGACGCATTCGTCTTCGGAAGCTCCGTGAGGTACGCAGCGTATAAGGGATGCAGAGAGCCCTTGACACCTTTGGGGGTAGTAGCGGAGAGGAGAATGGTAACCTCATTCAGCATGCTACACACACGCTGCACTGCTGATGTAGATGAAATGTGAACAGCTTGGCTTTGCACCTCGGCAATGCAGTCTCGCGCCTTCTTGAGGAGGGCGGCAAAATCTTCCTTGGGGGCCTTTTTGCCCCTCGCGCCCTTTTTTGCAACAGGCACAACTGGTGAGGGAGTATCTGCTATGGATAGATAGGAGGGTCTTGCCTGAGACGGCTCAGAAAGTTTTCGATCGCCTCTGGAAAGGGCAGGGAAAGAGATGGTGGATTCAGGGAGTGCGTTGAATGTGAAGTCAGCTGCGATCTCCCTCATGGCCTCCGACATAAGTGACCGGAAGCGGGTCGACTGGTGCTGAACCGCTGCCTCTTGGCCGAGCTTCAATTCTGCTGCTTCTTCGATTAAAGCTACAGCCTCTGCGAGACGATCCCTCGCAAGGAGCAAAGACGCTTTACGGCAGATGATGGTCGCCTGAATACCTTCAAGCGCAGGGCATGCATGCGCTGTCTTCTGCGGCATCTCTGGTACGCTGTCGACGACAGCAGTCTTTCGTGTTGCAGTCTTTGACCCTGTTCTGGTCGTTGTCTTCTTAGCCCTTGCCGTCTTTGCAGGGGCCCTGCGACCTTTGGGTGGCTCTTCCTCGAGCTTCATGTTGGACATCTTGGTCGAGATTTCAGCTTCCCCGTTGGACAGCTTCTCCAGGCTCTGGATGAACGCAGGGTCCGAGAGATCTTGGATGATCTTGTTTGCCTTGTCATATTTCTCCACCGCGTCGTCATCATCTTCCATTAGTTGGCGGAGTTGAGCACCCGTCGTATGGAATCGCGCAAGGTCGATGCTCGAGGGGAGCTGCTCGGCATTGGCACTGGCTTTTTCCAAGCATTGCAAGGCCTCGTCCACCCTGTTGCTCTCAAGGTACATCTCCGCAGTACTGCTGAGGTTCTGGACCATGAAAGAATCTGCTTCTACGGCAGCCGCAACTTTGGAGGCTTGCTCTGAAAAGTAGACAGCTTCCTGCAGCATCCCCTGATGAGCAAATACGCTGGCAAGTTGAGTAAGCCCGCGAAATATTGAGGGCACAAAAGACCAGAATGCAGCTCCAGTGAGCGCTCCGTGGGTCATCGACATTGTGGGTGGAGCAACGGCTCCCTGGACGGAGATTTTGGCCATTCCATTGGCGACCTCTTCAAGTTCGCCATCAGGGTTGGTGGGATCCTTCGTGTCGCTTCTTGGCTTACGGTTCTCCACTGTAAGCCAGATCTTCCTATTGAGGTTCACGCATTGCTTGGCATATGCTAGTGCCTCGCTAGGATAGCCCGAGCTCAAGGAGAGAAGGGAGTAGACATGGGACGCCTCGGAAAGCAGCTTGTTATACCGAAGCTTGGTCGAGAAAGATGCTTTCGGTGTCGCCATTGAGGAGATCATTGGATCGCTTTCGGCAAGGTCGCGTGCTGCAGACAATGTTTCTCCACTGCAAATGGTCAGTGTCCTGTAGATCTTGTAAAGAGCGCCATACGAGTTCGTACCATTTTTCGAGATTGCCAAGAACCAGCATATACTCTGCGTAAGCTAGATGCCACTGCAAAACAGCTTCTGTTGGCACGTCCCTAGTCTCTAAAATACCCTGGGCCTTGGCCAGGACGGTACCGGCCTTGCCGGAGTATCCAAGGCGCACATATTGCGCTCCCAGACTAGCGAGTGACTGAACCAACTTGCCACAATCCGGAGGCTCCTGCAGTTCCATAGCTTTGCTCATGGTCGACAGAACTGGTACCCTCAGAAAATCCATGCCTTTCATACCCAAGAAGTCGGACACCATTTGAAGTTGAGACATCCAAGCCTCAAAGGCGTCGACACGGGTCGCCAACTGGGTCCATGAATCGACGCCATCGAAGATATCTTGCCAGGTGCGGAGTGGCTCCTGTACCTCGTCGACCGAAGGTGGGCACTTCAGCAAAGCGATGCTCATCTTGTGAGATGCTGCATAGTGCTGCTGATATTGACCGAGACCCGCGTCGAGGTTAAGAGGTGATCCAGCTTCAATGTTGCAGGCAACAGCCTCTGAGAAGAGCTCTTGGCCGATGATATCCTGACAATCCGCGCCGAGACGCAGAACGTGTGTAGAAACCCGTTGGCGCCGCAGGGGGTATTTGGAGATATCGTAGGTTTCGAATAGTATCCGAAGAAGGTCGGAGATAGACCTGTTAAGGGCAACATTGGACTTACGGACCTTCGCGTACGTCTCACAGCACAGAACCAGCTGCACTTCTAAGAGTATTGCTCGTTCGGCCAGCTCAAGCCCTTCCTGATCGAAATGGAGGGGGGTTTCAAAATTCGTCTGACTTTGTCGGAGTAAGAGGAGGTGAAGAGAGGTTGCTGTTTTCAGGAAATTTGCCAACCTGCCCTCCAGCATCACTTTCTGGAACGATCCAGTCGAGGCCTTCTCCGCGGCTTCTTTGAGGGCACCAGAGGCAATCTGCGTACGGATCGAGTTGCTGTATGCTTCTTCTGCGTCATCATACTTGCGCATCTCCTCAAGGATTTCTGCAAACTTTTCAAGCTTCAAGAGGAGGAGACCTGAGTTCTTGTCTTCTTCCGGCCGGTTGAGAAGGGTCTCAACAGACTTCTGTATTGACTGGAGCAGAGCTTCGTTGGAAGGCGATTTCTTCCTGAAGAATGCGAACAACAACCAGTATAGACCGGAAATTTTCACAAAAGGTCGCCCGAGATTAACCGAAAACTGCTGTCGTTGTTTGGGGTTTTCCAGGTACGGAGTCTCAAGTTCGTTCAGGATGAACCGACAGTCCTCTAGCGTGCGGTCCAAAGCATCCCAATTGACTGATTCCGAGGATATGAGGGCTTTGCAACTTGCTGTTACAGAGTCAAGGAATCCTTTGACAGCTTTCGACGCAATTTGGAGCCTCTCGCTGTGCCTGGTGAAGGCCTGTGGATCCGATCCTTCGGTTGGAGCAGTTCCAATATACCTGGCCAGGAAATGGGTGCATTCAGAGATGATGGAAAAGCACTTCTCTTGGAATTCTGGATCGCCTTCAGTCTCAATCAAAGTCTTGCTTGCTGCTCTTCTCAGGCTGGAGACCTCCGTCAACAAAGTGTCCAGATCGGCAGAGTCCCCTTTCAAGCTTCCTTCCAAACTCCTGAGAGCAGAATCGATGTGACCTTCAAGTTCCTCAATTGCCCCGCCTGGGGATTGGTTGTCGAGGGATAATGTTGCAATTCGAATGCAAGAGGCCGCCTTGGCTGCATCCGAAAACTGACGGCCGTTGGAGGATGCTGTTTGGTTTTTGATCCAACTCATAGCCACTTCGCCCAATTCAGCCGCCTGTGCCAGCGAACTCATGACCGTGCACACATTCCGATCTCTCGCTTTGGCACCAGTGGCACACTCCAAAGCCTCCAATTTCGTACTCGCTAACCTGTATTTGTCTGACGGTGGCGAGCTAGATCGTCTCGAAAAGGCTGCAATACACTTCGAAAAGGGTTCGAGGAGTTCCTTTTGAGCATCTCCCTGATGGCCGGAAAGCTTCCACCACTTCGACCGGGCGTCGAATGCTAGGGCCTGAAGTTCGAAGGCAACATCAGGAGAAGGGCTTGATGCCTTGTCGCAAGCGCTAGAGTCTTCAGAGCTTGAAATGCTGGGGCATAGGGAGAGGAGCATCTGAGCGAAGCTTTCCAACTGACGCGCAGCCTTTTCTTTGTTTCCGGGCCTGTCGCCAAGTTGCAGGAGAATGTTGATAGGCGACGAGGGAGAAGAAGTCCGAAGGAAGTCGCGAGCGGACTCAATGGTTGACGGGCGCTTGCTGGAGCAGATAATCTTGAAAACGTATAGCTGGTGACTGATGGCGAGTTGTAGAGCCGGACTGGCCATGTCAATCTGTCCAAAGTTCAGCAAGCTCGCCAGAGTCTCCTTCTCCGCTTCCTCGCCCTCATTTTTTCCACTGCCAGAAGCCTCTTTCGTCGGCCGCAGATAGGTTTCCAACCGTCTCTTTAAAACACGAAGTTCCTTAGCAGCCAGGGTATCTAATCCATGAGAAAGAAGCTTCCCGACCAGCGACAGCATGCCAGTTTCTAGCTGCAATGCCGGCATGTCTTTCCCAGAAGTCTTCCATGCCTCCGAAGTCCTCAAGTATGCAAAGGCCAGGCGCGCGCATTCGGCGACGGCAACAACACTGGCGGGCGCTCCCCCGCACTTTCCTGATGAGTGCGAAGATGATTTCGCAGATTCGTTCGATAGTGGTCTTTGCGCAGGCGGCCGTTTCGCGTCCGAGGTATTGGAGGTGGTGCGCGAACGCTGAGTCTGTGCCGTGGCCGAAGCAGCCCGAGGGTGGGATTTCGGCTGGGGCTTTGATGCATCGCTGAGCGCCTTTAGAGAGGAATTGACGACTTCGGTGGCGAGGAGGAATTTCTCGCGCGGAGCAAGGGCGGGAGCGGCGTCGGCGTCGGATTTGGTCTTCGTTTTGGACCGCGGTCTCGCTGTTGTCTTTGGCTCCTGTGTCCGACCCGGGCGCGGCTTAAGATTCTCCTTGGCCTGGGCAGCGGTAGGCTTGCCGGCAGCACCCAGCAGCTCCTGGAGAGCTTGTACGGCGGCGTCGGAGCATGTCTGGTGGTGGGCTAGGGCCTGCTTAAGGGCGTGCAGGTCGGGGCGCACGGGCTTTGCGTTGGTAGCCGTCATTTGGGCGAGGGTGGGTGGTGAAGCAGAAAATACACATGGGAAGGGTTGTGGGGGTGACGCAGTGGTGTTGGTGGGCTGGGCGGCGCCAAGACGCGCGGGAGCTGGCCGGGTTGGCCGAGCAACGGCGAAGCCCATGCGCGTCGCGTCGCGCGTCTTCGAGTTTTCATCATGTCGCAATTGCTGCTTCAATTGAGCTGTGCTACCGCATCGGCTTGGTCCCCTGGCATAACACAAATGGAAACTCGATCAACGTCCTCCCGCCCGCCTCGGCTGGGTCCACAGCCTTTTCCAGGGAAAAGACCCTCTTGACTGACACGTCCACAAAGCCCGCATCCTTCAAGCATTTCGCTATCTCATCTGGCCTCACGCCGCGCATCGCCACGGCTTCTCGCTTCCCCGGAGGGTGGAACAGTGCTGCGTCGGGCCCAGTGTCCTCGAAATCGACCATGACCACGCGCCCATTGGGCGCCAGGCAGAAATATGCGATCTGCATCCACTGGTCTATGTCGGCGAAGTGATGGGTGAGGGTGTTGCTGATGAGCAGATCCCATCGGATAGGATCCTCGGGTGCTTTGCCGTCCACCTTCTGTATCAGCCGGGCCATGGCATTTGGCGCAGCGGTAAAGTCGGGATCGCTTGCATCGTAAGCTATCGCCTCTACGTGCTCTGTGCCTCGCGCGGCAGCATTCGCGTTGAAAGCGGCGACCATGGCCTCGGAAATGTCGGTCCCGGTGAGGGTATGGGCATGCGGCGCCAGCATGGCGGACAGGATGCCGCTTCCGCAGCCTGTTTCCATTATGTCGGGCTCTGTTGCCTGTTAGCGCACGCCGACTTGGAAACAACCGTCACGCGTACTCTTCACCCCTGGCTGGAGCTGCGGGACATGCTGCATGAGAGCCTCGTACGCCAGCTCGCAGCTGCGAAGGCAGGCTGGGTCAGCCTCCCAGGCGGCAGCCTCTTCGTCCAAGTGTCTCATGTTGGTGGCCATGTCTCCCCCGGTGAAGAAGTGGCTTTCGCGGTGAACAGTCCTGCGAACTGACTCTGCCGCGTGTGGCACGGGCTGCCCACTGTTGATTCGCGAACGGGAGTGTTGATACGAAGGCTAGGGGGGAAGAAGGCGGGCGCTTGCGTGGGCGCTGCACTAGCCGTGCCGTAGGATTCCAAATCGACCCCGCTTCAATAATCCGTACAAAGGACGACCACGACTGGAACGGCCCGAAATGGAACAGTTCTGCCGACTTGCTGTGCCGTGGGTGGTGATTCACTGTGCTGCGGACCCCGGCCTCTTTCGTCCGCGCCCCCAAATTTTTGCTCCAAGACACTTTGATGAGGGACGGCCCGTTTGAGCTTACCAAGAATCAGGTGCCCGTTTTCGGGAAGAATTGGCGAGGGAATTAGGGCTCTTGTGCCACCGGCTACCTACGTACATGACACCATCAGAGCCGTCGCCTCCTGCAACTCCTTCTCTAAATCCTCGTACCACACGGCCCTGAATCTCTGGTTCGACACGTCTTCAATTCTTGCAGAATCGTCGCCGACGCCTTCTTCCATACAAGCAAGCGCGTGCCCGCTTAATCTGCTCCATTGCACAATCTGCTGCGTCCGTGGCCTGCGAACGGCATCGTATGCCTGAAACATGCTGGCCAAGTCGTCCGCCTTCTCCGCTTTTCCTATGAGACGGCTCAGGACATAAGCATCTTCCATGGCCTGCCCCGCCCCAGCTCCGAGATGCGGCGTGGTTGCATGGGCAGCGTCTCCCAAGAGACACACGGGGCCGTGGCAGTACTGGCGCTGATGCGGGTAGTCAAAGAGTGCCCACTTTTCTTTGGTGCTGTATGCAGCAAGCAGGCTGACGAGAGGTGGATACCATCCTCGGAGCTCGCTTCTCATTTCTTCCTCGGTCGACGGCAGGAGCCATGCTTCATGGTCCCACGTGCTGCCGGGCTTGCTTCGAGAGGCGACCACGTTGACGAGGCGGCCGTGGTCGACGGGGTAAGTGACGATATATCCACCCTGCCCCACGTACATTTGACCGTTGAAAGTCAGCTCGCGACCCAGGGCCTTCTCAAACACTTCGCATGGCACCATGGCCCGGTAGGCATAGTCGCCAGTGTAGACGGGCTGGGCTCCTGGTCCGTGGACAAAGAGCCTCGCCTTGCTCTTGATGCCGTCGCATCCAATGACGGCGTTGGCGGACGCAGACGTGCCGTCGGAGAAATGCAGCCGCACGCCAGCACCCTCCTCGTCGATTTTCGTCAGGGACTTGCCGAAAGAGGCGGTGCCCTCAGGGACCAGCTTGATGATCTCGTCTAAGAACTTGGCGCGGTGCACACAGCATCTCGCGGGAAAGGCGGAACAAGGGTCATCACTGTTCAGATCAAAACACCATTCGCCTGCGCCTTTGTCGTCTCCCGTCGACATGCCGTAGCGGACGGAGAGGAAGGTCTTCTGGAGCCCAGGGGTGGCGTTGAAGGTTGCATGTTTGGCATAGGCTTCGAGTAAGGCGGGCGAAACCAGACCAAGCGAGCGTACGGAGTTTATGCCGAAGGCAACGCCAGCACCAATCTCGCCAAAGCCCTTTGCAGCTTCGTAGATGTGGACAGGGACCCGCTGGGCGAGGAGGCCAATGGCCAGAACGACACCGCCCAGGCCGCCGCCAACGATGGCGACAGTGAAGGGCTTGGAAGCAGCCATGGTCAAATGAAAAGCACCAGCTGGGGTCGCACATTGCAGGTTAAATGTGCGCTCTGTGCTTCCGGCTTACTCCGCTCTTTACGTGGGCTTATCTGGGCTGGAGCCAGCCTATCAGCCAGTAGCTGCCCGTTTGGATGGACGCCAGCGCCCCGCATCTCCAAGTCACGTGCTAGTGGGTCGTTTGCTGGCCAGCCGGATGGATGCATCCCTGCCTCCGCAGCATCTTGCGTGACGGTCCACTCATGAGATTACTCGCATCTTGCAACGCAGCACCGCAACCTGTCCATCGTGCATAAATTCCCGGCCCCAGCCGGGCGGCGCTGCTGCCTCCGAAACCAGCCCTTGCGAGGCCGCACTAGATATACGACCCACGGCCGCCGTCAACCACTGTGCCTGACGCTGAAACCCACGTCGTGTAACCCACCGGCAACCAGCGCCTGTGGCACAGCTCCTGCATGTTTCCCCGTCGATCACTACCCCAGCTTTTTGGGGCTCAATGCAGCCGCCGCCTCAACAGCCGCCCGCCGTTTACTTAAACCGCTCCGTGCAGCTGCTCGCAGACTCGTTCATGCTCCAGCATGGCCTCGTTCGTGACCGCTGCCGACATCTGCTGGGGCACCAGCAAGAAGACCAACCGCCGATGCGCCAACAAGGCCAAGGTCGCCCAGCCTGGCTATCTGCCTACATGTCACCAGCACCGTGACCAGCTGCTCCGCCCGGGCACCTGCCAGTACCTTGTCGATGTCAGAACCGGAGCACGCTGCAAACGCCGTTTCATCTACGACCCGCCGCCTCCGTACTTCGAGCTGTGCCCTGAACATGTGAATACGCCGCAGGGCCCATGCTACTTCCTCAAGCTTCCCGTCGAGCTACGCATGGAGATATACAAGTATTTCCTGCAGCCCGGCGCCGTCGTCAGCAACCGCCCCAATGCGATCCCGCCCGAGAAGCTTCGAGACTACCTTCCGCTGCTCTTCGTCAACAAACAGATCGCCTCCGAGGCCCGGGACCATCTGTATGCCTGCACAACCTTCCATATCGAGGTGGGCCAACTGGGAGCCACCATCCGCAATCGATACCTGTATCGTCCCCGCGGCGCTGAAGAAAGCTCCCACAACGACCCGGACCGGGACATCACCAAAGCACTGGACATCCGCCAGCAGCTCGACTTCTCCCGTGTCAAGAACTTCAATCTCGAAGTCATTGTCGTCAACTCCAGCGGCTTGGACGGCTGGTCTGAAGAGGTGGAGATGTACGACTTGCGTGACAGCATCTCCGCAATCCTTCCGTACCTCGCACGTGCGCAGAACCTGCACAAGCTCACCGTCCGCGTTGTGTGCGCGCGCTTCGACCGCTGGTCGCCGGCCAAGGCACTTGCCAACTTCAAGCTCATCACCCAGCCCCTGATGTCTCTCCGAAACATCACTAGGCCCTCCCTTGAGCCGCCTTATAAAGGCGAGCCCTTCTACACCTGCTGGGGCACCAGCCCTGCCAAATTCGCCACTAGGAGCATCAGCAACAGCAGCACCACCACCACCACCACCACTTCGTACTCAGCCCCTTGCGACCTTTCCCCAGCCGCCATGGCCGCCCCGCTTCCACCCTCGTGGACCTGCGATCTCACCAGCACCCTCATCCCGGCCCAACAACACCCCATCCACACCGACTTCCTCGCCTACAAAAGCGCCTTCGAGACCCTCACCACGAGCTCGGAACCCATCCCGCCCAAGCCGCCCGTCGCGCGCATGTTCTCGGCCTTCAAGCGCGTCTACCTCGAATGCGCCTCGCTCCTCCTCTCCAACACCAGCATCACCACCAACCCGGCCGAAACGCTGCCGTGCGGAGCGGCGAACTACCTGCACCGCGCCCGCGTGGCGCGCGAGAACGCCGACCTCGACGCCTTCGTCGCCGCGCGCAACGGGTTCGTCAGGAGGTGGAACGCGCACATGGAGCAGCGGTACCGCGAGCTGGCCCGGGTCAACGGGCTGGTCATGGACATGTTCGATGCCGATGCCGTCGAGGTGGGTGCGTGGGATCCGCGGTTCGCGTTTTTGGGGGCAGCAGGAGGATTAGGGGGCATGTCTGGTCAACCGCCGCTGTCGCTGCCGCTGCCGCCGCCGCAACTGCTGCAGCAACGCCAGCGTCAGTTGGTGAGTCCGCCGGCGGAGAACGTCACAATAGGTCTTTGCAGTCCGTCGCTGGACATGGCCGGCTGTGGAGATTCAGGAGGTCAGGTGGCTGCTGCTGAACCACACGGGGGCCCGTGGGTGGAGGGCTGGGATTGGAGTGGCTACCCTGGTGGTGGTGGTGGCGCCGATGGCGATAGGACTGCCCTGGACTGCGATACCGACATGGCGTTGGCACTGAAAGAGGAAGAAGGGACAGGGTACGACGAAGGCTCCATGTTCGGTTGCGGGTCCCGCTGAGGACGACGGCGGAAATTTCCGGTGGTGGTGTGTCTTCTGGTTTGTGGCTTTCCTCCTCCCCTCTCGCGTGTTGAGGGGTTTCGAATTCCCCTCCTCGGTTGGTCGTCGTGGTGTGATGGAGCTGCAGGCTTTTCCGGTTTCCACACTGAGCGAAAACTGCGCGATTGAGCGATGGGGGAGGGGATGCATAAGCGAGGACGAGGATGGTCATCCGGATCGCGCAGGGATATTTATTGGTTGGATGCCTCCTTGTCTCTGATCTGGTGGCAGGTCAGAACCCAGACGTTCATGCAGCCGCTATTCCTGGAAAAATTGCCTCTCGGGTATTTTCAATGCCATTGCGCCATTGTCTTCCGGACAGACTTGTGGGCTTAGCCCTTCTCGCTTTCACTTTCCCCAGTTCATCTTATACCCCTTCCATGCTTTATCATTTTCCGTCGATATATCATACGTTTGTCACGATTTGTAACACCTTTGCAATCCTTTCGTCCCAATATTCACATGTAATTGGCAACCATTTCGTTTCTCTTGTTTGCTTTTCAACAACCGTGCTAGAAACTTATCGATTACGACCAGAGCTAGTCTACTATACACTTCTGTTCCTGTTTTAAGAAACAAGCGGCTCTCCTTGCCTGGCCTAATTGGTCTGGTTATCCTTTAATGTTCCCCTGTCGCCAATGATTTAGCTGTCCTCACCATCTGTTTGAAATAAAGCCTAGACAACTAGGACTTTCCTCTTCTTCTCTGGCTCTCGAGTTTCCTTCTCTGAAGCGACTGGATATTACAATCTTCATATTTAACGGCCAAAAAAGCAACAGAAGGGATAAATATCCCATCAATGAAAATACGACAGCGGCGGGCATTACAGAGGGTATTGCAGCCGAAAACTTGTGTGGATTTGTTTTCCGTTCATCTCATGGGCAACTGAATAATTCTACATTCACATCCGAACGATAGCTCAAGCTGCTCATGTGTTATCTTTCTTTCTTTTTTTTTTTTTGACAAAAAAGCTAAGGCATGGTTATCCTTAATTTGAGCGTCCTGCTATTCTTCACGCAATCTTTCGGCTACGGCACCCATCTACAAATTAATGGCGCAATTTCATACAAAGTATTTTGTAATAATCGTACAACGCGTATCCTCTCTCGTATGCCAGTCAGACACTTTTTCTTAGAATCTTTTTTCAATACTTCAGAATCAACTTTCATGATTAATTGAGCCCTTAAACCACCCTTTATATCTCACAGTAGAGAGATCTTGACTTTGCATACGCGCCTTTACTGTGCAATGGAAAAACCAGGAAAGAAAATGCCTTGCATTTCTCCTACAACACCAGCCAGTCTAATTTTTACTACAGTTACCCCCTTACTGAGAGGTAAATGACTCCAGCTTACTCTGGCTTCTTGTAGCCATCGACGTCGGTGCTATTGCTCAACTTCTCGTACTTCTTCACGCTCTCCCGATACGCGTCCAGCTTCTCATTGATGCCGGCGTAGGCGTCAGTGCCGATGACACAGCGCAGGGGCGGATCAGGCATGACAGCAAGGTCATAAAAGGCCTGGGCGCCCTTCTTCGGGTCACCGGCCTGGGTGCCGTGGCGCTTGCCCATGATCTCCTTGGCATTGAGGTGGTCGTAAGCCGGGTGAGGCTCGCCTGTTCAGCAGCAGCCCGTCAGTGATCCGGATCCGAAATGCGGGAAAAGTCGATCGAAAGACGTACCAAAGTCCATGCTCCTGCCGGCCCAGTCGGTCCTGAATCCACCGGGCTCGATGCACGTAAACTTGATGCCCCACTCGGGCTTGACCTCCTTGGACACGGCTTCGGTGAAGCCCTCGACGGCCCACTTGGAGGCGCAGTACGTCGAAAACAGGGGCTACAAGGACCCTAAATCAGCTTTGGTGAAAAAAGAAGGGGGGAGGGAACAGTCAAGAACTCACCACACCCCTCTGACCGCCGATGCTGGTGACCTGCTGGATGAGGCCGCCTTGGGGCTTCTGCTCGTCGCGCATGATCTCCATGGCGCGCCTGGTCACGTCGATCAGGCCGAAGAAGTTGACCTCCATCTGGGTGCGGATCTGCTGCTCCGACAGGCTCTCGAAAACACCCGACAGGCCGTAACCGGCGTTGTTGCACACGACGTCGACGCGGCCGAACTTGTCGAGGGCGGCGCGGAAGGCGGCGTCGATCGAGTCCTTCTTGGTCACGTCGAGGTCGACGAGGAGGAGGCTTGATGAGTCGGCGCCCGGGAAGGAGAGTTTGGACGAGTTGCGCGCGGTTGCGACGACCTTTTGGCCGTTGGCCAGGCAGATCTTGACGTACTCGTTGCCGAAGCCGGTGGAGGTGCCTGTGCGGGGTATTAGAGAGCTTCTCTTCTACGTTTATGAGTATTCAATGATTTCAATGACTTACCGGTGATGAAAAAGACGAGAGGTGCCATGGTAGGTTCTGCTAAAGTTCAAAGTTTCTGTCGAAGTGAAACTGCGGCCGCCCAATGGGGCCTATATAAGTGTTGTTTGGACCGGGAATAACAGTGCCGTCATGGATTTTAGCAGCGGTGTTAGTGCATAAGGCGGGAGGCTTGAGTTAAGCATCACCGGTAGGCACAGCTATTTCCTATCTCCGCCTAGCTCCGGTCTTACGTCACCCTCGCCCCACCCCCTGCCCGCATGCATGTTGGTAAGCAACAGCATTAGCTCGAGTTTAAAGGTTGATACTGCTGCAGAAAAGTAAAGCTAGTGTGGATTTGGTTTTCGCTCATGTCAAGGGTAGTTGAATAATTGTGAAAAGCCATTTTGTATACTGGTTTGCTCATGTTCCTCATTTCATAACAATCGGCTCACAACTTGTAGACCAGCTTCTTGCCGCTGACCTTGCCCTGCTTGAGCTCCTCCAAGCCCTCGAGCACTCCCTCCAGGCCGCCGCCCCTGACGTCCGGGGTGTGCACCTTGAACTTGCCCTGGGCCAGCAGCTGCTCGGACAGGCGCCAGAACATGCAGCCAAACTCGTAGTCCTCGCGGCTGGCGGGCAGGGTGCTGGGAATGAAGGGCTTGTTGACCTCCTCGCCGAAGATGGTGTAGCCGAGGGTGTACTTGGCCTCGACGTCCTTGCGCGGCATCTCGAGGTACAGCAGGGCGCTGTAGACGGGCTTCTTAGCCGACGTGTCGGCCGAGAGGGCGTCGGCGCAGATCTGGGCCGAGTTGCCCTCGGCGATGCAGTCGAAGGCGTGGTAGAGCTTGTTGCCCGTGTGCGCCCGGATGTCGGCGCCCACTGTGGGCGAGTTGTAGTCGAAGACGGCGTCGGCGCCCAGCGACTTGACCAGGTCGAAGTTGCGCGGCGAGCACGTAGCGACGACCTCGAGCCCGGAGCTGTGCGTCACTTGTCAGCGTTGCTTTAGGACGAGAATGGGAGATGCTCACAGCTTGGCGAACTGGATGGCCAGGGTGCCCGTGGCGGTGCTGCCGCCGTAGACGAGCACGGGGAAGCGCTCAGTGGCGGGCTGGTTGGGGAGCGGCAGCTTGAGCGACTGGTACAGGCCCTGGCCGACGGTGGAAATGCCCACGCCCAGCGTCGCCGCCTCCTCGAAGCTCACGCCCTCGGGGATCTTGAGCTCGATGCCCTCCTTTGCGACCAGGTACTCGGCGAACGAGCCGTCCTCCTTGTTGTTGCAGTTTCCGCCATGCGTCCACCCGGCGATGCGGTCGCCCTTCTTGATGCTCGTCACGCCCGGTCCCACCTCCTGCACCACGCCTGCGTAGTCGCACCCCGACGTGCAGCCTTCGGTGCCGGGCACGAACGCAATGTGCTTCCAGTCGGTGGGGTTCAGCGCGAGGGCAACAGGCTTGACGAGCACGGTGCCGGGACGCAGCTGTGGAACGGGCGTGTCAACAACCGACGCCTTGCCCTGACCGTGGATCTTGATGGCCTTCATGCTTCCGGACATGGTCGACAGATCTGAACTGTTGTTAGCGAAGTGAGAGAGCGAATGGTGGTGTTTGGAAGCTTACAGGTTAGTTGAGAGGAAAGTGGAAGCTCTTGGAGGTGGTTGCCGCGTCAATTGGGCCGAGAAGAAGCCCTTTAAATAAGAAGTCACGACTGCGGTAGCTGCTCAGTTACTCTCGAGGCCCAGATGGGCCCCCACATGCTGCGAAATGCGAGCGGGGGTGATTAGTTAACGGACGCTAGCGGAAACCACTACGTCATTGGTCGAGCCAAGCCAGGGGGCGCTCCGGCGCCTCCCGCAACACCATGGTCCTCTCTCCACGTCCTCTCGCCTGATTACTTTGCGCCATCCTGACACACCTCGTTAGTCAGCCCGAGGCGTTGGCACTGATCGACGCCGCGAGTCAGTCCGCGTTTGTAAGCAGATTACGAGGCTGCAGCCGATGGCTAGCGCAAAGAATACCAGGGCCCCGGAACAATATGGCGTAAGTACCTTCTTCGTGTTTTTCTAATCAAAAAGGACATGTATAGGTAGTTGAAACCATCATCCGGGTTTGAATGTGGAATTAATAATCATACATTCACGTCCGGACGGTAGCTTCAACTACCGATGGGATGAGAAAAATAAATTCACGCTAGCCGCAATATCCCTCTGTATGCGATAGGTCATTAGACATTGTAATATGATATCTCAATCTCAATCTGTTCCGTATACTGATCAACCCAACCGAGACATCTTCAGCCAGACATCTCCGTAATACAAGCTCTCTACATCTTGACTTCCGTAACCGCCCTCTCGTTGTCAGACGAGTCCGCCTCTGCGCCCTCGATGCCCTTATCGAAGTGGTACAGCGGCTCGAGCTTGGCATCCTTCTGGAAGAGCACGTAACGCTTGATCCACCAAGGCAGCGCCTTGCCCGTCTGGTACGAGATGAACTTTGATGTGGGTAGACCAAAAATATAGTCGAGCTCTTCAAGTGTACGCTGCTTGGTTTCGGGCACGAACAAGAAAATCATCACGAAAGCTACCACGTTGAGGCCGCTGTGTGCGTGTTAGTAAGGCTCTGATTGTAAGGGGAGTGTGATGGTATGGATCTGGATGCCGAGGACTGGATGTCTGAGGATCTGGGTGATGGAGGATCTGGATGCCTGAGACATCTTCCTGTCTTAGGCATCCGGATCCTCAGACATCCTCCATCATCATTCATGCAATTTGGCCACCACGGATCCCGTTCCACAGCATCGTGATCCTTTGGCTATCAGGAGGCAAGGGGTGGAAAACTCACGCATAGAAGCCGAACGCGCCTTGAGGCTTAAACGCCTGGAGGATGGCAGGGAACGAAATGGACAATATGGCAGCCCAGAAAAGGCACGTCGCAACGGCCCAGCCCATGCCGACTTCTCTGTGGGACAGCGGGAAGACCTCTGCGGAGTAAGTGAAGGGCACCGGTCCTTTTTTGTGTCAGTCAACGCCACACATGTATACATTGGTTTCTTACCTTCTCCAGGAGAGTAGAATGCCGCAAATAAATAAATAAAAAAAGCCACGAGGCCCAGGTGAGCCTTGCTGTCGTTGGGGATGTAGAAGCAGAAGCCGGCGGCGAGCAGCGTCCACGCCATTTGCGGGAATGTGAACAGCAGGAGCGTGCGACGGCCGTACGTGTCAATCGTCCAGATGGCGGGCCACGCAAAGACGAAGTTCACAAGGCCGAATCCGAACGAGGCGATCAAGGCTTCCTTCTGGCTGGCTCCGGCCTCTCTGAAGACGGTGGACGAGTAGAAGGCAATGATGTTGATGCCGCACATCTGCTGCGCAATCATGACGACGAAAGAAGCCAGGGTGCCACGGCGGACGCGGGGAATGGTGAAGAGCTGGATGAATCTAGTCACGTAGTTTGACTCGCCGACAATGGCCGCCTCGACCTCAAGCTGACAGTGGATGTAGTAGAGGTCACGAGCGGCCTGGATGGGATGGAAGCGGAGTCGCGAAAGAGATTCGTATGCTTTGCGGTACCTGTTCTTCTTCATGTACCAACGCGGCGATTCTTCCTCGAATTAGACGACACTTTCCGAGCATGGGGCGTTGGACGGCTTACCAGGACAGAAGTAGATACCCAGGACGAGCGGGACGGCGGGAATGAAGGCAGAGCCAATCTGCAGGCGCCAGGCAATCTTACCGACCTTGTACACGGCAAGGTTTGCGCAGAATCCCAGGAAAATGCCGAAGGCTGTCCACATCTGCCATGACATGACCAGGGCACCGCGGATTCTGGCTGGGGCGTTTTCGGCAGCAAAGATGGGCACCGTGGCACCCTTCAGACCCATACCGATACCCATGAGAATGCGCGTGATGAAGAGCTGGTACCAGTTCCGGGTGATGGCACCTCCGATCGGGGTCAGGACGCAGAAGACGGCGGACCAGAAGATGGTACCACGACGACCGAGGTAATAGTTGAAGGGGTCCGAAAGCCAGCAGCCACTGAGAGGCAGGTGTCAGTAACACGCCGCTTGTGTCCGGTGCAGTAAACTCACATGAAAGCGGATCCGAGATAGGGGCCGGCATTCACGACACCAACGAGCCAGCTATCGCGAGTGTAGTTGGGGTGGCTTGGGTCCTCGCCATGGCCAATGCCGAATTCTTGAGGGAAAGAAAGGTTTGCGCCGTTGCTGCAGCCCTGTCAGCAGAAGCCAAGCGTCACTTCAGAAGCTTCACTCACGATCCGGTCTGGTCCCAACCCTGGACGGCAGCGCCAATGGAGCAGACAATGATGGTGAAGTAAAGAGCAAGCGGATGCTTCCACTTGTGGTCGTGCTCCTGCTGGATGTAGGCCTGTTCCTCGTCGGTCAAGCCCTCGACCTCCTGCCACCTCGAGGGGTTCTGGGCAACCAGGGCGCCCTTCTTCAGGATGTCGGTGATGTCCTCGAGATGTTTTTCCCGGGCAAACTGCTCGACATCGCGCATCAAGGTGTCGTACGGGATGTCGGCAAGAGGATTTGCGACCCTGCATGGCTTGTCAGAGGGCTTCGAGAAAGCTTTGCGCCTCGGCGAAGCGGGTCCAGCTCAGCTTACTTGGCATCGAGATTCTTGTTCAAGTTCAACGAGGTGATTGTGGCGCGACGGCCCTCGCCAGTGATGGCCTCCTCATGGTAGATCTCGTCCTTTGTCTCGATCTTCTCCGACATGGTTGCCGCGGGAATCAAAGAGAAAAAGCGTGCGGCAGAAACAAGGCCGGCCTAAGCTCATTATATGGCCATGCTGGCGATCATGCCGTCCGGGAGACGTCCCCAAAACAGCGTCGAGGCTTGCTGGGCACAAGAGAATCCTTTCAGCCACTGTTACGCGGGATGCCCGAAGCGGACTGGAGCTGGGGCAGGCGATCCCTGGCGGCAAGAGTCAACGACCAGGCCGGCGGTGAAGGGCGAAAGCGTCGGGACAAATGTTGTACAGTTGGGTCTCACTGCTTTGACCGAACCCGGCGCGGCCGTGCGGAGCGCGAGCCTTGGCCGGCCTTGGCCGGCTTGGGTCCAAGATGCGCCAAGCCGTGGAGAGGGCACGTGTGGCGCGGGGATGGAGAGGCTCTAACCCCGCTCGGCGTGTCCGTGTCTGGGGTGCGGAGAGGATGACGCCGCTGAGGCGTGTGGTGGAGAACGCCACGTCCGCCCAATGTCACTGTTGGATCACGGCTGACGGCTTGATTATTGTTGCTCACTCGCTAGGCCATGCATGCACGAGAGAAAACCACGCAGCAGGCGGCCACGAGGCAGAATGCCGCCGTTTCGGGTGCCCCGAATCATGACTTCGGCATATCTGCGGAGCCGTCTCATGGGTGCTTGGCAGCAGAGTTGGATCTTGTTTCGAGTGGGATGCCTGACGGTTGCGGCGAGGGCGCGGGAATTCCTTTTTGATCGAATAGCCGCGCTCGCCCACGGGGCCCCGGAAGCCATTGGTCAAAGATACGGGGGCCGCTGCAACAGTGCGGCTCGGCGGCCAAGCCTCACCCACCCTGCCACTCATCTTAATTTTTCTTCTGCCGTGTAAGCAACCTGAAAGCATCTCGACTGCTCAGCTCCAAGCCGTGCCGAGCCTTCCGCAATCTCACGCCATGCTCTCCCGGCCTCGACTCTTCCTCCATTCGAACGTGGGGAGTACGTACGACGCTTTACCCCTGCAGGAATCCCGGCACGCTGAGCTGGGACGAACCGAGTCGAAGGCGCGCACGCGTCTGCTGCAGCGACAGACGCTGCTGTGCCACAAGACGAACATCCAGTGCTGCACCGCATCCAAGTACAACGGCTGCCTAATCAATATTCCCCGGAGATGAATGTCGGGGATCGGAGTGCCAGAGCGCCGCATTCAAATAGAGAAGTGAAGCTGAGCTTCGAAGGGGGCTGTATCACCTTCACTAATGAACTTCCATCCTCCCTTTGCCACAAGCCCAACGTAGTACGCGTATATCGGACAAATTGTCTTTGATGCTTTTGCGGCGCTCACCAATGGGGCCGTGCTGCCGCCACCCGCACCCAAGCTTATCAGCGGTCTAGCTGGGCGTTAGCACCTCAAAACCAACGACGCTGATAACTGCTCGTCGAGATATTTAGCCCGACTGTCCGTCAGCACGTCTGCGCGCCGGCGTTAGCGACCTGCTGCGAAACCATTGCCTCCGGCCCGCCAATAGACGGCGTCGAACCAGCGCCCCGGCGCCGGCACTGTTGGTATGAACGGCGGTGCATCGATTGCGGGGAAACGTGCAGGGGTCATCGTTCTACAGCTCGCATTCAGCTATGGGCCCGCTAGAATGGACATCGCGCCAAGTACCAACCTGTTGGCGAATGTGCAGGAGTAGCGGCAACCGCGATAACGGGAGCGGCCACCGGACGCTGCTCCAAGGGAACCCGGAGGCTAGATAAAGGCCACGCTAATGGCGACATTGGGTTCGTCACACCCTGCGTAACAGTCTTGTCGTCTTCAGGGGAGGAAGCAAGGGTGAGCATCACTGACTCTTTCTCCTCGGCCGATCGGACCCAGATCGCAACCTGTTTGTGGGAACTTGACGCGAGTGAGACTAGAAGAACCTTTCGGTTCCACAGAACTTATGTATGGAAAATTCTGGGTGATGCGATGACGTGCCGATCAGATGGGTGGACCAGATGGGTGGTGCATGCACGTCACTGCCCCAACCTTTTCCCCACTTGACCCAAAAGAATGCGACAACATTCATTCATCACCAAGCAACAACGTTTCAAAGTCGAGCACTGCTCTGCTATGGACTACTACTGGAGTGTTAGCTTTTCGCTCTTGAAACATTGCGCTCTTTGCAGAGGAATCCCCGTGTTACAACAAGGCGTACGGGAAGAATCCGTAAATACGGATGATCGTCTGCCCCATCGGAGTTTTGCTGACATGTCCAGGGGTCAAGAAGCACCTTAATGCTTTTTCTTTTTCTAATGGGAAGCTTGCTAAACAGGCTATCTTATCGCGGCTGAATTACGCGCGCTTGAATGGATCCAGAAAGCCACAGGAGAGTCACCTGCCCTTCCAAAGATAACGCCAGAACCCACACATCTCCACTGTAAGCCTTTCATAAGTAGCACCAATTGATGACCCTTGCCAGAACCGCATCGGAAAAATTACTTGGCCAGCATATCCTCTAGACGTATTCTTACTTAGTAAGTTTCCAGACACGGAACCTTTAGGCAGCTTGTATTACATACGGTAGACCAGTAATATTTCATTTTACCCAATTGACTGTCCAGTCGACACACAGCTTACTTAAAAAAACAGAACAAGGCGACACGATGACACCAAAGAAATGAGAACAGCGAGCTGACACTGGCTTCCACTTCGCTTCAACTCCAGATCTCCTTATGGCATACCCACAACTCGCCAAATTCCTCGCTCCATGAACTCCATATACGAAGAGAATGGCCATGTCGCCAAGACTTTAAGCGGACAGCCAAATTAAGAGAACACAAGAAACGGAAGCTCATATGTCGGCAACGGCGCCTTGACCACATGCGGCTAATTTCCCCGCATTTCACATCTCCACAGCCTGCCAATCTCTCCCCGCAAAGTGCACGAGCTGTTCCCGTGAGCTATGCGCCTGTGGCGGCCGGGCAAACTACCGGGACCAAATCCGCTGGAGCAATTAATCCATCCACTCCTCGCACTTGGTGGCTGATTTAGCCGCAGTCCAAGATGGACATGGCAGTGACATAGATAGGTACTTATTTCTTCTCTCTCTCTTCTTTCCCTTCATTCGTAGTTCCGGCATCATTTCTTGTTTCATTCAGCATGAGGTGTCTTTCCGCGGCGGCGATATTCGCAGGGGTGGCGTCTGCGCTGTCCAATTCTTCCACGCCTACGGCCAAGACGATCAATGGCACGTACGAAGGCCGTCACTTAGCCGGCTGGGATCAAGATGTTTTTCTCGGCATTCCTTTTGCCCAGCCGCCGGTTGGCCAATTGCGTTTCAGATGGCCGCAATCGCTAAACACGTCATTTTCCGAAGTCAGAGCTGCGACTGAGTATGGACACACTTGCATCCAACACAAGAGCACTTTGGGCATCACCAACAACAACGATGAAGACTGCCTCAACCTCAACAGTACAGTGATCTTCAACATTCAGACGTTGGATTTTGCTGACAAATTGCAGTCGTCCGGCCAAGTGGATACACCAACACGAGCCTACCCGTGCTGGTCTGGATCTACGGCGGCGGTCTCTCTGCCGGCTCAGGGGCTGATCCTCAGTACAATCTGTCCGGCATCGTGAAGACAGCGCAGGAGTCAGGCCAGCCGTTCATCGGCGTCAGCATCAACTACCGGTTGAGCATCTGGGGCTTCCTGCAATCCGCACAGCTGCTGGCCGAAGGCAGCGCCAACGCGGGGCTGTTGGACCAGCGAATGGCGCTCCGCTGGCTGCAGGAGAACATTGCGTCTTTCGGCGGCGATCCGACCCGCGTCACCGTCTGGGGCGAGAGCGCGGGGGCGCAGAGCATCGCCCTGCACCTGCACTCGTACGACGGGCGCGACGACGGGCTCTTCTCCAGCGCCATCCTCGAATCGGGCGGGCCGACGGGCGCCTCGCTCAACACGCTGCCCTACTACAACGCGGCCATGGAGAACCTCACGCGCACGGTGGGCTGCTGGGGCGCGTCGGACCCGCTGTCGTGCCTGCGCGACCTGCCGGCCGCGACGCTGCACGGCGCGCACCCGAGCTACGTGTGGAACCCGCTCGTCGATGGCGACTTCCTGACGGGCTACCCGTCGGACCTGCGCGAAGACGGCAAGTTCATCAAGGTGCCGCTGCTCACCGGCGCCAACACGGACGAGGGGACCTCGTTCTCGATCCGCAACAACCTCAACAACGCGTCCAGCCTCGCCAACAGCCTGCTCTCCTGGCGCAACTACGCCCTCTCGCCGCCCACCGTCCGCCGCCTGCTCGCTCTGTACCCGGACGACGCCACGACGCCCAAGCCGCCCTTCCACGTCGACCCGGCCGAGCCCTTCGCCCAGTACGGCACGCAGTGGCGCCGCTCGGGCGCCATCGGCGGCGACCTCGTCATGATTGCCCAGCGCCGCGCCATGGCCGAGGCGTACACGGGCGCCGGCCAGGACGTGTGGAGCTACCGCTTCGACACGCCGCTGTGGAACGCGAGCGCCGTCACCGGCGCCAATCACTTCTGCAACGTCGTCTTCTCCTTCCAGAACATCAGCGGCGCCCTGGGCCCGTACCCCGAGTACAAGGAGCTGAGCTTGGGGATCGGCAGGGCGTATGCGAACTTCGTGGCGACGGGCGACCCGAATGGCGATGTGAATGGGACGGCGGATGGGGACGTCTCGACGCTGCCGTATTGGCCGAAGTACGACCTGGCGGACCCGGTGAATATCGTGTTGAATGCGAATGGGAGTTTCCTGGAAGCTGATACGTGGAGAAAGGAGGGGATTGCGTTTATCAACACGCACCAAGTGTTGAGAGAGCTGTTATCTTAGATATGGTACAAGAGGAGGAAAATGGAAAGGCTCCTTCAGATTCTTTTTTTTTTTCATGCCTTTACGTCCGGACGAGAACGTCAATTTAGAGGTCGGCAATCCAGACCCTCTGTGCGGTTCCAATAGTATCCCCGATCACTGTGAATTCCGGGCCCCGGTTTGGATTGTCGAACCTATCTTCCATGTCCAGAACGGCGGCGCGCAGCCGGACACGCTCGTCACGACTGCGAGGCGCCTGGCCGGCGATCCACACGCCCTCGTCCGACGATACGGAGGAGGTCTCGGAGCTATGGTCGATATCCTCGGTGCGCGTGTGCTCGTCGATGGAGGGTGGCTCGAGAGCGGCGAACCTGGTCAGGTCAGAAGTGCTGCCTGAGCTGCGCCTGGTTAAGGCGCTGGTGCTGGTGGTGCTCGGTGATATCCTGCGGCCAGCTACACTGTGCGGTTGGTCAGTTCAACGCCGTGATGAGGGGGAAGCGCTTCTTACCTTGCGGTGGTGCCGAAGCCAGCGGCCATGGTGGTCTCATCTGCTTGCTGCTCGACGAAACGGTGGGCGGTGCTGGTCTGAGGTGCATGGGCAGGGTTACCCGCTCTGTCAAGACATTCCGGCGGAGAGGCGACGGTGGGAAGGGTGCGCGCCGCACCAACCCTTCCGTTCACAGTCGCGCTCCGAAGCGCTCCGGCAGTTTCGCGGTCGGCATCGCTGCTGGCCCTGGTGGATCGCATGCGCCCGGCCATGATGCTGAGCCGGCGCTCGATGTCGTCGTCCAGCTCGTCGGTGTGCTCCGCGTCTCGGACGGAACTTGAGCGGCTGTTCCTTGCAGGGACGGGGCGAGGATCCGAACGGGCGATACCGTTGGTCCTGATCGAGGCGCCAAATTCACTGCTGAGCATGGTTTGGTAGGGCTCCAGCAGGGCGGGATCGGCTTCGGCGGCTATTGCGACGTCGCGCTCGAGGTTGCGCATACAGCGATGGCGGCGGTTCCAGAACGGCATATTTGCGGGGGGTTTGTGTTGGATAACTGTGGCTTGAGAGTGGGGTGTCTGAAGTACGAAGGGGAGGTGCGTGATTGTAGAAGGGTGGCAGGGCCGGGAGAGGGTGTTAAAACGCATGCTCTGGATGTCATTCACCACTACTGGACTGTTCACACCGTAGCCCCACACGAGTGCCAGACACCTTCCGAGCTTTACATCACCCAGTATGACCCCGCCGATTAATATTGACACTGAACTCACGAACTCAATAGAGCCAACTGCCTCCAACAGCTGCCCACAGTCGTTGGCCGTCCTCGTCTTCGCTTCATCTTATTGGATGTACTTTGACCTACCAAGTCATGTAGGATTTGGGCGGCCGCCATCTCCCCAAGTTCATTTAGCCAATATCACCGAAGTAAGGAATCTGTGATATATTGTTTGGTCCATAGATCAAGGACATTCCGAACCTCAAAGACTAATTTGATTTATAGCTCCAAGACCCCCAATGAAGGAATTCTCACTGGCGGTTTACGTTTTGTAGGCTCCTGCGGGTAGACCAATATCAGCTGTCACCTTCTTTGTGAGGGGCTGCCACCGGTTTAGATTCAAGACCGAGGTACCTGAAAATCCAAGACGCCCATATATCTGTTTTAAAATGTCCGCGTTCCTGGAGTTCAGCAAATTTCTCTCTGGATTCAGAATTGGCCTTCTTGGTGCACTCAATAACACGAGGCCCGCTGATTTAGAACAGAGGATTTCACCCTCGGCCCAGACATCGGCAAGGACATAGAACGTCAATTGTGGGCTCTGCGTGATGGTGCACACGCGACAGAGTGGCTGGCATGAAGACTCTTTCGGAGGGATGATGCTTGAATATTTGGCTGTTCAAAGAAGCTGCCAGTAGAATTTCAACCGTAAGAGTACTTCTGAGTCTCTATGCGGTGGTTGAAGGAGGATGGACGAAATTGCAGGGGTGCAGTTGAAGTGTAGGGCCTGTGCGGTAACGATGACGTCAGGTCATCATCGTCGCCTTCCCTTTATCTGCAGTACATGAAGAGGACATTGCTACCTTCAGCAGCCGCCGTCGGGATAGAATTGTCTCGCGGTGGTCAAGGCGGCTCTAACAAGATGGGCCCGCTTACAATCTGTCCGGTCGCGTCACCACCTGCAGCCCGCTTCGCTTCTTACCTACTTATGACGTTTGTACTCCGTAAACGCCTCCCTGTATAAAACTGAGGACACCGCCTCTCGGTTTTCCCAGCCAGCTCCAGCAGAGACCAGCTACACATCAATAAGAAAGGCCTCCGAAGCTTACAGGCTACGAATCACCCGAAGCAATGTCGCAGCAAGAGAAGCCCATCACCGCTTACCCAAGCGTCGAGCTTCAGGAGCAGAACCAGGAAGGCGGACCCGGCCTCGACGCTGAATTGAAGCCTGCCGCCAACTTCACGCAGCTTGAATATTGGGATGACGACGGCAAGCCCTATCTGAAGGAGTACGAGGGCCGTGGCCTGCTCAAGGACAAGGCTGTTCTGATCACCGGAGGCGACTCGGGCATTGGCCGTTCCGTGGCAATCCTGATGGCACGTGAAGGTGCTGATGTCTCCATCGTCTATCTGCCCGAAGAAGAGAAGGACGCCCAATGGACCAAGGCCCAGATCGAGAAGGCCGGCCGAAAAGCCAACCTCATGCCCTCGAATGTGCGCGACGAGGATGAGTGCAAGAAGGTCGTTGATGGCCACATCAAGGCTTTTGGCAAACTGAACGTGCTGGTCAACAACAGTATGCTCTCATCGAAGCCCCTGTCCTTTGATTCTCTAATCAATTTTCACAGGCGCAATGCAGGAGATTTCCAACGAGTTCCGCGACATCGACCTGAAGTCGGTGGAAAAGACGTACCGCACAAACATCCTTTCCGTGTTTGCCATGACCAAGTTCGCTCTTCAGCACATGAAGCGCGGTGATTGCATCGTCAACTCCAGCTCCGTTGCTGCCTACATGGGCAACCCGCAGCTCGTCGACTACTCCTCTACAAAGGGCGCCATCACCACCTTTACCCGCTCTCTGGCGCAGCAGCAGGCAAAACATGGCATCAGAATCAACGCTGTCGCACCCGGAATCATGTGAGTGCAGATGTCCGTTTGCTTTAAATGTTACGTGACACTGACGTTGTATAGTTGGACACCGCTCCAGCCAGCCACGAAGGGCAACCCTCCGGAAGTCATGAAGGGGCTCGGTGTCGGAGAAGCCCCGCTTAACCGTCCAGGCATGCCAGTGGAATGCGCAACCGCTTACGTCTTCCTTGCTAGCCCGTATGGATCATATTGTTCAGGCGAGACTCTCCATGTCACTGGAGCCTTGGAAGTACAAGGTTGATCGACGACCATGAGATAGATTTGGTATTATGGTAGAGAGAGATGATTTTATGAAGCCCGGAGTTACGTAGATCATGGTTATATGGCTCCTTAATATTCTCCATGCAACTCTCTTTCTCTCGTTCTTTCTATGCAAACATGTTGCGTTTCCCCTGCCCTGGAGAGTGAAAGTCAAGGCAGATGCTCCGGAGAGGTGATTGGACAGCTCGGGACCAGGTGGGTACAGCAATTGCCCGTCCCAGTCACTGTCAAATTCCGGCAGATAAACGGCATCAACTCTAGTTTCGCTTCATAAGTCCTACCTTCCCGCAACGCATCCGACACAGGGTCCACCCCCGACCATTACTCTTGCCAGCTTTGCCCACCATGTCTGCCAGCGAGTAAGTACCGCCATCTCCGACCTTTACCTGCCGTACAGGAGCTAAAGTCTCGTTCTTCGGTAAAGTGATAGTCTCGGAAACAGCTGCGATAACCCAGACCGCAGCGGAGGCGACCATCCCCCGCACCGTCAGGACACCAGCGACACGCGTGATAGCACTGTATCCCAAGACAACACCACCACCAACGGGGTCGCCCCCGGCAATAGCCGCACTCGCCCTGCCAACCTGCGAGACGAAGCGAATGGCGACGACAACAGTGGCTTCGCCACCTCCGACTTCCCGCCACTTCCCACCCATTCCAACTACCCTCTGTTCGCCGAGGTGCGTCGGCTGAAGGAGGCGCTGCAGACCGAGAACCGCAAGGTCGCCGCGCTGGAGGAAGAACTTGCCGCCATCAAGCGCTGGTTCGGCCAGGCGCCCGCCGAGGTCGCGGCGCTTGTCTCCAGCAAGGCTGCCAAGAACCATGCGGTTTCTGATGGCGCTACAAGCGATGCCGGCGGTAGTGCTCATACTGGCGGTAGGGCTGGCAGCGCCAGTCACGAGCGCTTCAGGCAGCGCACCGGAAACCCTCGCAGCAGCTTCTTCACCAACTCTCGCGTCGACCTCAACTACAACTACCGCACCAACCACGGCCAGGACACGGGAGGCAATAGACGGGATGGCAGTGATATTGCTGCTACTCGTCTCAGGAATGTCGGCGCTGGTGGTGCGCAGGGAAGGCTGGATCTCCCGGGCTCGCAGCGCGGCCATGATGGTGACGAGCACGGTTCTGGACTGGTCGCCACCATTGGCTACAGCGTTTCCAGCCGCCGTGATGGTCGTGGCAGGCGTGGTCGGGGCGGGCGTGGCCGCGGTGGTAGTAGCGAGACCGGACGCTCTCGTTACGTCCTCAACCCTGCCGACTACGGCAACCCGTTTCCTGGCCCTAACACTGCTGCTGGCGGTGGCTGGGACAGCTATGAGGATAAGGAAGGTCTGGGCGATTGGTAGAGATGGAGAATGTCTTTGCCTGGGATCATTGCTTGTGCGCGTAGGAGAAGCTACGGCTGGCGCAACACTGCTGTCTGTTGTATGCTGTTTGGTTTGAGCTTGAGCAGAGCTGGGCTTTCATGCACCTTGCCGGTGGTTGAAGTTGTGCGTTTCTTGGCACACAGAGCATACGGCCAATTCAGGACCAGTGGTTGGAAAATGGAATTTCATTAATTTTGAGGCGGAAGACTTGTTGTATGCTGGTCTCAAAACGGAAGCGACGGTGCGCTGCGGGGTTGGCAGTTGCAATCGTCAAGGGCTGTATTTAGTGTTTTTTCTCCGATAGCTCAGTACATCACCTGTTCACCTCTTCAATGCCACCTCAAACCGAACGTGTTCTCAGGATGTCTGTGCCGCCCGGATTATATTCCGTAGAAGAATAAGTAGGCCTATGACCACGGCCTCCTCAAACGGCGGTACATACCGTGCAGGGCTTACAAGAGCCCAAAGGACATAGGAGCCAAGAAGAAAACGACTTCCAAGCCCGACGCGTGCCCCGAATGCAAGCGAACGAAGAGAGATAAAGAAACGCCTATCTCATGGAGGTGGGTGAAAGCGGAGGACCGGTGGGCCCGCACAGTCTGCGCTCGGTCTTTGAACCAGAATAGGAAGAAGCTACCCGTTTCCAAGAAGACTTCGAAAATGTGACTATATGGATATCGCGTCTTTCTACGGCTGTGTTTCTTATTTCTGATCAAGTCTGCTGCGTTATGGCTCGCTTCCGCACGTCTTTCCCTTTTGCGGTCACTGATAAGGCATGGTGCTTCTTACCTTCGGTTAAGTTTGCTGTATTGTGACTTAATTCCGTACGTCTCATCCTTCTACGATTACTGATGCAAGGTATTGTATTGCTTTCACGTACGGGTTCAACAGGGTTGCTATACTCTGGCTGACCTTTGTGTTTTATCAACCAACATGATAGTTTTACGTGGACTCAAAAAAAAAAAAAAGAAACCGGTTTTGTTTTTTAACTGTAGGTATTTGTAGAGGTACAGACTAACAAAGAAGATAACAAATAGCACGCTGGGATACTTACATATTGCATGCTGGGCTGGAGGAAATCTAGCGGCTACTGTGGTGCATCGCAAGAGTGAGGAAGCTCCAGAGGCGGAGGCGGAGTAAAGACTCTAGCGTGGAACAATTTAAGAGCAAAGGCAAAGCAAGGACCACCACGTGCGTCTGCTTGTCATGCAAAAGCTACCAAGATGTCGGATTATCGATTCGCAATGGGCACCCAAAAAAGAAAAGGGCTGAAACACAAACACGTGTGCGGCAGCCCAAAGCAGTACTCGGATGGATCGATCAGGCGTCGGTTAGATCTTTATCCTGGCGACCTCATTTCTCGAACGGCGATCGATCCGGTAGCGCGGACGTTAACCGGCGATCGACCCGCGTCGTCAGCGGTCTTACGAACTCGTTTTGTCCGGAGGGCAACGGCGATGAGGTACCGAGCACAATTGTTCTCAAGGGACCTCAGCTGCTTCCATTTTTCTCTGCCGTGACGTCACGCGATATGCTCGGCTAATATTGTGGTAATGCGCAGGTTCCCTCATCATCATGCGGGCGCGTGCCATGGCGCCCTCACCGCGTTTCCTCTCCCCCTTTCCGGCAGCCACTAGCATCAACGGCTTTTACGGAAACGGCACCGCGGCCCAATCAGCCGCACGAGTGGGTTTCTCGCGACACCCTTTCCCAAACGGCGCCCGTAAGCATGGTCGCGTGGCCGGGAGCCCCAAAGCGGCCCGTAAATAGCAGCGACGACGTGCATAGCGAGATTGCCCCCGCTCGCCTTGTTCCAATATGGCAGCAACTCCGACCTACTTCCGTATACACTATCCGGACTCCGAACTCCCATTGGCTGCCTGCTCGTAGATCTACAGGAGACGCTGCAGCCGAACTATCGACCTTCCCACTCCAAGCCTCCAAGCCTATACAGGCGAGCTTGGCCGCTTCGATAGCCGAGTCTATAAGGGAACCGCTGCCCGCCAGCTCCAGGTTTTCCCAGTGCAGCGGTGCTCGTAACCATGTCCGTCTCTCTGCTGATCGGCGCAGCTTCTGCGCAGCCTCTCGTTCTCGCCTCGCTGCTATCCATTCCTTTCTTTCCCGCCAGAGCTGCCGCTCAGAGCCTGCCCAGCGACCCGCGCTACGAGTACTTCCTCTCCATCTTCGAGGCCGCAAACCAGACCGTGTCCATCAATGCTCGCGTTCCCGATGGCTACGACTCCCCTCCCTGGTACCCTGCGCCGTATGGCGGCTGGACTGAGGATTGGAGCGCGAGCTATGCGAAGGCCGCCGAGCTTGTCTCCAACATGACGCTCGCCGAGAAGACGAACAGTACGATAACCTCGCCGTGTGACTTGGTTCTGTGCTAATTTTCGGACAGTCACGGTTGGAACTGGCTACTTTATGGGTAAGTTAATCAGTGTCCTATGTAGCCTCTGACGCTCATCGAATCAATAGGCCGCTGCGTTGGTAACACGGGCAGCGCTCCCCGCGTGGGGTTCCCGCAGCTCTGCCTGCAGGACTCAGCCCTTGGAGTCAAGGGCACCGAGAACAACACGGCTTTCCCCCCTGGCATCACTGTCGGCGCCACTTGGAACAAGAAGCTGATGTATGCCCGCGGAGAGGCCATCGGTGAGGAGTTCCGCGGCAAGGGCGTCAATGTGCATCTTGGCCCGACCGTTGGACCCTTGGGTCGCAAGCCCCGTGGTGGCCGCAACTGGGAGGGCTTCGGCGCCGATCCCGTCCTGCAGGCCATTGGTGGTGCCGAGACCATCAAGGCCGTGCAGGCCCAGGGTGTCATGGCTACCATCAAGCACTTGATCGGAAACGAGCAGGAGTCTTACCGCATGTAAGGAGGCAGCATCCCCTTGGCCTACTGTTCTTGCTGACGTGCCGCAGGTACAACCCTTTCCAGGAAGGCATCAGTGCTAACATCGATGACCGCACCATGCACGAGCTGTACCTCTGGCCCTTTGCCGAGGGTGTTCGTGCTGGCGTCGTCTCCGTCATGGGTGCCTACAACGCCGTCAACGGCTCGGCGGCTACCCAGAACAGCTACCTTATCAACAACCTCTTGAAGGACGAGCTTGGTTTCCAGGGTTTCATCATGAGCGATTGGCTTGCCCAGATTTCCGGCGTTGGCGCTGCCTTGGCCGGTCTTGACATGAGCATGCCCGGCGACCCGACCATTCCCCTGTTCGGAAACTCTTGGTGGGCTTTCCATCTCACCGAGGCCGTTCTCAACGGCTCCGTGCCCGTCGACAGATTGAACGACATGGCCACTCGCATCGTTGCTTCCTGGTACCAGATGGGCCAGGACCAGGACTACCCGGACCCGAACTTCTCCACCTGGACCGACAACGCCGAAGGCCTCTTTTACCCTGGAGCCCTGATCTCCCCGTCGGGCGTTGTCAACGAGTTTGTCGACGTTCAGGGCGACCACGCTGCCATCGTCAGGACCATCTCGACCGAGGCTGTCACCCTGCTCAAGAACGAAAACGCCACATTGCCGCTCAAGGAGAGCACGCCATTGAAGGTCTTTGGAACTGCTGCGGAGAAGAACCCCGATGGAATCAACTCCTGCTCGGATAAGGCTTGCAACAAGGGTACCCTCGGCATGGGCTGGGGCTCTGGTACTGCCAACTTCCCCTATCTCGATTCTCCTATGGATGCGTTCAACGCAAGGGCCAGCAATGTTACTTTCTACAACACCGACAGCTTTCCGTCCAGTGCTGTTGCCAACGACGGAGACGTCGCCGTGGTTTTTATTACTTCGGACTCCGGTGAGAACTACCTGTCGGTGGAGGGCAATCCCGGAGATCGGACGGCGTCGGGCTTGAACGCATGGCACAATGGCGACGAACTTGTCCAGAAGGCGGCCGAAAAGTACGACACGGTCATCGTCGTCGTCCAGACGGTTGGCCCCATCCTGGTCGAGGAATGGATCGACCTGCCCTCGGTCAAGGCTGTCCTTTTCCAGCACCTGCCGGGACAGGAAGCGGGTGAATCTCTCACCAGCGTCTTGTATGGCGACGAGTCCCCGAGCGGCCACCTGCCGTACAGCATTGTCAAGAAGGAAGACGACCTCCCCGAGAGCCTCGACATTGTCGGCTTCCAACTCGGCCAGCCGCAAGACACCTTCTCCGAGGGCCTCTACATCGACTACCGTTACCTGAACAAGCAAAAGATCTCGCCTCGTTACCCCTTCGGCCACGGCCTCAGCTACACCAGCTTCGACTACTCGGCCACCATCTCGGCCGGCATCGAACTCAGCTCGGCGCCGCCCACGCGCCCGGCCAAGGGCAGCACGCCATCATACTCGACCGAAATCCCGCAGCCCAGCGAGGCCGTGGCGCCCGAGGGCTTCGACAAGGTGTGGCGCTACATCTACTCGTGGCTGTCCGAGTCGGAGGCCAACGCGGCGTACGAGAAGCGCAACTCGTCCGACTACCCCTACCCGGAGGGCTACTCGACCGAGCAGAAGCCGGGCGTCCCCGCGGGCGGCGCGCAGGGTGGCAACCCGGCGCTGTGGGACACGGCCTTCGACGTCTCCGTCACCGTCACCAACACGGGCAACGCCCCCGGCAAGGCCGTCGCACAGCTGTACGTGCAGTTCCCCGACGCCATCTCGTACGACACGCCCGTCATCCAGCTGAGGGACTTTGGCAAGACAGCGACGCTGCAGCCGGGAGAGAGCGAGACGCTCGCCCTGACGCTGACGCGCAAGGACATCAGCGTCTGGGACGTCGTCAGCCAGAACTGGGTCGTGCCTGACGTCGCTGGAGAGTACAAGTTCTGGGTCGGAGAGAGCTCGGGTGCCCTGGGCGTCGCGTGTTCGAGTACCGGATTGACCTGTGAGAGCGGGTTGGATAGCCCGGTCGCTTGAACGGGAGGGGGGCTATTGGAGAGACGGCGTGTTTGGTAAGCGTTTCGTTTTTTCGTTTTTTAATTTCGCTGAATGTTGTCATGGTCGGACGCCTTGAGGATGATGGATGAAGGTTTTTCATTGCTGCTGAATTACTCCCAGACAATGGTGAGAATGTGGAGGCGGGGGGTCCCTGATTTAATTTCAGATGTCCATAAATAAATCAAACCAATCTGACATGACAGGAGTGAGTCCGAATAGCATGCTGACGTGAGGTTACACTACAACCGCCCCTTGCGTCTCGTGGGAAATGGGCCATGAAAAGATTTGCCTGCAGAGAGTTTTACATTGCAGCCTTGGCGCATCGAGTCGCTGTGTTTGGTTGGCCTTCAGCAATGGCTTCGTCGGCCGAGACACAAGACGGGACCAGCACGAGGTATTTGTAACGTCTTTCTGTTTGAAACGTCGTGCACAGCTGGGTTGATGGTGGCATGATGGCTCTTCCTCTCTCACACGCCTCACAGGACCACCAACAACCGTCTCTGCCAGCAATCAGATCAGCCCACGCACGCGAGAAGCCAGCCGGTCCCGAGCTTAGTGAGCTATCTTTTGTCCCACTTCCGGGCCCACGACCATCCTGCGATGTAGCTCTCCCTGCGTCATCGTGCACAGCAACATTCGCTGGCCCTGCGTGATGACAACGAGCGGCGAATCCGTCTTTCTTCCATGTTCGAGATGCTGCGACGTTACCTTCACACGGCAAAGCAAGGGCGCACACGCGGTGCTGGTGGTGCAACGAAGGATGGCTGCAGCGCTCCACGTTCTGGAAGCGACCGGGACAGGGATGCACCAACGACTGCGTTTCTTCCTGCACGTCGTCGGCCATTTCCCGGAAAATTGCTTCAGAGATGGGGTTTGTCCAAGGGCGGTTGTTTGTCGCAAGATGATCAGCTCGCGTGAGCCGGAATCCGGGAGGCTGGGAGCGAACGTGGCTGAGCCCTGGCGGAGAGTCCGAGGCTGCGGTCCAGCTAAAGGGCCGTTGTTACCTGGGAAGCTTGTTTGGCGTGATACGAGGGCGGCTCATCATTTCCATTTCAGTCACCTTCTTTCCAGCATCCTCTCGTGGATCAATTGACAGAGTGCGTTTGGGCGGTTCAAACCACGGCATCCAGCCTGCGTCTTCTTCGGGCAGCCATGCTTACGTCGACCTCTGTACCCCGTAACCCTCGTGTTGGCAACCTACCTGCACCATCGCCAGCGCACGAGCCCGCCGGCTCTCGGGAAGGAGCTGCATCGATCGCGGTATGCTGCAGGTGCCGTGCCACCGCCATTGCCGCTTTGGGAAAGAGGGCTGCCAATAGCCCGGCCGAGCCGTTGTATCGGTCTGCCCGTATTCCCCGGAAACCGGCGGTAGTGGCGCACACATCTCTTAGCTGGGGCCGATTGAGGATCCGGATGCGCAGCTGAATGTCGTGACTAGAGGCTTTTGGTGACGTGGGTTGCGCCTGCTGTCCGCTTTGGGAAGACCCCAAGGTACATCCATCCACTCAACATGGTCGCCGCTTCCCATTCTGCTCTCACACAGCATCAGCAGACCAACCTTCAGCCCCGATCGTCCTCTCTGCTCCAGCATAAATAACCTTTACCCTCCGCTCTTCCGACCTTCAGCTCCCTATACAAGCCCCGCAGCACCTACCAAAGCCAAATCCACCAACATGCAGATCCTCAATCTTGCCATCCTCAGCCTCGGCACCCTTGCCTCAGCCGCTCCAACCCTCCTGCCCCGCGACGTCTCGGCCACGCAGTACGAGATCTCGACGTTGGGGACGCACTTCATGGGCAAGAACAGTGGCATTGCCGACGGCTCCTGGCCCGACAGTGCCAAGTTCAACAGCACCATCCAACTCACCATCAACTACCCGGCCAACAATGGAATCAATGGCTCGAAGCCCGAATCGGCGACGTGCACCGGCAGCTGGATCAATGGCACTCACCCTCTGGGCTGGAACGCCTGCGAGAACAAGGACGTCGGCTGGAAGTTCACCGACTTCATCAGCGAGGCCAAGTTTACCCTCGTCGTTGGCCGCATCACCGGCGAGGCGTAAGTCTTCATTTCCCCCCCCCCCCCAAAAAAAAAAAAAAAACGGTCTCTCAGTCATAAACCCAGTCACTTTCTGCCATAAGGAAGCCGTTTCATATTAGACACAACCGAATACATGGGTGCCGTCTTGGCGATGTGGATCCTTGAACCCCACCTTCAAGCAGCTTCAGCGTCGTGTGACGCGACTCTCAATTTAACCTTTCAAAAGAAGTCTGACCTCCTCAAGTTCCTTTTTCTCCATTCCAGGCCATCGTCTATTGCTTTCGTATGCGAATGTGTATTTGTCCGACCAGTATTTTGCAACCTCCATCCGATCGCGCGGCTCGGCATATTGGGCCGGTTTGACCCCTCTCTAATATACGCGCTGAAAACAAGTGAAGACTCAGGCGCGCAAGTGCAAAATTACGGATATGGTGACAAAAAAGACATTCAGACTGCGTGGGGTACCTATCGGGTCGAACGAGGAACATGTCAGAGACCTTGTACAACGTGCGCTTGGGTGTCCCGAGGATGTGAATATTCAAGTCCGATCGCTGGCTGGGGGCCCTTACCTTGAAGACGAGATGATGGCGACGTTTGAGATTTCCCCAATACCGGAGATTCTCAATCAAGGTCCATACCTCAAGGTTAGGCTGGATAGTCGTCGCGAGCTCGAATTCGACTCGAACTTCATCGACTTCACAGCCTTGCACACACCGGCGGAGGGAGAGTGCACCATCGAGTGAGTGATCCTAGATATTCAGACAGTTTTCTGCTGTGCAGCTAAATGAAGTCAGTGTGGTTGCAGTTCCAGGACTGAACGGCCACGGCTTCGGTTCGTTCAAGGAGAGAGGGGGCAATTGGATGTGGCTGCGTGATGGCCTTGCCCACGACCTTCCAAATTGTCGGATACTGGTTTTTGCGTTCGACACACACTTGGTTGGCAGCCAGTCATTTCAAAATATCGCCGATCTTGGCGGGAGACTACGCGCCGCTCTGAGTATCGTCCGGACAGATCCGGAAAGGCCATTGGTCCTGATCGGCCACAGTCTCGGCGGTATCATCGTAAAAGAGGTATGTTATTATTATTAAGAAAGAGCAAATTGACAAGTAAACTAAGCACGTCTGAATTCAGGCAGTTAATTCAATGGCAAACTATGATACCAAGATTGAACAAGATCCTTTTCGTGCTCTTGCAGGAATCATACTCTTTGGAGTCCCCAGCCAGGGAATGGCAATAGGATCCTTGGTCTCAATGGTTGGGGATGGCCCAAATAGGGAACTCCTTGAATCTTTGGGGCCGAATTCGTACGGGCTTCGCTACATGAGCCGGACTTTCCTCAGAATACTCGACTCGCAGGACTCTTTCTATATCGTCAATTTTTTTGAAACCAGGTTGTCACCAACTGCAGTACGCGATGTACGTGTATACGGTTCGTACAGATAATAACAATTACTAATCCGTTGCTCAGGAAAAAACCCAGAAATGGACTATGTCAGGTCCCCCTGAGCTCTTAGTCAACCCTCACTCCGCTACACATGGACGACTGATTGATACAGAAAAGAACTACAACTATGATGTTGATAGCACCCATAGCGGTCTTGCTAAGTTCTCGTCTCGGGAAGATCGTCCTTACAAGATCGTTGTGGAGCACTTGAAGAGGATGAAAGACTTCAGATCGCATGGCTGGACTGGGTTGAAGCGCGGAGGCTGGAACCAAAGTACATGACCTTGATATCCAAATGTTCTACAAATCACTGACTAGATCAAAGGTTGCTCGCTTTCTTTGGGGTTCGAAAAGCAAACGCCACGCGTAGTTCAACTCAATCCAGCTCCTCGCACTTGTGAATGGTTGCCACACCACGAAAGTTTCATGTCGTGGCTTTCCGAGCCTTGTGGACTTCTGTGGATCCAAGGAAATCCTGGATCCGGCAAGTCAATGGCCATGAAGGCACTGCTCCAGCACATACGATCTGCTACAAACGTCAATACATCTGTAGCCTCTTGCTTCATACAGGGTACAGGGTCACCATTGCAAAAGACTCCGCTGGGCGTGTACCGATCTCTCATCCACCAACTTTACCAGGAATTTCCAGGGGCATTCGCGGATTTGACAGAAATGTTCAAGGGAAGGACCAAAGAATTGGGAGAGGTGAATGGAGAATGGGCCTGGGCACCAGAAGAACTGCTTGAGCACCTTTCCCGGGGTCTGAGAATTATATCACAACATTATTCGATTTTCATCCTCGTTGATGCCTTGGACGAGTCTGGAGAGGAGTCGGCCAGAGAAATCGCGGAAGCAATGAAATCACTCCTGTCAGACCTCGATTGTTTGGCACAGCTCAGAATCTGTATCTCATGCAGACACTGCCCACAAATCACTCTGGACGGAAGAACCATTATTCTTGAGGACTGGAATACCGATGACATCAGCCAAGTCGTTGGCAAACGCTTGAAGGAATTGAATTTCACACCAGCAGAAAATCAACTTTTGCATGATGAGATCCTTAAAAGGTCCAATGGTATCTTCCAACGGGCTTCCCTTGTGGTTGACACCATAATCGACTCCCGAAGGCGCGGTTATGAATTCAAGGAAATCCTTACGCTAGCTCAGGAGCTACCGACAGACCTACACCATTTTTACAAGTTCTTGCTGCAACCAAAGCAAACCTTCCTTCCAAGCAAGCCAGAGCATTCTTTACACGAACAACAACGTACCTTAAAGCTCTTCCAGTGGGTTCTGTTTGCGGCCCGACCATTAACTCCTATTGAACTTCAGCAAGCTCTTGTACTCGATGAGTGCATGAGTGTCGAGGAGAGCATCGCCGAGTATCAGACGGAGAATGATTCAATTTACCTGGATCATTTGGCTCTTCGAGTCAAAGATCTGTCAAAGGGCCTCGTCCACTTATCTGGATCATTTATCGCGGGTCAAGTCCAGTTCATCCATCAATCTGTCGCTGACTTTCTTACTGGACCTGAAAAGATCCTGGAATCTATTTCTCCTCACTCCACCATCCCAATGGAACGGCTCGCCCATTTTCGATTGTCGAGGTCTTGCCTGAGATACCTATTCATGCTTGCAATCCCAAAGGATTCCAGCACAGAATCTTCCCTTGACTGGCTTTCTCTTTATTCGGGGCAGAAAAATGACACCAATAGGCCAGTAGAAAGACTACCGACGCCTGACAACTGGGAATTCCCAGAACAGAGTGGGGTCCCGCTTGACAATTTGATACTCGTCAAGCACAGCTATGACAAGCTTCCCCTCATACTATACGCATGGAAGCATTGGGCATTCCATGTTGAAAGCGCTCGGAAGCAAGGCTTTGAATTCCCGGCTGAATTTAACAAGCATGATCCTTTTGATATCATGCTGCAGAGTACTGAGATCTCTCTGGAAAGGCTTTACGAGACGCTCAAGATTGTCTTTGGTAGCCCCATGGCGTCATGCTACCGTAGGCTCCACGAAGACTTACCGTCTAAGCGCATGTTTGCATTACTCCGATACAAGCCAGACCGTGGTCTTCAGCCAAAGATTTTCCCGCTACGTGGGGAGCCTCATGAGCAGGTAGCTCACTCGCTTGCCTTTTGCGGCTTCGTCAGTGGCCTTGCAAGGCTAGCAGAAACACAGCCCGCTTTGTTGGAAAGAAGGGACAGCTATGGCTACCATTCATTAGCCTACGCTATTGAGGGGAAGCAGGTCTCAGCGGTCCGCGTATTGTTGCAGGCCGGAACTGACTTGAACACTCCGTTGGAAGGGAAATCATATACCCCTCTCTCCCTCGCATGCATCTGGGGTGACACAGAGGTCATTTCCCTGATGATCAAGGCCGGAGCTGAAGTCAACCCTGAAGATTGCGATGTGTCGCCGCTCCATTGTGCAGCTTTTGCTGGGCACCGCGACGTCATTGATCTGCTCATGAAGGCTGGAGCAAAGATCAACAATCAGAAGAGACATGGCTTCACACCGCTCCATGCATTAGCTTTCAGCAGCAAAAAGGCGCATCCTGCTATGGTTTCACAACTGGTGAGCCATGGTGCGAGGATGGATATAACAGACGACTACCTTCGGAACCCCCTGCACATCTCGGTACAGAGGAGTCCCATCTCAGTCTTCAAGGAGTTTTTGAAAGCAACTATGGCCTTTGAAAAGAAGAACAAATACAGAATGCGGTTGCTGTCTGCGATGTCAAAGCTATTCATCGGGTACGATCTCACTTCTCGCATCATCGACAGACGGGACATCTTTGGCAAAACTCCTTTCTCTCAGGCTCTTTCTGATTCAGACTGTGAACGCCTAAAGCTATTGTATGAGGCTGGGGCGGATACGAGGATCTATGTCAGCGAGGACAAAGAAGAGTCTGTTTCCAGACTGCTTCAAGACGCAGGGTTGCAGCAAACGACAGGGGACTCGTTGGAATCGGTATCAGAGGAGGCGAATAGTACTCGTTCACAATCTCTTAAGTGGATGGCTTAGGAAGTGGAAAGGGCGGTGGTAAGTTCCAATCTGCAATTGCAGAGGCGTATTTGGGGAGTTGATATGGTCATCCGATTGAAATTCACAGTGATAGACAGGCAGCAGACCGTTACGCGTGTGTTATTTCTCCACAACCATCAATTTCACATCTACAGAGACCCAAGCTATTTTTAACAACAACCACCACCACCCAACCCAAAATCCCTCCTTCCCCAAGCTCTTCTCCCCCATCTACCTCCACGTATCACTCACACTAGCCGTCGCCACACAACTCGGCACGCTATACGTCCGATTCGGATCGCTCTCCCACGTGTAGCTACCACTACTGCTCTTCCTGATATACTTATACTGCACGCTCGTCCCAGGCGCCAAGTTAACGACAGCATACCACAAGTTATTGCTCGCAGTATACTTATCCGCACTCAACGCCTTCGCGCTCGCCGGCGCCCACGACCCCAACGCCGCGTTATTACCCGCAATGAGGATCGTCTCGCCATACACCGTCGTCGCGACGACATTAAACGTCACCGCGACGGAAGTCGGGCAGTTACCACCGGTCGTCGTCGTACTAGTCCTAGTAGTCGTCGTCGTCGGGGGCCTCGTAGTCGTCGTCGTCGGCGTCGCGCCGGGGTTGCTAGTCTGGCTAGTCGGGAAGACCGTGTTGGTGGCCGACGCATACGTGCCGGACGCGCCGCCCGCCGCGCAGGAGCCAGGCGCCTCGTTGGCGGCCTCGCTGCCCCACGACTCGGGCACGATGGAGTCGCGGCGCTCGATGGCGGTCAGGAAAGCGGCGTAGGACCAGGTGAGGTCCGAGGCCGACAGCGGGCTGCCGTTGTCGCGGGAGAACTGCTCGGACAGCGAGCCGTCGGATGGAGTGTACTGCTGGACGACGGAGACGTAGCCGTCGGCGTACGTCTTGACGGCGTTGAGGATGGCGGTGAAGGCGTCGGTGCCGGACGCGAAGGTGCCGGTGGCGGCTGAGGGGTAGATGTCCTTGAAGAAGGCGAGAGAGACGTCGTCGATGGTGATGGAGCCCTCGCGCGTCCACGTGTAGAGGGCGGCGTAGAGCTGCTCGGCGGCGGCGAGCGTGGCGAGGTACCAGGGGTTGCCGTTGTAGTACACGTCTTCGGCGTATCTGCCGACAGCAACGGCGGTGCCGGCGGCCTTTCCGGAGTTGATGGTGTAGATCGAGCGGAAGGAGTCGGTCACGGCCTTGTGGTTTGCCAGGGCGCGCGAAGAGCAGGGTTGGAAAGTGGTGTCATCACAGCCGGCCTCGGGGTCGAAAAGGTGGTTCGAGGTAAGAATCGAGTTGGCGTCCTTTCCGGTGCGGCCGTTGTTGGTGTTGATGTTGGAGACAATGTAGTTGCCGTTCGAGTTCCAGAAAGTCTGCTGGAAGCACAGGACCAGCGGGGCTTGAGAGTCGCAGTAGTCGCAGCTCTCGCCAATCGAGGCAGCAAGAGCGCTGCCCTCAACCAGGGCACGGTGAGAGACGGCAATGGTGAAGAAAGACGAGCCTTGCACCTCCTCCCAAAGATCGAAGCCAGTCTGGTTCCAGTACTCGGTGGTGTAGGACAAATCGTTCCTGATGACCGGCCAGACAATGTCTCTGGCGGTATCGGAGTAACCGTTGTCCACCAGCCACCTGGCGTAAGAAATCATGGCAGTGGCGCGGAGAGGCGGGCCGTCTCTCTGCGGCCTTCCCCAAGCACCGGTGAACTGCGTCAAGTCGACGTAGAACTTGGGTTCGCCCTGTGATGCATACATCAGCAACAGATCTCGCAATTTTCAGAGGCACACTCACCAAGCCACCCGTGGACAAGCCGCCGGAAGGGTTGTTGACGCCCTGCAGCTTCGCTTGGGAGATGATGTATTCCTCAATCTCATCCTGGAGGTCATAGTCACCGTTAACGAATCGATCGACCAGAGCCTTGAAGACGAGCGCGGCATCACGCGTCCAAGTGTAGAAATCTGCATTTTGTCTCAGCAAATATCACCAAAAACGGCATTTCAAAAGCACGTGAGAAACGGAAGTGAAAACGGAAATCGGGATACCCACAGTCAGGGCTGCTCTTGCTCGGACTCGCAACGACCACTCCGGCAGCAGCACCGGCGACCTTGGAGCCGTCGTCACCGATGTTAGCCAGGACGCCGGCATACGCAATGGGCGTCTCGGTATCGATGAATGAATCGATGCCGTCCTGGCGCTTATTCAGCATGGACGCCGGAACGGCGAGGGCATCGCCGACGAGCAGGCCGACGAGCCCGAGGGCCTTGGTGGGAAAGAACATGATCGATGAGTATCAGGACACCGCAATTGAGACAATAGACCGGAAGTAACGAGAGAGAGCCAGGAAGTGGGAAACACTGCGTGCTGCGCTGCCCGTTCCTGGAGGACCAATCTGTTGCGGGTGCTCGACCTCCCTTTTATATGTTTTGAGTTTGGGCGAGTCACGGCACGAGGCAGACCGTTCAAGGTTATTCATGGCGGACCGGCCCTAGCGGAGAGCCCAGCAGCAGAAAGCCGGTGGCCCAAGCTCTTCGAATTGGTTGTCCCGCGAGAGAGGGTTGACGGAGTGGAATGACGCGCGCACTAAACCTGGATCGGGATGTCGTCGATGTTTGGATTGCTGGTCAGCTGTGGTGGTGAGCAGCGTTTCGCTCGGCTCGGATGGGCCGAAGAATTCCTGCATCGGAGCGACCAGCTGGAGAGGGAAGGTGGGAAGAGTGTGGGGAACGGCGGGCACTAAAAAGGGGCGCGTGCGAGCGACAAACGCTCAGAGAACAAATAATCCGCGGGGTTGTTGGCGGGCGAGAAGGCACCTAATCGAAAGGCAAGGCACGGACACGAGAATCGCGTAAGTGCGAGGTGTTCAGGGGTGCTATATTGCTGCTCTGGGCCGTGATTGGCTGGATGTCGGAGCGGATGTAAATAGCATCGCATCGGCCTGTCCGGGAGAGAAAGGCGGAAGAGGCGTCAATTCATGCGGATGACGCGGGGTAGAGTAGCTTCCAATTATCGTGGCTGGCGCAATAATAGCTGAATGATGGAATTTCTGGGCATGTCTTGCCATCATGGGGAGATGAGCGAGCAGGGATGGCTTCTGACTGGCTCCCGTATGCCTGTCCGTCATCTCCGCCAAAAGCCGCAACGCCTCTCCTCTCGAAACCACTGCCTGGGGTCGCCGACCTGATGATGTTCACATGTTTGCCGAGCCTCTGCTTGCACTATGGCGTACCCACTTGCCCAATCACGCTGTCAGGCAATATATGCTCCTATAGGGCAGAGACCGCGGGCCAGATGCGCGACTTTGCCCACAAGGAGAAGAGGAAAAACAAGGTGCTCTCTCGGTGCCGACACGAGCAAAACCGCCCGGGCCGCTGTCCCCAGTGACGTGCGGTACGCCTGCATTATTCAATCCATCCGCTCCTTGTGCACGAAAGCAGATGAACATGTGCTCTGTCGGACATTTTTCCAGGGCTTGCGTTTGTATGCCCAATCGAAGTCCGATCGAGGCTATGCGGCTTCCAGAAGGGCTATTTTTCACATTATCCCGCCGATCGATACCCTAGCAAGTAACCATACTTTAAGCTTGCATCATGCTTCAGGGCGCAACGCAGGCACCACGCATGTAAGAACGTGGCGGTGTCAGCAGGCATCGGTACCTGCGACACTAACGGCCGGCTGCAGCTCTGCCCACCATCAACCCCAGCAGATCATAGTAGGAAATAGCCTGTACGATTGAGTAGCCTTAGTGCTGCGCAAAATCCTGAGCTATGCCGTTAAGTGAAGCAAGCTCCGGTGGCAAGACTACGTCTTCAATTCTTCCGTGATCTTCGAGCTATTGTTTCCATTTCATCCGCCGGGCGTGTGTGTTGTTCGACTCATGCCTGTGCGTTAAGCAACGGGCCTGCCGTCATCGCTTGAGCCACACATCTGGAACCGAGAAGCTTCTGCCGACAATAGACCACTCATATCAGCAGGATTAGATTGCAGGGGCCGCCCCGGCACGTATCGTCTGCGGCTCAACTGCCATGCGGGGCGTCATGTGGACGTTTGTGTGGAGTGAAAACATCACGGGCCGACGTCGCCACCACTTCGCAAAGAAATTCCTTCAGAGAGTAAGTCCACTCCGATCGTGCATGAAAGATCGCCGAACTGATTGCAACATTGAAGCTCTGACGCGACCGGCAAAGTTATTGAACGTGTAGAAAGTTTTTCATTCGATGACTGCTAGACCTCCTGGGTTCGTGTCATGTTTTCGTTCTTCTCGTTCTTTCGTGACATGCGCTTCAGAATTTTTGGATCGAACCACCTCCTTTTACTCTTCCCGCTCTCTTGCGATCCTTCTACAGAGCTGTCCTTTTCCATCATATCTGTGCTCGTTGGCGAGCGTTGCATCCGTGGCCGTTGCTGCCTGTCAGAAGCACAGCTTCTCCGAGGAGCGTAAGGGTTAGCGTTAGGGCCATTTTCATCTTTTTCTTCCTGCTTTTGGCCTTTCTGCGGCCGACTCGTCTTCGGGGCCAAGCCAGACATGAAGGCCAGGAACCAGAGACACGTCTTCATGACCTCCTTGCATCGTGCCTTCCAGAACTCGTAGCCTTTCGTGGTATTGAGGGAGCCGATGAGCAAGAAGAATGGGACACAGACGACGACCAGGACCGTGCCAAACTCCCAGAAAGTGTGTTCCGTAGACATATTCGTCATCCCAAATACGCTTGTGACAAAGGTGAGAGGCTGCGACTTGTAAGTACTTGGCCCACTCGAAAATCTAGTGATATACTTACCATGAAGAAGATGTTTATGAGCGTCAGGAGCTTGACGTTGTGTCCCTGAAGGATGGTGATCTCGGAGAGTTCGACTGACTTGCGCGATTCCAGAACAGAAGTGCCGCTGAACAGCTGGTCTCGCAAATCCCGGATTTCCAACCTCCTGTCGTTATTTTCCTTGATTTGTTCGTGCAGATGCCTTATTTCGCGTTCGAAGTCCTTCCGCAGTATATATAGTTTTCTTCTGAAGTAGTCGTTGCGGGGTAATGATTCATCCAGCAACGGCCAAATGCTCTTATGCCTTCCTTCCCACACCTCCTCTGTGAAAGTGTCCTCGTACGCGTCAATCATGGCCTTGATGCTGTCGTTGATAGATCCAAGTGTTTGATGCGCCCAGAAGTAGCCTCTGGTAAAAGTGAAGTTGTCGTCCTCGAACAGACGCCTGTCCCGTTGATCCGCATCAAAAATGAAATCTGTTGGCGGGGTGATCATTCTCGTAATCTGCTTGTAGATCTCCTCGTAGCGTTTGCGTGCGTCCCGGAACTCCATAAGAACTGTTGCCAAGAAAGCCTCCGGACCGTTTACATAACGTTTGGTCTGATCATGAGCATCGGCATTCCCGAGCCAGTCGGGATAAGCTTGCATATTGAGTACGAGCCACGGCGAGAATGGATCGATTACAAGGCCCTGCTTGACTTTGACATTCTTCCGCCGGGACATGTTACGGAGCTTCTTGATGGGATCTCCTAGCAACGCTAGAGAGACGACTGAGCTGCAACGAGAAAGAGGTAAGTGGGCGTTAGATGGTGCCGCCTGCCTATCATGGCTTTGCCACGGCATGGGCTGGCGGTCTTCGCCGATGATTGTGTAGTACTCAAAGCTGAAAGTGAATGTTCGCTGGTGTCGTGAGTCATGGGAGAAGGGCCTGTGGGGTGTTGCCTTTGACACCGGGGTTAGTAGAGAGCGCGTGAGGGCGTCAAGCATAGAAGAGGACGCGGTGAAGAGGCTTTGTACCGATGAGTGTTCGGAGTTAACCAAGTGCTGGAACAGCTCGTTCATATCGAAGTACTGGTTCATGGCATAGTGCAAGGCACCGAAGATGATAGGTGATGGTTCTTGGGCGATGCTGCAAACAGTCAGCTTGGGCCGCTCAGTGCGACTGCTTGGACAGAGCTTACACTATTCGGCCCACGGCAGAGCTATTGTTGGGCTCCACATTGATGTCCTGTACAGCTTGTCATTGGATTGATTCACTTGAACAAGCTTTGAACGGAGTCCGGCAAGGTCGGCTTGATAGCCGGAGTAGTCATCCGAACAGGGGTCAAATGATGATCTGAAACATCCATCATGCCAAGTGCATGGCCCGGATGGTGTGCCGACTCTTCCGACTAATACTCAAAACCCAACGTCATCCTTCCAGCGAAAGGCCTCACCTCCAATTTTTTCCTCGCTGGCTTTGACAGTGAAAACAACTTACCTTGATAGTGTTCCAGAACGCGGCGGCCTTGGACTGCGTTACCTCCTCGTCTTCGCCGGTTTCGATATCGAGACTTAGGGGCGTGCCGTCAACTCCTACATCGTAAACCTGGTAACTCGAAGGGATTGACATTTCCTCGTCACTGGGAGTCGGAAAGAGGTAGGGAGACAGCAATTGGCCATCCTGCACTACTTCTTCTAGGATAGTCTGACCGCATGACTCCCAATCGTAAGTCCTCAAGTGGGTGCGCAGGCCTTCTTCGGCTAACGACGTGGACGGCAGAGGCGTTCGAACCTTAATCCAAGGGGTTAGTAGGGCTGCTAAAGCGGAGCATCACGATCCCCAGAGGGCGCAGCAACTCCAGGTGGTCCGAGCTCGGGCCTATAGGAAGAGAACCTACATAATACGTCTCGTCGTCCTCGTCGTCGCTGTCCACCGAGACGGCCGAGCTTGTGTGCAGGATCGACGCCAGCCCCGTCGACTTGCGGCCCGGGTCGGCAAAGGAGACGGTCGACTGGCGGCCGATGCCGTCACTGAAGGTAGGGGAGGACGGGCTCTCGTCCCGCGAGGCCTCTGCAGCGGCTGCTTCTTGCTGACGGAGGGCGTCATGGACGCGCTGTTCCAGGGCCAGGAAGGCGGCACGCTGCTCCTCCAGCTGCCGGATTAGGGACTCGGTACTCATCGTGGGTGCGCGCGGCGCGTCGGACAGCAGCACTCAGGGCAGAGACTTCAGCTCGGTGGCCAGCGGGACGTATCAATATGATGGCGCACCGCGGCCGTCAGAACGTTAGTGGTTTATCTTCGGGCTGCGTCCCGGCCCTGGAATGGTGCCGTCGTCGCGGGAGCCGCAGACACATGCGAGTGGCGGCCGAAGGAACCCCATGATTCAGGCGCTTGTGTGGTAGCCCCATCCCGCCGTGGAGAAGCGGTGAGAGGCGCGCGGCCAAACAGAAGGCGACATGTACAGGCCCGCACCGGTCAATTGAGCTTCCGGGCCCCGGCAGGCTGGGCGCGAGCTAGCTGACGAGCACACCAGGCTCTCTGCTGATGGGCGGGGAGGCGGACAGCGAATGAGCAGCGGCGACGAGGGCGAATCTGGAGACATTGATGCTGGGCGGCGATGGCGAACGATCTCCGCTAGGCCCAGCCTCCCTCGTAAGCGAGCGAATGCGCACCATCATCACCTCGGTTGCCCCCGCCAGATGCGACTCCAGCGCGTCGGCCCACGATGCACGACTGCCGGATTCAGAGCCCGAGCCCGCAGGAACGGGGAGGGAGCGGCGCGGATGTGCTGGCCGCAACCTTCCAGAAGGCGGATCTGTCGCGTGCTTAGGGCTCCGTCTTCCCTTTTCGAGCCGCTCCGCTCCAACACACCGTCAAACTGCCCGCCTCGAACTCCAGCTCCGCGAAAATTTTCAGAGACCCATGGCCTCCGTGCCAGTCTGTCCGAAACGTGCGGCACGCTTGCCTCTTCTCGCCTCGGCGGAGATCTGCTGGAGATACGGTCTCGCGTCATCGGGCGCGCCCTCCGAGCTGATCAGCAAAACACGTTGTCATGAACTGCCGACGCTGACCGCGGCTCCGCCCCGATTCTGCGATTGCGGCGCTGATAACATCTGTCATCTTGCCGCCAAGCCCGGGACCCATTGTCCTTCGTACTGAAGGTCTGAGGTGAAGAAGACGTCCTGTTGCACCAGAACTGAAACTTTTCCACCCACTCTTGCGGTCTTTTCGATCTAAATAGGAGCCTCGACCTCTATGGATGCCGCCGCTCCATACATATGAAACAGTTCACGCTCTCTCTTCCGCGTAGTATTGCAGCTTCCGCTGCTTGGCCCATGCAAGGACAACACCTCGGTCACACCTACTTTTCCGTGCTTGGCGCGCTTGCTGTCATCGGACGCACGGCACATGTCGTCCTATCTGACTCTCTAGCGGAAAGACTTCAGCTGAGGTTGGGGATTGATACCACTCGCACGGATCGTTAGACCTCAGGACGCCTTGCAGGCTCTAGATCTAGAGCGGCTCGCCACTCCTTTTGTTGAATGGTCAAATGTCCGACACGGTTGACTTCACTGAGACCTGACGTCCTCAGCCCTATCGGATTGCTCGCAAAGCATTGATCAACCCAGGCTCGCACGTCCTGTCTTCCCACCATGCGGGTACGGCACGCACGGGCAGAACGGTGGACAAACCATGTCTGAGGCATTTTCCTGTTTGTGTGCTGATTTTCCAAGTCCCTGCTTGCTGCCTGCCTTGCGTCGAACTCCACGCGATAGCATCATACTAACGGGCCCCGCCATTCTCCACGTTCTGGAGCTTCCGGAGCATCCCAACAGGGTCACAGGAACGAAACGCCCAATCCCCACAAAACCTCAGTCAGTACCACAGTACTAGTCTCACTTCACCTCCACCTCTGCCCCCTCAAACTCCACCACCAGCCCCTCGGCCCCAACCACACTCCCCTTCTCCGCCGGCCTCGCCGCCATCGCCCGCACGTCAACATTCCACTCCCCCTCCTCCGCAAACCACCACGTGCACTCCCTCAGCGGCCACCTCTCCGCCTCCTCCCCGTCCGCCCCCAGCACGAGCTGGTACACCCACAAGCTCGTTCCCAGCGCATCCGTCTCGCGGCGCGCTTCGATCGTCACGGGGCCCGTCGCGTTGTTCGGCGTGCTGGCCGCCGGCGGCGTGACGCTCCAGTCGGCGTACGACTGCGTGGCCACGGTGCTGAGGTAGGGCCGGTGCAGGTAGAACTCGATGCCCGTCTTCAGCCAGCGGTCTTGCTGCTGCGCCTGCTGCTCGCTAGCGCTGGCGTTCGGCTTGGTCAGGTGCAGCAGCAGGCCCGCTTGGTCGTATTGCGTCGTCCATGGCCCGGAGAAAGTGAGACGGGCGCGCTGGAAGGTGCGCAGCGGGACCGGGCCTGATGGGAGGAGCGGGTGGGTGGGGGCGTTGAAGCTGTTTGTGATCAGTTATTATTATTCGTGCGTGGCGGTGGTAGTGCGGGGGAACACGTGGGATGCAGGTGCCATTGGAGCATGGCAATAAGGTAAGGGAGGGGGTAGGTAGTACCTGTTGGTGCTAGGGGGCTTGCGCCAGATGTCGGTGCCAGGCGGCGCGGTGATGGTGAATTTGTCCGAAGCCATTGCAGGTGTGACTGCTGGGACAAGTGGCGAAAGGTAAGCAACAGCCAACGCAAAGAGGACTTTCATTGTCATACGAATTCTGCTCGTTTGCTTGGAGAAGTCTCAGGATTCCGACTGCGTGATGATGAATGTTGTTATATGGCCCTCTTACGTTGCTGCGGGCCGAGTCAAAGTGACGTGCGGGGCATACTTGGCAGTTGCATCACGGCCTCTAGCCTTCCGCTGTGTGATATTGAAGAGAATGAAACCCACAATAATACGAAGCCGCGGGCATCCGCCGGCTAGGATGACTTTATCCGACACTTGTCCTACCAAATTGGTTGCTGCCCACCAAAAACTTGGTCGTGATACATTGCGTTATTTTGCCGGAGTCCTTATATTTTCTTCTGCTGGTTGGGACTAGTACCTAAAAAGGCAATATCCAGAACTCAATTAACGCGATCCCAGGAGGTCGTTTGTAGCTCCTCTAGAATGGGCAAGAAAACTGACTGCCGAGCTGGAAACTTTGGCAATATGGGAACATCGCATGTTTCGTTGGCGCTTTGGCTCATAGAAAAGACCATTAGCATAAGCTGCACCTACACACCCTGACCCCATTAATGCGGATCCTGAACAATATCCTGGGGCTGTTTATGGTCATTCCGCCGTCTATCTTTCCTCATTTCATCTGTCACTCTGTATACGTGGGCATTGTCTCGATGTTGAACAAATTTAATTTCAGCGAGAGCTCGCCTCGCCCCATGAAGCGTCTAGCATCTTGCATGTCGGTATCTCGCTTTTTCTTTGCTGAACTTGGAAGAAATAGATTTACAAGGTTTACAGGGTCGATAATCTTATTTCTTCTCCTCCTCCTTCGGGGGCTCCGGCTTGGGCGTCGGGAGCTTGAACTACGTCGTGTTAGTTAAAGTCCATTCTTTCTTCCAAACAAAATGAAACAGAAAACTTACGCTCTCCGGCTTCCTGTCCTGGCCAGGACTGACCTGTTCCCAAGCAGCGCTGCCACCCTGTAAAATCTGTCAGCACCTTGTTCCTGGCTTGCGTTGTCTTTAAATCCTACCCTGAAGTTCCTGTAAGCCTGGGTCATCTCGAGCGGCTCAACAACAATCCTCTTCTTCTCCTCGTCGTAGCGAATCTCAGTGTAGCCAGTCATCGGGAAATCCTTCCTCAGCGGGTGTCCATCAAAGCCATAATCGGTCATAATCCTCCTCAGATCGGGGTGGCCAACGAAGAAAACGCCAAACAGATCGTAGACCTCCCTCTCATACCAGTTGGCACCATCGTAGAGGCTGCAGACACTGGGAACCGGAGTGGCCTCGTCGGCGTAGGTCTTAACCCTGATGCGGGAGTTGTGGCGGACACTGAGCAAGTTGTAGACGACCTCGAAGCGCTGATCCTTGGTGGGGAAATCGACGGCAGTGATATCGCTGATCTGAGTGTACTCGGCGGCGGTGTGGTACTTAAGGAACGTGAAGACGGGGATGACACCTTGGGGCGGGATGTAAATGGTCAATTCGTCCTTCCAGACCGAGAATCTATAGATTGTCAACGATTGGGCCGAGGATCGATAGGGACGACGCTTACTGTTGGATGTATTTCGGCAGACACGACAGGAGGTACTGGCCGTACTTGTGGAGAGCCTCGCCCTTCTCAGTGTACTTATCGGCCGGGTTCACGATTGGCGCCTTCAGAGGACCGGGGTCGGAGCGCTGCGCAGACTAACATCGACGTCAGTGCGTGCCGGAGCTTGTGCAGCAGTTGTATCATCATACACGCATGTTCGGGAGCTCGGCATCGGACGGCTTCGCGCGCACGATGGTGGTGGTGAAGCTGCGGGCGGCGATGGGCCGCACGGAGGAGCCGGCAGAGCGCAGCGCAGCGCCGATCGCGCGGCTGTTGGACAGACGGAGGCTCATTTTGGGCGACGGGACGGAGTTGGCGGGCGTCGCGACGCGCGTGGGATGCTTGGACGAGGCCAATGGCGGAGGATGGGCCTGGTGGTGTTGCTATGCAATCGTCGAGGTCATCGAGAACTCCGGCGCCTCTATTCGCCGGGGCGCGATTAGCCCGGAGGCGACCGACAGGGTTAGCGTGCCAAGACGTGTTCACTGCATACAGCTTTGCCGGGCCTCTGAACCCGGCCGCCTCTACGACCACCTCCTTCCGCCCATCCTCGCCTACGCATTACGACCTTGTTGACTCCCGCTCACGGCCGGCGTTCGTCTGTTTGTTGCCTCTGCTCCTCTGCGTTCCCCCGCTGCGGCTTACCGCCTGTCAATCTGCGCGTCTGCACAACACGCTCCGCGTGCGCCACCACCGCCCTTCATCACCGCACACACCATGTCCCGCACACAGGTAGACCAGTTCATCGACGATGAGGAAGAGGAGCTCTGCCCCCTCTGCGTTGAGGAGTTCGATCTCTCCGACAAGAACTTCAAGCCTTGCCCATGCGGCTACCAGGTACGCCTTTGCGCATTCCACGGCCGGCGTTTGGGCCGCCTGTACTGACACGCCCGCAACAGATATGCCAGTTCTGCTACAACAATATCAAGACCACCATGAACGGCCTCTGTCCCGCATGCCGCCGGCCGTACGACGAGAAGAGCATAGAGTGGAAGGTCATCAGTCCGGAAGAGTCCGTCTACCCGCACCTCCGCCCTTTCCACACAGACACTGATGCCGCGCAGGATGGCCAACTACAAAGCCGACCTCGCTCAACAAGCCAAGAAGAAGGCCGCTGCTCGCCAAAAAGAGGCGCAGAAGCGCGAAGCCGATTCGTTAAGCCGTAAACATCTCGCCGGCCTGCGCGTTGTCCAGAAAAACCTCGTCTACGTTACCGGTCTCAACCCCACGACCAGAGAGGATAAACTCCTTGAGACACTTCGCGGAGACCAGTATTTTGGACAATATGGCAAGATCATCAAAATTGTTGTGAGCAAGGCGAAGGACACGTCGCACCCACAACAGTCTGTCGGGGTCTACGTCACATTTGCTAAGAAGGAGGACGCCGCCACTTGTATCGCGGCTGTAGATGGCTCGGTCAATGGCGACAGAGTCTTGAGGTAGGTCTAGGTTTGACGCGCTTTGCTTGTCGCTACTAACGTGTTTCGTAGGGCCCAATACGGAACCACCAAGTACTGCTCCGCCTACCTTCGCAACGAGCAATGCAATAATCGCAATTGCATGTTCCTCCATGAGCCGGGCGAGGAAAGCGATAGCTTCACGCGACAGGACCTCTCGTCGATGAACGTAATATCGACCCAGAATCCCAACCAGGCCCGCCCGTCATCTTCCGTGCAACCCCACCCTCAACCTCCGCCACAACATGCGCCGCAATCCGTGGCCGCTGCGTCTCAACCCATGAAGAGGCAGGAAAGCCACGATGGATCGAACGGTTCCCAGGACGGTCCTGCATTACCCTCGCACGCAAGTTGGGCCAACAAGCCTCCGCCAGCTGCTCGCCATACCCCCCAACCGACAAGTACAGCCGCAGCAAGCCCGAAGGTTGCCAGCCCGGCTCTCGCCCCCGCTGCTAAGCCGGAAGAACCTAAGCCAAAGAAGGCTGGTAAGGCCAAGGAGTCCACGCCCCCGCCCCCGGAATCGCCAAAGGAAACGCCCGAAGAGCCGCCCGCGGAGCCGAAGCGTCCCAAGTCTTATCTTGATGAAATCCTGAAGAACCTCTCTGGCACTGGATTGGAATTCGTGTTCTCGGCAACAGCATTGAAAGACGAAGAGCTGCAGATCATCTCTAGTTTTCCTCCTCTGTTTGACATGAATGGTGGTGAGCGGAGAAAGGCCCTGAAAGAGAAGGAGGCGGAGGAAAGGCAGAGGTTGGAGGCAGAGACGCAAGCACTCCGGGAAGCTGCCTTGGCGCAACAAGAACAGGAGGAGGCCACCGGCGGAGGTAGCATGCAACTTGGTGGCGAACCGGAGGAGCGGTCAGATGTCGTTCACACACCACAGCATGCGATTCAAGCTCCTGGACAACAATCCATTGGTGGCTCAAGTCTTGGTCTGGATCAAAACTTCGGCCTTTCCGAACAGATGGCGAACCTGGGCCTGAACCGCGGCCTCACGACCCAGCAGCAACAGCAACTCCTGTTGCAGCAGTTCAAGTCGGCCAACACCCAAGCCAACAGCAACCTCTTCCAGAACGCTCAGGCTCAGGTGCAACCGGGCATGCAGGGCAACGCTGCAGGCCATGCTCGACACACGTCGCGCTTCACTTTCGCCAACGACGGCAACACGGCTTCGGCAAATGTTAAGCCCGTTGCCAACGCCAAGCTCATGAATCAGCAATCGTCGATGATGCCTCCCAACAGCCATTTCAGCCAGCTCTCTCAGCACCAGCCTCTTGGCCAGCAATTCTACAGCAGCAGCGTCCAGGGCCCACCTCCCGGCCTGAAGACGACTGGCACTCCTCCCATCAGCGGTGGCGGCATGTTCGGTCAGGGCCATGGTTTCGCCACCAGTGGAGTGGGCTACGGTGCCAACGCCATGGGCAGAAATGCTCAGGAAGATGCGATGAGAGAGCTCCTTCGGGGTCGGGGTGGCAACGCTGGCGGCAGCCAGCTGCATGATACTGGCAAGCGTGAGTTAATGTTCCCTTCTTTCTTGCACCAGAATCCCACCGCGACGTCTACGCCTAGCCCAGCCCCTGGCCTTCTGAACTTCCCCTATGGACCTCAGCCTGGCGCATACCAGGAGTCTGGTTCCCAGAAGCAGAAGAAGAAGGGGAAGAAGCACAGACATGCTAACACTTCCTCCTCCGGAGGTGGTGTAGTTGATGTTGCGGACCCGAGTATTTTGCAGGCGAGGTTGCACCAGGGCGGAGCCATGGTCGGTCAGGGACTGTACGCTGGGCAGGGTCAAGGTGGGTTCTCATCCGTGTACAACGGTGGTTTCAGTAGATGGTAGTTTTCCCGGCGGCATTCCCCTTTGTTGTCATTTTGCTTTTGTTGCAGGCTACAATGGCGTTTTTCTGGTGTGGGCAAGCGATGCATTGGCTCGTACCCTATTACGGGTGGCCTCTGGAGTTTTGCGGCGGAATCGGGATCTCATGTCCAAGCTGGCAATGAGCGGTCGGCAGGCTTTTTATGGTTGGGCTTTATGGCATCCGATTTTCATTCTGCCTCATTGAGCTTACGGGCGATGCGTCGCTGCCTTCTTAGGTCCGACAGCATGTCCTTCTCTTCGTCTTCGTCATGGCCATCGTATGTACGTAAATTCCCTTCCAGCCATCTCGGAGAGGGCAATTCACTCACAGAATAATCAGACTTCTGATGGCTTTTCTTCTTGATTGTACTCCTCGGCTGTGACGAAGACGTTGAGAAAGCTTTGCGTCCTGTGTTGTTGCATTTGCGTTTCATGCGTCCAGTATTCGAGCATTTTGGCTGCCGCACCCACCTGCCTCGTCGATTACTCGCAGCATTAACCACTGGGCCAAGCAGTGCTGATTACAATAGCAGTAGGTGAACAAGATCCTCTTTCAAGGAGCGTCGATGCTCTCGTCGGTGAGGCGGACATGCAGCCAATGCACATGGCCGACCTTTCATATCTCCTAGAGCAGCCTCGCCGTTCGACGCCAACAGTGCCCCCGGGCCTTTCTGCTCCCGTCAGCAGGACGGGAACTCCATCCAGTGCATCCATACGTCCTCCTCCAGGCATCCCAACTCCACATGCAGCGACACCGCACGCAATCACGCCGGCAGTCCCCGATCTTCCTTTGCCGACATCTCGGTCCGGCACGCCAGCGAGAAAGAGCACGAAGGAGTCTGAACGCAGTAAGGCAACCGAAGTCAGCACTGAAGCCTCCAAGACGCCAACCATTACCAAGTCTGTCCCAGGTAAAGTAAACTCGGCGGTTGCCACTCCGATCACGGCCAAAGCGGTTCCAGCAACGAAGGTCGAGACGCCCAAGGTTAACGACAAGGCCAAGACCAAATCAAAACCTTTTGATTTGGAACACTTGCCCGTTACACCGTCGAGGCCAGTGGAAGAGGTCCAGCCGTCTCCTGCCAGAACTATTGCTCAGGTTGTTGCGTCGGAGCCAAAAGCTAGCAGCGTGCCGCCTTCGCCCCTGAGGGCAGAGCAAGTTAAGCCAGAAGCAAAGTCGACAATGTCGAGTACCAAGCGACAGCATCCCGGACCGCTGCAAATTCCTAAGAAGGAGCCGCTGGGATCGGAAAGTGTTGTTTCGGCTAGCGACGCTGCAAAGAACCCTCGTGCCATGTCAATTACTGCAGAGTCGAGCTCGCGTCCAGGAACGCCAACCGGTGCTCCTACGGGATCTCCTTTGAAGCGAACAGGACCCCAGATCATGCGTATCACGAACACACCTAAGACGGAGACGCCGCCCGCAGTCAGTGCATCCTCTGCCCCAGCGACTGCCGCGATTCCTCCCAGCGTGGTTAGCATTCGGTCGAGGCAGCCTAGCGTCGCATCGCTCAACCAGCCAGGAACTCCGTTGAGCGAGTTCGTGTCCGACAATGCCTCGATGACTTCTGCATCCATGTCACGCACCAACTCTCCCCCTCCCAGCAGCAGGGTTGGCTCAGCACCACAGCGAATCAAGACCAAGAGCCAGGCCAAGAAGGAGAGGCAAGAGCGCGCTCGCCAGATGACGGAAGTCGAACTGGGCCTCAAGGAGTCGCGCACTCCGAGCGAAGAGCCAGTCATCGAGGGCATCCAGACGCGCAAGAAGAAAGAGAAGAAGGCGAAGCCGGCCAAGGCGGCTAAGACGGCGGTTTCGACGCCTGCTGGGAGCCGAACGAACACGCCAGGACCGGCTGAGAAGGCACCCATCCCGGAGCCCCAACCCGAGGCTCCCGCCGCACCCGCCGCCGAAAAGGAGGAGAAGAAAAAGAAGCCCACTGCTACTGCTGCGGAGATCGTCGCGACTCCTGCTGCTGCTGCTGCTGCCCCAGCTCCCCCAGCTCCGCCGGCTGCCGCCGCCGCCGAGCAGCAGCCGGCCCCTACCACCACCCACACCCACACCAAGCCGTCACCTCCAGCCATCACGCCAGCCGCCATCATCGCCAAGCTGCAGGCCTCGGGCGCCATCACGCACGAGAAGCTCGAAAACATGTTCAAGTCGTTCCCGCACGCGGGGCCCAACGAGCGCGCCATGACGCTGGCCGACGTGCCCAACCGCGACCGCCAGTACGTGCTGTCGGACGAGGCCATCCGCGCGGTGCTCGAGCGCCGCGAGGGCCCGCACCGCCTGGGCGGCGAGGACGGCCGCATCTCGTCGCGTGTGCTCGTCACGCCCGAGGGCACCATCCTGCGCGGCCTGTCGCGCGAGGAGGAGGACCGCTACCTCGAGCTCGAGGCGTCGTTGAGGAGGAAGGGGTCGGGGGCGGCTGGCGCTGCAGCAGGCCAGAGGTGGAATCCGACCAAGGAGCCGTACTTTGATCTGGAGCGCATCGTACGGAATCTGAATGTGAGGTGTGTGGTGGATAAGAGCAATACTCTTCGCCAGACGCAGGCCGCGCTGCAGAAGGCGGCTCAGCAGGCGGCTGCGGCCGCAGGCGTCAATACCAGCGGTGGTGGTGGTGCTGCTGGCGGCGCTGCGGCGGCTGCGGCTGCGGCGGCGAAGCTGTTCGATGAGGCCGCCAACTACAACGACGAGTTCATCATGCCGGCCAGCCCCACGCTGCCCGACGACGCGCTCATTCCGCCCACGGCCGTCGAGAACGCCGACCGCCCCAGCACCACCAGCAACAACCTCAGCGCGTCGACCAGCTCGACGGCTACGACGAGTATCGTCAGCGGCGGTGGACCTAGTGCGAACAATACCCCGGCTGGCAACAGCTTGCTCGCCGCGCCGTTCGAGAGCCACTACATTCAAATGAATGGCATTACGTTGTCAGATGCCGCGGCACCTGTGCTCGGCATCGACCTCGGGAAGAACGGGTTGCTGTTCTCCGGTGGAAGTATTACCGGTGGGCCCGGTGGTCCGAAGGGCGTGGCCGCCGCTACGGCTGCGGCGGCGGCGAAGAGCGGGGGCCCGGTATTGGCGGTGCACGAGATCGAGAAGGAGTTGAACCTCGAGAAGCAGCGTGCGAACGAGTACACGAAGAAGCTGAATGCTGCCATCAAGCGGAACAGGAAGGTTGTTGGTGCGGCGAGTCACTAAAAAAAAAAAGAAAAAGGAAAAGGGCATCGAGAGGCGAGCATCATGGAGATGAGGCTCCATTGTTTATTTGTACTATTAGATGTATTATTTGCACGGGGCACGACAGGGGGGGTTTACGGTTAGAGATTGGAGCGTTGGGCGAGGGGGTTGATGTTTGGAAAGTTACGTCGGTCGGAGTCGTCGGGTTGTATATATTTGCGACGCGATTCCGACGACGACTTCCAGCATTAGCTGCACATCTTCCGAAGGCGGAAGGAGGATGGGCGCCCATTATTACTGTACTACTATCACTAATTAACCATGTCAATACAGCGGGAGTGCCCGTTGCAGGCATTTATTGCTTTGCCGAGAGGAATGTCTTCCAACATCGGACGTATGAAGTCGGTTCTAGATTCTGGCCATATCGTTGCCTGCACGCCCCTCTTCCCACAAGTGGCAACGCCATCCCCACTTGGATGCGGCCTGGACCTAGTTCTGTGAGCATCCAGGCTGTTCTTCTCATTGCGACGTTGGACGAAACTCTGCTTCTCGAACGACTGCAGGACGCGAAGGAATGGTGAGCGTTGCGATAGGCGGCGCCCTCATCTACCATTCCATCGCGCATGGCTGCATCGTGAGATCATCACCAGCAATGGCCATTTCAAAGCGCCATGTCTCACTTTTCCCCATGTGTTTTTCCCCCCTCTGCTCCAAAAGATTACATCACCAAGTCGAACATTCCCGAAGCAGACAGGGTGTGTGTGGGGCTGCAGAGGAAAAAAGAGGCGCATACCGACCAGCCGCATCTTCGAACGTCTGAAGGAGATCCCCACATGTCATCCCGAACGTCACGAATCCCATGGCCTGTCCTGGCTCACCTGTTCGCGGGTCCTAATTTGCGGCCTCTCTCAGGCGCCCCTCTTTGTGGCTTGTTTAATTGCGGGGAACAGGTCAGTCGGGAGACCCTGTGGTTCGTTGTGGCTGAGGGCCTGGACTTTTCTGCTCTTTTTTTTTTCTGTTTTCTGGGCTGGCCGCGCCATTTGTCCCCCTCTCGGTCCCGACGGGATGGGATTCGGTATGCATGTACGTACACAATAGCCGCTGCTTATTTTTCGTTAATTTGCGACGGGTAGGGCGGCACTCTATTTTACTTTTCCTCCCTTATCTCCCGTGATACTCTCTATTTCTTGTGTTGCACGTGGGCCCAGATGTAGCGCCCGCACCACGAGACCACCATCTCCCTTTGTGTCGGCCTTTTCGGGTACGCCGGCCGAGAGGACGGTAGGTTCGGCATCTTCAGACGTTCGACCTTTTGGCATCAGGGAGTAGTGCTACGCTTGGGATCGACGGATCGATGCGATGACTTGGAACTTCGAACGTCGTCGCGGGTTGACATGCCGGGTGGCGCTGATTGGGATCGAGGCTTGTTCTTTGTAGGTTATTGCCGGATACAGCTTCTGTGGTACACTTTTGTCGCAGACAAAGCGGGTGGCGAAAAAAAGGAGGCGCCTCGGGCGCCTTGCTATATGGTTTTCATTCACTGACTAACTGTCTCCAGCGTCGTAGCGGCTGAATCTGGGTGAATGGAGACAGGAGGTCGGGGTTTGCGGGAGTATGAAATAATGCCGAGATGGTCATGGGGTCGATGCCTTCAACCGTTGGGAATCTGTGATCTGCAGCGCCAGAGCGTACGCGATTTGCTAGGTCAAGCGAACGGTGGGCATTAGTGCTCGTGGCTAAGCACAGTCTTAGCTAGGGGGTGGGGGGAATTCATGCGACGGACTGAAGTACATCAAGTGACTTTTCGACAAAGTACCGGTGGGGAACACGGTTTGTTTCGCCGAATGTTGAATATATCTTGCTAAAGAAAAGCGGACACCCGTATTACGGTTGAACATATGCTGCTCCCGTGTTATGCAAGGTTGCATGCATGAAGTAAGCCGAGCTGCTTTTGCGACTTATCGCTTTGATGACTGAAGTATTGGCGGCCAAGGTCGGTTATCATCAGTGACTTGCGGCTATCTGTGGCCTGTATACGCCCTGACAAGGGACATGTCGTTCGCAATACTGCTAGTACCTTGACAAATACAAATATGAATCAGTGCCGCAATCACGCACCGTGGATTTAAGCAACATTACTTGCGGAATATAGGGTTGACTAAACCATATTCGGAGCTTGCAAGATGCCGGCATGTCGCCGTAATCACTACACTGATCATCGCTGACCCTACAAGTGGACATGCTTCCAGTTTCTCAACCCACAAATGCTCGTCAACCCAATAACACACTTTAGCGCCGCATTACGCTATTTCGATATTGAGCGTAGTAGTTTGTGCGAAACGCCGCCAATGTGTAAGCCTATACCAAACATGACCCATGGCCGAGCTATGCTAGTCCTGCGTGCGTCGGCCTGCCATCGAAATGTTCACTAAACACGGCCGTTTCCTACGTCTGAACATGGATCATCCGGCTAATTTTTTATTAGCTGGCGACGTCGTTGGTCTAAGACCCCTCGGAGCACGACCCGCTCGTATTCGGATAGAGGAGCGCATCCCGCAGGGGGTCCGCGAAGGTTAAGGCCACGGCATGTGGATCACTCCAGAATGCGGTCTGAGGCGCCGTTACGTCCTTTTCGTACCTCATGGCAGCCATGCGCTTTTTTCCTCGTAGTCCCACCACACCGACTTTTAACTCCTTCACTGCTGCTCGAGCATTGGGCTGAGGACTACAATGGCAGACATTACCGACGACGCGTACCGCGCTCGACGGCCTCATCGGAAATCGAGATTTGGTTGCAAGAACTGTAAATCGCGAAAGATCAAGGTAGGTTGGTGCAAGGCGTTCCCCATTTCCCAATCGCGAAACCCAACCGATGGTGATCTTCGAACCCTCGTCTTTGTTGCAACTTCACCTGCCGCTCTGAGGTATTGCTTAACGTTCCTCATCTTAACTCAGATTCGCGTGGAATCATATCTTCTGACAAGGCTTAGTGTGATGAAGAGAAACCACAATGCGGGCAATGCACCAAGCATGCCGTTGTTTGTGACTTCTCGACTAGGGAATCGGTACCTGCGAGCTCAGTATCCTCGAGCAACACCACTGCAACGACCTCGGGCATCAACTCGGCACTGTTGAACCCAGAGACACCTACCGGAACACCACCGATAAGCCATGATGATGAAGCATGGCACTGGCGACGGCTCCTGCCCAGCGACTTCGACCTCGCGAGCGCCTCGTCGCTCAACATCGCCACCAACAATCCCATCGAGCCCCAACTCGAGCTCAACATGACCGACCTCGAGCTCCTCCACCACTTCACCGTCACGACCGCCTACACCCTCAGCACAGCTCCCGAGCTGCAGACCTGGTGGCGAATCGAAGTCCCGCACATCGCCTTCTCCTACCCTTTCGTCATGCGCGCCCTGCTCTCCCTCTCGGGCATACACGTCGCGCACACGCTCCGCTCCTCCTCCTCCTCATCCGCGGACAACAACACCACCGCTACGTCCCCACCATCCGCAATACATCCCTCCCTCTTCCCCTCCGCCTCCTCTTCATTCTCCTCCTCCTCCGTCACCTCCTCCTCCCACAACAACAACAACCACCCCGAGGAGCGCCGCCTCAAAGCCGCCGACCACATCAACCGGGCCCTCTCCCAACGAGACCTCGCCCTCCGCACCGCCCACGCCGTGCTCCCCAACTGCACCACCGCCATCACCGCCGACGGCACGAGCACCTCCCTCTCTTTAAACCCCCACATCTTCCCGCCCCTCTACGTCTGCGCCGCACTCACGACCCTCATCGCCTTCGCCTCCCAACGGCCGTTTAACAACGATGAAGACAGCACCGCCGCTTCCAATGCCGACGATCCGAACGACCTCCTCCTCCTCACCATCGGCGACAACAACAACGGTGGTCCCGGCACCATCGCGCCCTGGCTCCGGCTGTCTCGGGACATCAAGCACGCAGTAGATAGTGTGGTAGCGGCGGCGGAAGCAGGAGGAGGAGGAGGAGACGGTAGTAGTGGTCGAGACAACAACATCTTCAACCCCGACAGCAGCCGCAACAGAACCACCCTCCTCATGAGCAACGCCGTCGGCATGCCCCTCCGGATCGCCCGGTCACACCCACGCCCACCACAACCACCACCGCCACCGCAATCGCCCTCACCATCGCCGCCTCCGCAGACGACGACCACCGGCGGTGGTACCTTCGCCCTCCGATACGACCCCTGCTACGGCTGGAGCAACGGCCACAGCCCCGGTGACGACTACGGCAACGGCAACAGCGGTAACGGTAACGGCGACGGCAGCAGAGCAAGCAGCAGGCCAAGGAGATCAGTCCGGGAGACGGACCCCGCGGTGGCCGCGGGCACCGAAGAGCTGAGCGCGCTGCGGCGCTGGTTCGTCGCGCTGTACGAGCAGCGCTACCAGCACATCGGCGCCGCTCTTTCTCCAGACGAAGACATAGCAGCAGTGGCGGAGGCCGCGGCGGACAAGGCGGACCTGGCGTCGCTGTGCGCGGCCATCGATGCGCTGGTGGAGGCGTACGCGGCGTTTGATGGAAGGCTGGATGGAGGAGGTGGTGGTGGTGGTGTTGTTGTTGATAGTGAGGATGACATGACGGTGGGGATGCGTGCGATACTGGGGTGGGCGTGTAATGGCGCTGGCGTGGACGAGCGGTTCCTGGAGAGGGCGACGCAGCGGGCGCCGGCGTTTTTGGTCGTGTTGGCGTTTTGGGGCGTCATGGTGCACTGGGTGGATGGTGGTGGTGGTGGTGATGGAGAAAACCCGAGCGGGGGGTTGGGGCGGCAGGGTGGACAACAGCAACAGAGGTCCTGGTGGATTGGTGGATGGGGCAAAAAGTTGGTTGGGAGGGTGGAGGCGGCGGTTTCGGAGCAAGAGGCGGCGTTGGAGGGTGGAGGAGGAAGGCCGGATGGTGGTGGGGGGAGTGAGGTGGAGGATGAAGTGAAGAGGGACTGGCGGAGGTGGTTGAGGTGGCCGTTGGAGCAGGTTGGGACCGAGGGTGAGAGAGGAAGAGTAAGGGCGGTGGATTGCGTGGTTATTTGATTTCCTCAAGCCACGTATCGTATCTTTAACAGTAAGCTTAACGTGCGCTTAAAATCGTACGCGGGTAAATGTTGAGACAGCCCAAAAGTAGCCCGCATGTGCACATGGGGACCTTGTTAAGTAAGACAGAAACCCCAAAAGATCTAAGCCACCGTAACAAACTTCTATCAGCTCGTTACGTATGTAGCTGAAACTATCGTCCGGACGAAGATGTATATTTTTAATTCTACATTTACGCCCGGATGGTAGCTTCAGCTACCAACGTCACAAAAGCTCCCCAGCGTATTCAGAATGAACATGCTCAGTTCGGAAAGTATGCATGATGGCTAGCTTTTTCTGCATATTCACCTCTGACCAAGAGATCCAGCTGTCAAACCTTGAACGGACCAAATTCGGCTAGACTTTAGACGCCCCCCATGGAACGTTGTGGGTATATAACTCCCCATGAAAAACGCACAAATCGCTTTTGACTTACGGCGCCCGGCTGTTGTGCAACGGCAACCGCTCACCACCGTCATCGCTACTGATATCCTCCAACTCGAACTCGGCGGCACTCTGAATGCGCGCTTCCTCATCATTTTTGGCCTTGGAGAAACCCCTGATATCCGCCAGCTCTGCCTTGCTTGGGTACGGCGTGTCACACCTCTTGTGCCGAAGGGCCGGGTAGTATCGTCTGTACGTAAACCAGGCAATGCTCATTCCCAGCGCGCTACCGATTGTCACATCGTACACATCGTGCCTGTAGTCCTCGCAGCGAGAAATGGCGATCATGACGGCGGCGAGCAGCGGGGCGAGCGCAAACAGCACACGACTGAGATCCGTACGCGGCCGGAAGACATGGCACTGGCCAGCAAAGAACAGCGCGAGGTAACCGAGGCCAGAGAAGGCGAAACTAGAATGGCCCGAGGGGAAGGACCTCCATCCGTCGTGCAGAGTGTGATGGTCGGTTTCGGTGCAGATTTCGAAGGTGACGAGTTGGTGTGCGGGGGTTCCTTTCTCCTGAGGTAGCGGCTTGGTGTTAGCTTCTTGTCCAGATACAGCATGGGAAGACTTGAGCAAGACTTACAGGTTTGCAGCGCGCGATCAGATCAGGGCGAGGCCGGCCCACGGCGTTCTTGACCACATCGGTGATAAAGGAGGTCAAGATAAGGGAGATGAAAAAACCGAGGATTGTAACATGTGCCTTGTGTGCGCCGGGCCTAAATAGGAGGGCCCAGATAATAAGGATAGCGAGGGGGACGCCCCCAGCATAGACGAAGAGCCAGGAGACAGAGACACGTTCGATTTCGGCGTGGGGAAATTGGATGGCAAGATTGTCGAGCGAGAACATGCGGTGGAAAGGCTCGACGAAGAACTGAATCTGGACTGGGCGTCAGATAGCGCCTTGCGAATGCGCAGCCATCATCTCCGCACTGCTACAACCGGTGTTTCCCCTCTTCCCCTCTTCCCCTATGTGCGGAGCGGAACTGGTTCGGGGCACACTCACGAGCATGTATAGGGCGATGAGGATTGCAAGGCCCAGATACTCCGAGGCGTAAGATCTCTGCGCGCCGAGGGGTCAGCACTCAATGCGCGGCCATGTCGCGATGCGCCTTTGGACATACCTGCCAGAATCTCGAGACTGCGGAGCCGGCGCCGTTACCGGCTGCGCGGCGGGATTGTTGGGCAATACCGCCCGGCATGTTTGGTTCAGGAAGGTCCCGCGTTGTGCATGAGAAATGCTGGTGGGGAGGTGTGAGCGAGCGCGTGTCAAGTAGGTGTCACCCTGATGGTTTCGCCTCGTGGCCGGAAGCGTTATCGATAATACGCGGCTGACATAACTCAGCCCTATGCGGATGAGCGTAGGGATGCCGGTCAGCCTCGAACATCACAATCTGCAGGCGACGGTGTGATGAAATTTTCCAGAACCAGGCATGAGCATTTTCAGGGCCTCTGACATTTTCGGGCTCGGAGCTCGCATCGTCATCTCAGGCTCCCTCAGCATCACAATTCAACGCAGTTATTTCCATCGCCAGCGGCCCGACTAGGCGCTATTGGGCAGGCACCCTGTCTAACATCTCCAGGGTCTATCATCCCTTGTGCGGTTAACCAGTGCACGGCAGATCTTGTCAATCAACGCCATCCCCTCCCGGCACGGGAAAGCCGAGGCGGCTTCCCACGCCAAACACGCAGGCGGTGCCGCAGGGAAATCAAACAGCGAAAGTGGGACGGGACCATTTTTCTGCCACTGCATTGTGCCCCGTATAGGTAGGCCCGGATGCACACGCCGTGGAGAACAACCGTATCTCCTCGCTCGCTTCGAACCAATAACTCGGCGCCGAGCGTGTTGTCCCTATGCGAAGGAGGAGGCAGAGCTCGTTCCTGTAAGCACAGGACGTCATGAAAGCGGATCACCGCTCCCCCGCATGACAGAGAGGGAAGGCTTTGCGATCCGAGAGCTTAGGTCGGCGGTGGCTGCTCGCTAATGGCGCCTCGTGACCCCGCCGTATGTCCGGAGCGGGCCATCGCCAGGCACCGCGGCGCGCGAATACGGCGCGTGGGCGACGGCAGACGGACAACACTCTGGCGCGCGGTGGAGACTATTGGGCTGATCCGGCAGCTGGCCTCCTTTTCCCTGCACTCTGCCTCGCATCAACAATGTTCCGATGGGTCGTGCCGTTGCCCGTCACGGTTGTCTGTCAGCGCTTGAGGTTTCCCGGCAGGCTTGGGCGCCGGGGCCTGCGGAGCCTGTGAGCGTCGCAGCTCGCCCGCCCCCAACAGGCTCCGCCCCAGCGCTGCCACACTCACCGCCAGTGTTTCGAGTTTCGGTCGCGCTGTCCTGCGAGCAGCTGCAGCGAAAATTCGCGACTCGAGCCCGCTTTTCACGGACGTCGGCCGCGGTAACGGCAACGGCAGAGCGCTCGTGCGGCCCCAGTCGCCAGGCCGTGCATGATGAGCTTCAGAGAACCGCCGTCGCTGAAGCCCATCAGAGCCAAGCCCCGAACTATAAGGGGGCCAAGCGCGCAGCCACTCCATCGCAAATCCGCCCGCGGCTCTTTTAAGACGCCGCGCCTCGCTGCACTTGCAGACTCATGCGTTCAGCCACGCTCGCCATGACAACCTGCCTTTAAACACCTTGAACAGAAGCTCGCACACCTCCGGCGCCACCCCGCCGAGCCCTCCCGTTTCCCTCCCAATTACCCGCACAAAAGCTTGGGCGAATGTCTCGCCCTACTCTTCCCCCATTGGCTGAAATTTTCCGCATCGCCAAGCCTGAAATGGGTTTGTCTTCCCCATGCTCCACTGCCCATCAATCTCCCTCTGACAACCATGAAAGACGAAGAAAAGGTCCCCTTGAGGGATGATGCCAGCCCTGCGGTGACCCCCATCGAAGAAGAGAAGAGCCTGCCGCAATGGAGGCCCGATCGCGTCGTCTCGCCCCCTACCACCAAGGACCAGTTCGCTACGGGATTGTGCATCCTCCTTAACACCTGTGCCACCGTCGCTATGGTGTTCCTGAGCAAGCGAATCTTTTCCGACCCGCAGATGCATGATGCCCAAGTCATCTTCACCATCTGGCACTTTGGTTGCACCGGTATCGTTCTCTGGGTTGCCACTCGTGCGCCGTTCCGCGCCTTCAAGCCTGTCCGGTTACCGCTTCGCGACACCCTGCCAATCTGCGTCTTGTTCACCTCCTATGTGATCCTGGGGAACCTGTCTTTGACGTACAACTCGATTGGATTCTACCAGCTCGCCAAGGTCATGACCACGCCCGTTGTCGTTTTCATCTGTTTCATCATGTTCCGCACCTCGATCTCCATCTACAAGGCCCTGGCGATCGGCTGCATCTGCGCGGGCGTCAGCCTGACCAACTCCAATTCCGCTCAAAGCAACCCCTTTGGCGCCATCGTTTCCGGACTGGCCGTGACGGTCACGGCATTTTATCAGATTTGGATTGGAAAGAAGCTCGAGGACTTGGACGTTTCTGCTCAACAGCTGCTCCTGAACCAAGCGCCCATTTCTGCCTTTCTTTTGATATTCTGCGTTCCTATTATGGACAAGGTTCCTGATTTCAGTATGCTTTAACCCGATCAATTTGAGCCCAACTCGACGCTAACGAGCTTGTTCCAGACGCTATACCCTCGGACGTCTATTGGTCCTTGCTCGCATCTGGCATCACTGCGAGTGTTCTAAATCTGTCGCAATTCCTCATCATTAGCCGCACTTCTGCACTGACTGTGAGTTCTTCTTTCCAATTGCGCGATGGCGCTTTTCTGACCGTATGCTATAGTTCAATGTGGTTGGAAACCTCAAGACCATTCTTATCCTTTCCGGCGGCTGGTATCTCGAAGGCAGAGCTCCGACCTCGCAAGAGGCCTTCGGCGTCTCTCTCGCCATCGGTGGAGGCTGGCTCTACTCGCACTTGAAGAGGAAATAAGGCAATACGCATACGAAGCTGTCACGGACTTGCGACTCCAAGACAGTAAACCATTTACGGCCACCCTTGCACGGAAGAAAATCCGTGGCCAAGACGACCCGGATCCGTTCGACACGAGACCAAGAGGCGTCTTCCGGGACTCACGCCCGGCCCCACATTTTTGTATACGACTAGGAATTTTGGACAGAATTTCGGGCGCAGCTACGGCGGCTTTCCAGAGCCGTCAAGGAAGCTAACATTTTGCTCATCTTCGGGAAATGCATTTTTAGGCGCAGAAGGATATAAGCATCGGCTATGAACGGCGATGACAGTGGGCATGATCAGCGGTCACAGAAAGTGACATCATGGAACTATACGGAGGAGGGCACTGGAATGTGCCCTTGTACTCATACATACTGTACATATTTAATAGACAACTAATAAATCCGCAAACCTACGGGTTGGATTGTTTGTATTCGTAAACAACTCTCCTTTTTGCAGTGCTTCTCGTTCTGATCTGAGCCACTCCTGAGGTCGCTTGCGTCCTCGATACATCGAAAACTAACAGCACAGCCGCCACTGCCACACTTCAGCCCGAGGTCCGTTGCCCAGTGCAATATTAACATCCAAGCGTGCGCCCAATACGCAAAATTGCGCCTCCCGGGAATAGCCGGAAATTGAGTCGGCGGCAAGGCGAACCTGGCTGAAGTTCGGCCCTACGGCGCTCTCGCGAAAAAGAGTTCGAGTTGGTGGTCCAAGCTCCCCGGCTGTTAGCTGGCTTCCCCCAGCTTGGGTCCTTGTCGATCCAAACACCACTTCATGTGGCTTCCGAAACGCCGCTGAGCTCACAAATCGTCCCACCACCTTGCAACCCACCCTCTTTCGAGCCGCCGCACGGCCTCGTTCCTCCAACACCTCATCTCCGGGCGGCGCTTGTCACACACACACACGCATTGACGGCGGCGGCAGCAGCGTCAACTTCCTCCAGCAGCAATGGCCGACGACAACCCGGATAACGTGTTGAGCGCGACCTTCCCCGCCCCGCCGCCCTTCTGGAAGCACTTCACGCCCGACAATCGCACGCGCTTCAGGGAGCTACAGCAACAGTATGCTGCGGATCACCCAGCCGAGGACGCTAGCGCCAGCGATGCGCTGCCGCCTAGGATACCCGACGTCCCGCCCGAGCTGCGGTACCTGCAGCCGCCAGAGCCTCCGGCGAATGGGAAGTACAGGAGTTTCGGGGATGCGTATGATGTATGTGCATGTCTTCACATCCGCTTTTTTTCTGGGTTCATTTGGGAGGGTGGAGATTTTGGCAGCTCCCACGAGGAAACCATAGTCTTTCAAAAAAAAAAAAGTTGGTGACGTAACTGACACGACGGGCAATCCCAACAGATCAACACAGCCCTCACGTCTCTCCGCAGCATGGGCGTCGAGCAGCTCTACCCCTCGCCGCCATCCTCACCCTCCCCGGAGCAGCGAGCAGGCGATGGTGGTAGCAACCGCCAACAGCAGCAGGTCATCCACTCGCAGTGGACGCTCGACCGCGCGTCCTACATCAAGAAGATGACGCAGAGCCTGATGCTCAACTACCTCGAGATGCTGGGCGTGCTGTCGGTCGACCCGGCCCGCTGGCAGGAAAAGTACGAGCACATGCAGACGCTGCTGTTCAACGCCCACCACCTCATCAACGAGTACCGCCCGCACCAGGCGCGCGCCAGCCTTATTACGATGCTGGAGGAGCAGCTGGCGAAGAGGAGGGAGGAGGTCGAGGGCGTGAGGAGGATGCGGGAGAAGATTGAGGGCGTGTTGGCCGGGTTGGCGAATCAGGGCGTGGATGGGGTGGGGGATGCGGCGGCGGAGGCGAGGGAGAAGGGTGCGGCGGTGGGAGGGGTCGAGGCGGAGGAGGAGAGGAGGAAGAGAGAGCAGAGGGCTGTTATGAAGGCGTTGGATGATGAGTTGATGGCGGATTGAAATGGCGGACGGATGCATCGATGATTTAATGCCCGATTTCTGCTATGAGGAGAACTATGCAAAGAAAAAGAGGGGGAGAAGAAAGAAAGATGCCGCGACAGCTAGGCGGCAGAATTGCTGGATCTACTCTGGTCTGATCTTTCGAGAGCATTTTCTGGCGTTATGGGAGATTTAAACGGAATATACCCCAAGAATAAATGTCTTTATACTTTTACATTGGCCACGCAGGTTACCAATATCACCTCCACAGTAGAAGGCATACTGTAAAGTACAGAGAGGTTTTGCAGCCGGAGGCTCGTGTGAATTTACTTTTCGCTCATGTCATGGGTAGCTGAAGCAAACGTTCGGACGATGGCTTCAGCTACCCATATGTTATTTTACTTTTTTATTTGGGAAAAGAAAAGGCCGAGGCATAGTTATCCTAGATTCGAGTATGCTGCTATTCTCCGCACTAGCCTTCAGCTACAATACCCTTCTATAGCCAACTAGAGCCATGACTTTTCTTTCGTCCCCTCCTATGCTTTACTACCTTAACCATTCCAGCCTTTCCGCCGGTGGTGGGGGGTCTTCCGGGCCTACAACCCCAACAAAAGAAGACCTACTAGGCCTGCAAGAAACAACTTGCCAGCCATGTGGTCGTCCTTGCCACCACTCGCAGCTCCCGTCGCCGTCGCGCTCGCATCAGCGGACGACGCAGACGAAGAAGCGCTGCCACCCGCAGCAGCCTCGGAGCCGACGTTCGTGACCTCGATGCCGCCGACGCCGGTCGAGTTACTGCACTGGTCCGCGGCCAGCGTGGAGGCGTTGGAGGAGAAAGTGATGTCGGCGCACTGACGCGCGGGCGGTGGTGGTCAGCGAATGCCAGCTTCAAAAACGAAAAGAAAAGAAAACGGGAAGGGGGGTTCAACTACTCACATTGTACAACGCACTCCCGCCATGTCCAATCTGCACGACCTGCAAGCTCGCATTGCGGCCGTCCAGCCCCGTCACGCCTCCTTCGATCCCGGCTTCGCGCGCGAGCTCCTCCAGCGCCGTGCCGCCCAGCTGCGGCAGGCAGAAGGTGCCGTTGCCCGTCTGGTTGTACGTGGCGAGCAGCGAGGCGTTGAAGCTGGCGATCGTGTTGTTGCCTTCGGCCAGCCCGAGGTTGACGTACGTCAGCGCCCACGGGTGCGTGACGTGCAGGCGCAGCGAGCCGCCCGTCACGGGCCACTGCGTGCGGTTGGCTTCGGACTCGGGCGTCGAGTTGACGTTGGCGCCTGCGGTTTGGTGTGGGGTCAGTTTTCGTGCGAGGGTGTGACGAGTGCGGGAGAGGGAGGGAGAATGCTGGGCGGAGGGCGGCTTTTTTTTTTTTTTGGTTTTGCTTTTGGTGTGTGACGTACAGGGTGAAATCCACTGCGAGGCGTCGCCTTCGAAGGAGCTGCCGCGCCAGTAGGGATACTCGATTGAGAAGTGCGCAGCGGCGAGGGAGAGGGATGAGAGGAGGGCGGTGAGCTTTCGGAACATTTTGAAAACAGGTTGGTGGACCAATTGAAAGAGGACGGGAGAGGTGAAGGTAGGTTGACGACAGGGTCTTGGTGTGGAGAGGTAGGTTTATATCCCAAGCTTATGTAGTTTTTGGCAGAAGAGGCCAGGACGACACGTGCAAGATAAAACTCAGGGTCTCATCTAGGTGCCCTCAAACTTCTGTAAGGCAAGAGCGCGGCGGGTGAATGGGGAGAACGCGATGCGGTTATATACAGCACCTGCTTATCGCGGTCTGGAAGCTCACAGCGCCAGAGGTGCCACAACAGAGCAGTGGCTTCCTCATACGGCCCACCAAAGCCAGTGAGAAGGAGAATTGAGGAAGATGTGGCGGTGATTGTAATATTGCGCAAACTTGCTCACCCTGTGAACGGTCAAGCTCGCTTGGCGGTGGAGGGGTGCAGAGCTTGGCGTGGCTGCTTGCAGCGGAGCGGGATACAGATGAGGGGCATAGTTATTTAAAGGTACCATCCGGACATAGATATGGAATTATTAAGTATACATCTACGTTTGAATGGTAGCTTCAATTCACTATCTTATGAGCTTATATGTATATAGAAATTAGTTCTAATGGCTCGGCCTCCACTGTGGGCGATAACGCGAGGCGCAGTATCATAATTCGTAACTGACAGAATGACGAAAGATTTGTTCTAATTAGGATACCAGGCCAGTTGGTCCTTTTTATTTATTTATTTCTATGAGATTATACTCTCGTAAAAATGCGGTGCTAAAACTAACAACTGCAAAGTAGTAAATCAACCAGAACTCCAAATAAAGCATAACATCCTCTTCCGGACGTTAGCTTCGACTCCCCATGGGAGGTTGCCTGCTGGCCGCTCATCAGCGCTTTATCTAAGAGACGGTGCATGGAGAGATCTGAGAATCAGATGCGGGGATCTGCCTGTCGATCCATGCCTTCTCGAAGGTCCAACCCGTGGTCTCGTAGCCCTTATCCGGGTTGTGAGAGAGTGGGAAGGCCGTGGCATGAACCGTCAGAGACTCCCCACCACTGCTGGTCTTGCTTGGCAGAGGTGCGCTAGCAATTGCCGTAGGCAAGTTCGAGCACGGAGGAATGCGGAGAAGTGGCAGCTTCTGAACTCGGAGAGCCCTCTCGCGCTTTGAAAGCGACAGCTGGATGTTCTCGGACTGCATGGCTGCTGAGTGAGATAGACGGGAGATTTGCGCAGGTATGGATGTCGTTTGCGTAGTCAAAATAAAATGTTCTCTGATGTCGAGCGCTCTCGTGTTCTGCAGGGCAAGAAAAGGGGACCAACTTCTGTTGTACTTAAGTATTATTGGTAGAAGGTGTAGTTGAAAAACATGGGTGTTGTTGGTGCAACAAGCCAGATTGTCAAGCTCTGTAGAACAAAGGCACATGGGTTCAGCTCGTTGAGTCAGACATACTAAAAGACAAAGAAAGTCTGACTTGACGCCAACGCCGTGACTAATCTTAGAGGGGAAAGTGGAAGTGTATTTCCTTTTACTAAGTAATCGTACTATCTACAGATAAAAACAATTATAGCTTGCCGAAGATGCCGACGAAACACGTTACATATTGTAGAGTGGTAGGTGCGGTATGTCGTGTTTAATAGTGCGCAAGACTTATTAGTAGGTAATAGTTTTCCTTTGCAAGTGTTGACTACCGAATTATGGCTTTATTTATTCAAATACTAGTTCAAAAGTAAGATAGGCTATACCTAGAATATGAATTCTTATTACTCTCCTATACTATCGCTTTCTCTCCCGCTTTCTGTATTTAGAATGGGTCACATTAGCTTGGAACTAAATAAAAAAAATATACAATAATAACTCTTCTCTTAGCTCGCATAGAGGAAACATAAGCGAATGGCTTGCTCACCTGGTCATGCCAATGCTCCCACCGGATCTAGGATAATGGAAAAGATGCGGTGCGGGGCTATAAAGCCGCCATCGTTGTCGTTATTGCGCGAGGGACCCCATGATGCACTCTCCCAATCAGAATTATCTGGGACTGCATCGTTGGCGGCGGCGTGGCCGCTACCGCCGTTTTTCTTGCGGCGACGGTCGCGAGCACGGGCAAGCGCGCCTGCTGCTCCCCTTTTCTTGATCTTCGCCCCGTCGGTCGCCACCGATACGCTGACGTCGTCGCCGTAAACCGGCCCCGTGCTGACGGCGCCGACATCCGGCGGCATCATGAGCAGCGACACCTCGAGCCCGGCGTTGGCAAAGGCCGCGTCGAGCGCCGCTGCCGTCGAGTCGTCGATGTCGAGCACTTCGGACAGCCGTGCCGCGAGCGTGTCGGTCTCGTCATTGGCGTCTACGTATTCGTCCAGGTCCGGGATTATGATGGCGTTGGGGCTGATGTCGGCGAGCGCGGCCCCGTGGCCCGTGGCCAAGGCCGCGTCGACGTCGCCAAGGACATTGTGGTTGTGGAGGTGGCTTGAGGGAAGCGACGCGACGTGGCGCGTAAAGAGGCTGTAGATGACGAAAGTGAGTGTAGGGAGCGTGTGGGGCATTTTTGTTGGTGATGGTGGCGGAGCCGAGTCTTGTCTTCGTATGTGGATGATGCGAGAGCTGTAGGCTTGGACTGCGTCTCGATATTTATACATTTTCTTTACATTCGTCTCATCTCTTAGAAGTCTTTCAACGACGTTAGCACCCAGTCGAGCACTACTCAAGGGATGAAGTTGGAGTGGTTGCAGCGACATACCAATCATAACCGGGTAACGAGCTCGCATGTGATATCAGCCGCATGCCGATCGATGATGTCGGCGACCAAAATTTGGTGCAACTCCAAGTGCCAGGACAACTTTCCATCTCGACGACACTCGATATACAAAGGGAAATTGTGTGATTCTCTCTGATGAACTCAGACCCCAGCATGCGGGGTCTGGTCTGGTCTCCGACTCGAGTAGGTCGCAGTGCGAGGCAGAATGTCCATGTGAGGCGTCATGGTAGAAGCGGTCGGGAATAGCTCCATAATCACGAGCATCCAGCGGCCGTTTTGGTCGAATCGAAGCGACTACGCCAACGGCGACCATTGTCCGCAAACCACCACCCAGACGTACGTTCTGGGCAACGGCGCTCGATTGCCAGCCGTTGGCTTTGGTAAACCAGCAAGAAAGCAGCTGTTTCCAACGCTCTTGCTGAGGGGTTTCGACACCTCGATACTACTCCAGTCATCCCCTCCTTTCTTGGCACACGAACTGATGACATGTGACAGCTGCGAGACGGAAAAAGTTCGAAGGGCAATGCGGCAGGGCGCGGATGTACTCGGCTTTGTTGGTATGCATCGCTGTATATGTCATGCTGGTTAGTGGCCTTGATATAGTCTGCCAAGTTGCGAAAGATCCCGAATAACACACACTACATCAAACTTCCTTTTGCACAGAGAAAGATGCCGAGACATTCCCCAATTCGGACACTCCTTCTCGCAGTAGGCGCCCGTGGCACTGCGGCATCGATGTCAAAGGCATCGTCAGCCGTGACCGAGAGGGAAGGATGACTTTGGGTCCAGATGGAACATTCCAATGCAGAAAGGCATATTTACCTACTTGAAACCCTTTTGGAGCCCTAAAACCTCTTTGCTAAGTAATCATGCTGTCCAAACCAACAAAGTGAAGCTCACGTGTGGTCGCAGACAATAAGACAATCCAGAGCTTAGACGGAGTCTCGTCTATCAGTCGGAAACAGTCGTAGCTTACCGAAGGCACCAACGAAACACGTTGCGCATTGTAGAGTCATTAATGATGGTTTTCCTTTGTAAGTCGGTGGCTTTGCCGAATGATGGCGTCCGTGATCTGAAACAAGACAGATTTCCCGGATCACACGGCTTCGAGTACACACGTCCGTGGTCATGCTTAACAGTAGTAATTACCGAGAAAGGCAGGTGGCGGGGAAGGCAATGTAAATTCGTTAGTGCAGCGGACTATGGGTACTCCACTATGCTCACATGTTCCGCGCAATGTGATGAGAGAAAACTTTTACTTCAAAGACTCGATATGACGTTGAGGAGTTGATAGCACCTTCGCGAAGATGCTGCTTCCGGAATGAAGGGTGGCGGTTGACCACGTTGCAGTGGCAACTTCCATGGCAATAATGTGCATCAGGATTGCGATGACTGTTTTGCGACTCCACAACGAAAGTGGCGATGGCGGATAAATTAGCCATAGCTTTGAGCTTGATGCCACGGTGGCCGCAGAGAGGCATCGGGTGGCGCCAAGACTCCACGTGTATACTTCGGAGGCACGAAAGCGAGCACCAAGGAGGCTCCGCAGGCCCAAATTAGCACCCGAACGAGAAATAAGCATGAGCGGTGGGGGTGGGCGTGGGCGCATCAGCCGCTGTGCGCTGGGGCGGATTCTGGAAGCTTCACGCGGCGGAAAGGACAGGTTGCAGAAAGCGCTATTGCGGCCACTGATGCACCGCCGAACCCTGGCGCTAGCCCGCTTTCGGCTGGATCAGAGGCGGCGACGCTGATTCTCCGGTGCTTGAGCTCCAGTCGAAAAGGCAACGGTGGTGACTTTACATAGCGCCTACATAAAGACCACCCCGGGCCGTCGCTACCTTTCCCACTTCACTCTCCCTCCCTTCTTTTCTCCGATCCGCCCTTGCGCTTGCAAGTGTGCTTTCTGTGATACCCTTTGTCTACTAACTGCGGCGACCGAGCTCTGCTCTTGAATCCATCTATTCTCCCCCACCGTCACCGTTCACAACCGCCGTTCGACATGGCTCGGCGGTCGGGAGGCGCGTCCTCGCGCTTCCAATGGACCACGGTCCTCTACCTCCTCCTTGTCATCTGCGCACCCATGGTGCTGCTCGGCAAGGCCCAGGCCCAGTCTGACGACAACGCCGTGAAGGGCCCCGTCATTGGTATCGATCTGGGAACCACATACTCGTGTGTTGGTGTGATGAAGGGCGGCAAGGTAGACATCATTGTCAACGATCAGGGTAACCGTATCACTCCTTCCTGGGTGGCTTTCACCGACGAGGAGCGTCTCATCGGCGACGCCGCGAAGAACCAATGTAAGTCACGTCCGGATCCCAGCTTCAATGCCAAAGCTCACACCTCCCGCAGACGCCTCGAACCCCGAACGCACCATTTTCGACATCAAGCGTCTTATCGGCCGCAAGTACAGCGAGAAGGATGTGCAGAACGACATCAAGCACTTCCCCTTCGGCGTCATCAACAAGAACGGCCAGCCCCGCGTCAAGGTCGATGTTAAGGGCGAGGAGAAGACCTTCACCCCCGAGGAGATCAGCGCCATGGTCCTGAGCAAGATGAAGGAGGTTGCCGAGAACTACCTCGGCGAGACCGTTACCAACGCCGTTGTTACGGTTCCCGCCTACTTCAACGACGCCCAGCGTGCCGCCACCAAGGACGCCGGCACCATTGCCGGTCTCAACGTTCTCCGTGTCGTCAACGAGCCCACCGCGGCCGCTCTGGCCTACGGCCTGGACAAGAAGGACGACAAGACGGAGCGCCAGATCATCGTCTACGATCTCGGTGGTGGTACTTTCGATGTTTCCATCCTGACTGTCGACGAGGGTGTTTTCGAGGTCCAGGCTACCGCTGGTGACACCCACCTTGGTGGTGAGGACTTTGACAACCGTGTCATCGACTACTTCGTCAAGCAGTACAACAAGAAGAACGGCGTCGACATCAGGAAGAACCAGAAGACCATGGGTAAGCTCAAGCGCGAGGTCGAGAAGGCCAAGCGTACTCTGTAAGTGCCACCGGACAGCCTTGAGAGGGAATTTCCACTAACGCTCCCCAGGTCCTCCCAGATGTCCACCAAGATCGAGATCGAGTCCTTCCACGACGGCAACGACTTCTCCGAGACCCTGACCCGCGCCAAGTTCGAGGAGCTCAACAACGATCTTTTCAAGAAGACCCTCAAGCCCGTTGAGCAGGTCCTGAAGGACGCCAAGCTCAAGAAGTCCGACATCGATGACATTGTGCTTGTAGGAGGCTCAACTCGCATTCCGAAGGTGCAGTCGATGCTCGAGGAGTTCTTTGGCAAGAAGGCCAGGAAGGACGTCAACCCCGATGAGGCTGTTGCCTTCGGTGCTGCCGTCCAGGGTGGTATTCTCGCCGGCGAGGAGGAGGCTTCCAGCGTCGTCCTCATGGATGTCAACCCTCTTACTCTCGGTATCGAGACCACCGGCGGTGTCATGACCCACCTGATCAAGCGTGGCACCACCATCCCTACCCGCAAGAGCCAGATCTTCTCGACTGCTGCTGATAACCAGCCCGTCGTCCTGATCCAGGTCTACGAGGGTGAGCGTTCGATGACCAAGGACAACAACCTCCTCGGCAAGTTCGAGCTCACTGGCATTCCTCCGGCTCCTCGTGGTGTTCCTCAGATTGAGGTCTCGTTCGAGCTCGACGCCAACGGAATTCTGAAGGTTTCCGCCGGTGACAAGGGTACTGGCAAGTCCGAGTCGATTACCATCACCAACGACAAGGGCCGCCTGAGCGCCGACGAGATCGAGCGCATGGTCGCCGAGGCTGAGAAGTATGCCGAGGAGGACAAGGCGACTCGCGAGAGGATCGAGGCTAGGAACAGCCTTGAGAACTACGCCTTCAGCCTCAAGAACCAGGTCAACGACGACGAGGGTCTTGGTGGCAAGATTGACGACGACGACAAGGAGACGGTAAGTTCCCAAACGCATAATGAAACTGGAGCTCGAACATTGGCTGACGTAACATGCTGCAGATCATGGAGGCTGTCAAGGAGGCTCAGGACTGGCTCGACGAGAACGCGGCTGAGGCCACCGCTGAGGACTTCGAGGAGCAGCGCGAGAAGCTGTCCAACGTGGCCTACCCCATCACCAGCAAGCTCTACAGCGGTGCTGGCGGTTCGCCTGATGACGATGATGAGCCCAGCGGCCACGATGAGTTGTAAGGGGCTGTGGGACGGAGAGAGAAAAGCTTTGTATAAAATTCTAGACAGCAATTTTTTGTTTCCTCGCGCCTTCAGGACTGTCACGGATCAGTAGGATAGGGAGTTCTATGGGGGATATGAATGGACGAGAGTTTTGCATTGCCTGAAACACCAGTCTAGTGTGATTAGCCGCCAGTGCGGTGTTTGGTGCATCCGTGGGCTGTGTGCTACGAGTACGAAGGTGGGTGTGGCGGTACGATGTGGCCGTGAGGGGACCCGGGTGGGTGGATGAGCAGATTATTGGCTCTCGGACGCCTCAAATGTTTTTTTGATGATGCGCTCATCTTAATGAGGTCACGGGTCGTTCCCAACGGCGGCGTGTCATGCGCAATCAGGAAGGCGATAGACGGCGTCGATTGTCATTTTAGCCGACTCCATAATCAATCAAGAAACAAGCCGTCTTCGGCAAGCTCGGGACACGATACGGTGGAGCCAGCAAATTTCGCGACGACGGGGTGTCGCAAAGGGAAAGCGGTCCAACGCGACCGACCGCTTTTGGAGATGCGCTGGGCGGCCGCGCGGATGTACTTGGCCGGGTCGAAATGGTTCGCGGTTGAGGCTCCTTGGCGGCCGGATGGCCGCTGGCCGGCCCACGGATGATGCGGTGGCTCGCAGGAGGGTTCACGTTGTGCTGTGACAAGCATCGCCAATGAGTGCGACGGAGGGGCCAGGAACAGGCTAGCGCTGCGGCTTCATGCGTGGAATCAGCCTGGGGTCGGCCCCGCCGCGGCCGTTGATTGGGCCCCGTGCTGGACGGGGCGCTTCAGAGGCGTTTGAGATAGTGGCCCCGGCGCAGGGCAGGGCCAGCAGCGGCGGGCGCGCGAGACGTCCAAGCCTGCGGCCTGCAAGGCTGCGACCTTCATTGCCGCCGACATTGCACATCGAAGAGCTGCTGCGACGCGGCCGCCCCATAAACCTTCAGCCTCCACCGCCCCTTCGCGCGCCTTTCCTTGAAGAGCCATTGTCCAACCGTCTCGGCGACAATCACTGACACGCCAGGCCTTTGTGCGCGCGACCGCGCCGCGACAAGCAAGCTCGCTGATCACCACATTCCTTTGTACTACATCCAACAATAGCCACTCATTGTGCGACGAGAAGCCAACCTTAACACTCAATCCAATCATGCCCCTCCTTATTTCCGCCCCGCGCCGTACATAGCCCACATTCCCTTCCTTCCGCCCCCGTCCATTCGATACAAGGATAACCACCGCCGCCGCCGCAAACAACTTGCGCCGCTTCCTTCTCACCCTCCTTCCGCCGACGGAATCGCAGCTGGACTGCTCGATCCGGCGCTCCCTGTTGCTCCATTCGCCTTGAGCGCTCGACGACTCACCACCCTCTCTTTACACAAGCCGACCTGCTTCAGCTGGCCTGAAGTAATCACTCTCCTTACTGTGCAACCACTCCCCTCCCGACATCGGGATAGCAGCCTATCATGGGTTGCTTTGGTCGCATCCGCGACCAGGAAAAGAACGTCCGCGAGGAACAGAAGTGGGATTATATCGTGCGTCGCTTCGCCCTGTCGCATCACCTTCGCATGCTCTGCTGACTGCCTCACAGACTCTCAGCGACTTCACCTCCTCGTCATGGAAATCCAAACTCTCCTACCTCTGGCTGTGGATCCTTAGCGGCATCACCATTGCCGTCTACGCCGCCGACACCTTCACTGCCGTCAACCTGCTCGTCTTCAACAAATGGTCCAGCCAGGTCGACCCGGCCATCGACTTCAACGTGTCCAAGTGGATCTCCGTCGGCTGTATCATCCTCTCCTGGGTTCTCGCTGCTTTTGCCTGGCTCCGTGCCTTCCGCGTCATGCGCGGTGGCGGCGTCGCCGACAGCTACCTCGACCCGCTGGCCGCCACGCTCCAGAGTTCTCGTATATATTCCGGCGGACATGGCTGGAGGCGTTTCCTCGTCTTCGCCGAACTGACCAAGTCTAAGAAGGGTGTCGATTACATTGCGCTTTTCGTGTACTTTTCGTTCAAGGGTGCCTTCCGCATTTGCTTGGCCGAAGGCCCGCGCCAAGTCGTCAACGCTGTCACGCTCTGGGCTGCCATGAAAGCCGACCTGCTTCCCGAGGGAGACCATGCCGCAACCGATGGACATTCGTCGTTTGAGCAATTCTGGTTCAACATCAAGCTGCTTGCGAACGAGCAAAAGGAACAGGCCGTCATTCTCTCATCCATGTTGTTCACTTTGGTCATTTGGGTCATTGCCGTCCTAGGTCTGATCTTGGCTGGCGTGCTCTACGTTCTCTTCCTCTGGCACTACATTCCTTCGGTCGACGGCACCTTGGCAAACTACTGCAGACGCAAGGTTGACAAGAGACTGGAACGTGTCGTTAGCAAGAAGGTCCAGCAAGCTTTGGAAAAGCAGGAAAAGAAGATCAGGAAGGAGGAAGAGGATGCGGCTCGGGCGGCAGCGGCGAAGATGCAAATGCAGAATGGCGGCGCGCCTCCCAAGGAGAAGAAGGTTTTGCAAAGCAAGCACTCTCGTCCCGAATTGGTCCCGAGGAAGCCTACTCTGCCTCAACTGGGAGGCTTGGACAGAACCAACACCCAGTCGTCCGTCTCGACTCTTCCCGCTTACTCTTCGCAACCGCCGTCTCGACCCGCCACTTCCAATACCAACCGTTCCCGTGCGCCGACGCTCCCCAACGTCAGCGAAGATGATTTCCGTCCCGGCGGTCCTGTTAGGACCAACACTTCGTCCTCCGGCTGGTCTGCTCAGAGTTACGGCTCGAATGCTCCGCTGCTCAGCAGTGCGGGCGACATGGGAGAATCCACGCCGCCTCCGCTTCCTCCGCTGCCGATGACGATGCCGGTGACTCGTGAGCGTTCTTTGACGAACGGCTCTCAAGGTCGCTCCTACACGCCTCAAGGTCCTCCGCCCCAGTCTCGTGGAACCCCAGGTCCTATGGGTCCTCCTCAACCTCGCGGTACTCCTGGCCCTATGGGTCCTCCACCTCAATCTCGCGGAACTCCAGGTCCTATGGGACCTCCATTCCAGGCTCGCGGAACCCCAGGCCCTATGGGCCCTGGTCCTATGGGTCCTGGTCCTATGGGCCCTGGCCCCAACGGATACTACCCGCCACCGAGATCCAACACTGCCTTCAGCGCTGGACAGCCGCCCCGCTCGTATAGCCCGATGGACATGCCTCCCATGCAAGGTCGTAACTCGCCTGCTGTTGGTCCCAACGGTTATGGACCGAACGGCTTCGGGCCGAACGCGTATGGGCCTCCGCCTCAAGCACGGAGCTCGCCCGGGCCAGGCATGATGCGTCAAAACACCGGCTATAGCATGAACGACGGCTACGGTATGCCCCCGCCTGGCCCCGTGCGTACAAACACTGGCATGGGCCCCATGGGCCGTGGCGCGGCTGGTCCTTCCCCACTTGGAAACCCTGACTTTGATCCTTATGGCCGTCAATCTCCGGCGATGTATACGCCTGACGCGTATGAGATGCAATACCAGCAGCGCCCCGCCATGATGCAACAAGATGCTCCTCGTTCTGATTACAACGGCGGCTACAACGGTAACGGTGGATACGCCATCAACATGGATGACTACGATCCGTTCCGCGCTGGTACCCCTGCGCAAGCGCCCGTTCCTGCTGCAAACATGGCTCGTCCGCCCTCGCCTAGCAACGCTTCGACTGTTTCGGTCTCGACAAACTTCACCCAGGGCGGTAGCTATGTGGCATTCAACCCTCACCAGAACAACTCGACGCCTGTCTCGCAGAACTACGCTAGCAATGTGTCGCCTGTTCCTGAGCACGCAAGTGCCATGCCGCAGGACAGTGGCCATGCCCGACAGGGTAGCAATGGCCAGCAGAGCACTCACAGCCGTCAGGGCAGCTCTGGTCAGCGGAGCACGCACAGCCGCCAGAGCAGCGCGGGTCAGCGCAGCAACCACAGCAGACAGGGCAGCTACGGCCAGCACAGCAGCCACAGCCGCCAGAACAGCGAGGACCGCGAGCTCCGCCAGACTCGCGGCTCTCGCAACTTCTCGATCCCTGCTAGGTCGCAGCAGCCGATTGGTCCGATCAAGAGGAGAGCGACGGAGCCTACGCAGCCGCAGGAGCCGCATCTTGAGGCGTATGAGCAACGTCCATCGACTGCTGGTGGCCGGAGTCGGGATCCGTCCCCGGAAAACTGGCGCAGGGTTATCTAATTGACTCGGCGTGTGAGCAGCCGCCGACATAGGTGATAATGATGGTGCGTCTTTTCCACCAAAAAAGCTTCTCCTCTGCTGGTTTTCAGACTCGTGATACCCTTCATCGCCTGATACCCAAACTCTTTTTTTTTCCTTTGCCTTTATACACTTCGAACACTGCGACGACTCTTAATGATCAATATTTGATGGGAAAGAAAAAGGCTTGCTGAGATTATTTTTTCTCTACGTGGAGGGGGGTTTGATAGAGTTTTATACCACACTACGTTCGTTTGAAATCGGGAATTGGGGAGGTCGATCGTCGCCTTTTTATTTCCTCACTTGTGTTTGTACAGCTTTTTTTCCTTTATGGATAGAGAACTCAGCGCGACTGCTGCTGTAAAATCATCATCATCTCCTTGCTGCATTCGATTATTATTGCTTTCTGCCTGTTCCCGTGTCTGGTGCTGGTTTGCGAATCGGTGCATTGCTCGCTCGTCTTCTCGTTTCAGATGGCGCAAGCGCTGATCTTGGTGTTTAGCAGACTCGTGTGAGGTCATAAGGTTCCTTTTTATCGATTCCTTTTCACCGCGCGGTGCTCTGAGAGAGCATCATCACGCCGTGCGCGAATTCAAGTCGGGCTCTCGCGCAAAGGCCGGAGTCATCGGATTTGTGGTGGTGGTGGTGAGAGGTGGTGCCATACTCCGTGGGGGAGAAGCTGGGGCGGCTTGATCGAGAGGGAAGCACGGTGGAGATTTCGGGCCCCGGAGCGAGTGGAGGCCTCAATCATCACAGCGTGGAGACAACATGTTCGCCTTATCAGAAAACAACTCACAGTCGGTGAGTAGCGTTCAGGGTAACGCTCCCGCGTCTTTTTCGTGGTGTTGGGACCCTATCTCCAAGATGCGATGCGGCTCCGCTATGGATGGGTCGGCACGGCAGATTGACTCGGCGCAGGGGTACGCCGCTGTTGTCGCCGCGTGCGCTTTTGCAAACAGTGGCGTACTTTCTGAGGCTTTTTGTGTTCCCATCATGACATGAGAATCTTGTCAGGGGATGAGACTGAAGCGGAAGAGGAAAGCGGGAACAGGTGAGCTTCAATCACATGCTGTCTCTGGCTGGGCCCCGGTTCCGTCTTCTTTTCGCTTCCCGGTTCTTTTACGTCTCAAAAAAGGCGCACAGTCCACAGATGCACTATCTTGAGCTAAACTGACCGGCCGCAGGGGGCCGTGGGTGGGGTGGCAAGATCTCACAAAGAGAAGGGAACAACGAAGATGATACTATCATGGCGGAATGAAGCGCGATGACGCAGCATGGGTCGCGATAATCCGGTACGCCTATCCGGGAGCGAAGATTGGCCGCTCGCCGTTTGCGCCGTCAGCCGCATTCAAAGAAAAATTAATGGCGCGCGAAGGCATGCGGCGGCGGCCCGTTGACCGGCCATCTACAGTCCCCTCTCTCGCTCATGTCATGGGTAGCTGAAGCCATCGTCCGGACGTGTATGTAGAATTAAAAATTCGACATTCTCGTCCTGACGATAGCTTCAGCTACCCATGACATGAGCAAAAAACAAATCCACGCTAGCCATCGGCTGCAAGAGGGGATTGTACTTTGCGATGGACGGGATGTGCCCTGCGTCGCCGCTGCTGTCGTGTGCCGCTTGCCGTGTCGCCTTGTTGACAGCTGGCTGCCGCGCGGATCAGGTACGGGGAACAATGACGCAAAGCGCCTTACGACGACACACGTCCTTCTCGAACATCGTTCCATCGTCCCCTAGCACGGGCAACGGCCACATTCGATAACGCCCGTGTACTTTCCCCCCCTCCGCTATCGCAGTCGTATCGAGCGCTTTCCTTCGGCTCTTCCGTGCCTAGGTTTCTGGCTTCTCGATCTCTCGCTTTTCTTTATCCCCACATTAACCTCGGCATGGGGGCGGCAACTCACCACCCGTACCCCACGTGTTGACTTCAGCTGCCAGTGCGCGGCCGCACATCAGCCGAGACCTGGCCGAGGACCTTGCTGAAGCGACCCGGCGTCTCTGTGGGTCCCGGATGGAAGGGAAAGACATCATTGCCAGCAATGGCGAGCGACGTGATTCGCCGACAAGGCCGCAATGGAGAGGTCCCCGCCGCTGCTGTTGGCCCATATCGTCATCCTTCCCGGATGATGTGAGGATGTCCACTATCAAGGGGACCCTTTTTTGCCCCTCACTAAAATAATTCGCGCGTCCTTAAGCTTGCGGGTAAAAGAGACTAGGTTGCTAAGAGAACCCTGGATCTTGCCGGCGACGCCTCCCCCCTTTGGAAAGGACGTGTGTAGGTGGGGCGTGGCGTGTATGGTCGTGTGTGTATAAAGAGCGTCTGCCCACCTCTCGCCCTTTCGTCCGGTATCGCCTGTTAAAAGGGAGGCCTGCTGTCCGTTTGTCTCTTCTTCCTCTGTCTTCAAATCCTTTTGCTTTTGGAGCATCGCCGCCCGATCAGACCATCTCCTGAGTGCTGTTGCTTTATCCTTCCCTGGCTTCGATTCCTACGCCCGACGATTAGATACCCCAAGCTCTTTCACCGGTCAAACCAGCCGTTTTCCAACCTCCTGAACACCCTCCCGTCATCCTCCCAAGAGATTTTTTAAAAAGTAAAAAAAAAAACCAAAACCACAACCATGGCCGTCACCGCCTCCATCAACCCCCCGGCCGCCGCCCCCGGCACCAAAATCAACGGCACCACCACCGACGCCACCATCAACGGCAAGCCCCTCGCCAACGGCGCCCTGTCCACCGCCCCCACCGACAAGGACCTCGCCTCCCTCCTGACGGTCCACCACGGGCCCAACTACACGACCAAGGCCGTCTCCAACGTCTCGCTGCCCCCCAACGCCGTCTTCGCGCGCATCACCCTGGCCACCGCCGCGCCGGCGCCCGTCTACACGACGGTGCAGTGCGGCGCCGACGCGCACGTCGAGCTGAACAGCGACCTGCGCTACATCAACCACTCGTGCGAGCCGAACCTGATCTTCGACATGGACGCCATGGAGGTGCGCGTCAACCCGCTGCTCGAGGACGGGTTGAAGGAAGGTGACGAACTCACCTTTTTCTACCCCAGCACCGAGTGGGTCATGGACCGCGGCTTCGAGTGCCAGTGCGCCGCCCCGGCGTGTCTGGGCTACATCGAGGGCGCCAAGGCGCTGGATGAGCGCACCCTGAGCAGGTACTGGGTGTCGAGGCACATCCGCGAGATGCGCGAGAGGCAGAAGATTGAGAAGATTAGTAAGAGGGTGAGCAGTGGGGGGTTGGATGCGCTTGGTGGGAAGATGCCGTTGGGTTTTAGGAGTGTCGCTGGCGGTGGTCTTGTGTAAGTTGGGGGGGTTCGTTTGAAGGGGTGTGGAGTGCATGGTGGGGAGTTTAATGTTGTTTCTTGGGTTGCGGCGGGCTGTTGAAGAAGCATAGCGTTGCGTTGGTTGTTGAGCATGGGGAGGGCATAGATGGTGTCAGGGAGTTTCCTTCGTGTTGTCAGCTTGTTTCTTTTTTTTTTTTTTTGCAACGGCAGTGGATGACTCTACTCTTATTTTGCTGCTGCCCAGAGAGGTATGAATGCAATTCATGGAAGGACATCACGTACCCGTGTCCCTTACGCAAACCTTTTCCCAATGCCTCGATTGAATTGACGCTACTCCGGCATGCCTAGAGATGAGCGAGAGACAGCGAGATATCTCGACTGCGGTAGGTTTCAAGAGAAACGATCATCTCGACTTACGTGGACTGTATATCGTGAAAATATAAAAGCTAACGGTGAACGGCACGAAATAAAGAATTATCACATAGTCGTGGCGCAAGCCTCAATCAACCACAACATCACCAGCATATATTAATGAGCGATGAGCATCCCTTTTTGCCAATTCTCCTAAGAAACTCCCCGACGAGCCGTCCTCCCTCTCTCGGGTAAATCCCCGACTTCCACCCCTCTGCCAATACTGACGATCATCCACATACGTAGAGCCCATTAAAAATAATTTCAAATGATAGAAAGGCTTATCGCCGCCTCGACATCCCCGCTGCTGCCGTTCCGTTCCGTTCCCTGCTCGCCTTAACATCACTACTAACACCCCCCTGGTACTTGCCACCACCGGCCGGCCCGTCCACGGGGCTGCCTCGCCACTACTACTCTCTCCCTCCCTTCCTATCTACGCGCCGTTCCATACCGTACCCTTATCGTGTGTGTGCCGCGTGGCGCGCGCCGCATCGAGCCGTGCCGCGCCTAGTCTACTCCACATTTTTGCTTTTGTTCTCTTCTTTGACCGCCCTCATCACGGACCAAACGCCGAAACTCAATCTCGTTTCGAGATCTCATGTACGTACGATCGATCTCCTTCCCGCCGTATGTGGTACAGATGGGGTATTACATCCGAAGGCTAGTGTTGATTTGTTTTTTTTTTCGCTCATGTTGAAGCTATCACCCGGACGAGAATGTTGAATGAAAAATTATACGTACACGTCCGGACGATAGCTTCACCTACGCATATTTTGCTTAACTTTCTTTTAAAACAAAAAATCTGAGGGATAGTTACTCTAGATTCGAGGGTCCTGCTATTCTTCGCGCTAGCCTCCGGCTGCAATACACCGCTGCACATACATACATGGTGCATGTGGTCCAAGAGGCCAAGCAAAGGGCAAATGCAAGTACGTAAGTGTGATAAGGGTGTGTCTATGTCATGCACGGTATGTGGTGGTGGGGGAGGAGCCGTGCGCGCTTTGTCTCGCTGCTCGATTGATTGACCTGCATATGACATGGGAAAAAAAGCAAAAATATGGAGAGCGGGGGAGATGAGGGGCGGGGGACGGAGGAAAAGAAGCGGGAAGGGGGGAAATACGGGCAACGGAGACACCGGAGGCAAGAGAGAAGCGGCTGCTGCAGCAGCGGAGGAGGCGGCGGCTAGCACGGGGGCCCTGAAACCTGCGTGTGCTTGACGGAGAACGCCTCTTCCGGCCGGAATAAGCTCCGGTCGATTTTTTTTCCTCTGTGCGTCTTTTTTTTTTCGCGCTCAGCTGGGCGGGTGTTGAGCATTCCGGGGAATGGATGACGCGGTCTAGATTTACGGAGCGGAGAATTGGAACAGGAGGCAAACAGGAAAAATCAAAAAGAAAATAAATCGGGAAAGGCTGGACTGGAGGTTATCATGGGTTCGCCTGAGAGTATGACGAGCTCTCGTGAAGTCCTTGGGGAAAGATTGAGGGAGGCAAAAGCACGAGGGCAAGAGAGCGGCGGCGAAGACGCGTCAGTCAGACCAGAGCACAGCGGCAGCTGATCTATATTGTTTCCGGGGAGACCGACCATGCGCGGGTCGCGGATCTGACGCCGAGCATTGTTGCCTATGTGCTGTCATCTTGTATGATGCTGCTCTGCCTCGTCTCGTATGCTGTGTCAGCTGTCACTTGTCACTTGCTCAGCCGCGCTCCCCCCGTTCCTTCCTCCTCGTGCTGCTGCCGCTGCCGCTGACGCTGCTTGCCAACGTACAGGTTGCAGGATTTCCCAGCCAGGCGGCAAATGCTCTCTCCTTGAATTTCCGGCCGCCCGTCAAAAGCTGGTCGTGTCGTCCCGGCGGAGCGGTGCCTGGGTACGGGATATGCGACGACGACGCATTAGCCCCCAGGCAGGGTACAGGCGACAAAACCGCATACCCGTAACACTAGACCACTGCCCCCCCAAAAAAGACAGGGGGCTGGAGATCTTGCTGCAACCCCGTCGTCGCCACCAGATCACGCTTCTATCACTCCACCAACCCAATACCTCGTCACTCACCACCCCCACCACCCCCGCCGTCCCAACGCCTATCGTGCATCTGCAGGGAGAGCAGGACGAGGAAGGATGAGACGGGCGGCAAATTAGGAGCTCCGGTCCGGTCCAAGAGGCACAAGGCAATCTAAATACTCTCCAAATACCCGGCCGCCGGTACTCACTCCAGCAAGCATCCGCTAACATGTACAGGCAATGAAATATATGTATACATATGTATACACATACCATTGCATTGGGTTCCTTCCTTCCTCCCCGACGCAGCTACCCATCTCCCTACACGACGACGACGGAATATGCGCGAGACCGCCTGACTCGAGCCTGACAAGGTTTACTCGGAGATGTTGAGGCAGTACGGAGAAAAGGAGTTTTCGTCCAAGCCTTGGATCTGGCGGGGATGGACTCACGGGTCATGCAGGAAGGAAGGAAAGGATGGACGGATGGTGATAAGGACTGCAAAAGAGGGAATAGTGCTGCACAAAATGGCGGTTGCGATGCTGGAATCATGGCAGCGGGTGCGCCGATCGAGAACGAGTTGATTCATAGAGGCAGAAAAAAGATGGCATTATACACCGCCAGTGTATTCAAATTATTGATCCACTACTTACTACGTACACTCATATACAACCTGCTTTTTCTATCTTTTTCATTTTTTCGTTTCTAAAATTTTCCAACGATGGTAGTCACCACGAAGGTCGAGATCAAAAAAGCAAAAGCGACGGATATACCCTGAAAGGTGGAGAACATATGAAAAGGAATACCAAAGTGGCAACTGCTGCTTTGCCGGTATCACCGTCGACATTGCCATCCTTTCCTTTTCGGAAACGGACTGACCCAATGCGTTGTCTGATAACAGGACAATCGCATCAGCTGCGGTGGTGGACTGAAGTGACGACAAACACACGTTCAATTAATCTTTGAGTTAGGGCTTCGCGCTCACCGCACCATCATCATATGAGTGTGGGAGGAAATTGGGAAAGGAGCAGCACCGAGATCCAGCCTGCCGGAGTAAAAAAGACGCATCTCTAAACGTCATGACCAGGTTAGGGATGGCTTTCCCATCGAAACGGACGCTCCGCCGGGCCGGCCCCAGAAAGTGGCCTCATTCACACACCTGAGGGGTAAGGCTTCATTGCACGACAAGAAATATTTATTGGGGAGGGGCAGGTGAAAAAGGCTGAACCTGAAACAAGGGTGACACGGCATGTGGGATCGCGGACTCGGCGGGGGGGGGGGGGATGAAAGGGAAATGGGAATGAGAAGGGATCTAGTCGACGGAAGATCGACGAGATTTTCCTTTTTTGCATTCCGCGCGCCCATGGCCCCATGGTGCTGCTCCCTCCCCCGGCGTAAACAAGGCAGACGCACACGCACGTACCGTGACGCACAACACGCGCACACACAAGAGTTCCCATCGGACGTGCGTTTTGCATGCGTCTTGCCTTGCATGGATTGCTTGTTGCCGAAGAAGCAAAAAAAGAAGCGAAAGTAGGACCGCATGATTGGGAGAGGGATGGAGAGATGCCCAAAGGAAAAACAAAGCATCTAGATCAGGGTCCACGGAGAAAGCAAGGAGTGAATGATCGACAACGGGGTGGAGCGTTGTCGAAGAAGTAACGTGATGATGACAGCAGCGAGATGGGGGAGAAGATGCAAGATCTGGACATTGGGCTGACCCTGTTGCCGCTTAGCTGCATGTGGAATACGAATGGAAAGTTGGGCGAAGGAATAATGCCGAACACTGACTGGTCGAAAGCAGGCAGCCGGCGTGGCGGGGGAGAGGACTCGAGCGTGAGCATGCTGCTGTACTCTTGCATTCGAGCCCATTGAGAAAAAAGATCAGCGTGACCGGCACTCTGCAGGAACAGCGCAGCGGGAGCAACACACCACAGACGCCGTGTCGACATACCGTGTCGGTGTCGGTCAAGACTGGGAGGAGGAGGTGCAGCACGCGCCGAAGGTCCGGTTGGCCGGACTGCTGCTCGCCCTGCCAGCAGCCGCTTGGTGCAGAAAAGCATGCCGCCCAGCGGGCCGGCAAAGAGAGAGCGAGCAACCCGGTTTAGGAAATGGCAGAAGGTAGCATTGCAGACGAAACACGAGGAGCTCGCGCAGGCGGCCGGCGGCAGCAAGCAGCAAACGAGCAACACAAGATTTCATGGAAACCAAAAGCGACAGTGAAACCAAACGTTGTCTGTCCACGGAAAAAACGTGGTGCATGATAGAAAATATCCAGCGCACACGAGAAGGAGAGACAGACAGGCAGACAGGCAGCCCAGCCAGCCCAACCCAGCCTGACACACGCACACACACGCGCGCACTGACCGATACCGGATGCTGCGTTTGTGCTCCCATTGCCCACTCCTCCCCCGCTCTTCCAATTAACTGCCGCCGGAAAGACTGCCTCGCACGCCATTTCCCGCTGCTCGAGCGCAGCAGTTTCAGTAGCCGTCATTCAGTCTTTTTTTGCATGCAGGTGCTGACTTGTCTTTGAGCTGCGCGCATGCGTGTGCCGCTATTGTTTCGAGAAGGCGTTGTGCACGCGCTGCCTTGTCTCTCTGTCCCACCGCTGCGTCCTATGGCTGCGCGGTATGAGATATGAGGCTGGCTGGAGGCTGGGATTCGACCGGCTTGAGGTAACAATGCGGCGTTGAGCGGTCAAGAGAGCGCGATATGCCGAACAGCTTCGTCGCTTGAGAGAGAATAGCTGGACTGCGCGGAAAAGACGTCGAGAGGAAGGAGTGAAGTCGAGATGGTTGATCGAAGCGCGATTGGTGCCAGAGGCCTGGTGAACTTACCATTTCTGACAATTCCTGCTGATCATACCGCCTCTTCCGCTGCTCCGTTTATTCCCGATCTCACTAAGCGCCTCCGCTTCAGTAAACAACGCCATTCGGGGAGAGACAAATGACGCAGGGCAGGAAGAGGCGAAGAAGCAAAAAGCATTATCCAATTACTTTCAAAAAAAATTGTCTGCGCCGGCCCACCTCCTTGTATAACGACCATCTTTGCTGTACCCTTCTTCCATTTGCTATCAGCTCAACCAACAATGATTATGTTCCTTATGAAGAAAACTCTGCCCGCCTTAGTGTACATCTCACCACAAATCGCCAGTCAGACCCTACTAAACCGAGAAGTGTGTGAGGGGGCAAGGAGCTATGCACAGATAAAGCCGTAGAATCTTCATCACATCAATCTTGTTTACCGTGAAGTTATCCCACCCCACCGAGACTGCGCTTCTCCTACGTCAGTCATTCGTATCAAACAGCCGTGGCTGCATCCGGAGATAGAAAGGAAGACAGTGAAACACAAATACAGGACTTTTACCGCCCAAAACTAGACACTCCCAATACAACTACTATTGGTGAAGATTGATATTTCCCAGTTCTTCGCAGTCGGTGGATAAAAAAAAGAAAAAGAAACAAGTAAGGAGACAGAAAGGAATGATTGCAAACGCTAAACGCCAACGTGGAGCGAAATGAAGCAGGACCCTTGCTTGCATTCAATGAAGCAAAGGATTTCGGCTAGCCTCGGTGACATTCCCGCCCATGTAAGCTTCTTAAAAGTGCCAAAGGGCATGAGAAACAGCTGCGTTCATTACCAAAGGGCAACAAGAAGTGCGACATTTGATGAGGGTCCAGAAGCGCAAAGATGGACGGTCCAGCCAACCACCCGCGAAGCGGGAAAACTCGGAACGCAAGGAAGAGAATCCCGGATGAGTGTGGAGAAGGTTTGCGGGGAAATTAGGGATTCTGTGCGGGGGCGATCGCTTCGATCGTTGCGGGGTGTTCGTCAGCGTCGTGGGCGTCCGGGGAAGAATGAGTCAACGACGACCGTCGTTGGAAGATGTCATGATAGTCTTTCGAGATCTCCCGCAATGTGGAGTAGCCTTGGTATGGGGTAGATCTGACGCTATTCCATAATGGGCAGGAACTATCGGATAAGTCCGTCAGCAAGATTGAGCGGCAGCTGAGTGGAGAATGTACTCACGTTCATGACAATCAGCATTGGTACCTCGAACACGTCCCGTTTGACGCTCCAGCAGAACATGCAGTTGATCAAACCGTCCTTGTCTCCCGGTCTTCCTGCGCCGGCACCCCCCTCAAGCTTGACAACGGTGTTGCCATTCATGTATCTTGTGCCCTTGCTTTGATCTTTGTTGCCGCTCTCTTCAGACTTGATGTTCATGTTTTCCAAGTTGGAGAGATCATCTTTGGTACGGTAGCGTATGAGCTTGCAGGACCGAGTCGCCGTCGCACGCGGTGCCACAAATGCTAGCTTCGCAAAGTCTTCGTAGAACTGGCACACTGAGTTGTCGTCGAGGATCTCAGCAAGGTATACTGGACGGGGGCTATCGATGTTGGGTTGTTGTTCCCGGGGGGTGTTCACTCCTCGAGTCCCGGTTGCTGTACCGGACTGGATAGCACTTCCGCTTGAGCCGCCCGTGTTGACATTTTGGTTCGGCTCGTACCCAAGCAGCACATCCTTCTTCCAGCCGGTGAGCAGGCTGAACTCCTGGCTGACAGCTGCAATCTGGCCAGTGCGGCGACAAATAATGGTTGGGACAGCATGAGCGTTGATGAAGTCCTCGTACTGGTATAGGGTGCGTTGAAAGCTCTTCTCCATGAAGATGAGATCATCCGTGTTCAACGTGCTTGTGCAAGCGATGAATGACGGCCGAATAGAAGCAAGCGCTTGAGCAATCCGTGATCTTTTTGCAATGGAGAAACGTTGCTTTAGGAGTGCGATGAGGCCGTGGAAGCCATCCGTGTACGGGTACGGGCCTGTGACCGAATCGTAAATCTCGCTCGGGTCGCGACGGCGTTTGCGGTTCGCCTCTTGTTGCTGTTGATGCTGCTGATGCTGTTGTGTTCTTTGATTGTGCAGCTGTTGCTGTCTGTTGTAAATTTGCTGTCGCCGTTGCTCTTCTTGGTGTGAATGTTGATTTGCCATGTAGGCAGGTGACGAGAACGAGGTTGGTTCGAAGTTCTGACCATCCGCCATGGTAGACCCAGGGCTTGCGCTCGCCATGCTGCCAGGTCCGGCGCCGACAGCATATGCGAGCGGCATGCCGTTCTGACCCTCCTGCTGGCGCAGCTGATGGTCCAGGTTGCCAGTAGCAGGGGTGTTGTTGGGCGTTTGAATCTGAGCAGCGCTGCCTTGCCTTGAGTGTGGCTGCCAATCTGCCGTGGGGATGCCGTCGTTGAACCCGAAGCCACCAGTCGAGATACCAAGATTCTCCGACGATCCTGATGCTGTGCTCATGGGGCCGTTGTATAGATTGGCGGCCTGGTTCAAGGGATTCATTACGCTGTTATTTTCTGGTGGCGTTTCCGCAGCGCCAGACGACATGTGGCCAAGCATGCCGAATTCGAGCGCACCGTAGTGGTTGCCGAAATTGAGGCTTGCGAGATCGAAGTTGAATAATGCAGGGTCGCTCGGGTCGAATGGGATGCCTCCAAAGTCTTGCATGGCGGAAGGATTGGATTGCTGATTCTGTTGCATGCCAGCCATGCTCTGGACCGGGGACGTTTGCTGATTGGCGTTTTGATTGTATTGTGGCGAGATCGGGGATTGTTGGTTGTTATAGGAATTTATCGCCGATGCTTCCTGCATTGGGGGCGGCATCTGGCCCTGGGTGGAATTCGGATAGACGTTGTAGTTGGCTTGCTGCTGCTGCGGGTAGAAATTATTCGGCTGGCCCATGGCTTGGGCGTTGTTCGGCACGGAAGCGGCGCCGTGCTGCTGACCAGCGTTGCTGAGGTGGGGATAATGGCCACCGACGCCAGGCATAAGCGCTTCGGGCGGGGCGTCGTGGAGGTACTTGGCCTTCTTGCGAACACCATCGTGGCAGGCATCCTGAAGGCCGCGCTTGATGCAGCGCTGACAGGGCCGTTCGTCGCCTGAGGAGGTGTCAGTATCATGCTGAGACAAGCCGGCAGGGTGCAGATATTCGCGGGGCGGAGAATTCGGAAAGACGGTCCAACTTACCGCAGGTCAGATGGGCGCGCTGGCAGGCAAAGCAAGCTCTCCGAGCCTTCTTGCGACGGGGACGTAGAGGGTCTTTGGCGTTGGGCTTGGTGGTCGTGGTGGTAGTGTTGGCGGTAGAGTTGTTGGTAGAAGGCGCGTCGCTCGAGGCGCGCTGGTCTTTCTGGTCGGCCATTTCGCTCCCGTCCTGATCACCGCTGTATTCCGGTGAGGGAGATGCATCTTCGGCGTCTGGGGTGGTCATAATATCCCTTCCCGCAAAGGTACGCGGCGGCCCAGTCGGCAGCCCACCCTCCAAGGCACGGATGTCTGGTTCGAAGGTGCCGCTGCTGTAGACGCACGTTTATGCTGCGCCTATCCGCCAATGTTGCGCTCGGCGGCCCCTCCCAGGACAGCGGATCGACCAATCTGCACGGGGCGTGTGGTCCCAGTTGGGTGTTTCGAATATTCGATCACGCGTGCCCTAAGCACTGGCTCGCGTGCTGCGGTGCTACCACTCGGCTTCAGCTCTGGCTGTTCCCAGCTGTGCGGGTGCCGAGGGCTTCCAATCGCGTGCGTCGTGGGCTTGGTGGAGGGGGCGGGTGCGGTCAATCCGGTACGCAGGAATGGGACAGAGCGTGGGTGGCACAAGGCCGGGGTCCATGCAGAGATCGAGGGGATAGCGCGGGTGGGCTCGCAGTCATTGTGCTCCGGGCTCAGGACTCGTTGGCGGCGCGCATGCTGGCGGCGGCGGCGCTCAAGCTCAGGCGGGACGAGAGTGCGCAGGCTGAAGCTTGGGCGTAGCCAGGCAGGTACAGGCAGCGGGGCGGCTGGCCAGGGCGATTGGAATTGGCCGATGCAGGCCAGCTGCCGTGGGACTCGAGCTGCCTTGGTACGAAGCGGGCTGCTGCAGCTCCGGCGTGCGGAGGGGGTTGGCTCAGGCTGCTGCGGGCTGCGGCGGCGGTGAGGCAAGCGATGCGAGAGATCCAGCGGCGGGCGATGAGTCCAGGGCCGTGGAGGGAGCGCGCGGGAGGAGGGCGAGGAAGGATGCGGTTGCGACAGCGGCGGCGATGTTCGGTTTCTTCGCTGGCGCACGTCGTGTGCCTTTGCGCCGCTGACTCGCGCTCCAAATCCCACCCCGCCTCCGCTACTCGCTGCCCAGCCCGCAAGCGCGCCCCGTCACGGGCAGCTTAGCATGACCGGCCGATCGACTGAGATGCCGTTTGCCCGGCGGCGCAGGCTCGCTGCCCCCCGGCCGCGTGCCCGTGCTGCCCGTGCTGCCCGCCGCCGCCTCCGCCATTGCTTTTTTGCCTCGCCGCGCGCCCTCCGCTGCACCCCTCACCTCGCCGCGCAGCGGCTCCTCTGGCGGCCACGTTCTCGGCGCTAGCGGGCGAGCGGCCTGGTTCGTGGCGGCTCTGGCAGTCGCACCTGTGCACCGCGACCCCTGCAAACGCGTGCTCCATTGTGTCACGTGGGGGGAGACGAGACGAACGCTCTGTGGTATTGGATTGCTGCGGAATATCTGCACCTGCTGTGCGACCCCCACTATATATAGCCCCCGGCCGAGCTGCTGCTGCTGCCCCAGGTCTAGCTGGCTCCACCAGCGCTCGCCTGCTGCGCTGACGCCGGCGCCGGCTCTGCGCCCAATGCAGCCTACGCGGATGCAAAGCGACTCTTGCCCCTGAGCCGCTTGCCGTACCGATAGAAAAAGTAAGGAAACCTGCGCGCGACACAGCATGTTAGCCGACTCCACGACCGCTCTGGCGGGATGCGTCTTACGGGGCCATGGCCAGGGCCAAGAAGGCCAGCAGCGACGTTGCCCACTGGTAGCCCAGTCCTGTGCTTACGTCAGTGACCGCTCTTTCGTGCCGTCGACATCATCCTGCTTGTCTCAGCGCGCACTTACGGTTGTACATTTGCACTCCGAACAGCGGAAACGCCGCCGCAAAGCTCGACCGCGCGAAGCTGTTCGCCGCCAATGCACTGGCTGCATACAATGGGTACTGCCGCCGTCAGCACTGCCCCCCAAAAGCCCACGGCCGCACTCACACAGTCCACGAGGAACGTGAATACCCCTGAGTACACGCAGATGACTCTGTCAAAACATCAGCCAAGTGTCGTCATCCGCTGACGATGGCCTGTCTTACCCGATGCCGAACAGAGTCGAGAAGATTATTGGAACTGCAGGTGCTGATCAGCCTTCCCATCCTCAGAATACGAGCGAGCTCAGTACCTATCCAGTGCACCTGCAGGGTCCGGGTTAGCTTCTCTCAAAAACATCTGCGGACGGCCACTTACGCTCGAGTATGTCGTCCAGCCGAACCCTATCAACGACCAGGTCAGCAGCAGCCCCAACATGGCAACACTCCCGCACCTACCGAACAGGGCGATTGGCACGATCACAGCGCCCACAATCGTCGGCGGCAATCGATACTCCGGCTCTGCGCCCCCGGGCTCGCCCCCCTGGGCCTCGCGCCTCTGCACGAGCCGCGCGTAATTCCTCCGCCACAGCGGGTCCGTACTGATGCCCAGGGCCATGCCTACAAACAGTCCCAGGAAGGCCAAGCCCACCTGCGAGAGCGTGAAGCCGTGGTTGTTCTCGAAGACCAGGGGAAAAGCCCCGAAGAACAGATACAGGATGCCTAGCAGGATCGAGGAGAGGATGCATAGATTGAGGCACTGTCATTCGTGGAGTTAGTTTCTCCCCCAGTTCTTTAGGGTTGGCTGCCTCCCTCACCATCGGCTCGAATACGAGCAGCTGGAACGGCCGCACGCACGACCAGAGCAGCGTCTGGCTGACCGACTTGTCCAGCTTCTCGATCGGCGCCCTCCACGCCTCACTGCCCGTCTCCGCGCGCAGCCTCGCCGCCTTGCGCCGCAGCAGCACCGGGTGGTACGTCTCCGGAACCAGGAAGACGATGGCGGCCAGCTGCGCGCCCGCCCAGATCAGCATCACGTAGAAGGTCCATCGCCAGCTGGTGTGCTGGTTGATGAAGCCTCCGACCAGAGGGCCAAGTTCGGGCCTGGTGATTAGGCGCATTAGCAACACAGACTGACAACAGCAAAAGACGCCACCATGCACTCCTTCGTGGCTTCCCGCGCCGGTGAACCGGCTGAGTTCTGACGGGCTGGCTGAGTGCTAAGCAGTCAGAGGGCCCGTCCCCCTGACCTGCTTATGCAGCGGCTGCAGCCGTCCAGGCCGCGCGATGACTCTGCTTTTTCGGCACTTTCACGTCAAGTACTGGCCCGCGTGGACAGCCACGCGGCGATCAACGAGACCCAAGCTCGCAGATCATAGGAGATTATCTTATGGGAGGGACGAGGCTTACCCAATGAACGGCGACGCTGTGTAAATCATCATTGGGGCTGAGAGCTCGTGCCGCGCGAAGCAGTCGCCGACGGTTCCACCAGCCACGCTCAGGAAGGCCGATCCGGAAAGGCCATCGAGGAAGCGGGCCACGAGGGTGGTGGCCATGTTTTGCGCGACGGCGCAGGGGATCAGCCAAATCAGAAAGAAGCTGTAGGAGACGACGTAGATAGGTCGACGGCCGTAAAACTAGCCCAGCCATCAGCAAGTGCAGACGCACGCAGTCAGCACGTCTGTCACACGTACTTCAGATAGGGGGCTAAGGATCATAGGTCCAAGGCCCAGGCCCGCAACGAAGAGAGACAGGCCTAGCGTAGCCACGAGTCTGGAGCTGTGGAACTCGGGGACCAGCTGGCCGTAGGTGCTAGTGTAAATGGACGACACGCATGTCCTGTGAAATGCTCTGAATTAGCCCCAGAATCCGACCATACACCATCTCCAGAGAAGATATTATTTTTGTATGTTCAGGCAACACGAGTTCAACCACACTTACACGCAGAGCGAGCTGGACGACACGATAATCACGATGAGCCACCGCCTGGCCGTGTTCATGAGACGAGGGTTCTGGACGTCCGCCGACGCCTGCGACGCTGGTAGCGTGTCCCATGTGACTTCGAACTGCTCGTGGGGCGCGGCGGGCTCCTCGTCCTCATCCCAGCGTGTGTAGCCATCCCCGCCGGCGTATGATCGATGCGATTGCACGGTGTGCAGGCTCCTGCTCCGCGGTCGGCGGTCGACGTCGGCGCCGTCGTCGTCCTCTCCCTTTATCGGCTCAAACGTCCTGGTCCTTGTCGCATCCCCGCCGTCGAGCCCGAGCTGCTTCTCCTCGTCGCCTGGAATGGCACTTTTCTCGGTCGATCCATCTGCAGGAAGCTGTGAGTGAACGTTGTCACTGCTGCTGCCGCTGCTGTCCGAGGAGGAGGGACGCCCCCGTGACATCATCATAACCACTAGCGTACGGCGCAAGGGAAAAAAAAATTTAGCGGTGAGTGTGTCTCAGCACTCTCGACACTGACAGACTTGCGAGAGATCAGCTTTAATGTCCCAGGCTACGCTTGCGCCTTGCGCAATGACAGAGAAAAGGTCAGTCATAGCGAAGAGGGCACACGGCATCTGGCCTTTTTACAAAGCAGACGTTAACTCCGTCACGCAGACCCGCTCTACCGCCGCTAAGATCGCCAGCGGGGGTGCAATGGGCCAGTAGAGCCGAAGGAAATCGGCGTGGTCGGGAAATCCGAGCGATTCGGTCCAGTGAAGAAGGCGACCGAGCACGGTGGGGGAAGTTTTGAGCCGACGAGCGGCGTGTACTCGGCCCAGCGGCCCATCGTGTCGTGATGGTGCCCGCCGCTCAGTCAGCGGTTACCCAAGCGTCGCCATTTGGCCTCAGGCATGTGATCGACGGCCATGAGGTCGTCTCGTTGGATGTTGTTTTGACCGTCAGGGCTTCCCACGAGCGTGACGGCTGCGAGCAGAGCTTGACTCGTGGAGCAAAGCTTGTCCGATCGGCCCGCAGCTGCTAACTAAGGCCAGAGTCAGCAATCGACATGCCTGACATCAGCCTTCTTTCAACGTTCTTGCTCAGCAGCGTGCATTTCACTCGTTCCACCACAGCCTCTCAACAGATGGACGACGATTATTTACGCTCTACGGCCGGTCCATAAAACCATGACTCGTCGATGCGAGCGTGCGCGTTTCCCCTCGGCCGAACTGATAAGTGTCATTGGAAGGATGCGGCGTCTTCATTTCTCGCTTCAAGGGACCAAAATTTTCACGCAGCCCGCCAAGCGTTTCCAGCAATTTGCACGATGCCGTCCACCTGATGTTCAGGGCGGCAAAATGACGCCATCGCGAGACCCTTTCCTCTTCTCGTCAACACGCGGCAGCCTGTGCTCGAGCCGCTCGTTCTTCTATCGTCAATAAAGGCGATCTCTCCACTATTCTCAATATACTTGGTTGCTTTTTCATATTTTATTTTTGCGGTTTTCTGCAGTAGTCCGCACTCGTCCGTCCCCTTCTGCCTGCGTCCGGGGTTTCTCGAAGATGCTCCCAGCCGCCGGGCATCGCATGGCTTGACGTCTCCCTTGCAGCAGCTGAATATTCCACTGTCTCGCGCGCGCGTGTGCATCACGAGGTCGCCGCTGTATCATCATACGAGGCCTGCCACCCGGTCCCATCTCCGCGCCTTCTGGAAGCCTTGACCTGGCTGGACCTTGCATGATGGGTTCGGCTGGGTGCGCGCTTAGAGGGCGATGCATGCTGGGTGTGGGTGGTGGGATAGGCAAGAGAGGCGTGCGAGCGAGTTGCACAGACAGCTGGCGTGTCACAAGGCCCCACGGTGATACCTGAGTTTACGAACAAGGCTGCGGGCATCGGACTACGCCTAGCAAAACAGCCTCCTTCCCCTTCTGCTGACCAGGAAAGATTGCAAATCGATCCAAAGCAGCGAGTCGTGCTGGGATCAATCGGATTGGCGCCGATCAAAGCGCCGCATCTACGAGCTCGGCAGCTGCGTTGGCCGTCCAGATCCGCATCCTTGCGAGCGTGAAGTGCGGACCCAGGCGTGCGGATTATACGAGCTCCCGCGCCGTTGCATGTCAATGCCTAAAGCAGAACTCAATGCAGCTGAGCCAGCCAGCGAACGCGAAGCCCAGAAACCACAGCCACGGAACCGAAGCTTGCGAAAGACTGTGTCTAAGCCAACGATGCCAATCAAGGCACCGCGTGCCACACATGTTGTAAACATGCATCGCAGGCTTATCCCTTCAATACAGCGGACAAACGTTGAGAAAAGGAAACAATCGGCATCCTGCCACAACATTGTCTGGCTTCTCTAACCGTGAATCATCTGCAAGACTGACCGCTACACCCGCCACGAGCGCCTTTCCGTCTCTCCTCACCGCCAGCTGAGCCGTCGGATCGTCGCCGCGGTCCGTCTGCTCCCTCATCTCCGTGTGTGCCATGAGGTCTGACAGGAGTAATCACTCTGACGCTGTCAATGCTGTGCCTTGCTTGAATTCATCTGTGGAATGTACCACAGCCATGAGCTGTCAATGGGGGCCATTATGCTCGACTGCTCCTCATCCTTTCAATTCTCATCACTGCTGCGTGGAGAATCGACGCCCAAGGTCGCCGCGGCAACAAGCGCATCGTGCTTCGCAGCTCCAGGCCCTCGCCCTTGCGGACCAGGAAAAAACAAAACGGGTTCGCATGAGGAAAGCCGCCGGTTGAGACGGGGGTAAGCTCTCCTGCCACGTGCGTCTATACGGGCTATTCTACCGACCACCGTGAAGACGAACCAGAGACGCATCGGCAGCCCTCCCAGAAGCGGGCTGGAAGCCCCAACTCTCGCCACGGTCTCCTTCTTCGTCACCGCAAGTTTCTCCGTCAAAAAGTAATTGCCCCCCGTTCCTCGCTCGTGCTCGTACCTGCGCCTGCCCGGCCACTCCGAAGGAGGTGCAGAGGTGCTCATCCCACATATCCGGTTCGCCCATCCCACCTCAAGGATCACTCACATCGGAATTAGATGGACGCTGACTTGCACCTGCCTGCCACCCCCCGGCTACTGCATAATGTAAGAGTCATGCCAACCAGGACAGGGCACACGGGGGAAGGGAAGGGTGGGTGGAAAAGCGGTTGAGGAGTCCGAGATGGTGCTCGTGCCTGCTTTTGCGGCGACGCCGTTGATCAGGCCTCCCGCCGTTAGAGTGGTTGCGTTGCCGCTATCGCCCATCTCCAGATTCAGAAGCGCCGGCATGGGAGGAATATGGGTGTTCGCCTCGTGTTCAGGCAGGGAGGGAAGGATTGCGGGGAAAAGGGAGGCTCGGCTCGTGTTCCAAAGATACATACCTTGTTCGAAGGGCGCGTTTGAGCCTCGTGCTGGTCGGTCCTTCCGGTCATGTGGCTCGTTTGGCTGACGGAAGTTTATTTGGATGGTATGCAGGGTGCACCTATCCAGCCAGCCACAATGGGGATCTTCCTGCTGAAGTCTGCATCATGCTGACGCGGTGCTGCTTGCGGTTGTGGTGGGAAACTTGGAAGGATTGCTGTAGGGTTGTTTCAGGTCTTCCTGCGAGAAGCTGTTAATGGCCAAATTACTGGATTAGGGCAGAGCTTTGGTTGGATGGATGACCTTGGCGAAAATCATTCGAGTCTGGAGCGCGCTTCTTGCCAGCCTTTCGACGGACGGATCGAGGAAAAGGAGGTCTGGTTCGATTCTGGACTGAATGGGAATTCACTTCGAAGTCCATGGTGGAATGTTTGCGCGATCCTCAAGGCACCTGTGGCCTGAGTATCGTTGATATCCGCTATAACCAAAGGAACTTCACAAACCGCAATGTCAAGTGTTGCTCTTTGATCCTTTCCTGGAATCAAAACAAAGCGTGGGGATACCACATGGGTATGGAACCTCTCTATTCCAAGACTGCTTTATACCGAATGTTTACACCTTCTTTTAGTGACAGATCACATTTGAATAATCAGTTCGTTATACATACCATTAATTGCGCGTGCTCCAACCGAGTTCCCACTGCACATGCTACAGTCTCGCCAACTAGACCGACTCCTCTTGCGGCCCCGATCTCTCAGACAAAACTGCCTATTTCTTGTTTAAAAGAACTAGATTTTGCAACTCTTCGAGTATCAACAACACAGTAGAGGATGGTGTATACCATGAGAGCGGGTATACTAAGTAATCAACTGCGGAGACCATTTTCACCTTTTAGAAAGGACAGCAGCGGTAGAGCACGTTTATCTCAGGCTGACTTTTCAAAGGATACCTTTGAAATGGACGCTTTGCTACAGGCTCGAGAGATAGAGGAATCTTGCAAAAGTCATGTTGTGTCAGGAGTGTATTGAACGGCATATCTTGCCCAACAACTCAACTCCATCCCCAACCAGTGCAGCACAGGAGAGAAGAACGCCAGTAGACCACACTTCAAAGTAATCACTCAGGTAATAGACTAGACATACAGCGCAACAAGCCTCCCAAACCCCCCAAACCCCCCATCCTCCCCCAACCCCTCTCATCCCCTCACTTCCTCTCCTCCTCAACCTCCCATGCCCCAATCCCCAAATGATCCACCACCTGCGCCTCCTTCGCCTTCCTCCCCACCTCCTCGCCCTTCTCCTTCAACGCCTTCTTCCGCTGGCGGCCGTCCTCGGCGAGCGCGCGGGTCGACTCCTGCCCGATGGCGCGGTCGCGGCCCTCAGCGCGGGCGGCGCCGTAGGCGCTGAGGTTGCCGTGGGCGGCGCCCTTGCCACGAGCGGCCGTGTCCGTCTGCTCGACGACGCGCGACGAGCCGTCGGCCGCCGTGTCGGTCGTTTTGGTCTTGCGCTGGAACATGCTGCCGGACAGGGCGGCGAAGATGTTGAGGTTGAGGCCGGCCTGTGTGTGGGTGTTGGTGTTGAGTAAAGGTGTGTGTGTGAGGAGGGGGGTTGGAGGGGAGTTGGGTTGTTGGAGGGAAGGGTGATGTTGCGGAGGAGGGGGACTTGGTGGCGTGGGATGTGCATGCGGACGTGGACGAGAGGCCGGGTAGAGGTTCTTGTTATTCGGGAGAGTGCAGATGTTGCTCTTAGAGCGGAATAAAGGTGTATGGAGAAGAGAATCTGTACGGAAGATGAAAAGCGACTTTTGGACTGTACCTTTGCTTCGGCCCTGGCGTATTGCTCGCGCGCCTCTACTTGTTGTGGTGGTGCATAATCATTCATCTGCTGCTCGTCCGCCGCAGCGCGACGGGCGACGGCTTGTCTGTTCGACATCGTTCTCTGATCGTTGTGCTTTCAGGGGTGATGTTGTACTACTCGATATTTCCGGTTTAGGTAGCTCTTCTCGATGTCTGTTTGTATCACGGAAGTCTGGCGATGAAGCTACGTATTATTCTTACGTTTGCAGAGATGGATTGATAATGAGAAGCCGATTTACTGCTGTGGACTGCAAGAGAAAAAGAAGAGACAGCGAGGTGCTAATACTTGGGAGAGACGCGACAACCATCCAAGGGTATGATGTAATTGTACATATTATCACGTGTGGTCAGCCTGGTGGGCGGGAAGAAACCTGCTCGCGAACCCTGTGCTGAACCCTGATCCGCGAACTCTAGCTTTAGCGCCACTTATGGCCACGACAAGCTTGCCTGACAGGCTCTAGTTTTCATATTTAAATAGGGTTTATTGTAAAGAACTTTAGCTTTAAATGAAGACTTAATATCACTATTGCTCGTATTGTTCATTGCCCGTGTACACATTAAGTACTGCTTCGGAATGGAGAAGAGAAAAAGATTCAATGTGGTTGGTTATGTGTTGCATGTGGGGGATGAAGGCAATCACCTCATAATCGCCGGGCAAGATGAGTGCGTGAGGGGCAAAGGACCTGCCACCAATATACCATACCTATATCATACCAATGGTCAAAACCGTGGAATATCAAACGATCGGTATCACTTTCTTATCCTCTATGAATGTGGTATCACGTCTCAGTCTTCGTCTTCGTCCTCTTCCGTCCGCGCCAAATTCTTATGCAACCGATGCTCCCCCATCGCCAAACTGCACAGCGCGCCCAGCGCCGTGATGCCAAACGTCGTCCACCACACAGCCGTCAGCGCCTGCATATACGCCGCCAACACGCCGTCCTTCCACTCGGGCGGCAAGTCCTGCACCGCGCCCACGCTATCACGGATGCGCTTGATGACCTCAGCCGCGCCGTCACGGCCGGCGAAGCGGGCCCACAGCTCGCGCTTGAGCACGTTCTGGAAGACGGCGCCGGCGACGGAGATGCCGATGGTGCTGCCGGTGCTGCGGAAGGCGTACGAGGCCGACGTGACGACGGCCTGGTGCTCGTGGTCGACGGCCGAGATGAGGGCGAGCAGCGTCGTCGTCAGCATGCCGCCGTAGCCGACACCGATGAGGAAGAAGTAGACGAAGGGTGGCCATGCCGGTGTCGAGGCGTCGAACGTGCCCGCCACTAGCCCGACTGCCAGCACCAGTGTCGCTTCGATGCCCGCGTTCAGCGTCCAGTAGCGCCCCGTTTTGCGCGTGATGAGCCCGACGCCGAGGGAGCCGGTGGCGGTGCCGATTGACTGCGGGATCAGGCGGACGCCGGCGCGTGTGGCGCTGAGGCCGAGGACCTGGAAGTAGATGGGGCCGTAGTAGAGGATGGCGAAGACGGCCATGGTTGTGAGCCAGTTTGTCACGCAGGCCGTCCAAACGGTGCGGTGGAGGAGCAGGCGGACTGGGATGATGGGCTCGCTGGCCACGCGGTCCTCGACGAAAATGAAGGCTAAAAGGAAGGCTGCAAAGAGAGGAAGGCTGACCAGAACGAGCGGATGAGTCCATGGCACAATGTTGCCTCCTGAGTTGAGGGCGAGAAGCAAGAGGACCAGACTGGTCACCAGCGTGATGCTGCCCAGGAAGTCGATACGCTTGATACGTGACATGTTCTCCTCCTTGACGGGGATCTTAATGGTGAGGTAGACAAGCAGACCGGATGCCACAATGAAAGGCACCTGAATCAGGAAAGCCCATCGCCAGGAGAGCGTGTCATTGATCCAGCCTCCGAACAGTCCTCCAAGTCCACTGCCCAGTCCGAATGAAAGATTTCCGAAGCCCTGCCACAGCCCTCTCCTGCGCAGCGGAACCAGGTCTGTGGTCACAAACGTCGAGATAGTGAGAAGTCCGCCACCGCCCATTCCGGCAACAACTCTTCCTAGAATCATGACATTCTGGCTCTTTGCAAGTCCGCATATCAGAGTACCGGCACCAAAAAAGATATTGGAGATGACGAGGCCAGTCCGACGCGAAAATATGTCTGTCAGTCGTCCGCTCAGCGGCTGGATAGCAGCGTTGGCAATAAGATAAGCGGTAGCAAGCCAGGAAAACAGAGTAAAAGAGTGGAAAGAGTCGGATATTGGTGCGCTAAGGTTGGCGATAATCGTGGAGTCTTCTCAGCGTCAGCACAAATCAAAGAAATAAAGGCGGATGAAGCTATTATCCGGACGATAACTTCATGTAACTCACCTAGAGCTGCAAGAAAGACGCCAACCCAACAGCTACCCAGCGTGAGTACCAACTTCGCTGTGCTGGGCTCATCCGCTAGCGGGATGTCGCTGCCGCGCTGCTCCGCGTTGCCATTGGCGCCATTGTCGAGCAACGGGCTGCGTTCTGTAGCTGCGACAGAGCCATTCGAAGTTGCGCCATGCGGAGGTGACATCTTGCTTGAAGGTCGATGTCTTCAAGGAGAGGCAGCAGGTGAGGCTGCAAGATCCATGGCCGAAAAATAGCGCTGACGCAGGCCTCGGATGCCAATCGCGCAATGGCGATCATCGGCCTTTCCGCAACCGACCGATCGCTCAAGTTGCCTGGGACAACAGATTAGATCTACGGAGCACGTCACTGAAACACCCACAGTTGCCGAAAAAATTATCGTAACTACAAGGGGGTATAGCAGCCGACGGCTGCCGTGAATTTATTTTTCGCTCATACCATTGGTAGTTGAAGCTATCGTCCAGACGTGAATGTATAATTCCACAATCATTTCTTTTGGCACCGACGTGACATCCGGCAGGGAAGAAAATTCTGGGTAGGGATGATGTTTTCGGATTTCTATTAAAATTCTCAGTCTCAAAGACGCTGCAATTCGAGCATTCACTCTACTGGGTGAAGGCCGTATTCCGTACTAATTGTCGCGTCCAATCGTATACTATCGTACAAGCCGAATAGATCGGCGTGTTTTTTGGGGGAGAGAAAAGGGTAATTGGCAAAAGCCAATATGCAACAATAATCGCTAAAGTCGAATGCCATGATTCCAAACGCCAAAATATGCGTGCAAAGGAGACTTTTCCACTTCACCCTCTAAACCTCCAATCGTCAAAGTCTTCGTCGTCATCCAGATCGTCGCTCTCATCATCCTCGTCTTCCGCAGCCTTACTCGGCACTTGCTGTGCGGCAACAGGCTCCTCAGTCTTTCCTCGTGTCTGTCGCAGAGCTTCTCTCTGTGCACGGAGCTTCTGAACCCTCTGCTCCAGCTCCTCCATCTCGTCAAACTCTTCCTCCAGGTGCCGTGCCGCATCCTCCTTCTCAGCCTCCAACTCCTCCTCGCGCTTACTCCGCTGTTTGCTCTGCTCATCCTCGGCCTGTGCAGCGAGTTCCTCGGCAGTCAAGGGCTTCGCCTCAATTGTCGCGGCAGACTTGATGGCGGCCAGCGCCAAGGGTTGCGGAGGCTGATCAGCGGCGACTTCACGCTCGAAGGCGGCCCATTCGTCTTCGTCGACGCCATCGGGCTCGGGCTGCACGGCAGCTGCTGTGGCGATCGGAGCAGGTTCCGCAGGGGTGGGTTGCGCAGCGGCAGTGGCAGTGAGGGACTCGGCGGCAGCGGGGCGAGAGGTGAGCTCGATCGACCTAGACTCGGCGGCGGCGGGCTGTGCGCCGGGGTCGAAGAAGCCTTCCGGCAACGCATCGCCACCCGGGCCCCTGGGGCGTTTTGCAGAAGTATCCCAGTCATCCTCGTCTTCATCGGCCGCTTTCCGTTTGAGATTTTTGCTGGCGGGCGGGGCAGCGTTTTTGGCGGGCTTACGGGCAGGCGGCGGGTTGCGGGCGGCGCGTTCGGCGCGCAGCATTGCGCGAACGTCGGCCATGGTGGTGGGATGCGCAGAAGGGGTCGTAAAGGAGTCAAGGTGTGGAGCGACGGATGTGGAGTGGGTTGACAGGCCGGAAGCAGCAGCTGCAGCGGCAAGGGCCGGGCGGTGAGCGAGGTCAGTTCGGCGGGCGGCTTCCGCTGCAAGGTTTCGATTAGCGTCCATACGGGGTCACGTGCCAGCCGCTGCGGGCGGCTCGCCAGCATTTCCGTCTTCTCCACCTTCCGCAGCTTCAGTCCAGCGCGCGTCAACATTCTGCACATCCCACCCTCACCTCACCACACGCGCCCGCACCGCCCGCGCGCCCCTGCAACCGCCGTCGCATACTGCTGCTGGCATTCTCTCTACTAATTTCCACCGACAGCTGCATCCAGAAGCCGGTCGCGCACGCGACTCCGCTGCTGGCAGGGCTTGGCGAGGCGCGCTCAGATCGCATCGCGCGAGCGCTCCACCAAACATTCTGGACTGAGTCCACTCGCGCCTCCGACGTTGGGAAGGAAGGAATTCGGACGTCGTAGCTGCGACGCGTAGCCGTCTTGTTATTTTGTGCCTCTACGCAGGCTGCAGCATCTTCGCATCATCAGTCCATAGTAGCAACCTGTGAAGCCCATCTTGAGCCCAATCCAACACGCCGCCGAACGCACTTCTTGTCCGTGACGCGTGAACTTCAATTCCGCCATGGCTGGTAAGCACGCCACCACATGCGCGACCCTGCCCGCCGCTACCAGCTTTCACACCACCCACCCCACGACACAGCTAACCAGCCCTCAGAGGAGATTCGCAGATCCGGCAGAGCCACCAAGGGCCAGCATACCAAAGACCGCGACCTTCCCGAGACGCCCGTTCCCTCCAAACGCAAGACCGCCACCAAGAAAAGCGCGAAGAAAGAGGCCGAACCCGAGCCCGAGGACAATGGCGACGCCGACGCCATCATCCGCTGCATATGCGGCTCCGACGACGACGACGAGGGCGGCAGGATGATGATCTGCTGCGACAATTGCGATGCCTGGCAGCACAACGATTGCATGGGCCTGACCGAGGATCCCAAGAAGCAGCCCGATAGCTACCTGTGCGAGCAGTGCAACCCGGATGGCCATCAGGAGACATTGCAGGCGCTCAAGGAAGGAATCAAGATCTGGGAGGTCAGACTGGAAGAGAAGAAGAATAAGTCTAAGAAGGGCAAGAAGAGCAGCAGGAAGTCGCGCCAGAGCGAAATCCGCGCAGCTGCCGGAGGAGATATTGCCAGCCCGAAGCAGCAGTCCAGTCCTGCGCCTGTGCCACCGCAGAAGCCCGAGGCCGAAGAGACTGGTGCCAATGGCAACGCTGAGGTATGGTTTCCAGACATCTCCGATCAAACGACGCCACTGAACTCTAACAGTTTCATCTAGGTTAAGAGCCCTACGGAAGCCACACCCTCTGTAAAGAGACGGTCCGAAGCCAGCGAAGATCCTATTCCTAAGCGCCGCAAGAGCACGCAGCAGAAGAAATCTGACGAGCCCGTCCCGGTCACGCCTACGCAGCCCGGAAGCATGGAGGAACTCCCCGAAGACCGCAAAAAGGTGGCAAGCAAATTGCGGATCGACTTCGTCAGGCTCATCAAGGAAGCTTCAAAACAAGACTTCAAAATCCCTGATGGAGAGACACCGGACTCTTTAGGCACGCGTCTTGCCATGGACGTCGAAGCTGCAATGTTGAAACATTACCCGGCGGGACCCACTGCATATGCCCAACAGTTTAGAAACATCATTGCCAACCTCCCCCGTAACCACCCTCTTCTAATCCAGCTGCTTCATGGCTCCGTTTCCCCCGAGCAACTCGCTACTATGTCTGCCGAAGACATGGCAAACGATGAGCAGAAGCGGCAAGACACCATTTTGAAGGAGCAAGCCGAAAAGCAATCCATTCTGGTGAATGAGGGAGGCCCGACCCGCATCCGTAAGACGCACAAAGGCGAAGAGTTCATCGAGGATGGCAACGAGCCGTCAGCAGCTGAGGAGCCAACGTATGCACCTCCGGTTCGCCGCGAGAGCCAAGCCGATAAAGAAATGCGTTCTCCCACATCGAGAGGAGGCAGCCCCATGCAAGGTGTAGAGTTGCCCGAAGGCGTCGGAGAAGGCCAGCGTCCGCTTCACGTCGATACAGGACCTCGCAGACAATCGACGACAAACTTTGATGTCAACTCCGTCTGGGCCAAGGTTCAGAGCCCGAATGAAAGTACCGCACGGAAGCTCTCGCAACAGCATCGACGCCGCCAGAGCTCACTCCAACAGACTCAGCCTTCAGTGAACCAGGAGGATCCAGACGTAGATCGTCTTTTGAAGGACGATGATGATGAGGGTCAGTCCTTCCCGATGGACGAGACTATCAAGTGGAGAGGAGAAATCTTCATGCCCAACCAGGGCGTATTCAAGGTTGTTGGACGATTTTCCGGAGGTGGCGATGTGGGCCAGCTCATGCCATATGACCAACTTATTCCTCGTCCTACAGAAGTCAACGGCCGTATTGATATGGCTAAGACGGAAGAATACATCCAAGGCATGCGGGGCAGTATTTACCACGATGTCGCTATCCTTGCCCTTACCCCCGAAGATCAGGAAAGCAAGACGACATACGACAATGTCTTCAACTACTTTTACCCGAAGAGCAGGTGGGGCGTCATCGGTGGTTCGAGGCACGACAAGGTCCGCGATGTCTACCTCATCCCTATTCCTGCTGGGACTAGCACGCTCCCTCCATGCATCGAGATGCTCAATAATCTTACACTCGAGGTCCCCCGTCCGGATAACACGTTGTTGCTCATGCTGGTTGTGAAGACCAGCGAGCCGAACTCTGCCCAAGGAACGCCCCTACAGGTAGACGCAGGCGCGGGCTTCAATGCAAACAACGGCATGGGCATGAGCATCAGCCAAGTAACTCCAGCAGCCACTCCCACCGCTCCAGCTCCCCCGGCCGCCTTCCCGCCACAAATGCACGGTGCATACCAGCAACACCCCCAGCAACCACCCCACGGTCCATCTCCCGTAAACCACATGCCCGGTTACGGGGGCCCTCCACAGTACCAGCCGCCGCCTGCAGGCTACTCCCCTCACGTCTCCCCGCCGCAGTCCCAACCCCCGCAGCCTTACCCGCCTCAAATGGGCCAGCAGAGCCCGCTGCAAATCTCGGGTCATCTGCAAGAGATGGCCACGCGTATCCTCGGCCCGTTCATCGAAGCACCCGTCGTCAAGACGATGCTGCAGTACTCGGGCGATGCAATGAAGGAGGACTCGCTGGTGGGATTGAAGCACGTGCTCGAAGCGGTGCCGGCTGCAAGGGATAACTTTCAGGTCCTGATGCAGGAGCTGAACAGGCCCAAGGACCAGAACTGAGGGATCGGTTCTCTTTCTCTTCGGCCAGAGTTATGAGGAAGGCAGAGCATCATCATGATCAGCAGATCTCTCCTGAGCTTTGCTCTCAACCACCATTTTCCTAGGGCACGCCGGACGATGAAAAGACGCTAACGTTGGTTAAATCCGTTAGGATACCCTTCAACTCGCTCTCGTCTTGTTTTGCATGCAAAGCGTCAACGCCCCTGCGGCCGTTACGTCTTCCCTTTTTATCCAAGGTTTTCAGAGATGCATGCATGCACTTGTGCACGAGGTCTCCTTTTTCTCCTCCCAGACGCAGAAAACTGGATATACAAGCGTCACACGTCTCCAACGTCGATCTGGAGACCACAGGATAAACTACTCCTTGACATGATGTCAGCGTACAAACGAGGGATTAAAAAGGGATGAGGGTTTTTTTTTTGTTCTCTCCTTTCGTTCTGCTGGGATGGAGTAGCACAAAGAAAAGATGAGGTCTGCGGGCGGTTTTCTTGCTTCTTCTTCATCATCACCACATGGACGCAGCTTTCTGTCTGTGTTGCCTTCAAATCGGAGAACAAGGGAGAATTTTTCTTTTTCCTTCATTCGATCTCTCTCCTTGCTTTCCGAGTTCTCCTGAGTTCTTCACCATGTTTCTTGGTTTGGAACTGAAAAAGAGGGGACCAGATCGACAATACATGGCCGGAGATGAAACTTTTATTTTCTCTTTTTTTTTTTGAAATGAAGGGAACGATGGATGTATGAAGGGACCAAAAAAGCGGGTGGTGGGGATGGTTGGTTGTATGAATAGTTCAGCTTCCTCGGAACTTCCAAACATTGAGCTGGGCGAATGGTGGATCTTTTCTCCTTTAATTTCTTCCTTTTTTTTTATTCCCCTCTTTCTCTCTCATTCCTCACAATTGCTGTAGGTTACGAAAAAACTGAGATAAAAGAATCTTTCTTTGTAAATGCTGTGAATGTCTGCGTGTTTTGTAGGTAGAAACGTTTCGGCATACAGAGGGGTGCTGCAGCCGATGGCTAGCCTCGAGGGTAAATATGCCTCCTTTTGTTCCAAAAAGAAAAAAAAACAAATGGGTAGTTGTTAAAGCTATCGTCCGGACGTATATGTATAATTATTAACAGGGACCGAGAGCCAAGGGGCACGAGAAAGATGCACGCTTCTGGAAGAACAAGGGATCGCGCATCGAGGTACTGTCCGAAAAGGCGTACGTCGAACAGGCGGCGACGCGCGCCAGGGAGATGGAAGAGGGCGCGGCACCCGCCACACTAAAGAATCCACGCCGCGCCTCCAGATCAGAGGATCCTAAATCCATGGAGATGAGCAACGCAGGAAAGGATCAAGCGGTATCGGGGCACGCCCAAAAGCTACCAGACACCGGCGACGCGCAGAGAGTAAAGGAATCGGCTGTGAGAGGGGACTGTAGTACCGTCAATTTGGAGTGCATGTTATAATAATTTGTATTTCATGAAATCGTTAACAGAACTATTTGTCCAAGATATCTAATGAGTTCTCAAGTATCATCAAAACCTCTAGCCTTATTTCCCCCCATTTATCCGCAAAGCCTGCGTGAAACGCCATGGTCATATCCCCAAACGCTCTCAAAGTCCGAAATCAACTAACAAAATATATATAGAGACAGGGCATCGCGCAGTCTCATGTCTCCTCCCCATCCAAAGACTCCGCAGCGAAACGCTCAATCTTAAACACTCTTGTTCTTCCTTCCTCCTATTCCTCCCTCTCTTCTTCCCCTCACCTAATCGCCAACACGCTCCTCCCCCCATCACTCGTCACCCTCGGCCTGGTCCTAAACCTTAAACACTCCGTCCCCAACTTCAAAATCCTCTTCTCCCCCCTCGCACCCCCCTGCGGCACGACAACCCTCACCATCGCACTCGGCGCAAACAGCAGCCCCTCCCCTACTCCGAGCGTGACAATCTCCTCAAACAACGCCCTGACCTCCTCCTCGTTGCGCCCGGCCACCGACGACAGCCCGGCCAGGTGATCGCGCAGGGCAGCCAGCCAAGCGGGGCTGGAGAAGCGGTGGACGAGGGTGAGCGAGCAGAGATCGAGGAGCTTGGGCGAGACGGTGGGTTCCTGGGTGGCGACGATGATGCGGGTGCCGGCGTGGCGCTGGATGCGGATGGCGGTGAGGAGGGAGTCGGTGAAGCGGTCGGAGGCGGCAGAGGTGGCGGAGAGGTATTTGTGGGCTTCGTCGAGGGCGATGACGCGGCCGATTGGGGGAGGGTTGGAGGGGTGGAAGGGGCCGGTTTTGGTGGGGTTGGTGTTGGGGTCTTCGAGGAAGAGGGCGAGGCAGATGTCGAAGAGGGTGCAGGCGCTCGAGGCGTCGATGAAGGGGTCGGTGAGGTCAACGATGGTGAGGGTGCCGGCGGGTGGCGAGAACATGTCAGCGTCGTTGTCGTCGGAGCTGTCGACGTCCATGAAGGATTCGAGGAGTTGGAGGCGGAGGTTCATGGGGCCTTTTTGGTCCGGCGTGAGGCGCTCTTGGTCGAGGAGGCGCATGAAGTGCCTGTAGTCGAATTGGAAGGATTGCTGGGCGGAGGTGGCCATTTCGCGTAGGATCTTGTTGATGACCTCCATGTATAGCGGCACGCGCCCGCTGCTCTCGTTGAAGGCCATGAGCGCTAGCATCCTCTCGACGTTCAGGTGTCTCGGCTTCAGCTTCATCCTCTTCACCCTCAAGCACCTCTTCGGATCCTCAATCTTGCTGTAGGCCTGGTGCAGGCGCCAGTAGTTGCTCGGGCTTACGAGCACGTTGACAGGAACGCCAGCGCTACACAGGTGCGCGGCCTCGCACACACCACCGGCCGTCAATGCATCGGCATGGAAGACGATGCCCTGCAGCGGCTCCGGAAGGCGGCCCAGCGCCTTGTTTGGCAGCAAGCAGCCCTCAAGCATGACGGATAGCGTGTGCGACTTGCCCGAGCCCTGCGAGCCGCACAGGAAGGCCGACCACGGGGCGTTCGTGTTCAGGAAGATGGGCTCGACGCCGTCCGGGTTGTGCGCCGAGGCGCGGTTGGCGACGGTAGCGGCCGTGTTACGCTCCTGGCCGAGCAGCGCGAATTGGTCGAAGTGGGCCGACGATGGCGTGTGGCCGCGCTTGCGCTCGTCGGCCAGTGCGAGCTTCACGGACCACGAGAAGAGCGGCGTTGTGAGGAGCTCCTCGATGTGCAGGCCACATACCGTCGTCTCGTCGCCGTCCTGCTGTGAGGACTTGCCCGGTCTGAGGAGGTCGAGGTAGCGGGTGAGCTCTCGCACGACGCGGTCGATGCCGTGGTGGCCGCTTCCTTTGGGCGTCGAGGCTCCTTGAATGGTGGATGCTCTATCCGAAGCGGCGACCGAGTTGCGGAGGGGCAGATCGCTACTGCCAAAGCTAGACATTTTGGACGAGTCACCGAGCGAGAAATTGAAGAGGCTGCCGCTGGATCCGGGCTGTTTGGGAGAATTGGAGCTCCGAGTGAAGGATGGCATGATGGCTTAATAGGGAATCGGGTTTGCTCCAGCGATGTTTGCGCTATCGTTCCGTGGATGAGGCTGGAAAGACGCGTCGCGGTGACCGGAATGGGACGTGTAAGAAATTTCTGCACGGCCTTCTCACACCCCAATTGACGGCTTACAGGCGTCTTTCGACGAGACAAAGACGAAAGAAACGAGAGACAACTAGAGCACGGATCCTGGGTATCACGAAAACGGGGAAAAGAAAGCGGGGTGGGAAGGTTAGAGGGTGGATTTCGAAATGGAAAGTTTGTCTGACGCGACAAGCGAGGGGTCCCTGCCTCTTTCCTACCCTGCTTATCCCTGCTCAATGCTCTTTCCCTCGCGGAAACGCGTCAAAAAGCCGTTTTCCTAAGAATGTCGTGGAAAAAGCAACAATTATGAGCTGATTTGCCCCAGTTTTCGATCAATTGCGACCATGGGGGCCTTAATGCGTTATCTTTCAGGGTCCCGCAGAGCGTCGATCATCCCGTGCCACGAGCGACGCCTTGTGGCTCCACTTGTGAGTTTACGGTCCGACCAATGTCACCTTTGTTTTCACTTCATCACAAATTGATTCGCGACGTTGTCTTCCTTCCAAGCCATCAATTTCCCTCTCCCTGCTATTTGGAGCGATTAAAAAGAGAAACACCAGCAATTGCAGCCATCAATCTCCTATCCGCATCCAAAACCACTACCGAGCTGTCAAAGCTTGATTACGGGATGTTTCCAAAACCAATCAAAGAAGCGGCCCGTCATAGTGTCTGTTCACGCCGTTGTTATGGGCGCCATAGTATCCGGTGTCGTCGTATGTATACTGCTCGTCTGGGACCGCATATCCTGCGTTCTTTTGCGCCTTCGGCACGGGTTCATCTCTGAAAGGTTTCTGCTCGGTGTACGCTTCCTCAATGTTGGTGGACCACGGCGATTGTTGCGCAGCGGATGCATCGCGTTTCCCATCCGGATCCATCATCTGGTTGTACTTTCCGCGATGCGTTGATCGCTTGAAGACGTAGACATCCAAGAGGAGGGCAGCGATTGTTGATACGCTAATAGCACAGTCAGCACTCTAATCGATGCGAATTAAGGTAAGGCGTCATTACAATCCAAGCAGCGAAAAGGCGAATAAGGCCTTGTAGATGCGACATATCATGATGCCGTCGTCGTTGCGCCAGTTAGCCTTGTTGCAGACGTGGCCCATCGTCCCCGCCGACCACCACGACAACAATGCAAAGCCGAGAGTCCATATCACGAGAAGGCCGGCATTCAAGAATAAATTCAACCGAGGATTCAATCCGCAGCAGCAATGCTGCACGAGGGTCATGGACAGAAAGAGAATGGTGAGAACGGAGACTGTGAGGAGCTGCACGAGCTCGTCAGTGGTCGCACACGCGATCCGTCAGCACTCAAGACGTACCAAGAGGAAGGTCCACGGGATGGGGTAGCCGTCGTGGTGGAGTTGGTCGACGAAAAATATCATGACACAGGTCACGACCGTGGCTGCGAGAAGCTGCGCGCTGCGCAGAAAGTGGAAAGGGATACGCGGGTAATGCGTGGGCTGCACCTTGCTGCGCGCCATTTTGATTGTGGATTCAACGAGAGGACGACGTGGTGACGACAGGTGGAGGATTATGTGGTGCAAAGGCCTATCCAGAGGCTGTATACACCAGAGGCATGAGAGAGGGAGGTTGCGCGGAGGCTGAAGAAGAGAGCGCGGCAGCGGCTGTATATCTGCTTCAGCGTCTAACTGCAGGAGCTGTCCCGTGTCGCCTGTCAGCCGGACTATCGGTTTGTGGCTTCCTCAACCAATGGCGAAGGTCGTAGGTTTTGGCCCCATGCGTCGTGAAACGCCTTCGGAGATGGAACCGCAAGGGATGTCGCCCCAGACAGCTTCAAACACATCAACAAACATGCCCTGGAACTTCGACGGCCGAATAATCTGGCCGCGCTTACGGGTCCCTACTCGACATCGTTCTTGATATGATGACAGAAAAACGAACGGGCCACCAGGACTCTTTTGCGACTCAGCACAACAATGGCTAATGCCAAGGGTCAGACCACGGTTTGCATCCGACGCCTACCATAGGCTAGCCCGAACCCGAATGGCGCCTAACGGCGCGTATCGTAGCATCTAATAGAAATACAACCTACATCCTATCGTATTATACTAATTTCTTCGTGTGCGTGCCTCTACAGCTGAGTTTTGAACTATCTTTAACCCGTTTCCAGTACTAATTATGTACGAGAGCTGAAAGACCGCATATAAGCCCCAGCTTAAGCTGACTCGTTAATGTTCTCAGTTTCGACTACCGCCACGTTTTTTATGACCGCTGATTCGCCTACAACTCCAACTTCCACCCCAGCCTTCTTCATCTTAGCGTTATCCTCCCCAACAACAACGGGGTTTCGTCCAGTAGTAAAAATCAAGTCAACATCTTCGAGGCGCATATTACCAGTTTTTTCGGCTAAAAGTCGCACTCGTCAATACCCCAATGTCAGAAAGCCATAGGCGGTACAACGTACCGTAGAGGAAGTATACCAAAGGAGCAGATATCGTGTTTGTCGCAAAGAAGATCAGGTAAGCTTTTCATTGAAGTCGATTGAGAACCACCGGCTTGATCATGGCAACGACAAAGTTCCACATCCAGTTGCTGCTGGTTCCGACGGCCGTTCCCTGAGTACGTGCGTAGAGAGGCAGAAGCTCGGTAGGATGACCAAACTGCTCCAAGCAGTCTTCATTCTTGAGTATGAGGCCGAAGATACCTTGCTTCCGTCCAAACAGCACGAATGTCGAAAGACAGCATAACATTATACAGGCATTCAGCGTCCGGCCTCGACCAAGCCACGAACCCTTGTCGGCCTCTTATGAATGGGTACGTGAAGACGAGAAATGAAGTAAGAAATTGAAGGGTAAGAATATGCGGCTGGTGGGATGAAAATTAATAAGTGAGTGAACTGATTCAATGTGTCAAACCTCGTTACTCATGCTCATTGCCACGTTTCATTACCATGTTTCTTTTTTTCCAAAACACCAGACTTCTACTCTAGTACATAAACTCATTCTGGATGACTAGCTGCCTCACAACTCGTCTTCAGTGCCTAGTTGAATTGTGTATTTAATCCGAATATTTCGCTGCTCATTCAAGGGATCATTTATATGCAATTTCATCAATTTGCACCATTCAACACAATAGTAAGAATGAGAAAACAGGCGGCATCTTACTTTTGAGCACTGAAATACAAGAGCAGAAGGCCGGAGTCTTGACAGGAGGCTGTACGATCGAAGGCAAACCGCACGAGATATCTAATGCGATGAATCACGTGATAATAGTCAAGGGCCAGAGGTCCGAGGATGACAGGCAGCTTCAAACACACCTGCACATGTGCCCTTGAAGTTCGCCCGCGGAAAAGTCTGGCCGCGCTTACCTGAAGTCTTTCTAAACATGATGACAGAACAAAACCAACAGGCGACCAAGACTCTGGCGCAATTCAGGACAACAATGGCAAATGCTAGGCGGTTTGCGGCAAAGCGCGGCTGACGCTTTCCGCACCACCACGTCTGCTTTATCATCATGCCGCAGAACGACTCACCGTCGGGCATCCGCCAACGGCATCCTCGGCATCGCCTGTCGGCCACGTTGTCAATGTAGTCTCTTCGAGAAGCGGCGAGCCTGGCTCCACAGGTTATAACTATCTAATCCCCTACTCTACCTTTCTCTTTATCGTCTCCCTTCACCCGGAACGCCCTCTACATCCCCCGCACTCCGTAAAACTTCTCCAAAACCTTTTTCCATCCAGGAGTCTCTATCCATTCCCATCCAAGAGTCTCTGTCCATTCTCCACAATGGCCATCTCCCTCGCCATGCCCTGGTCCGCCGGCGAGCGCGCCATGCACTCGCTCCTGCACATCCCCTCCGACAGCATGGACAACCCGACATCCACCTTCATGACGCCGCAAGCCGCGACCATGCTCGTGCGCGCGCCCACCATCGCCCTCGGCGCGCTCGATTCCGAGGGTCGCCCTTGGGCTACGTTGTGGGGCGGCGAGCCGGGCTTCGCGCAGCCGTTGGGCGGCGGCGTCTTCGGCGTGCGGGTGCCGGTCGATCGGAAGTTCGATCCGGTGGCGCAGGCGCTGGTGGATGGGAAGACGGAGGGGGAGGTCGTGAGGGATGAAGGAAGCAGGGGAAGGATGGTGGCGGGGTTGCCGTTTGATTTGGTGACGAGGAAGAGGGTGAAGGTTTATGGGAGGATGGTTGTGGCGAGTTTGGGGAGGGGTGGTGGAGAGGAGGGTGAAGGTGAAGGTGGTGATGATGATGGGGCGGGGGAGATGCAGTTGGTGGTGAAGGTGGAGCAGAGCCTTGGTGAGTGGATGTTTTCTTTCTGTCTTAGACAATCCACCCGGGCACTCTCGACTCCTGTTATGAGCATTACTGAATTTCAACTTCCAACCCGGGCATCTCTCTTTTTTTTTTTTTCACTCTCACTATTGCTATACAGTCACTACATTCTTGGCTGCGGCTCTTCACCTTCTTCTTCACCGCACCCTAGAAGACATCTTAGACTAACAACACGACCAGGCAACTGTCCAAAATACCTCAACTCCAGAACAATCACCCCCACAACACCCCACCCCGAACTCCTCTCCACCTCTCCCAACCTCACCCCCGCCGCTCGCGCCCTCATCGCCAAATGCGACCTCTTCTTCATCTCCAGCAACAACGGCACCCACGACATGGACGTCAACCACCGCGGCGGCCCCACCGGCTTCGTCCGCATCATCCCCTCTTCCTCCAGCGACCCCGACGCCCCCACCACGCTCGTCTACCCCGAGTACTCCGGCAACCGCCTCTACCAAACCCTCGGCAACCTGCACGCCAACCCGCGCGCCGGCCTCTGCTTCCCCGACTTCGAGACGGGCGACGTGCTCTACGTGACGGGCACGACGCGCATCTACGCAGGCAAGGACGCCGCCGCGCTGCTGCCGCGCTCCAACCTCGCCGTCGCCATCACCCTCACCGCCGCGCGCCTCGTGCGGGCTGGCCTCGCTTTCCGTGGCGCGCCGGCCATGGGCGTCGGGAATGCTGCGAGCGAGAATGCGGACGATCTGGGGAAGTCGCCGTATAACCCGCCCGTGCGGCTGCTCGCGGCTGAGGGGAACCTGTTGTCGGAGACGGAGAGGAAGAAAGGTGGTGGTGGTGAGGTGACGGCGAAGCTGGCGAAGAAGGAGGGTATTACGCCGTCAGTTGCGCGCTTCACGTTCGCGCTGAGCACGCCGACACGCGTGCTGCCGGGGCAGTGGGTCGCGCTGGATGCGGCGGGCGAGCTGGATATGGGATATAGCCACATGCGCGACGACGATCCGGCGAGCTTGAACGACGACTTTGTGCGCACTTTCACCGTCACTTGGGCGTCGGGCTGGGACGACGCGCAACCAGACGAAGGTGTCGTCCCCCCGTCGACCGCCTTCGCCATCACCATCCGCCGCCACGGCCCCGTCACGGGCCTGCTCTTCGCGTCGTCGCCCGAACGCGCGACGGGCGGTGGTCTGGAACTTCCTATCCGCGGCTTCGGCGGCGGCGAGTTTAGGGTCAGGCCGGTCCCAGCGGTGCCTACGTCTCCTTCTCCTCCCGTTTCGTCATCGTCCATTGCGCCGGTAAAAGGACTGACGCCCTTCATCGCCGGCGGCGTCGGCATCACGCCGCTGTTGGCCGAGCTCGCTGCGCCGCGCCATGGTAATGGCAATGATGTACTGGACCCGCGGCGCGTCGCGCTGTTTTGGACGCTGAAGCGGGCGGATGCGGCGCTGGCGGTGGAGGTGTTAAGGCGGTGGCCGGGAATGGTGGCGCACCTGTTCCTCACTGGGAGGGGTGGTGGTGGTGGTGGTGGTGAGGGAGAGGATGAGGCTGTGGAGGCGCTCAAGGAGTCGGGCGTTCTGCTGGTGGCGGATGGGATGAGGATGACGGAAGAAAGTCTAAGGACGGTGGAGAGCGAGAAGTGGTATTTGTGTGCGGGAACGGCGTTGCATAAGCAGGTGGTGGCGTGGTTGGAGGGGAGGGGGGAGATCGTGTCTGAAAGCTTTAACTTTTAAGGAGAGAGGGTGAGAGTTCATCTGTTCGGTTGGGTTTGATGAAAATACGTTTGGAAAACTTGGTGAAACTCCGTGTTGGTGAGTTGTAAAGGTGTTTACAGCAAAATGTTTCTATGAATAGTTTCAATCTACGTCCAAATGCTCTTGTAGATATTCAAGGTATAAAGTTAACTTCAAACTCATCCTTCACTTGAACGTGTAAGAATAGCCCACCGTTCTTAATCAGAGTGCAGAACAGCACATCTATCATCCGTAGGCTCCAGGTTCAATTGCTCCATTTTCCTGATCATGCTAGCGATGCTTGTTGAAAGACCACGAGATTCTCCTGTCAAATTCCGTTAGTCCATCACCCGACTTCCACATTCTGATAACTTCACCAAATCCTGCCTCGATCAAACCCCACTCACCGACCACCAGAAACTTTCACCCCCAAATGGAACCGAAACACCAACTTCAACATCAAAACGTCACAACACTCGCCTCCAACACACCCTCACCCCCAATCAAACTCTTCACCACCTCCTCCGTCACCGGGCCATCCACCCCCAAAATCATCAACGCCTCACTCGCCGCCTCCTCGCCCTTCCCCCCCTCCTCCTCGGTTGTTCCACCCGTCGTCGTCTGCTGCACCAACGGCGCCACAATCATGCTCGAGATATTCACCCCCGCCGCTCCGAGCTTATTCCCCACGAACCCAATCTTCCCACAACTATCAAAGTTCCGACAGATCAGCATCGTCCCCTTGGGCACGAAGTTCGCCGCCGTCGCGAAGCGATCCAGCCGCGAAATATGCGGCGTATTCGCCGACACGAACCCCTGAATAACCTGATCATCATCATTCATCGCCATCTCTCCTCCCGCTCCACCCACCGGGCCTCCCTCCAGATTCGGTCGCCCACCACCAGTGTTGCTCCGCGTGAAGCTCGGCCTTACGCCCCGCGCCCCCGACGCACCACGGGACGGACGCGCACGCAACGTCACGCTGCTCGCGAAGCCCGACCCGCCCTCGCCCTCATCATCATCAGCGCGAGCGCGCCTTTCGTTGACGAGGATGCCACGCTCCTTCGCGACGAGCTCAGCATTAACAATATTAACATTCGGGCCACCCGCGCCGGGCGGCAGTTCGCTGATGGGCGCGAGGAGGCCCTTGATCAGCGCCGCGAAGAGGGGTTTGGTGGTGTTGAGCTCGGCGAGGTGGCCGTGGTAGGTGAGGTCGAAGGTGGTGCGGAAGGCGGAGGGGGAGCGGCGCTGCGCCGCGCTGTAGTGCTGCGTGTACAGCGACCCCATCTTCTCGACCAGGCTGACGAAGGGCTGCAGCGTGCGGTACTCGTCGGGCAGGATGAGCGGCGCGTTGACGGCGCTGCGCGGCAGCTCGCCCGACAGGATCGCCACGACTTGCTGGCACACGTCGATGGAGACGTTTTCTTGCGCCTCGACCGTCGACGCGCCGAGGTGGGGGGTTGCGACGACTTTGGGGTGCGAGATGAGGCGCGCGGCGGGAGAGTCGGGCGCGGGGGGTTCCGATGTGAAGACGTCGATGCCGGCGCCGGCGACGGTGCCGGCTTCGAGGGCGGAGAGGAGGGCCGCTTCGTCGATGACGCCGCCGCGGGCGACGTTGAGGAGGCGGGCGGTCGGCTTCATTTTGGAGAGCTCGTTCTTGCCGATCATGCCTCTGGTTGAGGCGATGAGGGGCGTGTGGATGGTGAAGAAGTCTGCGGCTGTTAGAAGCTCGTCGAGACTGTCTTTGAGTTCGACTGATGCTGCTGCGGCTATCTGAGGGTTGGCGTAGGGGTCGTAGGCTATGACGTTCATGCCCATGCCATTGGCGATCCGGGCAACGGTGATGCCGACTAAGTTGGTGTCAGACAGACGTTCATCTCACATAGCTGGTGGCTTACCCTTTCCGGCTCCAACGATGGCAAGAGTCTTTCCCTTCATTTCGACGCCAACGAGTCTGCTGCGTTCCCATTTGCCGGACTTGAGGCTTGCACAAGCATCTCCAATGTTTCGAGCTACAGCCATCATCACTGCATGTATGTCAGCAAATTGGGTGCAGCAATCAGGTAATACGTACAGGCGACGGTGTGTTCCGCAGCAGCACCAATGTTGCCACTAGGGCTGTTGACAACAATGACACCGCGCTTCGTCGCGGTTTCGACGTCAACCTAGTATAAAGCTTAGAAATGTTGAGAAACAGTCAAGTTCAGGGGCCAAAATACATTATCAACACCAACGCCAGCCCTAGCAACAACCTTGAGCTTTGTTGCAGCTGACAGCAGATCCGCTGTCACTTTCGTCTCCGAGCGGACGATCAAAGCCTCGTAGTCCGGAATAACCTCTTTGAGCTGATCCGGAGACAATCCTTTGCGTTCATGGACTTCGAAGTTCTCTCGAAGTAGCGCCAGTCCATCCGGAGAGACCTTTTCTGGGATTAGGACCTTCGGGCGGGGCGTCTCCGCGCCATTGGAGGACATCACTGGGATAGGCATCTTCACAAGCTAATGCCTGATCAGTCGGAGTGTATCTGAAGAACAATGAAGAGAATGGGTAGAGGAAGGACACTGGGTTCTAGATTCTTAAACCGTATATCGGAGGCCCTGCGTCCTTTTGAGAAGAATGTCCAGTCATCAGCGGCCGCCCCTGGGAATCAGCTGAGAGAGCTTGCTGCACATCAAACTTCGCCGGACCTGACGGAGGGTTGTTTGCAGACGTGCTTACCAGATACGGTACAGCTCCTTACCCCGCTCCCGCTACCCCACGCCTCTGCAGGACGCTACTGGTTGCTGAAAGCCACCAGTCATGCCGTCCCCCCACGGCTCTGCCACCAACACGTCACGCTTTCTTTATTGCAGATGCTGCGCAGATTTCCCCTGGCCAAAGAGGAGCCTTTTTAGCACCCTGTTGTCAGATTTCTGTAGTACATCCATGTCGCCACTGACATACAACGCAGCGGATAGGAGATAGCCGCAGGTGCTCTTATCCAATGCAATTGTACACTTGCATAGGCAACGTCGGGCCTAAATGCAAAAGCAAAACGTGGCCGGGTAAAGTGGTAGGGTGCGTTGAACGCCGTGCTTGCTATGCGCCGTTGCATCTGGGGGAGTCACCACCAACACCACCAAGTCTTTGAAATGCATACAAAGAAGGGGAGATAAAGCGTTCATGCATATCGGTTTGGCTCTTTCTTATATGAACAAACGTGTCCGGACGAACGCTTCATCTCCCCCCGAATGGTTCCATTATAGGACACTTACCGAACTAGTAAGTTCCTAACAGACGCGAACACAATTAACTCAAGGATAGCGCTGAAAGGCCGCTGTCATAGTGGACAATGTTCTATTAGTTTGGTCGTGTCTGTCGTTTTGTGATCCCGTTTCAGGCTCGCTAAGTCTCCTGTCCACCTACAAACCCTTCCGGCTCAACACCAAGCTTACCAGTTCGCCCTCTGCTTCAGCTTCTCGTTCTGTACGACTTCAATCCAATAATTGTCCTCATCTATCGTTCTGTCAGTCCTGATTACCACTTGAAAAGTCTCTGGACTCACCAAGGATGAAAGCAATGTTCTTCATGCGGCCATCAGTCAGCCTCTTCTTCCAGTTGACGCCCTTCTCCTCAAACCGAGCACAGGCGGCTTCAAGATCGTCGACAACAATGCAAATGTGACCAAAGCCCTGGGGCTGGTCGTTTCCGTTGTGATACTTGAAGTCCGCGTCATCTTCCGTGCCGTAGTTCCAGGTCAGCTCCAGGATACCCTCACGGTCAGCAATAGGGCTAACGCCCTCGGGAGAATTCTCAGGAGCAGGCGGTCCATAGGCGAGGAAGTAAAGATTGAACTTTGCCTCCTTGTTCTCCGAAACGCGCATGAGCTTCATGCCCATGACATCCTGGTAGAAGGCAAGCGACTTCTTGGGATCCTTGACACGGATCATAGTGTGGTTCTGCAGATAATTGTCAGAATGAAAGTGTTTGCAAACTTGGAAATCACTTACCATGCGGTATGTCTCGACGTTGGTCTCCTTGATGTTCTCGGTCGCTTCCAGCGGCTGCTGACCAATTACCTCAACCTATATCCGCTCATTAGCCATTTGCCATGTAATATTGCCGGTGCAGCCCCGCACCCAGTATCCGTCAGGATCAAGCACGAAGGCAATGTGCCTCATGCGCCCGTCTGTCAACTTCTTCTGGAACTTGTATCCCGCATCCTCAAGCCTCTGGCAAGCAGCCTGGAGGTTGTCAACCGAAATGCAGAGATGACCAAAACCCTTGTGGGGCTCGGTGTTGCCGTTGGTGATCTTGTAATCGGGGTCGTTCTCGGTGCCGTAGTTGTGGGTCAATTCGACGATACCCTCGCGGTCGGTCCAGTGGTTGCCGTGCGATGCAGCCTTGGGGCTGTCGTATGCGAGGAAGTAGAGGTCGAACTTCGCATCGGGGTTCTCGAGCTTGTTGATGAGCTTCATGCCCAGGAACTCGTAGAACTGGACTGATCGCTTGGGGTCCTTGACCCGGATCCTGCAGCAGCATTCAGCATGGGCGGCGCAGACGTGGAATTTTGGCGACGCACATGGAATGGTTCAGCTTGTACTTGCTCGGATCGGTCGCCATTGTCGCGAATGCCTTGACGAAAGCGTGGGACGATTTGGTGGTGTATAGAGGACGAGACTGCTTGAATGCGCGCAGGAAGAGACGTGGGGTTGTGAGCATTGGCGGGGTTGCAGGCAGAATCACGATCGCAAAGCAGCAGAGCAATAAGTAATCGGCATTTGCATTCGCTGCTCGATAATGACGTGGGCGCGATTGCCCCTCCCTGCCCCCGCCATCGCCGCGCCGCTTGTCCGCGCTAATCCCGAGGCGCAGGCACCACGTTGAGGGCTGCACATGGTGGTGAGAAAGTTAGTGTTCACGAAGCGCGGTGAAAATTGAATGCAACACCGCCACGACCCTGCAGCGGTTCACGGCTGGTTTTAGCTGCTCTGCTGGACACCTTGAGGGCTGGTGAGGCTGCCCAAGCCACGTGATAAGGATTCGCTTAGGCCGCTTTTAGCGCCCGAGCGATAACCTCGTGAACCCCAAGCTTTGGCCTATCAACCTCGACACGACAGCCATGGCCGCCCTCCAAGTGAAGTGCCGCGCCGAGTCCTGACCAATTCCACCATGCTCCGATCCCTTGTGCAAATCACCACGCCGCCTCGCACCTGCAGCCGACCCAAGACCCGCCCTCTGATGTTGACGCCTCTTTCGCCTATCGCTGACGGACTCGACTCGCTGAGCAACACGACCTAGACCACCGCGGAGAACACCACCGCCTGAGCCGCCTCTCGCTTGCCTACCTATCAGCTTCACCCGCGCCTTATCCGCCTGCTGCTTCCAGCCACCCGCTCGATCCCAGTCTGTAAGTGTTTGCCGCGTCCGCTTTCTCCCTTGGCCTTGTTTTCCCGCCTTCCTCTTGCGCGTCACGTTTCTGAACTTTCGGCTGCCGTGCTGTGCCACCTCACTTAAGGCCGCAGCCCGCTGTGTCACATTGTTTTCCGCCCTCTTGGCTCCACTCCAGTCCCTGCACGCATCTGCTGATCCGCCATACTGCTTGCGTCGTTTGCGCTGCCCCGGGACTCCGTGCTGATTCTTCCCCAATGTCCAGACCAAGCAAGTCGCCCATCATGCTTAACGTCAAGAGGCTCAGCGACCTGCTGGCCAAGAACGTGGATGCGAGGCTGTATCCGCGCATGTTGTGAGTGCCAGCGTGTACGCCTCTAGCGCCGCGCTAATGTGATTGCAGCGTGATGTCGCCAAATGGAACTCTGCTTGCCTACTCAACCCCCGCCAACATCAAAGAGCTTAGAGACCAGGCCGCTCTGATTTCCATGGCCTGGAAAGAACATGAGCTCAACATCCACTCAGGGGCACATGACGCAGATCACGAAGGCTCTTCCGCGCCACCCCAGCCACTGGAAACTCTAACCATCGAGTTCGACAACAACAACCTGATCGTCCGCGCCATTCAACAGAAGTTGCTACTCGTCCTGGTTGGTGGCGTTCCCCCTGGACGCAAGCAGACGTTCAAGATTACTCCTGAAACTCAGGGTGGCCCTCGCTACCCCACCGAAATCGCTGGACTTTCCGGCGGCCGCCACGACGGCGTCATTGAGCCATCGCAGTCTTCTGAAGCATCCGGCCAAGGGGCGGATCTTGTTGGCTCGCCTGAAGCTCCATCTACTGCCTCCATCGCTGACAGCACCATGAGCCAGAGGGAAAAGGACATGAAGCTCGGTGCTCTCCATATCCAGCGCAAGAAGCTGGACGCCATGACTAGGTTCATCCGACAGGACTTTGAGAGGAAAGGCTTCGTCATGCCTGACGACGTGAGCTTCCCATAAAACACTTTTTTAATTCCTTCTCGGTTACGGATCTTTACCGTTTGGCAAGGAGCTTGGGAGAAGCGAGCTAGCATGCAGCGGCATTACTTCTTGACGCAAGGCGTTTTGATTCAAGCATTTCTTTGGATATCCCGGTCTGGTGCTTTTTCTTGTTCGCGGTAGCTTCGGGACTTTATATTTTTCCGCCTCCCAGCTTTATCCGTTGCACTCGAGCATTTCAGCGGCATCATGCATCAATTTTCAATTGCATCTGCTCATGTAGCTAGAGACATTGTATACTTCCGCTTCTTTTTCTGGTTAAAGCAGATCCTGATTAGCTATGTCTGTGATCTCAATGGTCCGAGAGCTCAGATCCCTGCCCGCTAATGTACGAGCAGCAGCACGCGAGAAATGTATCGACATCGTTATGACGTCATGTGTACACATACGACACTCTTTCATAGCTCTCCCGCCTACGCCCCTCTCGTTACATTTCTCACTTCATTTATCAAGGTCCTGCAATCGCCATCGAGGCCACCCACACCCCATTGCTCCCCCTACCACAAACGTATCGCCTTCTCATTCGGCAACTCAGCACCACACAAGGCGGCGTACCAGCTGACAGGCCGCCCCTCCCCTCCCATTCCCCCTCTTTTCTGACCGGCAAATCAAAGCCGCCTGCATCCTCCCTTGTCAGATCCTACCAAAGATCTCCCATCCTGCCATTGCACAGGGAAAGACTGCAGAATCCGGAGCCGTCTCCCTCAATTCCCATCCATTATTAAGACAGCCCCCCAGCCCAGCCGCAACCATGCTGCACCCCACCACCTCCACCACCATCATCAGCCGCCGCGCACTCCTCAGCGCCGCCGCAAAACCATACTCCACCACCACCACCACCATGCCCTACCGCCTCCGCGCCACCTGCCCGCGCGCCACGCGCATCGCCACCATCCGCGCATCTACCGCATCCACCGCCGCCATGAACTCTTCTACTACTTCTGCTTCTTCTACCATGACGTCGACCACGACTACGAGTACTAGTACGCGTTCCCTGCACTTCTCGCGCACGCTCCTCGGCTCCACGAAAGAAGACCACATGGAGCGCGACCGCCTCAACCCGACGAGCACCGAGTACAGCAAGACGGGCTCGGACGACGCGGCCGCACACATGAACGACGCGGCGTTCAATCCGAACAAGACGAGGCCTGAGGAAGAGGTCGGCAGTGCGGAGAGAGAGAGTGGTGAGGTGAGGCGCCATCAGCAAAAGCAACAGCAGTCGTCGTCTTCTCAGGTTTGTGGTGTTTTTTTGTTTTTTTGCTTTCTGATGACGGGGGATAGCGGATGGAGTGGATGGAAGAGATGGCATGCGTGCGATTTGCATCATCATCACCCCCCTCGCGAACGCAGAGAAGATGCGAGACTTGAGAGAGAAAGAGAGAGCAATTGGCTAACCCTTACCGTTCTTCTCTTGCTATAAATTAGGGACCCAACCCTCTGAACGTCAGCCCCGGTAACCGCGACGTCAGCGCGACCAAGGATCCCAAGCAGAGCGGGCCTGACCGCAGCCCGTCCGAATCGGGAGAGGCCAGCTCGAGGGCTAGGACGAGCAGCAGGGGCAGCCCGGCGAAGCACGGCGGCGGTAAGACTGGTGGTGGTGGTGTTCACTGATCTCAGTGAGTGTTGATGTGTCGTCTGGAGAGGGCTGAGATGGGAATTGCAATGTAGCATACTTAGCCTGATGACAAAAAAAAAGAGGGGCCGACATGAGTTTTAGTTGTGAAGATGTCAAGGCGTCTGCATGATGGCGTTCTTGGGGGGTTGGCATCGAAATGAGCATATATATGGCTGTGTCATGCGTCAGGCTCGTGTCAACGTCGTGTCATCGATAAGTCTCCAATGTGTCACTAAGTTCTCGAGCCGAAACCACGTTGAAGTGCAGCACAATAATCGCTTCTATGAAGGAACCCAAAGTCCATTTCTCATTCCATCGTCTCTTAAACCTCTATCATAGCAATGCACCCGAATCGTTTTTCCATCGTAAACCCGACATGCCCATAATCAAAGCGACAGAACCCCTCCAACCAACCCGAAAAGATCGTAACACCATAACCAACAGCCCAATGCCCCCACATCAACCTCAACCCCATACATCAAAAGAGAGCTCTACCTCCTTCCATAAACCGAGTGTTCAGCGCGCCCGCTACTCTTCTTCTGGAACTGGGGCTTCGCCCTCGCCCAATCCCTAACATTCATCTCGCCCGCCGCCTCCTCCTGGCCCTCGATCGCGCGCCCGAGCACGCCTTTGAACGTTCCCTTGCCGCCAAACTCCATATCGTGCGTGTTGTCGACGGGGTGCTCGTGCTCGGCGTCGCGGCGGAAGAGGTTCATGATGTCGCGCATGGAGAGCTTATTGATAGCCTTGCCGCCCTCGATGGCGGCGTTGGCGAGCTTGCGCTTGGCCTCCTGCAGGTCCAAAATGCGCTCCTCGACCGTCTTGGTGATGGTCAGCTTGTAGACGACGACGTCGACGGTCTGGTTGAGGCGGTGGACGCGGTCGATGGCCTGCTCCTCGACGAAGGGGTTCCAGAAGGGCTCGAGGATGACGACGCGCGACGCGGCTGTGAGGTTGAGGCCGAGCGAGCCGCACTTGAGGCTGCACAGCAGCACGCGCGTGCCGCGGTCGTTGCGCAGCTTGTTGAGCGAGGCTTCGCGCAGGTCGTTGCGCATGCTGCCGTCGTAGCGCGTGAAGCGGTGGCCTGCGTTGCGGAGGAAGGGCTCGATGAGGTCCAGCATCGACGTGAACTGGCTGAATACGATGACCTTATGGTCGGGGGTTTCCTTATCCAAGATGTCCAGCAGCTGGCGGATCTTGGTCGAAGGGACTAGGCCCTCGTCATCGTACGAGGAGTTGTCGGTCTCTGCCTCGGAGTCCTCGTCCTCATCTTCCTCCTCCGACTCCTCGGCAGAGTCTTCCGTTTGCTGCTCGTCTGATGAAACGAGGTTGATGATCTTCTTCTTTGTCTTTGAAGGCGTCTCGGGTTCGTCGTCATCAGTCTCCGAGTCTTCAGAGCCCAGCGAGTCACCGCCACCTTCAGCGTTCTCGTCATCGGTGCCACCGGCCTTACCAAGGTCTTCAACGTCGCGTTGATCCTCAGGAACGAGCCATTCTCCCTCCTCATCTTCATCATCACTGTCAAGAACGACCCTCTTCTTGCGCATGAGTTTGGTAGGCTTCCTGGGGGACTCGTCCTCGTCCTCGTCATCCTCATCTTCAGACTCAACAATCTTCTTCTCGGCCTTCTTCTTTGATACGTGCTTCTTTTTCGTGTGTTTCGATTTCTGATCTGCGAGGTCAGCGTCGCAGTCCGCACACCTCACAGCACCAGCAGAAGCTTCGGCCTTGGATAGTTCAATCTGGCAAACGTCGCAATGCTTCGTCTCCACACTGATGCCACCAAACAGGTCTGCAAGGTCATCCAGGTCCTTGTTCTCTTCTGCTCTGGGTTTCCGTGGAGTCTGCATCTCCTTGGGGATACCAGAGCCAGCGCCATTGATAGCATCCTTGTCCTTGCCGACCTGGCCGCCAACCAGTTCAGGGTGGTTGCAAGCCTGCCTCAGACGCAGGAGCAGGACCAAAGCGCCAATGTAATCAGCCTTCTCTCCACCCATGAGCTCGTTGAGACGGCTTTGTGCTCTGTCCGCAAGACGGTCATAGAATTTGCGTTCGTCTGGGCTGAAGTCCGCAATGACAGTCTCAACCTTGCGTCCCACAATCCTGAATCCTTCGCTCTTCTGACCATCCGCAGAGGGTTTTCCGCCGGGGTTGAGGGCGCCTTCCTGCTTGAGCACATCCTTGGTCCTACGCTTCATGAAGGCCTTCAAGAAGACCTGCAGTCGGCGCATGGCGAGGTTTCCGCGACCGTTCTTCATCGGTCCTGCAATGTCGTTCTTCCAGCGGCTCAGTTCGTCGTACGGCTTGATCCTGAGGAACCTGATCAAGCTTTGAAGCTCGTCGAGGTTGTTCTGCATGGGAGTTCCAGTCAAGCACCAGCGATAGTGGGACCTGAGGGCGTACGAGGCCTGTGTCATCTTCGCGTTTCGATTCTTGATGGTGTGAGCCTCATCGAGCATGATGCGGTACCAATGCACACCGTAGCAGCCAATCTTCGGACCATCGGGTCCATCTGAGCTGGCGGCATGTTCCGAAGCCAGAATTTGGTAGGTGGTGACAACGATGTCGTACTTCTTCAGGTCCTCAGCGCGCTTGGTACGTGAAGGGCCGTGGTGCACGAGAACCTTGAGCTTGTGGGAAGGTAGAACCTTGGTCTTGACTTCGCTCTCCCACTGCTTGATCAGCGCGAGAGGTGCGACGACCAAAGTGCTCTTGCAGACGGTTAAGGGGATCTTCTTCTTCTTATCCTTGGGCTTCTCTTCCGAGGGCTCCTCCGGCTCCGGGCGGGGGTTGGTAAGGATGAGAGCAAGAGCCTGAATGGTCTTGCCAAGACCCATGTCATCAGCCAGAATACCGCCCTTGGGCAGGACTCCGTTCTTCTTGCGCTGGCCGACTTCCTTGTCGAGCATCCACGAGACACCATCGACTTGGTGGGGAAGAAGCTTGACGGCCAGGCCATCCACAGTGCCGTCATCTTCCTCTTCCTCCTCTTCAGGCTCTTCTTCTTTCTCCTTCTCTGCAGCCTTGACTTCCAAGGCCTTCAGTTTGTCGGCCAATTTAGTGACCTTTTCGTCTGCGCTCTTCTTCGCCTGGTTCCTCTTGCGCAGCCGAGTCTTGGGTCTGTCATCCTCATCATCGAAAGCGCCCTCCAACAGGTTCTTTATGTTTTCGCTTGCTTGGTTCGCATCGACGTAGGCGAAGGGATCTACCGCGCCGAATCGGTCGTCACGGATGGCAGCGTCGGGGTCGAACTCGTCGTCATCGCTGTTGGTCAGGTCGATGTGGGTTTTCTTCTTCTCTCCCGAGAAATCGATGGGCCTGGGCATGACGTGCTCGTTGATCGGCTGGAAACCTCCCACTGGGCGAGCGGAGGAATAGACGGGCCTAGGCGTAGGAGCGATGGTGTGCGGCTTCGGGGCCGACGGTTTAGGGATCTCGACGACATCCTCGTTCTGCTGCTGACCAGGAATGAATCCTCTAGTGTTTGTTTTGTGAAATTCGGGACGTGAAACACCCGGCTTGTGCTGGTGGAAGAGGTTGGAGTACTTGTCCCGCTTCAGAGGGTTTCGCAGAGGACTGGCCTCGCCGAACTTGGGGGCATCGTTGGGCACACCGAAGACCGGACGTGCCGGTGGCTGCTGGGAAGACGTTCTAGGCGGTTCCCTCTCGTTGACCATTGTGTGCTGTGACGTGTGACGTAAAGTATGGACGGGGCGATCGGGGCGTTGAGCGGTTCTCGAGTGTGGTGCGGGGTGTTGTTTCGGATTCGTGTGGCTAGGTAACTGTGGGCTGAGCTCGGTACCAAGTCCGGGCTCGTCGAACAGCGAGCTATCGTCTCCGAGAATCAGGCTGCTGCCTGGGCTATCCAGCGCCCGAGGTTCTAGCAGTTCGTTGTGTAGCACACCTGTCTGCTTGCTGGTATCCGAAGTGCGAGGAAGATTGCGCAATGTTTCGAGCGAGATTTCGTTGGCGTGAGCGTGTGTGGATTGCGGTTTGGTCGTGGTGTGGCGAGAGAAGAGAGGGCTCGATTGCGAAGAAAGGTTATTGATAGGTCGAAATACCCCGCGGCGCGAGTCTTTCCTGTGGTTAGTCATGAGGGTCAGAGCTTTAAGGCAGATCAACGGGGCACGGAAGAAACGAACCTTTATGGGTGCCCGGCGCTAAGGATTCGTGGGGATGGGCAGGTGCAGCTTGGAGACTGAAGCGGCATAAGGTGTTGATGGAGTCGGAAGTGTTATCGCCGATAGCCCGTTGCCCGGCAACCGCGCGTTTGTGTGCCGACGCCCCACCCACCCGGAGAACGCGTCGCGAAGTCACGACGCGCTATGTACAGGCCATCTTTCCCCGACCGGGCCTCGCGTCGTTCACATCACTCCAGCTTTCCATTCGAATATCACTGCCAGATTGATCGTTCACAGTGCATTATTATTCTCTAGACTTGGCCGCAGTAGCTGTACTCTTCCAGCCAAACAATCGCGCCTAATACGCCAGTCCCTCCAGGTTCTTCTGCACCGACGCCTCCAAGGTGGTGAATCCCGGCTGGCCCATTTCCTTCAACAGCGCCTCAGCCCGGCCTCGCGGCTTCCACTCGGTGAGATCGTGGCCTTGCATGAAGTCCTCGGGGAACTTGTGGTCCGGGTAATTCTTGCGCATCCATTCAAGGATCTTGTTGAACTGGTATGGCTCCGACACACCGAAAATGCGCTCACTCTTGACATCAGGATGAATGGCTGCAGCCACATGAAGCCATCCCGCATCCTCGACGTCGACGAAATGCTCTGGAGGATCTCATTAGACGACTGTACTGACCATAATCTCGGGGAGACTTACGTGGCACATAATACCTGATAGGCTCGATGTTCCCTTCCCAAAGCGCCTGAATCGAGGACGAAGTAGATGGATGACCCTGGTGCTTCAACGACAAGGCCTTGCCAAAGTTGAAAGACGGCAGAACTGATGCCACATGTCAGCTAGAGCAACTGCAGATATGAGCAATGACCTACCGCAGTTCACAGTCATCTCTGGCTTCGTCTCCTCGACCCACTTCCACAAAGCTTTCTCAGACTCCGCCTTGCTTGCTCCGTAGACAATTGCGCCATGCGCTGGAGATCTTGCGCCTTCTGTCCACGCTTCCTTCACGGCCTCCTCATTCCAAACCTTCTCATCAATCTCCTGCTTGGTGTCTGCAATTGGCATGAGAGCCGCCCAAGTTGAGGAAGTGAGAACGAAGCGCTTGATGCTGGGCTCGCTGGCCGCCGCTTTGGCCGCGACCAGGGCTCCATTGACGACCGTGGGAATCACGTTCTGCGGGTTGCTGTCGAAGGACACGTTCGAGGCAACATGGACAAATGCGGCAACCCCTGGATGATATTAGCACTCATCCATCTGAAGTTTAGAATTTGCTACTCGTACCCTTCTTGGCTTCGTCGAATGCCCCTTCAACTGCCATGTCCGGGACAGAAACTAGCTCAAAGTTGCCCTTGCCATATTTCTCGTCGAAGAACTCGCTCATCCATGCATTCTTCTTGGTATCTCTCACTGTTCCGCGGACCTTGTAGCCACTCTGCAGGAACTTATCAGCGACGTGCGAGCCAATCAGACCGTTGACTCCGGTTACGAGGACGGTCGATCCTTTCGGGATAGCGGGGTTGGCAAGAGGCGACATGGTACTGGACTTGGCACAATCGGAGAGAAAAGGCTTCGAGGAACGGAAAATAAGCACCCCACTAGCATACTTATACGTAGGAAGCTACGTGGGGTAGACCCTGGCTTCGCCGAGACGTCCATCGTGTGTCAGACGGAGGGATTCCGACATTGACCAACGCACAACGTCATGGTGGGCCCGACAAGGGTCATAGAGATCCGCATTCCTCCGCTGAGTCTCGCCCTCGGTGTTTATGACACACCGCTCCTCCGATGCACCACCACGGCGCTTACAATATGATGCGTAGCAAATGCTCATCCATATCAGTAATCTCGGTCTGCTGATTCTTTCTAGGAATATAAATCTTACTCTATCTTTCCGTTCGCCCATCCTGACCTGATGAAAGCCATTGCCTTGCGTGCACAACAGTGCCCCGCTCTTGCCTTGAGGTACGAAATGCCTGAAGTTTGCGTAAGTAAAAGGCTCCCTTGAGTTGATTCCCTCATCAATTGAACCCAAACGAGGTAACCGGGCACTAATTGACCCAGACCTTTTGCACTGTGACGCTGCTCACAAATCTCGCAAGTGGAGTAAGACCGTTGCTTACCCTGTTCTCAAGCTCGGACTGGGTTGATCCTTCACGATGATTCCCGGTTCAGCATTTGCGGTCTGTGCATTTCCCGGACTTAAGCGGGATTATGGGCACATATGTACAAAAAGTGTGTCTGGGTGCCACTCGAGCACGAAATTCAACGCCCGCCAAGCATGAACTGTGCCCCGAAATCCAACGAGTTTGCTCCGAATGCTTTACATTCGGCCGTACTGGTATACGAGAGACAGTCCGCGAAATTAGGCGCTCAATGGCTGTGCGAAGCCGCTGAGGTGAACGCGATGGTGGTGTAAGATGGTGAGATGATTGACATGATTCCGGATGCAGAGCACATGCATTGGCGTGATACAGCAGCAGGAATGGCATTCTTTTCCCCGGATCGGCAGCCGGCGCCAGAACCTTAAAGCGACTCGCGAATTGCAAGCTCATTCAAGAGAAGCGCGCTATCCCCTGCCTCGTACGACACTTTACAAATTCGACCCCGTCGATCATCGCTATGTCAACGATGATAAGACAAGGATAGGATAAGGGTTCCAGGAATCTCACGGTTGATAAGCGCTAAAGAGGCAACTCGTTTTCACGACCCCGCATAGTGAGAGCCTAAGCCGATTAGGCGTGCTCGTACATGAGTGGTTTTGGACTTGAGCAGTGCAAAAATAAACCGCTCATGTAATCTCATCGATGCAAAGACTCAACAAGAGCCGAAAGGTTTTGGCTATGCGTATAACAATCAATTGAATACTCTTTTCTTCACAAAACGTACTTGCTCAGGGATATACTCCATCAGTGAATGGGCCTCTTGAATCTTTAGTTGTGCGTTCTTCCCGCAAGTGCACGATGGTTGAACATGAAGCTAGCACCTTGATGGGACCGCCGAGCGAAGCATAAAACTAGAAAGTCCCGCATCCAGTAGTGCGCGGGATTTTCTCCCTACACACCACAGTTTCATTTTACTTCGTTTTGTTGAAAGTAGCCTATGATGGTAAATGTAGATGGCATCAACGGCATCCATGATGATATGGCGATCCCTGCTATACGTATAAAGTTAATTCCAAATAACAGACAGATGATTCGTAGCAGCTAAGTTACTGATTATTGACAGCGATAAAGATACCTGTCCCTTGCTGCCCAAGCAGAATCTGTTCGGCGTCAGCATCGACGGGACCGTCTCAGACGGTGCCATGCGCCAAGCTAGTCCGGTGTTCTCCAACCTGCAGATACGCGTATGCTCAAGTCGCGGAAACAAGGCCTCGATTCTAGTAAGCAGCGGAAAATTCAAGAGGTGGAAACCTAGCGGTGCGACTTACAGACTGGCTTGATGGATCGGCCGAGAGACTACTCGACAATACATCCCACCTCATCCTATGCACGGATCCGAATTGAGGCGTCCGACCTCGGCGTAACTGCCGTGGTTGCAAAGTCAGCGCCGGTTTGCAACGACGACCGCCGCACCGCCTTTCTTGAGGCCGCTAAAGTTGCCGTAGGATATTATCGTACCTCCTGTACTCCATATTCATCTAAAATTTTGGACTAATGATGACATCTGCGGCGGTTGTGGAGGCTGAAAGACTTTTTTGTAGGTATATATACAACAGCCGCGATTTCATTTGCCAAGAAAAGCTGAATGGCGCAGCGGAAGCGGTAAGCAGTTCCCACTCGAACGCCAACATGAACATTTAACTAACAACCCTCACAGCGCCGGGCTCATAACCCGGAGGACAGTGGATCGAAACCACTTTCAGCTAAGAAAGTTACTTTTTTTGCCTTTTTTTTGTTTGCCTCGAGAGAGCTCTGAGCAGTCAACATTTTTTTGGTGTTCTGTGCGTTCGATTCAGAAACCGCGCATGCCCTCACCGACTGCCCGCATCTTTTTCGGCCTTGGCGGGGTCCCTGAACCAATTTGTACCATGGAACCGCATGGATTTCTTTCGGCACCAGAGTCACCGATCGCTCCATGAAACCTCTCTGCTTTAAAAAGAGTAGGCTTCGCGGCCCGGAGTCTTGCCGGGTAGCTGACGCGCGGCTAACTCCGAACAGTTCAGATACAATCAATCCCTCAGACCACATGCCCCGGCTTATCGCACGTAAGAAAACCGCTGGGTCGGTCCGCATTAAAGAGTGGCGTAATTGGTGGACAAATTCGAGCGGATCGGGCCGAGAAAATAAAGTGACTTGCAGAAACCTCATGCATGTTGAATTAATGTGATAGAAGCGACATCGTCGATGCCCTCACGATTCAGTCTCGGAGATTCTGATTAATTGGTAACAGCTGCCCGTTCCCCAACAGGTCACTTTTCGGAATCTGCCGTCCCACTCTCAAGATGAATACGCTCATCACCGTTACCTGTATCATTTTCCTCTAAAGTGGATACCACTGCCCCCAGATCCCCGCTCTCCAAGACCCTGGTGAAGTCATCAAAGACTTCATGTAGAGTCTTACGATAGTCCACTTGAAACCGATGCTTCACAACACGACTTTCGGCCAAGTTGAGAAAAGCAAATAACTTATCCCGAGGGTCGGTAGCTTGTCTATGCCGCATGGAATAAGCAACATCCAGAATGTCGGGCGGCGGAATCTTCTCGAGGGCAACTGATTGCCTCAGCTGGAGTTCGAGCAAACCGAGAAAGCCGTCAAGGCTCACATCCGTCAAGCCGACTTCGGACCATCCAGGTGACAGCGCTGCAAGCTTGATGGATCTTGCAAATGCCCGAACACTCGGTGGATCGTTTGTCCAGCTCATTTGATCCGTACCACAGATGATGGTAGCCTTTCGGGAGAGTACAGCTTCCTGGACCACCCAGATCCGGCAGAACCACGAGCGTGCCATGATGTCTTGTATTCCTTTTTGCCAAAGCTCAGGTGGCCCCTGTAGCCAAGGTGCATTGGAAAGTGAAGCAGTCTTATCGCTGAAGGAGGCCAGAGCTTCGATGCCAAAATGGCTATGCTCCGTTTTTTCGCCAAGCCAGATGAGGACGTTGTCGGCCTGGCGGTATATCTGGTCCATCAGATGCACCTGATGCGATCTTTCGCAGATATCCTCTTGGTTGATACAAAGCGCATCAATCCAAAGGAGTCTAGACGTCCCAGGCAAACGAAGTTTCCGAAGTGCCGTCGACAAATTGGTCGTGATTCGTATGGTATGAGACTTCCCTACATGGCATACTTCATAGCCTCTAGCGTCACCCCAGACATAAGACAGAGCCTCGTATGAAGGGTGTTCGCATATGTTGTGGTGGTAAAAGGACCCTTCTAGTGGTTCGGAGTCTTTCCCAGGAGCAACACAGGACAACCTTATGGTTGCATGGTCTGGTAGAGGCTCGTAGGCACTTTCCAGCCATTCATACTATTGAACAGATGTAAACAAGGCTTGGTCGGTTATTGGCAAAGGGTGTTAGGAGTGCACGTCCTCAGGGGGTACATACGGACGGTGAAGAAACATCCGGAATGACTGCATCGTCCGCACTAAATTTCACCCAGAATCCAAATGACAGACTCCATCCTTTCGGAAGCCTCAGTAATCGGTCGATTCTAAACGGAAGCCACGAGAATGACCAGGATTTCGTGAAGATGTGCGAGAAATATGTTAAATTGGCCATGGTTGTAATCGATACCAGGACCAATGGTCGAAATTCGTGAGTGACAGGGTGAAGTAGATTGAAAACGGGACAAGAAGCGAGAGTAAGAATTTCAAAAGGTTCATTCAGGTGGTACATGGCGAAGCAAGGCAGCAATGATCACAAGTCCGACATTACTACCTAGCACAGCACATCTAGACGCGCCGGAACCCGGGCCTGATATGCATAGTTCTTGGAATGATACAGAAATACGATTAGTCACAAAATAGTATTTTGAAGGCAGGCGGATATCCAAGAATTGGAGTTGTACATACACCAATACTTTTGTCAAGATTGCGATTTAGTATGAACACTGCAACGACAGATACGCTCATCTGCATGCCAAATGTAAATATCTCAAGCTCTTGCCACGCAACACAAGAACTCACCCTCAAACCAACCCCAGACTCCACTACTCAACTCAATACTCCATCGCCTCCTCAAACAACCCCCTCAACTGCTCCCTTTCCCTCTCCACCTCCTGCGTCTCCAAGCTAGGCGCCAGCATCAGCACTCTCGCCTGGGGAATAGTCCCCTCAACCAACGCATCGACATCACCCCTCTGGAACCCGAGCGCCTTCAAGCCGCGGGGCTGATCGCCAAGCTTGACCAAAAACTCAGACACCGCCTCGCTGAGCACCTCGCCGGCATTCTCCTTCTTCACATTGCTGATATCCACGCCGAACGCCTCGGCCGCCGCCAGATGCCTCTCCGGGTTCGAGGCGCCGGTGAAGCGGAAGACGGCGGGCGCGGTGACGGCGACGGAAACGCCATGCGGGATGATGGGGGAATCGACCTGGTAGCCGGCGTGCTTGTAGCCCGGGTTCTGGCCGGAGATGGGGTAGCTCATGCCGTGGCAAAGGTGGACGCCGGCGTTGCCGAAGCCGACGCCGGCGAGCGTGGCGGCCAGCAGCATCTGCTCCTGCGCCTCGAAGTCGTCCGGGTCGCGCACGGCGCGCGGCAGGTACTTGACGGTGCTGCGCAGCGCCTGCAGCGAGAAGATGTCCGAGATGGGGTTGGCGCCCTGGTACGCGGGCCGGTTCAGCGGGTTGGTCGGTCGCGGCACGCGCTCGTTGTACGGGATGGCCGTCCATGATTCGAGAGAGTGGCACAGCACGTCCAGGCCCGACGACGCGTGCACGGCTGACGGCATGGTTCGCGTGTTCAGCGGGTCGCAGATGCCGAGCGTCGGCTTGAGGTTGCGGTGCGCGATGCCTGTCTTGGCCTTTTTGGATACTAGGTCGAAGATGGCGGTGCCCGTCGTTTCGGAACCGGTGCCGGCGGTCGTGGGAACGGCGATGAGGGGCTTCAGCTTGGAGGTGATGGGCTTGCCGCGGCCGAGTGGTGCGTTCACGAAGTCGAGGAAGTCGGCCTCTGGTGTGAGGGTTAGTGTGAGTTGAGATACAATGAGTGGGAATAGAAACATACCAGGGAAGGAAGTGTACAGGTTCATGAGCTTCGCAGTGTCAATGACAGAGCCACCTCCTACTGCTAGGAAAGCATCGGCCTGGTATGGTTTCGCGAACTCAATCGCCTCCTTTATTCTGCGTCAAGTCAGCCCTCATCGTCCATATCCCGCAGACCTCAGAGGAGACTCACGAGCTATCCTTCGGCTCCACTCTCGTCCCATCAAACACTTCATACGCAATGCCCTCCCTCTCCAAGCCCTCACGGACCTGCTTCATGGCATTCAGCTTCGCGACCGTCTTGTCCGTCACGACCATGACCTTTTTAGCGCCCATGTTCTGGAAGTCCATGCCGACTTCCTTGGTGCAGCCGGGGCCGAAGCGGATGGAGCTGGCAGCCATCTCGAACGCGTACTCCTTCTGCTGCGAGGCATCGAGCGGGGTGGCGAAGCTGCGGCGACCATTGTGCCGCGCGCCGTACTGCTGCGCCGACGACAGCAGCTGGTGTGCCGATGACGGATGGTGATGGTGGTGGGCCGGGTTGCCGTGGCATGGGCAGTTGGGCGGGTGCGTGTACTGGATGGTGCGCAGGAGGCTCGTGGCGCGCGCGGCGCGCGTAGGTGCGATGCGGATGGCGGCCATGGTCGTGTGCGGGGAAGAGATGGGGGCTGCTGCTGCTGTTGCTGCTGATACTGATGCTGCTTCTTTCGAGAGGCCCACCGAGAAGCTGTCGGCTGGGGAAAGCAGCGGAGGACGGAGGATTAGGGCGGCAGGAGGTGATGACAGCGGTGAAGGGCCATGGTGGAGTAGATAGCTAGGTACATCTGAGGCCGAGGCTTTGCGGCAGTGATGGTGGAATCGCCGCAAAGCGCAAGCCGACGGCGAGACATGGCCCCTGCAATGCGGGGTCCCTAACTCCGATTGGCCAATTAGCGCCAGATTGCGTCAGTCTCCCAGCTAGAGCTCGGAGCTTATGAGCAGCGGCCGAAGAAGCTCTCTCTTCTTCACACAAACCAACACAATGAAGCCCGGCATTGGTTTCACAACAGCTTGGCGGTCGTGCATTCCCTCACACGCTGAACAACAGCAGGCAAGGGATCTCAGCGGCCAACATAAAAGCAGAATAATTCCCGATCAAAAGATGCAACTCAAGCCATTCCCCGCAGCATTATTTTTCGCAGGTCCAACTAGCAACGTTTCGACATACTGTGGTGGAGACGTCGTTTTCGCTCCATTTGTCGATTGCCTGAAGCGATGAGCCACGAAAGCATCAAGGCCTCCAAGGACTTATCAAACTTCCTGGAATGCCTAAGAAACATGAATCACCCAATGGTTCAGTGCCTTCTAACGCCAAGGGAAAAGAGCGATTAATATTTTATCACGTTCGTCACTCAATACCGAAGTGTCGAGCCAATCAAGGTCGAGGTTTGTTTCGTGAGACGCAGCACGCATACCAATTATCTAATCTTTAATCGAGTAGCCACATCACAAGAGTACCCTAGATCCCTGGAGTCGATGTCGGGCAGATGCAGCAAGCGTTTTTAGAAAATACAAATTCGACAAGAGGCCATATGGAGGGTGGTGGGAGAATATTCGTCTACCGCAGCTCATGAATGGTGGTAGAGCCTTCGAGATGCTGGCCTACCACTGGCTGGTTGGAGAGGTCAAGCGATTCACGCCCAGCAGAATGGACGGACGAGTGGCGGAGACAAAAGCAGGAGTGAGTTGGTGTCTTTTAATCCTCAGGCTGCGCGATTTCTGACGAAATAGACGAGGAAGGTCCTGGAAAGAGAGCGGCCCCGGAGCCACCGTCCATAGCTATTGGTAGACGGAAGTTTCCATGGCCACGAGGGACCGGCCAAGCGATCTTCCTGCGAGTATGGGGCTACAAAGGCCTATCCGATGTCACACAGCATGAGAAAGTTCACAGGAAATAAGCATGCACTCCGCCCGACGTGCGTCAGCACGGAAGATGGCGCCGTGGCGTCAAAAAGTCGGTAATATAGGGATGGGAAACGCGTAGTCGTGCGAAGTCGCTGATAAATCTGAAGCAGGATCGTCAGCAAATCCTGGATGATTGGCACGGGAGTGCATTGTGCGGACGGAATACTCCAGCACGGCGTACCAGACAGGAAAGGGAAACCTGCCCAAACAGGAAGCAGCAACGAGCGAGGGGGCAAATAGTCATGTGCAAGCAGCACAGTCGGCAAAACATGCGCAGCGAGATATAGTTTCACCGCCGATCCCCGCGTCTCTCCGCCGCGAGCCATATGAGAGCGACCGGTGGTTTCGTCGCAACCGAGACAACTCTGAGACGGAGCTGGCGCCGCTGAGGCCCGAGGGCGGTTCGAAACCCCCTAATTCATGGCGTAAGCGGTTTGGGGAGAAAAAAACACCAAGCCTCAGCTCCACATTGCCTGATTTGCAGGCAGATCAATACGGACGGCAACTTCCGTCCAACGACGACCTGATGCTCCCGACCCAGACCCTGTACATCGGCTGTCCCCGCTCCCGAACCCGGGCTTTCCGCATTCAAAATGGATCCCTTTGCTCCAGCCAGAAACCGCAAATCCGCTCGCCGTCGTCCGTCAAGACAAAATGGTCAAAGTTGCCGTGGCAGGCGGCTCCGGAAGTGCGTGCCCTGCCAAGCCCGTCCGCTGCTCTTGCTGACATTCCCTGCAGGCGTCGCCCGGGAGGTCATCGACCAGATATTGGCCCGGAACAAGCACCAGGTAACCATACTGGAGCAGAGGGTAATGTTTGCTTTCTGGTGTGGTGTGCCAACCCTCGGCTGACCATCGCCAGCCGGCCGAGAGCCCGTGCGTCGACAAGCATGGCATCGAGTGGATTCAAGTCGACTATTCCGATAAAACCTCGCTGGCCCATGTTCTGCGAGGCACCGATGTCGTTTTGTGCTTCTTCACCGGACTCGACTACATGAACGCGGTGAGAAACTCGAAAAACCTCATCGACGCGTCCATCCAAGCAGGAGTCAAACGCTTTGCGCCCTCGGAATGGGGAAGGTAAGCCATGTTGTTTGCACCCTTGGAAACCAACATCTAACACATTCGAATACAGTCGCTTGAACTGGAGCATTCCGCACTACAGGTTCAAAGACGAAATCCGAGAATATCTTGAGGAATGTAACAGCGGGAGGATTGTAAGTGCGACCCGATTCCGTCCCGGAAGTCTATATTGACTTCGGAGAAGAGATTAGAATATTCCCTCTTTCAGCCCGGCCTCTTCACAAACTACTTTGGCTTCCCATACTCCACCACGAAACATTTATCCATGAGTCCATGGCTTGTCGACTTTGACAACCGCCGCGCCATCACCGTCGGCGCTGGCGATTTTTCCCTCTGCCTCACCACCGTGCAGGACATGGCTGTTGTGGTCGCAGATGCACTTGATTATGAAGGCAAATGGCCTGTCGACGGTGGGATAAGAGGCACACAGATTACTATGGCGGAGTTGATCAGGCTCGGCGAAAAATTAAGAGGTAAGCCGAAGCCTCGCCTTGTTTTCTCTGATCAAACCTAACCCGGTTGCAGGTCCCATGAAAGTAGAAAGTGTATCATTGGAAGATTTGAGAGAAGGCCAGCTCAAGACGTCGTGGTGCCCTTTGATCACGCATCCCTGCCTCCCGGACGAACACCGAGAGATCATCTCGCGCCACGTCATGATCACATTTCTTCGGTCCGTCGCCCAGGGAGCTTGGACTGTGTCTGACACGTGGAACAAACTCCTGCCTGATAACAAGCACATCAGTGTGGAGGATTACCTAACGCAAGTTTGGACGGGCAAGCCGTAGTAGTCAACTGACTCTCTTTGACTCTTTTCTTCACCGGTTTGAATATCCCTTACTTCTGCAGGCAGCAAAAACCCCACCAATGTAACCGAATTGTCCTTTCTTCAAAGGGTTGCGTCGCACAGATCCTGCCTGAAGATTTGACGCCCCACAGCCAAGACATTCCGCCTCGGAGTTGCCGACAGCCACCCGTCGTAAGAGATCCACGACGGAACTGGCCGTGTGACCTCTCCACTACTCAGTTCCTGCTCCGAAATGTAATAATAGTCAACAAATCACGCTGTCTCGGGAACCCCAAAACGACTACCTCGCCTATCCGCCCCCACAACAAAGCGAAAACTTCGGTGTCATAATCAAGGATGGCCAGGGTGTAGGAAGATAGCAGAGCCGTGATTTAGTCAACCTAAACCACAGCCGCAGTTCCGTCAAGTTGGTTCAATTTATTTTGGATACGATCGCTGCAACTCCGAAGGAATAGAGGGCGAAAAGACAGGTCTTAACGATAAATGTGTACGTTCGCTGGGAGAGTGCCTCCGGAAAAGAGAAGCGAGCTTCTCGAGGTGCAAATGGATGAAGAACATTTGAGGGAGTGCTGCAAAAGATGCGGGCTACATGTAGGTGTAAAGTCGCCACAGAGTCTCAAACAGAATATATGCTCTTTCCAACCAAAAGAATAAGATAGACTTTTCTGTCTTTAATCAAAACCGAAAATGGAAGTTGCTCACAAACCATGGTCTTTCTTTCTCTGGGAAATCTTCTCCTCATTCCGCCAATAGTCCTTCCTCTCCGTCCACATCTATTCATCAAGAAAAGTCAGCCGCAATCTCACCCCGCAAGTAGTTCCAACGGCACTGTAATCCAAACAAAAGTATGCACATCAGAGAAGGAGAAAGACTTACGTGGCTCAACCTTTCCTTCTTCTCCTTGCTTATTTTGCTGCCACCCCTCATGTCTATCACCGCCATCTCAAACTTCCCCAAGATTTCGTCCGCCATCTCCCTGGTCAGCTCTACATCCGGATTCTCCGCCTTCACGAGCCCAATCCACCCAGCGTAGGTCCAATTGCCCCTCTTGTCGTAATTGTGTGGATGTGGAACCGTGAGGCCGGCTTCCGTCTTCCGCCGTTCTTGCAAGTTCGGCTGCTTCTTGTTGCTCTGGTTGAACTTTTTCTGATCCTCTCAAACTCGGCTCGAAGGTCAGGCGAGCAAACCTAGGAGGCACTCGACAGCATAAGCGATCTTTTTTTTTGAAAAAAAAAAAAAAGAATGGCTAGAGGGAGCAATTGTGTGCATCGTGTTTAAGAATTTACCTCCTTGAGTGCAGTTTTGTAACCTGGAGAGCTTTTTCCGCTGAACTGCTCATGTACCTGAAGATACGCGTCCGCAATATCGTCCCATTTGACCGTCACCCACCCTTCATGATTGCCTTTGTTCTTTTGTTGGACTGAGTTCCAATAAGCCTTCAATCCGAGATGTTTGGAGGATGAGACGTTTGGCAATTGTAGTTTCTTTGGAACTATTTTAGCCGGCATGGTGGACAATCGAACAAGTACGAGCGGTGTCGATCCGGATCAGGCCGTGTAAAAGGAACACGAAACCTCAGGAAGACGAGAAGTACAAATACCAGAATTCCCTGGCCCGCCTCAGTCGCAGGAAGAAGCAAACGGCTGGCAAAATACCCCGCAGACCTTCTGATAACCAAGCTACATGCCTGCAGGATTGCGACTGTGCCGCATGCTGTACTACCCTTTCCCTGCTGATTGCTGTCACATCTGGCTGTGCCTACAGGAGGGTGTCAGGGATTCATAGCGCTTCAGGGGGCGGAAGCGCCGGCTCGCCTGCATAACCCAAGCTCATCGCACGCACATACAGCGACATGTCGTCCTTGGCGTGGTATCACGACGCAAGAGGCCAGGCAGACAGTCCCGCATCAGTGGAATATCAGGAATGCTGCCTATGCCAAGCGCCGAAAGCAGACACCATAATCTACAGAGGGGTATTGCATCCGAAGGCCAGCGTTAATCTTATTTTTCGTTCATGTCATGGGGAGCTGAAGCTATCGTCTGGACGACAATGTCGAATTAAAAATTCTACATACACGTCCGGATGATAGCTTCAACTCGCCATGAAATGAGCGAAAGACATTAACGCTAGCCTTCTGCTGCAATACCCCTCCGTAGAATAATGATCAGAGGGATGCATGGTACTCTACAACTGGCGTGACTTGTGTTCATTCCAAAAAGTGCCAAAACACCGGACAATGCGCTCCATTAGCTAGTCGTACTATTTGTTTTACAGACTTTTCGTCTATAAATAACTATTGCTTTGTCGCCTCTTGCCTCTCATGTGGAAGACGCCAGCTTGCCAGGGTAACTATTGATAGATCCCTGCCCAGCACTAATCTATCAACGCTCTATATTTTCAGTCATCGCTTGGAGACACGAGGTAACCAATACCCTCGCGTTTACGCCTAGATATCTGGAATGGAATGCTTCCAGACTGGGCGATGGGCTCGTTAGAAAGGTAGATGGTGAGGATGACGTCGAACTCCTTCGCCTTGATGCATTTCAGCGGCTCCAGCAAGTAAGGGACAGAGTCATCATCCGCAGTGTGGTCACTGTGGGGAAGGACAGGCCAGATGGTCCCGGGTTAGGCTGCCCAAAGACTGTAGGACTCGACAGGCTCCAGGCTCCAAATAACGCCAGCCCAATGCTCAACGGGTATAAAACTCAGAAAATGTCATCCATGCTCACGTCGGCTTTTGCGCCCGCAGCCGCGGCCTGTGTAGCCAGCGGTGGTGCGTCCGTGATGTCCTTGTTCTCCATCTCGTCCTGCACGAAGATGCCGAAGCCCGAGAAAGCATCACAGAGCGCGTGGGAGTAGTACTCCTGGATATCGCAGCCGCCGGCCGCGTAGACTGGCTTCGAGTAGTAGTCATCTAGCCAGTTCCAGGCGTACCGGTCCTGGATAACAGCATACTCGCGCTTCTCGGCATCCCCGCCAAAGGGGTCGAAGGGCTTTTCCACCTCGACGACCTTCTTCTTGAGACCCTTGATCTGGAAGCCGCCCCCGAGATCACCACCGGGGGCACCGTTGGACGGCGTAGCCGCAGCCGCACCAGCCGGTACGCGGGGGCCAGAAGGCTGGATGCGGGTCTGGCCGGCGCGCTTGAGGTGGACCTGGGCGATCTTAGTGGCGTCGCCCTGGCCGCTGGCCAACTGGTTGATGACGTCCCTGCGGCCTTCCAGTCGCTCGCGCTCCAACTGCTGGTTCTCGCGCAGAGCAGCCTCGCGGCGCAGCTTGGCCTGCTCCTTCTCGGCCGCCTGTTGTGCTTCCCATGCCGACGCTTCTTGCAGGGCGAGCACCTCGTTCTCCTTGATCGAGGCTTGGTTCGCTTCGGCGTACTTCCGCAGCTTGGCCTCGGCCTGCTCGACGTTTATGCGGTGGATGAGGTCGTAGGTGATGTCCTCGACGTCGTTGAGGTAGTCGTTGTAGTCTTGCAGTGTTTCGAACTCTTCTTCGCGGCGGTTGAAGCTACAATTGTGTGAGAACCGCCGTTCAACCTCACACCCACAGCACTTACACAGCAGCCACCCGCCGCCTGATGTCCACCTCCCGCTCAACCTGGATATCCTCAAATGTCTTCTTCCGAAAGCGGTTCTTGCGTAGAGTCTTGCCGCAGCCGACGATCCTGCAGGGTGCGGGGCCGTGGGAGTAGATGCGGTCGACGCACGACTCGCACATCTGGTGGTAGCACTCCGGGTTGATGAGGAAGCGCATGTTGGGGTTGAGGTAACGCGACGACTTGCACACGGGACAGATGTCTGGTACAGCAGGCTTCTTGTTAGCACTCTCGGCGGAGTCGAAGGTCAAAGCTGCTTGGAGGCGGGCGTGCAGTGTCTCACCGCCGTCCTCAACTGCCTGCTGCGAGCCCTTCGCAGCCTGGGGCCCGCTCTCGCGGCGCGCTGCTCGGGACATCGTGAAGGCGGTGTTGAGGTGTTGTGTAGTTTAGGTTTGGGGGCAGGCGCGCAGATCGCCCGCAATGTAGCGGTCTGGGAGGGCGTGCGCGTGGTCGACGTAGGATGCAGGGTGCGTGTCGGTGGAGCTGCTCGATTCAGCCTGCAGTGGCGGGCCGTTGTCCGTGCTTTCAAAGCTGTCGGAGGTTTGCGGCGTTTGCTGGCAAAGACTTTTTAACCCTTGTCGCGATCAAAGTTTAATCTGTGCCGAAGATCGGCCACTTCTAATTGGACTCAGCCATCAGTTCCAGTGCCTTCCGCTCTGTCCGCTGCTCGCGTCACTTTTTTTGCGACCACCAGGCTACCAATCTTACAACCAACCCAACGTCGTCCACCCTCCGATTCCTGCGAAAATGAGCGCACAATCTCGCGACCAGCTTGGCGACCTTGAGCGCCACCGTCTACGCCTCGAAGAACAAATTGCGAAGCTGCGCAAATCGCTGCAGCACTGGCAAACATGGGACGCCGAGTACGAGGGTCTGAAGGAAGAGATTCAGGGATTCAAGAAGACATCAAACGGCCGCGAGCCCACTGCTCAGGATATGGTCCAGCTTGGCCGCGAATTTGGCGGCGAGCTTGTCAATGAAAAGGAAATCATGGAACTGTTGGGCAAGGACATGAGCCGGAACGCGAATCAGGTCGTCGATTTGATTTCGCGCAGGCAGGACTACGTGCAGAAGAACGTGGAGACTGTACAGAAGCAGGTCGATGCCGCGGAGGATAAGCTAAGCAAGGTCCTCATTATCAGCAATCCTAGCCTCGAAGACGAAGAAGGTGGGCCGCTTATGGACATCCGGGAAGAGCTGGATGAGGAAGGAAATGTGATCTCCAGCTCCATCTCTCAGCCTGGAAACCAAGCGGCCCAGATCATGGAGACTTTGAAGAAAGCTGGTATTGACCTTCCCGACGAGGAGAACAAGAACGGCGAGGGTTCGTCGAAAATTGAGGAAATATCAGACGATGCAAAGACTACTCCCGCTAAGGCAGGATCGGAAGCAAAGGCTCAGGAGGCAGCCGGCCCTTCCAAGGCGTCAGGAAAGGCTCCGGTACAAGCCGAAAGCTCTTCAACTTCAGAAGATCGTGTTCCTCGCCGGAAGAAGTCGGTTTCCTTTACTCCCGATACGAAGGCGCCCGCCGCTTCCTCTGGGGTTGGCGAGATCAATGACACCGTCAGCGCCCACATGAACTTCAAGCCTGGCAGTCGTGTCGTTGAGCTGAACGACAAAGACGAGATCGTACGTACTGAGATCGCGGGCCCGCAGAACCCGGGCATCCAGAACCCCGTGATTCCCAAGAACGAGTCTGAAGAGGATTCCAAATTGAGGCGTGAGATGCTGGAGTACAGCTTGAACGAGGTGGGCCACGTTGTTGCGGAGATGAACCTGGAAGATGGCAGTGACGACGACTACGACTATGAAGAGGAGGACTCCGATATCGAGGAGGTGGAAGAGGATGACGAGTGGGGCAGAAGCAGGCCTGTCATCACTGAGGAATACCTGCAGAAGATGAGGGAGCTGGAGAAGAAGCTGGACGCCCAGATGATCGAAAACCTGGGCCCAGCACCCGAAGACGCAAACTTGAACAACATGCTCCAACAAGCACAAGGCGTGCACAAGCTCGTCGTCCGGACGGATGAGGAAATCCCACCAGCTCTGCTCCCCCAAAAAGCAACCAAGCCAAAAGAATCCACCAAGCCTCAGAACGACGACAAAACCACAGAGTCTGCCCCCGCTGCCGAGACCATCACCACCGCCTCCTCATCCTCGTCCTCAAAGGGCGTCCGCTTCGCCGACGCGGTCGACGTCGCACCAGCCCCCAAGCCCGCCTCCGACACTCTCCCTCAAATCTCCACCGAACCCCGCCCCATCGCCGACGCCATCATCGAGCGCAGCAGCGCCGCGACCTCCTCCTCCGACCCTTCCACCCCCCCTCCCCGCAAAACCTCCCGCTTCAAAGCCGCCCGCGCCGCCCACCCACAAACCCCCATCGCCACCTCCTTCCCCTCCACCATCCTCGGCGGCAAGGAAAAAGAAAACAAACCCAACGACGACGAAGAAGCCGACGAGGAGATCCTCCCCCGCCGCACCCCCACCGGCCCGCCCAACGCCACCCTCGCTTCTACTATCGTCGAGCGCGACCACAACGCCGCTAACCCGTCTGCCCCTGACCCGGACGGCCTCGACCCGGCCACGCTGTCGCAGGAGGCGCTGACGTCGTACCACAAGCTGCGCGCGAAGATGATCCAGCGCCAGGAAGGCGGCTTCGTGCGGCCGTCGCTGGAGGAGCAGGAAGCGACGGGCGGCGAGCCGCTGGTCGAGGAGCGCGAGGACGGCAGCGTGCGCAAGGTCAGCAGGTTCAGGGCGGCCAGGGTGAGGGCGGCGGAGCAGGGGGGTGGGATTTGAAGCGGTGACTGGGGAAAGGGAGAGGGGAGGCGGGGAACTATGTTAAATGGTATGGGATAGAGAAGATGAAGGGGGAGGAGGGATGTTCTCGTGTACGGTCTGATGGAGTTTATGGAGTTTTAACTGCGCATATGTAGTGCAAAGGGGTCCCACAGTGGACACTTGCAAGTTTCACGGTCACGGAGAGACGTAGCTTTGCAGAGATGCTTTCTGGGATAGTAATATCTATTTGAAAAAGAGCCTACATCGACCTATTACCCTCATCACATTAGGCAAAAGGTGAATGAAAGAGATAAATTATCCCGAAACAACAGTAATTGAAAAGAACGAATAATTACGAAAGCGCAGTGGGAAAAAGGATAAGATGTGGTACCAGTATGTTTGTTTGAGAAGGAAACCCTTTCCGTACAAGTCCATATCGTACATCGACAGTGTCTCCGTCGTCTCGTAACTTTCTTCGCCTTCAGCGCCTGTTACTCGAGGGAAAAACGTTTCGAAATGCGTGTGCTCAGCGAAAGCGTCGAGACAGCTAGCACTCGGAAACGTGATTCGTGGTAAAGGAAAAGAGATATTGGAAACGGAAGAACAAAAAACGGAAAGCCCTGCCCACCACCTTGGAATGACATCGACAATGACATACATGCGAAAGGGAGGAAAACAATGGAATGATCCCCTCATAACCCTTCGCCAAAGTACCCATGAACGAACGCTTTCAACGGGAAAAAGAAAATCCATCAAGTCTTCCTCTGCCAGATAACTGGCTCAACTCGTCTTCGCATCTCGTGAACGTCTAGAAACTTCACGCTGCCTTACCACGTACCCTTCTTCTTCTTGTTGGCACGCTTCTTCCTCTTCTTCTTTTGCGTTCCGGAAACACCAGGCAGTACTTGGCTATCACCAGTGGCGCTAGCATGGTCATCATCCTTTGAGTCATCCTTCGAGTCATCCTTTGAGCCGTCCACGTTAGCGGGGCCAGCTTCACTCTCAGACTGTTTACCTGCTGTAGACTCGATGTTAACAAAGCCGCTGTGACCGCTGCTGCTGCCCCAATTCTTGTGCGACGAACCGTGCGAGTGATGAGAGTGGCTGGAACCCTTGCGATCCTGCTCGTCGTCCGAGCTGCTCGAGACATCGAGAACCATCTTCTTGACGCCATTGACGTCGATGACGTTTTCCGATATTGAGCCCGACCTGACGACAGACTTTCCGGCATTAGGAGAGCGAGGGGCGGATCCACTGTTCACCGAGCCAACGGTGCTAGAACTGTTCGATCTACGGTCGCCGAAGGGGCGATTGTCGATAACAATCTTCTTTTTAGATGAGGAGTTGCTCGCGTTCGAGGACTTCTTGGACAGAGGGCGTTCGGAGTCAGCAAGTGGCGCACTGTTTCCAATAGCGCCATAGCTCGTAGCGACAGCATGAGCACCATCTCTGGCGTCACTGCCACTGTTGGCGAGAACACCTTCACCGATGCCACCCGAGAGAGCGGTCGGTCCGGTCAGGGGGTGGGGGTCCAGCTCCGAGGGAGCAGCCGGGGCCTTGCCATTTCCATTTTCAGAAGTTCCTTCAGGGATGGTGCTGACACTTGGTTTGATCTTCACAGTGCTGATGCGAGTAGACCTAGGGTTGCTGGCAGCATTGGACGGTCCAAGGTGCTTGAGATGCTCTCTCAACTCGGAGGGAGTATCACTGCGAAGGCTCATTGGCTTGGCTTTTCCGATGGAACCATGACCACTGCTGCTGCGACGCATCAAGAACTTGACTTGAGGGCTGGTTCCCAACACACGACTGCTGTCGGTGCTCTTCCTGCGCGTCTCGTTTCCCAGCAAAGCAGTATTCTCATCGGCATCGAGCTCGTCCAGATGACGCTCGGCGACGATCTCGCCCTTGGGGACACGATTGCGGGGCGAGGGGGTGATGCGGCGAATGGCTTTGTGGACATCAATGAACACGTCAGACTCGTCGATGATTTCCCTGATGCAGTGTTAGCGCTTGAACCGGGCGTAATTTACGTGGGGATTTGACACTCACTCTCCGATAAGCTCCTCAATCACATCCTCGAGAGTAACGACACCAAGGGCACCAAACGATTCACCGGGAAAGTCGGAAACAAGCACCATGTGAGACTTGCCCTCCTGGAAGAAGTTGACAATGTCCAGGCAGCTGGTCTCGGGGCGGGTCTCAGGAAGAGTGGCCAGAGCGAAGTCACGGACTTGCTTGCAGTCCTCGGGGTCGTAGGTAATCAGCAGCTTAACCAGGAGCATGCCAACGAAGTTTCGCGGGTTGTCAGGCTGGTAGATGGGGATTCTGGAGTAGCCAGCCGAGAGAATCGTGTCCATCATCTTCTCATCGAGCACGGTATCGGCAGACATGGTGAAAACGTCATTCATCGGGGTCATGATGCTGCCCACGGGCTTCTCCTTAAGATCCAGCACAGCACTGATAATTGTAACTTCATCCTGGTTCAGACGCTCCTCGGGGCTTTCGCCAAGAGTTTTGTGCAGAGTAACCAGCGTCTTCAGGCCAGCCTTCTTGTATGTTGTTCCGTGGTCCTCTCCCAAGAGGTAGTCCAGCAATTTCGCAGTGGGCCAGGCGACGGGACACATGATCCACATCAGGCCGAGCACGATGGGCGACATCCATGCTCCAATTGGCAGGCCATAGCGGACGCAGATACTCTGGGGGACAACTTCACCGAAAATGACTGTCGCGACAGTGTCAGCGGCGCAGCAATGGAGAGTGGCGGCGAAAATCACGCATCAGGTGGACTTACCAATCAGGACGGTACTGCTGACGACGGCCGGCCAGCCTCCGCCAAGCGAGCGATCGAGAACGATAGGCAGCGTCTCGTTGGTGATAACGTTGCTGAGAAGTAGTGTGACCAAGACCCAGTGCTTGCCCTTCTGGAGAAGACGAAGCACGCGTGCGGCATTTTTGCGCTCGGAGGCTTCACCGGACGCAGCGAGGACCTGGAGGTAGATCTCATCTTGGCCCATGAGGCTGGATCGAGACAGCGGTCAGTGACGGTGCGACGTGAAAACGAGGGTGGCGCGAGGGTGCGACACTTACGCAATGGTTAGACCGGCAAAGACACCTCCAAGCAGCACGAGAGCGACGGCGACGCTCAGGTAGATCCAGAGGCTGGCATCGCTCGGATCCTTGGGCAGATCCTCCTCGAGGACTGCGATGGGGATGTGCTTGAGTGGCGCGGCATGTCCGACGGCGGACAGCAGAAGGCCGGCCGAGAGGAGCGCAATGGGTCTCACTCGGGCGAGGCCATTGGAAGCAAAAGGGCCGCTTGCAAGGGCCCTCGCGAAGACCAGAGACATTGGCAAGCCTGCAGAGGGGCTGGGAGGGTATTGTCGCGTGTAGCAACGTGGACGAGTCGACGCTTGGGATGGCGAAGGTGGGTGTTTTGAAGGGCTCTGGGAGGGTCGCAGTCTGCGCGCAGATCACCCTAGGGCGCGCGCTTTTCGAGCGCACGTATGGCGGTCAACGGGGTTCGGCACCACTCTTTTCTCGCAATCAGCCACACAGAACAGTCCACGCGCGCGCATCCACTTGGTGTTGGGTCCTGGGCGTGTCGGTCAACCTCGCAGGGCTGATATGCACAGTCTTCACGAGAAGCGTCTTCGGGCACGCCGGTACAGTCCCGCAGGAGCCGGGCGAACTCTGACGGTGCCAGCCGCCGCCTGCGAACCCATGCGGAAAGCGGCAAGTGATGGCCGCTAGCCAAGCCCTCCGCAGCGCCGTGCAGCACTTCTCGGCGGCCTCGAAGCGCGCTCACGACTGGCGCATGGGTTCCTGCGTGCCTCCAGCTATGCCGCCGCTAGCCGCTCTCACTCTGGTACATATCCCCGCCAGACATCCCCATCTCTTCCCCAGATTATGTTGCGCCCCGCACTCGTCGAAGCTGTCATGAAATCGCGTGTACCACTGTCACCACGACGTCTTGTGACGTCTGTCCGAGCGACAATCTATCCCCGACGGCCCTACTCCACACATCCGCCGAACGCCCGCCTTAACCTGCCCATCGACTACGCCACCACCCCGCTGCTCGCCCACACCCCCAAGTCGAGTCTCTCGAATCCCGAGCTGCCCCAGCATGTCCGCGATTCGAAAACTACGCGCCAGAATATGTTTCAGGCCGTCAACTCCGCCCTGCGCCATGCCCTGTCGACCGACGATCGCGTGCTCGTGTTCGGCGAAGATGTAGCCTTCGGTGGCGTCTTTCGATGCTCCATGGGGCTAGCCAACGATTTTGGCTCGGAGAGAGTCTTTAACACTCCGCTGAGCGAGCAAGGCATCGTGGGGTTCGCCATTGGTGCTGCGCTAGAAGGAATGAAGCCAGTTGCTGAAATCCAGTTTGCCGACTACGTCTACCCAGCCTTCGACCAATTAGTGAACGAGGCAGCCAAAGTGAGGTACAGGGCAGGCACAACGGACATGCATGCTGGAGGCCTCGTCGTACGAATGCCCATGGGGGGTGTAGGGCACGGTGCATTGTGAGTCCAAAGCTGGTTGGCTGGCCTTCGGGCATGCTAACCTTTGTTTCAGATACCACTCTCAATCACCTGAGGCTCTCTTCACCCATATTCCTGGATTGCGCGTAGTGGTTCCGCGCTCGCCAATTCAAGCCAAAGGCTTACTCTTAGCATCTATCGCGTGCAACGACCCCGTCGTGTTTATGGAACCCAAGATCCTCTACCGAGCAGCCGTGGAGCAAGTGCCTAATGAAGCATACACCCTGCCTTTGTCGAAAGCAGAAATTCTGAAAGAAGGAAAAGATGTGACCCTTATCTCCCATGGCACTCCTTTGTACAATTGCTCAAGCGCCATCGCTGCCGCCGAGAAGGATTTCGGTGTCAGCGTTGAGTTGGTTGATTTGAGAACCATTTATCCCTGGGACCGGCCGACCATCTTGAGCAGTGTGAACAAGACTGGGAGAGCCATCGTCGTGCACGAGAGTATGATAAACTCTGGTGTCGGCGCCGAGGTCGCAGCAACAATTCAAGAAGGTGCATTCTTGAGACTGGAAGCACCTGTGCAGCGTGTTGCAGGATGGAGTACGCACATGGGTCTGTTGTATGAAAATTTTAACATTCCCGACGTCGTCCGTAAGTTCAACTAAACCCTCCCAAACTTCAATCACTAATTGTTCAGGGATATACGATGCGATTCGAAAAGTCATCGAGTACTAGTGTTAAAAATGAAATAGCATGTCTCCTCGCATTTTTCTGCCGGCGCCTTAGCATGATTCCATCTAATATTGAAAGGTTTTGCGGCATGGCATTGTTTTTCCGCAAACTGAGCGTTTGCTGCATTCCGAGCACACCGAAAGATCATATTTGAACATCATGTGTAATCAGAACTTCAAGAGTAGAAGTAGACCCCAATCGCCTAAAGATAAATTTCAACTATCCAGCTACAAGTAAAAATATCCCTCGAGGATGCAGTCACGATCATCTGCGCTAGATACACTTGTACGCAATACTTCCCCAACCTCAACTCCTCACTCCACACGAACAAACCCCTCCATGACCTCCACCGCACTCCCCGTCAACACGACCTCACTCACCGCCGCCCCATCCTCCGTCCTCACCACCTTGACAAAAATATCGCACCTCCTCCCCATCTCCACCCCCTGAACGAGATGAAACTCAAACGGCCCCGCACCCTTCTCCTTCGCCTCCTTCAGCGCCAAATAGCAGCACAGCGCCGCGCTCGCGCTGCCCGTCCCCGGATCCTCCCTCGTCCCGATCGACCGCGTGCGCAGCAGGCGCCGCTGATCGGCTTCTGGATCGAGCCCGAGGTCGACGTAGAAAAACGACCCCGTGAACCCGCCGTCCCACCCGCTGCCGGCGTCGAGCCACTTGCCGGCGTACGCGTCGGCGACGGGGACGAGGCCGGCGGACATGCTGCCCAGCGCGTTGAGTGTCGGGAGCGGGACGAGGCAGAAGGCCATGCCGCGGACGATGGAGACGATGGGGACGGAAGAAGAAGAAAAGGCATCATTAGTGGGAGAAGGGGAAGACGGGGGAGGAGGCAGGGGGTGAGGGGGGCGGAAAGAGTGTTCGTAGACGGCGTGGGGGAGGCGCACCGAGGCGGTGCGGGTGGAGGCGTTGTAGTCGAGCGGGATGGTGCCGGCGAGGGTGCGCAGGGAGTGCGTGTGGGGGAAGAGCGGGGCGCCGGTCGTGGAGACGAAGATGGCGGTGCCGATGGTGGGGTCTGGGGGTATTGCGTTAGAGATAGGACGTTTGATTGGTGGTTTGTGAGAGGGGTATTGGAGTCGTGGTTCGCCGTGGGGGCTGGGGAACTTACGGCCGGCGAAGGTCATGCGCGAGCGCGCCGTGAAGATGTCGTAGTCGGCGACTGTGCCATCATCGTTCTCGGACGACTCATGCAAGAACGTGATTTCAGACAAATTGAACTCGGTCGCAATCTTCTGCTTTTTCTCCTCCGTGAGGGTGTTGCGATAGGACGCAGGCACTCGAACAACGGCAAGAGAATTGCCGCTGAAGGGCGTCGTGGTGAAGACGTCCAAAGTGGTGAAAGGCAGCTTCATGGTTGCGTTTCAATTTTGTTATCCAAACTATTTGCTTGATTCTGTGTAAGATGGTTGTTGATATTCGAGTTGCACAAAGATGTCAAGGGCAACTAATATAGCTTACGGTGTGCATGAGTCACCTTGTACACTTGGGCGTTCCTTTTGTCAGCAACGTAGAGTCATTAGCATTCTATCTAGATAAGAAGTTCAATTGATTTACACAAAGCGTACCTGTAATGAGATTTTGCGTTGGTCCTCTGAGAGCCTTTGCGTTCGTGTCCATCGGGGGAGGAATTCATACAGACTGGAATAAGGGCAGGTCGTGAATTGGATCATTCCCTACAATTAAGTTCAAAGAACATGCAGGAGATATTACGCCCCGTAAGCCCATCAGGAATATATGCTAGGTGAACCGAAATAAGAACAAGAAACAAGGGTATCTCTTAGAACGTGGGAATTCGTTCTGTCCACTCCCGATCCCCCAACATGCGCTTCAAGTACTGAGATTTTTGGACAATCTCCAATACATTAAACCGACGCAAAGCACCGCCCGGGCGGCAGTGACTTTTGATGATCTTGCGGTACACCATGTGTCTTGGCTTGCCTGTGCATGCGTTAGTACCCTCTCACGTGTATCGTAGTGTTTACCCACTAAATTCTATGGCTGTGTATTTTGCCAGGGCTTCCATGAGCGTCAGACACTCCAGATCAGTCCAGTCAACCCCCACAAGTTCCTGGGTCATTTCCAGACTGTGCCTTCGCGGGTTGGTCCGTGGATGATGAAACATGACAACTCGGTCAAAGGGTTGGCCATTTACGTCAATGTCCCGGATAAGTTCCGGTTCGCGAGCTGAAGGGGGAGGGACGGCATCAAGATGACGCCATCGGCTACAATCTGGCTCGATCTCTTTGCGGAGAATATGGAGTCGTCTCCAGTCGTCCAACAATGCTCTTCGGGGGGCCTCCTCTTCAGCCTCTCGCTGTTGTCTAATTCGAGCCTGCTCAATTCTTCTCTTCTCATTTTGCAAGGCTTGCTCCCGTTCATCCCGATTAGTTTGCTTTCTAATGAGCTGGAGAAGAAGATAGTGGCATTTCTTGAGAGGAGCAATAATATGGTGCCGGGTTGGTTTAACAATCAAAAGATAACTCGGCACTTGGACTCCGCTCGCCTTAATACTTGACTTGGCACGCTCGTTAAGATTAATGATTGCGGCCATGAAGAAAGCAATCTCTTCCAATTGGGCTGTGGGAATCGAGCCGTCATCTCCACAGAAGGATTGTGCGTAAAAGTCGACGATTTTGCAGAGAGCTCTGAGAAGGCCTGGAAAGATGTATGCATAGACATCCTGGAAGAGGAAGTTTTTGATCTCCCTTTTGTTCGCCAAATCGAACTTGTCGAGTTCGCTCGCAAGAATGGCTACGGCATCCCTCACTTGCGCAGACTTGACATCGGTCATTTCCGTCGATGTCCCTGTAGCGTCTTTGATGTCTCTCATAATATCAGAGCAGGCGTTCAACACGCCTTTGGTGGAATCATTGCGCTCGCTCAGCTTGTTGCTGGCCCGTTGCTGGCGAACTTTTTTCACCCCTTTCTTATTGTTCCAAATTTCACTCAAGAACTCTTTCAGATCATTAGGTCCATCGATCTGAAAAGGATACGAGGGAACACTAGGATGTGACTCTATCGTTAACGCCTCCGCAGATTCCTCTTCAGGGCTTTCGTTGGCTTGTTCATGCTCTGAGACCTCTTGTTCATGCTCCGAGGCTTCTTCTTCATACTCCAAGGCTTCTTGTTCATATTCTGGGGCTTCTTGAACATTGGTTCTCTTGGACTTCATCTGCGATAACTTTTCGGATGAAGTAGTTGCTTTTTTGGGTGTCGATTTTGACTTCTTGGAGCCTGAAGGTGTTGCAGTCGTAGTGTTTTTGCTTGCAATGCGTTTATTGCCTTCCTCCGACTGCACGGCTTCTCCTGTCTTGGCTGAATCGGTCTTTTGGCGTTTGATAATTTCAGCATTTGTTGCGGTCTTTTTTGGGCGGCCTGGCTTCCTTTTCTGGGGCACTTGAGACACTGGAGCGGCCACTGCTGCATCTTCCTTGTCTTTCTGTGATCTCTGTGCTTTCGTAGACCGTCTTAGCTGACGCCCCTCAGATCCTTTCTCGTCCTCGGCCTGCGTCTCGGGCTGAGCTGATTCAGAAGCAGACGCATGATTAGGCTTATAATTGACCGGTACTACATGTACCTCTGGATGAGCCGATCTTTTGGCACTGCGTGGTGTAGACGTTGTACTGTGGCCGTCCCGCGACGCAGCTCGTCTCTCGGCTTTGCTCGGAAGAGGGCCCGGACCACGACCATGTGATAAAAGTGCAGCAGAATCCATGAAAGCGGCTTGCTCCTCGTCTGTAAGTTTGCGGTTGTTCCCCGGTGATCGCGCAGATTGAGCCTCGCGTTGGATTTGCGAATTTGGCTCATCTTCACTTTCTTCTTGTAGTGACCTGGAATTGGGTCCATCATCATTGTCTCCATGGAACGGGGAATCCTGAGCCTCATCGGATAGTCCTTCAAGAAAATCGTCCTTCAAGACTTCGTCATCGAGGGGGTGCGGATCAGGTTCCTCATCCGAGCTGTCCGGCAACGATGTAGTGCTCCCACGTCGCAAAGGGGCACTCCTTAAGCGCGCCATTGCGCTTGCTTGTTAACCTGCTCGGTGGTTGTGGCCAGCAGAATGGTCGTGTGAAGTTGTTGTGGTGGGGAACTCAGCTGTGGAGTGACTGGAGCTTGGGTGCCAGCGGATGCCGGTGCGACGTATTCCCGTGTCACCATGCAAGGCAGGAACGGCAACCCTGTCTTATCTCGACGCATTTTCTTTTCTAATAATAAGCTTCTTGACCCCTTCCGCAGTAGTCACCTGTCCAAACAAAGAGCGCAACCGCAATGGGCCTGAGAAGCTGTCTTGACAGCCATGCGACCAACCAAATAATGTCAAGTCTGTCCCGGTGATTGCCCGGAGCCCATAGCGGACGAAACGCCGCTGAAAGCCATGGGCCATGGACGGGGAAAACAGTAGCAAGAAGAAGCAATCGTTGGTGAAGTTCAGAGAGGCGGTAGAGCACTGCCCGAGGCAGTGGCACCTGGAGACAAGCTGGTCACACACCTGCACATTGCCTCGGTCGCTCTTGCACTGCATAAGCGTGCACCGCCATAGCGGGTATCAGGTTGATATGTGTATGCGACGCGCAATCAACTTACGACTCTCTTTCTCTATCTCACTCTGGTTCTAGCCTCGGCGATTCGCAGACCCTTGCGAGACCCTGCAGGTGGAGCTTGGGCCACGTCGCGCTCGCACGTGAGACGAGACCCACCTATTTCATCACCAGTTTCAGGCTTCACAGACACTGCAACAACCACCACCAGCACCATGGCCGACGGTAAACAAGCCATCAAGGCCCTGGACCAGCTTGATTCGGCTGCGACCCATGAATTTGTGCTGCCGAAGAAGCAGATCAACGATGGCGAAGATGTCGGCTTCTTTCTGACCTCTACTGGCTATGCCGACATCATGACGTGGCTGCTGCAGCTGAATGCCGCCATGTTTCCCAAGAAGACCCCGTCCTCATATGAAGCGTGGCAGCTGAACAGTGAGGCTGTCCAGTTGTCAGAGCCCGTGGCGAGATTGAAGGCTTTGATGGGACAGCTGGAAGCCATCATCGATGAGGCGCCTCCGGACCCCGGTCCACGGAGATTTGGCAACATCAGTTTCAGGAAGTGGTATGAGATTGTTGAATCTCGTTTACCCAAATTGCTGGACGAGGCCCTTTCCGCCGATATCCTGAGCAGCGGAAAACCAACGTCTGCGAAGGACGAGCTTCAGGCCTACCTCGTCGGTAGCTTTGGTAGTGCTCAAAGACTGGACTACGGCACGGGCCACGAACTGAGCTTCCTTGCGTTCCTCGGTGGTATTTGGAAGCTAGGAGGCTTCGCAAAGAGCGACCCTGGTGTTGAGGAGCGAGGAATTGTAATTGGTGTCATTGAGCCGTGAGTGCGTCGTAATGAGCCTGCACCGCCTTGCGCTAACTGCACCCAGATACCTGCACCTTGTTCGCCGACTCATTTTGACCTACACGCTCGAACCAGCCGGCTCGCATGGAGTCTGGGGCCTTGACGATCATTCGTTCATCCCGTATATTTTTGGCTCCGCGCAACTATCGCCTCCTATTCAATCCGCCGCCGACATCCCCGGCGAGGGCTCGTTGCCTGATGCCCCCGAGCCGGGAGACGTTGCAAAGAAGAACGTGGTCGAACGAGAGCGCAGCGTCAACATGTACTTCAGCGCGATCGGCTTCATCTATGACGTGAAGAAGGGGCCGTTCTGGGAGCACAGCCCCATTCTGTTCGACATTTCTGGAGTACGAGCGGGCTGGGCGAAGATCAACAAGGTATGACTCTAATTTCCATTCTCGGCCCCTACGTTGACACCTTGCACAGGGCATGCTCAAGATGTACAACGCGGAAGTGCTTTCCAAATTCCCCGTGGTACAGCATTTCCCATTCGGCTCGCTGTTTCGCTGGGAGAAAGACCCAACGGCGGCAGAGCCCCCAAAGTCTATTCATACCACAAGCCAGCCTGCCAGGGCGCCTGCGGGCCAGGCATCCGACGGTCCCCAGCGCTTCCCCGCGCAGGCGGGCACCGCTGCTCCGTGGGCATCAAACCCGGCGACGGGGCTGCCCATGACGGCTGCGCCGTGGGCTGCACGCCCGTCAGGGGGAACGGGCCGGCCGGGGATGACGCAAATGGGGGCGATGCCGGGAGTCACGACAGCGCCATGGAAGCAGAGCGCGCCACCGCAACCCGGCGATCGAGGACAAATGCCGCAGACGCAAGCACCATGGGCGCGGAAAGACCCATCATGACGGGAAATTGTCTTATATGGCGCCTCGGGGGCCTCGGGGATGACATGAATCGGGCTCGGGATTGCCGTCTCGCCATGGTTGAGTAGCAGATTTATTACCCGAATCTCGGCTGTTGGCGAGGGCCGGCGGCGGAGATTGAACGGCAGCGGACAATGCCCCTATCGGCCATCGGCGCACGGAGAGCACGTTGCTGGGAGCGCGCGCAAGGCAGATAAAGTTATTGATTTCGTGCACGGCCGAGCAATCAGCGGTGCAATTGGCGCTTGGACCAAAAATAGCTTGAAACCCTGAAACGGCCTTGGCGCGTCTATGAATCTGGGGCTGAGCAAGCTGCATCCTTGCGCGAGCGCTTTGAGCTCCTAGAGTCTCACGACCTCCTCCACTCCACGACCGCCCGCCGACCGCTTCGCTCCTTTGGGCCATCGCTCCTTCAAAACCCGGACGCCTCCCGCCACAGCCTCCAAGTGCATTCTCTCCCCACACTCTTCCCCCTCACCCATCTGCTGCTGTTGAGCGCCTGCTCGACAGCCCACTACCGCCGCCATGCCTGGAGTCCGTGAGTAGCCCTCGCCGCCTTGCACGCCCGGCCGACGAGCGTTGTCGCCCGCCGAGCCAGCCAACGCCACGACTCGTGCTAACCCATCTTCACCAGCCCCTGATGCGATGGCCACGGTGAAGAAGGCCTTCAAGAACATGTTCAAGAAGAAGAAGGCTGCAAAGAAGACCGACGACAAGACGAACGCCGACGCTGCAAAGCCTGCCGACCAGGCTGCAACCGAGACCACCGCCGGCAAGCCGACCGAGACAACGCCCGCCGCTCCGGCTGCCGGCGCTGCCCCGGCCGCTGCTGCTGCTGCTGCTGGTGCTGCCGCCGCCGCTCCTGCTGCCGCTGCAGACACGACCGACGCGAAGAAGCCGGAGGAGCCCAAGCCGGCCGACGCGCCTGCTGCTGCTGAAGGCGAAACCGCCAAGAAGGAGGAGGCTCCGGAAGCCACCGGTGAGTTCCCCGCCGCCGCCGCCCCCGCTCGCAGCCCGTGTCTATCAAGCCGCTCTTGATGCTAATGAAGTGCGCCTTGGCGACAACAGCTTCCGACGCTGCTCCCGCTGCTCCTGCTGCTGCTCCGGCCCCCGCGGACGCGACAACCGCCCCTGCCACCGCAGACTCTACGGCAGCCCCCGCGGCTACCGCCTCTGAGGGCATGTCGGCTACCAGCGGCCCTCTCGACGATCACCCGAACCTTGACGCCGCGCCTGCCGAGGAGAAGCCTGCTGAGAAGACTGAAGAGAAGGCTGAGGAGAAGAAGGAGGAAGAGACTAAGACTGAGGAGGCTAAGACTGAGGAGCCTGCGAAGACCGAGGAAGCCAAGCCCGAGGCTGCTGCCGCGGCTCCTGCGGCTACCGAGTCGAAGTAGATCTCTTTCTTTTCAGGATAACAATGAGTTTTGATGTGGGAGGGTAAATGGGTCAGACATTTTGGGAGTTTTGAGCGTTAGGGAAAAGCGGACTGAGGGCGTGGAAAAATCGAACTAAGGTTCGATGGTCCGAGGGGGGTTACAGACTTCTCTGCATGCTGCTACCACATTCGCTAATGCTTGCACGGCCTCATCGGCTGCAATGCATTTTCTTATACCCGAAGCGACTATACCCCGGTCTTTTCTGGTAGCAGCAATTGAGTTATTTCAGACAATTTCGCCGATGTGCTGACCGAGATGGATATTCAAGACCGCCGGATCGTCACCAATACACCATGAATAACGGAAGCTCGCTCTCCTACGGCATAGGCAAAGTAGGCTGAGCAGGTGCGGCCTCCCGGCCTTTTCAGCTAACATGTACGACGTGCCTTATGTCTTAGATCCTGTATCCGTTATCTGCGAGGGCAAAATTGCCGAATGGCCTTCCTGCGCCCTGTACCCCCGATCATCATTCCTTATCCGAGCCACGCATTTCTATTTCGATACGCGTACCCCTCCATGCGCCCCGTAGGACATACCCCGCAAGGAAATGATAAGCTGGCGTGCCATAATAGGCCATGCTGGAGGACGTGTTGAGCCTCCACAGGGGCGCCGGCAGGCTGCCCCGCTTCCAGCATTTACCTAGCAGATTGAGTTGCATAATTTGGTCAAGAAGGCAAACGGACTCAGCCTACCAAACTCAGATCCTCTGTTCCAGTGCCAGATCACCATTCGCACTCCTCTTTTAGAAGAAAGGTCGCCAGACAAAGATATTCGATGGCGCAGCAAGTCTGAGTGGCAAGAAAAAAAAAGTTTTGGGGCACCGCATGTCCATGATCGACCAATGACGTTTGAACGCTTGGGTTTTATTCATGATGACAGCAACCCGATTGTGGTAACGGGTGGCTCCGGCGGAAAGGGCCTCTGGTCAGCAATGGCTGAGTTGTCAACCGCATGGGAACCGAGATGCGACTTTTCACATGCAGCCCTGTAACCGTCCCGCCACTCTGGGTACTCTTGCCTGATGAACCACTCACGGATGAATCGCGAGACGGCGCCGAAAGCAGACCGCCTCGATGCGTCAGATCATGACATTCGAGGGTGAGGAGAACGAGTGCGAGAGGTACCGCACCGCAGGGGCGCAGTGCAGAGTAACACGCCAGGACCTCGAGGGCTTTTGGTGACGATGAAGCGGAACGACTAGCGCATCGGTGGTGTGCTGACATGCAGACGCAGCGTGCCTGGGGCGCGATGTGCCACCGCGTGCGTCTCTCCCGGTCAGCTTCCGGCGCGGCTCGACGGTCTCATGCATGGCGGGAGCGTAGACGAGCAGAGACAGTACCATCGCTAATGGCGGAACCCTAGAATGTGCGGCCTCGGTGAGAAGGAACAGCCCTACGAGGGCACGCGCATTCTGTGGATAAATTACCCCAGGACACGTAGCCAATGGCAGCAGGCAGAAGCCAGACAACAGAAATAGTACCCGTCCTAGCGGGGTTCCGGGCGGCGGCGAACTCAGGCCCGCGAGGTACGTCGCATCGCAGTGCTGCGGACCGGCCTGCCTGGCAAGGGAGAGCTCTGTGCGGCGCCTCGGTGTGACCGTGAAACACAGCACGGTCAGGGAGTCGGTGGAGAGTCGCGGTGCTGTGGTGAGGTGTTTGGTCTATCATGTCCGTCATCGAGCAGGGCACCCTTGTTTGCCTGACAGGCATCACACCTCTGCCTTCTCTCTGCTAGAGGCCGTTTCCACAAGGCCGCTCACACAGCCCGCCTAGGCCGTAACAGGCTCTGGCTGGTGCTGGAACGAGCCAGGGCTGCAGCTGAGCGGTAGCCACACGTCCGCTCTGCTGTGGTTCTCAGGGCTGGGCGCGCGCGCTGTGACTGGCCGGCCAGCTGCGACATGGGCGCGCGTTACCGCCCCCACCCTGCACGCTCTGAAAATACACGCCTCCAAGCCCGCGCCATCCTCGCACCATGGAGCTGCCGCATGCGAGCACCGCTCAGCCGCACCTTCTCTCCATTCTCCTCCACCCTCTTGGGTGACCTTGCCGTCACCCTGCTATATAACAGCCTCCGGATTCTCCAGAATGTCGCCATGAATCAACAAGCCCACCGCTCCTCGTTTCGCTGCAGTTTATACCCCGGTCATTGAACCACCAGTAGCCGCCCGCCTCTCCGCTAGCTTCCGCCTACCTTATGTCGAGCTCCAGATCCAACTTTGAAATTCTCGAGTCGCGCCCCCCTTCTCGAACTCCCTCACGAGCACCCTCGCCAGAGCGACGAGACCCTTCCCCGCCACCGCCCGACCCGGCGCCGCCCCGCCGCAAGATGAAGAAGCAACACCCTCAGAAGGAGGTGGAGCAGTTTTGGGACAAATTCACCACCAAGCACCCGGGCAAGATCTTTACCATCCTGCCTGACAACCTCTACGCGAAGCGCGCCGCCGCCCACCACAAGAAAGAGCGGGATGCCGGGAGCCCGCAGGCCCAAAATGCCATGGCCTCCTACGAGGAGGCGGTGGACGCGTGTCAAGAGAAGGTCCGGAAAATAGTGCGCGACTGCCGGCGCATCAACCAGAAGTACAGAGGTAAGGGCCCCGTTACGCAAGCCAATTCCCAGGACCGGCTGCTGACGGCTTCGCCACTCAGATCCCCACTTTGATCTTGAGACGGATTTCCGGCGAAGCAAGCAGATGGGCGTCCCTCCGGACTGTCTGACTACATTAGGCGAGACCACGTCTGAGCTCAAGCCCATGTCCGTGAAAAGAATAGAGGTAAGACATTATTGCTTAGCGCTTACGCATGTTGTGGCTGACAAGGGTCCAGGACATCTTCGATAACCCGCGCTTCTTCGTCGACGGCGCCTCGGCAAATGATATTCGGCAGGGCAATGACGGCGACTGCTGGCTGATGTCCGCCCTATGCACGCTGAGCAACAAGAAGGATCTGATTGACCGCGTCTGCGTTGCGCGCGACGAAGACGTCGGTGTTTACGGTTTCGTCTTCCACAGAGGTCAGTGTTAAGATGCGCGTGTTATCAACGCCAAGGCGCTGACGATGCCCAGATGGAGAGTGGATCTCCGAAGTTATTGACGACAAGCTCTACCTTATCAAGGAGGATTTCGATGACTCGATCCGCGACCGCCACCAATGGCTCGAGCTGCAGAACAGAAAAAGCCCCGAGGAGGAGTACCGGACTGTGATGCAGACCGGCTCCAGAGCGTTGTACTTTGCGCAATGCAGCGACCCCAATGAGACATGGCTGCCGCTATTGGAAAAGGCGTACGCCAAAGCTCACGGTGACTACTCAGCCATCGATGGCGGCTTTGTGGGGGAGGGCATCGAGGATCTCACCGGCGGTGTCACCTCCGAGCTGTTCTCCACAGACATTCTCGACAAGAATAAGTTCTGGCAGGAGCTCATGCAGGTGAACAAAGAATTCCTCTTCGGCTGCGGTCAGATGGGTGGCAGCTACGGTGAGAGGAAAGGCATCCAGGAGAAACATGCCTACTCAATTATGGAGGCCAGAGAGATAGGAGAGCACAGATTACTCAAGCTGAGGTGAGTCGAATGAGACCGTAACACATAGGGCTTGACTAATATGTATAAGGAATCCATGGGGTAAGACAGAGTGGCGTGGAGCCTGGTCTGATGGGTCTGAGGAGTGGACTCCTGAGCGGATGCACGCACTCAACCACCGTTTCGGAGATGATGGTGTCTTCTGGATCAGCTACAAGGATCTCCTGCGCCACTACCAGCACTTCGATCGCACCCGCCTTTTCGGCCCTGAGTGGACCATCACCCAGCAGTGGACCAGCCTCAACGTTCCGTGGTCCGTCGACTACCTCGACACCAAGTTTACCATCACCCTCAACAAGGCGAGCCCAGTCGTCATCGTCCTCCAGCAGCTTGATGACCGTTACTTTGCCGGTCTCGAGGGTCCCTATGACTTCCACCTCCAGTTCCGCGTCCACAGGGGAGATGAGCCCGACTACATTGTTCGCAGCAATGGCCCCTACTACATGAAGCGCTCTGTCAGCACAGAGATTGATCTTGAGCCCGGCACATACACGGTCCTTCTCAAGATCACGGCTAAGCGCTATGCAAGGCCCACTCCTATTGAGGTCGTGCGGGACAATTGCTTCAACCGCAGGGAGAAGTTGCTTTCGACCGGCCTCAGCTATGATCTTGCTCACGCCAAGGGCCAATTCAAGCAGCTGGCCAGGGATGAAAAACAACGACAGAAGAGGGAGCGCAAGGCCCTGGAGAAGGCGAAGAGGAAGAAGCATCACGAGAAGATGCGCAAGCAGCGCCAGAAGGCAAAGCTTCGGGAGCAGAAGAAGCAAATCAGGCGTGCCCAGAAGCAGGCCGAAGGAGCAGCACCAAACGGTGTTCCGACCCCTCTGTCATTGGACGACAAGGTCGACGCTGCCGACCCGCTTGGCATCTGTATGAGCGACGACGCGGAAGAGACCAAGCAATCTGGCCGCTCCCACCACCGCGGTAGGTCTTCGACTTCTGGCGCTCAGGTCCCTATGCGAGTTGAGGCAGCGCACAACGCCATGGAAAACTCTGGTGCATTCCAGGGTCGTGGAGGTTACAATGGTCGTGGCGGCTACAACGGCCGTGGCGGATACAACGAATCCACCGAGTCCTTCCCCGAGATCGTCACCGAACCCGCCGAGGACAAGGTTCCTTCCCACCACAACTCACCCTCCCTGACCTTCCAAGCTCCTACTCCGATCGACGGCGAGCCTGGGTTCGGAGGCCGCGGTGGTTACAATGGCCGTGGTGGCTATAACGAGGGACGTGGCGGCTACAATGAGGGCCGCGGCGGTTACAATGATGGTGAAAATGATTCACACCCCCACACCCCTCGCTCGTTGGGTACTCCCGAGATTGGTGCGCCGCCCAACGCATACGACCGCCGCCCTCCTGCCGAGACCTTGCCCATTGAGGGCCGCGAGTCCCCTGCTGGAGAATTCACTGGTCGTGGTGGCTACAACGGTCGTGGCGGTTATAACGGCCGTGGTGGTTACAACGATGCCCCTGAGTCTGACTCTCGTTCTGGCACTCCTCAGCTTCCGCACAGGACTTCATCGCCCTCCCGGGGCTACACTGGCCGTGGTGGATACAATGGTAGAGGGGGCTACAACGACGCAGTTGATGCCGCTCGTCCTGATACACCACCTCCGGGTTCTCGTGCCAGGTCTCCTTCTGCCTCGCCCGCCCCCGAGCAAGGCTACACGGGTCGGGGTGGCTACAACGGTCGCGGCGGCTACAATGGCCGTGGTGGCTACAATGAGGATGGTAAGAAGGAGGCTCGGAACGCCTCCCCAGCCCCTTCGCCTAGCGGCCGTCGTGCGACATCTCCTCAGCCCCCACGCCCGCGCCGCCGTGATACATTGTCGCCACACCCTGGTGTCCCCCCGATTCACATCAACCGTTCGCGTGGCTCTTCTATTGCTGGCTCTATTGTTGATGCTTCGGGCATCAGCGACAGCGATCTTTCTTGGGACTCCGAATTGGATGATCCCACCAGCGACTCCGACTCTGAGGATGAGTTCTACGGAGCTCACCACCATGTTAGCCTCATTGAGAAGATGCACATGCTCCAAGGCGACCATGACGCGGAGCGCCGTGAGGACCAACCTGAGGAGGAGGACCCCGATGACAGATTCGAGCGTGATCCCTGGAATGCAGTTTGCGTTGTCGGTCTCCGCGTCTACAGCAAGGACGGCGACGTGACGATTGATGTCGTCAGGCCGAAGCGCGAGGAGACCAAGAAGGGTAAGGGTCTCGACAGGACCCTTGACATCGACGATTCCGCCAAGGATGCGACCAGGGGGCTGGGCATCATGACGCCCGATCCTAGTTACGGAAGGTTTGGTGCCTATGCCCGCAGAGTCGGTAGTGCGCCTGCAAATATCGAACTGTCGAAGCAGGGATGAAGGTTCTCACACATGAGGTAATGTTGATGATTGTAGATGGTACACTTCTTGGACATGAGTTGGACGGCTTTTGTTTGTTAGCGTTGAGTTTTTTCTTTGGACGATCGTTGATGCGGCTGTCTTTTGGAGTTGGTTGTCTGTTACACACACGTCTCGGTCGTTTACGCATAGCCATGGTTTTACGCTCTGTTTTTAAAGTCATTCAATTCATCGTTCATACAGCGTCGCAAGATATCTATACAGTTCAAAGGCTAATATGTATTGTCTACAACATCGATATGATATTATTTCACACGTCGCTTAGATTGCGCGACGTACACACTCCACAACGCATTCTCTTCTCCTACTTTCCAAAGTCTCTCTCACTTCCTGACCCTCTGGAAAAACGCCTCGGCCTTCTTCAACGCCTCCGCATATTCCTTGGTAAACCCGACGACGTGGCCTGTCAACGCAATGTCATGCGGAGCATACGGCACGATCTCAAGCTCACACGGCTGACCTCCTCCTCCCCTCTTCTCATTCACCTTCTTCATCCCCTCGAAGAACTCGACGTTGTCGTGGAACAGCAGCTCCCGCCCACCGGTCTGCATCCAGACGGGCGAGGGCGAATGGTACGGTTCCGCATTCACAGCCGATATCCAAACGTCCTTGACCAGCCCTTCACGGTGGCCCGCGTAGACCCGTGCGCCCCAGGCGCCGAAGCCCGTCGAGATGTAGTCGGACGGGTAGTTGGGCGAGCGCACGATATAGGCGGCGTCGAGGGCCAGGCTCGGGTTCGTCCAGGGGGACCAGAGCCAGGCGCAGGCCGGTGGTTCCACACCGATTTCGGCGCCGTACGTGGCCAGGTAGCGTAGCAGCCCGTTGACGATGTTGCCGCCCGCGCTGTCGCCCGAGACGATGATGCGTGATGCAGGGATGCGGCAGGAGCGGAGGAGGTAGAGGTAGGACGTCAGCGCGTCTTGTAGGGCCGCCGGGTACCGCGCGTGGGTCGGCGCGCCGGCGAGCCGGTATTGCGGGCAGAAGACGTGCGAGACGGAAGAGGCGCCGCAGGTCTGCAGCATGGTGCGGGCGAGGTGGCCGCAGTCCTTGTCGCGGCCGTCGCCCAGGACGAAGGCGCCGCCGTGGAAGTGGAGGACGATTGCCTTGTCGTCATCGTCGTCGTCGTTGTTGCTGCTGCCCTTCGTATACGGCTCTGAATACCACGTTCCCCCAATCTTCTCCGGCCTCGTAATCCCGTCGTCGTCCACAAGCGGGCCCCGGTAGATAGAGTCCTCCGCCGGCTCCATGACGACGAACCGGCTCCCCTCGGCGCCGGGCGCGAGCGACAGCGGCACGTGCACCTCGATCTCGGCGCTGTGGTGCACGATGGCCCGCAGCAGCCGCACGCCGATGGCCTGCCGCCACGTCCAGCGCGGCTCCGGCCGGGTCAGGGACGGGAAGAGCAGGTAGAGCAGGGCGCTGAGCGGGAGGCGGATGGTGGCTTCGAACCAGAGGGCCCAGAGGGCGTAGAGGGTTTTGAAGGGTTGGCGGGTTAGGAGGGTGGGGGATGCCATTGTGGTGGTGGGGATGGATTGGGAGGGATGGGTTCGGGGAGGTGAGAGGTCTGAGGGCTGGTGTTGGAAGTTGAGCTGTTGTGGTGATGAGGGCTGTGGGATGCTTAAAGCTGACAAAGGCGGTGTAATTGATGAATGGTGACGTATCTTCGCGTCTCTCTTGTCGTTTCTGATGCGGAGAGCGGCGGATGTTGTTTTGTTTTTTTATAATAGTGGAGAAGGACCTTGGCGTTGTTCGAGCAAGCTGGCACAAGTTACCTAGGTATTTGGTCTAATTGCTCGGATGCGGGGGGAATGTCGATCATCTGAAGCTGGGATTTAAGCTTTCACTTCGTTTCTCGCGCTATCCTCTCCTCTTTTGTTGAAAGTTGTATTGGAAGAAGTTTGGCCGGCGGGGTGTAGTTGGACCGATGCTTGGTTGCCGAGGCAAAGGGTCTCGGGCACTGTACAGGAAGTGGTCATAGCTCCAAATTGCGTTGACTGCCAACCTGCTGGAGGCCGGACAAAAGCATGTGGATATGCGGAGGGTTTGCAGTCAGAGACTGGCGCAAAAAAATAGCAGCGTCAGAATAGTGTATGCGGAGAATATATAGTCGGACGATGAGAGCTGTCCGAGAACGGGCTGGTGTAGGGTATCGTATAGAATAAGTTAAAAAGTCCGTGTATGTAATACTCACGAGATGAATCTGGTCCGGGCGCTCGCTTAATACGGGACTTCTTCCGGGACATCCTCTTTCCCCTTAAGAACGTAGTACTATTCTTGATCAACGACACTGCTTTAGCTACTTATCACGATATAGAAGTAAGCCTGCAGCATTATTCTCCAGACTTAAAGCATTTAGTTGTTATTTTTAGCAAAGCAGCATTATTCTGTCCCTTAGTCCCAGATACACCGCCACAGATATTAACATGGATCGGGCGTTTCAACGCCCGCACTCCGAGGCTCCGAGGATTACTTCAACGAGTGAGAATGAAGCCAAGCCAGGTACGCAGTGACTGCCAAGCAGGTAGTCGACTGGGCGCCACAATATCCCCTATATACTGCACCAGACGCCACAGCCAAGACGTGGTCTTACCGCAAAAAGAAATGCGGCCTTGAAGCTGCACTGTCGTCAACATGGCGGTAGTAAACCTCAAAAGATTCGGACACAGGTTCAGGACCCTCCGAAAGCGAACTTTTGTTGTATTTTGAGATTTTTTTTACTGTTGAACACGCGTACTGGTAAAGGGGCTGAGCTTGCAAGAGACGTCAAGCTGTTGAGATGGAAGATGTATTTAAAGAGAAGTTTACGCAGCTGCAGATCAACACTCCATTCGTTTGATTCGATTCTTCAACATGCTTTTCTTGACATCATTTTTAACTCTGGGGACCGTGGTTTCGGCCGCAGCTGTACCCACTGAAAGCCTGCAGTCATGCTTGCTGACGGCCGTTGGCACCAACGACACTCTCGTGGCGTTCCCAGACGACGCCCAGTACCAAGAGAACGACGTCCACATGTACAACCTAGATGTTCCCATTATCCCGGCCGCCGTCACATACCCACAGAGCGTCGAGATGATCTCGGAGATCGTCAAGTGCGCTGCTAAGCATGAACACAAAGTCCAGGCAAGAACCGGCGGCTACAGCTTCGGAAACTACTGTACGGCTCTATATTACCCCAGAAAAGCAAACTGCTGATTCCATGCAGGCCTCGGCGGCAGCAATCTGACGACCGTCGTCGTCGACACGCAGCACCTCAAGCACTTCTCCATGGACGAAAGCACCTGGATCGCCACCGTCGGCGCCGGGCACCGTCTCCAAGAAGTTGCCGACAAGATGAGCGCTGCAGGCGGCCGCGCTATCGCGCAAGGAGTCGCGCCCTACGTCGGCATCGGCGGACACGCGACCATCGGCGGACTGGGCCCTTTGTCGCGGCAGCTGGGCACGGCAGCCGATCAAGTCGTCGAAGTGCAGGTCGTCCTGGCCAACGGCACCGTCGCCCGCGCCTCACGCACCGAGAACGCGGACCTCTTCTTCACGCTCCGCGGTGCCGGCGCCGGATTCGGCGTCGTGACTGAGTTCCTGTTCCAGACGTCGCCGGAGCCGAGCGCTGAGGAGATGATCGACTATACCTTCACCATCCGAAACACCTCTTCTTCGACCAACACAACCGTCTCGTCTTCCCGCGAGCTCTACGCCGAGACGCTCAAGACCTGGAACACCATAATCAGCGACCCGGACCTATCTTGGAACCTCAGCTCAACCGCAACGATGCACGCAAGCGGCCTGCGCATCCACGGCCGCTACTACGGCCAGCGCGCGGCCTTCGACGCCCTCGCTCTCTCCACCCGCATCCCCAACATCCTGACGTCCGACGTCCTCTCCGGCACCGAGGCAGACTTGGCCTCCGGCTTCCGCATCCTGGGCGGCGACCCCATCAGCTTCTACGCCAAATCACTGGCGTTTTCCGAAGCCAGCGATAGCAATAGCGGCACGCTGATGACGAACGAGAGCATCGACGCGCTGCTGGACTACATCGATACGGCCGAGAAGGACACGCTGACCTGGTTCGTAATTTTTGATTTGGCTGGTGGTAAGGTCAACGCCGTGCCGGCAGACGACGCGGCGTACAGCCTGCGCGACACGCTGTACTTCCTACAGGCGTACGTCGTCGACAAGCCCCGTGTCGACGAGACGACGCGGAATTTCTTGAACGGACTGGTTGACAATATCAAGGCGAATGTTCCAGGTGTGCGTGGAGCGTATCCTGGCTTCGTCGATCCGGGACTGGGAGATGAGGAGGGCGCGGAGCAGTACTGGGGCGCGAATCTGCCGAAGCTGAGGACGATCAAGGCCGATGTCGATCCGGCTGATGTGTTTAGCAATCCTCAGTCGGTGAGGCCTGCGGCTGAGGAGTGAGCGTGGCTGTATATGCAGTCGAGTGGGTCGTAAAAGGAATTAGTCCCCCCTATCCTCTGTAACCATGCGTATCCTAGCAGTTATCCAACTTAAAATATTCATCATCTCTACGCTAATATACATTCGTATGAAGACTTCGTCTCTGATAAGACGTATCTTGGGAGGGCCTTCCCATAGCATACCCACTTGTGTCACCAGTGGAAGTGCTAATATCTTGTGGGACTCGGGACGCATCTGCTATGTCTCCGGCACGGAGATACAAACGAATTGCCCCGCAGAGTCCCATGAACGAACAACTGCCTGATTGAGCGACGTGGAGCAGCTTATCGATAAGAGCAACGGATATGTCATTGCCTCCAGAGCCGAGCGTCACCACTTTCCCCACCCCACCTTTCTGCTGAGCACCTCCGTGACCTGTACGATAATGGTCCCGGCGCGGCGGGGCGCTCCCGTTGGGCCGTCGACCCCTCCAGCAATTAGTAAAAAGCTGCGATAAACCCTCTGAATAAATTCCCCTCTCTTGAAGCGTCCCACATTTTTCTCATCCGCCATTCCTTCAGCTTCAGCTTTCTCTACTTCATCTCAGTCTATTTTACCGGTAGCTTGCTTCCCACCAAATATCTCCGCAGCTTTAGACGACAATGGGCTCCAAGAACTGGCAAGAAATCGCAACCGCGAAGCGTGAGGCGATCCTGGCCTCCATCCCCAAGGAATACATCATCCCCGACCTGCCCACTCCGGAGCAGCAGCGCGACGTGACGGGCACCTTCGTGCACAAGTACCTCAGTCCGCAGGAAATCGAGATCACGGAGACAGACGCCCCAGGCATCGTCGCCAAGACGACGACGGGAGAATGGACCGCCGTCGAAGTCACCAAAGCCTTCATCCACCGCGCATGCATCGCACACCAATTGGTTCGTGAACATTTCTCCTTCCTTTCCCTCTGCCGATAACCACCAATTCTCCACAACAACAACATGACTGATAGTAAACCCCCCAGACAAACTGCCTCCACGAAACCGCCTTCCCCGCCGCCCTCGCCTCCGCCGCGGCGCTGGACGCGCACTTCTCGCAAACCCGCACCCCCCTCGGTCCCCTCCACGGCCTCCCCATCTCCCTAAAAGACCAATTCCACGTCCGCGGTCTCGAAACCTCCATGGGCTACGTGGGGTGGCTCGGCACCTTCGAAGGCCACGCCCCCCCGCACCCCAACTACCCCATCGCCACCGAATCCGCCCTCGTCACCATCCTCCGCTCCCTCGGCGCCGTCATCTACGTCAAAACCGCCGTCCCGCACACCCTCATGTGCGGCGAGACGGTCAACAACATCATCGGCTACACGCTGTCGCCCACCAACCGCCTCCTCTCCTCGGGCGGCTCCTCCGGCGGCGAGGGCGCGCTGATCGCGCTCAAGGGCTCCCCCCTCGGCCTGGGCACCGACATCGGCGGCTCCATCCGCATCCCCGCGGCGTTCAATGGCGTCTACGGCCTGCGCCCCAGCACCGGCCGCCTGCCGTACGAAGGCATGGCGAACAGCATGGCGGGCCAGAACAGCGTGCTCAGCGTCGTCGGGCCGCTGGCCGGCAGCGTCGGCGCCCTACAGTTACTCGTAAAAGCCGTCCTAAGCGCGGCGCAGCCGTGGCGCGTCGACCCGGCCGTCGTCGAGCTGCCGTGGCGGGCGGAGAAGGAGGAGAACACCAACAAGAAACTCACCTTCGGCCTGCTCCGCGACGACGGCGTCGTCCGCGTCACGCCGCCCGTCGCGCGCGCGCTGTCTCTCGCCGCCGACAAGCTGCGCGCGGCGGGCCACACCGTCGTCGAGTGGACGCCGCCAGCCGAAGCCTCACACGCCGCCATCGTCGACTGCTGCGCGCGCACGTGGACGTACGACGGCGGCCGCGACACCATCAGCGCCTTTGCCCTCTCCGGCGAGCCGCAGGCCGAGCACGTGCAGATGCCGTGGCCGGCGCCTTTGGCTTCTGAAGCCACCGCCACCGAGATCGCGGCCAACAACGTGCGGCAGCGCCGGCTGCAGAAGGCGTATCTGGATTACTGGAATGGTACTGATGTCGATGTTATTATCAGTCCTGTCGCGCCGTTCCCGGCTGCGCGCCCGAAGCAGTACAAGTACTACGGGTATTCGATGTGGGTGAATTTGCTCGACTATACGAGCGTCGTCGTGCCCGTGACGAGGGCGAGTAAAGAGGTCGATCGGCCGGTGGGGATGGCGGAATTTGAGCCGAGGAGCGAGTTGGAGAGGGAGACGCAGGAGTCGTATGATCCGGACATCTATGATGGTGCGCCTGTGGCGTTGCAGTTTGTGGGCAGGAGGCTGGAGGAGGAGAAGATGCTGAAGGTGGCCGAGGTGGTGGATGCGGTGTTGAAGGGGTGAAGAAATGAGAGTGGAATGTGAAGAGGAAAGCGGATTCAAGGGGGTCTGTGGCCTTGGAAAGATTTTAGAGATGATGATGATGATGATGGAGGGTTTCCGTGGCAAGTTTAGCAGTAGCCATGTTTTAATGTCCGAAATGTGTAATGAGTGTCTACGTCAGTCTTTATTTTTGTCCCGCTTGCTCTTCTCTTCTTGGTTACTTCTCTTTCACCGAGCCTCAGAGTAAAAAGATGTGCTTCAATGTAGAATTTTGCATGGCCGTGTGGTGAAGTTCACTCGAAGTGCAGTAATGTGTTGTCGTACCTCACCCCCTAGAACAGTTAGCGATGTCCACTGTACAGCAGAGAAAGAGCAACAAGAGATATAAATATAAGCGAGGGGCCAAGTCGTACTCCAGATCGCGTAGCTAAAATGCGTTCGACTCTGGGATTCATGTTCAATGGCTAGCACAGGTCGGTGTTGGTAGGTGAAGCTGACTTGAGATGGACAGCCACACTTGCTGGTGGAAATAGGTCGCTATAACAGGCTGGGCCTTTCCGCTACCTCTGCAATCTCAATCATTACCAGCGCATTATTACCTTCGCTAGAGATCTCCAACTTCCTTTAAAGCTCAAGACAAATGTAAGTAGATCACATCATCGAAAAGACGTCAAGCACGCAGTCAGATCCAAAGACGACAATAAAGAAAAGGCGCGGCAGTGGTATATAGCATATATCAACAAGAACATAGTATGTCGGCTACCTCTTCTCTCATCCCTTTTGAGAGAAGTAAACACTATCAGCCGGGTATGTGATATCGACAGTCAGGTGAGGAAATGCGTTACAGGATGAGGGGGAAAAAAAAGAATTTTCGAGCAACATTTGGCAAGTAAATGCGTTCAAATGTTGTCGGGGGGGGGGTTTGGTCTTTTGCAGGGGGTGGTCATAATACATGAGAAAAATAAAGCTTTCAAAGTAGTAGCAGCGCTTTTTCATCTTTCACCGGATGGATCAGTCATCTGTTTTTCCCCTTTTCCTGTACCCAACGTCCTTGCAGAATTAGATAGCCGGTTTGAGCCAAGAAGCGCATGGAGGAGAAAAGAAGAATTCGTTCCAATAAGAGCAGAACTTTTCATGTCTCGAAGCGAACAAGTGGGGTTTGAAGCGGAAGGAAGGGTGCTGACCTGCTCTTGGTGAGAAAATAATAAGCGACCGTGGGGATTATTGCCGCTTTTTCCGATCCAAGAGCAAAAGAAGGGGGGTAAGCGGGCAAGTCGGCATCCTCAGGGGAGGTGCCTCTTATTTCCGCTTTTTTCCCGCTACCTTTCAGCACACTTTTAACCCAACCCCAAGCCCGTCTTCCCAATCGGCCGTAGAAGAACAGTGAAATGATATCGTATCTAAGCGTCAACTTTCAGCGTCGTCCCATGACTGTGGTATCTCACTCCACAATTCGTTCGTTCTCTTGTAATGGGTTGCCATAGAGTCATCCCCAGCCCGGTGCTCCCGTCATGAATGCATCAGGCCCGCCGACATTGCCCGGGTGTGCTTGTAGCTCAATGCCTTCCATCAGAGCACCGTTAGGACCCACGGTTCCAACGACCGAGCCTGTCGTCTCTGGTAGAATTCGCGGGCCTTTACCAGCTTGAGGCAGTCCAGTCATGCCCTGCAATCCAGGGAAATGCGTGGATGGATGAGTGGGAGCACCCATGCCTGGCCAAGCCTGCGCATGCTGTGGTGGGGGAGGTTGCTGAGTATGCGGGGTAGGCGGTTGAGAGTGTTGGTGTTGCGGTGGTTGACCAGGAAGGGAAGGCGTTCCGAGCGGCTGTTGCGATAATTGTTGCTGAGTGAGCTGTTGCGGAGGAAGGGTTTGGTGAAGGGGCGAGGGATGCTGCGGGTGTTGTGGATGTTGTGGATGTGGTGGGTGTTGCTGAGGGTGTTGTGGCGGGTGGTGTTGCGAGAGCTGCGGGTGGTGTCCGTGTTGCTGGCGCTGGGCATGGCTCTGCTGTTGTTGCTGAAGGCTAGGCGGCTGCTGTTGCTGTGGAGCGTTTTCCGGCGAAATGACCGTCTCCGCATCGGCATCGGCATCCGCGTCGTCCTCGTCTCCATCTGGGTCAATGACGTCCGTTGCATCAGAATCCACAACCCCGTCCCGTGAGTTCTGCGATGCAGGAAATCCGTTGGTTGCGAGGGGAGGTGCTACGAGAGTTGTTGGTGTGCCCATAGCTCCTGCGCTCGTTCCATTGATTCCCACGTGGTGTAACGATGTGCTGATCATGTTTCCCCCGCAGCTAATAGGCGTAGTGTTGCCGGTAGCTGTGCTCATGCTGGTGGTGCTCACTGGTGTCGACGCCGGAACAGAGCCCGTGCTCAAACTCCGTTGGTTGGCCAAACCCAGCATAGTCTTCTTATTCTCCTTGACCACAGTCGTCCATTTTTCCATCAATTTCTCGTAATCCCATGTCCGGGGGTCCAGGCCTTGACTCTGCTTTCCAGCCAATTCCTTGAACGTATCGCTAGACAACGCTAGAGAGCTTCCAGGACTCTGTGCTGCGCCCGCTCCGTATGCCGACGTCGTAGAGGAAGCCATGCCCATGTTTATCCACCGATTATTCTTTAGCGCCTCAATCTCCTTCCTTGCACTGGCCAGGCTGTTCTCAGCTTCCCTCCTCGACTCATCCGCACGGGTGTAGCTCCGCAGAATCTCCAATGTCCATGTCTCCTGCCTTTGCTTGTCCGACAATGACTTCCAATGATTGTATGCTTCTTGCAGGTGTTGGAACAAGCGCTGTGGGTCGGGATCGAAGCCGCCGAGCGGAGGGGTGGGGAGCGGAGATGCGGCACTGGCCGAAGGAGTGGTAGCGAGGGGGTTGGTGGCGCCAAAAAGCTGCGAATGCCTTTGCCGCTGCACCAGTCGGTCTCGAATGTTTTTATTAAGAGCGTCGAATTGCTTCTGCCCCGGCGGGCTTATGGACCACGACTCGCTGTTCGGGAAGGGCGAAGGCGAAAATAGGGTTGCGGGAGCAGGAAGGATGTGGAGACATAACGAGGGAAAGCTCAGGGTATAAGGGTCGAAGTCGAACAGGTTGACGCCTGCGGAGCGAGCGCTGGAGCAAAAGTTAGCAGCCAGAGGCAACGTAGCGCACACGATCCCAATTAGGCAGTCCAGAATGGGTAAAAGTGGGCCACGCACCTTGCATCCCTCACGCTCGCCAGAACCTCCTTCAATGCCAGCTCAGCGGCCTTTCCATGGTCCAGCTCGTCGGAAATTATCTGCCGGTTTTCCAGCCCTCGCTTCTGCAATTCGTGGCGCGTCTTGCCCGTCTCGCTGCTGACGCTCGCGCGCGGGGGCAGGTTGTTAATGACGCCGGTCGAGGTCCACGACGGCTGGTTGAACTGGAAGCGCAGCTTTTGGCCAGACGCGGGCATGTTCAGCGTGGGGCTCTGCGTGATAACCGGAGAAGCCGTGTCGGCCGACACAGCACTCACAGACGGATTGTGCTGGTGGCCCTGCTGGGGAGCTTGCTGCTGCTGCTGCTGCTGCGACGCGACGGGTACCTGCTGCGGGGCGGTGGGCGGTGGCGGAGGCGGCTGCTGCTGCTGCGAGGAGACGGGCGTCGAGCCGCCGCTCGAGTCCCCCTTTTTGGCGAGCGAATTGCGAGCCTGGCGGCGAGTGATGCCGCCGCGCATCCTGCGGATCTCGTCGACATTGTGGATGCCGTCGGGGGCTTTGGGGTTCTTCGGCTTGATGTAGAGGTCGAGATGGCGGCCGAGCGAGGACGAGGTGAAGGCCTGGTGGCAGAAGGGGCAGTTCTTGTCCTTGGGGGCAGGCACCTTGGCCCCGGAGCCCTGCTGGTCGGGCGGCAGCTGCTGCTCCTGCGAGCGAGCTTGGTTGTCGTCGGCCATGGGTGTCGGGTGCAAGGATGGGGTGGAGAGGCGTGGTCGCGGGTCTTGCCTCGGACAGGCCGCAACTGGCGGGGCGCTCGAGGCTGGGTGCGGTGTGCGAGAGCCTGGGTCAGTGGCCCGTCATGGCGGTGCAGTGTGGGCTAAAGCATCTTGTGGTCTGGAGCATTATTTTATCTCGGGGCCCTCTCCTGAAGGAAGTCTGTGCTGGGCCGTCAGTTCGCATTCGGCGCAGGGATCTGCCCGCCATGTCCACGCGCAGCTCAGCGCGCCGTCCCCGACAACATGATCACCCTCAGTGCCCGAGTGCCAATCCACGACGCTGCAGACCAGACGAGCGCGCGCACCTCTGCAACCAATCGCGCTTGTTTACGTTTTGCCGGTCCTGGCACTCTGTTGTACAGGCACGACAGACCCTCGCCGACCACGTCAGCAAGCCCAAAGCGCTCTCCACGCCCCTATCCACTCCCTCCACGCCCACCCGCCTTCCCCGACAGCCTCCTTGCCTCCGCGTGCGGCAAGTCGGAGCCACCTGTTGGTCACCAGCTGCTTCCCGCTCCGGCCCGCCCCTGACTGTGCCGCGCCCGCGCCATAACTCAATCGTGCAAAGATCACTGAACCCCGTCCGTGTTGCTCTTGTTCTTTTGCTTGTATAGCGACCTGACCGCCCATGCGTCTTTTACCCAAGCCATTGGCCCCGAGCCGAGCTGATGCTGAGGCCTAGTCCCCGCAGCCATCCCTAGCGCCGCCCCAAAGCGGTTTGGCCACCGCTCCCAATCATTTTTCAAACCGCGCTGATCCTCCCACTTGAGCGCCTCCGAGCGAAAGCCGCATTGCTCGTACCTTGCCTGTCCTTGTCGTCTGCTTAGCTTCGCGTTGCAACCTTGCGACGGGTGAAGGGAGCTTTGGTCAGGGATTACGACCGCTCACAATGCTAAATTCTCCTCGTGATCAGCTGCTAGTCTTACCAGTGATCGTCGTATAACTTTCGACAGCAGATGTCCAATCAAAGCACTTTCCCCTCGTTTTCCACTAGAACGATCCACTCTGTCTGCACCCGAAGGTTTGATACTGAAGAATGATAAAGACGGCGCCCAGGACGATCCGTAGAACACCCACCGGAAACGCAGAATATATCTGTGCCAGGTAGCTAACTCGACCAGCAAACAGAGCAACAAACAGTAAACAGGAATACGCGTGAAATCCACCCATCGATCCATCAAAAACGATAAGAACGGCTTGGACTATCTTTTGATATGTGGTCATGCAAGACGAAACCTTCTTGTTAGCCGCTGCAGGCCGAACCCCCTCAGGCCAGCCAGGCCTCCAGCAGAACCGATTGGTCTCGAGACGACACCACGTCCCGCCTGACCGCTTCACATGGAGCAACACTATTTTCTGGAGAAGTGGATAGATATTGATTTCCAAAGCCTTACGAGAATTAACTTCAGGCAGATCTTACTGTTAGTGGAAACTATCCCGTTATCTGGATCTCTTCACCAAGTCTAGGAATTCTCAAGCAAGCATCAGCCTTCATTTTTTCTTTCTTGCTTCTTACGTCTCAAGCATCATCCGGCCACATCTGATTCTTTCTCGTCAAACCACTCCCAACTTGGAAACCGCCTTCTCAGCAATCCTCTCATACTCCTCCATCCCGCCTTCCAACCTCCTCAACCGGCCCTTCGCCAACCTGTACACCCTCCCCACCTTCCCCACCGCCCCATCCTCGCTGCTCTCACTCTCACTCTCGTCTTCCCCCTCCTCCTCCTCCATAGCATCATCCCTAAACTCCCTGTCCACCCTCACCCCCTCGACGACGCCCCTCACGAAGAACCGATCGTGACTCACCACGACGATCGCGCCCTCGAACGCGCGCAGCGCGCCGACCAGCGCGAGGATGGTGTCGGCGTCGACGTGCGTCGTGACCTCGTCGAGCACGAGCAGGTGCGGCGGCGCGGGCCACAGCAGGCGGGCCAGCGCCAGCCGCACCTTCTGGCCGCCCGACAGCGCCGCGACGGGCACGTCCGACACCACCGCGCCCTGCAGGCCGAGGCCGGCGAGGAGGCCCCGCGCCTCTTGCTCGGTGATGGGCTTGGCGTCTGAAATTACGGCTGGGGCGGAGGCGGAAGAGGAGGAGGAGGGGTCGTTGAAGAAGGCGAGGAGGTGGGCGAGGGCGCTGGTGGACGAGGCGCCCGGCATGGCGTCGAGGAGCTCGACGGCCTCCTGGGAGAAGCGGCCGATGCGGGCGCGGGGGTGGCGGGTGATGGTGCCCTTGGTGGGGACGAGGGGCGCTGCCGCCGCCGTCTGCTCATGGCCGCCGCCGCCGGTCATCAGCTCGAGCAGCGTCGTCTTGCCCGAGCCGTTCAGGCCCGCCAGCCCGATGCGCTCGCCGGGGTGGATGGTCAGGTCGACCTCCTTCAAGACGTCCTCTTTCGTCCCCGGGTACCGGAACGACACCTTCTCGACGCTGACCAGGGCGCCGGGGAACTTGAGGTCCGGCGGCGACGCCGGCACGACGATGCGCGGCAGGTCGTCGAACCGGGGCACCTCGATCTCGGCGCGGTTGGTCGTGTAGTAGCCGGCGAGGTCCCTGTTCAACTTGAACCGCGTGCCCTTGGCCGAGACCTGCAGCCCCGTGCGCTCCTCCATCTTCCTCTGGCGGCCGGCCACCTGCTTCAGCTTCTTGTCGTCGCCCGCCCTGCGCGCCTTGACCTTGCTCTCCTCCAAGCTCTTCTCCAGCCTCTCGTTCCTCCGCTCCTGCGCGTCCCGCATCCGCCGCATCCACCGCGCGTGCTTCCGCCGCTCGCGCTCGTACGTCGACACGTTGCCGCGGAACCGCTCCAACTGCCCCTCCCGCAGCACGAGCAGCTCCTCCGCCACCGCGTCCGCGAACGCGCGGTCGTGCGTGACGACGACGACCGTCGTGTCCGCCAGCGCCTCGGCCACGTGCCGCTGCAGCCACACGATGGCCGGCAGGTCGAGGTAGTTGGTCGGCTCGTCGAGCAGCAGCACGTCGCAGGGCCGGCACAGCGCGCGCGCCAGCGTCGCCCGCGTGCGCCACCCGCCCGACAGCCGCGATACGGGCTTGCCCACACTATCCGCAGAAAAGCCCAATCCGAGCAGCACGCCGCGCGCCTCGGCCTCCAGCGCGCCTGCGTCTTGTACGGCTAGCTCCGCCTGCGCGTCCGCCAACATGTCCGCGGCGCGCTGCGACTCAGTGATGAGATCGTCGTCGGTGGGTGGCTGGAGCAGCGTGGCGCGGGCCTCTTTGACGGCGGCTTCGAGCTCGATTTGCTTTGCGCGCGCGTTCTTGCCGCGCGCGCCGGAGCGCCGGATGGCGTGGTGTCGGGCGGCGGCGTGCTCGTGCCAGAGGCGGCGGTAGTCGAGGAGGCGGTAGGCGCGGGCGGGGGCGAGGGGGTCGGCGGCGTCGTTGAGGGCTGAGGTGAGCAGGGCGACGGTGTTTTGGAGGGTGATGAGGTGCGTGTTGCCGTAGAGGACGTGCTCGAGGACCGTTTCCTGCTCTCCTTGCGGCCGTTCGGTCAGGGAGAGGTTGGCGAATTCTTCGGGTAGGTCGGGGTCGGCGTCGATGTCGCCGTGGTCGGTGATGCCTTGGTGCTGCTGGAGCTCGGTCTGGCCGAGGAGGAGGATGCGTTGGTTTAATGCGATGCTGGTCATTTGACCCGTAGCCATGGCTCGAAGGATAGCTGATGTGTCTTGTCAGTGAAGCAACTTTGAGAGAGGGTAAATGATGGTTGAGTTAAGATGGGAATATTTGGGGGAATAGTAAGTGGAACTGACTTGATTTTCCAGTGCCGTTGCGCCCAGCAAGGACGTAATGTCGTCCTTCCTCAAGGTGTATTTCTGCATTGCGGAGGACTTCTTTCTTTCCAATTGAGATGCTGAGATCCTTTACCAAAACCTATTGAAAAGGTCATTGTTAGTCAGCGGTAATAATATTATGAGGTGATCTTTTCAGAATCTAGACTCTGCTTGCTAGCATTGGACCAAAAGCTCATAATACCCGGAGATCTCTTGTGGTTATGTTTGAGTAATAAAAGAAAGACTCACCTCTTTTGAATTAGGTGCGTCAACAGCGTCAAGCGCGTATCTGCTCTGTTGCGACGTGACGTATAGTTGCCCCTCGCCAACAGCCACAGCGCCCTGCTTGCTGGCCACCTTCTCCTTTGCCTTCCTTACCATCGTCCAATCTGTTCGTTTCGTCGTTGTCTCTCGTTGTTCGACTTCTCAGGGATTGTAGAGCCTTAGGCCTCAAAGGTGGGGGCAAGGCGGGATTGATATAGCTCAGAGCAGCCGGCGCGAGAAATGTGAGCTATAAAACGAGTTGATTGCGGAAAGCACCGCGCACCCAGCGCTTGGATCGCTGTACCACAAAACCAATTTTCTAGCAGTTAGTTTGTATTGGACTCATTGATGTGACTGCAGCACTGCGAATGAGGTTCGTCGTAGCCTGAGGATAACGCAATAGTGCCTTAAGGTTAGGGGCAAGTTCAATAGGTGCGGTGACGGTGATATCGCCGACGAACTCGCGGTGTCCGTATGTGGAATGCCGCCGAGGCAATTGCGACAAACGCGGGAAAGGAAGGGGAGGTGGCGCAGAAGAGCGGGGTGGGTGAGTCACGCCAAGGGAACGGTCGATGGGTTGGCGCCGGGTACGTAGTTCAAGGCACGATGCAACAGGGCGGTCGTTTATCAGGTGGTTTTCATTTACTGCATGCTCTCTCTACAGGAGAAACCACTTGCCAGTTAGTCCACCTCTGAAACTGGAACCTGATTCTAAACTTAGGCTCATCTCGAAATCTTCGCACTCGAAGGCGAGGTCGTCTTAAGTAGCAGCCGCCATCAGTCGGGCTGCAGGTCTTGGAATACATAAGCTGCTTCAACGCCTTAAGAAGCCGTTGTTCTCCGCATGATGTACCGTCGCCAAGCCCGTCTTTGAGAAGCAACAAAGGAAACCTGTACACCGATTTTGAAATGGAAAGAGAAAAGAAAAAGAAGCACTTCGAAGATAGAGTGCTTCGGAGAGCTTCGGTCATACTTAGCATAGGCAGAGCATTGTCCTGTGTATGGGGCGATGAGCTCTTCACCGCCGATGCTCCAGGAGCCTTAGAACAATGAAATAGCTGCGACTTCGCATTCGTTATGCGCAGCTTTCTGCCTGGAAAGTCAGGTCACCTCCGGTGTGGAAATGAATGGCGAAGAAATGCCCACAGTATCGAAAGCTGAACAGTACCGTGGTTCTTGGTGGATTGTAGAACAAGCAACCGCTAAGCTTTGCGTCGGTGCTATGGGCGTTTGTTCGAGTCGTTGCTCAGGCTTCAGTCATATCGTCATCATCCTCATCGTGGACAATGGTGCGCGATGGACCAGCGACGGCAGATCCGGAGCCGGTCGTACCGTTAGCGGAGGACACAGTGGTCGGAGTGCCACCCTGGTACTTCTGGTCCAACTCTTGTAGACAGTCAAGCGCTGCAACCAGCTTTTCCCTGTCCGCCTTCAGCCCACGTCGGCGCATCTCGCGAGCGGGGTCTTCTGCAAGCAAACGCGCGCAGGTGTCCTGGTTGTTCTCGCCGAAAATTCCAAGAACGTTGACCAGCTCATCTTTCAATCCTTCCTTCAACTTTTCGAAGAGTTCGGCCTGAATGCCCATGACTACGGTATCAACGTAGCGCATGGAAGCAATGTTGTAGTATCCGCGTATCTTCGACATTGCCTCGACCTCCCTGGAGAAGGGGTCCGGACCAAGCACTGAAAAGCGGAAGTTCAAGTCATTCGCCTTGCGTTGGCGCTCTGTCTTCGAAGTCGTCTTGCCGGTGGTGGCGTCCAGCGCATCAAAGTACATAGTGGTGCGCGCCTGGATCCTTGCGTTCTGGAAAATTTCCAACTCCTGCTTCTCGTTGTACTCAAGTGCGGTCGCGTTTTCCGTGATTGGCTTGTACAGCTCGAGCCTCAAAGCTCTAGGGGCAGCGCGGTCCCGCTGCTCAATGAATGCAGCGTCAAGGAAGTTTTCCGACAACCGAGACGTCTCCCTCGACAACTCCGTCGTCCTCCATTTCGCCAGCGTGTCGTCCAAAGCCTGGTAGAGAGTATTGCGGAGCGCTAAGTGCAGACCCTCTAAGAACTCCTTTGTGGGGTGCTTCCAGCTTTCCAAGGTCTTCAGTCGAAGGTAATTTAGGGCCTTCGGGTCAATTTCCCCCGGAATGTCCGAGGAAGACTTCTCATTCAAGGTCTGCTGGATTTCCTCCAGATCAAACCTTTTGGTGTATTGGTTGCCGGGTCCTCCACGACGCGAAGGAGTGCTGTCGGAAGGCAGTTTCCTCTTCTTGGTTGGTGTAGGTTGGACACTGGGGGCCCGCTCGTTATCAGAGTCATCGATGGAAATGACGTCTCTCGGCCTTGAAAAGGATGAGGATGCTTGACTCGTACTTTGGCTCTGGTTCTGCATCATGACGGAGTTCGATCTGGCCTTGGCATGCTGAACATCACGAGGTGTCTTGACGAGCATAGTGGGTCGCTGCGCAGTTATTCCATCTCGGAACTCATTGCGGAGGGATTTCCACACTAAGCGGAACTCGTTTTCAGGATAATCACCTTCCATTTGTTTCGAGATTTTGTCGGTGAACTTGTTGATCGTGTCCGAGACGATCCGGAGAGCGTCTGTCGTTGGCGGCTCCGGGAGATGCGCAAGTTCCGCATCTATCTTGGAGAGTTGCTCCTGGACACGCTCATGTATGCTTGGCAAACTCTTCAAGATCTGAATGGCTAACATCTGCGACAGCTTATCTTGGAGCTTCTCGGTCCCAAAGCGGTCGCTGAATTGAAGGAAACGATCAGCCCACGGCTTCATCTTCGAGAACCATTCTGTCTCCTTAGCACGTGCAGCTGCGTGGTCCATGCCTTTATCGAGTTCCGCTTGAGATGGGTTGATGACCACATGGTATCCATGACCGAGCTGGAATGACTCGCCTCGCAGGATATCCTCCCAACGATCGACCGGGTCTCCACGGGGTAGACGATCTGGCTTCGTGAGGATTCCAAGACACCTGTCGATAGCGCCGTATTTCCGTAGAAGCCCAGCGGAACTGGAATTCTGTATGTCATTTTCCATAGAGCAGGCTAGGAGAACGAGAGCGTTGTCTTTCGAGACGTAGCGCTTGACCAACTGTTTAACGAGCTTGATGAGGGAGAGGTCCTCCATGTTCTCCGTCTGACTGATGACGCCGGGCAAGTCATAGAATGAGAGGTTAGGAAGTCCAGGCGCAGATATCTCCAAACACACCAAGTTGGGAGAGAACTCGACCTCGTACTGACCGCCGCCAATGTCTGTGGATGGCTGAAACGGGACAAATGTCAGCGGGTCGGATCCCGGGTTCAAAGTTGCTAGTTGGGCTTTGTAAATAACATGTTGAAGTTGTTTCTTATCGGACACAGTCTTGAATAGTAAGGTCTCTGGTTGGTCGAGCTCCCCCCATGGGAAGAAAGGTGGCGGCTTGCCAGAGGGCAAGTAAGAGGCCCGGGTATCGTAGAAGAACTCTCGCCGGAGCGACACGTCACAACGCCAACGGGCGTTCGTCTCCTTGTTTTCCGTCAAGGTGATTTGCATGGGGCAGCGGGTGCAAGTTCCGCTACTGCGAGGGACCTGAATTCCGGAGATGGCGTTAATGACGGAGCTCTTTCCTGTGCTTTGGTCGCCAATAACGACTATTTTGGGCGTGTCACCGGCGACCTTGGTGATGCCGAGCTGTTCGATCTTGTTTATCGCCTGAACGAGTTCTTTCACGCCACGTCCAAGGTTTTCGATGGCAATGTTGTCGGGGAGTGCAGTGGCTTTGTCTGTTAGCGAAGTATTTATCGTCAAGATCTCAGACTTACTGGAGCGGCTCTGGTGGTCGGCTTGCGATAAAGCTTGGGAAGCTGCCTCCATCTTGACGGTGCGCGACATGGTCTCGATCACGGATTCGTCCCTGTCCCTTGCAGACTGACCGCTGGAAGGTAGATGGACAAGATTAGTTACTGATGGCTGGCGTGAACTCCGCGTTCCGACCATTGTTGAAGCGGACAAAGTCTTGAGGAAGTGACGGAATGGGTGGCGAAGCTGAGAGGGTCAGTCAAAATCAGTAAGATGGGGGAAAAGGTGGTCGAGGTGAGGAAGAATGGTGGAAGAGAGGTTGTGATTTGTCGCTGAGCTTGCGACGCTGCAATTGCTTACATTTTGGGTGAGCAAATTAAATCTTTTGCGAAGCCGAAGTGAGGTGCCTTGTCAGTTGACGGTGGTGGTTGTTCAACTCGAGCGCATTCACTATTGGGCAGTCGAAGGGCGATGCCAGGACCAGGGAAGTCGATATCAAGAGCTGCCTGTCAAGCGCCGCGCATGAGGACGCGTGAAGCGATGGTGGTGACGAAGCGAGGAGAGGAATGTCGGAAATCAAGAGCTGGGTTTATATGCAGGGTCTGAAGAGCGGAGTGATGGCGCGCGCGTGTTGTGTTGGGCGAACGGGTCTGGCGATGGGAAGACGGACGTCCGTGAAAACACACAAAACAGACTGCGCACAGCCGCGCTGGCTCTCGCTGCGGCGCGCTTGCGCTGGGCTGCGAACCGTGTGAAAGCTGTGAGCGTGCAGGATTCACTACACTGGTCTAGTATTGGATTTTCCTAAACCCAAGAGCCAGTTGGCGGGGAATTATGCAGGAGCATCAGAGAGAAGCATTGCACAGGGCTACGGGGGTGCGTAGTGTAGCAACGCAGTCTGTATCCGCGCATGAGCCGACGCTAGGCAAGACGCGTCTCGTCAGGCGCAGGGATCTTAAGACGCGTTTGCCGATCGCGACGACGCGCCGCCGTCAAGCTTAATGGCGCACTTGTGGGTTCGGCGGGGTCAGCCACAGCTTTCCGTGCCTTTTTGCGGAGAGGCTCAGCGCTCCAGGCCGACTGCGCGTGCTGCCCAAGTCACGATTACAACGCCTCAACCACGAATTAGTAGTGCGAAGGACGTGATAACCACAACAACTCGCACCCTCTTATCTGTCTGTTCGTATGTGGGTTTCTTGTCGCATAGGTAAGTGCTATGCTAGAAGGATGAGATACGACTACTGATATTCTTTCAGTAAGATCAGCCAAGTATGAGCCTTATCTGCACGTGACATGTTCAGCCTGGTGGAGGTCGATCGTATTTGCTGACTTCAGCCTGCTGAACTGACAGGACGTCTCTCTTCATGCCATCGAATCCATCCAACTACCAGCACTATTCAGTCTGCAAAGTTCTTTGCTAGCAGACTCCTCAGCGCAGAATATTTCCTACAGTCTCTTCATGTTGAGTCACCGTTCGAAGCACGGCTACCTACGCAACCAGTTCATCTGATTTCCTAGCAGTCTGGGTTTGGTACCAGACCGGGCTTTGCAGGTATTGACGAGGATCGATAATCTGCCCCTTCACGGGTTCACAGCAGATTCTTTACCACCACTTCGTATACCTCCAAGCGAGGTTTCACAGATACGGGATGTCCCAGGAAACAAAGCGGCTGACTTACCGTGTGAGTGGGTTGCCACCGCGAGTAGATGAAGCCGGCGTTGAAGATATCTTGAGAGAATATTTGGATAAAAACAAGGACAATGAAGAGGACTACATTCGCATCCAAGTGCTTTCCCTCGCGCGGAGCCTGAGTGTGGCCACAGAAAACCCCACGAAGCAGGCAACTGTCACTATAGATCCTTCCCAAAGACTCTTGCAGGGCAAGCTGCTCTTTTCACCTACATATAGAGGAACCGAATATTCCGTCACGATCGATCGTGACTTCCTGGGCTTTACAGTACTCAATGACGTACATGACGACAAACTCCTCCTCAAGTCTGTATAATAGCCCTCAGGGATGGTTCACTTCGCTTACAGGTCATAGTTGTGTTGCAATCAGTGGCCTCGCAAGCCATCCATTTGGGTCATGGCAACGACGTCAAGACAGACACGGAAAATCCTTCATGTGGTTGAGAGACGAGCTCCCGAAGGATTTGCATCGAACTAGAGTGATTACATACGGCTATGACACTCAACTGGACACAGCTTCTTTCCAAAACATCCAAGATTTGGCCACGGCGTTCAAGAATAAACTCCGCGCCTTTGGCTTCGAGTCGGCCTCTGCAAAGCCGATAGTTTTCCTCGCTCACAGCCTTGGAGGCATTATTCTCAAAGAAGTCTTCATTCAAGCAATGAATTCGAGAACCCCTACTTTACTGAAAAACACAAAAGCATGCATGTGTTTCGGTGTGCCGAATCGTGGCATGACAGTCGATCAGTTAGCTACGTTGGTCTATGGCTACCCGACAAAAAACTTAGTCCATGATCTCTCTGTTGAATCAAAGGAACTGGGAGAGATCGACCGTCAATTCAAGGAGCTGCAGGAAACCCAGAGCTTAGACATCATATCGTTCTATGAGACGAAAATGACGAAGACCGTGGAGGTAAGTCTGCCATGCAATATTTTCTCAATGTTCTCTCCTAATGAACCATCTTTAGCAATCAAACGACGGCAAATGGAGTAGATGTGGCCCTGAAGTGATCATGGTCGAGCGCGAATCGGCAATCATGTCATGCTCCCGGGACGTGCATCCTATCAACAAAGACCACTCGGCGATGGTAAAGTTCGAACCAAAGGACGACGACTATACGATCGTACGAGGTCATCTTTATGAGATCTTGATGGAACTTGTTGAACATGAAGCTCACAAGACTGTTCCAGTCGCTAAAGCGCTCTCGCAACCTCTTGCCTATTCACTATGCAAGAAAACCAATGCCATCACCTTTCTGGGTTACCAAAAGAACACGTTCGATTGGGACAAGTTTCGCTCAATTGACAATTTGCAAATCAGCTTCCGGAGAACTGTAAGAGTTCACGAAAACGGCACGATCACGGACCAACCTCCTGACCTGGGTGCATTTCCGATTCATGACACGAAAAAGTACCCAGAACATTTCAGATCTCACAACGGGTACTTCATACCAATGTACCGTAAGTCGTGACAAGAATCAATTGTATACGAGGCCTTATGCTTACCTTTTGTAGAGAGGGAAGCCTTCTGGATACAATTTTCGTCTGACTCGCCCTATGCCATCAAAATCTATTTGGGAGGGGTCAATGCGATTTCAGGGGAGCCAAGAGAAGAGACAGAGGTCACTCATATTCGCCGTCTGATATTAGGAGCTCGAAAGATACCACTCCAGGACTATGTTGTCACACCAGAGCAAGAGGCTGTCTACGGGATCGCACATCAAGATGGCAGCGTTCGACAATTCGTCGCCATGCCCATGGGCTCTGGCTATTCCGTCGAAATTCAAGTGACCAAAGAGGAGATATTTGGGGGACTGCAGATCGAAGTCACACCTACTTATCCGCCGGTCGATGCATTGCCCGGCCCTTGGCCCATTGTTGTCAGGACCTATACGAATTCTTATATCGTCCAGGTTCGACCAACCAGCACTATCGACGAAGTAAAATACCTCTTGCATGATATGACAGAGATCCCCGTTGACCAACAGCGGTTGATATTCTCCGGCAAACAGCTTGAAAACGGGAGGACCCTGTCCGACTATAACATACAAATCGTGAGTCAAATCCTCTCATCTACGAAAGATGAAGACGCTTTGTGAGTTTGATTCTAAGATATGACTAGAACTCCTGCATCCATCTTGTTCTGAGGCTCCGAGGTGGGGGCCCGGTGGAATATGATGAATTCATGAGTGTTGCTGTGAGCGGGTGCATCGGACAAGTCATTCATCTCGATAATTCCGGCCCTCAAACATGGGACAGCTCCAGAACTACATGTGTAGATGTTCAACTCCTCGACTGTGAGGTGTTCAAGAGGGTTACAGGCCTCGATCCTCCGGAACCACCCATTAGCGCCATGGAGTACCGAGAACGCGGGTATCTATACCATGAGCGTTCTAACAATGAAACTAGTGAGCTCAACACAATGTTTTCTGATGTCAGGCCTGTCAACCAGATCGACAAGGAACGGTTGCGGACGCGGATTTCCGAAGATGCGATCAAGCAACTGGAGATGGTGGTGGGTATTTCAAAGATCGAGGGCAACAGCCAAGAAACGAGAGGATTCCGACATCGAAGGACATTAGAGGGAGAGGTTGGAAGAGCTCTGCAAAATCCGAACTTGAAGAAGGAACTACGGGATATGGAAGGGCCAAGGATCGAGAGATTTCCTCTGACGGTCCCGGAGAGGAGAAGAACATGGGGCCCAGAAGATGAAAGCTCGGAAGATGAAAGTTCGGAAGATGGAAGGATGGAAGATGGAATGGCAGAAGATGGAAGGGTGGAAAAACGGAATACTGGGGACAAAGATGAAGGGCGGGAAAGTACCCTGTATCGTTGGGTACGGAAAGTCTTCGGTAGAATACCACGGGTTGTTGTTGTGAGGAGGAGCGGAAAGGTCAAGAGGGCGAACTAGATAGACATGCGAGATGTACTAGTGTTGTTCCCGAAGCAGTGACCTACATACAGGCCCCACTCGTGGCCGTCTCCGCACTTGCGTTGTGGTGGAGCTATCAGCTGTCGGTCATATCGATAAGTGGCTGAGGATCAGCAAGCAGCTGCTGAGCGGCAGCTCACACGTCATTCGCCGGGTTTGCAGGGCTGCGGTCATATTTAGAGCATTCAGCGCAGGCACGAGGTGCGAGCACGGCCCCGTGATGCGCTGCGGCGTCAGACTGGGGGCGTCGAGGGGTCGGTGGGTCGGGAGCGGCTGGGCGGTGAATCGTTCCTGGGCTGCGCGTACCACTCCTTGCCGATGCCACGCTGCCCCAACCCTCCACCATAAAGCTGTCCTCAATTGCGCCACGGCCAGTTTGCTGCACGCCCGATACCCACTGCGCCGAGATTTGAGAGACAAGCCCCATCCCTGCCCCGCACTTTCGCCATGAGTCTCCAGGTCCCTTTCCGCGGCAAGGCGCCCGGCCAGCCGCCCTCAACCAAGGCCGTCATTCTGGTGTGCTTTTTCGCTCCGCCCCGAAGCAATTGTTGCTGACAGCTAGCAGGTCGGCGGTCCCTCCAGAGGAACGCGCTTCCGGCCGCTATCGCTTGACGTTCCTAAGGTATTCCCAAAACGCCGGCCACGCCTGCCAGACCGCCTGTAAAGCTGACTAGCGCAGCCGCTTTTCGACGTCGCCGGACACCCCATTATAGAGCACTGCTTCCGCGCCATCACAAAGGTCCCCGAGATCAAGGAGGTCTTCATCGTCGGCTACTACGACGAGTCGGTTTTCCGCGACTTCATCAAGGAAGCCGCCAACAATTTCCCCCACATCAAGCTCCAGTACCTGCGGGAATACCAGGCCCTGGGCACCGCCGGCGGCCTGTACCACTTCCGCGATGCCATCCTCAAGGGCCACCCGGAGCGCTTCTTCGTCATCAATGCCGACGTCTGCTGCTCCTTCCCGCTGAACGAGATGCTCAAGCTTTCCGAGGAGAAGGACGCCGAGGCCGTTATCTTGGGCACCAGGGTTAGCAACGAGGCCGCCACCAACTTCGGTTGCATCGTCTCGGATGCCCACACCAAGCGTGTTCTGCACTACGTCGAGAAGCCCGAGTCGCACATCTCCAACCTGATCAACTGCGGTGTCTACCTCTTCTCCACCGAAGCCATCTTCCCCTCGATTCGCTCCGCCATCAAGCGCCGCACCGAACGCCCCCGCCTCCTCTCCTACCCCTCCTCCGAGAACCTCGACTCCTCATTCATACAGGCCGAAGATGAAGACGAGGGTGAGACTCAGGTCATCAGACTGGAGCAGGACATTCTGTCGGATCTGGCCGACACCAGGTCTTTCTTCGTGCTGGAGACCAAGGACTTCTGGCGCCAGATCAAGACTGCTGGCTCCGCCGTCCCCGCCAACGCTCTCTACCTCCAGAAGGCATGGCAGTCCGGCTCGGAAGAGCTCTCGCAGCCCTCAGCCAACATCATTCCTCCCGTCTACATCCACCCCACCGCTCACGTCGACCCCACTGCTAAGCTTGGTCCCAATGTCTCCATTGGTGCCCGCGCGCACATTGGAGCTGGTGTCCGTATCAAGGAGTCGATTGTCCTGGAGGATGCTTCCATCAAGCATGACGCATGTGTGCTCTACACTATTGTTGGCTGGAGCAGCAAGATTGGTGCATGGGCTCGCGTTGAGGGTACTCCTCTGCCCCACACCACACACAACACGAGCATCGTCAAGAACGGTGTCAAGGTCCAGAGCATTACCATTCTCAGTAAGGAGTGCGCCGTTGGAGATGAGGTTCGGGTGCAGAACTGCGTCTGCCTGCCGAACAAGGAGCTCAAGAAGGTATGGGACCAACTGCATCGCCATTTGCTCGCAACAATACTGACTATTTCCTCTAGGATGTCGCCAACGAGGTTATCATGTAGAGAGCTAAAGGGCATAACATCACGGCCGGACATGTCAAAGAAGAAAAAAACAGTGCACTATTACGATATCATAGCAGACGAGCAAGAACATGGCTACGGTCATGGGGCTATTATAAAGCTCAAATTAATATTTCGGGGACTCACATGGTGCAATTGGACCTTTGCCTTGGTCAAATTGCGCTTGTAGAGTCAGTTATTTGCAGCTGTGATCCAAATAGCAGTGGTGTGTTTGACAGGTTGTACGGGGATTAAAAAAACATGACGATTCGCGATAAGCCTCAAGGGATCTTCACAACGCTGCCGATCAATTCCAGGCCCTTCCCGCTCCGGACTTTCCATCCTTTACGGTACCCCACCAACACTACCAGCCGTCTACCCCGCCACAATCCGCTCCCGCACGCTTCCCTCCCCCTTCCTACACCACCAATCTTCAATCTCCACCTTCCAATCCTCCATCCCGTCACCACAATGACCACAAATACATCAGCAGCCCTCCCAATCATCGACATCTCCCCCTACCTCCTCCCCAACACCAACAAAGCCGCCCGCACCGCAACCGCCCACGCCCTCGCCCGCGCCTGCCACGACACCGGCTTCTTCTACCTCACCGGCCACGGCATCCCGGACAGCACCCTCCAATCCATCCTCACCCTCGCCCGGCGCTTCTTCCTCGAGGCCTCCGACGACGAGAAGAACGCCATACGCCGGCGCGATGCCGGCGTCGTCGAGACCGTCTCCCAGCAACAGGCAGTCGTCGGCGGCGACGGCGCGCGCGGGTACCAGCGGATCGGCGAGAACGTGACCAAGGGGCAGCGGGACTGGCATGAGGCGGTGGATTTCTATGCGGAGTGGGAGGGGGAGGGGGGAAGCGGGAGTAGCGGGCCGCCGTACGAGTTGCTGCAGGGGCCGAACTTGTGGCCGCGGCATCCGCCGGGGTTGAGGGAGGAGTACGAGAGGTATGTCGGGCTGGTTGAGGGCGTGGGGACGGCGGTGGTGAGGGCGATGGGGGAGGCGTTGGGGTTCGAGGGCGAGGAGGAGGCGGATGTGTTTGTGCGGGCGACGAGGAAGAGTTTTTGGGTGATGCGGTTGATTGGGTATCCCGGGTTGCCGGAGGGAGAGGGGAGGGAGGAGGGGTTTAGTTGTGGGGAGCATACTGGTAGGTGGTGGTCTCTCTCTCTCTCGCTTTTTATTTCACAGGATATGTGGAGCGGGAGGCGGTGGAAGCTGACTGGATGCTAGATTACGGCTGCGTGACGCTTCTCCTGGCAGACAGCACGCCTAATGCGCTGCAGGTCCAAAGGAAAGATGGGTCGTGGATATCCGCTGATCCGATTCCTGGCGCCTTCGTGGTGAATATCGGGGACATGATCGAGCGCTGGACCAACGGCTTGTGGAAATCGACAAATCATCGAGTAATACATCGCGGCGCCAACTATCGCGTGAGCGTGCCATTTTTCTTCGAACCTGACTTCAACGCCCGGATAAAGCCATTAGCGAAATGTATTGCGGAGACGGGCGGGAAAGAGAAATATGACGAAGTGGTATATGGAGAGCATTTGCTGGCAAAAGTGAAAGGGAACTTCTACTAGACATAGGTTAGCAACAGGAGAAACATCAGCGTGACGCATAAGGTAGAAGGCATGACACATTCCCTCCCGTTCGCATTTCTATCCAGACGTAACAAGTCCCCGCATGAGCCCACCCTAAAAGCCTGTCCGAAGGGTGCAAACCGATCTCCAAATATAACGCCTTGTTTGAATTTTCCCCCTACGTAATTTACTGGAATGTATCATGCTCCCATCCAACCACCATGCTTGAAGGGGAATATCGGAACGATGAAAAACAAAGAAAATGGGGTACAGGATGCCGGAATGTGAGAGCCTCAAAATGGCGTATACCCGGCTCTGAGTGTATCCTCGCAACTTCTTGGCGAGTCGAAATTTTCTAGTGATAGCCGTTCTTCGCGGCGGGAAGGTACGACGAGCCGTTGCTCTCGGTGAAGTATGGGTGCAGGCAAGCCTGCTTCGCCGAGATACGTCCAGCGGGGTCGTAGACGAGAAGTGCGTCGAGGAGGTCAAGCCCGTTGTCATCGAGACCGGGGACGATGGTTGCGATATCGGTTCGGTTCCACTTGGGGAACGAAGCCTTGAAGTCAGGGAAGGACGTGACGCCAGGCCACTCGGCTTCGGTGGGGGTGCCGAGAATCCTACATGTTGGTCAGTAGCCGCAACAAGGAAAGCATAGGCCGGCACGCTAGACGTACCGGAAGATCTTGAAGATCTCATCAATCTCAGAGTCACCGGGGAAGAGGGGCTTCCGCGTGCACATCTCTGCGAAGATGCAGCCAACCGACCACATGTCCACGCCGGTGGAGTACTGGCGACCACCGAGGAGAATCTCCGGAGCACGGTACCACAGTGTAACGACCTGCAAAAATGTGTTAGCGAGTCTCATCTAGGCCACCCCTTGCTGTGTGCTCACCTCGTGAGTGTAGGTCCGCAAGGGCACACCAAATGCCCTAGCAAGACCGAAATCCGCCAATTTCAGGTTGCCTTCCTGGTTGATCAATAGGTTCTGCGGCTTGAGGTCACGGTGGAGAACACGGTGGGCGTGGCAGTAGCGGATGCCGCCGACCAATTGGTACATGAACTTCTTGATAATGTCGGGACCCATGCCAGGGTGCGTCATGTTCGAGTCGGGCAGCTGCTTGCCACGTCCGCCCTGGCTCACGGGGAGAGCCTCCATGTATTTCTTGAGGTCGAGGTCGAGGTACTCGAAAACGAGGTAGAGCTTGTGGCCGTCGGCGTGGACAATGTTCAGAAGGCGGACAATGTTCGGGTCGTTCATCTCCTTGAGCAGAGAAATCTCGCGGATGGCGGTACTCGGGACGCCCTCGTCTTCGGCCTCAAGACGGATCTTTTTCAGAGCGACGATGCGCTGGTCCTTGGTGGTAAGGTCGCGGGCCTTGTACACGACACCGTACGTGCCTGCGGGTGAAGAATGTCAGTCAAGCTGTCCAGTCTCGGAGGCAACACAGGGGAGAAAAGGTGAAGCTTACCCTCGCCAATCTTCTCCATCTTCTGGTAGTTCTCCATTGTGATTGTGGTGGGGGAGAGCTGGTCCCGTGCTTTGTTTTCGAGGAGTTTCGCTGTGCGAGCGGGCGAGAGGATAATGAGCGGAGGGGCTGGCGGGGTGGGCGGACGCAGCGGGCGAGGACGGAGGTGCGGGGTTGGTCCAGGCAATGGCCGCGAGAACGGGTCGCTGCTGGGAGGCGCTCCTGCTGTTGGGTTAGTAGGAAGAGATTGACAACGCTGTGTGGTGTGCGGAGCAGCAGCAGAGCGGGCTTAAGAGACGGTTATCCGACTGTTTACCTCTGTCGGCTGGTCCACGCTAAAAGTAAGCAAAAGCTTGGCGTCGCCCCGTAGGTACGCGCCTGTCGCGCAGTCACACGCCGCAAGCCTCCTTCACCTCCGACCAGCGCATCGCCCAGGGGCACACCAACGCCGGGCCCAGATCCTGGCTGCCGCTCCCCTTCGCCCAATGATGTCACTCGACGCCCATGAGCGCCCGCCGGAGCACATCCGCCATGTTTACAAAAAGTACCAAAAGCTGCGCGGCAACGCTCTCAACGACGACCCCCAGCTGCTCGATCCGAGAGATAGCAACGCCGTCGATCGGCTGCACGTCGTGCGCTTCATAGACCCCACAGATCTGCGCTCAGCGTTCCAAGATTTTGCCGCCGCTGAAAGCAGCGACTCCCTCGCACTCCCTGATACTCCCGTGCCTGTTTACGAGCATCGCCACATGCCAGGTAGGCCAAACACCTTTGATGCGTTGTCGTCGCATTTGCCTAATCTTGCTAGGTCTGCATATCATACCCTCCCTGTTACCTGACTCCACTCAAAGGTTGCTCCTTTCCCGTCTTATCCACAGAGACCTCTCAAATCCAGCTCACCAGACAAACGTGCACTTGCACTACCATGTTCCTTATCCGCCAGAGTCTTCGTCGTTCTTTGGGTATTCCCCTTCATCAGAGCCGCATTTTCAGCCAAAGGACCCTCAAGTCCATAAGCCTCTTTCGATCACCCAGTTCCTAAACAGGAAACTTCGATGGGTAACTCTAGGGGGGCAGTACGACTGGACGCGGAAAGAGTACCCTTCAACAATGCCGCCCCCATTCCCTTCAGATGTCGGTGGTCTATTGAAAGGTGTCTTTCCCGACATGACGGCGCAGGCTGCTATTGTCAACTTCTATTCTCCAGGGGACACCCTTAGCATGCATCGTGACGTTAGCGAGGAATGCGATCGCGGACTTGTGAGTATCAGTATAGGCTGCGATGGCATTTTCGTTATTGGAAGGAATGGAAGCCCCGCAGAAGAATCGACTCCCTCAGAGGTTCTTGCTGTAAGACTTCGATCTGGCGATGCAGTCTACATGTCTGGGGAATCTCGATTCGCGTGGCATGGAGTTCCGCAGATCATTCCGGAAACCTGCCCTGAATGGCTCCAGGACTGGCCAGCTTCTTCGCAGAATCTAGATGCTGACGAAGCTTATCAGCAATGGAAAGGCTGGATGCGTACGAAGAGGGTGAATCTAAATGTTCGGCAGATGTGGGAGTAAATTCGGATACTGTCCGACAGTAATTTCTCCTGAAGGATCCCACTATTTCCTATTGCGATCCCTCCCGATAGCTGAACAACAACTGCCCTGAAATACGAATCGCGCCACTACAGGGGGTATTGCCGCCGACGGCTAGCGTGGATCTATTTTTTACTCATGCCATGGGTAGTTGAAGCTATCCGGATGTAAATATGGAATCAATAAATACATTCAGGTCCGGACGAGAGCTTCAACTGCCCACGTATGTTCTTTTATTTTTATTTTTGTTAAAAAAAGATCTGGGGCATACTTACGCTATGTTCCAGGGCCCTGCTATTCTTCGCGCTAGCCATCGGATGCAGTACCCCTCTACATACGTATTACTTTTCATCAAGACTGATCACTAAAGTATCACGGACACTTGATCCGAGACGTCCGTACCACGCGTCATTATTGTTCATACTCCCCTCATGTGGTTCCAGCTGCATCCGGCCCACGCCGCTCTGGAGTAGCCGAGACCCAAACCACCGGGAAATGCATCGTGTCTCGTATCCAGCTAGCAAGAGCAATTAATAACCGATACTGTAGAGTAGGTCTCACTTTGGAGGCTGACTGGCGCATTCTGCGGCAGTCCACGTTCGGCGCATGCTTCCAGTTTGAATTATTTTCACACCGACTTTGCCTATGGGAATCGAGGCGCACACACCGCCAGAGGTGATTACCACGGCTTATTGCAGCTGGAAATGCTGCAGGTCGGGTGAGCAGAGCGAGCCCTTCCATTGGTTCTTGGAGAGCCGAAAGATTATCGGCGGGGCTGGGCATACAACCTGCGTTGTGCAACACTCTGGCCCCGGGACTTAGTTCTATGCCGACGGTCAGCATATTACCCGGGCCGTAGACGTTGATTTTCTTCGGTAGACAGGTTGATTTGGTCCTCCTTCACATTTTATCTACACATCTACGACAGCTCAACGATCACGAGACTTGGCGCACTAACCTAGTCCACGCCCCTCATTGCCCCAACGTCCCTCTTCACAACATACTGCGGAGCAAGATGTCACACTCTGCCGTGCAACCCAAAAGCAAGCCGCAGCGGTTGAAACTCATTACCTCATACGGCCCTGTTTACCGCGAGATCAAGTCAACCGAAGCCCGTGACGCTCGGCCCGGAGAAATCCCAGTCATAGACGTCTCTGCAATCTTTGGAGATGATCTTGATTCGAAGAAGAAGCTAGCGCGGGAAATTGCTTCGGTGGCCGAAGATACGGGATTCTTCCACATCAAGAACCATGGGATTCCTGAGTCGGCAATCAAAGCTGCTCTCTCGTCCAGCACATCTTTCTTTCAGCAGCCGGAAGAGCTAAAACGGCAGGTTCATGCATCGCAATCCAGGTTCCTAAACGGATGGAGTGACTCCGGAAGCGCCCACTCTTCCGACGAAGAAACTCCGGCAGAGACGTGTGAATACTTCTCGCACAAGTACGACCCTCATTACGACCCTACGGTCAGAGACCTCGACGCCATTCCGTATGACTTCAGGCGTTGCTTCAAGGGTGAGGAGTGGTACTGGGAGAGGACTTCACACATACCCGGCTTCAAGGAAAACCTCATCGAGTACTGGCAAGCAGAGTTGGCGTTGGCAAGACGCTTGACCGGCATCTTCGCGCTGGCGTTAGACTTACCGGAGGACTATTTCGGGGAGAAGACGCTATACCCGGATGCAGCCATCACACTGAACTATTGTCGCACTGCCCAGCAGTCAGACTCCCCGGGTCGGAGTGATTCCCAGCGTTCAACATCAGAACCTTCATCAGCTGCCGAAACGCTGCAGAGGACCGGGCCGGACACGCTGAGCATTGGGACCCATACAGACCTTCAGCTGTTCACAATCCTCTGGCAGGACTACCAAGGTGGGCTCCAAGTGCTGACCAGCCACGGAGAATGGATCAATGTGAAGCCGGTGGAAGGGGCTTTAGGTGTCAACATTGCCGATTTTCTGATGCGGATCACGAATGATCGCTGGAAGAGTACGGTGCACCGCATCAAGCATGACAATTCTGCGGACAGATACTCAATGTCCTTCTTCTTTGGTAAGTAAGCCCTATCTCCCGCATCTTGCCAAAGATTTAACCATGAAATTACAGGTTTCAATCTCAACGAGACTTGCGGCGTGCTGCCAAGCTGTGTGGACGAGCAGAACCCCGCAAAGTACGATCCGATATCGTGCGAAGAAATGGTGCGGCAGCGCTTCCAAGCGGCTGCAGACCGTAGTTAGTATCCAGATGAAGCTCATGAGACAGAGATTAAAGGAAAGAATTTGGCCCAGAGTTGGTGGTTCTCTTTGCTTTTCGGTGTTATTTTTCTGGAGTTCTCCAAGACTGCCGAAGTCTTCTACCGGCACTTCTCATTCTTTCAGCAGTGGAACGATGTTCTTGAAGCGGATTGGAGGATCAGGCGTTGTTGCCTAGTTAATGTTTGATAATGAGGTCTCGCCCTTCTGAATTACATGATATGCCTTCATGGTTGTTCAGTCAACCAAACTCCCAGACCTTATCATGCATGAGAGAGGGGCTATAGACCTGTCTGGTCGTACGATCTCCTTGATTATAAATACACCCTGACTCGGATGCAGGATTGTATGAGCTCATTTGGCATCTCGTGGGTGGATTTGGTTGGCGAGAGAAGTAGGCGGGCCATTTTAGCCCGAGGCATCGACGTGACCACGCGCGCTTTCCCCGCGCGCAGCACGACGCGTCCGACGTCATTGACGCGATCATTAATAATCAACAACAGCACCATCATCCTTCGCCTTGCTTTAATCTTACCTGCATGGGGATGAATGACTCGGTCCAGCTTGTTGCTACACAAGTCAAAGATAGTGTTGTTGCAAATATTTAAGAGGACACCGATCTCATCTCACAAACCCCGCACCAGTACTCGACGAGCTTCATTCAAAAGCCCCGCTTAGGTCACCTCGTTTCTCACCACACGTTCAACCTTGAGCAGACAGCAACAATGGCTTCCTACGACATCATTCCCAAGGGCGCAAAGCTGCAGCCCACCAAGTACAATGTCTCGATTCCGGAGGAGAAGCTGCAGCAGATGAAGCAACTCATCACCCTTTCTCCCATTGGCCCTGAGACCTACGAGAACTTGCAGGAAAGTCGCGATTTTCTTGACTTTGGTATCTCGCGCAAATGGCTCGCAAATACGAAGGCTGAGTGGGAGAAGTACGATTGGTGAGTCTGATCTCTACTTCCTTTGCTTCTCTTCAAGTGTCCAAAAAGCATCTCAATTGACATATACTTCGCCAGGCGCGCCGCTGAAGCTCACATCAACTCCTTCCCCCACTTCACTCTCCCCGTAAAGGACGACGACGGCCGCACCTACACCATCCACTTCGTCGCCCTCTTTTCCACCAACCCCTCCGCCATCCCCATCGCCTTCTTCCACGGCTGGCCCGGAAGCTTCCTCGAATTCCTGCCCATGCTCGAGCTCCTCAAGAAGAAGTACCCCAGCCCAGACAAGCTCCCGTACCACATCATCGTGCCCTCGCTCCCCGGCTACGCCTTCTCGGACCGCCCGCCCAAGGACCACGAGTGGGCAGGTCCCGACTCTGCTCGCCTGATGCACAAGCTGCTGGAAGCGCTTGGCTTCGGCGAGACGGGCTACGCGGTTCAAGGCGGCGACGTAGGGAGCTATATCGCCCGGTCCATGGCGACCACATACGACGCGTGCAAAGCCATCCACCGTGAGTTGATTCCCCATTCCGTGCCAGCATTTCAATCTCCAAAAACACTGACGAAAAATCGCAAAAAAAAGTCAACTTCTGCCCCGTCCTCGCCAAGCCCGACGACGTGCCCGAGTCCGCCATCAACGACGAAGAACGCAAGGCCCTCGCCCGCGGCGAAGCCTTCCGCAACGGCGGCATGGGCTACGTCGGCATGCACGCCTCGCGACCCTCGACCATCGGCCTCGTGCTCTCCGCCAGCCCCATCGCGCTGCTAGCCTGGTAAGCACCCCCCAACTCCCCTCCCTACCACACAACCCAGCATTGAGAGCGAAAGCGTCCTTTCCTTCTTCTTCTTCTTCTTCTTCTTCTTCTTCTTCTTCTTCTTCTTCTCACACACTAACACATCTCCCCCACAAACAGGATCGGCGAAAAATTCCTCACCTGGCCCGACGCAGCCCCCAGCACCACCACCATCCTCGAGTCCGTCTCCCTCTACTGGCTGACCGACACCTTCCCGACGTCCATCCACACCTACCGCCACCACAATCCCCCGCGCGGACCGAAGATCAACTTCCACACCGCCGCCGAGAACCGCGTCCGCAACAAGCCCTTCGGCTACTCCTGGTTCCCGAAGGAGATCGTCCCCACGCCGCGCGCCTGGGCCGCGACGACGGGCGATCTCGTCTGGCACCGGCAACACTCGAGCGGCGGGCACTTCGCCGCTTTGGAGAGCCCCGAGGCGCTGTGGGGCGATGTGGAGGAGTTTGTTGCGCAGGTGTGGAAGAAGTGAGAGCTGGGACGAGGAGATGTGGAATGTTATGATTAAAACGATCAGTCATGATGCAATGAAGCCTTGGTTGAAGAAATACTCGTTGTGATGTGCCTTGGGATTTTTTGAACTTCTATCCACATTGCTCTACTCTGAGGACGCAAGTGATGCACCACCTATCCATCCCTTTTTGAAATCATGCCGCATGTAACGTTTCGTGAACATCCACCAGACTCTCTAGATCCCTTTTTTTGTGCGTCTCGCGCAGTCTTTTGATGTCTTTTTGCCGTCGTAATCATTTATTTGTGGGCTAAAAATCACGAACTCGTTAGCAACCTGTACTTCGAATAATAAATTAAAAGAAAAGAGCTATTGCTCACCAATACCTTCCTCGGGCATGGGCTCGATTCCGACGACCTCGGCGGCCTTGGGCTGCTGCTGAGCGCTCTTGTCCTCCTTCATCATGGGGAAAGTGAGGACCTCCTTGATCGAGTAGTTGTCGGTCAAGAACATGACCATGCGGTCGATACCCATACCCCAGCCACCGGTGGGGGGCAGGCCGTACTCGAGGGCGTTGCAGAAGGTCTCGTCGATGAGCTGGGCCTCGTCGTCGCCCTGGGCCTTCTGGTTGGCCTGCTCCTCGAAGCGCATGCGCTGGTCGAAGGGGTCGTTCAACTCGGTGTAGGCGTTGACAATCTCCTTCTTGCAGACGAAGGCCTCGAAGCGCTCGCACAGGCCCTTCTGGGAGCGGTGGTACTTGGCCAGCGGGCTCATCATCTGCGGGTGGCCCATGATGAAGGTGGGGTTGATGCACTGCTCCTCGATGAACTCGCCGACGAGCGTGTCGAGCATGCGCGCGTTGGTCAGCGGCGGCGTGCACTCGATGCCCGCCTTCTTGATCATGCGCTTGAGGAATTCGTTCGTCTCCTGCGTGTGCAGCTCGTCGCCCGGCGGGAATTTCTCGCCCAGCTTGGCCTCCAGCTCCGGAATCATCTCGATCCGGCGCCACGGCTTCTCCCAGTTGACCTCGTACTCCTCGCCGTGCTGCGTGTGGAACTTGGTCTTGTACCCGCCCGTCACGTGCTTGACCAGGGACGACACCAGCTCCTCCGTCAGGTCCATGATGTCATACATGTCGGCGAAAGCCTGGTAGAACTCGCAGGTCGTGAACTCGGGGTTGTGGGTGAGGTCAATGTCCTCGTTACGGAATTGGCGGCCGATCTCGTACACACGCTCCATACCGCCGACGATCAGCTCCTTGAGGTATAGCTCCGGTGCAATTCTCATGAACATGTCGAGCTTGAGGTCGTTGTGGTAGGTCTTGAAGGGCTTGGCCGTGGCACCACCGGCAATCATGTTCATCATGGGCGTCTCGACCTCGATGAAGTCCCTCTCGTCGAAGAACCTGCGGATGAAGGTGATCATGCGCGACCTGGTGATAAAGGTCTGGCGGGTCGAGTCGTTCATGATCAGGTCGAGGTACCTCTTCCTGTGGCGCTGCTCCTTGTCCTTGAAGCCGTAGTGCTCACCGGGCAGCTGGTGCAGGCAGGGGGTGAGGAGAATGACCTCCTTGGCGAAGATGGACAGCTCGCCGTGGTCGCGGTTCTTGGGGTTGGTCCTGCCGGGGAAACCGACGATGCCGACGATGTCTCCTCTCCGGATGTTCTCGTGCTGCTTCTGGAACGGCACGTCGCCGGTGGCCTCCTGCGCCTGGCACATGATCTGCACGCGCTGGCCCTCGGCGCGCACGTCGTAGAAGATCAGGTTGGCGCCGGCGGCGCGCTTGGTGTAGATGCGGGCGCCGATGCGGACCTCGACATCCTTGAGCTGCTCGCCCGTCTTGAGCGACTCGTACTTCTTGAGGAACTCGCGCAGGTCGTCGGTGACGTTGAACTTGTGCGGGTACGGGTTGGGGTCGTGCGTCTCGCGGAGCTTGTTGACGGCGCGGCTGCGGATCTCGAAGTACTGGTTCGGCGTCAACTCCTCCTCGCTCTCCTGCTTCTCCTTCTTGGCCTTGGGCGGAGCGGCGGCTGCCTTCTCGGCCTTCTTGGCTTCCTTCTCGCGCTGCTTCTGGCGGCGCTTGACTGTTGCGGCATCTTATCAGCATTGGGTCGTGCGACTGCGTAGTTGCGGGGATCTAACGCTCAGTCTTGGAGACGCGCTCGCCGGTGACCTCGTCGAGGAGGAGGTTCTGCTGGGGCTCGCCGTCGGCGACCGGCACGGTAACGTTCTTAGCGTCCGCCATGGCTGCTGTTGGAGGTGTGGTGGTGGAGCAATTGGGCGGAGGAGTTGTTTTTGACCGTCAGGCGGCGGGGCGTTTGCCCAAATTCCAGTCATCGCGCCCACTGCGTCGCCGCACAATTTTTCCGACGCTTTTTGCCCCGCCTCGAGCCACACCCACCAGCCACACTCGTCGGGTAGCTCATCGGTCAATCCTCCGGGTTCGTCACATGCGCTGTCAAAGACTCATCAAATGGGTTTGCAGCTTTAATGGGGAGTTGAAGCATCGTCCAGACGCACAGGTGCCCAGGGTATGAGATCAAGCCATCCGGACGACTGCTTCAACTCCCCATAGCTGCGTCATTTTGGAGTTGGCTGTCCCTGTGGCCTGGACGAATATGAAAACTACATCTACAGACCAAGACCTTCTACGTGGCCTAGGAATTCCCCTCTGCCTGACTCCTTCTCCCGGATCAGCGCATTAACGTCCACACCACCCGCTGTCAGATACCTGGGGCTGACTCCGACGTTGACCCGCTGACTCAACAGTGCTTTGAGCTCCGCCCTCATGGCATGAACCTCTTCTTTAGAGAGGTCCTTCGCCTCACGCTCCTTCTTCTTGCGGCCGTTACCTCTGCCACCCCTGCCCATTGGTTTCTCCAGTTCCTCAGAGTCATAGTCGACACCCAAGTCCTCCGCAGCCTGGCGCAAGAGATCGTTCTCGGAAGAATTCGACTTTGCTTTGGCGACATCGGTATCTGCAATCTTCTTTGCCAGTGTCGCCCTAGGCTTTAGTCTGGAGACAATACGTCGGTCGAGGTCGACGCTGCGCATATAGTAAGAGCTCTTTGATGCGTTGTTCGCATGTACCTTTGCGACCAGTCTTCGAACACCGACGACTTCGTCGGGAGCGCAGATCAGAATGGAAGAACCCGAGCTTTCTCCACGGGCAGTACGACCAGAACGATGGACATACATGTCTGCTGTTCTGGGAAGGTGGTAGTGAATGACCAGGTCCACACCCTTGATGTCGAGACCGCGTGCGGCAACATCTGTTGCGATGAGAATGGAATCAGGCTGCGCAGAGAAGCGCTCTACATTGCGAAGACGCTGCTTCTGCGCCATGTGGGAGTGAAGTGCCAGAGCAGGAAGATTCAGATTGGTGAGGAACGGATGAAGGCGACGGACCGCAGATACGCTGTTCGTAAAAACAAGGGTGCGAGTTTTAGGGTGGAACATCAGGAGGGCATAAAGATAGAGATCCTGGGAGAGAATATTAGTATCTTGGTCATATTAATAAGAGTCTGTTTTCTTACCTTCTCTGTTGCTCCACACTCCACAAGACCCTCTTTCAAGCCCTCGGCCATTTGAGAGACAGGGTTGACATCAACAAACTTCGGTTTTTCTTCCCTGAAGTTGAGCTTCTTCAATAGATACTCCATCGACTCCTTGTTCGACAGAAGATCTCCGTGCCACTTTGCCTTGCCCGTGAGCTTTTGTTGTAGGCCCTTATTGAAGGTTGCAGAGAAGACGAGGGTTTGTCGTTGCACTGGGGCGTCATCCTTCTCGTCCTTTTCCTTCTCCTCTTCTTCTACTTCATCTTCATCATCTGCTTGATCCTCGCGCTCAAGAACGTTCATGATCTCCTCCACCTCCTTGAAATGGCCCTCACTGAGAAGTCGATCGGCTTCGTCCACCACAAGGAACCTGAGTTTCTTGAAGCGCTTCAGAATGCCGTGACCAAGACTGATAATCTCCCACAGACGACCCGGTGTTCCCACAACAACATCCGCTGTCTCGAGTTGACGCTGCTGCTTTTGTATCGACAGACCGCCAGTGATGGTTGCGATGGACGGACTGTCAAAAGTTCCGCCTGTGTAAAGGTCTGTAAGATGCTTTGAAATTTGGTGTGCCAGTTCACGAGTCGGGCTGAGAATCAAGGCCAACGGTGCCTTCTCGCCCTTCTTGGATGCCTTCTTCGTTCGCTGCACTTCCAAGAAAGTTTCCAAGATGGGGATGCCGAATGCGAGTGTCTTTCCTGATCCCGTTGACGCCTTTCCTACTACATCGTGGCCTGCAAGGATTTCAGGTATCGTCGCGGCCTGGATGCGCGTGGGAGAACCGAATTTGAGCTTCGAAATCGCAACCATGATTTCGTCAGACAGGTTGAGACGGTTCCATGCCGAAGTATCAATACCGTCATCCATGTCCTCTCCTAATAGGCCAGCGAAGGGGACTGTGCCGATTGGAGCTGCGCCATTGGTTTTCTTGTTGTCTTCCTGCGTGCTCTTTTTATTCTTCTCTTTCTTTTCTTTTTTCTCCTTCTTATCCTTCTTTTCTTTCTTCTTCTCGGCGTTCTTCGTGGGTCCATTAGATTGTGCGGGCGCCTCTTCCTTGGCAGGCTCTGCCTGAGCCTCGTTATCATCATCCTCGCCGAAGCCTTCCCATTCCGAAGCCTCCTCCTCCTCTTCTTCCCCCGCCGATGAAGTGTCTTCCTTCCCTGCGCCCTTCTTCTTCACGCTCTTGGTCGTCTGGAACGACACGACGTCGCCCTCGCGCACCACATCGACATCGTCGATCTCCTCCAGCCCAAAAAAGCCCTCGAAATCGCCCAAACGATCCGGCATATCGACCTCTTTCCACTGCAGATTCTCCAAGCGCACCTTCTCGCCCGGCTTCGTCGTTTTCGATTTCTTCGCGGTGGTCTTCGCAGCATCGGCGCTGGCGTCGTCGATTCGCTGGCGCTTGCGCGCCTTCATAGCGGCGACTTTGGGAGGCAATTGCCTCTTCTTCTCTTCCGGTGCCATGGTTTCGCGATGGTCCGGCGTCGTGCGTGAATGGTGATGTGCGGTGTCGCGGAGGTTGCAGCGTCGGCGCGCGACTGGGGAACTTTTTTTTTCTTCGCCGCAAACCTCCGCGCTCACCTCCGCAAAACACGAAAAAAGCTACAACCACCCCGCCGCCGCCAACCACGCATCACGAGCCTCGCACGGCCCCGTCTCTACCTCCAACAGCAACCGTCTGAACGTGGGAATACTTGAACAGGAGGAACGCAGTGTTAGAATATGGGAAAGTCGTCAAAGGACAAACGCGATGCCTACTACAGGCTCGCGAAAGAGCAAGGATGGCGCGCACGCTCCGCCTTCAAGCTGCTGCAATTGGACGAGGAATTCAACCTCTTTGAGGGCGTGACGCGGGTGGTTGATCTCTGCGCCGCGCCGGGCAGCTGGAGCCAAGTGCTCTCACGAATCCTCATCAAAGGCGAGCGCTTCGGCCGCGCAGGCTGGGAAGACAAGCAGCTGCAGAACACGACTACACAAGAAGCGCCGGCAGAAGAGACGGCCCAGAAGCAGCAGACCGAGCCCAGGAAAGACGTCAAGATCGTATCCATCGACCTACAACCCATGGCGCCGCTCGACGGCATCACCACCCTCCGCGCCGACATCACGCACCCGTCCACTGTCCCTCTCCTCCTCCGCGCCCTTGACCCCGAGACCTACGACCCAACCGCCAGCACGTCTACCTCCTCCCCCGTCGACCTCGTCATCTCCGACGGCGCGCCCGACGTGACGGGCCTGCACGACCTGGACATCTACGTGCAGTCGCAGCTGCTGTGGGCGGCGCTGAACCTGGCGCTGTGCGTGCTCAAGCCCGGCGGCAAGTTCGTCGCCAAGATCTTCCGCGGCAAGGACGTCGACCTGCTCTACGCCCAGCTCAAGACCGTCTTCGCCCGCGTGCGCGTCGCCAAGCCCCGCAGCAGCCGCGCCAGCAGCATCGAGGCCTTCGTCGTCTGCGAGGGCTTCCGCCCGCCCGAGGGGTTCCACGCGTCGCTGGACAACCCGCTTGGCGCTGCGACCGCGCTCTCAGAGCATGCGGCGAAGAAGCACGAGGAGAGGGGCCAGACGAGGACGGTGAGGGAGGATGGCGTCGTGGAGCTGGACCTGGGTGTGGAGGAGGAGGGCGAGGAGTATGAGGATGGAGAGGGTATCCGTTGGATACCTCCTTTCCTGGCTTGTGGTGATCTGTCGGCGTACGATGCGGACGCGACGTACCATCTTCCTAAGGATAGGGTCACGCTTGATCCTGTCCAGCCGCCGACGGCACCTCCGTACAAGCGTGCTTTGGAGATGCGTAAGAGGATGGGCGGAGCGTATGGCAAGACTAAAATGCTGGAGAAGAAGACTGGCGGAGAATGAAGTGTGTGAGGCTTGTTTGTTTAAGCAAAGCCGTAGGAGCTCCTACAAGCACGTACCAGAGCTAAAGCAGCGAATGCTAACAGGGCATTTACGAGCGAATGAGGAGGCCCGAGCTGGAAGGCAACTTGGGTCAGCCAGTGTCAAGCTGGCGAGATTTGCTCGGGATACGGAGAGATTGATGGCTGGCGTGAGAATCTCAGGAATGTACGCGCAACAATTTGCGTCTTTTCTGACTTAACTTGCATCGACCATGGCAATGGTTCATAGATGCTCGAAGGCAGTCAGGCAGTTTGCGTGGACAGATGCTTTGTCTGATGCAAGCAATAGTGTCATATGGCATAATCCTGTAGAACATGCCGTCGTCAGTAGTGTCTGAACCACGGCGGACTTCAGTGAAAATACAACTCCCTTCTTTGTTTTCAAAGCAATTGAAGCAATGTTATGTCGAGTTGTCGCAATTAAGTATACATGAAGTAGTAAATTGCATGCTATCTCTGGTCGCCTCTACTTCCGCACTCGTTCAGCACTTGCCGTTGTTCAATCTCCAGAAGCCAAACTCGTCATCCGGAGTCGCACCCGTCAACCTCGCTTCCTCGCGCATCGGAAGCACAATCGCACTGTCTAGAAATTCGCCCTCGCCCTCTGGCTCAGCCGAGATGATGCAGAAAAATCCACCACTTTCGCACCTTGTGCACGCAAATTTCCGCTTTGTTTCCTCGCTGTGCCAATTGGTCTTCGTGGAAGCCATGGTAAAAGTTCGCAAGCAGTCCCAGCTGCTCTTGTTTCCCCTCCTCGCCCACGTTCTGACCCTGCTCGGCTTCTGGGCCACGAAATATTTCACGGTCGATTTCACTTTCGCTTCGATGTCGCTGGCTAAAGCCGTCGGGACGTCGCAGCCAGGTAAAAAGCCGCAGTATGTGAGTCGTTCTGCGTTTACTTGCTGCCTGCCAGGGCCGACCTTCTTGAACTGGGGTCGCTGGCTGCTCACTGTTGCGGAACGAGTCCTGAGAGGGGCTGAATTGGCAGGCTGACGAGGGGTTTGAATGCCCTGCGTGGTCTGGACACTCTCAGTAAGGCACCTCGCGTAGTGAAATCCGGACACTTACCTGTTGCCGTTGCCGCTTCGCAGGTCGCTCAGAGAAGTCCACCTGAGATCGCCCTAGCCTATCAGAGTCGCCCGTACCACTGCGGAGTTTTCCCGAGCGGAGTCGCTTGCTTGTCTGTCGGAAGTCAGTCAATAGTTTCGAAGCAGGGCTTTGATAACTCACGGGTGAGTCAATGGACTCTCGCACTCTTGAGAGACCATCCCCATTATTCTCATGTCGCACGAACTCACGTCCTCTGCCAGAGAGCGTGTTGTCGCTACGGCCTCCGCTGAGGAAGTCGTCGAGGTCGTCGTCGTCGAGGTCGCTGCTCTCCTGGAGGTCTATGATCTGATATGCCGTTAATTGAATCATCTGAGATCAATGAAAGGAGTGTCATTGACTGCAGCACCTGCTGATGTCGCAGAATTTTGCCCTAAGGCATTGGGTATCGCACTGACAGGCACCTGGTCGCACTCTAGCCGCCTCTGGAGCTCGTCCAGCTCGCGCTGTCTCGCGTCGAGCGCAGCTTCTCTCGCATCAAGGGCAGCTTCCTTGTTGCGCAGTCGCTCGCGCTCTACCTCATATTGTCAGCAAGGCCAGGTCATGAGGTTGATTTGTGAACTGGGCAGTCATACCCTGACGAAGTGCAAGTCGCTCACCAGGATCGAGTTGTAGATCGCCGTGGTTCTGAGGGGATCGCGGTGGCATGTTTCCGAGTGTCGAGGGCTGAGGTTTTCGCAAGTAGGTGTGTGTGTCGTGGAGTTGAGGTGAAGTCACTGTGGCGAGGCGTATTTAAGCAACTGCCCCGATGAAGAAGGAAGGCACCTACCACGTAGCGAGCGGCAGCAACACAGCCCCGCCATTGGGCTGCGAGGCACCTTCCGTCTGTTGCCAGATCTCAACACGTCGCCCGTAAATACAAGATTCTCACTATGAGCCGAAATATTAATAACACGCACTTGTGTATTCATCGCCCGCAAATACTGGGATAACCGTCTCCTACTCAGTATTGGCATCTGGTTGCATTGATCTTTCGTACCTTCGCTATAAAGAAATTGGTCTGCCTTCTCTCAGTACACCGCTTCAACTTCTTGTTCGAGGAAGTACTTGATCGCGAAGCTGGACCATTGACGCTCAATTAGCTGCCATGAGTCAGGCTGTCAGCCATTCGATACTCCTATACAACGCCTTGATTACCTTATCAGGTCACATTGCCATCCCGTCAACAACAAGAGCCTGTCTGCGTTGTTTGCTTATGGACTAAGATCAAGTCTGGTAGGTACATAGTAATAGTCATCTACTTCTATCTGTCTGCTTCGCACTGGCAATTTAACGATCTGCTGATAATGGAGTCATTCCTAGCATACATATTACATCTATAACCAACTGATACTAGCCCAGATCCCAAGTCTACACCATCAGCAGCAGAATTCTGGACAAAGCTGTCTATAACCGCCACCAAACCAAGAACCCTATCTGAACTACCATGAGCAGCACTCTTAGTCCATGCCAGCAGCCTCAAGCAGGACCTATCCAAGCTTCTTTAGACGGAAAGACACCAATGTGGAATTTAAAAAACGTGAGCAGGTGGTAAAGATGCAAGAAATCAGTAAGACAAGTTTAATCTCCGAAATTATCTGCAGTATTCGGAAGAACCGTGAATGCGGCAACAGTCACGGCAACGTGACGATGTCAGAGCAGGATTAAGCGGTGTGAAACTGACCCGAGCATTTAATTCTCGAATAACATGCTCGTAATTAGACACCCACCCCAGCACTGTTCACGAAACAGCTGCTGGACTCTGTAATGTCACGGCGTGTAGGTCCGCAATACTCTCAACAGCCTCACACGCACACTCTCACATCACTCATCACTCTCACCCACAAGACTAGGGACACTCTCCAAAGCAATGCTGCGGGCTGGAGATTGAACAGTCGCGGATCATGTCCAACAAGACCAAAAGTGGACTGCAATTTGGCTTAGAGGAGCTCACCCAGGAGTTCGGGGAAGCCCAAAACAGCGCTGGGAGATGGCTCCAAACTTGCAGGACTTGACGTTACGCAACGTGTACTGGGATTTGGCCGTCCTGGATTCCAGTCAAATGTCACGGCTTCGGCGTGCAAGTATTTGCGTGTGTGTAACCTGGGATGGCGTAGCCAAGCTCGCGGCTCTGCCGAACCTGGAATTCCTCGCACTTGATCAACCGGAGAAGCTCGCTATCCCGTCAACATGCTGCGAGAGTCCAAAGCGAACGCCATTGGCATGTCTGGATACTGGCAGCGCAACCTTGTCCAGAAGGAACCTACGGTGGATACTTGCACAGTTTCATGGGACCAAGAAACTCTGCACTAAACTACATAGTAACAAGTTTCAACCCGCTATTATATCAGAGGACTTAAACAGATTTCACTGCGCAGGAGCTATTTCACCCCATTTGATAAGCAAACTCTTGCTGCCGGCCCAGGCATTCCTTGAAGAACCAGAGACAAAAGCCTGGTCTTGTCGGAATGCCAGCGATAGAAGCCTTCTGAATCTTTCAGGCTTCTATAACCTCACGAAACTCACCGTCTGCGCAGAATGCTTCTTCCATCCAGGTCTGGAGAAGAACGACATATCTAGCTGCTTACCGAAAAGCCTCGAGTATCTTAAAAGTAAGTACACCAGAACGGAGCATTTCATCCATCCGCAGACTAAAAAAAAAAAGTAAACTTCCGTCTTGAAAGTCATCTAAATGCACTCAACAATGCCGACCCGATGCAGGAATGTGATGCCATCGACGCACTCTGGCTCCTGCAGATAGCTCGGAATAAAAGAGAAATATGTTCGTCGTTGAAACACGTATGCGTGCGCGAAAACCACGACACTAAATTTCGGCCAGACTTAATATACAGAGCCAAACCCTGGTGTCCACCGGAAGAAATCGGGATTCGTGAGGCATTTGAGCTTGCTGGAATCGAGTTACAAGTGTTGAAGTACACTCAATTGGACAGCGTGGGTGCGGAACTTCTATAATTATCTTAGGCCATAGTAGGTATCCTCCTGTACCTTCAGCCTTTCCAGTTGATTGAAACTTGGCTGTCGACACGGCTGGGATTGTGCATAGAGATGCAATTACACAGCTACGTTCACAGTTTACCAGCTACGAGCTCAACACAATGCCCTCGATCATCTCAGGTCTTGGTCAAATACAACGTGTCTACCCGGCGGCTGATGCCCTGACACAATCGTGACCAAAGTTTCAAGTTACTTGTTCTATAGCACCGCTTACTATAGACCGGAAGCCTTACCGAACTATTCCTACAGTGATTGAGTCTACAAGAACAATTTAAAGTAAGTGCTACTAAACCACCCTTGCTGATTGCTACACCAAACGGCATTCAGCAACCTGGCAATCAAGAACTCTGCGCACGTGTGCCACAAATCACAACGGATCAACTCAACTCGAAGAAGACGCCGACAGAAACCCAACCATCTTCTGACACCTCCCTTCCCTGTCTCCCCACTTAACCCAACACCAAACCGATTTCACGTATGCCGACCTTCCGGAAAACGGAAAGGAAAGTTCGGGTCCGGATGCGCAAAGATCTCCCAATCCACGCCTCGCTGCTTCTTCCACACGCTGCCGTCCGGCGCCGCGACGTCCACGTATGCCTCCGGCGAGAAGGCCTGCACCTCTGCCCAGGCGCGGATCAGGCGGCGCCAGTAGCACGCTTCGGCAGCAGGGGTCAGGTAGCGGTCGCGGAACGTGGCGACCGAGTTGTTGGCGATGCGGGCGGTGGTGGCGGGGTTGGAGAGGTAGTACTGCATCTTTTCGTGGAGGTCGGAGAAGTCGTTGCGGACGCTGATGAAGTTCTGTTTCGTGGCAGTGTGTCAGTATCAGTGCTTGGATCCACTGGAACTGCAATTGTGCAGATAGCGAAACCTGCCACCCCAGGTATTACCCTTGAAGTAGATCGGAAATTTACACTTCAGAAGTCGACCATGTGCATACGTGTTTCCGAATTCATGGCCTGAATACCCGCCCAAACGTAGCCCTGGGCCGCGTTCGTGAGAGCGGCTGGCACTTTGTTTTTCATGGCTCCACTCCATACAGCCTGTAGATCCTTGTCCTCAAAGGGCATCTGGACGAAGTTGAGCCGTTCATAGAAGGACACATATGACCCAAGATCGGGGAACTGTAAGGGGAGAATATTAGACCTGGAAAGGTGCGAAACGATGGTGCGAAGGTTCTGGCGTTGTTCGACTAAGAGAGAAGACGTAAGTATTTCCAGGGAAGAAGGGGAGTTTGGAGAATTGACCCAAAAAGGCAATCAATATGTGCTTGCGTCAAGACTTTGGTAACGGTTAATGCATAATTATCTATAGAGAGGGATTGCAACTCCGGCCTATACTGGGCTAATTAGCCGCAATAACCCCCTAGCCAATGGTTGTCGTACACGGGCGGCAACGATACTCCAGTCACTTTCCGATTTACGGGAGTAGTCTCTTACCCAGCGCCGGGTAACTACATGTTCCACAGAGCGGGGCTATTTTCACCTACCAAACGATTCCATGCAGGCACCAGGACAAGGGTCCATGCATTGCTGAGGCGGCAAATCAAGCGCCTGCTGCCTAGCGATGAGCACTATTAGTGGCTGATAGTCAAAGATATCCGCAGATTCTTGAAGTGGCCACTTTCAAAGTGGCGTCGGTAGCAAGTTTCGCAAAGGGTGCAGGGGTATCACCAGAGGCAGAGGCAGAGGGATAAGAAAAAGAAAGAGAAGCGAAAGGCTACGCGACCTTTTTTCGGAGTTTCTCCCTGGATGCTTCAATTATTTTCTCTGATCTTAGCATCTCTACCTTTTCTGTTATCGTCAGAGAGTTTTCAGCTTCTCATTATGGAAACCAAACCTGTGAGACATTGGGATACTCCCCTGACCAATGAGTGACACCTAAATAAGACAGGTATAAGGCTTAAACGGGTCAGCAGTAGGACCGTGATGAGCCAGCAAACGAGCTTACGTTTTACCATCTTCTACTCGGTTAGTCATCGCTATATTCTTCGCCATGCACTTACCGTGTCACGTCCTTCGCTTTCAGCTCTAGAATTCAACGCTCCTCAGCATATTTGTTAGCTCAACACAAGGTCTTACGAATCTTCGATTATGATGTCGACGGGGTTCAGCCCACAAACCGGGGGTAGAGAGGTCGGAATGGTCAAGGTGTGGCAGAGTGAACTACAGCAGAAACAGAGAAAACGTCCCAGTTTCACAGCGGAACTTTCCGCAAGCACGGCAGTGAGCTGACGCCCGGAATGTTGCTGCGCGCATAGCTTTTCGTATCACTCTTTATCGCCATCCCATGCCGTGGCCAACGGCCTCGCCAGTGTAAATTTTCACGTTCCAATGCAAAGGGGCGATCGAGAGTTCTTGCTCAGTAGCAGCAGCAGCAGCAGCAGCAGCAGTCGTAGTAGTAGCAGCACAAATCTTAAGTGTGACGCGATATAAGGCTGTAAGCGGGAAGAGCAGGAGCGGGGGCCTGCAGAGAAAGTCGGGAAGGCAGCCATCCGCTTATGTCAAGCTGTGTAACTAAGTAGTGTGGCTCAGTAGAGATTGTTATGCATCCCGTCGACGCGTAATGCGGGGATCATTGGACGGAAAAGCTGGGATCATGGTAGGACGGGCGAGTGGCGTACACAGGAAGCTGAAATGGCCGGCGATAGTGAGTGGTGCAAGAGAAGGAAATGAGATGAAATAAGAAGGCTTTGAAAGTGTAGATAGGTAGTTGGTGCTAATACGGCCACCGGCGAGGGCATTGAAAGAGACGACAAACTTGGAAAAAATTAGGGGAGAGAAAACTGAAAAGTATTTCAAAGGGCACGGCTAATGCAAGTCATTTAGATCCCTGTAGGAGTCGGCAGTGAAGAAAAGCCAGTTCACCGACTCTTTGCTTTTTTCTGCACTACTTCGCATTCGCGTAGGCAGATTATGTCCCGAGCTTACTTGTCGCCCTGTATGCCTTGCCAAGAGGAGAGGAGAACAAAACCCACAGCCTTGCGCAGCAGGCAAGAAAAGGAGGACTGATCATCACCCGTTTGACTGCCTGTCCTTCATTCTAATCCTCGTTCAATCCTGGCATCCGCAACTTAGCAACTGTAATGTCCGGAGATCAATCAGAGGTTTACAGCACGCTGGAGGTCGATGGAACTTCAACCCTTCCTGTGACGATCCCCGACACTGGTGCACCAGAGGTAACTAACTTGAGCGGAAAGGAAGTCACAAACGAAGTGGAAAACGAGGTGGCCATCGATGAAACTCAAAAAAGGACTATCTGTGGCATCCGCAGAAGAACTTTCTGGATCCTAGTTATACTGGCTACCCTTGTCCTTGTTGGTGTCGCCGTCGGGGTTGGCGTCGGTGTTAACCGGCATACGGAGTCGGACCAACAGAGCTCCCAGCAAGACACTTATAAACGCGGCGTTGCTCCCAATTCAGACCTTGCGGCAGCAAACTACACAGATCCAAGTGGTGCAGAGCACTCGCAAGTTTACTATCAGGATAACTCTCTGGGAATCTGGATGACAGACTGGAACAGTTCTTCCGATAGTTGGACACCCTCCCCGGTTTCAGACAAAGGTAGTGAGAACGTGATCTATCCAAAAAATGGAACGCCCATTGCTGCTAATAACTGGATACTTGATGGCGATGCGGTGAGTTTTGAGACTAAGTGGCTCATGTTTATGGAAACTTTAACTGTGCATGAACTTTCACACTAACAATCAAAACCAGATTAAAAAGGGGGCCGATTTTCGTTGTTTCTTCGTCGACAATTCAAGTGTCATCCGGGCTCTCTGGGCAAGAAACCAGACCACGACCGAGTGGCGCAGTCTCAACACCTTTGACAACAGCACGACGCCGAGCGACATCACCCATCTCGAGCTATGGAATCCTCAGTGCGACAACCGAACCTGTGATCCTTCAGACCTTCTATTCTTCCAAGCACGGACTGGGGAGTTACACACCATAACTCTGATTAATGGTGACTCTACCGACCTCGCTGTGAAGGATAGCACCTTTCTTCCAAAAGGAGTCAAGAATGATGCAGGAACAGCTATGGCTACCGCACCAGTCCCGCTCATCTGGGAGTCGGACACCCCGCGTTTGGCCTTCTACTTTTTCAGCCAGAATACATTGGTTGAAATGTACAAAGGCAGAGATGTGAAGTGGTCCAATAGTCTCAACCTCGGATGTGAGTTTTACCCCGTAGCAACTACCTTCGAACAGCCACAGCCCTGACTTGTAATTTTATCTGGTCGGTTTAGCCAGCATAACTGCAGACCACGGAGCCCGGCTTGCAGCCATGTCGCAAGTAGTGAACGGAGTCGTCAGAATTCAAGTCTTGATCACTCGATCAACTGGCGGCGTACATATAGCGTATTGGGCATCAGACACGTCACGGTGGCTTTCGGGATCGGTCACAGAAATGGACGGAGTTCTTCCAGTTTCCCCCATAGCTTCCACACAATCGGGACGTGTATATGCTTTCGAAGACGGGCCGAAGATAGTGGAGTGGAAGATGATGGAACAAACGCAACCTTCAACGCAGCCTCCAACGTTTGAGCGTCTCGGTCCTATTGGAGGAACGACTTAAATGCTTAAATCATTTCCATGCTACAAAATCTTTCCTTCAGATATCCTGGCTTATATACTTTAGCTACTATTTTAGTGCCTATTATGCTTCTACACAACTGCAAAGCACGTATGTGAATGGGGTGATGCGGCAATACTAACATTTCGTCAAGTAGGAGCACGAAGGTTGTGGCCCATGGGACTGAACAGAGTGGCTCAATGGCCACTATACCCCTAAGACCGAGCTGAACAAGAAGGGAGGAATTACCCAAGACCCTATTTATGATGTGAAAATATGGTCACTTGCGAGGGCATCTGAAGCTAAGTTCCGGGTGTTTTTGTATAATTTTAAAATTCACATCTACGTCCGGACGTTGGCTTCAACTGGCTATTTGACGCGCCATTACTGTAGGACAACAGCGCCGAAAAAAGCCAATGTGTATCGCCGACTACGCTCGAACTGCTCTCCGTGAAAGACCAGTTATTTGCTCGGAGCTAAGCAAGGTGATTGAAAGGATGGTAGTCGATTCAGGACTATCAAGCATTCGTCACAAGCCCAGAAATGAAGAAATTAAACTTTATGTTGACCATAGAATTTCTAAGAGCGAAATTAACACGTTCTGTGAAAAAAAGAAAAAAAGAAATCTACAAACACGTCCAGACGTCCGCTCCAGCTCCCCAAAAACGTGGAACATCTTCCGTAGACCACAAAAGTCCTCTCAAGTCTTCCTCAAATACAACGCAACCCACCCCAGTAGCCGATACGCAAACACAATGGCGATCAGAATGCCAACCCACTCGCCCTTCTTATCCGTCGCATAACCATACGACCTCAACACTGCGGTACCGGCAATCTTGCACTGATCCTCCAGCTCACTCGCGTACATGCACCTGCAGTCTTGACCACAGCTGTACGTCCTATGCTCAAACTCATTCACCATCATCCCCTGAAACACGTAGCTCTGGTAATCCGAATAGTGCGCCCAGTACCTCCAAAAGACGTTCAAATCCTTCGGCGCGACCATGAAGCCGCCGACGCTCATCCACAAGCCGTTGGCAAAGGCCGTCGCCGCGAGCGCTATGACGAAGACGGGGGCGAGCGCGGAGATGAGGATGACGAGGGACTCGGCGGCGAGCAGGTCGAGGAAGAGCCACATGACCCAGTTCCAGAAGCCGGTGGCGGTGGGCTGGAAGTTGGAGAGCCAGTAGGAGATGACGGAGAAGACGATGGTGATGATGAAGAGGAAGGGCACGCCGGTGATGAAGTTGGCGACCATGAAGGCGGTGGGTCCGTAGAGGCCGTTGGCGCGCTCCTTGACGAAGAGAGCGCGGTCCTCGAGGAAGGAGGGGATGTAGGCGACGGCCATGAAGGACATGAAGGCTCCGCCAAAAAACTGTGATGGGAATCGTCAGGTAAGGGTATAGTTTGGGCAAGGAAAAGAACTTACGATGGCGTTGGTGAAAGCTTGGATATTCTTCTGTTCTGTATTAAGCCTGAGCCATACAGTGCCCATGAGGATGGCGAGGCCCATGTACATAGCAATGCGGATGCCGTAAGCAATGACGTCCCGGTAACTCTTGATGAGGGAACGGTGGGTAAGGGTCAGGGGTATCCGCAGCGGGTTGGCAGTGCCTGTCTGCTCAGAGGAACTTTCGTCGCCCGATCTGGTAGCGTCATTGACCTCATTCTCGACGTCCACCTTAATCTCCTTGGCCTGGTCTGAGCCGCTCCATTTGCCTTGTAGGTCTCTCAGCTGTTGGTCCGCTTTGCCGCGATCACGGGCAAAGTCCGTATTGACCAGATCAATGATGAACTCGGCAGGGTTTGTGTACACAGGAATAGGGTAGCCCAAGGCCGCGAAGTAGTGGCTCATGGTAGTGATTGGGCCATTGTAGATGGTCTTTCCTTGTGAGAGCAGCAACAACTTGTCGAACAGGTCAAACGTCGAAGTCGAAGGCTGGTGGATAGAAGCAATAACGATCAACTAGTGATAATCGTTAGCTTGTACTTGTCGTGGCAAGATGTTTACTCACGTTGTTCTCGCGTGCAATGTCGCGGACGAATGAGATGACTTCATAGCTTGCCGCGCTATCCAGTCCACTGGTAGGTTCATCCAGGAACAGAATCTTGGGGCTCGTGATGAGCTGGGATGCTACGCTCACACGCCGTTTCTGTCCGCCGCTGATGCCCTTGCGGATTGGTGTACCGATCAGAGTCTTTGCCTGATTTCGAAGACCAAAGGAGCCCATCAGAGCTTGAATTCGGGCAAGGCGTTCAGTTTTTGTCACAGAGCTGCGCATGCATTAGTGAAAAAGGGGTAACAATCCCACAGTGAGATAATAAATACCTCGGCAGAGAGAGTTTGGCTGCGAAGTTCAATGTCTCCTCAACAGTCAAAGCTCCCAAAAGAGCATCTTCCTGCTCGACGAATGACGAGAGCTTGCGAAACTTCTGTAGTGGCACGTTTCGGCCGTTGACGTATAGTGACTTATCCACGCGGGCACCCGAGGTCGCATCGCGGTGAGCCAATACATTTAGCAGTGTCGTCTTTCCAGAACCACTGTTATTTGTCAGTTCAAAGGATGGAATTTCCAAATTAAGGAGTGGAGTAGTACCTGGGGCCCATGAGAGCAAGGAGCTCGCCAGCTTTGACGATGCCAGAGGCAGATGACAGGATCTGCTTAGGTGATTTTGTTTGGCGGTCTTTGACAGTGACAGTGACGTTGTCCCAGCTGTAGCTGGCGACTGTATTGTTTGCCAATCCAGCATAGCCAGTAACCGAGCCCTTCTCTACATCGGGAGCCGCTTGAGTGGGATCCATTGTTATGGACTCGGAATTTTTAGTTGGGGTATTGCAGGATGCGTCAGACATGATGAGGCTTGAGACGGATGTTGCAGATTTTGCAGCAGTCACTGGGAAGAGGGTGGGGTGCAGATTTGAAGAGCTGTTGCAGAAGGCTAGCTCCAGACTAGCCAACCTTAGCGGATGGGGCGGATTTGATGTTGACGGATGGGGGCCAAGTGAACGGCGACCTACCGTCACACGGCCAGTGACGTGGTGGTAGTACTGATAATGTACGCCGATGCTATAGATCTGCCATCAAGTAGCGCATCGACGACACGGGGCATTTGAGGAAAATGCTGTGAACGCAAAGGTCGCGCCGGTCATTGTGGCTGCGGAACTGACCGGCCATCTCACTCGGTCTGATTCGGCTAAAATTTGAAGAGGTGGTGTCGAACGGCTGAATCTACTGCTGATATCATCGCCATGCATGATAGACGTGCAGGTGAGGCTCTGACAGGCACCCGGGCGCCGGCACGAGGTGATCAAACGCAGGAGAGACCCTGCACGTGGGCTGGCGGGTCCCATCCGCGAGATCCGCGACGCAGGAGCAACGGGGTTGTGAGACATGGTGGTGCCGGGGAATCGTGGACAAACGGCACGAGATTGTGGTCGCCGGGCGAAGGTTGGTGAGGTTCAGGGTCCAGGGTAGGATTTGGCGCGGCCGCTGGTGCCTGCAATTTTTGGCGACGTCGCCCCCAATGGCGCCTCCATCTTCGTGCATCGTCCATCATCGATCCTGCGCTTGCGCCGCCTCCACGTCAAAATTCACTAGCGCAGGGCGGCTATCTTAGCTTTGTCTGGTCGCCGACTTCCAGAAGCTTTTGCCCGTCTTGTCGCCGACCTCCGCTTCATTACTCAACCGACGCTACGCTGACCTCTACTCCACTCGTGAAAGCTGAATATAAGAGAAACATTGGACACGGCAAGGCAGTGCGTGCCGATCATCTCAGCACTCGTAATCATGCCTGCCATTTCAGGAAAGCCTGCCTTTCACACGTGTAACCAATAACTACATGCTTCCGTCGATCCCCGATGCACGCCTGCCTCAACATCCTCGCGTAGCAGCCAAGGTGGAGAAGCGAGCGATCCTTCGCGCCTATTCTGGTGCTCCCCGCCCAACTGGTGTAATGAATCCGCAGTCTGGCCTCAGCGCCACACCTGCCACGGCACGCCAACCGGTGTGAAAACGGGATTTTCTCGTCAAACTGCTCGTAACCAGAGAGAAAGGCGCAACGTTTCAGCCGCAGCTGAAATGACCCACCTGGGCTGGACCACCATGCGCCGTAAGGCTTTGCATATTCGCTACCTTCCTCGGGCCATTCAGACGCTGGACTATCTTGATTCCCATGACCTATAATGTTATGCTGTCCGGACCAACTTTCCTGGCCTCCCACCATTGGGCCTGCCATGGTTTGACTTGACCATGAATACTAAGCATTGTGGCTTGGACTACTTGCCCCACCTTCGCCTCAATGCGCAGACCTGTTGGTCAGGACTCTCTATCTCCTCTCTGGTCGAACCGCCGAGCGCGCTTGCGCAACGGCTGCCTTGTTATGCCTACGGATCTCCGCCGGTTCGTGCGGACGAAATTCATGCTATTTACCCATATTGCCGTACTTCCAGGGAAACATGTTGTGGAAGATTTTGAATTCCCTTCTCGGCTCTTCTTTTCGCCCCCAAATCCTGAATCAGTGAGGCCGATCCATTTTGGAGGCACTTGGAATCAAATCCGATTAAGCCGCTCCACTATTCATTGGTCTTTTAAGTCTGTCTATCTCCAATTTAATCAGATCGTCTCCGCACCTCTTAGATAGAGGTCATTTCGTTGCTTCTTAGACCTCCAAGATGAAACCCTCGGTTTGCAGTGGATTAGATGCGTACAATAGCAAGATAGAGGGCTTTCGAGACATAGAATATCCCTCGTTAAAAGGTATGTCACAAGGTCTCCACTTCGGAATGTAGACAACCGGATACGTTCATCGAGTACAATCCCGTATACCGTTGCAGCTGGTCAAAGACTTCAACATCACCTCACTCCCCTCAGTAATAGGTCAGTCGCTGATGGTTTCCAGGAGTGACCTACCTCGACTATGGTGGATCAGCGGTTGGGAAACCTTAAGCAAAGACCCAAGAGCCTCAAATAATACTCACAAAACCTAGATTCCCGCCAAATCCCTCCTCGAAGATGCAGCCGCAGACCTCTCGACCAACCTCTACGGCAATCCACATTCAGCCTGCGCCCCGTCCGCATTAGCCGGGCGTCGTGTCGACGAGATACGAGAGCAAGTGCTAAGATTCTTCAACGCTGACCCCAAGTACTTCGACTTGGTGTTCGTCGCCAACGCAACTGCCGCCATGAAGCTTGTCGTGGACTGCTTCAAAGATCACTGCGACGCCACGCAGCGCCTGTCGAGATGCCAACGCCGAAAATTCTGGTACGGCTACCACCAGGACGCCCACAACTCCCTCGTAGGAATCCGCGAACTAGCAGACGGCGGCCAACACTGCTTCAGCTCCGACCAAGAAGTCGAAGCCTGGATCCATGGTAGCAACAAAACATCCAAAAGGCAAACGGGAAAGCAACTCCGCCTCTTCGCCTACCCAGGCCAATCCAACATGACCGGCCGCCGCCTCCCTCTCTCCTGGCCCTCCGACATGCGCGCCTCCCCGCACACCTCCGACGTCTACACCCTCCTCGACGCCGCCGCCCTCGCCACCACCTCTCCCCTGGACTTCAGCGACCCAGCCTACGCCCCCGACTTCACCTGCCTCAGCTTCTACAAGATCTTCGGCTCCCCAGACCTCGGCGCGCTCATCATCCGCACCACTAACCCCTCCGCCCTCCCCACCATTCTCTCCTCCCGCCGCTACTTCGGCGGCGGCACCGTCGACATGGTCACGACCGGCAACGACGCCCCCTTCCACGCCAAAAAGCCATCGTCCCCTCCGCATGCCCACCTCGAAGACGGCACCCTCCCCTTCCACAGCATCATCGCCCTCTCCGCCGCCCTCGCCACGCACGCCCGCCTCTACACCTCGATGCGCTGCATCAGCGCCCACACCTCCGCCCTGACCGCTTACCTGCACGCCTCCCTCTCCGCGCTCCGCCATGCCTCTTCCCCCTCCTCCCCGCTCCTAACCATCTACAACGACCACTCCGCCTTCGCCGACCCCCGCCTCCAGGGCCCAATGCTCGCCTTCAACGTCCTCCACCGCGACGGCCGCACGCTCGTCCCACCCGCCGCCGTCGAGCGCGCCGCCGACGCGCGCCGCATCTACGTGCGCAGCGGCAGCCTGTGCAACCCGGGCGGCGCCGCGCGGTATCTAGGGTGGGAAGCGGCGCAGCTGCGGGCGCTGTACGAGCGGGAAGGACTGCGGTGTAGTGACGGGAGTGTGGGCGTGATACAGGGCCGCGCGACGGGGGTGGTGCGGGTGAGTTTGGGCGCGGCGAGTACGAGGGCGGATGTGGATGCTTTGGTGGGGTTTTTGAGGGAGCGGTTTGGTGGTGGTGGGGGTGGGAGGGAGGCAGGGGTAGAGGTAGAGGATGGCAGTGGGGAGGAGAGGAGCGGGGAGGAGGATGCGGTGGTGGGGGTGGTTGGGAAGGAGAGGGTAGAGGATTCCGGGTCGACGGAAGACTCGTCTGCGGAGGAGGGTGGATTTGGCGGAGAGAAGAAGAAGACTGAACGGCGCAGATGGATGATGATGCGTCTGCTTTCGTCGTGTCACCGTGGCATCAGGAAGTCAGCGGGTCTCCAACAGCAGTAGCATACTCCAGTTATATGTGCATATTTGAGTTTCGTTCTTCTCATTCGATCTATGTGCAGTGAAGCGCATATTCCAATTCTGTCGACTATATCACTGAACGTACGGCTTCTGTTGGCTCGAAGGTCACCATTATTAAATGTAAGTGTAAAGTGAACCGCAAGTTCATGATCATTTGTAGCTCGAATTAGAATCCAGATCGCTATTCGCATTGCTAAAGCAAGCGATAGCAAAACATTCCAGATCGCCGTTCGCCTTGCTATTCCATCCATAGTGAAAAGACCAGATCGCAAGCAAGAGCTTGCCAGTTCCACTTGTCGCCCACCACCAGATCGCCGTTCACCTTGCCATGCCACCATAATGAAAAGACCAGATCGCATTTATCGCCCCTCACCAAATCGCCTCTTCGAGCTGTCGCCCCGACCATAGATCGACTCCTCGTCACGACGGCGTTTACCTGTAGGAGAACTTATTAGCCACTGAACTTGGTTCGCTCGTTATGGATAGTTGACTTACCTCCAGCCTTTTGGTCGCGGTCGAGCATCCTGTCGCGTTTCCGACGCTCGTATCCTCGCTTCCACGCCTCACTTCCCATCCTGTAGACATGGTCCGGGAGGTCGCAGAAGTGCCAGAAAGGGCACGTCGTGTGCTCTTTCGCGCAGAAACGGTCCGCACCACCAGTGCCCATGTGGCACACGTTTGGTGGAGCGCCCTCGCTCCAGTCCTGTCGCGGTCGCTCGCTTGGAAGCAGCCCATGACGTGAAGCTGGCTCTGGGACGGTCGCCAGGTGGTTGAGCTTGACAAAGAGTCGCGGGTCGCTCGCACATATGTGCGGAAAGTGTTCGCTTGCGAAGTGAGCACTACGCCCATCGCAGTCGCCGGCATGCTTGAATCCAGGTGGGGGAAGGTTCAACATCCGCTCCAGATCACGGATTCGCTCGGCCTGAGCAGTGTTGTCGCGCTTGAGCCTCTCATTGGCTTGAGAGTACTCAAGAGTTCGCTTGAGCAGATCATTCTCCGACTTGTCGCGCTCTACTGGTTGGTCAGTAACTTCACAAAACGGTGCGTCAAGAGAGATAACACTGACCTGCTTCGTGGGCTTCGAGAAGCTTGATCGCTCTCTGGAACTTGTCGCGGGGCTGTAGGTCGCCGGCAAGCCCGCTTGGAGGTGGGGGAGGTCGCAGGTAGGTCGCAGGCTCTCTTGGGAGGTCGTCATTGCGCGTGTCACGATGAGCCGACATGGTGTAGTAATCGCACTGTCCGCGGACTGTCAGCTCAAAAGCTATCACCAAGAGTAGATCCTGCGTGGCGCGCAGATGCTGGCTGTGCTTAGGCGGATGGCTCAGCATTCGTGCACTTACATGCGCAGGTGGAGGAGTCACGTCGCTTTGATGATGAGATCAAGCTGACAACTTGTTAGCTTGAGCTCAAGAGTCGGTGTCGGAAACTCTGGATATGTTGGGCAGCATGAACCTACCTTGAATCTGTGTCTTTGAGTCGCAGCCAGACGGCTTGAAAATTTTGAGGTGACGGAGGAGAGTGAAGTTGTCGCAGAATATCTGAGTTTATGAACAGGGCAGGCAGGCGGGCTCGGCAAAAAAGTCGTTGCCGGCGTTGACCCGGCCGCTGCCCAAAACAGCAGGAAGGTCGGCCGTCCCCCAACGAGAAGCTGATTAAGCAGCCGCATGGAGAGCCAGGCAGAAGCTTCAAGTCGCGCTGTAGACATTGCAAGTAGCGCTACTCGTTCCCATTCCCTAGGTATTCAACATCCTGACCGCACCGCACAATTGCAGTCTTCCCTCTTCGATAACACTTCCCGCAGCTTCGTCTCTACATCCCCCATTCCGGTCCAAGATGCGCCAGAAACGAGTCTTACTACTCCTCTATCATATTACTGCCGCTGAGATTCCATAATTTGCTTCATAGACCATAAATATCTAAGTTTTCCTACAAGCGATGCCAATACAACACTAGCCACCCACCGCATTAGCTATAGCCCAACTTAAGATAGTTGAAGCGGTGATCCGGAAGAGAGATCGGAGCTAATAATAATACAAGAACATTCAGACTGTGGCTTGTATTGCCTAAGTGGGTGCGGCAAGCCGTACACACCCATCATCACGTACGAAACCAGCAGGCTCTGATTCAACAATACATGCCCATTAATCGCTTATAAATGAAACCGCTATCCCCTACTTGGCATCTCTAGTAGTTAGTAAGGAGACCTTTGTCGTCGGGGTAGCGTTCTTTGTAGTAGGCAATCCTGACATAGAATTCTTGCTCAGTAATCAGGCGGGCCTGGCGATCGCGTTGGTAAGACTTGATAAGCAGGTCGATATGCCTGCTAGGGAGGACTTCTTCAAGTTCTTCGTCTGTAAGCTGACGTTTGGTACGGCCACCCTCAAAGACCATCCTACGCATGTTAGCACTTGTCTGGATCTGTCTGAGGGCATGTGACATACACAGGACGCTTCTTTTTGTTCAACCTAAGTCCCTTGGTGCGAGTCGACAAGCGCATATCCATAGGCCTAATCAGGAATGCGTTGGGAGACTCAGCGCGCTCTTCGTCCGTGCGATCGCAGACTTTTACGTCAGGTATTTCCAAGCTCCAGGGAGGAATCGGACTTACAAGTCTTGATCATGTGCTTCCAAGGACTATCAGCCAGCTGTACGGCTTGACAGGCATTTTTTGCCGTGTTTCCATAGTTCCAGTAGATCAAAACTCTCTCCAGAGTATCATCGACGGCTTTGACTCCAAGAGCGGAACCCAGGATGCGGATATCGCCAACAAAAGCCGACTTTTCAAGTGCTACAACAAGTTGCCGGATACAGCCCATCTTGTTGAGAAGTTTGAGAAGATACATCTCGTGTACATCAAACGTTATGAGCTTGATATGCTGCAAGAAGTTGAAGACGTGTGGGATCTGATACAACTCGGGAAGGCTGGTACAGAAGTGCACGTCAAACTGATTCCAGAAGAAGTCGAGGAACTCCCTGCGCAGCATGGGCACCGCGCGCAATGCGCAATTGCGGAAACCGACCAGAATCTCGCTTCTGCCTTTACGAGCAGTGTTCTTCTTATCTCTCTTGCTGATTGAACGTAAGCGGTAGCGCGGGGAGCACAATATGCACTTAATAAGCTCCAGCAACGGTTTTCCAACTTTGAGATTATCTCTGGCATGACCTTCAGTGAGATCCTCGAGGCGCTGTCCAGGATTTTCGATGAACGTCTGCGGTGGCATAAACGCTTTCATGATTTCCTCATAGATAGCATTGCGAAGCTCTCCCGGAAGTTCAACAATGGCTTGGAAAAACAGGCGAGTGTTCCTGTCGATCGGACTGATGTAGTCGTCAGATTCGGTCTGAGCCTCGGGAAGAAAACGAGTCAAGGCGGCGGTCGCAGTGGAGTCCGTCGACGAAGCTCCGGTTGTTGTGGAAGTGTGGGCCGGGGTGACCACGGCAGAGAACGGGTCGCGCTGAAAAGTATTAGCATTTGGGGCGCAACATTCATAGCCCGTCTAACTTACAGACACGCCTTTCTCAACCGCAAATAACTTGGAGCCTGGGACAGCCTGAAGGTCGCCTGCTGCCTTGAGGCGCATCTCATTGGGCTCAGCGCTGCCGCCACTGTTCCCACTATCGTTGATGTCGCTACGCTTGTGTTTGATTGAGCGAGGCGGGAAGGTCCCGCGATCATCGGTGGCTCCGGTCATGGCCGGAGTTTGGCAGGAGTGGAGTTGGAGGAAGAAAGGTGTCGTCGATGTGGGGCGGACGGGTCGGGCGTTTTTTATATCTGCAGCCAGCGCGCTAACACATATTATTCCCGTGCTCCGGTTGTTACTCCATACAAGGTAATGAGGAGGAGGGTGGAAGAAAGCGGGGCGAGAACTAAAGTAAAGTGTTATAGTGATTGGGTGGACGCAGAGTCTACTCGCAGGTGAATAACACCTGTCAGCTAAATTATGCGCAGGAGTTGCTTTCCTCTTGAAGCCTAGTAGTATTTCTATATATATACCTAGATGATAATCTGTTGAAATCAGATAAAGGCATACTGCGGCTTTGAGGGCTCCAGCCCGAACACCAGACTAACGGACCTACTTCACCCATCTCCAACTCTATAGTACAAGGCGACATGATATCAACGATATTGATGACAGCATTTTATGCTTACAAAACGAACAATATACGGTCGCCTTTTACTGGCGCTATTTCGGCCAGCCATATATCATTTCTACACCCCCCTCTCACAGCCGATGGCTGGCCGGAAGACTAGCAGGGCTCCCCAGCTCTGTTTTAGAAAAATAATATATGTGGGTAGTTGAAGCTATCGTCCGGACGTGTATGTAGAATTTTTAATTCCACATCCTTGTCCCGACGATAGCTTCAACTACCAATGACATGAGTAAAAAATGAATCCACGCTAGCCATCGGCTGCGAGAGGGGACTGTAGACGGCAAATTTCCCAATAAGGAATGTGCTAAGCCTAATGGATGTTGGTAGGGAGGTGAGGAGGGAGCATTAGGGCGGAGAAGATACGTGTGTAGAGTTAACTCCGGTTCTTTTTTACACTTCAAAGTCGTCCAAGAGAATTAGGGCATAGTATGATTATAGATCGATATAAAATAAACATCAAGTTGTCAGACTGACTTGTGCATATAAGTCTATAACCCATCTGCCCCCACCATCATCCCTCTACCTCGCAGCTGTGAAGCATAAAGTCAAAAAAATCTCTAGTTCCACACCATCCCACGCAAACCCATAATCTCCACCCGCATACGGTCGAGATCTGTGCGCAAACTCGCGGTATCCTCCCGCATGCCCTTAATATCATCCTGCAACTTCAACGTGTACTGCGCCAATTCCCTGTGGGCCATCCTCTCGAGATCCTCCTTCGAATGACCTATGGGTTCGACTGCCTCGCATCCCACATTCAACCCCTCGAGCAAGGAATACTTTGAGGTATCCGTCGTCCTATATGTGCTGTTCCAATTTTCTATCCCGGGATCGAGGCCGCCGCTGAGGGAAGGCAGCTGCACGGGGCCGCCAGTGCCAGCGGTAGCGGTGGCGCTGTTGCTGCCGCTGATGTTGAACTCTCCCCCCGGCGTGTAAGACAAAGAGCAGTGCATCGTTTTTATTTGCGGTGTCTTGATTGGCGTGAACCCCATACCGTGACCAAAAACGTTGCTCTTGGAATCGCTAGGACCATCCGACGGCGAGCCTGGCGGACAGCCTGGTGGCATGTGCGAACCCTGAGAATGACGCTTGCGCCCAGACGTTTTAAATCTTTTGCTGCTGCGGCGTGAGATTGTTCTGAGACCTCCGCAGATTGGTCCAGCCATAGGCTCCGTGGCGCTTGGTCGGACTTCTGGCTCCGGGCACGATAGCGAAGATGTGACTGGAGGCTGCGAGGCGGGGTAAGGGTAGTAGCCGACGGTTGTGCTGCCTTGGCCTGTGTCATAATACTCTGGCTGAGGAGAGGTGGAGTAGCTTGCGTCCGATGACTGCGAGCTGTGTCCTGTAAGGTGATCAGTGTGGAAAACAGAGAGGGATGTTGACCCTACAGAGCAAGGTACGTACGCCTTTTGTGGTCGGCCATATTTAAATCGGAAGAAGTTGTAGTAGATATGGAGCATTGGTGAATTTGGATTTGACTGCATTCAAATAGCCAGTTCATTGGTTGTGTGTTGAATGATTAGACTAATTCATGAAGAGGATCGCTTGCAGACGCCAGACTCACAGAATTTTCGCGAAGGGATATAGATCGATTACTAGCGAATTACTCCATTTCGTTGACCCAGGACTCAAAAGCGAAAAACGAGAAAACGCCGCAGACCACCCAATGAAACCCAACGCCATTCTTGAATAGTAACGGATGATCCAGATCTTATATGCGCTTCAGCTATCCATGGTCGCCATATGACTCTCCTGATGTACACGTTGTGACCCAACAACTAAGTTAGGTTTGTTGGGCTTGGTCCGCTCGCATGCGATCCCGACGGGCACGTCTCCTAGATCTATACCGTCTCCGCGCCTTCTCCGTAGCAGTAGGTCGCGGTGGGGGCGTCGTGCGTATCTATATGCGCGAAATAAGCTTCCAACCCAATCATCGATTTCGTCCCCCGGACTTCTCGCGCTCCAGTTACCACGGATGCGATATTGCTGAATTTATTTCCTAAAAAGGAAAACAGAGCTCGACCCACTTACCCAGTCTTCAATCTTCTTGTTCGTCCAACGCGCATCCATCTCCTCCCCCTCATCATAATCCTCGTACCCATCATCCTCCTCCTCCTCCTCCTCCTCTTCTTCACCCACCTCGCCATCCTTATCCTCATCGTCCTCATACCCCTCATCCTCATACCCCCTCTCCTCTGTAACCTCCACCTCCTCTTCAACCCCCTTCGCAATCACCTCGTCAAATATCCCCCCGGCCCTCTCCCCAGCCCTCAACCTCTCCTGCACCCTCTGCATCCTCTCCTGCAGCAATGCCCTCTTCCCGTCCCCGAACCCCACCACCATCGCCTTATACATCAGATACGTAAACCGCGCCAGATCCTCATGCTCCATCTGCATGAAGTGCTTCAGCCGCATCTCTCCCCCAGCATCATCCTCCTCCTCCCCTCCTTCCTCTCCCTCCTCCGCAGTGGCCTTCGCCTTGGCCGCCGCGGCAGCCACCCTCGCCCTCTCCTCATCCTCGACCCTCCTCCTCCCCCTCTCCAGCTGCTTCTCCAAATCATCATCATCATGCCGCGCCTTCACCGGCGACTCGAACGGCGGCTCCAGCGCCAGCTGCTGCGCACGCGCCTGCTGCGCCTGCACCCCCTGTCCCACTAACCCCGACGACGAAGAAGTGAACAGCGGCAACGGCAGCGGTGGAGGAATGAGGTTCAGGAGAGGAGGAGGGGCGGACGTGGGCAGCGCGCAGCCCGGGGGAGTCTTTGTGGCGGCGGCGGCAGCAGCGAGGGCGGCGGCGGAGCGGACGGCGCCGTTGGGCACGGCGGTTTCACGGAGCTTCTTGGAGGCGGTCGCGACGGAGGAGGCGCGGAGGGTGGTGGATTCGGGGATGCTGGGGTCGGGGGGGACGAAGGCTGCGGAGGTGGGGTTTGGTTGGTGGTGGTTGTGGTGGTCGAAGAAGGCGGCCGAGGCCGTGCCTGTTTGGGCTCGTGTGAGCGTCATCGTGCGGTGCGGAGCGATAGGGATGAGGGACGGAGGAGGAAGAGGAGGATGGGCGTCGGGAAAAGAGATATTGCGGTGCGGGACTCACGCTTGCGTTGTGACATCTGTTCACTGTTCCGTGTCTGGCGCGGCGTGGTGCGGATGTGTTGGGCTGTCGTTGCGATAAGGAGATGCGGAGCTGGGTAGCTTTAATCGCGGAGCTTGCAGCTTCGCGATGCGCGGCAGAGGTGGTGTGGATGGGTGAGAGATGCGCGTGGTGGTGTTCTCCGGGCCGATAGCTGGAGCGAAAACGATGGCAGAAAGACCGATGTTGGGGACGATAAACCGGCGGGCGGAACGGGACGAAGTGGTACGGTTGGTGTGGAGGTGGATGACGCGCCGTCCCTGCGCTGTCGCGTGGTCGCCTGGGCCCGAGCCATGCTTGCGCCGATCCCCGCCCACTTCGTCCTGCCACCACCGAACCACCGGTACGAGTACGAAAGTGTCAAAAAACGGCCTCGGCAGCCCGAGTACGATGGAAACCACGGGAACTTCGTTGAATGGCATGTATGTTTCATTCGTAATTGTATTTACTTTTCGTATAATGTACCGAAGTGATGCTGGCAAACTCCTGCCTTGAATCCTGAAGCCTTGCCGGGTATGAGATTCCAACCAACGCCGCCCAATGTCCTTTCCTTTCCCTTTCCTAAAATCAAACGAAGGGTTTTCCTAAGACTCAATACGTTACGTAGCTACAGAGCACCTGAATTACCACATGCTGCTCTGTTTCTTCGCCAATTTCCCTTTCTTGCTTTCATCACTCGAGCTTCTCAGACCGAAGAAACTCTTCTTCGGCTGTTTCAACTTTTTGCCCTCATCGGGCCTAATTTCTCCTCCACCACCAAAGTACGCACTCTGGCTGACTGCCGGCCGGTGCCAACTACCGGACGGCTGGGGTCTTGGCTGAGGCGGGCGCTGCTGCGGGCGCGGCATCATCGGAGGTGGGGCCTGTTGCGCGACAAACAAGCCGTTTGACAGCCGATTCGGCTGTGGCCCGCGCTGTGGAGCCGGAGTGGGTCGCGAGGGCCCGGGCTGCCGCTGGTAGGGACCGAGCATGCCGTGGACGGAGTGCCGCTGCTGGGGCAGGAGATTCTCTTGCGTTCCGTACTTGCGACGTAGACGCTCTGTCTCTTTGTCGACCTCGGCTGCCTTCTTGCGTCGCTGCTTATCCTCGGCTTCGACGATCCTGCGGAGTCGCCGCTGCTCGGCTTCTTCTTGTCGCTCCTTTTCGCGCTGTCTGGCCTCTTGTGCGCGGCGCTGCTCGCGGGCTTCTGCTGCTTGGGCGAGCTTCATCCGTGATTTTTCGGCATCGATTTCCCACTGAGCCCGAGGGTCCAGTTGTGGCCGGGGTTCTTCTTGTCTCTGGTAGGAGTTGGTTTGGAGGGGAGGGAGGGACTGGCGTTGGGCATCTGCACGCGAGGGCTGAGCTGGTCTCAGATTCGCGGCAGGTCCAGGCGGAGGGGCGCTTTGAGCGGGGGCAGGCAGAGCACCAGAGGCCATCAGGGACTGATTCAGAGGCAACGACTTTTTTCTTCCGAGAAGACCGCCCGTGCTCCTCCTAATTGCCGCATCCCCGACGTTGAAAGTCTCGTTGATCTGGCCGAAATAGAGGGCCTTGATTGTCGATGCTGCAAGGAGAACCACGATCTCAAGACCCTTGGGATCCTCCATCTCAACTCGAAAGAGGTTGGATTGGTAGATGGTGACTTCGTGAAGGGCACGGAACAAAGCGACAGCAATATCGGGCTCCTTTGCCTTCTTCTTCTTTTTCGCCGGGTCCGTCGACTTGCCGGTCATGAAGCAGGAGAGATCCTTTGACAGTTTGCCTTCTCTCCTCCACACGAAGTTGATCTTAGGGGTCGTGATGTCGGCAGCTGGATCGTTAAGCGATCGATCTAATGTGGAGGCGCTAGGCAAGCGGAATGTGTTCTGCGGCATGCTAAACTCGTAGCTCGCGGTGCCACCCCATGACCCGCTCTTCTGCCTCACGACAACCTGTTGATCAGGGTCGTACAGATGTATGGTGAACTCGGTAGGCAGCACTGGCTGAGGAGGGGGTGCGACACCGCCGTTCTTTCTGATCTCCTCCTGTGATAGGGTGGGATATGTCCATTCAGGCTTGATGTAGACCTCGCCATAGAGGATTTCCGGGTTGAATGCATCGAAAAGGCCGGCGGCATAGATGTTCTTGCCCTCTGGCAGGGAGGGATCCGGGTGTTTCAAGGTATAGGTGGGCTCCGGCTCGGAGCCATGCTGTGCGAAGTAGTATGCCTCGTCGTGCTTGACAGTAGGCGAGGGCTTTAGAAAGAATGCTTATCGATTGGTTAGCATTCCGCTCACAGCGCGTGGCGGCAGGTACGTACTGGGGAGGTTTTCGTCAAGCATTGCGTCATGCTACACCGTCAGTGACGGACGACAGATGCAAAGTGGATGGGATGTGACGGAGAATGGGACGAAAGAGTGCAGCTGAAGTCAAGCCGGGGCGCCGTGCATTATGGGCGAGTCGAAGGCACGGTGCGCGTCGCGTGAGGCTGTGAGGGTGCAAGGAGTGGCCGGGTGCAGGCTTAGTGATGACGCGCGCCCCTCGTTCGCTTGATTGAGATCCGCGACCAACCGCTACCTCGACCAACACATGAATAGAAACCAGCCCAGCCACGCGTCGCCCTCGCCCGCTGTGGGCCCTATATCTTCGCGTGTGCTCTCGTCAGAAGCGCGCATCATCGACACCGCGGCATTTTCAGCTTCCGCCCACGGAGCCAAGCACGGAGAATGAGGGGAAAAACGACTCACAGGTCTGCCTCGCTGCGCCCAGCGGCTCGCACGGTGGAGCCTAGGTACGCATTCTGGCACAGCCCCAGTGAACACCAAGCCTTGCCGGCCCGTCTCACAGCCCCCGGCCCCCAATCAGACGCAGCCGTAGAAGACTCTGAAACGTCCATCGGGCCACCGGCCAAGAAGCACGCAAAAACTCTGCCAACAGCGCTGCGCAGCTGCTCCACCGCCACCCGGCGTTAACGATCGCCGAGCGGCCGCTTTGTCTGCTCTCGGTCCGGCCGATCTGGGGAACCTTAATCAGCTCACGACTGCGTTCGGTAGAAGATTCTCCCTCTGGCCAACTCTACAATACTGGGTTGAAGAAGACCCCGCCCTTCCAAGTTGCATGAAAGACACGCCTGGGCAGTTGAAGCAAGCGTCCGCGTGCAGATACCGGATTTATCCCCGCATACAAGCACAAAGACATCCAATGCCAACCAACTAAGGTACAGTATCTTTGATGCGACAGGTCAAACTCACCGTGCATGCATCGGCATCGCTGTCCAGTACTACGCCTGCGAGCTGCGTGCCCGCCGGTTTTATGTAACAATCATGCGCGATAGGGCGGGGCTGCCGACGCGATCGGGACCTCTCTCACACCCCGCCCGGCCATTCACAATATAATCCATGTCGTAGCACGTTGAAACGTCCCGTCCAGCGCTAATTTGCGGCCTATTCCTGTCTACCATTCCTCTTTCGGCCCAGCTGCGCTGTCCACCATGCAACCTCCCGTCCCTTCCGTACAGCGTATTCCCTACTCGGCACCGCGGGCCGATTTCATCTCAGCCCTGGAGAAGGATGGCTGTGTAATCGTCCAAAACTTCACCAATCCAGATGTTTTAGCCCAAGCCAAGCGGGAAGTCCAGCCATTTCTCGATGCGGAAGATAAAGGATCCAAGGTTGGAGGTGGGTGTCATGATCCTGATGTCGTGCATTAGCTTCGCTGACATCCTGTCAAGCCTTGGAAGGGAGGACCAAGACTTGCACCCGTCTGATCGGTAGGAGCCCGACGGTGCGGGAGAAATTCTTCGCCGACCCCTTGTACCAGGTAAGCTTTCATTTACTTTTCTTCGAAGTCACCTCAGTCGGCCATGGCTCCGCCAAGACCTGCATTGTCATGTTTCTCAGCAGCCAACTGTGCTTCTCAAACAGGACCTGGTGGAACACTTTCTCACCCTGGAGACGCGTTGCTGGTATGGAAATGAGCCTTCCGTCAATGTATCCAAGCCGCTTCTCTCCATCGCCATCACGATGGATATCCAACCTGGGACCCCCGCTCAGCGGCTGCACCGCGACGACAAGAACCACCATGCCCGCCACGCTCCCGTCGATACCTACCACCCAAACCGTGACATGCTCCTTGGTCTCTTTGTCCCAGGATGCGACACCTACCGTGAAAATGGCGCAACGAGAGTTGTCCCTGGAAGCCACCTCTGGGGAGACGAACAGCCTGATTTTGGTCCCGACGGTACCAAAGGTGTCGTGGACGCTTGCCTGAACATCGGCGAGGCTTTCATCATGCTTGGTAGCTTGTATCATGGCGGCGGGCAGTACAGTCAAAAAGATAGCAGCAGAACCATGCATATCATGTTCTGCTGCTCGGGAGTGTACAGGCAGGAGGTTTGTCCAGCGCCCCTGCAGTCGGTTGTGTTGAAATTTGCTAATCATACCAGGAAATCTCGTTTTTGTCATATCCTATTGAAGACGTGAAGACTTATCCACAGGTGGTCAAAGACCGTCTGGGCTGGAAGCAGTCGGAACCGAATCTGGGATGGGTAGACCTGCAGTCTCCAGAGTACCTTCTCGAATAGAGTGAAGCCTGACTTCACGTCTTTTGAATTAGACGAGATTTCGTCTGCCTTTACACAGAAGTATCGCAGCCGAAGTCTATCGCGAAGAAAAACAAGGCCTTGGAACAACGGGCAAGTACAACCCCCAAGCATTAATGGTTTTACCTTGTTTGTGGGAAATAGTTTGTCTTGTGTGGGTAGTTGAAGCTATCATCCGGACACAAATGTGGAATTGAGAATACATTCTCGTCCGAATGATAGCTTCAACTGCCCATGACATGAGTAAAATATAGATTCACGCCAGCCTTCGGCTACAAAACCCCTCCGTACTATTTGCGGTATCACAGTGAGCCAAATCAAAGTCAATTCTCCGTACTCCGCGACTGTCGTTATGCATTTCTTACGCAAACAGTGAAAGCAAGCATCTGGGAGTAGGTAGTAGATCAAACTGATTGATACCTACAGGGAAAATGTCGCCCACAACTACTCGCTCATAAAAGCCGGCCTCACCTCTGCAGTCAAACCTGCTCGTCCACATTCACACACTCAACACCACACAGATAACCGACGCCATGCCTCGCTCGTCGAAGGGTCACTTTATCCCCGGACCTTCAACCCAACCTCCGACGCCGCCCTCAGACCATCGCCCTGGGTTTGATGCACACGTGAATCTGTCCAAAGGCACCGATCACGGAAAATCTGTTACGAGCGCAGTGACCCGGTCTCCCGACATCTTTCCATTCATGGAGCTTCCGCCGGAACTACGCAACCACATATACGAGATAGTCATTGAGGACATACGTACCACCGAAAATGATGCAGTCGGTATCGTCTTTTGCCTTAGGAACGAATGGCCTTGTCGCGACGATGACCTCTTTCGCTACGTCGAGGATACGTTCGACGGCAATAACGCTTCTTGGAGAGAGTATTGGAGGATCGAACGATCAAGAACGAACTTTCTATACTGCCATCTCAACAAACTATCGCGCACCATCAGGCAGGAATTTGTGCCAATGCTGTGGAGTCGCATGCACGTAAGGTACTGCTTGTGCATCCATGGAACCGATGATTATTATTCCCCGTGTCCCATCAGCCTCGACCTTTTGCGTGGCAACATTGCCTACATTACGTGGGATATGGACCTGCTGTGCGAAAGGGATATCGATTGGGATGACGAGCCGCTACGCACCCGCATGGAGTTCGTCGAATTTCTGAAAAATGTTGACTTCAAAGGCACAATCAATCTGGTAGGACACAGGGCGCACGTTGAGAGCTTCAGGCAGGCTTTGGAAAGCATTGCCGCCGCTGAAAATACCGAGCATGCTCGACATGTGGCTATGCAAAGGGTCAAACAGATCGACGAGTCGTACGACCAACTTGTAAAAAGACATTGTTTGTTGACTAAGCAATATCTTGTCTTGATAAACGCTGACCATTTTGTAGGGAACAATTCCGGTACGGATGATGTTCGCGTCAAATTTGATATCAATCTTCGAGAGTCTCGATACGAAGATGACACGACTTGAACCGCATTCGATAGCAATGGGCATCAGTTTCAGTACTTGCGCGATTATGAGGCCGTGAACTATGAATCGATGAGAGAAAAGCAACGGTACTTGTTCAAATTTGGAATATGTTCAATCTGAAACCTCTGTTGACCAGACCACAGGAACAACTTTCCCGCCTGCCTTTACCTTTGGAACAGGGGCGATGGCCAGGCCAAAGAATTGCGACTGTTCTTTGCCCTCAACGAAGAACCGAGGGGCTACTATGTATGTAAAGAGGAGCAATGAAAGCCGGTGAGTGAATAAGCCGAGCGAAATGTCATGTCATGATTTCATTCTGATTCCAAACAAGTCTAACAAGGCAGATGTTTCTGTTTCTAATTATCTGTTCGAAAGAAGAGCAGTTGAAGCATTGTGTCAGACATATACAGACCCCATTCCTGCCGAGACTGAACTTCAGTGCGGTGCCGTACTTTTTTCAATTTCGATACATTCCTATGCATGTAAATGCTCAGAAATTTGAACAGGGTCTCTACTTGTCAGTTGGATGGATAACCACTGTTTCAAGCACCCCGGATTCAACGGTAAAAGGTTCCATGGGACTGTTTGTGGAACCTCGGGGAAACCTCTCCCATCCAATGCCGATTTTTCTATCCTCCTTGAAAAACCCCGGATCTGGTACCCGAATCCGTTGGGCTGGAGCTAGGTAGACGGCTCGGTACTTGTCTCCGCCGAGCACGCCGAACGTCAGCCACTACCCGCATACCAAAGCAAAAAAGACTGGCTCTTTCGTTGTCAGGGGCAAGATAAGTGCGCTCGGTCCCTGCGCTATGACCCTGCTTCGAGGACACTATCATCGGGACCCTCGTCCCGGGGGCCAAGCTAAACTCTTACCTACTCTAGTCTCCCCAGATTTCTGTTCCGACGGCGCTCCGGTAAGCGAGAGCTGAGATGGCGGAAGGGCGTTCCCCGCCCACTACCTTTGCACGGAATCGGACGTTGCTCCGGTGGTCCAATAGGCGCGAACGTGTCAGAGATATGGTTGGACGCCCCTACGCAGAGGCTGTCGATCTGGAGTGCTTTTTTATGCCCACCTTCGGCAAGTGGCATGGATATCGTTAGGCCGTGGCGGAAATAAATCCACCTCCTCGGCACGCGCTGCACCAAAGCATGTTTTGTTTTGCGTTAGAGCTGTTCCTTGCGGAAGTGGATTGCCATGTGGCTGGCGTCGTCATGATAAGGGACCCTGACTCCTGCGTAATTCTTGCACGTTGCTGAACTTTATTCGCACTTATTGTCTCGGCCGCTCCGTCTCAGGCGTATGCCCTCCTTTCCAGTGAACTTTCCTTGCCTTTTCGTTCCCTATATGTTGCGTGCCACTCCCTTACCATATTTCTCGCTGTTCAGCTCTTTGAGGTTGCGTGAATCGTGCGCGCGCCCTGGCCATGGCGGACTCGTTCGCAAGTGAGGCGTTCACGCTCCTCTCGTTGGGGATCGTGATTATTGGCTGCAGACTGGCAGCAAGGATACGCATGGTCGGAGTCAGGAAGCTGGACTTTGACGACTATCTGATGTGCTTCGTTGCGGTACGGAGCACCTCCGTCGAAATCCGGTCGATCCGGCCCCGACCCGAAAACTGATTCAGTGGTCATTTCCAGATCATTTACGCCCTCGAGACAGCAGCGGCTTACCTCGTCGGGACCCGCTACATGGGCTTGGCGAACAATGGCATGAGCGACGAGGAACGATCGATGCTCGATCCTTCGTCTCACGAAGCAACCCTGCGGATCGAGGGATCCAAAACACAAGTCATCGGCTGGTGCCTCTACACATTTGTTCTGTGGCTTCTGAAGATATGCATGAACGCATGTTATTCGAGAGTGACGTATGACACACGCACTCCTACCATCTTTTCACTCTGCTGACTGCCGCCAAAAGATACCAACTCGACTACCTCGAATACCGCGTTAAAATCGGCTGGTTCTTGATCGGCGTCACCTACCTCGTCGTCCTCCTCACCATCCTCCTCGGCTGCCAGCCCTTCCAGAAGAACTGGCAAATCTACCCCGATCCCGGAAGTACGTCACTTCAAACTCCCGTGCCATCCTCCAACTAACCCTCCTCCCAGACCACTGCCAACCCGCCGTCTCGGAGCTCAACTGCTACGTCGTCCTCTTCCTCAACATCTTCACCGACATCTGGCTCATCTCCATCCCCGTCCCCGTACGCCCCCCTTCTCCCCCCTCCCCCCCCTTCCCCCCCACCCCATTAACCATCCTCCACTAGATGCTATGGAAATCCCAAATCCGCCTCAAGCAAAAAATCGGCCTGACCGTCCTCTTCGGCGCGGGCATCTTCGTCATGATCGCCGGCGTCATCCGCTGCGTCATCATCCTGTCCAACCCCGTCACGGGCGCCAGCCAGGCGGGCAACTGGGCCGTCCGCGAGTCTTTTGTTGCTGTCGTCATCGGCAACCTGCCCATGATCTACCCCGTGCTGCATCGCGGCGTGCGGCGCTTCGCGTCGAGCTATGGGAGTAGCGGGTATAATTTGTCGGGGAGTGGTGGGGGTGCGGGAGGGTTGGGGGGAAGTAGGCATGAGATGGGTGGGGGGATGGTGGGAGGAGTGGGAGGAGGAGGGGGAGGGAAGTCGAGGAGGGGGACGAGCAGTGCGGCGGCGGCGGGGTTGGTGGCGGGAGGAGGGGCAGGGACTGTGGTGGTTGGGGGGTCGGTGTTGAGGAGTGGTGGGGGTGGGGGTGGAGGCGTGGAGTCGGTGTTGTTGGCGGCGGAGAGTAGGAGGAGGGAGAGCTTCGCGACGGATGATAGTCGGGGGAGGATTGTGGAGCCCGGGTTTGAGAAAGGGGGAGGCGGGACGCAGCGGGTGATTGAGACGGATGCGCACACCGAGGACGGCGCGAGTACGAGCGAGAGGGGGATGAGCTTTTCGCATGGGTTTGAGGAGAGGCATTGATGAAGGTGTTTGGGAAAAGGGAAAAAGACTACCTAAAAGACCATTGCTTAGATTTCTTACGTTGACATGAAGCTCTTATGCGGACACAAAAGTCCATTTAATAATTTCTTTTCAGAGCCATACAGTCCCCTCTCGCGGTCGATGGCTAGCGTGAATTTGCTTTTGCTCATGTCATAGGTAGCTGAAGCTATCGTCTGGACGGGAATGTCGAATTAAAAAGTCTACGTACACGTCCGGACGATAGCTTCAACTACTCACATATGTTAATTTTTCTAAGGCAGAGCTGGGGTATACTTAGTTACGCTATGTTCTAGAGCCCTGATATTCTTCGCGCTAGCCATCGGCTGCAGCACCCCTCTGTACAACAGATTATCACATCACTGACCGCACTCTCGGTATTGAGAAACGAAAGTAATATTTATACGGTCTTCCGAGCATGCACGTATCAATAGAGATTGATTCGGTACACACTAAGCCTAATACAGTAACAATATTGGCTTGCAAGCCCTTGGTAAACGTTTAACCAAGCGATTTCAAGACCCCGTTTGCGCTTCAACTGGAACTCCCGCCAAGTACTGAGTCCAGATGAGCCGCACGCATCTCACTCCCTATTGTTGCAGGATATTGTCAGCATCAAGTTGATTGGTGACTCGTCGTAAAAACATACTGATCCACTCCGGTAGATTCAAATACTCAATTAGGTCTGCCTTGCGACCGTTATAGAACGCCTGCCAATCAGGGCTTCCCATGTCGAAAACTCGGTCCGGCAGGTCATAGAAATGCCAGAGAGGACATCGCGGGTGTTCGCAGTGAAGGACGAGACCACCACAACCCGTACCGACAAAGCATACGTTAGGCGGAGCTCCAACTTGGTTGTCCATCCTTGGGTTCATGCCTGCTCGGGCAGCCAGGGTTGCATTTGAACGTGGGAGGAAGGGTGTCGCCCTTGGGTCCATCTTTATGGTCAATTTCGGATCTTTTGGGCATATGTGCTCAAAGTCGTCGCTCCGGAGATGAGGGCCACGGTGGTCGTCACAAAAGATTGAATGTCGAAAGTTGGGAGGAGGGACGGGTCGCCAGTCGCCGTCGCCGTCGCGCAAGCCCTCACTCCGAGGCTGGATGTCACCGTCGCTGTCGCCATGGCGCTTCGAATCGTGTAGATTGCGGGAGTCGGGTCGATGGCGGTCCGGGCGATGTGAGTCGCGGGGGCTCGAGGGTCGACGGCTTGAGCGTTGACAATTGGGGGGATTTGAGCAGTGATGATCCGGAGATATTGAGCAAGAACGATCGGGGAGTTTTGAGAGAGAACGATCGGGTGGTTTTGAGGGTGAACAATCGGGTGGTTTTGAGTGTGAACAACCCGGTGGTTTTGAGAGTGAACACTCCGGTGGTTTTGAGGGTGAACACTCCGGTGGCTTTGAGGGTGAACAACCCGGTGGTTTTGAGGGTGAACGATCGGGGGTTTTTGCGGGTGAACGATCGGGGGGTTTTGCGGGTGAACGATTGGATAATCTCGAACGGAGTAAATAAGGTTCACGGGAGGAGGACATGGACTTGGTTGCGCTGAATATGTTGTCAGCGAGGCGTTGGCAATGAGATGCAGTGAGATAGACATCAGAGATGTTGCGCCTAGAGAGAGAAATTGAGGTGAGAAAACTACCCAAGGCAAAGAAAGAGTCGTGGTCAAGCTTGCGATGCGCTGAGAACTTGGGAAAGAGCCTACCTTGGTAACTAATGTTGTTGAACTCCGAGTAAGTCGGTGTCAGATTGTAATGCTCTGTTGTGCGGTCAGCTCTTGAAAGTATGGAATGAGTGAAGCAGTAGATTGAAGCGTACCGACTGTCTCACAACGGGTGCGCCGAGGGCACCCGTCGTTGTTGAGAAGGAGCGGACCTGAGGGCATTTGTATGCAGCAGGAGCGTGCACGTGCCACGATATTTGCCTTCCTACAGCTGCTTGCACCTGCATGATCTTAGCGGTGGTGGTGGGTGCGATTTTTCCATCACTTCTTTCTGCTCGTAGATATAGCATGCGCTTCCTGGAAACTTCACTGACCTTCCAACCACCAACGCGAGCAACCACTAGCGCGAACGACTATCAGCGCGAGCAATTGTCGCTGGTTCTAGCAATCGCCATCGGCTCCAGCAATTTCCAGCGTGAGTAACGAGTAGTCCGTAGCGACGAATAAAAGCTAATTCTTCATGGCGGGGTCAGAAAAGTAGGCACCTCCAACAACACCTACGCTCACCATGGCGCCGTTCGACCGCGACAAGACACTGGACCAGCCTTCCTCCCGCAAGCTCCATAACTCGACCGATAGCGAGCAAATTAAAGTCGTTATGCAAGCCCAGACTATCAACGAGACTTCATTCCTAACGCTCCCTGGCGAGCTTCGCAATTGCATTTACGAGGAAGTCATTGAAGGGCTCGGCGTCAACCCAAATACGGGGACCCTGGTTCTCCCGTGTCGCGGCTACGGTTGCAAAGGCTTAAATTTCGTGTGGATGAAAGAGATTGTGTCGTCCTGTCGCCTGGGCCAGGTATCGCGCACCGTCAGAAAGGAGTTTTTGTCCATGCTGTGGCGTCGCTTCAACTTCTACTACTACGCATCCAAACACCGTAAATGCCTTGAGGTGCCCGGCAAGATTGGAGATCTCCAGCCTGTCGCTCCCATGCTCCGCGGGCATGTGAAGAGGCTTTTTTTCGTCATCGACTCTGAAGAGGTTGTGAGCAGGTTTTCCATCTTGGCCAACATCTTGTTTGCCTTAGAATTCAAGGGCAGACTTGTCATTTATGGAGATAAAAGCTATGTAATCGCTTTTGAGGAGGCTTTGGAGCTCATCAAGTCTGGATCAAATGATCAGGATACTATGGCTATCATCAAGTCCGTCGACGAGCACATCGATCTCCGTGAGTGGATCAACCGTGAGTGGAAGAACCGTGAGTGGAACAACCATTATATTTCGTCTGCTGCATGCTAAATAAACTCGTCTCATAGTCGAATGGAAGCGATATGAACGAGTGACGCGAGTTATCGTATTTGACATCACGAACTCCCAAAACACTGGGTCATAATTGAGAAGGATGACTGGCGACACGATTGAGGTAGAAGAAACCGGTGTTCCGGAAAGCTTCAACTATCCATGACATGAGCAAATAACAAATCGGCTGCGAGAGGGGACTTTCCAACGCTTTCTTTGGAGACCCTTCATTCATTATTGTTTGTTGCACAATGTGCGGTAGCGAGTCCGCCGCTAGCTTAGTCACCTGAGCAGGGTATAAAAGCCGCCCACGGTCGGCCGCCCACTCAGTCTTCATGCCACGCATCCAGTGCAGACAATACCATTTGTTTCCAGCACTTACTGCAACATTATTCCACTCAGAAGAGAGAGTATAACGAGTTCGGCCTTGAATACTGTGCGTTCGCTTTCTCCACCCAGGCCCCGGTAATCATCATGTCTCTTCCGAGCAAACGTAAGCAGCTTTCCAGCGTTCGTGTCCATAGAATAGTGTCATTTCCACCAGGACTGCAGAAACTACAGACTAGACTCTCGGGGAAACATGAAAGATAAGCTGACAACAGAATCAGGTCCTCTAGACGACCAACATGATCTGTGGCCCAATGCACTCATCCCAGGAGATGCAGAAAGCACCGACTCTACTCTACTACCATCAACGACTCTTCCTCCTCCAAAACGACGACGAACCAGTCTTTCGGCAACCGTTTCCCCCACTGACCCCACCTCCAGCCCGCCCCCCATTCCAACCCCGATCTCCCTCATCCACCGCTCCTTCGCCTCCGCCCAGGCCTACACTTACACTCGCCTCTCCCTCGCCGAGATGCAGCGCCTCCCGGCCGACTCCGTTGCAGCGTACGCCCATGCCTTGCAGCGCGCTCTGGACATCACCTCGCAGGGGTTCAACGAGCAAATCAGGGGTCAGGAAACCGCCCACGGGGTCGCCGAAGAGGTGCGTAAGGTCAGCGACGCGGTATACGCGCTCCTAGACGTACCCGCCCGGGCTCTAGAGCGAGAAGTAGAGCGGGTAGCAGAGATGGCATACGACGTGTCGAGAGACCTGGACAGCCCGGTATTGGCAGAGCTCGAGCGGGCCGAGGTAAAGGGGCGGCTGGAGTTCAGGGCGAAGTACGGTCTCCCGTTGCTCAGGACTTCTTCGGTCTTTGAGCCGCTCGGGCGGTGGCATGATGAGCGTGAAGTGCGGTGGATGCGGTCTAACGTGTGCACGAGCATTCTGGGGCAGCTGGAGTGGTGGCCCGAGTTCCGAAACAAGACGCAGACTGGCCGGTGGAGGTTTCACGGGAGCCCGTGCTCCAGAAGGCATCTCCTCGAGATGCTGGGGCTGGAGAATTTCCGAGGAGCTCAGTGGGTGCCGGCTCCGTTTCGGCAGATGGACGATCCAGATGACGATCTAGATGATGATCTAGACGATGATCTAAACAACGATACAAGATCGTGGAGGTGCAAGAACTTACCGTTGGCAAAATGGAAGGAGACTATGGGGGATCTCGAGAAAGAGGTGAGTTGGACAGACAATGCCCCCCTTCTCTTTCTGTAAGCTTTCCTGCTGATGAGGCACTGAAGATCCCCGGAGAGGGTACATTGACGGTTCGGGGCCCCATCTGTCTTTATTTCAGCCCGGAAACGTTTGAATATCGTTTTTGCGGTCGATATGGACTATGAGGGGCGCCGAAACTTTCAACTTCGTACAGTTTTGAGACTTTCACTACGTCTAGAGACATATTTTCACTGTCCATGACTGAGAATTCACTCCTTTACGTTTGGGATGATTTGGGACTATGTAAATTTGACGAAGTTTCAGGTAGATTCAATGATATTTGCCTCTATTCGTTTGTTGTTTGCTATTTATTAGCTACTAGCGCGTATGTATTCTACGCTACTCGACGGATAGCTTATGGATCATTCTGCATATTCCTCAAAATAATTCAAATGTGGGTAGATGAAGAATTTACATGGTCCCAAATCATATCTTCGTGGAACGCGGTAATGGAAATCATTCAAGCTACTGTGGGAAGGTCATGTTCAACGTAATGTATGCATTCTGAATCTGTCTGTGTCTATCTAGTGGCGTCTTCCGCGAATTATGAACCTTTCTGATCCTCCAGCAGTACCCCAGCAGCCCTAGTTGAAAAGTGGAAAGGAAGCCGATCGAAGACGAGTTCAAGCATCTGTGTAGTAATTCAGCTGTTCCCAAACGAGGAGGGTCAGATATAAGCTTACCGGAATACTTAACCCCTTCCATCCCCTCATCCTCAAAGTGCTTCCCCATCATAGATTCCCCTTCCTCCTCACCGGTCTCTTGAGCAGTCAGTGGCTCCCAGACTTGCCTTCCACATCCCGAACAGACTCCGGTCTCCGTCGTCTTCATGAAATGATGGCCGGCCATACACATCCTCAAATTCGCACTCTTGACCATCTCCGTCATCTCCATCACGCCCGCAATGAAGCCATCCGACCTGATCCCTGTGTCCGTGCTCCAGCGAGCCACCTCCTGCGTGAGCGGCCTCTCCGTGTTCCAGATCTCGATTTGAAGACCCATGCAGTGGTTGCCACCCATAAAGGCACCAACAGTGTCAGGGTCCAACGTCTTCTGTGCCCGCTCCAACCGGAACATCGCCTCAAGACGCAACCGCTCAGCATCGGCAGCGTTAGCGATGGGCGCCCTGCGCTCGAGGACAAGCCACTGCGCCCAGAGGATATCCGCTTCGATCGCCAAACCAGGCAGCGAGCGCACCCGGGCAGCTTCAAAGATCTGCTGGCAGCGGGTGCGGCATTCGGTGAAGTCCAGTTCGAGCTTCTCGGAAGTGCCAGATCGGGAGCGAATGGTAAGGAAGTCTGACATGGCGGCTAGTTCAAGTCGTGCGGACATCAACAGCAAGAGCAGACGTTCCTGCAGCTGGGGTCTTGGATGGGTGAGGTTTTGTTGCGAGTTCCAGGCGGACTGGAGCTTGCCCTCGCCCCTGACGCGTTGGAAAATGGCGGAGAGATCGCCCAGGATACGGCGAATGGCCTTGTATCTTCCTCCGCGACCGGCGAGAGTAGATATCGCCGAGATGTGCGCCCTCTTGCCGGCTGCGTCGCTGACGATGACTGCGTTCTTGGAAAGGCGTCTGGTGAGGTCGTCTGGAACAGCCAGAGCAGATTCTTGAAGCTTGCGGACTTCTTGGAGTGCCTCTTGTCCAAGCTTGACATACTGTGAACGGGTGTTGAGAATGAACCGTTCTGTTCCAGTGGCCAAGGCAGGAGCGCAGTCTGGGTGCAGACATGGCAAGCAGATCTTGCTGCATATATCGGCACAGGTCTGGTGCTGGCAGTTCGCAGGGCATGGCGATTGACAGGGAGGACAGGGTTGTGCCTTGTGGCATGGTGCAATGCAAGCATGACCGCATGGCAAGGGCTTTCCGCAGCTGCTCGGACACGCGGTGAGATCCTCCTGAGAGCAAAGCCATCGGAGAGTGTGGCCACAGTCCAGTGATACCATGACTTCTTCAGAACACGTCTTCTGAAGAAGCATCGGATCCTGGTACTTGTAGCACTGGAGCCCCGGTGGTGCTTTGTGGCCACACGGCAGGGTCACGTCCGGGCTGTCGATCTGAACTTCGCAACACTGCGTGCACGGAACACCGCAGATGTTGAGACAAGGGTGTCCGCACGCCAGTTCCACTCTACATGGCTGAGAGCAGATCGTTCTGCCATGCAGAAGGTCACTGTGGCATGGCTCGGGACAACGATGGCCGCACCTAAGGAGCTTGCCACATGGGGCAGTACATCCGCCATTGGGAGAGTACTTGCCGAAGTCCGCCGGCTCCTTGACGTGAAACGGGTTTCTGGGGTGTTGCGGGCAGTCGATTTCCAGGGCAGTGCCGATGCTGCTGGTTTCGTCAAGAGTAGAGAAGACCTGGTTCCAGAAGGGCACCGTCTGCAGCATCTTCATGTTACCGAATATATACATGGCGCGCCTAGCTCTGCTCAAGGCGACAATGGACCGGTTCTCGGACTTGACAAAACCGGCCTTGCCCTGGTCGTTGCTACGCACCATCGAAAGGAGGACAATATTGCCTTCGTCTCCTTGGATGCTGTCTACGGTTGCAATTCGGATTCGGTCGGGTTGAACAGCTGTCGACTCTTGCTGGTTCTTGTTGTCCTTCCCATAGATGACCTGGACAGGGTAGTATTCCTGAATCCTCTCCTGGAGAGCCCTTGCTTGAGCAGCGTACGGGGTAAGGACCAGGATGTCACCTGCCCAAACACCGTCTTGTGACATGAGATGTCTGGTCAAGCCTAGGATCATTTCAACTTCAAACATGTTGACCTTTGTAAGCTTTTCGGTTTTGGTTTCGGGGTACTGGTGGTCAAGCCAGAAGACTCTATCCGACAGAGAAGCCACAGCAGGGAGGTAGTGAACTGCACCGGCGTCACCAAGCATGGGGTAAAGCGTGGACTTGCTGAGCTGGGATATGTCGGGATGCATGCGGTACTGGGTGTCGAGAACCGCAAATGGGAGACCGAACGAAATCAGACGTTCCAGGAGGGAGATACCAAATCCGAACTTGACAGCATCTGGGTTGGTGTTGCCCTCAAGCTCCCATCGGTTGACCTTAGGGCGAAGCTGCAGGTGGTCACCGATGAGAATGCAGTGTTCCATGCTCGGAGTGATGGACGTGAGGGCAAGAGCCTCGGGCATGGTACCCGCCTCTTCAAAGACGATAACCTTGGCGTTGAGCTTCTGGAAGAGCTTGCGCCTGAGAGCCATTCCACTGGCCGTGACACCAACGATCGTTGCTCTCTTCAGAACGTTGAGAGGATGACGGTCCATTGCGGCGGTATACTCTTTTTGCGCTTCAGTCCATTGTCCCAGCTTCGACTTGATCTGGGCCGATAGTCGTCTCCTCTCAGAATCGCGATCCGCCCGACTGAGCTCTTCCAGGAACCCCTTTATACCTTCGCTGCTCGTGAAGAAGTTCTCTGCTGCTCGATGAACACACCGCTTGTCCTCAGGAAGTGGATGCTGGCTCTTCACGAGGACATCAAGGTTGATATCCTTCAGGGTATCAGACTTCGACTGGCCACCGACACGGACCATATTCTCGACACCAGCGTCGTGGAGCTTCTCAAGCAGGCTATCAAGAGCCCGGTTGCTGTAGCTGACGCAGACAATCGGTCCAGGCGTGCTGTTTGACAGGCTCTTGAGGAGGGTCTCAATGATCGCGACAGCCGTGTAGCTCTTGCCGGTTCCGGGTGGACCCTGGATCAGCGCGATGCGGTTCCTCAGTGCATGGAGAAGCGCTGACATTTGACCGGCATCAAGCCTTGAGCTAGCTTGGATCTTGGTGTCGAACAAGTCCGACACGGCCAGCTCACCTTCACCATCCACACTCGCGGTCTTGCCCAGCTGGAATTTGAAGTTGTTGGCCATGGCGTAGGGTGCAGGGTGAATCCATATTGGTTGTGGCAGGTCCGATGGCTCCAGGACGGTAGAGAGGGGAGTATCCGGCATGTCGCTCATTTGCTGCAGAGCTCGAAGAGGTGGGACAAAACTCCACGTCCGGAGGCTGGGAAACTCCAACAGCGTGTAGTTTCTCTCCTTGTCTACCTTCGCGTTGGTCAATAGCCAGTCCACATAGCGCGGCGACTGCTCAAATGGCCGACAGTACAGTCTCGCCACATCCGCTCCGTAGTCGTGCTTATGGAGATTCTTGTCTTTGTAGTGCCCGACCTGAGCGAACATCATGTCCATATCCTTGCTCCACAGGCATACAAGAGCATCATGCTGGAGGCCTTCTCTGTTGATCCACCACTCGTATCGCTCTGTCGGATCCAATGATTGAGTTTCTAGAGGTTGAGGAACTCGCATGGAGAAGACCAGGCCACCGTGCAGGTCAAACGACAGTTCCGGGTCCAGACGCACGTTATGATAAGCATTGGATTGAGCGGAAGAGTGGTGCTTCGTTGTTTTGGATATGTGCAGATAACGCCGAATCGATTCCCTCAATATTCCGACGGTGTCTTCACGAAAGAGGCGAAACTGACGGTCGACAAGGCCTTGAAACCCCTGCTTGTTCCACGTCGATGGGTCTGTGGTAGGTAGGTACTCCGGATGCTCCGAGTGAAGTTCATCAGTGGTTGGCATGAGGTCGATCAGCGCGATATCGCTGTGGTCGTTATCATGGCGTGGTTCGGTCGTTTGATGGATCTGATGAGTGTCGTGCGCGGTCACAGACATGCTGTCATCGAGTGTCTGAGGAGAGGACATGGTAGAATCGGGGTTCTGAGAGTGGGACATTGTTGCTATATGAATGAAAGAAAGCTGTAACGGGCGAGGTTCCTATTCAGTTGTTAGACTCTGCCCCGCTGCATGGTCAAGTAGAGCTTAATGTACGGCTAAGTTGATGAAATGAGCTTTATATAAATCGCCCGAAGTGCTGAGAGATTGGGTGGGAGATTGAGAATGGAATATGGGAAGGTGTGCGAGCGGTGGGCTTGGAGTGTCAAGACAGTGGTTATGTCGGGGTGCGTCGGAGGTGGTTGGAGGAGAAAGGAAGAATCGGCAACAGAGGAAGAAACACCACAGTGATATCGCGGCCGGAGTCCGGGAAAATGCACGGAGCGGAACAGTTATAAGCCGCCCGGAAAAAGTGGCAGGCGCACGGAAGTGATTGTATGAGGTGGACTGGGAGAGGAGAGAGCGCTCACCTCGCAGGTAACACGATGCTGATGCTCATAGACCCGGAGATACAACCCGCAGTATTAGCCGCGTAGGTGCCAAAAGAAACCACCGCTCGCAATTTTCTGTACAATTATTCGACATACGTGGGGATATGAAGCTCACATCCGGATGCAAATGTAGAATTATTAAATGGACATCTACGTCCGGACAATGCCTTCAACTACCCACGTAAGTAAGATAATTGCCCATGGTCATTTCTTCTGGTACCCACTGTCATCCACAGCTTTTAGTGAAGAATTAGAGAGGCTGCGGCAGTCAGCAGCGTATAAATACGCACCGCTGGCAGAGGTTTTGAGCAGCAAGGCAATACAAACCCAGCACAAAAGTTTACATCCCCACAGAAAAACTCATAGGAAATAGCTTGACGCAAGCGCACATGTTCACCAAATTCCAATTTCCCTGATATACCAAGCAGAGAGCACTACCCGCTTCTCACGGGGCATAGTCAGACTTTTCGCCCGGATACTGGTGTGGGCTCCTCAGGGCATGGGTTGCGGAGTTTGATTGGTTACCCAATCAGTAGTGTGAATACAAGCAATATTAGACACTCTCAGCTGATATTTGTACTCATCGAGCATGATCAGAAAAGCAAATGCATTTGTTGTCCGCCCCGGGCCCGTTATTTGCATGGCGCTCTACGCCGCTCTAAATTGTCCCGCTCAACTGCACACACATCACATCAGCCACGCCCCAATTCGTCCACATGCCTTCCCGGCCGTTTTTCAAAACAAAAAAATACAAAGGAAAAGGCCCGTCACGCAGACCGTGGGGGAGGGAACCGCCTTACCTCCTCGAGCTTCCACCACCAATGTCCTGCCCCAGCTTGTACCCGCTGATCTTCTCCCACTCGATCTTCTGCCTAGTGATGGGCAGCTGCCTGCGCAGGCCCTTGAACGCGCCCTCGCTCAAGCTCGCAAACGCCCTGTTCAGGTCCTCCTGGTACTTGCGCTCCGCCGCCGCCAGCGCCCTCACGATATCACTCGCACTCCCACCACCACCATTCGCCGAAATCGGCTTCTCCGTCAGCATGCGCACGTTGCCGTCCTCGTAGTAGTGCACGTCGACCTTGATGCTGCCCGTGATGGAGCCGCCGGACGGGTCGACGACGTACGCGCTGCGCCAGCGGCCGTTCCAGAAGTTGCTAGGCGAGTACTTGTTGCTGACGAGCACGACGGCGACCTTGCTGTCTTCCTCGGTCGGGTAGACGCCCAGCGCGGCGGCCGGGTAGTGCTCGGCCGCGTGCGCCTGCAGCGCCTTCAGCAGCGACTTGACCAGGTCCGCCTGCGCGCCCTCGAGCACGTGCGACTGCACGTCCGACGCCTTCTGCGTGACGTGGTCGAAGGCGAACGACGATGACGCGGCGACGTCGTAGTAGCGGCCGTCGCCGAGCGAGTTGTACGGGCTGATGACGACCTGTGCGGGGGAAGAGAGAGGGGGGGCGGACGTGTCAGCTTTCTAAGATTCCAACTCACGACCTTGCAGGGGTGAAGGGTATGGGTATTCGCTGGTGAGGCTGGGGGTTGGGCTTACAGCTTCGCTGCCGCCAGGGAGCTTGGTCGTCGCGAATTGCTCCTCATTGTACTTCTGGTAGGCGGGGGCCAGGGCCGAAACGTCGTCGCTGCCGGTGATAGACTTGATAGCTACGGAACGGATTCAAATGAGTATGTGGAGTAGTCTCGGGGAGTTTGGGGGCTCGCTCGTACCGGCGGTGACGTTGGAGAGCTGTAGACTGGTTAGCTGGGGAAACGACGGAGGGGCAGGAGCGTTGGACGAACCTCTCCTGGCGGGGCAGACTCGATGAACGAGCTCAATGCGGCGTCGCTGGCTGCCATGGTGCGGGATTGTATGGTAACGGGTAGAGGCGTAAGAGAGGTTGAGCGAGCTCAGGGATGCAGCTGTGTTGTTGTCGTTGCGGGAGATCGTCGCGGGGTCGGCGGTGGTGTTGAAACCCCCGGGCACCGCCGCAGGGACCGCTTTCACTATGACGCTACCCGGCGAGGACGTCGAAACCGAGTCAGAAAGTATCACAGAGCAGAGCATCAAACAGCAGGTGCACGGAAATATAGAAATTAATTGAAGAGGCAAGCCCGTCCCAATTTAACCCAGGAAAATGGATATCGTAAGTCGCTGTTGTTCCCCCTTGAGTCCGTCCCAAAACGCCGTATCGTGCTTGCCGTAAACCCATTCCTCCTGCGCCGTACTCATACAAATATCAGAGCGAAGCGCACACAGCTACTCGATACTCATCTTCATGAGTCCATCGTTCGTGTCCGTCATACCCTGCAGCCCGACCCTCTTCGGTCCTAAGCTCGGGGTGACGCTCATTGTACTTCCTCCACTGTTGGACCTCTCGCCATGGCCGTTGTTAGTACTAGTTCCGACGATCGAACTTTCTCTACTCGTCTTGCTCGGGGCCCACATTCCCTCCCTCTGCTGCGGCGACTGTGACAACACCGGGCTGTTGGTAACGCTCAGTCCAGGAGATACGGCCCGTCGCTTTATGGAATTAACGTCGAAGTCGTCATCCCTGCGGCGCTTCTTCTTCAGGCCCTCGGCGGCAGTAGGAGGGACCATGGGTTGTGGCGTTGATCCCCGCGACAAGAAATCGTCCTTGTTGACGTCCGAGGTAGACATCCTGTGGCGGTACTGCGCCATGGAAGCGACCGGAGAATCCATGTTGATATCATCGCTGATAGCAGAGGAGCTGCCGCGGCCCAAGAAGGGAGGCGGCGGGGTGTGTCTGCCATCCTGGATGCTCCAAGATGGCCTCTCGGCGCTCTTCCACGGCTGCAAGTTGAAGGCTCCGAAGAGGCCTTTTCCATTAGCTGCAGCTGCGGCGGCGGCCATTTCTTCCATGTCCATGCCGGTATCCTCTGGTATGTCCTCGAGGTCGTTCAGGCCTGGCACTGCCGGGAGAAGACTGGGTGAAGAGTTTGCGGTGATGGATCCTTCGCGACCGGTCGTGGACGTGGCATCGCTCTCACGGACCTGGCGGATGATCTCGGCTTCGCGCTTGACCTCGCTGTCGACCGGGGCGCTCTCTTCGAAGAGCTCTGCGCGAATGCGACCAAATTGCCTGGATTTGGGCTGCGGGCGCGTTAGCGAACGTGAGCGAGCGCGTGACGTCAGCTCGGTCCTTACCAAAAGGTTTCCGCGCCGGACAACGGTGCGGCGTACGACGCCGGGAGTGGTGGGTGCCGGCATGCCGGCCTCGTCGCCGCTGTCGTTGCCGGAGGAGATGGTCAGGTCGTTGGCGACCATGCTCAAGCTCTCGCGCCGGGACCCCGCTTTTCTCATGACGGCCTCGCGAGCAAAGTACCCACCGTTGGTTCCGTCGAACGGCTTTCCTGCGGGCGGAGAGCCGGGGCCGGGGCTTGCGATCGAGCTGTGGCCGCTTGCGCTGCTCGAACTCTTCCTGCTTCGCACCTTCTTCAACCTGTTTCTTTGTATTTGTAGAAAGTTCGGACCACTCGGCGAAAAGCCTCCAGACCAGACGCCGCCAGGGCTTGCCACATTCGGCGGCGCGCCAAAAGGATTGCCCGCATTCTTGTCGAGCTTAAGCACATGGGGCGTCATGACCATGGGGTCATCGTTGTCGTCGGGATCCATAGGGTCGTCCTCGTCGGAGTCGCTGTCGGAAGAGTCGGAGCCTAGCATGTTGACGCTACCAAGCGAACTTGAGACGACGCTATTCTTTTCGTGGTGCATGCCAGGCCAGCGGGTGTGGTCGTTGTGTGGGGAGTCGAGAGCGAAGGACGTAAGATTGCCCCTCCGCTGGGGAATCATCATGCCCTTCTGGGTGATTGTCGGCGAGGAGTCAGGAGACGACTGCTCCGCCAGGGTCGAGTGGTGCAGATTCGTACATGCGCGCGCAAAGTCAAGGCCCCGGGAATGCCGGGGCAGGACGGTGGCGGGGGTGCCGTAGGTGTCTCGCGCGTCGAGCTGAGGCGACAGAGGAACGCGGCTGAACTGGGTGGGAGTCTGGAGTCCAAGATTCGGATCGCGCGGGGGCATCTGCAGCGACAGGCCACGAGCTAAAAAGTCCGGTCGTCGCGGCGTGCGCGGGGTGGTGATTGTTGCATCGTCCTTGGAGGCGCGCTTCGACACGATCTTGGGTGACGGCGAGAGCTTGGGGGCCTGCGAGTCCGAGAGCGACCGGTTCTTGGAAGGCGACGCGGAGGGCGTTCTTTCATCCTGGAACGCAGAGCTGAGCCCACCCTTCTCACCCTCGGCCTGCTCGCGCTTTTCCGAGCCGTTCGACGCACTTTGACTGCTGAAGGAGCCTGCGAGCATCGCTTGCACCGACGGTTGCGTCATGGAGCTGGCCTTCGACGTGGGCGAGATTCCTTCGGCTTCCATATTTGGAGTATGTTGCTACCGGAGCGGGTGGTACCTGGCACGGCTTGCATTGAAGGGCATAGCGGCATCTCAAGGTGATATGAAAGGCAGAGGGCCCGGAGGGGGAGCAGTCGTGGGAGCCCTCCGGGAGCCCTCTGCCGCAGATCCCCCACGTGACGTGTACCATTGCTGCATCGGCACGGCTCGTCAATGAACCAGACCAGCGCCTCCCTGGCTTTTCTTACTGAAATTTAAACCGCTCATCTACCCGACTGCTACTGCACCATTTCCCATGAGATTCGGCACGCCTGCCTGCCCAAACACATGCCAGCAATAGCCGCCAGCAACCCTGCTAGGTGGACGTGTAAGCGAGCCCAAAGATAGCAGGCGGGTAGTTTGAGCACGCAACCTCACGCCGCCTCGATACAAAGGATTGAAAAGCAAGTAGATGACCAAGCAAACGTGTCCGCCCATCATTCTTCTCAATCACGTCGTTCAACAAATTCCCCGGATAAATTGCTCGTCAGTGTACCAGCGCGAGCAAGGACCACCAGCCATGTCCGCCAGTGTAACCGCGTGGGCCCAATGGCAAGGCGACCCATCGCACCGTTGCAGTGTGACCGGCTACGACTGGACGACTGCAAGCGCGTGTTCCACATCGTCCATCGAGGCCTCCCAGATGTTAGCTATCGTTAGTCTCCACGATGTGTTATCGCGCTTCAGCTTTCCCATGCACCGACAAATTAGTGGGTGGTCCGGCCGCTCCAGGAATCTAGCGCAATCGTCTTCGAAGAGCCCGACTCCTTTCCAACCCTCGTAGGTGCCGTCCAGGTACGGCGGCCGGTCGTGAAACAGATCCATCAAGATAAAATGTTGTTTGATGGACCGGGGTTCTCGGAATGACCAACGAACTCTGGCATACAGCTCGATGATGACAGACTGATGCTCGCGCACTGCCTGAATTCCCACATTGAGCGCCTCACCAATGCGAAAACAAACACGCAGAGAGGTCGTGCCTGAAAGCCCAAGGACCGGTGATCTCTCTTGCACGCGATCTGGGAAAGGTGGCCTTAGGATGGGCTTGAGATCCGGAGAGTGCACGTTCGTTGCTTCCGCTGTCGTGCCACTCGAGGCAAGAGTAGTTGGAGTCGCTTGAACTTTTTGGGTATTGCTGGAGACCTGATTCAATATGGTTGCGGAATCTATACTTGCATCTGGTTCTTCGATGATATCGTTCTCCTCGTCAAACAATCCCCAGTCTTCTGCAAAAAAATCTTCCATGCCTGACTGGTCGATTGATTGCAGGGTGCTTTGCTTTGCTCTCTCACCGGAAGCAATCTTGAATGTAGACAAGCTAGGCGTATCTTCCTGTGGCCTCTCGGCCTCCTGCACCGGCAGGCTGAGAAAAAGATCAGTATCAGAAAGTCCATCAAAGATATCGAAATCATCGGGTTCGTGCTTGGTTGTGTCGATTGAAGATAAGGCCCTGGTCTTGTCACGACTGTTTTGAGTCACTGGAAGTGCATCTGCATCGAATTCTTCGAAGATCGTGCCAAGCCGTGGACTTCGTGACAGCTTGTGCGGACGATGGCTGGGTATGCGCTTCGACTGTGTGAGAAAGCTAGATGGGTGGCTTAACCCACGATTCAAATATTTGACTCTAGGGTCTTCAACATCGTCAGAAAGGCTGGTTGATCTGGCCCTGGGCTCGTAAGTAGTACTGCGGTCCCGAAAGCTGTTGCAAGATGCCTGCTGTGATGTTCTGCCATGCCCCGACATCCTTTCGAAACTAGAGGTGGGCTGCGAGGAGATGATGTCCATTGATGTGAGAGGCGACACGACGGATATGCTGTCATCGATGGTACTAGAGCGGTCACTTTGGGAGAGAAATGCGTTCGAACTGGAAGTTGTGTTCCCCATGAAATTGTGACGTTGGTCATTGATCACAAACTTATCCGCAGCAGACCTTGGATTGAATGCGGGATCCTGAGGCTTCAGTGGCAAGAATGCAAACGGCTGGGTGCCCTCGGAAACCACGCGTCTCCCACTGGTGTTCGGCCTTGGCCGGGCCTTTTCTTCCGTCCCATGTTGCTTCTTCTCCTCCGAATCTTTGGCAGTCTTGCGTTTTTTCAATGGAGGTTCTTCACCTTGAGATATCGCTGCTCTTTCGAACATGGATGCACCCGCAGATTTACCCGGAGAGAGGTACTTCCGAATGAGCGGGTTCTTCCTTCGTCGGCGAGCCTCACCACCTTGGCGAGCTTTTCGTGTCTGCTGATTACAGAGGGGTATTGCAGCTGAAGGATCCTCAAATCTAGAGTAACTATACCTCAGCTTTTTTGGGCAGAAAAAAATAAAAACATATGCGGGTAGATGAAGCTATCGTCTGGACGAGAAAGCCTACATACACGGACGATAGCTTCTGCTACCCATGACATGAGCGAAAAACAAAATAACGCTAGCTTTCGGATGAAATACCCTTCTGTAGAGACGGAAAAAGGATCAGACGGTGAAGACCTGTCGCAGTGATTGATTGGAGTGAACCCGCAGGTGCCGTGGGGCATTATTCTGCAGGGTGCTGGGTAAATCACGCGTCGGATGGCGTTGTGGATGCAGGCATGGGAGGATCAGCGATCAGCGGCTGCAGCACGGGAAAGCGAGCGCGATCCGCCTGCTGCAGGGTCGAGGTAGCGCAGGTACCTTGCTTTATGTGGGCTGGTCAGGTGGACTCGTCGCCATGGCGTGAGTGCTGGATTTTGTGAGACGTGCACTGTTGAGAGAGGGGACTAGGTGCGGGGGTAGGTTGGGAGGGAAGGGAAGGTGGAAGCCGCGGCCAGGCGGCGCCGGCGATGACGGAGGCACTGGTTCATGGTGGGGCAGCAGCGCTCCTCGCAGCCCGAAACACAACACCACGGGTCATCACGTCGGATCGCCTGCCGAGCCTGAAATTCTCTTTCGGGGCTTCTGCAGCTGCTCCCATCGTTCTCGTCACCGCCGCTACATTCCCCGCTTGCACGTGCTGGCATTCCTCGCCGGCATCTTCGTCAGCGCCGAGGTCGACTCTCTACGCACGCGGCTGCTGCAGCCTCCCGCTCAAAGAAAGACTCTGTCTCCCATCAAGGTACGTCCTCTCGACGAGTTGCCGCTGCGGAATCACGCGCCTGAGCTGTTGCGCATCGCCTGCCAACCGCCACACTGCCGCAACACCTTATCGCCCACCCTCGCCGCGCACTCCTCCCTCGTCGTGCCACCATACGCTGATGACGTTTTTCTAGAGTGGGCGGTAGCGAAAAACAGGTCTCCGGCTCAAGAAGACTGCTTGGCTTATTTTCGGGCCCAAGAAAGAAGAACAACAATCCTTCTCCAAAATGTTCAGCGGCTCGGTGGGTCCTCCCTCCCCATCCTTCAGCATATGACTGCAGCCCTTCACCATGGCCATGGCATGTGCGTATCCTATATGCACGGGCTCTCCTGGGAAAGCGGCTACGCGGGGTTCAGTTTTCCTCAAGTCCTCTGCCCCATCAACACTATCAATAGCGAGTCATGCTATGATCCGCACTGGGTCCTCAAACTCATTTCCAGCCCTGCTCCTGAACCTCCTTATCCACGATGTCGTCCCCCGCAACGTACATTTTGCTGAAGACGTTCTACTACCTACAGAAGAAGCCGTACTCGGCTGTAACGGTCCAGATAGACCGCCTCACCAGCGAGCAGTATGACGAGAATGATGTGGCCGGCATTGTTGACCTGGTCGAGGTCATTCGCATTCAAGAATCTGGCCCAACGGAGGCCGCACGTGCGATCCGCAAAAAGCTGTACGTTTCAAAACTTCGACGATGAGGTCTTTTTCTGATGATGCCACGTTAGGAAATACGGTAGCGTGCACCGCCAGTTGCGCGCGCTGACTATTCTCGATGGCTTGATTCAAAACGCTGGTCCGCGGTTCCAGCGTGCATTTGCCGATGAGCCGCTACTTGAGCGGCTACGTATCCTCGCCCGCGACGACATGGTCGACGCCGATGTCAGGGCAAAGTGCAACGTTCTCTTCCGGCAATGGGCTGTTGCATACAAGGGCAAGCCAGGCCTCGAAAGAATTGCCACGCTCTACAAGCAACTGCCTCAAACAAGACGGCCTCAGCCGCATCAATCCAAGGTGATTAAGGAGACTGAAGCCGATGCCGATAGCGCCCCATCTTCCCCCGTTACCGAAAGCCGCCCGTCTCGCAGCTCTTCCAGCGCTGCAACTTCGTCGACAAAGGTTTCGTTCACGCCACCTGCGCCCTTGAGCACGTCTTCGTCCTTCTTTAGCCATAAGGACAAGAAGCACAAGAAGTCCAAGTCGCAACCATTCAACCTCGAAAGGGAGAAGCCGAAGATGTTGGAAACTATCGCCTCAGCATCCGTGGCCAGCACCAACCTCTTGAATGCCCTTCAGCTCATCAATCGCGAGCAGCAGCGCGTCTCAGAGAACCCCGGAGTTGTCAAGCTGTTCGACAATTGCAAGCAGCTGCGCCGGCAAATTCTGCGCTACATCCAGCTCGTGGAGTCGGACCAGTGGATCGGCAGTTTATTGAGCGCTAACGACGAACTCGTGAAGGCCCTCATGTCATATGAAATTATGGACAAATCAATCTCGGATGACAGTGACTCTGAGACCGAGGCGCGCGCTGTGCGCTCACCAGGGTCTCCGACCTCGCCTACGGCTGCAGCCGAGCAGCTGGCTGGCCTGAACTTGGGAGAAAACCCACCGCCGAAGCCGCCAAGGCCTGCAACTACACCTGCTGCGGCTTTCGGAAAACAGAGAGTGGAGGAGAGTGAAAGCGAGCCGGAGGAGGAAGAGGATGAAGACAACCCGTTCGCGGATAGGAACGCGGTCAAAACCCCTTATGCGGAGCCCGCGCAGTGGTGAGTCTCGTCCGCCTTAAACTTTCCTGCTTAATTGTTAATCTGGAAACAGGAGGGACATCTGAGCCTTGGAGCGTTTTCTAGTTACGACCTACCCTATGAACGACTGCACATTGGATACTGCGGCTTATTTTTAGACTGTTCTGCTTCTTTTTTTCCTGGCGTGGATGTCGAAAGGTCTATACCCTCGAATTCTCTGCTAAACGAGTACCTGCTGCCTCTTTCATACGCCGATTTGGCATGGTTCTCAACGTTTAACTGCTCTTCCTCAAATTGGAAGGTACTAATCATTTTGAAACGCTCTCGGAAGCATCCGCTAGAGCATTTTAACGCGACTTGGCGCGACGGCGGCAAGGGTTTTCGCGTATCGTCCCTCCCTGATCCTACCAATCCACGCGCCCTGCTTAGCCATCCCCGCATACGTCATAGCCGCATGCATATCTCTGGGTCTCAGCCACCACAAAGTTGGCTTCTGCCCAGTCTTCATCTTCACCTCCGTACCCACCACTCGCTACTGCGCCAGACATTACCAGACAACCTCGCTACCTGGGCCCATTCATATTCCTGGATCGTAAGCATCAGCCTCCCCTAAACGCAACACGCCTGCTGAACACCTACTGTACAGGGATCAAGTCTACTTATCGAGCATCTTACGCCTCCAACCCGCAATCAAAATGCCCGGCTCTACAACATCCAGCTCCTCGACCGCAACCTCCCTCACTAAGCCTGTTACGAAACCTGTCAAGCTGCCGTGCTACTGCGGCGACGACTGCTCGTGCTGCATTATCCCTTGCACGGTGATGTGAGCAATATCGGACACACTACAAATGGAACTATACATAATGATGGATATGGTGGGAGCGTTTCTTATTTCTTGGCTTTAGGAAGAGCGCTTGGGCTACATGGCGCGAAGGTTTCATGGATTTATGACGAACTAGCGCTTCTGTATGGCGTTGTTTTACCATTCTGAATAATTTGGAGAATTAAGAATGTGAGTCAATCGTGAACCAGGACATTGTGCGATTGCCGGTGGTTTCATGCAGACATGGGGCAAGTCGTTCAGAGCAAAAACAGTCAAGCCTTTCGAATTTGGGTATAAACAACTCATGCCACCTTAACATCATCTTCTCCTTCGTCGCTTTTGTAAACATGCTCCGCATGCGCCGGCCTCATTCTTCCTTCGGCCCGTGTTGGATATTCGCGCAGCTCGCGATTGACATTATCGTACGCTTCAAGTCGTTTTGGTTTTACATGACGGTGCTATAGCGATACCACCGTTAGTATGCGAATCTTTCCCGAGAACGACGGCAAGCATGTGGCGGGGAGTATTTACCAAGGAATGAAGCAGCAGGTGCACTCAGCGTCGTCGCCGCACGGGCAGCTAACGCAGCCCGTCTTGATCGTCTTGATGGGCTTGGAGATGGAGGAGGCAGTGCTGCTGGAAGCGATGGAGCCGGGCATGGTGTCTGGTAGTGGAAGGATGCTGCGACGATCGCGACTAGGAGGGAATCGAACGATGGGAGAGAGGAGGACGGTCTCGCGCTAGGAAGGGAAGAGCGAAGGTGGGTGGGTGGGTGAGAGAGGATTCGAAGGCGCTGGAGGCGAGAGGTGGTCAGCACATCTTGGCGTGCGGGCAATTGAAACGGTTCGCTTTTTTGGGCGGAGGGGGAGGAGCGAGAGAGAGAGGGCGGCGTTGCGGCACAAAGGGCAGGCAAAGCGCTCTGGCTTGCTTTGCCTGCTGCGAGAATGTGTGTATTGTGTGGTACGTACGCACCTGTTTCGCGATACGAGAGGAGCGGGGGGCGCGTAGGACAGCAGCTCGCAATTGTGTGAAATGTCGTGGATGGGCTTTCGTGTGGGCAACGAGAGAGCGGTTAGAGCGGCAGGAAGGATGCAACGAATATATACAGGCTGACAGGCCTGACGGGTGGTATGCACGCACCAGCCGTACGCGGCGCGTAATCGGCTGTCGGGGCCGGGGTATGATGCGGCGGTTTGAGCTACGAGTAAGGCTCGCAGCAAGGCTGGCGCTGCTTTGGTCGCAGGCAAGCAGGAATAGGATGGCGGTGCAGGTGAACGTGCTTCGGCTGACTCGCAAGCGTGGCGCGGGTGATGACGCACGCAAAAGCGCTGGCGCTTGCGGTGAGAGATGTTGTTGCCGGTACTTACTCGAAATACGAGGTGGACGCGCGGCAACCATCTTTCGTCGGCAAGCCTCGCCGGGCGACAAGATAAGAGAATATGGACGTGCGTATTCTAATAGTATGTTATGTACTGCAGTGGCGCCGTAGAATACGGGATTTGATTCTAGATCTATTGAATGCGCACCACCCTCCTTAATGTAATTTTCTAGCTTCCGTCCCAAGGCTGAAGAGAAGGCTCTTTTTATACCAAAAATAGCAACGACATTGCCACGCTTCTCTCGTACAGCATTCTGGCAATGTGTTATCAGCCATGAAGCAGTGCCTAGTGGATAGCTTCTGTACAGGTACGAAAGCTAGGAAGAAGACAGGGAAGCCGTGCCGACGAATGCCTTAATACCTTCGCAAGCTTTTGCTTAGACATAATCTTTAAAATTAAAGTAATTAAGTTCAGATAGTTATGCAGCGACATGGCTGTCATTTTCTGTTATTCAATTGATGTAAATAATCTTACGAGAAGCATTCATAAAGCAGAAAACTATACCACCAGCACTATTGAAGTGATCCTAGCGTGAGCGGAATTTCAGAATGTATTTGCAAGACTTACAATAATTATTAATAAAGGATTCAAGCTATACTACGAAACGCTCTGGAGTAGAAGTTTTTGTAGAACTCCATACAATGACGGTGACAATCTTCCTTCCACTCCAAATACATCATGCTTAAAAATACAAATTTCTGAGTGGCACATTTTATCAGTCGTGATTGAGTGGCAGCAAACCTAGACTACATGCTTCACTTCGTACTGCGCTCGTCGTGACCCTTTGTTCAGGCTGGGGTACGACTTTGCCGGCGTAATTTCCAACTGTAGAACGTGGAGCCCACGATGACGATGATAGGAGGATGGTGTTGAGCGGGAATGCACGGACTCTCGAGGCCCACAGGATCCCTGCATGGCGTCATTCTGGGCCCTGGCGGGGCATCAGAATTTCTGAAGCCTCAAGTCCATGACAGCCCAACTTCGATCTCTTGCGCGCCGCTCGCTCCTCCAGTCGTGCAGCACTCGCTCCGTCTTCCTGCCCTCGAAGAGAATCATGGCCAACGTCGCTACTTCCTACGCCGGTAATTCCTCAATTGCGCCGTCCCCGCGCTTCCGCGCAATTTTTCTGCTTTCATATGAAGCTGACATTCTCCACCAGATCCGGTGCACATTGCCGTCATCGGCGGCACCGGCCTTCAATCGCTGCCGAACTTCACGCACGCCGCGACGCTCAACATCAGCACGCCATGGGGCCAGCCGTCGTCGCCCATCTCGATCCTGCATCACCCGTCGCCGGCCACGGGCGAGCCCATCGCCGTGGCCTTCCTGTCGCGCCACGGCCTGAACCACGAGCTGGCGCCGCATGAGGTGCCCAACCGCGCCAACATCGCCGCGCTGCGCAGCATCGGCGTGCGCACCATAATCGCCTTCAGCGCCGTGGGCAGCCTGCAGGAGGAGGTGCGGCCGCGCGACTTCGTCGTGCCCGACCAGATCATCGACCGCACCAAGGGCATCCGCCCCTTCACCTTCTTCGAGGGCGGCATGGTCGGCCACGTCGGCTTCGGCGACCCCTTCGACGAGGGCATCGCCAAGATCGTGCGCCAGTGCGGTCACAGCCTGGAGGGCGAGGGCGTCACTCTGCACGACCGTGGCACATTGATCTGCATGGGTACGGTTACCCAAAACCTTTCTTTGAAGCCTTTTTTGAGTGCTGACCTGTGACATGTTTGAACAGAGGGCCCGCAGTTCTCGACCCGCGCCGAGTCGAACCTCTACCGCAGCTGGGGCGGTACCGTCATCAACATGTCGGCCCTGCCCGAGGCCAAGCTGGCCCGCGAGGCTGAGATCGCCTACCAGATGATCTGCATGGCCACCGACTACGACTGCTGGCACACGACCGAGGACGTCAACGTCGAGATGGTCATGGGCCACATGAAGGCCAACAGCGAGAACGCCCGCCGCTTTATCGGAGCCGTGCTGGACGCTCTAAGCGCCCAGGAGCACAGCGACCTGGTCCTGGCTAAGCACCTCGAGCAGCAGTCCAAGTTCTCGGGCAGCATCACCAAGCCCGAGGGCAGGAAGCAGGAAGCGGTTGAGAAGCTGAGCTGGCTGTTCCCCGGCTACTTTGAGTAGACTTTTTCTGCGAGTTGGGTTTGGTAAGTTTTGGAGAATTCATAGAGCGTAGAGATTATCTTGCGTTTAAATGTTCGAGGCAAGACTCCTTTGAGAGGTCATTTTGGGTCCACTGATTATTATTATGCTAGGCCGTCTCAACACGTCCTATCTGTTTTTCGTTCATGATTCAAGGATGCGTAGAGTTGTTGTTGTTCCTTGAGACAGATCTGATTCACTGTAGAGCATGACAAAGAGCTGACCTGTAGTCCAGCTTTGAACGAATAGATGTTATCTGAGTCTGTACTAGACCCACTATATATGTCGTCGTGGATGCTGCTTCACCAGTTCCCAAGGCGCTCACTCGAGAGAACGCACGACCCAGTCATCACAACAATGGAAGCCTCATTGGCAGGGAAGTCGCCAGTATGTCGGGCTTGAGACGTGCATATGTGGAGAACTTCGAACGTAGGAAAAAAAGCCTCTTCATCTTAATCCCAAGCCTCACCCCGTTTTCATCCTAGTTGTGGCAATCAAAGCTTTGTCGACAAATCGGTATTCTGAGGCTTGGAGGGGGACGGTTGCCGCCGGCAATCGTTGGGCGTGATTTCGGCGCAACATCCGCACGCTCCCTCGGCCTTTGAAGCTCAATACACCTGCGATTGGCAAGAGAGAACATGTTCACGCAACTGAAGTTGGGTCCTGCGATGGCTTGCGCCCCAAAAGCATACGCGTTCGAGTGACGAGGGTGGCTGTACATGAGCCGAGCCCTAAAAGACGCCATGCAGCGGCAGAGGCTGACTTTAAGGCTTACATTTGCCCGCACGCTTTTTCCCCGACGAAGCGCCGTATGTCCTCTTGCCGTTACTATCTGACCCTTCCGTTTCGCATTTTACTTTTTCTGTCATTGGTGTGGATCTTTCATGAAGATTCTCTGGATTATACTGCCATCGCGATCTGCGAACGCCGGGCAGGCGTGGAAATCACCTCGCGAGATGATCCCAATGCCTACGTTCAGGCGCGCTGCCTAACGCATCGTTCGACGAGCCGGGCGTAACATGAAGTAATAGGCCACCGACGCCTTACAATGGCACGCGCTCCCCACCAAGCTCCATAGTCTCGGCCATCCCAAGGGTCTAGCCCATCGCACTCCTTTGCCAGCGGAGTCCCTTCCTGCAAAACGCCAGCCAGTGAGGTTGATGAGGGGTAATACTGTGCTGGGACCGAGGTAAGAGCGAACCTTGGGTCTGAAGGTTAGAAGGATGCGCTGAGAGATTGGGAGTGAGACAGATTGTGAGGCCGGAGAGATGGCGGCTGTTCGCCAACATACGGATAGATAGGCTTGCTTGAATGGGAAATTTCTAAATATTTTATCAGCCTTTTACTTGCTTCAAAGCTGCAGCACATATACATTTTCTGTTATCGAAGGGCTGCGAACTGACGAGATGCACTTCCGCCAGGACCAAGCTTTTACCAAAACGATCCCCCACACATCCATAAGCAATCCTCCCGAGCGTTGGCAGCTCCTTCCGAAGCCCAGATGTCCAAACTTCAAAGCGCACGACTCCCTTTCAGACTGCTTGCATGGGAAAGTGGTGAGGTGACTCAGCCCCCGCACAACCACGGCGGCAGCGCTCCACCGCCAGTCTTTGCTAAGCCTTCCCACAAACGGGATTCTCAACTCCACAGATTCATGGTGCTTACTTGTATTACCCCCTAGTTGCGGGAACAGCAGCCCAGTTCCAAACATTGCCTCCTACAACTTGATTCGTGCTAACCAGAATCATTGCCACGAGGCTCTCTCCTGCCACACTCGCGTGAACTTGCTCATGATGTGCTCATTGATGCAATTATGCAGAGAAATCTGCTTTGTACTCCCTCCGCTCGTATCTGTCGCCAGGGATAGACCGGGGTGGACGAGAGCGGCTGTGGCAATGATGAGAGACAAGGAACAGGGTTCCTTCGTTCCCTCCCCCCCTTCCCCCCTCCTGATTTATCGGATACACATAATAAGCAGACAAGGCCCTGTCAGCCAACGCTGCTAGCCGCCGACACCCCCCCGATACTTGGCCAATGGTGTTGACGTGCACACCAATTGACGCTGTCTTACCTTGCTCGCCGCTGCCTCTCTTCCCTGCGGGCAAGCAGCTCTCGGCTTCGCGCATCGAGTCCTTGCTGCCGAGGCTGGGGGCCCCGTGAGATGCAATGTGCCTCATGGGCAGTTGCACAAAATGCATGGGCCCCTGGATGCCGTACCCTGGTTTGATAGTTCTGACGGCCCCGGAATTTCATGGTTCTTGCGGTGTGACGGACGTGCTGACAGCCTGGTATGTCGGGTCTTGTCTGAACCGCGTACTGAGAAGGCGCTCCTGGGCTTCGGAAACAGATGTCAAGCTCTTCTGGAGCAATAGGCTGGTGCACTCGTGTTTGAGAATTTTTTGTGGATCATGACATCCTTGAGATGGGGAATATATTATTCTACAGATTCTCGCTATACCGCAGACTTTGTCTCAATACTTTACGGAACATAATAATCAATCCGAAGGGTTTCACTCCTTGAAGAAGTAGGAAAAGATGCAAAATAATTATCAGGGCCATGAAGCGGAAATTTGATCCTCATAAAGTTGTGATTTCCAAACGTCAGCAATTTTTTTCCCCGTGAGATGCTAGGATAGTTCAAATACATGGATAAGGGCAACATGTGAACAGGTAAAGCAACTGAAGTACTTCTATTGCTATTGTTAGCCGGTTCATTGCTCGATGTCGCAAGTAGCGACCGGGTCCACTAATAGTGGGGCATGTCTAAGAATCATGTTCACGCACGGCGGCGCATCACGGTCTGAGCTAAAGACAAGGGTAGAATATTTATAGGGAAGGTTTGGGTGGATCATTAGCCTATCACCCTGACACTTATCGCCACCACCGAAAAGGGAGGGCATGGCCGCGCTCCAATTTCCTCAACTGTTGGATAGATGAAACGAAATGATGGTCCCTGGTGGCAGCGGGTGAGAGTGGCGACGTGCATCTACAGGGTGTTTGTATTGCCCGAATGTCCAAGCGCTGTCACGTCGAACAGTCAAAGCTGGTATAGAGTAAAGCTTTACTAAATGATCCCTGAACATGCTGTACAGCTCAAACTTTGTCTGCCAATATGTCATCATAACTACCATCTAAACTTGATTCTTTCTACATGTTCTTCAGTTTAATTAAAATAAGTCTGTGCAACTACGAGCGCGGAAAATTTTCAACGACACTGCATAGAGGTAAAACAACGTCCTGGCTCCCACCATCAACTAACAGCAATGCTCAATTACAGTGACAACTAGCAAGAAAAGTGGGAATGTGTTAAAGCAGCACCTACGGGTAAACCCGGGCAAGGAAATTTCGACCTGACCGGTTTGATTCTGAACAAGATCTTCAGCCAGCCACAGAGCTGCAGTAATACATAGGCAGTGTTGTGACACGCCTAATCATCATGCTATAGGAACGCCTTCTCTTGAAGCTAATTTAGGAGTAATAAATTCTTTCCGGCAAAAGCACAGAAGGCTATTGTTGCTGCTCAATCAATTTAGCATTTGCATGTTTGCCGGCCACCTCCGATATCAATCATTGTTCCACGACTGACAGCTGACAAAACAGGATACACAAGCATTTGTCAATACATCTCCAAATAAGGACATATAACGCCCTTAGCCACGTTACTCAGCCACGAGCGCGGGGCCTAAGAAGGAGGGAAAACACACTAGAAGGGTGAGAGCGAAGAACCACGAAGCCCGTTTGCCAAAAATAAAACAACCAAGACGGAAGCAAAAACCCAAATCCAACGTCTTGTGTCACACGTGCTTGTTTACAACTTACCATAAGTCCCCCCCAGCCTTTCCCACAATCCCCTAGTTTGAGTGCCTCTGCGGTTCGTGCACCGTGACCCCGCGTCCGGTTCCGGCGGCAGCGCCTGCGCCGAACTGTCGAAAGCGCAGTGAATACGGCGATGGCGGGAAACGATCGCCAGGTACGAAGCTATTGTCAATGAAGTGGTGAGTCAGTGCGATCTCCCCAGTACCGGGGAACCAGGTTGGAGAGAGAGGGCTGCAGGGACGCAAATCAGCTCGAAGACTGGTTCGTAACTCCATCGAACGGGGGCACCTGTGTAGGCAGTGAAAACGTCAGACGAAAAGATAAGTAGAAAGATGTGACGATGGCTGCATGATGAAATATGCCGCCATCCGGGACAAGACTAGGGGATTAGGGGGGGATGTGGGAAAGGAGCCGCGCAGGACGGTGCCACGACATCAGACACATTATTACATGGTGGTCAACAAGATGGCCTCGTCTCTGCCCTTCCACGGGCATGACGAATCTGGTTAGCGGCGAAGCAGCTGCCGTTACGCGGCGTATCTCTCTTTCCCCATGCTCTGCTCTGGCCCCGCGCAGACGGAATGGTGCGTGCGTGCGTGCGTGCGCCTGGCGAATGACGAGTGCAGCTCGCGTGGCTTGATCTTCTCTTTACTCGAACGGGGAAAGGAGCAAGGGATGTGCCGGGCGGCGAGAGGGTAAAAGGGCAAGTTGTGGAAGCATCTGGCCCGGCAGCAGGAAGAGAGTGGACGACCGTAGACCCGGTGTAGATAAGCGAACGCCGATCATCGCCCATCCGTGCCATGTACGTGCTTCTACGTCGTTGCCGAGCGGGGGAATGGGGCTAACAAAGGGCCTACAATAAGTCGGCTTGTAAGTCCAGAAGTGCTGAGACGCGCAGCAAGAATTTGTATATGAGGGCGAGCTAATGCTTGGCAGCAGTCGAGGCGTGCCATGGAGCGACGACAAACTTGGAGGACGGTGTACGCACGAGACGCATGAGCGGCTGCTTTCTTCTTGTACTCCAGTGTACTAAAAGCTGACACCGCAATTGCTCGCAGAACGTGGCTTGCTTGTTCCTGCATACGCCGTTTCAGGAGGAGGGGAATCGGGGGTGGGCAGCGCTGCGTATCCACTTCCGAGACCTGACGCGAAGAAAAAGCATTGCTAAAACCACGCGCCGTGGTCTGACATACCTGAGAGATATGCAAATTGAGTGTCCAAGACGGCTAGTTTATCAACGCGGGCGGGCACCTGCGGCAGCTTTTGAATATCATGTGTGACGCGGATTCGTAAGATATGGCGAAGTGCAGAAAGACTCCGGAAGGATCGGAGGAAAAGTAAAAATCAAAGAGTGAATACATGTCAGCCCCGTATTTCGAAACTACGCCCGTGATCTTGGCTGGTCAGGCACGACTGACGTTGGATCGAGGGGTGAGGGGCAGCGGGTCAACTGATGCCGGTGGCGGACGTCCCTCCGTTCCACAGTTTGGGGGGCATCCTGGCCGGCAATCAACGTCTTGTCCCCAACGGTGGTTGCTGCCCAGCGGTAACGGGGCGGTTGCATGCCGCGGACCGGGCCGTCAATGATTGGGAACGGCGTGTGTTCAGGGTGGCTTTTCTGCTCTTCCGGTTTGGTAAGAGGATCTTCATGCGGAGGGCGGTGGTGGTAGAAAACACCATGCTGTGCGTAATGACGTGCGTGGGAGGCAAGGAAGGGTCAACCCCGGGCGTGGCGTGTGAACACGCCCAGGGACTCCGGCATGGGGGATTGTCTTAGACAGTTGGCCACCTGTTGAGAGTCAGTTGGTGCTGGTCGGCCGAGACGGCAACCTCAACGCGTGTATCTCGGTTGGAAGGAGAGGCTTGAGGTTCGACGTCCAGCGTTCCAGCAGCTGTTAGACAAGCCGGGCCGCCTATTGTGCGGTGGCTGATCCTGGCCGGTCTTGGGAACGCGGAGGCTCATTTCGGTTGGAAACGGCGCGCAGGGCTCCGCCGGTGTCTGGCCACTTTCCAGAAGACGAGCACACGAGGCGCGATCGGCGTGGTGGTGGGTATTGCCGGTGGGTTTTCATGGGGCCGCCCGGTCGAGATCGAGCGGGCAGGGATGTGGTTCCCGTCAAATTTCTTGTGTGATGCTGCCGCATCCAGACGGGGCTGCAGATTACTTCAGGATGCTACGAGGCACCGGAGCGTGTGGAGACCGGAAATAAGTGCGATGATGGACTTGGGGCGGCGATCAGGGCTGCGTTGCGGTCGACGAGAACCATGGGCGAGGGCTTTGGGAAGAAGGTGTCGATCCGATCGCGCCGCGGCGGCCGAGCGCAGCGCTCGGCGGTGATCCCAGGATCCTCTGTCTGGCACACGTGGTGAGCAATCTGTTTTCCGCCGCACACACCAGCAACTTTATTGCGGAGACAGGGACGCGGCGGCGGCGCTGCGGTGGGCTGCCGGGGGCGCTGCCGGCGGAGGCTCTGGTCTGGTGCGTGCGAAGCCAACGTCGCTCTTCTCTCCTTTCGCCATTACTCGCGCGCGGCAGGCCGGGGCGCAAGTTGCAACGCTCATGCAGCCGGCACCATCGCAATGGCGGAGCATCCTTGCCGCGGTTTCGAGATTAAGGGCGCTGCCTGAAACGCCTGCTGGAGACCCGCCCTTACAGTCGCGCGCGCCCAAACCCTGGGCGCGGCTTGGAGGCAGTGCGAGAGCTCTCTGCAGCAGGCGGCTGGCAGCGTTGTGCAGGCGGGCAGGGAGGGCGATGCCCGTGGCGCGCGCCCGCGTTGTGCGTCCCGCGAGTCCCGTAAATAGACTGAGTGCCCGACGACATGGGCTGCCCTGAGCTGAGTTGACAGAATTGGATCCTTGACGCGTTTAGGGCTCCGTGCGTGTCGTGGGCTGGTGCGCAGCGACGTGCGGACGTCTCCATCTTCGGGCGACAGTATCGCCAAAGACTCGGGTGCACCTCTTCTGTGCTCGTCCTGTATATTGCCCGCATCGCTGGCCCTGCAGGTTGAGCGTAACGTCCCCAGCGGCTCGGATCCGTCAGCGCAACCCCGGCCTGGCAAACGGCCTCGCGAGCTGCCTGCCTGCCTGCCTGCCTGCACTGCCCGTTCAAAGAAAGGACGACCGGCTCCCGCGCGCCAGCTTCCGCCATGGAGCACCCTCCGTCGAGCACGCAGCAGCAGCACCACCACCATCGCGAGCACCGCCGCCTGACCAAGAAGGCCCCGCCGCCCGTCGCCTACAACCAGCACCGTTCGCTGCGCCGCGCTCCCTCCGCCCCGACCTACCCGCACTTCCACTCGCTCGGCCATCAGCGCAGCCCGACGGGCGAGTTTCCCTCCTCGTCCAGCTCCTCGCTCGAGCGCCAGCAGAACGCCCTCGACGACTCCGCATACGCTCACCAGCAGCGCCAGCAACGCCGCTCCGTCACCGAGAAGAGCTCCGCCGAGCTCATTGGGTCGCCGTTCGACGCCCAGGGCCTGTACCAGAACATCAACGCCATCAGCTCCAAGTCCAGCTCGCCCTCGCGCCCGCCGCCCCCGCAGCACTCGCACACGGCGGATGCCCGCCTCTTCACCCCGCGCCTCAGACAGTCGGCCAGCTTCGCAGCGCTGGGTCGCAAGATGGAGGCCCTCAACCCCGCAAGGTCCGACGACAACCACCACAAGCGCTTCTCGGGCGAGGTAAAGCCCTCCAAGCTCACCCGCCCTGACACCCTCAAGAAGACCAAGACCGGCTTCACCAACTTCGTGAGCGGCCTCGTCGGCTCGCCGCGCCGTCCCACCATCAGCACCCCAACCAACCCGCTCCACGTCACCCATGTGTCGATCGACAACGACACTGGCGAGTTCACGGTAAGCCGCCTGCAATGCATAAACAGCGCAGCCCCCCGACCTCAAGCGCGCGCATCTCCCTGCAGCCGAGCTGACTGACACGTCTGTCGCAGGGATTGCCGCGAGAATGGCAGAACATCCTCAAAGCGAACGGTATCACCGAGCAGGATCAGACCCAACACCCCGAGGCTCTCGTCGAGGTCGTCAACTTCTTCCAGGAGAGCCAGGGCGGCCGCGCCGACGAACACATCTGGGACAAGCTGGGCCATGCCCAACCGAGCAGCAACATTGTGTCGCAGCAAGCTGGCGGCATGACGCCGCTGATGAGCCCACCCGTTAGCCCTCGTTTCCCCCGCAATGCCGAAGACTCTTTCGAGAACCCTCGTGCGCCGCCTCCCATCCCCCGCCCAGGTCACGCCTCGACCCAGGCCCCGTCGCCCAACGGCGATATGGTCCCGCATCGTCCTGCGCCCCGGCCGCCGCAGGCCCAGCCGCAGCCCAAGGTTATGCCGCTTCGCCCCGCCCCGCCTGCGCCCGCTGGCATGGATCGTGTGCCCGAAGATCACTCACCTGTCTCGTATGCTTCGCCCGTTGCCAATGAGAATGCTCACACTAAGCCAACCGGTCAACTTAGTCGCTCGAATACGACCACGGACCCAGCCCCCACGAATTACGGCCAGCCCCCGACGCAAGGCTCCACGCAGCAATACCAAGCCCAGCAGGAGCAGGCCATGCTCGCGGCTCAGCAATCCATTGCTCGTCAGCAGGCGCAGATCGAGCGGACTCGGAGCCAGCGACACTACCAGCAGAACCCTCCTTACCAGCCACCAAACCCACAGCAGCAGTTTGCTCAAGCAACCGACCCGAACAATGCTCCCCATACTACCCAGGCACCGCGCATGGGCCCCGCTCCTCCTGGTGGTCGCCCTGGTCAACGGCGGCAACGGCAGAGTGCTCAGCCTAGCGATATCATCCAGAGGCTGAACGCGATCTGCAACCCTTCGGATCCCACCACCATGTACAGAAATCTCACCAAGATTGGACAGGGAGCTTCCGGTGGCGTTTTCACCGCGTACCAGGTTGGCACCAACCGTTGCGTTGCCATCAAGCAGATGAACCTGGACCAGCAGCCGAAGAAAGATCTGATTATCAACGAGATCCTGGTTATGCGCGAATCCAAGCACCGGAACATCGTCAACTTTATGGATTCGTTCCTGGTCAAGGGTGACCTCTGGGTGGTGATGGAGTACATGGAGGGAGGTTCGTTGACAGACGTCGTTACCTTCAACATCATGAGCGAGGGCCAAATCGCTGCTGTTTCCCGCGAGGTAAGCTATTTTCCAGCCATTTCTGCTTTCTCCCGAAACTGGACTGACATTGACAGGTTCTCTGCGGCCTCCAACACCTGCACTCGAAGGGAGTTATTCACCGCGATATCAAGTCGGATAACATTCTGCTGTCGTTGGAGGGTAACATCAAGCTCACGGATTTCGGTTTCTGCGCGCAGATTAACGAATCCGAGCGGAAGAGGACAACGATGGTCGGCACGCCATACTGGATGGCTCCGGAAGTTGTCACGAGGAAGGAATACGGCCGGAAGGTCGACATCTGGTCGCTAGGCATCATGGCCATCGAGATGATTGAGGGAGAGCCTCCGTACTTGAACGAGTCTCCCCTTCGCGCTCTTTGGCTCATTGCAACCAACGGTACTCCTACCATTAAGGAGGAGCACAACCTCACGCCTGTTTTCAAGGATTTCCTTGCCTTCGCTCTGAAGGTTGATCCTGATAAGCGTGCGAGCGCCCACGATCTGCTCACTGTAAGTGTTGGATGGCCCCACAACCCATGAAGCAGCTACTGACCATTCAAAAGCACCCGTTCATTCAGACGGCTGAACCCCTCGCCACTCTTGCGCCCCTGGTCAAGGCCGCCAGACAGGCCCGCGCTGAGGAGCGGCGCAAGAAGGGTGGCGCTTAGCTTCCCCGGGACCATTCCTGAGGTGGAGCTCATCTAATCATTTTGTTTATTAGAGCGTGATGCATATTGAGCCGAATTGCGAGCACGATACCGCACTATGAAGACCTCAACGAAGTTTATGGAGCGATTCGACCTTTCCGCGTCTAGTTGTGCAGCATTCGCGTCATTGCGATAGCGTATACGGATACCCACCAACAACGACCTTCCGCGAAAGCCTCTTTGGCATCTGAGCGAATCTTCTCTTCCATGGCCCTCTTCGACTCGGCGGCGGCTAACGGCGCCGCATTAGTGCGATTCCAGCTCCAACCTGCGAGCCTTAGTTATGAAAGCGGGGGCTAGGAGTCGGCGATTATGATCCATTTAGGCTTTTGCTCTGCTTTTTCTGCTCTTTTTTCTACTACGATGAGGGACTTTTTCTCCGCTGCTGGATAAATTCGGCTTCGACTGCAGATCAAAACAGTGGAACATGAGCCTAACAAGTGGAAAACACGGCTGACTGGCACACAAATAAAGTTTTTATCTGGCGGTGACTGGGAAAGATGGGTATCACTGATCGCGGTACACTGGATGTGCAGGTGAAGCAGATCATATGCCGGTCACTTATCCACATTTGTTGGTTCTTGCTTGTCTTCTCTTCTATTTGCGCCTCGAGGCTGCGGGGCAGTTTTCATTCGCGTGTGCGGTCTGGATTGTTGCTTGACGAAAGAGATATCCTGGCTCGCGCTTAGTAGTGGCAGAGAGCCATGGCGAGGCATGCGTTGGCGTTTCTTCTTTTTTCCCTTCGTTCCCCTTCTTCCCTCTCTTCTGGATGGATTGCTCTTTTACTGCCGGGTTGCTGGACATTGACACAAGCGTGCGAGCTCTTGGTTTTACTCTCGAATCTTGGTGCTTGGTTTTCTATTACTTATAACTGGGAAAATGGCCGGGTAAACTTTTCATACAAAAGAAGAGCGTAGGTATATGGGTACAGGGCTCCTCGTGATTCATAAATTTCAAGGCCGGTCTTGCTCGATTGTTTTCTTCCCGGGCCTCAACGCCCGACTATCACGTGTGAAAACAGAGATCTCAATTTTGTTTCTTTTCGGCCGAGGCAAACATTTTCATTAGCAAGTGCGCCAGCTCAAAAAGGAAGAGCATTTCGGCTCGGGTCATACGAGGGTCCCTCTTTGCTCGTGCTTCCCTCTGGCGCGTGTCTGCCCTTATGATCTTCCTAGTAACGATGGCCATGCGAAGTTTTATCACCCTAGAACCGAGATCTACCTGTGCGCCAGAAAATGTTACGTGCTGAATCACTCTCTTCTTTTTATTTCCGGACGTGCCTCTCGCCTACAGGTTGAAAGAACGTGGCTTCGTATGCAAACTTGGAGGCTGACTGTATTGTAGCAATTATGATGTAGTGGATACCCCTTCCGACTTTTGTTTTGGCTTTTAGCCGCTACACTAATGCACGAACTATTGCCAACGGTACGTACTCGTTTCTGCCTCTTATCTCATCCTTTACTTCCTTTGGCGCATGGGCGTAAGCCTAAGCGTGACTAGGTGCATGGCGCTTTCGTCCCATTGGAAAAGGTTCTCCTACTAGCAGCGTTAATACGCGCGCATCCTACCCTCTCATATATATTACCATGGTAGCTTCGAAAAAATGAAACGAAATAAGCTAGGACAGTTCGCTTCCGTTAAGCAAAAGTTACTGTACATTTTGGAAGGCTTATCATGACCACCCTTCGCCCATTCCTTGTGGCTGAGTAGAGAGAGCAGATCGGTATCTCGACCCCAGTTCAGACATGGTGTGCTCATTGGCCCGGTGTTGTCGTGCGTGGTCAGATGCACATATTTCCGACATGTCGGTACTTGGGCGCTAAAGGGAGAGCATTTCTGGCACTGTGATGGCATGCGAAGTTGGAGTTTTGTTCTCTCTTTTCTTTTTTTCAATATTCAATACTGCTATGACCTCGACGCGCGCCTGCAGAGCGGGCAGCAGAGAAGAGCCCTACTTCATCTATTTCCTCCCGCGGCATCTTTTAGCCGGTGGGTCTGCCCGATGACGCAAACGGGCTATTTATGCTGTGCCAACTTTTCCAAGGCATTGATGGATGGCTGAGGGCTTGAGTGGATGACCGGATAGGGCGGGCAAAGTGTTCTCTCTATGCACTCCACGCATGAATATGAAGGCTGACTTTGACAGGGAGGGTGTCAGCATTAAGCGACGGGCGGAGGTGGAGATTAGCTTTCTTGCTGTCAGCAGCGACGGGCATTGGGGAAAAAAAACTTGGTGAGACCCTGCAAATAGGGCAGACCGCTGGCAAAAAACCGGGCGTGCGATTGCAATCTGCTCTCCCGCGGCATCGTGGCCGCAGTCGGCTTGGTGAGTTGCGGTCTGTTCCCAGCCTCCGGCCCGTACCGAACAGTGACGCGTTCGGTTTCGCGCGGTCGCAGCCGGCATCGAGATAACGCTGTTGGGCTGGGACAAAGGGGTTTTTTCATGATTAAGGGTCTGCTCGTGTGCGCAAATTCCACATGTCTCCAGGGTCCTTGGCTATGATAGAAGGGTTCCAAGAGGTGGCGGGTGGTACCCTTTGCTACCGCTAGCTGATCGGGAGCTGCGTTCGAGAATATTCTCGGAGCTTTTGACAGGCTGATGTGTCTTGGGAGCTAACAGCCCTATCGCTGAATGTACACGATGTGGTTGGCACCTCCCTGCTACAGGTCACAAGATACACCAACATGTGTGAGGAGTGCCAAAAGACGTGGCCGGGCTGCCGATGCCCCAACCTCTCCCACTGACCGGCGATTTGCTGGAGCTCCCCGCCCGGGGCCGCCTCTGCGACCGCCTTTCGGGGGTGAGCGGGAAGGAGCGAGGGCCTTGGTTTCTCGTGTGAAAAAAAAGGCGCCGCCCGTCTCTTCCCCACTTCCAACCCCTGCGCTGGGCTAGCCCGGCAGTCGAAGCGCTGCGTCGCGGACGTGAGGCCGGCGCCGACTGTCTTTCCCTGCCTCTTTTGAAGGTTACGAGCGGGCGCGTTGGGCATGAGAGCGTACGTGCGCTTCGTTTTTGCTTACGCTTGTTCCCCCACTTCAGTGGGAATGGCCGCGTCCGAGCATTGGGTTGACGGGCGCTTGGCAGTGAGGGTGCGGATATGCAGTGGTGCCACAGGTCGTGAGACTTTGAAGTGACTTCTGCGGGTAAAAGGAATCGGTACGAAGATCGGGGTCGAAGAGGGAGAACTGGAAAGGCACAGAAAAGCATGTGAAAGAGCGCTTTGGACGATACACTGGTCATCTCGGTTCTGAGGCCGATTGAAGAGGAAGTAGTCCGATACCCGTGGGGATGTGCATGAATGGAGAAACTCCATCTTTTTTCTTATTCCTTGGGTTGCATGCCCAGAGGCACGGTACCTTTGCGTCGTACGTCCCCTGCGGCAACGGTGACTGCAGCGAACGGCGGCAGTCGGAGGGCGTGCTGGGTTCTCGTAGCCGGGCCATGTCCCCGCAAGAGTCGAGTACGTCTCCACAGCCCGCCAAAACCGCGCGCCGCGAGTAACGGCGGGTCCCGCAGCTCAACGAGATTTGGACAGGACAACGCACGTAGCGCTTCCCGCCCGGATGTTGTAAGAGGCGCAGTTCAGACACGGCTCCAACCGTGTCTTCTCTGCCGTTCGTCGGCTGCATGCTGCTTACTCACCGTGACGGTGGTTTGGTGTTGCTGCGCTCGCGCCGCATCGTACCCGCCCGGCGGTGTTCCGATGCCTGCTAGAGTCAGTCCCCTTGCGGTGTGCGATCAGCGGGCCCCCGGCGATTTTTGGCCTTGCGCCTTATCGACCTCAGCATCCCTTCAGACTCCTTCGTCAGGCACTTAGGCAAACCGCCGCGTTGCTATACAGTCGCGCGTGTCACGCGGCGCTGCTGTTAGCTGCAGATCGCCGCGCTTGATGCGAAACAGGACGGGAGGCTTCATGGACACATGATGTGAATCGATAGAGTGGATTCGCGCGGTCAGAGCGCAGCGGCCTCGTCGATGATGCCAGCGCGCTGAGGATTTCCTGACCCTTCTCGTCGGGCGTGCCAGCCGTCTCGGGTCGCATCTTCACACCAGGCGGCTGACCAGTGCCCGTCGTTTTGCAAGGTTCGATGAAGCATGTTGAGCTCCTGCGTGCTGAATATGCAGTGAGAAGCGTCTCAGAACAGGGGCTGCCGTGGACGAGCCGTTCGCGCTGGACCAGAAGCTTGGGGGATGTGGCGCGCGCCATCGCGGAAAATATGTGCGTGAACGCATAGCTAGGCGCCTGCATGGGCTTATTCGCCTGTCCAGAGGCGCAACGTGTGAATATTGAAAAAGACAGCACGTCGTGAAGCTTGTCTGCACATGCGGCCCTCAAACGCGACAACCTGGGGAAGGCTGCCTGGCCGTCCCCGCGACTCAATGGCAGCGCGACGCGTGCTGTGAGTAAACATGCAGGATCGCGGCCGGAGATGGAGGCACGACGCCCATGGCATCATTGGCGCTCCACAATGCCTCTGGGTAGAGCGGTGTAAGTCAATGCCGTCTTCAGACGTGTTCGAGCTTCCAGAAGCTGCCCCTCATTCGTCCTGGCGGCGGTTCTCAGGGACGCTGTGATCGTCTCGCGGTCAGGGGCTTGACCGGCATCCGCGCCGACACCACTCGGCGCGTCTTTTTGGAAAGAGTGGAAGGCACAACCCACCTAGAGCAGCCGCAGTTCCCACACCGACATCCAAAGTCCTCCGACGTCGCGTCTCCCTCTCCTTGCATCTCTCTTCTCTCTCTTCTCCGCTGCCTTTTGTAATTGCTTCCGAGCGTCGCACATCCAGCGGCCGCGGGGCTCATTCCATCTCAGCAGAGCACATCCTCCACCGCTCTTCCACCACTCCCAAAATGGCGGACACTGAGAAGCCTGAGGCCGCTTCCTCGCACAGGAAGACGTCCTCTGTCGCCGGCACCGCGACGAAGACTGGTGCTTCTGCTCCCCCGCGTCGGCCCACCTCAACCATTTCGTCGTCGACCACACGGACGTCTACCACCACCACGCGCACCTCGACTGCTACGAAGCCGACCTCCTCCTCGGCCTCGCGCACCTCGACCAGCAGCACCATCAACAAGCCGCCCACCCGTCCTGGTGCCACATCAACCACCGCATCAGCTGCCAGGCGGTCCACCACCGACGCCGCTGCCAGCGATGACAAGAGACCGGGTAGTGTAGCGGCCAAGAGGTTGTCGACGACGGGCACGGCTTCTTCGTCTGCCCGCTCGTCTGCAACCTCGGGCACCTCCGCTTCTGTGCGCCGCACAAGCACTGCTCCTGTGTCGGGCACCGCCTCTGCAGCAGCGAAGCGCCCCGCCGCCACTTCCAGAACTTCCACTACTTCCAGCACAACTACGCGTGCCTCGGCAACAAGCACCAGGCCGCCATCCACTGCGGCTCGTCCCAGCACAAGGATGTCGGTGACTAGGGCATCCATCGACACAAAGAAGGCTGCTGCTGCACCCAAACCCGCGGAAGAGGATCCCGAGAGGTACGTTGCTCATAATTTTACTCACCCCGGTTACAAACTTAGACTAACATTTTGACTTTCAGCCCCGCTCCTAAGGCACCCGAGGACGAGGAAGAGGCGGCTCCCTCAATTGCGGAAGCGGAAGCGGAGCCGGCCAGAGACGTCGAGACTCCGGCACCAGCGGATGCTCCAGCGGACGCTTCAGCGGACGCTCCTGCCGCCGATGATCTTGTAAGATCACCCCGTGCCTCCCGCGACGCCCAAGAGATCATGCAGGATCTTACCCGAGAATTCGAGCAACGGAAGGCCCTCGAGTCCAGAATCCAAGAGCTCGAAGCCAACATGGAAGAGCTCCAGGCTGACAAGGAGGCCGCCGATGTCAAGGCATCCGAAGCTCTACGAGAACTGGAACGCGCCCAGGAGGACCACAGCTCTGCTCTGACCTCCGCCAACTCCAGCTGGGAGACTCAGACCGAGGACATCCGCCGTCGGAACGAAGAACTCAAGGTCAAGGCCGTTGAGCTCGAAGACGTCAAGCAGCGCCTTGAGCTCTCCAAGGATGAGGCCACCAAGGCCACCGAAGAGAAGGAAGAGCTCAACAACACCCTCGAGGAGCTGCAAAAGGAACTCGAGCGTGCCTCCCTCGAGCTCGAGGAGCGCGAGAAGACCGTCGAAGAGGAGAAGCGCATCGCAACTGAGAAGACCAAGAGCCTCGAGGCGGAACTTGAGGCCCTGAAGACTTCTTCCGTTGAACAGCTCAAGCAACTCGAGCAGGAGCTGTCCAATGTTAAGAACCTCCAGGAAGCGCTCGAGTCTCAGAAGAAACTCGCAGATGAGCGCGTTGAGCAGCTCGAGCAGGATCTCAAGGCTGCCAGCGGTGGCTCCGACGAGCAACTCACCCGTCTTCAGGAAATTCAGGAAGAGATGAAGCAATCGACCGAAAAGATCTCCCAGCTTGAGTCTGAATTGGCCGCTGCCAAGAACAACGCCAACGACGAGGTTGCCCGTCTCACCAGCGAACTTGAGAGCGAGAAGAAGGCGACTTCTGAGAAGATCGCTCAACTCGAATTGGATCTGTCAGCCGCTAGGGAGAACTCTGGCGACGAAGTCAAGTCCCTCAACGAGCAGCTTTCCGCGGAGAGAAACGCTGCCGCCGAGAAAATTAGCCAGCTCGAGACCGAACTCGCCGCCTCCAAGGAAAGCACCGGTGATGAGGTCAGCCGCCTCAAGGCTGAACTCGATACGGAGAGGAAGACGGCCGCGGACAAGATCGAAGAACTCGAGGCACAACTTTCGTCTGCCAAGGACGGCTCCAATGATGAGGTCGCACGCCTCAAGCAGGAGCTCGACGCCGAGAGGCAGTCGGCTGCCGACAAGATCACTGAGCTTGAGGTCCAGCTTTCTTCGGCGAAGACCGAGTTCACCGAGGAGGTCGCGCGTCTCAAGGACGAGCTGAGCGCTGAGAGGAAGACTGCCGCCGACAAGATCATCGAGCTGGAGGCTCTTATTTCCTCTGCCAAGGATGGCTCCAACGAGGAGGTCGTCGGCCTTAAGGAACAGCTCGAGACCGAAAGGAAGTCTGCCGCTGACAAGATCATCGAGCTCGAGACCTTGCTGTCGTCTGCCAAGGATGGCTCCAGCGACGAGGTGGCCGCCCTCAAGTCCGAGTCCGAGAAGTACCAGAAGCAGCTGCACGAGGAACGCGAGGCTCTCACCACCACGATTGAGTCGTTGGAGAAGCAAATTTCCGACCTCAAGACCGAGGCAACTGAGGCCACTGAGAAGCACGCCGCCAAGCTGAGGGAAGAGCAGGAGACTGCTGCTGCTGCCATCGTTGCCATTGAGGAGAAGCTCGTTACCGCTGAGAAGGACCATGCCGATAAGCTTACCGAGCTTCAAGAGAGCCTCAAGAAGCACGAGGAGGAGCGTGGCTCCCTCAAGTCTCAGTCCGAACTTGACGAACTCCTGGAGCAGGCCAAGAAGGAAGCCGACGCGAAGGTCGCTGCTGTCGAGGCCGAGGCCCAGAGGCTTCAGGAAGAAATCCAGAAGCACCAAGAGGACATCAAAAAGCACGAGGAGGAGCGCGGCGCCCTCAAGTCTCAGGCTGAAATTGACGACCTCCTCGAGCAAGTCAAGAAGGAAGCTGCTGAAAGCTTGGCTGCCGCCGAGGCTGAGAAGCTGAAGCTCCACGAGGACCTCGCGAAGCTTGGCGAGGAGCGTGGTGCTCTCAAGTCTCAGTCTGAGCTTGATGAGATCATTGAGCAGGTCAAGAAGGAGGCTGCCGAGAAGGTCGCTGCTGCTGAGGCCGAGGCCGAGAGGCTTGCCGCAGATCTCGAGAAGGAGAAGGCGGAGGCTCTTGGCTACCAGGAGAAGATCGCCACCATCGAGCGTGAGGCTGCCGAGCGTACCCAGAAACTCCTTGATGACTACAACGAGGCCCAAGCCGCTCTCGTCAAGGCTAGGGAGGACAACGAGAGCCTTACCACCCAGCTCAACGCTTTCCAGGAGACCGTCAGGGCTGCTCAGGAGAGCATGGCCGAGAAGGCCCAGCAGTTCGAGGACCTGCAGAAGGAGTACGAGCAATCCAAGATGCGCACCGTTGAACTGGACAACACCATGGATGAGGTTCGCCAGAAGGCCATCCAGGACTTGGAGCACGCCAAGTCTGAGAGCAAGGCTTTCCACGACAAGCTCCGCGAGCTGGAGGAGGAGACTGCCGAGGCCAACCGCCGCATGGAGGCCCAGCGTGCTGCTTACGAGGAGCTGAAGTCCGAGCACGCCAACGCCTCATCCGAGTCCGAGGAGCGCCTCAGGAAGCGCATTGAGGAGCTCGAGCAGAACAGCCTCAAGGCCGCGGAGGAAGCTGCTGCTTACCAAGCCAAGGTTGCCGAGATTGAGCAGGAAATGACTGTCAGACTCGAGCGTGAGCAGGAGACCCTTCGTGTCCAGCTTGCCGAACTGCAGGACAAGCGCGCCGCCATTGAGAGCGAGAAGGAGACCATGCAGACTATTACTTCTGAACTCCAGGAGAAGATTGCTGAGCTCGAGAAGGAGGCCTTTGAGAAGGCTCGCCTTGTCGAAGACAGCTCCATCTCCCTCAAGAGGCAGAGCGTCGAGTACGACAGTGACAAGGCTTCCCTGCAGTCGGCCATCGAGTCGCTCCAGGACAAAATCCGTGCTCTCGAGCAGGAGCGCACCGAGACCGAGGCTGCTGCCACCGGTGAGGCTGAGAAGCTCAAGAAGCAGATTGCCGACTTCGAGCAGGAGAAGGCTTCCACGGACGCTGTCATCATCTCTCTGCAGGAGAAGGTTACCTCCCTCCAGCAGGACCAGGCCGATGGCTCCCGTGGTGCCGATGAGGACACCGAGAAGCTCACCCAGCGCATCCAGGAGCTCGAGGAGGACAAGACCTCGATGCAGTCCACCATTGCCGCCCTCCAGGACAAGGTCATCAACCTGCAGCAGAACACCTCCGACAAGAGCTCTGATCTCGTCGCCGAGGTTGAGAGGCTCAGGACGGAGTGCACTGAGCTCGAGGCTGAGAAGGCGGAGATGGTCGCCCGCGCCCAGGACGCCGCCCAGACTCACGCCATCGCCATCGAGAAGAGCCACGATGACTACAACTTCCTCCTCCAGCGTCTCGAGAGGTCCACTCGGGAACACGCCGATGTCGTCGAGAAGCTGCAGGACGAGTACGCTGCCGGCCTCCAGAAGATTGCCGCATCCGCTCGCATTAGCACCAGGAAGCAGAGCATTCACAGCTTGACCGATGAGATTGCTGAGCTCATGGCTGATAAGGCTAATCTCGAGGATGACGCTGAGGCCAAGGACGGAGCTCTTCAGGACGCCAGGGACACTGTCAAGGAGCTGCGCGACCAGATGAGCAGCGAGCACCAGGGCGAGATCGGCCACGATGATATCATGGCCAACCTCCAGAACCGCATCAAGGAGCTTGAGCAGCAGCGTGCGGACGAGGTCGAAGGCCTCACCAACGAGCTGGATGCGAAGGCCAACCAGATCACTGAGCTCTGCGGCAGGATCGAGATTGTGGCTCAGGAGCTCGAGGTCAAGAAGACCGAGACCCAGAACGCTCTTGCAACCATCGACTTCCACCAGAGCGCTGCCAAGGCCGTGCAGAAGGAGTACGAGGAGCAGGTCCAGGAGCTTGTGCGCGTCTACAACGGCCAGCTTGATGAGAGCGCCCAGACTCTGCAGAGCCGTGACCACGAGATCGAGAATCTGCGCCAGACTATCGACAACTTGCACCTTGAGCTCGACTCTGCCGTCAAGGGTCCTGATGTTTTCGAGGTTCGCCAAGAGTTCGAGGACCGCATCAAGAAGCTTGAGGGTCGCATCACCGGTCTTACCGAGGAGAAGGAGGTCATTGAGAAGCAACTTTTCGCTGCCCGCCAGGCCAACGAGGAGGACGGCCGCCACATTCCCGAGCTTCACGAGGAGATCGACAGACTCCACGAGGAGGTTGAGGAGCTCCAGGGTGCCCTTGACGAGGCCGAGCGCCAACTCAACGAGTCTCACGACAGGCTCAAGGTCATTGACAAGGAGCACGCCAAGGTCGTCAAGTCCCTCCAGGATAAGATCGCTGATGCCGAGTACAAGATGGCCGACAAGATTGCGGAGAAGGATGCCGAGATGTCGCGCATGAACCAGGAGCTTGCTGCCCGTCGCCAGTCCATTGATGACGCCATGCCCAAGCTTGATGACTACAAGGCCATGAGGCACGAGCTTGATGAGAAGACGATTGAGCTCGAGGAGAAGTCTCGCCAGGTTGATGGTCTCATGCAAACCCTCAGGGCTCTTGACGAGGCTCACGAGGAGCGTGACGGCCACCACGCTTCTGGTCTGGAGAAGATGAAGCGCGAGCTTGAGGCTGAACTCGCCCGTGTCCGTGTCGAGCTGGAGAATGAGATTGTCAGGCTCAAGACCCTCAACCAGCAGCTGACTGATGCGAACGAAAGGCTCGAGCACGACTTGATGACCAAGCAGGCCCTTCTCAAGGAGAAGATGACCGAGCTCGAGCAGCTCAAGAAGGAGGTCGAGGAGAAGTAAGACACCCTAATATTTTAGCCGCTAAAAAGCTAACAGTATGATTGCAGCCGTGTTGAGCACGACCAGCTGCTCGAGAAGCTTTGGTCCGAGCATGCCAAGGAGCGTTCGTCGATGGAGCAGACTCTTGAGCAGATCTACGAGCAAGAGAAGGCTGCCATCGAGCAGAAGCTTAAGGAGGACCAGGAAAACATGAAGCAGTCGCTCGAGGCAGAGATTGCCCGTGTCAAGAAGCAGCATGACGAGACTGACAAGCTCTACAAGCAAGCGCTCGAGGAGGCTCTCAAGGAGGAGAGGTCCAAGCTTGAGGTGGAAGCCGCCTCTCGCCAGGAGCAACTCAAGGCTGAGATGGAGAAGAACAAGGAAACCACGGTTAAGAAGCTTACTGATCTCCTCGATGTCGCCAAGGCCGAGATCAACGACCAGTTCTCCGAAATCAAGCGCGCTGAGACCGAGATTGATCGTCTCAACGCCGAGATCGACAAGCTCCACGTTGAGATTGCCGGTACCCGCGAGAGCCCTCGCGTCGCTGAGCTGATCCGCGAGTGCGAGACTTACAAGCAGCGTCTGATCGAGCTCGAGACTGAGGTCTCGTCTTACCGCCAGAACGGCGGTGCTCCCCCGCAATACAGGAACTCTGGCGATGCGGAGAGAGACGCGTCGAACGACAAGTCGACAAGCGGCCAGGTGCGTTATAATCAGACCGGGCCATCCACGGCTTCAATGGTCAGCTCTCCTTGGTTTTTTCCAAGAGCCCGTCCCTTCCCCCTCGAACAGCCATGATTTGCGTCGGCTTTCACCCTGTGAGTCCCGGGCTAACTAGCGTTTTTTTGAAGATGGCAGGGATCCATGAGCAAGTTCGTCAACTGGGTCAGCTCAACGAAGAGTTGATCTCGCACAACCAGGATGTTTCCGGATTCATTCGCAACGGCTTCAACACGAAGACTTCTTCGGTGACCACTACTGTCCACGCTACCTCGGCTGACTCATGAGCGCTTCCGCATCATATGACGTAGAGTCAGCGAGGGATGTAATGGTTGGTTCCGGGATAATTCTGCGACTTTTACGGACCAACAAATGAAAGGATGACCAGGAATGAAACGAATGATGGGCGATGAAAAGGAAGGAGATTTCTTATTTTTGCTCTCTATTCGCATCGGAACGGACGGTATCAAGGTTTTTTTCTTCGGGGTGTCGGGCTTTTCCTCTTAAGGCTATTTTCAATCGCACAAGCGGCTCTGGATTGCTTCTTGTTTTTTTGGGGTTAATTGCTCTCCTGGGTAGAGGAGTTTTTGCTCTCTTCCCACATGTTTTTCGATTGTGGATTTTTACCCCTTTCTTTCCGCCCTTTTTATTTTGGCTTTGGGGGAGGTTGTTGATGAACTCACTTCCGTTCTTCAGCGCTTGATACCCAGTTCGTGTAGTTTTGGTTCGGGCCAGAGAGAGCGAGAGAGCACATTACGCACAGAACGCACGCACACACACGAGCCTTTGGTTGAAGATATCACTTTACTTCGATTGAAGACTTGTTTTTTTGTATCGTGAACCGATAATAATTTGTAATACTGAGGTGTATGCCAAACTAGTAGCAGCAGTTTTCTGATTTCCATCAAAAAGGGGGGGTATCTACTCCAACCAGCACGCCTTTCTCTCATCATCCAGTCATTAACGCCTTCAAACACCTCCCATCGATTGATTCATCTCGTCTTTTCCGTGTTTCATTAGATGGGGTTGCCGTAATTATTACTTTCGTCGTCGGAGTCCTTCTTAATGGCTCGATTCTCCGGGATGCCAACGGCCGCATAGGGATCAAAGGAGAAAAGAAGTAAGGACATCGCTCTCTCCTCCGCCCTCACATCATCCTTCTCGGTCTAAACCATGTGCTCAGGCGCCGCCCTGTGGTCCTTTGACGGCGGCACCGGCCTCCTCTCAACACTATGCCTCGTGGCCGTGCTACCACTAGGATACCCTCCATGCCCATGTCCACCACTACCACTACCAATACGATGATGGTGACCAGTCGCCGTCGCCGAAGAAGGACCAGCCATAACACCCCCAGCTCCACCGGGCCCGGCGAAACCACCCGCGGCGCTGGCGTCAAACGGCGCGCCGCCGTAGCTGGACCACGCCTCCGGTGCGCCCCAGCCGGCCTGGCGCGTCCACAGCGTGTCGTGGAAGCCGGCGAAGAGCTCTGCGGCGGGCCCTGCGCCGTAGGTGAAGGGCACGTCGCGGCGCAGCGGGATGTGGTTGAAGCGGAAGTCCCAGATGGATGCGTATACTGTTTTCGTTCGTGTCAGTTCTGGCTTGAGAAAGGACCCCAGGGAGGACGAGGGGAACGGGGAGAAGGGATAAAGCTCACCCATGCGGTAACTCGTAAACGCCATCAACGTCCCGATGATCGCGCCGGCGAGCACGTCGTACCAGTTGTGGAACTCGTCGATGGTGAGGGCGCCGCCGATGAGGGTGGCGCCGAGCAGGGGCGCCATGACGGCGACGAGCTTCCAGAGGGCCGGGTGGTAGTTGGCGGCGACCTTGAGCTTGGCGTTCAGGTAGAGCGACAGGTAGACGAAGCCGGCGAAGGCGGCCGTCGTGTGGCCCGACGGGAAGGACTCGAGGCTGTCGTTGATTTCTTTCTCGTCGCCCGTGCAGATGCTGCGGTCGTACATTATGCCGCGCAGGCCGTTGCCTGAGTTGACGCCGTTGAGGGGGACGGCGGGCTTGCAGACGGCGAGCTGTGGGGGAGAGGGGGGTTAGTTGGGGGGAGTTGGGGGGAGTTGGGGGGAGTTGGGGGAGGGGGACGGGGACGAGGGGGACTTACGAAGTGTGGTCGTAGTCCGCCGATTAGCCATTTGAGGAACTGCTGGAGAGTTAGCGTTTGAGGGCTGCTTTCAACAGTATCTGCATGGGAAAGGTACCACTTGGAAGACGGCGGCAGTGATGATGGAATAGAGCAGGCCGATGGTGGCGTTGTTGACGTCCCAGAAGCTGCGGGTGCGGATCTGCACGATCAAGAAGACGGCGATGGGGACCAGGACGGCGAGCAGGGCGGCGGCCCAGATGGGGATGATCTCGTTGCGCATCGGGTAGGCGAATTCCGGGTACACGATCTCGCCGTTCTCGAAGTAGACGGGGAACGAGCGCGAGGGCGCGGGCTTGGCTTCGTAGACTCCGAGGCCGATGGCGCCCAGGCAGATCATGGTGAGGATGTCGGGCCTGATGGAGGTTAATTGCTGCTTGTGGGATTGATTCTGGTGGAGGCTGCTCACCATGTTGCCTTCAGCCACTGGCCGAACCGAGGCCGCTTGTTCAGCGAGCCATCGGTGGGCCAAGTGTGCTTCCTGGTGGAGTGATCCGTGTGGCCATTGTGCGTGACGGGCGCAGTGCTTGTGGTGGCGTTGTCGTCGGAAACCGACGGGCGATTACGGTTGAAGAAGGGCATGTCTGAGGAGCGAGTAGTCTTCTTTGCAGAACTAACAATGTGAGACGAGAGTGGTGCTGTGCGAGCTTTAAGCAGTAGCTTAAAGCAAGGGCAGCGACGCGGATGACGCGTGCGAGGGGTTGCACTCGAAGCGTGGGCTGGGCAGGGCAGGAGCGGCTGGTGAACTGCAAGGTAGTTCCCCGTGCCCGCCCTTTGTATAGACAGGCAGAGGGGGCAAAAAAACAGGGCTGGGTGTACTAGTGATGAACCTCCGCAAAACTTGGCAGAAGCTTGCTTGAGCTTGTCTGTGGACAAAGTGGATGACGCAATGTCGTGGTAAGTGGTGCTCTGATTTGCCGGTTCTCCGGTCACGTGCGCTGGTGTCGAACGCGGCCTGGCTCCTTCCAATTTTAGCCGGTCGTCGCAGCGTGCTGCTACAGAGCATGCAGTTAGTAGAGAAAGTCCTGCGACTAGATGACTGCTGCATTTTCGAAATATTGGCGAATTTGGCAGCAACAGCGACTATTGGCTGCGAGTGCGACGATGTGGTGCTACTCTGGTTCCATGGCCTGTTCTGCTCGGATTGATTGCTCGGCGCTTTGGTCGACGGCTCCCGTCCCTTGCACGCGTCGGCCCGCGTTGCAGCAGCTCCACCACCACTTCTGTCATTGCACTGCCGAAACACGCGTCGCCGTCTAAACTATCGACCGTGCTCGCACCACTACTACTACATTTAGCGGCCCCTATGCTTTCGACGAGCTAACATAGCTCTGCCCGTGCTTCATTTAGTGTTCTTCGCTTACAACAAACGGTCGATGCGGTGTTCCAACGGTGACGGGAAGTCGGATCTCTCAACCGGCCGCCGCTCTTGCTACAGCCTTCGACCGCAGACTAACGCATGAATATATACCGCTTCCTCCAACTCCTTGCGGTTACTCTACTGTGCCGTGATATTGAGCGAGTCGGCCTCGTACAACTGACAAAGTAGCTTGGGCCGCGACTCGTGGTGGTGGTCGCTTGTGCGATTGGCTCGACGTCGTCAACCTTGTCGTCACCCCTGACAATCAGCGCCAGATTCTACCGAAACTCCGACAAGTCCGGCCCCATGGAGATCTCAATGGCCGCAACACGACCATACGCGAGCTTGGCGCGCGAGATACCCTCGAAACTTGTCCTAAAATAGGCAGGCACCACGGACGCATACTAGAAGGCTCGCGTACAGGCATTGGCATCCCAGCATGGCCGAACTCGCTATAAGAAGCCCCGGTGCCTGATTATTTGCAACACCAGCAGCTCTGTTTCACTCAGCTCCAGCACCGCAATGGCCCGCTCACGATCCATCGCCTTCATGGCTTCGGCCGCCATTCCCGCTGCCATGGCTGCCACCAGCGGCACTCTGACCGCCCTCTCCATGAATGTTGCCGGTCTGCCTGAGATTCTGCAGAACAACGACGTGCCCGGCGATAAGACTACCAACACTGCCTCGATTGGCACCAAGTTCTCCGAGTACAGTTACGACATCATCCATGTCCAGGAGGACTTTAACTACCATGCCACTCTGTACGAGTACGACACTCACCCCTACCGGACGGCAACCAGTGGCGGCGTGCCCTTTGGATCAGGCCTCAACACCCTGTCCAACTTTGACTGGATTGATTTCGAGCGCATTGAATGGGACGACTGCTCTAACGCCTCCGGTGCCGATTGCTTGACTCCGAAGGGCTTTACCTTCATGCGCGTCAAGGTTGATGAGGGTGTTTGGATTGATGTCTACAACTTGCACACTGATGCTGGGTACGTGAACTTTTGCAATCTTATTCGAAACCGTCCATTTGCACCTGTATACGCATCCATGAATCAATATAAAAAAAAAAAGAAAAGAAAGAGCAGAACGCACGCTGACACTCCCTCCCCCAAACAGCACCGAAGACGCCGACGAAGCCGCCCGCACCTCCAACGTCAAGCAAGTCGCCGCCGCCATCGACACTTATTCCACCGGCAACGCGGTCCTCGTCTTCGGTGACACCAACTCGCGCTACACGCGCGTGCTGGACAACATCGCCCTCTTCACCACCCAAAACGGCCTCACGGACGTCTGGGTCGAACTCGAGCACGCCGGCACGCCCCCCTCAACCGAACTCCTCTGCGAGAACCCCTCCACCACCGACGCCTGCGAGACCGTCGACAAGCTCTTCTACCGCGGCTCCAAGCTGCTGTCCCTCTCCGCCACGGATTTCCGCTACGACTCGACCAACTTCCTCCAGGCGAACGGGTCGATCCTGTCCGACCACAACCCCATCTACGCCGCCTTCGACTGGGCCGTCGCGGAGGGACTGCGCCAGTCGAATTTCCACGGTGGGCCCCACGGCACGTGGTTCTCGGACGTGCCGAGCCTGCCCGCCTCGCCGTCGCCGAAGGGTGCGACGCTGACCCTCAGCGGTGCCAACCGCCTCGATTCCGTCGCGCTGAAGTTGGCAGATGGGACGGAGTTCTCGCACGGTGGGACGGGCGGCACCGCGCAGAGCTTGGCGCTGGCGGCGGATGAGTATGTCAGCAGCCTGCGCCTGTGCCAGGACAAGTACAACAACCACACGCGCATCTTCTACGCGCTGGCGACGACGAGTGCGGGACGGACGGTGGCGGCCGGCACGGAGACGAGCGATTGCGTGACGTTTGATGCGCCGAGTGGATTTGGATTGGTCGGGTTCGCAGGCCGGGATGGGGATGAGGTGGATGAGTTGGCGGCGATTTGGGGGAAGATTTGAGGTTGGGATGGAGTGATGGGCCGTCGATGTGGGGGCCTTGCTTTTCTTCGCTGTCAATAGTATTGAAAATATGGAATAATAGTTATGTGTGTTGCGAACTGACAGAGTGTTGTTGTTGTTGTCGTTGTGCTGAGATAAATGCGCACTGGTCGGGTGCACGATCTTTGACCTTGTTAATCCTTGACTGTTCTCGATATGTCCGAGATGCTGAGCGTGAATTAATGTGGTAGAAAGGAAACTCATGGCGACAGGCTTGCAGAGTTGCGCATTAGGGGCGGCTGGTGTTGGTGGTATCAAACTCAGTGCGAATGCAGGCGCGAGATCGTGGGAGAACGTTTTGAATGAGGTTGCGCAGGGACGGCAGAAGAGTTATGTGTATCCAGGAAAGCAGTAGCGGCCGCGGCCGCGCGAGATGCTGCTAGGTAGGTTTGCAGATTATCACTCACCGAGGTGAGTAGATCTTGTGCGCGTCACTTCAGTTGACGAGGCGGTCGGCGAGGTCATATCAAGAGACGATGCGGGCGATGACAGTCGCCGAAGTGGCCCTAGGTCAGTGCGTGCGTCGTGTTGTTAGTGACGATGCTGAGCATGGTTGCCGGGAGCATGGTAGTGACGAGGGGAAGCAGCGGGGTGGGGGCGCGGTGGGGAGGAGACGGGATGGCGTGGGCAAAAACAACAGCCGGCAGTCTTGCGGAACGACGAGGAAGACATTAGCCAGGGCGGAAGGCCGCGACCAGCGTCGCGGATGGAGAGCAGCTACCAGGTCGGCGGAGAATCAGCAGCAGGTGAAGCGGACGGTGACGGGCGAGCAGGAATATCTATGGGGTACATAAATGGTTCCGTCAGTTCCAACTGTTGCCTTCGGGCATCACTCAGGCTCTGCGGCTTCGGCTGTATGACCTAGTGGTAAGTTTCATTATTACAACGAAAGAACACGCTAACAACTTCAAAGACTTGAGTCTAGCATTGGGCAAAGAGCAGCCTAGTAATAAAACCGGGGGCCAATGCCCTGTCTAGGTTTTCCTATATGCGCAGCCCTTCGGGGCTCGATTATAGTTTTTGCCAATTTTTTTCCTACCTTGGTTTCTTCCTTGCTATGTCAAACGATAGTGGTTGGTGGTTAAGAAATAAATGGTTAAAGAATGGGTGACGCTCCAGGTGTGGTTCGAATGGTGGACTGCTTTTGCTGCTACGAGCACCCGCCCTCCGCGTTTACACTGCCGCCGCTACCTTAAGCGTCTTCTGCTATTACTCTATCAGTATCCGAGACCGTATCAACAAGTCTGGGGTCGAAGTCCTCTTGTGTGCCGTCTTGGTGCGCTTGTGTTGAAAGTCACGCTGGGAATCCCCAACGCTCTTCTGCCACATCTGGTACAATGATTCTTTCTGTGTGTTGCTGGGGCTGATCCGTGTTGGCAAGACATAACTGTGGCTATTTTCATAGTTCAGTTGTCCATAGAAGGAGAACAGTGTCTTTGCATCGTGTCCCTCTGCTCGGTCCTGATGTTGTACTTCTTGGGTCATTGGACCCGAATATGGGAGGATTGGTTCGGACTGCTCCTGCCTTGACCTCAGAGCAAGCCCTAGACCGGCGTTCTAGCTCGGGCTCCAGTCCCTACTGCTGTCGTTGATGCTCCTCCACAGCCATCGTCTCTACATGGATTCTTTGCATCCTCGCTGATATTTCTCCAACCTCACTTCACCCAAGCTCATAAAGTATGGGCTACTGGGAAGAGACAACTCTTCCCACCATTGCCACAGCTGATCTTCAGTGTCGTCGTCTCCAATCCAGAGCCATTTCATAGGCATCAATGGCGAGGAGGATGAGACGAGCTCCTTAAGAATATTGACTTCATAGGCGTAGATTCATTCATATACCCATAGCTGCTTAGATTATCGCAAGCTTCCAAGCAACCTCACCACACAGAAAATATGACAAAGTAGAACACATGCTTGAGATACTTCCATTCCTCTATTTACTTTTCCGGTATAACGGCTGTGACAAGCAACCTCGCTTTTTTCCGCACTTTACCAAGAGAGTCCGAAAAACCCCGGGCCACCACTCTTATTAACAAGAATCAGAGCAAATCACCCCAATGCAATAGTGTGCAGCGCAAAGAAAATCGTCCAAACCATCCCTGAAGAAGATAAAAGACGCCGAAGGAAACTGGATATGCTCGGGCACACGATCACTGGAGAAGAGGATCCTGGATGCGTGTCAGTTTCCGTACCCTTGTAGTCATTGATAGATGATGAACTTACCCTGAAGTGCTTCTGGAAGTTATTCTTCTTGTTCTTCGTCCATTCCGCCTTCGCCTGATCACGCTGCGCGCGCTTCGCCTCCCTCTTCTCCACAGCGCGGACCTCCCTCTTCTTGACGTCGCTGACGCCGACCATGCCCATCCCGCCGTTCGCACGGGAGACGAGCTGCCTGCCGCGGCCGCGTTCGTCGCCACCGCGCTGGCTGGGATCGAGCTCGACGCCGCCGTCGTCCTCGTCGTCGGAGCCGGCGCGGCGCAGGGCCTGAGCCTCCTCGATGGCGAGCTGCTCGGCGCGCTCGGCGGCCGACGGGTAGTTGTGGAGGTTCTGGCGGTAATAGGTGCGGAGGGAGCGGTGGCCGGCGGTGCGGCCGGTGGGCAGGTGCAGCTCGTACTCGTCGCGGTAGACGGCGCGGGGGCCGCTGTGGGTGCGCGCGTGGAAGCCGTCGGCGGCTTTGTGTGGGCGCGGGTCGGTGTGCGAGTGGTGCTTGGACAGGCCGAGCTTGGCGTAGCGCTCCGAGTGGTCGTCGATGGGCACCGACGTGATCTCGTCCGTCGGCACGTCCGAAACGCTGGAATCGGTTTCCCAGCCGTCGTCCGCGCCGTCTTCGCCTTCGGTCTCGGAGCCCTCGTCGTCGGTGTAGGTGCGCGTGAAGTCGTAGAACTCGCCCAGCTCGAGCATCTCGTCTTCGCTGTCGTACGCGATCTTGCAGTGGCCAGTGTCGCGCATGTGCGTCTGGATGCCTGCTGCCGTGTACACCAACTTGTTGCAGTACAAGCACTGGTAGTATTCGTGGATTTTCCTCCACAGGTGCTTGAGAAGGCCGTCCAAATCAACTAGATATTCAGGCTCAGGAATGAAGAGACTGTGGAAGCGCTGCATGTGGGCAATGTTCAGATCGCGAGACGGGGAACGGTAGTTGCAGAAAAGGCAGTCAAGAATCTGGTCGGGCACTTCGCTCTTCGCTGATTGGGTGGCAGTGGTCGTTCTCGACAACATGTCTCCTTGCTCAGAGTTTGCGGCAGAGTGGTGAGGGCGCGTGGGCCTGCGCGAAATAGGGTCTCCGTCTTCCAGGGTGGTCTTTTCCATGCCATCCACGACCCTGGAGAACTCGGCTTCCGCCTCCTTGTCGGGAGTGCCGGTGGACGCCGTCTCGATGGGTTCGCCGAGAGAGAAAGTCGAGCTCATAACCGAAGTGGCATCGTCCTCCTTGACGCCGGAACGGGCGGCTTTCTGCTTCGCAAGGACATTCTGCTTGTGCTTCTGGCTGTTCAAGTGGTTGTTGAAAGCGTTTTCGCTAAAGTACGTCTTTGCACAAGCATCGCAGCTCTTTTCAAACTGGGCTCGGGCAGCAGTGGCGGCGGCCGAGGCCTTGTTCGCGAGGACCTTTTCCGCAAAGATCTCGGAGGAGAGCGGGGGAAGAGAGGCGACGCGGCGTTTCAGATTGTAGCGACTAGATTATGACATGCTTCTTTAGCATCATTGCCGTCATTCGTCTCAACTTGGAAAATGCGGGATTTTGACTCACTGCCAGTCCGTCTGCATGTGGGCGCGCTGCAGCTCGCTGGCGCGGAACGCCACCTGGCAGGTGTTGCAGGTGAAGGGGTGCGAAGCGGGAGTCGCCATGGTGCCTGGTGCCTTCTGGGGGAGTTGCTGTGGCGGGAGGAAAAGTTGAGTGGTGAAGATAACGGATTGCGTCGGGGCCGCTCGGTGGCAGTGGGTCGCAATCGGTTTGCGGGAGATTGCCCAGCAGCGCTGGCTCGGGCCTCGATAGGAAGGGCAAGCGGGGAAGAAGCTGGAGCGGGAGGGCGAGGTATCGTGCAACGGCGGCGGCGGGGGGAGCTTGTAAAGAAGGGACCGGCGGGCTAGCCAGTGGCGAGTGCTCGTCAGGATCGGCTTACCAACGCACGGCGCGAGGAATTTCGACAGGCGCGTAGGGCTGATGCAGTGCGAATGACGTCTGAGCGCATGCAGGGTATGCCGATTGCCCGCCTGCTGACACAGCACACCTCCATCTTTGACTCGTGGCAGCTCGCCCTTCTGTCCATCAAGAGCGCGAGATGGTTTGCTAACAGCCTCACCACTGCCTCGAACCCGCGCTGGCCCCCCGACATGCCGCACCCCGCCTCGCCTGCTGCGTGCTTTGTGACCTCTGCAACCTCCGCCCGACGCCAGCGTCCACCGCCGTCACCCACCTCGCTGTCATCCCGCGCCCCGACCGCAGCGCGTCTGCCTTGCGCCCCTCCCGCCCTGACCCGATGAGATGACGAGCGACACACGAGGGGCTGCTCCCTCCTCCACCGCCATGGCCCATCCGCACCAGCCTACCCAGAAGTTGCGGGACGCGTGGGCGCGCGTCCTCGAAAACAGCGCAGCCGTAGACACCGACGAGGATAGCGTGGCCGGTGCCCTCCGAACGCGCATGACCAGCTTCGAGTACTTGGTTCGTCGGTGCGTGCTTTTTGCTCCACCTGTCACGCCGTCTGCTGATGTCGTGTAGATACATGCTGCAGATCCGCTACGGATGCGACAACGCCAACTGCACTACTCCCACCTGCTTTAGCTGCGTCAAGCGCGCTACGAACAAGCCCGTCCGCCGCCCCTCCCCTCTGACCGCCAGAGCCTTAGCATATCACCTCGCCAGTCAAGACGACCCGGCCAGTGGTCTCTGCAATCCGACGCTCCAAGCCTTCCGCCTCACCAATACTGCCGAATTCGACATCGAATCCGTCGACCCCGTACGCTTCAAGGTCGACTCACGATCGTTATCACAAAATCTATTCAATACCCGAGTTTCGCGAACTCTCCAGGCTTCCGGCGGATCGGACGAACAAGGCGAGGCCAGTGAATCTGCAAATAGCAGTCCGCTCGGCGAGGTCAGGAGAGATGGGCTGGAAGCTGAACACGAGGCTCGGGTCGTCGACCCTGTACCTACACTTGGAAGCCATCTCGAGAGGCTAGCTGTCGACCCGCCGTCAACGAGCAATGGTGATGTGGCGGTCAAGCCCAAATCCAAAGCCGCCAACGGAAGCGCAAATGGCCATGTGGTTCCTCCAAATGGAACCGTCCCTGAGCTGGGTCGAGACAGTCTGACCGCATCTACGACACAGTCTATCGACGGTGATTCAGACAGCGGAAAAGAAAATGCCGTTTTGACCCCGCCCAGTGATATAACCCTCGACGGCGGTTCCTTCGCTGGTTCCGACAAGGCTGACAGGCTGACATCTCGCGCTGCGCGGAAGGACCGGGATTCATCGGCGAAGTCGTCTACGCAAAAGGTGAGGGTCCCCTTGAGGGACGACCCGGTTCCAAAGCCCCGGTCTCAGTCTGGCAAAACAATCTTCGCCACAACCCATTTGACTTGCGCTATCATGGAGGACTTGAAGCGGATTGCGATGTCGGATGGATCCATCCCCGACACACGAACGAGAGATGCTATCGTAGAACCGACGAGCTCATTCCTGAACTTTGGCCCCAAGAAGAACTGGCGCATCGTTGACGAATGCCTCTTCCGGTGCCTAAGCAATCCGCGTATTCTTATCAAATCTTTCCGTGAGAAGACCACCGCATGGACGCATCGCAACACACCACTTGCGCATCTGGATGCGTGGGAGATGGAGCATGCTTTCAGGTCTTGGCAGTCCATCAACGGATCGCTCATCTATGACAGCCTCTGGCACAGCTTGGAATGTCTATTCACGCCGCCTCCTGAGCTCAAAATCAGAAAGCAGCCACGGACGAAAAAGCCTCTTCCAGATGACATGCCAAGGCGTGCAGATGACGGTCAGTCAGACTATGTGTCTGATGAAGAAGCTGCTCATATCATCATGGTCTGCATACATGCATTGACTTCTCTTGTGACTCGAGGGAAACCCAACGCATGGAAGTTTGTGCGAGGACTGCGACCATTTGGATGGATTTCTCCCAATGACACTCCCAACCTGGCAGACAACCAGACTACCGTGCCATATACACCCATGTGGCTCATGATCACGGATCAGCTGGAATACGAGCCCGCAGTCCGCCTGGCTACTCGTTTGGTCAGAGCGATAGCGGCTCGGCGATGCTTCTTCGAGATGTTGAGAAAAACATCCAAAGAGTATCCCAGAAAGTCTCATTGGGCGATGACCATCGTCTGTAAGCATCTGGTTGATTGCGAAAGGTATAGGCGTGTTGGGCTTTTCCGAGCCAAATGGGACGAGGACAGAGTCATGGATACTTGGTCGAACTGGACCATTGCTGGCACATTTGTGGAATGGATGAAGACAATCGTCATGAAGAACTGGAACGGACAGCACGAACTTAAACGTTGGGATGCTGCCGGAGCGGCCGCCGATACCCTCAGCGACCTTTACGACTACTCGAGCCTCAATATTCATCGCCATATGTACGAACTTTCATACTTCAAGTACAAGCTGGATACCACGGAACTCATCAATAGCTACATCGATCGCAAAGACGATCCGAACTATCGCCACATCCTGCATCACACCTTCTTCTTTCCGAGCGGACTTCTGGTGCAGTACTTCCGCGCTCTCAATTTCTCAGTCATGTCAAAACACTACACTACCGCGGGCAACAACTACCACCTTCAAGATAGGTTCGGTCGGCATTTCCTGAGCGACCAGTGGCGAGACTATCTTGATCAACACTATGCGACTGCATCTAATAGATACCTGTCTTTGGATGTGCGACGAAGCCACGTATTGGAAGACACTCTCGATCAACTATGGGGACTGGAGAGACGGCAGCTTCTGCTACCACTCAAAGTACGCATGGGAAAGCTTGAGGGAGAACAGGGTGTAGATCAAGGTGGTGTTGCGCAAGAGTTCTTCAGGGTCGCTCTCGCCGAAGCGTTCAATCCTGACAATGGTAAATGCACCCCTCCCCCTGAGCTGGCTCAAATTCTAACTTGAAACCCCAGGCCTGTTCACAGTTGATCCTATAACACATGTAGCATGGTTCCAGCCGTTCTCATTGGAGCCATTGTCAAGATTTGAGCTCATCGGCCTGCTCTTTTCCATCGCCATCTATAACGGCATTACCCTCCCCGTTAGCTTCCCTGGAGTGCTTTACCTGAAGCTCATTGGCAAGGCGGTTCAACCTCATCATATCAGCGAAGGGTGGCCCGACCTTGTCAAGAGCTTCCAATTCCTGCTGAGCTGCGAAGATGACGTTGGTGACATCCTCAGCCGCGGTTACGAGTTCAGCTTCGAAGCACGCGGTCTCATCATCAATATTAACATGGATGCCGTAAAGTCCGAGTTTGACGTACCTTCACCATACACGATGCTCGATGATGATTCCGTCGAGATCACCCCTTCTCCTTCCAATCCGACTCCCATAGTCAACTGGCCACCTGGTACCGAGGCGCCGCTCGTGACGAACGCCAACCGAGAGCAGTTCGTCTGCGATTACGTCGCATGGCTTACCGACAAGTCCATCCGCCCCCAGTACGAGGCCTTCGCTCGTGGGTTCCATGCTTGCCTGCCGCCGGAGCATGTGGCATTGCTTCGCCCTTCTCTTCTACAACACATCGTCGAGGGAAGCACCAACATCGACACTCACGCCCTCGAGCGCGTCGCCCGCTACGATGGCGGCTTCGACGCACAGCACCCCTTCGTCCACACATTCTGGGAGGTCGTCCACGCGATGAGCCAGGAGCAGAAGCGGAAACTTTTGGAGTTCGTGACGGCTAGCGATCGCGTGCCGGTGGCGGGCATCGAGAGCGTGGTTTTCTGGGTCCAAAGGAACGGGCCTGATGGTGAGGGGTTGCCGACCAGTAGTACCTGTTTTGGACGGCTGCTCTTGCCGGAATATGACGGGAAGGAGAAACTGGAAACGAAGTTGGCGATTGCGCTGGAGAATAGCAGGGGTTTCGGTGCTGCGTGAGACCACATGCGAGGAAAAAGGGGGCTCATAGATTGTGTTATGGGTTAATATAGACTAGTCTTACAGACTGGATATTCTGAACTTATTTCATCTCTCAGAGACATAATTCTTCGATGCGTTGATGTTGTTCGTGACTGCACAATGGACTGCTGACTCGCCAACGCGAACCTCGACTAGTCGCCTGACTCGCTCTTCCAAAACTTTCCCGCGCGCAAAAGCTCCAGCATCTTCTTCACCCAGCAAGCTCATTTTCCACCAGTACTACTCACCACAATCTCCTGGCCTCACCGCAAGATAACGACAAGTCCTTGCCTCTCGAACCACTCCAAGCGCTACACACGACTTCATCCACAAACACACACCAACCACCCACCATGCCCAAGCGCAAGCGCGACGAGCCCTCCTCCGCCTTCGACTCTTCTTCCTCTTCCTCCGAACCCGAAACCACAAAACAATCCAACCGCAACCGCAATAGTCGCCGCGATGCAGCCGCCCCATCCTCCACCTCCTCCGCCAAACAACGCAAACAACTCCCCACCCGCCTCGAGCAGGCCAAGAAGGAGCTCGTCAAAGCGCTGAAGATCGCGCGCGGCTTCGAGCGGCAGAAGCTGTCGCGCCGGCGCAAGGCGGCAGAGAAGGAAAACAAAGCTGGTGATGTGCAGAGGATTGACGCCGAGATCGAGGCGCTGAAAAAGATCGAGTATCAGAAGCTGGCCGAGGCGCATTTGTACAAGACGTTGTGCAAGATTAAGAGCGTGAGGGAGCATGAGGCGTTGCCGCCGTGGGTGAGGGAGGGGGAGGGGGAGAAGAAGGCTGCGGGAAAGGAGCTGATGAATGTGCAGGCGAGGTTGTTTAATGCGAATCCGACGAAGGAGGCTATGGCGGTGGTGGTGAGGGATGTGAGGGCGATTTTGGGGGTGGATGAGGTGGTGAAGGGGCCGCAGGCGAAGAGGGCGAGGGGGGAGGAGGCTGCGAAGGAGAAGGGGAAGGGGAAGAAGAAGAAGGTGGAGGTGGAAGAGGAGTCGTCTGAGGACGTGGAGGAGGGAGTCGGCGAAGGGGAGAGTGGGGAGGAGGAGAACGAGGGAGATGATGCTGAGTGGGACAGCGAGGAGTTTGCTGGCTTCTCCGACCGCATAGCTGGGTCGTCGGACTCGGAGTCTGAAGAGGAGGATGTCGAGACTGCGCTGAAGAAGCGGCCGTACAAACCCGTCCGTGACTTGTCCTTCACGCCTCCGTCTTCGCGCGAGGCGTCGCCGTCGGGTTCGTCTGAGCCGACTTTCTCGGATGACGAAGAGGAGGAGGACGCGTCTCCAGAACCGGCGCCGAAGGCGAAGTCGAAGTCGAAAGAGAAGGCGCCGGTTGTGACGAACAAGTCCACATTTCTCCCTTCGCTCTCGGCTGTTGGCTACATCAGCGGCTCGGAATCGGAGGCCGAGGATTTGGACGAAGAGATCGCGCCTCAGAAGAAGAACCGCCGTGGCCAGCGTGCACGACAGCAGCTGTGGGAGAAGAAGTACGGCAAGGGCGCGAAGCATTTGGCCAAGCAAAAGAACGATAGGAATGCCGGCTGGGATGCGAAGCGCGGCGCAGTCGACGGCGACAGAGGGAAGAAGGGCAAGTTTGGAAGAGACAGCAGGGGCGGCGGCTTCAAACCTGGTGGCCGTGGTCCTCAGGCTACCGACGCGAACACGGTGGAGCTGGGCAAGAAGAAGAACCACAGAGACGACGGTGGCAAGCTTCACCCCAGTTGGGAGGCTGCGAAGCTGGCCAAGGAGAAGGCGAAGCTTGGTAATGTGCAGTTCCAGGGCAAGAAGGTCACGTTTGATTGAGAGAGCATGGGTTGTGTTCATATCAGGATACCATTTACATAGCGCAAAGGCTATATTCAACGTAAATAACACTGCAAACCTTCCCAGCGAAACGGTAACTTCTTCTTTCGCGCACTTTTATGCCGACCGAACTGCTTCGACGTGAGTGCTGGTGCCGTCCTTTGTCGGCATATCTTCGTGATGGATCTGCTTCTCCACTGCCGCGGTCGCTTGGTCTGCGAGCTCCTTGTCCTCGAACACTGGGTTTTGTTAGCACCAACATAATCTTGAGGCAATAGGGAAACTGGAGGCTTACAGAATGCCAGCTCTTCCAACGTCCTCCCGCTGGTTTCGGGGAACAGGAAGAACACAACCACGATCTCGAAGGCGATCCAACAGCAGTAGGTCAGCAACCACTTCCACTTGATCTCCTCCAAGCCGATCGGGTTCACAAAGGTGGTGAAGAAGCCGGCGCCGCGGCCCCAGAACTGGAAGACGGACAGGCCCATGGCGCGCTGGGCGTAGGGGAACAGCTCGACGAGGTAGGTGTAGGTCAGGGCGTTATAGCCGATGTTGTAGGCGGGCGAGTAGGCGAAGATGAAGAAGATGGTGAGGCGCGCCGCGGCGACGGAGCCGGAGCTGAGGAAGCGCTCCATGGAGATGGTCCAGCCGACGTAGACGCAGAGCAGGGAGACGGTGCACGTCAGGTACATGGCGCGCCGCCGGAAGCGCTTGACCAGCAGCGAGATGGTCATGCCGTTGACCAGGTACCAGCACGTCAGTCCGACGTTCAGCTTGCCTTTGAACTGCGGGTCGCTGTAGCCCATGAGCGTGAGCAGGTCGTCCAGGTAGTAGCTGATCAGAGTGTTGCCGCTCCACTGCGTGAAGAGACCCAAAAGCGAGCAGATCAGCACGCGCTTGCGCATGCCGGCCGTGCGGACGAGGTCCATCCACGATTGCTTGCTGTTCTCGAGCTCGATTTTGATGGTCGATTGGATCTCGGCCATCTCGGCGCGCGCGAAGTCAGAGTTCTCGTCGCCCTCGGCATGGTACTTGACCAGGATCGCGAACGCTTCTTCGTGCCGGTCCCGGCTGATCAGGAAGCGCGGCGACTCCGGGATGAAGAAGATGAAGGTCACCTGCAGGAAGGATGGGACGGCTTGGAGGAGAGATGGCACCCGCCACGCCCAGTCCGTCCCTACCTGCTGCGTGCCGAACGTGATGCCCGCCGCCAGGATGGACCCGATGAACCAGCACGCGTTGAACATGGATGTGAGGATTGGTCGTTCTTTGGGGTAGCCCAGCTCGCCCATTAGGGACGAGGCGGCGACGATGCAGAATGGGATGCCGAAGCCGAGGAGGAAGCGCGCTACGAGGTACATTGCGACTGCGATAAATGTCAGAACATGAAAGCAATTGGAGGGGAGAGAAGAAGTCTACGCACCGCCATTGGAAAAGCCCTGCAAAAATGCTCCGACGATCATGACGCAGGAGCCGAAGAAAACACACCAGCGACGGCCGAAGCGGTCGTTGATGAGCGGGATGAACGGAAGAGCGCAGATGGCGCCGAGGGAGTAGATGGCTGCGATGATGCCCTTCAGTGAGCCTGTCGGGTGATTGAAGTCTGAGAAAAAATGTTAGCTAAGGTTTAGAAGAGTAAGATTTATGTAAGATGCAAAACTGACACTCCTTCCACGGATCAACAAGCTGAACGGCGTTGATCATCTGCGAGTCGAATCCGGACGTCATCTCAACACCCATACATGTCGGGAACAGCAGGAAGTAGAGCTTGCGCATGTTCGGCTTCTTGTACCATGGCACCTTGTCCTCGTCGGCCATGCGCTGGAGGACGGGGTCCGCCGCGCCGTTGGTGTTGGGTGTGACACCCATTGTTGCAGTCGTGTCGATTCGCAGAGGTGTGGCAATTGGGAGCTATACAGCTGGAAGGTATTCTCGTGCGAAGGTGGAAGCGTAAAAGCTCCAGCTCACTCACCACGCGGAAACCCTGCGTCCGGCCCACGGTGGTCAGGTCATGTTTATATTTCTTCAGCAGACGTCTATTTTCCGTTGCTCTGCATATTTATCCGCCATTTGGGATACGGCGCGACGGAGCTTACAGCAAGAGCTAGTCAAGGCCGCCTGGGGTCGCGTGGAAAAGAGCCGGATGCCGGGCTAGGATGGATGCGGCCTGGGGTCCTGCGGAGAGGAATGCTTGGCGGTCTGGGGAAAGAGCTGGGGCGGCAGCCAAGAGCGGGATGGCTGGTTGCTTTTTCGGGTAACATTTGTGCTTCGCCATTGGAGCTGAAGGAATAAAGGAAGTGAGCACACCTAGTCCGATTTGTGGTCGATACGATAGGATACGAAGCCCTGCCGCTTGGATGCTGTGATAGGTCATCCGACTAGGTGGGTGTATATGTTGTGCAACAGCAATAAGCAAAATTGATTGGGGTTGGCTGGGGGGATCGACGATGGTGTTGCCAGAAACGTAGAGTCAGTCGCGCCCCCAGCAATTGCACGCCTTCAGCAGTCATTCTCATGACAAAAAATGGTGGAATATCCACAAACAGCTGCGTCTTCTAGAAGCCGTAAGCTTCAGGAACTACAATGCGAAGTTGCGAGCACTGGCTCGGGAGAATGTAGAGGATGAGGGCGCCCAACAGCGGCAAAGTGCCAAGTCAAACCCCGCGTTTCTGATCAAGCCACACCGCATTCAACCAGCTTGGCTCTTTGAGCAAGTAGCCGTTGTGCAACCCTGCCAGCCTCGCTTCGCGGAGATGCGGCGTTGGACAGGAAAGGCGGACCGGCTGACAGCCTTGTTTTGTGATACGTACCTTGGAACGCAATAAACTATTGGTTGTAGCGGTGAGGCTGCGAACTCGTTGAATGCCCAGGATACCTCTTCTGGTATAGGTTCCAACTGGTTCCAATCTGGCATGGTCTTGAGTTTTGCTGAGACCTAGTATAACTGTGTGATCCTCACAGCCTCTGTTCTTCATATTTCATCCAAAGGTGCGTGAGCAAGTGCCATCTTCGGCTATCATCTCGTAATTTTTTCCAGGAGGCTGACCTCCACATCGAGCAAACTCTCGCCATGAGAAATTGGAGAGAGCGCGCTGACATCCATACTCCTTGTTGATTCGATCCTCACATCCGGTACCTAAATCCCTTGGTCTTCCAATCCGTCAGCTCCTCATCCTCCCCTTCCGCATCCACCACCTCCCCAGCCCCTCCATCCCCCTTGACCACCCCCTCCTTCCGATCCCTCCTCTTGTTCTCGAAAGTCAGGTACGCCCGCAGTCCCATGGCCATGACCACAACCAGCGCGTAGCAAATCATGATGGCCCTGAACGCCGTCAGGTAGTGTGGCGCCTCGCTCTCGACGAAGAAATGCGGGCCAGCAATATTACCCGCGCAGTAGGCGCAGAACAGGATGGCCGTCATGCTCATCTTCTTGGTGCTGCCCTTGTAGTTGACGCCGACCAGGCTCATGGCGAGCGGGAGGGCGCCGGGCCCCGTCGACAGCAGGTAGTACGCGAACAGCTTGACGCCGCGCGACACGCCGCTGCTGTAGATGATGGCCGAGCCCGTGACGGGGCACAGCACGACGGCGACAATCAGGTACGTCGCGACGTTGGGGAAGCGGCCCGCGAGCCGGCCCGTGCCCATGATGGTGAAGAAGGCGATGAAGGACGACGGCAGCGTGACGAGCGTCGTTTGGAGGGACGTGAAGCCGAAGCCTTTGAGGACCAGGTTGCCGAAGTTTTGCGTTCCGCCGTTCGGGATCTGCGTGAGCAGCGAGATGGCGAAGAAGAAGTAGGTTTTCGGGTCCATCAGGCATTCTAGTAGCTGAGAGGGCTGCCACACGTGCTTCGCTTTGCCCGTGCCGGCCACTGCGACGCGCTGCTCGGCGCAACGCTTCTCTTCAGCGGTGAGGAATTTGGCCGAGGAGATAGAGTCCGGGAGCAGGAAGTAGAGAGGAAGGCCCCAGACGAAGGTCGCAATACCGAGGACAATGAAGAGCCATTGCCATGGCTCGAGTGGATGCGAGATGTGGCCGATTCCGTAGGCGATGAAGCTAGCGAAGACGCCGCCGAGCGAGTTTCCCGCGAACCAGATGCCAACGCGAGTGGGGATTTCAGACCGCGTGAACCATGACGACGTGATGTAGAGGAAAGCCGGGGAGATGGTGGCTTCTGCTACGCCGAGAAGAAATCGCACCGTTATCAGACCTCCGTAATTCGTGCACGCAGCGGTCAGGGCGACCACGGTTCCCCAGAAGAATGTGTTGATGGCCACATATTTTCCAATTGGAAGACGCTGGATTAGAATAGAGGTCGGGTACGACCAAAACAGATAGCCGAAATAGAACACCTACGCTATGGTCAGTGGCGGGCCCTACTAGGGTGTGATTGTTTACGGACCGAAGACACCCAGCTATATTGTGTACCGTGAAGATTCTATTGACGATTAGCACTCGGAAATTAAGAGTTTCACTAATTACTGCTTACCGTGGAATCCTTCAAGCCAAACACAGACGCGCTTGAGAGGATGGTTTTGTCCATGAAATTTAAGTTGTAGGTAACAAACAGTAGTGGTATCAACCGCATATCAATCTTCCTCAAAACTTTCTTGGCCAACGCAGAATCAAGATCACCCTCTCTATCCTGCCACTCTTCGGCCTCAGAAGCCGTGGCCGTAATTTCGTCATTTTTGTCAGTCATATCGTCGTCGTCGTCGTCGTCGTCGTCGTCGTCGTCGTCGTCGTCAAAGTCCTCTGCCAAGAGTGGTGTCGTCGAATCGGTCGGCCTCAGACGGCGTGGTTTGGTGCCTAAGGCAGAAACTGACTCGGCTTGAGACGACGATGACAGCCCCGAGGAACGTCCGGGAGTCGTCGATGAAGCGGCTGAAGCGGTCCCGAGAGTCGCCGTGGAAGGCGCCGCGGACACGATCCTTCGGGTTTTATGCATGGTCTTGTTTCCTTCCGGCAGGTGTGGTTATCGCTATCTGTGAGTGCGGTGATCGGCCTGCCGACGCATGACCCGAATTGCCGGTGCGTCGGCTATTTTGAGGTTACACGAGCTTTCATGGGACTAGGTAGGTTGCATGGATCGCTGATCAGTAGCGGTTGGTTGGACGAGAAGAGTTGACTTGAAGAGATGGTGTTTGGTTGCAAAGCGGTCGAGGTCGAAGTTGCCAAGAGTACAAGATAAGTAAGCCTTCGCCCTAGTGGATTTGCTTACTGTGTAAGCAGTGCCTGAGGCAGCTGATTGACGATCCTTTGTAATTCTTTTGTACTACTCACGCAGCAGCTATCAGAACCATTAAATCTTCCTGGTATTCTCATTGGACAACATTCTGCTTGAGTAGGCAGTCGAATTTCTTCTCCGGAGAAATTTGTACGGTTTTATAACTTACATCTGTGTCCGGATATTTGCTTTAATCACCCATGAATGAAGAGTAGCGTCGGTCATGTGGCGCAGAAGCTCAAACCTTTTGCTACACACCGTGCACAAACTTCTGTGCTACATCGTACGAGACGACCAGGAGAAAAGTTTAACGAAGATGACATGTTCCATAATCCCACATCAGCAAGATGTGTATTTGATTGAGTCAGGGCAATAATCTCCAGGTGATCCGAGGTTAGAGCTGGTCACCCCACACCTGGTCAAACCTCGTCAACTCGTCCATAAGCTTGCCTTTTAGATCGGGGCCACACCACGATATTTCAACAGCGTGCATTTGCAAGCGGATCATCTCCCGCCGAGTAAACTGGCAGTGCTGCTGCACGAGCCTCAGGTTGTCCTCAACCCACATGTTATGCATGTACGTTGGGTCGTCGGAGTTGACCGTGACTTTGATACCGGCATCGAATAGTTTCCGCACTAGAGGGAAGACGTAGTCGGTGGGGTTGCGACGATGATAAGCATGCGGGCAAAGTGTCATGCCAAGATCTCTCCTCCTGATCAGCTCGATCAGATCCGGCCTTTCAGCGGCATTCAGTCCGTGGTCGATTCTATCGGTGCCGTGACCAGCAATGCGGCTCGCGACTTGCTCGATGTGCGCGTGAGTGTCCTTTTGCCCAACATCACAGTGGCTTGTGATCTTCAGACCGTCCGCTCTCGCCCTCTGGAATACGGCATCAAACAGGGTTGGTGGACGGTTGTACTCGTTGCTATCAAGTCCAATACCACAAAAGACCGTGCCTTTGTAGGGAATGCAGGCTTCGTAGGCTTGCATCGCTGATTCTGGGCTCATGTCCCTCAGGAAACAGAGGATCCAGTTGCAGTGAACATCTAGTTCACGCGCAGCGTCGGCCTTTGCGCGCTTCAAACCTTCCATCACGGCGGCCACAGGGATGTTGCGCCGCGTGTGAGCCTGGATGTCGAAAAAAGGCTCAGCATAACGCACGTGCATGGACGAAGCTTTGCGCAAGTATTGCATGGCGAGCTCGTAGAAGTCATCTTCCTTGTGGAGAACTTCCATGCCGCCGTAGTACGCCTCTAAAAATGTCGGCAGACCGTTGTCCCCGTGAAGCTCTTTACGGTGGTTATACATGGTCTGGTAGCTGCTGCGCAGGGCGTCCAACGAGTCGTATGGCAGGTGGACGCCATTCTTCTGAGCAAGCTGCCAGCGGAGCTCCGGGGTCAACGTGCCCTCAATGTGGACGTGCAGTTCCAGCTTGGGCAGCTCATGGACGAATTGGTCGTCCATCTTCCGTAGTGCGGCCGCGTCTAAATCGAGGTGGGTGGGTGAATTTCCGGGAGTCAGAGGAGGCGCGTGAGCAGAGGGAGCGAATGGCTTTCATGGCGGGAGGGCAGGTGAGTTCGCGGTTTCACAGTGTCGTGAGCGTCGCACTGACGGGGGGTAAAGATTGAACCCTTCATATCCGGGCACCTCGGCTCGCCCTGCCGGGGCCGAGCAGCGGCAATAGCTCTCGCGCGGAGCGAAATAAAGCACCGCCGCCTACGACATCCTCCCTGGTTGAGCGAGGCGGATAAGGTTAGTGTTCCTCCGTCATCGTGCTTGTTGCACTCTGGTTACCTTGCAGGGTTCTCCAGCCCGTCAGCGCGGCGCATGAGTCGCCGTCACAAGCCCAACGAGGCTGAAGATAACGTCATACAACTGCTGTGTGATGGGGATCCCGAGGTGCGCGATCCTTCACCCAGTTGCGAGGTTGGCAACCGGGCTGGACGCTGGCCGGCAAGTGCGCAAGGCCACGCAGCTTCGCGCGGGCTTCTCGAACGTCAAAGCGCACTCGAGCGCAGGGATGGGCCAGGCCGCCTGTGCGTGCGTGGGCGGCGTATGCTAGGCGCCGTTTGAGATGGCACAGCGTGCGGCGCCTCAGCGTGGCAGATTCACAGCCAGCGCTGACGGCGCGCGTCGGGCGGTGAGGGTGTCGTGGGCGGAGGCCAATGGGGGAGCAGGCCGGGCGGATTTGCGGGTGCTAATGCGGGACGCGGTGCTGGCGCGATAAGGAGGGCGATAAGACGCCATCGCTGGTGTTGAGCGTGAAAGGACGGCGGCCGCTTTGTCCGCGCCAACCAATGGCTGGCACAGCAACGACTGCGATAGAGCAGCGCGACGACAGCACGAGACCAAGTCACGCACCGGTCAACGCGGTCGGGCCTAAATCGGCGTGTGCCTGATGCATGCCGGACGCGCATCCGGCCAGCGACTTCCTGGCGTTCGTCCATCGTTGCGGGCGGGAGAGCGACAGCAGCGGCGCGCACATCGCAGCGTGCATTCGAGCGTTCCGAAAGGTCGACTGACGCCAGCATCACATTCGCGAGCAAGTTAAGTCGTCGCCCTGCGGCGTGGCCCCACAGCACCCACGCGGAGTTGGCGGCTTAGCGCGCCGTCTTCGCTGCCGCGGATCGCCCGTGAGCTCCCCCAGACCGTTGCTGCTCGTACACCTCCACGCCAGCATCCACGCCCCGACCCAGCGCACGTCTCTCCTTCTCTCCTCTCTCTCTGCGAGCCTTTCTCTCCCTTCAATCTCCGCGCCGAGCTCGCCCACAGAGCCCGCAAATCCTCGCCTCCTGCCGCCCCAGTGCACCTCCCAGTCATCAGCGTCACTCGGACCAGTCACATGGAGCTAGCATTTGCACCTTGAGCACGCTTGACTCGCCCACCCACGACGCTGCGCTCCGCGACCTTCTCCTGGCCTCATCAAGCCGCGTACCTGCGTTTTCGTTCCCACGCCGCGCTGCGCAGCCGCCGCTACGAGCTTAGAGCTCCGCCGACCCATCTCGCCGCCTGAGGCATCCTAGATACAGCCGCGCCAACCAAGCCCACCATGGCTGCCTGAGCGCCCCCGTCGCCCTCACCACTGGAGCCTGCGAAAAAAGCCTTGTCGACCCCACTGCGGGCCCGCGTTGAATCCTCACCAAAGTTACAGTTCTGACTGCGCTCGCTCGTGATGGCTTGGTACCCAGGTTTCCATCTTGCACACTTCCCCTAGACACCGCGCACTCATCTCAGCTTCGTACCACTCGTACATCTCCATTTCCAGCCCTCACGAAGCTCGGTCGCCGTTATGCACCAACACCCACGCCCGTCGCCAAGGGCTGCCTCCTCGGCGAACTCGCCGCGCTCCAACCCTACCAGAACGAACAACCCGAGAGACATGGCTCACATACGTTCCGAGTCCGCGTCGACGGTCGCCACTGCTCGCAGTGACACCGGCTCCGATTACATTGAGAAAGCCAGCGATGGCGGTGAGCCCGACTTCTATGGAGAGACCGAGGAGGAGCGCACCCAGAAGAAGCTCAATCAGGTCATCATGGTACGTCAGCCACCATGTTGTCGACCGTCTTCTGACTAACCGTCTCCCAGCAATTCTTCAAGAAGGCGACGCTCACCGTGCTATCCGCAAGAACGCAGCTCCCACAGGCCTTCAGTGCCAAGGGTGAGCTTCGCCAGAGCAAATGGGTAAGTGACACGATGATGCCACCCTCGGCCCACCTCCATTGGAGCGGCTAAATAACTCCGACTACAGTTTAGTCTTCTACTTGATGAAACGGACGTCTACAACGATGACCTCCGTGATTGGACGTCCACCGACCTTGTCAACGCTCAACCGCCTCCTCTCTGCATCGAGATTTACCTGGATACAAAGGATCTGGCGGATGGCGAAGCTCTAGCCATTGTGGATGAGCATGGAAAGCTCTGGGATGTAACTGAGGCGTTGACCGGATCTACTCCGGTGACTACGCGGCCCTCCAGTCGCTCCGGCCGGCCTACTCAGGTCGTCCTGGAACGGTGGAACGTCGAAGTCACGGATAACCAGAAGATGGATCCCGATGCCAGCAGGATGTTACCGCTAGTCTACAAGAACGGAATTCCTCTGTTCCGCTCGTTGTACACTTACACAAGGTTCCTGCCTGCATGGAGATACTACAGGCAAATTGCTAAACAGCCTGTGAACCACCCTGCATTGCCGCTGAGATACCGCATTTCAAACGGCATGTTCAAGAGCCCAAGGAGAGACACGTTGGACCTCCCACTCTACCCAGGCGCCGACTCTAAGGCGCAAACGCATCAGTTTGATTCCGTCAAATCACCTATTGGTCTCTTGAGCATTCAAGTCCAGTATCGGAGCAACACTGAATTCCGCGTCGAGAAGTCTGAGTCTGTCCTGAGCTCGCATTTCATGGGCATGGACGACTACTCCTTTTCGCCTTCGTACCCCGAGCGTGTTCCTGGATCCTTGCCCACGGGTAGAAATGCCCAACTGGACAGGCAAGCTCGGGGTGAAGCTTACGGAAGCTTATCCACGTTCCACCAGGCGGGGGCCACTGGAACAAGCCCGATGTCAGCGCTCCGCAACGCCAAGGATATGGGTTCGCCTGAATCGCCGCCCCAGAAGATCCCACCCAATCATCGCATTGCAACTGGGTCCAAGTCTTCCCTGAGAGGCGCGGATGCGAGTAGCCCCGCTTCCCCCAGGAGGACATCAGTCTCATTCCAGCCTGCAAATCCGTTCAAGGCAGGATCTTTGTCTTCCTCGCCTGTGCCTGGTGTATACTCGCCGACCACGTCATCCGGAAGGCCAGGCTCCGGCCCAGCGCCTCCGGGCCATACGCGGAACAGGAGCTCATTGAATGCTCTTCCTCAGGCAGCTTTGAGAACACCATCTGGACATTCGCTTCCCAACGAGACAGCTATCGCTTCTTCAGCCTCCAGCTCTCCCAAGCCCGCACCGATCTCACGTTACAGCAGCAGCTTTAGCAATCGCCGCCAACGGTTCTCGTACGGAGGAACTTCTAGCAAGGTTGAGGATGATAATAACAGCAGCGGAAAGGGCAGCACTTCGTCATCTGCGCAGCGACTTGAAGGCGGAAGCTCGGGCTCGGTGCAGACTGACGAGGAGAACATTTCAGACTTCCTAAAGCTTCTAGAGCAGAAAAAGGATCTGAAGAGCTTGAATCGTACGGATTCAGCTTCCCGAGATGCTTCTATGCGGCGCACAACTGCTGCGTTGTCCAAGTACCAACGCATGCGCGAATCGAACGCTGCACTGTCTGACTCCATTTCCTCTTCGTTGCACTTGCACCGCTCCTCCAGCTCTTCAAGCCGACAGATCTCGAATGTTCCTGGAATGATCGCCGGTGCATCAGTCTCCACTTCTTCCAGCCCTGGAAAGCCTATTTCTCCGCACACGCCCCACACTCCTGCCATTCCTTCTCGTCTGAGCGCAAACAGCATCATCGATTACTCCGAGCAGACCCGTAGCCGCAGCCCACGAGTTCGTCGACTCGAAGAAGAGACCGGAACTGGCGATGCTGGTAGTGACTCCACAACCCGCGAGCGCGAAGGATCCAACGCCATCGACATTCCCACGTCGCCGCGTCCTTGGCCGTTTGCCCGCCGCAGCTCTTCGGTCAGCCAGCAAAATCGCAACACCCTTGAGGACGAGGGCGAGATGTTTGGCCTGCGTAGTGCAAGCCTGCCAACCGACGACCGACCAGACCTAAGCCTAAGCGAATTGTTGCATGCTGCAGAGCCAGCAACCCCTGGAGATGCTGCTCCTGCAGGTGGAGACGAAAGCGGCCCTGATCCCGAACCAAGCCCACAGACAGTCCTTACCAGCCACACTCGCACTCGCTCCGCCGGAGCAGCTCGCACAACAACTCCTAGCCTAGCCTATCGCACCCGTATCCAGCAAAGCGGACCTAGCGACGGAAGGCGGAGTGCTGCATCCGAGCGTGGTGAGAGCGATAGCGGTCTCGTTAGTGGACGGAGTAGCCGCGCTGGCAGTCGTTTCAGCTTCTCTTCTAGGCCACTCAGCGTGGCTGCCAACCTGGACGATGATGAACCCTTGCTCTTCACCATGAGCGAGTTGGGCACCCATCAAGCTGGACGTAGAAGTGTTGACGAAGTGAGAGATAGTACGGGTAAGAGGAGAGGCGGTAGCCCGTGGAGGGGAGCGTAGAGTGGAAAGTCTCTACCATAAGTTCTCTCTCCAGCATACCTGATTTGTACTTTCAAATCCTTTCCTTTTTCTTCTTTTTTTTTGGGCATCTCCGGCGTCAACGTGGTCTTGCTCGCTTTTTCTTCTGGCTTCATTTCAGAAAGTTCTTGCGTGCGCGCGCTCAAGGAAGGGCTCTTTTTTTGTTCCCATCCATTGCATTCGGACCAGATTGGATTGCTCGGTTCACACCACATGCGAATGTTCTCACTATTTCCTTATTTTCTCTCTGCTGTTCTCTGCTACTGCCTTTCTGATCACGCTTTTGTCTCGGTATGCGTTTACGTTTGTCCATCTTTATTGTTGTTTTTTGCTGGCCTTCGGCAATAGATGAAAGCGGGTACGGAGTTCGTTATTATGGTGGTCATTCCAGCGATGGGCTTCGGCTTTCTCTTTTTTCTTTCTCATTTGAAGAATCTTTGCGCTTTTTTGATTCGATTGTACGTTCATGATGAAGACACAGCATTGCCACCACCCTCCGATAAGGGGTTGAGGAAGCTAGGTGTGAGGAAGCTTAGGGGGAGAGAGACATACACGACACACAACACAACACAACAACACTGGGGAGAGAGATATACTACCGGAGGAGTGGTTTCCGTAACTCCTTTTACGCAACTGGGCGGGGCTTCTCATCCCCCCTACCCTTTTGCAGCATTTTTTTTTTCCTTTTCAATACTACTCCTATTTTCTGCTGTAGCCCCCGAGAACAAATGCTATCAAAGGTTTATAATCACGCATTCGCATTTTGCGCCTTTTCCTTTTTTTTTTTCTAATTGTAATGGGGGAGAGTGTTGGACTACCACGCAGAAAGGTGTTTCTTTCTCTGGAAGGTATGTGCTTGGTTGAAGATGGAACCGGGTGAGGGAGGAGGGGAGGACGTGTGTCGGTTGCGTTTGCTGGAGTTGGAGGGTAGGTAATTTTTGGGCGCTGGGCTGGGATGCGATTGTGCAGGGAGGGGAAGGATAGGGAGGTTTGGGGGAGATATGTTTTCTTCCTGTACATGGCGCACCGATGCTTCTTCCTCTCTCTGCGTGCTCTGCCATGATCAGCGAGTGGTTATCGGGGGGGTCGTTTTGTGACACAACCGTCTAATCCACGAGCAACTACTCGGCGTAAATCTAGTAGTAATACGTAACCAGAAAACCGCTACACACGCATTGTTTAAATCAATAAGCATCCAACGTCATATCATTTTTCTTTTTCGCCTGTCCCGAGTTCTCGTAATGCTACAATATAGCCGTCTGTTCCCGCACCGCTTTCAAGCCAAGGCAAGCGATGGGGACCGTTCCGACCCTTAGGAAACCAGAACTGAAAGTTGCCTCTTTTGGTTTTTGTGTTTCGTTTTTTTTTTTGGTACCAATCCCCCTCCCCCAGCTTCCCTTCCTTTGCCCGTACTCGTCGAAATTAATACGCCACGAACCATTTCCAGCCATTTTGTCCCAACCAAGGAGAAAGGAGTAGGGTGAAAACTAGAAACGAGACCACCGCGGAAGGGCAGGCAACACACCAGGGCCGAGCAGGCAAGAACTAGCACGTGTGTGTCCCCTAAAAGATAAGAAACGACAGCTGCGCCAGGCTCTCAGTGCTGCTGCGGCTGCTGCTGTCCCAGCACCTGCGCGAGGATGTTCAAGTAGCCGTCTCTGACCAAGTTGGCAGGGTTGAAGTGCAAGCTCTGGTTGAGGGACGCGGCAGCCGCCACGGCAGCGGCAGCAGCCGCGGCAGCGTTGCTGATGTCGTCCTTGGGCGGGTCGACGCTGGCGGCGCCGCCGCTGCTTCCCGGGCGGTTCTCGGAAGGCGATGCCTTCGACGCCGAATCCCTGCGCTCGCCGACGGCGGCCTCGGCGAGGTGCTCGAGCATCGTCGACGACGCGCCGCCGTTGGACTCGTTGACGGATGAGCGCTTCTTGCCGGCGTACTCGCGGACGCTGGCGTCCCAGCCCAGATCGCCCTCGACCTTGTTGCGGTTCAGGACGCCCTCCAGCTCGCCCAGTAGGCGCAGCGATTCTTCCCTCGTCTCGTCTTTCTCGGCGAGTTCGCCCAGTGTTAGGGCGGCCAGGGCGGCGAAGTGGTGGTGCGGCGTTGTGATTAGAGCCTGGTGTCTCTGCAGGTGAGTGACGATGGCTGTCGCGTCATGCAAAATCTCACCAGGTTCAGAGCCAGGCGTGTAGCGGACGATGAGAAGATGGACATAGAAGTAGGCAAGAAGGATCAAGTGGTGGGGGTCTGAAGGCAGAGTCTCTGAAAATCTTTCGAGAGAAGAGAGGTACGCCGTCTTGGTCAGCTTCATGATTGCGTTGTTCGGGTCGTACAGAGCCAGAACGTCATTGTTAATGGGAGGAACATCCGCAAGTGTCCTATAGTAGTCGGGCAAGCCTCCCATAGCCTTGCAAAGACGAGCCAAGGCAAAAGTCACTGGTCCAAAGAGAGTTTCATCATCTCCAGTGAGATGGCTGCGCTCTGCCGAGAGGCTAGGCGTGGTTGCTGTGCTGATGGCATGCAGCTGATCAAAGACGAAGAGGATCCAGAAGAGGCGTCGACCCAGCACCTCATCATTGTCTGGGCTAATCTCCTGGCCTCGTTGGCGGAATATCAGAGCATCAAAACGTAAGCTCGTAGAAACTCTGGTTGCCTGGGCAAGGCACATGTCCTTCAACGGCTGACTTTCCGGATAAGCAATGGACTGCGAATGGCGAGGGCCATGTACGTCGGCTTCAATGGTGAGTAGCAAGAAGCTCTGGACGAGTATGATGCCATCTGGCTTGACAGTGGTGCCAACGAGAGATGTCAGCATCTGGTAAGCCTTGTAGCAACGTTCTTGATGATTTGGCTCCATGGCAAGGCTTGTAGACGGCCAAGCCCTGACGGCGCAATCCATCGCAGCGGTAAACGCATCGCGCAGTTTTGCGTCGCAATTTGCCAAACGGCCCTTCAAATTTCTCAGGTCAAACGGCAGGATGGGGTACGTGTCTTGGATCACGCGGTAGTACCTGAACAGTCAGCGCGGGATCAACGACACGTCAGCAGCAGATGCTTACTCGTTCACGGCTACGTCAGCGCTCTGGCTGAATTCAAAGAATGCACCTGCAGCATCATGCTCGTAGCCGGTAGCAAACGGTTCCCTGCGATCCCAAGATTGCGGAGCACCGTTGGGCGGCTGTGACAAGGAAGTTCGGAACTGGTCGCCCGGGCCTTCGGACATGGAGTGAGTTCTCTTACGCTCGGCGCCGTAAGGCGGTGCCGGAGAAGCGGAAAAGTCCGTCAAGCCGGCCATACCTTGATCGCCCATCGACTGAAGGTAGCTTTGAAGTTCGGGGACTTGGGTGTGGTGTTGGCCGTTTTGGGGAGAGTGGCCAATGTTCTGCTGTTGCTCGTATTCGAGGCGGGTAAGTCTGTCGGCCAATTCCTTGATGTAACTAGATATGATGAGTATATCCGCCTGCAATTGGAAATGTGAGGGAGGTAATACCCTTTGCTTGGGCCTCTCTTCATGGGTTGTCGGCTGAACTGACAGCGAGCCCCAGTGCGCTTGCAGCTCGTGCATGCCTCCGGTCCATTTTCAGAAGTCGCATCGCAGCGAATCTGGCCGTTGTCAGAGGGGCAACGGCGCTTAAAACCATAAAACTCAAGTGGTGTAGTAGCATCCTACCTTCTTTCTCCTACATTCGTCGCAAGCACGCGACACCTTTGACCTTTTCCTCTGATTGCTGTCCTGCTGGCTATAGTGCGGATCCTGGGCCATGCTCATGGCATTTTGAGCCATTTGCTGGGGCGTGGACGGCTGCTGGACGGGCGTGTGGACCTGGCCAACGTGGGCCATGGGCAGGCCATGTTGCGGCTGCTGGTGCTGGGCAGGGCCCATTGGAGCCTCGGCGGCGCCGCGCAACTGTGCGGAAAGCTCCTGCTCGAGAGTCTGGCCACTGTGCAGGGAAAGGTGCGGGTCAACGGCGCTCGACGGTTCGGCGGGCGACAGGTTGCCGTTCGGATGGGCGTAGAGGCCCGCGGCGCCGGCGGCCATCTGGGCGGCGTTGGGTGACGGGTACGACTGCGGCTCCGACATGTTTGCCGTGGGACGCCGGGATGCTGACGACGCGTCGGGACGGCGTGCGCTGGACGAGATGGGTGCTTAGAAAGACGGCGGCGCGGTTGGCGGGTTGTGGCAGGTGGAGGTCGTCGAGCGAGTCGCGTTTTGGTTTGCGCGAGTACAGGGCTTATGTAATGGCGCTAGCCGAACGGGCAGCGTTGAGGGGCACGCAATGGTGCGCATCGCTGGATTTCTGCGGCATGGTCGACACTGCTCCGCGTTCTGGAAGCCGCAACGCAACTTGCAGCTATCGTCGCGACACGAGATGTTGTTTGACGAGGGTACCTCGGGCCTGAGTTCTTCCAGGCTCGGACTGAGAGACGGAGCGGCGGGCGGAGAAACAGTTCGGTGGTTGATGAGCCACGCCCGTCTCGATCCGCGCCCGCGACTTCTCGATGTTTGCAGAATCGCTTCCGCAAACTTATCTCGGGCGTGGAAGCGGAGCTGGTGACGAATTCCACCCCCGCAGGCTGCTAGGTGAGCCGCGCAGCGACGAACTATACCGAGCTTTCTTCGGCGGCCTCTGCGGTATGTGTGGGCCGTACAGACCAACACGCTCCAACAAATAGTTGCCGCATAAAGAACAGCCTTACGAAACCCATGTCTCCGGATTGAATCAGAGCGAGAGGCAAGCTCACCGCTCGCACGGTGCATAAGGTTAGACGTCGAAGCTGAGACTTGATTGCCTAATGCGTCAAGCACTTCTTCTTGCACCACGGTACGGCATACCTCTGCTTGGCTTGCATTCTCTCGAAAACGGCAGTCAACAACTACGACGTGGTACAGAAACAAACCCTGTAGGCTAGCTTCTTCCTCAGGGAGCTCTCTCCGAGCCATGAAATTCTATCAGCGGCGTGTCGGAACTTGGGATGGAGAAGCCATCGACAATGACACGGGATATCTTCAACACACTGAGCAATTGCATTAAGGAAATTGATCATGGCAATCTCCAGGATTTCTACGCGCTCGCTGAGCGGCCTCTGGACCAATCTTAGCAGGACTGAATATGTTGAAGTATAAGTTCGTCACCGGAGGAGCAGTTGTCTTAGAATGTTATCATCAGACAGTGACGTGCTATGTCGCAACAACAATGTTCACGGTGACATATCAATTAAGACGAGGCTACAATACTATTACGAGGCCGCGTGAAGGGTTAACTTTATTGATCATCAAATGATCGGAGGAGGTGAGACCACGGAGCCCATCACCAGGCAGTCAGATTCACAATACCCATGTAGGATCACACACATGGATGTGCCCATGATTATCCGGGGCGGATGGAAAGTGGAATTGTTATCCATGAAAACATACTGCTTTACTGCGAAGAATTTACCGCTGCTTTTGTCACTCGGTGAGAATTCCGTACGGGCTTCGATACCGCCAAAGGAGAATTGTAGCCAACGGATGGCCGCACGAAGATTTGAGTAGTTGCAGGCGCCGTCCAGTCCGCGTGAACTCCAAATAGCCAGTTCACGGCGGTCAATTACCCGTGACCAGTCGCGCGGGTAATCCAATTGCTCACCCTCCCAATCACCGCCAAGCTGTGCGTGGTTTTTGCGCGGAATCAGTCCGGCATGCGCTTCCGTATCACGTTCTCACACCGCATGAGCGGGGACGCGCGCCGTCCTCGGCCTTCGTCTTCACTGTGCCTCGTCGCTTCGCAGCATGGTGCAACGAAGCGGCAAGCCGCTGGAGCGGGTATCCGGTCGTGGAATCACTCAAGCATTTATGTCAGAGCTAGCCACGCACTCGCTTGGATCCTGCGTGGTTGGCGTGCGGCTCGGCCTTGTGCCATTCTCAAGTAGGAAGGCGCCAACGGTAGGTGAGAAAATGTCTTGCTTACGCAGTACGTACCCTTTTCCGATTCTCCGAAACCGCTCCTGCCGTTTCTGTCTTGGCGATGGAGGCGATGTTCAGATGTTGGAAGAAGTTAAGAATATTGTTTAGGCGCACGCTTCAGCTATTCACGTATTCAAGGTGCAGTATCTATTGCGAGTCAGGCGTGAGAAGGATCAGATCATCAGCAACCTGCAGTGGCGCTCGGTGGGGATTGGCATATGATAGACAGGCGTACGCCACATCTTCAACTCTCAACGTCGGCAGACAAATGGCTGTGCTGTCCCAAGGTTCTCGTCGACGTGTCTTACATCGTCGGTAAGCGAGCTGCCGTGCCTGCGTCGAGGTCGGGAGGGATGCTGCATGATCTCTCCAGACAAAGGAGATGTCTCCAAAAATAGGCAAGAGCGAAGCATGTCATCATGGGATCTGCGAAGGCCGCTGGTCGACGGCTGCTACGGTGCGCTTCACGGGATCCTACGGCGCAGAGGGTTTGCGCGGGCCAGATTTGAGAAGCGGCGGCCAGGCTGAACACCCGGGCGGGTGTAGCAGCGCACAGGGAAAATCTGGTGTCGTGACGAACTCGGATCTGTCTCGCGCGCGCAGCTGTTTGCACCTGGGTCGCTCGAGGCGGCGGCTTCGTCGGTGGCCGGGATGCGGGCGGGTACAGACGCTGATCCGCGACTTGGCAACGATCGATAGCGTCAGTAGTGGCCAGCGCAGAGGGCATTACGTAGCGACGCATTCGTTGGGATGGGCCTCTCTTGGGGTGCCGAAGGGCAGCTGGGGCGAACCGCCCCCGCCAACAGTAGCGCCGCATTCGCTCCTCGATCGGCGGTATATGCGCCTGTGGTAAGAATATGGGGTTCGCTCACCGCTGGCGCAGCCGAGTTGCTTGTGGAAGCGTCACCGGGAGAGTGGGCGGGCCTGGTCCCACTGGCTCGAGGGCAGCGCATCGCGACGGCGGGCGCCGGGTCGGCTGCCCTGCGTCGGAGCACGACCAAAGCAGCGGTGGAAGTTGGGAGCAAGCGCGTGATCGACGCATTCGCGGGCGGCAGCCGATTGCACAGGAAGAGTGGCTGTGTCGGCGAAAACAACTGGCCTCTGGCGGGTTGGTGCGGGCGGCGCGTCTTGCAGGGAGCGTGACCGGCGCTCAGGAGGCCTGGAGCGAATGGTAGCGACGCGCTGGTAACGATCGAGGTTGCAGAGGCAGCGGAAAGGCCTAGCCTGTTGCGGCGACCTATTTTCACCAGCCAGTGCGCCCGCCCACCTCGAGTCGGCTTCGCTCACCTCCTCCAAACACCTACCAACACCGAGGAAGCCCTCCCATTTCGACCTGTGCTGAGCGGCCCATCCTCATCCCCGAGTTGAACGCGTTTCGGCCAGCGCCATCTGGTGCACGGCTTGGCCCCTCTACCTCTCTCTTGCCGCCTTTTCTCTCTCCGCTCTGCTGCGGCGTTTCAATCGGCCTCACCCAAGCTCTCTCTCCCCGCCGCACCTTCATCGCAAGCCGACTGTCTCTCGGCCCGCCGCACTCTCCCCACGCCACCCTCCGCCTGCTTCCCTGTAGACAGCGTCAGCCAGACCGCCCGGCCTGTGCACCTATCCAAGCATGCCGATTCTAAATGGCGAGAAATACGCTTGTGAATCGTGCATCAAGGGCCATCGCGTCAGCGGGTGCACGCACTCAGGTAAACCCTCCTACTGCTGCGACTTCGACGCCGCCACACTGCCAGCATTTACCTTGCAGCCTTGACAGCATGCCGTGATCGCCGCTGCGCCGCCGAGCGGCCCCAGGCAAGCCAGCATCTCTCCAAGAACACAGCTCTGACAGGCACACAGATCGTCCACTGAAGCACATCAACCCCAAGGGTCGTCCTGTCAAGCAGTGCGAACACTGTCAGAAGGCTCGCAAGACCAAGTCGCACCATGCCCGCTGCGACTGTGGTACCAAGAAGGACAAAGCCAAGGCCGAAAAGGCTGCCGCCGCCGCTGCTCAAGCCAGCGCCAGCGAGAGCGAGCACGATGCTCACGTCAACATTGAAACGGCCCTGAGCCTTGGCGCTCCCTCGCAGGGCTGTGCCTGCCACCTGGGCGAAAAGTGTCTCTGCGGCATGAAGAAGGACCTGGACCTCAAGTTGGACACGGGCTTCGCGAAGAACGGACAGCTCACCAAGGCGGCCAAGCCGCGTCTCACGACCGCCCACTCGGAGACGACGCTGACCGTCTTTGCCAACGGACACCACAAGCCGTGCCACCGCTTGAACAACTCTGCTCACACGTCGGGTGCTCCGTACCGGATACCGCGCCACCACACCACGCACGGCGGCACCGTCCACAAGTCTCATGACAATCTCGCCGAGATGTACAGTCGCACCATGGACCCTGCCCGCCGGTCGGTCGATAGCCTGAACCTGAACAATACCGCCTTCGGCTACTTCACTCCGCAGAGCACGGCCGAGAGCGTGCCCATGACGCCGCTTGCCGGGAGCCTGGAAAATGACTGCTCCATCTTTGATCCCGCCAAGTATGTCTATAGCCAGCAGAGCGCATTGAGCAAAATGGTCGGAGATGCCCCCGAACACCACGGCCTGCCCATGTCGGAAAGTATGCCGGTGCACACGTATTCCTGGATGAACGGCGGCATGTACGCCCCTGCCCCACAGTACGGTGTGGAGAGCATATCCACGTCTCCTACTGGCGATCTTACCCCGGATTTTGACTACAATATTCCTTCGGCTGCTGCGGACATGACGTCCAACCCGTACCCCTGGTCTGCTGGCGATCTTCCCCTGGATCCGAACAAGCTCTCGGACTCGCTGCAGCCCGTCTCGCACAGCGGTGAATCGAATCGACAGAGTGTTCCGGGCATGACCACCTCGTCTTCCGGTGCACAATCCGAGGTTGGTGAACCTGCTCTGTTTGGCGACATGGACTTGAACAAGATGCAGCAAGACCCTTCTGTCAGCGATCGGCAACTGATAAACGATCCCTTCCAGATGCGGGATCCTCAATCTTACCGCCTCAGCTCAGCCTCGCTCAGTCAGCAGGATGTTCGCCCGCAGATGCCGACGTCGGTGCCGGCAAATGAGCCTCGCCAGAACTTGGACTTGGACTTCATGCAGAGCTCGCAGGACATGGCCCAGCCGGCCGCCGTTTTCGGCACGACTGCGCTCGACAGCCAGCCCATGTTCCAGACGTCGGCGGCGGCGGCTTCGTCGGGCTTCTCGGACGCGGCTTTCACTGCCCCCGATTTTAGCGCGCCCATGAATGCTCCTCAGGCCGGCCTCGACACGAGCGCTCCTGCGAATCCGCAGGGCGCGGACTGGTACAATATCCTGGGCACCGGCATGGGGGTGAACGCATTTTCGGTCCCCGTAGAAACTATGAATAACCAGAACGCCGAGTTCCCGACATGGTTATAACATCCGTGGCAAGCTGCCAGGCCGTCGGTAGTCCGCAGTCGTATCTATCTTCGTCCCGCAATCGGTGTGCAAAAAGTGCTTTTGGATTGGAAGCCTCGCGATGGGCTAGCCGCGAGCAATGGTCTCGGGCGTGCCTTGGCAGGCTAATCAAAATTTACCGAGACGCGAGATTGGCGGTCGAAGATTGTGCGATATTTTCCACGCGGACGCCGCACGAGGTGCTATTTACGGCCTGCCCCAGCATTAAATTAGGTAGTTTTTCATTGGGCCTGTTTTCTTTCTGTTTCCCGTTTTGTTTCGAGAGATATCCTTTACGACGCCATGACATATGACGCTGTAGATGCGATGATACCTATCCCTTGTTGGCCACTCTCGCCGTCCAGTCGTTTCGATCATCATCCAATTCTCAGCAAACCACAGCAAGCTTTCACCGCGCGCAACCCAAAAAGACCAGCAATCTCAGCATCAGCGACAAAAAAGCAGCCAGCACAGCATCGTTTCGACGACCGCAAAAGGCAAGCATTTCCTTTATGCGCAGCGAAATAGACTTCTTTGCTACCCTTTTTTGTTTTCCTTTGGCCTCTTCTCGCCAGCTTTGGAGGAAATTGGAGGCTTTTTTCGGGCTACCTGCTTGAGGCACACACCCAATAGTGTGTGCTTGGTGGCGGTTTTTGTCTACCCCTTTTTTATTCTTTCGCACTGTAGATATCAACACCCAGGGGGGCTGGGGAGAGAGAGGATAGGGCTCTTTTCTCGTCTTCTTTTTTTCCTTTTTCAGAGGGAAAGCGGATGGGCGGTGGTGTGGCCTTTTTTCTTTTTAACTCCCCTTTGAGAGCTTTGCCTGTCTTTTTCGTCCCCCCCATCGCAAACACCCACACACACGCACCCCCTTCGAATTACCTTTTGGGCGGCATACAGTGGAGTCAAAAGTATAGACGGCGGAATCTCTTGTTGCCTTTTTTTCGTTTCTTGTTATTAGGGGGTGTCTTGTGAACACACACACGTTATACAACTCGGACCAATTGGATTAAGATAGACTTGACCATGCATGCATGCACGTCACTGAACTGACACAGCCTGCGCGTCACGGAAAGTTTATTGGTGCGGAAGGGCTTTTCGACGCAGGGTCGCTCGGTCACAAACCACACGAAAGAAAGAGAAGGATATAGAATAGAACGCCTTGCTTTAACCTCATGATGATGGGTGTGCCTTTTTTTGATAATGATATTCGTTGCATCTATTCCGAAAACCTTTTGCAAACTCGCCACCGAGGGCAGGCTCGGGCTTTAAAAGTGAACTCCGAGGTGTGTTTTATATTTTTTTTAAGACGGGTAGCACAGGGCCCTATATAACGGTATTATTGTTGTTTTATTCTCACGCCGCCCCGTTTTTCTTGCTTCCCATTCGGCATATCCCGTTCCTCCGGCGCTTTTCTTCATTGTCTCTCGTTCCTTTCACGGCCGGCAACTCAAGGGTGATCGACAGAAGATCCGTTTAAACCAGGGGGTGTGGTGGTTGTCAGGTCAAGCGCCGCCAGGGATGATGAAACGCGGACCGGGGCGGTTTTGGTGTGTGGTCTGTCGTTCGTTCGCTCGCTCGCTCGCTCGCTCGCGCGGCTTCGCGCGCAAAAGTGCCCGCCGCGCGCGAGCCCCGCCCCGATGTGCGACCGACACGAGTTGGAAGCAACCAGGCACGAGGGAAGGGACGATGAGTCGGAGCGAGGCGACTGATCAGCCTGTTTCAATATTGTACATTGACTAGGCAGAGGGAGGCTGTGTACGTTGGCATCGCGTATACATGCTCAAGATGGAGTAGCTGAGCCAGAGGAAAACCACGCACGGCGGCAAGCAGGACAGAGTGGGAGGAGCAGGAATCAGCTGGATGCTTCGCACGTGGGCAAAGTAGGGTAGCAGTGGGCTAGGTAGGTGTATGCAGGTAGCCAGGTAGCTAGCTGAGCGGGCGGCCAGCGGCGCGTGGGCAGTGACATGCACCCGCACTGCACTTCCCGATCTGCTCTGCCCGCGCCGCCGCGCGCATAAGCGTGGGTGCGTGGGTAGGTGGGCAACGGACAGCGGCGACGGCGGCTACGGCGTTCAGCGGTGGAATAAAATCAAGACACACAAAAACTTGGTTTTTTGTTCCTTCACAATCGGGGGCAGAGGGCGCAATCGAGAGAGGAGACGTGGAAGACGATGGAAACCTCAAAAGTGAGGCGGGGGAGGCGCAGCAGCAACAAAGGAGCAGCAGCAGAAAGCTGCATGCACACGACGGCTTTATGCTTGCTGCAGTAGGAACTTGTGCTCTTCTGGTCGGAGGCGGAGCGGATGCGAGGGGGGGAAGAAGCGAGAGAGAGCGTTTTCGTTTTCTTTTTCGCTTTTTTTGTTTGTCTTCCGATTGGATGCGAGATGATGAAACGTGTGGTACGGAAACGGTTTCTTTTTCCTATTTGCACGCATACACGAGAGCGAAACAGAACGGAGAGGGGGTTGCCACTGAAATGCAAGTTTTTTTTGTCGTTGCTTGCCGAGGCGTTGTTGCGCGCTTTTCAGCGCTGCCGCTCGGTATGCCGAGTTTTTGATAGAGAGCTGCTGCTCCCTCTTGTGATCTACTTCGGCCCTTCTCCATGACGATTGTCTGGCAGGCTAGCTGGTTGGTGGTTCACTTGGTCAACACAACCAACTTGCTCTACTCTCTCCCTTCTGGTTTTTTGCAAAAATTTTCTGGGGTCCAAAGGGAACTGTTTTAGCGCCGCGCGCCATGGCTTGCGGCGTGGCCGCGGGCACCGCTTGAAGTGTTAGTTTCTTTTCTTTTCCTCTGTGCGCAACCGATGGATGTGGGCACCCGCGCTGGAAGGATTGCGGACCGATGCGGGCATCGTCATCCAGCCGCGCCCTGGCGCGCGCGGATGATAGTCCTCTTTTTTTCCCCTACTCACGAAACTGCTGGCCTATTACTGGACGGCAGCTTTGCCGAGACAAAGTTTCTCCAGTCCCGTAGCAAATTACCGATAGGTCGGTATGGGCAAAGGCGCTCGTTGGCTGCGTGTACCTTTTGAGAGCGGGCGTGCACGCCGTGTTCGTTTGCGACCCTTACGCAGAACAGGCTCAGCCTCCGTCCATCCCGCACCAGTATAGCGTCGGAGGTGTCTCCGTCTCGCTTTTGCTCCATTGAGACATGTCGCGGCGGAGCAGCCAGACGTGTCGGTGTCAGCTTGATGGGCGGTCTGGAGGAGTTTGGCCAACGGAGTCTGGACTACTACGAAGTGTTGGCGCGGCCGGAGGCAGCGGAAATGATTCCGTTGTGAAATGAGGAACAGTTTAGTCTCTTCGGTGCAAAGGTCCAGATGTAGTCTCGTGGATGATGGGACGAGGCGTGCATGAGAAGGAGCAAGCAACAACTTTCACGGGGATTGGGGATCTACAGGACGGGCAAAGAGGTGTGCATGACACGACGGAGATGGCGCCGACTATTGGGGGTGAAAGAGCCGGTTGGATGCCGCGTGTCTTTTCGGCCACGAGGAAAGAAGGCTGCCCACGCTACTGTCCGCCCGCCTGCCTCGTGGCATATGCGGCTGCATCTCATCGTGATGGCTGCTGCTTCATCGGCGGCGTTGTCATACCCGCGAACAATGTGGGACCTACGTGATTCGGTGACACTCGTATGTAGGGCAACCAACTACCTAAAGTCATGGCCGGTATCGACAGGGGTTGAGGCAGTCAAGCCGGGGAATGATCTGCCATTCCGGCCACGACTTTTCCTACGTACGAGAGCGCGCCGCTGGTCCCTGCCTAGCGTGGCATCCGTGCTATATGGAATAGTCGAGACTTGTCTGTGATATAGGGAGGAAGGTACATGGCATTTATAGCTGTGTGCCCGGTGCACAGTGCCTATACTGAAACTGAACAAGGTGTGCCTGAACGCCGCCGCTTATCTCCGTCCCAGTCCTGCAATCTGCCCCTAGTGCTCAACTCTCCCATGGATTGCCCTCTTGCTGCTCCACTGCGTAGTCGATGACGTCCCAGAAGGTGCCCGCCGGTGCGCGGAAACGGGCGGATGGAGACGGGGAAGGCGGTTCGGAAGTCCGTGCCTGGGCCGCCGGAGAGCTGGGATCATGGTCCAGTGATGCTTCGGAGCTCTGACGAGAGGCGATATCCTCAGTGTCGGTACAGACTCTGCCCGGGCCCCAGGGATAGAAACGGATGTTGCTGCCCAGAGTCGTAGAATCTTGAGGGCAGGCCGAACCACTAGCTGCAAGTTCGCTTTTCTCGGTGTGTGAGGTGGTCTGGGTGTCGACATTTCCTTGCAGGTCTGGAAATGCGTCCACGAGGACTTGAAACTGTCTTGGGTCATGTCCAGTGATCTCAAGAGTTTTACGCCATATCTTGGGCCGGAGCAGTCTGTCTTTGTACCGCCCTCGAGGATCATCGAAATCGACGCTACAGCTCTGCTCAACAGCTGTTTTGCCGTCCCCATTGACTGCGTCTACGGGTGTACCGCATTCGATCAGCACCCGCAAGTCCTCCACAAGACTCTCCCGATCAGAATATACGAAAGCATCACTTCCTATTAACCAAAATTTCGACGAGATGTGTAAAGCTGTGCTCCCATCCGGGGTTTTGGCGTGGAAGTCAGCACCCAATGACTTCAGGAATCTGACATTGGCGTGGCTGAAATAATTATCCACCATCAGTCCGTGACGTCTCCCAGCCACATATTCAAGCAAGGGTGTCAAATAATCCTCGTTCCGCTGCTCGGTGTCAATTGATTCTCGCATGCTATGCAATAACTGGAACAAATGTTCCTGTGGAGATCAGAGTCCAGCTCAGATCAACATGTTGTGGAAAACTCACATTTCCAAAATCCGTCTGTGGAGATTAGAGTCCAGCTCAGATCAGAACATTGTGGAAGACTCACATTTCCCAAACTTCCGAGAAGACGTGCGAGCGGAGTGGCTCGTGCAAGGCGTTCATTCCCTTTTCCTTCCAGTTGTATGTCAGCCCCAGCGTCCACAAGTACTCGAATACAATCAATACGCAGAGTATCGGGGCGTAACGACAGAGTGACCTGCACCAAAGGAGGCCTGTGCGAGTATTAGCTTGATGGGTAGAAGGAAACAAATGTTGTTTCGGCCTACACGAGGCAGTCCCGGTATTTCCTACGCCCAATCACATCGAAAGCTACTTCTAAAGCATCAACATCAGCTCCGTGTTCCACGAGAAATCTGCAGATGTCGGCAGAATTGATGTAACTCGCATACTACATTTATTAGCATTATAAACACATCAAAGAAGAAATGACAATCCATTTTTCGAAAAGTTTGACTGAGTGCATTGGATCATGGCTGGGTCTGGGACAATAGCTTACACTAAGCAGCGACCGGCCTTTCGTGTCGCAATCTCTGAGTGATGCTCGTCCTTGCTCTATGAGTCCTACTACCCCTTTGAGGTTGTTTTTTAGGATCAGCTTGAAAATTTCCGAGTCGTCGGAAATCATGAAGTGCACGGATAACATCGGCGGAATGACCAGGTAGCCGCCTTCTGACAACATGCGTTGATAAAAGGATGCGGACAACTTCATCCTAAGCTCCGGACGAGATGACATGAAGGTGAGATTGGCAGCAAACTCCAAAATTCTCTCGTTCATGGACGTGCTACTTTCGAGCCTGGTACGAGTGCGTAGGAGCAGCGTGCCGTCTTTTGTGGCCACGACTTTGGATGTTCCCTTGTCGACTAATTGGGTAGAATCTCGCGCACGAACAATGCGTTCTGTTTATGTAAGCCACTGCAGAGCAATAAGGCTCAGAAACTTACTTTCGTTATTGACTTTAATGTGGTAGGCTGAGGTTAGTAAACCTTTGACCCTCTTGATGTTAGACTTTGCGATTTCGGCTTCGTCGTCTCGTTTGCGTTTTTCTCCTGCGATGGTCGATGGCTCGTCTTGAACCGTTTTCAGTAGGGTTTCGAGATCCTCAATGATCTCCGCTGCCTGTGAGGAGCCGATAGTCTTTTCTTTGTGATCGACGAGCCTGCATAGCCTCATTATCGATTGGAGGATGCTGGAGGAGGACGTTCCAAGGTTTGGACTGGATGTGGAACTGGCAGTATAACTAGAGTTGATGTCGCAGATGGAATCTTCATCGATCTCTGAGACGGTAGAAGAGAGCTGGGAGGATTTGCTTTGCCTCTCACCAGTTTTCTGCTCTTGTTGGATGGACAGCTGCTCCAGCATTCCTTTGATGATATCGAACTGGTTCTGCGAGAGCGACGGCATGGAATCAATCTTCTTGCCTAGTACATCAAGTGCCTGCTTAGTGCTCCGTTGTGCGGCAGAAGAGTAACTCTCGAAAAGCTGGAGACGCCCATCCAAAGAAGATATGGAACTAGCCTGCACTCTAAGATTTTGAGTGTTGGAGATGACATGGTCGGTGTTCGTTTGGAAGGCTTGCTCGAGAGCAGAAATGCTTTGCATCTGGCGAACGGCGGAAAAACTATGGGGCAGCGTAAGTCTACGCGTGGCTAAATATGACCCAGAGGGAAGTAAAGATTACCTTTGAAGCAGCCCCAAGTATACGCCGAGGACAGTGACGTGATGATGCACTGTCGTCCACATTTCCTGCATGTCTTCCTTCTCCAAGATAGCCTTGATCCGTTTCCAGGCAGCTTTCCACTTCCGGTCGCCTGCTGTATCCTGTAGTGTTGAAAGCTTTTTGGACAGGAATGCGAGATCGCTTTCACATTTCCTGATGGCTGATTCGAATTCGTCGAAAGACTGTGCAGCGTTTGGTGGTTCGAAAAGGCTCGAAAGCTGTCTCAGGATTGATTGCAGATCTTCGGTTGCTGACGACAGGCGCTGGACTTTCTCAGGCGCATCCTGGATGCCTGATATGGTCTTGTAGACTGACTCGGTGGATTTGAGGGCGATTCCGATAAAAGCGAGTACGGAGGCTCCGCCACTGATGGCCTCCATTGCCGAAAGGCAGTACAGTGTGAGGAAAACACAAGAATGAGGTGGGGAAGGAAAAGAAAGGGACGGCGGTCGTGATATCAAGGTGGAAAGAACCCCCCGCGGCTGTGCCTGCTGTGCAACACATGCAAGGCTGTATTCAGCCAGCTCAACCCACCTGTAGTCATCATCGCAGCGTAGCCGACCAGGTCACAGCCTGCTTTTAGGCGAATTCAGGCGCGATCACCGCACATAGCCTCCTCTGATGCGTGGTACAGATGGCTGTGTAGACCGCGAGCATGCCTTCGTGGTGCTGGCATGTGGTTACAGTTTGTAATTGCGGAATGTACCAATGACCCTGCTAGTGCCTTAGGAAAGGTAGGAAGTCGTGGCCGCGATTCCGCACGTGACCTTTCCTTCAGCCTTGGAACAATTGGGGTCCAACGGGCAACTACTCTCTCAATCTTGCCATAGAAAACAGGTTTATTGCAAATAGAACGTTTTCGAATAGCATGACTAGCCAACGCATCTTCAGTGCCACAGACATTCCAAGCCGGGCAAGCCACCATCTCAACACCAAGGCCCGAACGGCTGCGTTCTCGGATCCTTCCACCATCACTACCACCATACTCAGACCATGTCTCCTTTTTCCACGACGACAAACGCCAAACAAGCCCCACCATCCCATCCCAATCTCCCTAAGCTCCTTAGCCTCACCATATCTGCAACCGCCACAGCACAGAATACACCCAATGGCATCCACCCGAGCTATCTCCGAGCAAACACTCCCCTCGCCTTTCCGATCCAGAGCGCCCTTCCAAACCCTTCTAGCTATCTTCCCACGGCGCTCAGATCAGCCACCGTCCCTCTTTTCGATCCAGATCGTCAGGCATACCGTCTTTTCCCTAGCCCTAGTATGCAATCCCACCGTTAGTCTCGGGGTCAACGAAAGATGGACACTCTTAATCCGCAAAAAATTTCCCTGCCCTGGGAGGGCGTCTGAATAGACGGGCATCGCACTCCCCCTAAGTCAATACAAAAAAAGTCAGAGAGGAAAAAAGCACGGTACGCTCTCTCAACCCTCCCTCGTTACTCTCGCTTCCCAATTCCTTCGTCATGGATCATCAAACACCGGTGAAGGAGTATAAGCGCCGCGTTGGGGTTTGTGCGGTGCTCCCGTGCTGCCGTGTGTGCCCTTTTTTACCCTTTTCCTGCTTGCTCCACACTCAAATCAAGCTTCGATAAGCTTCCCGCTGGCTAAAACGCAAACACCCTGTGGTGGGGAGCCGAAACTCTAGAATGACACACACTGACACCTAGGCGACGCGGGCCGTCGGACGGAAGAGAGGTGTTGGGGCCAAGGAGAGGCGCTTTCACGCGGCGTAGCACATACGTATGTGTTGGCTGCGGGCGGCACCGGCGGCGGCGGGGCGGGTGGTTCGGCATGTTCAGAATCCCCATCTCGGGTCAAAGGAAAGAATGGAAATTGGGGAGCGGGAGGGGCAAAAGAGGTGAACGGGGCGAAACCGAGAGAAGGGACGAGGAGAGGGGCGAGATGATGCTATTGCTGTAGGGGTGCCCAATGATCGCCCTGGGCCGTAATGACGAACACCTACCGGTGAGTGGAGGCTAACGTTGTTCGTGTGGGCGAACGGGTGTGTGGCTTCTTTTCACTGGTCCAAACCTTCTATCTTTGCTGGACAAGGTGCGTGGGGGAAAGAAGGTGCAAGGTGAAGTGTTCTTCACCCGTGGTGGAGTGTACCCGTGGTATCCGGATGCCTCATCACGATCGATAACCCGCACACCTTTTCTACAGAGGGGGGTGGCTGAGGCGATCGTCCGGACCTAAATGTTGAATTAACAATTATACATTCCCGTCCGAACGATAATTTCAACTATCCATGAGTCGAGTGTCTTTTCTCACAACGATCGTTTCTTCTGGTGTAAATCACCCGTACCCTATCACGATTACACGATGTCGTCATACCCGTTCGCCTCACTTGGACGTTTCCAATTCGTATTAACAATCTGCCCCTGAGTCTTCGATGCCCATGACGATTATCGATGAACTACTGCATTAGCAACGTCATTGGCAAGGACATTTCTGCCAATTGCAAACGTGGCCACCATTTTCACCGAGTTCTCATCTGGACACTTGACGATAGAGGCGGACCTGGGGATAGGCGTCCGTAATACGAAATGCCATCATCTCGCGAGGACATCTCGCCCGGGAACCGTCTTCGGCTTTCGTTGGTACCTCGGATATACACATCACGCCCCGCACACACACACGACCATCTCTAGTAGCGTCAACATCATCAATCATCATTACTACTACTACCCCCCTGTCACCCCCAACTTCACCCACCACTACCAAATCCTCTTCGCAACCATACTATACCGACTCGTCCCCTCCAACTTCCCATCCGCCCCCCTCGCCTCCTTCGCCTCCTTCTCCCTCGCCTTAGCCTCCCTCTCCCTCAACGCCCGCAGGCCCTCCGGATCATCCGCGTAAATCCAGCGCTTCTTGTCGTCCTCGACCTCGACGACGCCCCACCCGCCGACGCGCTTGCCGTCCGTCGTCGTCAGCATCTTCTCGCGCTCCTTCATGCCCTTGTAGCGGGCGCGCGCGAAGCCGAGCAGGACCATGCCGAGCACGAGCTTGCAGGCCAGCAGCACGAAGTAGGCGACGAGGAAGACGACGATCATGGTCGTGAAGGCGATGACGTCGTCGAGGGACCAGAGATGCCATGACGACGAGGAAGTCGTGCTGCCGGCGCCGAAGGACGAGCGGCCGAGGGCGCGGCGGAAGATGTGGTCGATGTGGGCGAGGGCGGCGGTGGTGGCGGGGGAGGACGACGTGGCTTGCGAGCCGGCGCTCTCGACGGAGAGGCTGGTGGCGGGCGAGGGGATGGGGAGCGGCATGTGCGTGGCGAGGAACATGTGGTAGGTCTGGATGGTGGCGCGGATGAAGAGGCAGGCCAGCGGCAGCACGGGCAGGCCGAGGCGCTTGGTCAGGTTCTGGTCGAAGAAGGCGTTCGAGTAGTAGTCCTTGGCCAGCACGTCGAGGAAGCGGCCGTAGACGGCCGGCTTGGTGTTGTTGAACTTGGTGATGTACGCGTGCTTGAGCCAGTCGACCAGCATCTCGCTGCCCAGCACGAGCAGGAAGGGTCCCAGCACCTGGCCCGTCCATTTGGGGAAGATGGTGAAGCTCTTGGGGATGATGCTCGTGCTGCGGAAGGGGGCCGTCGTGCCGGTGCCGTTGCTGCCGATGCTGGCGCTGGATGAGCCCGATATGTCTCCGAGGATGCTCAGGCCGCCGACTTCGACGATGTTGCGGCAGGCGATGATCATAAGCATGAGCCAGAGCTGAAACCTCTCGACCATATCCGCACAGGTGAGTTGGAAGAGATTCTCTTTCTCGAACTTCTTGAACACGGTTCCCTTGATCTCGACGAATTGATTGGACATCAAAAGCGTCAGGAGAGCATTGGAGTACGAGTTGACGGCGACGTTGAGAGTAATGACTTGGTAGAACAAGGCGGTGGAGTGCAGGGAAGTGTACGCCAAAGCTAGAAGGAACATCCAGAAAGGCCGGATGACCTTACTTCTACCGTCGGCGTTCCGGTCCAGAGTCTCGCGTGAGAGAAGACACTCGAGGATATCTTGGCCCAGTGCAGAGAAAAGCCGGTCGCATACTTCAAGGACGTTGTAAATGACGTACAGCTTGATCGCCGCCTGGCCTCTAATGTTGTGATACGTTTTACTTGCATCAAACCGCATAAGGACCATGCAGGTTGCAAGTACCAACAAACCTTTGAGGATGTCCGCTTTGTGGTTTGGAAGAAGTGTGGAAGGTACAGACTTGAGTCTGCGGTGGCGGTAGATGGAGGATTTTGGGGGCCTTCGTGAAGGTGGTGGCTCTTTGATGAGAGGGATGCTATTCCCGGTTGAAACTCCAGAAGGAGGATCTGAAGCTTGAGAGAAAGATGATTTGCGTGGCGTTACTTCATCAATTGATCCATTCGCAGCGGGATGCTCAATTATCCCACGTCTTCTTTGCCGAATTCTGCCCACACCTTGGTAGATGAAGATGGCAATGTCGTGCGCTTCTTTCCATGCATTCGTTGCCCACCACTTAGCTAGGATCCAGAGGGCCTTAAGGAAGCGCAAGGGCAAGATTGTGAAGGTGTAGAGCCAGGCATCAAGACAAGCAAGGGCACCGAAACCGAGAGATTGCTCGAGTTCGAAGGGGAGAATAAGGAAATTCCATAGCCGTTCGAATTTGATGCGCGATGACTCGTAAGGGAAGTCACTGTTCACAGGCCGATGAATGTACAACGGAGAGGGTTTGTCCGACGAAAGCTCCAGTTGCAGATAGGTAGGAATGGACAATGGCGGTAACGGAATAGTTGCAGGCATTGGAGACGCTATGGGAGTTTCTTGTATGGCAGAAGGTTTGAGGCCGCCGGCGGAATCCCCCCTCTTTTCGTCCAGGTTCAAAGGGGTTGGCCGAGGTTTAAGTTGGGTTTGATCTAAAGATGGCGTTCCTCTGTTGGATTGTTTCCGGCGCATGATCGGGGTTGAAACGGTGCGCGACATGCTGGGCTTACTCCTCGAATCTCTTGACGAGGACTTGACATGATTCGTCTCGGAATGCGCAGGAGCGTCCTTTGCCTTTGACGAGCTGCGCACTCGATGCTCTCCATTTTCAGACGGGGTCGCGTATTTGGTCGGGGACGTTGCGTCTCGGGAGTTGCTAATCGTGTGGCTTTTCTTTTCAAAAATCACAGGCGCTTCATCCAATCTTGGCAATGGCTCGATGGGCTCATCCACTGGACGCAGTGGTAACGATGTTGGCGACGAGGTCAGCTCGTGTATTTGGGCCGGAGATAGCTTCAGGACGCGATCCTTCTCAGCGTCGCTGGGAGAAGTCACGCTGCTCTTGCGCCTCGAATGCTCCAATTTGGTATCCAGACCAGCCAACCTGGACTCATCCATCGACACGGATCCATGGCGATGCGACCTCCCCCTCCTCTCAACGCCGTTTGTATCCTGCTTCTTCTCGGGGGAATTCGCGAGGCCATTCGCGACGGCCCCTTCAGGAACGGGCGAAATGCCTAGACCGGAGGGCGCGCCATCCTCAGTGGCGGAGATTTCTGTCGGACTGGGCGACAGGGCGGGCGTGGGAAGTTGGCCGTTCTGCTGTTGCGGCGGCGAGAAGGGCGGGAAAGTCTCGGTGGCAGTCTCAGGATCCTGCAGCCCGTTCATAGCGTCGCAATTCCGAGGTCAGGGCGACCGGCATGCTGCGACACGCAGGACGGGGAGAAAAAAGGACACGGGTTTGTTGGGGGTGGGTCAGGGAATGCGAAAAGGTGTACCTTTCTTGAGCCCCCGTCGCGACGCGCGTGGCTGACGTCGTGTCGGCATCCCGAACCCCCGGCACCCGACTCGCGCGCGCCACCGCGGGGAAGGGACGCGGCCGGAGCTGCCTGCAGCTAGAGAGCTTAACTACAGCTCCAGCTTCGCTCCTCTTCTTCCTCCTCTTCGTCCCTACAACCATTCACAATGTCAGGCTACGAAGGTATGCGCCTATTCTCTCCATCAGCGTGGCATCTTCTCAGCAAAGCAGCTGCGGGATTCCCAGATCCGCAGCAGCCCGCAGCCCCGCGGACAGAACTTTCCAATGGGAAGGAACCCGGCTGACACGGTAGCAAACCACAGTGGAACACAACATCTCCCCCGAGGAGGCCAAGACCAGCAATGAGCCGCGCCGGCGTCCTGACCTCTCGACCTTCTACTCGGCGCTCGAGCAGCTCGACACGTCCGACGCCGCCCACGCCCGCCACAACCCGCACGCCCACCCCACGCCCACCGACGTCATCGCCCTCTTCTCCATGTTCCGCGACGCCCTGATCGTCATGGGCGCCGACCAGGCCGGCGGCGATCCTGCCGACAACCCCATGTTCGAGCAGCTGCAGGCCTTCATCGACAATCCGCCCAAGGAGATCAATGGCGTGCCGGACAGCTTCATTGAGGGCTTGGACCGCGTGCCGAAGAAGGACTTGAAGAAGGACGATGAGTGTGCCATCTGCAGGCTGCCATTCCTGGACGGTGAGTTTCGAGACAAACGGGGCAATTGGCTGGGAAAGTGGGGGCGCTAATGGGATTTCTATGTTGGCCGCAGATCCGTATCCTCTCGTGGTGGAGCTGCCTTGCGACGCTGGGCACCGTTTCGATATGGACTGCATCCGCCCGTGGCTGAAGCTGAACAGCACGTGTCCGCTTGATCGCAAGGACTTCTCCAAGAAGAAGGCCCCGCCGCCTCTGCCTGATGACGAGGAGGAGGAGTGGGATGACCAGTTCGGTTGAGAGAGGAGGCATCAAAGTGAAAATTGCATGATGGGGCGTTTGGGGTTGGTGGTTATGTGTGAGTATGCAAATGCGGCGGCTAGGAGGCCCTGATACCTTTGGTCCTCCATCATGATATCTGATCAAATCAATGAATTGATATATTTGATTAATGAGACTATTTACGAAGGAACCTACCGCCGGGGTTCCAACGAAAGCTTGACGGCTGTGGCGGTGACAACCGGCCATAGTAATGGCAAATGACTGGAAGAATACAGGGTCTTCCTAAACAAGAAAGGAAATAGTCTGTCCTGATCCGAAGCACCTACTCCGAGGCACCTACCCTGAAGCATTTCCACCAATTGAGCGGGTGAACCTTGCCAGCTGATAACCAACCAGCCCTCCGGCCCTTAGAACAGTCGTAGGACGCAGGAATCCACCATCCCTGGCCCTGTTTGCCAAATCCATGGCCTGACGATCGAATCCGAACACGTTTGCTGGAACCCTTCCAGCGCGGAGCAGCGGGAAGGCGGGACGAAGAGCTCTCAAGTTAATTGCCGCCGTTCCTAGACTGTGTTAAAAATAAATGGCTTTCCTTGATGAGTGGGTGGATGCACACTTACACGGCCTTCTCCTGGAGCTTCTTCTTCTGGGCCTTCTTCTCCTCGGCGGCCTCCTTCTCCTTCTTCTCCCTCGCCTCCTTCTTCCTCTCCTTCTTCTCCTCCTTCTGCCTCGCCTTCGCTTCCTCCCTCCTCTCCTTCCTTGACATCTCCGGGCCGCCACCAGGGTTGTTCGCACGCTGCTGCTGCTGCTGGCGCAGGGACTGGTGGAGATCACGAGGGGTGGGGGCTTCGACTTGCACATCCGCATTCCAGCGCGCAATCCGCTCGCGGAAAGCATTGCGATACGCCTCAATTGCGGCGGGGTCGGCATCGGGACGGGGTGGGCGAGGCGGCGGAGGAAGAGGAGGACCACCACCACTGCCGTTATTACCACCGGTTACGGTATTAACGGTGTTGCGAACATTCTCGATCAGGCGGTTGGCCTCGGGAGGGCTGGTCATGTGGCCGTCGCGGATGTTGACGCAGATCTGTCGGAGCTGCGTCAGGCTGTCGTTTATAACGGGATTGTGGGTGTGGGATGCTTGTATGTCGTCGATCCTCTCGACGAAGGCGTTGAAGTCGGCGGGGGTGACGTCGGCGCTGGCGTTCTGGTCGAGGCCGAGCCTGGAGGCGAGCGTGGATAGTGTCTGGCGCTGCTGCTCGTTGCGCTGCTGGTCCTGGAGCTGCTGGCTCTGGAGGTGCTGGTTCTGGAGCTGCTGGTTCTGGCGCTGCTGGCCGTCGCGCTTCTGCTGGCCGTCGCGCTTCTGCTGGCCGTCGCGCTTCTGCTGGATGTCGCGCTTCTGGTCGTCGTGCTGCTGTTCATTGCGCTGCTGGACTCCGAGCTGCTGGTCTTCGCGCTCCTGTTCCTGGCGCTGGCGTTCCTCGCGCTCCTTGATGCGCTGCTCTTTGCGCTTATTTTCTTCGGCGCGGCGTGCATCATCTTTGAGTCTATCTTTGTGGATGGCCCACATGTAGCGGATCTCCTCCTCAGTGGGCTTCGTAGCTTCTATGCCGTGGTAGTGGCAGTTGGGGTCGCGCAAGATCAGCGGGCGCTTCTTTCCGCGCGGCAGATGAGGACCAAAGACAGGGCGATCCTCGCTCGCGACGCTGTCATTGTCACCGTGGTTCTGGTCGTCGTCATCGTGGTTGTCAGCGTCGCTGTGGCTCTGGTCGTCGTCATCGTGGCTGTCGGTGTCGGTGTCAGTGTCTTCGTCGTCGGCCGGCCTGCGCCAAATCAGCCAGGCAGGCAGGAAGCCAGGCAAGAAGCCAGGCATGAAGCGAGCGAGGTATCCGAAAACGAATCGCCACATGGCGGAGTAATGATGCCTCTGTAACGATGGTTCGGGCGAGTCTAGAAAGGATGAGGTAGAGGTTCAGGTTGAGCGGGCGGGCGACGCGTTGTTATGGCGAAGTGTTTGGCGCTCGCACGTGCCGTGAGTACGAAAAGGGAAGACGCGCTGGGTCGCAGCACACGCAGGCCTGCGTAGACCCCCGCTATTCGCCCTTCTTCCTCCGTCCTCTCGTCCTGGCTCTGCCAACCGCGCGAAGCCCTCACGAACATCACTATCAATATGAAACGCGCTCACCCCAGCGACGGCGCCTTCGCTATGAATTTCCGGCCGCGGTCTCCTCCCGGCAGTCCTATACGCAATGACGCAAGCCGCTCGGCGCATGAGGAGCCCTTTGCCACCGAAGACGGATGCCGCAAGTGGCTCATGGATGAACGCGAGAGCCTCCATCAGAGCATCATCAACTATGCAGGCTATGCGGAGTACATTGCTGGCATGGTCGAAGATGAGGGCAAGACCGTCAGCAGCATCCCCACAGGGCTTTATTTCGCGTTCGTCCGCTCTCTGCGCCAGCTGGTAAGTAATGTACCACTTCTGATCCAGATTCATCAGGGACGGAAGCTCTTCTCGGGGCATGGCATGTACGAAGTAATAACTTCCAACAATAGGCCAAGCTCAACATTCTTATCGAAGAGTGCGAAAAGGACAAGAGGCTCCTGATGGGGGATATTACGTTCTGGCGCGAGAACTACAAAGACATGACGGCCAAGGATATGGTCGGCATGGATAAACCACCTATGATGATAAAGAATAGCTATGCTAACGTGCCTATAGATGCTGCGAGAACTATCTGGAATCCGGAGCACTCCAGCGAGCCGCCTTCGATTGTCACGGCTCTCTGGTCCATGGCTCACCAGCCGCTCCCGTCGGAGTGGAAAGATGAGTCTGAGTGAATCGGCTGGGTTGGATGGAGAAAATGGGAGGCAATAACAGGAAACGGCTTGACATGTAGCTGCTCATCAAATGGAACACTCTCTGCGTTCTGGGCATACATGCAGACCAAAGTGTTGGTAGTTTTGTGTTTGGCATTAGTGAGGGGGGTGCCTTCCGCATGATACTACCGTCCCGGCTAGTATCTGCTTGAGTTTGCGGAAAAACGAGTAGGTACTTCCTGGAGCGCAGCGCGACGTCACTTCGTGCCTTCTCTCTACATCGAATAATGCTGCTACCAACGCAACGCGCTCCCAACCGCAACGCATCACCACTCATCTCCACCAAATCATAGCTACTGTATTACCACCATAAGTTGCGAGGATCCTGCTCTCGCGAAGCACCTGCAAAACACAATCAATGTCGGCACCTCGAGACGGCAATTCTGGAAGACGGGACTCTTTCGGGGAGGAGGGGGACAGAAGGAAAAGAGACCGCTACAAACCCAATTACGGAAGACAAGATTCCTCGAGGGAGGCGGTTGAAGAACCGCAAATAGACCGCTACATGCCCGATTACGGAGAGACGGTTGAAAGACGGCAACCAGACCGCTACGTACCCAATTACGGTTCGTGCCGATCCACCTCTCACTCATGCCCTCCCCGTCGCTCCGGCTGATCACCATACATCTCAGACTCGGCAGCCACTGGAGCAGACGATTCGACCACCACCACCACCACCACCACCCAACCGGACGACCAGACTAGACCAGAAGCATCGGCGCATTCACGAGACGACGATGACGACAATCGCCCTGACCCCTGGTTGTCGTTCCGCCCTCGCCGCCGCCGCCGCTCGTCACCCGACTACTTGACAGGCGGCATCCATCCTTCCTCGATTCCCCCTCCTCCTCCTACTCCCCGCCTCAGCAACCGCCGCGACCCGCTTCCCCCTCCTCCGCCTTACTCCCTGGACGACAACGCCGCCTACCGCGATCGTAGTGACAGCAACCTGGCGGCGTCGAGAAGCCAGCCACGCGGATATGCCGAGCTCGAGCGTAGTATCCATCGTCGTGTTTATCCTCGAAGGTCGGGTCGGAGCCTCTCGCCTCGCAGCCGGCGCGGCAGAAACGTCGACCAGGCGCAGGCGCAGGCGCAACACGACGGCTCCCCGTCCTCCTTCTCCTCTGCCCTAGCGGCGGCAGCGGCGGCGGCAGCAGCAGCGGCGGTGGAAAATGATGACAGCCAGCCGCCCCGAGGCCGGCCGCCTCGAATCCAACCGCCGCCTCGAAGCCAACCGCCCCAAAGCCAACCGCCCCGAAGCCAGCCGCCTCAAAGCCAGCCTCCTCATCGTCGTCGTCGTCGTCGTCAACGTCGTCGAAGGCGGAGTAGAAGCCTCTCACCTCGTAGCCGCCTCGCCCCGTCCCGCTTGGCGGACAATTTCCTTTCTGCGATAGCGACCGACATCAATTCCAGACATCCATTCACCGCTCCGACGCGGTCAAGAAGAAGCGTACTCAACCAGCAATTAGCGCAACGTCAGGCCGACCCCTCCTCCTCCTCCTCCTCCTCCTCCTCCGCCTCCGCCTCTGCCACGGCCGCGACGCCGGCGGGGGAAAACGATGACAGCAGCCGCCATTTCCTGAACGCTCCTGATGTGATGATGACAGATGAGACAAACGCTGACAATCCTCCGGCGCCCAACAACCCGCGGCGGCGCTCTTCTACCCTTGCGCTCCGTGGAGGCCGGCCCCCGGCTCGCCGTTCTCCCCGCGAGGCAGCAGCAAGATCGGACTCGGCGTATAACTCTGATGCGCCGGATTTTGAGATCTTGAAGTTTAGGCCGGATCCGAATAGGAGGGCGGGTAGGTAGACGGTTGCTGGTTTTTTGTTTTTCGGGTTGAAGGGGAAGGATGGTTGCGTGGGGGGATGGGAGGTAGCTGTGGTCGTGATGAAAGATGGGTGCTGGGGACGCGGAGTAGCGATTGGCTATTTTATTGGTTTGAGAGAGAGAGAGAGAGAGACGGTCTCGTGTGAGCGGGACGCTGTTATTCACAGTTGTGGTAGAGATAGCGGTTGGAAAATCGAATTGGTAGGCTGTTCGTTTCAGTTCGCTGAAAAAGATGGTTTTGTGAGAGCGAGAGGTCGTCGACAGTCGCGGAGAAGATAGACATCGGGGAATGCGAATTGGCGAGCTGTTTCTGCGTGTCTTCCCTCACATTTCTCTCTGCTTCCGTTGCATGTTGTTTCAAAAAGGGTAATTTTAAGCGAAGAAATGGAGACGTATAGACTAGAAAAGGAAGGTCAATGTGGGGCAAGAGACGATCATTTCCGCTACACGTCCAACTTCGAACGTCGCAAATTCGGTATCTGTTTACATACCAGAAAATTCACGACTTGCAGGGATAGTCGTGAAATATCCGCGTCTTCTCCGAACATGCTCCGGTGGTGTTGAGATGAACTTGATGCGAGTTTGTTCGTTTCAGATGAACGATGACCGTAGTGTACTTGGTGATCGGCCTTGCTGCCGTTGGACACGCGTGTGTCATGCGTCTCCTGCCGCTGTTAGAGCAATGGAAGTAATGATCAGTGCTCATTCGCGTCACTACAAACTATACGATGACTATCCTCTCAAGATCCGATTTCTTCTTAGGCCTCGCCTGTCCCTGCATAATTCCATGAACATATGCTTCACCGACCAGCATGAATGTTCCATCTCTCCTCGGCCGAAACACGTATGGGACCTGACACCCAGGGATGACATAAATGGCGTCTTTCTCTCGAGTGCCCGGCGGTAACCAACACATTTGTCTTTCTGCTGTGTATCCTGGCAACCGTGGTGAACTCCACTTCTCCAAAGACGATAGATAAAAAGAAATGGATTGCCAGAAATACCCGCGTCCCTCGTTCCTGTTTTTTATGAAGTCGTTTTTTTCCTCGTGGTTTGGGGCAATTTCTGTTGCATGTATGAAAAGATAGAAGTTGATGAAGTGGAGGAAGTACAGCGCGGAGGCTGGATGTCCGTCACTCGTCAGTCCGCACACCATAGGCTTCCAAAGCCTTTTCTCATCGGCTTGGAAACTTCTCGAGAGAAAATACTCAAGAAACTCTCTACTGTGCTCAGCAGTAAATTCTCCCTCCGGTGTGCCGCTCAGGTGGTGGAGTAGTTGAAACTGCAGGAGTAGTCCGGCGATGTGCTGGCCGTCAGTGGCATGAATCGCCCTTTTTGGTGGGTTCCCGACCTGCTGGACAGAACCAACCTCTCTTGCGCATAGGGACAGCCTGTCTCCCTGGATTTGAGGATCGGAATCAAGTCGTGACCCAAAAAGACCTGGAATGCCGGCACTGAATGGCATATGGTCATCGTACCGGGTAAAAACGTCCCTGTTCGGAATGTCGCGCCAGTCTGGAACCCATGAAGGAAGGCCACTTTCGGAAGCTGATTTGCTGGCACAGGAGAGAATGTGCAGGTTTTTCTTGTCCATGATCGACCATTCAGCGAACTTTCGATACACATCTTCTGTTGTTGTGGCCGGGTCGTAATTGGGTTTCAGCGGTCCTCTGCGATCCGAGAAACTCAGATCATTTGCAAGACCAAGGACCGCGTATATCCTATCCTTTGCATCAGAACAATTCGAGGAGCTTGCCAAAAGTAGCATATGGAAGAAGCGTCGTTCTTGCTTAGATTTACGGAGCCAATGACGCCGAATATTCCGTTGCCGCACTTCATGAATCTCGACAATCATACGTGACGCTTTTTCGGCTTCGTCGGAAAGTTTTCCACGCATCTGTGGTATTTGTCGGAGGTTGTGTATTGCCGTGAAAAAGTTATCCCAATCCAATGAGTTCGTGGCGCTCGTGAATATTGTTGCTTTGTTCGCATTCACGACTTCTTGCAATATCCACAACCGGTGGAACCAGGGCCGACATAGTAATGCCTCAATGCGACTCCAACAGCCTTCTTCAGCTTCCTGGGAAATACCTTTCTCTCCGAGTGAATCCGCCGAGACGTAATCATCAGGAAAGAACTTCGAACTCAACTCGTAACTACGCCGAGAATTGTAGTTTAAGGAGCTGTGCATGTACTTGAGAAGCGGAAATACCCCTTCGATATCTTCGGTTTCCTTTTCTAAGAATATCATCACTCTGTACGCAGATGAATACAGTCCCCCCATATTTTGTACTTGCGCACTTCTCTCCTCTTCATCCTCTTGATTGATACAGAGTGCGTCGCACCAGAGCACGCGAGGCGCGTAAGGCAAACGAAGTTCGAGTAAGGCATCGTACAAGTTTCGAGTAACCTCTTTCTGATGACCGTTGCAGTCTATGGTGACTTTGTTCTCTTCACTACCCCACACGTAGGAGAGTGCCTCGTAGGGCGGTGGACTTTTGCCTACCACGTCTTGCACCACGAGACGGCATTGGATCTTGCTGCCAACACCAGGCTCGAGGATCAAGAAGCGGAACTGGCCGTCTTTAAGACCTTCGTACAAAGGTTTGTCGATTGGGTCATACCTCGTGCGAGCCTGGACTGCTTCGGTATAAGAAAGGACGCGCTTCTCGTACTGCATGTCCGCACTCAGCAGAGGCCCGAATTTCATGGAAAACACAATGTCCGATATGTATTTTGCTCCACTCGTTATCACCGTAAACCAGAAAAAGAGCTCGAAAATCAAGCGACGAATTGGGCGGCGAGGCCGCTGCTCTTGTTGCTTCGTAATCTGACCCGTAGTCAAACTGCGTGACTGCGTGACAACATTCTTCAAACACTTCGTCGTCCGTGGGCGAATTCCATGGTTGAGGTTCTTGTTTCGGTTGAGCAGATGTGTGCTCCGAATGGATGTACGAGAGGAATTGGTAGAGACCGAGACCGGGTGAAATAGACGAGACAAGAGAAAAGAGGATGGCATGGTCCTAGGGACCGGAGGAGAATTGCCAATGGCATGTATGCGTAAGCCGCATGGCCTTCGCAGAAACATGTTCTTGAGGAAGGCCATGTCACTTTGAAAAAGACGCTGCCCAACCTTCGTTGCTGCAAGACTGGCGCCGAAGGGCAACTGCCATACTCTTAGTGAACAGCTTCTGAAGATATTTAAGTATAACGACCCGTTGATTTACTTAGTAATACTTTGGGCTGCTTATTGGGACTTCTGTCGAGCTGAGATGACGCATGATTCAGTTCTACGCAATGTTAAGCGAATGAAAATTGACGCGAAAACGCCCCATACCCCTCTTTTGTCCATTGTCGCATGAATCGGACTTGAAGGCACCCAATCGCATGAGGACAAGTATTACTTTGCGCTCGAAAAGTTTGCCAACAGGCCACTGCAAAATCGTGTAGACCTCTGGTGGCCCTCTGCCGGGTAGCATTCATTCTTATGAATAAATTATAATGAGGATTGATCATGTCGATTAATAGCCATATGTACATACTATAATAGGCCAATGAGAGAATCAAAAATTTATTTTCATCGTGCTAAACGAACCTCGTTCTTCTTCGTATCAATAGTTTTCCCATACCTCTAAAACCAACTCATATTCCCTTAGAACTCTCTCTTTCAATCAGAATGCGCCATGGTTGCCAGCAATATAGTTATCATTCTCATTCTTCAGGTAGAAAAAAAAAAAGGCAGTCATAGGCCTTACTGAGCTGGATGTGGATGGTGTAGTAGACGTAGCCGGCGACATTGAAGGTCTAGCTCTGGACTTTGCTTTTCAATGTGTGGTAGTGTAAGCGCCATAGCCGGAATTTTATTGCAAATAGTCTCAAACGAGGTCTGTTCATTTCTGTTTGAACTTAATGAATTGCTCCTTCTAAGGGCCTACAAGATGAGCTACGTTTTATGAGGATCAGGCTACGTTAAACTACTTTTAGATTTCTGAAAGTACGGCGTGATAAAACGGTAGGCGTACGTCTAGATGAACCGAAGATCAAAAACCCGCCCAAAATTTTCCTAACAAAGCAGCGAACCTAATAAGCCCATCGTCGATGTCGGTTATTTTACTATTCCTGTAAAACCGGTGGGGACCCGCTTGGTTGTGCCATGCTTGGTACCAATGCGAGACTAATGCATTCCTTTGGTGGTTGCTCCGCACCAGAGAACAAGCGGATTCGGGAACAGAAATTGCATCGCCTACGTATACCTGGGAGTAGAATGATTACTTTAGCTGTGATGAAGAATGCTCTGCGGTTTGGTAATGCGTAGCTTAACTTGGGTTTGTGTGCAGACCGCCTGGATCAGCAGCGAGCTGGGTGGAGGCATTGACTTGACAGAAACAACCATGGGGATGCCAAGGTCAAGCTAACAGTAGCTTCTCCAGATCATCTGTTCCGTCTTGTGCGGGGTGTCGAGACAGGCATATAAGGACAGCCGAAAAGTTTATCATCACATAGTGCCCCCAATATCCAAAGCAGTGGTGACCATGGACAATCCTCTCGATCAAATGACCCATCTGAAAGCGGAGAGCCTTGAATCTCTGCCCCCTCAAACTACTCGAATCCCTGCCGGCCAATATGCAGTCAAAGGCACGAAGGAAATGCAAGTGCCACGCCAAGGCGAGGTGAGGGACGAAAATGCAGTCAGGGCTGACATTTGGTTTCAAACGGAGGTGATGATTTTCTTGTTCCAACTGCGTTTCAATCCGGTGCATGCTAATATGGGTGCAACATAGCCTCTTGGGATTGAGACTATCCGGCGGATTCGTGGGCTCGAAATCTTTGCCGAGACCCACGATCAAGGCTCCTGTGACGATCCCGCAAAGGGAAACTGGACGTGGGTCGAGCTAGCGATTCTCGAAAATGAATTGGCTCAGTCACCCAGGAAGGTCAATGACATCGAGTTCGTTTGGTACGATCATTCCATAAGGCACGATGAAGAGTCTGAGGAAGAGACTGGGAAATACAAGTGGCGGCATGGCAACGTTTTCCGCAAGAAACACAAGATCCTGCGTTTGATGGAGGTACGCCGCTACTCTAAATTTGATGAATTATTGCTGACATTTGGCATAGCCCGGCAATTGTATCGCAGTTCGTCTCTGCTCCCGTTTCACAAATTGGACAATCTACGGCAGGGGCGGATATCTCGTCATCGATATTGACAATGACGCTAGTAAGTCGAGTATGGATTTTCTCACCTCGAAAAAATTCTAACAGACACTCGCAGTCCCACGTAAGCCTGTCAACCTACCACACGTCAACGATGTTACCGAGAAAGTCAAAATGATGCATGATGCCTTCAACAGCGTCAACGAAGCAACGCAAGCAGCGTTCCAACCCTCTCCGCCACCTGTTACAAAGAGAATTCATCGTGCTGATTCCGTGCTTGGTTGGGAGCGGCCTCTGCGAGTTCTTGCTCTCGGTATGTTCCTGCTTTGCGAGCTACAATGGACGCGCTAACACAATGCAAAGACGGGGGTGGAGTCCGCGGATACTCGTCCCTGCTTATCCTGAAGGAGGTGATGGCCAGGATGGGCAATCCCAAGCCATGTGATGTGTTTGACATGATAGGTGGCACCAGTACTGGCGGGTGAGGAATTTCGATTGTTCATGCTCGACACTTTAACTGACATCGGGGTGCAGTTTGATCGCTATCATGCTGGGTCGTCTCCAAATGGACGTTGACGAGTGTATCAAACACTACGAAAAGGATATGATAAGGATCTTTGGGAAGAAGGAGAATGAAGCTTGGCTGTCGAAAAAGGTGCGAGGAGTAACGGAGGGTATAAGCACTGTGGTCGAAGGGCGAAGTCATGACGCCGGGCCATTGGAAGATACCGTCCGAAAGCTTGTTTCGGAGAAGCTCAGGGATGAGAAGGCGATGTTGCTCGACGACAGCAACAAATGCAAAGTGTATGGGACCTCCCACGTTCCGAAATCACTCACTCAGATTTTCGCCCAGGTTCGTCATGGCCTTTGACAAGAAAAAGCCCAACAACAGTGGTCCAGTCTACCTCCGTTCATATGCGAGTAAGGAAATCTTCCTTTCTCAAATCAAAATCTGGGAGGCAGCTCGCGCGACCTCCGCGGCCCCGACATACTTTGACCCTATGAAGGTTGTCGATACATCCTCCAAGGAGAAGCCTGTATACGAACTCATAGATGGCGGGCTGGGTGCCAACAATCCACTGGGATGGTAAGTTACTATTTATAACTTTTGTTGCCTGAAATGATCTAATAAAAACCCCTTTAGGTTGTGGAATGAAGTCATTCGTGTCTACGGCCCAACACGGCCAACCGATTGCTTCCTCAGCATCGGAACAGGCATACCGGCAAGCCAGATGCTCGTCGACCTTGGAATTGCCAAAGGAGGACTGAAGAATATCGAGAAATTCATGGGCGTGATCTCTAGCATCGCGACGAACACCCAAATCACGCACATCCTCTTCGGCACGCTCATCAACTCGCTCGCGCCAGTTGCGGGGAATCCCCCAAAGTACTGGCGGCTGAATGTCGGACAACATGGTCAAGACAAAGAGCCTGACGAAGCCTACCTTCAGAAAGATGCCGATCTCCCGGCTATGGATGATTCCGGAAAGATCAGTACAATCAGAAACATGACGAAGGACTATATCATTAAGGCGACGCTGGATATCAGTGCCTCCGCCGAGGCGTTGAGCAGAAAGGAGTCGACTCTGGAGTGAACTTCTTTGTCTGAGCTGGTGTTATTGCGTTACCGAGTGATCATTGCAGGACTGTAATAGTCGCTCATTAATGTATTTACGCACGCAAAAGGTTTGAACTGAGATTGGAAGTGACTTGGTAGCTACTATTTATTAAGTTGGGCAGCATGACCGGTCCGGTTGGAGATCTCAATAGTACTAGCAGCAGCCCCCAGAACTGCAATCATCAGCCTCCATCTGTTCGACCCTCTTCTTCAACTTCTTCAACTCAAGTTCAGCCCTCTCAAGGCGCTTCTGCAGGTCGCCGTTGCCATTGTTCGTGTTACCAGGTTTGTTGGTGGAAAGACGCGCGATCTGCTCTTGAAGGTCACCAATCTTGTCCTCATTGACCTTGATGCGACCCTGCAGATTCTGCTGGTTGCGAATCTCGGCTTCGGCACGATCAAGACGTGCCATCAACTTAGCAAGCTCATCGCTGTTGGCTTGTCCGCTCGAGTCTCCGAGACCAGGTTTCGTGGGGACGGGAGGCTGATATGGTGGAGGGGCGGCCTCGCCTACAACCAAGATCACAATCAATAGTCAACAAAAGCTCTCTTCCGGGGAAAAGGAATAGAGTTGCAATTTTCCTAATGGAACGTACTGTTCTCCACAGCATCAGAAGCTGTTTTGGTGCGCTCTACTTCTCCTGCATTCATGTCCAAGAGTAGTTCCTTGGCGGTGGCAGCCGCGGTGAGTGCTGCATATCTCTGCCACTTGTCGTTCTTGTGCGAGTCCGCGTAGTCGCAAATGCCACGGATGACGATGCACGGGAAGCTGTCCATCAGGCCGGCCGCTTCCATCTCAATGCACATGGTATCCTTGCCAACCAGCTCGATAATCTCGGCCCTCGTCTTCCCGTTCTTGACCACCGTGTTACCGGAGGCTATAGTACCGAAGAAGATCCTCGGGCCCTTCGCACGGTCCTGCTTGGCGGGGCCGCGGGATACTTCCCGTTCTGTCCGGTCGTCGAACAGTTTGTCGTTTTCGGGGCCCTGGTACTGGTAATTCTCTTCCTCCCGTATGGCTTGGTTGATACCGTGGACCATCTCAGCAATCTTGGTCTTCCTCCTGGTCTGCTTGCTGTCCAGTCCAGAGGCGGCAGCAAGCAGCACCATCGGAGGCTTGGCGAGCGTGCCGATGCTCTTGGACGTGCCGTCGCCGTGTGCCTTGCGCTTATCCCACTGGACAACGCCGCCATTGTCATCCCCAGGCTTACTGACGACGACATCGCCAAGGCGAATGTCTCTGTTGGGCAGCTCAGGCACCCCTGCACCGATGCCTACCATGAGCCCGAAGCGGACCTGTGGGAAAGTACTGATCATTGTCGTGGCAACGACCGCGGCATTGTTTGTGCCAATGCCGCCGAGGGGAAGGCATGCAAGGATGATATTAAGCCTGCTGATTCGACCAAAATAGTACTTGTTGATGTCTCTGGGTGGCTGTGTCCAGTCTGTGGGTGTGTCGTGTTCTTCGTCGAGCAGCTCGAGTGCTGCTGTTATCTCATCTGGAAGAGCGGCAATCCAGCCCACCGTGTATTGCTCAGGCTTCAAGGAAACCATCTTGTTTCTTCAACTGATTGGTTTAAATAGATGATTGAAAGCGTCGGGATGGAGGGAAAAATCGTACAGAGGTGGAATGTGAACTCCGTAGAATGATGGATGGCTTTGCTGGGACTTAAAAGGTAGGGCTTTGGTGTGTATATTTCTATTACTTGGTGGCGCCGATTACGGTTGATATTAGCACGCACTAGTGCCAAATCTTGATGGGTCCCCACTGACTACTGGTCCCAGCTCTGGACCCCAACCTGTGGGTATCGGACGATACGCGAATATGCCTCGAAAAACGATAATCACAGTCAGTTTACTTTTTTTTCCCTACCTTACAACTGGAGCTCGGCCGAGCCCTAGGCAACAACGCGGAGTGTACAGCTGTCAAACCGGTGAGCCCACAGCTCCACTATCGTACTGTTGTTCTCTTTGTGGCAGCACCATCTGGACGTATGATCGACGGCTGGGGTTGAAGCGTGCATACCCTCGGGCAAATTCCCGGTTCAGTCTCGTTCGTATCAGCTGCCAGCGCTCATTGCACATGGCGCGTCGGATTAACGGACCAATCCAGCGCCTCGCTGTCATTCAGACCTAGTAATTTGCGCTAGCAGCGGCCGTGGTAGATAGATGAGCTGTATAGACGTGCAGCTCGTCTCACCGCCAGGGACTCTACCATGGTTGGGAGAAAACCGATTGCCGGCGATTTTGGGGTGGATACTTGCCTCCAGGGCATCCACAATGTTATTTCCGTTCAGCATCGCCGGCATCCAACATGCATGATCATCGCTATCGACAAAACTCTGCCTGATTACCCAGAGGCTCACTTTTGCAAGATGGGGCACGGCAAGCTGGAGAGAGCCCCAAAAGCATCTAACGTGTAATGACACTAAACGGAGGGATAGTATTGCCGAGAGTCTTCCAACAATGCCCCGCGACATTTGCCCGTTGCCGGCGGCCCACTTCGAGAGCTTCGTGGGCAAGGTTGCAAGAAAATTCTTTTTTTTTTCTTTTCAGAAATTTTGATCAACCCATTCGTTTTTCGGCTATAGTGGTAATGCGCAACACTATTTTCAGAGCTGGGACTGTCACTGGAGACGCAGTACTTCATACTATCTGCCGCCATGGCTCGAATCATAGATAAATAGAAACTGTATCATTAGGACTAGTAGATTCTATCGAATGTCGTACTCTTCCCAACTATTTTCGACAAGTCACTCCAGAATCGGGCTTTCGAGAACCCATCTATTGTAAGCATCCTATGAACGGAGAAGTTAGCATCAATGAACGTTTGTCCTGCAAGTATTTTACGTACTTTGAATGATTGGCCCTTCAAGTATTTACGATAGCCGATTGCATCAAGAACCTCTCCCGGCTCCTCCAATTGCCAAGATGCCACCTTCGTGTGTTCTAAGACCAGCGCCAGACTACTGCTTACGCTATCGTCTTTCATAGTAGTGCCAGGTTGAGAGGGGACGACAATGGCAAACTGCCTGCCCTCCTGATACTCCCAGCCTTCGGCATTGGATGGAATATCGATGCGACCGAGCCTTGCTCTGCGCAGATCGTTAACCAAACTTGCCGCTGAGGGTACATCCCAAGACACCCAGCGGTCTTTCTGCAGGAAGCCGAAGGCTGGGTGCGATTTGGTCGCGCGACTCGGCGCTGCATAGACAGGGAAAGTACTCATTAGCATCGTGTCCGGGGGATCGTCGATCTCGTCAACGATGATGCGAAAAGCATCATCATCAGCAGAGTACCCCAGGCGGAGTGGTGTCTCCACGGACTCCTTGAAACCGCTGGCCCGCAAATATTTCTCCGTCGTATCTAGCCCCGTCCATTCAAAGATGTCGCGAAGTGATTTGAGGTTGACACGCGTGCCTTTGCTGCCGTAGCCAGGCTTGTTGATTTTCCGACCGTAGTTGCTAACGTGGATGATCAGCTCACAAATTCTACCTCGATGTAAATGGAACGGTGTTGTTTGTTGAACTTACTGGATTGCCACGACAGTGGGATGTCGCTTGTAACCGGCCCAAACGGGTGAGCCGCTAAGGCCCGCCTCCGTCTCGATGACGTACTCGAGCTGGTTTTTGCGGATGATTGGGTTCACGACTTGGCCGCTGATTGTTACTATCCCGGCGTTTTTGGTAGCAGGGTACCCCGTTACGGATAGTTCGCAGTCGAGACGGTCCGCGACACCGAGTGGAAGAGAGAAGCCGAAGTCCCCCGGGGGTTTGATGTTTTTGGGTAGAAGAATGACCCCGTAGTCATGTTCGGCGGAGATCTCTTTGGGCGTGGCTGCGTAGACCGAATTGATCCGAACGTCTTCGTTGGGTATGTCGATGTACTCGTCGCTGCCGAAGAGTTGGATCTTCAGGTCCGTGTGGGATTCTTCTGATATCAGGTTGTGTCCAGCAGTAAGAATGAAGTTTTTTTTCACTCCTGGAATATTCACAAAAAAACCAGTGCCAGCTTGTTGATTTACTCCTGCTTGGAAGATTACCAACTTGATGCAAACTTTCTATGATGGAATTTTTCACCTACCTTTCTTGAACTTTAACCTCACAACAGCCTGGGACAATTCTTCGGCCTCGTATCTGGCTGAGAAGACAGGCTGCTCTATTGGGCGAATCCTTTCCAACGTGTCTCTGTCTTCATGACGATATTCCATATTGCGGTCTCGCCAGGCACGGCTGTCGCAAAGCTTCCTGCAGGATGGACACACCTGAACCAATACAAAATTTGACCCCCCATCAACCAGGCAACAGTCAGATGTGCGAACACGCGGAAGTGTGGATCCGGGACCGGCAACGTGGACCAACAGTAATATCGGGCTCTGGCTCCACAAATGCAACTTCACGCGCTTCACGTCCATGCTTCATCGTCTGAAATGATAGTGGAGCATGAAATCATAAATTCGGCATCTTGAGCCGCCAGTGTATTTTAAGGTGTGCCGGATCTTTGCTTCACGGCAAAAGCACCTCATTCACGAACATGTCGGACATCTACACCCTCGCCAAGAACGGAAAGCTGACGGAAAAAAAATTGGATGAGTTCCTCCAAAATTCCCAAATCGACGCTGAAAACTCCCACAAGCGGACTCTGCTTGTAGAAGCAGTCAGGGGCGGCCACCCTAGCGTGGTAGAGCTTCTTATTCGCAAAGGTGCTGAAGTGGACAAGCGGGATGCCTACGGCCGGACGCCTTTGCACCTGGCCGTTGTAACGAGGAAAAATCGCATCGAGACCGTTGAGGCACTCATCAATGCCAAAGCGGACCCAGACTCTGCTGATAACGATGGTAACACCCCGTTAATGGACGCCATTTCCAGGACGGTAGATGTACCAGTGATGAAACTACTCGTCGCTGCTGGTGCATCGACGACCAAGAAGAACGGACTGGATCAGTCTGCTATCGACATCGCGAATGGAAAGAATGACCTTAATGTCAAGAGAGCAGTTCTCCCTGCTGATGAACAGTCTCCTGGAAGGCTTGAGTTCATCGCTACCATCGTCAACCTAGTCCTCTTCATCCTTGCGTACGTAAATAGCGGAACCGTGAGGGGTGTGGTCAAGGGAGTCGTCTCAAATCTCTACCACATGATCGGAAACACCAAGCCTGACAGGGAGACCGCCAAAGTGAGTGTTGGTTCCATCTGTCACCAAAAAGCAGGTTCTCACAATACTCTAGAAGATAGACAACCCAGAGACTGTGGATGACTTCAAGAAGAACATTGACAATTTTGTGCGCATCGAAAGTCCCGAGCTTAGTGCTTTCTTCAAGCCAAAAAACGACTTCTTCCAAAAAGTGGCGGAAAAGGCGGTCGAGCTGAAAGAAGATCCGAACAATCATCTCAAGGCTCCCAGCCAGATTAGCGACCTCACCAGGCTGGCACTATACCAGCCGATCCTTTACTGCGGTAAGTATTGCCGGCATGCCAGACAGAGCGTCAACTGACAAACATTGAGACGACAGTGGGTCAATGGGGACCGTTGACACGGAAAAAGGCCCCAGCCGCCAGGAGCTGCTTCGAAGGCTTGTCACTCGCATGTGTAGCATCGCCACCCGGCTTGTTCCGGACGGCGAGGGTGTGCATCTACGTTTCATCAACAAGGACCAGCCCCGCACCGGTGCGTATGATAACCTGAGTAAAGACCAGATCGACAATGAGCTCAAATTCGAGCCGAGTGGTGGGACGCGCATCGGCACGGAGCTACGGAACAAGATTCTCAAGCCTTTTGTATTCGATGTCTTTGCGCGCGGCCAGACGCTCAAGCGGCCCATCCTCGTTATAGTCATCACCGATGGAAAACCCACAGATGATGATCCAGATGCGTTCAAGAATGCCATCGTTGAATGCGGCCAGGCACTGGTGGACAAAGGCTACGAGCCGGAAGGTAGGTTGAACATCGTTTCTCGGCATGTAAAAGGCAAGTACTGACTCATCTTCACAAGCCTGCCGCTTCCTTGTCAGCCGCATTGGTAAAGATGAGACCGCCGGCAACTTCCTTAACGCTCTCGGGGGCGATCTTGCCATCGACAGGGTTGTGCACCGCACGTCAGGTAATCGGTCTCCTCTCTATGCCATCCAGCAGCCCAAGTGCTCACCGCTACAGGCCCACTGGACACGAAATTCTCTGATTTGAGCAAGAATGAGGCCCACGTTGAAGAATGGGTACGTACCCTGCATTTTTTTTAGCCGAAGCCATGTGAATAGGACGTAGCGCTAACAATAGGGCTGTTACAGCTTCTCAACGTTCTCATGTCTCCAATCACAGGCAGATCTCGCGGTTAAAACGCGGGCCTCCTATCGCCTCTCCGCGAGAAATGATACCGTGTACCAGACCCTCGGGTTGACCGGAGCTTTCCGGCTATATACCCTGTAGCCCGCGTACATACGTAGCAAATTGAAACCGGACCTCGTGTCCACTTCTGTATCTGGCATTTTTGCTTTTGTTTCTATGTTCGGTGTCATAGCCGCATTGTTTTAGTGTGAGCGGGGCACTCAGTCTGCGTGATCGCAAGGCTGGGGTTTGAGAAGGAAATTTTACTCGAGGACGTTGATCTATTGCACCTTGCATCCCGAGCCGAGCAACGGCCCGCAACAATTCCACTCGGGTACAGATCAGCGAGAGAAGATTCGATCTCGGTCGCACGGCAAATCTACCCCGGTAGTCAAGATCGACCCACGAACACGCTGTCCCCCGCCGGCCGGCTACTCGCGGTCCCCCATTTTTTCTGTGTCAGATGCTTGATCACAAGGAACGGGATTGGAGCTCAACGTCTCCAACGCAGAAACCCAAATAGGTGAAACTCCCGCAGAGCCGCACTAGTAAGTTCGTTGCCTGCTGGCCACGTCGTGCTGGCGTGATGATACACGCCTCTCGCTTCCACTGAAACGTCTCTTTGCATATTCGAGACGAGCGTCGGCCGTGCACGCACAGAAATTTGTTCCCCATGACGTCCTGCGCCATTGATCAGCAACGACTACGTATGTAAACCAGGCAACAGGCTCCAATATATCTCGCCAGGGTCATGTTTGTTGAGCGATGAGCCAAGGTAACATCGCCAAAATTATCCAGAATAGTCAAAAGGTAACAAGGAAAAAAGAAAGAAACATGCATGATCACATTTTCTGGCGTCTCTGACATTAGCATATGCCGCCATGGGAGATGATCGGAGGCCAGGCAGCGCCTAGCGTAATCTTTAGTTCAGACCGGTCAAGCATGGGAGAACACGAATAAAAAAAAGCAATGGAATGGCGATGAGCGGCCAGAGCCGCATGTTGTCGCGAGAAATAGAGCAGCACATTTGTCTATGTGTCTACGGGCTATAAAATTAATCACACAGGAGAAAATTGTGTAGGATAACAGATTGAAACTTTCTATTCAAACATGAGCGCGGACGTCAAGAAGATTGCCCTCTACCTGAGCTCCGCAGGCTTCACAGCCAAAGATGAGAAGACTTCTAGCATTCTCAAAGAAGATGACGGAAGTCTCATTGAGCAGAACGTCGACGGCGTCGATATCATTGATGAAGTCTTCATTGCCGAGGATGTCAAACCAGACACATCCGCCTTGTACATCAACAGAGCAGATCGGGTAGCCTGATTTCCCTCTTCCCTTATTTTCCCTCCTTTCTTTCTTCGATGGCGCCAGGACTAACGAAGCGTCCAAGTGCATGATCATCTATGTCACCCAGTCCAACACTCTCGGGTGCGTCGAGCGCACTTCTGCCCCCGAAGACGAGCCAGAATGGACGGAAGTACCAATCACCGGCGTCGGCACCATTTCCGTGTCTGCCAAAAGTCGCATCGCTGGCACAAACACAGCCGACGGAGCTCAGGTGTTCTTCCAGCACTCAGACGGCTCCATCAAGAGCATCCTATATGACGACGAGACGAAGAAGTGGGAGGAGGGCGACGACGTCCCCGCTTCAGCGGCGGCAGGCACGCCGTTGTACGTGATGGAGCTTGAGGACGCGCAGGGGTTGTTCTACCTCAGCAACGAGCGCAAGATCTGTGGACAGCTGCAGAACAACGAGACTGGCGAGTGGAAAGGTGAGCAGACTTTTTTTTTAAACCTTCAGAAGTTGATGCTTTTTGTCCATGACGCTGACAGTAAGTTTTCAGAACACCTTATCCCGAATTCGTTCTTCGAAGATGGCGCCAGCAGCTTCATCTTGATCTGGGATGGAGAGCAGAAGGCAATCAACGCCTACGTCCTCGCTACCGCCACCCTCGTCCACATCGACGGCGGTGGAGGCAGGAAGGTCCTTGGAAAGTGGGAGAGCGGTGCGTTTGTCCCCGACACGGCGGCGGAGTGCGGCCTGATAATCAACATTTTTATTGGTATCTTTGTCAGTTTTGGAGGCAGGTGGGGATTTCGTCGAAACCGTAAACAACACCAACACCATCACCATCGCCATCGTGCTCAACATAAAATCACTAATGGGGAAGAAGATTCTGAGTGAACAGATGTTGTTTTTGCACGGAGTCATACGTAAACTACTACAGAGAAAGTGACAAGATATCAGAGGCCTTTGTTGTAGAGCAAGCTTGCTACCTTTCGGAATGATATCACCGATATCATGGTCTACAGTTTCTAGCCTTTTGTCAGAATAGCTACTCCACCTGTCCTCTCAACTATCGATGAAAAGAAGGGATGCTCTTTGACCTACTTGATTAAAAATGTCTGTAAGTGCGTAAGTAAACTACGAATAGTTTATGCCAAAAGGTCTCTAAAGAGAACTCCTCCTAAGTCACCCTCTCTACTAGAACGAGCAAGGGACGCAAGTGAGGACATTACACTGCCCCTCAGATGCAAGAAGCACACTCACCATAATGGTAGGTTTAATCTAACTTGAAGTAAGCGAGCTCAGCTCTACAACCACAGCGGCTAGCTCACCTCGCCCCAATCTTTGCTGTCACCTAAAATTCAGCCGTTGTCCCGACTTCCTCATTCGCCTCATTCTCGCTCTATTTCTTGTGATCACGCCTGTCGAAACAATCCATTTGACAGCAGCTGGTCCTATATTTTCTCAATCAGATCAATCACGTTTCTGTGTAGTACAAAATGAGAGGAATTTTCAAAGTATCACAAACACGTGATACATGTTTATGTCCTTGTTGTCGAGTCGAACGGCCACGGTTTCATTCACAACGGTGCCACTGCTTCCACGGCAAACGGCAACAGTCAGAAGGTGTGCGCTATCTTTTATGTTTCACACATTTTTGACAGCTTCCAGTTACAAAGACCCATTGATACAGCTTATAGGCTGTTTTCCTCACGTAGTCAATCTTGTTCCCCAACCGACGCGCGTTATCCGGCCTTCCACGTAGCTTTGAAGTCCCGAAATTCCTACCAACGGTCCACACGATCCTCGTACAATTATCTCAGCTTAAAAATAACAACTTAAAGATGTTTCGTCGGCTCAGCTTAGTCGCGACAAGAAGCTACAGCCGGATCCCTCGGCCTGTCATCCAGAACAACTTCATGCGATTTGAAGCCTGCTATTCCAGTCATCCTGAGAAGCCTGTTGCCTCGGTTCGAATAGGAGCTGCGCATAAACCTTTCTGCAACGCCTGCCAGGACCCCGTTGACTGTGATTGGGGTTACAACTGCGGCCATGACGGACGCAAAGGATCGTGGCGCCCCATATGTGACCGATGCAAAGTCAATCCCACTACAAGACATTGGTCCAAAAGCGCTTGGGGGCTCGGCACGCGCTATCTATGCGATGACTGTTGGCCAAAGCACGCCAAGGAGTTCGAGAAGAAAGAGGCGGCGGTGTTTCGATGGATCAGCATACGCGAGCAGAGGAGAAAAACGATGATGGCGAAGGTTAGAGCAATTCGGTCAACAGAACAAGTGCCCATCAGCTACGCAATCGACAGAGCTTTCGGCAGTTCAGACGATTCACAGCAAGAGAACGAACAGACTTTGCTTACACTATTGGGTAAAGATCTACAGATTGTCAAAGTGCGAAACGAGTATATTTGTAACAAGGATCGGGTTGACGCTATTGATTTTAGAGTATTTTGGTTATTGTAGAAGTTTTGGAAATGACATTAAATGTTGGAATTTTAGAGATGGTATTCTCTAGTGCTTCTACCGTTCTTTTGTAGCATGAGAAAACTCTTTACAGTCTTGATAATAATGAATGAATTTTCATATCAGAAATAGTCTTAGCCGATAAAGTGTGCCATCTAACTCTTGTTTTGCGAAATCACGCCTTTTCTGGATCCCGCCTTCCGCCCTCCCTGTCGTAACTTAGGAGGACCTTTCCCGATAAGGAATCCTAACTGGTGCTATCGCCCATAGTTTCTTGAGTTCTCGCAGGCGGTTCTCCTGTGTGGGACATTGGCCCCTGTAGGTTTCGCTGCCCTAGTCTCTTGTGGCCCCCACGGAATCATCAAGCCGGCAACCGGAAGGCAGACCCTCCACCAGGCGTCCTTTGCCAATCACTTTGATATTTATGAGCCGAGCATATTCCTTGCCGTGGAAAGAATGTAGAACATGGGAAGTAAGTTGATTGCGTTGAGGATTCCCAGTGGGCCTTTTGAAGCTAAAAGCGCATGACAGGGCATGAAACATCTGATTGCTACCCTGTATCGCCGAGAAAACTCTCGAGATCGTCTTTACCCTAGAGATTATGCAGTGATGCCAGACTTTATCACTCGAGGCGAATTCGACATGAGCGGACCCGACGGGGTTATTCTCCCAGAGTTCTGGGAAGATAGCGTTGAGCCTGGCATGGAGATTCGAATGCGACCGTGGGTGACGATGCCTATTGGGGGCTCTTCTCGCAGCACATTCTATACTGCTTCTAGCGCTTCTGATATAGGGGTGGCTGATGAAGATGATGCTGTCAGCCATTCCCCAAGTCCTCACCAGAACCATTCGGAACAAATGAACGACGGCGATTCGGATGGATCTTATCACAATGATAGCTCTGATATTGACGCACCGCAGCCACATGTTCTGGAAACGATAAACGAATCAGGAGAAGATGCAAGCGATAACGTGGGTAGAACGCCGATCAGCCCAATCCAGCTCCAACAGGAAAAAACTACATCTGAAACGGACAGCCTTGGCCGACGCTCAAACTTTCTATTCAGTGAAGAGCCCCACGTGGAAAAACCTGTGCCAATGTCACAGCCGCTGCCGCCACTTGGTCAAACCATGCCTCCTACAGCGCACGACAATAATTCCACCGTCAATGTTGACCTGGAGGAGCAAGAAGTCGAAATTCCGGACAAGAGTTGGCCCAGCCCTGGTCAAAACGCGGAAGGGCTCTGGAGAATGGACGTCCTGGCAGCGAGAGTCACCAATGGTGCAAAGGATACGGATGAAGGCTCGATTAGTACCCGGCTGATGACTCGGGCGGGTCCTCCGAAAGACTCACCGCAAGAGAATATCAAACCTGACTGGCACTGGCTGTACGCTACCTTCTCGCTTCTGCATGTTCTCCTTTCGACTGACGTGAATTCAGACACATTCAACGCGAGTTCCTGGATTACGATGAGTTCATGGTACGGAAGCAGTAGAAAGTAAATCAAAGACTTTGCTGACTCTTTCCAGGCCTTTGCACTGAATTCACCAAACATCGATTCTGATCTTCAAAAGATCACATGGGCGCTACTGCAAGAAGTCAAAAGCAGGATTGTCAACCTGCCGGAGGGGAAGTCCATTACACCGGGTACGGTTCTTCGTTACCGGGCAAAACGCCAGTACAATAAGCAAAAAGATGCTCGGCAGTATTGTTCTGCCACGTTCGTTGCCTTTCCTTATCTCGACGCCTCCAGACCAGCGAAATTCGGTCTTATGGGAAATAATGAACTGCATCCCCCGAGAAGTCTTTTCAATGCTTTGTATTCCTGGGAAACGATTTACAATCATTCCCGTCAGCAAGTTTACACCAGATTCCTCAAGGACTCGGTAAAGCAGATCATTTGTGTCCCATGCATATGGGCCTTGCAGATTGATGACAGTAGGTTTGCTTATCTCCGACGCAATTTCGAACTAACCTTGAGAATAGAATTTCTGATTACATGTGGAATGGTGTCGCAGGACAATATTTTCAAAATGTGCTCAATTCAAGAGGAGTACATTACACCAACAATCCGCTTCGTCGATGATGAAGGACGAGTCATCCTCCGCCATACAAACGCATATTCCAGTTTGCTGGTATGGCTTACAATTTCCTTTTTGACTGAAGAAATGGTGCTAACAAATTGCAGGAGCTCGAAAATTCCGTCTCTCACCATCTGGGTTTCTCTGATTTCATGGTCAAAGATGAAGACATTCCAAAATGGTTTCACGTCTTCTCGTCGGACAAGCCCCATATCCACGATGTCCGCGTAGTTCGCGAAGCTGTTGAAGCCACGCTGCTTGTGACAGGGCCACAAAACCAGGCCGAGATTCATCCAACACCATTCTTCTGCTGGAGACCAGACGCAAAGCCCGATCAGCCAGATGTAGCAGTGGGATCGGAAGAAGATGAAGTGAATTTTCTACGACTGAATTTGGAACGTTTCGCCCACGATTCTCGAAAAGATGAGGCATTCTTAAAGATCTACGAACAGATTACGCCCAAGAACAAGGATTCGATCCGGGCGATCCCACTTCTAAGCAGCTTTGTAGCCACTACATATAGTTATCCTGAGCAAGACACTGGCTCTGTGTGGCCTTTGAAGTGTCACGAAGCTCAGAATGAGATCATGGCCCAGAAACGGGATCTGATGCGGAGAAACTTCATTGAGCTTCACTCAGCATTACAGTCTCTGGTGGATCTTTTCTTTCCCAGCAAAACAACAAATTCAGAGCCTATTGGCAAGCTTTGGGGCGCAGTCAGCGCTTTTGGAAAGGTATGTGGACACTGCTCGCCAGAAACCCTCTCTGACATTGATAAAGGTCCTGCAAATCAGCTACCGTACAAAGACAGCTCAACGTAACACTTGGGTTATCCCAGATCCCTCCATGATGGAAATTGCCATGGAAATTCCAATACAACAAAGGCCGCTGAAGTTTGATGAGCCCAGGGTCTGCCAGGACACTCATAGTCCCAGCTACAATAGCGCCGAAGAAGCCATTCAACACCTTCGCGAGGAACATTTCATGCATACTGATGAAGGGAGCAGATCCGAAAAGAATTTGGCCTACTATGTCTCCAGCACTGACCAGGCAGAGTTTCAGAAACTTCTCGATTACTTGAATGGCATTGTTCTAACATGCCTCGAGACTGTACGAACCGTTTCACACATTGGAAGATCGAGTCTGGTTAAGGCTCATACGAAAGAAAAGAGGGTAGATACTCGGGCGAGGCTCACAAGCTCTTGCATCGAGTGTTTTCGCACACTGATTGCTTTTTTCGACAAAGCAAGAAAACTGGCAAATGAGGGGGAGGACATGTACACTGACACAGTGCGACGCCCGGATCTTCTTAACACGGCCGAATTTCAAATAAACTTGGCTACGCTGAGAGCAACTGAGCAGGATATGCAGGGTCCATATGAAAAAGCTAGGAGTGAGATTTATTCAGCACTCCTGAGGCCTCCAGAGATTTCTCAGGTTGAGGGTGTTGCTTTCGGGCCTGACATAGTCCTTATCAGGATGATCAAGAAGCTCGCTGTAGCGAAGGCGCAAGAGTCCCGGACATTTATGACGAGGCTCTCATGGAAATGGTCAGTTTGAACCACTATGCCTCAATCATCCTAGCTGATAGCGAGAACCAGCGATACACAGCCAGCAACGCTCCAAGGAAGCGACTCATCCAAGAGATCAATTTCTTGGAAGAAGAACTCAATGCATTGTCCGTGGTCAGCACTTGGCAAGGGGATGCCCTCACGGATTACCGTACTGCGCTTCGCAGTGAAGGGAACCAGCGTAATACGCGAAGTCAGCAGCTCCAGCCATTTGAGGAAAAACTCATGGAAAGTATCGACCAGTTGCTCCAAGGAGACCAAGAAACATACGAGTTCACCCGCGACCAATGCAGTCCTTTGGCTCTGAAGGTAAAGCAGAGCACTGAGATAAATGAGGAAGATCACGGGAAAGCCATCTTTGTCTTCACGGTTGTCACGACTATTTTTCTGCCACTTTCCTTTGTCACCAGCTTCTTGGGCATGAACACCACCGACATCCGCGATACGACATACAGCCAGAGCTTGTTCTGGATGATAGCCCTGCCTGTCACTGCTATCGTAATGGCTTTGGTTATGGGGGTAGCGTACAACTCCGATGGCCTGAAGGATCTGCTTTCGCGCTTCTCCCAGACATACCACCGTCAAGGTCCTCAACGATTGAGAAGCGTCCACAGCCAAGTAGATCAGACCAGCCAACGGGATCGTGGCCAATCTGACGATTTCGGCTCCCTCTTCCCCGTGGTTCCGCCGTCGAAAGGGCCCACGTTTTTCAAAATTCATAGAGACCACCTTGCCATAGAAACACTCACGTATTATGGTCTGCCATGGGAAAGGGACAAAGTAAGTTTTCCAGACGCAATGCTTCGCTTCTCCAGTATGCGAAGCGAGTCAGTGCTAGATTCTATATCCTATGTCGTTCGTTTGAGCCGATCAATAACTCATGGATATAGGATGACCCCAACTACATTATCATCCTTCGTGAGATGGACTCAGGAGAAGTGGACATCTTGTTCGAACACACAAGGCGGCTTCGCATGAAGACAACGGAGCCCCGACTGCTCATCCAAGATAGGTTAGATCGAGAGGAAAAGCCGGAGTACGCTTGGGTACGCAGGCGTGCCAAGTCATCCCAAAAAAGACCACCAAATTTTTCAAATTGAAAAAGGCACCATACCGTACTCATTTTAGTACTTGCTTGTAGTCATGATATTGCTTGACAGAATTAAGTCAAACGAAAAGTAGATAGCTCCACCGACTCATTTTCATGTCTCTCACATGCTTCACCACGCATGATTCCATGAACATACGCTTCTCCAACCAACTTGTGCTGATCTCCATCCGGCCTGATAATGAAGGGGATAATTGCGCCGCTTAACACACAGACCTTGTCGCCTTCTTGCATGCAGGCTGGTCCGATCCCAATATAACCATTCTTCGTGACGAAGAAACGACGCAGGCAGAAGCAGTAGTACATGGCTTCCGTATACCGACCAGCATCGCCTTTCCCGCTGTCGCTCCCGTGTATAAGGACGTCGGGGATTTCCAGAAATTCTCTGATCTCAGAGTCGAAGTTCTGTTGCACAAATGCCGCAAAGTCGGCGAGGTGAGACGCCTCATCCTGGACGGAGTTGCCAAGCCAGTCCTTGCCCGCGGTAAGCGCCCAGCAAAATGCGACGGCAAGACTTTGTCTGTTTGGATACGATTGCAGCGGCGCGGCCATTGCGGTCCACAACTCTTGGATCCGCCAATGTTCAGAGGCGAGAACACGCCTTTCTGGCGTCATTTCGGAAATGCGGTCAACAATGTCGACCTCAAGTCCATGGACGATCAAAGTTGAGTCGTGGAATGATGGCGGTGATTGTTCCAGATGGCGTGAGGCTGAGAATTTCATACCTGGAGCATGGGCGGATACGACGGTGCGCGTGTAACTTTTGTCCCATTGAGGTACCCAGGATTTGGTGCTTTCGCTAAGATGTGGGCCGTGTTGGACTGCCGAGAGCAGAGTCATGTCTCGCGAAGTGTTCATGATTCTGACGGCGAACTCTTCGTACACATCTTCTTTGTCCTTCGCGTAATCCGGAACCATGTAAAAGTTTCCCTCATCAGGATCCGTGTCGGAAGTTTTGATGCCCAAGAGCGCATAGATCCGATCCACGCTCCTTGTGCATTTGAAGCGCCGAGTCACCATCAAAAGGTGGAGGAAGGATGCCGGATCCGCGCCGGTGAGGCTGCGCGATAGTGTGTACATGAGACTTGCATTGTAGACACCATGGAATGGGAAATTTTGCATGACATCGTACCCAGTACTTCCGATCCACGTTGCGACCCGTCCCAAAGGTTCCCAGTCGATTCTGGCTTCGCCCCACATCACTTCAGCCTTCCGGGCCAGCACGATCTCCTGAAAACACCATATTCTCCAGAACCATGGTTGCATAAGCATCACAGAGAATGAGTGCCAGGTACTTGTGTCTGGAAGGAGTTTTGTGGAAGTTTTGTCGGAAAGGCGCCGGGCGAATCCAAAAGCACACTCCGCAAGCTCTGCACCATCATGACCGAGCCAGATGAGAACTTTGTCAGCGCGGCGGAAGATGGTCCGCATCAGCGGAACTTGGTGGTTTTTCTCCGAATCCTTGTCTTGATTGATGCAGATTGCATCAGCCCATAGTTTGCGGGGCTTGGAAGGACATCGAAGCTGCAAAAGGGCGTCGTACAGGCTCCGAGGAATTCTCAGACTCTTTCCCTCGCAGAGAAGGCGCACGAAATCTTTCTTTTCGCCCCAAACGTAAGAGATCGCCTCATAGCGGTCTGTTGAGTCGATCGGACTGTGCTCCAGTTCACACTCGAGTGGATCCGATGGACTTCCTGGCAAGAGCTTGATGATCCGTATGGTCTTCGACGGAGGTGAGAGCGGTTGATACTCAAACTGTGGTTCGGAATCACTTCCGTCTTCTTTGATTGAACTCGTCTCTTCCATTAACCGGGCGCGCAGAGAGGCCTGGTGTGCTAATAGCTGTGCTATAGGATCAGATTCGCTGACGGCAGCTCTCTGAAGATTGTCAAAGAGTTCAGGAGGAGATAAATCCAGTGAAATGGTACATTTCCTACGTCTAGGAGGAGACATCTTGTGGAGTGTCGCTTGATGCAATCCTGAAAGAGGCAACGAGAAAAGTATGGAATGAGGTGGAATATTGCTTAGGCTGGATCGTCGTGGTTTTATAGATTGGTCCGCCTTAGGATCGAGTGACTAGTGAGCAGTGGCGGATCCTACCCGGTCCTCAAAGAAAGTGCGGGGATATACTTTTACTTAGACTAAGAATCCTGCGGTTTGGCGTCTTGTTCCTTACGGAGAGTACAGCCTCTCAAACGCAAAGCTTCATCCAGCTCTCGTAACGATAATATTCTTCGAACACGCTGGATTCGTGGTGCTCACGCTATACGAGATAGATGAACTTATGGCGTACAATTACGCCCGGGAAAGAAATAAAGGCCTCCGAGTGGTTATTCAAGTCTAACCCAGCTCAGCGCCCGGTGAGGTAGAGTGGGAAGGTTGCACAGCCCCATAAGCAGCCTCTTTCACATGCTTTACCATGATACTCAGCCTTGCGGCTGAGCATGATTATGCATCACATGCTAGCCTTCTTTCATGACGATTCTAGGCTTCAACAGTGCTTCACATGAGTTTCTCCGATTAACACGACTCTGCGTCTTCTTTTTAACTTTTTGTATTGACTTTCTCCGCCAAGATTAGGCCATCGTTCGCCCGAGAGGTGTTTTACTCCGCCTCCGATAGAAACACCCAGCAATAAAGGGCGTTCCGCTACTTAGTACAACTAATTCTCAAGCTCGTCGCCTCACTCGTTATCTAATTGGTTCAACTAACCTGAAAGCACCTAAAGACTACGCTAATTCCCAATTGCAGTTAATCATCTACACGGAGGATACATGAGACCTTTACAATGCCACTCAACACAAAGAATGGTTCCGCTCTCGCTCTCGACAATGAAAAGAGTCATGTGATGCATACCACCCCAAGTCATGTTCGTAGCACTGTTTCCAACTGCAGTAGTGTCTATGCGGACAACAGGGTTCCCATGTTTGTCGTGCACGAACACAGCTCCGAGCGTGGAATGCGCAACAAAAATGTTTCCCTCTTCGTCGGTCGCCATGCCGTCCGGCCCGCCTATACCGTAGTAGCTCGCGAACCTTCCCGTGCGCTGGACACTGCCATCAGGGTACAGCGGCACGTGCCAAACGGCATTATCGCGCGTCATCGCCACAAACAGACTCGTCCCAGCCCCGTCGAGCACGAGCCCATTCGGCGACGGACAGTTCCTCAGCAACACATCCACGCGCCCGCCATCGTGCTGCAGCCGGTACACACGCCCGATCGGGTCCTGCAGGCCGCTCATTCCCTGGTCCGTAAAGTAGATGTCGCCGTCCGCGCTGACAACGACGTCGTTCGGCCCCTTCAGCCTCTCGCCGTTGAAGCGCTGCATGATAGGCGTGACCTCGCGCGTCTCCAGGTCGATCCCGAGGATGCCGAGCTTGAAGTCGGCGACAATGAGCTGGTTGCGCTGGCGGTGCCACGCCAGGCCGTTCGGCTCGCCGTCGTACTGCACGACGAGCGACCAGGCGCGCGTGGCCAGGTCAACGGCGAAGATGCGGCCGTACGGGATGTCGGCGAGGTAGAGCGTCTTGTTGTCGTCGGCCACGACGGGGCCTTCGAGGAAGGAGTCGAGGGGCCGCCCGCGCTTCTGGTTGGTGGAGTGCTCGGAGGTGCCGAGGGTGCGGAAGGAGGCGGGGAGGGTGGTGAAGACGGATGGTGTCAGGTGTTTTGGGGGCGCGGCGGCCCAAGCGTATCCCGCCATGGTGGGATGTATGTATGCATGTGCCTGGTTTCAGCAGTGCCCGTTATTTCCCTCACTCTAAATAGTGAGGGAATAACGGCGGACTAAGTCCGCAGAGGAGGGGAAGGTCGGATTCGCCCCGCATGGTGTACCTCTTTTATTCCAGCCTGGATGGACTTTCGTCTTCTCATTTCCCCGCATTTGCTTTTTGCACTAGTCATGACTTCCTTGAGCAAAGAAAGCCCAGCGCTCCACATGGAGAATGTCGACGACGGTAACTCCAATACACCAGTCGGCCACGATGTGGAGAAGGAAAAGAAGCTTGTTCGCAAGCTCGACTGTGTCATCCTGCCATGGGTAATGCTCATGTATCTGTTATCGTACATGGACAGGTTTGCTCTACCTCAGAGAACCTCCAACAGGACATCGCTGATAAACGGCAAAGGAGCAACCTCGGCAACGTGCGTGAAATCGGGCTGGAGCGAGACCTTCAGCTTACTCCTACGCTATACGAGTGGGCATCGGCCACTTTCTACATCGGCACCGTCCTCTTCGGCACCATCGGTGGCCTGATGCTGAAGGTCGTTCCGCCATCGACATGGCTAGCCGGGTGCCTTGTGGGATGGGGGGCCATGAGCACGCTGCAAGCAAGCTGCACGAACGCGGCCGGGTTGATCGCGCTCCGATTCTTCCTCGGCGTGTTCGAGGCTTCGTTCGCGCCGGGCTGTGCGTTGTACTTGAGCTTCTGGTACCTCAAGTCGGAGCTCTCTTTGCGCATCGCCGCCTACGCTGGCATGAGCGCGCTGAGTGGAGTGGTTTCCGGTCTCGTGGCATACGGCCTGGGTTCTGCAGATGGCCTGCTTATTGAATCCTGGCAAGCCGTGTTCATCATAGAGGGGCTGCCGACGGTCCTTTGTGGCGTCTTGACGTTTTGGATCTTGCCCGGGCGGCCGGAGGCTGGGAAGTCGCACTGGTTTAGCGAAGACGAGTACCAGATCATCCTACAACGCCGGACGAGATTTGTGAGGAATCAGGATGATGGCATCAAACTCAGCCAGGTCAAAGGGTTCGCTCCCCGTTCCAATGCGCGCACACTACACTGACCATTTCCAGTGCTTTTCTCGACTACCGTCTATACCTCTTTGCTTTCATCTACTCAGGCTTGTCGCTGTCCTTGGCGGTTATGTCCGTGTTTCTCCCCACCATTGTCGCCACGCTTGGCTACGAATCCGTCAAAGCCAACCTGATGACGGCCCCAGCGTACGCTTCAGCATACATATGCCTCCTACTCACAGCACACCTCTCAGACCGTACCCGCCTCAGGGGCGCACCGGTCGCTGTTGGCGGGTTCATCGCCGGCACGGGATACGTCCTGCTCGGCCTGTTGCACGAACATCGCGCCCGATACGCGAGCGCCTTCCTTGCCATCGTGGTAGCCCCGCCCGCATCTTTCATTGATAGCCTGCACTGACTGACTTCCGACAGGGAACCTATATGGCATATCCCATCGTGCTTGCGTGGATACCCAGCACGTTTGGCGGCGATACGAAAAGCGGCGTCGGAGTTGGTGTAGTCATAGCCGTTGGTCATGCCGTGGGCATAGCGGCCTCGTACATTTACCCGAAGAATCAGGCGCCGCAGTATTTCATGGGGAACGTTGTTTCCAGCGTCTTGACATATACTACTGCGGTAGCTGCTATAGCAATGTCTCTGCTGTTGTATCTGGAGAACAAGTCGAGGGATAGGAGATATGGAAAGCCTGAAATCGATTGTAGCATCGACATGGGTGCTGATGCGGACGGGAACCCTTCGTACAGATATGATATCTGATGGCGGAGATATTCTGTCATGGGGACTTGATATGAGATAGTTTAGCAGATGCATTTGAGCAATTGGACGAAGAGATGACAGAGTTTTGGGGAGCAGAATGCTATGATAATCTGGAATCACTTTAATCTGTGAGATAACATGTATGTAGCAAACAGAAACAATACTGGCATTTCAGATAAAGGCCAATCATTCTAATATACCCGGCTCCACCACAGCTCTAGTAGCCTCGTCATTCAAAACCTTGGTCTCTGCTTCGACATATATGATGCCAGTCTCTTGTCTCCTTTTGAGTGAGTGGTTCGATCTTCGCGACCGCCCCAGACTGGCAGAGCCGAGCTGGAGTTGGTGAATACCAGGCTCATCATGCCGAAATGGTCCGAGTTTTTGACGCTGGACACGCCGAAGCTAAGCGTGCGTGCCATTTCGATGGCCTCTTGCATGGCACGGTGGGCCCCGCCACGAAGCCGAAGCCGTTGTGGGCATCGATTTGGACGACGACGGGGGTCAAGCGGTGCACGGTTGGCGAAGTTTTCGGCTTCGCCGACTCGGGCTATGTATGAGGGTATACCGTGCGCATCGATGCCGCGCAAGTTGGCGGCGACTAAGTTTTGTGCGATGATGCGGGCATCGTCCGGTGGGACACCGTTGCTGCAGAGGATGGTCTCGACAAAGGTGAAGGTGCGGGATGACTTAACGTGGAACCTTTTCGCTGGGTCTGGTGCTTCAGCCATTGTAAGACTTGCTGTTGCCGCTGTGAAGATGCAGGCCTCTAGCATGTGTCGTAAATACTGCCCAATTCGTACGCTAGTACGGAGTCTCTCCGCACGCACACACGTGATTGCCGCTATACAATTAAAAACGTGCGGACTTTCCCCGCCTCTCCCTCATTCCCCCATCATCACGCACAACCATGTCTGATCATCTACGGCGCCGCGATCCGCGCCGAGGGCTGGCGTGTTCCCGCTGTCAGCGTCGCAAGATCCGTGTAAGTGCTTACAATGCCGTCCTTCTGATTCGCGAGCTGACGGCTGCAGTGCGACGGCACTTTTCCGTGTTGCAATAACTGCAGAAAGGCATCTGCAGAATGCGTCGATGGCGACAGCGTCCGAAATAAAGATATGCCTCGCGCGTAGCTAGCACCTCCCCTGCCTTTGACTGTACTGCGCTGACTCGGCTGTAGCTATGTGACGCGCCTGCAGACCCGCATAGCTTGGCTCGAGTCGATTGTCAAATCCAGATGCCCAGACGTCGACCTCTCTCAAGGACCGCCCAATGGCGAGCCTTCTGAAGTCAGCGGGGTCGAAGAGTCAGCGGCGCGGCCTCCGTCCGAACCTCGGGAACATCCCGCGGCGAGTCCTCCCGCGGCTGTTGTGGGCCTCGATTCCACTCCGCACCATCAGCCTGTATCCGCGGATGCGGTGGCTCCGTCCAGTCCTCCAAATTCTGCACTTTCCCATGAGATTGGCCTAGTCTCCCTGGCTGCGAGCCAAGATCCCAAGTACATCGGCCCGTCCAGCGGCCATCTGCTTGCCAAGCTGATGCTTCCGGGCTCAACCACGAGAAACTCCCGGATTTTGAGGCGCACGCAATCTGCGACCCATGATCTCCAATTTGTGCGTGATCTGATGGAAGCCTCGAACAGTCCCGTGGCTGCCAGCAGGGATCAAGCCGTCCATCTCAGCGCCATTTATTTTGACGTCATTCACACTCAGTATCCGATTCTGCATCGGCCCGCCTTCACAAGATTTCTTGACCACATGTATGAATCGGATTCTCCAGACCCTACCGGCATGTTCCAGGTCTACATGGTGCTGGCCATTGCTGCGACTGTTCTGTCACAGCGGTTGAGGATATCGCTTCCCGCTGAAGGCTACTGTGCGTTTGCTATGCAGTACTTCGATCAGATGTGCATAGATAACTCCATCAACGGCATCCAAAGCCTCTTGCTTCTCTTGATATTCACCTTGCACTGCCCATCCATGAAGCTGAATGCCTGGTATTTGAACTACCAATGCATCGCGGCTTTGATTGACGTAGGCTTGCAGCGTGAACTCAGCGGCATCTCACTCCTCGAGCAGGAGATGCGGACAAGGATCTTCTGGGTGGTCTTTTCTCTTGACAGAACCATCGCAACCATGATGGGGAGGCCAATTGGTCTAAGAGACGAGGCATGCGAACTCCGAGTAAGTAGCCACCCTTGTCAGTCGTGATCAGCTGCTTATATTCGATATATCTCAGCTTCCTCAGGATATCGGCGACGACAGCCTTGCATCGTGCCAATTTTCCAGGCGCCAGTCAGAGCCGCCATCACAGATGACTTACTCTATACACCTTTTCGAGTTGGCCAAGCTCAACTCGGAGATAAAATACGTCGCAAACAGCATTGTGAGAGACGCTCCAAGCTACGCATACCCGAACATCATCGACATCCACGACTGGCAAAAAAGTATGCTTCGGCGACTGGACCAATGGGCCGCGGACATTCCCCGTTCGGAAGGCAACGAGACGTACATCGAACTCATGTGCAAGCTGAGATACCACAGCTTGCGCATGGTATTGCTCAGACCGAGTCCAGCGATTCCCTCCCCATCCGTCGATGCATTGAAACAATGCCACCATAGCGCCATCAGCTGCTTGCGGCTCTTCGACACGCTCTACAAAAAAGACCTCCTCGTCCACAACTGGATCACTTTCCATTCGCTCATCATGAGCATCATCACCATGTTCTATTGCATCTGGAACGTTGCAGAGATTGCCCGAACCACGGAGCTTGACGTCCTCATCAACGATGTTCGTGTTAGCCTCAGCATGTTAAGTGCAGCAGGCGAGCATTGGCCCGGAGCAAAGCGGAGCAGAGACATTCTGGAAGAAATTTCTGCCGTCATCATCCGCCGAACTATGAAGGCGTCTATGTATCGGCCTTCCCAGATCCGCACGGAAGAAGTCAGTGAACAGTCAGGTGGGCTATCTCATCTCCCGAGTGCTGCAGCGGAGGCACTGCCGCCGCTTCCGTTGGCAGGTTTCGACGCCTCAGCTTCGGTTCCCACTTCATCAAACAACATCGGCGACCAGCGCATGGATACCTTCGACAGCCTTACAGGTGCCGCAGGGTTATTCAACCAAGACGAATTCTTAAGCTCAATAGACATGGACAACATCATGCTCGACATGTTCGAAGACTTCATCACCCCGATCCCATACCTCTCCTAAGCCGCCCCCGGCCCCCTCGCCGTCAAAAAATCAAAATCCGCCCCCTTCTCCGCCTGATTCACCGACCGCATATACAACCCCCTATACCCCCTCTCCCTCTCCCTCGCCATCCTCTCCCCCTCCAACCGCTCCCTCCTCTCCTCCACCCTCCTCGCTATCTCCTCATCCGTCAACTCCACCCTCAACACCCGCTTCTCCACATCCAGCACCACCACATCCCCATCCCTCACCACCCCCAACACCGACCCCTCCTCCCCCGCCTCCGGCGCCACATGCAACACCACCGTCCCCCCCGCCGTCCCGCTCATCCTCCCATCCGAAATCCTCAGCATATCCACCACCCCCTTCTCCGCCAACTTCCGCGGGATCGGAATCAGCCCTGCCTCCGGCATCCCCGGCGCGCCGACCGGCCCCACGCCCGTCAGCACCAGCACGGTTTCCGGCGTCACCGGCAGATCGGGGTCGTCGATGCGAGCTGCCAGGTCCGCGGGGCCGGCGAAGACGAGGGCGGGCCCGCGGTGCGAGAGGAGTGCGGGGAGCTTGCTGGCTGAGGCTTTGAGGACGGCGCCGCGGGGCGCGAGGTTGCCGGTTAGGATGGCGAGGGAGGAGGCTGGGTGGAGGGGGTGGCTGAGGGGGCGGATGCAGGTGGCGGCTGGGGTGCCGGGGAGGGGGAAGGTGGACGGGGAGGCGGTGCGGGCGAGGAGCTCGCCGAGCGTGGCGCCCGTCACGGTCAGCGCGGAGAGGTCGAGCAGCGGCGCGAGGGTGTGGAGGAGGGCGGGCATGCCGCCTGCGTCGTGGAAGTCGGTCATGTAGCCGTCGCCGCTGGGCTTGAGGTCGACGAGGAGAGGGGTCCGGCGGCCGATGGCGTCGATGGTGGCGAGGGTGATGGGGTCGTCGCTGGAGGAGGAGGCGAGGAGGGGGTGTCGGTTTGCGATGGCGAGGAGGTGGACGATGGCGTTGGTCGAGCCGCCGATGGCCTGCAGGACGGTGATGGCGTTGAGGAAGGAGGAGCGGGTGAGGAGGGTTTGCGGGCGGAGGTGGGCGTTGGAAGTGGCGAGGCGGACAGCGTGCGCGCCCGTTTCTTCGGCGATGCGGAGGCGTGCGGCGGAGACGGCGGGCGCGGTGGCGCCTTTGAGCGGCATCAGGCCGAGGGCCGCGAGGAGGCAGGCCATTGTGCTGGCGGTGCCCATGACGCCGCATGTACCGGCCTACGACAGCTTTGTTAGCGGCTGGAGTAAGGCTGGGGTGGGGAAGTCTTGGATGGGATCGGGCTTACCGTTGGGGCCAGCTCTTCGTTTATGCCGGAGATTTCTTCGATGTCGATGGTGCCGGCGCGGAATTTGGCCCAGTTGTTGCGGCAGTCGGTGCAGGCGCCGACGCGGGTCCCGCGGTGGTTGCCGGGCATCATGGGGCCGGTAACGAGGTGGATGACGGGCTTGTTTGCTGAGATGGCGCCCATTAGTTGCGCTGGGGTCGTCTTGTCGCAGCCTATGGTTTTGCGGTCAGTGACCTTCTGTTGAACAGTGTTCTACGCCAGGGTCTTTGTAGACATGAGAGCTACATACCTCCAATCAGAATCACCGAATCTACCGGTTGTGCTCGGATCATTTCTTCAGTGTCCATGCTCATCAGGTTCCGCAAGAACATGCTCGTGGGCGACGAGAACGATTCGTGGAGGCTGATGGTTGGAAAATCGATTGCCAGTCCGCCGTTTAGTTGGACGCCTCTCTTGGCGGCCTCGATCAGTTGTGGGATGTTGGCATGGCAGGGGTTGAAGCTGGAGTATGTGTTGACGATGCCAACGATGGGCCGAGACAGAGCATCCTCACTGTACCCGAGGGCTTTGATGAAAACTTTGCGGAGGAAAAGAGAAAAGTGAGGATCGCCGTATGATGTTAAGCCCTGGCGCAGACCAACTTTCGAGTCCAGAGGCTTAGACAGATCGTAATCTGAGTTCTGCTGGTTGGCCTCTTTGCTTTCAGACTGGCTCATCTTTGCAACTGTGGGGTCGAGAATGAGAAATAAATTCAAACAAAAGCAGCAAATGACAGAGCTGATAATTCAGAAGAGGGCCTGGTAATTAAGAAGACAGCGTCAGGACGGACTATCTCCGCCTGCAACGGAATACCCCCACACCCCCGGTCCACCCCACAATCCCCCTCCATCTCGCTGATTTCCCCGGTTTCGTCTAGAGCAATATAAGTCCAGAAGAAAGAATAGTGCGGCCAGACTACTATCCGAACAATCCAACGCAAATTCTCGCCTTTCCCTGACTCACTACCTCTCCCACCACTTCCCCCCCACAATGCACAACCTCAAAGACAAAGTCGCCCTCATAATCGGCCTCGGCCAGACCCCCGGCTCTGAGGGCTGGGGCATCGGCGCCGCCTGCGCCGTCCTCTTCGCCCGCCAAGGCGCCCACATCTTCGGCGGCAACCGCACCCTCGCCTCAACCACCAAAACGCGCGAAACCATCGCCCGCGAAGGCCTCGGCACATGCACCGTCGTCCCCACCGACGCCACTTCCTCCTCCTCCGTCCAGGCCCTCGTCGCGGCGTGCCTCGCCCAGCACGGCCGCATCGACATCCTCGTCGCCAACGTCGGGCGCTCCGAGCCCGGCTGCCCGGCCACCATGGACGAGGCGACGTGGGACGCGCAGGTCGACGTGAATCTGAAAAGCGTGTACCTCGCGTGCCATCACGTGCTGCCGGTCATGGCGGCGCAGCCGGGCGGCGGGGCCGTCGTGTGCGTGGCGAGCGTGGCCGGGCTGCGGTATATCGGCAAGCCGCAGGTGGCGTATTCGGCGACGAAGGCGGCCGTGATGCAGTTCGTCAAGGCGACGGCGGTGGTGTATGCGGGGAAGGGGGTGAGGTTGAATACGGTTGTGCCCGGGTTGATGGATACGCCGTATACGGAGAGTTTGGCGGAGAGGTTTCCGAAGGAGGGCGGGGTGGAGGAGTTTAGGCGGATGAGGGAGGGGCAGGTGCCGATGGGGCGGATGGGGGATGCGTGGGATGTGGCGAATGCGGCGTTGTTTTTGGTGTCGGATGAGGCGAGGTATATTACGGGTCAGAAGATTGTTGTTGATGGGGGTTTTACGTCGTCGACGGGTCGTACTTAGGAGGTTTACTTTGGGTATGCATTTCAGGTGCAGTCAGATTTCACGGAGGCATGATAAATCCCAAATTTGAAAGCAATAAGACAGGTCTTCTTGATATTCCATCCGCTTGGGCTCTAATAGTAGTAATCAAATACCCATTCGACTATTTACACCTCAAAACCGGCACATGTATTCATCTCCTTCATCCACTTCGAAGTCAAACCGTACCAGATCCTCCTTAAAGGGCCAGAGATAAGTACTGGTAACCCTGTAGACTAATGAGAACTGCTTTATTATATGTAAAAGCCATACTTTCTCACCTGTGATGTTCATTACTCGCTTGGTACTCGCTCAGAGCCTGCTTGTCCTTGTGGAAGCTCAAAAGCGCAATCTGAAACCCCTGGCTGCGCTCGATGGGATCTGTGATTGAGGGACCACCAACAATCAGTCGATTGTCTTGCACACATGCAAGCGATTTCAGAGCCTTCAACTCGGAGACAAAAGTGTCTTTTAGAGTCTCTGGCACATCGGGCCGAAATTTGAAGAGGACTGGAAACGATTAACGCCAAGGCATGAGAACAAAGGGTAGGTGCAAGCTCAAACCTATGTGAACAACTGTCATGATCGAAAACAATGTCGAAGTTGAGTGTCAAGGAGAATTTAGTCTCTGGAAAATCTGTTTGTTTCTGTAAAATATGGGGCTTGATCGATATTTGTACCATGTCGGAGTTACTCCGCAAACAAAAACGCCCAGATTGCGGACGTCCTCCGTCACACAGGAAAAGAAAAGGCCAAGCTATGCAAGAAAAACGAAGTCCGGGAAGACAGCCTTTTCATTGGATGATTGCTCTAAAAAAATGCCTTAGGCCTTTCTTCCCGTGCTGTGCGGGCCACTTGCGGACGAGCCTTGTACACGACCATCGCTTCGCCCACCTAGTCAAGGTGCGTCATGATAAACAATGTTTATGAGTTCCTCATGCAGTGTTTGACATATGTTCATAGCGCAGGTCCGCATATCTCGTATTGGTGGGAGTATTTGCTGTTTCTTTCAGTCTTCTGTCTTTCACATCTATGATATCCGGCTCTCTCTGCCTGATATTCGCTGTTTGCTAGTTGCTCGTTAAGAGCTATATAATTAAGGCTGTCGACAAGTATTCTACGGATCGTCCTTCGCGCATATATTTTCCTTCTCCATCTTAAGAATAACACTCGCCAATCAAGGAATTATATCACTATATATGAGTCAAATGCATTTCAATCACCTTGCGCCCTACGCAGGTGGGCCCTCCGGCTCATGTTGTTATGGGAACCGCGCTTCATTCACTAACTGCTCCTGTCTACAAAATGGACCTCTTCGTTCCTTCCTTCCTCCAGCACACCAACACCGCCGACCCGCTGCTCACTCCTAAACCAACCACCCACCTCACCAACGACCCACTTCTCAATCATATTCCTACCTCCACATCATCATGAGCGGCAACTCCAACATGAATATGAAGCGCAAGTTTGAGGACGACATCGACAATCTCTCGCCCAGCCTGAAGAGGATGAGGATGATGGAAGAAGAAGACGACGCTAATGAAGTCGACCATGTCCAGCATGGCCGCCAGTCTTTGGTTTGCCTCCCTGGGGAAATGACAAACAGAATTTACAATGCTGACTCCAAAAAGAAGCGCAGATTCGAGGACGCTCTTCACGACCTCTCCCCCAGCCTGAAGAGAAGTAAGGTGATGGCAGAAGACGAGGACACCGAAATGGACCATGTCCACGTCGAACAAAACCACCAGTCTTCTAATTTCCTCACGCGCATCCCCGGGGAGATCAGAAACCGAATCTACGATGCTTTCCTTGCCGAGATCCTCCCGCAATCGGAGTTCGTCGAGCCGAACATCCTGATGACCAGATGCACGAGCAGCGATGACGACGATACACTCACGGCCCACGAGGCTCTTCGGAGAGAGAAAGCTCGCCGACAGCAAGAGCCATATTTGAGCGCAATCCGAAAGAGTGCTCTCCGCTGCGTGCCTGGTGTGCGGAAAGAGTTTATGTCGCGGCTGTGGCATGCTGTGACTCTGCGATTCTCCGCCTCGAAGCCGCAGTCGCCAATCCAGGCCTGCGACTTTTCTTTCCTCCGGTCGGTTCACCCTGACATCATCTTATACCAGGTCGAACTTGAGGAAATAGGGCTTAGTCACAACGACCGCCTGAAGATGGTAAATGTGTTTCTCCCGTTCATCCGTGCTTTGGAGGAGATGAAATTCAAGGGAACCGTGCGTCTTCTGGGCCGCCAGGATGATGTGGAGCTGGCGTGGTGCTGCATCGACAGGATGCAGAAGTACTGGCGCCTGGGAAACAGCCTCATGGAGGTGTGTAATAACATGGACGGCGTGTGGCGCATGATGAGCGATATACGTAAGTGTCCGGTTGATTATGTTATCCCTTAAGAAACTCCAGTGCAGCTTTCTGACATCGCTCCACGTTCCAGATCGCAACACCATCGTCAAGGAGTCCCTCGAAACCACCTTCGACATGGCCGTCGACATGAGCCCCTCTAGGAGAATCCCTGGTGTCTCAAGGTAAGGCCTGCCTTTCGAGCTTTTTTCTGGCTTTCCAGTAGAACTTCATGCTGACGCGAGACGATAGTGATAGTGGCTTCATTTATCGAACTGCGGAGCCTACCGACCCGTTTGATGGCGAGCCCTGGTGCTGGCAAGTGGTAGTCGGTCAAGCGGCGCCAACTATTTCAACAAGCCCCTATGCCAACGGTAGACACTTCTCGAGACGCGTCGAAAAGTTTCGCAGCATCAAGAGAGGCTACATGAAGGCGAAGGGGCTGCTTGCACCGGTTCCTGGGCAGGAGATTGAGGGGGAAATCGAACATGGTCTGGACGTTTAGTTTAGTCTTGAAGGCAGATAATATTAGTCACCGTTGCCATGCCAAACTACACATGTGAGAACACGAGTGGAGAGAACGTGAAAGGGGTGTCGTGATAGATGGATGTTGCGATTTAAAGCCGCAAGCGACGCATCGGCTTCCAGAATTCCAGCGAACTTTCGCCTACGTGGCTCAAGCCTTATAGAGAGGGTTTTATATCAATATCAGCCTTGTAGAACTATAGTGAAAGCTGGCTGGTGCGCGGGTCAACCCCACACCCGGCTCGGGTCGCTCCCGTATTCGCATCCCGCTCTTGCAGATGTATAGACAAGCATTCATCTTCAAGAGCAAGCATCCCTTCGCCCGAGACACTGACTAAGCGTCAAACGAGATGCGGATCATCCGTAGGGTTCTCTCTGCAGCGCCGAACTGCCACGGCGCACCGGGCGGTCGCACAATAACAACAAGGCTGAGACATAACACCCATCGCATGGAGACGAGCAGCACTGCTTTTTCTTCCTTCTCCCCCTCCGCTCGGATAGATATCGATTTTCGCCCGAGCACCCCCAAAAAAACCTGTGCACATCATAAGTTCGTTCGTCGAGATCCACCTCGCTTGGCTGGCCCTACCCGGACCCCGGCCCAGAACATGGTGTATCGCCTCCCCTTTCGCTGCACGGCGCGCACTCCACAGACGCACACACAGAAAATCGATAGTTTCACCTCCTGTCTGACCGGCGGCGGAGTTAAAACCTGCACACTACGTCCGGGGAACCATTTGCTCGAGTTTACCTCAGACCACTTTTTTTTTTCTTGGGTGAGTTGTTTAAGGATTTCGGTTAACTCCTTCGCCCCCTTCCTCCTATAACCCAACGCTACATCCTCTTGGGGGCCGCCGGAAGCCCAAAGCCGGGGCTCCGCGGGCGCCGCTCCACCCGCAGGCAGGACCCTGGTTTTTTCCAGAAAAATGATCGACATGGCTCGTATCCACATCCCGATTATCCCGGTTCAGGCACCAGGCACACAACGCATCAACAACAATGCTCTCTAGTCCCAAAACTGCGCCACCAGAAAAAAATGCGCACGGCGAGAGACGGAGCGCGCCTACGATATGTAATCAGAACTTACGGTCAGCAATGGGGACCTCGGGTCGTTGCCCAACACACGGTCTTCCACTATTGAAATTCTTAACCCAATAGTGGAGCAATGGGCCGCGTCGTGCATACGATACGGGCTGCATCTGCAGCACATCGCTTTCCCTGATGCTCGACGTGATCCTCATTCGGCAACGCGTCATTCGTCATCGCGCGCCAAACCCTCATTTCGTGAATGGCACATAGCGATTGCCAGTCCTGCACTGACTCAAGGGCTTGCCTGAACTGAGTCATCAAGCCTGCCTCAAGGCGGATTGCGGATGCGGCGTCCATGCGGTGCTGGGCGCTGCGCGCGAGCGCTTGGCGCGGAACTTTGCTGTTCCTTTCACTTACTCGCGGTGCGGCGGGACCTTGCGGCACGGTGCATTCCTGCTGCTCCTTGCCATCCTAGTTCCTGCGCAATGCCGCTGCTGCTCTTTGCCAACTCCGATCCTGCGGCGCTGGATCGCCCTGGTTATGATTCACGCTGAAACATATGATCTGCCTGCTTTCGGGCTGCAGAAGGAATGATGGCTGATCGAGACCCTTGATGAGTGATCGGGATTTTCGCTGAAGGTTCGAGAGTGGGGTGATTGGCGATGAAGGGAGTGCTGATTGTAATGCTAAGGTAGGGAAAAAGGCCGCATGATTGCGTAGGGTGGTGACATGGGTGCGTCGGATCGTGCGATGATGAAAGTCGTTCCCGCTGCGGGAAGGATGATCGGAGGTGCAGAGGCAAGGGTTGGGATACTGATGTTTGTGGGTTTCTGGGGGCGAGTTTGGCACAAAGTGGTTCGTGATGTCAAGTCGTGTTGGTGTTGTTGGTTGTGTTGTCTTCGTCTCTGCTCAGTGTCTCACTGCAAATTTACAAGTCACATATCATGGTAGTCAAGACAGTATTCCATGTTCACTGGCTGTGATTAGGATTAGGACTCAACTACTAAAACAATATGTACAAAAGCTTTCGAAGACAGCCAGCTCCCAAGCCTTCCACCGCCCAACGGTTTCAATTCATCCCGCATATCCAGCACATCTCACATGCCCAACATCCTTCCCTTTCCACTCCACCCATCACACCATTTACGCATCAGCAAGGATGACATCCGAGGCCTTCTCGGAGATCATGTAGATGGGGACGGCAATGTAGGTACCGGGAATCTTGGGGAAGACGGAAGCGTCGACGACACGGAGGTTGGTGACGCCACGGACCTTGAAGTTGGTGTCGAGGACAGCGTTCTCGTCGTCGTCGGCACCGATGGGGCAAGTGCAGGAGGCGTGGTGGCCCCACGACTCGTACTTGGCGAACTCCTTCCACTCCTCGTCGGTCTGGACCGACTCGCCGGGCCAGACCTCGGTGAACTTGCCGTCGAGCGGGATGAGGTCCTGGAAGACCTGGCGGCCGTACTTCATACCCTCGACGAGCGCGTCGAGATCCTCGTCACCGCCGACGGCGAAGTTGCGCATGTTGATCTCGGGCATGTCCTGGGGGTCGGCGCTGCGGAGGGTGACGGTGCCGGCGTTGTTGCGGGTGTGGGCCTTGAGCGTGAGCCAGGTCCAGGCGTTGGCGCCGGCGGTGGCGTTCTTGAAGAAGTCGGGGTAGTAGCCGTTGAAGTAGGCGGGCCAGCCGGCGATGAAGAGGTCGGCGTTGTTGTTCTCCGTGTTGGAAGCCTTCTTGGTGATGGCCAGAGCGACACCGTTGGTAGCGTAGACACCCTTCTCGACGGGGAGGTTCTCCCACTTCTCAAGGCAGGGGTCCGAGTCACCCTCGAGGAAAGTGCAGTCCTTGACGAGCGAGATCTTGGTGGGGGCCTCGCCGACGACGGGGATTTCGTAACGGTCCTGCATGTTGGTACCGACACCGGGGAGCTCAGCGACGACGTCGATGCCGAACTGCTCGAGCTCCTCGCGGGGACCGACACCGGAAAGCTTCAGGATCTGGGGAGTGTTGAAAGTACCAGCGGACAGGATGACCTCCTTGTTGGCCTTGACGGAGCCCTTGGTGCCCTTGCCGGTGGCCTCGCCGGTCTGGCGGCGGGGGTCGGCGCCGTAGAGGGACTGGCCGGTGAGGAACTCAACGCCGGTGGCCTTGGGGGTGCCGTCGGAGCCGGTCTCGAAGGTGACCTTGGTGACGAGCGTGTTGAGCTGGATGTCGAGCTTGTACTTCTCGCTGCCATCATCGTTGGTGGCGCTGAGGACCTCGTGCAGAAGGTCGACGGGGCCGGCACGCTTGTACTCGGGGATCTTCATGGCGAGGGGCACCTGCCACATGCCCTCAGCCGAGTCGCGGCCGGGTGCATCCGTGTTGGGGTCCAGCAGGAGGGTGTGGGCAAGGCCGGTGACGGTGGTGATGACCGACTGCAGCAGGTTCTGGCCGAGAGCGGCGGCGGCGGCCAGGACAAGGGAGATGACCTTGAAGTCCTGGGCGATCAGGGTGAGCTCGGTGAGCGAAGTCTCGAGCCAGCCGCTGAAGCCGTGGCCCGAGATGGAGTTGGGCAGGTAGCGCGACCTCTCAATGCGCTTGAAGTACTCGCGCATGTTGGCGGGCGACCAGCTGTCATCGCCGGTGATGTCGCAGATGTACTGCCAGTCACTCTCGTGCGGGTAGATGGTGACCAGGGCATTGTGGGCAGAGCAACCACCCAGAGAGCCGACACGCGGGTAGAGGACACCGAGAGGCTCGGCACCCTCGGGCGGGTTGGGACCAGTGTAGCGCTCGCCGTTGGGCAGCGTGTAGGTGAGTTTGGTGTCCCTCTTCTGCTCCTCGACGTCGTCGAAGTGCTTGACGAAGTAGTCCCACCTCATGGGCTCCCACTCGGCAGCGACCGAGTGCAACGCAGGGACGTTGTACTGGGTGCTGTTGGTCTCGTCACCACCGGCCTCGACGAGGAGGACGCTGTGGCCGGCGAGGGCAAGCCTGGCGGCAAGGGGAGCACCACCGGGACCGGAGCCGACAACGACATAGTCGTAGTCCTCGAGCGTGGTCGAGGAAGCCGAGCTGTCTGCGGCACGCTTCACATTCGCGCCGCGGAAGGGCGTGTGCTGAGCACCATCACTGTGGTCAATGTCAGCGATCAATAGCACAGGCAATTAAGGCAGAGTCAGGCAGCTTACATGATGCGCGCAGAGGCGAAAGAGCTCACAAGAGAGAGAACGGTGAAAGCTTTCATCACAATCATCTTGGCAGTATTAAGGCAATAGCCCGGGACCCAAGTCTAAAGAACGAATGACAAAGGGTGAGAGAAGTGGTAGTCCCTGGTTAGTGAAAGAGTGACTTGGAACTGTGATGAGCCAAGACAGGCCTCAGCATTGGTCTTTTATACGGACTGAGAAGGCTGCAGGCTACGCGCACAGCCCGTCGGAAGTGGTGGAAACATCACGAGCCGGACCGCTAGGGGCAGGCGATGGTGATTGAGATCATCAGCGGCGCTGGTGTAAGTTGCGGGAAGGCTTTAGGAGGCGTAGGCGCGCGCACGAGCAGCCCGTACGACCATTTTCGATCTGCAAATTACGACACCAGATCGGTACAAGCTGCCGCCCCACCGGTTGCTGGTTGCAGATAAGGGAGGCCGGACGACATACTGTTTTGGACCATGGCGTTGGTCGTGCTGCGGGGAGCAGCATGTCTCATATTTGCGCGGGGGTGTGCGCGGATGCAGGGGCCAACCGTTGCAACGGCGCGGCAGGGGCGCCCACGCCACGGGAAGAAGTTCGGCTCGGACTGCCACCACGACTCGCCCTCACCGTCACTAGTCATTCGGACCGGCCACCATGCGCACATCCAGGCACGGCCTGCTGTCTGCTCGCCTTGATTCCAGCGCTCCTGCACATCCCCCCCGCTGTGGACTCGCCAACCGTCTGGAAGCGGCCCCGTCTCCCCACCCATGGAAGCCTTTACGAATGCCGTCCATCTTTTACCCAGTCTTGGGTCATCTTAGCACTCGCGTGATGACTCGGGATGAATGGCGGCACAGTCCCCTCACGTATCAAATCCGATTTCATCCCTGGCGTGTGCGGTCGTCTAATCTTCGAAGAACTCTTGGAAGTCGCCGCCCGCTGCGTTATAATCCTCGGCTCACCGGACGAGAGACGAAGCGCCAGTCCGCTCCATTCCTTCCCTTTCTGACCCCGCTTCCTTCGTTTCGACTCCACCATCGTACGCCATCATGAGATTATGGACCGTGTTGGCCTTGTTGGCCTCTTTCATCGCTTCCGTGCATGCCCAGTCTGCTTTGCTGGCGTTGGCGGCTGAGATGCCCAAATGCTCCGTAAGTGTCATGCGCCCCGGAGATAGACGTGCTTTCTGACCCGGTCGCAGTTGACATGCTTCACCAAAGAGCTTCCCAAGTCGACATGTGCCACCAACCTTACCTCGGCATGCATGTGCAGCAACGATGAGTTGAACGCCAAGGTTGGACTCTGTGCCATGCAGACTTGCACCGTCGCCGAACTTCTGAGTAAGAAGAAGACTGCAGCCCTCCTTCAGTCCGTGTACTGACTCGAGACACAGAGACTAAGAATGTTTCCATGAACGGCTGCGGTGCCCCGATCCGTGACAGTGGCTCTACCTTCACTGCCATCGGTATCACCGGCATGGTTCTCGCTGGTGTTGCCTACCTCCTGAGAATGGCGGCCAGTCTGGGCAAGGGCGGTCGCCAGATTTCTTGGGATGATGCTACCATGGGCCTTGTCGTGCTTCTTGCCATCCCTCCTGCCGTCTTCGCCCCAGTCCGTAAGTAGTCAAGACTTGGACGAGTCAATGGCCACAGACTAACGACAAGCAGTGGTTCAGAACGGAATGGGCAAGGACATGTGGACGCTGCAGCCGTACCAGATCACTAACGTGCTGTACTACTACTACTTCGGAGAGATCTTCTACGTCGTCGCCCTCGGTGTGTCCAAGATCTCCATCTTGTTCTTCTACCTCCGCGTCTTCCCGGCCAAGGAGTTCCGTACCCTCATCTGGATCGTCATGGCCTTCGCTGTCGTTTACACCGTCGTTTTCGGAATCGTCACGGCTTTGCAGTGCTGGCCCGTCAGCCACGCCTGGAACCAGTGGGACGGGCTCCACGAGGGTCACTGCAACAACATTCACATTCAGGGTTACGTGGCGGCGGCGGTCAACATTGCTCTGGACACGGTCGTCATGGTTCTCCCGCTCAAGCATTTGGCCAACCTCAACATGGACCTGAAGAAGAAGATGATGGTCATGGCCATGTTTTCGGTCGGTATCTTCGTCATCTTCACCTCGGCCATCCGTCTGTACTCTCTCGTGCACTTCGCCAACTCGCAGAACATCACCTGGGACTACGTCGAGGCCGGCTACTGGAGTTTGATTGAGGTGTACGTCTCGATTCTCTGCGGATGCATGCCTGCCCACCGCTTCGTCTTTGCCAAGGCCTGGCCCAAGATCAAGTCGACCATGGGTGGAACCAAGAAGTCGACCAACGCGAGCTCCAACTTCTCGGCCTCGGCCGGCACGGCGACGAACAAGACGGCCACGACGGTTTCGACCAAGCCCAAGAACGGAGACGAAGGCGACTTCGTGCCACTTGTGGACGTCGAGACGAACAGTGCTCGTGCCATCTCGGCCAACGAGTCAACGCACACAGAGCAGAAGTCGTCATGGATTATGCAAACTAGCACGGTGCAGATTTCTTCAACTGAGGGACAGCTGCAGAATCGACCGGATAGCTGGACGATGGGACACGGGCCGGGGAGCAAGGAGCACGTGTAAACGAAAAAAGTTTCTAAACGGCATTGGGTGTTTTATCTTGGTTTGGGCATAGCGTCGTTGTAATCGTTCTTGGATACCCTTCTACAGTTCCCCGAGGCCGCGTACTTTCGCTTCACCTTCAGTCGGACTTGGGCCAATTTTTTTTTTTGCCTTCTTGTAGCACTCGTTTACCAAACTTCGAAATGATAGTCTTCGAAATGATACCACTTCTTATCGTCATCGTCGTCCCACTTTCACCGCCACCGTTTCAGGCAACCAGTCACAAGGTTTAGCCACAATTTCTACAGGGCTAACGCATGAATCCGGCAATCGGGCGTCAGATTAGCCTCAATCATGGCAAGATTCGACAATCTAGAGCTTAACGGGGCGGTTTCCTCGAAGAGGAGCTATAGCGGTCGTATTAAGCAGCGCAGTGGGCCGGGGCTGGCCTTCTCGAATCGAAAAATGGGGGCACGATCTCCGACGACACACGTACCGCGTCAGCAGAGGGGAAGAAAGTTGAGCCCGTGTTGGTGCGGATGTGGGGGCTTTGGCGTCAGTGGCAGCGGTCTCGAAGACGGCGAACGCTCTCGGGCGCCCCTGTCGACGGAGAGCACCGTGCAGCTCCTTCCCTCTTTGCGTTGGGCCGCGTGCACCTGCCCGCCAGTTCCGTGCATGCGGATTGGCCGTTCCTGGACTAGTCCGAGCTCGGTTAGCCCCGCAAGCCTTGTTCGCACCGCAGCCTCGCTCCCCTCAACGCACTCGCCCATCCCTTCCCAACTCTCCATCCTGCGATGACTAGCAAAATCTCCGACTAATTCCCACTTGCTGAACTTTAGCCAGCACCGCGCCGCTTCCGCGCGGGATCCGGCTGCTGACAGGCAGAGCGCATCCATCGAGCATCCGCCGTCTTCCCGCTTCCGCACCGTCCGGTAGCGCGAGTCGAGCGCGTCGGTCGACGTGAGGATAAAGTTGTTGACCGCTCGTTGGCGGCCGCAGCTAAGAGGACCCTATAGATCTTAGGCCATAAGATAGTCGACCGCCCAGGTCGGCAAATTCACTCTTTCCAACAACCCCTCCGACGCCATCCGTCATCTGAGCCCCTCTCCTTTGCGCCCACCCCCAGCCCGGACCCCTGGGCCGATTGTCGCCCATGGCTCCCCACCACAGGGTCAGCCCTGCGCACCGACCACCTGTCACTGTTGCCGTATGACTCGCTCAACGGCTTCTCCAGCTCAAATCGGGTCAACACGTGGGAGATCCAAATTCCGCGTGTCTCACCAGCCTTCTTGACCAATCACCCTAACGACTCGCCCGCTATGCCTACCATGGCTACGGGATGCCTTCCCCGACAGAAGGTACCTGAGCTTGTTCCTCTGCGGTGATGGCTACACGAGCTGTGGCTAGGCGAGAGCCCCCAAGTGCCTGCCGAGACCTTCCAGCCAGTGCGATCGGCATGGTAATCCGCAGTAGCCGAGTAGGAGTAATCAGCTTTCCTGCTATTTGTTCACCCTTTCTCTGAGGGTCTTTACGCTGCACCCCAACCTATGTCGTCGCCTTGAGCCTCATCTCTACTGACCACCATCCATTCACTCTTTTGCTGGAGGCAGGCGCCAAGGCTCACGCTCACTTTAGTCATTCGTTGTAATTGCTAATACTCCAAACCCATTGAATTGCGTATTGGAAGCTTCTTGTTTGCATTTTGTCCCCCTTTCCGCCATGAAGTTCTCATCCACTCTCTTCGCCCTCTCGTCGGGCTCCGCGCTCGTCAGCGCCTTCCCCGCCCTCTCCGGACGCAACCTCGAGGGCCTCACCTCGGACCGGTTAGAGGCTGCCATCCGCTCCTTCGAGCAGCACAGGCTCGAGAAGCGCATCCTCGTCGACTCCAGCCAGCCCATCGACACCACGGGCGAACACGCTTTCCAGGCTCCCGGCGAGGGCGACCAGCGCGGCCCCTGCCCCGGTCTCAACGTCCTCGCAAACCACGGCTACATCTCGCGCGATGGCATCACCAGCTTCGCCGAGGTCACTAATGCCATCAACCAGGGTTCGTAATGTGATTCCCCGCAAGTCGAGGTCCACTCTTGGCGCTGACATGGATCTTCAAGTGCTGGGCATGGAGGTCGAGCTCGCCCTTATTCTCGCTATTATGGGTACCGTCTGGACCGGCAACCCGCTCGCTCTGGACCCCGGCTTCTCCATTGGTGGCACCGTCCCCGGCGACGGCTCCGACAACCTCCTGGGCAACCTTGTCGGCCTTCTCGGTACGCATCCTCCCCCAAAAAAGAAACACAAAACCTAAAACAACATCCATGCTAACGGCCTCCACATAGGCGACCCCCGCGGCCTGCAGGGATCCCACAACTGGATCGAGTCGGACTCGTCGCTGACGCGCGACGACCTGTACGTGACGGGCAACTCGTGGACGATGAACATGACGCTGTTCCGCGACTTCCACGACCGCGCCGACGAGGACGGTGTGCTGTCGATGGACCTGCTGGCCGACCAGGCCGCGCGCCGCTTCCACTACAGCATCGCCAACAACCCCAACTTCTACTACGGCCCCATCACCGGCATGATCTCGCGCAACGCCGGCTACTTCTTCCTCGGCCGCCTGCTGGCCAACCACACCGAGGAGGCGCCCGAGGGCGTGCTAACGCAGGAGGTGTTCAGGAGCTTTTTCGGCGTGTACGAGGGCGAGGATGGCGACTGGGAGTACCGCGAGGGCCACGAGCAGTTCCCCGATAACTGGTACCGCAAGCCGGTGGACTATGGTCTTCTGAACCTCAACTTGGATACGATCGCTTGGGTGCTGAAGCACCCTGAGCTCGGAAGGTAAGGCCGCAACCCGATCTCCGACCCGACCCGACCCCGCCCCCACTTTTTTGCTTTTTCCAATAGTACAAAAACACTAAACTAATTACCCGAAACAGCGTCGGCGGCAACACGGGCACCGTCAACTCCTTCACCGGCCTCGAGCTCGACGACATCACCGACGGCGTCCTCAACGCCGGCACCCTGCTCGAGGGCAACAACCTGCTGTGCTTCGTCCTCGAGGTCGTCAAGACTTTCGCACCCAACTCGCTGTCGCCCCTCCTCAAGACGCTCGAGGCTCCGCTCCAGCTCATTTCCAAGGCTATCACCGGCCCGCTCACCAGCCTGGCTTGCCCTGCCTGGAAGGATCTGACTGAGGGTGGCCAGCCGCTGTGGGATGGCATTCAGAGCAAGTTCCCTGGTGCGGCGCAGGCGGGTTCGTCGTTGTAAGGTTGCTGGAGGAGGGAAAATGGCGGGGTGGAGAGAAGACGGATTATTGGAGGAGGTTCGGGAGCATGGGTGGTTGTTTGAGCTGGGATGGGATGTTGTTCGACAAGGGTGGATGGAATGAATGCTCTATTGTTTCAACTTCGTTTCGATACCAGAACTTTTCGATTTTTTTGTGAAGGTTATGGCTTTGAAGATCCTTTTTCTCTTTGCGGATGCGTCTCATTGCGGATGTGGATGCTTTGCGGATGCGGATGCGGATGGGTATGCGGATGCGAGAAACGTAGTGCAATGCTATATGCGAACTTGTTTCAGAGTGGTACGCAACGAGTCGTGTGAGAGGTTATTTTGTGAAACCGTGCCGGCGAGTTTGAGGCGTGGTGAGAATGCATGTGTTGATTGGTTGATCCGTTTCCCGGTGCTATCCTCTGCACATGCGTCGCTTAGGCATCGGCGTGATAGCTTGGTGATCGGATCGGTTGGGTGGAGTCGGTATCATACTTTCTTAATGGGATCGGTTGGATGCAGTCGGTAGCATACTTTCTGCTATTGGGCAACTTGCAAGGATTCCTGCATTATCACGGAGCCGCAACAATTGTTGCTACATCGTGTGTATGCCTATACCAGGTGTTCTAAAAATACGGCGCTGAGAATTTAAGCAATCGGAGACACCTCGCCTCCGAGTTCCGGTTCCACGCTGAAGATACTCTGGCAATAAAGCTTATTTTTCTTTTTCTACCTGAGAGCGATGTCCGTGAAACGTCGTTCCGCTTTCGCCCACTTCGTCAGAAATATCTCACCCAAACCCATACGGACCGCGAAACCGTCATCGTCCCTTCCGATTAGCATAGCTTTCACTAACGACGGTCGGATAGATACGCTCTCGTCATAAAAAAATGTGAAGTTCTTTTCTGACAACATATGCCACTTGAAATCCTGGGTCCAGGTATCTAAATTCAGCATGGGATCCATACATTCATTGCTTGCGCTATTTTTTGTTCCGCCGGTGTGGTCGCGTATAGAGATGGACAGTGCAATGAACTCGCGCCGAACATGCTCCTCCCCGGCTGCGAGCTCAGGAAGCCTGCTTTTCATGTTCGGTTCACCTTCATCAAACATCAAACGATCCGTAGGTTCATGCTGCTCGCTGCTCATCAGTAGTTATGAGTTTATCATTCCCAGTCCTCAATATGTTGAAAAGGGCAGACTGCGCTCGACACCACGGTACTCCACGCCAATAGTTGCAGTAAGGGATGGTTCCACTCTGCAATGCCGATTGATCGTCTTCCGTAACCTTTCGTCATGATCCATTGGTGTGACGGCACACACGACCATCTCTCTCAAATAGTGTTCGTAGGACGGCCATCATGCAGTAGCTTCCTCTTCGAGATCCGAGAATCGCGAGGTTGCGTAATGCCAATCATTCGGCGAGTGCCATTTGCAGCAACCCATAATCCATGCGAGTGCCATGTAGATGGCATCCTGTAGTGGAAAGACTTTAGGAGCCCTCTGATCCCACATAACGATGCCCCACTCCCAAGGCGCCTGCTCCATTCTCTGCAAAGATGTCAAGGATTCATCTGACTGGAACCACGTGACTGGTGTTCCTGAAAAATTCCATATAAAGAGTATGTCTCGACAGCCTCTGATTGAAGCCCACGACCAAGAGGGAATAGAGACGCCTGGAAGTTCTCGTACATCCAACTTCTCACAGACTATCCGGTTGTGCGGTACCCATAGGAGACCGTGGTCGAGAACTGGCAGCGGGAGACCAAATGCTGAGCGGTTTACATCTCCAACGAGTGCCTAGAGTATTCCAGCAAAGGCATTGAAGATTTCGGACTCCTTAGTAAGAGAAAGCTTTATATATGAGTTCAAATGGCCCTCGAAATCAACTGATCTGCTTCTGTCGGACAAATGGTCAGAAGTGCGTGGTTTCTTCTTTGATTTTTTTTTTCACAGCCGCTTCCCCGTGCGTATCTCCCACCAGACGATCGTACTTCACCGAATGCAGACAGTCGAAAAACACGTCGTTTTCCGAGAAGTACAGTTTCCTGGGTGAAAGTACTCTCTCTTGATATGTCCAGCCTCGTTGGTACCATGTCGAGGTTGTCAGAAGTTTGATCGGCGAATACGAAGGGCAGAGGTCGTTCTTAATCTCTAGGAAGCTCATTCCCAACGCATTCGCGCGTATCTTCCCCGGGCGGTCAACCGAGATCCCCGGGACACGCTCATGAATGCTACTCCCCGTCGTAATGACCATGGTGAAGCGGGCGCTCTTGTACACTTCCGCTATCGCATCGATCTGGCATTGCTTTTCCTCGAGATCTTCTTGGACGATGCAAAGACTGTCGACCCACAGGTATCTCTCGCCCAGCATCTGGCAAGCCACCACGGCGTCTGCAAATGGCTGACGTTCGACTTTTTGGCCATCAGCTTTCCGAACTGAATATGCGCTCCCCACACATAGCTTAATGCCACAAAGCAGCCCGAAGGACACCCGCGGACGACGCGCCTTGCTTCTACGTCCACTACAGAAAATGCTTTCGGGAGGGCTCCGGCCCCAGTCGGAGAGCAGTTCGTGTGGCCGCAACCGCACTTAGTGATCCATCGCCTGACAGAAGGCCAGTCAACTCGTTGCATCGTCATCGGCCCTTGTCGTAATGCCGCGAATGTAGCAACTTTTGGCCCGGTGGGACTGAGCATGGCCCCTTCAATTCTGAAGAGCCAGTAATCTGGTGGGATGCTCATGCAATTTTGAACAAGGAGCTCAGTTTGGGATAAAAGCAGCGAGTATCTTAAAGCCCTCTCTTTCGCCTGATCACGCAGCTCTGGGCCAGTGCATGGTAACTGCAGTTTCACTGTAAGATACTGACAATTTGTTTCATGTGCAAGATGGTTCCACTGTTCATGTTCGATGGCCACGGGGTCTGAGGCGTGGACTGAGCTTCGCCTCACAACTCCAGCTACAATGCTGCAGATTGGACACTCGGGGAACCTCTGTGATCGTTTCAGAGTTTCGACGGTGGTTCCAAAGGAGATCTACATCTCAAAAAAGCGCTGCAAGATATAGTTTCGAGGGTTCAGATGCTTGCAGTGGGGGCAGAGTGACTCTTCGTCCAGGTGTTTGAAGCGCGGCTGCACGCAGGGTGGGTGGAACATCGTCTCATAACCTTTCTTAGTGAACATAACAGAGTGTGGGAGAGAAGCCGTTGTGGCATATCAATACGAACAATCTCGCCGGTCCATGAGCTTTGGCGAAGGGGGACAGCGTCGCTGTTCTTTTCGTGGTTGAATGCAGACTTCGTGCCAGCGTGATAAATATTTGGCATGTTTACAACGCTATCTTCAATGGTTTTACTTGCTACGCTTGTGCGGATGGCTTGAGAAGCAGCAACGCGAGGTGCCTGGCGAAAAATGTTTAGATTTGCGCGACGTCTCAACGGCGAGGTTGCGATGACCACCCCCGCGCTCCCTCACCAAAGTCCGAAAATACAGAGGCGTCTTGCAGCTGAAGGCTAGCGCGAAGAATAATAGGGCCTCAGAACAGGGGTTAACTGCGATCCCAAAAAATAGTTCTGTTTTTTTTTACAGTATTTGTGAGGGACCTTTTGACGCAAATGTGTAGCTGAAGTTATTGTCCGGTCCCGAATGTGTAGTTCTTAATTCCACATCTACGTCCGGACAGGATCTCGAACTGCCTATGGCATTAGCGAAAAACAAATTGATGCATACAACAGCGCTTTTTTTTTTTAAAGGAAATTTGCCATCTATCGTCCCTCGCTGGCATCCAGCCACTAATGGTGTTGATTTCTCGGCCAATAGATAAGCTCCGATAAGCTTCTGGGGAGGTGGGAGTGGAAGTGGGTGTGGATCTGTGTCGCGGAGATACCTTTAGGCAACAGCTCCACGTTTCTTTGGGGCATTGTGCATAAATGGAAGTCTCACCCGAACCTCGGTAAAGAACGGATCTGTGAGCAGCAGGTCTGCCTTGTATTGACAACTCCGGCCTTCCTACCAATAAAGAGCCCGTTTCAATTTGTTTGTCTACTTCTCTACATTACGCTATTTCGGATAATTGAAAATTACACAAGTGCCCGATAACTAATAATTCATTCTGTAAAACACGGTCTAATACCAACATATCTACGAAGCAATTGTCCGGACGTTGAGGGGCACAATAATGCTATATACTCATCTATGAATGTATATAGCGTGTCCAAACATATGTCAGCAATGGTACTCTTATCTGAGAGTCCGGCGTTGAGCTTTTTGGGGTGTCAACCACTGTGCCCCACTCGCTAGAGGATAGGCGCCTAACACAGCCAATGCCGCCGTTACACGACAGCTCCTGCGAGGCCAGCTGACAAGTTTGGCTGAAAGGTCAGCCGCAACCGTGCACCAACTCGCACAAAAGTCGCTCTACATCCACTTTCAAATGTTTCACCAAGCAGTGGGTGTGCGTTTGTGTGAGGGACGCGAGCCACAGCGTCAATGCCGAGTAAACCCGATATGCGGGTCCATCGGAACGGTCTCACAGAGCTATATCGACCTTCTGACGGCGAGGCTGTACAGGCACAGTAAGTATTCTCTCGAGTTTTTGCATAGTGGTGATTTCATCCAAGTATTAATACAAAGCAGTGTCATTTTCGTTCATGGGTTGTTTGGAAGCCCCGACAAGACATGGACAAAAGATCTGTCGAGCCGTGCAGCTGTGAACGAAAATGGAGGTGATTCATCTAGTCACTCGGTGTTTTGGCCACGAGAGCTTCTCCCGAAAATTATCCCGCTGGCGACCATACACACTTGGGGCTATGATGCAGACATAGACCATTTCTTGCAACCTGCCTCCAGAAACTCCCTCTATCAGCATGCGGGAAATCTTTTGACCGACCTATGCGATCTCAGAGACACATTTGACGATGTGAGTGCCTATGAACATCATTCATAGACAAACCTGATAGATACCCATCGGTGCCATCTCTCAGGCTCGTGCTCATCCCTTCGTTATCCTACCCTCTATATTCTCTACTTTCATTTTACTAACTTCACAGAAAACAATTCCTTTCGTCTTCATTGCGCACAGCCTTGGCGGATTGATTGTGAAAGACGTAAGTGAAAACAGGGCAGTGATACCCTTCACAAGAGGTAAATAACTGAGACAATATCTAAATAGGCGTTGAATCGGTCTACTAGCGAGATCGGCACTCGGATCAAGGATATTGCCCCACATACCTTCGCAATATGCTTCCTAGGCACGCCTCATCGCGGATCCAAATTGGCAAAATCCGGAAGACGCGCAATTGCTTTGAAGATGCTCGCTTCTTCAAGACAGCCAAACGTGAGGCTGATGCAGGCGCTTCAGCAAAACTCCGAGATACTTGACCGCATAGGAACCTCATTCTTTCAAACCGTGGATAAGCACGGCTTCCGTATTGCCTCTTTCTGCGAAGAAACGGAGATCAGACTACTTATGGTCGTCAACTTATTCATTGTTGAACCTGATTCTGCGAAGATTGGTCATTCTAAAGAGGAGACGGGAACCATTCCGGCGGATCATAGAAACTTGGCCAAATTCGATTCTGAGTCAGACACTGGATTCAGTAGAATCAGCAAAACCATCAAAAGATGGGTTGATGAAATAGATATTTCATCCAGAAAAGGTGCGCCTATCCAGACTAATTCTAGAAAGGCATCAGTTTATTTTCATCCCAAGACAAAGAGTATCACGTGGGTCTCGAAAGAAAGTGTCTCTAGCTACGCATCTTAAGGTATAATGCACCTATCCGGACTTATGTAAGCGGATAAATAATGCATATTTTGATCCTGATAGTTGCTTCATGTCCGGATGCGACTATGTCTACATGAATATTTCACTGCTGAGTGTATCAAAAGTTTAAACATTTCGAGCGGAGACTAGATTATTTTGAGATCCCGCGTGGTACCGTTCCTCTTAATGTCATCCGTGCATAAAATACGAGTAGAGATTGCTAACGCAATTGTTAAACTTATTAATTCATATAGACGATTACCAAGGTATTTGCCGAGCATCACATATTTCGGACTGATTAGCTAACAAGGCTTTGAATAGACTGTTTGCAAAGCTTGAAAATCCCAGAAGCTCATGTGCGCTACCAGCAAGTGGTCAAAAATCATGACAAGACGTTTGCTTGGCTTTTCGAGAAGGACACCGTTCAATTCGTCGATTGGCTCAGGAAAGCCAATGAGACCGGACCAGCTGGACGACTCTTCTGGATTACGGGAAAGCCCGGATCTGGAAAATCTACCATCATGAAATATGCCATACGAAACTTGAAAACGATGGATCATCTCCAAGCTTCAAATGTGCGTCAGTGGCACATAGTACCATTCTTCTTCTCAGACAGAGGCTCAGAAAAACAACGCGCGTTCCAGACAATGCTTCAGGAAATCTTGTACCAGCTTCTGAGTCGATTGAAAGATTCATACAGCCTCATCCTTCCTTTATACACCAGCCTCAAAAAGATGCAGAAAACATCGATTCCAAAGTGGGATACAGCCACACTTCGGAAAGGAATATCGGAGGTCATAGCCAAATCCACATTCAAGGCCGGCATTTGTCTTTTCATGGACGCGCTTGACGAACACGGTGGAGACAACGAGAACTTGTGCAAGTTCTTTTGGGACCTTAGCAGCAAATCTGAAGGCTCTGTGTTGCTGAAAATATGCTTAGCAAGTAGACCTTGGCCGGTTTTCCAAAGGAACTTCCAAGGCTGCTGGGGCTTTGCAATCCACGAGCACACGGAGAATGATATCCGGAGATATATCGCCAGCAGACTATACGAAGTATCAGACAGCTTCGAGCTACGACACATGCCTATCGAAGATCAAATACAGCAAAAGACTGACCTGGGTGTATTGGCTGAAGATGTCACCAGCAATGCGCAAGGTGTCTTCATTTGGGTCCGACTGGTCGTTGACGAGCTTTGTCAAGGCCTGACTGATGGAACGCCAATCGCCATGCTGAGGGAGACTTTGAAGAATATTCCACATGAGCTCGGGGATTTGTATGCAAGGGCTCTGATCAAGGTACGGCGAAGCTACGCTGCAGAAACGCACATCATGTTACACATCGTGCTAAGCAGTCTCTCCCCGCTCCATATCCAAACACTTTTGGATTGCACATCATGGCTCTTGGTGAATAGAGTTGAACCTCAGAGGCTCGAGGCGCAAACTAGTCGGTTAGCAAGCAGGACAGGCGGCCTTCTTGAGGTGGTGAACAGCGGTGGTTCTTCAATCGTACAGTTTATCCACCAAACAGCCAAAGAGTACATTCGATACCATGGGGCTTACAGTAGTCTGAGGGATGCGTTCATGGACTCTGGACCTTCTTCACTGGTTGGACCATCTTCACCGCTTCATCCAATAACAGGGGGCGAATTCCTGGAATTTGAAGGACCCGACTTTCTCCTCCTTTGCGGACTCGAAAAGCATCCCTTTTCAGCATCAATAATTCCACACTTGTTCGCCTACGCCAAGGAAGTCGACAACAAATTTCCGTCACAGGCGGGCAAGAAGCAGTGCCTAGAAGTGGATAATTTGAGCCGTCTCCTGGATGACACAAGCCTATGGGAAAGCTCCCCGGTTTACAACAGCTTGAACTCCTTCACTGATGGAATTTCTCGAGTTGAGCTGGCAATTGCCGCCAACTGGACAAACATGATCAAGTATTACTTTACCTCACGTGGCGGGATGGCCAAAGCCATGCAACTGGCTACTCTGGGACCGCTCATACTTGACAATTGCACAGACCGCAGGAAGATGGTTCAAGCTCTATTTCATGGATACACACAAGATAGGCGTCCATCAAAGAATCCATTAAAACTAAGTATACCAGAACCGAAGGAACCGCGACGTCTTCCGCGACAGTTGAAATTGGCGGAACTTGGCGTTTCGTCGAAGAATTCAACGCCACTTCGATCTGCACAGATATCACTAAGGAAGACACTGTTCCAGCCGATCGAAGAGTCAGACCGCAGGAGGATGCTGAAGTCTGTTGGCGCAGTTGCATATAAGATCAAGGGCTAAGCAACACTTCTGACAACGCTTATCTCCATCAAAAGCCACCCTCTTGTCTCTGGGCCAGAAATAATTGGTATTGGCAGTTTACTAGTTGAGACTATTGCGGAGGAGGCCTTGACGGGGAAGACCACCGGGCCTACCATACTCATTGAAAACAGCCATATCTGCTGTTTCAGATCAGAACTATCATTTTGTCTCCACTTGGGCTCTGTTGAATGGGTCGATATGTTCCTGGAAAAAGTACGGCCGGGCATTCTCCCTGTTACCGAAGTAGATCCATCTTTGGCCCACTGCTTAGCGTCAAATCGGGATCTTGTTAATCGCGGTCTGAGAGCCTCCTTCCTGCGGGACGTCCTTGAGAAATTCGACGAAGAAGTGCGGCCCATTTCAGATGAAGGGGAGCCTTTAGGGATAGGCTGGCCCCTGGTTTGGCTTGGTGCCCAGTCTGGCCTCATGGGGTTTCCGCAGATCAACCGAGGATTCTGCAGCTCCAGGGACCACCAAAGAACGGGCAGCGATGATCCTACGGACAGCGATGACTCTACGGACAGCGATGACCCTAAGGACAGCGATGTGGGTTCTGCTTTAGCGGCATATTTTTCAAGACGTCAAAACCGTACAGTATGACAGCGTTAGGATGCCAATAGTGAGCATGCGAGTCTACAGAGGGGTGCTACAGCGAATGGCTTGCGCGAAGAATTGTGGGGCCCTAGACCAAGTGGCCAAGTGTGCAACTTAGTCACTCTTCCTTGCTTTCCTCCATTACCAGCTATTTGCCTTTGTCCCGAAGAGGTGGATCTATTTGTGATGTAAACAGCTCTTGCACTACAGTACGAGCAAGCTGGTTCATTTCATGCTGTCTTCGAATTTGGACCCCTGTGGGTGGGCCAGCACTGCTTCTGGGCGCCATATGGTAGACTTGCACATCCTTTCCTGCTATTGCGTTTTATCTGCATGCTCTTAGCTACAGAATGATTCCGTGTTTCATTGGCTGTTGTGATGTGTACCCTTATGCGCCATCCGGTTTCGGACTAGCTTTGATCAGTGATCAAACCTCGGATGTGAGCAGTTAGTCTGACCCGCCGAGGAGAAGCATGCAGGTCCGGCGCGCGGTCATTTCCATTTTCGGATCTGACTTTAGCAACAACTGACGTATCCTCACGTGGTCTGAGGTACATCTTCCCCGCTATCATAAGAAGTCAGCCCGCACGCTGAGCATCTTACTCCCTCAAACCCCCCAAAAAGACAAAAGACCACAACAATGAAGCCCACACCCATCCCCTCCGGCATCCTCATCGAAGCCGAGTCCTTCGACTCCTACGGCGGATGGACATTGGACTCCCAATTCGAGCTCTCAATGGGGTCGCCCTACCTCCTCGCCCACGGCAACGGCCAGCCAGTTGCCGACGCCACGACCTCCATCCCCATCTCCCCCGATGCCGCGGGCTCGTACGCCGTCTGGGTCCGCGCGAAGGACTGGGTGCCTGGCCATCATCCCGGGCGATTCTCACTTTTGATCAACGGCAAGCCGCTGCCTACCGAGTTCGGTGCCAATGACCGAGACTGGTCGTGGCAGTTTGGCGGCAGGGTCGAGCTGGCTGCGGGACGGACCAATCTGGTGTTGAGGGACTTGACCGGGTTCTGTGGGCGGTGCGATGCCGTTTTCTTCAGTCGGGATGGGGATGATGTCGCGCCGCCGGAGGACATAGAGGACGGACCAGCAGCACGTGCGTGGCGGCGGAAGTTGCGTGGGATCCCTGACGAGCCGGATGATGGCGGGACGTTCGACGTCGTTGTGGTCGGAGGAGGTGTCCCCGGTTGTGCAGCGGCGCTGACAGCGGCGCGGTTGGGTGAGAAGGTGGCGCTCGTGCAGAACCGGCCCTTCCTGGGCGGCAACGCGAGTGTTGAGATTGGGCTGAGCCCGAGAGGCATCCAGGGGCCTTTGGTCAGGGAGCTGATGAAGCGGGATGGCAGTGGCGACCTGGCCGCGAAGAAGCTGCTGGATGCCGAGCCCAACGCCACTGTTTTCCTGGAGCATACGGTGCACGAGGTCCATACTACCCCTGACTCTGTCATCACTTCCATCCGCGCCCGCGCCGCCCGCAGCGGCCGAGACGTCGTCATCACAGCCCCCGTCTTCATCGACTGCTCCGGCACCTGCGTCCTCGGGCTACACGCCGGCGCCGAGACGCTGTTCGGCCAGGAGTCACGCAGCGCGTACGGCGAAGGCCTCGCTCCCATCCACGGCGACAACACGCACCACGGACACACCGTCTTCTTCCGCACGCGCATGGCCGAGTCGCCCGCCCCCTTCCCCTCCGTGCCGTGGGCCACCGAGGTCGCTAAGGACTACGCCGACCTCCGCGGGCAGCTGGACGAGCCAGGCGTCGAGAACGGGCTCGGCCCCGTCGTCAGGCCGCCGGACGACGACGTCCCCAAGCGCATGCGGGGCCCGATGACGCACTTTTGGGAGTACGGGCAGCGGCTGGATCCGTATACGCATGGCGAGCACGTCCGGGACCACCTGCTGCGGGCGATCTATGGCACGTTTTCGAACGTCAAGACGCTGGAGCCGGAGAAGTATGCGAATCTGGCGCTGGACTGGGTCGCGCACGTTGCTGCGCAAGGCGAGTTTCGGCGGTACAAGGGCGATCATGTCTTGACTGAGAACGACATCAGGAGCCACAGGCACTTCGATGATGCTGTGGCGCAGAATGGCGGGCCCTTTTGTCTGCACTATCCTGGGCATGAGAAGTATGATTTTCGGTTGAAACATTGGGAGTGGGATGCCCGTGACCGGAGGCCGTATGAGGTCCCGTTTCGTTGTTTGTACTCGGTCAATGTTAAGAACTTGATGATGGCGGGCAAGCATGTCAGCGCTACGCATATTGCCAGCTCGAACACGAAGTTCATGGGGAATGGAGCGCAGCATGCTGTTGCTGCTGCGGCTGCAGCGCATTTGTGCAATAGGTACCGCACGACGCCCCGTGGGATCTATGAGAAGCATGTTCCGGAGCTAAGAGCCATTATTGCACACATTACTGGTGGGATGTGGTATGATAAGGATAGAGAGGAGCCGCTGCAGCATAAGTTATAAGTGTATTTGGTATGAAAAGTATTACTGAGAAGTAACTCAGTCTACGCACTTTCCTCTACCCTTGCAAGTGTTCCTATTGCCCTCGAGTCTATCTCCCTCGTAATCCCCAACAGTTCGCCAGTAACACTCGGCCTGCACGTCAAAGCTAGCTCTACCACTTCTGATACCGCCAACCAAAAAGAAGCCTCCAAGAGATCCCTGCCATCATGCGGGAAAGTATTGAAATTACCTTCAGGAACATCATTTGAGGACTATAGTTCTTCCTTTCGTCTCTATAATTGGTAACATACGCAGCATGTGGGAATCCGGATCGTATATCCAAGACGCGGGCTCTTTGAGATAACAGTCGCCCACGAGTTCAAAGCAGCTGGGCGACTCTTCTTCGGTCGTACCGCAAGCCCTCATGAGGTAGCTCTGCTCCCAGAAAGGCGCGAAATGCAGAAGCGCCTGGTCTCCAATCTGCATATGAGAAGGCCCAATACCACAGACAATAGGCGCCCGGATATCATCAGGATCTTCATCCATGTCGCATGTGAAAAAGCACCGTCCTTGCATGGTGATAGTCACGAGATGGAGGAATGCATTAGCCGTCGAGGTTTGATCGACGGTATCCTCAACCAGCTCTTGCAAACAGGTGGTGAAGAGCTCAGAATAGCCTTTGAGGCCGGAGTTCCAAGATTGGTTTCCATGTTTGAATATGTCAGAAATTGAATCCGAGAGCTCTTTGGGGTGCAAATCCCCAATGTGAGCCCCATCTGCCACGAGGGTTGATGCGACGATCCCTATACAATATTTCCTGGCTAGCAGTTCTGATGCGCCAGATGAGACTGTTGCTGCCCTCTTGGAGAATTGTTGCCAGACCAGTTCAAGTGTAGTCTTAATCCAGACCCTAGCCTCCGCCGGCTTGGGTTGATCAGGGAATGAGTCCCCTCTCCATGTAGCAATCATTGGCCATGCGTTAAAGCGTAACCTTGTCAATGCTAGGTGTTGACGATCATCGAAGTTACTGCACCGGTCTTCCCAGAGGTTGGACCAAGTGCGTAGGCCCCCCACACGGTTGCGTCGAAAATTAGACCCATACGAGTAGCAGTTTGTGACCGTCATAGCATCACTTCCATCCTCCTGCCGCGAATCGAAAACATTGGTAGCGTCTCCGAAGTGTTTTCCATCAGGCACAAATTGCTTTGCGTAGATCGGTCGTCGAATCGGTCGGATGCCCAGGTCGGGTACCCATGATGAAAACCCTGGAGTTCTTCTCCCACATTGGCGAATTGCTGCTTCTCGGAGTACCCAATGTAGTTGTCCGTGATCGCGCATCGAATACGCAAAATTGATGAAAACTTGTTGTGAGCTGAGTCGATAATCCGGAACGATCTTCATGCATTTTTGAAGAGTGGAGATAGCGTACACGCGATCTCGCAGGTCTGCGCAACCAAAATGCTCGAATTTCTCCAGTATATCGACGATAGCACATGGTCGATCACCGTCGCACCGTCGAGATGAGTGGCTACGCGAATGTTCCTCCCAGAGATCGCCCATGCTCAATAATGACTTCAGCCGGGCTGGTTGCTGTTCGGGCAGAGAAAATAAGACCTTGACAGTATCAACAAGGCGTACAAGAGATATTTCCTCGACTCCGCAGTACATCGTGACGTCAACGTTGACCACTGCCTCTTGAACTACCCAGAGCCTCGAGAACCACGGAAGTTCGGTCAGGCGAAGAACTGCCTCTTTCTCAGATTCCAGCTCGGCATGTGACATGGGAGGAACAATTTCGGTTTGTCGTACGCGCCGTCGAGCAAAGATACTCAACAACCTCATCCTCGTCTGGTCTTCAGCTGAATCTCCCAGCCATATGGCCACACGAAAGGCTTGTTGATAGATCCGAAACATGAGCGGAATCTGGTTGCTTTTCTCAACATCGTCTTGTTGGTTTATGCAGACAGCATCCACCCAAAACCTCCGCGTATGGTGTTGATCTCTCATGTTTCGGAGCATATTCGAGAGATTGGACGTTATGTTCATTGAGTAGAGTCCTCCGTCCGACTGGTTCGTGCTTGGCAGAATGTCCTCAATGTACAGCGTGTGCGAAAATACCGGTGCTCCCCAGGTATATGAAAGGGCGTCGTACGGGTAGTCGTCATGGTCAAGCCGAGCGATCTTGAGGCTGCTCCGGAGCGGAGCATCTTTGTCTATTGATGCTTTCAACTCCAAGATTCGAATGTAGTCATTACCAGGCAATGGTGCGTAGTTGTACGCTGGCATTTCATGTGGTTCTTCCATCGGTGTTGGGTCGGACTTGATATGTGTAATGGGTGAGCGGAATCGAAGAGTTTTACAGCTGGAGTTGCCCCGCGTGCACGTGAGTAGAGTGGGTCTGAGAGGCTGGGTACATAGACCAAATTGGAGAAGATCAGCCAGTAAAGAAAGGCACCTAGCAAATTACTATCAGAGAAAAGAGGTTCTATGTTCTTAGGGAAGGTAGTGGCTGGTCGCCCGCATCGAGCACGATTTACCATACAAGTTTCATTGCATTGTAAAAGCAGCGAAAAGCCCCACAACGAAAAGCCCCCATAAACCAACATTGACGGTTGCTGCAGCAGAAGCAGACTGGGTAGGTTGAACAGTGACCCCAGCAGCAACCTCAGTAACGGTGACCGTCCAGTACCTAACATCCGAGGCCTTGTAAGTGCCGGTCGCCTCGGTGGTCGGAGTAGCCGTCAGGGAGGACGTGCAGCTGTTGAATGCGGCCGAATTCTAAAGATCGAGGATCAGTTGACTGCTAGCTTTTCTTCCTCTTCCCCGCAGCCATATACAGTACAAACCCGACGAAAGAGAGGATCGGAAGACTCACCCACTCCCGATAATACAAGCTCTTCTGCGGCCCCGCCACATCCTCCCACCAACACCTCAACGACGGCATCACATCCGCCGGCTCCAACCCAGCCGGAATACTCGTCACATCAACCGTGCACGTCGGATCCACACTCGCCACGGGCGTCTGCTGCTGCGCCGGTGTCGCCGTCACCGCGCATCCCAGCGTCCCCGCCGCCACGCGCTCGTAATCCTCAAACGTCGTGCGCGCGGGATAGTAATCATGACCGTACGTCCAGTTGAAGGTGTAGCCGTAGTAATCGGTGCCGTAGACGATGGTGACGGGCGAGTTGGTGAACCACGGACACAGCTCGCCCGGACTGCTGCCGTTCCAGTACGCCTCCGGTTCCTGCACCGCCGACGCGCACGTGAATGCGAGGGTGGTGCGCGAGGACTGGATGTCGATGATCGAGCCGCTGACGCCGGCCGTCGGGATGACCTGCGGCGGCGCTTCTTGGCCGCCGGGGAAGGCGAAGGAGATGACGGTCGAGGTGGGTGTGGGTGTGGGTGCTGGTGCCGCTGTGCTGGCGGCGCCCGCACGGGGCCGCAGCGCGTCGTTGTTGGCTGCAGCGGGAACGCCGAAGATGTGATTTTTAGGGTGGAAGGCTCGCACGGTGCTGGCGGCGACGCCGAGGAGGAGGAGGAGGGTGGTGATATTGGCGAGCATGCTTATTAATACCTCTTGCTCTTGGCTTCTTGGTAAGTAATCTTTATTCCTGCAGCTGTCCAGGGTCGGTATGGTTGTCACCTGTTCTCAAGGCTTGGACAATTTGAAATTGGGGTAGACTCTTTACTTAATCTTTGAAGACTGGAAGATTATTAACGTAAATGTTTATAATCGGAAAATTTCTGGCTGCCTTGCTGGCAAGATCTAAATAAAACATTCATCCAAAGCCGGCTAAATTCACTGGCAAGATATGGTACGATAGGGTTTGAGATAACAGCGGAAGGATTCGCTTACAGAGCGTTACAGGAACACCAGATTTCCCGTGCCAGGATGCAAAACGAACATTCGAACAAATACCAAAAATGGCAATGCAGATGTCAAGACTGCAGGAGCCACAGATATGGGCGGCTTAGTTCCAGCACATCAAGAATACCTCTTGGCAGCTCCTAGGTTGGCTAGATATTTAAAGCCGCCATTGCCGTTCTGCCGTCTGTATGTTCGTATTGCCCAGCCCGGCTGACAGGGGCATATTCCTTCGAGGTCCGCAATAACGTCCTCTAAGAAAAGATGAACCACTAGCGCGTGGCCCCCGTTCCCGCCATCCCGCTATTCTTGGCCCCCAAAGCTTGGCTTGCATTCAGGGCATCACTCTCAAGAGATCTACAAGTGCACAAATGTGGAAATTCATGCAGCCGGGCACGCACACCATATTCTTATTCTACCTTGTTCTGGCCCCCATCCACGGGGACCACTTCGGTAACCGATGTTCATGGAGCTGAGCACGCCAAAATGGGAGTCGAACTCTCAGCTGCTTAGGACTATTAAACGAGGTCTTAATGGCCCGCAATCATTTTGTCACGTCCCCAATGCTACTTCAAATTCACTTGAACCAGTTCAAGTCGTACTGGTCCGCAATTTGCCCCTCAGCACAAAAAACCGGAGCTAGATTATCTTTTGAAAATGTCCTTTAATCCTTCTGCTGCTGCCGACTCGGACAACCTCTACGATGTGTACACTGGAACCTGGACGAACTGGGACCGAGGGGCTGTGTTTGGTGCTACACTCACCTTAGAGCGCTCAGAAGGCACTCTACTTATTGCATTCGTGGCATTCTTTGTCACTATTGTCGGAGCTCGTGCCTGGAGAGTAGTATGCTTTGCTCTACACCAAGCGCTCTCGTCCACGAGAGCTCACGATGGCCTTTATCATCAGCGTCAGGCCACCCTACGAAACTCGTTCAGCCCAGCCTCTGGCCTCATTTCTCTTATCCAACTCTCATGGGCATGGCGACGACGAATCTCCAAGAGCTGGAATCGCTTGGCTATTCCAATCACATTTGCAGTCCTCTTTGCGGTAGCCTTTACCGTAGCAAGTGGCTTCTCCTCCAGGGTTGCTACTGGAACACAGGTCTTGCTTTCAAGTCCACGCTGTGGTGTCCTGGATCCTCCCGCTGTCTTCAGCAATTACACCGCTTACCAGCTTATATCCATGCCGTATTACACCAAACAGATGAAGAATGCAGCAAACTATGTTCAGCAATGCTATTCTCCCGAGGCATCTGGCAAGCTGGGTTGCAACACGTTTGTCAAGAAGCGCCTACAAATGGGTACAACAGTCAATGCCAGCTGCCCTTTCAGCGGAGGCATCTGCCGTCGCGACAATCAAACTCTCCTCCTGGATACTGGATACCTGGACAGCCATGAAGACTTTGGCCTCAACGCACCTGCTGAAGAAAGGTTTCAGTACAGATCGCTACTTCACTGCTCGCCCTTGGTAACAGAAGGATACAAGTCTGTTCGGAACTTAAGTAATGACAGATCCTATACAAGGTATCACTATGGACAATTCGACTTTGCCAACTATACGTACGAGTATACGAATGATGCTGTTTGGGAGGCGAAACAGATTCGTTTCCGGCCCGACACCATAGAATACGACATTGGGTGAGTTATATGCCACCTTCATACGTGCTCACAGCACTACTTACCAAATTCTGACTTGATGAATCAACACAGAGCTAGATTCGCTTGGTACAGAAACGGATCTCTCGCTTCTCAGTCCGTCTTCAACCCAATTCCCAATCTTGTGCGTACGGATTCCGATGTCTTGTTGTTCTTCCTGTCAGCCGGCTCCATCTTCTTCACCAAACCGACATCCGACGACTGGTACCGAGCGACTCGACTAGTAGACGTGGCGCGCAGAGCCGAGGCCTCGAACGACACGAGCGAAAATCCAACAATTGACATTTTTGCACAAGACGAGGCAGCGTCCCCGATGGCCTGCGTAAGTCAAGAGCAATACTGCAATCCCAACCTGCCGGAGGGAAGCCGATGCGGACCACTCAGCAGCAGACTGGATTCGTGGTACAGCAGCTATCCGGTCCTGTTTCCAGAGCAAGCAATGCAAGATCGGGTCAAGTGGTTCTGGGACGCAACTCTCACTGTTGATAACGCCGTGGCCTACCTGGGGTCTCAGTCCCTGATGTCCAGGAACAGCCTCAGCGGCGGTGCGCAGGGCCCTCTTCCAGACAATCAGTGGCATTTAGACGTACAGCATTGGTTTGAGACGCGTTTGGCATATATGCAGGCGTATATGGTTGATCTTGCAACCGGACCTTCGGACGTCTCACTTCAGCAATACGTTGTGAAACCAAACAGCACGGGCGAACAGTCGATATGTCATAATCAGGTTTGCACCCCGCTCACCCTCTGTACCCCGGCTGAAGCTAACTTGCATCTATCAGAAAATCCTCAGCACTGCACACATCTCTTTCAGCCTTTTCGGCCTATACTTCATCTTCTGTCTTGGAAGCTTCATCATCGTCGTATCGTACATCATCGAGCCCGTCCTTGGCTGGCTGCAGAAGCGCCACCACCGCGGCGAGTACCAGCGACTGGAATGGTGCGCCAACGAGACACTGCAGCTTCAGAGACTCGCACACGAGGGCATTGGCTTCGGCACATGGTCTCACGCCATCGATGTTGTTCCTGTGACGAAGCGCGGTGAGCTCTTGGCCGTGCTGGACTTGGAAAATCCGGAACACCCGAGGCTCAAAGCCCCGGTATTGGGCACGGTGGAAGATGTGAGCCCGGCGTCTGGAGATATCGAGTCTCGTTCGGCAGTGGAAGTGGCGCACAGTGATAGCATAGGAAGCGGGACGTTGCAGGATGAGGGATCGAACATGGAGATTGTAGGAAAGGAAGGAAAGGATCATATCACTGTGATTTCTGAGAAGCCCACGAGAACACAGACATTTTAAACCGCTGCAATGCGGCAGGTGATGGAGTTATGGGTTACGACTTACGGTTTTTCTCTTTTTTTATTTTCAAAGTCCTTTAGTACGGTTGTTAGATCTTGACTTGCTTTTAATCAAACATGATATTGTCTATGCCTAAAGTCGAAGCGCTTTTCCGAACTAAGCCGAGAGCCATTATACTACAAAATGTGTGTTCGCGAGGAGGACCGATCTTGCTCCACGCTGTATGGAGACATTTCAAATTCTTCTACAGACACAGACCCTGCCCTTTGACTGATTTGGGTAACAGAGCTCTCCTCCCGCATAGATTCCGTACTGGCCGAGTCCCGAGCTCGAAGAGACTTTCTTTGCAGCACTCGGTAGCCCGAGTTCGATGATCCATTCGGCCCGTAGAGTATCCCAACCGCTGGAATGTTGCTGTAATCTTCCTCCAGTTGGGACTTTTTGTCCGCTCCAGGATCCTGATAAACCTCGGTTGGATCCGTCAGCAAACACGTCGAGACAAAGCATCCCACCGGCTTGCCCTCACAACGAGACTGCACAAAGGCGAGCAAGACCCCAGAGACTGACAACAGCAGCTGCATAGCCATCCACGCATAGATGCGATTAGATGACACCCGAGCTTGGACAGAAGTCACAGGGAGCTCTACGGTTGTTTCTGCCTGATCAACCTCGAAATAATCGTTTAGAGCGTTCCAAGAAGCCTGGAACCCGGCCGACCAAGACCCAGCGACATGTCCGTCAAGATTGTCCCAAGTACGGCCATTCATTGCGTTCATATCGGTCAATGCGAACATGATCTCCGGCTGAATTCGGAAGGCCAGGTCGACGAGCGGATCGGGGCGCACCTTTGTTGTGTGGAAGTCTTGTTTTTGCTGCATGATACCCCCGGGTGCGAGAGAGCATTGGCGGCACTCTGTAACGCCAGCGAGCACGGTTATGTTGGCGAACAGATAGCAGTTCTCGGCAACGTGGTCGGCGATCGTGTTCCAAATCCCGTCTCTTCTCTGTTTCTTGTCCGGAAGCTTTCCATATGTATAACTCTCTGATGAGCAATTGCCGATCTTTGGTTCGTTTTCTCGCCGATTGACCAGCAGACCCATCGTGTACGTCTTGTTTATAATTGCAGGCTCCGGCCAGGTGTCCAGGTCACCTATCTGGACTCGCAGATCCCAATCCAAAATGGCTGCTTCGGAGGGAATGAAGCGGGCTAAGATATTTAGCGGTTGTGATTTCGGGTCGACATTGGTGAAGGAACCGAGCGATCTTGATTCATTGAAGAATTGATCGAATCTGTCTTCATAGTCGATCCAAGTGATGTTGGTAATGCGAAAATACGGAAGTGTGGCATTCCTGATCTTGGTCCCCTCCGGTAGTGCTTGCAACTCATGGCCCTTTTCTGTAGAGTTTGCTGGAAGGTCTACGCGCCGGCGCGACGATGCGGGATAGTCAAGACTTGAGTTGTAGAAGGACGCAGGGAACCCGTAGAGCACGGCATTACCTTGCGCCCTCTGCTTGACGGTGTCACGGTTCAACTTGTAGTTATTGAACCAGTCAGACTCACGTGATAGACCAGGAACGGGCATTGTGATACTGAAATCGGCGGGTCTGAAAGTGCGATAGGGTATCCAGGAGACGGCGCCGGACGCGAGTGGTGCGCTCCATTGAGCGGGCAAGAGGAGAATTATGACGCCCCCGCAGCATATCTGGTACATCTTTCTCCCGAATGGGGCTATGCCGAACGAGAAAAGACGGTTGATCGAAGTGAAGGTCATACCGTGTTGCTCTAGGAGGATGAACATGCATCTCTGTGCAGCAAGGACTGCGCAGCTTGCAGTCGCCCATCGCACAAGAACAAGGCCGACAGAAATGAGCGTCGTAATATCTGACTGGTATAGCTCACCGTGCTGGCGAGAATGCCGCACCAGATCGATCTCGTCACCGTTGTCGGTCCGAAAGGTTTTCCCATCCAGGTAGAACAGTGTGGTCATTGCGAAAATAAATGTAAGTACCAAATGTAAAGGGAAAATATACCACTCGAATACCCTTTCCATCGAAAGAACTTTGCCGGGGACCCAAGAATTTTTTACATTCCGGAGGCGTTGGTACTCTCTAGATGTTGGCTGATCAGAACTCGATCGCGTCTTTGGAAAACGCATGGCAATAAAAACTTGTGAAATCGCAGAGATGTGCAAGAGTTGGAAGATGATGCAGGAAGCAATGGACCCGTTCTTTATACCACATCAATATGGGGGCGAAATGCATGCATGCCTGCATTCGTAAAACTTGGCTTCGAACTGATGCAACTAAATCCGTATGCGTGACCTGTACCTACGCCCGCGCCTGTTTTTGTTACTTGAAAAAGCATTTGTTCCGATGTTTGTGGATTCTGACTGGTATACACGAGTGGCGCCATCAAATTCGTCGATCGCATGCAGGCTTGTTTTGGTCTAATTCGCCAAAATAAGCTCCACATGCTAGCATTATCAGGACTATAGCAAGTGGACTTGGTTGGCGAAATGGTACAACATAGATAAACGGTCCAAAGGTGGTGGATGATCGGTCGTATATAGTTGCAACATAATAACCATAACGTGTTGAAGAGCCATGTTTTCCAGAACCTTTCTCGCAGATTAAGTGGCTAATTTTGCTCTAAACTTAATTCAGACGATGATGACGTTTGGTGGATTGTATTTGTGGGCACGTTTCATCAATAATGGGTGTGAGACAGCAACAGCTGATTTGTCCCAACTTCGGGGGTGCATCCGTAAACAATGCCAAGCTGTACCTAGGCAACAACTTCTGACTTGATCGACAACAGGAATCGGCAGGTCTGCCGCATATCACAAGCCGTGTCAAATGGCAGCATACTCCCTCATTTTGACCTCGTTTTCTTATTCACGATTGGGCAAAAAAAGAAAAAAAAGGAAGAAGAAAAAAAGAAGCTTGCTACAAAAATTCTCAACTTGGCGAGCCGTTCATTGGCAATTGATGCCTGAGGTCTTACTGCCTGGTTATGTTGGATAGATACCGACCAATCAGCTGGAATGCCACAGTACGTAGTGGAAGTGTTCGCAGTCCGCTTGGAACTTTTTAAGGAGACGTACAAAGAGCACACAATCTGGACGAGCATAATGTATTAGCGGATCGCGCGTTGTAGTTAAATATGTCACTTCGGAATGCCTATGGTTTACGTGAGGAAGTGTGCTGACATAAGCATCGCCGCACCAACAGCAATGTCCCATTTCTCTTAGCGCGATATCAAGACGGCGGCTGCTTGCTTCAAAAATCTTCTTGCGCAACCTTCGCTATCAAGAGATGTCTCTCCAACTGAGAGCCACCTCGGTCGTGCGCCGAGCATGCTCAGCAGCGGCCATGCAGCGGACGGTCTGCACCGCCTTGCGGCATGTGCATCATCAGCTCACGCTGCCGCCGAAGTCGCGCTTTCACGCCGGTATCAGGGCATCGTCCAGCATCGCATCGAGCGCAGCAAGCAGCACCCGGTCAGAATTCAAAGCAGAGAGAAATGGACGAGGAAGAAGGCGAAGAATCCAAAGGAGAAGCATGCGCGCAAAGAGGAGGAATTAAAGAAAAAGATGCTCAACGAGGAGCTGCGAAACCCAAGGGTGCTGGACCGATTCCTCGACCAGAGCGAATGGGCGGGAAGGCTGTATCCGGAGCGGCCGCGAGATGCGTCTGGCAACCCATTACCTCTGACCGACGAGCAGCAGGCCATCATGAAACTGGTCGTCAAGGACGAGCAGAACGTCTTCTTTACCGGGCCCGCTGGCTCTGGCAAGTCCATGCTGTTGCGAGAGCTAATCGTTGCACTCGAGGAGAAATACCCTACGAGACCGAACCGCGTCCAGGTTTGTGTGCTTACTGGCTTGGTCAAAGAGCAAGCATGGGGGAAGAATTTAGAGGAAGCCAGGGCTGTTGTTCTCGACCGCATTTCGATGATGAGACCGGGTGATTTTGTCCAATTGGAGCGAGATGCGCGGAGGATACGCAAAAACAACAGACCGTTCGGCGGCCTGCAAATCGTGGCTACTGGGGACTTTGCTCAACAACTACGTGACCCGAACCCGAAAGAGCAACATCCCGAACCGAAAAGTAGGTATGGAGCATTCTGTTTCGAAGCCCCCACTTGGCCCCTCATCAAGCATCAAGTGTCCTTGTCCCACGTCTTCCGCCAAAAGGATCCAGACTTGGTCAGAATGCTCAACGAGACCCGAGAAGGCCGCGTCTCAAAACGCACCATCGCCACGCTGGAAAGACTGAACCGGCCGCTGATAAAATGGCATGGCCTAGAGCCAACGGCCCTTTCGTCGTCCCCAGAAGAAGTCAATGAAGTGAACAGGACCCGGATGGACCGACTCCAAGGAAAGGGATACACGTACCGCGCCCTTTCCTACCACGGCCAAGATTTTTCACGGGCTCGGCATAGACTGTCCCGTCAGTGTATTGTTCCAAACTCGCTACAACTAAAGCTACAAGCACAAGTGATGCTCACAAAGAACCTCTCCGACCCTCGCCTGACCATCGGAACCATTGGCAAAGTCGTATCATTCCACCCCACCGGCCAGGGGGACATTCCTCGACCGAAGGTCCGCTTCGTGCTTCTGGACGGCAGCACCGTAGACCACATATGCACCGAGGAGACGTGGAAGGCCGATTGCTACGTGCCGGGCCAGGGCCGGAAGATTCTCGCCAGCAAGACGCAAATCCCGCTCATCCCCGCCTGGGCTCTGACCGTCTCCGCGGCGCAAGGCCTGACGCTCCCGCGCGTCAAAGTCGATCTGGCGCAGACGTTCAAGGAGGGCGAGCTCTACGCCGCGCTGTCCCGCGCGCCCGGCACACAGCACCTCCAACTCGCCAACTACACCAAGCCCAAAGGCAGCCCGAGCACGCTGATCCAGGCCTTCCACCAGTTGCTGCGGTCACTGCAACAACCCCCGCCCCCGCCCTCGCCCCCACCGCTCACCCAACAACCCCTACTACGCGTCCCCGTCACAACTTCGACCGACCCCCCCTCCTCTCCCGCGCCAGATACTCCTTAACCTCCACCTTCTCCGGCGGCACCACCTCCCGCGGCGCCCCCGTGTTTCTGTCGCCGCTCTCCCGGTGCGGCGGCGGCTTCACGCCCCACTCGGGAATGACGCGCAAGCCCGCCGTCGTGCACTCCAGCACCGTCCCGCCGCCGTATTCGCCCCGCTCCGCCAGCCGCACCGCCGCCTGCGCCACGACGGCCGGCTCCAGGATGACGCTGGCCGGGTAGGCAAAGTCCTTCAGAAGATTCGTCTGCCCCCCGTTCTTCCCGCCCTCGCTGCTCGCTGGGCTCGCGTTGCTCGCTTCGCTCGCTCCGGGCGTCCACAACGGCGTCCGCACCACGCCGGGGCACAGCGCGACGACCTTGACGCCCTCTTCCGCGTCGGCCTTGCGCATCGATTTCGCGAAGCCGACGACGGCGTGCTTGGACGCCGTGTACAGCGGCACGGCGTAGGTGCCGGCGTAGCCGGCGATGGAGGAGACGAGGAGGACGACGCCGCGCTTGTTTGAGCGGAGGAAGGCGCGCAGCGCGATGCGGGTGAGTTTGAGCGGGGCCGTCACGTTGACGGCGAGGGTGGTGTACGAGTCCGTTTCGGTGTCGGTCCAGAAGTTGGAAGTGGCCTTTTTTTGTGAGGAATCTGTTAGTGATTGGGGGCTTTATGAGATGGTGGGGGAGGGGATGGATGTAGTGGAGGGAAGAAAAGGCAGACGTCTACTCACCGGCTCGAATACTCCTGCTGACGCCATGTACACGTCCGGAACCTCTCCCCACTTCTGCTCCGCGACCTCAACCAGCCTCTCCAGATCTGCCCGCTTGGTCACGTCGCATCTCTGGAACACTAGGTCTTTCTCATCCTGGCTCTTTACGAACGCTTCGGCCTGCTCATTGAGCTTCAGGTCGGCAACGACCACCTTGGAACCAATGGAGGCGGCGAGCTTGACGATTTCGAAACCGATGCCTGCGCCGGTTGTTAGTCATCGGGCTCGAGATACAATAGTTCGGCCTCTGCTGTATTCCCGCCGTCCTGAGCAGATTGCGATTATCCTCGCCCTTTCGTAAAACAAGCTCGCGAATAAGCAGAAATGCGGGGAAAAGCACTCACCGGACCCGCCTCCAGTAACGACGACGATCTTGCCCTTCAATGGGAAATCGCCGACCTCCATGATTGCGAGATTAATTGTTTCTCTCTTTTCCTTCCTTTTCCCTTCTCTTCTCCTAGCTCTTGAAGCGTATTCTTTTGAAACCGGTTCGTAATACCCTTTCGAATATCCCACGATGCTCTAGAGGAAGCGATTAAGGCTGTGGCATAAGCTGTCGTAACGTCGTACAAAAGCCAGCCCCGCTGTGTTGTTCCACGAGCATCTGAAGCCCTGCGGTACCGCATGCCTATATATACATGCCACACACACGCCATCACCCTGGCGCCAATGTGGGTGGGGTGCAACAATACTGCTGTGCCGCATATGAGGCGTGAATGGCTGATTCAAGAAAAGCCGTCAGCAGTTAGACTGCTCCGCGGAGGCGGCAAGTGCGGGTCGGGAAGAGGTGTCGTTGGTGCTTTTTTACCGCGGCTTCTCCACTCCGCGGAGCGGGGGTAGATGTGACCCGAAGAGGCGGCCAATGAGAAGGCGTCCTGCATCGTGACCTTGAGTCAAGAAGCCACCACCTCAACCCACCAATTGCCGAATATCTTCGTGAATCCTTGTGATCAGCTCGCATCCTTGTCAGCTGTGGCTCCGCGAAAGGAAGGGAAATAAATGAAGTATTGTCTCCGGCCTCAGAAAAACACTTTTCGAATTTTTTTGGTCTCTCGTCTACACTTCCCAACGGTCCGAAAAGAATAATAAAAAAGCCGTCGTGGTGGTTCTCGATATTCCTCTCGTTCAAAATACTTAAGCCCCCGACATCACAAAGTCCGTTCGTCTCCCGTACTCATCAACCGTAAATGGGGTAAATATTTTTTTGCTCACAAGCCGCATTCAAAAACGCCTCGTAGAATGCCCGTCTCTTACCGTGGTTCGAATTTAAGCCTCGTCTTCCGTGATGAGCTTCGTAATCTTGCCAATGGCAATTGTTTGACCCTGGATATCGTGTTAGAAAATCAAGCCTAGCGAGAACCATTTGCGGCCGTGAGAATGCTTACCTGATCTCTGAGGGTGAAACGACCCATCTGCGGGTAGTCCTCGAATCTCTCAACGCAAACGCTGCCGGCAGCACCGGTGATGGACAGGCGGGCAATGATGCTCATGCCCTTGGTGGCGAAGCCCGGCGGCCTCTTGCTCTTCCTGCCCGTGCCCTTCTCGAGCTTGTGCAGCAGCGCGTCGAACGTGACCTCTTCCGTTGCCGAGTGGACGTGCAGCACGCAGTTGAAGCCGGCCGACAGGATTGACTTGAGCTCAAGCAGCACAATCTGCGCCTCGAACTTCTTGACGCAGTGGACCGGACGCTTGGGCGAGCAGAGCACGAAGCCGGGGAGGATGTCTTCTTCTTCGATGCCCCTGAGGCGGATGCGGACCTGGTCACCGCAGGTCGCGGCCTGGATTTCGTCTTCCGTCTCGCCATACAGAGCAGAGATGCCCACGGTCTCGCGGTTGGGCATCATGAGGTAGTTGACGCCCTTCTTGATCACACCGGCTTCGATCTTGCCCTCGACCATCGTACCCATATCCCTGTACTTGGCGGCAATGGGCATCATGAAGGGGGCGTTGAGCTTGCGCTCGAGGGTCTTCATGTTGTCCAAGAACTCCAAAAGCGAGGGGCCGTCGTACCACGGGCAAATGTCCTTCGGAATCCGGTCCTTGATACCCTTCATGGTCTGTGCAGAGACGGGCATGAAAGTGAGATCTAAATCATTTCGTCAGCACAGGAATACACAGAAAAGACAGTTAAGAATTCACGCACCAGTCTTGGGGTTGTAACCAACACCCTTGAGGAACTGGGTGAGCTTGGTAGTGCACTCCTTGTAGCGGTCCTCGCTCCACTCGACGGTCGGGTCGTCCATCTTGTTAACGACGACACAGAGCTTGTTGACACCCTGGGTCTTGGCAAGCACGGCGTGCTCTCTCGTCTGGCCACCCTTCTCGAAACCAGTCTCGTACTCGCCCTTACGTGCCGAAATGACCAGGACACCGACATCGGCCTGCGAGGCACCTCCGATCATGTTGGGGACGTACGTCTTGTGGCCAGGAGCATCCAGAATACTGTAGCGGCGCGTCTCGGTCTCGAAGAAACCCCTTCCGACTTCGACCGTCTTACCCTTCGAACGCTCCTCCTTGGTCAGATCCAGAGCCCACGACAGGTACCAAGTCTCACGACCAGCCTCCTTAGCCTCGCGCTTGTACTTGTCCATTGTCCGCTCGTCGACCATTCCGGTAGCGTAGAGGATGGAACCACCGAGGGTGGACTTGCCGGCATCGACGTGGCCCAAGAAAATGACGTTGACGTGCTCCTTGCCGTACATCTCGGCCAGCGTGTCCTCATCGACATCGGCGGCCTGCTCCTGGGCGACCAGGTCGGCCTGCTGCTTGGCGGCCTTCACATCCGAGGCGCGGGTAGGGCTGTTCCTGCCGGAGGAGGGAGTGGGTGAAGCCCTGCCACTGCCGCTGGCGGCGGCGGCGGCGGGGCCGGCAGTCTCGCCAGTCTTTTCAATGGCCTTGGCGGCGGTGACCTTCTTGCCAGCCTGGGGAGCACCCTGGTCCTTGTTGGCGGCATCCTTGGCGGCCGAGGGAGGAGCGGAGCCGCCAATGCTAAGCACCTTTGTAGCGCCGGCCTTCTCGACCTTGGGCGAGTCGCCACCAATGCTCAGAACCTTGGTGCCGCCGGCGGATTCGACCTTGGTGGAGCCGTCGCCGCCGATGGAGAGAGTCTTGGGTGCCGCCTTGGGCGAGCTGGCGGCGGGAGCAGCTGCAGGCGCCGCGGGGGCTGCTGCCTGGAGATCATCGCCGCGCTTGGCAATCTTCGGAGTCTGGCGCGGCTGCTGCTGCTGCTGTTGTTGAGGCTGGAAGTTCTGCTGGGGGAATCCGCCATAGCCCTGCTGGGGGTAGTTATAGCCCTGTTGGCCGTAGCCGTACTGGCCGTATTGCTGCTGCTGGCCGTACTGGGGGTAGCCACCGCCGTAGTATTGTCCGTACTGGTTGTAGCCACCGCCGTACTGGTAGGGCTGGCCCGGGGTGAAGGCGGCGGCGCCAGGAGTGAAGGATGCGGCGCCGGGGGTGAAGGTGGGAGCGCGAGCGGAGTTCAGGTTCATCTGCTGCTGGGCCTGCTGGGCGAGGCTCTCGTCCTGGGCATCCTTGTCGTCCTCCCACGAGTTGAGGTCAGCCATTTTGACGTTGTGTGTGGCGCGATACGGGCGGGGGTCGCGGAGGTGGGTATGTAGTGCTGGCGGAGGCGCAGCAGCGAGGGCAGAGTCCTATATAGGCGGCCCGCGGGTTGGAAGTGGAATTTGGGGAATGGGTGGGCGGGTGGTCCAGCAGCAAAAGGCTTGATCTTGGGCGGCCATTTCAAGTGGTGGGGCACAAATCGATGCGCACAGACCACCTCTTAGGCTCTCCGGCGGCGGCTGCCTCTCCTTCCAAATCCCTCGCCGGGCACCAATGACGTGCATGCACAGGGCTGAGTCGAACTTTGGAGTCATAAAGCCCAGTTTTCGTGGGCGGCGCCTTGTGATTCACGTCAGCTCCTGACCGGCCCGCCCCCGCTGCCGCGTCTTATTGTTACCCAATTCTCGAACCCTCCGCGCTTTGCCCGTTTGTCGTTGCCTCTGCGCGCGATCCACTACAACCACCGCCCATCATGGATATTCTGCTGTCCAAGGTATGTGTTGCTGCTCCGAGACAGTTCCTGCGCCGCTGAAACCCCGATCGTCCATCGTGGCTTCATATTACCTCACTCCATTATCACGGGCGTCTGCAGTGCTACCATGATCAAGATCTGACATTTGACAGGTTACGCAGCAGGCGATGAACTATGCCATCAGATCTGGCATAGTCATCACCAGCAGCTATGCTATGAAGCAGTGCTCCCGCCTCATCAAGGTTCGTCCCCTAGTCGCCGTTGCGTCCAAACTTGGCTGATCCTTGTAGTCAGTGGATAATAGCACCGAGAAGCAGGAGCTGGCAGATCTGCAGCTACGCTTGGAGAGCAAGATCAGGGTATGAACACCAAATCTCAGCCTCTCTGAGTTGATGCGCTAATATTCTGGCAGATCATCTCGCCGGCTATTGATATGATAGAGCTTATCTCCGCCCGCGGCAACACCTCACTTGAATCTGCTGTCATCCTAACCAAATCCCTCCGTTGGGACATTCAGTCTCTCGGGGTCCGCCTAGCTAAAGCAGCCGGTGAGGAAGAACTTCAGCGCAGAGGGAGTTCCCGTGCCAAGCCGAAAGCCGACAATGAGCTAGAGGTGAAGTTCATCATTTCCGACATCAAAAAGCTGCTCGCCCGCATCGAAGATGCAGTGCCTCTCATCAACCTGGCCATCACTACCTCCGGTGCCAACCTATCCAGTTCGCTGCCTTCTACAGTTTCTCCTTCCAGGTTACTGCAGGCAAGCACTTTCCTAACTGCAGGAGACACCCAGTATTCCATGAACCCCACCGGCGCGCAACAAATTGGCCCGGCTTTCACCCTTTCTATGTACATGCTATTTGCTGGTCACATACGTCCTCAAGACGAAGAAGGAATCAGGGACACGACGTGGAAGGAGGTCATCCACAAGGCACGTGTGAAGCTCATGAGGGTTCCACTCGACAGCATCCAGGACTTCACTCCCTCGAACAGTTCCCACGCCCATAGGAGCATACCGGCCGCCGAAGGTAAAGCCTATGAGTTTGCCTACCAGCTTCTCATCATTGAAGACCTGGACGATGATCGCGTCCACACGTTCGAGGAGGGTGAGCTGCAGCCGGGGCCATTCGAAGACGTCGCCAGAGCAGGCATCCGCGAGATCATCCCCATCCACCAGGTTTCGAAGATTTTCTACGCCGACACCGGAAAGATCCTCAACATCGGAACAGACGGCGAGACCAACAACCCAATATTGCTCCTGAAGCGTGATGTCAACGCAATACCGCCGCGCCGCATGATGGAGCGACAGGCCGCGGAGCATTGGTACGACGACTATGAAGAGGAAGAATCACAGGACGTGAGGGAAGAATCAGCACCTGCCGCACCCACAGAGGACGATCAGTCGGAAGTCGATGCGCAGCTGTTTCGCGAGTCCTCTCGAGCCCCGGAACCAGAGCCGCAACACGGCACTGAGCACTACGACGACGAGACGACGCAACCATGGCGGCTTCCTCTCAACCTCGACCCTGAGTGGGTCGCCTTCGAGGTTTACGTCGAGGAATCCGACTCCGAGGATGAAGACGACACGACCGAACCGACACAACCTCCTTCATCAACCTCCCCACCCGGCGCTACTCCGTCCTCGCGCTCCGCCTCCCTCGACCCCCGCCTGACGACCGGCCTCACGAACCTCAACCTTCGCACGCCCTCGCCGGCCCCTTACCACTCCTCACCACCAGTCCCGGGAACCGCGTTACAAACCCGCCCAACATATTACTCCCCGGCCCCGACCTTCTCCCCACCACCTGCACCCACCTCCCTCCCAGCCATCCGCACCTCCCTCTCTCTCCTCGAAATGCTGGTCCGCCTCACCGCGCTCCAGCAATTCCAACAATCCTCGCACCTCGCCATCCCAGACGAACTCCTCACCTTCTTCCTGTCCGAGTCCGCCTCAACCGTCGGCGCCGGCAGCGACGCAGACCTACGCCGACGCGTACGCCGCGACGCCGTGAGGCGCGTCGGCTTCGACCCGTACGACGAGAGCCCAATCAAGCGGCGAGGCGAGGAGTATCTGGAGCGGGAGATGCACGCTGGCGGGAGCCAGTACGACGGGGAGGAGAGAGAAGGAACTCCGTACGCGCTGCAGGAGGGCGGCGAAGGGGACGACCGGTACTACGACGACAGCGGCGCGGAACAGTACCAACAGCAGCAGCAGCGCTATTACCGCGAGGACTCGTCGCCGACCGTCCGGCACCTCGACGCCAGCAGGCATCCGCAGCCGCACTTGCACCACCCCCACCGCCGCGTCGAGGCAGGCGCGCGGGCGGCGTTCGCAAACAGCACCGGCTCCGGCAGCGGCAGCGGTGGCAACAGCAGCAGCAGTCCCCTCCGCGACCGTCAGTACTACGCCAGCTCTTCCCCGCTGCTGCCGACGCATCGGGACGTGCCCATTCCGAGCCGCGAGACGAGCGCGCAGCCCAGCCCGTTGCTAAGGAAGGCGACGGATCGGGGCGGTAGTGGTGGTGGTAATGGCGGTGGAAGGTTGAGCGTTGGGGAGAGGAGGAGGCAGAATCGGCAAGAGACGCCGCGGGAGGAGAGGTAGAGGAGTTAGGCGAAAAAGAAGAAGGGGGTGAAGAATGTGAGAGGGTATTCCGAGGTTTAGCGGATTGCTGTTGAGGGCGAAGAGGCGCATGAAAGCGGAAGGCATTTTGTGAAAAAGCAGATGGGGTCTTCCGTTTTGCGGGATTAGCCTTTTGATATTTTCTTCTTCTGGCAGTTTTGCCACATACTTTCACGGCCGCGGAACGAAGGGGTGTTGCACGAAAAGATAAGATGGTTATTGCACAGCGAGAAATTATTATAAACTCGGTCAAACACAGCTAGAGATAGATACCCAAGCCTGCCCTCCCAATAGCACACATTTCACGAACAGTCGTCAACGAAATAACAACAAGGATTATACACAACTATCAGCCTGACGTGCCGTCGGGGGAATGAACATCAGCTCAATCGTCCTACGCACCGACCTTTCGGAAAATCATTACTGCAGTAAAGCGTACTTCCTACATTACAAAAACGCATGAAACCATACACCCTCGTACCAACTGCTCGCTTTATTCGACATCCCAGGATCCGTAACGATATCATCAAGATGGACAAATACCATTCAATTTATGCTCAAACCCCACCAAGGAAGCCCATGCGAACAGCACGTATCGCGAACATCCAGTCAGTAAGGGGGTAAAGGGAAACACGCATTGCAAGTAGAGCACAGAACGCATGACCAAAAAGCATAGTTGGAAGAACGGATAGTCAGCAACCAATGAAATCATGTTGACGGTAGGCAATGATTTCATCCAGTCACTCCCAGTCTTCATCGCTGTCGTCGGCGGCCGGGTTCTTCTTCTCCTCCTTGGGGCTGCCGGGCGTCTTGCTGGTGGCGCCGCTGACCAGGTCGTAGCTGGCGTCGCTGTCGGCTTGCGAGCGCTCGTCGCTGTTGCGGAGCTTCGATGCCGTGTCCTTGTCGGGAGTGATGGCCTTCGCGCCGGCGTCGGTGGGCTTGAGGGTGCCTTGCGAGGTGGCGAGCGGGTTAGGGGTAGACGTCTTAGAGGAGGAGCGGTCGGCCTCCTCGTCCTCCGAGTCGTCGTCCCAGCCGACTTCTTCGCCAGCGCCAGAGGCGGACGCTATTGCGGCAATCTGTTAGCAATGCCAAGGTGTTCTAATCTCCGAGGTGGAAATTCTTACCCTTCAGCATCTCCCTCCTCCGCTGCTCCTCGCTCTCGATGACATGCCTCAGGAAATAGTATCGAGTCCAGAAAGGCTTGTACTCGACCTTCTCCGGGACCAGCGCCTCCATCGACGTCCGCAGCTCTGGGTACTTCTCCAGATCCTTGGCAATATCCGCGGTCTTCTTGTCGATATCAAACTGCTTGGTCCAGCCCTCCCACTCAGGGCTCTCCGGGTCCTTCAAGAAGCTATCAAGAGACACATGAATGACGTGCAGCTGGGCATCGAAGCGGGTCGTGTGAATCACGCGCTTGCCCTGCGCATCCTTGCTCTCGAAGAGCACCTTCGTCGAAGACTGCGAATCGTCCTCCGGGCCGGTGATGGTGACGGCCTCGCGCAGGTAGTTGCGGATGTTGGTGCCGAAGCGCAGCAGGGCCTCGTCGGCGGCGTCCTCGGCCTTCTGGATGTCCTTCAGGCGCTCGGCGCCCAGGCCGCGCAGCCGCGACAGCATGCCCTCGGCCTCCTTGACGATGTCGGCCGGCAGCGACTCGGCGCGCTCCTCACCGCCGCTCGCGGCCGCGCTCTTCTCCGGGGCGACGGGCGCATTGACCTCAATCGTATTACCATCCTTGTCGGTGATGATTGTTTTCTTGGTGTTGGCATCGGCCGCGGAGGCAGCGGCGTCGTCGGCGGGGATCTGCGGCAGCGAGCTCGAGATGTTGCGGGTGTGCGAGAGCACCGTGGTGCGGAGATCCGTCAGGCCTTTTCCGGCCTGCTCGAGCGCGGGCGCCGACTGCTGGCGCGCGGTTTCGTAGTAGGACTCGCCCTGTTCGGCGGGTATTGAGCCCCGCGGAGGTTAGCAATTATGGTCGGGTGCCGGCAGCAAGCCGTGGGCGTGTGGAGGAGCGTGCCTGCTTCTTGACCGTGCCCCACAAGCCGCCGATGCGAGCGGCCCAGGGGCTGTTGCTGATGGCCTTGTAGGCCTCCTGGACCTCGGTATTGAAGTCTTTGGACTGCTCCTGCGACGCGCCGCTGGCCTGGGCGGGCTTGTCGCGGCGCTCGTCGTCGGGGAAGGTTTCCTCCTGGATGTGGTCGTAGGCGACATCCATGCTGGGCCGGAGCGGGGCAGCGCGCAGCTACCTGTGGCGGGCGAGGTGGGGTGGCGGATGCGGCGCTCTAGGACGTAGGCTGGATGCGAGAGGTTTGTGGAGGCGTTGCGCAGCGTGCTGGCTCGGCCGTGTCGGTGGTTGGTGCTCGTCCCTGACGCGCGTGTGGAGCTTCTCTGGTGATGTCCGCCTGTGCTGCGGCTCTTCCCGCCGCGACGCCGCATTCAGCAACCGGTGCCGCTGCAATTTCAGAGCCAAGACGTGCTGATGCAAATATGTGCGCAATGCTGCGCGCTATCTATTAGAGCTTCTATATGCCCATCCAAGCGCCGTCTATGCCCTTCGTAGTACTCCGTCAACGCCATATCATGCAAGCAGCTCCTTTTTAGCGCCTCTTCTTGCCGACAACCTTAGTAAATCCATCCTCGTCGACCTCGGGCTCGACCTTTTCCTTGGGCGGTGCCGGCACTAGCTGTGGCGCCTCACCCATGTCCATATCGTCGTCGTCCTCGTAGTCGTCATCATCGTCGTCGCTGCCGCTGGCGTCTTGGGTGCCCTCCTGAACGACCTCGACGTTGGCCAGGTTGGGGCCCTTGCCCCTGCGCTTTCGCCATCTGTGCTCCATGGCGTCGACCGTTTCGAAGACATTGTTGCTAATTTCGTTTTTGATCTTTACGATTGTGGCGGCGACTGCCACCTCGCTGTCGTCCTCGAGGCGCACCTCGAACTCGTCCTCCATGACTTGCAGCAGCACTGTCTCAATATCGAGCTGGTCGGTCTCGGGGTCGTTCTCAAAGATCTCGGTGATAGCTCCGGCGAGCCAGTCGCGCTTGTCGGCACCATCGGGGCCGCCGAACTGGCTCTGGATAGCGACGGTCAGGGCGGGCCAGGCCTGCAGAGCAAACCAGATGCCGTGGCCAAAGCGCTCGGACTTGAATTCGGCTGCGACCAGGTCAGAGGTGCGGCGCAGCCATGAGCAGTCGAGGTCGACTCACGCGTGGGGTTTTCGTTCGACATCGGTGTGGTGGGCGAGGTCTATAGAAGCGTCGTCGGGGTGCGGGCGCACAGCAGGCGGGCGGCGCAAAAAATGATGCGCTGTAGCGGGCTAGGCTTGACCATCAATGTGGGCGCATGACGTAGCTATCCCTGCAACGCTGGACCCTCGTGGGATTTGTGCGCCGGCGCCCATCCAAATTCACGCCTTAACCTCAGCCCAGCCCCTTTCCCACCACCCATATTCCACGCCCCTGTCGCCTGTCTCTCCTCTCGCGCCAATCCATCGTCGCTCTCTCCCTGCGTTCTGTCCCAGCATGCTCCGCGCCTGACCTCCCTGAAACCAACGTGCGACCCTGCCAAATACGGCAATCTGTTGATCCATCGAGAGACCATGGTTTTGAATACGATCACCGTTGGCGCCGCCGTTACGCCAACCGTTATACAAACCTACTTCTCGCATGTGCGCCGCCCATGACTCTCTCCCAACAACTTCTCCGGCTGACAGCGCCCCGCAGTACCTCAACCGCAAGCCGCTCCACGGCAAACCTACCGCCCATCTCGGCTACCACGAGGGCCTTCAACTCGTCCGGGAATTCCTCCATTATGCTGCCGAACACACCGTCGAGGAGGTCCAGGCATTCACCCAGCAATGGGTCCCCGTCCCGGCCTGGGTGAAAACCGACGAAGTCATCATTTCGTCCGATTACCTTTCCAAAGCGGCCGACCTGCTACAATCGCAATTGGGACCGGATGGTATCAAATTGGTTGGCGGCAAGACGTGGTGGCAATGGCGACGCGACAACGCCGAGCTGAAGGCCGAATGGGTTGAGATGCGGAAGGACGCTAGCGAGCGCAAGGAGGCCGGCGACGAGCTGGGCTCGCGAATCATGCTCTACATCCACGGCGGCGCGTATTATTTTGGCAGCGTTGACGAGCATCGTTACCAGATGCAGCGCCACGCACGGAAGCTGAAAGCGCGCATCTTTGCCCCTCGGTATCGCCTTGCGCCCCAGTTTCCCTTCCCCTGCGGCCTGCAAGATGCCATTGCGGCGTATCTACACCTCCTGGAGAAGCACGATCCATCGACTATTATCGTTGCCGGTGATTCCGCCGGAGGCGGTATGACGCTGGCCATGCTGGTCACTTTGCGCGATCAGGGAATACCTCTGCCGGCTGGAGGAGTTCTGCTTTCGCCCTGGGTGGATTTGACCCATTCCTTCCCTAGTTTGTGTGGCGATGGGAAATGGGACTATATTCCGGCACATGGTTTTGTGCACAAGCCTTCAGTGTCCTGGCCGCCTCCAAATGACGACGATATGAAGGTTATCAAGGAGGCCTCCATGGAGCTGAAGGCAAAGTCTGGAAAGCTCAAGGATCTCACCGCAAGTCAATCTGCAGAGCAAAAGCAGGAGCGTGCCCGCGGTTACTCAATTGAAAACCCCCGCGACGGTGCCGAGGCTTCCGCACCATCGACAGCTGATGCTCAATCGATTCCTCCCCCTCCGCCGGTGCTCTCCGTCAACATTGATGGGCAGTTGATCACCATCAAGGACCAGATCCAATTGTACGCTGCAAATGAACTTATCACTCATCCTCTGGTATCGCCTATCCTCCAACCGACACTGGGTGGCCTCCCGCCGCTTCTCATCCAGGTTGGCGGAGGAGAACTGCTTTGCGACGAGCAAATCTACCTCGCACACAAGGCCGCCGCACCCATGGACTACCTCCCCGATCTCTCCAAGATGAGTCCCGAGGAGCAAGAGAGAGCGCTGGAGCAGGCCAAGAAGTATCCACCAACCGATGTGAAGCTCGAGGTTTGGGACGATTTGTGCCACGTCACGCACACGTTGAGCTTCACCCGGCCAGCGAAGCTCATGTACCGCGCCGTGGCACAGTTTAGCGCCTGGGCTCTTGCAAGGGCACAGAACAAGCCAATCGACATTCTCGATGACGACGCCGTTTCTCACATCAGCAGCTCGTCAGAATCAGGTAATGACCCAGAAACGACGAACGGCAGCTCCAAGCAGCAGAAGACCGAAGAGGGCGCTTCTAATGCGGGTCTCAAAGCGGACAATAGTAGTGAAGAGTCGGTAGGGAGAGCCGGAGATGCGATTCCGCCTTTCAAGGACCACATGATCCGCCAACGAATCAACCGCCACGGTGCAATCAGGCCTATGGAGCCCCCGTCAGAGCTGGAGGCACTCCAACTTTCGGCGTCTGAAATTGGCGTCATTAAGGAAGGACCGGTAAGGAAATGGATGGGCATCCAGCAGAAATGGGCAAAGAAGTACGAGAAGGAGAAGCGCGCCGTGCAGAAGAAGAGAATAGAGGAGTTCGCCCAGGGATATGAAGAGTACGAAGGCGAAACGCCCCCGCCGACAGCCCTTGCAGGCCGACGACTGAAGGATAAGGACATGCCGAAGACGAGGGTAGCCAAGGGCTGGGGTCTGGCAATGTGGAGCGGTTGGGGCAGCAAGCACGACCAAATGACAATCAAACGCGAGACGCAGGCAGACGGCGTCAAGGAAGAAGCAGTGGACGGAGAGGGAAAAGGTTCGGCCGAGAGCGAACCAAAGTCACGAGCTCGTTCGCTGAGCACCAGCAGCAAGAAGAAAAGCAAGCGTTCGATCGCCTCCGCCCGTTCTCGTTCTCGCCGACGCACGATCACCGACGAAGGACAGACCGGTTCCTCTGTCCCCCCTTCCCCCACTCTCACCCGAGACGCTCTCGCCGCCCCTGTCGCCGACGCCGACGAATATGGCAGCAGCAGCTTGGCCATTCCCGCCATCACAAAGGCAGGCACGAGCGCTGCCTCTGTCACCGCCACTATCTCCACTCGCGCCCCCGAAGACGCCGCCAGCATCAACACAGCCGCAAACTCCACTTTCTCCTCGCCTCTCCCAAGCCCTGGAGTTGGACAGCCTACTGTGGTGATTTCTGAACATGCCGCTGAAGGCGCTCCCCCGACTATCATCCCTGCGTCGCAAAATTCGAGTACTCGTCCTTTCAGAGATGGCATCGCGTATCCGTTCAAGCTTAACATCGGCAACCACAAGTCCAACCCCAGCACCACTACTCTCATGAGCTTTCAGGAGAGCTTGAGGAAGAGCATGGATAGTAGCAGCATTGCTGACGTCAGCATTGCTGGAACGATGAGCAGGGCAGAGTTCAAAGATAAAGAGGAGAAGGATGAGCAAGAGGAGACGAAGGTGGAGTCGGCGCAGGAAGTCACTGTTGACGCGAAGACCGAAGAGTCCGCAAAGCCGACTGCTGATGACAAGACCGGAGAATCGGAGAAACTGGTGGCGGAAAGTTCGGAGAAGAAGGATACGGAGACAAAGGACGGTACCGAGGTGAAGGAGGCTGCGGAGACAAAGGATACTCCGGAAAGACCGGCGCCGGAGAGATTCATTACGGCGCAAGAGTTTTAAGAATTGTTATTGGTTGCTTTGATGTGTACGATGTGGGGTAACAGCTGGTTTGTTGGTCCTTTCTTGTTTGACTTCTTCAGCGCGATACAAAGATTTCTAAGCTTCTACTCGTATACCCTCTATTTTTGACTGTTTAGAATATGCACGCAGTTTTTGGGTGTTGATCATTCGAGTTTAGTTCGTCGCTCAGCTAGTCATGGTAGTCATTTAATCGTTTGCATTTTGTCGCATAGATTATGCACTGGTTTCACGTCTTATCATCTACAAGAGGTAGCAAGGGTCAGTCATCCCAATGCGGTAAGAACGTTACGTATGTTAGGTGGACTTGATTCATGACAAGACGATATGAAAGGTGCATTCATGTGGCACATAGTCATACGACGCCAAGTCTTATCGAAGCCTCACGGAATGTTCGATTTACCTACTTGGAGTTTTCTAGTCCTAGAATAGGCGCATCTTTCAATGTGAAGCATCTAAAACACGGCCAAGACACCGGCGTCTGAACAAAGTTTTGGACCGTTGCCAGCCAAGCTTTAAGGCTACGCCAAGACACAAGGAACACCAAAAGTCCACCAGCCATGTATGCAGGCAGTTGTTTTGGATATTCGCTTGCGCAGCTGGGCGCGAGTCAAACGTGGTTCGGCAGTTGCGATTGATGGTACGTTGAGATGCCTCCGGTTGACCATGCGTCAGTTTTCAGCAAGTCGATAGTGGCATCTGCAATGCATTTCCACTGGCTGATATTTGCTTGACAGATCTACCATCAGCCCTACACTGATTTGTGCTATTTTTGACACAAGGGACCAATCGGCAGATGCGGAGCCCCACGTTTGGTGCGGCTGAGAGATTCACCCCCCTGCGTTGTCGGCCTTACAGTCTTGTCTCCCTTATGCCTTAACTGAGAAAGGCATGTGGACAAACATCCTCTTCGTATCCATAGATAGGAGGCCAAGGATGACGTTACCGGTGTACCTTTCACTGAGTCGGCCAGACGCCCTCGACCAAGGTGTATTTCTCAGCATACTGGATACTTAAGGAGATGACTGGGCTCACAAGAGCATGCTACAACACCAGCTCCACATTCGTTCACTTCGACAGCCAGGTGCTGGCTGAATAATTGTTCAGTCTTTCTTTCAGACCAATCATTCACTCTCTCCGCCACAGTCTCTCCTTTCAGCATCATGGTCGGAAAGACAGCCTTCTGCGCAGCTGCGCTTCTTGCTATCCAGCCAGTCTTCGCTGCTCCGTTCACCCATGAAGTCACCGAATCCCGCGGATCCCTTCTCCGCCGCGACGACACCGTGGTCGATCCGCCGAAGGACATCACACCAATAATCAACCAGATCGAAAGCCTCACTCCATCCGAGCTGGAAGAGCTCATCGACTCAGTCAAAGATGGCAAGTTCACCAAGCGCGATGCCGTGTACCCACGCCAATCCACCGCCGTCGCCGCCGAGCCCACGACCGACGGGCCCTTCCTCTCCTACCTCGACGGCTGGGCCAAGCCGGGCACCAACGAGAACTGCACCGACTTCACGCTCAACGGGCCCTTCACCAGCATCCACGCGGCCATGGGCAGCAGCAACGTGCGCGGCATCAAGGTCGTCAGCGCGTCCGGCAACGCGACCGAGATCACCGCCGGCACCGAGACCATCGTCGACCCGGGATTGTTCACGTTCGAGAGCAACGAGCGCGTTGCGAAGTTCAGCATCGCGAAGCTGCCTGGCACCGCCGATACCGTGTCGGGGTTCTCGTTCGAGACGGATGCTGGGAGGAAGTATGAGGCGCTGACGTCGCTGATTACGGAGAATAAGGTCACGCCCGAGTGGACGGATATCCCGGTCGGTGCGGGGATTATTGCGAGGATTCGCGGGACGAACTGTGAGGGGTTGGGTGTGTTTGGGAGTTTTGGTGTCGATTTGCTGGATAATCTGGACAGCATTTCGATTACGAATATTGACTATGAGGGGTTTACGAATAGCATTATGCCGTCCGGCGCTGGGACGCAGGTTACGGTCGGATCGCAGGTCGTCGATAACCGCAACAGCTCGGTGCAGCAGACTATTTCGCTGCAGACGACTGACACTATTACCCGCCAGCGCACTGTCACCACGCAGTCGCACTGGCAGGTTGGTGGCAGCGTGGGAATGGAGGGAAAGGTTGGCATTCCGCTGATCAGCGAGGGTTCAGTCAAGACGGAGTTTAATTGGCAGGTACAGCAGTTGACTGTAAGTTCTCCTCTACTTCTCCATTTGATCGAAGTTTCAAAAAGGATGATTGGCTGATTGTCGTTTGATAACAACAGTCGGATGCCGAAATGGAGAACTCCGTAACCACCCGGTCGGGCACCTTCCCGCTCGCTTGTCCTGCTGGCAAGTTCTGCACTGCAAAGGCTTTCTTCACGCAGTTCAAGCTCGATGTCAATATGAATGCTACGTTCACTGCTACGACGAAGAGTGGGGCCACTTATGATTGGGTCCAGAGTGGCGAATACAAGGGCGCGGACAGCTTGGCCATGCAGTTCAATGTTACGGAGGTGAACAGTGTGAGCTAAAGGGAAAGGAAAATTGCTTCAACCCCAGCAAAACAGTTTGGTTGTGAGGGAGCGTTCCACTGAGAGGGATATGCAGAGAAGATACTGGATTCACGAGAATTTGCTGCGTTTGATGAATGATACTTAAAGGAGAGGTTGAAAAACCGAAAATCTTCCTCTCTTGCATCATATACCTGGAACGAACAATAATGGATGAGGATCGCTAAGTGGGGTGCGCATAGCAGCTTGGCCATGTTCAGACGATCATGATCCGGTTCGGACTCTCTCTTGAAGCCATTATTGAACGCTTCATATGAGAGTACAATTGCCGGTCTGCCAGAAGCAAACGCAGCCTCACGATCAGATCGAACGATAACATGCACATCAAGAACCTGTCTCGGTTGTAATCCCAAGGAAGATTCTCGTCAAGCGTCGCAGACGAGATGACACTGTAAGCCTTTCGGAGGAATAGAGACAAGTGTGCAAGCCTCGGTTCATCCGCTATACCCAGGACTTCCCTCAGCAACTCAGCTTCATTACGTGAAATGGGCTTATCAAACCGAAAAATGGGATTAAAATGGTCATCCTGCTGGAGATCCCGAAATGCGTCGGAGAAAGACTCCTGCTCTTGTAGATACGACCTCAGCTGCGAGACGTTTGTGGACCACGTGCTAATTTGCTCCTCGACGCTTTCATGACTAGCCGAAAGCTCGTCTGGGAACAGCTGGTGCCGTTCAACGGATAACCTGAGCGTATCTGAAGGGCGGCGGAAATCCAGAGGAATCAGAGAGCGCCAAGCCAAATCTTGAGGATCAATAGCATTGATCATTATTGTTCGCATTAGATCCATCGCTTGAATATGACTGCTGTTGAAGTTGATTTGGTCTGACTTTGGATATTCTTCTCTCAGCGATTCTTCCGCCTCCCACAGACTAAACAGTTCTGGAAAAATGGCTGCGCTATGGGCCGATTCCTTTCCAGCTAGATCCTCAGATACGATCTTTGAGGATAAGTGTAGACCGAGGACTGCATTGAGCCACCTCTGAAGATTTCCCTTTTCATTCGAGTGAATCGTCCAATATGGTATTTCCCACATGCTATCCAGTAGACATCCGACAGTTATAGAGATAAATCCATGGAAAGAGAAGTCTCTGGCTCTGTGTTTTCTCAGAACGACTGGTTTATAGTAATTTAGGATAATCCATATTTCGAAATCATGTGTGTCGCTGAAGAGGTTGGAATCATGATTCATCCGCCAATTCGTGATCCTCATGCCACTGGCCACACCGTGAGTCATGAGTTCGCCGCGGGAAATTCTAAAAAGAGGAATTGCGTCAAGGACTAGAGCGCCGAAGGTGTTAACAAGTGGAGTGGACATCAATAAGTCTGGCTTATTCACGATGAAAGCGTCAATGGGGCAGCTTCGGAATCTTTGACCAGAATTCCCCGTCCAGAAGAGTCGTGGGAGGGCTACGTAGTGAGAGCCGATGAGGAGTTTCGGCATCATGATGGCACTCTCTTGAGTTTTGATGTTGGTCCAATCCGGTACCCACGAGGGTAGACCAGGAATGATTTTTTTCTGACCATAAGCAAGGTTAAGAAAGCGGTAGTCCCTGTCCTGAATCCAGTAAGCTGCCAAGCCAGTGTAGAGCTGCTGGGCAGAGAGGGAGTAATCTGTGAGAAGCAGTTCTTTGTCCCTAGTGTTGGCTAGACCAATGATTCCAAACAGTCTATCGCGCGGATCATTGCATAGAGCGCCTTTAGTATCCAGAAGTAATTCAAAGACAGACGGAGCCTCCCGACGTCGCTGTACCGGTGCTGAGAAGTGCTTTATCCATTGGGGAGCTGCTCCGCACGACTGGAACGCGGAGCACAGATCGGTCCAATGCATTATCAATACTCCGTAGATGACGCTTGCTCTGGTTGCAAGCCCCACCTCCTGAATGATCCAAAGGCGTTTGAAGTAAGGCCTTTTTGCGAGCTCCACCAGAAATGCTGCATCATTCTGTGTGTCAGAAGGCGAGGCGCAAGTGTTGACCGCAGTGAGTGCTTCTCCAGGGCCGCTGCTCGGCTCTCCGAGGTAAATGAGAACTCGCGACGCTATGGAGTATATCTTGTCCATGTGAGTGACTTGTGCAGAGCGCTCGCGAGAGTTGTTCTGGTCAATGCAGATTGCGTCGATCCAAAGCAATCTGTCGGAACGTTTCCGCAGCCTTCGTAGGGCGGACTCGCAGTTTTTGGTAACGAGCAATACGTCGAAATGTTTCCCGATATAAATTGGCATGCAATTCCGTTTGTCACCATCAAGATCTGCCCATGTATATGACAAGGCTTCGTAAAGAGGAACATCGGGATCTTCCAGCTGAGCTACTTCTATCGAGCAGTGAATTGGATCATTGGAAGAGACAGAACCGTGCAGGCGAAGAAGTCGGAAATTGTCAGAGCCGGATAGGCTCTCATGTATCCTATCGGAGCGATGCACCGAGATTGAATCCGGTGTGTCCGTGTGGGTTTTGTTGAGTGTTCTCTCGGCGACTTCATCTGGAATTTCGCTGGTTGTAATATTGGAGAAGGCCATGGAGAGCTCAGGCGCCTGAACCATTCTGTCCGTCTGCTGTGATGCATCTCTTTCTTCTTGGAAGCTGGCCTGATCGTCAGGTGGATCGGTTGCGTCAATGTCCCATGTATCGATGTTCTCGGTGATGAAGGCGGTAACATCATTCCCATCTTCATCAATAAAGGTCTCTGAGTACTCAACGCATGGTGGCCATGAGCACCTCAGTTGTGAACGTTTCAGAGTTGGCGGAGGCGCCGGCGGGGGAGGCGTTTCCGCCGCACCGTTCGCAATGGAAGATGCCGAAGAGTTGCAACGTATGCAAATTGGATATCCATCTCTCCAATCGAGATCAGGGATGCTGCAGTCTCTGTTGTGCCAGGACATACTGGAAGTTTGATTGCAGAGTTGGCGAGGCTGAAGGTTGTTGCTTCCAGCTCGAAGCCCCGCGCTTTGCTGCACTGCTGCATACGCAACCCCACCTGACCTTACCCCTACCCAACAATCAAGCTTGTGTATTTTATTGGAGCAGTAAGTATTTCAATGGGCGCCCTGATGCTCACACCTGCCGTATAATATTCAAAAACTTCCAGTTGTTGCCTGCTCACAAACCGAACTAAACGAAGCTCTCTATGGAATTACTTTCTAATGATTTTAAAGTAAAAGTGCTTATTTCCTTTGACAAGCGGCCGACCATTGGAATTTGTGAAGAATGATATGACGTTCCAGTCTGGCTACTTTCGTAAATTTTCGATTCATTGAACACCACAGCGCTCATCATTGCCCTGGACTAAACCCCAGACCTGCCTTTCTAGATAATTTGTACTACACATACACACACACGAAAATCAGCGACCCACTCTCGGCCACTGTGTGTAGACCTGACTATAGATGAAAATAAGTCACGTGACTCTAAGTAGGAATTCTATCAGCAAGGTCCAGCCGCTTTACCGCGGTGACTCATATGGTTCGGCGCTCCTGATTCCGGGGCTGATGGACTATTTGAGCGATGAGGCAGCTTAAGTGCAACTGTGAAACGTTCGGCTAGACTTTTCGCCAGGTGCAGGTCGCATTTGCCGCGACCGTCGCGGCGTTGTGTACCGTGCCCGGACTCTCCATCTTCCGGTAAAAGGTTAATCCGTGTCTTCCTGGACGAGCTAAGCCGAATCGGCCCGTCCCGCCATTTCCTTCCCGAAACACTTTTTTTCCATCAAACATGACTTCTGGGCAGCTGAAGGGCTCCAAAGAAGCGGAGGCGCTCGCGACGCCCGGCTATTGGGATGATCGCTATTTGCAATCCGACGGCGAGAACCCGACGCACGAATGGTTCAGGTCGTTCGAGGCGCTCGAGCCCTTCTTCACGAGACACCTCTTCGAGCCGCGTAGCGCAGACCAGAAACCGCGGATCCTGCATCTGGGGTCGGGCGACAGTGTATGCTTATTATATGCTTTGACCGCGCTGATGTTGATGAGGAAAACTAAGTCGCGTCTTTTTTTTGCAGACCATTCCCTCTGACCTCGCCGTCCGGGGATACAAAAATCAGCTTTGCGTCGATTTTTCTACCGTCGTCGTGAATCTCATGTCTGCCAGGCACGAGCAGGAGAAGGGGATCGAGTGGAAGTGGGCCGATGTGCGGAATATGACGGAAATATCCGATGGCTCCATCGACGTGGCATTTGACAAGGGCACGTTGGACGCCATGATCTCCGGAAGCCCGTGGGACCCGCCGGATATTGTGAAACAGAATACAGGGCAGTATATTAACGAGGTTCGACGCTCTTTCAAAATTTGTGTGGCATGGCTTGGCTGATGTCTTAAAGGTCTTCCGCGTGCTCCGCGACGACGGCGTTTTTCTCTACATCACCTACAGGCAACCCCATTTCATGAGACCCGTGCTGAATCGGGATGACATCTGGGATCTCCACATGGAGACGCTTTCCGAGGGCGAAAGCTCGTTCGATTATTACGCCTTTGTTTTGACAAAGAAGAAGAAGCAGGACGAATAATAGTTATGCGGCTTGCGATCAATCAGAATAAGATAGAACTAAAGACACGTCTGTTACATTGTTTTTACAGTTTCGACTGCTGATGCTCAAGTCTCCGTCCCCATCTTCTTGAAAATCATTCAAAGGGACATACCGATAAGCCTCTAGCCATCCTCGACGAACTTCAAAAAAAAAAAACAAGCGGGGAAAAGAGGAGGGAATGGTAATCTGGGAAAGTGCCGTCAAAGTATTGAAAAGGTATGGCTACATGGATTCCGACCTTTTGATGCCACTGGATGCTCTCAACAGCCTCACTACTTGTGAAATGGTTCTGCATTCGCAATTTTTTTTTTAAACAAACCTCAAATTGATCTGCTGCTTCATAAAGGAAATGACCAGCTTTTCCCACCCCATAGATAGAACAAACTTCAGTCTTTGATGCCCAAGTCTGAACAAATCAAACACTGCTGCCTGCACGGTTAGACGCTGGAACGTCTCCTTCATGATTCACTCGAGCCGCGCGTAGACGTCTAGGTTGCGATGGCGCTAGTTTCAGACGGTGCAGGGCTCGATAGTGTGTGAGATGGAGATGATGAGGCCGCGAACGATGGGAATGGTGGCGAGGCCGAAGACGGGGAAGTTGATGTAAGCCGTGCTAACGATTTTCTAGCGGAGGTGAAAAAATAAGCTTCGTGTGCAGGACCATGACCTGACAAGCAGAAAGGAGGCGCTTACCTGTTTTTTTGCGTATGTTGTTCTCTATGTGGATATGGGGTCTGATGAGAAACAATTCTTGCCGCGGATCCGAAGGGCCAGCGGCAACATCAATGAACCTCTATTGAATTATTGCTAGAGAGATGTTAAACTATTTGCCAACGTCGAGTCGTTATTGGTCATCAGCTAGTGATCCTATTATGCCTTGGCCAAGAATAGACAATGAGTCCAGTGCTACAGGTCCCAATGCGTTAATTGGAGCCTAGATTGGATCCTGCGGTCCCCCAAAATGCAGAAAAGAATCACGCCTAATCTTCACTGCATTCAATTTTGAGACATGGTTATATGACGGCGTCGTAAGCGCCCATAGAGGACGATAGGAGAGTGTAGCGTATGTCAGCCAGTAGGCCAGGTTTACATTCTTAGTGCTGCAATTTCAGGCCCGTCGGAGAAGCAACTTCATCGTTCCAGTAGGTGGTAGGTATTTCATTAAGACTGGTAGTCCTAGCAGAGCCATTGACCGCAAGCCCGTGGGCAGGATACCATAAGTCATTAATTCATGTGAGAAGAATATTGTGTTGTGACGATATAAACGTGACATAGACATCTGCATCAGTTGTTTTCGAGCTCCTTTTCAAGAACGCCGATTGTTCAGAACAACATGTGTCCGAACACAGAATCTGGTATCTCGATCAGTAGGCGTAGTACTCTTCGATTCCACCAGTAACACTTTTCAACATGACCGTGTCACCATAGACTTAGATAGAATCGTACAGTATCCCATTTTTGTTACTTGTACGGCCAATCTTGCATTCAGTACGGATCTCTTCAGATTTGCAAATACAGGCGTGACATATTTGGAGCAGTAAAAGGACTCATTGAAATGACATTGGTTAATTGCACGTTTTTCATGGTAAATCGCCTGATTTGGTTTACTAAACCACCAGCTCATCGGCCATTTCACCTTGTTCACATTTGCATATTAGTAGCAGGCTACCTTCCGTATCAGAGCGCAAAATGGAATGACACGATTTATATAGGTCCTTTTTTGTGGTTATTAGATAGAAAGCAAAAACGAGCAGTAGGTGAGAGGTTGATGATGAAAAATCCAGTCTAAGCGTTACGAGCAGAGAGTCGTAGAGCGTAATACAAAAACAATACGAAAACTCAAAAAATCGATGAGTAGCGTAAGGAACCAAGAATGCAAACATTATACTATAACTTGAGGAGAAATAAGGAAGAGACCAGTGAGCGGATGAGGTAAAGCAGAGAGATGAATATAGTAGAAAACTGGATACTCTCGTGATTGAAGTCCCCAAACATCTCACTTAGCAACCATATACTCCTTACTCATGTGGTAAATCCTGTCAAGAAGCTCAACTTCTTGTGGGAAATCTCTGAGGACTCCAAGCTTCGAGATGTCAAAAACAAATTTGACGATGAGTGATGGATGCGCTTGGAACCAGGTCCAGAGATGTTGTAGCTTCAGGCAATCTTTTTGGTCCACTTGTTGGTCTTGATTGAGCACAATATTCTTGGGAGCTTGCTTTGTCATAAGCCATTCAAGATCGGTGAGGTCATTGGAATGTCCCGTAAGCGCAAGGACCCAGGATGAAACCGGAGGGAACAACTCATCAAGTGAAATGATGGTACTTATCAAGACCTTACATCGTTCCCTGTCCGATTGAGGCTTGAAGCTCTTAGCTCGCGCTTCGAGACCGAGCGAGGGATCCTTCATGAGACGTTCCATTACCACAAGTGCTGCATTTGGTTTGTCTGAGGCCCCATGGCGAGATTGCAATAAAGACTCCCAGTTTCTCGTGACTTTCAAGTCCACGAGCTTTTGGCCAAGCTTGACTTTGGAGTCAAAGTTGACGCAACCCAACTTCAAGAATTTCCGAAGAAGCTCGACGGAAGACATGGCGAATTCGTCTGCGCGTATTCCATTCTCCTCCATATTGGAGAAGAGAAAGGAACCCAACTCGTACTTGTTGGCGAAAGGTTCGTTCCGGTCTTTCTCTCTTGCGATGCGTGTGTCGTAGATCTGGCTCAACTGTTCCAAGTATAGCTCTCCAATCGAAACAAGCCCGCTTAGGCCATCGAGCATGGTCCTCTCTGCATAGGATGGAGCCCCTGTTGGCTGCTTGTATGATATGTTGTGCTCCACCTCTGACCACGCGCTTTGCAGAACCGACATGACTTGGATCTCGATTTGATCAGTCAACTGGAATTCCCTGCGCGAATTCTCAGGCTTCAATCGCACGCGGTAGTGCGTAGCTTGGTATCCCCTGAACCGGTTTTCGTATTTGTCTTCTGCATGCTCCCTGTTCAACGCGCTCGCCATCCCCTCTTTCTCCTCTTTCTGTTCCTTCCGATCACTTTTCGGATGGTTAATCTTCTCTTCAATCTTGAATTGTTTCTCGAGGAAGCTGTTGACACGTTCCTTGTGATGCGGAAAGAAGAGGGCTATGCGGACTCCTGAAATGTCCACAACTTTGTTCCTGATGTCATCGCTTGACGCGTATCGGTCCTTTGGGTATCGATCGCAAAGCTTCTTGCGCAAACTCTTCACAGCCTTTGCACGATACGTGACAGTCGCATCATACGTAGAGCTGCTGAGAAAGTTCTCGCAAGTCTCGCTCACGAATTTCGCGATCTTCTTGTGGTAGTGGATGTCTTTCGTCTCGTAATCCGCGAGGAATTTCTTGATGATTTCAGGCTCCCCAGAATCATTGATCTCATCCCTAGAGCCCATGGGGACAAAGGAAGGGGTGATATGATCAATGACGGGGCGAAAGGAGCAAATGAAGGCTGTCCCAATGAAAGATAGAGATGCAAGTCATCAAAAGACTGCGGGTCCTGCTGCATGCCCTTCGCAACAGACGAACCTTTTAAGTCTTTCAGATTGGGGTCACGCACAAGAATGAGGCTATGATGGTAAGACTATCTCACTATGCATAGCTAACTCGCCTTGCGCACGAGGCTGACTGAAATCTGCCTCGCGGGACTGACGGTGCCCAGGCAACCGAGCGATATTCTTCGAGGTCACACATTTGCCTTTCCTTTGCCTAGTTCGAAGCATTTAAGGCTCTTTCTTTTAATTGATACTCGTCACAATCATAATGTTCTACTTGTTTATATACACGAGTGGTGCATGCCGGTTGTGATTAAGTGGTGGAAGCTTGTGCAACAAACTTTTCTTACCAATGATCTTACTACTCCTGGTTTGGCTCGATTATGCATGAGCTTTTCAGCTCTTCGTATTAATACAGATCGAGCAGCACGCAGCTTTTAATTTCTCTGGCTCCTTTAAAGTCGGGTTGTTTAGTTCCACGAGTGCCTATAGAAAAGGAAGGCTGAGTCACGTTACTGGTGTTCTAGACCGTGGCACATGAGCGGCTCGGCTGCATGATTTTGATAGGTGCTCACTCAGCCACATGTGCGCAGCTTTCTAGGCAGCCGAACACGACTGCATCGTTGTAACCTCACACGTTCACCGGCCAACTCACAACACAGCCTCCAAGGCTACAGGGCGCACATCAAGGCAGACAGGTCTCAGGGCTATTTCTCCATGTTCAGCCTGTCTGAGCCATCAACAGCAAGGTTCAGTGCACCAACTATGGGTACCTATCACGACTTCATCTCAGCGCAAAGCAAGCGCAATCCAAGCATCCACAATCTCCTAGCATTCATGGAAGATGATGGAAGAGAGACATCATCTTGTCGGCTCGCCTCTTTGGACTTTTCTTCCGACCGTTCGAGTCCCACGACCCAAGATATAGATGAGAAAAGCCTCCAGGGTCTACTGCGTGTTTCCACGAGTAGTGGAAGGTCAAAATTGCTTGGGCGGATCATCATTGTCGAAGATCTGACAAGGAATATTGTCGAGATTTTGGGGTCGAGTCTACACATGGATCCCCTGTTCTTCGCGTCACATCTACATTCTCCATGGCCTGACATATCTTTTCAAACTCCGGAAATGGCGCTCTTGCCGTCTCGACTGAAACCCGAGACCTACCTTACTATGCATTATCATCGGACCATTAAATTCAAGGACCCCGAAATTCCATTGAGAAAGTTATTGCGTACTTGCAATATACACAGAAAGGTCATGGTCCTTCCGAAAACAAAGAACATCCGCATTGGCCTCGCTCAACACTCATGTTCCATCTTCAAGACTGTATTGCCCGACAATACTTGGATCTGTACGCGCGATTCGCATTAAGTAGGAAGCTGTACTAACGAACAGTACAGGTATTGCCCTTGTCGACCCGCCTATTGGCAGCTCCTACTACTCTGTGAAGCAGCAGGAGGCGGAAATCACTCATAACAATATCTTGTCCGACTTGTTCTTGGGGGGCTATGAGGACTTCATGGATCCGCCTTCAATGACCGACAAGTCTTGTTTCTCGTCCGGCCCATCCAGAACTGGCATGTTCGATGATTTACCTTATTTCTGGAAAAGAAATCTACCAGAGATCTTTGATCGCAGCTCACCAACATTGATCCAACTGGCCTATTACCCACTTCGAATCGTTGCATCCGAATGGGTGATATACCTGGCGGTGATGCATCATAGCATCAAGCAGTATGAGTATGCTGTAGAAGACCTCCCAGCCCTATTCAAAGAACTTGATAGACTCAATTCCGACCTGAGATCTTTGCAAAGCTGGCGGCGTAGAAGCATGTCGTCTCAACAAAAGATGCGCTCAATTTCCCACTTCATTCGATGCTGCAACAACCCGAAGCATCATTCTGGCCCTTTGGAGCTACTAGCTAAGGATTACGATCACCTTGCCGCAAATGTAGATGACTTCGGGCAAAGATTTGAGAGGATGCTTCCTGTTGTTACTTCGATGGTCCAAATCGTAGATAGCCGACGATCCTTCGCCGAAACAGCTAACGTGAGTCGTTTGACTTACTTAGCCTTAGTCTTCGTACCCCTCACTTTTACCACCGGGCTCTTCAGCATGAACAGTGAGACGGCTCCAGGAAGCCCAGGGTTCTGGATATTCTTTGCTGTTGCGATTCCGGTCACAGCGGCCGTTTTTCTGGCCGCGCGCCCACCTGTCAAGGAAACACGTCGGATATTGGATTACCTGTCACGACTTCAGGAGCGAGCCCTGCCCCGGTATAGGGGGCAATCCCTCAACGAATCTCACACTTTAGAGCTTGGAGAAAGCAGTCAATTCCCGAGTCCATCACCAGTTGTGAATACACTTGCGTTCCCCAGCGAGGGAAATATACGGATAGGAGGTGAGAGGTAGAACCTCGAGGAATTTGCACTAGAAAAAAGGAAGATCTCATCGCCTACTCGACCATCACTGCCTAACTTACATCCGTTTCCAAGAAGACATAAGCAGCAGTGGTATGTAGCCTGTGCACCACGACATCTCTGGAACATCATCGACCGGAAACTCCATATCATTCCTATTGATCATTTCGTTGCTCCACCAAACTTAATGCAAGCCCAGAAATTCTCGGTCATCATCATAAAGAGAGATCAGACTTCCATCGATTGCATTGGTGGAGAAATCTGAGAATGTATAATAGCAATTAGCAAACTTCACAATTCGTAGACTACCTCGTGCGTTGACCAGACAAAGAAATCATGCCTTATGTGAAGCTGGACAAGCTCTTACCTGTAGATACTGGCAAAATACAATCACTCAAGAGCCCCGGTGGTACTCCATTTTGGTCATCGATGCTGGGGTGTTGGTGCCAGATGCCTGAGCTGACGGAGCTTGATGGTGATACCATGTGTTTTCGTTGCTGGTGTCGAAGCAACTTGTCTCGCCGCTGAAACCCCCTCCTCTTGTAATCGCAGCCCTCTTCATCACAGAAGTACAGCTTGTTCGCTCCTTCACTCGGATGCTTGCTACGTCGGTGCCTCTTGAGGTCTTTAGGGTATATGAATTTCATGTCGCAACCATTACATGAATGTCGCCTTCCTTCAGGACCGGCGTGTATTTTCTTGTGTTTTCTTATTTCTATTAGCCCTGAATGTTTTGGGGGAAATGGAAATACTTTACTTCAGCTCACTTGGCCTTCCAAATTTCATCACACAACCATCGTAATCACAGTGGTGTGGTGTTCCACGGCTCGACAGTAAGTGGTTCTCATGACTCGTATCTGTCAAAAACTCAATATTGACATCACTCATGCAGTATATTATGTGTAAGTGTGAACAAACCGCGAAGTGTGGGCACGTACGAGGAAAGGGTGCAATTAGCTCGAAGTGGCCATGCAGTAGTTGATCATCATCCTACGAGATCGTTCAACAGTCAGGACAACGTGTCTATAGAGGTATGACGACTGCGACCAACTGCTTCTGGGTTGGAGATACCTGTAAGTTCGATTGATGAACAGAATTTGCATGCAATCTTGCCCAGTCGTTCCGATCAGTCTGATCAAATGGTTGAGGCGGAGGACAATGCAATGGATCGCTGATCCCAACACCGATTATGTCTTCCGAGTCATCCAGCATCGGGGTTCCAAACCCCTCTGTGCATAGCACGGTAGGCTCTGCTGACAAGCACTGTGCTATCCAGGGCTGGAAAAAGCTGTGGTCGTCACCAGGGCCATCGAAGCCAGAGACATCACCCTCTGTAGGTTGTCCGTATATATCGCCACTCGAATGAGCTCGAAGAGGTGAACCATTCACGAAGGAGGTAGGGACAGTGTCTGAATGCTCATGCTTTGGACACTTGTTAGCTGGAGTTTGCCTCAAAGCGGGTTAAAGAACCTTGTCATAAGCACAGGATAGTGCGCTCTGGGGCATTTTCGGATAGTTCATGAAATCCATCAGTTCAAAAACGCGCTGTAATTGGGTACCACAAGAGCATTCCACTGGTGAACTCGTTCCGAACCATCAAAACCGGTGATGGCCTTAATTCTATCGTCAGAAAGGGAACAAGTAGAGGATGGAGGAAGTCCCGAAGTTGTATGACACTGGGAGCGGTGATGGAATAACGGAAATGGTGAGGAGTCTGCAAGGCTGCACAGCTGCGAGAATGGGCAGATACTCATGCACGTTGACGTGGAGTCTCAAGCGCCCAATGGATACGGGTCGGGCTAGCTGGTTGGCTATCACGATTGCACAGCATAGTGCCACCTACGTAGATATGCTTCTGGATCAATCATCGGCCTCCTCCATCCAGCCGAGGGAGAGCTGGCGTTTGGCCTCGTGAGCTCGATCTTAGCGGCCTCAATTGTCCAGTGAAGCATGCTCGGATGTGCTATCGGGATTCCGCCCCACTCAGCGCAGCACAAGAGCGACAAGGACAGGTTCAAAACAGGGAAGCGATAGCGGAAGGCTGTCGATACCATTAAAGAATCACTGAATATCTTCATGCCTATCTAAGGGCAGCATATGCGTCGCTATCGAAGAACGAAGTCCTTGAATCCACGAAAAGAGGCTTTTAATCATTCAGAAGTTCGCAAGGTGATGAAGTAAAGTGAAGCCGTGACGTGCGCCGAAATAGGTGTCTGGCGGCTGGAGCTGTCCAAGTTTTCGGTGTCGGCGCAGCTAAGCAGCAGCACTGCCCCCTCCATCGTCGCCTACCGCCAACCTTCACGGCTCCGACCCGCCGCCACCACCACTTAACCACGACGGCAGACATCCCTCGCTCGGGCACGCTCTCCATCGGATGTTGCCTGCGGGCCACGTTGCGGTTCGAGTCCAAGCTCTGCTACCCGGTCCAGGCTTCCAACGGCTCCCAGGCTCCAGAAATCGAGACGACCTTGACGCAATCA